AAATAGACGTCGCGGAAAAGGGTCGGATTAGCGTAGAAAGCGGGTAGAGGGAACCCGAGCAGCCCGACGCCATTCTGAACCCGGTGGGAGTTGATCATCGCAAGAAGCGAGGCGAACATGGGACTCGACAGCGAGGTTCCACCGTATTGATAGACATCGCCACCGGTCACAATGATGTAGTTTCTTCCCATGGCGGACACGTCCGGAGTGGCAGCTGCATTTTGCAGGGACTTGTAAAGGTAATCCTTGTAATGAGTGGAGTAAGACGCTACCGCGCTTTGTTGCCAAGAAGGCGCAGCATTGAATGGAGGACCCTACCGCACGTCAGTCTCAGGGGGCTGCCATCACTGACCAATGTGGAGAAGCCTCCAGAACCACTGTAGCCCCAGCCATCGTTTTCTTGCTCGGCATAGGACGGGGCAGTCACTCCCGCATCTACTGTCAGGAAGTGCGATCACTTGTGAATGCTCACTGATATTGAGATCCGTGGCACCCACAGCGACCCAGTACGGACAAAGAGCAGGCTGAGTGATCAGAGTTGAGCCCTCCGCAAGGAACCCACAAACTCGATATTCTGAGCCCCAGAGTCGCCAGAGGACGCCAAAAGCGTAGTTCCGCTGGCAACAATGGCATCGGCTGGAGATACGTCAAACGACATCCACTTGACTGGACGTACTCGTTTGGCACTGGGCGACTAAATACTGCGCCGCCGTGTCGTTGGATTCAAAGTAGTTGACGTAAAAGCTCTCATCCCCGCCGTAGGAGACGGAGAGAACATCTACCTTTGGGATACCGTTGGATCCCATGGCGGAGACACTGAAATAAGCCTAAAGGCCATGTCTCAAACTCACGCTCCATAGAGTGACTCATCCGAGGCGTCGGGAGCTGCCTTCAGCAGTAGGACTAATAAACCTTGCTCACCTTCAAAATCAATGACTTTCATAGGATAGGTGAGCGGGACAACTGTCTGCAAATCCAAGTCTGGCTCGCCGGTGTCTGAGGATGAGCAGCCGGTGGGATCTACACCATCGATCGGGACCAGGACATATGGAGGGATGTAGCTGGCGTTCGAGTTGTACACATTGGGGAACAACTGTTCCCACGCTGACAGGAGGTCCGAATTGGCGGCCTGACTCCGTCAGATGGGGACCAAACCGGGCCCATGCTCACGCAATTAGGTTGAAGGCTGTAATTGTCAGTCCATACGCGCGACATGTCTCTCACTTTAGTGTTCCGATAGACGTTCCGGTTGTAGGACTTGTCACCGCGGGCAGATGATACTGCGCACGGACACAGGCGGGCAAAAACTGACGTCAACAGAGTGAGATGAGTCCGCCTCACGTAGTTCCAACATTGACTGAGGGATCCGGTCATGGACACCCCGACTGGTTGCCCTTGAATAGCAATCGGGTCATTGTTGTGGCTGGGGGGCTGCGCCGCGAGGTCTTCCATCATGGTCTTGTGGAGGTCCTTGACGTGCGCGGCCTCCTCGTTATCAAGCTTGCGCTTCGACCCCTGCTTGCGGGTATGGCTAAATCCGAATCCGACTCCGGGAACACTGGTGAAAACGTATTTGTGCAACGACTTGGGAATTTTGATCGCCGAAGTTCCACGTCTTGCGTGTCCGTCTACGTTATAGACGGCAAAATCGGCCCCGACTGATTGTCAGGGGTATGAGACTGAGCCGAGACTCACAAATAGCGTCGGCTTGAGCCTTTGTCGCCTTGAAAGACATATGCCTGTCTCCATACGAACGTGTCACAGCTTCACTGGCGACGCCATGCATATTGAGGTATTCGAGCACCTCTTTGACCCCATTTGGGTCGCTCCTACATCGTCAGGCCAGAGTCTGTCAGCTCGACTTACTGTGTCAATGCATGCGCATCCTCAAGAGACAGCCACTGTCCGTACAACTCGTGGGCAGGATCACTACGTTGGAGAATGGCCTCATCGATGGCGCTCTGATTTTGGGCATGAAGTTTGATGGCATAGGTCGAGATCTCTGCGGGATGTATAGCTTGCTTCTCGAAGCTAGCAATGTGTCGGTCAGAAATCTTGTGCAACTGCGCGAATTCCCCAAAACGAAGTTCAACTTCCGCCTTGACAGGAGCAGCGTTTGCGATGGGTGCCACAGTGACAGAAAGGCCTGCCACTATCAGATATGCAACGGCCGCGATCATGTTGCTGGCGAATGAAGGTCAGATGCCATCTCAGAGATACACTCTCTCGTCTTTGGGATCGTTCTTCCGATCACCGCGGCGGCGAGACAGCATTCAGGCACTCCCGCGAGATGAAAAACTGGCGTTTATAAATAGAAAAGGTGTGAGAATTGTAATTTCAGGGCGTTAGATCACGCCGCTGGAACAGAGTATGACACCTGCAACGGCAGATCTGAGGGTCCCGGGAGGTCTACGTTGAAGCGGTGCGCATCTAGGCCAATCTGAAGCCGCACCCCTAAAAGAAGCAGCAAGATGCCCCAATGACTGGATTTGGAGGACCAGTGCGATTTTAGATATCCACGGCATCCAAAGTATCCTCCTTCTCTTATCAGTACGCATCACACACCATGCTTGGTAAAGAGCTCGGGGCCATCATTGGCATTGCGGGCAAAGTGGTCCTGGCCCAGGTCTACGGCGATGACTTGTCCCCGATCCTGACATTATGTGATGTAAATCAGGGGGATCAGCTCATGGCCGAGGTGACTCAGGACGTTGATTACAACGGCCTCAGCTACGATGGCGAGTGTGTTTCGTACTCGACGCCCGATCAGGGTTACAACGTGAGTGGGCCGACCGAGACCACCATCTGATGGCGACAGTTCTGTGCGAGCCCTTTCCTCATCTCCTTCTTTGCGGATGACGTTGACAACGATCGATTCACCTGCGCCACAAGTCTCCTCGAGAACTGCGGAGGATCATGTCCGACCGGCACCCAGTGTATCTATACGGAGGACTACGGCGATGGAACCGAGTTCTGGTCTTGTGGAGTCCTATGTGGCTACGGGGATACGGCTTCCATCTGCTCGAATGCTGGCGCTCAGCTCCTCAACCCCAACTATGTCACCTACTGTGATCAAATTTCAGATCAATGTGGGATCTGCTCTTCGGCCAGTCAATTGGACAACTCGACCGTCACAGGTGGATGTGCGACCCCCGTGCAGTCGTACCCCGCCCAACCGACAGGGCTCAGAAGAAAGAGGGACAGCTCTCCGCAGCTTCGGTTGGACACCACGGGCGGCTTTCAGGATCGTGGCTGCCCCTCGGGAACTCGAAAATGTGGGGACGAAGATTCGTTTGAGTGTGTCGACATTCTGAACGACCTCTCGTCCTGTGGCGCTTGCCCCAACGAAGGCGGCACTCAATGTGACTCCCTCCCGGGAACGATTCTGGGTGACACGACGTGTCGTGAGGGCAAGTGCATCTCATCTCGATGCGCTGAAGGTTACGAACTGTGGGGAGGAGACTGCTTGCTACCTCATATGGCTGCCCTCGCGAGAAATCTCTCCGTGGTCCCCGCAATCCAAACGGGTCTCGGAAACCTGCTCGGCAAGCGTGACGAGCGATATCATTATCGCATTGATAACAGGAAGCAAGCTGCCATCAAGTCCTGGCAGACTGTGACTGTGGTGGAGCTTTAAGATTGCTTGGTACCTGCAAAACGGACACTACATGCATATAATTCCGCCGGCAAGATCAGCTGCCGCTTTGGTCTTGGCGAAATTTTAAAGTGAAATTTTTTCATTTACGCCTCGATCGCCACATTTCTGGCGGGGCATGGAAGTGGCGGCGCTCTCCGAACACGACCACGTAGCGTGGTGCATGACATCTGAGCTGCCCGCGCCAGCTTGTAGGGCAAGTCTGTATGGCAATCTGTCCTTAAACCTGATTCTAAAGGTCGCAGTGATAGCGAAGGCCCATGGGAGACTTGCGACTCCGAGGAGTGTAGAAAACGCAGCTGGATACTTGTCAAGAGATCTGCTGTCCTTTGCATCTCACATGTACCGTAACCGCCAGAGCGGAGAATGTGTCGTATGGATAGCCCGTTTCCTGCGAGTCCGCGCCAATGCAATGAGATTTGAGGGCAACGCTGCACGTGGCTCGCGCACCAGCGGCTCCTACCTAAGCTCTCGAACACGTGCTCGCGTGGCGCGGTGATCGGCAGAGCTAGGCCGGCGAACGAACGATAGTTCGCCGTGATCGAAAGCGGACAGGAGACAAGTGCGTGGTGTCTTCGAAGTGGCGCGAACTCCATCGCCCTTCAGTGACCAGACAGCTGGAAGGTTGGCGATACAAAGGTCGTCTCGGCGATTCAAAGATCACTTTTGCAAGACACGTATTTTGTCGCCAATGTCCAGCGTGGTGGGACTTGTCTGACAGTGTTCATCACAAAATCCGGGTTCAAAACACTTGAACGACAGCTTCCATGCTCGGCGACTTCTTCTTTGTTCGCTGACAGAAGGCCACCTCACGGGCTCTGCTCTCGTCGCGTGGCCTCCTTACCGCCTTTGGGAAAAATCACGGCGAAGACACGGCCAGTCAAATTCTGACTTGACTTTGGTCCGGATCTCGCCGATATATCGGCGAACGCAAGCACATTGTCAAAGCACGATGTCCCGGCCCGGTTGCGTTTGTGTCTAAATTTAGCAATCAACAAAGTGTGAATACCAAGGCGTCAGAGCAGAACCCATGATCTCGATTGCAGTTGTCGTTGTCATATGAGCTCAACAATTCCCGTTTGCTCAAATCTCAGCGAGTTTTATTTGTCATAATTCGCTCTCGGCCGATGCGTAAGAGCGCATCTATATAATAAACATATGTATTCCTTGCGTGTGCGGTCTCCCACACGTCCTCCCGCACTAAAGTCAAGATGTCTCACGAGATCCAACCTCACGAGGTCGAGAAGTCCGCTGCGTACGCGCATGATGATGTGGTCGACAACCAGAAGAAGGATCTCTCTGGAGCCATCGATGCAGAAAATGAGGAGCATGCTATGGGCGTTCTGCAAGCCGCGAGGGCATATCCCATGGCTTGCTTCTGGGCCTTCATCATGGCATTCACCATCGTGAGTCACAAGGCCCATCGCAGTCTGGAACTGACCGAGATTTAGATCATGGAATCTTACGATGTCTTCTTGATGGGAAACTTTATGGGTCTGACTGCCTTCACCGAGCGATTCGGTGTCTATGATGCCGCCAAGTCTGAGTGGAATCTCACCACCCAGTGGCAATCTGCTTTGCAGATGTCTGGTCAGCTCGGTGCTTTGATCGGAGTGTTCCTCGCCGGTCCACTGACCACCGCGCTCGGTTACCGATGGGCGACCATTATTGGTCTCATGTCTCTGAACGGATTTATCTTCATCTCGTTTTTTGCAAATTCGCTCCCTCTCTTCTTTGTCGGTCAGCTCTTGGAAGGACTACCTTGGGGAATTTTCATCGCCAACTCGCCAGCATACTGCAGTGAGATCGTCCCCATCCAACTTCGAGCCGCTTGCACCCAAATGATCCAAATGTTCTGGGCCATTGGAAGTATCATTGTCGGGGCAGTCACCTACGTCTACAACCCGTTGTCCACCAAGACCGCCTACAAGTGAGTCTCTTCCCTGGACAAAAAGGGGATCTTTCCCTCGCGCTGACGACCTGCCCCTCTCTCTCTCAGAATCCCTCTCGCCCTGCAATGGATGTTCCCCACCCCACTCGCAATTCTCATGTTCCTCGCCCCAGAATCGCCTTGGTGGCTCGTCCGCAAGGGCCGATACGACGAGGCAAAGCGATCCATCGAGCGACTTGGACGTCGATCCCGTGTTCGAGCAGACGACACCGTCTCCATGATGCGACGCACAATCGAGCTCGAAGCCGCCGCCGCTCAACCCTCCTATTTTGAACTTTTCAGGGGTAGCGACCTCAGACGGACAGCTATTGTCAGTGGTGTCTATGCTGCCCAGAACCTCACGGGCAACCTCATCGCCAACCAAGCGGTATATTTCTTCAAACAAGCAGGCATGGTTCAGAACACAGCTTTTGCCCTCGGCCTGATCACTTCAGCGCTTCAATGGATTTTTGTCATGCTGTCCTGGTTGCTTACTTCCTATTTTGGCCGTCGACCCATTTACATCTGGGGCAACGCCTTCAACTGTTTCCTCCTTTTCTGTCTCGGTATTGCCGCCTCAGTGCCAGCACACACCAAGTCGGTCATCAAGTCGACCAGCAATGCTCAAGCCGCCCTTGGTCTGTGTATCTCAGTCCTCTTCACCTTCTCAGCGGCGCCTGTCAGTTACACCCTCATCGGCGAGACATCGTCCATCCGATTGCGACCGCTCACTACTGGCTTTGGGCGTGCCATGTACTACGTTGTCGAGATCCCTTGCATCTTCCTTGGAGCATACATGCTTAACCCCACGGGTGGCAACTTGGGCGGAAAATGCGGGTATGTTTGGGGAGGTACAGCACTATTCGTTACCGTCATGGCGTACTTCTTCATCCCGGAGACCAAGGATAGATCGTACCGTGAGCTTGACATTCTGTTCAAGCGTCGGGTCCCTGCAAGAAGATTCAAGGAGACGGTCATTTCCGTGGAGGAGAACGAATAAGATGGTTTGTTATATTTAGGGTTCTAGTCTTTCTGAATGAATTTCTATGGAGTCTCAAGCGCGTTTTCAGATAAGAGCGTTCGCATTTCGTCACGAGTGAAGTGTCGGACATAACATGAGAGGGCATGCAGTTGATATAGACACTGGGCTTGATTCCGCGGCGGTCCATACAGCTCCAGAATTAACCTGCTTCCCTTGAATCCGTCTTTCGGGTCTTTTCGGTCGCCACGCGAAAAAGCGTGTTTTTCAAAACGCGGGGTCGCGGATCTTTCCGATTCCGACACACGGACGTGTGTTCTCTGCATCCGGCTTTATCGGGTGATCATGCTTGGAAGCCCTCAGTGCGAATAATCCTATGATATAAAGAGACTTGCATGGATCTACATCGCGGCCATGTAATACTGTATCGAAGAATGAGTGGGTCATCCAGCCAGGCGCCAACTAACGTGAAGCCGCCTCCAATCCCGTTCCAGCTGTTGGTATCAATGGGTTCGGTCGCATAGGTGAGTAGATCGAGAGAAGCCATGTAACAGGTTCGTTCAGGCCGTGCTCTGTTCCGCTTATGCCTTGTGCGTGACGACATACGGCTCGTCGCTATCAATCATACAGCACTTTCTCTCGAACATCTTTTCAATGCCATTCGCCACGACTCGACCCATGGGCCGTGCATTGCCGCTCGTGATCTTCGTATCCTGCCGGACGACCACTGGGCGCAATTGCCACCAACCCCAGATAATCCTTGTCCACAAGCATTAGAGTACCATGGGAGAGTGATCCACCTTTTTAGCCAACGAGACCCGCACAAGCTTGACTGGAAACTCGCCGGCGCCGAATACATCTTCGAGTCGACCGGCAAAATGACCCGGGAAGCTCAAGCAAGGGTACACATCGATCACGGCGGCGCCAAAAAAGTCGTCATCTCCGCACCATCCTCGGACTGTCCCAATGTTGTGTTTGGGGTGAATCACAGGACATATCAAACCGATCAAGACGTCCTTTCCAACGCCAGCTGCACCACCAATTGCCTTGCCCCCATTGCCCTAGTTTTGCATCGCTCATTTGGCATTGAGACTGGTATGATGACCACGGTTCACGCCAGTACCTCGAGTCAGAAGGTACTGGATGGTTTCAGCACGAAGGACGTACGACAGGGAAGATCCGCTATGGGCAATATTATCCCAGCAAGCACTGGGGCAGCCAAGGCCGTAGTCAAAGTTCTGCCTGAGCTCGCAGGACGGTTTCACGGTCAGTGCGAACGTGATTGTGTGGGCTAATGAGATAGGCATTTCGATTCGCGTTCCGGTTACCAATGTGTCCTTGGTGGACCTCACTGTCACGCTTGAAACACCAGTAGCGTCAAAGGACGACCTCATTTCTGTCTTTCGGCACGCCGCGAGTCTGGCACCCTCTAACAAGCTGGAAGAGCCAGCTCCACGGCTCGCTGGGATCGTTGCTGTGAGCGATGAGAAGCTTGTGTCAAGCGACTATCTGTCCTCTACGGAGAGTGCCACGATCGATGTGGATGCAAGCGTCGCACTGGATGGTCGGACGGTCAAAATCGTGGCATGGTATGACAACGAAGTCGGATTTTCAAGTCGGAGTGAGTGATTCACAACGGCAACATGCTGATCCCGGTAGTGTGCGATCTTGCTGCATATATGGCAAATGTGGACTATCAAGAGTGCACCTGAAATCTTTTCACCCCCCTATTCACGCCTTCATAGAGAGCCTGTAGCCTCCGTCACAATAGATCGTCTGTCCTGTCATGAATTTGTTGCCAATGACGAAGCAAATTGCATCCGCCACGTCCTCGGGAGTTCCCACCCGGCCAACCGGCGCTTGCTTAGCATAATTCTCGAACGCGGAGTTCTTTCGCTCCTCTGGCATTGCGTTCCACCACGGAGTGTCCACGATACCAGGGGCGATCTCGTTGACCCGGATGGGAGCGAGTTCCAGAGCCAAGGTGCGAGATAATGTCGAAATGGCGGCGTTAGCCATCGAGATTCCGGCCGTACCTGGTACAGCTAAGTGAGGTCCTAGAGCAGTGATGAACGTAATGGTCCCGTGTGAAGGCAGAATGTCCAGAGCAGCTTGGGCAATAGCAAAATGAGGAAAGACCTTTTCGGAGAAACCAGCTCTGATGCTGTCTATAGATACTGATCTCATTGGTCCAACGCCTTGACTGCTGCCCATCGCGAGCACAAGGTGGTCGAATTGGCCAACCGCTTTCAACTTGGCGGGTATCTCTTCGTAGGCGGACCCATCAAGTTGAATCCCGCGGATGCAAGCGGTGTCGGGCGGACCCAGAAACCGGATCGCTTTGTCGAGTTTATCCTTGTCGCGTGCGGCGATGGTGACTCTCATGCCTAATCCTAGCATCTGTCGGGCCGTAGCTTCGCCTATGCCTGAAGATCCTCCAACTATGAGGACGTGACTCATGTTCATTCGAAGGTTCTTGACGCCGCATACCGCTCCCGTGACACCTGATATACCTGTAACAGTTCCGGTCTTCGGAGGCCGCGACAAGGATTCACGTGAGCACGCTGACCGACTGTCCGGGCACCGGCTCTCGGGTTCGAGACGATCGGGAATCCGGTTCTTCGGTGATTTGTCATACCGCTGTGACAGGACGCTCAATGTTACATAGCGTCAGACGTCTCGAGAAACCTGTCCCATGCATAATCTCCGACAACTCATCTTTATCAAACCGTCTCAAGATGACCAACAACACCAGCCTTTTCCTCAATGTTGGCCGCGTGCGTACGTTGTTCCTCGTCATAGAGCTCCTGAGCCTCTCGCTCGAGATCTGGCCGGTTGTCAGCCCCATCACCTGTCCGAGAAAGCTGAACTCACATCGGGCCACATCAATCTTGCCTTTTTCAGTGTCTACCAGATAGATGCAGACACATCCGATGACTCCCATACCAAGCAGGAACCAATAAGCGACATTGTTGTTACCATGAGCCGCTTTGATGATCGCTGCCGAAACAAACGGTCCAATGAAGCCCGAGGTCTGTGAAACGAGGTTGAACAAGGAGAAGAACATCTGAAGATGGTCAGGACGGGACATTCGAATATCAACTCACGAAAGCTTTGGGTGCTGGAACTACTTCTGAGATCATGGACGTCGAGTAGGCACCCCATGCGGCGGTCTGGAACTGCGCAAAGTTCAGCGCTACCCTGTCTTGCTTTACTCACATTCCAGAAACTGGCAACCCAGAATTCCCAAACATGCTTGAATCCGATCTTGTTGGTGAAGCAACCGATTCCACCCCATAGACTTGGCACAAGAGTCATGCAAGCTCCATAAAGGACTGCTTTCTTGATCGAGAAGCGGTATCGCTTCTGGAGGTACCACATGAATACTGTGCCAGAACCACCTCCCAAGTCGGAACACAGGGAGAAGACGTTGAGCATGGTGGGAGAGTAGTTGATGATTCTGTACGTCAGACTAGACTCCAAGCTGATGGACCTACTCATTCTGCAGGATACCAGTGACATTGAAGTAGGTTCCGAAGGTCTCAGATACCAACAGGTATGCGGCAAGATACATCAGACACTGCTTGAGGTGACGAGCGCTCTTGGCTGCAGACCACACCTGCTTGGGTCCAGCACTCCACATGGAGGTTCCCTTCGGGAGCTGCTGTCCTGGTCGATGCTTTTGCACCAGGAAGAAAGGCGTGGTACAGAGCACCGTCACCACTCCGAAATAGCCCATCAGGATCCTGTAAGATTTGATGAGAGTCTGAGGAGAATCGTATCCAATCTTGGCTGCGATTCCAATAGCGATGGCATAGAACAGAACGACAAGCGCCGACCCAGTGATGTTGACAAGGTTGTAAAGCTGGGCCCGTTCGTACATGTCAAGCTTGGCATGCTCCTCAGGTCTAGACCGTCAATTTCTGACATCTGCATCTCTCTTACGTCTTCGTGCCAGCTCGAACTTCCTCCTCCGACTTTATGAGGGAAGGCAAGTCTCGAACGATACCAGGATAGGTAGCGGCGTAGAATGCTCCAACCACGTTGGCCGCTATCCTGTCAGCTGACTCTGCTTTTGTGAACTCACAGATAGAACCCAACACGTAAAGAGCTTGAGCAACTTGCCATTGGCCTGGCTTGCTCAAACCACACATGGCAAACTGGCAAGCCTCCAAGACCAGCTGAAAGACTGACGAGGCATCAGCGAACGCAGGTGCCGCCACTCACAGATCATGATCCAGGGTCGCCAATTTCCGTAATCTGCGTACGGGCCAAGGGTCATGAGAACGACCAGCTGAACGGCGAACAAGATTCCAGTAACATCGAGCAGCATAGAGTTCACTATCGCTGTTGAGTGATATCCTCGCATGCATGACTCACTTGGCTGGTATTGGCCTCCCCAGGGCACGTAATTGTTCGGGAATTGTAAATTGAGCAGAGCCTGACGCAAAGCACCACCATTTCCGCCGATAGCTAGAGAGAGTCAGCGCTGGCCTGCATAGAGCACGCACGAGCTCCGTTGTTGGAGAAGTACTGGTCATTTGTCAGTCATCATGACGGCGCGGCGGAGTTTGAGCTCACGAATATGTTAAAGAGGATGTACTCCAATTTGGAAGTAGGCTTGCGCTGGCCAGTGCTGGGAATAACATGCTGTTGCTCGACAATGGCTGCTCCGACCTCGTCCCCTGTGGTGAATACAGGCCTGTCGTCGACTAGAACGGGAGCCGGTGAAATCTCATAGGCATCCTTCTTCTCCTCGAGAGGGGTCTCCGTCGCCTCCATTTTGTTGGACATCTGTGCGAGCAATAACTTACAGATCCACTCTTCGAGTCGTGGGAAAAGATCATGGCTCGGATCTCTCTCTTTAATACATGATCGGCTGCCTGTAGGACGCGAGGAATGCCCCGTGGGTCCGCGAATGGAGGGACCTGGGCTCCGATCGGACCCCGTGTCCTGTAAGGAGGGCGCAATGTGTGAGGGCACGGTAGGTAGTTGATCGTAATGAAACGGGCTCAAAATAGAAACAACCAAGTTATATTGCCGGGAAAAGCGGCTAAACGGGGGCACGCTGCGTAGTACGCATTTGTATTTCCCGGTAACGTGACCGGTTGATCTTTGGTTTCTGCATATATCAATCGTGCTGGGGACGTGGGCAGGCTTCCTGCATGGGAATGAAAGACGGCTCAAGACCCGGTCCGACCATCCGAGCTGAGGACTGCGCGTTACGCGGTGAAACTGAACGGTAAGAGGTGATTCGGACTTGCCGGCTGGCAATCGATACTCTTGTTGTCACGTCATTTCATCTACCGTGTCTTCCGCTATCGCATGAACCGTATGTCGCCGAACGATTTCCGTCTTTGAGAATGGGTATATACATGCTCAATCAATAAATGGCTAATGCAAGTGTCCGCGACTAATCAGAGCAGTGCCACAAGAACACCACCCAGGGTCACAAAGGCAAGCGATCCAGGCACGAGTCTAGCGGCAGCACCAGTCTTTGTCGATGAGGCAGAGGCAGAAGAGGCAGCCGATCCGGTCTTAGATGATCCGGAAGCCCCCTTGCTCTTCTCAGATGTGCCGGTGGACCCAGCCGTAGCAGAAGAACCAGAGGCAGTTGCAGCGGTGGTCGGGCCAAGGGCTCCAAAGACGTTGTTCGTGCTTTGATACCCCAAGGAGGCGATGGGGAACAGGTCCGTAGACTGGTAAGTGACACAATTTGAGGAGGCCGGGATCGATGGCGTGTAAGGCAAGGTGTATCCGGGGCTCAGTGAAGGTGGTTGGGACCATGTGAGGGCTGACCGCGTCAATTCCGCGTTACGGAAGATCGACTCACTTTGACCGTTTGAATTGGTGTACGTTCCGACCTCAGACTGGATATCTCCATCACAGGACAGGAAAACGCCCTCTTCATAAGCGGCTGGGGCATTGTAATCGCAACCGATCAGATCGAAGATGCTGCATATGCATCAGCACCGGCAGACCGATCTGCTCACTTTTGGCAGTAGTTGGATTCTGTCTGGTAGTTCGGGTCGCACAACTTGAGACAGAATTTGTTGGTGTCCAAGAACATGTTCCAGGACTCCGTCTGAATGTACGTGTGGTTGTCGCCAGAAGAGAAACCTGTAGAATAGACGAGTCCTCCCAGCGGGTTTCCGAGACCATCGGCACCGTGGGGGTCGAGCTCTCCACCAGGGTCGGTATTGGTCAGGCCGACAGATGTCTGATTGAAGAGTCCAACAATCTGAATATAGGCTGGAGTCCTCATGAACTGGGGAGCTGTCAGTCTTGGTAGGCCACTTCAACGAACCTGAATCGCGGTGAATGTTCCAGGAGGGAAGATTCTTCCTCCGTGTCCGTCGATCGAGCACTGGGCGTCAGCACGGCAAATTTTGACCACTCACATAGGCGACTGTCGCTGCCTCTACATCACCCACACTCTGATTCGGGTAAAGACCGGGTGCACCCCAGAGACAAAAATCTGCAGAGGTCAGGGCTAGTCCACTGAAAGAGGCTCACCGAACAGGGAGTTCATCTCCAATGTCTGACATTGCGAGTCAGGGCCCTGAGTCGTCGAATTGCATTGATTGTCTGCTCGTCAGACCGACACCTTGCGCTCTCTCACATCCTGATTGGGGTCCACGGCCCACGGGATAGGGATTGACCTTGGAGGGGAGATCCGTATAGGGGTAAAAGTAGCTGAAGGGGTCAGTTCCGGCAAGGCAGTAGGCTTTCTCACTCGGTCAAGGGGAGCGGAGACGTCGTCTCATACGTGGTGACAGCAGTGTTTGATTGCCGTCGATTCAACGTGGGTGTGGCTGGCGAAGCTGTGATCGTTGACAGATCTTCAGCTAGCACCACTGCGGCACTGAGCAGGGCAATAGATGCGAACGATACAGACAACATGGCGATGTGGAAGAGGACGAGGAGTATTGGTTCGATGTTGAAGAACAAGTTATAACTCTACGCGATGCATCAAAACACGTCAAAATTTGGGGGCAGGAAATGCTCTGAATAGAAAACATCGACCGCAAGGCGGTGACACAAACAAGGACGGCACTTCGATTTTTAGAACCGCAGCTGGGAATCTAATGTATTTTTAGATCTTGATGACATTTTTCTATATATTACATTTATAGCGATGCTTTTCCCCGGGACTCGTATGGCAGAATCAACACCAGCAAGCCTGCGGCTATAAAGAGCCCACCACTGGTGTAGACTGGGGCACTCGTCTCGAGGTTGCCATACATAGCAATGATGGGAGCTCAAATGATTCAGTATTTGACCGAAACAAACCATCCTTACCCATGATTCCAAATACACGATTTGCTGTCGCTGTTAGAGCGTTTCCAGTCCCTCGATCTTTTGTTGGGAAGATCTCAGGGGTGTATGCGTACAGGACAGCGTACATCACATTGGAAAAGAATTGGTAGACACAATCCCAGGCGAGAAGAGCATTGCTGGTCTTTGCGGTCGTGCTGCCATAGATGAAGACACCGGTGAGGATGGTTGAAGCACATAGGGTGCCTTTTCGACCCAGCAGCTTCGTCTCCACCAGGGCCCCTCCAAGAATCGCGCCAGGAACGCCCAACACAGCGATGATACAGGCATTTCGGTATGTGATGTAGGTCGACCCATCGTCAAACTTGGCTCCTTTCGTTGCCAGAGTGTAAGGAACAAAGGCGTTCTGACATCAACATCCAAGATCTGCGCTTGACTTACGTAAAGCGGGAAGGCCAATCCGATGAACGCCCACACGACCATGATCGCACCTGTACTAAAGGAGAGACGGCTTGTGGCAAAGAGCGATCGTACATGGCTAAAGTTCACCTGTCGTAGCTTGCGCTTCAGAGCACCGCGAGCACTGTGGTCGATGGCAGACGTCGTTGGGGCCAAGGCTTCGCATGCTTTCAGCTCGGCAACAGACAGCGTTGAGATTGTCCCGTTCCTTCTCGCAACCTCGTGTACTATGCGGACTGCCTCGTCGTCTCTGCCCTTGCCCATCCAGTACTTCGGGGACTCGTATAGGGTGAAGACGCCAAAGCGAATGGCGAAGCTAGGTGTCAGCATCTTCCAAAGGCGAGCACCTACCCAAGAAGCGAGATCCCACCCATTGTTATGACAAAGTAGCGCCAGCCCATGTTCTCCGATCGTGTACAGTTTGCATTGGACTGTTGACAAGTATAATTACCCAGCAGACCCCAGGCAACCAATGAGGCAAGGAGTTGAGCGAAAGCCCAGAAGATCGACAGGATTGTGAGAAGGTATTGATGAGTCCCCGGGAGAAACTCGAGGAATATGGCGGAGTCAACAGGCAGATTGCCTCCGACTCCAAAACTCCACCTGATTCCATCAGCATAAGGTTTGAGTGCTGACTCACAAGGCCGCAAAGCATCCGGCGGCTGCCAAGTTGGGAGACGATGCAGCGAGCATGCCGAAAAGACCAGTCACACCCAAAGTGAGGTTGAAACCCCACCGTCTGCCAAAGATATCGCAACCGAATCCCCAGAACATGGCGCCGGCAAGCAGGCCAAAGTTCTGGGCCAACGTAAGAAGGGGCGGTCGTGCCACACGAAACTCATTGGCGAGGGGGGCGAGGATGAGGGACGTCACGATTGGCCACATGTTGTCCTGTGCCCATCCAAAGCCAATGACGATGAAAAGCTGCCATTGATATTTCCCCATGCCAATGTCTTGTATCTACCTGGTCAATATATTCCTGAAGATCACGACTGACTGCTCTGTTTAGGATTTTCGCTTTGGCGGCGTATACAGGCTCCACACCATCTATGGCAGCTTGATCATCGACGGCAGAGACAAGCACGTTGGGGTCTTGTGTCCTATCTGTTTCTTCGCGATTGAGCGCTGGTGCTAGCCAGCCTTTCTTGCTCGCATCTGAGCTCTGGATGTCCTTTTCGCCCTGTGACATGGTGAGGTATGGAGTCGATGTGGCTCAACGGTATATTTTCCCAGAAATAGATGCCAAGGACCGGTCACGCCACCGATTTTTCAAGGAATTCCTGCAAGAGGCTAGGCGACCGGACATGCCCGAGTCCTATGGCCGGTCAGGCAGACAGCGATTGGTGCCGGGTACGGCTGTCTTCATGCTCGCCGGTTCATTGGCACGTGAGTTACGCACCCGCCCTACACTATCCATGGGACTGGCCTTTGGACTGCCGTCAACAGTAGATGCTCTTGAGACTCTCGAAAGTACATTGTAGCCGTCAGCTGATCATCTATATTGCGCCAGAAGTACAGGAGATTGAGTTTCTTAAGATGATCCTCCGAAAAGGGATCAATTTGGTCTTAGCTGATCAACTGTATCTGTACCGTCACCGGAGAGCGTGAGACGTCCGAAAAGTGGCCGCATCTTCCTTTCCCAAGGCTTCTGAACGCCGAATACATACTCGCTGTCTATAAACTACATATCACTGCTTGTCAAAGTCGCCCATACCAATTTCTTGCCTGGCACCGGGAACTGCAGGAATCCAAGATGCCCTATGTTCGGTGAAGATCTCCCATTGGGGCTTCAGAATCGTATTGTGCAGCTCGTGATCATCGATTGGACCGCCTCGCATGAACCTGGTTCCGGGACCTACAGCTCCTTGTCGATACATGAGAGTACCACACAGCTTGCAGAACGCATTTGTCATCCTGCGATGCTTTGAAATGGTCTCAGATTGCGAAAAAAGCACGAGATGGTCTTCTCCTCGGACGAAGCGTGTATGAGAGTCGAGAGTCGTAAGGTTGGTCGCGAACACTGACGCCGACCAATTTCGGCAGTCGGAACAGTGACAGACAAATGTATTTACTAGACCTGGTGCCTTGATTGGCTGGACAAGAGTTTCAGCTCTGCGACACTCCTCCCGAGGCCGAGATAACTCACAAGAACCATTTGTATCGCACCACAAGAACAAGTGGCCGTGGCCTCGTCTGCGTTTGACCAACCATCCCTGGTCAGGCCTGAGAGAGGAAGCTCGGTTCCTGCTTTGGGCTGGACGGAAGTCATGTCTGCACAAGGATCAAGGGAGATGCCAGGAAGAGTGTACATGAAAGAACCATGTCGCGGACGATGCGGCCTATTTATGATGCGCCTTGACCAGGCACCATGATTTGCATGTAATTATTGATAATCGGCTCCATGCCCACGTGGTCATCAGGCCTCCACCTCCGCCCTTCGCTCCTTGCGTCCGTAAGCGCAATCCGGAAATAACGGACGTGCCCAAATATTTTGATGGAAAATTCTTTCCATGCATCACAGTCATAAAACCAAGAGTCGAAACTGCTTAATCATGCTGACGAAGGGCGGGCTATGCTCAGACCATGACGTGTCCACGGACAAGAGCCTACGAATCACATATAAAGATGTATATCCATGAGCTTAGCGGTCTTCTCAACATCCTGGCTAATTCGACCCACTAACTCATTCTCCGTCATCGCCATGCCTTCATTCACAGTCTTCAAAGGCAACAAGCAAGGCAAGCCTCAAAAGGCTACTACCGAGCGACCTGATAAGCTCGAAGGGGATCAAGTCATCGTCAGAGTCACAGCTTCTGGCTTGTGCGGGACAGGTGAGTTCTGAGCATGGTCGGCCTCTCTCATGCTCGCCAGATATCCATTACAAGACCCAAGACATGGCTTTGGGTCACGAAGGGGCCGGAGTTGTGGAAGCGGTTGGACCCAAGGTATCGGAGCTCAAAGTCGGCGACCGGGTCGGATGGGGTTATCAACATGGCTCCTGTGGACAATGCGAGCAATGTCTAACTGGCTGGGAGACCTTTTGTGCCAAGCGACAGATGTACGGCTACGCCAATCTCGATCAAGGCAGCTTTGCGACCAAGGGAGTCTGGAACGAAAGTTTTCTTTTCAAGATACCTGACGGCATCAGCGATACCGACGCAGCTCCATTAGTGAGTACATGAGTTTCAGTCGCCTCGCTCACCATTGAGCAATGCGGAGGTGCGACCGTCTTCAATGCTCTTCAAGGTGTGGTCCCCGGAGAGGTGGTTGGGATTATGGGTGTAGGCGGCCTCGGTCACCTGGCCATCCAATTCGCGTCGAAGATGGGCTGCAGGGTGGTCGTCTTGTCCAGCTCCGATCGTAAAAAGGAAGAAGCCACCAAGCTCGGAGCCCACGAGTTTGTCGCGACCAAAGATGTGGACGAGCTCAAAGTTTCTTACCCTATCAATCGACTCTTGGTCACTGCGTCTGCTCAGCCAAACTGGGCTCAGATCATACCCATTCTAGCGCCTCGGGCGAAGATCTTCCCTCTTTCAGTCGACTCTGGAGACTTCAAGATCCCTTACATGCCTTTGATTCTATCCGGCTTCACAGTGCAAGGATCTCTCGTCGCTGCTCGAGCGGTCCATAGGAGAATGCTAGATTTCGCAGCCCTGCATCACATCTCGCCAGTGACTGAAATCTTTCAAATGACAGAGGAAGGTGTCAACGAGGCTATTGACCGTCTGGAGAAGGGTGACATTACATATCGTGCCGTGTTAGTCAACAACTAGATCTTTATAGTATGCAATCATAGTATATGCTAGGGTATGCGATCCTCTTCAGCGAGGGTCTAGGTATCGTGTGCTCCGGGGCGAAATCGGATATCGGTGTGTAAGAGTCCACTACGTCGCGGGGACCATGAGATTCACAATGGCCTCCCCTCTCGACAGTCGCTCCAGGTTGGACCGAGTCTCCTTCCACATGTGTGTAATGGTTGGCTCGTAAGAGTAACCAGAATGCGGAGTCAGTACCACCTGAGACCGCCCTGCCTCGCCCCATTTGGTGGTACGCCACCTCGATCCCAGAGGCAAGGGTTCAAGATCATACACGTCCAAAGCGGCTCCTCGTATAGTACCATGATCTAAGGCATCCAAAAGTGCGTTCTCGTCGATCAACGGACCACGACTCGTGTTGATGATCATTCCGGTGGTCTTCATGAGCGCAAGATCCTCCGCACCCACGATGCCCCGAGTCCTCTCGGATAGGATACAGTGTAGAGACAAGACATCAGAGCTTCGGAAAAGTTCCTGCTTGCTGACGACCTGAATATCACCTACGCAGAGTCCGGCCTTCCGAGCCGCTTCGTCCGCCTTCTCCTGAGTGAGATTCTGCGACCATGCGATGATCTTCATGTCGAACCCGACCTTGCCAATACGTGCCGTGCCCAGGCCCAGTTTGCCAAGCCCCAGAATCCCCAACGTCGATCCGGGAAGCGAGAAATTGAGGGGCATCGCGCTCAACCAGGACCCGGTTGAGATGAGGGAGGCATCGCGAGAGATGTTACAAGCCAGGGCGAGGATCAACGCCCAGGTATGCTGGACCGTCGCTGCGATGTTGCTAGTGAAGGTGAGAGAATGTATGGACAGTCACAGGCCCACCTGTCATCCGACGGGGGAGATGTTCCTGCTACTGTAACGCCCATCTGTCGGCACGCCTCCAGATCTATCCCTAGATTCCTCATCCCCGTTGTCAGCAAGACCTTGAGCCTGGGAAGTTCTCTTATGACCCTAGAAGGCAGTGGGGTCCGCTCGTGCATGGTGCATATGACCTCAAAATCGCGCAGCCTGTGGATGAGCTCAGAGGGGTCCCGGGAGGGAAGGATTGTGTTGGGGAAGTGGGTGAAGCTAAGGGTGGAGTCGAGACCTCCAAGATATTGGCTAGCAAGGTCATTGTAGTCGTCGAGTATGGCTACGCGGATGCTCGACATTCTAACAATCGACAGTGCGTCATCAATGAGAGACTTAAAAGTCGAGCTTCACGACCACCGGCTGTTTGGACTCATCATGCGCCGGCTTGGCCTCTGCGGATTATTCACAAATTCATTTGTTTAACGGGCGAAAATGACGAGCGCCTCTCATTGACAGTCTCAGCTCTGAGCCGTGACAGCGCCCGGAGAAGACTACCTGGTAGGCCAATTTGCCGATGCTTCTGAGGATGCTACGGCTTGCGCCCACTCCTCCCGAATAACCTCTTAGATGTCGATAATCAACTGAAACTATCGACGCAGCCTCGCGAAATCTGGCAAGCTGGACCATTGCTGCAGGCTTTATACATACTCTGCCCCAAAGATTTGCTCCAACTAGACACGTCAGCTCCGTGATTTGGACTAAGACTCACCATTTCCGCCGGAAACGTACGGACGACATCGAGGATCTGACCATTGCGCCCGGGTCCGTAGCTCTGAATCTGGTTGTGCGGCTCATGCAGGGGCAGACGACCGGGAGGTTTGCTCTTTTCGTCTCGCTGACTCAGGGCAGCTTGGGGACCACCTGCTGAGTCGGGTCGCCCAGATGGCGATACGTGCCTGCCGAGTTGAACGAGCCTTCTTCGCCAGTCCTCGAGACCCGAATCGAGGGTCTGATGACTCGATTCGTAGGGTGAAGATTTAGAAGGTTTCTTTGCGCGCACTTCCGCCCGGCTCTGCAGGTGGAGGAGCCATGGCAGACTGTCGCGTAGAGACTGCTGAGGGACGAGATCTTGAACCTGCTGAAGGAGTTTGATGGCCGTATCTAGGTGGTGGATAGCAAGTGACGCCAACGGGTTCTCCGGCGATAGAATGGGAATCGTTGCCAGGCACATCGCAGCGGGGAAGATGCAGCTCTGCGGCGAGTCAGCTTGTATGAGATGATTTCTCTTGACTCACCCAAAAGTGCAACTGCCTCGTACTGCTTCGCGGGAACAAAGAATGGAGGTGATCCAGCATTGCAATAAGCATAACACAGCGTTCCACGACTGCAAGGTAGGCGTCACCGTACTCGGAGTGCAGAGGTTCGTGGGGATGAGTGTACAACGCATCGACAAAGTAGGGGCGGAGGAGGGTGAAGATTGCCAAGCAAGAGTTGAGCATAAGAGAGTGTTGCTGGAATGGGTCAATGTACGTAAACCGGGCTGAGACTCACCTTGAAAGCCAAACCCATATCCTTCCTCGACGTTGCCGGGGTGTAAGATGCTGCGGCGTCCGGTGTAGTGTGCCGCGAGACTTGTGCTTGGGCTGCCGGCCGGCACCGCAATTCATACGGAATACTCTCTTCGAACAAGCCACTGCTAGACGTGAGATGGCGTCAAAAAGCATCCAGGATCTGGCACTCACATCCTTTGCCAAAGGTCCACAATGGTGGGATATGGCTCGGGCCGGATGCGCAGATGCTCCTCCAGAACCCTGAGCAGAGTCAGGCTATATAGAGACTTGTACATACTTTCCCGCAAGAAGTACCAACTCGCAGCGTTTCAAATCATAAATTCCTTCGGGTGAGAAGAATTCTTCGGGGAATCGTGAATCAAACTGATTGAGTGATATCCCATTAGGTCGACTGAGCGCCCTTGACTGGGTCTGTCAGGCGCCAGTCATCGAGGGTGATGCTTACCGAGAAGACATCGCAAGAATAAATGTCCCAGAAGACCCTTCGACGTTGGTTGAGATCTGCAGCAGACATTTGCTCGTTGTGTGCGTCTCTATGTAGGCCCATCTTGAGCGTGTCAGCTTGCTTGGCGCGATGTATCGCTTACTGCCACCATGAGCCTCAGGGCCATGCCTCGCAACTGGTGAGACTGCTCGTTACCTCCAGAAATGTCGGAGTAGCCAAGAAAGGTCGTCATCAATGACTGCATGATCAGCAGGACCGCTTATCTGCGACTCACTAAGGTCTGCAAGCTGAGAATGCTGGTGCACGTGAAGAAGTTGCCCAACACTAGACATTGCTGCACGATGGAGAACGATTGTCGGGACTTGGCATCGTTCACTCTCTGTTCAGCCGACATGAGTCTACCGAGAGCAAAGACCATGTGAATGAGAGCGACCTTGTGAAAGGTAGTGTCGTCGTATCGGATTGCATCTGACATGATGCGCAGGTCAAATACCTCGTCAATAGCCGTGGCGAGCTCGGATCTGAGGAGAGGCGTCGAGGTGCCCGTGGCCACGAGGCTTTCAAAGTACGAGTCGGCAAAGACATCAACTTCGTCTCGATCTCCCAGCGCGTCCAAGGCATCGATGAGCTGCTGCTTCCGGGACGAGGGAGCCGGAGAACCGCCGGAGAGGATGCCGGCCGTGAGCGTCGAGAGGGAGAAGTCACTCCTGTCACTGCGGTCTGACACTGGCTTAGGTATTGATTCAGGCTGCGTCTTGTCCTTCTTCGTCAGCGACACTGGTCCAGCATCGCTCACGGTCGATGGCCATGGCAGCGGAGATGAGCCAAACCTAGAGGGACCAGAGGGAGGTGCCAGCTGGATACTGTCACGAGGGTGGCTGCGAGGAAGTTCTGCATGGTACTGAGGATGATAGGGTCCAGTGAGAGAGTCTCGAGGGCGTGAGGCGGAAGACTGGGTTGAGGGAGGGGCTCGAGTACTGGACGAGGCGGAGGGTGGGGAAAAGAGGGGTGGCTGGGGTCTTCCGGGTAGGATGGGTGGAGTAGATTGAGTTGAGAATGCATAGGGTGAACGATGATCATGGTATCTGGACGAGTGGGCATCTGGTGGAATGATGGGAGGTAGTGTAGGCGTGTTCCGTATCATGGGTGCCCGAGATGTGAGGGGTGGAGACGCGATAGGGGAAATGGGGGGGATGCCGGCGGTAAATTCCAATTCCCTGACCCGACGCGCGAGTCTTTCCCGATCTTCAAATCTATATATTTGAGTAAACCCGATGAGACTCTCCAAGATGGAGCTGAGCCTTGTGAACTCACAAGTCCTTGACTTTGGTTGGTGCTTCGTTTGGGCATAGATGCGCCAAGCCTCTTTTGACACATTGTGCACACGGGACTGGATGGAAGGACGATCAGCACGAGACCCGAATAACAATGGTGCCTGACGTACTCTGTCTGTCACATTTGATCTATTTGGTCTTTGGGTCAGTTTTGGCAATGGGGAGGATCTCTTGACCAAGAGAGGACTCGCCTTGAGATGGCGACAAGCTGATGTTGGAGAAGACCGTCAGCTCACTGTCCTCTAAAACGCTACGCGCTCTCGCTCTCGCTCTCTGCATCTTCCTGATGCTTTCCCCTCTTCCCCCACTCACTCGCACAGTTGATTGGGCGCCTCTTTCTCCTTGGCTCTGAGGTATCTCTTGAAGGGGGCTCATGTCCTGATGGCCCATCATCATACCGCACTGGAGGTGGTGGACCATGGAACAAGTCGGCCATGTTCAGAGACGACTGGATCTCCCAACCAGTCGCATTCGTCTGATCCACCAAAACCCTCCTGCTTGTTGGAAAGTGAATGAACAGAAAAAAAAATAAGAGAGAGAGAGAGATTGAAGGAAAAAAATGGGTCACCTAATCCCGATTTTCCCTCGCCCTCGCTCCTCGCCCGCCGCCCTTTCTTTCCAGAGCGAGAAGGGACGAGAAAGCGGAAAAAGGTCGAGTTGGGTGAGGTGAGAAAACAACACAAGAGAGGGAGGAGGAGGAGGAAGGGACGAGGAGGAGGAGGGGAAGCAGCCGCCCAGAGCGAGAGAGACAGAGGGAAGGATAGAAAAAAAGTGGCTTATAGGAAAAGCCGAGTCCCAATTTGATTTTTCTTCGCTGGGCCCGTATAGCCTCTTCGTCCTCTTATACAGATACAGTTTTTATGGGATCCTGAGTCACTGACCACCACCACCACCACCACCACCACCACCACCATCACACCACCAGCGCCCACTCCTTCCATCGGTAGTTAGCCAGCTAGCTTCGTCTGCCCGTGTAGCCCGTCATCCCGTGGTTGTTTGGAACATCGAATCCTCCGTGTCCCTGGGCAAACGAGTCATCCCCCCTGCTTCTTCTTAATTCCGTGCCGATATGGTAAACGAGTGCATGATGATCCACGGTTAAATAAATTCACTCGATGCTGCATATACACATATACACATAATAAATCATCCTCTCGATGACGTTCCCAACTTGTCCGCCGCCGAGGAGGTGGGATCCTCTGATTCACATGCTCAGAATAGCACCATCCGGTACTGCAGCCTGTTTTCCATACAGACAGTATAGGCTATATAGGCTATACGGGCCGTATATAATTCCACCTCCGGTTCGGTGCAGCGGTCAACAGATACCCGCTGCTGGTCTTGTAAAACGGAATCCCGTCTCTCCGATATCGGCGCAGCCGACGCTACGGGCTTTCTGAAAACTTTGTGCTCTCTCTCTCCCTCTCTCCGTCTCTGACTCTGCTCTCTTTTGGAGCGTTGGCGAGGTGGGAAACTCTGTCGTCGCGCACGGAGTATAGAGGATCGTCAAAGTTGTTGAACGATGGACCTCGTGCGTTGCTTCAGGTACGGTTCCGCCACCGAGCCTCGTCCGTCGACACATGCGTACGTTTCTATGCATTTCTCCAGCCCGATCTTCTGGGCAAAAGCCACCCTGGATGAGCAATGGCAAATGCAGCGTAGCACAGCACCATTGGAAATCCGTCCAACCAGGTGAAGAAAGCTTCGTGGGTGATCACATACCCTGTCCAGCCTTGTGCGAGCTCTATCGAACGATAAACGCCACGAATGTAGATCATCAGAGAGGCGAATGCGACTCCGCCAAGAAGAACCTTGACTCGTTGCAAATCTTTACGAGAGGAAGAGGTTGATTTTTCCCTGCTTTGAACGCCGTGCTCCGGATCTACCCGCAGAGTGACGGAATCGGCTACGTTGTCCGAATTGGCGTCTTCCTCGGGCTTGGTAGCCCGTGGTGTACGCTGCTTATAAGGTCGATTGGCAGCTACCCGGATGATGAAATCAGAGGCCAAGGCGACGAAAATAGTCATCGTTCCCAATTGAAAGAGGATTCCAGCCAGCACTGGAGTGGAAGGAAAAGAGATAGTTCAGACGTGGTGCCAAGCCAAGAGGATGGGATGTCACACTCACTGATGTGGGTCGCCTGGGTCGTGTCAGTTCCGGCTTCAGCCTGCACGGCCGCTTTGCCACCTCCGATAGCTTGAAGTATCAATGAAACCACGTCCGCAGTCACAAACACGGCCAGATACATCGTCGGCTTGAGTAAGGAGAATCTTGGTCCGAGTCGCTGGATACAGTAGCCCAGAGTCGCATAAGCCCAAGCAGAGAAGAAGGCTGGTCCTAGAATGAGCCTTCGATGGTGAGCTCGTGCTCTTCACATCGAACACCCACGTGCATATTTGCATGATGAACGGGTTCGAGTTTAACACGCTGTAATGGGACCATAGTCGCCCCGCCCATCCGACAATCTCGACTGGAGAATGGCGTCAACGACAAAACTCCAACTGTACTGGTACTCACGTATGCCGCCGGGGAGCAAGGTCACCGCTATGATCCAATACTTGTACTTGATGCCGAGTACCAGGTGTATCAAAGCCAGGAGGGAGAAAACCACCAGGTACGCCACTCCAGGTGCGAGAGACGGTGTGTACCCATAAGGGGATTGATACTCGAGAGCGTTTTTACGAGCTATCAGCTCCAAAACTGACATGATGGACTCTGAAATCCCTCGAGACTTGATGAACAAGATACATGAACTGCTCGGTCTACTTCATCTTATCTACATTGCCATACCTGCTGGACATGGATGCCCGACGCTCAACTCTACGCCGCTTCAACGTCAGCATTCGTGGTGAGAATTACGTCAGCGACGCGGGGAAAGCCAGTACTGGACCGCCGTGTCGGCGACCGCGGAGTGGTCTTACCTCCGTGTCGACCAGCGGTCAGCTGAGTATTGGGCGAGGGGCAGTATCTTGTCCTTCACTGTCGTCAAGCTGTGCTCGACTACACCAATTCAGCGAGCGATATGAAAGGTTTGCCTGATCTTTCGGCACACAGACATTCCTGCTCTCGGGTCGACCTGAAGATGATGGTTATTTCATGTGATCTGGTGTCTTTGCCGATGCCGCTCCGCAAACTGCAATGGCCACGGTGGCCATTCCCTCACCATTATAGCTATGAGGTACCTCGTGACCGCGAGCGTGACACTGTTGCCAAGCGACCAATGTTCCCTCGTGCCTGACTCTGGGCCCTTTTAGGCTGATGAGATGCCTTTGCGTTTGCCTGCCCACACCAAGCGCTCCGCGCACTCCATTGACTCACGTCATCGCACACGGCTGACTGCTGCTTGCCATTCGACTTGTTCGCTTTGAATCAGCAGGATGACAGTGATTCAAGTCGCGGTGGGTCCTAACGAAGGGATGCCTATGATCGATGAGCTGACTAATCGTCTAGGCTCGGCCCCAGTGGACTCGTCTGATCAGGTATCAAAACCTTCAAGGTCAGGAGCGCTATGGTGAACCCGTGGATCCTACAATGGACATTGGACTGGCGCTGGCCAACGCAGAGCCGATCATGGTCTAAGTTCTAGACATCAAGGCTCCCTGGGAGAACGGAAGGAGGCTCTCCGAGACGGAGCAGGTCCACAGGGTGAGTTTCGAGCACCGTTCGGCCTTTCGCTAAAAGTGTAGCTGCTCAGCCCCATTTCGGCTGAGATGTGCGGGCTGATTCGAGCCGTAGGTCTCAACTATGTCGATCACGCAGTGAGATCACATTGTCCACCGGCAACACTCATACTGTAGATCGAGCTCAAAGTACCCATCCCGACCGTCCCCACCCTGTTCTTCAAGCCGTCTCACGCGATCGCCCCTCCGAACACAGTCATCATCGTTCCTCCCGTGGCTCAAGACGAAGAACTGGATTTCGAGGTGGAGCTCGCAGTCATCATCGGCCGGGAGACAAAGGACGCCAAGGAGACAGATGCCATGGACCACGTACTTGGATACACGGTTGCCAATGATCTGACCGCAAGAAAGCATTGGCAGTCCTCGAGTCAGTGGGGGTTTTGCAAGGGTGAGTTCAAAGCGATGGAGTGAAGGGACTCACTCTCTCAGGCTTTGATGGGTTTTGTCCCCTTGGACCTTGCATCGTGGCTGCTCATGCAATGGATCCACATCAACTCTCGCTCACCACGCATGTGAACGGGGAGATTATGCAGAATGGTCTAACCAGCAGCATGATCTTCTCGATTTCAAAGTGAGACGACCGTATGGCAAGTAGGCTAAACATTTCTTAGGCTCGTGTCGTACCTCTCACAGGGGACCACTCTTCCTGCAGGTACAGTGATCATCACGGGCACTCCGCCGGGCATTGGAGACAGCCGATCGCCAAAGGTCTGGCTCCGACATGGAGATGTGGTAGAATGCGCCATCTCAGGTGGGATCGGAACCCTCATCAACACGATCGAGTACGGGTCGCCTGCGAAGATCAATAGGGGATCTGAGGGTAGTTGAGGGTGACCGAGGGGAGGGCATGCAGTGGTGCGTGAGACCAGCAACTCTGAAACAGACTTCAAGGCATTAGATCATTGAATAGCCGATCTACATACATATTATGCATTCATATCGTTATCTTAGGCATTAATTTCCCTGGAGCCATCAACCTCATCCAATATCTCCAACACCCGTTCTTCCTTGACCTGTAATGGCGCCTCGGACTCGACCAGATCTTCATTTTCTTCCTTCTTGACCACATCCCCTACCTGCTCTCCTTCGACAGTAGGCAGTATCTCCTCATACTTTATCTCCACCTTGGCCGTCCCACTCTCATCCTCTTCTTCCGTCGTAAAGGTGAAGCTCACTTCTTTTCGACCTTCAGCCTTGACATTCGAGACACGCGAGGGACACAGCTTGCGCTGTCCCAGGAGACACAGGTCACACCGAGGGCCCACTGGTAAACAAATGACCTGGTCGGTCATCAATACGGGCATGATTTTGCCCAGCAAAACCAGCTTGAATTCGCCCAACTCACCTGCCCGAATCCCACCAACATCGGATTGATCGGTTTATGGAGCTCACTTGGGAGCCATGATTGCAAATTTAGCCGGGTCTGCTCAGGATTCGTCGTCTGAGGCTTGTGCCATCGGAGCCGGTTGGTGATCCGATGGACGTGGACATCGACGCCAATACCAGCGTTACTTAGAGCTGTCAGTCCTTTGTCTCGGAAATAGCAGAACAACTTGCATATCCCAAGCACACTGAACAGAGTCAGTCACGCACACTTTTGTTGATGTTGATCGACTCACCTGTAATGCCAAAAAGGCCATCTTTGGTCCGACACCCTTCAACTCGCACAAACCCTCCAAGGTATTGGGTACGTCCCCCTGATCCTCTCCTTCTCTCTCCAGGAGCTTTCTCGCAGCATCCTGTATGTATTCCGTCTTTCGGCGCCAGAATCCGACCTTGTTGATGCAGGACTGAACGACGTCTTCCGGGGCTGCAGCCAGAGACTCGGCTGTCAATCCGCCCGGTAGTGTCTGATGAAGGTTGGTCACTGCCTGGGAGGTGATAGCGTCTTTCGTCTGGGAGGAGAGCATGAGGGAGATGAGGACGTGGAATCGGAGTGTCTGAATGGGCGGCAGCAGGGTAAGTAATGGCAGAGGGGGACAAGGCTGACCTTTGGCGAGACCTCGTTGGCGGTTCTCGGGCGTTCACATCCCCTTCCCTTGTCAGTATCACTGATAGCCGTGCGCTCTCACATATCATCCACTGGAGCGATGATGCCCTTTCTCATCCGTTCGATCAAACGGTACTGCTCTTCCCATTTTGGCGGAGCCGGGTGCGGCTTGTCTAGTGCGAGCAGGGGCATCGGCTTCTTGCTGGATGATTTCGGAGTGGGTGGTCGCTCGATACCAGAAGTCTCGGGAGTCATAGGCTCCAACTTGACTCGAGCCCGCTTCGATGACCGAGGGGTGGAGGGTGAAGAAGCATCGGCAGTGCTAGTGGAAGCCGTCTTCGCCGATGTGGGCGTCATGGGAGACTCTTTCTTGACTCGCTTCGGTGAAGATGATGATGATGCAAATGCATACTTGGACAGGTCAAGCGGTGTCTTGGAGGCTGGCGAGGTCGTACTGACTGATCGGGTCGATCGACGCAGAGTAGTGTAGGCGCTGCCGATCGCTGCATCTTGGGACATCCTGGGATGCGACAGAACGGGAGCGAGGTGTGTGCGACCAGAAACAGCTTGCAGAGTCCTGTAGACTTCCAGCGGCGCTCCAGGACGCAGGGCCGTCAGTTTTGCAAGCTATGTAGTGCTCCAAATGCTGTAATCAAAGGTCAAGGTCAACTTTTGAGGAATCTCGACCCGCCGGCCGGTCATTTGCCGGGACATCCTGGTCTGGTGCGAGGACAGGATTTGAGCTAGAATCTAGGTGTACGTGCGAGCACAACCAGGACACCCATGCATGACGCTCGTGCCCAAGCTGTCTTGCACAGTACACTTCCACTACATGGCTGCACTGACAATGCCAAAGACTCCAGGGCTCACCTTGCGGTATACTTTCCCACGGTCGCGGCGCCTCCTCAAAAAAGTTGAGTCCACCTGGCAGCTTCATGTCCGCAAACTCATCATCTCCTGCAGACTCACTCACGATGACCTCTACATTCAATCTATTGACAGCTGGAGGAGCACGATTCGATAAGAAGCGATTCGCGACGGATTTTGAGCTGTTCGAAAGCGGTTCCAAGCGCAAAGCAAAGGGCAAGGAGCGAGCTAGACCGACGGATATCCCAACTTCACTGGACTACTTTCATTCTGCCCACCATGGCACTCAGAGAGCTTCAGCCAGCGATGACGAAGACGAGGATTCTGAGGCAGAGTCTTCCACTTCGTCGTCTACTGTCCAACCTCCAAAACACAAAATAACCTTGACGGGTCCTGAACCACTCCCTAAATCCCTTCATTCGAATCTTCCTTCTCTTGTCACACACCCCTCACATCCCCTTTCTTCTTCGGCTGGTAATCCTCTCCTCGCGGCGCTCAAACACGCCAACATTCGATTGTTATGGGGTGTCCAGTGTGCCGTCTCTGGTAGCTTGCTCAGTGGTCACGACACCATGTGTATAGCTCCCACTGGTTCTGGCAAGACCCTTTCATACCTGTTACCTACACTGATCGCTCTCGGTGATCCCGCAAGAGCACTACAGGGCCGTGACGAGGGCGTGTCTGGGATCAGAGCATTGATCGTCGTACCGACTCACGACCTCGCCATCCAGATCAAGGCAGTGGCCAAAGCGATCACCGCTGGCCGAGCATGGAGAGTCATCGTCCTGAGCAAGGCGACGGAAAAGGCGGTCATCGAAAGTGCCCCAGGGGCCACTCGGGACGGAGCAGAAGAGGCGAACACCAAGATCGTGGAAAAAACTGATGCTCTGGCCATCGATATTCTCATTGCAACGCCAGAACGTCTGCACCACCTGGTGGATCAGCGTTCCATCGACTTGTCACAGTGAGCTGAGACTGCCGCATATTTTGGTACAGCACTCACAAACGTCCCATGTAGAACCCGCCATCTGGTGCTCGATGAAGCGGACCGCCTATTCTCAGACGACTTTAGATCCCAGATTGAGCCGATCCTCGCAGCCGCCTCTCACGCATCATGCCTCAAGGCATTCCTCTCCGCCACGATTCCGTCAGGCTCAGAAGCACTAGCTAAGAAATGGATGAAGGGGGACTATGTCAGGGTTGTCGTCGGCGTCAAGTGAGTTTCCTGTGCCCCGACACGTCACTGATACACTCCTTAGAGATTCTGCCGTATCGACAGTCGAGCAGTCTCTCCTTTACACGGCATCAGAACCTGGCAAGCTGATGGCACTCAAACAACTCTTGTCATCTGGATCCCTGCCCTACCCTTCGCTCATCTTTGTCCAATCTGTTCAACGTGCGGAGGATCTTTACCGATCATTGGTGCTGGAGAACGTCGACGCTAGCTCAGCGATGGACGGCGTCAGGGTTGGTTTGGTTCACGGTGACAAATCGGCCAAGGCGCGAGATGATGCCATTCAGGGCTTCAGAGAAGGGAAAGTCTGGGTTCTAGTCGTCACCGAGGTTTTGGCAAGAGGAATGGATTTCAGAGGTGTCAAAGTGGTAGTCAACTATGGTGTGTTGGACGACATCTTCTTCGCGAGTCATGTCCTCCCATTTGCTGATCTGACCCCCCTAGACTTTCCCCAAACTACCCAATCTTACATTCACCGGATAGGTCGTACAGGTCGAGCTGGCCAACCTGGGAAAGCCATTACCTTCTTCACCGATGTCGACGCACCACATCTTCGAACGATCGCAAACGTTCTTCGCGCGAGCGGCTGCCAAGTTCCCGAATGGATGCTTGAGCTGAAGAAACCAGGCAAGAATGAAAAGCACAAAGTTGCCAGAGCGCCTGTGAAACGCGCTCGAGTGGGTGAAGGTGGACGTGATGTAGGTCGAGAGCTGGTCAAGCGTAAGCGGGATATGATCGAGGCTGGCAAGCGTCGCAAGACGAAGCGTTCGTGAGCGGATCAACCATGCATGTATATGTGTGCTCTAGAATTCAAATGACATGCCGGTTCCATCGTCCATTTTCCGTCTGGAACCTCCCTTTCTCGCATCAATACTGTCTAATCGAGCTTGTTCAAGTACTCCCATCCACTCTTTAGCGTCCCGGCCGTTTGAAGCTCTGGCAATCGTCAGCTGCCAAGAATACAAGATCCTGCTCACTTTAGACCGATCGTATCGCCTCCTCTCGAATGATCCACTTTGAGCACAATGCCAGACTCGTCCCGCGCTCGGCGGACGGTGAGCTCGAATAGAGGTACAGGCTGGAGAGTCAGTCCAGAACATTTGCCTTGCTGGACCTCACCATTCGATATAGGTTGCCGTCGTCGATAAGCACCAGGATATCATTACACAACACCATGGTCAATTTGCGACCAGACTTGGCTTTGGTGACTGTTGACTCCTTGAGAAGCCGTCTCGGACCTTGATGGGATGTCGGAGCAGTGAGATCCAGTCGGCTGATAGAGGTCAGACATGTTGGCAGTGTCGTGGATCACTCACCCCTCTCCGCCGATCCAGAGGTGCTCGCTCAATTCTTTGAGTCGCTCATGCATCTCGACCTCGCGAACATTCTCATTGATGGTGCCCACGACATTCTCCACGATGTGGAGAGCATTTTGTACAGGGTAGAGATCTTGGTCCGGAGCAGTGTAGTGGATAATCTAGCAATCAGTGAGGACCGTGTAAGCGTATCTCACCTGTTTGAGTAGCAGCGGATACCTGGTGATTCTTTGCACTGTGTGGCTCAGAATAGTCTCTTGTGGAATGACTCACTCGGTATCAAGAGATAGCTCGACAGATCCAGTCCTCGAACAGCAGGATTGTTCTCCCTTATATCCTGGAGGTGTGCTTGAAGCTTGGGATCGGATTGTCTCAGGGACTGTAGGAGCTTTCCGGCCTGGTGCTGGTTGACACAGTAAGGCTATATAGATGTTAGATTTGATGGTGTCTGCCTCTCAACTCACCGTGTACACGGCCATACTCGGCATGCAGTCTTCCAGTATATCCCCGATGACGTCTACGTACAGCCTGCAGCTCTTCTGCCTCTGCTCGAGAGACGACAAGAAGGACGTATTGGCGAGGAGGATGTCTTCGATGTTTGCAAAGATCACCGTGAGCGCCTTGTCGTCGAGGATTTTGCGATGGAGGATCGAGGCGTAAAAGACCTTGTGGCCATTAGTGCCACTCGGGTCTCATATTACTCACCTCTACGATGAGCTGAAGATCCCGGTTGTATGCTGCCTCGGTGGCGATGAATTCAAAGATGGCCTGGATTGAGGTTCAGCATTCCCCCTCACACGTCTGCACCCACCTCCTGCCTTTTCCTCTCGCGATCGCCCATACTCTCCAAGACGCCCTGATCCACCAGACTACTCCACGTCTTGCCTATCTCCGCCTCTTGCTCATGTTCTGGCCCCTCGTTAGGTAGCTCAACTTTTGAGATGGGACCACTGATCACAGGGGTATGCCGGCGTTCAGTCGGTGTATTCGCCCCCGTCTTCATCTTGGAGAAGAAAGTGGACAATCGTCCACCACCGGATCCGCCTCCACTTGTGCCACTTATCAGGCTCGTGGTGGGGATAGAGGACGATGAGTGACGTGGACTGGTAGGTGCCGTACCGAGACCTTGAGGTGAATCTCGTCCAGATGACTGTGGACGACTGGGAACCCGCGTGATAGGTGCGGGAGTGGGTCGAGCAGGAGGCTTGGACGAAAGCGAAGACGATAAGAACTGCTCGTACCGCGCATAAGCATCCAATGTCGCTGCTTCGGGATCTTGGACAGCTGTCTCGACCATCGGATCATCCTGATCAGACGCAAGAGGAGTGACGACGCTCTCTGACGCCTCGTCGTGGGAGCTCAGAGGTACAGCAGGCGCTTGCCGTCGTTTCACTGGGGCAGCAGGTGCAGGTCGACGACGACCAATGGTCGGTTTCCGATCCACCTTGTTGGAGCCAGAAGCCCTGGAAGGGGGAGGTGCGGGCGCGTCGCGTCGAAGTTTCAATCCGGCCATAGAGAGGATCTTTTGTCTTTCCAATTCTCGTTTCTTCCGTTCAGCTTCTTTACCTGAATCAACCGACGCATCGCTGTCGTCTTCATCAGAGGACCACCAAGACAAGACACTGTCCGAGTCTGAAGAGTATTCGCCCTCGTCGACACTGGTGATGGTCGACGAGCGAGAGCGAGCAGAGCCAGGAGGTTTAGGCACAGGATCAGTGGGGGAGAGGAGATTTGGACTAGGGAGGGCTTTGGGTACCGCATGGGAGGTAGAAGGCTCAGGAGCGGAGGGAAGAGATGGGGCACCTTTGTCAGTACGAGCTGGAGAATGTTATCGCAATTGCATAGCAGGGAGCATTTTTGTTTTGACGAATCCAAAGGCGTATATGAAAAGAAATAGAAAAAAACACAGCTTCAGCCTGTATTCCCGCTGTCAACGAGTGCTCAGGAAGGATGGAATGAGGGGAGAAGTGGACATGTTAAACTCACCCTCGATCTCTAAATAAGCCGCCGGGACGATAAAGATCACGCCCGCCTTTTCAGCCTTCCACCAGTTCTCATCAGATCTGTCGACAATGTCCAAAATGTCGCCTTCGGCGAACGGCAACTCTTCGTCCGAATTGCCAGTGTATGCATAAGTTGCCTTGGCTTTGACAGCTGCAACCCGTCAGCCCCTTCTCACAAGACGCTGCTCACGTTTGATCTCCTCGACATAGCTATGGGGGAACCATCCCTTTCCACCACCGTCCACCATGATACCATACCACCATGGACTGCTCGCGTCCTTGGCGGGGTGAGCCACCAGGACAATGTCCTCTTTGAATGACAGGTCGACATCTCGTTGACCCTCGTAAGGATAAAGAGATCGCACGCGGAGACCTAGGCGGTCAGCGAAGCAAGAAATTTCCACTTACTGGTCGCCATGTCAAACTCATCAGTGTCTTCGCCTTGAACGTTGATGGCAGGACCGGGGGGACCACGGGCATCCTTCTCGTCCTCTTCATCCTCTTCTGCTGTCGGCTCGAGCACACTCGTGTCCCCGTGCGAGGCAGCTGGACCAGGACCAAGCGAATCAGCCGCTAAACCCTCGTACCAATCGACTGATCCTCGGTTGGCACCGCGAGGCGCAAAGTCAGACTCGAAGCCGCCAGTCTCGGCTACCGAGGTAGGTTCAGGAGAAGCCGAGAATGCGGTATGGTCAGCTGTACCTGTGGATTCTCGTGGCTGCGCTTCAAGGTTAATGTGAGAGGGTGGAGCAGCGTCTCCGATGACTTTGCCGGTGGTTTCGCCCTTGACAACGGTCTTGGTCTTGCGCAAGCTCGCTCCCCCTTGGATGGCGGAGAGAAGTGCTCCCCGTCCAGCATTGGGATCTCCTCCGCCTAGTGATTGAAGAGCAGCGGACGTAGGCTTTGCACTGCTGGGAGCGGTGGATCCAGGTCGAGATGCAGTAGTAGGCGATCCACCACTGATACCGCCAAAGAGCGCGCTGGCAAGGTTGCGTCGATGGTCTCGAGACGTGGCGTAATCGTCGTCATCCGAGGACGAATCAGAGTCGTCGCCTCGCTCCTCGATCTTCTCCCATTCATCATCAGCAGCGGCTGAACGAGTGGTAAAGGCAGGAGCCGATGGCGCGGGGGCGGGGGGTGCAGGCGGTGGTGGAGGGGGAGGAGGTGGTGCGCTGGTGGACTCGTTCGAGGTGGGTTCTGCGGCTGCGGGGGTAGCAGCTTGAGGCTTGAAGAATGGGTTGAATCCTCCGCCTGCCGCAGGCGTAGCAGCCGGAGCGCCCGAACCGCCACCTCCTGGCTTTCGGAATGGGTTGTAACCACCGGGTGAAGGGGCAGGCATGGCGGGTGCGGGTGGTGGAGGGGGAGGAGGAGGAGTCGAGGGCGTAGCGGCGGCGGACTTTGCCTTGTTCGCCAAAGCAGCGTCGGATTCTCGCTTTGCTTCGTCCGCCTCTTCCTTCTCCAACTGCTCCAGTCGCTTCCTTCGCTCCTCCTTTGCCTTGGCAATTGCCTCTTCACGGCGCTTGAATTCGGCTTCTTCTGGATCCTCAGCCGGTGGCTCGGGCACTTTGGCAGCGGCGGTGGAACGAGGGGCAGGAGGAGCTGGTGGTTGCTTGGCTCGGGATGCTGGCGGAGGTGGAGGACCAGCCTTAGCACCGGTTTTGAGGATCGACTTCGGCGTCGGGGGAGCAGACGGTGTGTCTTTGGGTGGAGCAGGACTCGATGTTCCAGCCAATCTAGCATGTCTGGCCTCTTCCCTCTTCTTTTGCTCCTCGTCCGCCTCCTTTGCCTTATTCTCAGCTTCGAGCTTTTCCGCTGCCAAACGCTCCTCGGTACTCTTGTCCACGAGCGAGGGCTCGGTGGCTGGCTCAACACCGAGTGCTTTGAGTCGATCCTGGATTCTGGCTTGAGCTTGAGCACGAATGAAAGCGGTTCGTTCCTCTGGTGTCATTTTTTTGGGATCGGGAGCTGTGGGCTTGGGAGGAGGTGCGGCGGGTGGCGCGACGGCAGCGGGAGCGGGAGGGGGTGCAGGAGGAGGGGTTCGAGAGGCAGGTGGTGTTCGAGGTCGATAATCGTCTCGATCCCTTCGGTCATCTCGTCTGTCCCGATCATAGTCGTCGTACCGTCTGTCTCGACTTTGGTCTCGGCTGTCACGTCCATAGCCTCGATCATAATCCCTGTCTCGACTGTCTCGACTGTCCCTCCTGTCTCGGTCGTACGTCCCTCGCAGCCAGTCGCGATCCCCGTTGCGGTCGTCTCGGTCATCGTATCGACCATGGGTCTGATTCCTCTTGTCTCTCGCTCGGTTGCCAGCACGATCGTCCATTCGCTTTTCGTCTTCGCGTTGAGCTTGTCTCCTCTCCAGCTCAGGGAGCTTTTCGTGCATGAGGAACAAGAGTTCTCGTTCGAGTTTTCGCCTCTCTTCGTCCTTGTCAGCTGATCGTCGGCCTTTCGAGACGTAGTCAATGTCCTCTTGGAGCCGCTTGACCCTGTACTTTAGGTCGTCGATTTCTTGTTCGAGCTGCTCGTCCTCTTCAGATTTGCGAGCATAGTCGTTGTTGGAGGAGTCGAGCATCGCTGATGTATTCTGGAGCTGTCTTCGAATATCCTTGATGTCGGCATCGGATTCCTCTCCAGCGTATCGGACAGCTTTACGATCCAGGTGACGACTGCTGGGTTTGTAGGTGCCTGAGTTGGACCGGGAGTCGTCGTGTTTGTAGGCCGTGGCGTCGCGAGGGCCATGACCGCCATAGGCGGCTGAGCTGCCAAGCGCAGGGGAAGATGTGTCTGATCGAGTGGAAGCCTCGTGCTTGAGGAGGTCTCGCATAAAGTTGACCGTGGTATCAATGTCACGCATGGAGGATGGGATGAGTTCCGCGGGGAGTTGTTCGGGGATCTCGTTGCCATTGAGGGCTGAGGGTCAGTTGAGCTCTCACGGTCTCTCTCACTCACCTCGATAGATGAGGCCCATAGCAACGTGGAATTCGGGGAGGTTTAGCTTGCCGCGGTTGTCAATGTCGGAAAGTGTCCTACATGTGTCAGCTGAGACGGGCTCGATCCTCTCACCAGATCTTCATGAGGTCATCCTGTCCAAGTCCGCTTTGACCAAAGACTTCGCGAGCCGTCTCGCCAGAGATGAACCCATCTCCTTTTTCCCATACTCGGAAGATCTGATCGTAGTCCTTCTTCTCCTGTCGAGAGAGGGTCCAAGGGACTTTGGGCGTCTTGACTGAGGGGTTCTGGAGCAAGGATTGAAAGGTCTGGGTGAGGGGCTGGTGTTGTGGGGGAGCGTTGAACTGGGGCACTCCCGAGGATGTGAACGGCTAGACTTTGATCAGTCGTGGGAGATCGCATGGTTGCTCACCTGGCTCAAGTTGGAGGGCATGAATGTCTGCATCATGGATTGCAACCTTGGGTCCTGAACACCGGTGGGTTGAGCACGCAAGCCGCCGAAACCTCCACCCATTCCTGTCGGTTGGGACATGAGTCCACCACCGTATCCGGTAGGCTGAGCATTGAGACCACCATAGCCAGTCTGCTGTGACATGAGACCGCTGGCACCTCCGCCGGGATATCCAGTCATCTGAGGGTTCAGTCCTCCACCGCCAAACGAAGGTGGCTGATTGAGGAATGACATGTTACCTCCAGAGGACCCTCCAGTGAAGTTGGTCATTGGTCGGGGTTGAGGTTGACCATATCCAGTCTGCATGGGTTGTTGGAACCCAGTAGGTTGAGCCTGCATGAACGAGTTCCCGCCAGATCCATAACCTCCTCCGTACCCTTGCTGTTGCTGTTGTTGCTGCCAGTTTTGTTGCATCTTGGAAGGGAAGCAGCAGTGACTGCCAGCTAGGAGGAGGAGCTGTAGCTGGTGCCGTCGAGGCCGATGAGAGAGTGAGGGAGGTGTGGATGGGTGAGTGAGTCAGACTAGCAGCACCAAGCCAGCAAGCCAGCAAGCCAAAATGAACATCGTCATCGCAACGCCCCTGAACTGGGTTAAAAGAACGCGGAATTATAATCAAATGTGGCACTCTATTGACTGGCTGGCTGAGCTGTCTGTCCTTGCTCACAGCTGAGCTGCACCTTTACATCCAGATCCAGACGCCGTGTTGTGGCTCACATGCACCACTGGTCCAGCCTATCCCTCCCCCCTACCGATCCATGCAAAGTCAGCCACGCAGTCAGTCACCCAAGATCAGTTGGGTTGAAATGGGAACGGGGTACATCCACCAGTGACGCCATTTCCCCATCTTACTTTTGATTCCGGTGAACGGGGACCGCTGACCGCTTTTCTGGGCGTGTACAGCGGGTGTACAGCGGTGGAATGTGGGTGGTGGTGGTGGTGATGGGATGGAATGCTAGTCGCAGCAGCGGCAGCGGCCTACGATCTGGACTTCTCAGGACACACAGAGAATGCGGTCACCGGTACCCCGCTGGAATGCCCAGATTTCAACCTTAATCCGTGGTTGAAAGGCCCAAAGGGGGTGGGAAGAGGGTAAAGCGGTCACCGAGGACCTTGGCCCATGGGGGGGGGGGGGGGGGTTGGGTGATACACTGTATACACATATAAAGGAAGGGGATGACAATGCATCGTATAACCTCAACCCACTCACTGCTCTTCCATCCGCTTCACTACTGCTTTACTCGCATCTCACCTAAAACGATCACACCATGTCAACTCATACTGACAGCTCCAACTATGGCTACACGCCTTCCGTCGCTTGGTGCAGCGTCTTTATCGCCCTCTTCTCCCTTTCGGGTCTCTTGCACATATACCAAGCTTGGCGTGCAAAGTACTGGGTCATTTTCCCGACTCTAGTCATCGGCGCAGCGGTCGAGGTCCTAGGTTGGAGTGGACGATTGTGGTCAAGTCAGAATGTGCTCCTGTTGACCCCATTCTTGATGCAAATCTCGACGTGAGTTTGTGATTCGCGTCAGGCGATCGGTGGCGGGCGGCGGCAACACACTACATATCAAATGCTTCCAAGGGGGGCCACCTCGCTGACTTCGCTTTCTCAGACTCATCCTCGCACCCTGCTTCTTCTCTGCTTGGGATTACGTCCTCCTCGGCTCTGCCATCGCCAAGCTCGGTCCTCAGTATTCTCTCCTCCGACCCCGATGGTACTTTATCGTCTTCATCACGGCCGATCTCATCTCCATCGTCCTTCAAGCCGTCGGCGGAGGTCAAGCATCGAGTTCAGCAGCTGAAGGTGCTCCCACTCAGAGTGCCACCGATATCATGGTCGCTGGAATCATCTTTCAACTCATCTCCATGGTCGTCTTCGTCAGTCTAGGCTTGGACTTTATCCTTCGAGCCACTCAGAAACGACCTTACGCCTTTCAAGCTCGCCGCATCGCCGCTGAACAGTCGCGCGTGGGCAACATTGAAGCTGGAACTGGAAACACCCTCGAGAGCTCTACTTCCATGAGCCGATCAGCCTCCGATCAAATCCTGCAGGAGAAACCTGCCCGTGCGAATGAGCTCAACGGTACCGTCAGACAATGGTGGATTCTCCTTGGCGCCGCGCTCATCTCGTCCGCCATGATCATCTGTCGAGGTGTCTACCGATCCATCGAGCTCAAGCAGGGATGGGAGGGATACTTGATCACTCACGTGAGTTTTAAAATTCCAAACTTCCGGAAATCCGAAAATCATTTCCCCGAAAAATCGTTTCGACCTGTTCTTGACCTTTCTCGATCAATTCTTGTGCTTTCTCCATCATTTCTCGACCATTCTGCATCGTTTCTCAAGCTCTTTCTTTCGCAGGGCTGACAGAGCACAGGAGATTTATCAGTCGCTTCTCGACGGTATTCCCATGCTTATCGCCGTCGGAGTCTTCAACGTGATTCACCCAAGTTACCTCCTTCCAAAGAAGCGATCGTGGAAGAGTTACCATTTGGAGGAGTAGAAAAGTTACAAATGGATTAAAATGACCTTTCAAGTGATATAGAGCGATTTGAACCTACGACCGCAACGTAATGAATAGACTGTACATGTGCAGAGACTGACATGAAGGCGACTCTCACTCACCACTGACTGTCCAGGCGCTGCCACACTCATTACCTCCTTTGAAACTGATCCTTTCAAAACTCAATCTATACACTCCTCGTCACATCATCGTCACAGCTGCATGTACTCTGAGACATCCTTTGATATATCATCCCTTGCGACTTGGACTCGACATGGACAGCAACATTGGCGATCGGCCTCGCAACGATCCAACTCAGAATCAGACTTAGGGTTTCAGAGGCTTTCATACGTTTGCACATATGGCCCCTAACACACCCATCTGTTGAACAGATTCCGGTACTAGCCAACGGTACACCTCTCTCTGGACCTGCACCATGCTGGTCGCCAGCCCGATATACGCACTCTTCATGCTCTCCCTCACGCTGGTCGCAAGGGGAGCTAAAATGGTGCCACATCCTCATGATCATAGTACAGTACACCTCCCATGGAGGCGTCTCCGAATTGGTCCATCCAGACGACACACTGGCCACGCACTGGAGGCTAGGGACTGTACATTGGGCTCGTGGCGATGCGTGGGCCAAGAGCTCCAGAGTGGGTCCAACTGCTCGTCATTCCTGACCCATAGGGTGTTATAATCAGGCCTGGAATCGAGTTCAGATATGTGATGGATCAAGGACAGTCTGCGTGTAGGTGAAGGCCAGGGATTCCTTTGCTTATCTGCTCATATCCTAGTGCGAGCAATCCACTAATCCCCCCTGGTTGCGTATGGCCGGATGCTGCCCAGCCATCGGGTGTTCAAGCGTCTCCCAACGTCTCCCTATCCCCTTCCACAGTCTCCAACACGATACTGTCGTCCACTGCTCCAGTCATCTCAGCCAGGACCTCGTCGACTGCCCTTTCTACCGCCTCTGATCAGCCATCTGCCGCTGTCTCTGGCGCCGTCCCATCAGTATCCGCCTCCACGGGCGATGGTCAGCGACCCTCCACTCAATTCTCTAACCCTCACTATGCCATCTACCACAATCGTGAGCTGTGGGACGTCAGTGCCACACTGATCCCCAGGGGCTTCACGGACCCTACCGAGCTCCGCAGCCGACATCAAGCCTTGGAACAGGTGGTACTTTGCTTTTTGGCAGACCAATGGACCGCAAGATGTGAGCGAGTCCCGTGATTGACGCCTGACCATTCCAGGCGGTAGCCACCTTTGCCGCAATGCCTGAATCAGATCGACAAGCGATGATCGCAGATTTCCATGCGAACGGGATTGCCATCATGGTCTCTGCGTTCGGAGCCAACGGTGAGCGAGAGTGCGGGACCCGGTCTAACCTACCAAGACGTGCCAACTACGAGCGGCGCGAATCCCACCGAGACCGCCAACGCCCTCGCAGCTTTCGTCAAGCAGTACGGACTCGATGGCTGTGATGTAGACTATGAAGGTGAGGATCATAATTGGTCCCCAGGTCTACTGATCCATCAGACTCTGGGGCCTTTATCACGGGGACAGCATACGACTGGCTCTTGACGTTCCAGACGGCCCTTCGGGCTCAGCTGCCGGCCCCTTACATCATCTCTCATGCGCCTCAACCAGCGTACATGATTACAGGACAATATACCACCAAGGGAGGATACAAAGAGCTTCACGCTGCAGTGGGGAGCGGGATCGACTTTTATTCCGTAAGGAACAGTCGCCGGGCGGCGCCGCTGATCTATCAGGTACAGTATTACAATCAAGGGTCGTACACCCCATACACAGACTGTGATGTGAGTCACCGGACGAAAATGGCTCGCCTGACAGAAATCAGAGCCTCATCACATCAGCCCCGGATGGCAGCGCTTTGCTTCAAGTGGCAGAGTCATCAGGAATACCTCTCAACAAACTGGTCATCGGCAAACCGCTGAACGGAGAGGACGTTTCAAATTCAGGGTATGTCCTCAGACAAGCAAAAAGTCAGACTTACGCTTTTCAGGCTGATGGACGCTGCCACACTCGGTCAATGCTACCAGATGGCCAAATCCAACGGATGGAATGCCGGGATCATGGTATGGCAATGGGAGACGGATGGCGCACCGGCGTTCCTCAACACAGTGCTTGGGACCTGAGGCCGGGCGGAAAGGGTGAGAGTGATCCGAGTGGAAGGAGATCCCATCGATCGGGAATGTATGTTGTCACGCCTCGGGCAGTGCGCATGTGGGGGGCAAGGACATTTATCGGCCACTTTATCGGCCCATTTCTCATCAGGCACCCTTTTGGGCTATTTTCAGCAAAGTCTCCCTTGAAATGGCCAGCTTGAGGCTTCCTCCAGGGGGACCAGAGCTGGCTCCTGGCCACAAAATCTTCGGCCCTGAACACAATTCCCACGCCCGGCGCAACGACCGAGCTGAGATCCCACGGTCGTACGCGATCCACGGGAGCTAGATGATCCTACTCGGCTCCTGTGCTGTTGGCTCTCGTCCCCTTCCCGTACCAGCGCAAGGTACCACCGGATGGACGGCAAGCGGGGGCGTGGTTTTATTTTATGGAAATGATCTTTCCCCATTACCATATATGACCCAGAGGTCTTTTTGACCCGGATCACCATCCTGGACAGCTACTCACCTTTCACCGAAAATGCGTGGAGTCACAGCTCTAGTCGGTCTGGTGACCCTCATAGGCCATCCGGCTGCTGCTGCTGCTATTGACAAGCGATGGTCTTGGTGTCCTATTGCCTCGGCACAGGAGGGCGCACTCTTCATCGACTTGTTGGGACTCGAGTCAGTGTGTTCGGATATACTGAATGACATTGTGTAGGTAGGGGTTTAATGAGTGTGGTGCTCACGTACTAGTCCCACCGTCACCGTCACATCCACCTCGCCTGCACAGACAACGACGGTGAGCGCTCTAAGTTTCCTTTGCCGGTGACTGACCTACTCACAGGTGTCAACCTCGACCACGGTTACAGCGACGACATCCACCGTCTTGACGGTGCCGCAGACGTCCACTTATGTCACGGTGAGACATCTCACCGGTGAAGTCTTGCTGACTTTCCCAGTCCACGCCATTGACCGTGACGACTGGTACAAACACTATCGTCTTGACCACTCAGACGCCGAGCACCACCACTTTCACAGCCACTTCGACGACAGTGTCCACGACGACTAGCACGGTCACTACAGTGAGCATGAACTATCCGACCCTGATCTGACTCAATGACAGACCCCGGTGACTCTGAGCACAAGCACACCCGTGACGGTGATCACTTCAACGCAGACTGCTGTCGCCAGCGTTGTCGCTTGCCCGACGACGCCTGCCGCTCGGTCCCTGCCAGCCCTTGAAGCCCGTCGTGGATGGCGTGCCTTGTCGCCAGGTTGGCAATCGTGTGCTGAGGACGTGAGAGAGCTTCGATCCAGGCTGTGCTGACATGTAGCTCGTTCGTGATGCGTGTGAAATAGCCCTCGGTCAACAGGCCGGCGTCGCAACGTATTCTGTCACAAAGACGGTCACCCCCGCCCAGTCTACTGCAACCTACACGTCCACGGCCACAGTCACAAGCACGAACACTTTGCACACTACACTGACGGCGACGTGAGCTAAACGTATCGGCTATCCAGCTGACCCAGTCTCAGCGCGACAGATACAATCACGAACACTATCGACGTCTCAAGTGTCACCACGACGACCACTACGTGAGCCTTTCACCATCGATTCATGCTGACGAATCAGCGTCCCTTCTACGGTCTCAGTGACGAGCACCAATCTGGTAACGAGTACGACCACTGTTGTGACCACTGCGACTGCATCTATCAGCACCAGCGTGATCACCGCCTCGACTACCAGCACTTCCACGTCTATCGTCCTCGTCTCGGGTACTTCGCTGGTGTTGGCTGCGACGGGGGTCCCGCAATGCTTCGCAGTCTCCTCAGGCGCGACTTGGCAGATCACTGCGAATGGCGCTTCGGGCGGTGGTTCTGCCAGTACCGCCGCTCAGGGGGCGGGCGGCGATGGAGCCTCCATTGTCGCTCAATTTTCTCTTGACCCCACCGCCACTTACAACGCTATTGTCGGAGTTTCTGGATATGAAGGGGAATCATCTGGGGGCGGTGGTGGAGGCACCTTCGTCTTCAACTCTGATCAACTTCTCGTGGCGGCTGGAGCGGGGGGAGGTGCAGGTCAGCTGCTCGGCATGGGCACAATAGACGGCACCAGTGCGCCCCTGGATGTGAGTGGGACCAGTTCCAGCGGCGAATCAAACGGGAGCGGGGGTTCTGCCACCGATGGCGGCGGCGGCGGCGCAGGTGTCGCTTCGAGCGGCACCTCGGCCGGGGAGTTCAATGGAGCGTTCCCAGGCGGGCAGGGGGGAAGTACGGGCCCTTCTTGGGCAGGAGGCGCTGGTGAACCAGATACTGGTGGAGGCGGCTATGGAGGAGGAGGAGCAGGTGGTGCTGCTAGCGGAGGTGGCGGCGGAGCAGGTTATTCGGGGGGTGCAGGGGGGTTTGCGGCTGGTACGAGCCCTGGTGGCGGCGGTGGGGGTGGTGGCTCGTTCATAGGCTCGGGAGGTTCGATAGTCGGCACACCCACCGCGTCCAGCGGTGACGGGTCGGTGACAGTGGTCTTTGTGTCCAGCTAATAATATATATGGTGGGTTGAGTGATGAATCTGAATTTTGGTTAAATGTTATTGATTGTAGAGGACAGGCGTGGCTTGGTGTCTGTTGGGTCAGGTTAAGAGCATCATCGATAATAGCGTTGGTTCCACTCTTCAACTGTGTTCGACTGTACATGTTGATTGATAGGTTACTTTGTTCACCTGCTTTCTTCCAGCAGAGGTGTCGGATAGTGGTGTAAGTTTCCATTGTCTTCTTACGAATTTTCGTCTAACATCCAGTAGTATTCCGCGTCCTTGCTATGGTTTTGCCCAATAATTAGGACGTACCCTCTGGGTGCGCGAGTTCGAATCTCGTCGCCTCTATGTTTTTTGCATATCCTCAATATGCCTGATATCCTTTTTTGCTGCACTTTACAGACCGTCTTCGGTGTCGGCAAACTTTCACTTTCAGACAGGTTCAACGCTATCGAGCGGGTTCTTGCAGAGCGCCTTACCGGGTTGCGACCTAAGATCCCTGTAGGCCTGTTATCGGACGACGGCCTCGACTTTCAATCTAGGCGACGATGCCTTGCAGATACTCAACGCGGCCCCAATCAATGCGTTTGATCGGCTCATCCGGAAGCTGCGACACTTTGCCAACCAAACGCAGGATCTCTCAATTGGATCGGGATCGAGGGATAATAACGAGTCCGATTCATCGTACCAGTCAGTCTCGACCGCAGAGGAAAGTGCGTCAATGGTTGATGAGACTGAGGCGTCCGAGACGTCAGAGATCCCGCCTGAGGATACGTAGGACTCTTCAAGTTGAAGAGATGCGATCACGCGACGACGCTGCATGCATGCATGTGAATCACCTATTTATTATTTTTTGGCAGGACAAGTCGTCCTCCCCTCACCGCTCCCTCCCCCTCCCCCTCCGCCTCGGTTAAAACGAGAACGGAGTTAGGATAGCGACGACTATGCTGAGACGTTCAACCTGACAGCCATCCGTGCATGTTTGGCAGGCATCACATGGAAACAGTATACTCGGCTGTAAAGCCCATCTCGATATCGATTGCTCATCGCTCAACCAGATCACGCCCACAAACCCCGCAAAGGTCTCCACAAGGTGCCCACCACCATATCCCATACACCCCAGATCATGAGCCATTTGAACAAGCCTTTGAAAGTTTTCGCGGCATCTGGGCCGAACCAGCACTTGTACAACTCCTCCGAAGTCCACATTTCCGGTGCCACACGTTCCATCATCCGCCGTTCGTACCTTCGTATAGCTTTGTGCAACCGTTTTGGATCTGGCCGGCGTATTCGAGGTTTGCATGGTGTTTGAGTGACGGGCAAGAACGAAAGGGGGAAAGGAGCAAGCGAGGCGAAGCGAGGGGGCGCGTGTAGCTCCGCTACGAGGGTTTGTCCGAGTTCCAGAGCATCCTTCATGGCTACAGTAGTGTTAGTGTGTGAAAGAGATCTGTCTGACTCACCCTGATTGACGCCCTCTCCTGAAGGTGCCATGGCATGTGCTGCGTCACCTGGGTGCGAATCAGTCATGCGGCGTGGCGAGGGGAAACCTCAACTCACCCATGATGGTCACTCCAGACAGATCTGAACTCCACCTGAACTTTGAGTCGAAAGCGTAGAGCCTTCTCGGTGTGATGGTGCTCTCATCCACTGCCATGATGCACTCCTCGACCCCCTTTGTCCAACCCGGATACAGCTTGTTGATCCATTCGCGCTTGCCAGTCTCTGGCAGCTTGTTCTGCTCGAGCCACTTTTCATCACATTTCAACTCGGCATAGACCTTGCACTTCCCCGCCGAGTTCATTTGGGGGATGAACGCTTTCCCGTCCCCGAGCACGATGCACATGCCACTCCCCACAAACTCTCTGATGGACGGAGTCATGGAAGACTCGGGGATGAGCATGTCATATAGACTGATACCGTTGTATGTCGGCTTGGTAGAGTGTAAGAGGGGTCGCACCCTGGAGAATGTGCCGTCTGCGCCGATGAGAATGTTGGTGGTAATGGAGGTGCCGTCCAGAAAAGTCACTTCGTACGTATCATTATCGATGACTCTCGTCGAGCCGACGCCATGGTTCCACTGGATGGTTCCCGGTTCCAAAGAGCCGAGGAGAAGATCACGTAGCATGCCCCTGAGAATGCTTTGAGCGTCTGACCCCTTAGGTCTCGGCTCACCTGTCAATTTCTGGCCGTTCAGGGAAAAAAGAGCTCTTCTCGGGAGATTCGTCAATCCATGCCTTTCCACTCTTGTCAAACACTCTCATCGCCTCGCCTTCGGGCCTCATCATGGCTCTAGCATCGTCCAAAAGCCCAATCTCCCTCAAGGTCAACAGTCCACTCTCCTCATGCAGATCCAGGGTGCCGCCTTGTCCCCTGGCCTCGGCAGACTCTTCCCGCTCATAGACCACGCAAGGCACGGAGTGAAGCTGGAGATATCGAGCGAGGCATAGACCAGCAGGTCCAGCGCCAATGATGGTGACGGGGCCTTGTGGTGTTGACATGGTATATAGTACAAGTGTCAAGAATAATCGCGGCAATCGGCGTGAGAAGTAGATCTCTTTATAGCCTCGGGCAGTCGGTGAACAGCTCGGATGTGCGGCGAAATAGTCGGGAGATGCACGTTTTTTCAGATCTCCGCGGCAGCGGGCAGGCGGCATGAGTATTGTACAACAAAGTCTTATTACACCCGCAACATGTCCTCGTCAGCTATCAACGGGTCAAGGGCCTTGGTATTAAGCTTGGAACGTCAGTCCGGCTCTCTGATGAGACGCACCAGATGTGGCCCTAGTTGATCCAGCCGAGTCACACCGAGCAGTTTCATCGTGGTATGGATCTCATCCCGAAGGACTGCCACGTCAGCCCCGACGGATGGATACCTCAAGCCCTCACTCTCGAGAGCGTGGACGATACCATCCTTTCCATACGTCATGGAGTAGAGGATGGGTCTACCCAGTCCAACTCCTTTTGCCCCAAGACAGATGGCCTTGATTACATCAGTGCCGCGCCTGACCCCGCCGTCAAGGTACACCTGTCATGAGCTATGGCACGGGATAGAAGGAACGAACCTCTACTTTGTCAAAAACATCTGGACGATGCTTCCGGAGCTCCAGCAGGGTATACAAAGCAGGTTCTGAACCATCCAATGCTCGTCCACTACATAGTCAGCGAACCACCTTGACTGTGATCCCACCCATGATTCGACAGATAGATCGCCTCGACTCCCATTTCCACCGCCTTGACGCAGTCTTCGACCGATTGGACCCCCTTCAGACCTATGGGCAGATTCGTATGTCGCCTCAACCAGGCAATGTCATTCCAATTAAGCGTGGGGTCGATGAATCCTCCTTTGGCCCGTGCAATGCCACCGCCTTTCCTATCCCGAGCCATCTTGCCTCCCGACACGCCTATAATGAGCCAGCGCCGAGATCCGAGCTAGTCTCACCTGGTATCTCACCCGCCTGACTCGCCTCAATCTCGGCCAAGCTACGCTCATCTGCTTCGCGTTTGCCCGGGGCAGCTGCATCCACCGTGACGAAGATGGCTTTCAGTCCAAGGTCGTTGATTTTATGTATCAAAGCTTCCGACTTGGGTCGATTGCGATCCACGTAGAGCTGCATGAAAAGTGGCTGGGTCCGGCTTTGACGAGCATTGACAATGTCCTGCAAGGGATCCGAAGCGTTTGTGGATATCTATCTCGAGTCAGTCGAGGCTTGATCCCTGACTCACCATGTAGATTGCTTCACACTCACCCGCCGCCGCTGTCAAGAGCTTCTCGCCGTCTGGATGAGCGAGGCCGGCCATGCCTGTAGGGCTGAGGAATATCTAAATCTGAGTGACGAGATTCATTGACCGGCACTCACAGGCATGGACGTTGGCTGTCCAAGCATGACAGTGGACGAGTCGACCTTGTCCACGTCCACTAGAACCCTTGGCCGAAAGAGAATCTTGTTGAAGGAGGAGCGATTCAGGTCGAGGGCTTAGGATAAGCTCCAACTTCATTGTCTAACATACTGTACATGTCCGTAGCTCCTGCCGACATGTACGCCCATGCCTTGGCGGACAGCTTCCGCCGAGCAGCTTCCTATCGTCTCAGATGTACCCGGCCGTTCAAACTCACTTCGAAATCTGGGAGACCGACGATCTCACCCAGGGTGATCTCACGCTCCACCTCGGTCGCAGTCCTCTGTGTCGAAGGTGGGAGCGTAGTCGGATCGACGGTCCCTTGCAATGCGCTCGGGTCAAGCATATGCTCGATGACACCAGGCGGATGGATAGATTGGAACACGGTAGTTGCATCTCGACCGGCGAACTGAAGGATTGGTCCACTACCTCCTGGATGGGCTTCGGCGGCGAACTGAACCACTCAGTGTGACTCGTTCGTAAGAGTATGCCGTCTCACCTTGGTCAAATCATACACTTTGCCATCGATGACCACCCAACAATCGTCCTCAGTGCAATGCTTCTGGACCTCTGCAAATGGAATGAGTCCAAACCCCGTGCTTCGGTCGTTTGGAGGCGACGGGTCGAAAGATGAATCGAGCTTGATGGTTTGTGCCCCAAAGTATAGCGTGGCGAGGGACAGCACGATCTGGTATCAGCGTTTGAGCGGAACGACGGCTCACCAGACTGCCCACCTCGGCGTGTCGTAACGGTGGAACACCGCGAAAGTCAGAATGACAACCGCGCGACCACTTGAGAACATTTCCCCGAGTCGATCGCAAGCCTCGAAGTAGCCTGACTGTTGACCGTGACATGGTCGACTGAGTTATGCTATCCGACAGGAACGATCGTATTTCTATGGACGGTATACGGACCGTTCGGCCCGGGAACCCACAATCTATTCCGGGGCAAACCCAACGCAATATTCCGGAATGCACACTATACCATGTCCATGTCCAAGCCCAACGTCCTCGTCTTTGGTCTAGGAGGTATCGGTGGCGTATATGCGTGTCTATTGAGCCTGTCGGAGCGGTGCTGTGTTCACGTCGTTGCGAGATCAAACTATGAGAGCGTGAAGACGAGGGGATTTCGATTGGTTTCGCCAAAATTAGGCGACCACGATGATATCCAGTTCGCGGGCGGTGAGTGGAGTGGGATTGTCCAGAGGTGCTATACTGAGGGGGTCAGTCTGGAGAAGCTGTCGCGAGGCAAATGAATCGAACGTACAGTTCGACTATGGTAAGTCGAGCCGCTGGGACCTTACTGATCGCAGTGATTTGTGCCAACAAGGCCCTCCTCGATGCCGAGCCTTCACTCTCGGAGCATCTGCGGCCAGTCATCACCTCGACCACTTCCATAGTCCTACTGCAAAATGGGGTAGGCATCGAAGCACCGTTGCACGAATCGTTCCCCAACACCACCATCATTTCAGCAGTTGTATGGACTGGGGGCAAGATGCTTCCTGAAAAGAATGGCATAGCCGGGGTCGAACACTTTTCCGATCTATCCTTGACTATTGGGGTGGATTACAGAGCCAACGGGGACAAGGCAGAGGAAGACGCCAAGCTTGATCGCTTCGTTGAGATGATCAAAGCCGGTAAGGGAGGGTGTATTGTCACAGACGATATTCAGAGTCAACGTTGGGTCAAGGTCATATGGTGAGGCCATCCGAACGACGTGAGCTGAGTGCAGGAACGCTTATGTCAACTCGTTGACTGCTGCTATTCGTTTACCTTCTCACTTTCTCTTCGCAGCCACCCCATTCGCCGAGCAGCTTTCCATGGCCATATTGAGCGAAACGTCTACCGTCGCTCGAGCCAAAGGGCTCAATATTCCCCCAGAAACGGAGCAACAACTCTTTGACCGATGCAAGGCTGGCATACCCGGAGCGAAAGGTTATCCTAGCAGCATGATGATGGATTGTATAGACTGCAAGCCGATGGAAGTCGAGGTGAGCGGGTACCGTGCCGCGTGGCACTGATGACAACAGGCCATCCTCGGTACACCCCTAAGGGAGGGCCAACGACTGGGCATTCCCACACCGACACTATTAACGTGAGTATTGGACTCCCGAGTCATGCTGACCTCAGTATGTACACCATTCTCAAAGCTGTTGACCTGGGACGTGCAAGCCCAGATCTGTAATCGTACCAAAAAAAGACATGATGCATCAGGATACTACTACGGCACGTGAACATGAATTAAGAAACTACCTCTATCCCTAAACTGTGTCTACATGCGGTGCTTTGGGGGGACACCGTTGATGGCGTTCATGCGAGGAGTCCTCTCAAAGTAGTTGGCGGCCTCTCGGGAGAGGGCGTCATCCTCCTCGGCAGCAATGTCGGTCTCAAGCGCGGGCTTCTCCTTTCCAGAGGAGGTGATTCGGGACTCGTAAATCTTCCGGAGTTCCTGAACTCGCTGCTCTCGGTCGAGGACGGGGTCGTAGGCCAAATGTCTCTTGAGAACGACTCGCTCGTAAAGGGACAAGTGTTGAGGGTGGATGGCAATACCGTGGTAGTCGCCGGCCCTTCCCTCTCGTACGTAAGACCAGTATCGGTCCTGTTCCCTCAGGTCAAGACCAGTGGTGTCGGGAATGAAGATCCAAGTGAAGATCGCACCGGCGAGACCGAACCAACAGACGATCCAGAATCGGGTGTGAGAGTCGTTGACGTAGTTGTACATGATAGCAGGGGCCAAAGCACCGAGTTTTCCAGAGGCAGCCGAGAGACCGTGAGCGGTGGCTCGGACGGAGATGGGGAAGATTTCGGCAGCAAGCAAGAAAGTGGTACAGTTGGGTCCGAACTGTTGGAAGAAGGAAGAGAGGTAGTACATGGTCTGGAATCCTCGGATGTGAGCCTTGGATTGCAGCTCGTGGTAGAAGATGGCGGGGAAGAGGAAGAAGATGAAGTCCATGAAGAAACCAATGTTCTGCATCCTCTTTCGTCCGTAGAACTTGTGGTCGATGAGGAGGGCGGCCATGTAGTAACCGACGAGGGAGACTCCGATGTTGACCAAGTTCCAGTTCCAGTTGGTGATGACGTTGTTGGCGGCTGCGGGTGAGATGACCTTGATGAAGGAGGATTGGAAGAGCTTGTTGCCGTAGAAGAGGAAGTCGTTGAAGAACCAACCAGTGGTGGATCCGACGAGACGTCCTCCAAAGTGGGAAGAGACGAGTCGAAGAGCCTCAAAGTCGTATCCGGATTGGTTGACGTGGAAGTCCTTCTTGGATCGTTGGAGGGCGGTGGAGGAGTAGACCTTCTTGTAGTAACGGAAGTAAGCGAGCCAGAGGGTGAAACCGGCCATGATGGCGAATGAGACTCGGAAAGTCCACTGGGCAGTCTTCTCCGAGTAGGGCTCGTGACTACCGCCGTTGAAGATGAGGAGGAGGATGATGAGGATACCCTGGTTGAAGAGTTGACCCCATCCTTGCATGAGGAAGGCAAGAACGACGTTTCGGCCTCGGTGAAGCTTGTCATCGGTCTGAGAGCTGGCACCAACGGTCTTGGATTCCAAAGCAGTGGTCGAGGTCATGGGGTATTCACCACCGACTCCGATACAGTAGAAGAATTGAGACCAAGCGTAGCAGATGACCCAACCGTTCAAGGTTGTACCCCAAGAAGCAGTGAGCATAATGAGACCGAGGAACATGATGAGGGCATCTTGGACCAAACCAAATTTACGTCCAATCCAGTCACCTTCGATACCGACAGTGATCTGACCAACGATGATACCGACGGGTTGGAGGTAGGTGACGGCAGCGACCCAGTTGGGGTCACAGACCTTGTGAGTCTTCCAGCAGGCCTTCCAGACGGATTGGTAGAGGGAACTCAAGTTACCAATGGAGAAGATGGTGTAACCTTCGGTGAACAGACCGAAACCTCCAATGACGTATCGTCGGAAGTAGGCACTGATGGGGGAAAGAGGATCATTCTTGAACATGGTACCGAGGTGTCGGAGTTCACGACGGGCCTCAGCGTTGGACTGGGCATTGACCCAAGCCCATCGCTCGCCAAATGGCAGATCAGCCTGAGCACGTGTATCAGTTTTTCGAAGCTTGGTTGGTATGATGATCCCACTACTCACCCAGTAGACACCATCCTTGTAAGAGTCGGCAGGGGCGAGATCGTCGTACAATGGGTGACCTGGACCAAAGTTGTCGAGGTCGCTGGCACTGTCAGAAGCAGAGGTGTTACCGTTTTGTTGGGGGTAGTGGTGCTCGTCAGCCTCGTGAATGGCAGGGTAAGCGGAGCCTCGAGCCAACGAGTCGTTGAGGTCGAGAGGGGGTGGTCCCTGGTTGTGAATGGGTCCCGTAGCGGGAGTGTTTTGAGCAGACATGTGGGACATGGTGCAAGGAGTGGTGTTGGGGGGGTGGTGAGTGAGAAGATGAGAACGAGAGACAGGAGACAGAAGCCCGCTCTATATATCTATATCAACACAGTGGAAATTTTTTGCATGCTCAACAGGTTCTCATAAGGAAGGAAGGAGGAGGAGGCAGACAGCGATGGTCTTTTTTTTTTCCTTCTGTCTTTTTTTGGGACGCACGTTCGTGAGATTCGAGCAACGTCAAGGGGTTATTTTATTATGTTTCTGTCGATGGTCATTAGTATCTCACTCCTCAGATCCTAATCAGATCGCAGCCCTCAGCATTAGTATCGTTTGCTTCACCGCCAAGCCCCAGCCCAGCGGCTATTGGAGTTCCATCCCAATCAACTAACCGCATCGAGGCCGACTCCACACTTGCCATCCATGTCTGACCCGCGATCAATGGACCTAATCTCCCAATCTATCCTCTCTCGAGGGCAACGTGCATCTCACAGTGGAGCACTCATAAATTTGGCCGATGCATATGAGGTTTGGGAGTCGATCCCATGATTTGCCCTGACTGGCATATGACCCATCATCCCATTTCACCGGATCCTACCCGGATGGCAGGATTGCACGTTCCTTGCATATTCCCATGTCTGGGTTTTCTATTTATAACCACTTCGTTTGAAGACTGTGGGTGGCAGGTCAAAAGGTCCCAATTTTATGCCTGATTCCCCTTTCTCCCCTTCCATCTCTCCCCGCGACCCAGACTGACCCGACCTCGATCGGTAGGTGCGCGCGTGCGTGCATCTCATTTGGGAAAGTGGGCGGCGCGACATCGATAAACGTGCATTCATCTTCTGGTGCGTTGTTGCATACATCGCGGGACCGGTCGAGCGCGGCTGAACTGGACATTGATTCTCCGAGGGCCTCTCTGCCTTGGTGCAGCAAAAGGTTGGGGCAGAATAAACTCGGGTCGTCGTGCGTCTGTCTGTCAGGTCGGCAGGCAGGCAGGCAGGCGACTATCGGCAATGAGATCGGCGAATCAAGGCGTACTACATTCCCCGACGCCTTATGATAAATTTCTGAACATCTTCCACCAGAGTTGCACGGATGTATCCATCCAAGTTCAAGTTGACCTCTCTTGTCAGTGGGACGCGATCGAGGTATCAGCAGCTATGGATGTATGGCTGACCCCCCCTGTGTGCCATGTCGTTTCTTCCGCCACATTGCTTGGCCGGCGGCAACCCAAAACTTTCGATTATGTTCTTGTTTTTACGTCATTCCCCGGTCAATCGATCGATTCACAGGTATGTGCCACCAAGGACTGACACTTTTGTTGCTTCTATTATTGATCAAACACTCTAGCGCTCACCAAGCATGGTCCTCTGGCGATCCAATGACCCTCTACCGCCCAAGTCCCAAGGTATGGTCTGCAATTTAGACAAGATCGTGACGTCCGCTTGGGAGAGGAAGCGGCCGATCCTGCACCACCGTGAGTCCTTTGAACGTGGAGTCAAACCTGTGTTTCCACTCTATAACTCTGTACAGTGAACGCAGATACGACATGGCTCATTCAGCTGCCCGTACCCAATCCTAGCACTAGTTCCACCTCTCGCAGATGGTTCAATGTCCTTATCGACCCTTGGTTGTTCGGGCCACAGTCAGACGTCGCATCTTGGTTTAGCAAGCAGTGGCATGCGATTCCCCCCGCTCTGGCGAGCGTACCGGATGTTGAGAATCTGTGTCGAAAGGTTGAGACGATTACACCCGGACAGGAAGATCCATTCGACTCGTCAGATCATGCGCATCCGATCGATGCCATCGTCCTCTCTCATGAATTTACAGATCACACTCACCAGCTCACGTTGTGTCAGATGCCCAAGTCCACGCGTGTGTTCGCAGCTAGCAAAGCAGCTGCGCTGGTCCAGTCTTGGAACCATTTCGACTCGATCAGTGAGATCCCCTCCCTCCAGGACGCTTCAGAGTGGAGGGATCAGACAATCTCCCTGATCCCGGAAGTCAACACAGGAGAACACACAAAGAGCTGGGTAAAAGTCGGTAGACTCCAAAAGGAAGGCGACGCGTTCTATTACCATTCAGCCCTGGCCATCATCTTCGACCTTTCATCATCGTCTACCCCCGAGTCTGCACCTGTCGAAGCGATAGTATACACACCTCATGGTGTTCGAGCTGAAGCGCTCAATGTCCTGCAACGGTCCAACGACGAGACTGATCAGACTGTCCATCACCCGATACAGACCCTCGCTCTTCTACATGGTTTACACGATGTTTCACTCGATTGGGGACAACAACTCAACTTGGGTGCTTTCAACGCCTTATCTGCGCAACGCGTCGTGGAATCAAAATACTGGATAGGAACCCACGACGAGGTGAAAAAGGGTGGTGGACTCGTCTCTTGGTTCCTCAGGCGAAAAGTCTACACTGTTCGAGAAGCGCTCGAGGCAGAATCAAAGTCAGATACCAATCTCGAAGAACCGTCTGAAAAGAGTGCGGGGGCAGGGTTTTGGAGTCGAAAACCTCAGACTCAGGGAGGAGGGGATGAACTCGCACATCTAGAGGAGGGCGGAGTCGATGTAGGCGGTAGAGGAAAGTATTACGAGCTCCGCACAGGTGAGAGCATGGTTTTGAGCTAGCGGATTCCACACGTGTCTCGTCAATGTAGCCTTAGTCCCCCGTTGTCATACCATGTACATGATGCTTCCTACACTCGATTGCTTGTATGAAAGAGTCGAGCTGCCCAGTCTACTGAATAAGATTCCGGATCCCGCAGAAACCCTCGTCAATCATTCTTCACACCCTTGACCTCTCTCCGTGGACTATCCTCGTCCCTGTATTCAGGGGGACTACCCCTACCACCTCCTCCTCCGCCGGCTTTTGGTGATCCAAAGTCATCCTCGTCACTGTCGTCTCCCATCGCAAATACGACATTCTCATCTCCGACGCCTCCCTTGTGACCCATGGCTCGGACCTTTGCACTCTTCAAAGATCTCGCATCTTCGTCCAAATCACCATCAAAATCGTCTTCCTGGTTCAAAGGTTGATGCTGACCCTCACGACCATTCTCCATCTCGTGGAACTCGTAGTCTTCCGCATCGGCCTCCGCTTCGTCCTGCGCAAGCTCTTGTGACATGGAAAAGCGGACATTGTCACGGGTCTGCCCTGGTCAGCAAGTGCCTTGACTGTCAAGTCCATTCCGACTCACCGGACGCCAGAGCCAGGCGATAGCAGAAAAGACGCAAAGATAAATAGTAGCCAGACTGCCATCGAGGAGGATCCACCGCCATCGCCAATTCTTCGGAGCGTAGTCTGAAGTGTGTCAATGGAAATTCCACTTGACGCGAAACTCGACTCACCCTCTTCCAATCTGTTGGACAGACTCATTGAAGAGATGACAAAGAAGCCAGCGACTACGATCACCGCGATGATCAGAATTCGCCAGAGTCGCTGGAACTTCTGAAGCTTGTGTCGTTGCTTCTGCGCTTTGAGGAGGAGGATAGTGCCTGGAGATATGAGCATACGAATGGCATCTCGAACGCACCGTTCAAGCTGACGATGATCCACATGAGGAACGCGGTGAGTGTAAGAGCCAAAGGGAAAATGAGGATCATGATGATGACGAGGGAGGCGCGCTGTCCTGTGAGCGATGGGACGTGTCCTTCAGACTCACGTCCAGTTCAACTTCAACCGTTCCGACAGAGTAGAGCACTATTCTACGTCAGCATGCATCCCTCTCTCAGAGTTAGCCCGGCACCCACCGCCAAAGACAAAGTGGAATCCGGTCAACATGCGAATCTTGCCCATGACGCTTCCCAAACTTTGGGTTATGACGCTCAAACCCATGCTCACGATGAGCAAGAGGAAAAAGCTCAGCGAGTTCCGAGCGGCGTTCAGGATAGAAACGACGAATAGGAATGCGAGCGAGCTGGCGCCACCGCCATGCTTGTTGATGTATCGGTAATAGCCATAATTGGCCACCATCTCGATGATGAGAAAGACGATCATCCCGGAGATGTAGTACTGCATGGGGCTGACAATGTCAGATCGAGTGTTGAGCGTGTCAGACTCACAGAAGCTCGTTCCGGTGCTTGATGCAGAGGAAAGCCCATCCCAGACCTAGAGCGGCATAGACGACGCTCAGGAGGAGATAAAACTGGAGAGAAGTCAGTACGATCATTCAAATGTCAGGAACTCACATTGATCTTGGGATACTCCACAGCCGGTAATTGACCTTCAAAAGTGTTCTGGAAAGTGACAAGACCGCTGTACTCTGCATGTGTAGCGTCCTGTCGAGAGCTGATGTCACGCGAGTTGAGCAAAGTGACCGGCACGACGCCTGTCGGACAAATCAGCTGGGTCGATGCGGGAGCTCCCGCGGTTCACTCACCGACACAATAGTATCCCGTCTTTCGGACTGGATACTCGATTGTCCCGGTGTAATATGCAGCTTGCTCGCTCGAGCCAGGACTAACATCCTCCTGTTCATCGCTCTCTCCCGGCTGCTGATTCTGAAAAGGCTCATCCATTGTTGGCACTGGATTGCTCCACCCATTGTTGTCCTGGTCGCTCTGATCCGAGGTGGGAGGCACGTCCCCTACATTGTCCCATTCGTTACCTTGACGACCGACTCCGTCATTTTGGGCCGAGTTGGCCAAGACGTCTGTCCAATCACCATCTTGACCATCATTGCCTTGAGGTTGGTCCTGTACAGCAGCCTGTGGAGCGTCGACCTGTTCCAGCGATCCAGTCATATCCTGAATCGCAGTGCCGAAGTTGTCGATGAGATCCAGTTGACGTTTCCGATTACCACCCCACCATCCCCATCCCCAGCCTGAAGAAGTCTCCTCCTTGCCCGAAGCATCATCTTCATCTTCATCGTCATCGTCAGCGTCCTCGTTGTCGGCTGGAGGATTCTCGCTAACTGGTGCCTCGTCGGTCGGGTCAGATTCGAGAGATGGTTCTGGGGTAGAAGGAGGTCGAATGTAGCCAGCGTCGTTATGCGTAGTTCCCTCAGTCTCCCATGATGGCCTGTCGGCAGGTTGGTTGGCCTGTCCGTCCCAGCCTTGATTGTTCTCTGAAGGAGGGGATTGGCTCCATGGGTTGGTGGTACCTTGATCATTGGTCCCAGGTTGTTGATCGAAAGAGCCGTCAGATCCATTGTCCTGATCTCCACCTTGAACCTCGCTCTGACCCTGCGTTTCACCTTGTGTTTGTCCCTGATCTTGTCCATCGTAGTTTTGACCCTGGTCCTCCTCGTTCTGACCTTGGTCCTGGTTCTGACCCCAACTCGGGGTCTGTTCCATGGGCGGCTGCTCGATATCATTGTTGTAGCCTCCCCCGTTCGGGGCCGAGCCGAATCGCAGAGCCTGAGTGAAGATGGATGTAGATTCGAGGGTTTTGCCCTCGGGAAGGGAAGTGATAAAGGCACCTGATTGAGCAGAGGTACACAAGCCTTGTCGCACTACAGGTCGTCAGCTGAGATCTGCTCAGAGGGCATCAAGCGGCTCACTGGCTGAATCTGTGCAAATGTATGTTTTCTGAAATCTTCGGGTCAGTACCTGTCCCCTAACCCCCTTACTTTCGAGCACCTCTGACTTACCGGACGATACATGCTATCTCCATTAACATCCGGGGTCTCTACTCCGAGATAAGGCACATCACTCCATTCGTATATGACCAGAGCGACTTGTCCAGACGAAGCGGGATTGAATTCGACTAAGGAACGTTGTATGATCAGTCCAAGTATTCTCTCTGAGAGCCCCGGGTGTGCGACCGGACTCACCATTGATTTGTGCCGTTTGACCTCCCCACATTCCTGAACATACCTCTTTCAAATCGTCCGTGTCCCTGATGGGCACTGAGTACACCGTCAGCGGAGCTTCCTCACCATTATACCAGGGATATGGGAGCTGGTGACTCACCTGTGTAGGCCCAGGCTGATTGCTGGGATTTCAAGACCAGCCCCAGAGCCAGCACAAGATGAGAACTCGACAAGCGCAGCATAGTGTGCGGACCAAAGGATGGAAGGTGAACAGGCGCGTGTTGGTTGAAATGGGGGTAAAAGCGAGTGTGATGGATGATCTTCAGGTCTCTGGTCCGCACTCTCTCTGGTGGCCTAAGAGCTCCCTACGACCTTGGTCTGCGTCGTCGTTGTCGCTGTTGTTCTTCGATGCAGTCGATTTTGACGAGCAACCCATGAAAAATTATTAACTGGGTTGTCTCAGAACTCCTTCCCTTTTTTTTTGAAATTCTAAATGCGGGAGAGTCGAACGGGAAGTGGCACGTGGCAGAACTCCGTGAGCGTGGAGCTTTGGGCGAAGTGTGAGTGAAGATGAATGGGGGGCACACAGTCTAGCATTGGGGGGAGCCTTGAGAACCTTTTTGCTCGGATATGCAATGCAAAAATTGTCCTTTCTGTGCCTTGAACCCAGGACTACTTATGGAACGACACCTCCCGTGAGCCTTCTAACCGTGTCTAAGCTCTTTTGCTGTATCTGCTCATACAGCTCGAAATAGTCTATAGTGGTTTGTCCGAGAGCCTCTTCAAAGACCACCTTGCTGGACTCTGTCGAGCTCGAGCTTTCCTCCGGTGTGGGACTGCGACTACCCGACGACGATCCCAGGTTACTCTGGAAGATACCGGCCGCTGAAGCCGGCAAGAAATCTTCGTAGACTATCGGGGTGACGGTCACGATTCCATCGTCGATGAGGTCTTCCAAAGACCTAGGTGTACCTGGACCAATGGAAGTGAATGCAAGAGAGTAGGTGAAATAGGCTAATCGATCCTTCCGGAGTGATTTCCAGGAATCTGGAAATCGAGCAAAGACTTTTTGTAAATTGGCTTGGTGCTCATCGTTGTTTTCGATGTGAGCTTCGACGCGCTTCAGCTCGTCCATGAGTTTCATGTACAAGTCATGTCCTGTGGGCACCACGAATCAGTCTCTCACATTCTTCTCTTCCGGGGGATTCCATGGCCTAATACCACTCACCCTTTGGAGTCAGAGCCACACCCCTCGATTCAATCTCTCCAAACCTGGCTCGGTGAGCGCCTAGACCCTCTCCACCGGGAAACCTGATGGCCTCCGTAAGGGCTTGGAATGATGTTTGTCTGAGAAGAATTGGACATTGTCGAGCTGGAGGCCCCTCAATGATCTGTTTCGCGGGGATCCTGTCAAAACCCAACCGCCCCCTGAATCAGCCACCAAACAGAAACGAAGGCTGGCGAGGGCTTGTGCGGCGACGCTAGACTCACTCTCTCCGAATCATATCCCGCTGCGCTGTGTCTATGTCCAAGACTCTCGGCGTCAAGTGATTGATATGCGGTCCTCTGAACCCGACGATATCGGCGACGAGAGGGTGTGCCTGGTCCAATTTTCGATAAGTCGCTTGATCCACAAAGGCAGTTTCGTGCCATCTGAATGTCTCCAGGCCGAACTGAACCAGATCCTTGGCTTCGTCCTCGCCAAGTCCACCTTGCCTTTCGGCCATAGTCACGAGCTCCCTTACCCGAGGATGAAAGATTTCCCGCTTGGCAAGAATGTCTAGAGCTTGCTGCCGTAGCATAGGATCGGATATCAATTCGGGTCTTAAGAGAGACGTGAACACTCGGAACGGATTGGCTTCTAGAGCTGAAGAGGAGATTGGGCGGAAAGCAGTGGCATGGACAGGAACACCAGATGTCGATAGGTCATAGTAACCCACGGGGTACATCCCAAGCGTTGCGAAGAATCGGGCGATAAATGCCAATTCCGAGGGTCTGCCTAATCGAATGGCTCCGTGACGCTCCACGCCGAGTCGAGCTGTGTGCGCGTTGAGCCAGAACTTTCCTTACACCAAGAGAAATAGAGACTCGCGACTCACCTGAAGTCTCCCAGGATCCACCACGCTCCTTCACACGCTCATTGACATCATTTACCAAGTCGATCAACTCGCCATAGAGTGGCACCTCCAGCCGGTACATGCTCGACAGAGCGGCACAAAAGTCCCGTCTGATCTCATTCGGCGAGACGAACCGAGCGTGAGGGATGTATCCGTCGTCAGGCATGATTTGGCGGTCAACACACACACAGTATTACAGACTCTACAAATCGACGGGGGTCGATGAATGCTATCTACCATCCCTCACGTCGCGGCTACGAGTGCTTCTTCTTATCACAACTTTTGATCGCTTGCGCTTATTTCGCCAAACTCATAGAACCGGGCCGGCCGGATCCGTGTAGACGTGTTTATCCAACCCTCGATGATTCACGATCGACACATGCATTAAGCTAGGCGATTGATCTCGTGGGGAGACACTGTCGCGACGACGGAGGGCACCACCTCTTGCTTTCGTTATACCGCATGTGACCCTGACGATGGGTCAAAAGAGGGCTCAAACAGCACCAAGGGATGAAAGGACGTCGATTTGTGCCGTCACGTCAAGACGCTGCACGACCTCCTTGGCACCCCTGGCGCATAAGGGATGCGAAAATCAGCTCCTCGAGGTACTGTTGGACTGCTGATATCAGGTGGACTATTGCGCGTCGTCGACGAATACGCCAGTGTTCACTGCATACCGCATAGGAGTCTGATCAAGCGACGACACATGCATATGAGCAGTGCGAACCAGTGCAGTGGGTACTATGAACCTAGATCTTCAGATTCAGAACAGAACCTGTGGAGCTCTTTCCACGACCTTGTGAGTGACACTACCAGTCCGGCGGATGCTCAAATGTCCTCGCCGGGAGTTTCGAGCGAGATCCAGATGGTTCGCCGTCTTCGACAAGTGAGGCATCGGTGGACGCCACTTCCTTGGCTTGTCCCTCTTCCGCGTCTACCCCCTTGCGACGCGCTTTCTGCGTCGCAGGGACGAGCAGAGTATTTCGCTTGTTCTCACCACCCTGGACAAATATGAAGGGTCCGAGACCGGTACTGCCTTCAGCCTCTTCTTTGTCCACCTTGTTCTGGAGCCATTCCCTATCAGAGTTGTGAGAGCGAGAAGGAGAAAGCTCTTCGTTCTCGGTCATCGAGGCCGGTTCAGGCGCTTGAGAGTCCTCCGTATCGGCTTCTGAAGGTGGCGGGCTAGTCGATATGGGAGGCAGATCATCGAATCTCAACCTATCTGACAATGATTTTTGACCGGATGGGGTCCTCAGAGCGTCCAGCTCCCGCTCCAATCTCGACACAGATTTAGAGATGTCATCATTGTCATCGCTCTCTGAAGCCGAAGCCGAAGCCGATGGCGAGGGTGAGCAGAGATCTGACCTCTCGGCTGCAGTATGGCCTCGTGTCTCAGTGTCCAATCGAAGCTTTTGAACACCCTCAGCTGAGCTACCGACGCTCGCGCTGGGCGCTGCAGCTGAGCTAGATTCGACCGAGGTGGCAGTGGCGTCTGCGGGCTCTGACATTGCTGGTTGAGGAGCTGGTGATAAGACGAAGCTGGGGACCGATGTGATGATGGTACGCTGGTGGTCCGGTTGGAATAGCTTGCCTTGACTTTGGGCGAATGCAATGAGTGGCTACCTTGTCTCGTCGAGTCAGATCTAGGACCATATCACTACTCTTATACTCTTATACTCGAATGCACTTATGGGACCGACCGTAGCTCTTGCTTTCTAATCAGACTCCCTGAAACGAAGGCCACCATGTCAAGCGTGGGAACCACGAGGCCCAGATGTCCTTGCAGAGCAAAGGAGAGATGGACCCCATGTCCCTCCAGTGGGACGCCAAGTCTCAGGGTACATGGGGAGTGTCAGCGCACTTGAAAGGATCAGTTCGCAGGTCCGTAAGTACAGTCAGCAATTATGACGGTAGAGTCTGAGATTGAGATCGGGGCTGAGGTCGAGTGAAAGGAACGAGCTGAGACCGTCATCCGTTGTGGAGACGTCCAGGCCTTGCCCAGTCTTCGGTGCTCCTGTTTGGACGCTGCTGGCGGAGCTGGAGTGGGATCTCTCTGTAGTCAGTGGATCGGATTCTGGGACTGGGGCACAAGCTTTTATCCGAGCCTCAGCAGTCAAATATGTGAGTGCTTTTCCGCCTTGTCGTTTCTAAGCCGGTTAATCCAAGCCTACTAGACTCAATGATGCACGCTCCCACCTTGCCTACCACGTAATACAGGTACTCATTCAGAGCCTCTCATCGTCACTTTGTCTCTAACATGGGTGGTATATACCTTCTGACGGGGTATGAGTCGAGATAGAAATAGATATCTTAATCCTCCTTTTCCAATCGTGTCGTCTAATAAGTTCCGCGTCAGCCAAGATTTCCTTTCGAGTTGAAACTTAGGACCCACCTTGCCGGAGAATGGCGGCAGACCCGCGGCGATTCGCTGCCCTCCTACTAGCGCTGTCCAATCGAGGTCGGCACCTCCATGCGCTCTAGCACTGAGCATATGTTGCAAGGCCACGTCGAGGGACGGCATGGGAACATCGTGGTTTTCAGCGAGACGTCGAATGTGTCTGGGAGGTGCAGTCAGCAAGCAAGCAGCCGTAGTGAAAAATAACAAAAGGACTCACCTGGCATCGGCGATTCCTCCTGCCAAGTTGAATCCTCCTTCCACTGCGAATTTGTTCTTGCTGATTCTCTCGGCGTATCTCGTCAAGTGAGGCGAGGAGTGTTGATCCCTTATAAGCTCGACGAGCTGACTCGAACCGACGCCAACTTGATCTGCGAGTGTGAAACTTTCCGATAAGAGCTCGATAAAGCCGACCTCGAGCGAGTTTCCGACGAGCCTGACACCCATATCAGTAAAGAGCCAAGGGCGAGTTTTCGAGAAGATGACTCACTTGAACGCCATGGCTCGCTCAACGTTGCTACCCAGATCCATGACCTTCTTACCGATAGCTGGGACAAGGGCATGTGCAGCGTGCTTCCTGGCAAAGTAGTCTCCGGAAATTGCCAAGACGAGATCCGCATCCTCCGCGGCAGCCGGGATACCTGGACGATGTCAGCAATGTCCAAATGAGCACACTCACCAAAGACTGGGCACGAGAGGAATACCCTGTGAGGTTTCGAAGTGGCCATACGTTCCATCGCGCCTGCAGTGGTGGGGAAGATCTGAGCCAGAGAAGGATCAGGCGAGCTTCAAAAGGTTACACATGCTGACTCACGGTGCTGGTGTCGATGAAGATGGTAGTTCGCCCGTGACCACCTGGCTTGATACCATCTCCAGCGTCCGATTGACTCTACGATGATGATATCAGAAACAGAAATCTCGGAATAGACCAGGCGATCGCACCTCCTGACCCTTGAAGAGCTGTGTGTAGACCTCTTCAACAGCTTCATCACCTCCCAAAGACGTCACAATGATGTCGGCGCTGCAACGGATGGTCAATGAAACCCCCCTTGTGCACCAGAAGCAGGCTCACGTCTTGCCGATGACATGCAAGTCCCTCTCGACCTCGTACATCTCCTCGGTCAAGCCCTTCATCTCGGCATACGTCTTGAATTCTGACAGACCCTTGTCTGATCGATTGTATACCTTCAAGGGGGGCTGAGGGAACATGAGCACAAGGCGATCGAGTATTGGAGCTACGGAGAGCTCACGGCTGCTCTCTCTGCCAGCGATTTGGCCAGATTGACCGCCATCCGTTTTCCCATTGCCCCTAAACCGACGAACGCTAGCCGATCCTGCGAGAGAGGTATGAGCGATATCATCGGAGGAGACATATTGAATCGACTCACGTGCGCAGGGACAGGCGTTATGGGTCTTGCGAAAAGATCTCAGCTCTAGCCTACAGCAGTTCTGCTCGGACGATTGATTATCGCTCACCTTGAAAATGGGATTGGTTTCGTGTCTCCTCCATCCATAGTGTCATCCTCCATCTTTTCGACTGGGGGCGTATGAGGTAATCCGGCAGTGGAATCGGCAGCGAAATGAGCGTGATGACTTGACATGTCGAGGGTGGTACTGTGTGAACAATTGAGGCTTACACGTCGATGATTCTGACTGGATGGAAGTTTGGGCGAGTGTTGTAAGAAAGGTGGTGCTCCAGATTCAGCGGGTCCAGTCTTTATTTAATTGAATGTTCAAGCAAGGATGATGACTCTGGGATAAGAGACCGCTTCCGGGAGACTGCGTTAGGGGAACGGGCAGTAGGAGTTCCAGTGGATCGCTAGTCGCTAACTATTGATGAGTCTGATCTCTTGCCTGGATTCGATGGACGAAAACGTAGAGAGAGAGAGTCAGTGGAAAGAGGTAGAGAACAGATGAGAGACAATGAGACTTGAGGCCGGATGCGAATTTTTGGCGAATTCCAGCTGTGACGTCGTCGTGAAACGCCCCGCAGCTGCTATTCATCCACTTGGTTTCGCACCTCACATCTCACCTACAGCATGGCATCCATCGCACCGTCCAGAGCAGCGCCTCCTCCACCTCCACAAGATGAGGAAGGAGAAGATTCTGGAGCTTCAGCAAGTGAGCATCATACCAATGGCGAAAACGGGGGAGGGACGGGGGCGCAGGCAGGCAGGCAGATAGTGTCTCACCGCGTCGAGGCCATCCCTCCTTCTTTCGTCCGTCTCACCGGTTGCGTGAGTGGAGAGCTTACTATACTTGCTTTGTGCGTCATAGGAGAACGACTGCTTGCAGGTGCGAAACATGATAACGAAGAGCTAGTGGAAGAAGCTTTGAACGAATTGGAAGATATCAATCACGTTGATGGGTGAGCTCTCGGTGGGAGAGACAGAGACGATGCAGTATTGGAGAATCATTGATGCCTTTTGATGCGCGTTTGCCTCGACAGGCTTGGAAACACTGGTGAGCTGAGACCGGCCAAAACATGGATGTCATGCTGACGTCGTGGGATTCAGCACTTCACTATGCGTGCGTTGTTGACTCTTTGGCCTCCCCCCATGCTTTCCAAGAGAATCCTACTGACACCCTCCCTTTCCGCAGTATCATCCACGCTTCGACTTCCACTCTCGAACCTATCCTCTGCCATGATTCGTGTGATGTAGATATTCGGAATCGTCAGAATGGAGATACACCATTGCACATCGCAGTGAGGCAGCGATGGGAAGACTCAGAGGGCTTGAGATTGTACCTTGGTAAGCGGCCCCCATTTCGGAAGCCCTTCCTGAGGGATTCTTGACTTACATCCGATACAGTTCAGAGCCTGCTGGAAGCTGGAGCAGATACCAAGTGAGTGACAGTCGAACACACACCCCGGCTCCGCCTCGGCTTAACAATGCTCAACTCACCCCGGGTGACAGGATTCGCAATCGGTACAATGAGAAACCCGTCGATCTTCTCCCTCGACCAGACTCGTCAGCCGACCCAAACTCTGACGATGAGCAAGTCAGAGCGGCGCTCAGAAAAGCTGAAGCAGAGGCCATGGTCGCCGACAGGGGCGACATCGTGCAAGGTGGGTGATTTCCTCATCAGACGTCCTGCTGACCTCACGGCTCAGAGGACGACCTTATTGATCCTAATGACGTCGCTTCGGATTCAGACTAGATACCTGGATGAATACAGATCTTGATGACATGCACATGGCTCCCTTGCTCGCCTGTATGCACTGACCAGCATGACCACATGGATCCTTCGCATGCGCTGGACTGGACCACCCAATGCGTTAGAGAAAATGCATTTTGTGACCAGTGCCATCCACTTGATCCCCAAAACGACTTTATACATGGGTCCAGCCTGGACCACGGCTCACGCCAGCCGCGGTACAAGGCACACCGCTCTCCATCCTGTCGCACCTTCCTTCCCACTACAGCCCCCAGTCTACTCGTCTGGGACGACGAGCTCGCCACTCCTGATCTCCTCGATGATGTCGTGAGGGGGTCTTCCGTCAACAGTGCATCCAACTGATTGGGCAGTTCCGAGGATTTCCCTGACTCCTCCTGAAAGGTTCTTGGCGAACGATTTGTGAGCCATCTTACGGGCGATCTGGACGTGTGCGTTAGAAACCCGAAAAAAAGCTAGAGAACCCAAGGCTGGCCGACTCACGTTGTAGACTTCGTCGAGGGAGATGTTGCCGGAGTGTTGGATGTTCTTCTGCTTCTTTCGGTCACGAACGGGCTCTGAGGTAAAATGTTAGCGGCTGAGAGAAGACTCATACAAAGTCGCGCTGAGGGATCCGATCCAGGTGAGGAGACACGGGGCCCCGAGCCTCCGCAAACAGGTAGAAGGGAGAGCGCCGAGCTACGGATTGGCAGAGCGGAAGGACGCCGAAAGAAGGCTGGGGCAGCCGATGAGCAGCCCCACCCGTCTCCCAAGGCTCCGACTGTCTTCCACGGCCCCAGTAGTCTATGCGCTCTCCGAACGTATCCCTCCTTCCTGCGTCCCTCACAACAGTCCCATCCGCTGATTCCACCATCACTCACCTTTCAGAGCCTTGATGACAAGGGCAGAAGCGGTAGGGACGACAGTGACGGTCGCTTGACGGTTCTGGATCGTCAATTGACAGGTGACTCGCAGACCCTTCCAGTCTCCAGTAGCTTTGGCAATGTCTTCACCGACCTTCTTGGGAGACTAAGAGAGGGGCATTGTCAGCCGACAGAAGGGCTTGACGGGCACAGGGTGAAGATTTTTCCAACGACAAGTGGGTTTGACGAATTTTGCAATTGGTAGTGTGCCCTTTTTCAGCTCCACAGAGCAGCAAGCCGACGACCCTTCCAATGCAATCGCCTCATAGGTCCATTCTCGACGCTGCATACGATCCGCCTACTCACCAAACCAAGAGGACCGATCTTTGGTGCCAGAGCTGAGGAAGCACCAACTTCACCTCCAGTCGCACGGAGGTAGATGATCTGGCAGAGGGGTCAGTCGGGTTGATCCAAAGAGTCCGCGCAGCGAGACTGGATTCCAATACTCACCTTTACCTCGTTGGGGTCGATCTTGGGAGCCATTTTGATATGATTGTGCTATCGACGTGATGTAGGACGACCTCTTAAGCAGCTCGAGTGCCAGGGGAAGCCAGGTGAGAGAGCCCGCCAATCCTCGTCGGCGTTTATTTTAACGCCGATATCGGCGATGATGCTTAAATGTGGCACCCGGCCAGTCCCGGAGGCGCTGGCCCCCCACCCCCACCATCCGTCATTGGCATCGGTTCCCAAACATAAGCTCATGCTTTAATAAAAATGACCAGACCCCTCAAGTTCATCTCTTGCAAGTCGGTTCACCGCTAAAGCTACTGATCTGTGCGCTAAATCTTCCCTTACAGACCTCCGACGCGGGGTCAAGACCGCGGAAATAGGCTTGGTAGTGGGCGATAAGATCCACCCTGCGAGTCTGAAGGGTAAACCAGTGACATCGCTCTTTGACGTGATTGAGAGATGGGATGAAACGGATAACGGAGCGACCCTCAAAGAAGCTGAGGAAGTATTGAACCTTGGCGATGTCGAGGTCCTTGCTCCATTACGTGGGAGAGACGTCTTAGCCGTAGGGTACAACTATAAGGATCACCATGCGTGAGTCCGACCCACCGAGTCGAGAGGTTTGTGGAAGTTGACAAGGGTTAAAATGTCAGCGAGTTCCAAAACACAGGTATTGACAAGTCCATGTCTGGCGATCTGCCAGAATACCCTGGTGCGTCAGGCGTGTGCAAAGCTTGTCATGCCGAGTCTGACCTTTGTCTTTCAGTGATCTTTACGAAACGAGCTACCTCCATTGTGGGCCACGGGCATCCGATCTATACACATCCAAAAGTCACAAGTAAGGTAGACTACGAGGGGGAGTTGGGGATTATCATCGGAAAGGGTGAGTGTGCGGATCGATCTCGGATCCAGTGATGCCTCAGGCCCATACGACCTTTTGGGAGGTTTCATGAATGCGACCCAGGCTGTTCGAGATTTTTGCGGTGGGCCATCACGAGCTGACGATCTTGAAGGCGGTTTTAGGATCCTCAAGGAACACGCTTGGGATCACGTTTGGGGAGCGACCATCATCAACGATGTGACTGCTAGAGATAGACAAGGGATGCACAAGCAATTCTACATCGGAAAGAGCTTGAATTCGCATTGTCCCATGGTGGGTGTGACGCCAACGTATCTTGTATACTGATGGGATCGTCCTCACAGGGTCCATACGCAGTGCATAGTGAGTACAGCTCGGTCCTCGTGAGATTTGAGTGCCTCGCTGACCCCTGCCCTGCCCTGCCCCCCCAGAGTCCAACCTCGATTTCAACAACATGAGCATCCTCACCCAACTCAATGGTCAAACCGTCCAATCTCAACCGACTACCGACCTCTTATTCGATATACCAACACTCGTTGAGACCCTCTCCATGGGCATCACACTGCAGCCAGGGGACGTGATCGCCACAGGGACGCCTGTAGGTGTTGGCGCATCCACAGGTCGATTCTTCAAAGGCGGAGATGTGATCAGCGTGAGCATAGAGGGTCTAGGGACGCTGGAGAACACAGTTGAAGATGGTGACGGAGCTGGCAAGGTGTCCCAAGTCAGAGAGCACAGGTCAGAGGTATGAATGAGACAGCTCGAGGGTTGAATTTGTAATGCGGTCAGATTAGGAAATATTTTCCTAATCAATTAGGAAAATCATTAGTAAATCGCCCCCCTCCCTCCTTCGCCACTCTAGGTGGAGACAACATCCATCGACGTCCATTCTTGACAATTGACCTGTAAACTATCAGACGCTCGTCGTCCAATCGACCGGCATAAAAGAGGCATCACAGACCGTGTCCCTCTCAGTGACTCATTGGAAGGCGTGTAGAAGCTCTTGGAGTGGAAAAGCAAGGATTCCAAGGAGCTGACGAGGCATTGAGAAAGGTTTGGGCCTCCCTGCCCTTCTTTGAACTCGAATCGACCTTTCTCGCACGACCTCCTCTCTCACGATCTTTCACGACTCATCCGTCGTTAACTGGGCTTGCATTCAGCTCAGTGGACTCTCAGGAGTACTCTCGAGTTCTTGGTTGATCTCGGGGTTTCAAGCTTTCTTTCGTTCCAACACCCCTTCCGATCAACGACCTTTCAGCCATTCACCACATTGTCCTTCCTTTCCCTTCTCCCGACATCATGTCTCTCGCTCTACCGTCCTCAGCCGGGCCATCCAGTGGCAAGGTCAAGGCTCCGACGCCTTCGGCCGTTTCGCAATCTGGATCCGCAACGGATGGAAAGCCGGTGACCAGTGTTCCAGAGATCACAGCGGTACAGGGTCTAGTCCCGACGTTGCAGTGAGTCAGACCGTGTGCGAAATGCCTTGTTTCTCGTGCGTCCTTGCGCAAAGCGCGGGCGTAGCGGCTGGGACCCGGTGTGGTATGCTGTTCTGGGCGGAGGTGCGCCGTTTATCATCCCTCTTGAAGCTCCCGCCCGGGGTCGAACATACAGTCCTCGCTTTCCCTTGCTGAGATTCTTCTGTCCCCAACCCCTCGCGAAGCCCCGCTGACATCTCTCCCAAGAAACATTGTCGCCACTGTCAATCTCGAGTGCCGTCTGGATCTCAAGACGATAGCGCTGCACGCGCGAAACGCAGAGTACAATCCAAAGGTGACTGACTTCTTGAATGGGTTCTAGCAGCTTTTGTGCGTTGTGCTGACGCTAGCGTTATGCTCATGTCGTTCTCCTGCCACCATCCCTTCTGACTTTATCTTTCGCCCTCTGTGACACCCTCTTTTCTCCACCCTCTTGATCTCCCATCCTCATTTCCCGCCGCCTTTCGCCTGCCCCAACAGCGATTCGCCGCTGTGGTCATGCGTATTCGAGAACCTAAAACGACAGCCTTGATCTTCGCATCTGGAAAGATGGTCGTCACAGGTGCCAAATCTGAAGACGACAGTCGATTGGCATCGAGGAAATACGCTCGAATCATCCAAAAGCTAGGGTTCGAAGCGAAATTCGCAGAGTTCAAGATTCAAAACATTGTGGGAAGTTGTGATGTTCATTTCCCGATCCGATTAGAGGGCTTGGCATTCAGTCATGGAGCGTTCAGCAGCTATGAGCCAGAAGTAAGCGAACTCAGGGGGCGCCATGGTGGCCGAGTGCTTGAGAGAGAGCGAGAGGAGAAGTTTCTGGCAGATTCGCTGAAGCGACACGCTTTCGCAGTTGTTCCCTGGTCTCATCTACCGCATGATGAAGCCAAAAGTCGTGTTGCTCATCTTTGTCTCTGGAAAGATTGTACTGACCGGAGCAAAGGTGAGAGAAGAGATTTACATGGCGTTCAATCAGATCTACTCGGTCTTGGTCGGTGAGTGCCTTGTCAATGGGCCCAAGCGAGTCTCAAGACTGACGACGGTCCACAGAGTTCCGTAAAGAGTCATAGAGCGCGACAACGAATCCGACCGATCGATGGCGAATTCTGACGGGCACATCATCTCATCTCTCCAACCGTTGCGAATGGTGTCGTTCCATCCGAGATAGACCAAGATGTGAATGTGTAAACACGGCATCCACCATCCGTTTCCTCTCCCTGCCCCCTCTTCCTCATCCACGCAGCGGTGTTCTCATATTCTCCTTTTCGTCCCTCAATCACCATCGACAGCCTAACACTCTCGTCACCTTTGTCCCTCTGTCTCGTACACTGTGCATTGGCAGAGATCATGTAGACCCCATGCATTGTCATTTGAAGTTCGGAGATGCGATGGCCGACGGTGATCATCCATGACGAGGATCGGAATGCCGAAGTGGTGATTATTATGCATTGATCATTGATCTCTCATGTCCCCTCATACAGAGGATCGATATTGAGCACGATGTCGCTGCTTTCAGACTAGCTTGAACGGACTCCGTCAGACAGACCTGTCACCATGAGCGGCTCCTCGTCGATGGCGCCTGGTACCAGCCACGGCATTCACTTGGTCGTCATTATTCACGGACTTTATGGGTCTCCAGCGAATCTTAGAACAATAGACGAGGAGGTCAGGCGGGCTGCGGAGGAGGCGACAGATATCTCATCCTCATGTCAGAACCAGTCCTCCGAGGAGCCTGACCCTGCTCGCTCAAAACAAGGACTACGCACCGTTACCCTCCTCCTGAAAAGCTTTACAGGTTCTCACACCTGGGATGGTATCGATGTCAATGCTCATAAAGCCAAAGATGAGATCATGCACGAGATCTCTGCTTTGGAAGGAGATGGACGATCGGTCACACATATCAGCTTCATGGGATACTCTCTAGGTGGATTGGTCGCTCGATACCTTGTGGGACTCCTTCATGCTTCCGAGCCCTCCTTCTTCGATACGCGGCTTCCTGTATCGTTCTCCACTGCGGCCACACCTCATCTGGGTGTACTACGGTACGCTACGCGGATGAATACTGTCGTACATACGATCGGACGGCGATTGTTCTCGAGGAGCGGACAGCAAATGTATTGTTTGGACAGGTACGATGGGGAGGAATCGTTGTTACAAGTCATGGCGGATCCAGGTGAGTCGTGTAGCACACTCGAGCTCGATGCGAGACGTCGAGATCTCAAAAGACCAAGATGACGCTGACATGAGAACCAGAGAGTATCTTCATGGAGGCTCTACAGCTGTTCCCGAGGATACTGATCGTTGCGAATGGGTCAGTCAGTCTCGGGCGCTACCTTTCTGCTCTGCTCTTGATTCGCTGACAACCCCCCGACCTAGATGTCACGACCAGACTGTGCCGTACCCAACTGCTTCTATCTCTCTCACGGACCCCTTCGAGGGTTTCACCAATACGGGCATAGAAGTCACAGTCGACCACAGGAATGTAGCGACGTCTTGGTCGTTCCCACCAGAGCTGGATAACGACGAGGTCAAGACTGTCTCGGCCAAGTCGAACAACGCTGTCAAGCAGTATAAAGGTTCAGATGGTGTTCTAAGGAGTCGACCGAGGTTCCCGCCGTTTTTGATCTTGCCTTATCCATTCACCTATGTGCGTGTCGTTGGTAGCCTCCGACTCGGAATGCGCAGCTGCAGACATAAAGGGCTGACATATGGTGGAAAAGGTCTTGATCGTTATGATACCCATCCTCATCCCTTTGTGGATGATCACAGCGTGAGTGAGCTTCGTGAAAAAAGTTACAGGATGAATTTGACCGAGATGCAGATCTTCCGTCTTACTGTATCACTCGTACCAAGCGTAAGTGTTTGTACACGCCGTCAAGGTCTCGTCTGACGCCTCCGATGCAGCCGCCAGAGGCTCCGATTACACGAGATCGAAACCATTACCAAATCAGCCATCAAATCTTCCACCTCATCACTACGCCGATTGGCTGAACGTGATGCGTCCCAACCAGACATGATTCCGACCCCTCGATATCGTACCCGATCCAAAACGAAACGTTCGTCTGAGCTCAACGACCCTGACGAGAGCACACCTCTGATCTCAAGACACACCACGCCTTCATCATCGTCAGCCCCAATGTCGAGGACAGAGACCCCGCCACTTCATGATCCTGCGGCCGTTCCTCTGCCAGCCACGCAACTTGATGCCGCGTTGCCGGACGAAGATCGTGATGAAGAAGATGGGCCTTCATCAGACGCGATACCACGACCTGGTCAGATTCCACTGCTTCTTACGCCTGCTCAAAAGCGAATGGTACGCGACTTGAACAAGAGTTTGCCGCAGATGCAAAGGATGGTAGCTTGGTTCCCTTGGGCTTTCAACTCGCACGCTCTGATCGTGGCGAGGTGAGTGGCTGAGCGGAGAGCCGTTTCAGTGCTGATCCCAGTCCAGAGATACAAAACGGTTCGCATGGCATGAGGAGGGTCGCGGAGTCGTCCGCGCATGGGCCGAATTCGTAGTCGAGTCGGCGAGGAACAAGTCAGCATTGTGGATTGACCAGCAATTAGCTGTGCCCCGTGGCTAGCCCTCCACGCGAGCCGCCCGTCAGTTTCCGTTGTAATCTCGCATGACGCAGACGATGCATACATAGCGATCGTAGCTCGTACACACCTCCTCCTCTTCGTCCTCCTCGTGAAAGCTGACACACGACCCAAGCACCTCTGATGAAATCACGAAGGTGATTAACGGTATCGTCGGAGAGAGAGGCTGTAGGTCAAGCGTAAGCTTATATACACACAGAAATTGTTGAGGAGGGTGCGAGGTGCGACACTCACGTGTTGTGTTTCCTCCAGGTGGCTCGGGCAGGGGTATGGTTGTACTTGGATCCTTTGCCCAATCCCCTGTTCCTCTTGCCTTCGGCAGTGAGTCCTCGGGATTCTCGGTGCTTGTGAACGGGGTTGCAGATCCAGTTGATTCGAGGGTCTCGGCGAATGGCCTTGTGCGAGGGGCTGGAATGCAACCGAACGTCAGCAGGGTGGCAATGTGTCTTTTTTTTTGGACAGTAAGAGCCGAGGACTCACTCGACAAGGATGACTTCAAAGTACTTGTAGACTCCGTCTTGGTTGACCCAGTATGAGTTGAGCCTGGAATAAAAGTCAGCATCGTTTCTCTAGCAGATCGGCGTAGTATAGGTAGCCTCTGCCCCCGCAAAACCCCTTTGCTGACGCTGGAAGCTCCTGACTTGCCCACTCACACTCTCAAGTTTCCACACCTCCTTCCAACTCTCTCCTCGGCAGTCGCTTTGAGACCTCGCTGAGGTTTCAATTGAGCGATACCCTGTCGGACGGGTTTTCCGTAGGTAGCACCCTTGGGCGCTGGCCTCTTCCTGTTTCCTCTCCTGACTCTGATTCGGTAGATCAAGTATCCTTGCTTGGCCTTGTATCCCAATCTCCTGGCCTTGTCAGGTCGAGAGGGTCGAGACGCTCGGTGACAGACGGCGAGTTGTCGGTATTCCCAGCATCGGACTCGAGACACGAACTGAAGAACGTCCGACTGCTTCTTGGTGTAGAGCTCGGAGAGGTACTTGTAGGCACCCATCTGAGAAGGAAGTCAGCACAAAGTCGAACAGGGTGAGACGTGGCAGAATGCTCTATCTGTACTACCTCCTCCCCTGCCCTTATACCATGACCAGACTCTCATGCTACTACTCACTTTGATTCAAAGGTCGAGTGAGTGAACGACTTGAAGGCTGAAAAGAGAGAGAGAGACCCCTTCGACGACCTGTTGGCTGCTTTGCATCCGCTGGAAAAACTGCCACGAGACTTGGGGGAGAAGCAAACCCGAATGCTAGACACTGAAAATCTTAACGCCGAGAGATGAAAGGCTGCCATGTGGCATCTTAACGCCGAATATGGCGATAACAGTCACAGCCGAGGGCATCACTCGGATAGGACCGAGGTTCGAGGTCATAACAAGATTTCTACTTGTGCATGCAGCATCTACAACCATGCACTTGCCGCTTGCCCTCCTGTCGCTGGCCGTCTCTCCGACCTACGCTCGCCCTCAACAGCAGCCATGGCGTGCTCTCCCTGAGACAATAGCCAAGCCTCGACTATGCCCAGATTCCAACTTCACCGTGAGGGTGGATCCGGAGCAAAACATCACCACTGACCGTCCCGTCAATAGCAATACTCAGGCTACGTCCCTGGTTCTGAGATCTTCTTTTGGTTCTTCCCTTCCCGGTCTGACCCCTCGAAAGACCCCATCGGCGTTTGGACGAATGGTGGTCCAGGCTCATCTGCGCTCATGGGCATGCAATATGTCGGTCCATGTGAGGTAGTAGAGGGCGATCATGGTCCAGAGATGAGGAGGAGAGAATGGAGTTTCAACGATCATGCGAGTATCTTGATGATAGATAACGTGAGTTTTGAGGGAGTCAGCACGAAGACTCTCGCTGAGATCTTCAGCCTCGTGGCGCTGGATTCTCATTTGCAAAGTTTCCAGCTGTAGATAACATCTACGATGGGGCAAGAGACGCTTGGATCTTTCTCCAGTCCTTTTTCAAGGTCTTCCCAGAGTATCAGGCCAATGCTCTGGCCGTCAACTCTGCGTCTTATGGAGGGTGAGGGGTGCCATCGAGCGTGTGATCATGCTGACAGGCGCGCTCAGGCACTACTGTCCGGCTTACGCATCGTTCATCCAACATATGAATGCCAAGATTGCAGGCGAACCTTCTTTATGGGAAGATATCTGGGAAGACGAAGCGACCGATGACGCCATTCGATTGAACCTCACCAGTATTTCCATCGGTAATGGGTTCATCAACAATCGAGTCCAAGCACGATTCAATATTGAATACGCGTGTGGAGGTGCCGATATCCCCATGCTGGGGGATGCAGAGGAGTGCGAATGGGCCAGGAAGCAGATCGATATGGCTGAGGAGCTCATGGATACCTGCCGATCCAAAGTTGAATGGTACGTCACTCTACCACCACCACCGATACGACTGCTGAATTGAACTAGCTCGGCCGCTGGACTATGGACAGACAAGGTCTCGTCCTTCCCTTATGAGACTACAGGTTTGAACCCTTACGATTACCGTCGATCTGAGCCCTACGACGAAACTCATATCATTGCCTTTTACAATAATGCGAGTGTTCAAGCTGCTTTGGGGGTCATTCAGCCTGGACAACCGGCGAAAGTCTGGGAATCTCATTCGAGACGAGTAGCTGCCGAATTCATTCTCTCTGGTGATTGGGATGAGAGAACAGACTACCTCTTCGCCAGGTTGTTGAAGAGTGGCGTGGGGATATTGAAGTACGAAGGAATGGTCGATTGTGGGTTGGCATACGGTGTGCCTCTGCCGCCTGAGACTGATAATAATGAACCTAGGGATATGCAATTACCTTGGGGTTCGACAGGTCATGCAGAATTTGACGGATTACCAGCATCAAAAGGCATGGAACAGAATCGACATGAAGCCATGGTACGGCCAAGGAGACGTATCTGCTGGTCGATACAAATGCCATCAGCATAACGGAGAAGCCCCCCTGTGTTACGTCGAGGTCGAAGACGCCGGTCATGTAGTCAGTACCGACAAGCCCAAGGAGGGAAGCTGGCTCGTCGGAAAGTGGATGAACGATCGAGAAATATGATTCGCAAAGTTTCTGGACGAGCAAGGCTAGTTTGTACATGTATGTAGGCGACTCAATGGCCTGTACGAGCAAGAAAGTCCATGAAGCAAAGTAAAAGGCCTATCTACATTTTTCTACCACCCAACCTACTGAGCAACTCCCCCGGAAGCCACTGCGATCTCTCGTCTGACCGAGGAGAACTTTCTAGCGGAGACCTTCTCTTCGAACAACATGTCAATCTCCTCAAATGTGAATCCTTTTGTCTCTGGTAGTCGGAAGTAGGCCCAGACGAGGCAAAGAGCAGTCGATCCAGCCCAGAAAAATCCTGCCTTGGCTCTGCGAAACGTTGTCAGCCAGAGCTCCTCAACACTACGTAGCGACTCACCCCCAGTTCCATGCTGTCGTGTTGAGCATGTATGGTGTTATGACTCCGGTCCAGATACATGTGATGTTGTATGCATTTCGAGCGAGCACCACAGTCTTGTGTCGGAGTCGCGAGGATGGAGTCTCAGGCACGATAACGTCTGCAGCGAAGAGTCAGCATCCTGCACTTCATCATAAGTTGGTTGATTTCTCGCTCACAGGTCAGCGGTCCGATGGTCGAGTCATAGATGAAAGTGTAGATGAGGAGGAATGCTCCGATGGCCCAAGAGGTGCTAGTCGTTTGCTTGCCGAGACTCAGGAATCCGACGATCATGAGCGACACAAAGATGCTGACGAGTCCCCAGAGGAAGATTTGACGACGTCCAAAGCGTTTGATCATGGGCCAAGAGAGCAGGGTTCCAACGAAAGCGATGGCATACTAGCGATGTATCAGTCAACAACAGGTCCCCCCTTTCTTTCATGGGGAACTAATGTCTCACCAGTCCGAGACCCATGTTGAAAGCTTGAGCCGAAGGCAGACCTGCGTTCTCAAAGAAGTAGATGGCGTACGTCTGGAGGACGGGTCCACACATTTGTTGAACGATCCAGGTGACCACTGTGATTTCTGTTCGGCGAAGATTGGTGCCCTTGAAACAGTCCATATATCCTGCTCCCATGGTAATCTGTCGTTCCCGTTCAATTGTTTGAGAGACGAGAGCGATGGCTTCCTGAGGTGTAGGAGCGATACTACCATCGTGGTCCGATTGAAGCCGCTTGAACGCATTCTCAGCTTCGTTGAGCTTGCCGTGTTCGACGACTGAGCAAAAGGTCAGCGTTCTGCCACTTTTTGACAGCGAGAAAACGACCTACGCCATGTGGGGGACTCGGGACAGAAGATGCAGACGAGGATCAAGGGGACGGGCCACTGTAAGAGGTCGATCAGTCTGGCTGTCTTGATGTGCACAGCACGCAACCACTCACGATCCATTGGATGGCATATGGGATTCTCCAACCCCATTCGTCAGTCCTCGACTGGACACCCACCAGAACACCCGAAGCGATGAATTGTCCAATGACCCAACAGAGATTCACGTAAGAGGTGAGATATCCCCGAAGGTTCGTAGGCAAGACTTCGGACGCGTAGACCGTCGTCACGGTCTGGTAGACACCCCAAGGGATACCACAGAGGATCTGGCCTGCCAATTGAACGCCGAGCGTCTTGCCGAAGAAGGAGACAAAGATCTAGAGCGAGATCAGTATGCGCGACTGCGAGATGATGACCCTTTTGACCTACGAAAGCAATCATGAGAACCGTAGCTCCTCCCATAACCTTCTTGTTACCGAACCAGCCGATAAGGTATCCAGTGATTTGGAGACCAAGGATTTCGCCAATGTATGCACCGTTGGTGACTGACATCAGCATCATGCCGAGACAAAGATCGACTCACCAGCAGCCTGCCAAGGTGCGGTGATGGATGGTGAGCCGTCCACGACAATGTTGCCAAACGTGTTGTTGAACGAAGGGAAACCGAGATAAGAGCCAATCTGTCATCCATCGGTCAGCTAGTAAGTGGCATTCAGCGAACAAGCTATTCACCAGAACTGTATCAAAGCCTTCCATAATAACAGCCATGGACAGAAGGATACTCCAAGCGATGGCTTTTGGATACAATGACAGTGCCGTCCTCACTGGCAGTGTGTGTTCTTTCGCAGTGGCGAGTCCTGCATCTCGAATGGTCTCTTTGCTCTCTTCATGAAGGACATATTGGTGGTCGTCCCCCTTCTCTCCGTGGACTTGACGCGGTGCAGTCTCTATGGATTCCATTCCGTGTGTAATGAGAAGGAGGGACACAGACTGAGACTCAAGAGATAAGCAACAGTCGGGAAGAAGAACGCAAAGAACGCTGGGATTATATTTTGCTGGGATCTGGTTTGTGGAGGTGGGGGACCCGACGGGATGGTCACATCGGAGAAGCCGGTGAGTCCCGATCTACCCGAAGACTGACGTACTGTCGGATATGCCTGTTCCTATCTTTTTCGGGACATCGCCGCCCCGGAGACTGTTCAGTTCAGATCAGTCAGTTCAGTCACACTTCAGTCAGTGACTCACTTTCAACCCACAGCATGGCAGAGACATTCCAACGTCGAGCACACTACAAAGAATGCTGTATCTATCAGATCTACCCTGCTTCCTTCTGCGATGGTAATGGAGATGGGATGGGCGATATCCCAGGAATCATTTCAAAATTGGATTATCTGAAAGACTTGGGTTGTGTGAGTGAATTCTCGTATTGGTGCAGGTACAGTCGCTGACTTGACAGGATGTTATCTGGCTGTCACCCATCTATCAATCCCCCTTTGTGGACAATGGGTACGACGTGTCAGACTATACGGCAATAGACCCACGATTCGGGACATTGGACGATGTCGACGCACTCATTGCGGGTCTTCATGAACGAGGCATCAAACTCGTCATGGACCTCATCATCAATCATACAAGTAATGAACATTATTGGTTCAAGGAATCGAGGAAATCAAAAGACAACCCATACAGAGATTTCTACTGGTGGCGTCCACCCAAGTGGTCTGAATCCGGCGAAAGACTTCCACCTAACAATTGGCGCGAAGAATTCTCGAACGGATCAGCATGGCAATGGGACGAACATACGGGAGAGTACTACTTGCAGTGAGGAGTCGTCATCGTGTGCGGCGGAGTCTATTGGCTGACCTGCCAGCTTGTATGCCAAAGAGCAGCCTGATCTCAATTGGGAGAACCCAAAGCTCCGCCAAGTCATCTACGAGGACGTCATGAAGTGGTGGTTGGATAGAGGTGTGGATGGATTCAGGATGGACGTGATCAACTTGGTGAGTGGATACGTGAGCGAAGTGGAACTGAGTCTAGTAGATCTCAAAGAATCCCGAGCTGCCAGACGCGTCGATTCAGGACGAAGGGGAGACCTGGCAATGGTCATATGAGCACACTGCGAACGGGTGGGATCATAAACATTGGACGATAGCTGACGATTAGACCACGCATACACGAGTTCCTGAAGGAGATGAACAAGGAGGTTTTGTCGCTTTGTGAGTTATACAATGGGATCATTGGCTGAGTTCAAGATCCCGATATTATCACCGTTGGCGAAACGGTAAGCGGCCACTTGAGACCACTGAACTGACTTTGGACAGCCCTTCACTCATCACGACTTTGATACCCTGGTACCATATGTATTGCCCGAGAACAACGAGTGAGGGGTCGTCTCTCAGATTCATGCTTACGCCTCAGACTCCAGATGATTTTTCAGTTCGAACAGACAGAAGTGGACGGATATCCTCCTCTCGTCGTCAAGAAGTATACTCTTCCCGAATTCAAGCAAGTCACCTCAAGGTGGCAGACGGGCATGCAAGAACGCGGAGGCTGGAATGCAAACTATCTCGAGGTGGGGTTGTGATTCCCCTTCACCCTCGTTCTCACTGACTCGGGTCACAGAACCACGATGTCGCTCGATCAGTCTCTCGTTTTGGAGATGATTCGACCCCTGAGAATCGAGTCTTGACTGCCAAGTTGTTGGCCCTCCTTCAATGTACACTGAGTGGCACGCTTTACGTGTATCAAGGCGAGGAGATCGCCATGGCCAATATTCCCCCGTCATGGAGCATAGAAGAGTACAAAGATGTCGCTTCGCAGGCATACTACCATGAGTGAGTCCGAAGAATCCGACATCACATCATTATCATCATGGCTAAAAAACTTCCTTTCGTCTCAGGGAGTATGAGATACGAAAGAAGGACGGACAGACTCCCGACATGTCAGATGTGATGCACGCTCTGCAGTGTAAATCTCGCGATTGCGCTCGTACGCCTATGCAATGGAGCGATTCGACTCAAGCTGGGTTTTCGACCGGAATACCATGGATGAGAGTGAACGATGATTATAGGGAATGGAATGTCGAGGCACAGAAGGATGATCCAAAGAGTGTCTTGTCATTCTGGAAGGATATGATCAAGTTCAGGAAACGGTATTTGAGCAGTGTAAGTCCTTTCGAGTTGATTGGCATCGCGACGTGACAGGGCTGATCAGCCGCCGCCCATTCAGACATACGGTCTGTTTGAAGAGATACATCCGGATCATCCTCACATTTACAGCTACACCAAGACCTATGATCGGGAAACCATGCTCGTCATCATCAACTTTGCGAATGAGTCGGTTGATTTCGATTTCGGAAATGTCAAGATTCCAGCTGGGAAACCAAAGGACCAGATCTCTAATCTGGAGTCAGGGTCGGCGGCGTCCGTCGACAATAAGGTCTCGATGAGGCCCTACGAGGCGAGGGCAATGGTTTGGGATGGACAGTGACTATATACAATACACACGATCATCTAAAATTCTACCTTGCATAGTATAGACAACAATGGCACATGGCGTTTGATCCGCTCTTGAATGTCGTTTTTGGGCAAGCACCCGCTACGAATCGCAAGTCTTGGTGGGCGGATCAAGCTTGCCTCAGGCTACTTTGCGAAGCGCCTCATCGCAGACCTTTGTCACGGCCAGGAGGTGCTCTTCGTGTAACCTCCTAGCCACTAGCTGCACGGCGACTGGAGCATTGGCGTAGTCTTCCACCCGATCTGCGGTAAGGAATGAGCCACATGTCTGAGTCCTGACTCACAGTCCTGCCACACGCTTGCTTCTACCTCATTGAGCGTCACGATATCTTGCACCGCATCTAGCTGTTGATCCACTTTGGTCACGGGGATGACAGTGGCACAATAGTCCAGCTGGCTCCATACGCTCAGGTAATCGTCATGACCGAACTCGTACCTGGAAGGAGAATTGAGCCATGATATTGGTATGTCGAACGACTCACCGCTTACAAGCGGGCCAAGCAGTACAGGGAGTGATCAAGGCGTCAATCTCCCTCCCTGTCCCGGTGATATCCTTGGTCGCGGACCACAACTTGCCGACTTGATGAGCGAATCGTGTCCGAATCATACAAGCTTGCCATAGATCCGATACCTACTAACGCGTCAACGATATGTCACCGATACCCATAGAGCGTCAGAGTACTCGCCCTTGCGGGTGGCTCATCAGGTGCAGATATCAATTCTAGGTGATCATATCCTCGAGGCCAGGGCTCGCCTGCTACCTCGAGGTTCTCACGGATAACTTTCGCGCCTTGACGGAGGTACAGGTCCCCTTTATAAAGGTTGATGTTGTATCTTCCGGGTCTGATGGTAGCTTAGTAGATGGCCTTGATCGAGAGTGGGCGAACGTACAGATCCACTTGGACTACTGTATGCCCTGCAGCTTCCAGCGCCTCAATGACGAGCTTCAGAGCTCGACTGACGGAAGGTGATGGCCTTAGAACCCCGTCATCCCGTACAAAGCCTGAAGTTGTCAAAAAGATGAATATGCCTTTCCATGCTTTGGCTCATGGCCCAAAGCGACATACCAAAGCAGAGCTTTTGTGGCAGCTTGACTTCTCGCCAAGGTATAGGCAGACAATCTGGATCTGCTTCCCTCCACGGCTCGGTATCGATCACTGCCTTGCTCCACATCTCAATGGCCGCCAGAGAATGACTCATTGGCCCATTCACATTTCGTAGAGCCTCTTGTCCGGGAAACGATTCCACACCCCCATACGCCGGAAAGCGCCCGAAGGAAGGTTTAAGAGTGTATAACCCGCAGAATGATGCCGGGATGCCTAGGCGCCGAAGACTTCAGTGAGAGTATCGGCGGGGCTGGCTCACGTAAAGATCCCCCTATATCACTCCCCACCCCCAGTGGGCTACCTCGCATGGCGAGCAAAGCGCCTTCACCACCTGATGATCCTCCACTTGACAAGCTCCGATTGAACGGATTCGGAGTGTACCCAGTGATATGATTGTAGGTCTGCATGTATCAGTCGATTCCTCCTCTTCTCTCTCTTTCTCTCTCTCTCTCACCTCCCCAGACATCATCCCGACGGGTACACTAGTCTTACAGTAGAGTACCGCTCCGAGGTGTCGCATGATCTTGGTCATTTCAGATTCGTGTCCCGCTTTTGTCTCTTGGAAGGCTAGTGAAGCGTATCCTATAGCTGCGGCCGTGCCCTCGACTCTGTGATGATCTTTGAGGGACACTGGAAGCCCGTGGAGTGGACCAAGGGGCTTGCCTGTCTGGACGTACTGCTCATCGATCCCCTTGGCAGCTTCGAGGGCCTTATCAAAGAAGATTTCAGACAGGCATCCTGTCTAAAGGAAAGAGGTCGATGAGCGTGCCACACTGGATGGAGGCAGCAGCACTTACGAGCTGATGTGCTATCGCCGCGCGTTTACAGAACGCCAGAGTGACCTGGATGAGGAGACAAACCATCAGTCTCAGAGGAGACAAGCGAGTCAAACTCACTTCATAGGACGTGTAGACCTTCGCTGCCAACTGGTCTGCCAGCTCTTTTGCTTCCGAGGAGGTGATGATGATCTCCCGCTTACTCAGTAGACCACAGGTGTCCGGCACATGGGTGATATCGTTTGCTTGATTCGCCAGTATCTCTTCATCCAATATCCAGCCTTGAGGAATACGGTTGTGTACCTGATCCGCCTTTGCATGCGCTATCAGAGCCCAATTCAGATTATTCGCGGCGTCGCTTCGGGGTACCGAGATATGATCTTCGACTCGCACCATGGCTTATAGCTGGTGACTGCAAAAGGTTGAGAGGGATGATGAGAGCTGGGGGAATTAGTCGACGATACATATATATCCCTAGCCTGATGTGCTCCCTCCTTGCTCACACCATTGTTGTCCTTGTTGTTGTTGTTGCTGTTGTGTGTGTGTCGTATCTTATCAAAGGATCTTCATTTCAGAAAGTGCCACAAAAGATAAGGACACTGAAAACTAGTGTCAGTGCCTATCTCCATTCTCGCCTCTCAGCTCCACATCCGCCTCGCAACAAACCCCTTGAATGGATACAATGGTGCATGCAAGTGTGATGGAGACCATGACGAAAGGTCGCCGATGTGACTGATGTTTCTCCTGTCCTCTACTACTTCTCCCTGTGACCGTTCCCCCCTTCAACGGATGAACCTGTTGACGTAGTCTGCACCCAAACCGACCTTTTCAAAGTGCTCCTTCGCCAACTCGATCTTTGAGAACACATCCTCTATCGCCTGGGCATTCCCTTTGGGGTCCACATAAATGTAGGCTCCGGTGACGTGGAACAGCGTGACCATTTCCTCGACGCCTTCGGGGACTTCGAGCGTGTGGATATCACCAGGAGGTTCGAAAGCGTATCCGCCTTCCTCGGCCCACCAGTCGTGTTCGAGGTAGTGCCATCGACCTCGAAGGACAGTGGCGTGAACGGGACCAGTGTGTCGATGACGGGATAAGATGCCTGATTTTCGGACCCGTAAGAGGTTGACAAAGTATCCTTGGGAGACTGAGAATAGTAACGGTCGGAACCAAACGTCCTTTGTCTGAGGTACCCAGAGACGTTCGTCACAGTTGTCAATGTCGAGCACACCATGCACAACGAGGTCGTCTGGGACACCGTGGAGCGGGGGTCCAGAATAGGGAACGGCAGAGATGTCTGTGGGGCGGGTCATGGTGAGGAGAGCGGGTGGGAGCGGGTGTGATGGGAGTAGTTGGCTGTGATGTGTAGTCGTTATATATCTCACTTGAGAGGGTGAGTCTCCGATTCCCTTGACAGTCCTGCAGCGATGTGATACTTGTCAGATGTCAGTGTAAACTTTTGTACTCTGACTGTGGCCACCCACCAATGCATGCTCCAACGGATAAGCCGATAGGCCAGTCATCGGAAGAAGCGATAGGCACGCTCGGCATCTCCATCGGCCGACTTCCCTGCTGCTGCCGGGTTCCAGAGGAAAACTGCGTTTGACCTGTTCCAATTACTTCTCTTCGACCATCTCTCTGAATACGTCGTTTGAATCTTCCATCGATCGTTACAGCACCTAACATGTCCCCCATCCGTGTCGAGGAGAGACCTCCTAGCTCGCTGTTGTACAGAGATTTAAAAGGCCAATTACCAGATATTGTCGTGGAGGCAAAGGGATCCTACCTATATCTCAAAAATGGTGCACGGTGAGTCACCCACAGATGTTGACTCTGGTTACATCGTCTGACACTTCAATTCTCAGTATCCTCGACGGATGTGCAGGTGCAGGAGTCGCCTCCATTGGACATGGGAACGAACGGGTGATCAACGCCGTGGCCGATCAACTCCGCACGCTCTCTTATCATCATACCTCACGTATGACAAGTCCAGTCGCCGAAGCTCTGGGCCGCAAACTCGTCGGACATAAGCCTGGAGGACTGTCACACGCCATCTTTCTGTCTTCTGGTTCAGAGGCCAACGAGTCAGCCATCAAGCTCGTCAGACAGTATTTTGTGGAAATTGGTAAACCTCAACGGCAACATATCATCAGCAGGAACAATTCATATCATGGGAACAGTGTCGGTTGTGTCTCCTTGACCGGTCTGCCAGTGAGTCATCAAACGATTTAAGACTACTGTTGTGTTGACCCATGTCCTTAGAGCCGGCGGCGTCACTTTGCACCCATGCTCATGCCTCACGTATCTCAAGTCTCCCCTTGTTACCCCTATCGTCAACAAGGTGCAGACGAATCAGACCAGGCATACGCCCAGCGTCTAGCGGACGAGCTCGAACAGGAGATCCTACGCGTGGGAGAGGACTCTGTCGCTGCATTCTTCGTCGAGACTCGTGAGTGTCATGCGCGGCGAACCGTTGCTGACATGTTAGTCGGTGGGACCGCTGCTGGAAACTTGGTCGCTGTTCCGGGATACTTCAAGGCCGTCCGTGAAGTGTGCGACAAGTACCAAGTCTTATTGGTGCTCGATGAGATCATGTGCGGAATGGGACGGACAGGAAAGCTTCATGCATGGGAATGGGAGGGTGAGTCAAAAACGTCCGGCGAAGCACTTGTCTGATAATCCCAGGCGTGTCACCCGATATCCAAACGATCGGAAAGGGTCTCAATGGAGGATACCAGGCTCTGTCAGCCGTGCTCATCAACGAACGCGTGGTTGACGGCTTACGGCAAGGTTCCGGAGCATTCGCCAACGGTCAGACATTCCAATGTCACCCTGCCGCCGCCGCTGCCGGTTTAGAAGTGCTCAAGATCTTCGAGGAGGAGGACGTCGTCAATACAGCTCTGAAGCGTGGCGCAGAGGTGAGATTTTCTGTTATACGACATGCAGCTGACTTTTCTTCAGCTTCGCTCGCTCTTGATTCAAGAACTCGGAAGCCATCCGAATGTCGGAGATATTCGAGGACGCGGTCTGTTCCAATCGTTGGAGTTCGTCGCCAACAAGGAGACAAAAGAGACTCTACCAGCCAACATTCCCATCTCCATGCTCCTCGATAATGCCATCTTTGAACGTGGCGCTTTGATCTACTCTGGCTTTGGAAAGGGAACCGCGGATGGATATAGAGGGGATCACATCTTGATGGCTCCACCCCTCAACATTTCCAGTGCAGAAGTCAAAGAACTCGTCGATGCTATCAAAGGAGGTGTCGAAGAGGTGTTTAGTAGACCCGAGGTCGTCGCTGCGACACGAGCAGCAGTTGCTTCACAGTAGATAAGAAGCAGGGAGCAGGGACATGTATTGATTACGTCATATCTCCGGTGCTCCACGTGGGTTATCCACACTCTGTCGGATGACCCGCCCTTGTTTTGCTCGTCGTCGTCTTCTTTCTCCACAATACAAATCTCACAAGAGCTGTGAGGGGCCATGTCTGCCTCACCACCATCCAAGAAGAGGACCAGCCGAGCCTGTGTATACTGCAAGAGCAGGTGAGGTACCCGCATTCCCCCAAGGGAATCTGAAACCAATTTCTCCAGAAAACAAAAGTGTGGTGGATATACTGCCGAAATCAAATGTTCAGCCTGTCAGCAGCGCAAGATCCGATGTTCCTTCGAAGATGAAGCCGAAGATCCTCGGTACAACCCTTATCTAAGGTACGAACAAGCGGCGGCAAGGCAGAACGCGATGTATAATGGTAATGGGGATGAGCCTTCCGGTACTGGATCTTCCGCCATTGGACCATTTAGAACTGGTAGCAGACCCTCAATTGGAGATTCCAATGGTGGACATAATGGGCACAGGGACAGTTGGCAGCATATCGCGCCGCAAGCTGAAGCTGGACCGTCGAGGCAGCAGTGAGTGACGCCTCTATGAATGATGTCTCCTGGGCTCAAACGGACGTGCAGTTCAACAGCTGGTCTGCCTCTTAATCCGCCGCAAAGTATCGCCATGGCGGGTCGAGTCTCAAGTGCGAGGAATGATCACTTGTATGTTTCGTCGCCTCTTTTCCCGCTCACTCCACACAGGTCCTCTCCCCATAGTCAATCACCACCTATACGCTCTCCCTTGCCTTCTGACTTTCGCGGGCCATTGAGGACTCTGCAACATCTCGTCAGTGATGATCTGAAATCTGTCGAAGATGTAGATCCCATCAGGCGACATGTCATCACGCCCGGCGAAGCGTCCATGCTCTTCCAAATGTGAGGCGGAATCCAAATGCAAGGTGGCTGACCCTCTAGATTCTTCAAAAACTGCCATGCGCACGCTCCGTTTCTCGACGTTCAAGCCAATTCAGATTGGAAAAAATGCCAAGACTCTAGCTCTCTTCTATTCTTGGGCATCCTGCAAGTTGCAGCGAGGTACTGGGGCCATTCTTCAAGGTGAAACCATATACCGTCATTTCATGCTGACTTTACAGGGCCGACTCGTGGCTACATCCGCGGTACAATGAATTGGTCGCTTTGCTCGATATGGAAGTCACTCGACTGACACTTCGACCACGAGACGGGGATGCCAGCCTAGCAACGCTACAAGGACTAATGCTCTACGCTCATTGGATGCCCCTCGAAGTCGCGCCGCATGGTCAAGTGAGATTCAGATTCTCAGAGACAGGCGCTTGGCAGGCTTTAGGTCTGGCTATACGTTGGGCCACTCAGCTGGACCTAGATAGCGTGGCGGACTTTTCAGCCGAGACGGGCAATGTACAGGAATTTCGAACCGTCGCGTATTTGACGGAGAGTGACCACTAGTGAGCCCGACCTGTCCAAGGCTTTCGACTGACAATCAGCGTCTCTCTATCGACGCGACGTCGTCCGACGCTTGACACTCAAGGCCTGGCTATTGGCTGTTCGGCTTTTCTCGCTTCGGGCAGGACACAATCTACGGACTTGCGTCTAGTCTCCCTTTTGCGTGTGGCTCATGCCTCTTCGATCATACTTCGCGGAGTCGTTTCTGGGTCTGTCAGCGTCGAGTCTGTCAAGGCATTCAACGAGGATGTAATCCAGGTGGAACGGTGAGTCCGCATAAAGTGATGGCCGCGTCCATGCTGACGAGAGATCAGTGACTATATCGAAACCGCCTGTAAGTACCTTGTTATCGGTGAGAAGTTCTTTACTGAGACGACCATCTGCAGCTCGCCAAGGAGGCGGGGTAGACAGTCATGCACGGCAGTTCCCGTATAGTGAGTTCCAACCCCTGAAGCTGCACTCACGTCAGCTTCACTCCGGTGGTATCGCCTCGCATTCGCAAGCGTCCTGCTCAATTCGGCCTCACCATGGTCAGCTATCGGAGAAATGTTCCATTGGGCCGTGAATTGGGCCAGTCAAATCCTCTTTTTCCTATCCGGATCGGCGAATCGAGGGGAGCGAAACTTGACGGACGATACGGGTGAACCTCTGTTGCCTGATCCCTCATTGGTCCATTTCTTGACATTTGCAATCGACCACTACTATGTGGTGGTGTGAGTGGCCAAAGTCGTTACGTAGCCTATGCTAATCTGCACTCGTAGGGCATATTCAGCTGCGTTCTTGGTGGTGGCTTGGCGCCAGGGAGCCATTGACGGTGGGTCTGCGTTTTACAGGGGCCGGGTTAACGTTCAGACCACCTGGAAACTTGCCCCCAAACACCCAATCAGTTGACTCGCTCCACGGCAATTTCTCAAAGCTCTCTCTTGTACCGCTTGGTCGATCTTGCAGCCAACACCCTATTCGCATGCGCATCCAAGAGTCAACATCTGGCGATTCGATACGCCCATTTTATCCGCGGTTTAGCTGATACATTGCTCCAAGAGCCTCCAGAACAAGATACAGACGGCCAGCCGGCGTCATCTACAAACCCTATCGAAGCTAGCGATTGGGACATTTCGTATCTTTGGCAACAGGCTGGACTGGATCCTGGATTCTTATCGCTTTCTGCGGCGGACATGGTGGATATACATAATAGTCAGGATATCTTCCACTCCAACCCTGGATATCGTCAAGGCGGTGGAGGGGGTGTACAGGGGGATATGTGGACTCCTCCGGTTGATCTGAGCTACGCGTACCCGTCTCAGGGGATGTGAACAAGGAGACAAAATCTCTGTCTGAATCCTAGAAATCTATAGTTCCGACGTTGTATAGAGTCGGGTTGTATAATGCATGCTGCGTGCGTGGTGGTCCAGACACCCTACATTCGTACCGATAGGCGAGAACACGAGTCTGAGGCGTGGAATGGGGGACGACCAGGCTCGATCTTCGAGGGGGATCTGTATCGTGTAAGCGTTGACGAGTGCTTGAGCAGCCACATGCTTCGCCAGGCACATCGGAAATTACCCCAAGGGGGAAATGACCCTCGGATGATCGGTAGTCACTCTCGGCCGGCATGTATTCGAGGCAGGAGCGAGGTATATTATAATTATACAGTGATTCCCCCTCACATACCTAGCTAGGTCTTGCATCTTTGGTCCAACTAGATACCCCAACATGGCTAACACAGACTTCCTCTACGGCTTCGCCTCCGCATCATACCAGATTGAAGGCGCTACCAAGACAGACGGTCGAGGTCCCTCTGTATGGGATGAAGCGCTTTTGGGAAAGGAGAACGGGGACGATGCTTGCGATTCGTATCACAAATGGAGGGACGACATTGAGCTTTTGAAGAAGTACGGCGCGACAGCGTACAGGTTCTCGATCAGCTGGTCGAGGGTCATTCCATTGGGTGAGTTATTCCGTCTGATTCACGGGCGACACGGACGGGCGAAAGTTGACGTTTCATAAAAAGGGGGCAAAGAGGATCCTGTGAACCCCGAGGGAATCAAGTACTATTCCAGCTTGGTGAGGAATGAACGTATACTATATCATACTTCGAGGCTGAGCTGAAGGTTCCAAGATCGATGGGCTCCTCGAAGCCGGTATTACTCCCTTCGTCACGTTGTTTCACTGGGATACTCCGCTCGAATTGGCTAAACGATATCGATCTTTCTTTGCCCAAGACGCAGATCAAGAACGTTTCTTGGCGGATTGGGAACGTTATGCAGACCTGTGTTTCAAAGAGTTCGGAGATAGAGTCAAACATTGGATCACACACAATGAGGTGAGGGTGTCTATATACAGGTCTGAGGTCGGCTGATACTTGCACGCCCAGCCTCAAATCTTTACCATCCTCAATGCCATGTTCCTGGAAAGGGAAAAGTTTGATATGGAGACTGATCGATGGATGTGAGTTCTGGCAGACGCGGTCACACAGACACTCGGCTCACGCGTTCATCGTCCAGTGTCGGAGAAAACCTTCTCCTCACACATGCGCGAGCCGTTCACTGTTACCGAACGAGGTACAAGGAAAGACAAGGCGGTGTGATTGGAATCACTTTGGTGCGTTTTGTTAGCGAGCTAAGTGTTTGCAGCTGGTGGCTGACCGTCAACTACTAGAACATTGAATGGATCGAGCCGATCGATGATTCAGAGGAGGCCAAGGCTGCAGCCCAGCACAGCTTGGATATTCAAGTTGGATACGTGGGTTGTTTTTATCCCGGTGCATGGTGATCGTCGCTCTGACATTCTTCATACAGTACGCCGACCCAATCTGTCAGTCTTTTCTGAGCGTTGTTGGCAAATCTTACTCTTCTTTCAGACCTCGGCAGACACAACGAGACGGCTAAGAAGATCTCTCATGGCAAGATTCGAGAGTTTACCGAAGAAGAATGGGGCATGATAGCTCACTCGTCCGATTTGTAAATGACCCTCTATCATACCGTCTTCTGAGTATTGACGCTCCGCTCCTCGTTCAGCTTTGGACTCAACCACTACTCTACCAAATGGGCCACTGGCAAACCTGGAAAAGAAAATCCCAACGCGTTCGAAGTCCTGTTCGGCAACGTCGAGCAAGTAACTGAGAAAGACGGAAAGCCGATCGGATTCAAAGGTCATAACGGGCACCCGTTTACCGTCCCATGGGGCTTCAATAAGCTCTTACATTACATCAGCAAGACATGGTGCACCGTCGCCAACGGAGGAAGAGGAGGAGAAACGTTGCCTATCTACGTCACCGAGAATGGATTCGCAGAGCAAGACGAAGGTGAAAAGACCCTTGAGGAGATCGTCAACGATACGAGGCGTCAAGAGTATTATGAAGGGTATATCGGCGCCATGGGAGAAGCTATGAAGGATGGGGTCATAGTTAAAGGATACATGGGCTGGAGCTTGTTGGAGTGAGCGGCTCAGTAGGCAATGGGACACCGAAGCTGATGCGGTCGACTTTTAGCAATCTTGAGTGGTGAGTCTTCCTTGAGTCTCGCCGAGAGCGCGTCACCGGGAGAAGATCTGAAGCTGATATAATGTATCGTGTCCAGGAGCAATGGATATGCCCCTCGATTCGGCGTGACGCACGTAGACAGGGCCAATGGCTTCAAACGAACGCCAAAACAGTCGGCTTATACGATCAAGAAGCTGGTACAGAAGATCCTCTAGGCATACTGATGTGAGGAGGATATAGGCTCCGGTCGGAGTAATTCACCGCCACATCGAGCAGAGGCCTGTCCTGTGTAGAGAGAGGTACTGCGACCTAGTCAAGAGGTCAGGTCTGCCGAATGCATGAACATGATGATGTCCTCCATGGACATGTGGAGCAGTGCCTCTATCTCTCTCTGAGCATGTGTACATCCCCCAACAACGAAGGGAGATGACAGCAGCTCACTCTTCGGACCATTCCGTTGCCTCGGCTGCTCGGTGTAATTCTTTTCAGTGCATCTTTTCCGGTTCGACTTTTTGTTGTTGTATTGACATTCGTTCTACATCTGTATCGTGAGCATGAGCTGACATGGCGAGCAAAGTTCCAAAGACGAGTAAGTCGTCGAGTATTCTTCTAGGAACGTAAAGACTGACGTTGTTGTAGTCTCTTGCGACGGTGAGATCTTCTGTCTTTGGGCTAAACCGGCTAATGCTCGATCATCCGAATCAGTTTGTCGTCTGCGCAAGTGGGTTCCTCCATGCTGCTCGCTGGCCATCGGGCGTTCCATTCTGACACACGTCACAGGATCAAATGTGACAAGCCCAGAATCCGGGACGATCCGCCTCCTGAAAGTCCTGCGGAACCTTGTGGATCATGTAAAGAGCAAAAGACACCTTGTGAGTCTTAGGTTGACGGATCATCACTGATCAGCGACTAGGTACGTTCAATCATGTCCCTCAGAAGCCAGGACCTCAACCAGGGTACGACGGTATTCTTGGCAACGCGATTACTGACTCGCTTGCAGGAGTCGGAAACGAAAAAGCGAAGTCATGAGTCCTGCGGGCAATGGGACGCCAGCAATACGGTTCACTCCGCCTTCATCGCATACTACGCCGAAAGCTTTAGATCTACCACCGATGATTGATCCGACTAGCTTGGTACCGATTACCACTCCCCGTTCCCTCCTAGGGGATCGGACCCGCCTCGGTATCCTCCCGTCGAACGGAGCGGGACCCAGTGTCAACAACCGAGATATCCATCGCCGCACAGCATCCTCGGAATCAACGGACACCGAGCTGAGGGACTCGACGAACCCTCTGGAGAAGCATATCTCTCGAGCGGACCTCACGCAAATCCTCGACATCTACTTTGAATATATTTTCTGCCTTGTTCCATTTCCTCATCCGCCAAGTTTCCTTTCGGACCTGTACAATCGACGCGAAGAACGACCTGGTGAAGAAGAGTGGACGATGATGGTACTTGCCATGGTACCGTTCACGTTGGTCCAAGTACCTCATCAGATGTTCCCACATTCATTGGACGAGATCCGACGCCTTGTCGTGGTGTGTCGGGACGAGGTCAAGAGATATCTCAGCAGAGGCTATGTGAGCTCAGGTGTGAACAGGAGTAGGTGTCATTGTGTGACGTGTGAGTGACACCGACTGACTCCAATGTACCACAGATTTCATCCTATACTGGTATGTGATAATGATTTGCGACCGATGCTGAGCTTCCGCTTAGCGCCGGACTGGTCGAGCATAACCTCGGTCATAACGGTTCAGCCCGCGAATTGCATGGGTCCAATGTCTCATTGGTCCTTCAGCGAGAGCTCGACAGGGAGATCGTGAGTGATCCCAGGTCAGATCTTGACTGAAATCGGTAGACGTACTCCAGATTCAGTCCCTACGAGAAAGAACTTCAATCTCGCATGTGGTGGTTGATCTACTGTGCCGATCGATCTTCCGCAACGTGTGAAGCTTCAAAGATGATGATTGATGAGGACATGTGCAGTGGTGTACAGCTACCGAGCGACAAGTGAGTGAAGCATTCGAGATAAAAGTTTCATCGCTGATTTGCTCACCAGCCCGGACATACTCGAAGACCCTATAGCGTTCCTGTCAGAGCAGCCCTCGGTCCTCACTGGATTTCGATACATCTCAAGGGCATGGAGGAGTGCGTCACTGATTAAGAAGATGAACTCACGGGCGCCATAGTCGCTGGGCAGTTGATCAGTCGTCGAGCGAAGGATCTTCGGAACGTCCCACAGGGTCGAGACATTCACGTCCGACTAGCGGAAGTCGACGAGCTACTGGAGCAGCTGGATGGATTGATGGAGGGTTGTCCCTCCTTCCTGCGTTTAGAGCTCGCGACGGAAGACAGTTTGTCCCCGTGCGTCCATGGTCAGGCAGACATGCTGACAAAAGCAGGCTGGAAGCATTCTTGACCCTCAACAACGGTCTCAACTCGCTAGCGGAGGATGGACCGGGAAATGGTGCACCTGTTCCTCAACCCAAAAGACAATACATCATCCAACAGGCCAACATTTATATCACACAGGTCAGTGGAGTCCATCATAGGCTTGATGCCCACTGATTATCCCAGCAATGCGTGAGGATGATGGGTTTACAATATCGAGAGCAGCTTCAGGGGCTTCGATTCGCTGAGAGAGAACGCAGTGGCCCATTCATGGCCAGTCTACAAGCTAAAAGGCAGAGAGAAATCGCAATGTACAGGGACGAGCAGTTTACCGTCTTATCGTACTTGCTCAGGATCCTCAATTCCCTCCCTCACGAACTCATAGGTGAGAGACCGCCTCCATTTCAACTCTGTTCGGAGGCCTCGAGATGACCGTGCTAACGGACATTGACTTAGCGGTCAATTCCCTCCCTGGCGTCACGAAGATCCGATATGTCGCCGCGTCTTTACTGGCTGAGCTGGAGGCTAGTCCTGTGAACTCGGATCACGATGACGGAGCGCATCAGCGAGCCGTTGATTATCTTGGTGGGTGGCTCTTCCGTCAGACAGACGACGAGCTTGCGATTGACGTTTCAGGTCAATACCTTACGATTCTGGCGAAAATTGAGGCTCTGTTCTCGCTCACTGTTTGAATATATGGGCATACACATCCCTCTTTGGCGGGCTTGTCCTCAGTCCACGAGCTTAAGGAGAACTCTCTTTGTCAGAAAGCACGGTTATGGGCAGCCTCAGAGCAATCGTGATTCTGATCAGGTGATTCACTGTCAAAGCCAGGTCTATGTCAATCCAAGGGCCTCGACTTGCGTCACTGCGGCCTCTCTTTCTACTGCTCCGAAGATCCCTCAAGTCTGAGTGGTCGCGCCTGGATCCAACCGTCAACCAGGTTCCCAGTCTGGCGCGAGTAAACAGATTGGTAAACCCCTTACATAGGTCATGGCAGAGTGCCACACAGAAGAGACATGATGATGCCAGACACCGTCATGTGAGCAACGCAGCGTCAATCTGCTGTGAGCTGTATGCATCCGATGGGTCTGCAAACCCTCACAAGTCGGTCGTGCTCGGTGTATTCGGTGCTGCTCGGTATCGGTATCCGACATCGGTGTTTCCGCCAAGCTTCGGTTTGTCACCCCGCCGCATTTCGAACCCCGCATCGGATAATCCTTGCATATATATGCAGAGACGTTGCTGAGCTGTCCCACCTTGAAGATCTCAAAGCTGCACCGAGTCAGTCACCGATATCCCTCAATCACCATGTCTGCCAATGGACCCTCTTCAGCCCCTGCTGGGAATCGATTTGTACCCGACTCTCCAGCCCTTACGGAACTTCCTACTGCCCATCCTCCACTGAAGGAAGGCGAAACGCTAGATGAGTTCAACAAGATGATCTCGGGCGAGCCATACATTGCTGTCGATCCGTTCCTCATGCGAGTGAGAGGCTGGTGCGTGGACAAGTGCGAAACGTACAACGCGAACGGTCTCGACGAAAAGGATCGGTTGGCCCTCTTCTCCGACTGGGTCAGCTTGACGGTAAAGCATCCAAAGAACCATACAGAGGGAGTATTCGTCATGAAGCCATTCACCTGTGAATATGTGAGTGCGTCGCAAGTACGGCAGACTAGGAGGGGAGATGAGATTGCATGTGTTTGCTGATTGCGAGTGACAGGGCTTCAACATCAAGTTTGGGAAAGAGATCTATCTTGGACCGGGATGTACATTGATCGACGTGGCGCCGAGTGAGTCGTAGAGTTGGGGACTTTTTGGATTAGTCTCAAGAGCAGATCTTCAAGTCTTTGACGGGAAACATTCACGAGCCAGCTGACCTTTTGCTCGTTCTTAGTTTACATTGGCTCCCGCTCGATGCTCGGGGCCAACGTTCAGATCTACACACCCACCCATCCCCTTTCGCCGGAAGCTAGAAACGGTCTACAAGGTCCTGAAGGAGCGAAACCCGTAACTATCGGTACGGATGTCTGGATCGGTGCCGGAGCCATGCTACTTCCTGGTGTAAAGATTGGAGACGGTGCAACGGTCGGTGCAGGGAGTGTAGTCACGAAAGACGTGGAGCCGAGAACGGTTGTGGTCGGGAACCCTGCGAGGATCATCAAGAGGATCTTGGAGGATGGTACCGTCGTAGATGCTAGACAGAAGTAGAAATGAGGATTAGTGTATGGATTTGACGCAGATTATGTGGGGTCACGGTCCGGTGGTGCCTCGGGATGTCTCGAGCCCTTCTTTCAAGTTATAGAGGATGGATGCATCGTCTGCTTAATGTGGACAGAAAGGTATAGAAACAACGTGAGGTTTGAAACGTCGATGAAACCGGAAGGGGCGAGATGATACAGGCAGACTGGACGTCATCAGCAACCATCTTGAGAAGCCTGTAGTCTAGACTTACCTTCATCTGCCGCTTAAATATCATCAATGTCCGCCTCTTCGAATTCAATACCGCCCTCGTCTCCATCACTCCCTTCGTCTCCTCCTTGTGGTCCTTCATGGATCTGGACATCCGATTTGAGCTCGCCATACGTCTTGAGATTACGTGCTTCGTCGGGAGTGTATCGGTGGATGACATCCGCTCGGTCGTCTTGGAAATCTCGAAGTGAGAGGAGAACGATATCACCGGCGACGATCCAGACCTGTGATTGTGAAACGGCACGGGATGACGAAGGGGTGCAGTGAGTCGAGGAGAAGAGCAATGTTGTAAGGTGAGTGAGAGAGAAAGGAGAAGACCCATCGTCAGCCCGGATAGTTTGAACACGTCCTCAAACCCTACGCACCTTTTTACGCATTTGACCTCGGATTTGACCCAAACGTGTCTCTCCATCCTGACATTTGGCCTCTATCCTCCCGTTTCCGAGCATTTTGACGACTTGAGCGTATTCTGAGGGATGCATTCAGCTGTGAACGGTGAGGATAGAAGCCAAGATGCAGAGTCCAAGGATATCAAGGATCCTCAAATGACCAAGCCAGATAATGCGAGTTTGAATCTTCAAATGAGACAAAACACCTCTCCCGTCTGCCGTCCCACGATAAAGATCAAAACACTCACCCTGTCCATCCTCTTTGAACACCAGCTCTCGCTTGTTCAAATCCTCATCGTTCTTTCCTCTTCTCCTGTTCTTTCCTCCCTGTGAGTCAATGGCCACCCCATACGTCGTGAGAGAATTTATAAGCGTGAATGAGATGCCGATGAGCGCAAGCCGATTTGACAGGGACAAGATCAGGTGTACACGAAGCAGCGGAAGACCGGTCGATGGGTAAAAGAACAGAGCAGCAGCAGGAGTCTATAGTCAGCGACGGAACGGCACACGAGGAGGTAAGGGTCCTTGCTGACCTTGCCTTTGGCCTGATAAGGTGTCATGAATCAGCTGAGGCTACATGAAGATAGAGCCACAAGAAGAGCTCACTTTTGGCATGATTGACTGTGTTGCTGCTGGACGTGAGACGTAGTTGCTCGCTATCAAGAAGATCCTCGACACCACTTATATGTCATTGTTCGCCGCTCCGGAAAAAAGGAGAAAAATATCACAGTCAAAGAAGAAATAGGCGCGTACGAATATAGGCAGCCCCCCGGAGTTGAATTTGGTTCCGTTCACGTTCGGAGGAGGATGTCTCCCGATCACTTGACCTTTCTTGTTGGTTTTGTACATCTAACATCTGTTCACTCGCACTTGAGTCACGATAGCAACGAGGAGGAGGAAGAAGACGATATCAGCGATACAACTCTGTAGGGGAAGTCATTAACGCCTCGTTTAGGTGGGGGTCCCATCCCACTTCATCACCTATCTCAGTCATCACCTGCGGCTAATCCACTTACCTTGAGCCAAGCACCAAACCGAAAACTTTTGGCACCCTATCGCACCAGGTGGATCGATCGACCGTCAAAGCTTTCGAGATCGGCTGGGCCGTTTTCGACAGCTTGCTGCTCCTTTTCGATCAACACACTGTTCCAAAAGCTTTTCTGTACATCATCAACAGGGACCTCCACTCCGCCGCCCCAACTCCTTTGAGAGAGTCCATCCCAACTCCTCTTTCCGCCACCAAGTCTTTGTCACACTCAGAATGAGTGCGGACCTTGTCCCAGAGCACGAACGACGCTCTGTGAATCACTCGATTTCCGAAAACCTGGTACCATCACCTAGTCGCCGCCGGCATGCAAGAATTTCATCATGGTTAAGTGACGAGACCGAAGAAGATGATTCTGAAGCATACATCCCGAGTGAAGAAGATTCAGATAGTGGTTATCGCGTCAGAGGGCCCATCTCACGTCGGTCCGACGATACTGCTCGCGAACCTCGGCCATCTGCAAGGAGGACCGCTTCTCGCCGTTCAATGGACGGCTCAACCACATCTACTCGCCCTCGTCCTCGATCAGCCTCTCATCGTCCAGAGGAGATGGAACGACCAGCTCCAGGCTGTCCCTACTCCAAGTCTCCTCGGACCACTCCTCCACGCTCCTGTAAACCACCTCGACCTTTCCCCTTGGTAGCTTCGCAACCCATGACTCCACCATCTCTTGGAGACCGAGCCGACGAGGGATCTACAGAAACAATTCAGACCATCTCCTCTGACTCTTCAGACCCTGTCGAGGTTGATCCGGAAACTGGGTCAAGACGTCTAACAGCCCAGGAGAAGGGCAAAGGACGAGCCGTGATACCCACTGTGATCATCGATGATGATTCGGATGACGAAGCAGATTCCGGTGCCGTAGATCAAAGCGTGGAAATCATTTCTATCAAGCGAGGGGATAAGCGAAAACGATCAGTCGAGGACGATATGGGCAAGGAGGACGTCGCTGAAGAAGCGGCGAGCGATGGCGGACTTGAAGAGGAAAGAAGTCTTGCAGCATACAGTAGGTCATCTCGGTCTGGCAGAGGTCTGGCAGAGGGGGGGGACGCGGCTGACTCCTGCTCTCAGCTTGTCCTGTGTGCTTCACTCCTCCAGAGCAAGCCGTTATGACAGAGTGGTGAGCTATTACGCCTCTCCTGTTGGTAGGAGCTCATCCCACTCAGTGGACATGTCCTATGCGCCAAATGCCTTCGCGATTCGTTGATCGCCGCAATCAAACGAAACCCCAACCCTTTCCCTCTTTTTGGTGGTGGTCGCGGGCGAGGGGCTCCGGCCGCTGCCAGAGGTCGAGGAGCAGCCCGTGGACGAGGTGGCCGAGCCGGTCGATCGAGACTGAATCCCGAGATCGAGCCTTGGAACTGGAACGCGGACTCCCTCAAGACTGCATGGGCGACACATCAAAGGAAGCAGTATGAGGCGAAGCTAGTAGAAGCAGGAGTACCCGAGGAGAACTGGGAGTTGATGAAAGCCAATGACGGTGCCTATCCTCAGGAGGAGACGCTTGTCGTCAAGGAAGAGTTGAAGGGTTTGTGGAGCATTGATGGGAGAAATTGGGTGATCGAAGGGGAATGTCCAGTGAGTCAATTGTACCTCGATGTCGGAATATCGTTGACTCGGATGTGTCCAGGTCTGCAGGAAACAGATCCCTGGAGGCTACGCGTCATCCAACAGCGGTATCGGAGGTGTCATGCCTCTCTACGTCAGAATCGATCAAGCCAAATGAGCCTCGAACTTCAGTTCCATCCCACACACAGCATACTACTCATTCATCGCATACTTCATTGTGTATCTCTCCTGTCACCCCCTGTAATCATTGTGCATAGCATCCACTACCCGTCTCACATTGATGTGTCTATAGTCTTTCGTCATGCATGTATAGTCTATTCCCAGAGTGGAGTTTCCATTCAACTTTGATCAGCTGATCGATCCACACTTGGATCTCACAATAATTGTGCCGGTTCGGTCTCGGGAATTAGGTGGAACGCATGTCCCGCACCAATCCTTCAGATCCCATACTACTTTTATATCTCTTGTCTCTTGTCAATACTTCCAGTCTGTTCATCTTCAACGACACAGCTGCTGTGGCATGATGTGTGATATCTAAGTGAGTATCGGGTCTCTGCAGCCATTCATTCCATGCTCAGGTAACATCCAACGTCTCATCTCGGCAAGTGAATCTGCATCGGTTCAGCCGGTCGCCACCTTGATCTCTGTCGACTCGCCTCGAGGACCTGTGCTAAGGTTGCAGTCAAGGTCGGAGAGGAGAGTGATCTCTATCTCTATCTGATTCATCATCCAGGCCCCCGCCCGTCTCTGAAAATTTGACTGCGTTCATATTGCGAATCGCCAACCCGCCCTTCGGCCTTCCAGTCCTTGCCCCTTCATCCACCATGGGTCTCAGATCCGATATGAGGAATCATCTCTTACCTCAGCCTCCATCATTCAAGAAGAAGAAAGAATACTCTCTGGAGCAGGTTCTAGGTCGAGGAGGCTTTGGAAAAGTTGTACAGGCCAACTGGAGTCCACCAGGAGGCGAGAAGAAGCAAGTCGCGTTGAAGTGAGTCAGTCCCCAGCAGGATAAGTCACCCGAAGATGGAGGGCTGGATAGGTGACGCAAATGAAATCTGAATCTGATGTCAAAAATGCCAATAGGGTGATATCAAAACGACTGCTACGTGAGGGATCGACGAACGTCATGGATGAGATCAACGTGTTGAAAGATCTGGATCATCCGAATATCGTTCACGTTTGGGATCACTTTGAATCGAGAGACAAGTGGGTCCGAGCCGGTTGAGGGGAGCTGCAACTCGAATTCGCTCACGCTGATCACAATCTCAGATACTACATCGCTTTCGAGCTTGCGGTTGGAGGTGAACTCTTTGATAGAATCCAGGAAAAGGGCAAGTTTACGGAGAAGAACGCCGTAGACTGTATCAAGTGAGTTCCAATTGGACTCGACGCCGGTTCTTTGAAGCTGAACATTGGTGATCTGGTCTCTTTCCACTCTACCTCCGTGCTGCTATCATCGCTGCCAATCCCCCTCTACCGACGACCTATCCGACTCTAGGCAAGTCCTCTCCGCCACTGCCTATCTCCACGCGCACAACATTGTCCACAGAGATCTCAAACCAGAGAACATTCTGTACAAAACCCGATCTGAACACTCGCCTATCGTCATTGCAGATTTTGGAATCGCAAAGCATCTCGAGACACCAGATGAGATGATTGACGATCTCGCCGGGAGTCTGGGGTATGCAGCCCCCGAAGTTTTGAAAGGAACGGGGCACGGCTTCAAAGTTGACAGTTGGAGTATAGGGTGAGCTGTCAACAATCGTCGTTGTCCGTGATGCTCCGTGAGCTCACATTGTTCAGAGTCATTGCGTACACTCTTCTCTGTGGATATTCTCCTTGGAGGGCAGAGGATAGGTCTGAACTTGTCGAGGAAACCACCCGAGGGAAAATTACCTTCCACGAGAGATTCTGGAAAAAGGTCTCTGCATCAGGTAGGCACACTCATATGTGCTCGACAAAATGCTTTCACTGACTTTCTCTCTCCCAGCTAAGGACTTTATCCGGCAGCTGTTGAAAGTCGACCCGAAGGAACGCTGTTCCCCTTCAGAAGCCTTACAACATCCTGTGAGCTTGGGACCCTCCGCAGGGCGACGATGGAGCTGACAGACATTGGTAGTGGATCACGTCCACCGAAGCGACCGAGCATGATCTTGTACCTGCCATTAGGGAGAATTTCAACGCTCGAGCCAAATGGGGCAAGGCCTTAAAGGTGAGCGAGTCACAGCGCTGTACCGCCATCCCCGACAGCTGCTCGGAAATATCTTTGTCGCTGACACTCATCAGGTTATCAACGCCTCGAATCGTATGCGTGCACTTACCCCTTCGAGTACTGCTTCCACCTTATCCGGCCTATCTTCACCCACCCTATCAAGCATGCCCAGCCCAGCCGATGCCACTACTTCCAGCACGACCATCTCAAATATACAGTCCTCACCTACGATTCACTCTCCCACTACGATGGAATCTAGCCCACCCAATACTCTAGAACATCGAGGCGGCGAAGGACGAGCTAGCTCTATGGCTATACCCAAAGTCGTTCGACCGGGATCAGATACGGACGACGACAATCAGGTAGACGATGATGCCAATGACAGTCTGCGGGGTTCCTATGTGACGGCCTCGGAGGGTGGTCCGCCGACACCATCCAGATCGAGAGAAGAGGTAGATGAAGTGGTCGGACAGCCTGTGGAGGCTGTGGCTGGCGGATACGGGCTCAAGGGTCTGATGGGCAAGCTAGGTCTCTCGTCATGACCCGCTGGCTTCAGCAGCCATCGGGTCCTGTGTAAAAGCGGGAGGAGCACATCTTACCATAAATCGTTCGGGCCCTGAGCCATGTTGTATGAAACTCTACTTGTGATCCGCTACACATTCTCATACGATAATCGGTCGTAATTCATGCGTCTCATGCTCTACGTAAACGGAACAAAGGGAAATCTAGAATGGAGGCGACTCTCGTCGTCTGACTTTGTAGTCACCGTACGCTGCTTGACCTGCCAGCGCTACGTATCCTTGCCCCGCCGCAGCCGTATGAGTAGGCACAGCTCCCATGCCAAAATAACTTGAGCACTTCATCTGACAGCTCTGAAGCGGCGCAGATCCAGAACCCGCGTCCGCTATGCTTGCTGCACTTTGCGTCGCCGTCACTGTGGCTATGGCTGTAGCGGTAGAGGTAGCCGTTGCGGTGACCGTTCGGTCCTTTGTCTTTTCCACCGTCATTGTCTCCAGCATCGTTTGGACACTTTTGTCCGTTTGAGTGATCAGTCGTGTGACCTCGTGTGTCTCCGTCGCCAGGAGCGTTTGATTCTGAATGGCCGTAGTTGTAAACGTGGTTGGTTGGGTCAATGTGGCGGTCTGCGGAAAACGCTTTTAGCCTACTGTTCTGTATCGATTCTGCACGCCGAAAAGAAGAAAGTCAAATGTCAAACTCACCGCTGTCGACGTCGCTAGCTTTTCCTCCGTCAATGTGGCGAGTTGGGTCTGTACGAGAGTCTGGAGCTGAGGGTTGAGTCAGCGTCTAGCTATGAATCACCGGCACGCAAAGCCGATTCTCACCTGAGTCTGGGTGACGCTGATATTTTGTAAGACAGTATCGACCATTGTCTCCGTAGCGATCTCTTTGAGAGTATGAGTCAATGTGGCCGTATCAGTTTGGACAATCGTATCGAGTTGCGTCTGTGTCTGATAACAAGTATCAGTTCAGTTTCTGTCAGCGTGCGATATTATGCGCACACACACACACACACCTTGACTTCCGTTTGGGTCTGTACTTTGGTCAGGTTGTGTTGAACAATTTGGGTATCCGTAAGGGTATGCAAGAGGGTCCTGAGTGGTATGCTTAGAATCGATCGGTCGTACGTTTGCCCACGAGACTCACTTGGTATCTATCACTGTGTCCGTCATGACTTCGGTCATGACTTGCGTGCTGACAACGGTAGTAGGTATAGCTTGAACCTGGAGAGTTGGACGGATAATATCGTCAGGTCAAAGCACTCGAGCGATCCATATTGGTTGACCCACCGATGTCACTGTCATCATCTCCTTCGATATCACCGTAGTAGGTAAACTGAGCGTCTTGGTCTCCGTAGCGGTCTCCATGATTGTTTGGTTATAAACAGAAGTCTTCGTCCTGGTTAGCCGTTAGTCTGCGGATTTCCAAGTACGAGGGAAGCCACTTGCATAGTCTCGACCGAGGTCTGGACATGAGTGACGGTGGCAGTCGCAGTCAATGTCCTGTAGAGCGAATGAGAATGAGAGGCCGAAAGATGCGATCCGGTGCCACTCACACCGTATCTGTCACTTTCTCTGTTGTCGTGAGATCGACCAGACTCGTCTCGTGCATCGTTCTGGTGCTAAGACGAACGCGACATTAGCCCCTCGGGGGAGTCTGGTGTGAGACCAGATACTTTGCGCTCACAGAGTGACACTCTCAGTCATGGTGACTGGTATTTTCTCCGTTCTAGGAAGAAAGAGTCAGGGGGGGGGGCACAACGACCTGCAACAGGCATACGCTTACATCGTGACATTTTGAACCTGAGTCATCGTGTAGTCCACAGAAGCCGTTGCGGTCCTGTAGAAGTGTGCCTCAGCGCGGAGATCTTAGTAATGTTGATGGACGAAACTTCTTACACCATATGAGTCGTCGTGGCAGTCACTGAATGCATAGACAGGGCTCAGCGCCTCGGCACCCCTGAATCGTGTCGAGACTCACCAGTCTGCGTGTTCGACGCTGCATGACAGCCTTTAATGATATCGGTGGTTTCTGGCTCAATGTCAGGTTACGGGGCACCCTGTCGCCCCGGTCGCATCTCGACCTACGAAGTATGATCGTCGTCTCGTAGCAGCCCAAAGAGGTAGAGTACCAACTGGCCGGCATACAGTATCCTGCAGAATTTCGAACATGACCATATCCACATTTCATAGATGAGTGAGCCCAGGACATGACTGCAGGCGCGCAAGTCGATTGCCTACGAGATATCAATATGACATGCCTGCGGCTCTACTCCTCAAAGTTCCTGGGAGACTCCTGCATGCAGATGGACAAGGGTAGAAGATGGGTGAGGAAATGCAACTCACACTTCTGGTGACACGACTTTTCCACAACCCCATTCGCCGCACGAATCGCCTTCGGTGCTCGTGTAGACAGTGCCATCAGGTACAGGCGTGGGCACAAGGAACGGAGGGACCGACGTAATGGTGGCACTGGCCGCGTAGCCAGTCGAAGGTGCTGTGGAGGAGCGATACGCGTTGGACTCATATTGCTCTGACGAGGTGGTGCGGCTGGCAGACAGAGCAGTAGAAGCGGGCAAGGGGAGGTTGTCCATCGATACCGGTGATCCAGAAGCATCGAAAAGGCCTATGACTGCTTGAGCAATGGTGGGACGTAAGAATGCGGAGAGGAAGAGGAGAGTGAGGGGACTCATGGCCAGCATGTTGAAGGGGTGAAAATGCTGCAGAGGGCACCTTAGAGTCAGGCTCTGGATGTCCTATGACGAGGTCAAAGACAGAAGTTTGGAGTCTGCTTTGTCGCTTTATGCAAGGCCTCTAGGCTTCAGGACCGCAAGGAAGAGCTTGCGTGCCCTTTAAAACTCGACGCGTCAGATGAAGGCCGTCAAGGCTCTTGAACAAAGAGAGCTAGAGAGGGGGAGGGAAATCTAGATTAAAGCCGTCAAGGCGAATGGTAGATAAATGAAGAGTCAGAAGCAGCAGAGAAGAGAAGGTGGGATGAGATTGTATGACATGAGTTTGATAGACAAGACGGGATTGACGAGTCCGTTTCTGCGGGAAGGCTCAAAAGGTGAGCTCATAAGATCCCCTTCCCTGGTCGTCAGTCGATCAGTAGTCAAGCATCACCTCGTCAGGTAGCTCCGTCGTCAAAGTGAGCGAGCGACAGATCATAGCCTGGTGAGTCCTTCCATCGGCATGGAGACGCAAGGTTGAGAGGCAACGCCGTTGACTGGGAGGAATGGACGACGCAGGTCGTGGTCGTCAAGCAAGCGGGAGAAGTGAAAAAGTCTGAAGGTGTCGACCAGCAGCATGGAAGGTCATGACTTTGTCAGGCAGACAGACCGGAGAGGAATCTAGACCCAAGCAAGGGGTTTGGACTAAACTGCGCGCGGTGTCCAACTTTTGACCTTGGATTGAGCGGATCAATGCTGAGTCGTCCACCCATACACCGTTCAACCTTCTCTGAGCAGCTTTTCATGATCCACATGACATCTCTTCACTTGCCGTTCTCCACAAGGGATCTCAACCTGTCACCTACAGCTTCTGCGCTCACGCCATCCAGAGCCAATTCCGATTCGTATCCGCCATCTGGACGCGGGGGGAGAAAGAGAGTCAGCCCTTCGCAACCAGGGAAAGATAGTTAAGACTGGGAATGGTGATCAAGCTGAAAAGGTACTCCGCTTCCCTCTCCCTGCATCCACCCATTCCTCCGTACTGTACAGCGGACCTCTGCCGTGGGGTTTCCTCACTCATGACACACTCACCAAACCTCGCAATGGCCCTTGCTGGGATACCTCTAGCTTCTCGGACCAAGAATTTGAGATCGGGATGAGCGGATTTGATAGAGGGGTATTGAGAGGCGACATATTGGCTGCGAGAGTATAGAACGTCAACATGGGTTCAGCTCTTTCGACACATTGAGGAGAGACAGGAGTGTGAAGCGATGGAAAGGAGGATTGGTCCAATGAAGCCAATTGGCCATGACAGGGGCGTGGAGATATGTAGTATGTTTTGGTACCAACTCACCGGACACCTGCGCTACCTGGTGATGTCTGACATATCAGGATCCTAATTTCCCGCAGAGAAGCCGGCAGCTTCTTCATGAATGACATGGTGAACGACCGAACGAGACTCGAAATGGTCAGAAGGTTAGAATGGGAAGGGTTGAACTTGAGGGCGTGCTGCACCAAAAGTCAATTTCGCAACCGTGGGAAACATAGCCTATTTAGGTAGTATGAGACTTTCAAGATCCTCGTTTGATGCTATTGCAACGGTATTCCATCTGGCTAATGTACATACAAGGGACCAAGTCCCGGCAAGGCAGGTAGATCTACAGTAAATTGAGTGGTGTGTCAATGGTGTCTAAGCTGGAGACTGGGATGATAGTTTTGTTTCTTGCCCTTCCTGCGTGAGGGCTTCCGGACCGTCGAGAGATGTAGGAGGAGATGACGAGGAAGAAAAGGAAGAAGGGGACGATTGCGGATTGGAGTCGGCGGATGGTTCCTGTGCGGTTGTGGTAGTGTAGTTGAGGTCACGTTGTGGCGTGCTTGGAGCCTTTTCAGCAAAAACGGATCGACCGAGGTCAGGATGAAGATCTTGCTGCATCTAGAATCGACACGAAAAAAGGAGAAAACAGGTGAGCGATATCACGAAGGGCGGTGCCATGGCACACTCACGTTGTGATCCGAGATGAGGTGCTCGGCCCGCATGAACACGGCGACGGGATAACACCTCGCCTCCATCATTCTCAAGACGGATTCGGCGTTTTCCCTCGTCCCATTGCTCAATTCCGCCCGAATCATCGCTTCGTACGTCGATGGCTCGCGGTACACAACATGGGTCGGTTGATCAGTGATTGTACTAGGTTTCACATGACCACTCGATGTCAAAAGCTGAGGGTGATTGTTCGGCGCCGCGACTCCAGAGACGCTATCGCCCATAGAGTTGAAGACGGACCGAGCATTGTCAATCTGACCCGCACGAGCGTATCCTCCGATAAGGATGTTGTACACGTATGCAGTAGCCTGCGCGCCACTCTCGATCATCTCTCGGTGCAACTGTTCCATTTGATCTACACTTGCTTGTTGCGAGGTCACGTTGAGGATGGCTTCCCAGACGACTGGTTCGGTTCCTAGATTGACAGCTGCCGTAGGATGAGCAGAGATAGATCGGAAAATCGCCAGAGCCTTGTCAGGATCAGCATTATAGATGCCGTGAGCGGTGATGAGGGATGCCCAGTGAGTGCCTTGAACAGGCACACGACGATCCGCCACAAGCTCGTTGAAGATCCGTTCAAGGGATTGAATGTCGATCGGAGGGAGCACAGCAAAGGCATCGAGAAGGAGTTTGTAGGTGTGAGATGAAGGAGGAACACCGGTGGAAACGAGCCCATTGTAGTAGTGCAGGACCGCATCTCGGTTTGGCGAGGTCGTCAAGTGATATTGCATCATGGTGCTGATCGTCAGCACATAGACATGTGGCCCAGACTCACTTGAAAGGCGGGACACGAGGCTTAAAGTTACGTTGAGAAGCCATCTCGTTGAACAAGGTCGCGGCAGACTGGCCATCGCCAACACGGCAGCATGCGTTCTATACAGCCTGGTCAGCACATCGTTCTCCCAAACGGACGACTCACAATGACAGCACCGTACGTGACCGACGAAGGGGTGATCCGCTTGTCCTTCATCTCCTGGAAGAGAGCCAGAGCCGCTTCTGCTTTCCTCGCTTTGGACAGCTTGGAAATGATGGTATTGTAAAGATATAGGTTCGGTGCGACGCCAAAATGTTGACATTCTTCCCATAATTGAGTCGCAACGGTCGCATCATCCGTCGTGTCCTTAGCTGACGCTATCATCGTGGCGTATGCATCGGCCGAAGGGGTCATCCCATTCTGAATTATTCGCGCGCGATGCAGACCAGCTTCTTCCAAATGACCCAAATTGCAGCAGGCGATAATCATGGCATTTTCCAAAGCCAACCATGGTCCACGGCTTGACGGAGAAGCGCCTTGCAGACTAGCCTGAGCCAGAGCGTAGATCTGCCTGACTCGAAGATCAGCTTGTTGTCGTGCTTCAGGGTTGTTCGAATCGACACGGCACAAGTTTTCGATCAACTTGCCCAGCGTGTAGACTCCGGGCACTTTGCTGTTCTGTTGCAATTCATTCACCACTTGGTTGAAGATGGCATCCGTGTTGACCGGTTTACGAGACTTTATGCTCGTAGCATATTGGTTGTCGATCGACTTGCTCAGAGACTCAGAAAACCAGAAATTTCGGCCAACCGGGGAGAGCTTGGGAAGCGAGTCGACATATTCAGGCGGAGGGGGAAGCGTGAAGTGATTGGTGTCCATGGGAGGCATGTCGTTTCTAATGGGTCGGAATGGTTGCGAATCGGTTGTCCCAGATTCTGCTGACTCTGCTGATGTACCATCTAAGCTCAGGGGCGGGACTGGAAGAGGTCGCATCGCTGTCCAAATATTGAGCTGTTCTGAACCGAGCTCTTGTCCAAATGCCATCAACGTCAATTCCTTGCCTCGCTCTTCACCGAATCGGTGGATCAATCGTTCGACAAGTTGGCGCGAAGGAGAGGTGTTGGATATGTTCGAGGCAAAGTCTAGGTTGCTCTGCATGTCTTCGACCATCTGAAGCAATACTTCGTCCATCTCAGGCTCGTTGGGTGAATAACGCAAAACCATTTCGATCAAGCTCGACCACTGCTCAGCAGTCTTAACGACTTCGGACAGGTGAGAGGCTTTCCGTCTCCCGTCGAGGTATCGTAATCCAATTGCTAGCGCATCTTCTGGAGTCAATTGCCGTCCTGAGAAGAATTTGCCCATCGCCGATCGAATCTGCAGCACGTGTCGGATGTGCAGGGAGTCTGTTTGAATGAGCAAAGGGATGATCGCCGCGAGATCCGCAAAATGCTCTGCTGTAGGAGTTCGCTTTCGTACAAAATTGGCGAACAGATCCGGCAATAGGTCGATTCGGTCATACTTGATGAGAACTTGCAGATGGAGCCTGAAAACGTCGTCATCTTGTGGGAGTGGTCGAGAGCCTGCTCGAGCGACCTTGGCACACTTTTCGAGAAGTTCAACAACCGATCCCTCGTCGACTCGGTTCTGCGAGATGTCCCGTAGGATTCCAGCATATAATCGACTCCTGTGGATAGGAGGGAGAGTGGGCGACTCAGCGCTGGTAATTTGACCATCAAAGAATGACGCCAAAAGGTCGTACGCGACTCGCCAATGACCACGAATCACGAGGGCGTCCACCAGACCAGCATTGGGGTATGTCCGGATGGAATCGGAGGCTTCAGGGCGACTGCGTACGGCTCCAACGAATCGGTTGTGAACGCTAAGCAAGTCGTCTAAGCGATTCTGCTTGACCAGAGCCTCGAGGCTGGTAGAGACCCTTGTCATGACGTCCGCACTGTCGTATTTGCCAGCTCGGACATCGTCCACAACCGAGTTGAGAATCGATAGACCCTTGTCAATCTCGCCAAGAGAGATGAATGCCTCTGCAGCTCGTACATAGGTCGCGAATTTCGGTCCCTCTGGGGCATCTTGATCTCGAGGTGATCCGCTTTGTTGCAATACAAGGTTCCAAAGATCCGAGACACCCTGCAAGTCATTCGCCTGTTGAAGGACGGCGACGAATCTGACCACTCGAGCATAGTTGATGGTCTCGTCGCCTTGTTGTTGCTGCATATAGACCTCCTTGATAATTTCCAAATCTTGGGGGGAGATGGAACTAACGGAGCAAGCAAGAAGGAAAGATTGAAACGTCTCGTACGAGAACATTCCTAGAGGTCGATCATCACCCTTGCGTCGGGTATTGCGACGCTCGCCGAGCAACTCTATCGCCTTGACGAGTTTACACGCGTTGGAAATATTGGTTTCGGATCGGTATGCTTGGATGGTTGCATCCTTTGCTTTGTGTGCGGCGGTATCCAATTCTGTTCCAAAGGTCTCAGAACACCATACTTCCCAAGCCTTGGTAGATTCCCAACTGGAGATGGCTCGTGAGACGTCGATCGCTCTCTCGGTGAACGCTCTGAACAGAAAGACGTAGGTGCGATTATCGGGTCGGCAATGATTCGCGAGCATTTCATTGTAGACATCGACTATCTCCGAAATAGACTGCCCTGGTCGTCGAAGGGCGAGCATCCGGCGCAGGCACGCATTATAGATTGTCCTAGGGTGTCTTTGAGGCAGAGGCAGCTCTTCAGCCAGATCAGGGAATTGCGATCTAAGAACTTCTGGGGTCCGTTTTGAGCGGAAATAGGAGATCAGTCGGTTAACTCGATCGACGGAGGCATCTGCGTTCTCGAGTTCAGCAATGAATGCTGAAAGTTGGCTTGAAGATCGGTCTGTGTGTTCCTCAGACACGTCGGCTTCTACGGCGGAACCATCTGGCTCTGATTGTGGCATGTAAGCGGTGCTGTTCCGTCTGACAAAGGTTCGGTCGGGGCGAGACCGATGTGAATCAGCTCCGGCAAGGTCCATGAGGTGGCGAGTGGGTCGGGTGGATGGGCGAGATGGCTCGCTCGAATCTTTGCACGCGACGGAAAGGTCCAGAGCGTCATTGCGATCTTCCGTTGGTAAGGGAGGTTCGGGAGTTGTGGAGAGTGCCCGTAATGACATGCGTCGAGGCACGCCGACATGCCACAAGTCTATACTGGATTGAGACCTATGCAGCGCATTTGGGCGTGAGGAGGAGCGAGATTGAGACGGTGTGGAAGATCTGGAATGAGAAGGGGATTGGAGGGTTGGGGTACGGTGGCGGGGAGGTGTTGACGGTCCAGCGACCGGCGGCGGGAAAGTAAGGCGAGAGGAGTGAGAAGAGAGCTCCGGCTCTGGTAAGGTGTCGACTAAAGAGCTCTGTCTGAGCGGCGGAGAGAATTCGTCGAGATCGATCACGCCTATCCTGCTATTGCTTCCAGCTCTCGCCTCGATCTCCCTGTGCACTTTTCGAGCATGCTCCTCCAGCTGGACTATGCGTGTTTGACGCGCCAGACGGTGCTTCAACAAGAGGCCAGCTTGAGGTGAAGATTTGCGCTGTTGGTCGTCGGATGGAGAAGATGTGATGGACGATGAAGGGTCGACGATCCCAGTATGCGGCAAGGATAAGAAAGCTCGTCCGTGTCCCTTAGAAAAGACCTCTTAGCAGAAGTTGGGCTTTTGGTGGACTCACTGTGTATCCGCCGGAGCCTGCGCCTGCTCCACTATTTCCCCATCCTGCTTTCCCAGCACCACTGCTTCCACCTGCACTACCGCTCGAAGGCGCATGTTGGCCGGCTAAAGAGAGTCCTTGATTCGGAGATGAAGAGAGATGGTGGAGGAGAGAAGGGTTGGAGGAGAAGTGCTCGGGAGAGGGTTGGTGTGATGTTGGGAGACGGAGAAGGGGACGAAGGTGAGTACTGAAGAAATGGGTCAGCTCCGATCATGATCCAGTTGTGTTCGTCCGACTCACAGTGGTTTGATAGGCATGTCGGAGGGTCAGTCAAACAGTTTTCTGACAATGAGCGAGAGTGCGGTGGGGGTTGTATGGACAGGAAATTATGACGATGCCTCCAGTAGCTTCAACACCATCCTCTAGCTGTACTCAGGAGTGTATGGATGCCGCTGCTCGTCGTTCGTCCGTCGTCGTCGTCTCTGTTGTTGTTGTTGTTGTTCGCCGTCGCCGTCGAACTTGCCAGATCCTGATGCTGCTGATGCTGATGCCGCCAACATTTTCAAAAATTCGGAAACGGAGACGATTTCGTGGAATTTCGGCACGGAAGCAAAAGGTAAAATGGGGATTGGATTAGGAAATACATTGGACCATTTTGTAATGAGATTAGGATTGTATTAGGATCTGATTAGTAAACCTCCCTGCGAATGACCTCATTTTGGTGTTCGACGGTCCGAGCTCGCCCGAACGATCCAAAGTGGCATCGAGAGGCAGACTCATGGATGGATGGATGCAGTGTCCTATTATTAGGGTTGGAGGCATGCTTGTCCATGTACCATATGTACTATGATGCATGCCCGTATCACGCTACTGTGCAATGGCATTCACGTTGACAAGATGAAGAGACTGACCTTTCTCTCAACGAAGACTGGCTCGATGCCACGATTGCTCGCCCGTTCGCCTCGACTTCTCATCACTTTGGCGGGATGACCCCTTCGTCAATCTTGAAATCCTTGAACGTCGCTGTGATTCCACCACCTTTGGGCGAGCAAGTCATGACCCCCACAAAGGCCTCGGTCTCGTCACCTGTGCCGAAGCAATTCACTTCTCTGGCGAGAACACCGTCATTGTAGATCATCAGGATCTTGTCGTGTAGAGTGAACGTAAAGGTCTTCGGGACATGATTCTTGGCGGGAACCAAAGACCTGAAGGGGTCACACGAGTACGGGTCAGCGAATGTCCCTCAGGAGTCACACCTCATAGCTGTGGGTGCGATGATGAGAAATATTGAAGGAAGACCAGCCCGCCACGCTTAGACTCGCAGCGCTTACAGACATGACACTTCGCTCGTGGTCACTCACCAGTCAGAGTAGGGTTGAGTGACTACAGTCCCAGCGAAGAGATCCCCGTTCAACTCGAGACCGAACTTGAACCATAGTGTATTGCTGATGTGGAAGTAAATCCCGGCCTGGTCACTAGAAAAGAGGTCAGGTACGAGATTGGATGTCCTCTCAGAGGCTCAAATGAGAGGCTTACTACTGTCAAGGTGTCAGGACGACGCGGCCGCTCAGGCGCCACTCACTTGATCTCTGTGATCCAATTCCACATCCACACTGACTGTCAACCCCTCCTTCCCCAACGAGTGTTTGAATCCATAAACACTGGCGTTGTATTTCTCCCACTTGGGAGTCCGGTATAGATCGCTCTCGTGATTAGAGATCATCTTGAGTGTCGATCCATCTTCAGAGATGGAGACATCCTTCTCAGGCGGGTTGAGCACTGTCCATCGGGAATCTGTGAATGGAACGGATGGCATGGCGGCGATTCGTAGCGCAGTGATACGACGGGTAGCAGAGTTCAGTCCCAATCTCACAGGCGATGGCTATTGACAAAGAGGTATGTTCGCTCACTCGCCAAGAGAGCAGAGCAGCCTCCACTCACTCACTGCTGCTGCTGCCCTCCACTCTGAGTCACAATTCGGTTAAATGTCGGATAAACTGTTTTGGCAGATGACATCGACTCGGAGCAGCTACCCTATTGTATCCTATCTCCATCGATCATCAGTCGAATGAGCTGCAGAGCTATCAGAAGCATCGCACTTCTCAGACTGTCACATACTTCTTCTATCCTTCTAGGCCTACCGTCACACTACTCCCGCACTATGGCATCCGCTTCAGAGCCAGGAGACTCTGCTCCTTCCTCTGTCAATCTTCGCACTCACAACCAATACGTCGTCCCTCCCTTACATCGAGATCAGCTCAATCCCAATCCATTCAAGCAATTTAACGATTGGTTCACTTCAGCATTGAACCCTAAAGAAGGCGAGCCAGTGGAGAAAGAACCTGAAGCAGTCATCATCTCCACCGTGTCGTCCGAAGGCATCCCTTCGAGTCGGGCAGTGTTATTGAGGACAGCCGATGAACGAGGTTTCGTCATCTTTACAAACTACAATTCTCGCAAGTCTCAAGAAATCTCATCGACAGGATATGCGAGCTTGGTGTTTTATTGGAAAGCGTTGAGTAGACAAGTCCGAGTCGTAGGCAAGGTCGAAAAGGTTTCAAGGGAAGAATCCGTAGAGTATCACAATACCCGTCCGAGGGGCTCTCAGATTGCAGCTTGGGCAAGCGAACAGAGTAAAGAGGTGGAAGATGGGGAGGTGGCGAGGAGAGCTGAGGAGCTTGGCAGCAAGTCTGGAGACGACCAAATTCCTTGTCCTGAGCATTGGGGTGGATGGAGGATTGTACCATTGTGAGTGCTCAACTATCCTCTAGGCAACTCTTTGACAGGCCCCCTCTAGTGAGATGGAATTCTGGGTCGGTCAGCCGTCAAGACTTCATGACCGGTTCAGATACACCCGACCGCGAGATGTTCAATCGTCAGAATGGAACGTCGCAAGGTTAGCTCCGTGATATCCATAGCCCCTCAGATGCATCCTGTATCTATACAAAGGTAAATGTCATCACTCGAACTCGGCCTCTGCTTCCTCCTCATCTTCGTCCTCTTCTACCTCCTCGACGTCCGACATGGCGTCGTCCTCTTCCTCGTCTTCTTTTTCCTCCTCTCCCCTAGCTCCTTTGCCTGCTCGTTCCTCCCTGAAAGCCTTCTCCACTTCCTGCCTCCTCTTTTCCCTGACCTTTCGCTGGACCTTGATCCAGCTCCCGACTGGCGTGTCGTCGATCTTGGTCTTTTCAGCCCACTTGACCAACTCTCCCCTGTCCTTTGGTGCGAATCCGACATTTCTGCGTTTTCCCTCGACCCATTTTGAGCTCGACTCGAGCTTCTCAAGCAAGACTTTGAAACCTGATTGGACTTTGGGACTTCCCGCCGATCCCTTTTTCAAGTGTCTCCGTAATGTCACGAGAACAGGGAGGACCATCTCAGGGAAAGCGATTTGACTCGAGAGGGCAGCGTGGTACTCTCCAAGAAGGAACACGAGCTCTTCGCCGAGGGTTTCTTGGTAGATTCTCGTCTTGGGATACGAGGGAGGCGCACGGATGATGTATTCCAGGTCGAGAGGTTTCAACGTTGACTTTTGAGGATTTTGACGCTTGAATTCGGCCGAATCGAGTATCTCAAGCAGGAAAGGGGACAAAGGAATGTACGTGTTGGTGCGGTTGATCAGGCGTAAGAGAGAATGAAGGATATGGAATCGAAGAGGGAAATATCGAGATGACGGGAGAAGTCTGAGGACTGTCAGATATGCGCAGAGAGAGGTGGTCCTCACCTGACAACTCCCAAGGCAATCTGGACCAGTGGATAGATCAATGGCTTGAGTTCACTCTCTACGCCCCCGCGATCTCTCTGCGCGTCAACGTCACAGCTAGACGATAGGACTTGAGTCCAAAAGTCGATACAGTGGACATATTGCCAGTTGTAGACTGATCTGAACGCTTCTGCAGTATCCGTCTGATACTGTCAGCCGGATGACCCTGCGCGTGGAGATGGTGGACTCACCGATTTGCCTCCCTTGGCTTTGGATGGCGCGCTGGTCGTCCCTCTGACTACATTTCGCAGATGGACAGCGAGGGTACGGATGAAAGTGAATGCTTGAGGATATGATCTGCTGGGATTGAGGCAGAATAATTCCGCAGCGGTGTTCTTGAGTATATTGATGGATGGCAGAGTGTGAGGTGTGGTGTGGCGCAGAGTGGGCAGTAGGGATTTGTATGTGTTCTGGACGGCGCTGTCAGACGTGTGAATTTGAGGTGAGTATGACTCACCTTGAGACACAAGTCGCGTAATGCATCATCTCCTGCGATGTACAGTTTTCTCACAGCCAGGAATGAAGCGATCTTGACGTTGTCACTGCCGGCTGACCAGAGATCGAGTAGGGTCTATGACGGTCAGAAGGCGGAGAGCTGGGCTCGTACGTACCTTGAGATATGCTCGCAAGTGTTTCCTGGCACCGAGAAGCCAAGGAACCAATTTTCCACTTTCTCCAATGGCCTCGACGAGCAACAAGGCTGCTTCACCGTCTTGGGTCGAAGACGACATAGCAGGGAGAGATTTCATAAAGTGCAGGAGAGTGGTGATGTGGGATAGGATCAATCTGTTCAGGGATTGATTTGGCTTCTTCGGCTGGGAAGTTTTGCTAGAGGGATTGTCAACCCATTGTATCCGGAGAAATGCCTTTGAACAACTCACATTCTACCATCTGGAAGCGTTCGAAAGGGGATATGATGGGCCAGGACGACCGGTGTGAATTTGAGAGCAGTGAGGACCAGCTTGTTGAAGACTGATAGAAGATTAGCCTAATGATAGTAAAGCAAAGGGCAGACTGACCGACTGGACTATCCACAGTATACTTTGTATCCCTGCCTGTCCCCTGATCTGCATCCTCTTCATTCATATGTGCCGCAGCTCGAAAAGCCAGTAACGTTTTACGAAGTGACCGAAGAGAATGTTGCTGTGTTTCGCATAAGCAAATCATCTGCTTACAATGTACTGGATCTCACCTTGATCATACCCTGTTGCCAGCCTCGAAGCATCCTTAGATTGACATTGGTCTTCTTCGGAGCAATATCCATGTCCTGTTCTTCATCCACTTCATCGCCGTCTTCGTCCACCTCCTCTTCATCATCCCCATCACTCTCTTCATCTTCTTCCTCGTCCTCATCCAATTTCGCTTTCCTTTGCCCTCGTTTGGACGATGACCCTCCATTGCCTTGACCTTGTCCACCAAAGTCCAACAAGTCTCGATCGTTCTCTTTCAGGTACTTCCAGAACTCGGGATCTTTCTTTTCCAAATTCTTCATGGCTTTCTCCATCTCGGCTTCGTCCATCCCGAGGTCCGACAGCTCGTCATCTTCGTCTTCATCATCATAATCTTCTTCTTCCTCCTCCTCCTCCTCGTCATCCTCCTCTAAATCATCTAGCTCGCTCACCTCCTCTTCATCCCCAGCTCCACCTTCCAGCTGCCCACCAAACAATTCCTCGACGTTCCTAGCGATCCCTCCAGCTTTCCCTCCCGCCTTGCTCAGCCGCTTGACCTCCCTCTCATCGTCCTCTTCATCATCTCCCTCCTCTAAACCCTCATCAAGCGCTCTACGGTGAGATCCAGCTCCAGGACGCTCTTTCGCGGCTCCTCGCTGGTGTGCTCGTCTTTGATTCCTATCTTCCACTTTCCGTTTGATTTCTTGGTTCTTCCGCCGTGTCTTGATTGTATCTTTCAATTTACCAGACGAAGCAAACTTTTTGAATTGCTTGGATACCTTGGCCATCGTGCTGAACTCCCAAATTGGATGATAACAGCACTACTCGACGTGATGATGAAGGAGGATGTGATCAAGATGTTGAGTGGGGTGGACTGAAATTTTCCAAAAATGATCGAGAATTCGTGGCGCTCGCCGACGGGTGGCAATCTCGTGAGCAGGCAGAGTGACTCTTCAGAGGATACATGTACGTTCGAGGATGAGGATCATAGCAGAGAGCTATCTCTGATCGGGAGATTACGCAGAGCAGTCTATCGGCGAGTCTGATCGTCACTCCCTGTCTCTCCCTCAGAGTCGTACCCTACGTCCTGCGTCCGCTCGTCAGCTTCCTCCTCCTCGTCCTCAAGAGGATCATCATGTCCATCAGGTGGACCAGGAGGAAGCTGATATGATCTTCCGAGCACAGATCCACTAGAGTTAGATCCCTGCAATGAGTGTCAAATCCGATTCCTCATATCGACTCACCCCTCCTGAGCTCGTTTGAGTACGAGGAGCTGGTGACAGGGAAGGCGCCGAGCTATCTCTTCTAGCTTGAGCGGCTACCCGTGCATCGTCACCTGGGCCCCAGGTATCACTGACTTGGGTGTCGACACTTTCTTCGGACAGATGAGTCACTGTCGTGGCTTGCGTCAATATAGTGTCAGTCCTGTGAGGACCACTGAAGGTCGAATGCTGAGTCACTGTCGAAGTCATGGTGTCTGACCGCTTAGGCGTCTTCAGATCCTCGTCTTCGTTACCACCTTGTCGTTTGGACATTTCCTCGGGGACAACACTGTGTATTGAGTCGAGGAAGGGACACAAGTTGAGGGATGGTATATGCAAGTGCTAGGAATGCTTATACACCCTCTCAGTGTCCCCTCAAAGCTTTCACAGCCTCAGATACTCCTCCTGTCGCAGGCTTCCAGTGGCTTCCGTCGAGCTCCAGTCTTTTCCCACGAGCCCCTTTGTGAAGACAACGACAACTCCGATCTTCTCCAGGGACTGGGGCATTCCTCCCAGGATGCAATGTGGAGGTCGAGATTGGAGAGTTGTGAATCCTTTGACGGGCGGGAATCTCTGGGCCTGTAAGAAGTCGTTTGACTGCATGAGGCCTTCCTGCAAGTCTGAGATCTGAGCCATGAAAGGACGGACCGACACCGAGCTCCAGAGGTATCTGTCCAGGTCAAAGAATTGTTGACGATGGGAGCGAGAAGGCATTCGCGCCACTGATTCGGTCACTGGAGGTGCCACGTTGAGAATTCCACCAACCGCGCGCTGGGCACTCACTCTCCTTTCATTAGATCTTTGGATCACTTTCTCTCTCTCGGTCACTAGCACCTTTCATCTGGTCGGGCAGTGGCTGAGAATGGTTCATTGGGCCAGATAGATGGTTTAGAGTATCTGAACGACATTCCCTTCGAGCCATAGGCGACGTGTTAAGATTAGTATCGGATCCCCCAACTGGAGGAGGGTTCATTGGACCGTGCTCTCATCTGTAGCTGCCCTTGGGGGGTGGTTGATAATCTGAGACAAGATCTGTATACACCTTTCGCCATGGCTCCCTATCTTCCTCGACTGGCTCTCTACGGAGCAGCATCGACAGCTCTAGCAGGATCGGTCGTGGCATCTTCTTTCCAGAATGCTCCGAATTTCTTCGCGGCAGCGGTAGCAATTGGCAGGAGCAGTGGTGCGCTAATGGTGGGCGATCTCGCTGTCAAGTCCAGGAGCAGCAGCAGCAGCTCACTTTGTTCAGATCCTAGCCAACTTTGCTCTTTTCAACGTCATTTGCCTCGGTATCGTATTCAAGATGGTGTTCTTCGGTCAACTCAGGTCCATAGAGTACGAGGTGGGGAATCCTGGACTGACGGGGAGAAAGCGCTGGCTTACGTTCACTTAGCACCTCTTTGAAAGGCTATGGCTCTTCGTCACTGAGTCTTTGCTTGCGTTGACCATCTTCCGGTAGGTTGCCTTTGATTTGCAAGGGCTCACAGGCGTCTCAGTCGAGACTTTTCCATCTCTTTCGTCATCATGTACGGAACATTACTGTTTCTGAAATGCTTTCACTGGATCACAGCAGATCGAATAGACTATGTGGGTCGAACTATCGTTGATGAGATCGCTAAACGGTCAAAGATGGACCAAGTCCCTCCACCTGGTCCCTCGACTTCGTTTCACGTCCGAGCGATCAGTGTCATCCTCTTACTTTCCGCCATGGACACTCTTCTCGTCGCTTACTGTCTGGAAGCTATCTCTGCAGAGGGTATCTCTGCAAAAGTGTTATTCGCTTCGGAGTTCATGATCCTCCTAGCGTCGATCAACGGGACGTTTGCAAGGTAAGCACAGTGGATGTCAGTCATCACTGACCCCCCTTTCAGATACATCATCGGGGTGCTTGATCTGCGCCGGGCCCGCGGGAGGGAAGATGCACCTACTTGGGAGGCAAAATCAATGTACATTTTCTACGTCGACCTGGCGGTCGGTGAGTCGTGACGGGTCAATGCTTGGACTAATGGGCTAGACTTTGCCAAACTCCTCACTTATCTAGCCTTCTTCACTGTCATCTTCCTCCATTACGGTCTCCCCCTCCATATCCTTCGAGATGTCTATATGACCCTCCGATCATTCTTATCTCGCTGTGGCGATCTGATTCGATATCGTCGAGCTACACGAGACATGGATGCGCTGTACCCTGATGCCACGCCAGAAGAGATGGAACGATTAGGAGACAAGACGTGTATCATCTGTCGAGAGGAGTTGGTCGTCAGGAGTCCCGGCGAGAGTGGCCCTGCAGCGGATGGAGGACCGAACGACACGCCGAAAAAATTGGTCTGTGGGCACGTCTTTCATTTCTACTGTCTCCGAAGTTGGTTGGAGAGGCAGCAAAGCTGTCCCACTTGGTGAGTGGCGATGACGGACTGAAGGACCCGAATGATTGACAAGCCTCCAAAGCCGGAGAGATGTACTTCGGCCTACTACCTCAGCGACTCGATCAGCAGCGAGGGCTGCCCCGGCGGCCGCTCCAGCTCCAGGTCCTCATCCGCAGCCAACCAACGCTCCTCCACCAAATCCCGCAAACGTTCTTCCGACAGCACAGAACCCTGCTGCTAGTCCCTTCCACGTGACTCTCGACGATTACTTCCCCCTCCGCGGTGGAGCACCACAGACTCAACCGACACAATCGAGTCCCTCAGCACAGGCAGACCCGGCCAATGGACCTAGTCAGCCTGAAGTGGATCTACAGACGGGCATTTGGGGAGGTCCTATTACGCTTGGAAGATTCTTTCCTGTCCCACTCGGCGCAGCACCCAGACTCGCTCCTACTCCGTCTAACGCGACCGTTCGTTTCAACATTTCGGACAGGTCCGCTTTGTCTACCCAGAACAATACGAGTCCTCACTCAGCCACGACTCTCACTACTGTTTCATCCTCTGAGCCCCCTCCGACGTCCTCCTCGATCACCGTGTCGTCCGAAGACGAGGAGGAAATTGGGGCGATCGATACCTCTCCTGAGGATGCTCGGAGACAAGCCGCTGAAGCTGCGATGCGAAGATTGGGTCTGGCACCACCGTCAGCAGAAAGTGCCATGCGGCGAACTCGTATGGCCCAAGCTCGACCACTTTCCAGCCCAGACTCCTCATACGTCCTACCGACGCTGGATCGGAAGGGTAAAGGCAGAGCTGAAGGGCCTGAGGAGACGTGGGACGATGCGCCAAAATACACGCCATACCTTTCGGATCCCATGGACACCGAACGGATGTGGACGCGCTCCTCTCGCCTCTCTCCCGCCTTATCTAATGTCTTATCGGGCGAGCCGGGCTCGGCGTTTCCCAATGAATCTGGGCCGGGTATATCAGCTGTAGAGGAACGATTGCGGACGCTGAGACAGGTGGATAATGCCATTTGGGGACTTGTGGGCGAATTGACCAGGCTGAAGACTAAGTGGGATGAGGAAGGTTCATCGGGGACTGCGGAAGTAAATGGTATGGGGAAGAGTCAACATCAACCTGATCGACACGAGGAGCGTCAGACTGATAGCTGAGGGCACGAAATCCTGCATGCAGTGTCCTCTCCATCGTCAAGGCGCTCAGAAGCGGTCGACTTGATAATCCTTCCCAACATTCTCATCTATCGATCTATGTTTCTACTGATCTATGTTTTCACTGATCTATGGGAGTGACTGGACGATTCATGACGCTTGGTCCGCAAGATGACCCAATTTTTGCATCATCTGGAAACTCTCGCCGGATTCCAGATCTCGCAGGACGCGCTGCTGGATTTCACGAGCCGTCTGTCGGAGCTTGTCGAATTTGTCAGAGGAGAGATTGCCAAAGATCTGGGCCAAGGTTACTCAAGTGAGCTTTACCCCTAGCTCACCTCTCGCAGCTCCGCCTTCATATCTTTTTCTCTTCCAGTGACCAAAACACCCCTGGCAGTCTTCTTGCCGATGTTGTGGCCATGCCCAAACTGGGCGATATCAAGTGCGATCCCAGCTTTACATAGCTCTGACGCGATGAATGGTTGGTCCCAGGCGCCGGGTAAGAGGACTTTTGATGCGTCAATCGTGCTCGACTCGACTATGACTCACCCATCGGAACACCGGTGATCATTGCTTCCATGGTCGAGCCTGATCCCCCATGAGAGACAAAGACGTTGATTGCCTGAGCGAATAAGACAATCTTGACAAGCTCCTGACTCACCTCATGTTGAAGGACTCTGAGCTGTGGTACCCAGTCCGTCACGTGAGCTCGAGATCCCATTTTCTGATACCAGGTTTGGATATTTCCTGCGATCTTGGAGGATGCTTTGTGACCTTTGACCAGGACCACTGACAGACCACTCTCCTCCAGTGCATCAAGGAACAAGGCGGTCTGAGCCTCGGTAGGAGGCCAGAACAAGGTCCCAAAACACACGTAGATGACTGAGCGGGGACCATGTCGAGCCAAAGCGGTATCCATGAAAGCAAGCGTCGGGTCAGAAGCGGCACTACTGGTACCGTTTGTCACGGTGGGATTCCCGTCGAACAATTGAGGTCCCGCTCGGACGCCCTTAAACTTGGTCTGATGCTTCATCGGAACGCCATGAATCGATTCGTAAGACGGCCAAAATGTGATGCTAAGCGCTTCGACAGTGTTGAACTGCTTAGCGAAGGATGTCAAGCTGGTCATGTGGGATTGGATGACAGCTGAGAGCTGTCAGGACACGGAGAGCTGTGACCACTTGCCGCTCGGTGAACAATCGAGTTCTCGCACGACTGCCGGTCAGCTCGAACGAGACCACGACTCACACATCGGGCTGAGACCCAACACCTCGATATACTTATCCTCAGACGCGACGAATGTCTAGTGTGATTGATCAGACCGTGTCTAATTGATGAGGCCGCACCTTTTGAAAAGCCTCGTCATCTGTCGATCCAGCCGTGCGGGCTTGCTGGTACGCTTCGAGCACTGTTGGCAGGGGTGAACCGTCAGCTGCAGAGTATCTGATAAACGCGTCAGTCTCTATGGCTACTTCGGGCTCACGCTGCGATATAAGCTTCGCTGAGAGGATTCAACCGGGCCAGGACAGGAGGTTTGAGTCCCGCTTGGTTGAAAATGGCTTCGAGTCTGGGTTGAATGCGCCACAAAGCGATAGCATCGCCCAGAAAGACTGTGGGTGGGATGGGGATGAGTCCGTCCTCCTCCTTTGCGTAGATAGCATCTCCCTGAGACCGTCAAAGGTGTTTCCCCTTGTCGGAAACCCACATTCACCGTCTGCTCAATGCTCTTTGCTGCATAGTCTACCACCCAATCGGCAAAAATCCGGAAATTTTCTGAATCTCCCTTGCCGCCATTGGGATCGCAAGGTGGCAGACGTCCAAGAGGATGGAACACTACTCTAAGTCTCGAAGCCTCTTCAGGCGTCAAATGAGCCTGAGCAATCTCTGCAGTCGCTAAGTCTCTGTACCACTCCGAAATCAGGAGAGTAATTGAAAGATGAGGATGGAGCTGGATCAATCGGAGGCTAAACACAGTCTCGGGTCGACAGTGTCCCCAAGCTGGGAACGTGAGAACGAGATAATGAGCCTTTGTGGTGCTCATGCTTGTGAGGTCCTTGAGAAACGTGCATAGGCCGGTCGACCGACCTCCTTTATATACGAACAAGCTTGCTCGGATATCTACGGACTCAATTTTGCAGGAGAAGTGGACGCCGGGAAGGGCTTGATCATTCCCTGACCGAACTCCGAAGGACTGTCCAACGGTCACAAGACATATACGCTCAGTCTGTAGGCGTGTTTTGAGCGCTCGCTTATCCCATAAGAAGGGGTTTAAGGGCCTTCGCCATCGCAGGGCGACGGGACGGTACAAGGGCATCCAAAAGAAAGTCAAAGACCCCAATGCAAATGTCGAACCGTTTATTAGCTTCCGATGCACCATAGATATTTCCGATCAGGTTAGGCCCCCTGAGCCAGATTGAGTCCGAGGTGCGCTTCGACTCCTCTGCCCCCGATGAGTTTGCCCTTGAGTCTCCCCCAACTCCCTCCACCGATCATCCCCAGCTTCGCTCGCATTCATGCATAGAGTATTGAAAATGGGCGACTGCTCAGACTTTATGGTCCGCCGGAAGCAAAGACGCATCACTGTCCTTGACTTAAGAACTCCCCGACCAGCTTCATCACCTTCTTTCGCCTCTCCTCTGTCTCCAGGTGTAACATATGTCCGGCATCAGGAAAGGTGATCCACCGTACTTTGGGGATCCTTTCAAAGAATGGTACAGTGGTCACGTCGTGAGATGTATCAAACTCCCCATTGTAGACCAGTGTCGGAGCTTGGATCTTGTGCAGACCCGCGATAATATCCCAGCTGGTCATACTGCCTTTTGACTTGTCAAATAACGAGTCGCCATTCCTGTACGTCAGCCAAGTCCCTGGGCAAGGATTCACATCGTTTTCCAGGTGGTACTCTCACTGATGTTCTTGAACGCCGGTATGAGTTCTGGCGGAGGGAAATTGGTTGTCCTGCACATGAACGTGCGCCTGTAGTGGTCCATGGCAGTTTTGTACCCTTCACTGTCATAATCGCCTGAGTCTACAGCTTCACGGATCGCCTCTTGGTCTTCTTTGGGAAGGAGCTCTGCTTCTAGCCAGTAGCCTTTACTTCCTGATTCTGAGCTGGCGAGGGCGCTTGCTAGAACGAGCCGTCGAAGGCCTTTAGGTTGGGTAGTAGCGTATTCAGCAGCCATCATACCTCCGAAGCTCTGACCAAGGAGGTGATATCGGTCGAGTTTGAAGTGTTTGATTAGGTTGGCGAGTTCATCGAGGAAAAGCTGGGGGAGCCAAAACGTCTTGTCACCATCTTGCTCGTGCATGTGAGAGGACTGCCCGCATCCAACCTCGTCGTAAAGAATCACTGGTATCCCATAGTCTGTCCACAGGACGGTGTATGGAAGAAGGTACTCATGCCCTGCACCTGGACCACCGTGCAGGATGATCACCGGAATGACACCGGATGTTAGGTCTCCAAATACCTTGTAAAAGGTCGAACTGTGACCCCGAGAGGTTTCAAATGGGATAAAACCTGTATAGCTGGGCTCAGACATGGTCGATGTCAAGGTGCATATCAGGTTTACGTTGCGTGCGTCTATCAGATCTTGTATTGACGTAGTGATCGAGATCTGCACCGCGGTGTCAAAAAGCGCCGTTTGCCCGGTCGAGCTGTTGGATAATCTTTGTGTACCATTGCTGCTCCGAAGATTCGATGTGTCAAGGCGAGTACTCGACCCTGATACATGTCGATGACATTAGCGACGCTCATGACCAGTCCCTTGCTTTGTCGTCCACGCCATCATAGCCAGCAGACAACTTCATGAACCCATCGGGACCCCAACTGCCACTTTGAAATATGTGGAGCACCACACTATGACACGGGCAAAGAAATGTACGGAAAGCGGGCATCGATTGATTGGAACATGTTATTATACACTACTAGGGGATGGGATCACCGAGATGGAGGGAACGTCAACCTGGAGCGAGAACAGTAGATGAGGGCCGATCATGGATGTGAATACAGAAGCCGAACCCCCGGTCCTAGGGCCACCGATCATCATCACTCGATCTCGAGATGAAGAGGATGGCGATAAGGCACCATCACATGGAATAGCAAAGACATCGATGGATAGGGAGACCAAGCGGGACTCACTCGATGTACCAGTACGACGTTCCAGTCATCGTCATCGAAGATCTATCGAGGCTCCGAAGAGGACATCTTCGCTAGCACAGAGTCCGGTACAAGCCGCTGAGCAGCCTCCCGTAGTGTCAAAGGTTGAGGAACAACCAGAGCAATCTGAGGCGGAGACAAGGATCGATGGGGCACTTTTGAAGCTGCCCCCGCCCCCACCTTTCGACCTGCTGGTTAACAATCTATGTGTTGGCATTCCGCACAAGAAGGCATCAAAGTGAGCCAATGTGTCTCGTGCGAGCTAAATCTTAGGTGGTTACACAAGAAACCGAAATCCGACGAAGCGCCGAAGAAGCAGTTTATCCTGCAGGAGATCAACAGTGCCTGCCAATCTGGACAAGTACTTGCAATGTGAGCTTATGTATGGACCTGGCTTATGACCAGTCTCGGTGGCTCAGGCTCAGGTAAGACCACTCTACTGAATGCTATTGCACATCGACTCGCCGGGTTGCCCATCACGGAAGGTCAGGTGGTTTTTCAACGCACTCGCACAGCGTCTCCCTCCACACTGAGTGGATCCGAGATCAAACGTCGGATCGGCTTCGTCAGACAGCAAGATCACCTAGTGGAGTGCTTGACGGTTCGAGAGACACTGTCGTACGCTGCCCGGCTAAGGTTGCCAAAGTCATTGGACGAGGAGGTTATCTCACTCATTGTCGAGGAGACCATCGATGAGTTGGGTCTGCGAGATGCAGCCGACACAGTGGTCGGAGGACCTCTACGAAAAGGAATATCCGGCGGGGAGAAGAGACGACTCAGTATTGGATGTGTCCTCGTCACTCTGCCAAGTGTCTTGATCTTAGATGAACCGACTTCAGGACTGGACGCCTTCACCTCATATTTACTCTTGCAGACCTTGTCACATCTCGCTAGGCGAGGTCGAACAATTATTCTATCGATTCATGCGCCACGCAGTGATGCCTTTCCGCTGTTCGATCGCATCACCTTGCTGTCAAAAGGGGAGGTCGTATACTCTGGCCTCCGATCATGTTGTTTGAGCTGGTTCAAATCGCTGGGACACGAGGTGGACCAAGGCACGAATCCGCTAGGTGAGTTCACAAACAGGGCTCTTCTGACAACAGATTTCCTCATCGATATATCATCCGTGGATAACCGGGATCCTGAGAAAGAAGAGATCTCTCTAGCGCGCGTCAGGATATTGATATCTGCGTGGAAGGAGAGACCAAATGGCGACCCCCTCCAGCTTGAGAAAAGATCCATCTCGTCCGACGAGACGGAGAATAGGCCGACGAATGAACTCGAGCGATTTGCCTCGATCCAGTCGGAAGATTCTCGTCGCGCAGGCTTCTTCCGGCAAACGGCCGTGTTGACCTCGAGAGCTCATAAGAGTGTCTATCGTAACTATGTCCTACTAGTCGGCTTCTTGACTCAGGCCGTAGTGCTCGGTTTGGTCATCGGGCTCAACTTTTATCAGCTGCCAGCGACCCCGACCGGCATTCAGAGTTTGAAGAATCTGACGTTCCAATTGTGAGCGCGAGCCATGTCAATCGCTGATGGTCAGGATTCCCGGTGTGTTCTACCTCACATCTGTCTTTTGGATCTACAAATACTGTACCGATCTGCTCATCTTTGATCGCGAGCGGGAAGACCACATGTACAGTGTCGTTCCGTACATCCTATCCGATTTCTTGTCCTTCTTGGTCCCATCTGTTCTTTGGCCCACAATCTATATTGTCCTGGTGTACTTCCTGGCTGGCCTGCGAAAGGATCAGCTCGCCGCAAGACTCTTCACCATGACAGCTTCGACTATCTCGGTCCAATTTGCCGTACAGGGCATATCTCTTCTCGCCGCATCCATCTTTCGATCTTTTGCCGGTGCATCAATGGTTGGCAATGCGCTCAACTTGTTTCAACTGGTCAGCGCTGGCTTCCTCGTTGTCCATGTTCCCGCGTATGTCAAGTGGGTTCGGTGGATCTCCCCATTCTTTTACTCGTTCCGAATAGTTGCCACGATACAATTCAAAGACAGGCAATTTGATTGTCCGGCAGAGTCAGCTGCAAATCTGAATCAAGTGAGTCGCAGAAGGCCGACTCGGCTGACCCTAGTGCAACGGGAACAACGTCCTCAATGGGTTCAAGTTCGATGCGGGGGTCAACATTGGCGCTTGGTTTGGCGGACTCCTCGGCTTGGCCATCGCTTGGTACACACTCGCTTGTCTCGTCCTTTGGCTTTGGCCGTCTGGTGGCGTCAAGCATGCTTCAGAGATCGAATCACACCATCGAGGCAAGGGCACCGACGTCATGGAGAGTCACATGACGCGGGACCGTATCGATGTGGAGTTGCGAAATCTCACATTCGCTTGGGAACGGCATGGTAGAGGCGTCGCCAAGAACAAGGAGAAGATCATCCTTGATAACCTCTCCATCCAGTTCCCCGCTGGTCAAATCAGTGCGATTCTAGGTCCATCCGGAGCGGGCAAATCGACCCTTCTCCAGCTGCTCGCCTCGCGCATGCCGGCTAGCGCTCCCATGTCAACGTTCAGAACGACCGGACAGATCTTGATGGCCGGACAGCCAGTGAACGCCAAGTCGAAATCCAACGTGGCGTTTGTGGAGCAAGATGACGATTGGCATCTCCCGTCATTGACTGTACGGGAGACCTTGCGCTATGCTGCGATACTGCGATTGCCTTCAAAAATGTCCAAGGCGAGCAAGATTGCTCGAGCGGAGACGGTGCTTCTCATGCTAGGACTGAAAGATTGTGCTGATCTCCCGGTCGGAGGGGCTCTACTGAAAGGCATCAGTGGAGGCGAAAAGAGGCGATTGAGTCTGGCGGTGCAGATGATCAATGATCCGGCGGTACTGGTAGTGGACGAACCGACAAGCGGTCTGGATAGCAGTATCGCACTGAGTGTGATGCAGGTGTTGCGGGACATTGCAGCGACTGGACGGACCGTGATAGGTGAGCTCCAATAACCTTGCTTCGCTGACCTTCAGCTACAATCCACCAGCCACGAAGTGATATCTGGCGATTGGCGGACAACGTCACCCTGTTAGCCAAAGGTGGTCGCCTTGCGGTGAGTTCGGCTCAAAGGGCTTGCTGATGACAGTACACCGGCACACGCGCCGATGCCATACCCTACTTTGTCTCCATCGGTCATCCTATGCCGTCTGAATTTTTCAATCCCGCAGACCACCTCCTCGATTTGGTATCCATCGACCCGCGACCCGCAGCGTACCCCGCGTCCAACGAGCGTGTGAGGCAGCTTACAGATCACTGGAAGCGAATAGCCCATACACCGGACGGCGGTGAATCCGAAGGTCCGACTTTGGCTCGTGGGCACGGTAGCACGAGCATGCGCGTCGCCCTACCTGTCGTTCTTGAGCGGCATTGGAAGAATCTTTGGCGGAGGAAAGATGTCTTCTTCAATCGTCTCGTCCAGACTCCGCTTCTCGCAGGCATGTTCATCCTTTTCTTCCAGCGTCTTAGTCATGGTCCGAGTGGAGCTCAGGATAGAATTGGTCTGACCATTGAGAATACCACTGCTGCTGGGTTTGTTGGGCTCCTTAACGCCATGGCGATATATCCTGCCGATCGAGATTTGTATTTGCACGAGGCAAAATCCTCAGCAAGGTACTCGCCCGCCACGTTTGTCATCGTATGGACGATTGTCGAGCTCGGTTTCGAGCTGCTCGGGGCTTTTGGTTACGCGGCGATCGTGAGTGGTAGAAAATTCGGCTCTGCTGATCCCAGATCAACGTCGGCGCCGGCATGCAAACCTCCGTGAGAATCTTCTTCGAGTTCAGTTTGACCATCTGGGCGTGCGTCAACCTCGGCGAGAGCTGGGCTATGATGTTTGGCGCGTGGATACCGGCCGAGGGCTTGACCGTCGTGTATGTCTACGCTCTTGGCCAAAATTGACACTCAGGGTCGTCTCGACGCTACTGTCCATCGCAGGTCAGATCAGTGGCGTCATCAGTCTGTCAGTCCCCACCTGGCTCAGCGCGATCGCATGGGCGACTCCCATCAAATGTGAGCCAGAACTCAGAGGCTCTTGCTGATAATCAGCCGCGACCCGAGCTCAGATTATCAATGAAGCGGTCGGCCTGAAATTCTACTGTACACAAGAACAGCTGGCCTCGGGCGCTTGTGTAGCACAAAATGGTGAACAACTGTGAGTCTTACATTCACTGCTTCACTAACGTATAAGCCTCGCTCTGTTCCACTGGTCAAATCTGAATACATCGACATTTATGGGGTTGATGGTGGGGATCGCAGTCGCTTGGAGGATAGTAGCCTGGGCATCCATTGCGGCAAGAGTCAGAGGGGTGCGTTAAAGGAAAGTGGATCTCTGCATGCAGGCAGCATTTTTCACGGAGTGAATCAGGAAGAGCTTTCGTCCAAGGGTGGTTGGTCTTGGCGAGCGTTCAGCATGACAATCCTGATGATGTAGGCGCCGCATTGCAATGTTCAGTTGCAGGTGAGATGGAAAATATTTTTCTCCTCGTCACAGATCTTCTCGGTGTGTGAAGCGAGGAGGAAGGGTCGGATCGAGTGACCGGTCTCCTTCGCAAGGCTTCCATCTAGTTCTTCGAGGGCAGTTTGTAGAAGTTCATTGAGGACTGACAAGTGAAGGTATCAGCCAGAGAATTGATACGATTATATAGAGGTGAAGCAGCTGTTTCCTCGTCAGGAACTCTGGCCGAGTGGTTAAGGCGATTGATTAGAATTTGATTATCAATTGGGTTCGCCCGCATGAGTTCGAATCTCATGGGTTCCTTCAGTGAATTTGCCGATTCAAATCATGAGTTTGGCGCAATTTCTTTTTGGTCCTTTCCATGGACCAAATTACCTTTACTATGCATCATCACGTCTCCAGAACACTGGGACGCATGTGCATTTGAAGATTGGGGCAATGGTGGTGTCTGAGAGCGACAGGAAGTCATTCGGAGAAGCGTGTTCATAACAAGCATGAGGTCATTTTTTGGCTGAATACTTGACAATCTAGGCAAAATCCGCTACCGCGGCCGAGAATCAATGAAATGCGACAAGGGACGTTCATCGAGGATAACCATTCGATGAGTTCTGTGCCAATTGAGTTGAGTCGGGAAGTTTAAGTGCATGTGTCCAGGCTCGGTTCGTGTGGCCGTGATTGGCGCTGGAGCATCTGGTCTCGCTCAGCTCAAGCAGCTTCTTGATGCGTTCGCTCGGCCAAACACGCCCCAGCTCGACGTAGTGGTATATGAAAGTCAGCGTGAAGTCGGCGGGACATGGTAAGTTGTCAAGTACCTAAGCTTTGCTGATGAATAGGTTTCGATCTAGCCATGACAAGAAGAAGTATATCCGCCATACCGACTCTGATGGCCAGCTTTTCTTCTCTCCCGATGCTGAGAACCCGTCGCCGATGTACGATGGCCTTCGGACCAATCTTCCCTATGTGAGGTGACTTTGTGGGTCAGGGGCTCACTGTAGGATCTCATGAGTTATCGAGATTTTCCGATGGAGCATGATGATATCTTTCCGGACCAACGTGAGTCTGAAGTCGTGTGATAGCTGAGATATAGCGGCTGTCGAGCGTTATCTGCGTGACTATGCCAAGAAGTTCGACCTGTACAAATATATCAGGTTCAATACGCCCGTGAAGAGACTTTACCGTCATGGCAAGTGGCGTATCGAAACGGACACTGTTGAGGATTTTGACTTTGTCTGCGTTGCCAATGGTCATTATGCGGACTCCTGGATCCCTCTGATCCCTGGATTAGAGTAAGTGGGTATCAGATGGCCGAGCTGATCTCAGTTCATTCCCCGGAGAGGTGCTTCATTCTCGATACTATCGTTGCCCGGAAGATTACGCAGGGAAGAGCGTCATGGTCGTAGGGTCATTTGCCTCAGGCTCAGACTTGTCAAGACAGCTGGCAGGCTTGAACCTGACGGGGCGGTCGATGACCGTATACCTGTCTTCGTCCGGATCGACCTACTCTCCACCGCCAGGACCAGATGACCCTCCACAACCGTGGAGAGAGTACATCCGCAATGTCCCGTTGATATCGCGCATCGATGAGACCAAGATTTCTTTTGAGGACGGGTCTCAGGTCGACGACGTCGACACGCTGATCTTCGCCACGGGGTACCGGTACAGTTTGCCATTTTGCAAAGCTTTCGATGAGCCGTGGAAGTCTACACCTCCACTAGATAGGATTGACGGATCACTGTCTGGGCTGTCTATGAGACAGCTCGACGAGCTTTTGCTCTTTCTCAAAGACGACAGGACGATATCTTTTCCTGTACTGCGTAAGTCGGCTGGTTTGCCCCCGCTCACAGGCAGAATACCAAATAGTACCCTTTCCCCTCGCCGAGGTCCAAGCTCGCCTCACTGCTTTTCTCTGGGCAGGTCTCTTCATGCTCCCAGAACACCTCAACCTCCCGTCAAACCCATCGAATCACCACTCTACCCCTCCCGCAACGCCCCCGGATACACCCGTCCGCAAGGTTGTCTCGATGCGCCAAAACTTGGTCTTTGGTGCGCCCTACGAGTTCATCTACGCCGAGTACCTCATGGACCTTATGCGGGGTGTGGACGGTGACGATACACCCTCCCATTGGCAGAGGATAGAACCGTGGCGGAGAGAACGCCGTGCAGACAAAGCTTTGAGACGTAAACTCTTGGGCTATTGATGCATTTGATCATCCACCAGCCACTCCTAAACGCCTCTTGGCATCCTCGTAAACTATCCAGCTGACTCCCACTGCCGGTCCTACTTTAAGGATACTCGGTAAGAGACCCTTGTACAGTCCTCTCGGCCCTTCGCGTTTCAGCGTGCTTTGGAGCACGTCAACGAAACCAGTGTACTGATGACGATGACCCGAGGATCCCGAAGCTTGTAATCGTGTCCGCAGAAGGTTGATCGCTGACGTCAGCGGATGACGACTTGACTACTCACGATAGACACTCGCTGCTCCTATACTCCCTGACAGTGCGCCAAACGAGAGCACTGCAATGACCTCGGGCTCGTCCTTGCCAGTCGACCGACAATAGGCCTTCTTGAGCGTCTCGTACGTACCCATGTCGATGGCACTGTAGGGGAAAACGCCGACGAGACCGAGCTGTATGTCAGCGTGGCACATCCTCCTTACTCACCGTCAAACCTCGGTAGAACGCGCGGATCCCTCCAGCAGCCCACATTTGCCTGGCTGTAGATACGACCGCTCGCCAACCTTGAGCTGGACCCAATTCACTCTGTATTCTTGTTTTGAGCGTTTCCAGTCCGTAGATCGAGAATTGTGATGTGATACCGCCTACTCCACCGGCAAAGAATCGAGAAGACGACGAGATCTCCGACACATCACCGACCTGGTCCCAATACTTCGCCAAGAGCTTCTTAGTCTGCTCATACGAGACGAATTTAATGGCGGATTCCTGCCAATCAGCAATGCAAGCCGAGAGTGACTCACTGGGAAAATTTTGGTCACATTGAGCCCGTTCCCCACCCAGAATGCCTTGAGACCCCCTCCGTCGACGTATATGCGAGTTACCGCGCCCCACAGGTTTGTCATAGCGCGGAACGTTGAAGTAAATGGATGCAGGAGGGGGCTCTTGGTATGTTGCTGGAATGGCATCGCGTTCTCGGTCGTGATCAGATAAACTTTGAGCCGGTCGAATGGAGCGGTCACCGAACGGGACACTGTCATCAGCGAAAGTTGCGAGTTTTCAACCCACCGGCACCCGCTTCTCCACCTGCAAGCAAGAACCTCCAAGCCTCATGCCTGTCCTCTTGCGGCGCCCCATCAGAATCATCCGCAAATTCATCTGAGCTGGGTGCTGGTGTGTCCCCTTGACTTTTGGGAAACGAGACGTTGAGATCACCTTCCTTGTCCACTCTCGCTGCTCCCCTCCCATCTGAGAATCGTTTCCTGACTTGGTAGACTGCGGTGTCAGCGCATTCTCACATCTTGTCTCACATTTATATATCTCGAACGGTGTGGCCTTTCTCGGTAGCATGATCAGAAAGTCTCGAAACTCTTGAAACGTAATGTACATGTCTTCAGACGCCTCGCTTGAGCTCCCGCTGGCGAGAAAGCTGACCAAGTCTTGGGCCGTGGCTGGTGTGATCTCGATTCCTGACTTTGCCAATGCCGCTCTCATGTCATTGACATCGAGTCGACCGTCTCCATTCCTGTCGAGGTCTTGGAAAATCTCCCACAAATCTCTTTCTTGATCCCACAGAAACCGTCTGAAATCTGCCCATGCGATACCTTTCTCTCTGACCTCGGGCTCAATGTCATCTGCTCCGCCCCATAATCGTGCTTGAGGTCGTTTCTCTCTCACTCGTCTGACAAGTTCTTCCTGATACAATTGGCGTAAACGATCTGCACGTTCCGGGCTGAGGGCAGTGATAGTATCTTGATCCGGCAGTTTCATCCGTTGCAGTGCAGTCGGACCATCCGAGGTCAGCGCTGGAAGTGTGGGAAGGGACTCCCACAGAGACCTCAGCTTGGCCTGTCGTGTCGAGGCGCCTTCAGACGTCCGGAACTGAGAGAGGGTGGGTCGTGACGCCGGAATGATGTCTGGTGAAGGAGGTTCGCGTAGGCTGATATGCCGAGAGGACGATGGATCTGAAGGGAATGGACGAGATTCAGAGTCCCTAGAGTCGGAATGATAGAGAGGATAGTGGGATCTGGAGGAGGACGCGGAGGATGAAGCGTCTGTCATGATGCTGGCAGGATCAATGCTTGGCTATGGGATAGACGTGGGCCAATGACGTCGAGTGAAATTCTGTCGCACGACTGGGTCGAGCGGGAGGGTGGGATGCAGCGACGCTCGCTGATCCTCGTTGGTACCACCGACTTGCCTAGACGCAAATGCGCGTCTGATGTATCCCCGCCTATATGATGATGAAGACAAAGACACGAGTCACGAATGATTGGAGCATCTCGAGATCAGAGGTCGTCGGTGCAAATCAAGTTTCGGAATTTCAAAATGACTGACCTCTAACAGGCATCCGGCCGATACATTTGGGACTATATACAATGCAGAAATCATCTACAGCTTTGGGGCCACAGGTTTGATATGAGGATAGATCTGAACATCAGCCAGGGGGTCCTTGAGAGATGACCTACCTTGCCAGGATTCAGCAGGTTGAACGGATCCACTACCTTCGTCAGCGCCCTCCTTAGGGTTTTCTACTCACGCGTCCGTTTGACAGTCTCCATGAGATTGACTGTACCTCTGCCTAGCTCCCCGTCCAAATACTCCACCTTGCCCAGTCCCACTCCGTGCTCGCCAGTGCATGTGCCGTCTAATCTTATAGCCCGCTCGACCATTTCATGCACGGCTTCTCGAATCTTGGCCAGTTCGTCATCATCCGAGAAAAGGGCCAAAGAGTGAACGTTGCCGTCTCCGACGTGTCTGCATGTCAGCTTTATCAGATGCTGAAACCCACCCAAAGTGGCACGCCGTAAGTCCACGCTGCTCAAAGTCTTCCGTCGTCTCGCGAATCAATCGAGGGAGCTCAGAGATCGGGACGCTGGACGTCAGAGAAACCCCTAATTATTCACTCACCAGACATCCGTCGTCCACACTCTGGCACCCTCTCGCAAAGCCAAGACACTCCATAGTGCCGCCTTGCGCCCCTGCCATAGATCTTGCGCCTCCTTGTCTGTCCTCGAGAAGGTGAAGTCTTTCCCGCCATGCTTTTTGGTGACTGCCTGAACGCCTTTCGACACGTCCGCCATGGCGCTGTCGGTACTAAGAGGTCAGCGGAGCCCTCGCATCTGACCCACCCTTGGAACTTGAAGAACAAGCAGTCCTTTTCGGGATATTGTCGACCGGAGATGCCACCCTGGTTGATAGCCTTCATCGTTCTCGCGTCGAGGAACTCTACGCATTGTACTGGGAACCCGGCATTCACCCTGTGTGTCAGGGGAATCGATACCATTCACTCACACTTCGGTGGCAGCACTGACAGCCTCCTCGACACCATTGAATGTGACCACTGCGCACTTTGTCGGCATCAAAGGCGCTAGTCTCAGGGTTGCCTCGGTCACAATTCCCAAGGTCCCTTCAGCTCCGATGAATAGCTTGGTCGTGTCCCAGCCTGCAGACGACTTGCGTGCTCTCTGTCGGGTCTTGATAATCTCACCAGAAGGCAAGACCACAGTCTGGGCTCAGCTTTGAACGGCCTCACCCCCTCACCAAGTTCAAAAACCACTCCGCCTTTGCCGTCCCGTAACGCACTGCATTCGTCCCACTGCATCCAGTGCCGACCATGCCTCCGATCGTCGCGCCAGGCCCAGGATCCAACGGAAAGAACAATGGAACATTGTTCGCCGCAAGATGCTCGTTGAGATCCTCCCACTTCACTCCACACTGAACCGTCGCATCTCCATCGGCCTCGGACACACGCAGGATTCTGTTCATGCGAGACAGATCGAGCGAGATTCCGCCGTAGGGCTGTAATTCAGCAAAGTAAAGCGATAACACTCACCGATGAGAAATGACCCTCCAATGATGTCGCGCCTCCGTAAGGCGTGATAGGTACTCTGTGCTGCCTCGCGATGAGCATGATCTCTTGGACTTCTTCCGTTGTCTCGACCCAGACGACCACTGTCGGTCTTTTCTCCTCATGATAACTCCAATCGCTGACTCCATGGCTCTCCAGATCTGAAGGGTCGATACTGACTCTGTCCTCTAAGCTCAGACCTTTGCGCCTCAACATCTTCTTGATGTCTTCGATCGCCTGGTCATAGTCTTTCTTCGAGCCATAGCTTGGAGGACTCAGCTCCTGTCGTCGGACGGCAATGACAGATGGGACGAGCGAAGTATCACCCGCGTTGTTGGACAAGGTTGACGCATTACGCCAAGCTGCCACGTAGTAGCCCGCCAGAAAGGAAAGACCAGCTCCGAAGATGAACTGAGCCCCCCAAAAGATGTAGTTCAGATTTGAACTGGACTCCTTGGGCTTTGGAGGTGGTGGATGGCCAGAGGGAAAATGGGAAGGTGGTGGGTAGCGAGAGGTCGAAGCGTGTCGATAGAGTCTTTGACGGGGTATTCGATATGCTAAGCGAGGGTTTGCGACCCTCACCAGGCCTGTCAAACCCATCGCTGAGGTCATTGAGGTCGTGGTCGGATTGTGAGATGAACCATTTCGATGGACGCAACATTTTTCCGTGGATGTGATTTCGGCTGAGTTGGCCGAGCGACCAAGTACCAGACATCTCTATCAAATGTAAGTAAACATGATGCTCTGGTCTCGCTGAGTGGACCACAGGATTGGTGACACTGGCCTGGGTATTGGTCGATCCTTTCAAGTATCGGTGACTCGCCTAGGTGTCGCTCCTTTTGCTCGCTAGTTGTCCTCAAAGGTGGGACAGTAACACATGGAGCCCTTGTAAATATGACAAGGATGTAGGAACGTCTGTCTCTCCTCATTCGCTGCCCACCATGTCTTTCAAAGCTCACTACGTCTTCGGGACGCACTCGTCTTTCTCGCATGTTCCACCCGTTATCAGACTCTGTCTCGCATTACTGACCCAAGCGGACGATCTCATCATCACTGTGATCCTACATGCTGACAATTTACTCAACTCGGAGCGATTGATGGCGGTTCACCCAGACTCCATCACAACACGACTCAGGCTTGTCCCTATTGGCGATCAAATGCCTCTCAAAGACACCTCTCGGTCATTCAAGGTACTCGAGATTCAATCCGCGGAGGCCTACAGGAAAATCTTACAGGTGAGTTGCGTTTTTGGTCCAACACTGATGGCTCTCAGGACGATTCCTCGCCTACCCCTCAGGCATTCATCTTTGACATTGTGCCGTTCTTCTACCCTGACATCAAGGCTAACGTCGAAGCCGACTTTCCAACACTCAAGACACCTCGGCTCATCGCTTATAATCCGGAAGCTGCCGCGGAAATGATCTTGTAGGTTTATCCGCGGATCAGTCTGACATGCAGTCGTGTAGGATCTATCACGACCAAGGGATCCCTCCAATGGCTCAAACAAAGTATCCAGGATCAGTCGCCGGAATCGCTCAAGCTGACCTGGGAAGACATCGAATCTGTGGAGCAAGTGAGTCGTCCGAGAGGCACGCCAATAACCCCAAGTTTGCCGGGGGTGGACCTGAGCCAAGCTCTGCCACCCAAGATAGAGTCTCCAAGGCTGTGAAGGCTTATAAGAAGGTGAGATATGTCCTCAAACTTATCTGACGTCAGGTGATGGTAGAGAATTATCGCGTCATGAAAATCGCAGGCTACGAGCCTTTCCGTAAGCTCCATCCGTCCTCGCACCTAACACCAGATCTATACGAGCGGTGGACAGCCAAAGTTGACTGGACTAGGGAACGCGAGCTCAATTGGCCGATGTCCCTCTTCAAGTATCAAGAACAGGCCAAACGGGCTGAAGGCTTCGTAGGATGCTTCCCCTCTTCCGTTTTTAAGCCCGAAGCCCTCGAAGCCGCAGAGAAAGATCCTATCCTTGGCAAAGGCGGGTATGTCGAGCTCGGCTGGTTCGAAAGCAAGCCATTGGGACCCCTGAATGGAGAGCTTCAAGGATTCTTGGACGCTCAAGATGCAAAGAGTGTGGTTTACGTCAGGTAAGCTGCGGGTTTCATTCGTATACTCACTGCAATAGCTTTGGGACGATCATGGATTGTCCTCGCAATCTCGTTCACCTGCTCGAGTTTCTGAAGACCGAAGCCATCCCGTACGTCTACGCCGGCGGTGGACAGCACGCCTCTCTCCCGGAGAATATCAAAATTCTGCTTAAAGACGCTGAAGCGGACGGTCGAGCTTGTGTTCCGGACTGGTGCGATCAGATTGGGGTACTGGCTCATCCTGTGAGTCTGTCAGTCGTCACCTCTAACAGGGTATAGTCAATCATGTGCTTCGTAAGCCACTGCGGAGCCAACTCGACTATCGAGTCGATCCTTGCCGGCGTGCCCATCATTGTCATTGTCCCTCGTCTGCGTGGCTGACGTCAGGCGTGTGCGCAAAAATGGGATCAAGTCTTCCTCTCTGCAAAGATCCACCAAGCCAATCTCGGTATCGAGCTGATCCAATACAGGACAGGCCATGTGGTCGGTCGCGGGATCATGCACCGACCTGGGGAGGTATGTGTCGCGACGCCTGAGGCGATGAAGATGGAGATTGCTCAAGCTATCGAGGATGTACGAGGGTATGAAGGGGATCAGATGAGGGAGAATCTTCTCCAGATGGCGAAGGAGATGAGGAGCAAGCGTGAGGGTATTTGGAACGAAGCGGTCAAGGAGTTTGCCCATAAATACAGGTGAAGAAGGCTCGCTTGGAAAGCTTGATACTCAGATGTCGACCTCCGTTCTGGCTATATACAGTATGCATCGCAGATCATCCCAAACTTAGAGACTCAGAAAGTGCCACGAAAGCTGACGAGACCCAGGGTGTGGCAACCCCAAGCCTTGGATACCAAAGGCTGCTTCAGACCCTCGTCCGACCCCTTGCTATTGTCTCGTCATCCTCCCACCATCTCGTCATCCTCTCATACTTAGATCGATCATCATTCAGACCTGTCTTCATCCCAGTGAGCCTACTTCAAACCTACAAGTTGTCTACCGCAAGAAGCAGCATGTCGAAAAGACAAAGAGTACTTGTTGAGAGCGTCTCAGGCGGAAAAAAGGCAAAAACCGAGGTGAACAGTGGCTACAATGACGAAGGAGCGGACGTCGAGATTCTCAGCTCGGATGGCATCAGGTTCTTCGTCGAGTCATACCATTTGATGGCTGCCAGGTGAGCTGTAGGCAATTCGAAGGCACATGAGGCCGCGCCGGCCTGCCCGGTCTTACTGACTCATAACTAAGTTCGGGATTGAGAGACCTTCTCCGTGCCCCACAAGGAACGTCCAATAAGGAAAAAAAGATTGAGATCGCTTTCGTCGATCAACAACTAGAGCATCCCACCATCGTTGAGCAATTCCTCGATGTCGTCCATGGAAGGCCATCAAAGAAGACAACTTGGCCGATCCTGGCGGCGCTCGCGGAATATGTCGACAAGTGGGACTGCTCGCCCCTTATCAAGCGAGCAATAGGCTTGATAGTCAAGAAAAAAGCTGCGAACAACACTGATCACCTAGAGCTGGGCTTCGTGATCGCCAGTAAGCTGGAAGACGATGACGCAGTAGCCGCAATCTTGAATACCGAGCTCTGCTACAATACTGAGATCCCGAAAAAGGGGTCTTACTCTTCCAATTCACGGCAGAGCTTGCACCCGGGATCCTTGGATCCTTCCTATCTGATGAACCTGTCTGTCAAAACCATTTGGTGTCTCGCACGATCACATAACCGGACGGTATATACGATCCAGGACAAGACTAACCGGGGTTCTCCGTGCTCAAAGGAATTTAAGGAGGCTTGGAAAGAGTGGGACGACAATGGAAAGAGCTTTGCGGAAAACCTGGTGAGCTTCAAGACAGATTCGCAGTCTCGCGAGGCATTAAAGAGCTTCAGGATATGCATTGACCCAACTTGCGTCGGACGCCGTGGCCGATGAGAGTTCCGATGATGATTCTGTGTGAAGCAGGCACAAGTCAGTGGAGGGACGCCCTCCACACTCCGCGTGTCGATAGCATGTAGGTTAAATCATGCATGTGGTGGTCTGATCATACGTGAGGGCAAGTTGTTGCGTCCGAAGGATACCTTGGAGTCATACCGTTGCTACTGTCTCCTGACAACACCCGTCATTGACACGCGAAAAATAGCCTGCCGCCATCTGCATGCACGTCTTCGATATGTGAATCGTCGATCTGGATTGGGAATGCGGTGTATCACTACATTATCATACCGTGCAAGAATGCAGTGCAGCATAGTCCGTCCTATCACGTTGAGTGGACGATGCCCTCGAGGCTCGCCACGATGCCACAGATCTGATCAGTTCGAGGTCACGTGACTCTTCAGTTCTCGATGCGAAGTAGCACCAGCTGGCCAGCGTACATCTATGCGGACTGGCCTTCGACCTGCTTCTTCGACGGGTTTAAGCAAGGGAACTGCTCTCATGCCCCGAAGGGCAGCAGTCACTGATACGATCTATCGTGCGTTCATCTTCCAGGACGCTACACGCCGCTGACTGTCTCCCCCCTTTGCTCCAGTCGACGAAGCCGAAGGGTTCCTACTTGAACATGCCCGGTTCTCCCCCACTCGATCATGGCGACCACTGGCACCCGAGACTACCCAGGCGGAGCGTCTCACAGCTGTAAAAAGGAAAATGGACTGGGAAGGAGAGGTCAAAGCTCATCCCGATGAGCCTATAGAGCTCCCCGTTGCGGTCAAACGAGAGACTGGAGATGAAGATGCCAATTCTGAGCGGTGTGTCATCTGTCTCATGGCTCTTAGGGACAGGACAATCGTTGGGGTCTGTGGGCACGAGTTCTGTGTGAGTCAAGCATATGATTCCAGCTCACGCTTAGTTTGAATGCATTGGAGTGTGGGCGAACCAATCGCGGCGATGCCCTCTGTGCTCGACAGACATGTCTGCGTTCTTGCTGCATGACTTGGACAGCTCGACGCCGACCAAGGTAAGGCCCTTCAAACTCCCTAGCTTATGCTTCAGTTCTACCTGCCGCCGCTACCCCAGAAGAAGGTCCCATCACTGTCCTTGCCCGGACCGTCTCGTCGGCCAATTCTGCCCGAAGAGCGCTTACGGATGCAAGCGGAGAAGCAGGAACTTGACGAGCTGGATCTGCAGGTAGAGAGACGTAAAGAGATCTACGAGCACGAGCTTTACGTCAAGGTGAGATGCGACCTTGACTACGCTTATACTTCAGCACATCGCGAGCAATCCGACCACGCGATTCCGTCCGAACCCGACACCACGTCAAATCGCAGACAATCCTGAGCTGACACAGAAGGCTACGGCCTTCTTAAGACGAGAATTGCGAGTATGGAGTCTCGTAGATGTAGAGTTCCTCACAACCCATATCCTTTCCCTTCTGAAGGCTATAGATATCCGATCTGAACCCGCCGTCCGTCTACTCTCCGAGATACTCGATACGCCCAACGGCCCCAGATACCCGCACGGAGCAGAGCATTTCGCTCACGAGATCTACTCTTTCCTGCGAAGTCCTTTCAAGGAATTGTACAAGTATGACGAGGCTGTACAGGTGAGTACGAGTCTCGGATCTGGCTGAAGGACAGTATGACCCGATACCGAGATCGAGGCCTGCATCCCTTTCGCCTTCGCCCAGCGTTATCAGTTCCAGATCGCCATCACCTCGTTCCGCAGCATCACGCTCACGCTCACCTCTTCCACCTCGATCCCCTCGCGATCCATTCCGCCGAGATACTTTCATACCTTCATCACCTCGGGACGTCAAACGATGGAACGAAGCAGATACATGGCTGGACCCGGAATATGCGGCATGGCTCGAGGATGAGAAGCAGCGCGCAGAAGAACGGAGAGCACGACGGGAAGGGGAGCGAAGGCTTAGATCTACAATGTCACACGATGACAGAGGCAGAGGTCTTCGCGGCTGGTCGCCCAAGAGGGAGGAAGAGAAACCAGTTGAGCTGCTACCGAGTCCGCCGCCACCATTACTTCGCATGGACGAGGACCTGACAGCGGATGCGGACCCCTCTGCAGGCAAACTGACCATTCGCGGGGCGGCGGCTGCCCCTCGCAAGACTCTTCTTGAGCGCCTCGCTGCGGCTAAAGCCGAAGCAGCTGAGAAAGTCAACGACCCTCTGATCCCACCACCCCTGCCTCATTCGATATCAGACCCCGTCACCTCAGCCGCCGTGCCCAACATCACTGGAGTCAGAGCGGCAGTCCAAGCTCGTCTACGTCTCAAGCTCAAGTTGGCGTCAGAGAAGAAGGCCTTTGTGTTCAATCAAAACGAGTCTCGCGCCCAGGCGCTGCGAGCGATGATCCTGGAGGCCAAGGCCCGGCGTGAGGCTACCGAAACGGATAATGTCTTGCGACACATGGATCGACTGGACCGTGCTCGAGAGATAAGGCGCAGGCTGATGGTCGAGAAGATGATGGCCGCAGAGACAGAGGCGGAGAGAAAGGCCAGAGAGCTCAAAGAAAGGTTGATGGGAGAGAAGAAGGCAAGAATGTTGCGCGAGAAGCTCAAACAGAGGAAGAAGAGCCAAGGAGAGGCATTGCCAATCGTCGCAGTTCTATGACGTGTTGTAAATGCATGGCGATGTGATTAGTCTTGACGATCTAGGAAGGCAGCCCCTTTATCGTTCTCTATCTTGCGTGTAAAGTTGGCATACCACTTCTCGAAGAATGACAGTGGTATTGGTGTATCGGGGCTGACAATGAGTGGACGACGGGGAGAATTCGCTCACGTCAAGTTGACCTCTCCTCCACCAAATGAATGAAGATAGTTAAACAGCTGACGGTGTCAATTCAGGCTTATCTGGACGCCCTACATTCTTCACAACCTTCTCTGCGACCTTTCCTACATCCACTCTTTCAGCAACCTCTTTCCCTCGCATGTCCCCCGAAGCAAGGCGCGACGCAATCTCCTCGATTTGAGGTTGGGGTGCAATCTCTATGCCGAGATTGGCTGGTGGTGATGAGCTAGAAGATTGACCAGAGGGTGGAACGAGCTTTCGGACACGAAAGATGGCAGATGGCTTAGCGTTAGTCAAGCTGGTAGTGCAGTCAGTCCAGCTCGCAATGATATCGCTCACACTCCGAGTGGTATGTAGTCTTTGCCTGGCCAAGCGAAATGGACCGATGCGCCGTACCCATCCGGGAAGGGGACTGCACCGCGTCAGTAGTATACTGAGATATTCCCGCAGGTCATACTTACTGGTCCCCAAGAGAAAGACAGTCAAGTGATTGATGTCATATGGTTGCTCCAGGGGAAAGACAAAATGAGTATCGTCTCTGGATATGGCGTCAATGGACGAGTCAGGCTCAAAGGAATGGCCTCACATTTGCTGAAGATTTGTCTGTCTGTGCATGATCAGATCGAAATATGGTATCTAGGAACTCTCACTTACACCAGACGACCAGCAACTATGGCTCCAAACATGTTGGACAGTTTATAAACAACACAGAGATGATAGTCAACGTCTGCAGCTTTCCTTGTTGATCCGAGATCCGCTCAAGCGTGGCAGTGGCAGAAGCTTTAATACATGGCTGCGATTCTGCAACTGGTCTGTATACGACTACGAACTGGACGGTCTGAGATCATCCATTCTATGAGGTTTCTGCGCATATGGAGACAAGCATTTGCATCATTGCAACGTTTATTCGTCCCAAGTTCACCCTCGTTCCTCTGCAACGAAATTCACAAATGGATCGTACGGTGTCGTGTTCCAATTGGGCGGCGTCCCCTGCATAGTTCAGTTCCTGGCCTGTACGACGGCCTCAGTCAGCTCACCTCAGCATACGTCAGAATATCCTTCGGATGTGTCGTGAATGCGGACGCCAGCGCCGGATCATGCGAAACCAACAGCGAAGATAGATCGTCAAACCACATGATAGGGTCTTCCGCCGCGCCTTGGATATTTCCGTTGGTTTCTTGAGTTTCCCCGCTAGGCGGATGGGCCACTTGACTCGAAACGGAGCGATTGTATGCCGGTCCCGGGTTCTGATCGAAGATAGACGGCAGCTGGGCGGCTGGGGATATGTCAGAGGTGTTGCGCGCTTGACTGAGGACTTTGTGGAGGATAGTGCCGAGTGCTCTGCCAGGACCTACATCATTAGTACAGATCAATCCGAGTACCCACCTGTTGACGTCTTGATAGCGAGCTCCTCTGTATCCCTAGCAATCTGATCGTGAGAGCCACCATCCGGCAAGATCTTGGACAACCGGACCAGGTATGCGGCAGCAAAGAACATGCCCACTCGCTGCTCATGAGTCCAGTAAGCGTAGAGCTGACCGAGAGGCTGTCGAAGACACTGATGAACCAGCTGTTGAGCGGCCAAGAGCGCCAATCGCAGCCACCCTAGCTTCTCCTCGGGCAAGCTCAGGATCTCCTCGTCAAATCGGGCAACCGACAAGGATCCTGCGGCGGTGTGAAGGACAGCATGGGCATGCTCGGAGACCAGCAATCCCCTGACAGTGTGGAGCTCAGCGACACCGCACGTGGCATAGTAAGCATGCCAGTGCTCCAGCAGGGAACCAATCTCGGTGAGAGCGTCTCTAATTGTGTCTTCTATCTCGACATCAGACCTGGCGTCCCGGGTTCCATAGGGTCGGAAAAGACCGAGACGAGCTCTGAGAAACTCGCATGATGCCACTAGACGGCAGTCGCCCAAGTTCGCAAGAGGGTGGTCAACGAACTGCCGACCGACTGACAGAAGCTCGTCGGCGTCGCTTGCAAGCGGTCGACCGAGGTTGAAGGCGTACTCGTATCGAAGTTTGAAGAGAGCTAACCATAACCTCGCACCGACAACTGCTTGTCGCTCAGGCTCCACTTGATCTAATTTCTTTCCTCTCGCCATATTCCGCCTGTTCAACCACGAGAGACAGCTGTGCACCTCGAGGTCCATCCCGATTGACACTGCCAAAGCTCCGATCTTCCAGCCAGAATCTATCCAGTAGGCAAGCAGGGTGAGAGCTTGTAAGGTTTCAATTTGTCGCACGGGGTTTAACAGCACACCGATAATGGCTAAACCGATCTGCTCTAGAAGTCGGCTAGATAGTGATGAGGGGTCCTTCCCCGTATCTTCCGCCATACTTGCTACGAGTATGATGGAGTTAAAAGACATGAAAGATCGGCGGCGGAGGCTAGGAGCAATTCAATGCCAGTGTGATACAAGTGCTCACCTCGCAAACGTGTCGGTGATTGGATCAAAGATGGGCAGGAAGAGGTGTGATTTGTCGAAGAAACTGAAGCATCAGCAACGCCATGTGACCAGCTCACGATCTGTATAACCTCTCTGCCTCCTGGGTCGTGCACAGGCCTAGCTCGATCGCATCCTGCATCCTCGGCAGGATTGTTCCGACGTCTGAACTTCCTGCAGGCGGCAGGGCAGCATTGCTATGCGTCTTGGGTGATTCTGGTACATTGAGACGGGATGGCTGACCAACAGCAGCCGCAAAGAGTGGATCTCTGAGATGATCCATGAATCTCTGATCGGTCGGGATTGGAGAGTCTTTCTCGGGGGTCGAATAGTTGCCAGGTGATGGATCCTGTATGGCCATCGAGCGAACAGGAGAGGAGATACTGGCCCGATTTGGAACCTGAGTGGGTCTCCGTGAGTCCACGACGGTATTTACGACGGGGGAAGCAGCTCTGTCCGGTATTGCAACATGACCGAATGAAGGTCTTTGTCGCACCGTAGGTCGCAGCGGGGTGGTGTCCTGAGCGCTCGACGGGGCCGGCAGATCTTGCGGAACTGATCGGTCTAAGGCTCGGATCTGGTCTTCTAGCTCTGTGAGACGCCTGTCATGACTCAGCACTCTTTGAGCCGGTATGAGCCTCACCGTTTCAAGCTCCGAGGGGCATCGTCCTTCGACTGCTCGCCAAAGGTGCAATCTAAGCCGAACGACCGGCATCTTCCACAAGGCGGATTCTCCTTATCGATGCAACGCAGCTTGGCAGTCCTGCATCTATCCTGAAACAATGATTTCGTCAGTCGCAAGAGGTCACAAGGCTCCGCGGACGCACACAAGCATCTGGAGTTCCATTAGTAGCTTCATGACCAGACGAGACGAGTGATCTTACTGCTTTTATTGCCCGGAGGGCGCTTCTGTCGCGCTCTCACGGTCCAGCGAGAAGAACCAGCTCCCGGTGACTCCGCAGGAGTTCCGAGCCCTTGCGTCATATCCGGAACATCACTTGTAAGGTGCCGCTGCACATCCACCGAGACCTTCAAAGACGATGATTCGTTCGAGCTCAACTTTCGGACCTCGCCGATGCTGGTTTGTGTGGCGGCGAGAACTTGTGGCACTGAAATGCATACCCGGGAACAGAACTCTCCATCGGCCCAACCCCGTTTGTGATATCAACCCTGAACCTATCTACCTCGACACCCCCTCCACAACCTTGCGACCTTATTCCAAATGAGCGACTTGCTCTCCAGCCGTTGTGGGCTTCTCCTCCAGCTCAGCAACAGGCTTACTCTCAACCACCTCATCGTGAATGACGACATGCTTGAACTTTCTTGTGGACACCTTGTTGGCGAACAAGATGTCAAGCTCAGCGAATGAGAATCCTCCGGTCTCAGGCAGTCGGAAGTAGCACCATGTCGTGCAAACAATGTTCTAAGCCAGTCAGCCTCGACATTCCAACACCACACGGGGCGACTCACAGTCCCCAGCCAGAAGTAGGCTGATTTTGCTCCGAGGTTCCACCCTGTGGGGTTGACGAAACGTGGTCCGAGTTGTCCAGTAATGAAACCACACACACAATAGAGGCCTCGTCCAAGAACAATACTTTGCGAACGAACTCGTGAATTTGGCAGTTCACCCGAAATTGCGTAACCTGCAGTGCATGTCAATACCTTGGCCTTCCATAGGGATGAGAGACGTACACAAGGGCCCAATACTGGTCGAGTACAGAAGCTGGATCAGGATCATGAGGACCGCCATTGCGAGTCGGCCACCATTGGTGATCTTGGTGAATGCGATTGTACCAATGACGAGCAAGCAAGCGGCCGTGGCAAAGAGCGAGAACAGGTACATTGGTCGTCGTCCAAAGTAAGGGAGCACTGGACAAGCGTGAGACGGCAACAGAAGCAACTAACGAGTTTACTCACGGGCCCAAGTAATCATGCAACCGAGAATGACCATGCAGTTGATGGCAAGGTTCACATCAAATGCCCCTTGAACAGACAAGCCAGAGTCCTCAAAGCTGTGACTGATCAGTCATAGGGACGCAACTATGACTTTCGACTTACAATTGGACGGCAAGTCCAGTGATACCTTGACCTCCCCAGACTTGAATGAGCCAGACGCCGAACATCTGCGCACGCATTAGCCGATTTGGAACGCTCGCGAAAGAATGGTCTTACGATTTCGGTCCTCCTTCTGTTTGTGCCGGTGAAGCATTCTTTGAAGCTGCCAGACTTCGCCTCAACTCTGTCCATCATATCGACATGCCTCATGTATGTGACGTATGCGGAAAGGTCTCGTCCATCGTAATGGCCTGGAGCGGCCGCCGCGCGAAGAGATTGTTCGGCCTCCTCGAATCGGCCTTTTCGAATTAACCACCATGGACTTTCGGGGGCGAGATAGCAGAAGATGGCGAGGGGAATAGGCCAGACCCATTGCAAACAGTAGGGAAGTCTCCACGCCCAGTTACTGGTTTGGTCAATGTCAAGGGAGGCTCGGCCCACGCCAGCGCTCAAGACCAGACCGATACCCCAAGCCATGTTGACGAAAGAGGCAAGAAGACCTAACATTGGGTGGCTCAGCTGCTACGAGAGGTGTTCAATACTCACCTCGCAGGTTGATTGGACAAATTTCAGCGGCGTAAGCTGTGGTCAATGTCTGGAAGAGACCAAAGCCAATTTGCTCCCTGAGATCAAGTTAGTGACGAATTAGGACAAGTGGAGGTGCTAGACTTACAGAAAGTTCGCCGCGGCGAACATTTTGATGTTCTTCGCGAAGACGATGAGGAAGATAACAAAGATCATCCAAGCCATACCGCCAATGTAAGTCTTCCTTGATCCGAAACGCTCTTGGCAGATTCCAGTCACAAGCAGACCGCCTATGTTCCCGATTGTGCCAATGTTTCCGATCAAAGATTGATCGTTGGCCGAGATCTGATAGCTACCGTCTGCTTGCAGCTTTCCAAAAGTTCTCTGGAAAGCTGGTTGTCCGTAGAAGGAACCGATTATACAGTCGAAACTTTATAAACGCTTCAGAATCGTCCGAGGATGCGATGCGCAAACTCACCCTTCCATGACAAGAGCGAAGCTCAAGGCCAAACTGAACAGGGCGCCACGCCAGTGTGTCCGAAGAGTTTGACCTTGCGTGGCAGCTTTCTCTTCTTCGATGAAGCGTTGTCCCTCTGCCAAGATGGCTGGGTCGAAGCTTGTGACATGCTCAAACTGAGCGTCTGTGAGCCCAATATGTTTGGTCGTGTTCTCCATGATGGATGATGGATCGTGGATGTTTGGGATTGGGGTCCTGGATATAAACTCTGCGGGGATATCTGGGGATTGTTGGACCCCGGATCAACTCTTTATACATCTCTGAACGCCTGCCAAGGCTTAAATTGCCTCATTACTTCCTTCTTGAGTAGCTCAAGCGACCATACAACAGTGCCTCAAAATAGCATTTCGGACGTACCGCTCAAGCGCCACATGAACGAATATCCCTGCGGAGATGACCGGTCCGTCATTCCAAGCGATGAAAAGTCCTCCGCCACGTGTCGGAGCAAGCTCCGAGTCCAAAAACTGCTCCGATCGGAGATGAACCGCGGATCGGAGGAAGTGGGGTTGGCTAGAGATAATCTCGGTGCGGAAGTCGGCCAAAATAGTGAGGATATAATATAGTGCTACTGTAGTTCATGGCGAGATTGATCTTGCAATCTTTCCTCGATTCGACTTCACTCGCAGCAAACTTTTCCCACCATCATGGTCGATGAAACACTCACCAACGGCGACAGCCACCTCGCCGCTGAATCTAGCCTTCCCGTCGATCTCAAGACAATTCCCTGGAGCCGACGCGGCTCCTATATGTCCTTCTCCACTCTGGCTGGAGATTGCGGAGCGCTCACACCCAACATCGATGTCGCTTTGGTATCTCATTACAAGCCATACGGAGCTCCCTGCTTTGTTCTGCGTCCCAAGATCGAGCCACTGCCCTCGCCAAGCGGTTTCCACAAGACCCCCTCTCCCGTAACTTTCCGCGCCACACCCGAGCTTTTGGAATGGCGTGCAGGGAGCGAAACGGTTGCCGAAGCGACGTTCATCAGCGACAATGTCGTTAGACTCCGTGGTACGACTCCCATGAGCTTTGACACCGACATGGAGGCATTGCGGAGCTACATCTATGAGCCACCAAAGCCTACTGCCGAAGCGAGAGATGTTGTCGAATGGTCATCCATTGGTCTGATGCCTTTGCGTTTCGTGGCGCTCGAGGGGTCTCTCTCGACCATTGGAGCTACGACTTACGAGAACGGGCGGATTACCATTCACCCTGGCGCCACTGGTCACTGGGACCTCTTCATTCGCGAGCGATGCCCTTCGGAGTACACCGTCCCTGGGGAGACAATTGATGAGTGGGCAGATCGGATCTCGAAACGATCTTTCAACACCTGCGTAGAGTCTGTTCAGCGTGAATTCGAATCTTATGCTCGAGGACTCTGTACCTGGTCTGGCAAACGAATTGAATATCTTGACCTTCTTGCATGCTACGTCATGTGGACCTCGACCGTCCGGGCAGAGGGCTTCATAAACAAAGAAGCGGTTCTCATGAGTAAGCTGTGGATGAACAAGGTGGGTTCATGCTGTCGAGACTGAGCTGATGACTCAGGTCTGGTCTTGGGACAACTGTTTCAACGCTCTCGCACTTGCCGGACACTCTGGATTGCTGCAGAGTGGGATCGATAACCTACTTCTACCCTTCTCTCAGCAACTAGAGGACGGCAGGATACCCGACGCCATGATGTACAATGAACTCACATTTGACTTTACGAAACCGCCCATCTTTGGCTGGACACTGGAGAGACTGTTGAAGATGCGACCGGAAGTCACCTCGCAGCAGTTGCTGGACATTTACCGCAAAGTCAGCAAATTCACCTTCATGTGGTTGAAACATCGACGCGTTCAGGGATCTAAATTACCTTTTTACAGCCACGGCAACGACTCGGGCTGGGACAACAGTACTTCCTTTGATGGTCAAAGGGTCATAGTCAACGCTGATCTGGCCAGTCACCTGATCTTGCAATCCGATGTTCTCAGCAGGATCTCCGCCCAGCTTCGCCTAGGAGAGGAAGGCATGTGGAGTGATATCCGTGATGAACTCGTAGACGCCTTACTGTCCGAGCTGTGGGATGGGGAACACTTCCGAGTGAAGAATGCCATCACCGGTGAGACTCGAAAATCCACCAGTCTACTCCAATACGTTCCTCTCACTGCGTCGCGCTTTCTGCCGAAAGAAGTGGTCGACAAGATGGTCGCGGATCTGCAAGGATTCTTGACACCCTGGGGTTTGGCTACTGAGCCGATCGACAGCAAGGAGTATGACTCGGACGGCTACTGGCGTGGGCCGATCTGGGCTCCGTCGACGATCCTACTCGAATCGGGAGTCCGTGAAGCTGGATATGTTGAATTCGCCGACGATCTCAGGCGGCGATTCTTCAAGCTGTGCCAGAAGGGAAGCTTTGCAGAGAATTACGATGCAGTCACGGGCGAAGGCCACCGAGATCTCAGTCACACTTGGTCCTCGGCCATCTTCCTGATCATGCGTAGAGAGGCGGCAGAGGCTGGAGAGTTATAGATCGGATCGCTGTAACACTACATGCATAGAATTGGTGCCACATTCACGCGCCGCCGAGGTCGACGATCGGTTAAGGATGCGCGAGAGACTCTGTCCATCCAGTGAGCCTCGAGTCAAGCACAAACTCACGCAGAATGTTCGTGTCTAGTGGTTGTGCAGATCGATCGTACCTTATCGCTCTCATCGGGCATGCTTACGAGACGCTCCACTCTTCTGCTGAGCTCGCGATCATGAGGCGAGCTCGCCCCAGTTCGAGGGCTGACCCACGCCCCGCGCTCGACCTTGGGTCACAACAGGATGACTGACATTCCTGACAACAGCTCCTCAGCTATGATACTGAATGAGTTGTCCGATTCACTAGCTCCATACCGGGCCAAAGGATGTCCTGTCTCCATGAGACTTTCATTCAACCCTCGGGAATCCAACTAGTCACACAACATGTCTGAAGCGGATTCTGACGAAGCAATTGAACATCGAGTCTCATTTAACTGCGATGGAGTCCACTGTCAAGTGCTATTCCAGCGAAGGAGACCCATGGATCAGTCACGAGCACGTCATCGCAGGACGCGATGCTATTGCCCCTGACGGGCAGGTCCTCCCTGACTGGCTGACATGGCGAGAGGTAAGGCGTTCAGGTTGCCCAGCTGACAATGCAGTATTCTACTCTGACCGATGGAGTGGAAGTCAGGACATGGTCGATCGTTCGGCTGCCCCAGACATGTATGCCTTGCTCAATGGAACTATGCTGACGTGTAGATTACGGTCCAAGCATACCTCTCGGCCAAGGTTGGACTTTTGGTGGACTTTCCAGCCCTGTGTCTGCCGCTGCGCAACCAGCGACCGTCGTGACGGCATCCAGTTCAGGCTCCATTCCTCCATCGCCTTCGGGCCCCAGCTCCAGCCCACCATTCTATACATTCTCGGCAACCTCAAAGAGCCTCGATGCTACCGCCACTCCCTCAACCTCGACTTCGATCCTAGCTCCAACAGCCTCAGCAGGTTCCTCCCTGCCTGTTTCCACGACATCTCCTGCCAGCATCCTCTCGCCTCAGTTCCCATCCACGCGCCAGGTCCAATCGGACACATCCTCCTCTCCTGACCCCTCGAGCGCTGCCCAGGCATCGAGGGAGACTGACATTCCTCTGCTCCCGGCACTCCTCGTTCCGCTCCTGGCACTTCTCCTAATTAGCGTAGGGGCTCTGTGGTACTTTGGAAGACGTCGGCAAGCTTTGAACAGCCAACCCCGACTCAATCAACCGGGATGGCTTCCAGCCTACTGGAGGAAAGAGGGACGGCATCGCTACGAGAAGACAGTGGAGAAGCCTGAACCTTCCTATGCGCCAGATGGGCCTGCTGAACCCGATGGACAGGGAGACACGCAATCGCAGCCCACATTTTATGGTCCAGCCCCACCGCCACTGTCGCCAGTCCCAACGGAGCGATCTGCTCTATTAGCCGAGTTCACTCCTCATCATCATCGCCAGCATTCCCTCACCCCTTCATCGCGGCGAGTGCACGACGACGAGCTCGCCGAGCTTGTCGCTCAAAATCATACACTCCTGGAACGGCTTACCCTCGGCCTCGGTCTGTCATCCTCTCGCTCCTCCAGCCGGTGTGGCAGACCAGGCCGAGCCACAAGCGGAAATACGGTCGAACGGCTTGGCAGTGCGGCATATCGACAGCTAGGTGACGGACCTCCGGTCGTCCAGACGCAAAAGTCGGTGAATCGTACGAGTCAGTCACAATCCGGTTCCGCTACGGGCAGCGGTAGTGGCAATGGTGCTCAAGCCGACACCAGCGGTACAACATCAGGGCCAAATCCTCCTTCAGCGGGCTTCAGCGACAGGCTACTGTCCTTCCGGGTACCCGCGTCGTCGAATTCGTCCCGTGGCTCCTATAGACGAGGAGGGTCGACTAGCTCGAGAGCGAGTAGCGGTGGTACGCGATCGACCGGTGACCTTGATGGCGGATGGTTTGCCAGTCGATACGGACAAACACGGATCGCGGGGGAGGCTACAGCGCCTGCTGGTCGGTTCGGAGATCCCTCGACGTGGCCTTCCGCCATCCAGGAAGACGACACGGGAGATACTCCTAATGATCAGCCGCCTGCGCGTACCAACACGTCCTGGATCTCCTCTAGTCGACTGGGATTTCCTCAGCCTCCTCCTCGCGACGAGCAAAAGGCTCATCACGCTGCCAAAGTTCTTCAACGCGGAAAGAGGGGATACAGTCACGCCCCATTGTCCGCTTTCGGATCCATGTCCCCCACGCCGCCCGCGTCGCTCGAGTCTGCCGAGCCACATACAGGCTCAAATCGACCAACATCGGCGTCACGTTCAGCTCTGAGCCCCATGAACGATCTCTTCGTCACTACGCCGCCCGGCAGCGCTGGATCTGCGGACCGACCTCACAGTTTCATCGGAGAGCCGATTGTAGACGTACGCGGCCTGGCCCATCAGACTTGCTCTAATGGAGCATTCGACGAATTTGGCGGACCTACAAGAAAGGATTCTCGCGAGGTGAGCACCAAGACTGAGTGAGCTGACGTGGCCAGCAGACGAACATCACATCTGCGAATTCGGAGATTGGTCGGTCTGAAAACGCCTCGCTACAGTCAGGGTACAACTTGGACTCGCATGGTGGGAGTCAATCATCGGGTCCAGAGGAGCAAGCTGCGCAGGGTCAGGCACTGCATGGAAGGTCAGTGTATAGCTATATGGTGACTGACAATGTGCAGGCGGAGTCGGCCCTGGCTTCTAAGCCCTCGTGATGCCGATGGACATCAAAATCAAGCGTAGCTGAGAGCACGGTTAGTGGTGCATCGACACGGCTGGCTTGGGCGACCAGCAGGTAGGAGATCGGCGTGGACCAGTCGTACCTCAAAGGGTGCAAACATAGAATCGTGTACATCGTCAGAGGACTGTATATACATCATCATATCATGGAGCTCTCGAGAGAAAGTCAGGCGAGGTGAGGGACCAGGCGATCTGCTTTAGCATGCATGGCACTCGCTTCCGCTCAATGGAAAGCCTGCGCGAGAATACGACGGTAGTCCTGGACCACCGATTCGTAAGTCTTTGCCAGAGCATCTTTTCGCTCTTCGAGTGTCATTTGTGACAGCATTTCCTGAACAATGTCAGCCGACTCCACATAGCTGGCTCACATAATTGAACCTGTACAGCCTCGCCTTGACACCGAGTCGGAACGCCTTGACTTTGGCTGGATCCTTCTCGTCCAGCTCGCGAAGCAGCAACATTTCAAGAACGCGATCAAACTGGCGCTGATAGTGTGAGAGGCGGTCCAAACACGGACCCACCTGTGCGATCTTGTATTCCTTCCTGACTTTTTCTTCCCATTTCGCCCTCGGTCCTCGCACATCTGCGCCAACGCCATCAGAGAACCCAGGGTCGTCCAAAATCCCTTTGGAGACGAGATATCGCAAGTCACATCGGTCCCGCAGATCCTCAAACGCCTCGGCTGGATCTTCAACCGTGAGCTCTGCGACGTCCTTTCGAGACAGAGCGTGGAGGTACAAGGCGTTGTAAAGTTTGGCTGGCTGATCAGCGAAAGCAGGATTCGTGATACTTACATCCATGACCTTGGCTTTGATATGGTGGAAGTATGACGAATTGGCTGCTAGTCAGCAATGTGTCGTCCGCCGTTTCTCACCTCAACCGCAACCTGACTTGATCAGGGAAACACCAAAAGGGATACACCGAGGTGTATCCAACAAAGTGGTAGGTGCATAGATCGGTATCGGCTCGACGGCGCTTTTCGAACAGGGTTATGAATTCCCAAGCGTCTTCGTCCTCCTGGAAGTGTAAGGGTGCCGGCCATTATCGCCCAGCTCACCTGAATATAGCTTCCCCCCTCAATGAATAGCAAAATGAACAGCTGCATCCGGCGGTGATACTCTCTGAATCCGGTAGTGTTCCATGTGGACTGCTTCATCAGCGGAGTGCTGCATGTCACCCACCTTGTACATCTCATACACCACTGCATTCGGGTCATCTTCCTTGAGCTCCACCGCTGCACCGTTGGCTTTTCCTTTACCCTTGCCTTTGGCTCTGCTCGTCCCGCTCGACGAGGGTCGAGCGTATGATCCAATTTTCTCGCCTAGAGGTTTGAAATTTGACGCATCGTCGTCAACCGTCTGCTCAAACGAAAAGCTTGACTTGGAGTAGTCGGGAGGGATGAATTGGTACAGCTTGCCCTCGACATCGTCCGCTGGAGTAGCTTCAGAATCGAGCTTCGAGTCATAGGAAATGTCCAGCATTTGCTTCAGGCTGCCGGAGGCGAAGGAAAGCTGCGGATCAGTCGAGAAGCAACTCTCCACACACACCCTTATCTCTAGACCCTTGTAGCCAAAAATCTTCTCCTGCTCGCCATAGATGGGATAGGTGAACGCAGGATGAAAAGGAGCGACCGTTTTCCGCTCATCGCCGTGAAGAGCTTCCTTGTCTTCCGGGGCGCGAACTGGGGTCAGTCATGTCAAAGAGGACTTTTGACCCACTCAGCGACAAGCTCAGCGCATCATTAGAGTCGCATAGCCATTCCTCCATCTCTGAAGACATGGTAGATTGACGAGTTATAATGTCTGCGGTACGCGACGCGAAAGGTCAAAAGTGTGAATGTGCCAATGTGGCGGAAATCCAATCAATGCTGTCGTTCGGCGTGACGAATACTCGGCTGAGGGGCTTGTGCCCTTGATGTCCCGTTGCTTGGTACCACATTGAGGCAAGTCGGACCGGGGGATGCTTGTCTGGAACCTGAAAAATTGCCCGCAAGGCTGCCAACTTGCACAAGTCAATGACGTCTGGCGAGTCTTTCATGCTCCTGCCAACTACCTACACCCCTCAGCTGCCTGTTTCACGAGCAGAAAACTTCTCTCACTTTGAGATCATTGGCAGGGTTCCAGGCCACAATCGGAGCACCCAAGTTCAAGACGCTATTGATGTAGAGGGCGGCGTCCTCTGGTGCCCAAAGTCCATCTATCTGCCAAGCTGTTATGTCGCAGCTTGTAATCCCGTCACCAACAATCAAGCTTACATGCATAAAACGACTCAAAAGTGTAACCAGTTATCACTGCTAAGGTTTTCCTGCAAATCACAAGAAGTTTGCCAGTCTGTAACAATGTGCCCATAAGGAGGGGCAACACAGATGGTCGTTTGTGTGGCAGACTCCAAAGAGGCAAACGAGTTTCTGCGGGGTCATTGTACGCTCGGGCTTTCTTGCGGCGGCGCCATACCTGACGCCAAAGAAACGACAAAGGAGCCACTTCCACCAAACGAGACACTCGACAAATTCCGTGTCTGTCAGAGTTTCAATGCAAGTGTGATCGAGTTGTGCGATCACTCACCCCATCCAATCAAACAAGATTGCCATTCTTCATGACCACTAAAGGTCTTGAAGACTTTGGCCAAGTTGTTGAGAGGCAAATAATGTGTCGTGGTCCCGTCTGTTTGACGCCGGGGAAGGCTCAAGTCCGGCATGGGAGGGTCGCCACAGAGCCTGGCGGATGTGACACGATCAAGATTGGCGTTTGTTCTAGGTCCGCTCTGAGAGGTTGTGGGAGGGCTCACTGGCAAGGTGTCAATTGATGCGAGCCATGTTTTGAACCGGCTGGCCATCTCGACGGCTAGAGTCTATTGCGTCATCGCGATACAAGAGGCGATGATGATGAGGCCGACAGGCAGCATTTTATGCTGTCCAGCAAGTCTCGCTTGGGTTCAACGAGCTCCACATTTGTATACCCATACCTTTGGCCTTCCATCCACACAGTTCAGGCCATCTGGCCAACGAACGTCAAAAGGACTGCGTCCTCTGTCACGGTTACAAAGACTCGGGACACCTGCACAATGCTTGGCCGCCTCTATAGCAATGGATACCACCATGGACGGATCGTAGATTGAGAGTAAGTTGGTGTCAAGAACAGACCTATCCGGCTCGAGGGTCCTACTTGGATAGTAACTCTCTGAATAGGGATGTCAAGCTGGGTAGCTCATAGACAACGAATATACATATTGATGAAGAAGAAAGCTTTATCTTTATGAGTCCTACTCTTATACTCGGGTAACGGCTCGGCCAGCGGAGATCGCCGCCGACCGTTCCTGACACTATCCTCCCGCAAGACGAGTATACACGAGGCGACCATCCCTCTCGTCACCCTAGCAACGGCATGTAATCCTCGTGTCAAAGGGTCGGTGTCCATGGTGATGACGTTGACATCCCACCAACGGTGTATATAAGAAGGACTCCATCGTCCTTGCCACTCGACGTTCTTCCTCTAACAGTGATCTTGTCATGTCCCACTCCGACCGAGACAGCATCGAGCCCGTTGTGGAGAGGTCGATTGTCAAGTTCCAAGGTCAGGACGCCGTTCAGGTCAAGAAGGACAATCGTACGCTACTGTATCGTGTGGTCCCAGCCCAAATGCCCTCTGTGAACCTGCTCCAGTCTTACATCGAATGGGTGTCCCGCTATTGTGCTCTAAAAGAGCAGTCGACCGTCGAGCGGGGTGAAACGGTCCGCACCGCTCTCCGTAAGGAGGTGGTCGGTTACCTGAGGGACGACCGTGAGGCTCGAGTTGCGCAGTCGGCTGACGAGGATGATAGCTTGTGTTTGCTGTAAGTCGAAGAGTTACAAGGCGGCTGGTATGGGCAAGAATGTCGCTTTCCCTTGTTTGGCCCCTGCATGGAAGCGCGCCAGTGACGAGGGGTTTTTGCTGGCTTCCCAGTGCGTCCTGTGTTAGTATAGCCAGAGCTTACGGATACAGGTGCTTTACTTGTGCTTTGACAACGACTTCCTGTTCCCATTGTCTGAACTCGAAAGTGGGGCCTACCAATCCGATCACTGTGTCGGATCGTTGTCGCTTCGAGTCCATTGCCAAGATCCGGGAGGTGGCAGAGACGATCAGTCGTGGCGGGGGGTCCGTAGCGACCAAGGTCAAGCTGACGGAGCTCGAAGACGTGAGTTCGCGCTCGTCTGGCGAAGTCGATCCTGAAGGAGTCAGCTTTTCTGGAAGGCCAAACGTCATGGCCGTGCACTTCCTTGTCCCCCCGCGTTGGGTATTGACAAGAGGCGTCGGGTTCGAGAGGAGACAGTCGAATCTGTGGCTGAGGAGCGAGAGGAGCCCGAGACCCGGACTCGGAGCAAGAAAACTCGTCGATAGAGTATTACCCTGGTGACTTGTCGTATATGCATACCTATACTTCTTGTGATCTAGCCCGCTGACTTCGTAGTCGAGGAAGGGGCTTGGGACTCGCTTTTCGTCTGTGGTAGTCGGCGAGCAGCTCTGGGTACCTGGGGTCATCAGCAACACTGTACACCGGTTCCCAAGTGCGGTGGTCTTTATTCCACCCTTTCCATTGGATATAGACACAGGGGATCCTTTTCCTTTTCCCTTCTACGGTGTGGTACCTATCCTCTAGGCCATGGATACTCTCCAGTTCATAAGTTTCGTCACCTGCATCTGGGGCTACCGCTTGCGCCGGAGGTGGATCCACGACGTCGCTTTTTGACAACGTTAGTAGGGATACTGAGAAGACGTCATGGGCCCGGATCGTCGGAGGGAGATCGAGGCGGAAAGCGTTGTCGTTGATCTTCTCAGTTACCAAGTAGGGTCCGTAGTTGACCGGAGCCAGTTTCCAAGACCCCTGTAGAGGTCGGAGGTACTTGGTTCGTAGATATACTCGACTTCCAACTGTTATATCTGGGTCTCGACGGTGTTTGTCATACTGCCGCTTGTATGAGGCTTGGGCGTGCTCTATTGCGCTTGTCAGATACCTGGCCAATTCTTGGAAAGCCTGGACACGCTCTTGGGCGCCGACATCGACCGTTCGGTCATCCCCTGTAGAGGAGGCATCCAGCGGGCAGTACCTCGGGTTTCTACCCGTATACGCGAATAGAGGAGCGACTCCGGTGGCCGAATGTGGGGTGCGGTTATAGCAAAATTCAGCTTCTGGCAGTAGGTCAGACCAGTCGTCCTGGGAGTAGGAGGTGTACATTCGGAGGTACTGCTCCAGCCATTGATTTACGATCTCTGTCTGGCCGTCTGTTTGTGGATGGTAGGCCGTAGAATATCGGTGACTGATATGGAGGAGTTGTACTACACTTTTCCAGAACTGTGATGTGAGTAACTTGTCTCGATCGGAGACGATCCGTAACGGGACCCCGAAACGCAAGAGTACGTGCTTACGAAAGAGGTCAAGAAAGCCGTTGGCCGTGAGCTTGGCTGTGGTCGGGATGAAGACTGACATCTTCGTAAACCGATCCACGAATACCAAGATGGCGTTGTAGCCGTTCGAGTCGGGGAGCCGACCAATGAAGTCACAGGAAAGTTCTTCCCAAGCATTGCCGGGGACTGGTAACGGTATAAGCTTTCCCATCGGCTTCTGTCGAGAGCTCTTGTGTCTTTGGCAAGTGTCGCACTTGGCGACGTACTGTGCTACTTCTTTATGCAGGTCCAGCCACCAGAACATTTGGCGAATATTGAGATAGGTTTTCCTCCGGCCGGGGTGTCCTGCGTGCCGACTGTCGTGGCACTCCCTCAATACTGAGAGTCGAAGAGATTGGGGAACGTAGCGAGCCCCCGAATACCTTAGTAGGTTCTCGGCATCCTCGCTTATGCGAGGGTCCTTTCCAAGCGCTCCTTTGAGTTTCTCATACTCCTTATCTCCGTCGTACGCTGCTTTAATATCTTCGTCTAGATAAGTTATTCCGCTAGTGGACAAGTCGAGAATGGCCATCAGTAGGGCTTAGTCGAGAAGCGGGCGATGATTGTGGCCATTGAGTTGGCGGGAAAGGGAGGTTGCGGTAGTATCCGTAGGAGCATAGTCGGCTCTTCTACTGAGGGAGTCGGCAAGGATAGCCTCCTTTCCGGGATGGTAGTAGATCTTAAAGTTGTAGTTGGCCGCTAGCTCCGCCCACCGGGCTTGTCGACGCGTGAGTTGCTTAGTCGAGAGGAAGTATTTGAGACTTTGGTGATCGGAGATGACGTCGAATTCGATCTGGCAGCCTTCCAGGTAGTGTCTCCATTCTTGCAGAGCATAGCAGATGGCTAGGAGTTCCTTGTCGTGCACTTCGTAGTTCAACTCGGCTGGTTTCATGGTTCTTGATATGAAAGCCACCGGGTGCAGAGCACCGTCTTCCCCTTTCTGGGAAAGGACGCAGCCGAGGGCAAAGTCCGACGCATCCGTCTCTACATAGCACTTAGAGCCTGGGGTGAAGTGTTTCAATATCGGCCCAGACGTCAAAAGCCTGATAAGAGATTCGAAACTGTCGTTCTCATTCTTCGTCCACCGGAATTCGACTTCCTTTCTAGTTAATTCGGTCAATGGCTTGGCCGTTCGACCAAAATCCTTGATGAACCGTCTGTAGAAGTTGGCGAAACCCAGAAAGCTTTGGACCTCTTTCACATTTCTTGGTTGTGGCCATTCGGTGATGGACCTGATCTTCTCTGGGTCCATTTCGACACCATTGGAGTTTCGGTTTCGTTGTTGTGAAGAGTTATTGGGGCCGACTGGCGGTTTGGGTTGTAGGGTCTGATAGTCGAGGCGTTGGAGCTACTGTCAAAATCTGGCTCCCGATGGTTGCTTCTTCTTTGGGGCATCGACTTCGGACGTAGGGTGTAGAGTTTGTTGTTCGAACGTTGGGTATGGGTGATTCAGAGAATTGCTATCGAAATAGGTATAGCAATATGTATATAATGTCAAGAACAGACCTATCCGGCTCGAGGGTCCTACTTGGATAGTAACTCTCTGAATAGGGATGTCAAGCTGGGTAGCTCATAGACAACGAATATACATATTGATGAAGAAGAAAGCTTTATCTTTATGAGTCCTACTCTTATACTCGGGTAACGGCTCGGCCAGCGGAGATCGCCGCCGACCGTTCCTGACAATGAGTCCTACTCTTATACTCGGGTAACGGCTCGGCCAGCGGAGATCGCCGCCGACCGTTCCTGACAGTTGGTGAGACCCTTGCGTCTTGTAAAAAGCCACCTATATGGTTCACTTTGTAGTATGGCAGCTTGCTAGAATCATCTTGGAGATCCAGAGGGGGAGGGGGAGCTCGACGGCGCTGCGCCAGTGGTGCGGTGATTGAAGGGGGTTCCGGAAAATCCAGTCCGCCTCCAAAACATGGTGGTGACGCCGCTTCAAGTACCCACCTCCGTCCAAGAGTTTAAGGATACCATTGTTCTCACTCTTGAGGCGTCCATTTATTACAGACGAACCTTTAGCACAGATGAGCACCATTCCCACTTTGATGTAGACCTGAAGCCAGAACAGTCAGTGAAGGAGGAAACGACCAGCGTGCTGGACAATACCATGACACGGATTCGAAGCATCAGCTCTTCGTGAACTGACCTCTGGCTGGTATGATCATTCTCATATGGCATGTCCGTATGTATAGTATGTATGTATAGTCAAACTCCTGTTTGTCGCTCGAGTCCGTGAATATCACCTATCGAGGCATCACCTATCTTCGTCCACCAATGACATCGAGCCCATCGTGCTTAGTGCTTAGGCTTTTTTCGCCTGTGAGACTGACCGAATCTGAGAAATTTGTCGCTTGAACTTGAATCCATACAGGCTTCGTTCCAGGACTCCGCTTCGTTCCAGGACGCCGCTTCGTTCCAGGACTCTTGGTCGTAGGATTGCCAGTCGGATTCATCTTGCTGGGCTCCTTGTCGTCGAGCCAAAACGTCCGGATTAGATGGACCTGCCTCCGATGAAGCCCAGTAGTCCAGATTAGAAGGACCTGCCCCCAGTGATTGCCGATGTCTTGCCCAAGTGCCTTCAGGGCCGACACCAAAGGCGTGATTGTGACCAAAGATGGAATGGTCGACAGGGTGGGCTGGCCTAGCGTCATGAGGACGACGTGTGCTGACGTCTCGAGGTCGATGCAGGTCGTGGTCCCTTGAGACATCTCGGGTCGGCTGTCGTGCAGCGTTGGACTGGTCTCCGAGTCCAGGACCTTGAGATCTGGTCACACGTCGACCAGGTGGACTTTCGGGATTGACGCGGGAAGACCGAATGATTCCCGCTGCATTGGCAAGGTGTGTCACGTTGGATGCCTGAGCCAATGATCAGGCAATGCTTGTGAAGCTCGGATCTCACCGTGTCACCTGCACTGGCCTTTTTCCTTCCGCCTTGCTCTTTTTCCTTGGTTGTCAGTCTGGTGCATCGTGCCGGTCATCCTTTCGGCTTCGCCACGACGACTCTTCTGACGATGGCAGTCGAGGTTTGGAGGGCAGCAAGCTTGGCTAAAGCAGGCCCAGGTCCAGGGTCAGTGTCGATAAAGAGGTCTTCCGGCATGTCCGTTGTTTCGTCCATCCCCACCTGCATCATATCGTGGCAGAGGCGAGTCTGGTATAAGACCACATGGTCCCTCAAGAGCCGGATCATTGTCTCTTGACGCTCTCCCATGGCCTGCATGGCCAGGGTTCTCTGCTGGGCAGCGGCAGTGAGAGCCACAGGATAGGGAGGACCAGTCGGATTTGGGGGTGCCGCCGTGCCGAGGACCTTGGGCTCGATGGATGTCGGCAAACCTGTAGTGGTCTCGAGACTGTCCGCAGCCAGCTGCACAAGGTCAAAAGAGCCGGCAGCAACTGCGCTCACTTGAAGGGTCCGACGATTGTTGCCGTTGGTCTTTTCGACTACCTTGGCAAGCGTCTATCTTTTGGGGAAAGCGTTTCACGAGCTTGTGTGGCCACTTCAGGTAACCTGTAGTGATGCCAATAGGGCTTCTCCAGAGATACCCTTCGATCTCTTCTACACTATTTCGACTCACAGGCGATGCGCAGAGGCGAATTCCAACCTTTCATCACGGCCCTAAAGTATGTGGCACAGAAATCCACACCATTCTTCTCTTGCTCGGTGTCGAATGCCTCGAGCGCGAGAACACAAGAGCGATGCCACTTTGAAAGGTCTTGACCATAGCATAACACCACGTAGCAGCTGCGGAGTGGCCCCTGAGCAGTCGCAGCAGTCTATCTATTTCCCCCATGAGCTGTTCATGCCTACCTTTGCCCGTTATCGAGCAAGGACATGACCAACGAGGACCGCTCCCCACCTTGGTTGGCATTTCGGTAATGGGCAAAAAAAAGACGCGCTGCACACCGTCGCAGCTCGCTCAAATCGTCTCTTCTCTGTCTGCTCGTCGATCCCATCGATCCGTTCACCTGGCCACCAAAAAGATCGCGACAAAAAAAAATTGGCCGATACCCGGAGTCGAACCGCTGATTGGAAGTCAGGAACACATTCTGAACATTAGAAATGGTAACTCACAGGTCTCATCCACCCTAGGAAGCTCTGAGACAGAGCGAATACACCCTAAGGATACATCGTACCGTTGGACCATATCAGCTAAATCTTGGGATGTTAGACCAAGCGTTTGTGTTGTTTATAATTTGAGCCAAAACCAGCCGAAGGCTGTTTGGTTAGCTCTCTCGTCACTCGGCCTGGAGTCTGCCCAGCCTATGCAATGGTAGCGATAATCCGAAGAATCGCATTGAAAAGCTATGGCGGGGTTTAACCGAATTTGCGAGCGTCATATCCTCGAGTGGTTCGTATATTTTCCTACGAAATCCGCCATGGATGGAGTTGGGTGCTTGAGAGTTCCATGAAAGTAGTCCATCATTGCCTGAAAACGTGTGAAGCCTCTCAGTATTCGTCTTGCATGTCGATGGTGAATTCGCCGCACTCATTGCCAGAGTCCAAAGATGACTTGTCAGCCGCTCGCTGCAAGCGTAGAGGCTCTTAAGTGGTCATGTACTGCACAGTCGACTGACGTTTCTTTTTCTACAGCAACTAGGGACGCTGTCCCACAATGGGAAGTTGCGACTCGTTTCCATATCAGAGAGGTGCCACAAACGGCACTTGTCCAGCTTGTGATGTCAGTTGTGTCATGCCGCTTCACGACAACTATGAGCCAAAGCCAGCTTCGCATATTACAGTCTATGCTATGCAGACTGCCATGCTGCTCCCACAGATGAAAGGGCAAAAAACGTGGCGCCTGGAAATTAGCCTACAAACCCGGACGTCGGATCTGGTTGTGTCTCCTCCGGAAATATTTGAGTCCTTAGGGGTCTGATCCAGATCAACCTACAATCATCGTTGATCATGTGCAGGACGGCCCCCACGTATCCTCAGCTCACTGACAGGGTGAACTATCCCCTCATTCCAAACATTGTGAGAATCCGCCACGTTTAGCCGAGAGTCCGCTACTGACCCGCTCTTAGGCGCTCCAGCGGCTAGACACCTTTCTCTCTGGGCCATATGCGACGCAGGGTCTTTTGGATCAGCGGGATATCGCTCGAATCGATGATGAGAAGCATGTCAAGATGACGGGCTGGACACCTGAAAATCCACTGTCTAAGCCGACATTCAAGGAAGCCAAAGCCGCCCTGAACGGCAATCATACGAAGGATATCCGAAAGGGTCATCTGTTTGGACCGTCATGGAGCAATCACTGGCTCAAAGTGGAGCTGATGTTGCCTGAAAGCTTCCAGAATGTCTCAAAAAGCCAGGAGGTGTTATGTGAGGCTGCCTGTGCGAAACGCTTGCTCACGTGTGTAGGGGAATTTGACCCTTCTTCCGAGGCTCTGATCTTTGACGAGGAGGGAAATGCTATACATGGTGCGTTGGAGATCATCGGCCGTCCCTCATATACATAGCGATCACTGGAATTGGCAAAACTGTCGGTCCAGACGAGGATCCGACCGACTTTGGAGGCAGCAGGACAGACCATGTCATTTCGCCTTCGTCGGTAGTTGGCGGCAAGTACTCCGTTTATGTCGAGGTTTCATGTAATGGACTGTTCGGAGCAGCAACACCGGGCACGGAGATGGCTCCACCAGACGTGTGTCATTGAACGTTGCCGCGCTGACGACCTAGCCTAATCGCACTTTCCTGCTTCGGACGGCCGATATTGTGCTTCCCAATCAGCCTGTTAGGGCGCTGGCACTTGACTTTGCCATTTTACGCCAGATTGCCAAGAGCAACCGCAATCCGCTCTCGAGCCTCTCAGCAAGGGCCTTGAAGGCCTGCAATGATATCATGGATACCTATCGTCAGCCAGAGGGTCACGCGGAAGCGTTCAGGCAGGTCGTGCACACGTGTCGCCTGATCGCTGCGGATATCCTCGGGGATATCGACAAGCGGGCGCTGGTTGCTGGTCCAGGATCGGACCGGACACACGTGTGGGCCATTGGTCATTGGTAAGTCTACTTCAGGGTGTCAAGGCTGAACATCAGCCACATCGACACGGCATGGTTATGGACATACTCCCAGACGCAGCAAAAGGTCGCTCGGAGTTGGTCAACCCAGTGTGATCTGATGGATCGATATGACAACTATCATTTCGCAGCGTCGTCCGCTCAACAGTATCTCTGGCTGGAGACTTTATATCCTTCCACCTTTGCCAACGTCAAGAGACACGTTCAGTCTGGCAAGTTTCATCCTGTCGGTGGTGCGTGGCTGGAACACGATTGCATGCTCCCTTCGGGTGAATCGCTGGTTCGGCAGTACCTCTATGGCCAGCGCTATTTCAAGTCAAGGTTTGGAGAATACTGTCGAGAAGCTTGGCTTCCAGACACCTTTGGCTACGCCTCTCAGCTGCCTCAGATCCTCAGGCTAGCAGGACTGAACTACTTCTTCACCCAGAAGGTGGGCCACGCAACTTGACGCTTTTTGACACAATCCAGTTAAGCTGGAACAATATCACCAATTTCCCGTACACTTCATTCAACTGGGTTGGAATTGATGGGTCTCAAGTCCTTGCCCACATGACCCCCGTGGACACGTACAATGGCCAGTGCAACTAGTGCGTGAGCAGCCTTAACGAGCTGACTATCAGCCCCGAGATTGAGAAGGCAATGTACAATAACAAGAATCTCTCGGTGCTTGACGAATGCTTGTATCTATTTGGTAACGGCGATGGAGGTGGAGGTCCGACTCCAGATCATCTGGACAAAGTGAGCGCGAATCTACAACATCTCCCTGACTCTCATACAGCTCGAACGACTCACCTCTCTCGCCCAAACCAATCCAGAGGTTCCAGGCATCGCTCTAACCAAGCCGGCAGACTTTTTCGACCACATATGTCAAGAGACGCACAGTGGCCAGGACCTGCCGAGCTGGCGAGGAGAATTGTACCTCGAATTCCATCGAGGAGTGAGCGAAAGGAGCCGTAGCCCGCTGACACAGTAGACCTATACCACTCAGGCAAATGTGAAGAAGGGCAATCGGACGATGGAGAGGCTCTTGCGCGACTTGGAATACTTTGCCACATTAGCAAGTCTGGCTGACCCTGAGTACAAATACCCAAAGTGAGACATGTTCACAGGCGCCGACTGACATGCAGAGCCGCACTGGATGAAATGTGGCAGGACACCTTACTTAACCAATTCCACGATGTCCTCCCCGGATCCACGATCAGTCTTGTGGTGGATGACGCCCTGGCGATCTACGAGCGTCGTCAGGATCAGGCTCACGTGGAGATCTCCAAGGCGTTGAGTGTTCTCTACCCCAAGTCGGATGAAGACAGCCTTGTCGTAGCGGATGCTGTTCCACAGCTGGCCCGCTCAGAAGTCATGCGGGCATCCGAAGGGAGGCACATTCTCGTTGAGACAGACTCATACGGAGTGCTCCAAGAGATATCCGCTTCCGACATTGGCGCTCCAAGGGCATACAAGGACGGTCAAATGTACAAACTTGAGAACGGTGACTTCAGCCTGACCATTTCTCATGGTCGGATCACATCCCTGGTCGATCTGCGGCTTGAAAAGGAGCTCATCCATCCGGGCCCTGGAGCCTCTACTGGTGGCCTGATGTTATACGAAGATTATCCGCTCAAGTTTGATGCTTGGGATGTCGAGGTGTATCATCTCAACAGCTTTGAGGCTCTCGAATTCGAGGACATCTACGCTCGACAAGATTCGCTAAGAGCGAGCCTGAAGGCTGTCGTGACATTTGGCGACTCCCAAGCTACTTTGACTGTGAGCCCGAGTGATGCCTATCACTGACCGGCCCCAGTTTTCAGTCGATGCCGTGTCTCGTTCTCACAAACAGGACTCCGATCGGCGTTCCTCCATTCGCATCGAAGCCGACATCGATTGGCACGAAACACACAAAGTCCTGAAGTGTGGGTAGCTTTCCTTACAGCTCGCTGAATCCTCAGTCGCCCTGCCTATCGATGTGCACTCTCCTCATGCAATCTTTGGCACACAGTTCGGTCTCGTCGAGCGTCCGACGCATCGAAACACGCTGGCAGACCAAGCCAAATTCGAAGTTTGTGGCCATTTGCTCGCGGACCTTAGTGAACCCGGTTACGGAGTGTCTCTCGTCGCCGCCCACAAATACGGATACGCGGTAGAAGGCAACACGATGAGGTGGGACGAGCATAGTAGCCTGTGCTGACAATCTAGATTAACTCTACTGCGGTCGCCGACATCGCCTGACGCCCACGCAGACAGAGGTCACCACACCTTTGACTTTGCCATTATGCCTCATGTTAGCTCGCTCCAACAGGGAGAAACATATCGTCAAGCTTTGGGCTTCGTCAACCCGCCGTACTGTGAGTGCTATCCGGGGAGGATCCCCGCCACAGGCACTGATCCATGGCAGTGCTCACTGGCGTGCGTCAACGCGAGGGGCCTCACGTACGTTTCCAGATCGACGGACAAGAGAGCAAGAGCATTGTGCTGGATACGGTAAAGCGCAGCGAAGACGGTGATGGCGTTGTGCTGCGACTCTTTGAAAGTCTCGGCTGCCGTGCCAAAGGCGTACTGTCCATGTGAGCAGAGCCCGTAGATGGCTATCTTTGGCTGATACGCTTTAGCTCTGGGATTCGAGCCAGAAGAGCTAAATGGGTCAATATCCTCGAGGAGCCTATCGAAGACGTCTTGTCAAATCTGTCACGGGATCGAGACGTTAAGATTTCTCTTGATTTCCGCTGCTTTGAAATCAAGACGCTGCTCCTCACCCTCTGAAGTGCATGTCCGCGGTCGCCGGAAGCATATAAAGGGCAGCAGTGATCAGCTGACATGGCTGTGCCCGTAAATTGGCTTCAGGGTTTCGAGAAATTGGAGAGTCTAAAGTCTGCTTGGCAGCTCATACTCGGAGATAGAGCCATTCCATGCAGCGAGATTCTCCCCTTATAGCTCAATGACGTCTCAAGGCGAGTGTGTCATCTTGACATTTCCCCCAGCCGAGGTTTAGATCTTGAGTAGGCCGGAGCTTTCGCCCGGATCCCCACCGATCATATCGCCAATCTGATTTGCCTTTCCTGGTACATTCTTGAAATGGAGTCACGATCGACAAAAAGGTGGCGTCAGGATAACGATGGCTTAGGCGCCACAAGCAGCTCACGCACGGGCAGCGGAGCGACAAGGTTCGACATGACCATCTACGGGATCCCCTCTCTCTCTGATAAATAATTCGAAATGTCTTTGAAATAAACTTGGCTTGCTCGACCCCCTGTCCCGTTGGTCGTTCTGGTTCCTGAGATATTGAAAATGTCAAAAGGCCGGAGATCTCGCCTTATCGACTCAGGATTTGTGGGAGGCAGTCGGTCTGGCGTTCGCGGCTCCCCGATTTGTGGCTCTGTACCAGATATCGACGGATGCGAAGATGAAAAATGTTCCTTGACTGCGAAAGTCGCCACGGGGGCGTCCGTCCTGGTCCCAAGGCAGAGAGACGCACGGATAATTTACCATAAATCCGCTGGAGGAGTCCTGTATAACCGGTGTCTGTGACAACAAAGTACAGCCATGCACAGTACTTTTAGATGAAAGATAATGCTCCAAAGGTCTAGACTTGCTATGATGCGCAGATAGCATGCAAACCGCAAGTTCCGGAGTAAGTGTCATGGACGAGATGGGTTCGATTGGAAAATCGCCATTGCGCACACATATTGCTGCCAAAAAATTTCGCCGGAGCTGGAGGGGCAAAAAAAGGACGAGTTTAAAAATTTTTCCCTTATGTGTTCTGGCCCGGGAGGGGGGGACCTCGAATATCCACTTAGAGCAATTCATAGCCCTCGGGACAGTCTCGTTGCAGGCTGCTGAGTGCTTGCCGCCGCCGCCGCTGCAGCTGCAGCAGCAGCAGCTGCTGCTGGTGGTGGTCACAGATTCGCTGCTTCAGCCGGTGGAAACTATTCAGGGAAAAGAAATTCTCCAGGTCTAGATGTCTTGGGTCTACTGCCCTCATAGCTGTTTAGCAGGTTAATAAATCGGGCTCATGTTGGGAATCATCCTTAAACTGACCAAGTAGTGGTAGACTTTGGTAGCGACCAAAAGGTCCAATCGTTTCATCAGCTAGACACACGTCTTACCACACATTTGGACTTTGGAAGCCTCGACACCTTGGAATCGACATTTGTGCCCATCCGACGATCCAAACCGAGTAGCACGGGCAGGTGGACGAGGGAAAAGAGGCGCTCGAAACTGCCGAGGAAAATCTATTTGCAGATCCTCGTCTTCCCTATCGCCAAAGCTATCTGAGTGATCTGTCATGATTCTGGGCACTGTGTAGAGAGGGTTCTTACGTCGGTCTAGAGGATTTCTTCGAATTTGGGGAGCTCTTGCTTTTGGGATCTTTCGGCAGTCTCGACATTCTTCCACTTTGTGACATTAGGTCATCTCTGGCTTGTCCTGGATCTTTTGGGCTTCGAGCTTGGTACCAACTGGACATTGCTTCTCAGGTCATCGTCGGATCTCTTGTCTCCCGTCAATCTCCTTGCTACAAGCTCGATTCTCATCTGTGATCAGCCTACGCCAACCTTCTGAGTAGGCCATTCGCCTCAGTTGAGCGGTCGAAACTTGCAGGTCATTCACCCGTTCAGCCCCGGCAATTGACCGAATCCATATCACACCAGATCCACTGGTACTTGCAACCTCGACTGCTACTCGACATCGCCATATTGCTTCCCCACTTTCATTCCGGGCATTTCGGATCGTCCGCTCAATTTTCCGGACTTCAAAGACACTCTCGCATCACTCGTTCCCCAACAGCGTCAACAAAGAGGACATTCGCTGAATCCCTCCTGCCTTGGCTTCTCTTGTCTGTGCAGACTTCTCCCTGTTACACGCGGACGTCTCGTTGAGGTTGTCATCAAGTGAGTCCCTTTCCGCTGTTAGGCTCCTTTCAGGCAGTCTCGCTTGTCAACAACCCCACACACACACTCTCTCTGCCATACTCATACAAACCCATCACCTACCAATCTCACCGTCTCTCTGCTGACACTCACCTACCTCAGCCTCTTCGAGCCGTCTCAACATTGACAAGACGTCCAACCTGCCTGCTACACCCCCGCCTCACCCCAACATCTCTCTTCATCAAAGTGCAGCTTCCTACGAGTCCTCTCCAGGCAGTGGGATCTACTCTCAATCTCAATACAGTGGCCACAGTGGCCAAGGCCACCAAATCCCTCCATTTGGTGGTCATCCACTATCGGCCACTGCGACGGGGATCAATGGACTCAAAGGAGACGTCTGGTTGACAACGCCTTCCACGAGTAATCCTCCTTCACCTTCCACGTGAGTCATTGGACGGTACCTGCTTGACTCTGCTTGAAGCTGACGGCGTCCTTCTGCCAGCATTGCGTCCACATCCGACAGTCAGGCCGGGGACTACTTGACCCGAGGCGAATCTACGGATACTTCAGACGCGCCTTCGGATCGGCCTCGAAGAAGCCTTTCACTGTCCAATCGAAACTCTACTACCACCCGCCACCGTCACGCCCTGTCATTGTCCATTCCTCCTGCTCTCTCGTCTGGCATCACATCTTCTCTCCTGTCACCGTCATCCTTGGCAAGTTCAGGTGCTCCCTTCACAGACTCGATCGGTCACAACACCCACATTGGACACGATTACTTTCAATTCGACGAAGCTTCTCTGCCATCCTCGACGGAACCTCACGGCGACACTCTCGCGTACAATCAGCCCTTCACAGGCTATCGACTGCCAGCTTCGCAGCCCTCCAGCCCGGTCCACAGCGCCTGTCTGCCACAAGAGCCTTACACGAGTCAACCAGGCAGACAGCGAGGCGCCACCTTTAGCGGTGCGTATCCCGCTGTGGACCTGAGCACATACCCCACCGTGACGTCTATACCTCCCCATCTGGCGTTCACCGCCATACGGTCACCTACTCAGCTGTCATCGGTCGTCCCTTCCGTCTCGGCGAGTCCTATCGTTACTACCGATACTGTTAGACTCAGCGACCAGGGCTACTTTGCGAGCGCTGCTGCGGCGCAGCTCAATGCGGCACTCGGGTCACACCATGGTTTAGTGAATGATCTCTCGACGCCCACGCCTGGCGGATCCATTGCTCCCCCCGACACAGCCAGGAGCGATGACATGGCCATCGACAGCAGTAGTGCTGAGTTGAGCGGAATGATGGCCAAAGATCTGGTCATGTCCAACGAGATGCACGACAAGGCGGTGCTGCTTGATCGGTGCGTTGAAAGTGCTTGGGCTTTATGCTGACCTCGATCAGAATCCTAAACAATGCGCAGCATATTGCCAACAACGCTCAGTATGCCAAAGAAGCCTTGCTGCGTGGCGAGGACGTTGACATGTCCACTAATCTCGGTTATCTGTCACATCAGCTGGAAGCCGCCAACGAGCTTCAAATGCCCTCCGCCGGTCCTTCTACTGTCTCGCCGGTCCGACCTGGCACAGCCCAGCAAATGTACCAGAGCTCACCCGGATCTCAGCCAAGTATGACGCAAACAGTCTTGCAAGGAGGTTTGCTCCCGTCATTACCGGTCGATGCGGGTCCTTCCCGAATGCAACGGTCAGGAAGCAATGCCCAACCTCCATCCATCGTACCTGGCCATTACCTACAACCGTCATCCACCGGGTCGTCTTCAGAGTATTCCTCAAACGGCATGATCCCACAGCCGCCTCCACTCATACATTCGCACTCTTATCCTCTCACAGCGCATCCCCAGCACATCATGGCCACATCACCCATCAGTCCAGTTCGCGCCGCCCAGGCATTCGTCCCGGCTCCTATAGTCGTGCCCGGAGTCAGCGCCGCGCACGCCCCAGTCGTTTCCTCACCTCTGGCCACAATGCCAGTGTCCAGAGCAACGACCCCTCCACCTTATCATCACCCAGTGCAGCAGTGGATCAACATGTCACCCGGCATGATGCCTGGGGAAGGCGTCATCGTGCCTCATGCGCCGCACGCCCATCCTCCACCACCACCACCACCCCACACCCAATCAATGCCCGACGTGACGCTGGCTGGAAGGCCCTTGCCAGTCGTCGATGGTCCTCAAGTCATTAACGGCGTGCTTTACAGTCCCACTGGTTCAGTCATGGAGGGCAGACCCGTAATCAATCGTGCGCGATCCGCGTCCATGAACAAAAACGCCTGGGGAAATCTGAACCGTATGACCAGCAGCGCTGCACCAAGCTCTTCGACTCCTGCTGTGTGGCCATCTCGGCCTCCGTCCCCTTACACATCATCATCCGATTCGGAAGATGATCAGCCCAGACAGAATAAGCGGAGAAGGAGTACTACTGGGAAGCCCCGTCGTATGACATCTCTGTCAAGGGATACCAAAGCCGCCGGAGGCGATGAGGGTGACGATGCGCCGGATATCTCTGCCTTGACCGGTCCGGCTATATCGGAAGACGTTCGAAGGCAGTTGGATCAGATCTTCGAAGAGTTCTTGAACCGCATATGTTCAGATTGTGAGTCGTTTCAATGCTTCAGAAGCTCATGAATTTCGTAGTGGAGGCCACCGATAGCAAAGGCGAAAAATTGCATCAGGTCCTCATGGCGAAGAAGATGCAAAGATTGGACGAGTCAACGGATTACCGACCGTTCAAATTTCGCATTCAAGCGTTCACCAATGCCTTTCAAGAAGAGGTGAGCACGCCTGTGAATGTCGGCTCTAATAATGTCAGCTTCTGGCCCGTGGCATTACTGAGGAGACCATGTCTTCGAAAAAGATCAAAACGTATCTGTGGCGCCAGGACCTGATCGCGCGTTTCAATGCCGATGGCAAAAAGGCAAAGTCCAAGGGGAATCATATCTGGAACATTGACGCCAAGAGATTGCCGAATGGGACTTGGGTCTTCCGGCCATTCAAGCGGAAGATCATGGGCCAACCTTCGTCCTTTGCGTAAGTCCGGACCCTATTCCCCAGGATAGCCCTGACTTGTCCGTGCAGCCAGATTAACGAGGTCTACGAATGGGAGCCCAAGATCTGGGATCCCCAAGCGCCTTCAGAGAATATCAAGCCAACCTTTTCCTCGCCACCTGGCACTCTACCATCGTGGTTGAGATGGGAAGATGGCCTGAGACTGACGGGTACCCCAACGGAGCCGTCGAGTCCATTCACCGTCACTGCTATTGCCGAGGTAGGTCAAGCGTCAAGCAGGATGCAAAGGTCGAGCGTATGCTGAATGTGCCAGTTTACCGACATTGGGGGAACAAAAGTGACGCTCGATACATCCTTCACCCTTCAAGCGGTGCTGCAGAGCTTCATGCCGATTGTGGACCCGTATGTCATGAACTGCCATTTGACCATGCTGATGAGATGCAGAGCTGTCATATTTGCCCAATCCCAAGCACAAGCACAAGCACAAGCTCAAGCTCAAGCTCAGGCCCAGGTCCAGGCTCAAGCTCAAGCAGAGGTGGCGGAAAGTCAGACTCAGCACGAGAGCTACCTCTCCGCATCTGGCTCAATGTCACAATCGTATCCGGCTCACGTTTGGGATTATGGAGACGGTATCGAGATACCCTCGCCAATGTGAGCGAAACCCGTTGGGCTGGACAGTCTGTACTGACGCTACGACCCTCAGATTCGGTATATCCTCTGACAAGATGACTTACCCTCAACCGGGATACCAATGACCCAGTGTGACTTCTAGGTCATGCTCTGTACTTGAGTTTTGGGATATTCTTGGGCGTTTACAAAAGTTTGAATAAAAAGTTGCAATCGGTCCAGATTCAATGTGGGCCGCTGGATTGTTTTGTACACTAGAGGCATGCTGGAGACAGGAGACGGGTGAGGGTGAGCGTGAGGGGAAGGGAGAATACAGCTGTCAGAAGATGGAATCAAGAGAGAAGCACAAATCAAGGTCTCCCTACATCGCATGCAAATCAATGCTCGAAAGGTGTTTCTCGCGGCAGATGACCTCCACTTTGACTATTCCGAAATGCATTGATGACTATGATCCCGATCGTCGATCATACCATCTCGCTCGCCGCATCTGTGGGTCGTCGTCCTTCCTTCTGGCATGGCCGATGGCGATGGGAATCTCGCCTTGCTTGCATCTATTCTGGAGCCCAGCGTCTTCCCGATCTCTCAGCTGTCAAAGGCGTTGAAGAGATCAAAGGGTGATGTCGGGCGAGCGGCAGAGGACTTATTGCTCGAGTCGAGCGACACGACTGGTAGTGGACCAAGCCAAACGGATCGGCGTCTTTCAAAGAGTAGAGGAGTCAATACCACCCATGCGACGCTCAGCTCTTGGCTGTGCAAGCGAAAGGAGCCCGATGCAGAATCTACCCACAACCGCTCTCAGGATCTGCCAGCCGACGATGTAGAGCATACAAGGAAAAAATCGAGGTCGGTTGACGGCGTGTCTCAGTCGCCTGCCAAACCTGCTGTGGTGGATCTGCTCAAGATACTACGCCAGCCTGCGACGAATCTTCAACTTCGCAATGCACCACAACGGGCTGTTCACCTGGCGACCCAATCCTCTATCGATCGGCATAATCTACCGCTTTCCTTCCTCCCTTCGCCGTTATCTGCCTCCCTTGCCTCGGCCCTTTACTTGACCATGATGAAGGAATCAGAAAGCTGGGATCGACATCGGTGGTATCTTGCAGGCAGATGGGTCGAGAGTCCGCATCTGATGACGGGGTATCAGAGGCGAGCGGCGGGGGATGACAGTGGTCACGCGAGTGAGGGGAGCGCCGTCGAGCTCCAGAGCGAGAGCTACAAGGGTGTACAGCAGGATACTACAAATGGATCACTGAAAGTGGGAGTGGAATTGACCAACCCTGAAAGTGGTCCACATGATGGACAATACTTCTACACTGGTTCAGAACTACCAACGGACAAACCATATCCTCCTCTTCTAGCTCACGCCGCAGACCTCATCGAAGAGCTCGTCAATGTCCATCTTGCCTCTCGGCCAAGGTACCCATGGGAGTACGCCGGACCATGGTGTGCCAATCGCTGTGGGAGTAATCGATACGATGGATCAGCGTCGACAGTCGGATGGCACGCCGACTCGTTGACTTACCTTGGACCATACTGTACAATTGCGAGTTTGAGTCTAGGTACACCGAGAGCTTTCAGGCTCCGAGAGACCAAAGCTGTGGATGCGAGTCTGGCTCAATTGTCTAGCAAATCCACGTCGGGGGAAGACAAACGTGCAGAGGGGCAGAAGGACATTCGAACCTATGAAGTAACTTTGGGGCATAACTCGTTGATCTTGATGGATCCAGGATGTCAGGAACGATTCAAGCATACGTGAGTGTGGGTAGAAGGCAACGCGTTGATGGCTTCCAAGTGTACCACCCCAGAAGGCCCTTGATATCTTTCGGCCAACATTCGACCTGGATCAGAATCCAATTCCCGTGGCTGAGCAGCGAGGCTACACCAGCCGAATCAACATCACTTTTCGCTTCTATCGACCCGGTGTGTGATGTACCTTAGGTGGCCTGCCCTAACTGACCTGCTCTCATAGACTTTCAGCCGTTCGCAGGCGAGGGGCCCTTTGGCAAAAGAGAAGGCACACCGCTGTGCAAGTGTGGCGTTCCGGCGTGAGTTTGCTCAGCTAGCCTTCGATCCCCAGCTGACAACACCGTTATCAGTCTTCTCAAAGCTGACCAGAAAGCCAAAGTCAGGACTGGGTTGCGAAACTCGCCACGGAAACGGATAGCGCTGGAAAGATCAGCAGATGCCTCGCCCAGTAAGCGGATCAAGATGGATGAGGAGGTGGCGGTCAGTGACAGTGCGGACGGCCCTGCGGATGCCGACCTGAAAGGCGAAAGCACCGAAGTCCCGTCGCCCTCGATCGTTGACGACGACATGGTGTTCTTCTGGCAGTGCCAGACCCCTGGCCAGACTGGTGATCTCAAAGGTTGCGGGTTTTTCAAGATTCTCGATATGCGAAGTGAAGGCCGGGGTCCATGTATCATTGACGGGATCATGCCATAGATAGCCTGGACCCATGGCCTTAAGCCACTGTACACATACATGTAGCCATTACAAGACCACTGATCATTCGTCACTGTCATCTTGACCCAAGCCTTGATCGTCATTATCAGGCTCATCCTCGTCCTCGTCCACAACATCACCGTATTCGACATCGCCTCGATCGTCCATCGTCACGTCGCCATCTCCTACCCCGCCTTCCATCTCATCCTCTTCGTCAAGCACATCTTTGCGTTCTTCCTCTTCTTCAACCTGTGCTCCCTCCTTCTCCGATGCTTCTGCCGCCTCAGCCTCAGCAGCCTCTGCTTCCCTTTGTAGCCTCTTCAGCTTTCTTTTCTCCTCTCTCCGTCTCGCCCTTTCCTTTTCTCTCCTCTCCTCTTCAGTGACATCGACGACTCCACATTCTACACCGAGGGCGTCGGTTACTCTTTCGATCTGAGTGCGAGAAGTCGACGGGGGAAGGTGCATGATAAAGGACGACAAGTGGTTGTAGGTATCAAGAGTGGAAATTCTATGAGCGTGGCCCACTGTACGGATCAGCAGAGGTGGTTCCAGTTGCCTGTCCATGGTGATTCGTGGTACCCAAGGTAGATTCAAGGACAGGTCAGGCTAGATTGATGGAGGGGAGGATCGGGCAGGTGTTCGAGGACGTCGGTATCTAAATTTCTGTATCGACCGATTGATCAGGTCGAGGAGACAACAAGTACACGAGAGCCTGCGATGGTAGTCTAGTGAACCCAATGAGTACGGCGATGAGGAAGATGCTGAGAGGTTGACTGCAACTTTTTTTGAAATTTGAGCTGCTGAAAAAGTGGAGGTCGTACTTTTCCCCTAAGTTCCCCCCCAAACTACTCTCGACGTTCGCCTCGACAGCTAAAACGACGCTGAGAGTGACACGGCCAGATCGGCGGAGGAGGGATTGTATCGCCAGAAGACTGCTTACTCTCGGTTCATCGGGCTCATGAGTAGCTCGCACGAGCTTGTAGCAGCTGCCGTCGCCACTACTGCCGCCGCCGCTGGTGCTGGTGGTTCTTCCTCCACTTCTGACCAGGGTTTCGCGACTCCCTCGACGACCGCCTATTCGTCAAGACACGGGACTGAAGGTGGTGGTAGCGGAATGACAGCTGTGACGATGAATGAAGAGGCAGGTCATGGTGCTGAAAGCTCCAAGATGGCCATAGAGTAAGTCGACTTGCTTCTGGATCTCCGAACTGACTGTCTCTCCCTCAGAGGAGGTGATTCCGCTACGCACGCTATGGGATTCTCCGACTACATTTGGAACGTTGGATACCTTCAAGCGCAATGGACAGATGTCCAGCTTGTCTTTTTCGATCAGTCGATCAACCTGCATCGCAGTGAGTCTTCCTCAATGAGATCGGTCGTAGGAAACACATCTCACGAAACTCTCTCAGTCGTCCTCTCTAGAAGTCCATATCTCGCTCAACTTATGGCTCCTCATCCTCCTGGAACATCCATCAGGCTATTACTCCCAGATCTTAACATCACTTCCACCGTGAGATGATGCCGTCTGGGTCCCTCCTTCCTGGCGCTGACTTTTTCTTCCCCCCCCCCCAGTCAATTCACATCGCCCTTCAGCATCTCTACAACCCCGCACTCCGTCTAGTCGATTCTTCCAACGCTCGAAGTGTACTTGCTACAGCATACATCTTCGGAGGCATGTCTGAGCTTGTTCAGCATGCTTATAGAATCATCCGCCAGTCCTTCTCACCCTCAAATATCGTAGACAACATTCACTGGCTCGGACAACATTCAACTGGACCCTCTATTTCAGGCACGCCTGCGTCCATTGATTCACCATCATCACGTGGAGGTCTTGCTTTTGGAACGTTAGATGGAGGCGACGGTGTATCCAGTCCACGGAGTCAGTCGTCTGTTAGCGGATGGAGGGAGGCAGCGCAGACTGCACCGTATGGAGAGTGGTCCAGTCGTTTACGAGATGATATGTGAGCGCGGGATCTCTCTGCATCTGCTGATCTCTCTAGGACCGACTATCTCATCAACATCTTCCCAGCATCTCTACCTGAACCCCTCTCAAGCGATCCCACTCTTTTCAACATCTACTGCCAATTGCCGTACGATCTCTTCAAACTTTGTATAGAGTCCCCAGACCTCCCTATAGGAACCACTCAAGCGAGGTTCACATTCGCGAAAAAGGTCATTGCGCAACGGAAAAAGCTCGCCGGAGCCAACAAAGGTGCTTCTGGGCCATTGATGGAGGAGATGGTTCTTCTCGCTGTCGGGACCGATTCAGGCAGCGTGGAAATTACACGGCGACCGAAGAAGGGCAAAACTACGTTGGTTAAAGCAGGTCCTGGAGTCGCAGCATAGGTGTTTAAGGCAAGCCGGAGCGAGGAGAGTGACGTGGATCACAGCGATAGCGCCTGGCACAGCACAGTCAGCTGGTCAGCCAAAATCGTCGGCAATCGATGCATGGCATGACATGCAGCTTGGCCATATGAAGTCAAAGTATGTACAACGCTTCGCCCGCCTTTCCTGACCTGGGCTTCAATCCTCTTCCTTGACTTGGTCCTTCACATCGTCCTCGTCCTCCATCTCCTCCTTTATCTCCTGCTTCAACCCCTTTGGAGCTTGATCTCTGAACGCTTTTCTCAGCTCACACTTTCCCGCCGCTCTCCCTCCCGCCTTGCACTCGTCGCATCGCTTGCCATGTGTGACGATGAGAATGTGCAAGCCGTACTTGTGTTCGTCCGGTATCCTCCGATTCAAATGATGATATGTCTGTTCTCGATTCGCTTTTGCCGGTGTCCATCCTAAGAGCTTGGTGATGCGGAACACGTGCGTATCCACCGCAAAGTCGTCCCTGCATAGGCAGAACAATAAGACACAGCTAGCTGTCTTTGGTCCGACTCCATCGAACGAGAGCAGCTCCTCCATCGCATCTTCTGTCGAAGCTTTGTGAAGATGATCCAGCGAATAATGTCCATACTTCTCGTATACTTGCTCCAGAATCTTGATAATGACCTTGGATTTGACCACACTAAGTCCACCACACTTGATCGCCTCTTGTAGTTTTGGCTGACCACCCTCCACAATCTCCTTCCATTTCAAGGCTCCACCGTATGCCTCGTTCATGCTCATCATCGCTCGTGAGGAATTACTATCCGAGGTGTTCTGCGATAGGATCGTCCTGACCAGAGCGTCGAGAACTGAAGGACTGTCTCCGCATCCTGCTCGATTGGTCGGTGCAACTATATTCGCCGGTCGTTTCCGAGCCCCGTGGAGTGAAGAGAGGATTCTGTGCGCTAAAGCGCATTCATCAGGTAACGGACGATGAAAGGTTGGGAAAGGTTCCAATTCTATCGATTTGGTATGCTTGTGCCTTTTTCGACTCGCCAAGGTATCTTTTGACGGAGAGACAGTCTCATCCTTGACGGAAGTGAGAGGCTCATCTTTCACTGTATCCGGTTCATCCTTGATCGACTTTGGGATCGGGGACGACGGTGCAGATCGTTTACCCAGGACTGGAGAGGATGGAGACGCGTTGACTGCCGTTCGCTTGGATATACTTCTGGTGGATGCTCTGACCATGGTGTAGGCTGTGACTGTCCTCGGGGAGAGCAGCATACAGAGTGGACCTCAAAGATGCTACCCAGCCAATCTTCAGGACGCCGTGGTGGTGATCGACGGCCAAATGACGCAAAAATATGTATCATCGGATCCGAATTTGACCGAATCCCCGCCAGAGCGGGGCGGTGGGTGTAGAGTGAACGCGTCGAATGCGAGCGTGATCGAGCTGGACATGGATGAGCACTGATCGAGCCGGAGCACGCCCCACCTCCAACGAGAGACATGGTCTGTACACGTCAGAGCTCCTGGTGGCTTTAAATTCCGACGTTTCCGCCATTGCTTGACTTGGTTTTTCTTCCAATACCGTCCAGTGTTGGCTCTTCCGCGACGCCTCGACAGGCTCGCAGTCTGACTATGAAGCCCATCTGGCATCGAGACACCCGACCTTTAGAGATGCTCCATGTGTCTCCTGTTTGTCTCTGGTCATTGGTCCGATCAGCAGAACTGGTGAAGTTGAGGCGAATCGTAAGCTGCCACAATCACGGGTTCCGCCGTTTGGGGGAATCGTTCATCACACCCCACCATTCACTCATTCACGGGCAGGCTCTCACCATGATCCTTCTGGTAAGCTCAAATGGGAAGTGAGGAGGCCTAGAAGAGGTTAGCATGATCCTTGACCGACCCAAAGATTGGTCATGATACAATCGCACTGAGAAACTTCGGACGTGTGGTAAGGCCAGGGGGAACATGCTAGCATTCGCGTTTGCAATGCAGCAGAACGCTTTGCGCACAATCGCCCTTACATACTGCCTACGACGAGACAATGGTCGCCCGCAGCTCTGAGAAGACCTGGCGGGAGAGATATTGATCCAATCCATCGCCCAAGGCGCACCAAACTTTCTAGCTAGATCTCGAGTCTCGTCAGTCCCTGCTTGTCAATCGGAGAATGCAGCCGACACTATGTGCTTGGATTCTGAATTCTGCTGTACGCGACCGACTGCATCTTTTGGCTGCCGAATCTACACATCTATGTCTCTATAAAATGGGGCGGACGCGACTTGCGCGTCTAATCACTCCCTGTACAAACCTTGGCCTACTGCCTGTTCTCCGACTCGGACTCCGGCTCTGCAGGAGGAATAGTCGTGTCAAACGTCTCTCCAGAAGCTGAACTTCGCCTGGATCGACCCATCTCGGCATCGGCCTCTACTTCATCGTGGATGCCGTACCTCTCCGTCAATGTCTGGATCTGGTGATCTGTCAGAGGCGGTAATTGTCCAGCGACGACCGTTGGTCGTTCTTGAACAATGTGAGCATGGGCAAAGAGCACGTCCAACTCTTCAAGAGATCTTCCCGTGGTCTCGGGGTAGAAGAACCAGATGAAAGGGAGGAAAATCATGTTGGCAACGGCGAAAAGAAGGAAAGTGTAGGCGCCAATAGAGGCAGTCATCGTAGGAAGGACCTGGACGACCAAGAAGTTGGAGAGCCAATTCGTGCAAGTACTAATAGCGTTGGCTTGGGTTCGGACCTTCATAGAGTTCAACTCGGCAGGGTACAGCCATGGCAAAGGTAGCCAGGTGGCACCGAAGAAAGCGATGAACAAGTAGAGGCCGAAAGCTCCTCCCTTGGCGGCTTGACGGGATCCATTGACCAAACAACCAAAAGTGATGAACATGGCGACACCTTGACCGACTGTACCGATGAGGAAGAGCTTGCGACGGCCAACTTTCTCGACAAGGAAGAAAGATATGAGAGCAAAAATGGCCTTTTGGGAAAAAAAGAAGCATCAGCAAGAACGTCAACGTTCCAAATGCCATTTCACCCACGTAGACAACGGCGAGGACACCTCCGAGGATAAGAGCCAACTCTGTCTCAAGGTCAAAGTTGTCTTCAAACAGCTTTGATGAGTAGTAAATGACGGCATTGCAACCTCCAAGTTGCTGGAAAAGTTGAGTCGAGGCTCCGACGATGGCTCGTCGGAAGTGTTGGTTCTTGCCTCCCTTGAGGATCTCAGCCTTTCTAGCGACCTTCTTAGACAGCTGTGCCGCGACACCCTCAGAGATCATTTTGGATTCCGCGACGGCAGCGGGGTCGGTGAGTGAGACACCTAGAAGAGCGGCGACGACTCGGTTGCCTTCTTCGACGTGTCCGTGGGCGATGAGCCATCGGGGGGATTCTGGCAAGACCAAAACTCCTCCAATGAGAACGAGAGCAAAGACGATCTGAAAGGCGATGGGAAATCGCCAGCTGACCGAGGACTAGAGAAGCCATGAGCGACAAGTTGGGGCCATTTATCGACAAGTCTATAAATACTCACGTTGATGAATGACAAGCCAAAGTCGATCCAGTATGCGATGACTGTACCGACGGCAACTGTACTAGCTTCCATGCAGATCAAGAATCCTCTGTTCTTCGCTTTGGACGACTCGGCGACCCAAGAAGGGATGGTGGCAGTGTTCATTCCGTTGCCTACCCCCGTGACCACCCGGGAAATGATGAATTGGACGAATCCACCGACGTTTCCTCGTGGAGATCCTGGACCAAACGACGTGACGGAAATGATGGTGCCAATGATCATGATGACTCCGCCCATGAGCATCATTTTGCGTCGACCCATTCGTTCGCCAATGAAAAAGGAGAGAAGCGCTCCGAAAAACGCGCCGACCTCGTACACGGAAGTGACTGTTCCTTGTATAGTACCGGCGTGAACATCATTAGGGTTTCGTTGTCGCGTCTGAGCCGGATGATCAGCTCCATGATCACACAAAGTCCGAGTCAGTCAAAGTAAATCGGCTCACAGCTGGGAACTCTGTATTGAATTGCTTGCTAGCTGAGTGCGGGGTCAGTAATCGTTTTATCGTACCGCGAGTGGCTATCACACGATTTTGACTCACCAATGATACCACTCATGAGACCTTGGTCATATCCGAATAAACTGAATCCAATGGTGGCGGTCGCAACCACAGCGTACAGTAACGGGTTACCGGTCAACCCAGCGTACTTGACGGGACCGGTCGAACTCTTTGAGATCTTTTCGTTAGAAGATGAGGCTGACATGGCGATGGCAATGTCTGGATTGGCCACTTGACTTGTTGGTGGTGGGATGACTCAACTCCACGGGGGATGGGGGGATGTGACTTATATACTCCTAGCGCTAGTCCAAATTCTGAGCTATCGGATAAGAATCCGGTATAAGCCCGTCTTCTATCCGAAGAAGCAAAGGTGTGGGAGGCGCAAGGGGCAGGATTGTTGGACCAACGTCCCTGAGGGTCATCCAAAAATTTTCATCCCCCTTCGGTTGGTACCAGCGCAGCTAGAGAACATGGGTACTTGGCCCGTGGACAACGTCCCCTGTACCCCCATCCAATCCATATGAAAATTTTCGAGGTGTTTATTGTGACACTAGAGTGACATCATTCCCGAAACTCAGCCGTCGGCAGTGGTGTGCACAAGACAGCATGCGAGCTCGTGTGATGATGGGGGTGCTGCGTGCTTCTCCCGCTCAAGGTCCGTCCATGGAGCATTCCCCTCATTCCCCCTTGTTCTCACAACGTGAGAACCCACTTAACTCCTCCCAACGCGTCGGAGCGGAGACTGACACTGACACCGGTTGCAAGATCCAAGGAAGATCAGTTTGTTAAAAAACGCCTCTTACGGCCGATCACCGGAAGGATGAGTGGCGTTGAGTTGGAGCGAGCATATCCGCGTGTGAATATGCTTTATCATACTGGGTATGTTCTCTGCTTTGTCTTGTGGGCAGGCTCCATTCCTTCTGTGGCCCTCCCGACCGGGTAGCCAAGTCCCTAAGCCTCCCCCCTGAACAATGCATGCTTGAATTGGTTGGGGGATCTGTCTATAGCCGCAGATGGCAGATTAGTTTCCAAAAGTGACTCACCGCCAAGACTGCTGGATAATCACGCCTACCTCCGAAATGCAACCACGTGACATTAAAAAAATAGGCACATGATTAACGGAATCAAATATCTTGCTGACCGTTTCCACAACGCTGAAGATGGCCTTCGCTGAGTGGCCAGTTTCTAGGACCATCCATACGACGCTCTCGCCATTATGTCGAGTCGTCGAGCAGGAGACGATGGTTCGGGGCCAGAGGCGAAAAGAGCCAGGGGCGAAGGGGCAGGTCCTGCTGGTGGAGGGGCTCCCGCTCTGGACATTGCGGCCATTCGAGCTCAAATAGCAGCTCGAAAAGCAGCCATCACAGGATCTGGACCTCTCCCTCCTGGTCCTCCGCCTCCTCGATCTTCCAGTGCTTCCGCACCTACGCCAGCTCAATCATCGCAGCCTGTAGGGGTTGCTGCTCTGCCGCCTCAACCGAGGATGGACGCGTCGGTCGCAGAGAGATTAGCAGCTGCGAAAGCGAGGATCGAAGCTATGAAAGTGAGGAATCAGAACCCTTACTTGTCCGGTAGTGCGCCTAGACCTGGGGCGAATGCTTCGACATCGACGACGACGACAACAACCTCGACGGCGACGACAAAAGCTGCACTTCCACCCAGTACCAACACCTCTATCGCGCTTCACCCACTGTTGATGCAGGATAAACAAGCTCAACTCGAGCAGGATAAGAATGAAAAGAGGCGAGAAAGAGACAGGTACAAGACGATGGCACCAAAGTTCTCGACTGTCAAGGCCAATCAAGTGACTGCCCCGCCCTCGGGCAAAAAACTCTTGTCATCTGCTCCGGCGCCTTCGCTGAACCCATACGCTTCGAAACCTGCGCCCGCGGCTCCTACGGCTGATGGCGAGGCCAGTTCATCGAATTCAAGACGTTCGAGGAAGATGAAATTGAGCCAGCCCGGCAAATACGTCCAACAGGGAGATGAATTGAGGAATGAGTTGAAGCTGGAGGCGTTGAAGCAGCGAATCGCAGAGGCTTCAAGAAAGGCTGGATTGGATAGCGAGTTTGACACGTTGGAAAGGAGTCTCAAAGTGAGTGGGATCATTAAAGAAAGTTTGCGGACTTTGCTGACGTCAATTCTAGCGCCAAGCGCCCCCTGAACTCGAATGGTGGGATCAGGCGATTCTTCCGCCTGGAAGTAGCTATGCGGAAATTGAGAAAGGCTTGGAATGGATCACTTCTTCCACCGACTCTCTCGTAACTCATCTGATACAACACCCCATTCCCATTGCGGCGCCTAGCGACAAGAAGCAACCGGATAGAGGATTGATGCTTACGAAGAAGGAGCAGAAGAAGATGCGAAGACAGAGACGTAAAGCCGAGTTGGAGGACAAACGGGACAGACAAAAGATGGGTTTGATACCTCCTGATCCACCAAAAGTCCGCTTGGCGAACCTCATGAAGGTCTTGACGTCGGATGCGGTGGCTGATCCGACCAAGATGGAGGCGAAAGTGAGGCGAGAGGTCGATATGAGGAAACAAAAGCATGAGATGGACAATGAGGAGCGCAAGTTGACGACAGAGGAGAGAAAGCAGAAGGAGTACGAACAAATGGTGTCGCGTGAGCGTAGAGGAATCTATGCGGCCGCGTTCAAGTGAGTTGATGATATAGTACGGACCCAAGACACTGCTGACTTTTCCCCTGAGAATTAAATACCTCACGAACGGTCGACACAAGTTTAAAGTGCGAGAGACGGCCAAGAAGGATCTCTTGTCGGGTGTCTGTATTTTTCACCCTTCCTTTGCCCTTGTTCTCGTGGAAGGTACAGATAAAGGGATCAAGCACTACCGTCAATTGATGGAGAACCGAATTGATTGGACAGAGGAAGCTCGACCAATGCCAGAGGAAGATGACGATGAAGAGGGCGAAGGTGAAAAGACGGCGCCATCGACATCTGCTCCGACTACCCAGCCGAATCCTGAGAGTCTAGAGGACAATAAATGCGAATTGATCTGGAGTGGGGAAGTGCCAGAGAGAGCATTCAGATTGTTCCGGGCGAGACACGCTGAGACGGATACGAGGGCGAAGGAATGGCTCACTCCGCGGTACGAAGGGTACTGGGACCTTGCCAAGAGGCACGTTTGGTCTGGGGATGATTTCTGAGCGATGTTGGAGATGTATTTTCATATATGCATACTGGTCCGGTGATGATGGCTCGTATCACCAGAACCTCTTCCAGCCGTAGACGTTATACTCGAAGAATATCATGTTGACGTACAACATCATGAAAACGTAGTATACTGCGAGGATGGTGACAGAATCGACCTATAACGATTGGGGTATCAGTATAGTGACTGGGATATGTCCGACAAGGGAAGGGAGCTCTTACCACTTTGTCCGACTCCTTGTACTGACTGTTGACTCCGTCGTACGCTCGCATTCCTATGACATTGTACACTGCTTTGAGAGACCAAATCTTGACACCGTATGTCGCTGACATCCAGAGACAATAGAGCGTGACGCCTATGAGCCACACGAGACCATGAGGTCGAGCGGGTTTAGTGAACCCGTCGCGGCTCCAAGCGGTTGTGGGGACGTACAAGCTGACGATGATGAGGAGCAGGGGAACAAAGACAAAAGGTAAAAGACCTATACCCTGGTGATTTGCCGAGAGTCTAGCGATCTCCAATGCGTGCATGGCAACAAGAGCGACGAGGAGGAAGGTTATGATGACCAGAAGAGTTTTACGTAGCCTTGGATAGGTCGAGCGATTAGCAGGAGACGATGTGGTGGTGGTGGCTGGCGATTCAGAAACAAGATGAGAAGGATGATGATTCGTCGCCGTTGACAATTCCACATCTTTGCCTCCATGGTTCATCAAATGATCTCCCACGTTGGATGCCTGTCCCCGCCTGCGAAAGATGAGGAATGACATGCCGGTGAAGAGGATGAAAGCCCATGATCCAAGAGGTATGAGTATGGTATCGTCGAAACATGTCGACAGGATCGTTTGACCTCCAAATTCGACGTGAGCGCTGAATCCACCATCTGGGCGATTTTGACAGAGTCTCATCTTACCGAGATAGAGAGAGAGAGAGAAAAAGAGAAGGTTGTGAGAGTGTTTCTGGCTTGGGAAGATATGAAAATGGTGGAGATGAATATTCAGCTATATACTGTAGCAGATCTGATCAACAGATGGCAGGCGCCACCTTTATGTATAAAAAGGTGGTTCGATCAAAAATCAACAATAATAGAGTCTCGTGCCACTCTCACGTGGGAGGGGACCCCATCCACTAGCAAGGGCTTTATTTAGGGAAAGTCGATTAGATAGACCACGATTAGTTAGACTACTCACCCCCTTCAGAATACAAATCATCCTCACAGTCATGTTCAGAAGCTTTACGCATGCATGCCCTCTCCAAGGTCGTCCATGCTCTGAGGCCAAGCGGGCTGCTGCACCCACGTGGAGGAGATGACATTACGTCAACCATTTTCGGCAATGATAAAAGCCGAGAGATCGGCAATTCCCAAGAATGTCTCCAACAACCGTTGTATATTCGCTGGGACGCGCGGGGCGTAGGCCATACCTACGTTGTTTCTTGGATGATTGTCACAGGCTTGGAGGGCAGGAAATCGGTGACCCACAGCCAATCCCCAACCTCATGGGCTGTAGGCCGCCTGTCTTGAGATGCTTCAGAACTCTTGACATAGCAGGTCCCGGTCCAAGTCCACTGAGGGAGGCAGCTGGGGATACACTCAAGGCATATGGATAAGCCCAGCTGTGCCCCGTACCTATGAGGTGGATACATGGAACCGGAATCACGATTGAAGCACCGAATTTCACAGATGTCACTGCATTCGGGCAGTCAAATGACCCGACTGTCGACCCTCGCAATATCAACTACGTCAGACAAAAGATCCTCAGACTCGAAGCCCCGGAACGGCGCGATGCCTGTTGTATCTGGCATGATCACGAGGAACGTCATGAAAAGAAAGAGGGAGCTCGCGATGGTGGATCAGCCAGAGGGCAGGGCGAAAAGAGTCAAAAGGCTCCCGAAATGGTTACGAGAGGAGCAGGATGTGGATGTGAAAGGAGATGCTGGGCCATCATCCACTCCAAGTCCAGTGAGGAAGACCAAGTCGCATTACTCGAAGCACAGACCAATCAAGGTGACGAAGCCGAGTATCAAGCGTCCAGATCAAATGAGCAAAACTGCGAAGCATCAGCACGGACCGTCTGGATGTAGACATAGGAGGGCGACCCTGACGAGCGAACAGCAAAGTGAAGAGATTTCCAGGTCAGAGTCGGATCGCCCACCGATCGGCAAAGTTTCCTCAAGCACCTCAGGCTTGCAGCTTGTGGCTGGTTTGAGGCTGGATCCAACGCCTGCCAAGACCTCAGAGTCATCCCTGTTCGAGCCGATCAGATCCTCAGAGCATCCCTCTCGCCCATTGACACCGTCGACATCCAAACCTGAGCCTTTGGTGCCTCCACCATCCACCTCGCTACCTGACATCAACAAAGGGAAACCCCCGGATGGTGCCCAAGCGAAATCCAGAGAGAGGATTATCCCACCTGAAGTTCACGACAACGAACGCATCACAAAGACAGGATACCCCTCCAGTCGATTCTGCAAAGTCCTTCGAATCATAGCTAGACTCTCGCATCGTGATGCTGAACCGCTTGACATTAGCCCGACCGCCCGTCAACAAGGCATCCGTCCACAGCAAAGACCCCCGGTATGGGCTGAGGTGAGCGACACCATACCGCACTCCACGGCCGGAATCTCACAACGCTCAGTCACGTCAAGAGCTATGCGAGACTCTACCATACTACCGTGCCTTTCAATCTGGTCTATACATGTCCAAAGGCACGGCATATGGATATCTTCTTGAGGCGTTTCCTGCCCCAAGGGATGTCTGGGCGCTTGATGGTAAAGTCATCATCTCTCATGGGTGAGCCGGTCTAGTTCCGGCAGGAGTGAAGAGTTGACCCGCAGGGTCCAGCGGCGGCCAGTGTACGCGCATCGAAGAGGATCATCCATGTCGTCAGAATCAAGCGGTACTGGCTGCGGACCAATCTCCAACCGACGCCAGGGTCGAAACGCTCATCAACGCTTGGAAAAGGTCTACGCCAATCGTATTGATCGCCGGAGAAGGGTACCAGCAATTACCTTGGAAATTGGGATGTGCCTATGCTGTGTTGGGATGGTGAGCGGTTCGTCTATACCTTCAAGGATCCTCGACAGAAAGTGTCAAGAGTCTGAGATGCTGACGCATGAGCCTTTCGCCAGGTATTGGATCTCGTATGTTTGGGTCGAAGCTGAACCTGTCGCGAGAGGGATCAAGGGACCTTCGGGGCGAGATTACTTTCATCGATACAAGGTCAGATTTGACTGGGTCGAATCGCAAGGTCAGCCATGGTGGATCAACAAAAAGACCGAAAGGGAGGATCCACTTGAGCGAGTGACACTCGACTCGGAAGGGCTCCGTGAGCGAATCAAGATCGACCGACTCTGTGCGTCCTCAAATGGTCATAATGCCAGATGTCTCGACGCTCTGCGGCTTGATCTGTCGACAAAGAGGACTGAGGCCATCTTTGATCCTACGACGGGTCTGTTGACCCCGCCGATCACTCCGCCTCAGAAGGCTGTTCCATCGCTCACCGCCGAAGCCCCCGCCACGGACATCTCTCCAACCCAATCGCAGCCTATGAGCCAGGAAGAATTCTCTTGTAAACTCATTGGCGAGCCGCGACAGCCGGAACGCATCTTCCTTCAGCCATTTCTCCCGCTTGAAGATCTTCTGAACGAATGCTCTGACTGTTCTGAGTCGGACGACGACGACGATCTGTCCGGTGGACCCTTGTCTAGCAAACTTGCCCGTATGCTGCCGGGGAATCAGCTCTTGCGATCGAAAGCACCATTTACTAGGTCTGAGCCGATCTTCAACGCATAGTAAGTTTTGTACGTCGGCATTCTGTCTAACATGCACCAGTGTTGATCGTTCCAAGATCTGTCCGTCCTGCGGCGTGGCCACGCCACAGGTGTATATTGAAGGCTGGATGTGCCTCTCACCTACCTGTCATCAATTCTGGATGCTCAGTACGACAATCGGTTTCTTTCCTCTTTCACCGGGTTTCAAACTGAGTTATCATCCCGACTTCCTTGAGCCCGTGAGTTGTCCTCCCGGCCTCGAACATATGCCATACGACGTCGTTCCGGCCTTACCGGAGGAGCCGACGCAAGATGCCGGCTCAGGTAGTCTCCTTCGAGGTGAGCGATCTCTGCCCGATGCGGCTGATCAAATCCACACAGGATGGGTATGTGATCGATGTGGTAGAGCCAACTGTCGATACAGATGGGACCGCTGGGTGAGTCATCAGATCCAACATAGGCGCTGAGCTGATCGCTGATCGTGATTTAGGAGTGTGTGAATTGCAAGAATATCAAGCCTCCTCCTCTGAACGGCAGTCACACCACCTCAGCCGCCTCATTGCAGTCTTTATGTCCTGCGTATCTTGGCGATGCGGCCGTCCATTCTGATTCGGGGATAGGCGTCAACATTGAGACGAGGTCGAAATTGGGCTTGACAATCATGGTTTATGCTCTTCCGCGAGAGTGAGTCGATCGGTCGAGGGGATAACCTCTTGCCTCGAACTGGTATCAGATCGCTTTCGGACTGCCTGCAGGTGATTGTCAAGATTTAGTAGACGGAAAGGCCTGTCGAAGTGTTGTCCAAGTTGTGTCGAAGTGGAGTGGGACTCTGTCCGACTTTGATCAAGATTGCTCGAATCCTGCTCGGCCTACCACGCTGCGCCAACTTTGCTTCGACTGTTTTGGCGGACATTCCAATTCCTTCCCGCTGACATGTCCCCCGCTTAGAGCCGGCACGATCTACCATGTCCTTTCGAATCGTTCAGAGCTGGCAGATGGATTATGGGAGAAGTATCAAGCTGCTGCTTCCCAGCCTGAGACGTCACTCTTCGAACGGCGATCCCTGAGAAGTGTGAGCTGTGAGCTGTGGTCGCAGCTGATATACCGCTCAGGCAGCAAGTCAGCGGCTCTTCCGCGTGCCCCATTCGAGCTGCAAGCTGACTAGATCTCCACAGTCAAAGGGGCGTTGCTGGCTCAACATTTCGCCATCAATTCGGGCAAGGATTACAAGTACAATGTCGCGACTGCGAGTCTGCCCTTTGACCAGTCACCGAGCTGCATCCTCGATGCACTGACGTAGTGAGCGAGGCAATCGTACCCCACAGATATTGCTGAAGGAGGCCTCACAGCATCCGCTCCGTCTCCCAGACTGTCCTCAACTCTCGTGTAGACTTCAACGAGATCCTAAGTGTCATCTACCGTGAAGGTCAAAAGATGTCCTGGCACGATGACGGCGAAGAGGGTGAGAGATTCTGATGGTATCATAACGCAAGCGAGACTGCTGCTGCTGATGATGATGATGATGCTGTCGACCAAAGGACTCGGACCGATAGTCGCTTCGTTATCACTTGGAAGCCCGGCAACCATGTCTTGGCGTCCCAAGATGGATAGAATGCAACCGAATCAACCGTATTATCAAGGTCACAAACAGCGGAGGAGAAACGTTCTTCCGATCTCTGTACTGGATCTCAACTTGTCGCATGGTGTGAGTTTTAAAAAAACACTTGCAGAGTGTTCTGAAGCCTATAAGGATATGATTATCATGCAGGGTCGACGACTGCAACAGATGTACAGTCATCGTGTTGTTCCGTTGGGTTTCAGGGTAGCAGCTACGGCAAGAATGATTGGGACGATGACAGAAGGAAGGGGTTTGTAATACCGTGACATGCTGAGATTGTCATCGGCCCGGCCCTTTTTGATTCCGGGAGAGCGGCGGGAAGATGGGGGGGAACGACAAAAGGTGTTCAAGATTTTTCCGTTCTTCTGCACTCTGCACACAGACGTGCAAGCTGCTGAGCTGCTGCAGCGGCTGCTGCTGTTCATTCATACCATCATGTGATCGCGATCAGTTGGGAGAAATCTGTTGGTCCAAAATGGCCCTTCCGATTTTTCCCCAATGGACGGAAGAGCCGTATGGTCTCACCCGGGGCCGGGGGGAGAGTTAGGAATGGGATGTGAGGCTCAAGGGACCTAATTGCACAGAGCAGCCTCTCTAACTCGGCTGCAACTAAGACGACTACTCCCTGAGGCAGGCTGGGTATGAGATGCAGCATGATCTGGACCCTGACACCCCCTAGCCCGCTGAGAAGGTCAGATGATCTGGTAACTCTCCTTCTACGTCATTTTCCGTGGCTCGTAGTCTCCATAGTCTCCATAAGCGGGTAAGTTGGCGGGATGGTTAGGGTCCCGGCAAGCAGGAGCAGCAGGAGCTGGAGCTGGAGCAGCAGCAGCTAGCAGGTAGCAGGTAGCAGCCGCCTCATTGCCTCATGAGCAGCTTTGATGGCCGAATTTGGAAAAGCCGGTTTTTTCAGTTCTCAAGAGGAAATTTTCTGCCAAAAATTTTTCAATCTCTCGCTCCCCGCTTCAAGGTGACTTTTGGTGGGTGGATTGGACTGGTTGGCTCCTACGCGTATGTACGCGAGAGGCGACCATTTGGGACATGGGATGCATTTCTATCCTATTCATGTTGAAGGTCACATTGATCATCTAGTTGAATGTGGAGGAGCTGTTCGGTTGGCCGGGAGTGGAAAGTTGACTATCCAGAACGTGTCACAAATAGTATTCTGGGGGGGGACGAAGATCGCGCCACGACGCGTTTAACCCGTCCTTGAGGTAATCCGCACACATCATCATCCTCCATCATCCTCCTGCATCCTCCATCTCGCCTCGGTAAACATGTCTCACGTAGCGTCGTCCATGACTGACGACGTGGTGGACATGGTACATTCAAGAGAAGTGACACCTACTTCGACTGCGACGGCGTCTTCTTCTTATGTCAATGGAGAGAGTTCTGGAGGGACAACACGGAGTGGCGCTTTTGGAGGGCATGGGATGATGGTAGGAGAAACGTCGGAAAGCAGTTGTGGGACGAGTGTTGGAGGCATGTCATCGACTCTGAGTACGAGTCAAGGAGAGGATATGGACAAGTTTAAGAAGAGGATGGAGTTGGAGCAGGTGAGTCGATGGGACTGGGACGCAGTGAACGGGCGATGGGATGGATTGGATTGGATGGATGGATGGATGCCTTCGCAGGGGAGGAAAAAAGCACATTTGGCTGATCGTTTCGGTTTAGACGATGCAAACGCTTCAACAACGTCTCAAACTCGCCTCCATGAAGGCTGAGAATGGATGGACAGATTTATCGTTGAATGAGATCGAGACGGTGGGTTCAAACGATCGCGCAACACAGCTATGACATGGACTGACCTTTCTTTTTCCTCTGGACAGAAGTTGCCCCCACCACCAACGCCTCCGCGGCGGCGAGGCGATAAACTCACGATCCATCCCCCTCCTGATACCATCACTCACGCCCTCGCACCCCATACGGTCCCATACGAACCTCCTTCTCCGTCCCGTCCATGGCAACTCATCGACGTCTTATGGCAACCCCTTCCACCACCTCGAAATGGATCGCCTATCCCTTCGTCTCCCCGTAAGCGGTCTCGAGCTGAGACAGAGGACGATGAGCATGATCTTCATGGATCGTTCTCGGACCACTTACGGTACCCTTCCTCTCCCGGAGCTTATGGTTCTGTCCCTGGACCCAGTCAATACAGACATTCATCACCTCGTTCGCCACGTCGCCCACATCATTCCCACCACGCTCGACGCGCTTCGGGCTCCGCTCATCCTTATCCCCCTCCATCCCCTCTGGGCCCTTCCACACGGTTCGAAAGGCGAAGTCAGAGCACCAGTCAACCGATAGCTCCTCAATCACCCGTGACGTACCAAGATGTGAATGCTGCCAAGGCTCTCACATCCATGTTTGAGAGTGGTTCGCCGAAACCAACACCTCGTCAACCGTCAGCCTCGTCAACAGGTCCCAATCGTACTGTCGGTCGTCATGCGAGACACGCTTCACTCCCCAATGGTTCATCTCTCCTTCCTCCTATAGCCACAGATCTTTCCCGACCTCCCTCCTCCTCCTCCAAAGATACCACCACCTCTCCACCACGTCATTCTCCGCTCGCAACATCACCAAGTATCATCGCTTCCAGCACTAATGGTGTTCCAGCACCACCACGGAAAGGTTCAAGCGATACGGTCATATCCGAGACGACTAGATCCGTTCGAAATACAACACCACCCGATGCAGCCGACAAGGACGCAGCCGAGTTGATGATGTTCCTCGCTCATTCACCCTCACCTGCCCGAACCATGCGATCGCCATCTAGAATGACGAGAGAAGGATCAGGTCATAATGGGGCCGCTAGAGTCTTGTTCGCGGATATGCCAGGTCAAGAATACAAGGTGGAAAGACATTCCAATCTGGTCTCTGCGCCGCCAATCACAGCAGATTCAGGCATATGACCGAGGAGCAGCGGTAGCGCCAGCGCCGCGCAGCGATACCGGGCGTCGCTTCACCAGGCGTCGCTTGACATTCAAACTTTAGTCACGGTCAATAGCCCTGATTGGAAATCTTCTTGCTAAACTTATCTCGGAGTCTTTCTTGCCCACCTGTCATGGTTATTTTGTTCGAAAACTCATTTGTATACCTCTTGGTCACTTTGTAATCCGTTGGGTGTGAATCATGTACGTATAGAGGAAGACGGAGAGGAAGGAGAAGAGGAAAAAGAAGAAGAAGGACGCCATCATATGCATAATACTTCCCGCATATTTCGACTTACGAAGCTTGGCCTACTCTGCGACATTCCCTCTGTGGGTACGACGTGCAGGCAGCATCTGATTGGGACTGGGGGATTTGACCAGGCGAAAAGGTTCCAGGGATTGGACTGCACGGTGCTATAGGGATAATAGAGAAATTGTCCGAGTGACTACTCCCATCCAGATCCCTTGGGCTTGATTACATGACAACAATCATCGACTTATGCTTCAATGCAGGTCCCGTCACTTGTTTCATAGCGCTGAACCTCAGTCAGTCAGCTTAGAGCGTAAGGCCTTGACCTGACGACTCAGAGTCCCTCAGCAGCGGGTGAGCCGCATACACCCAGAAGACTTTCTAGTAGTCACACGAGATCAATTTTCACCTCCTTCCCCTCGCGCGCACGCACGCACGCACGCCGATCATTACGACGCTACCCTGTCGATCTCTCGCATCATTCGGGAGCATACCGTTACTCCTAGCTGCCGACCATGTTCGCTTCCACTCAAGGCATGAGTCGCAGCAGCACTGTGTTCTCGATTGCGCTGTAGCTGTCAACCCGCAAGTTTACGTTCTTAGCCACTTTTCTGGGGGGTTTTCCCCTGTTCCTGGGTTATCGTGGCGCCGCCTGAGAATGGTGAGCCTCCAGGCGTATGCCCGCCCCCCCCAGCTAATAAGGGAATGCATGGCAGCCCAGAACCAGCCCAGCGGCGGTGGTGCTGGTGGTTTTGTAGGTACAGAAGGTGGTACTGACTGGCGGGAGACTTCATTCGCCGTGCCACCACGTCAAACACCAACAGGTCAATGGTATACTGCCTGCCACTCTCTGTCTACATTGCCACGTGAACATTCACGGGAATTCTCAGGCACCATTGCGTCATAGGACCCTTTACTTACGTAATCTCTAGCCGATTCCAGACTGACCTAGCCCAACAAGAAAAAACGCCACTTTTGGGACTTTTTGCCCCTTCTTTTCATACGATTTTGGGCGAAGAACAGCGTGAGCAGCGAGCAGCGACAGTCGGATGGCGGCGAGCTCAAGCTGACTGACTGACTGACTGCACGCACTGCACGCACTGGAGCGATCACATACACGGTCACGCTCAACATTTTTCGTGGGAGGCGAGACGGCCCCGCTTGCTGTTTCCTCTCGCCTTGCCCTTTTACCCCACTCTGGACTCTGGGAGATACATCAGCCTAGATGGATACGTCGCGAATTCGATAAAGTCATCCTGCTCTCGTCTTCTCGTGTCTCGTTCTGATTTTTTGGGACTCATCAAGGGAGCTCTTCAGGTTGGGGAGCTCGACTCGGACCTTCCCCCCCTCCCTTGCATCTCTCACTGTATCGCTAGGCTCTGGATTCAGCATGATTGAAGCATTAGACGGAATGGACCTGTCGGGAGTTCCGATCCCATTCTTAGAGGTAAGCAGACGTTTGTAGTATCACTATTGACCCACATACTCTTTCTCCCACAGGCATTCCCATTCCCCGCATTCGTCCTCGTCGTTCCTATACCATGGCGACATTCGACAGAGAGACCTAGATTTTATTCCACAGACACAGACATCACCGTCAGACCTGATGACAATATTTCACCCTTGACCAGTCCAGATTCACCAGGATTAGCATCACCTTTGGCAATGGCAGCGACTGGTTTCAGTGGGAACAGCAGCAGTAGTCATAGTGGTGGTAGCAGCGGCGGGAGCAGCAGCAGCAGTGGTCATTCCTCAAGCAGCCCATCTCTATTTGGACCAGCTTCCGCATTTGTCTCTGGCATCACGACCAGTACAGTCGTCTGGAGTAATGAGAAATGGTTACGGATGACAGAGGGGAGATTGCTGAAGGATTGTCTTGGGAGTGCAGGATTGGACAGACTGGCAGATTGGATAGAGGACAAATCACCTACAGTCCAACAACAGTTATTCACGTTGGAAGTCTTGGAACCAGCTGTCAAATTGGATCTATCGAAAACGTCATTACCTATCCTTCCAGCTTGTTCAACCCATTACTTTTGCATCGTCACTTCTCAACCTCGATCTCAACGTCCTCAGAGCAGTTACTCCATCACGACGTTTAGTCCTCCTCTTCCTGAGCCTTCTGTCTCTCCAAAATCATCACCCGTCCCGGTGGCTCGCAGGAGATCCTCAAGAGATTCAACTCTGCGGACCTCCTTCACGCCTCCTGAGGAGGATTTCGTCGAACATGATGAAGGCGAGGATACATTCCCGTCCGGTGTAGTCACACCGACACCACCGCATGAAGGAGCCACTACGCCTGTGAACGATCAGAGGTCAGGGTCAAGTTCCAGCGGCGCAACATCACGTCAAGTCGAATCGAAACACCGAACGAAAACTAGGCGGCAACCTCAAGAAACCGGACCCAATGTCCGACAGATGGAGACCTCAGCGGATAAATACTGGGCTTTGGTAGACAACTACGATTGGGCAAGTACCGCCATTGGACCGCGAGACGGGTGGAAGGATGTCGTGGATCCATTAATATCTGTGGCGTTCCAAAGTAATGCCATGGAGTGTATTTGGTTAGGCAAGGGACTTCAGTTGATATAGTGAGACAAGATTTGGGGCGCACATCTCATTGCACCGGACTGATCAGCGTCTCAGCAACGAAGAGTACTCTGGTCTCGTGGATCACCCACGAAGTTTTGGTAGACCTGCAGCCGAGGTTTGGGCAGCGATCTGGGATTACATCGGACCACTGACTGAGAAGGCTATCAATGGACGACCGGTTCACTGTGACAATGATCTGCTATTGTTCAAAAAGCATGGACCTGGCATTCTCATGGAATTCTATTGCAGTTGGCGATATGTTCCGATTGCCGGCAAGAATGGCGAGACTTTGGGTATATACAATCAAGCGCTGGAGACCACAGATGCCGTGCTGGCCGCGAGACGGCTCAACACTGCACGAGACTTGTCGGAGCAACTACTTCTCGCTCGGACGGTCAAGGAATACTTCAGCTTCCTCGCGGAAGTCTTGGAGACGAATCCTAAAGATGTTCCATTTGGACTGTTCTACAGTGTCAAATCTGCAGAATTCCCACCCAAGGATCCCAACGCCACCGCTGTCTTTGCTGAAGCTTTCCTCGAATCCACAGTTGGCGTCCCGGATGGTCACCCATCAGCGCCCGCAACCATGTCATTTGATATACCGATCAAGACTCGATCCGCCTTTGGACCGAACGCTGACCGTCTCTCGTCACCTACCATGTCTGCCATCTCTGCTCTCTCGTCAGGTTCGGGGCGACGCATCCACATTGCCGATGAAGCGTCATGGCCGATACTCAAAGCTTTATCGACTCGACAATGTGTACTCGTGGAGGATTGTCGATCCCTGATTGAAGGATACGAAATTCGAGAATGGGACGAGCTCCCCATGTCGGCTTTGGTCGTGCCTATCTGTAGCGAGACTGCGATCGAGGTTCCAGGAGCGTTCATGATTCTCGGCCTCAATCTACGACGACCTTTCGATGCGGATTACGATTCGTGGTTACATGAGATTCGAACTCAAGTGGCCAGCACACTCGTCTCAGTCAAAGGGTACGAAGCGGAACAACAGCGTATTGACGATGCGCTCAAGATGGAACGTGCCAAAGCCGCTTGGTTCAAAGGCGCAGCACACGATCTTCGAAGTCCACTCACCATGGTCCGAGGTCCCATCGAGGATTTGCTTGAGACGAATCTCAGCAACAGTCAAAAGAACACTCTGCAATTGGCGAAACGAAATGTGGATCGATTACTCCGACTCGTCAACGCACTCATGGACTTTTCACGTCTCGAAGCGGGTCGTGTTCAAGGACGATTCGTGCCGATTGATCTGGGTAAATTCGTGGCAGATCTCGCTGCGCTGTTCAGACCAGCATTAGAACGCATGAAGATCGACTACTTCATCGAGATTCAGTCTTACGCACAGTCTGTCTTTGTCGATCCGACATTGCTCGAAACGGTCCTGAGTAACCTCATCAGTAACGCTCTCAAGTATACTGAAAAGGGTAGCGTGACTGTGAGATTGACATTCGGAGACGAGGCTGAGATCTCGGTCATCGATACTGGTATTGGAATCCCTCGCGATGAGATCGAGCATATAGCCGAATGGTTCCATCGCGCCAGTTCTGCCATTCATGCTGGAACCACTGGGACAGGTTTGGGTCTAGCCCTGGCTAGAGAGCTCTTGCGATTGCACGGTGGCGACTTGGAGGTATACAGTCGCAGCGCTGAAGAGAATGCGAATGGTGATCACGGTTCGACGTTCATTGCGAGAATACCATTAACTGGAAGGGATGACGTGGACGGAGACGCTCATCTTGCGGTGCCATTCGGCAAATACGGGAATGATCTGGCACAAGAAGCCATGGCTTGGGCGCGAGATGATCGACAGCGTGGAGGTCCCAGTCGCTCGGAGAATGGTTCGAGTGAAGGTGGGACAGGGAGTGAGACTCAGACTGGGTCCCAATCTGGCTCTGGACCATACTCGAAACTTGGTGAAGGTCTCTTTTTCGACAAGGAAGACAGTATTCTCATCGTGGACGACAGCGATGATATTCGCGAGTACCTCAAGCGGATATTTTCACCATTCTGTCAAGTCTTGGAAGCTTCCAATGGAGAGGAGGCGCTTCAAAAGAGTCTCGCGTCGCCACCGAATCTCATCCTGTCAGACATCATGATGCCCCGTATGTCTGGTACGGAGCTTTTATCAAAACTTCGAGCCAACTCCAAGACTTATATCCCTGTCGTTTTGCTCTCCGCCATGGTCGGTGACGAAGCACGTGTGGACGCCTTGTTGGCAGGTGCAGACGATTACCTCGAGAAACCGTTCAAACCCAAAGAGCTCGTCGCTCGTGCTCATGTTCAGATCCAGGTGGGCAAGAAGAGAAACGCTCTGGAACAATTATTCATTCAACGCGAAGTGGAGAATCGATTCTTGAGCGAGTACTGCCCGGCAGGTATCGTTCGAACCGACGCATCAGGCAGAAATACCTATATCAATCAAGCTTGGCGACGTATCGCAGGCATGTCTGATGAGGCTGATCCGAGCGACTGGGAACGATATTGTGAACCCGATGTTTTCCAACAGCTGGCCCGTGACTGGACGTCATTCCTCATGGGACGAGAAAAGGATTTCAGAATGACTTGGAGATGGAAGAATGGAAATTACGTCTCGGCAGTCTTTGTCAAACTTGAATTCTTGGCTCCTGGCATGAGCGGCACTATCGGTTGCATGGCGGATATCACCTATGAAGAACAACGCGTGGCCGATGCGGAACAACGACGAAGAGAAGCTGAAGAATCGAAACATCAACAAGAGCTCTTGATCGACCTCACATCTCATGAGATCAGGACACCTGTCTCTGCCATCTTGCAATGCTCCAGTCTGGTCAAGGAAAATCTAGTCGCGCTCAGAGATCAACTTCAATGGAGCGGTCAGAATGGATTCAGACCGACCAAAGAGTTGCTCGAGGATCTCGCAGAGGATGTCGAGGCGTTGGAGAGTGAGTTGCTGTGACGGGCGTGGCGTGGCGTGTGCGTTCAGGGCTAGGCTGATCACCACGGCCAGGTATCTATCAATGTGGTCTCGTTCAGGAACGCATTGCCGGCGATATCCTATCGTATGCTAGGATCCAGCTAGGTGAGGCATCAAGCTGTGGGAGGATTCATACAGGCTGCTGACGCTTGCTCCGCAGACATGCTCAGTCTCCACGCCATCAACACGGATATCAAAAAGGAAGGCCGCAAAATTCTCACCGTCTTCTCTAGTGAAGCGCGTATGAAGGAGATTCAATTGGCTCTTGACTTTGGAAAGACATTCGAAGCGAGTCGCGTTTCAGAGATCAAGACGGACCCGGTGAGATTAGGTCAAATCGTCACCAATCTCATATCAAATGGTATGTGATATTCTTCATACATTGCATTCGCTGAAAGAGTCTCTCTCCCAGCCATCCGATTCACTGCGACTAGCTCTATCCGTAAAATCACAGTCTCCTACGATTTATCCTTTGTGCCTCCTGCTTCAGACTCGTGCGCTGTTCCGAGGTCTACTGGTTCGCCAGACATCACTCCGCCTCCGGAGGATACACCGCTGTGGTTGTTCGTGTCGGTGAGGGATACAGGTCCAGGATTGCCGCCGAATGAATTGGCTCTCCTCTTTAAGCGATTCTCGCGTGAGTAGGCAGTCGGATCTTGGTTGCATCTCGGTTGACACTTTATTCAGAGGGCAATGCGATGGTCCACACTCGATTCGGAGGTTCAGGACTAGGACTGTTCATCTGTAAGAGTGAGTCGTGGCGCCTGAAAACTCCAAATTCTTTTTCTGATCAGCTTGCTTCTACAGAGATCACCGAGCTTCTTGGAGGACGTATCGAAGTCTTGAGTACGGTCGGCGAGGGATCGGGTGAGTGCGCTTTGTCCCTCATGCAGCCTTTTTCTGAGCACCTTCTACATACAGTCTTCCGCTTCTTTATTCAAACTCGAGCCGTTGCACCCATCATCGCTCCCATCCCCGAACTCGTGACGGCTACCTCCAACTTGTCGATTGGGTCCAATGCCTCTTCCGCTTCCTCTGTCTCGCTATCGCAACGAAGTACCTCAGTTTCGCCATCTCACAGCATGTCTCCAGCCGCTTCTGTCCTTTCCTCTTCCAGTCCTCCCCCGACCCACACACGGTCCCTTCACATTCTTATCGTTGAGGATAATATCATCAATCAGACCGTGCTCAAACGTCAAATCATCAAAGCAGGCCTGTCGTGTGATGGTGAGTAAGGCGTGATAGGTTGATGGTGCAGGACACGAGCTAAAGCGTGGTAGTCGCCAACAACGGACTGGAAGCTCTGAATCTGATTCGTGAGGCAGACAGACAGGCTAAACGTGGAGGACCGAGGAAGAAAAAGCCTTATAATGTGATCTTGATGGATCTCGAGATGCCTGGTGCGTGAGAGTTTTCTGGCAGATGATGATGTACTCTGATTGACACGGGTGCCCCCAGTCATGGACGGATTGACGGCCGTCAGAGAGATCAGGGCTTTGGAAGCTGCGGGGACATTGGAACGGAACATGGTCATGGCGTTGACTGGTAATGCCAGACAAGGTCAGATCGACCAAGCTCTCGCGGCGGGCATGGATGATGGTGAGTGGTGTACTCCCCAAGGGTGTATACGGATATAGTCCGCTGATCGTCAACGTGCCCAGTTGTTATCAAACCATACGTGTTGAATGATCTCTTGAGAAAGATTGAAGCCATGTGGGCCAAAAAGGCGGAAGCGTCGGTCCAAGGAGCAGAAGTGGGATCGGCCTAAGTGGAGGGCATCCATCATACATGGATGGGCCTTCTCGCCATCGGGGGAGATCCGGCCGAGTTGGTCTAGGCGTTTCGTCACCTCTGCTAAGCGTCCACAATATTCAGATAATCTGGGTCGCTGCTATCTTTATTATTTTTTGGTATTCGATTCGTGTTGTACACAAAGTTCTGTTTTTTCTCGTCTGTAGCATCTGGTCTTCGCATGGAAGTGTGCATTTCAACTCATCTTGGTTTCGAAGCGGCGCGACTGCCTGTTGAGTGTAAGAAATGGAAGAGGCGGCGTGCTCGTCGCATGTGTATGTCTGATAAGCTTAATTGATCCGAGTCACATGCTCAAGAGGCCCGTTTTTGATCCACCTCGGCACGATCCAGATCCCTTTTGCTCCACTTTTCTTCTTATCAGTTTTGATTCTTTTTTCCGTCATCTCGGATCAAGCTCACACTCACACTATGGATAGATTGATCGACAGCTGACATAACAAGGAATGAGTGATCGACAGCACGGAAGGGATTCAGGCATGGACGGAAAAAAGGGGGCCGTACAGCGGAGAGACTAGCTTCGGAGTTGGAAATGTCAAATAAGGCAAATTGAGATGCACAACAATGCTTTGATACGTCTACGACATATGAGTATATACAATGTGTTTTATTCTTTCTTCTAGAAATATAAGGAGGACGACGTTGATTGATGATGATGGTAATGATGGATGATGGATAATGAGATGTCGGTGCCGATGCTGAGAACAGTTCTTGCGATAGTCGTACTGGATCAGACAGCCTCGTACTTTGATAATCGTTTCTTGAGATCTGCCACTTGCTTTCTCAAGCGGGCAGCCTCATCTGTCGCCAGGCGGAGTTTAGTCTCTTTGGCGTTGAGCGTCGTTTCAAGTGACGAGAGATGTTCTAGAAGAAGAAGACGACAGAGTCAGCGATCGCGTGACGTAGGTCTAGACCATAGAACGGGTCATGAGAACCTGAGACCTACCTTTTCGCTTCGCTCTGAATGTTCTCGCTGAGATCCTGTTCCTGACTCGTTTTCTCTCTCTTGCTGTCAACGCTCTATAATCCTCCACCTTCATGCCCCAGATCATTCCGTCCCTTTCCACGCCTTCTGAAATCTCGTATTGTTCATGCTCTGAGTCGACCTCGTCCGGCTCTTCCATCAACGAATCCATGGAGCTCATCCGTCGCTTGGCGGTCGATGTTCGACGCGAGTGTCCTTGACCTGAAGACGAAGATGAAGAGGCGACTGCATTGGCTTCTGATCTCAGCGGGGGTCTGATGTGATGAACTACAGGCTTGATATCGGGCGTACTGATCTCGTACGATTCAGGCGAATCCATACTGGTCTCCATCTGAGTGGTGGTGATAAGCGTCGGCAAAGACTGCGAAGTGGCTTTACCTCTCTTCCTGGGGGAAACAAGGAGAGAGGTGTGTATCGCATTGGGTCTATCGAATTTCATCCCAACCTGAGGAACAGATGATGAAGAAGAGGAAGAAGCTGATGCGGCTCCTTCAGGTTGATGATGATGGAAAGGGTTGGTAAAGTTGACAGATTCGAGCTGCGAGGGATGAATGGCAGGTGATTGATCGGTAGATCCAGGGATACTGACAGCCGAGTTGAAAGGAGATTGTTGAGTAGCCGTCGTACTCAGGGAACTGTTACGAGTCTCAATGGTCCCACCACCGACACTCATAGGTGTGTCACTGCCACTTGAGAGGTTTGTCATGGATTGATTGGGATGAGTGCCCTCGGAAGCGGTTTGGAACAACCAAAAATTGGGCGAAAGAAATCCATTGATGGGATGTCCAGGTGTGAGACCGCCGCCACCACTGCCACTGACGCCCAAGCGTCCAGACGATGAATCCTGTGGAGCCACAATGGGATCAGTGGAAAAGTAATCGGTGGCCATGGTGGCATTGACGTTGGAAGAAGAAAACCATTCGGAAGGTGAGAATCGAGGAAGGGAAAAGTTTTGGTAGAATGAAGTCCAACCTGGGGTTGTGGGTGCCGCAGCTGCGGGCTGACCAGTGGCGTCCTGAGAAAACAGAAACGGAACGTCAGATCTGATTCGAACGGGGGGAGGTTTGCAGTGTACAACTTACTTGACGGTCTGACTCGTCGCGCGACATGGCGTTCATGTCGAATGGTGATAGGAAGAGTTTACTTTGAATGGGCAGTGCTTCAATAGCACTCATGTCCGTTGTTGAAAAGATCTATCCAGTTTACTTTATAAATATCCCGGGATCTGGGTAGTGAATGAAACTAGCACGCGGAGAGGATTCGAGATGATTGATTGTTCAGAATCCTTTGCCACCCGTTCGGCTCCACTGGATAGGTTGAATAATGAACGAACACACTGACGACGACCAAGTCAGGTAGATAGTGAAGGAAAATGGAGAAGAGAGTGGAGACCAACACAGTCCAACGGAAGAAAGTGGTTATGAATAGCTTATCAGGTTTTGTGACTGGTTGGGTCGGTGGTGCCGAGGTTCCTGCCAGTCTTTCAAAACTTGCCGTCGCCTATATCTCCGCTATTTGCCCGTGCCGGTTGTGAGGAGATCTTCTCTTTTGGCTCCCTTCCCCTGGTAAGTTTGGAAGAGCGAGAGCGAGAGCAAGCAGCACTGTGCTTGCTCCACCTGAGGTAGGTTGCACACCTGGTGAAATCAAGTTGATTCCCGGTCGAATTCAGCTGCGCCACGAGGGGGAAGGCAGATGGGCAGAGCAGCTGATAAAATAAATTCCAGAAAAAGGCGAGGACCCAAAAAAGGGGAGCTTCTATTTCTTCCTGCCTGTGGATCCGTTCTATCCCCGACTCAACCGAGGACGTAGTAGTGGTAGCTGGTGGTGGTAGTGGTGGTAGTGGTGGTAGAAATGGTAGAAAGAGATGAAGAGGATGCACAATCGAGGACTGAATATATCGGTTTGTTTTAAAAGCTGATGTTGACCGTTCAAGTAGATCTCGATGATGATGATCTTCTGGAAAGGGACCACGACTATCCCAGATGTATATATAACAAAAAATTTCCACACAGACACACTGCTGTAGGGAGGGGAACTTGACTCAGCGTCTGCCTGTAGTGACCCATCCTCCCCTCCCCTCACCCCCCGAGTGACGCCAAACTTGTTATATAATCGGCATCGCGAGAGCTAAGAAAAAATATCGAGTGACACTTTTTTTTTTTTTCCATGGGAAAGCCAAATGCAGCAGAGAGTCTGGTACTTGACTCCACTCGTCACCAAGGCTATCTTCTCCTCTCCTACCCACGAGGTGCCGCCACCACCACCACCACCACCCACCCACGCCGCCGCCGCCGGACACCTTCGCCCGCCCGTTCCAGGTCAATGGGCTTCTCTTCCCCCGCCCTTGCCAAAGCCCCGTTGGCTCCAGTGCCTTAGTCGGAGACCGGGCGCCGCCCACAGCTCGTATAGGCTTCTTTTTACCCTGCTGATGCAAGCTTGACTTACGCATAGCCATCTCTCTTTCCCCTGAGATACCCGGGCTGGAAGGGGGTTCTATCGGTACAACTGGGACCTGACGGCGTGCAGCTTGTAGCATGTTGTTTCGTCCGTGACCCACGTGCCGTCTTGATCACGAGTCCAGGTCAGTCAGTCAGTCATGTTCTTGGCCGATCGGATGGGTCATGGGCGTCATTCATTCCCATCCATACAAAGAATATCGCAGCCTCGTCTCCCCGCACCGCCCAGAACGACGAGGACGAGCGATCGAGCCTCAAGATAAGACAAAGACAAACAGCTCTTCTCACAGGGACTCTCGGAGACAGTTCTTACGAATTCAACCCGAGTGGGGTGGCGCCTTTGCCCCGGTGTAAATCCACTCACTCCCTGTTCCCACCAATGCACCTCTCTGCCATCCTGGTTGGGTGTCTCTCCCCTGCAGTCTAGACCAGGCGACTCGATAGGAAACTGTGATCGGCCGAGCCTACAGCAAACTATGACGTGTAAGGGGCCAGTTGCCTGATTTCGTCCCTTGCCCCGGACTCTAAAAACTATTCTTCACATCCATTTTTTTCTCTCTCGGCCGCTGGGCGTTGTTCTTCTGGACTTTTGGCAGTCCCATGGGCTCGCGCTGTTCATGGAGTACGAGTTATTCCCGGCGAAAGGCTGCCGAATGGAGAGCTTTTGGTTTGTAAAAATAAACTGGTCATTGTGCCCAAAAAGAAAAAAAAAAAACTTAGTGGAGACGCCGAATGTTCTGTGGGACATGCATACTGAGAGCGAGTACCTTGACGGCTGTGAGTTCGGGTGTTCCTGGTTCCTGGAGGCTGCTGGCAAACCTGTGTGGATGGATGGATGCATGATGATGATGATGTCTATATCCCACCGGAAAACATGGGCATAACTTCCTCCGAAATCAATCTTGGAACCCAGGTCGAAAATATAGAACATGCGTCTCGGAGGGATTTTGAGAAGGAGGTTCCTCCGAGGGAGTGGTGTGTGATCAGATCTAGAGGTCGAGGTCCGAATCCACAGATGATGTCAACGGGAAACATGTGATGCCTGCGTCAGACCTTTGACAAGACAGAAGAGGCCTTGATCCTCCGAATGTCCCGTATAGCAGGTGAATCAGCTGATGATCATCGGCAAGTAACGCTGGTCCAATGTCAGTAACCCGCCGGTACGTTATCAACGGGTTCCTGTTAGTAGTCTATCTTTCCTCTCGATCACAACACACTCACTTATCGTTCCGAGATCCTTGTCCTTGTCCTTGAGAAAGCCTTCAAACCGTCATGACGAAGGGGCTTGAGCGGATGCTTCGCTGACATGGTCTGCTATGCTATGCCATGGCCCCGTATCGGTTGTCGGGAAACCCTAAGGAACACGTTCGACCGTGGACAACGGTGCCGAATACAGACAAAGAGGTACGTAGACGATTTTCCTTATCGATCGAGGAGGCGGAGGATCTGGGACCTGATCGATGTTTGTGTCTACCCCGATGATGGATGGACCGGCGAAGTCAATACCTAAAAACAATTGTACATATGCATGTTCGCAATTTGATCTAGATCTCATGATACGCAATCACGTAAACGACGGCGATTGACGATAAGACTCCTCTGTCTAGGCCCTGGACCGGTGACCCTCATCATTTGTACACGATCCAAGGTCATGGGATGATGGATCGTGCTTGTATTGGTGTCCGAGTGGGGGTCGCAACGACCTTCACGGACGAGACGTACCATCCAGTGTTCATTTATGGCACGTTGAAGGGCTTTGAGGCCAAGTATGCTTTGGAGCGAGTCCACGCCTTCTCAGTGACGAATTTCCGGTAATGGTTCTGCACGTAATTCCTCGTAATTGATCGTACTGTCCTTCTCGTTGTCCACTTCTGCGACCAAGGCGCTGCGAAACATGTCAGCGGAATGTCAAAGGGGTCACAGGTCGAACGGAGCAGAAGTGGACGAGGCTTGTTTTGAGTCATGATTGATGGATGGGAAAAGACTGAGACGCGGTAGCGACGGAGTGCAGCGGATGAGGCATCGCAGAACCCCTTGTGGCTTCCGGTCAGACACATTTGTGAACTGCCAGAACGACAGCTGGCATTGAGATTGTGCGACAAAGGGAAGCAGGGAGAGGTACGAGGCACCCTTGGGTCTTCCAGCTTGTCGCAAACCAGTGCGTGACATCTCTCCACCTCGGCAAATTGCCTAGAGCTGTGACCTCTGGCTGATCCGTGACCGTCTGAAGGAGTCTGAAGCAGTCCTGGCACACGCCTGCCCACCTCGCGCGTCCTTCCTCTTTGCTGCCGTCATGTTCTGTCCTTCGCGCTCTTCTCAATATTCTTCCTTCAACCAACGCCGATGAAGGCTTGGCTTGACCTCTGATGGAGCCGAAAAAGACACTCACACATTGTCGCCCTTGATCATGTACAGTCCCAAAGGGATCATTTCGACGCCCGCGTCCATTGAGTATTCTCGCTCGACCGAATCCGCAAGGATGAGGTTGGTTCGGACGTCAAAGCCTTTGAGCTTGCCCTGAGAAGGAGAGAGAGAAAGGATCTCGTGTCAGCAAAAAGCTCGTTCGACTATGCCGCTTTAAGTCTCGTCGGGCTCTCGCTTTGCGTTCCTACTGGTACGGCGCGCAAAACCAAGAAAAAGAAAAAAAACCATCACTCGCCAACTCACCACTATGACTCTCCCATCGTACAGGATGACCTGGACGGTTTCTGATAAGGAGGGTATGAGCTTCATTGCTTCGGCAGGGTGGAAGAAAAAGCCAGCTCACGGTCAACGTATGATTCCACGGCAGACATTGTCGTGAAAGGATTGGAGAGCAGCAGGAGAGACTCGACCGCTATTTTCCACTGAAGAAGTGTTGGCGTCCGACTTTGTTGTGATAATGATAATCGCGGACGATGTCAGACCAGGTGCCAGGGAAAGCGACGAGGCCTTCCCAGAGACCACCCAAGAGTCGAGTCGAAAAGGGATCTGATGTATGATCCCGTTGATGCACCGTTGTGGACCCCTCTATGTTCTCCTACACGCTATGCTCTCCACATGCATAGTCGTCCTAGCAGCAGTAGTGGTAGTGGGGAAGCCAGAGCCAATGATGATCACATATCTCATATAACGCCGGCTATCGCCGTCACAGCCAAATGACATGTGGCACTTGACCCTGAACCCCTCTCTCTCTCTCTGCTCTTGCTGCTGCTGATGCCTTGACCTATCAGACCCTCCTATTGACAAGCAGATTCTGCACATCTCATCATTTGGACGTCGGGTCAAGCTGGAAGCCTCTCGCGGGTACCTCAACGACGACGAGCTGAGAGTCCCAAAGAGCTCAGACTGGATCACCCCCGAATCCGTTTTAAAATCGCAGGATCCCGGCGCGAGTGAAAGAGTCAAAGCCACCTTCTCTCAGAGAGGAGAGGTCTGCAGTGCGATTTGAACAACATCATACAGTGGGGCTATAGAGGGATAGAAGGGGTCGCGTGATACGCACTGGACAGACTGTCGACACTTCTTGGACCATATCGTATTCATTCATTCATCAGAACCACCTCCTTGACTCAGTACCCCTCTCCCTGCCTCCCCCCTCCTCCCCCTTTTTTCCAACGCGGGGGGTTCGTTCGCTGCAATCCCCTCCTCCTCATTCATCAGCATCACAAGTCTTCCCTTTCTCACTTTCATCTTTCGACGTTTGACTCATCATGGCCACTACACACGTCATTGGGTCTTCGAACCCTGCGAACCATCTCTCTTCCGGTGGATCCCACTCGTCGAGCTCGAGTAATATCGTGGGCGTGCATTATAAAGTCGGCAAAAAGATTGGAGAAGGGTCTTTTGGCGTCATTTTCGAGGGTGAGTCTGGGTGGATGCTTCATGAGCCTCAGTGAACGGCGCCATCATCTTTTGGACGTTCAAAGGCCAACCGAGCCTCACTCCTCTATGCCCTCGCTGCTTCTTTGCGGGCTAAATTGGCCTTGGTTCCAACCTGGTCTCGCGAGCAACTTGACTGCCCCGGTGTCTAAATCCGGCACGCACAGTCCGCTGATGTTCCCTTGTCTCACTACAGGTACCAATCTTCTCAACTCTCAAACCGTCGCCATAAAATTCGTGAGCCGAGTCGATTGAGATCTGTAGGGGAAGAGGGTGGGACTCACAGGACAATTCTAGGAACCACGCAAGTCGGATGCTCCGCAGTTGAGGGACGAGTACAGGAGTTACAAGATCCTCTCTGGTTGTGGTGAGCGTAAACCCCATGGCCGGCTTCATGCTCGATTAACACCGTGATCAGTTGGCATTCCTCAGGTCTATTACTTTGGTCAAGAGGGTCTGCACAACATACTCGTCATTGATCTCCTTGGACCATCGCTTGAGGACTTGTTTGACATGTGCGGACGAAAGTTTAGCGTCAAGACGTGTTGCATGACTGCGAGACAAATGGTGAGGCGACATGATGAAATGACAGGATACACATGGCTCATGTACTTCAATCAGCTGTCTCGAGTCCAGACTATACATGAGAAGAACCTCATTTACCGAGATATCAAACCAGACAACTTTTTGATCGGGCGACCGGGCACCAAAGGAGCCACGACGGTCCATGTAGTCGACTTTGGAATGGCCAAGCAGTACAGAGATCCAAAGACGTCAGTTTGACAAGACATCCAAGCATGTGTGCCTCATCTGACATTTGGCCTCTAGCAAACAGCACATCCCGTATAGAGAGAGGAAGAGTCTGAGCGGGACAGCGAGATACATGAGCATCAACACACATCTCGGTCGAGGTGAGCGCGTGCTGGCTTGTGATTGACCTATCGCTCAAACCTCTCTCCAGAGCAATCCCGGCGAGACGATCTCGAAGCGCTCGGACATGTCTTTTTCTACTTCTTACGTGGAGGTCTGCCCTGGCAGGGACTCAAAGCGGCTACTAACAAGCAAAAGTACGAAAAGATTGGCGAGAAAAAGCAGACCACACCGATACCAGAGTTGGTGGATGGGTATCCGCGTGAGTGGTGGTGTGAGATCAGGCCGTGACAGAACGACACGCTTACGCCCATGATCAGAGGAGTTCGCCATCTACCTCAATTATGTTCGAAAACTTACATTTGACGAGACGCCCGATTACGACTTTTTGAGAGAGCTCTTCTTGACTGCCATGAAGAACAATGGGGATGAGGATGATCAAGTGTACGATTGGCAGCTGTTGAATAATGGAAAAGGTTGGGAGACGAGCAGCGTGAGTTGGTCAACCAGTGCGCTTGATTTGGTGTTGATTCAGTGTTAAGACGGCCGCTGCGTCTACCACCAATGAGGCTAGCAGGCGTGAAGGTCGTACACGGCCAGAGAAAGATTACAAGGATCGTATGGAGAGGATGCGAAGCGGTCCCTCCGGTGGTCCAGGTGCATCACCGCTGTGAGTGTGCCTCCGTACACTAAAGTGTAAGGTTTCACTGACACGGATCCGATCTGCCAGGAAACAACGCAAATCCGCGGGTCAAAGTGGACCTTTACCAAATGCTTCCAATCAAGCCATAGTCGGAGTGTCAGCGCCTTCTCCACTTCCCACTTCCCGTCGTCAATCTGCTCAGGGACATCCGTTCGCTTCTGCGAATCCAGCTCATCACGATTCTGCTCGAGACGGTGGACGAGAGCCGTACGATCCTTCCAATATGGCTATCCCATCACAGGCTGGACTTCAACCCATTGCGCCAATGACTGTCAATGGACAAGGCGGAAACACGGCAAATTCGAGTCAAAGAATGGGCGAAGGGGATTATCAACAGCAAAAAGGTGGAAATGGGTTCATGAGGTTGATCTCATGTGGCTGTTGTCGCTAGCGCTCGCTGCTGCCCACCACCCGAACCCGATCCCGTTTCCGGACTGGATCACATCCCTGGCATCTCATCAACCGTCTTCTCACCGCGATCCTCTCCTTCCCTCCAGCCTCTCGTCATCGAGTCACTACCCCGACGCCCTTGTTCAAGTTCTCGTCTCTGGTTTTCTCTCTTTCTTCCTTTTTTCTTTTTTGTACCGTACCAACGAATATTGTCGGATCAGCTCCTACGCCTCTGTTTCTCGCTTTCTCTCCCTCTCTCTCTCTCTTTCTTCCCCTTATACCCCTTTCCTCTCGTCATCTGCGTTATGGCCCCGCCGACATTATGATAGAAGAAAAATTACGCTTCACGGTTACCATGCTATCACCGATACACCGAGTCGCGCGCTGGACTCTTAAGGAAAACGATACATCAAGACTATAAATTTGGGTCACCCTTGCCTGCTGCTGTGTCCTCTTGTAATCCTCGGATGATCCCCCATGAGCGTCGACTACAATGGTCATCTGTCAGTGGATGTCCCTGTGTAGAAGGCGCCCTCGCCCCACACGGTACGTGACCTTCATGGGGAGTCATCCGACACAACTCTACCGATCATCCTCTTTTTTTTCCCTCAATACCTCTCAAACGCTGCTCCTTTACATATCCGACCCCTTCGTACCTGAAACTCTCTAGTCCAATCTATGCATGTCTCACATTCACGAATGCATGCAGAAAAGTTAAAACGAATTGAGAGATAATGTACAACACTTTAAATGCAAAGAGGGTGTTACGCGACAGTCTGACCGATGGAATGAACATGATCTAGTCCCTGTCCTATGAATGCCAGCGAGAGGGGTTTGATCGTTGTCAAGGCCATTTCGACGACACTCTCAACTCGACGTTTGAGATCGGTATTATCACTCTCGACTCGCTGACGTGCAGGGTTAGCAAAAGCGCTACCCCAAAAAAAATGGCACTTCGGATACGAGCTAGCTCACCATGGAGATCAGGTCCACTCTGGCAGTGGAATTATCCACCTTGACATCCATGACCCATAAATCATCCTCGTCGTCGGATCCGGACGGGACAGTAACATTGCCAAAATGTGACTTGAGGAATAAGAGGAGATGTTCGGACTCCGACGTGAGGTATGGTTTGTCACCATCGGAATGAGAATGGCCGTTTGCGTGAGAGTGAGCATGTGAGTGGTGGGCATGAGGGTGAGGATTCGAGGTGACTGCAAAATGTCAGCCATGGTGTTATTTGGAACGGAAGAAAGGGGGGTTGCGACTCACGTTTCACTGTGGCTGGACTGGAGTCTATGCCCAATAAGATAGCGAGGGCAGAATCCGCAATCATATCGTTTCCAGAGGATGAGGACCAAGAAAGCTCTGCAACGGTCGAAGAGACCGAGGCTAATGTCACAGCGTTCATGATCTGCAAGGCCATATCAACTCCGTCTCTGACGGCTTCATGGCTGTCCACCGAGACTCACTGTCAGGCTCTGTCGTCCAAATGGATCCATGCCCTCCTCGACTTCACCATACATTCCCTCCAGGTGCCATCTGACCACGGACCAATCGACGCTGATGGGTATGCTCTGTTTCTGGACGATCGTACTGGTCGATAGCCCCGTAAAGTCGTACAGGTCTTTGGGGTCCAAAAGGGTGTAAGAAAAGTCTTTGGAGATGAGAAGCCCCTTGACTGGCATGCCATGTTCAGGCCGCGTCTCGGCAAGGGATCCGATCGCCTAGCAGTCAACGTCAGCTTCAGCACGACCAGCATGCAGCAAAGATCGGATGACGACCCACCTTGACCATTCGCTCCGCTTGAAAAGTCAAGGTGAGAGGTTCACAATTCCTCGGCGTGTGGATATTGATTTCTTGTCCCCTGGTAGCGTACGTATCTCTCAATGCTGCTCTCAGTCTACCCATTTGAGACGCCTCGCCATGGACCAGAACGACGTGTTGAGCACCGACCTCTTGAATGAATTTTGAGTTCTGAGCATAGTCCACATGAGCACCGAATGAAATTTCCTTGACTGTCAATCGACGAGGAATGGTCCCTCCTTTGAGTGACTCGATGGTCTCCGGCTCGCCAAGAAGTGTCTAAGCGAGCCACGTTAGCGAAGGCGACCGATTGATCTCAAAGATGACGCGTACCCTCGCCATGGTCCCTTCTATACTGTAACCTGTGACGATGACTCCATTCTTTGGGTCCGGAGCCCACTCCTCCAACAAACCTCGACTCAGTCCAAAACTCATGAATTGAGTGGACGCCATGACGACACAAGGACCACGATGATCGTCCAGCCTTCTTGGGTCTTTCAACCACTTGACATATTTGAAATCGAATGGATTGTCTCGTCTTGCGAATCGAGCTCTAATATTGGCGTTCATGGTGTGTACATAGGTCTTGTAGACTCGCATCCCACGTTGGAACAGACCAGAGGCAAAGTACACGGGGATGTTCTGGAGTTCGGGATGATTTGACCAGTACTCGTCCAGGAGAAGCGCAAGTTCTTGTCCGTTCCCGAACGAAGGGATCGGCATGAGACATTTTCCTCCTCGTCGGACAATGTTACCAACAAGCGCTGCAAAGAAGCGTCAGCGGACGGCCGTGGCCCTTTGCAGCTCACTCGTAAACTGTTCCTCCTTGTCCTTTCTGTCAGGTAACGTATGCACGCCAAACGTGCTCTCGCATATCATCACGTCAGGCTTGACGGGCGGGACCTCTGCAATGACCAAATGCCTGTCTTCTTCACGGGAGTAGTCGCCCGTGTAGAGGACCTTGAGTCCGGCAATTTCAATCAAGAACATGGCAGCGCCGAGAACGTGGCCTGCATGATGGGGCGTGAACCTTAATCCCCCAGAGATCACGATATCTTGGTGATAGTCGACTGCAATGGTAGATTCCCAAGAGGCTTGAACGTCTGCTTCGTCGTATAACCTCCCAGACTGATCTTCCTGCTGATCACTGGGTGGAGTCAATAAGCAGACTCCATTGAGAGTATATGTGAGGCCTTCGACTCACTTGATGCGAACCGTATCCATCATGGTCAGCCCGTAGATGGCCTTTGTCGCGTGAGTCATGTACACCTTGCCATGTCCGTCACGGAAATTCGTCTTCTCCATGATATAAGGGAGTGCCGCAGCGTGATCGACATGGAAGCTGCATTTGAAATTAGCGGACCGTCGCCTCGGAGCGGGCTATGCGAGAGTCTTTGTCTAAGCGTAGGGCTCACTGAGTGATCAATATCGCATCGACCGTGGACCAATCCAGTTCATCGATGAACGGGAGACTGCCCATCCCGGGATGAGCAGGATGTAATCCCGCATCACAGACAATCTTTTTGCCCCTGTGCTCCAGAACACAACATGATCGTCCCACTTCTTGACCAGCGCCTAACATTGTAATGGTCAATGGTGGAGAAGAGGAAGAGGATCCGTTCGGTCCATCTTGACCTCCCGTCGAGATAATTTGGACTGGAGATGATCTGCCCGTGGGATCGTTCCGGCGATGATGATGATGATGTTGTCTCCTCATGTTTGCTGATGAGATACTATAGGAGGCGGCTGCACCTGGCTGTCTGACTGGACCTACGAACTCCCAGGAAGATGAGAACGAACTGGACCGATTAACATTGAGCCTTTCTCGAAAGTTGGACCTATTCCCGGTCTTTCGGATCCGAGAAATGGTCATTAGAAACTCATTTACTAATGCTCATTAGTAAACAGACACTAATCACCGAATTCCTAATCCAAAAGTCAAAAACAAAAAGTCGCGTGGTGAGACCGCGACGAGCTACATCGTTCACTTCATCATCGGTCCACGACTCGACACTTGCACACCTATACATATCATAGAGACAAGAACAAGTCATCCAACTCAACATCAATCATGCTCTCACGTAGCTGGTCGATACACCAGCTCACCCTCTGCGTGTTCGTTTCACTCGCGGTGGCTCATTCGGACCATTCGTTCGACCTGAATGACGAGAATGATGCGGGAATGCCATATGCTGAGCGGCATGTGAGTGGGAGTCTTGTTGCGGACTGGTGGAGCATGCGATGTCAGAGCAACATGCTCACTGGGTACTGGACGAGAACGCTTCGTCGTCCAGTAACCTCTGCCGATGGCTGTCTCCGCCTCGAAGTCCGAGCGCCTTTCTGGACCAGCGGCTGACCACTTTGCATCCCTCTCAGATGCACACGGAACATCATATTGACTCATTCGACCTCGAATCATTCTTCAAAATTCACGATCTGGACTTGAACAACGTATGGGACAGAGCCGAGATTGAAGCTGTCTACGGGCTCCACCATCATTCCGTCATACCGAAGCAAGGCAAGCACGGTCATGCCGATCATGCGTCTGAGGGCGAAAGCAAAAGTCAAGCTCTGGGTGAAAGGGCAGGACCTATCGTCGATGAGGTATTGAGGAAACTGGACAAGAATGGGGATGGTGTGTTGTACCCTCTTGCCTCTGACATATCAAGTCACTCATCAAAATCACCAGGCAAAATCTCGCTTCAGGAATTCATGGATGGTGGACCGGATGGATTGCCCAGTTTCGAAGGATACAAGGATCTAGGGCGTGAGTGCAAATTTCGGAGACTGAGACTGAAGCTTTCGGGCAGACCACTACGACGAAGAGTCCGAATAGTGAGCTTGACGGACTTCGAGTTGCACGTAGCTGACATGAGGCAAAGCTTCCTGCATCATGAAGAGGTGAACGATACGCAGCTATTCTTTTGAACGAGAACACTTGTTAATCTCCGCCAGCTATACCACAGCACTCCCGAGACACAGACAGACGAGTCGTACACTCATCCAGAGGGTGAGTTGAGTCATATGTTCGGATTCAAGATTGACCATCTGCCCAGATATCGAACATTTCAGACGTCAGCCTACAAGACCGCTTGCATTGTTCGCACTGATACGCCCGCAGACCACGCACACATCGAGGCTGAAGAAGATGCTCGCGAACGCAAATTTGCAGGTCTCGACGCCGATGCTGACCTGTCTCAAGATCACCCAGTTGTCGATCCATTAGATCAACATGATCGAGATGGGCAACAAAAAGTATACAAAGTTCCCACCGAGGACATGGAGGATGGTCAACCGATGCGATTACATCGTGAGGCAAAGGACGCTGGACCTCAGCGACTGGGAGCAGACGGCGCAGGTGATGCGACTCAACGATGGGAACGGATGAAGAATGTCGTCAAGGGTGATAGGAGACATGGTGGAGATGATCGAACGAGGGCCAGCGGACCGTATAGTGAGTGGCATGCATCGGATGCACGGGATCTGCTAACCAGTGTCACAGAATCAAAGTGAGACACCGCCTCTGTCAACGGTGCCTTCAGTCCTGTTACTGACGTTGTCTCGCCCACAGGTTCCGTAAAGGTCTACGCGCAGACGAATTTTGACGACTATGCGTTGTCTCACCGTAGAAACTGTATAGCTTTATCGCCATGCACACTGTATCGAGCAGAGCATTGAGTGGACCAGACTGAGCGTCAGCGCATAAACGCCGCTGGACGACGCCATCATGTGAGGATCAGTCTGGTCAGCTCCATTTGCTGCCGGGACGTGGTGACGCATTCCGGACCCGGGTTGTTGCATGAGCCTATGCCGTGGTGGTACCTGTGCCGTGCCGATTATGGTCATGCATGATAAGGGCCGTGAGCATTTGGCCGAGCCTGTGGGTGCTTCCTCCACTTCCCCTCGCCCCTCCACCTCCACGCCGGTCCCCGAGATTTCGGACATTGTTATTTATCACGTGTTCTGAGTACATGACGTTCGGGGATTGTTATATAAGACAGCGTTGAGACAAAGGCAACATTCGCTCTCTCAATCGTCTATCTGACCAGTCTGAAGAACCTCACCCCAACAAGCATCCACTCACGACACCATGTCATCTCAACAGCAACCACAAGCAGCCCGCGTAGCTCTCGTCACAGGAGGAAACAGAGGTATCGGGTAAGTCTGAACCCATTTCGTCCTTTACATTGTCACCCGCTCACCTTGCATCTGCCGCTGCCGTTCAGGAAATCCATCGTCCTCGCATTGGCTGAAAAGGGGATATCTGTCGTCTTCACGTACAACTCCCATCCTGAAGAACCTCCTGCGGTGATCGAATCCGTTGAATCCCTGGGAAACGGTGCCAAAGCAGCCAGTCTCCAACTCAACGTCACTGAGTTCGACAAATACGATACGTTTCTCTCATCTCTCCAATCTATCCTGAAAGATTGGGGTTATACTCAACTTGACATCTTCATCCCCTGTGCTGGAATAGGATCCATTACGCCATTTGGGCAGATCAATGCTCAGACAATCGATGACCTGTACAATATTCAATTCAAGGCGCCGATCCTTTTGACTCAATTGGTCGCTCCCATTCTCAAAGAAAAGACGTCGGTAATCATCACCATATCGTCTGGTCTCGCCAGGTTCTCTCTACCTCCTCTTGGGGTTTATGCCGGATTGAAAGGAGGTATAGAGGTCTGGACTCGATACCTCGCCAAGGAACTTGGATCCAAGGGAATTAGAGCCATCTGCGCAAGGGTCGGAGCTGTCGAATCAGACTTTGGGGGTGGTCGAGTCAGAGATGACAAGGACACGAACAAACATATCGCGAGTACCATCGCTCTCGGACGAGTCGGTCTCCCCTCGGACATTGGACCAGCCATCGCCAATATCATCGACTTGACTTGGGTGACGGGTACTGTCATTGAAATGAGTGGAGGACAGCAGGTCTGAGCTGGAGAAAAGGGCTCAATGTCACGGAGCCATTTTGGTGGCCTGTTGGCTTTTAGGGGCCTCCCGTGCTCAGCTTCAATCGGATGGGAGAGAACGCTTAGAGCCTGACTGATGCATGGAATATCCTGCCATGTTCTGACAGGAGAGCGATACATGGCTGAATGGCTTCGCGAGCTACATCGAGGCTCACGTTCTGACTCTCGTGTTGCTGTCGATGAACGCTAGGAGACCTTTCCGTCTCTGTTGTACCGTTTCCTCCAGCAGCTCGAGCTCGTCTTTCAGCCCGCCAACCTGAAGCATATACCGTTCCACCTCATTGTCTAAAAGACCCTTGAGACTAAGAGGTGATCTGAGCTCAGTGTAGTGATCGCTTGATGCCGGGGCAGGCTTGAAGAACAATTTGAGCCATGTCGCGTCTAAAGCCTGTGTCCATGCAGCGGGGGTACGACCCCTCCTATAGCCTGGATAGGGATGAGGGTGAAAAATGGTGCGACGGAATGGATGAGAGGGGTAGGGGGATATAGAATGACGGTGTATAGCAAGATGGATGGAGAAGGAGGATGAGCGTTGAAGATTGAGAACACAGGTTCAACTTGGGCTTAAGATCGAGTCCAATGTGCACTCACTGAACGATGCTTGCTTGGTCTCCAAAATCTCCAGTAAGGCCTCAGAACGGGGTGAGACCTCTTCGATCCTGTCAAGAAGCCTGTTGAACGACCAAGATTTAGTTCATGTCTACGTTCCTCAGGCATGCATGTACACTCACCACCAACCCGCAAACTCGAACAGTTTCCTTCCCAACATTCCTTGGAAAATCGGTATCGGTCTACCGATATTCTTGCGTGGCCCATGCCAATCTTTCGTCAAATGTTCTGCGCCAGAATGTAGCCATAATTCTCCGTTGGATCGCCAAGCAGGCTGAGAATTATGAAAGACCAAGACGTTACTTATGATCGTGGATAATGGATGTGGAGGTGAGTCAGGAGGAGGGGGTCGTTCAAGAGCTCGTCCGGGATGACCATCTTCAGAGCTAGTCTTCTCGATCTTTGAGACGAACTCCGCATCGATCTGTATACGAGACGGTGATTTCCCCGTCCTATTGAGGTATCCGAAAAAGTTGACCGTCCCATCATGTGGATGGCCAAAGTGCCTCAGGAGATCTTCCCGAGAGAACTCGGTCCGGACATTGGACTCGTGTCGAAAGGGTGGATCTCGTCTTTTCCGAGAGAATGAAGATGGGGTACCGCCAGTCGTAGCTTCAGGCTCTGATACTTTGCCGAATCGTTTGGCTGATGGAGTGTAATTGGCAGAACTCGACATGGTTCGTCGAGAGGTAGTGCCTGGGAAGGCAGTTGGGAGCGAACACGGGACCACTGGTCGTTGTGAGCTGGAAGCGAGGCAGAAGATGAAGCCTCGCCTCGATGAGCAGGATACAGACACCGCGCAGGACATGATGAGGCTCAACTGCTGTTCTCTCTCTGGCTCTCTTCAAGTGATCAATGAGCATTAGAGCCTGTCTCTGGAAATGCGATCGAGGAAATCGTTGGCGGACATCGCCGCGTGTTGGGTCATTACGTCAGCAATGGGGGTTGGGTAGACGCGGGGGCGCGTTTGGCTTTTTCCATTCATCTGGAAAGTAAACGTTGGAGTTCAAGGTCTGAACGATCACCATCATCATCATCAACCCAAAGCATAGTGTCACTGGACTTCTAGACGACCTCTGGATACCGTTTGGCACTGGTGTAAGACAACGGTTTACTCTTGCGCTCGAGACGATTATCTCTGGTATAATATACGCGTGAAGAGGCTTCGATAGATAGTGTCACATTGCGGAAGCACCCTCTGGAGATTTTGACCAAACATTCCCAAGTGGACTTCGTCTCGATTCTGATCGACGTCAGAACAAGGCATCAAGCAACATCTGCAACTCGAGCCCATTGAAATTCCCCTTGAACTCATCAACATGTCCCTTGAGAACTACACAAAGCTGGAAAAGGTTGGAGAGGGTGAGTCTAAGGAGAGAGCGCGTTGGATGGAAGTGGCATGTCGCGGCTCTGTGGTCTGCCTGACAAGTCGACGCAGTATGCTGACATGAATCCAGGAACGTACGGAGTGGTGTACAAGGCTCGAGATGTCAATACGGGAGGAATCGTCGCGTTGAAGAAGATCCGTTTGGAAGCGGAGGATGAGGGTGTTCCATCGACCTCCATCAGGGAAATCAGTCTGCTCAAAGAGTTGAGCAAGGATGATAATATCGTCAAGTGAGTAGCGAAGGTCGGCTCCTTGCGTGTAAGCGATGCGAAGCGGGACTCAGTGCAGATCACCGTTTTGGTTCCAGCTAGCAGCTCTATACAACTTTGTTGACAACCTCACACCCTCCGTTGCTTCATCGCTGATCGTGTAATTTGGCAGACTCCTAGACATCGTCCACTCCGATGCCAAACTCTATCTCGTGTTCGAATTCCTAGATCTCGACTTGAAGCGATACATGGATTCTATCGGAGACAAGGATGGACTGGGACCAACGATGGTCAAGGTGGGTACAAATTCGATGCTGCTTCTCCTCCTGGCCTTGAAACCGATCAGACAAAAAGGCTGACACCTTCACGCTCGGGCAGAAATTCACATACCAGCTCATCAAGGGTCTGTACTACTGTCACGCGCACCGTATTCTCCATCGAGATTTGAAACCTCAAAACCTGTTGATCAACAAGGAGGGAAACCTCAAGATTGCCGGTGAGCTTGGTCCCACATTCTCGAGGGAAGAAGTCCAAGCTGATGGGAAGATACAGACTTTGGTCTCGCGAGAGCTTTCGGCATCCCCCTCCGGACGTATACGCACGAAGTGAGTTCATCTCGCAGCCTCTATCGCCGAAGTGGGATTGACGACGTGCTTAGGTCGTTACGCTCTGGTATCGTGCACCCGAGGTCCTCCTTGGATCTCGACACTATTCCACCGCCATTGACATGTGGTCCGTCGGTTGCATCTACGCGGAAATGGCGATGAGGGCGCCATTGTTCCCTGGAGATTCTGAGATTGATGAGATTTTCAGAATCTTCCGGTGAGTGCGGGCGCGCGCGGCGCACGGAGCGAAGCGACATTCGAATTTGCCAGGATTTCTTGCTGATAACTATCCCTCAGTCTCCTCGGCACGCCTGACGAGGACGTTTGGCCAGGCGTCAAATCCTTACCCGACTACAAAGCCACTTTCCCCCAATGGCACGCTACGGACCTTAAAGCAAGTGTTAAAGGTCTCGATGACAATGGTTTGGATCTTTTGGCTCAAACCTTGATATATGATCCCGCAAAGCGGATCTCCGGTGAGTGGTCGATGAGAACTATTCTGGAAAGTCATGCTCACTCGCGACGTATGTCCTTCCTCAGCCAAACGAGCTCTGCAGCACCCTTACTTTGCTCAAGCCATGGCGGCGTAGTGTGGCGCATGGCGCTGCAGCACAAGCTCAAGCTCGTGATAGTTCTACATCTCGTTACGAATTCCCCTCAGCATTGGCGTTGTCATTCGCCTGCCCCTCCTTCCGTCTTCTTCCTGTTTGTGGTCTTTACCCGCTTCCTTTTCCTCCATATACCCCGCCCTTACCCTTCTTCTCTCCTTACCCCGTCATGATCATCACGCAGTCCGACTCATGTTATGACCATGTATCGTATGGCATCGGAAGATGGTCTTTGAGCTCGATAATGCGTCTGATGTCCATACATGGGACACTCCCGGCTTACACTGGACCACTTTAATCAACCAAAGTTGGCCCATTCCAGACTGTAAAATTCTACCTGATACTCGAGTGGCCCTGCCTCATGCTGATCCTCCTCTTGCTCGTCTCTCCCTTCAAGCTTCACCAGAGCCTTTGCCCTTTGCTCCCGCTCATCTGCCTCACGCTCTTCTTCGTCGCCCCTCTCATCATCCCAACAGCATAATAAACCCGCCTTCTTCGTCCCTGTCCCTAACCTGCCCCAAGCGACGAGCTCCATAGGTCGTATGCATTCGTCCCTGACCAACACCTGAGTCGTGAAATGTGCGTGGTACCGTAAATAGTCACCAGGATAGACGAGGTACTCGCCTCCGAATCGAGGTCCCAGACCTATCCGGTACCCTCGGTCATGTAGGGCTTTAAACGTATCCAATAACGCTCTGTCCCGCGCGGTAAGTGGGAAGGGAAAGAGTCGATGAGGAAGGCGGGTGATGGGTTTGGCGAATGTTAGATCGGGAAAGAGAGGATGTGAGGGGACCTCGTGAGGGTAAATAGGATTGGATTTGCTGTGACTTTGCATCTTTGGTGGGTCAGTCGGGGAGATTTGCTGCGACGAGCTAGCCTCAGCAGGTCGCCTATTCGTGTCGCCTTGACCTTGGTCATCGCTCCTGGGTTGAAGAAGGAGACTCTCTGGATCCTGTTCCGCTCTCAAACGCTCTTTCTCAGCTTTGGCTTTTGCCCTTGCTTCCCTCTTCAATCTCGCTTTCTCGCCTCCCTTTTCATACGCTTCTCTCGCTATTGAGGCTTTCCGAGCGCTATCTTGAGATTGACGAAGGAGGTACGACTGTATTCGATCGATACGGTGTTGAGTGTTCGAGGAGATATCCGAAAGAGATGGATCAGGGAGGTCAGAATGAAGAGGGACGAGTTGGGCGATACCTGACATGGAGTGTCGCTCAGTATCTGTCCTCGATCTATGGGATTTGAGGAGGTCTCAAAGGAGCGCGGAAATCGCACAGAGCAGAGACTCACCATTGATCACACACCACGCCGTCTCTTCCTTTGTCAACGTCACTGGCAAACCTAGGAAAACATTCTGCTGCGATACACCAGGTAATGTTCCCGCTCGCAGACCCGAGATACCATATGTGCAGTGGAGGATGGCGGCAGCTGAGCGGCAGAGAGGATCAGCACCTTGCGCTATCCGTCTTCACTCTACTCCATTCGCTGCCTCAAGAATTCCCGAGATTGGACAAATTTGTGATCGCATAGCGCTGCACTTACTCTGAGCTTCCCAAACTGTTCCGACACCGTTGACGAGGTAGATGGAAAGCTTTGAATCACCTTGGCTGGGTCCGGGAGAGGAAGAGGCGTGTCCGTCCTCCGACATGACGGATCAAAGTCACTCAAGACTCTGTCTGGGATGGTAGTTGCTCTTCCCTGTCGGCCGTGTGCGCCTTACAAGCTCCAGTCCTCGTAGAGATGTAAGTTGCAGAGAAGAGACATCAACGACTTTTGTACGAATGTTTACGTAAGACGTTTTCAGCTCACAAAGACCGTTTCCTGACACTCTTCACTCTACGTCTACGGTCTCGGTAGGGAGTTGCAGATCTACGTACCGGGTGCGCTAGAGACATGGTGAGTGTCGTGTGGAGTAGCAATGCACGGCAAGGGGAGTTATGATGTCTTGCGGTATGCTGTCTTGTTGGAAGTCTAGAATCCTCTGTTGCCTCGCCCTTTGCTTCGTAACGAAACACTGTCCGCTGACATTGAGTTTTGACCCTTCTTTCAGCTCATCTTCTCGTGAGTTGACTTACATCCATATGAACCTCTCCAGTCCGAGCCTGAGGCTCTACTCTGCCAAATAATTTGCTAACCCACCCCATAGATTCTTCAAAACACTCACGGACCAGGTGATAACGGTGGAATTGAAGAATGATCTCTCAATAACAGGGACATTGAAGTCCGTCGACCAGTGAGTGAAAGAGCGGAATCTCGAGGTGGTCATCAGTCCACGAAACGTCGCATCATACGCTCTAGAACCCTCTGCCTGCGACTCTCCCAAAGCTCACCAACCCTCAGATTTCTCAACATTCGCTTGGATGGGATATCCGTGGAGAACCCAGAACGTCATCCGCACATGGTGAAGTCCTCGCACACAGAGTCCCTCCACGGATTGGACTCTACCCGATCTCGTGATGCTGACTTGGTCCGCTGGTGCAGATGGCGGTGAAGAATTGCTTTATCCGAGGATCAGTCGTGCGTTATGTCAAAATGCAAGCCCGGAGCGTCGATACCAATCTACTAGAGGACGCGACGAGGAGAGGTGAGCTGGGCGGACACCTGAGCCCCTCAGATCAATGTCGAGGGTTGAAAATGTAGCTGATCCTCTCATCACAGAGGCCAACGAGGGGAAGAAGTAGGCTTGACGGGGGGGAGTATTGGATTCTGTCGATAGCGAGAATCGTACACAGAGCACATCTCGCGGACAGGAGGTCGACGATGCATCCATTTGTATAGATACCGTACCATCAGAGAGGCATTTTGCGAGTCTTCAAGCCTCGCTGTCGCCTTGGGTCTCCTGGTCAAGCGTTCCAGGCGGCGCATACGAGAGGAGATACCTAGTACTTCCGATTGGCATTTCCCGAAATTCAGCACATGCACATCAACCTCATCCTGTTGTCTACACATCGACTGGCAAGGAGTCAAGTACGCCTCGCTCTGTCACGATGATCTCGACAGGGATGCTAGCGAGCTGCAGTCGACCAGTCCGGGCAACAACACCTCGTCTGCCTATCGTGCTCAACCTCTGCCCAAGAGCCAATCTCGCCAGTCTCGCATTTCGGGCATCGAGCATTCCATGTATTCTCAGACCTTTTCCTTCACGGAGGAGCTCCTCCTCCTGCTCTTCCCTCTCTCGCTCATCAATCACTCCTCCAGTGACCTTCCAGCCCCATCTCCATGCATCAACGACAAGGCATCGATCATCATCCTCACGAAGCACCACACCCTCCTCTACGCCGTCTCCTCCCGGAGTCGTCACTGAACTTGCATTTCCCAAAGTCCCTAGTCCGCCGACAATCTGGGATAAGGTCTTACCTCGATGGGCGGCTGGAGCGAAGCCTTATTTGTTAATATCCCGGGTGGATAAGCCTATAGGCTGGATATTGCTTTATTGGCCATGTGGTGAGTGTTGTTTCCTCGACAGAGAGGTGTCGTCTCATCGTGGTCACTTGTACCTCTGGCGGCCCATGAACTCCGCGGCGCTCTCGCCTCCATTCTGAGACGATGATAGCAGCTGCAAAATGCAAAACTTGCTCGCTAACTCGCTCCAGCCTGGTCCATTACCATGGCATCAACAGTCCACCACCTTCCACCTACTGTTCCTGCCTTTTACATGACTCTCTTCGCGGTGGGAGCCATGGTCATGCGAGGAGCAGGCTGCACAATCAACGATATGTGGGATCAGAAGTTTGATAAAGCCGTCGAGAGGACCAGATGGAGACCATTAGCCAACGGCGATATGACTCAGTTTCAGGCACTATCCTTCCTGGGCGCTCAATTGAGCGTGGGACTCTTAGTGTTGACTCAAGTGAGTAGGTCGTCGGAAGGACTCGACAAAATTGACATACCGGCCCCTTCAGCTCAACTGGTACTCTATCGTCTTGGGTGCTTCTAGTCTTGGACTGGTAGTTGTCTACCCATTCATGAAGCGCATTACATACTACCCTCAATTCGTCCTGGGTGGGTCTCCTTGATCATCATAAGCAGTCGGGTGGAGTCTAACGGTCCCGGTATGTAGGCCTCGCATTCAATTGGGGAGCCTTCCTTGGATGGTCTGCTGTCACTGGAGCCGTCGACTGGGTAGTCACTGTCCCCATGTACATCGGCGGTGTACTCTGGTGTGTCATGTATGATACAATCTACGCGCATCAGGTGAGGTCACAATTCTCCGAACATCAAAGAAAGGTCCCCCTTCGATGCATCTCATCTGGGAACTCCTCGCTGATGTTTCTGCCATGTTATGCAGGACAAACGAGACGATATTCTGGTCGGAGTCAAATCTATCGCTCTTCGATTCCCATCAGATTCAGCATCTCGAACGCTCATTTCTTCCCTCAGTGCATCATTCGTGGGCCTCATGACTTTGACCGGACATTTGGCTGGGCTAGGACCATGGTACTATGCCATTTCATGTGCTGGAACGGCATTGCACCTTGGATGGCAGTGCAAGACGGTCAATTTTGACAGCCGACCCGACCTGTGGAAAAAGTTTTGCAGCAATGGTTGGCTTGGGGGTCTAGTATGGCTTGGTATAGCTGCCGACTATGTCAGCAGGGTCATGGTGCCGGGTCTGTACTAGGGCGGATCTCGACGGTCGCCACCTGGCGGGAGAAGGGGGTGTCTATAATGGGGAGTCCAATAGGGGCAGAAGACGGACATTGCATTGGCTCTTTGGTCTACAAGAATAGTCCCTGCTGTGTTCAAGGAGTGCCTGAGGATGGTCAGCACTAACGATGCAGTGGTCGACTTACCTCCCAAAAATCTATCTGCGCGTTCCCTCTGCTGCTCCCAAGAATCTCGGAACACGACAATACCGACTAGAATACCAGCCACAAAAAAGACACAAGCTTGCAAGAGCCAAAACGCGCCTGAAAGATGAGAGTCAATCAAAAGGTATGAAGGCTCACCCCAAAATCTCGATCCACAGCACCCAATCAGATGCGCATATTCGCTCGCGTCTGATGAGTTGACCTTCCGAGCCAGCGTGTCCTACGATGAGGAATCAGCTTTGGACATTATCCCTACACATGTGAGACGGCTCACATCGATGATGTCCCAAATGGCATATAGACAAGACATGACGCCAATGAAGAGGATAAAGAAGCGAAGGGCCACAGAGTGCGCGACGAGCCAGGTGATCTAGTATCACCCCCAAGGCGGACGATCAGCTCGCAATGTACGACAGGTCCGGTCGATTCACCACTATCAGAGCCGCCATCATCAGAATCGTGGCGTACGCCACCCAGGATCGCCGAGCCCAGTACAGTGTAATCGCCCACAGCACCAAAAGGACGATCGCCGCGACTTTTGAGGCAGAAGTGTCGAATCCCTGCGATTCCATTAGCGCAGTCATCTCATGACAGCCTCACGACTGTGATCAAGGCGGCGCCAATGAGTGATGAACCGAGATAACCTGCGGGCAGAGTAATCTGATCGGATGGTATCAGCGGACGTCGAGGATTCCGACGTACGGCAGGAATACCTCCTCGCATCCTCGTCGACCCTCCTTCGTTCGGATCCAATTCGATCGATTCAATCTTCGCGCAAGTGAGAACCTGAGGATAATAAGGTATGGTCAGCCTCTAGGATCGACGAGAGGGTCAAGGACAAACTCCAGCCAGAGCGTGGCATCTCAAAAGATGACCATCAGTGTTGAGGCCCATGTCTCGTCAACAAGAGGTCAACTCACAGCTCGTGCATACCGACGACCTGGGGACGACGATCAGCTCGGACGATGAATGGAAAGTTTGAGCTCACTAGTAGCTTGAAGGGATACAGGAGTTTCTCAAGGATCGGCACGTGCCTGGCGAGATGAATAGTCAGCTGGATGAAGACATAGTATACCAGGGCTCACCACTATGATTGTCGTGGTATTATCAGCGCGATGAGAGCTAGCTAACGCATCAAGCGTCTGTCAGGCTACAACTCACCACTGAGACAGTCACGTCAACGGGAGAAATGTCAGGAAAACCGTCAGAACTCACGGATTGCTATAGCCACCACATAGCTGCCCGCAACGATGAGCGTTACCCTAGACGTATGAGCGACACAAGGATCGTCGGGCAACGATAGTAGAGAATCAGTGGCTGCGCCAAAGACTGAAAGGGGTGATGGAGGAATCAACCCACTTTTGAGTATCATTGACTCGTAATCGCTCAGGGACGGCTCGCTTCATAACATGTTCGAGATATGTGTAGTCTCCGTTTAGACTTGGGTTCAGCGCGTCGCTACCCAGTGGGATGATAGGGGACATGGTCGATGAAGTCAACAAATGAACCTGCGACTGAAACAAGGACCTCAAGGCGATCAAGTAGGTGGTGATGGAGGATGTAACGCCAGTCAAGAGGGGTGATTGGTGGTCTTGTTGTCGTCCGTCCTCCCGAGGTGCTCCAGGCTGCTGGACGATACTATATAGACAGGTGATAGGTTGAGTTGTGAGAGAGGATGAGGAGGAAGATGATGTGTTGAATGTTGTGGAAAGAGCCATCAAAGGAAGGGCGAGGTGGGGGTTTTAGAGTGGCACACGGAACACACAAACACAGACACAGCTTGTACCAACGCCTTGAGTGGTATGTGGCTCTTGGAACCCTTACTGCTCCTGAGCTCGATGGTACGACTTGATACAGCCTTCGCACGCGCGGCTCATCCCCCTGCTCGACATGATCTCCGCGGGCGGTCCACTCAAAATCCCAAAATCAGTCGCGGGTTGGCTCATCAAATCTACCTCAAATGCTGGTGACTTCTTGATCAAATGTCAACTTCTTGACCAAATGTCAACTACTCGATCAAGGACCAAGAGCCTCTGCTCTAGGAATGCATGCTCAGCTCTAGCTACTATTTGGATGCTTCCCAAGCTAAGGATCCTCAGGTCCAAGCATAACTGGAGATTTATCAGTTTCGATTCAAAGTCTGTGTTAAAGTGGTACTCACGCTCAGGTCGAACCTTGGCATCGAACTCCTCCGATGACAGAGCCTTCAACTGCATAGCAGACTCCTTCAAGCTGTGCTCGGTTCAGCATCAGCCTTCTTCTTGGAATTCGAACCGACTCACGTCAGACCCTCTTTGTGGGCCTTTTTGGCAATCTTGGCAACATCGTCATAACCCAAGACACTGTTCAAGCAAGTGGCCCTGATGTTTGTCAGCTACGGGGTTTGCCCTGGGCAAAGTAGCTCACAGCATCAGACTCTCGTTCATGATTTTCTTGATCCTCTCTTCGTTGGCTTTGATACCGACCACGCAGTTCTTTGTAAAGCTTCGGGAGCCGTCTGCCAACAAACGGATGGATTGGAGCAGATTCTTGATCATGACGGGCTTGAAGACGTTGAGCTCAAAGTGTCCAGTAGCACCTCCAACAGTGATAGCAGTGTTGTTGCCCATGACCTGGGCGGCGACCATGGTCAAAGCTTCACACTGCGTGGGGTTGACCCTTGAGACGAGTCAGCAAAGCCCAGGCTTGAAAGCTTCTCTGACTCACTTTCCAGGCATGATGGACGAACCAGGCTCGTTTTCTGGCAAGTCGAGTTCGCCAAGACCACAGCGAGGTCCAGATCCAAGGAATCGGATGTCGTTGGCGATCTTCATGTAGCTGACGGCGACGGTATTGAGAGCTCCGGACGCTTCGACAACGGCATCATGCGCGGCAAGGGCTTCAAACTGGAGGTGCCTTCAGCTAGGAATATACTGACAGTGAAGCCGACTCACCTTGTTAGGCGCAGTAACAAATTCGTATCCAGTGATCTTCGAAATTTCTGCGGCGACCTTCTCGTCAAAGCCTTTCTTGGTGTTCAAACCCTTATGAAAATCAGCCTTGAAACTCGATATGACCAACGACGACTCACGGTACCAACAGCTGTACCACCTTGAGCCAACATGCTGAGATGTTTGACTGTCGATTTGACACGGTCGATACCTCTAGCAACCTGAGTGACGTATCCGCTGAATTCCTGGCCCAGAGTCAAGGGGGTCGCATCTTGAAGATGCGTACGTCCGATCTTGATAATGTTCTCGAAAGATTTCTGCTTCTCCAACAGAGCATCGTGAAGCTCCTGCATGGCTGGCAGGAGGTTCGAATTAATCTCAACAACAGCAGCGACGTGCATAGCGGTGGGGAATCTGACCCAGTCAGCGTTGCATCAAAAGTCTACTCACGTATCATTTGAACTTTGACTCATGTTGACGTGGTCGTTCGGATGAACGGGCTTTTTACTTCCCAGCTCGCCTCCCATCATCTCGATGGCTCGGTTGGAAATGACCTCGTTGACGTTCATGTTGGTTTGAGTTCCAGATCCAGTTTGGAAGACGACCAACGGGAACTCGTCAATCAATTTGCCAGAAATGACCTCATCCGCAGCGGCAGCAATGGCCTTGGCAATATCTTCTGGAAGACCATAGGTTGTGTTGACAGTAGCGGCTGCCTTCTTTAGAACTCCAAAGGCTTTGATCAGGGGAGGCGGCATGCGTTCAGTGGGACCACCTGAAGCGCCAAGTCAGTAAAAGGTATGGGAGTTCCGAGAAAGTGTAGCGGGCAGCGTCGCTCGCACATCATACAGACTAGGACAAAGCCATAGTCTGACACATAGCTTCACGTCACCACCACTCACCAATATCAAAATTCATCAAACTTCTCTGTGTCTGAGCACCCCAATACCTCTCCGCTGGGACTTGGAGGTCCCCGAACGTGTCTTTCTCCTTTCGGAACTGCTGCTTCGCCGCCATTATAGATGAGGTAGATGCGAAAGTTCTAGAGGGAGATGCAGCGAGTCTCGAGAGCTGTTGGTGACGGAGCCAAGCAGCCAAAAAGTCAGCAGTGTCTCATGATTTCATTCGGATATCACAGTAGATCCCATTAGCCGAGAGAGAGAGAGAGAGAGAGAGAGAGAGAGGAGACAAGAATGGATATAGCTAGTCCATCGCATACCCGAGGCTGCTGTCACTCACGCCAGATGCCGATCTTGAAGCCAATCTGGGGATCATGGAAGGCGAGGAACGTCAGTGAGTGAGTGAGGGAGGGAGGCAGGCAGGGCGGTCAAGGTGGACGGTGATCGCTGGCCTCGTGAGCGCTGGCAAAAACGAAGATATCGGGTCGGTCCGCATTGAATCATGATGAATCACGTGACTCCTCAGCCTATCTCCGAACAATTCCGGTCAGACGCGACTGGCTTTCTTTCATCGCGTCTACACACCAAATCATTTCAATTTTGTACATCTTCTCTCTCGTGTCTTGTCTGCCGCTGCTACTCGCCCGCCCATCTGGTGCCCATATCCTGTACTGACCATGTCTGAGAAGTGAGCCGCCCTGATTCGATATGACCCGCAGCTCACGACGAAAGCAGGCCCATCATCCGCAGGACATACGGAAAGATCTCGAAGCCTTCTTCCTCGAGCTCGGCCATACTTTTCTTTCCTGATCCCGTGGGATCATCTAGCAACGACAACAGTCAGAATAGGTCTCTGCTGCTTCAAGACGCAGGTCCTCGTTCATCTTCACCTTTACTGTCCTCTATCTTAGGAACTCCAAACGGGTCGACCGATCGGGCAGAAGATGTTTTCGCTGCGGGATCATCGTCACCAATGCAGAGGCGTAGTTCACCCTCTCCTCTATTAGACGATATCGATCTCAAGAAGGCGTCTGGAATCGCGAGCTCAATTCTCAGACAGGTGAGCACACAATCGAGCCTCAAAAGCTTCTTCGGTATACCCTCAAGCACCAAGCGACCACTCAAACCTACTCATACGGTATCATCTCCCACCACGACCGCACCAGCCTCTAATGCACGTGCCGAATCCTCGAAATCTGCTCGGCATCTCACTCAGATGCATCTCACCCATCTGCCATTGTTTCATACCTGCAAAGAATGCTCTATGTCGTATCTTCGTGGAGGAGGAGAGGACGAATCGGTGCATGCGAAGCATCATTTGAGGGTTGTTCACGGTATTCCATGGGATGGTCTTGGAAAATCGTCCAAAGCCTCAAAGTCTGCCTCAAGAGGAGTATCTGGATCGTCGTCAGAGAGATCGCAAGTCAAGTCCGGCGGATGGACGGTTGTGCAGAGCGATGTGGAGTTTGGGCAGGGTAAACAGCGAGGCGTGGGTAGGGTGGTCATGTGCGATGGATCATGGGGAGGTACCAAGGCAAGTGTACAGCTGATGTTAATATATTCCTCGCTGATCAGACATCACCTCAGCTTCTCGAGATCTGCCATATGGTCGACACTGTGCTATCTGCACCTGCCCTTCCAACACCAATCCTCGATACCTGTAAAATTTTTCTTTTCCTCACTACCTCACCTGCACCTTCCGGAAAGCGTCTCAGACCGGGATCATCTGCCAAAGGTTCAAACAAAGAAAGGATCGTCAGCGTCGTCGTTGCTCAGCCCATCAAGACAGCTATGCGTGTGCTGAAGGAAATGGAGAGTGTCGATCATCAGGTGGACAGTGGTGGTGGGGTTGTATGCGAGTGAGTTCTCATCTCTCAACCGGGATGCTACTGACCGATGCCTCCCCAGTCCAACTCTTCTACCAACGCCTCTAGGGATCCACCGACTGTTCACTGTGCCGGCGTACAGGAACTTGTCGCTCTCGAGGACTCTCCTGAACGCTGCCTGTGAACACACGATCTACGGAATGACCATAGATCCGAGTAAAGGCCATGTTGCCTTCAGCCAGCCTACCGATAGCGGGAAAAAGGTCATGCTCAAATGGGGTGGGGGGTCGATCAGGGTATTCGTGGATGATGAGAGACAGCTCTAGATGTTATAACGAAGAGGTCGAGCAGTGAAACATACTTAGACGATGATGACCCTTCCCGATCTGCATGCATGGTCCAGAATCATCGTCATCTGTCGGACGTCATGTGTAGATGCAATCATTCAACCCTTTACACCCCCAGCTTTGCCATTATAAATACTGCCCCGAATGCTTTCGTCTTTTCTCTTCTCTACTTCAACATCCACAACTACCCCTGTCGAACACCCACACACCCACACACCCACACACCCACACACCCACACACCCACACACCCACACACGCACAGACCCACACACGCACAGACGCACCCACACACCACCGCCCCACCGCTCCGTTGCACATCTTTTCAAAGTCCGAACAAGATGTCCGCCCCTGGTCCTGCTAGTGAGCCGGATATGAGCCTGGAGAAAGTGCGAGAAGTCTTGCAGGGGATGTCCTTGGACCGAGACCTGGATCAGACGTGAGTGGCCCGCAATTGTCGCAAGCTGCACAGCTAAGTGTCACATGTCTTAGAACCAAGGACTTTTTCAAGTTGATGATCATTCACTTCGGCCGGCCATTTTGGCAACAGCACGGGGATCTAATGCTGGCCAAGGCAATAGGGCGGTACTGCCAGTACATGGTAAAGTTCCCTTCACTTCCACAGTCCAAGCTCATCATTTGTGCAATAGCCTCCTCCAGGCTTGTTCTCTCAAAGACTCACCGCCGCTATCCTAGCTAGCAGGCAAGACAGAGAAAGAGAAGAGGAAGAAGAAAATAAGTCTTCGAAGGGGCGCTCAGCTTAGCCGTCTTGCTCCGCATGAGGCCAGACGAGTGTACTGTTTCGACAGAGAGATAGAAATGTAGTGGTCTGAGCCTGATATATGAGTGCATGTGTATTGAGTTTGCCTTTCATTCAGAGACGTAGTATGCAGTGAAACGTCATGGTGTCACTGGCAACGCCAGGCCTTGCTAGCAAAACAGCTTAGGTCTGAATGCATAACGCGCGTGTATGAGATCGTGATTGCTGTAATGAGAAACGATAGTACTCGTGCCAACTTCTTTCATCTTCTCTCCCTCTTGACGTATCTGGACGGCTCTCATCCTACGTTCTGATTGTAAGATAACATAACCATTCATTACTCACACTCATTATTGCCCACCCACAACTTCCTTCGGGGATGCGCCAGATGCATTCTCATTCCTCTTCTGCTTCTCCCGCTTCATCCTCGCCGGTCCCGTCTTGAGCTGTTTTCCAGGCCTCGAGGCTCGACGTCGCGTTTTCGGGCCCGTTGACTTGAGAGTCTTTTTGGCCTTTGGGTACCATCTTTTGTGCTCCTCTGGAGAGCTCATGAGCCAGGGTGGAGCATTCATATCATCCTTCGGAAGGACCAGTGGTGTAGGCGCCCCCTCGATTGCGGCGCTCACGGTAATTTTCGCCTCAGTTGCAGTGGATAGTCCTGCACCGTGGAGTAGCTGCGTGATCTCATCCACCGTCTCCTCAGCCTCTCTCTTGATAAGCTTCCAGCCATCAAAATGCTCCCATAGTTGAGGTGCGCCGTTTTCATAAAGCCCATAAGGACATGGAAGGTCCCGAAGCCGTATCTTTCCCTCAGGATCGTAAGTGTTCCGAAAGTGGTGGAAATACCTGACGACCTTCTCGTGCACGAAGAACTTCATCCAGGTCCATTCTTCGCCCGCCAGTGGCCACGGCATTCGCGTCTCAATATATTCGCCGTAATCGTGACCAGCTCTTGTGTTATAAGGATACAAGGGGCAGTCCATGATGAAGACTAGGTCGATGCGGAAGGTCGGTTATCGGAGTGGGTGTGGGTGAAGTAAGAATCGATGATTTTGGAAGCACTGTGCGCAGAGTTTTCAAGTCGACTGAGAGATAGAAGTCACAGGCCAAAGTCCTGGGGAGTTGTCTTCAATGCTGTCGTTATAACCTGACGTTGCAGCCGATACGATTCAGCACGCACAGATAAACAATTCGCCTCTATGTACCACCCAAAAAATAAAAGAGGAGAAGAGGGTGAGACTCGCATCAGCTGATCCTGTATGAATGGGATCGATCTACTGGGACGTAATTTTCAGCATTTGAATTGTTTCTGGACGATAAGTGGAGGGATAGCGAGACCTCGATTGGGATTGGACTTCGCAAGCTGTACAGCTTTATAGCCAAGACCTGAGGAGAAAGATAGCGTTACATTCAACAGAGGGGACTTGCGACGAAGGATACTGGCTGACTATTCAGTCCACCACGGGTTGTATGAATGGGACAGCCTCTATCAGAGGGAAGAGGCTAAACTAGGACAGATTGGGTGTGTCCAGTCTCTATATGTCGATGGGAAAGGCTGATGGATATATAAGGCTGCCTGTTCATCCAACTTCTTCTCCAGCTCTCTCGAAGTTCAAATCAATTGCGACTTACTCTACGAACAAAGTCACATCGCTTGCGATTCCCCTAGTCATTCACACAACTTCTCATCAAGCTATCTTAATCGAAGGAATTACACTGTGACCTTGGAGCAACTCGTGTCCTGCCCACATCCAACGCCATACCTAACAAATTCGCCCCCCCCCCCCTTTTCCCGGCCCCAACTCCCATATTTCACGGTACCTACCCTCTCCCACACTACCTGCAACAACACCTTTTTCTTTCCTAAAACCATAAAATGTCCTCAACTTCTGGTAACAAGAACATTACTATCACCAAGAGGAATGCCCAATCAGTCTTCGATGGGATGTCTCTCGACAGGGACCTCCCACAGGAGTAAGTAATCCTCAATCGCAGGGCCTTGCGGTGCTGATATATGTCCCCTCAGCACGAAGAACGTGATCAAGTACGCAATGCTAAAATCGGATCCTCTTGTTATGCCCCACCATTTTAACAAGATCATCGCCAAGGAGGTAGTAGGGCGACACTGCGAAGAGAAGGTGAGATTGTCTGCATAAGATTACAATCAAGGCTAAGAGTCCATGAACAGCCCCCTGTCGGGATTTTCTCCCCTCTGATTGAGACCTCGATCAAAGCTGGACGATTGTATCGAAATGGCGACCAGCAGGCGAGAAGCTGCCTGACGACAGAAGCGTCAGAGATCTATCCCATGTGCCAACGCTTGCCGGAAGAGCTCGTCTCCACATTGGTCGGCGAGGATCATTACGACGCTCTCATTAAGCACTCGAAGGAGCTCGCAGAGGATCGCTCCAAAGGTCCGAACAAGCGAAAGGCAAAGTGATGCTACCTAGAACAATGGGTCGGTTTCGGTTTCAAGATTGATAGTGCTTGTCTATATGTATTGCGTGTGACTGACATGACCTAGTCCTTACTCAAGTGTCTCACAACGACGTCGCAATACCGTTTACTCACTTCTACCGCCACACCCATTGATGCTACGTTGGAAGAAATAGGCGGGTGACTAGACCACCTCTAAAAATAGGCGCAACCTCGGCCGGATGGACGCGAGGTACCTCACTGACTCCGGCTTGATACTATATGACCCCTTGCTGTCACTCTAAATCGCAACACGACGCCGAAGAAAGCCCTGTCAACATGTCTATGGACGGCGATCTCATCGCCATCGTTAACAAGCTACAGGATACGTTCAACAATATTGGAGGTGATGCCGTAGACTTGCCTCAAATCGTGGTCGTTGGATCACAGTCATCTGGGAAATCCTCAGTCCTAGAGACCATAGTGGGACGAGACTTTCTGCCTCGAGGATCAGGCATCGTCACTCGACGTCCGCTCGTCCTCCAGCTCATACACACTCCTTCAAATCCGTCTTCCCGTCTTCAGCCATCTTCCACTTCCACATTCCGCCGCAGTCCTCGTATGGGAAACTCTTTACCCCCTCAGCCTGACGATGGATACTTACCCAACCTCGACAACTCTCCTTCGGCAGGCGGTTCTGGAGGTGCAGGTATCATGCGACCTGGTGGCAAGACCATGGGCGGTAGTACTGGTGCAGAGTATGCTGAATTCCTGCACATTAACAAGAGATTCACGGATTTCGACGAAATTAGGAAGGAGATTGAAGCGGAGACTTACCGTGTAGCTGGGCAGAACAAAGTATGTCTGTCAGAGCCGGAGATGAGCTCACGACACCCAGGGTGTCTCCAAGCTTCCGATCAACCTCAAAATTTACGGGCCTGGAGTGTTGAATCTCACCCTTGTGGATTTGCCTGGTTTGACAAAGGTGCCAGTGGGGGACCAACCTACGGATATTGAGCGCCAGATCAAGTCTCTGGTGGTCGACTACATCTCGAAGCCAAATTCGTGAGATACAGGGTCTCTTCGATTCGTTATCTGACCCGATGTCGATCAGAGTCATCCTTGCCGTATCACCCGCCAATGTGGACCTTGCCAATTCGGACGCACTCAAGGTCGCTAGGTCTGTCGATCCACGAGGTCTCCGAACTCTTGGGGTGTTGACCAAGCTGGATCTCATGGATGCTGGGACTAACGCTATTGATGTCCTGACTGGCAGGACATACCCGTTGAAACTTGGTTTCGTTGGAGTTGTCAACCGCAGTCAGCAGGATATCAATGTGGACCTACCAATGGAGGATGCAAGGAGGAAGGAGGAAGAGTTTTTCAAGAATCATCCCGTGTACAAGAACATGTCTTACCGATGCGGCACGAAGTTCCTGGCCAAGACGCTCAACAACGTGAGTTAGTCGAGTCTCCTCTGTGCTAATATCTTCCAGGTGCTCATGAATCATATCCGGGAGAAACTTCCAGATATGAAGGCTCGCTTGAACACTCTGATGGGTCAAACTCAGCAGGAGCTCAACGCTTTTGGGGATGCGACCTTCCTCGGCGAGCAACACCGAGTAGGTTCTGACATCTATCTCCGGACTTCGTATTGATCATCTCAGGGTTCACTCATTTTGAAACTCATGACCGAATTCTCTAAAGACTTCGTGTCCTCCATCGAGGGAACGTCTCTCGAGATCTCTACGAAAGAGCTTTGTGGAGGAGCCCGAGTGTATTACATCTTCAACGACGTCTTTGGCACCGCACTGCAAAAGATCGATCCCACTCAAAATCTGACGCTCATGGATATTCGTACGGCCATCCGGAATTCGACAGGACCTCGACCGAGCTTGTTCGTGCCTGAAGTCGCTTTCGATCTATTGGTCAAGCCGCAAATCAAGCTCCTTGAGCCTCCCAGTCTGAGATGTGTGGAGCTGGTGTACGAGGAACTCATGAAAATCTGTCACAATTGTACCAGTCCAGTAGGTCCTCCTCCCAAGTCCGAGACGTGACGAGCTCATAAGACCCCTAGGAGCTCCAGCGATTCCCTAGATTAGGCAGTCAGCTCGTCGAAGTCGTCTCTGAGCTCCTGAGAGAGCGTCTTGGACCCACTTCGGAATACGTATCCAGCTTGATCCAAATCCAGGCAGCGTACATCAACACGAATCATCCAGACTTCCAAGCTGGGTCCGCCGCTATCGCTCGAGAGGGCGCTCCTTCGTCAGCACCCTTGAAGAAGGTGAGAGTATACCATGCACAAGCACTGATGCGGCAGATTCCCTCTCACCACAACAGTGCACCGGAAAACAACGATGATTCATCCAGCTCGTCTGATGGAGCTCAGTCAGTCCCGAACGGCTACATACTAGGACATCACCCGCGCTCGGCCTCCGCATCCGTACCCGACGGTCGTCGACCAAAAGTCAAGAAGGACATGGCGGCGAGCCATGACGAGAAGGCCCTGCTGAACGAGAAATCCAGACATCATAGGACATCATCGGCGTATCAACAGTCATCAGATCACCTCCTGCCTCCTACCATCAATGCACCACCCGGCGGACCCCATTCTGCCAAAGAGACATTCTTGAACTACTTCTTTGGTGGACCAAATGGTGTTCCTACGATTTCGTCAGATTCTGAAGCTACCATGTCCCGTCCCAGTGAAGGTCGATCCGAGAGAAAAGCACTCAAGCCCCCTCCAAGCTCCTTCAACCGAGACGTTCTGCCCGATCTGGGAACCAGGCGTCGGGGAGGCAGTAAGGATGGTATGGCTGCTTTCGATATGAAGTCTTTGGGCAAACACATCGAGCAGGTAAGCCCAATCGAGAATTCACGGTGCCCTTCTGACTTTCGTCATAGAACACTGCAGATCAACCTCTCAATCTGACTCCCAGGGAAGAAATGGAGACTACTTTGATACGCTCCCTGATTGCAAGCTACTTCAACATTGTGCGACAGTCAATTCAAGATCTCGTGCCAAAAGCTATTATGCACTTGCTGGTAAGCTCCCTGACCCCGAAAGTATACGCCTCAGCTCATCCAACTTTCAGGTGAACTTTTCCCGAGACTCGGTTCAGCAGAGATTAGTCACTTCATTGTACAAGCCTGACCTCTTTGCGGAGCTTCTGTTCGAAGACGAAGCTTTGGTGACCGAGAGAGCCCGAGTCAAGGCTCTTCTGGACGCTTACAAGGAGGGCTTCCGGGTCCTGAGCGAGGTATCTCTCAAATCGACTTAGGAGCGCTTCACAAAGCATACGATAGACACGAGCGCTCAGAAATTTTCATAGACTTGTTTCAGTTTACATTCAACCAGATTACAATCTGTATAACAAGCATATCACGAATGCATGAAGCTGCGGACGACAAGTGTGCGTGTAAGTTCATATCTTGAGGTTGACATTCCACTTGGGAAGTCGCCGTACAGCCAACTACATGTGAAAGGTATCGAGTCAGACATCCTCGTACACCTCTTCAGCTCCGCGCTCTGGATCCCGTATTGCAGTGACAGGACGCCGATCTCTTGCGAGGCACTTGACTCTTGGCGATGAGCCTCGATCCGCTGATACCGAACCAAGAGTCGATGACGATTGGCCGTAGTAGAGTACTGCAAATCCTCTTGTTAATGTTCTCGAGCTATAGATCAAAGACATGTCAATCTGAGATCGGCTGGACGCAACCGCGATCGAACTTCATATCGAGACATCTTTCAGCCTGGTCTGGATGACTGGCGACTCATCGCTGTTGGCTAATAAGACGAGTGACAGGAAGTCGACTTCGCCCCAACTCGGTCGATATGCTAAATTAGACACATCAAATCTGACGATCTGTCGTCGAGAATGGATTAGATCGGAGCGAGAGAAAACTGGTAAGCCATTTCAAGACTGTCGCGTGGAGCGCCGCCAGCCTGTAGATAAGCCCTAACGTGCCTGAGCTCATCGTGATCGTCATGTAGCATGTCATCAACAGACGCTATTGAATGTGGCAAAACACTCATGCGTGTGTCTAGCGTGTCCTCCGCCTTTCAGTATCAAAGCAATAGGTGATTCTAGCGCGTCCGTCTCTGCAGGACCGAGGAGCGAACCATACTGATTTGAGACACAGAAATAACGATAGGAAGCGATAGGTCTCGTAAGATCTGTACTGAGCTTTGACACGACGGAAAAGCTACGAAAGAGTCCTCATCCCTTGCCTTGAAGTATACGCATTCAGGTCCAATTACCTGACACCCTCACCCCGACTAATTTGACAATCTCTCCTATCTTACGTATCTCATCTGTCGGACGCTGAACATCATCGCGTTCCCATGCCGCCAACAGTTCCTCGTCTGGCTGTCCTCTCATTTCCGCAACAATAGCGAGCAATGTGAGGGCTTGTAATCGGAGATCTCTTGCAGAAATATCGCCTGCGATAAGCAGAGCTTGACGAAGGTGGGCCTCTGCTGCAGAGCTGTCTTCAGAGTTGACATCGAGCTTGGCCTTGGCGAGTACCAACAAGGCGCGGCAGGTATTCTCCTGATTGCCTTCATTGAGAATCTTCAAAGGTCAGCTTAAGCCTATTCGCACCCGCCTCACCTGCTCCCAGATCGCCTCAACCTCTTCCATGGCTCTAGCCGCCATGCCCTGTCCTTCGATGCACAAAAGGACTTCCGCAAGTTGTACGATTCCCTTGCGGTACAGTGGCCACAAACCAAGTTCCGCCGATAAATGTACAGCGGAAAGGACGTGGGGTAAAAGGACATGGGGCGGAAAGTCTGCATTCTGATGCAGCTTCGTCAGCCATGGTCCACCATCAAGTCCTCACCTTCAATTTTCTTGCCTTCAGCAGACTGGCTTGGACCTCCTCGTGTGCCAGCGGAACGCCTCTCAGACTCGGGTCGCTCATACCCGACAGTTCCAAGGATTGACCAAGCTCGCGAGTGTTCGCACCAGGGCCAAGTCGGACAGATAACTCGTCAGGTGGCTTCAGGGCAACCAAGAGATCCATGGCTTCAACATCGCCCCTGCTACCATCAACTACCAATCTAGACGCCGTTGACGACAAGAACCCACGAGAGCGACACCCACAACTCCAGGGTCGACCACACTTTCCTCGCCCAGCGATGGTACATGGCAAGAGACATGTGATCGAGACTGTCGAAGTCCAACAATATGCCCAAGGCGTCGATACATCGTCCGGAACTCGCGGCCTGGAGTGCATCAGAATATCGCTCGACAAGCATCTTCCCAAGAAGGACCGCGTGGCAAATCCGGCAGCGGCACTGTTGACAAACCAGCACTGTCTAGAGTCTGGGCAAATAGGAGGTCTGGACCTAAATGGCCCATATCCGAGATTGCCACCCCTCTGACGCAAGAGATGTCAGATTTTGCCTACTCACCCTTTCGGCTCTCGACAGCAAGACTGTTAACCTAGTATCGGCGTCGCCCGCAGCATCCTTAATAGCTAGGTCTTCATGAAGCTCTGCCAGATCATGACATCCTACACCACTCAGCGCAAATTGCTCAGATCTGCCCACCTATCATGCTCCACAGTCCTGCTTGTGTTGCATGCCAAGGCGCAAGTGGGAACGGTCGGTACGGCTTGATTCCTTGCTTCCCTTCTCTCTTCCCCTCGGACTTGGCCATGAGATCTTCGTGACGTGCAAGAGTGAGGTGGATACGCCGCATGGCCACATGTACCGGCTCAGCCTGTCCGTTTCAGCTTTGATAACCGTTGCAGACTTTTGCTTACCATGTCCAGCGCAGTCTTGATTGACCAAAGATCAACGAATGGCGTTGCAGGAGTTTGCAGTTTGCCTTCAGCCAAAGGCTGCTGATAAATACGCGGACTCTCGTCTGGTAGAAATGCAGCGCTATTTGTCTCCGCCTGCAGGCGATACCGTAGACTATATCGGAATCAGTGTCAGAGCCCTGGGAGTTGCCACATACCTCATGCATTGCCTCAGGCATGGCTTGTCATTTTCTGCTCGAGCCACACGAATCGCTTCATCGATAGCCTGGTATGCATCAGCGGTGATTGAAGACGTCATACGTACCGCTTTGGCGGAAGAAATACCACCCTGAGAATAGTGAAAAGTCGCTAGGTTGAGAAGCGCATGTTGGTGCTGCCCCTTACTGCGATACTGTCAGCGAATGCCATCGATCTACCAAGAACTTTACGGACTTTCCAGCTGCGGGGAATTGATAGTCGTAGAATCGTCTGAGCGAAGTGAGAGCCTTGGCATAGTCTCCGTTCTCTGTAGCGTTCTGGAATCTCATCGCAATAGTGAGTTACTACCTGATGATGCCCACTCACTCCTGCATAGTGTTCGACCGCTTGTCCGAAGTCTCTTCCATCGCTGCCCGGCGGTTGAGAGACCAGAGATGAGAAGATGTTCTCGACGGTCCAGGTGCTACACCGCACCAAGCTCCGACTTGGACGGAAAGCTGAGAGGTTTCGTCGAAAGAGAGTTTGCGAAGAGTCAAAAGAATGCCTCGAAGAAATAGGCCAAATGGCGAACGTCGTTCCTGGTATTGATTAGCCAGGTTTGTTTGCGACACCTCCTGAATCGCTCACGATTGGTTCGGGCAGCTCTGTGAGATCTTCCTCGTCATCTTCGTTCATCCTGACTCGGACATCCTTCTCCAGATCTGCGCGCCATTAGTACCTTGATGAGTACAGCCTCTCACTATCGAGGAAAGCACATCCCTCCGCTATGTCCTCAAATTGTGTGGCCTAGACGAAAGTCAGTCCTCAAACTTTGCGTCGGCACTCACAAAGGTCTCTAACCATGACTCAAAGTTCTCCGCATCCGCTCTGTCATGCGCAATGAGCTGACCCCGACTCCGGACCTTTTCGTTCAATCTGGCTATGCTGGCACATTCGGACTCAACGAGACTGTCGACCTCTGCTTTGAGGTTATCATAGGTTCGGGCAATGTACCCAACCTAGAGGCGTTAGCGAATGTTTTCAAGATCCATCGCGGTGCTATACCTCATAGATCTCCCTGGCAACGAGTTGAAGGATGGAGCTGATGAACGCCGCCGAATAGATATTAATCGGTGCTCCCTCCGAGTTGATGGGATGGACTCTGACCAACAAATACGCCAGAGCAAGGTGGAGCGGGAGCTCAAATTCCGGTGCTCTATGGACTACACCTCCATTAGATCGTCTCGATCTCTTCGGAGGCGATGAAAGACTCGTGTTCATGCTCGACTAGGCGAATGAAGATGAATATATCATCGCAAAATGGCATTTCACTCACCTCACGCGCCTACGCGAAGGCGAACGCGGGGCACCGGACTTGGAGTGGCGATCCATCAGCAATGTTGGATGATCTCGCAGCGAGCATGGATGCGACAGACGAGGACGAGCTAGTAATAGGATGCCTGTACCATCCGTCTCCCCGATCCACATCGTTAAGAAAGCCTGGGAAAGGATCGCACCGCTGCAGCTGGCAGAAAGGAGCTGGGACAATGTGAGTGTATCACTGTATGGTCTAGGACGATGTGGATATCTGACTGACTTCTATAGGTCGGCATCATGATGGGTAGGCTAAGGATGATCACAAGAGGGAAATGCTAATTTGGCCAGAGTCGCCCGTGTATCATTCACATCATCGTCAACTCTTGCTCACCATTGAGTGAGTCCACCCTGGACGACTCAGACTTCGACTCATCCATCTACCTCAACAGTCTCACCACGGATGTCTGTGAAGAAGCTCTGTCGCTGCCGTCATGCTCAGTGGTGATCACCTATCATCCTCCTGTGAGACTCTCAACTACATCACGTTCTTTCTTATAGTAGTCTACAGATCTTTGCTGGTCTCAAGTCTCTGACTCTCTCTGAACCGCTTCAAGCATCTCTACTCCGACTCAGCGCGAAAGGGATCAGCGTGTTCTCTCCTCATACGTCGCTTGATGCAACTCCCAAGGGAATCAATACCTGGTGAGGCAGTCATCGGCCCATCTACAGGGTCGCTGAATCCATGGTAGGCTCGTCAAGCCTTTCGCAGACATGATAACGTCCTCGGAGCCGGTCACAACGTCAGCAACTCTCGAAGGATTCGAAGGTGCTGGTATGGGAAGAATCATCAGACTTAGTGAAAGCTTGCCTGTCAATCAAGTGGTGGATATGGTGAAACAGCACCTCGGCTTGAAATACGGTGAGTCATGAATATCTCCGAGTGAGGGAAGGCTGAGCTCCCGCCCCAGTTCAGCTGGCCTCACCCAAGGATAACAAGCCAGTCTCTTCAATAGCGGTTTGCGCAGGATCAGGTGAGGCTCTGGGAAGTTGTCGCAGACCTGGCTTACATCTACTCAGGCGCCAGTCTGCTCAAGAATGTCGACGCAGACCTGCTGTTGACTGGGGAGATGCAGCATGTGAGATGACCGTCTGTGAGGCAGGCAGACCAAGGCTAACGGACCATGGACAGCACGAAGTGTTGGCTGCAAGAGCGAAGGGCAGGCACGTCATCCTGTGTAATCATTCCAACACGGAAAGACCATTTCTCAGCCAAGTGTTACAGCCGTGGCTCAAGTCGGAGCTCGACGCCGAGAAAGAGGGCGAGTGGGAGGTGCTCGTCTCGCGGACGGACGCGGATCCGTTAAACACGGTCTAGCCAGTTTAAAATCCTGCAGCGACTCATATCGCAATGCGGCATTATGCATTTACACCCTCTCGTCAAAGATCTCATCTTTGAGTCCTTCTTCTACCGCTTCCCAATCCACTCCGTCATTCGAATAGACACCTTCGTAGGTATCTATGCTCGCGCGCGAGAAGAAAGGGCGAAGCTGCGAGAGACTGACGATTGTCTGAACAGCTGCGAGGCGCGGGCGACGCAGGGCTGATGAGCCTTCGGAGCCAATGGCCAGGGCAGGGGCGTCATCCTGTCCCCCAGTCAGTATTATGTACAAAGGTAGAAACAGGTAATCACCCACTCCCGCATGAGCGTGCTCGAACATGATCTCTGCTAAGCGATCCATGATCGCCTCTGGCGTATAGTCCTCCGGTGGGTAGACTGCATCCGTCGTGTCACTGACAAACATCCATTGATGTCTGTGGCCTATGAGTGAATAATTTGCATCATCACCTCACAATTGGAAGTCCTCGGACTGGATGACCAATAGCAAGTCCAAAAACTTGCAGGCTGCCAAGATCAGGTGCAGAGGCTCAGACTCTGGAGCAGGGATCTCGTCCATGATCCCTTCAAAGACTCGGAACTGGACCACGTTAGTCGAATTAATAAAAGAATAGAAACGGACTCACCAATTCGGCGAGGATAACTGGCCAGAAATTGGTCAAGTGCTGAGCACTAAACCTGCACATCAGAACCCTCAAACATCGATAGACCTGCAACACTCAGTGAGTTTATTTCCGATGCCGCAGTTTCTACTCACCTCGCTGTGTACACGTGCTGAAATGACGCTGGTACGTAGGACATCGACCAGGGCCTCTTGCATGGCCGGCAGATCGGTCAAGAAATGATTGGTCTCCGCTGCGAACAGGACGAAGGACAGTCTCCTCAAATTCATCGAGCGAGTGATGGTCTCTTGTTCACGGTTGGCAAAGATGTTTGCGGACGGAGCAGCAGTGATTCGAGCTGTGATGGATCAGCATGAAGCTGACCAAGCCATCTGGTTTCCGATACGCACCCAGCATTTCCACCAGCCTATCCTTGTCATTGTCCATAAGAGCGCAGATCAAAGGGCGCCAGAAGTCCGCTTCCTCTGCGCTCTGCTTGAAGAATCGCGCGTCATTGAAAGCTTCACCCACAGGTAGACGCCAGGCTTTCGTCGCGGAAGGTATGCGCGTCATTTCGTACAGGATGCGTAGGATGATTGGCGAGACGCGTTGCTTCTGTCGCAAAGCAGGAGTTATCACGGTGGAGGAAATGGTGGCGCAAGTAGCAGCGACTCGATCCGCATCATGAAGGAAGCTCCGAAGATTGGGAAGGATCTGATCGGCAAGAAAAGTCTGCAACTGACTTTATAAGCTTCGATTTGGGCCCTGGCTTTGACTCACGTCCGTGATCAGCAATTCCGCATCGGCAGCAGTTGAGCGCTGCCAGGCCTTGGCGTCGCCAAGCCTCGCGACACTTCCAACGACCGCATCGAGCAATTTGCTATAAATCTCTTGTAGATCTCTTCGCAATCGTCGATCTTCAAGCGCACTTGTAGTTGCCACAATTTTGCTCAAGATAGTCAAGCACCGAAGCGTAGGATAAGACAGTGACCTCGAGTTTGCCGTGGTACTGGACGCGATAATGTCCTTGGCAAAAGAGAACAATGTGTTCCAGACCTGGACAGCGATGGGAGCCTCCAATCTTGAAATGTATCCCTCCAAGAATCCCATCGTCGCGAAAGTCCCGTCTGAACCCCTCTTGAGCTGATGGTTTATACTCTCGCTCAGTAGCTCGACCACTCGCTGAGCACTGGGCGTGAGCATATCGATGCAGTCAAAGATGGCAGCGTCGACCAAGTTGGTGTCATTCTCAGCCCAGACCGTTGTCATACTCTCTATGAGTGGTAGCGGGTAGGCTTTGAAAGTTCGTTCGAGGACGCCTTGAGCTTTGGCGTGAATGGAGAAGAAGCATCGGTCCTGGGATGGAAGTGATGGCCCTGATACCGGCTCTTTCGTCACCACACTCCAAGTGATCAGCAATGATCGAATATAGTCTTGGAAAAATGTGTCGTCATTGATTGGAGTCTGGCGGTCAGTGGAGCACAGCATGCTTACGCCTACCTTTTCGTTGGACGGGCCGTCGTTCACGAAAACGCCCGACATGAGCCCCAACAAACCACCGGATTCGTTCTGGGCCCTTCCGTCTTCGCTCTTTCGATTTGATCTCAGACTCATGGACAGAGTGATCAACCGCTCCATGACGACCAGGTAGAATGCCGGCTGCTCATCGGTGATGGAGGTACGCATCTGCTTCTGGTAGCACTGGTCCAGTTGTAGCATGATCGCCGTTGTCTGACGGCTGAACGTTTCCGCCAGCTCGTGCAATAGATCAGATCGAGATTGTAAGCGGGTGACGAGAACAAGAGTGAATTCAGTCCATTGACGCAGAACCAAATACGTCTCATCATGCAGGATGGCTAGGTTGACCAAGTCTACCATTAGGACATCGAAGTCTTTCGCAGAGTCCACCAAGGAAGGCGAGCTGATGTTGGACTTCTCCGGTAATGATTCCACGCGTCGGTGATTACGTGGTTGATTATGATTCGGCGCCAGCGCTAGAAGACTTCGCAAGAGCTCCAGCAGTTGCGGTTGAAGAAGAACAGATCCTGTTTGCACCGCTGTAGACAGTCGTTGAATGACACCAAGCTTGATTCTCGCTCCCGCGACACGGGACAATTCTCCATGACCAACCAGCATTTGCAACACGCTAAGCGCAACTGACTGAAGCTGTTGCCTAGCAAAATCGGCGCGAGTTGACTTATCCTCGCGCTCCTCAATATGCCTACGCGTCAATGCGGCTCAGGGTATGCGACTCACTTGAGAAGAGTCAGTACCAAGAGATCCAAGTAGGACATATTTGCCGACCAGTCTGAGAATCAGCAAGACAATCTCTACAGGAGACTCACGAGTCTGTACCACTTCCACCAATTGCGTGTAAGGAGAATTGATCACGTCCATACTCTGACACGTTCGGCTGAGTGGCCTTCCACCGAATGTGATGATTGTCTTCAAGCTCTCGAGAAGGTAGAGGGAGGTTGACAAATCAGCTTTGTGCTGATGACTGACAGAGGAATCTTCTACTAAAAGGATGGCGTTTAAGATACGGAGGAGCAACGGATCGAGCAGCCTAAGTAAACGTAAGTGATAGGAAGAAGGCTTGCAGTTAGGGGCTTACCTCGGCCAGGAGCCCAAGCTGTTACGCATAAAAGCCTCGGCATGCCATTTCAATTGGCCAGATTGACCGAGGGAATCAACAATCTTGAACAATGGCACATGGAACAAGTCGCCAGGCAGCATCGAGTCTTCGGTCAGGTTCCACAATACACCGAACGCCTCGAATGTCCGGGTCGCAATCGATAAATTTGAGGATGACATCCGAGAAGCAATGACTGTTTCCAACACATGGATCTCGGCAATCTGATTGTAGTCCCAAAGCAGTTCCACTGCCCGGGCGTGATAAGGCGCAGCGTCGGCTCGGAGGAAGGAGAAGAGCTACTGTCAGCTCGAAAGAGATCATTTGACCTACGTTGTCGAGAATCGTCGTCATGGTCGAGTGAGCTGAAAGATCGATCGGCGGCTCAAATAGAGTTGCACGACCTGCTTTCAGGGCCAGAGATACCACAGCCTCAACGACGATGAATGAAGATGACTGCGCATGTTAGTGGATCTCCCAGTCAACGACTCACTTCTGAGAGTAGATTTATGAGAGATTTTAGCCATTCCAAACTGTCCAATTGCTTGAGTGACACTGCCTCGGCGTCGATCAGGCTGTGTTGCAGATTCAAACAAGACACGATGTTGTCCTTAAGAGAACCGACTGAGGTGGAGGAAAAGATGAGCTTAACGATGTTCGGCATGACACCTTCCAAGACACGCCGCGACCATTCTTCGACGGATTTCTTGCCTTGGGCCGAATATAATTCGGAGGCTAGTGAGGATCGCTTGTCCATCTGGCCATCTGCAGAGCCGAGTATCCGGGAAGGGACGGCATCCAAGAGTAAACTGCAGAGTTCTAGAGTGGGACCGATCCTTTCAGCTCTGACCTCATTCTCCTGGACCGTCAGCATCATCAAGGTCAAAGTACACACGTGGAGGGACAACAAGATGTACTCTAACAGAACAGGAACGTGAACGTTCCGGACCTCGTCATCTTTCTGCGGTATTGTTGTCAGAATCCAGCGAGTCAAAAGGTCGTCCTACGACGGATCAGCATGAGTCCAAGGATCGATCGTTGTGACGCACTGTTTCCGCTCGCAGGCTTTGCGCAACCAGATCGTACAGTTTCCGCCAGATGATCATCGGCTCTACAGATTCATAGACAGCGATCGCAGTGATTATAACCTGCGCAATGTTAGCATGCGTGCGATGCGCCAATGTCACCTCTTGCTTGTGTTCGGGATGGATCTCAGCAGCGCTCCTCATCAATTGAAGGGTTTTGATCGCGAGCTGTTCGGAGAGGATCGCCCCGACCTCCCAGCGGTCAAGCAAGGAGAGAAATATCTTGAAAGGTCGAAGAAGGTCGTTTGCATCTTCCGAGGCAATGCTAGTCTCCATGTATGACTAGGGGTCAGTCACAATATCAAGCCGAAGACTCACCTCCAGGGTCGAGACCAGAAGCTCAAGACTATGCTGTCTATAATTGTCCATTTGCTTGTCGCCAGAATCTTCCGGCCCAAGCAGCCAGGTGTACACTCTCCGGCTGAGCGAGATCTCGCGCTGAAGAACCACTCCGATAGTGACTCTCATGAGCATACGTTGGTCTTCGGGCGTTGCTTCCCTGCAGAAGATTTACGATCAGCCTAATGGCCACATGGATGGTTCAAGTCTCACTTAAAGATGCTCTCGTGTATCCTCAATACCCTCAGCAAGAGGTCCAAGCCATTTCGCCGCACCAGGACATTCTCGTCGTTCAAGACGGCAGCCACCCCACGAATGATCAAGCCGTTTTCTATCCCCAGACTGGGATCAGGAGGCTTTTGCATTTCCTTTGCCAGGTAGTTCAAGCCCGATAGTCTTGATGAGGCGCTAGAAATGAGCACAAGAAACACTGTCTGGAGAAAGAAGCCTTCAGAGACGGCTCTGGAGAGTTGTCGGAAGAATACCAGGACCTGTGCATATCAGCTTGGACTGATTTTGCCGCAGACGTACCTTATCGAAAAAGTCCCCGGTCTCCTCCTCCATTCCAGGCAATAGCGCGAGGAGTATCGCTTTCGTCGCAGGTCTTAGATCCTCCCCAAGGGGCAGATAAAAGTTCTGAAAGATGTTTATGATTTGCGGCCTGACCGATGTCGACGCGAATTGGAAAAATGGAAACAGACCAGATGACCAAATGAGTAGGTCTCGACGGAGACCTTCGACCTAGACAGTTAGTGCATGTCAATAGGCTGTCCTCACTCCTATGGTACTGAAGATGTGGGCGTAAACATCAAGAGCCCTCTGATGAACACCGGATGGAAGTGCTGGGTTGAGGCACTGTGCCAAACGCTTCGACACGATTAGTTTCCAAGGGATATCGGTGTACGCTGCCCAAGTTTGAAGAGTCTGGCTGTCAGCTAGATGGGACCGCTTTGTCTCACCTTCAACAGTCTTGATAAAAACGAGATAAAGTCCGCCCATTCATTGACGCTTTCGAAAGACTGGAGACATTTATCCACCTGTGCTGCGAACTTCTTGTACTTCGGATCACTCGCAAGCAAGGATGCTGCAGCGGCTGCGAATATCAGCACACGACTCCTGCCTTGTACTGACCTTTACCGGTCTTTCTCCTTTGCTCTGGTGTCGACCGACCGCTCGTGATCCCTCCATCCTCTGCGTATGCCGTCACTTGAGTCTCGGACTGTGAAGCTCCTGAGCCGCTCCTTGCTCTACCAGGCACCATAAGCTTTGATAGTCGTCCATGAGCGCCTTGCAGGATCCTTGAGCCACGCGGTGAGGGATCCCTGGAGCCGCTACCGGATGAAGGTCCAGCTTCGGGAGATTCTGGTATGCGGACGCTCGGCACTGGCCTGTTGGTCATGTTGGGCGCGGCCAGCGGCAGGTGATTGCAGCGCGGTGCAGCGCTATGAGGACCCTTTTCAAGGTGCTCCCACTAGTCGAGAATGTGTCGGTGCTTGGCTGTGTCGAACACAGTAGAAGAGGAGTATAGGGGAAGATTAGAGTGACGATTGAGGGATCCGGAATTTTGCCGCCGTTCCGAGGGCGTCCAAATGGGTCTCAATTCATCATCAACATTGTTCACGTCGAGGTCGACCAAGCGAGCTCAAATCCAGCTGCAGGATCTGCGATAGTCTTCTGGATCCTACTGAGAAGCCTCGCGAGGAGATCCGCCCCCCTTTCAGCTACGCTCCCAGAGCGCGACACATTCCTTCTCCGGAGCCATCCTCCCCCCATGACGCGAATTGTACATTATGCGTCTCGAGAACATCGATGACGGGAGCAAGTGAGTGATTGGCGTGGGGCATCAAGCTGATCGCTGTCAAAGGCTTCAGCTCGCTTGGGCAGAAACGCTCAAGACAGCTGTTGGTTACTTTCGAGCTCTACACGCTTCGTCCACGTCGTCATCATGGAAGCCTGTTCAGGTACCGCTGATCACTGGCGCAAATGGTCTTCCAGAGTCAGGTCAAAGCAGTCGCTCGAGTTCGACCTTGAGCCGTATCTCTGCAGAGAATGTAGTGGTACATCGCCGAAGTGGAAAATTGGGCGAAGTATACAGAGCAGTGGTGGAGATGGACTGTGGACCAGACATCAATGTTGATTCATTTCGCGGTTCACTCGTGACGCCTCAGACTCGACCGGTGTGGGATCGTATGGTGGAAGAAGCAGAAGTGGTGGAACTCTTGGACCCTTCTACTCGAGTCACAAGAACAAAGTATCGTCTTGGCTGGCCTTCCAAGTGAGTTTTACTAGTCATGTATAGACGACTGATGCTGCAAGTCCCCGAGACGCCGTCACGATTTCTAAGACGTTGATGAACCAACAGACGATCATCGATATCTCCACTTCCTTACCCAGATCTAAACATGAGCCGGCGTACTTACGTCCCGCCCCGCCGCATGTTCGAGCTCATGTTGCCCTCTTGGCTTGGTGTGTGCAGGTAGGAGGTGCCGAGGTCCCAGCCGGCAAGGCGAGAATCACTTGCTTCTGGTCATGGAATCCAAAAGGGACTTGGGCGGCTGGTGGAGGTGTGCCTCAACATTTACCTCTCTGCCTGGTCGGACTGGTGGATCATGTTCGGTCTGGAAGTGAAAGAGTACCTGTACTTTTGAATTATGGTTCCGACATCAGTATTGGTGGAGTCGATTACGACACCGCACGAGTGACATTATCAGTTGGATACGCAATCATCAAGGATACAGAGACGGAGCGATCAAGACAAATCGAGTTCGGGGTCTCGTCATCAGAGAGTTGGGATGTCCAAGTCCATGCCAAAACTCAGACCGGTCAAGAGCCGTCTTGGTCTTCGTTCGTTGGCAGAGCCCCCACAGTAACACCTGGTGCACCTCCGCCCAAACGCCTCGTGTTTCGACTTACGCATGGCGCGTTGGATCCGAACGATGAACTGGTGCGCGTCAAGGTATCCATCGAGAGGACTTCGTCGAGTGGAACGCCGTCGGTGAGAATCAATGGGATCGTTGTGGGGGTGGAGAGGATGAGCGTCAGGTCCGATCGGAGACCTTTGTTGGAGGAGACGACCAGTTCAAGTGCGCTGTCACTAAACACGATCAGTACGGCCCAATCGGAGGAGCCTAGTGTCGAAGTTCCACAGCCAGACTACGGAGATCGAAGTCCAGCCGCGGAGAAGAGCATAGCATCGCTCGTCAGGCGGAATTATATCTGTGAGACCTTGTCTCTGCAATCACAGCTGACGACGTTTAGATTTCACTTCTCTGCTACAAGAGCCAGAGGCCAAGTGGAAACCTGTCCTGGACTCTCGCGGAATAGCCATTCACCAACTCGATTCAATAGACAAAACATTGGTCGTTTATCGTGCCGAGGCTGTCTTTGTCGGCGTAGGCATCTGGGACCTGTATGCGACAATAGCCAGCGGTGGAAGATCCGTTGAACAGGCTACTCTGCTGGAAGACGTCAATGAATTGACTGATCTCTGGCTGTTCCAAACGAAAGCCGCTTGGCCAGTAGCTGCTCGAGATTCCATCCTACTCCGGACGACCTACAAGTCGCCTTCTTCGGTCCACATTTTTGGCTTTTCATCTGACAACACCGACCTGTTTCCTTCCATCCCACCAAGCTTGGACGCGAATGTCATCCGGACCCAGATTGATCTTCAGGGCTGGTCTATCGAGTCGTTGTCCCCCAACACCACTCAAGTCACATTGTTGGAGCAGAGTGACCCCCGAGGATGGTCCAATAAATCGTCTATCCCTCAAGTCATGATGACTTCCCTGGCGGGTATTGGAGATTTTGCTATAAAACACGGTGCGCCACCCATTGCAACGCGTCTCGCGGGAGCCAAGGCTCTTGGATCTCGATTCGAGGACGAAGTCTATCGATTCGAATATCAATCTGCCGAAGCTAGACGATCAGCCTCATCGAGCACTGCCACCGCGTTCCCGTTTCCAAGCTCAGCGAGTACGTCAAACGGCGATGCGACTCCAACTCCTGCCAAGCCACTGCCAGACCATATCGAGTGTGAGATAAGGTGCGATGCCGATACTTGGTCGAATAGCTTTGCGATCACCATAGAACCACCTCAATACGGCATATCTGCTCTGAAACGAAGTCGTCTATCGCCCCAGGGTGGAGGTCTTTGGCTCACCATCGAGCATGACCCGAATGTCACTGAAAAGATCTCCGTGGTCATCGCTCGAGGTCCTCAGACGCCAAAGCTCTCCATAGTGGTCAATGAACAAAAGATAAAGGTCGACATTGAAGAGCTTAGCGAAGCGGAAGTCAATTTGCTGAAGAAACAAAAGCGTTCACGCCCGACTCGAGCACCATTGGATCAGCCTGCGAGTTTGGGATCATTGCGCAAAGTGCAGAGTCTGGAAATGTCTACCCCATCTTCGAGATACGCCAAAATCGCTTCACCTATCAAACAGCTCTACTCGTACGCTTCGGAATCTACTCGAGCGGCCATCATACCCATGAGCTCAACCTCGCCAACTCCTGCACCTGGAGACGCGCCTGTGGATGCTGCGGTACGAGCATTGAGCCAGCTCATTCGCATTCACAGCGATAGAGATGGCGAGTCGACCGACCCCGACGGGTGGCAAGCCGTTTCTGAGCGAGATGGCCTCAGAATTGAGAAACGCTTGATCTCCCATGTCTCAGATACGTTTCCAGTGTATCGCGCCGGAAGAATTATCGAAGGCTTCACTGCTGAAGAGATTTCCGCCCTGGTCTCTTTACCTGAGAAAGATGAACGATTCGACCGACCAGAATGGCTCCAATCTTTCGGTCAAGGCATGACTGTATCTCATCAAACGGCCTACACCAGCTTTCCTTTTCGGTCCCGCAGCGTCTTGCTCGCTTCAGTGATCTCGCGTATGGCCAATGGTCCTCCACCCACACCTACCGCTTCGGACCGATCACCCTTATCCACCATCTTTCACGCCTCATCCTCGTCATTTGATCCTCAAGTTCTGGAAGCAGATGCTTCAAAGTATAATCCTACCAATCTGCCTTCAGCCCACGTCCTCTTGGAAGGCTGGATACTCGAAACGATCGACCCGTATTCGCACGAGCAGTATCCCATCCCGTCAACACGTTGCATGTACGTCGCATCGGTGGACTATAGTGGGAGCTTGCCTCTTTCTGTGAATAATATACTCAACTCCGCCCTCCCGCGTGTCGTCTTGACGATAGAGAACAAGCTCAAGACCCGCGGCGCGCCATCTCGTCCTCGTTTACCGCCCATGTGCGTCACTGCTCCCGAGTCGTCTTCGGAGGCGCCGTGGTCCATTCAAGGGGAGTCGACGAGAATAGGCATGCTTCAGACTAGCGAGGCTCGTGGAGGTTTCACCATGTCTATCATTCTCCAGCCGACCGCTCGATCCATGATCTCGTTGAGGCATAATGACAGTCAATTATCGGTCCAATCCCGATCGACAGTCCAGCTTGGTGAGTCCCCTCGGGACTTGGTGGTCACAGAGATCGAGCTGGCCGCAAGTTTCGCTGCGGCTGGATGTGATATTCAGACTCTGGCCGTGTCTCTCCCAGTTGCTGAAAACGTATTGGGACCTTGTCTCCCGTTCAGCCTGCCGCGGGAGACCGTCGACCTTCCGTTCAACATTTCCATCGTTGAGCTGTCGCCGACACTTAGTCTCGATCCCGGCTCGCAGACTCGACATCTCCTTCGGATCACCTTGCCAACTTCTGGCTATGAAGCCCCTGTTCACGACCCACTGAGCAGTCGGGCATCACCGCTGCCTCGCCCACGCTGGCTTCTTGATCTGATCAATGACGGCGCCGTGGTTCAGATACGGCTGAAGCCTAGATTGAGCCACGGCTATCGGTACAATCTACGGGACATTCAAGTCGAGGATGACGCTTCAGTGACGAGTGCGTCGCCTAGTCTCCCACGGCTCGTGGATCGAGATACGCCCGAGTCGAGAAGCTTGGCAAGACCATTGGCCGTCGCGGAGGACTTGTTACTTGAGTCAGCCTTCACGGCATTGAGGGACGACACGACGGAGAAGGCCAGTGAAGTCGGGTCTGTCAGGGAACCGCCTCCCGCAAAGGTGGGTTCGCATTCCTGTCTCAACGGGCAGGTACTGATGTCGTTTTCAGGAACCACCGCCACCTAAACGTCCGAGCCCGATACCGGATAGACGCCTGTCTTTCTGGCGATACTCGCGCTTCTCCCACTTTGCGACGCCGATCACCACCCCTGTCAAGGTTGGACCGTCACCTCTTGAGAAGGTCATTCAAGGCACGGATCCATCTTCTTCCACCAACGCTTTTACCGAACAATTGTTCCGCCCTGTTGTCTCCTGGCCAGGCCTGGTCCTTGCTTGCCTGGTATGCTTACTTCTCGGGAGTTTATTGAGGTCTATTTTGAGCGAGGCGGATTTTGTAGTCTACTTGCCCGATGGTCAAGCAGCTTCTCCCTCTACCTCGACAGAAACGTGGCGAGAGCTGAGAAGGTTGATTGAGTGGCGAATAGGTCGGAAGAGGGATCTCATACTGGCCATTGCGAGAAGGAGATGAGGGGCCCTTGGGTGCCATATGCATCTGGTACCCACAGTGAATTCAATCCGGTCCGACTCATCCGCGCTTGATTCAACCTAATGCGGCTTCACATTTTGTAATGGAATACCAGACGCATTAGTAATTCTTTTCTAATCATTCCGACAAAACCCCCCTCCTCCCCTTCCCTTCCCTAATATCCGCCGTCTGCGCCGCCACTCTCAGCCCCTCTTTTTCAGGAAGCATCGCCGCCATCCCCATCGTCGTCGTCGTCGACCACAGTAGTCAGCGAGCAGAGACGACAGTTGAGGAGACTGATCGCGAGGGAAAGCTACATCTCTCGACATCCTACCATGGCATCATCTTCATCATCGAGCTCAGGCGACTCTTCAGCATAACTACACCTTCGCAAATAGCCAAAGGATCATTTGACGCGGTTCAGATCTCACCCTAGAGGTCCTCCCCCGGCTCTTGGCAACCCGCTTGGAAAGGCGGGGGCAAGGGGGGGTCGAGACGCCCAATAGGATCTGATCATGTCAACTGCACATCCACACCATCCCGATGGGCTCAACACCCGTTGGCTCATGACCGCCTCTCCACCTGACATGTCACCGCCATCGTCTCCGATCCAGGGCATGGGTTCGGGCTCGGGTGCCGGACCATCAAATCCCAGGAAATTCAGTCGACGGCCTTCCTTATCTCGCTATCGTGAACATGCAGATGGAGCTGAGCATCTCAATTCGTTCGTCTCTTCCACCTCGAGCGTCGACATGTCAAATGCTCCGACTCCATGGAACACATTCTCCCCGCCTGATGCGTATGAGACAGTCACCATGAAATCTCAAGGTCCAGAAGAGATGCTCTTCGACCAAGACCCAGACGTGTCATTCCAACTGTCGCTCACTGGCGCCTCATCCAATCTGTCCACTCATCCTTCCTTTCGCTCCTCCCACAAATTGTTACCTTCAGCAAGTCCCTCGCGAGCGATCCAATCCCCTATACCATCCTCTCGCAAATCCGTACCTAATCCACCCTTGTCTCTACGCTCAGGAGGCAGATCGCTGTCCGACTTTCCGACGCCTCTGAGTGAGATCACGCGACTGTCTCCTTCGACACCCGCGACTCAGTTCAGTGATCCTATCGGCGCCAAGTCAGTACCAGACTCGGACATCCTGTCATCCTCAGTGCCGAGATCAACGAGCATCGACGTTGACACCATACGGCTACGTCAGCTCGGTTATGATTCAGTCTTGGGTCGAGATTACACTTTCTGGTCCAGTCTGTGTATCTCTACCATCAACATCGGCTCTCTACAGGTGAGATCCATATCGGGAAATGGTTGTTGACGATTCAGGGAGCCCTGTATGCAGTTTCTGGAGCTTATAATTATGGGGGACCTTTGATGATTGTACGTCCGAGGTAAACTTGAGAGTACGCTGACCTGGCAGCTCGTGGCATGGCCCATCTCCGGCATCTTTGGTCTCTGCCTCACACTCACCATGTCGGAATTGGCCTCAGCGTATCCCGTCTCTGGAGCCATGGCGTCCTGGGCCTGGAAAGCTGCTCGAGGAGGAGTTGGACATGAAAGGGCTTGGGGGTGGCTGATGGGAGGTGTGGTGCTAGGTGGTCACATCGGAAATGTAGGTGATCTAGAGCGGCGACCACTTATTTCTAGGCCATTCTCGTGTTATGGGAGATATCTCGCATCATCACGGGCACCATGGAGGTCGCATTCAATTACGAAGAGCGCAACTGGCAATCCCTCCTGTTTTTCCTCGTGAGTGAGCACTTCAGGACGATGCTGACCTACCAGGCTGTACTTGCCGTATGCGGGGTCACGGGTGCCACCGCTTGGGGTCGATCTCATCGGTTCTGGCTTGCAGCAGGGGCGTATTTCGTCGCTGTCTGGCTCATCCTAAATGCAACTTTGATTGCCGGGGTGGTCAGGTGAGTCACCAGTCCTGCCTCAATGCTGACCTTCCAGGAATCCCTACCGCGGCGTATCGACCCACTTCTGGAACTCTTCGGGATGGTCCTCTCGAGGATATGTCGGGTTGCTGGGATGGCAGTACTGTACACTTGCCAGCGGGATGGATGCTTCGGCTCACATGGCTGAAGAGACCCGGAATCCTTCCCGAAATGTACCCAATGCAATGACAGGCTCCATTGTGGTCACCTACATTATGGGCTATATTGTGAGTCTGGCCGAAGGTCATAGACACTTATAATCCAGTCTATCCTGCTGCTACTCCTGGCAGTGGACCCAAAGGACGCGTTTGACATCAGCACGCACTCTTTCCCGGCCGTGAGTATCATCGTTCTCACCACGACTGACCTGATCAGGGTCACATTCTTCAACGGGCAGTCTCAACATCCGGCTCCATCGCGATCTCCTGTCTTCTCGTGTTCGTTCTCACCATGCAAGTCTTAGCTCAGCTTCAAGCATCGTCACGATTCGTCTTCTCCCTCGCTCGGGATAATGCCATGCCGTTCTCAAAGGCCATTCAATGGACAAATTCTTCCAAGCAGCCCGTCGTTGCTCACTTTGTGGTCATTGCGCTTTGCGCGCCGTTCGCCGCCCTCACCCTAGCGGGCAGTGGCACATTGTATTCCATCCTAGCTGTCACAGCCGGATCTCTCAGCTTTCTCGCATACGTGAGTGTTCATCACCTGTTGAAGAGCGCTGACAAGATAGGTCGTGCCTGTCGGCCTGTATCTCGTTTCCAAGAAGGACCTCCAGACTGAGGGGCGTACGTCGTGGTCACTCCGCGGGTTCAGGTGAGGTCCAGATCGTCGAACTCAATTTGACCAAGCAGTAAACCCATTGGGTGCATCGGTGTCGCCTACGGCTGCACTATCATTGTCGTCCAGATGCTTCCGGGTCATCGTCCAGTCACAGCTGGTGAGTCGTGCGAGACAGCTCGGTTCTGACAGTCCTCAGGAAATATGAGCTGGAGCTCTGTGATCCTCGTTGGAGCTTGCTTGATTTCCTTCATCACCTGGAAGCTCTATGGTGAGATCTGCAGAACCTGAGCTCAGCTGACGATTCCAGGTGCCAAGCATTACTCGGGTCCGATTCGCGCTTTGACCAAGTGGGAGACTGGCATGGAGATTGATCTTCAATCTGCTCTTGCCAGCTCCAGATCCCGTTCCGGAGCAGTGACAACGAATGATCATACTGGCCGATCTCGTCGTCGGCCGTCCGAGAGTTCGATCAAGATGCACGATCTCAATGGCTCTGAGGAGGTCATTCATACCATTACGGTGGCTAGCGCCCGTACGATGGATCTGGAGGATACCAATGAACAGTGGGGTCACGATAGGAGCACGGGATGGACGGAGAATGATAATAGGGACGATTCCACTAATGGGCGTGTGTAATTTTGGGTATGGCTTCGAAGCCAGCAGTATTCCGGTGATATATTGTACAAAGTAGTCCTCCATTTCTGTGTGTGTGTGTGTGTGCGTCTGTGACCGTCATTTCTTGAGGGATCCTCTAGCTGTATATGCGAGTGACAATGGGATGTAACGCAGTAGCTGAGGAATATCTGAATCACGGCGCGTCGAGCAAAAACAAAATCAACAGCTTGAATTGACTTCTTCGTTCTCCAATCTGTTCAATGCCCACCGCTCTTGCATTCCCTACGTCAATCGTACCTGCACCGAGCATGCGGCGGAGCGCTCGAAGAAATATCATGAACTAGAGTGGTCGCGACTGCCTAAACACATCGCCCTTCAAAAATCCGCTCCTCCTTCTCGACACTGACATCCCGCCAGATGGAAGCCATGTGGATATTTGGTGACGAGCCCTTGGGCTCAGGCCCAGTAGTGGGCAGAGGCAGGGCAGGAGGCAAATCGAAGACTAATGCACCTGTGTCGTCGGCCGGCACAATGTCCCATCAGTCTCCGACTACAGCGACCTCGAAGGCGGGCGGCAAGTCTGCAGCTGGTACCGTTACAGTGAAGAGCGCAGGGAGCACCGCCAAGGCTACGTTGAGCGTGGAGAAGGGGAAGGCCAACGGGAAGCAGAAGTACAGCAAGAGATCCTCAAATCCAAGCTCAAGTACATCCCAAGGTCAGTCAGAGCTGACCCCAGAAGGCTATCTGCTGATCCACTCTGAAGCTCCAAAACTGGTAATCTCGAGCACACGGTCACGGGAGACCTCACCTGTCAAAGTCAGAGCTGGATCCTCATCAAATCGCGGAGACAACAGAAAGGCGATGTCCGCGACTGATGATAGACCGCAGGGTGGAAGTAAAGGGTCAAAAATCCCCAAACCATTCCCCATGGCGGACGAGGCAACGAACGCCGGTGAATCATCCAAAGCTGCTGAAAGGCGTACAGCTGCACGACCGGGGTACGCTACAAATGGCTCAAGAAGCAGAGGCGGAACGAAAATACATGATCAGATCGCCGTTGATACATCTCGAGAGAACTCGCCAGATCCCTTGGAGCAGAATCTCTCGCGAGAACACACGAAGGGCGCTCAGGTCAAGGTGTCGGGAAAGTCGTTTCATGACTGGACGAATACGTCCAGCCTTTGGTTCAAAATCGACAAGCAACGGCCACGAAGAGTGTTCTCGGGGACCCGCAGCCTACCTGCATCATCAAACAAGGGGAATCCGGTATTAGTGCCAGATTCAAGTGCGAGCTCCGTAGAGTACGGGGGAGACAGAAGATCGAAGAAGCCCAGACTACGAAGTCGTAATCACTCTCCCGAGCTCGATCCAGATGAGGACGTCCTTACGCCTAGGGCGCGACGCACTCGCGCGCCGATCAACGATCATGGTGCAACTGACTTCTTCGCGTCGATGAAAAGCAAGACGGACGCAGATTGGGAGAAGGAGGCGAGAGTGGTATCCCAAGATGCAGAAGTGTCAGTGATACTCGTTCAGAGGTGTCTGTGCTCACCCTTCACCTAGCAAAAATCACATCGGCTTGGGATTGCAGGACCAAGAAGACGAGGAGAGCGGAGCGCTGGATGCGGAGGACGATCACTTCAATGGACAATTCACTGCGGAGGAGATCGCATACTGCGAGCAATTTGTGGAACGTTCGAGGCCGTGTCGAGTGAGCATCCTACGTCTGGGAAGGCTACTGACGAACCGCAGTACTGTGGCGAACCGATGCCAAAGGTGCTCAGTCATGTGCTACAGGATCTAGACGTCGAGATGAGCTTGGCGGAAGCGAGTCTGCCAAGAGGTCGAAAGCTGTCGTGGGAGCGATCTGTCGAGTATTGTGGGCGCCATGAAGCCGAGACTACAGTCATTCCGTTAGGCAAGCGGGCTGGTTATCCAAATCGTATCGACTTTGACCAAACCCGAAGAATACTGGAACGACCAGAGCTTCGGTCTCGATTGGAGGCAGTGTCGCAGGACCCTCTGACATCAACATTCTTTACCGACATACTTCGGACGGTCAAAGCCACAGGACGCAATAAGTGGCAGCAGAATGAAGCAGTCTTGGCTGCTTCACTGCCAGGATAGTGAGTGTATCTTCGGCTGGCGTGAGTCTGACCGATCCAGCTACGGAGATCATGGCCGAAATGTCTTATTGGAGCACTTCCTTCTCCTCCTCAAATGGAAACTCCTACGCGTAGACCGGAGCAAGATTCAGCCGCTGTCGGTATCCAACTTCATTCAGCTGGTCTTGGTGCCCGAGGCTGCTGTGCTCCTCATCATGGTCGACAAAGGCTGGAAGTGTGATATCAATGGCGAATCCATCGCCAGAGAAGAGGCCATGCAGATTCGGGCACAGAGTTGGAGGTATGGGCACGTGGCGTTCCCGGAATCGGCGAGAGAAATCACCAAGGCAGGAGAGAAGGAATGGATCCGCTTGTATCATGAAAATCGGCATTTGGATACCCCGAGTCGCAGACGGAAGAAGACAAGGGTCGAGGCTTCCATGGACAAGCCAATGGAAGTGGTTGAGGTGTCGTCAGACACGACAGATCCATCTGAATGCGAGACGGACTGGTCGTTATCTTCGGAGTTGTCGGACGCTTCGGGCGGTGGACCTGGGCTCCAGAGTGCAGATGAGTCAGACGACGCTCGGCCTGTCATTCCCAGATCGAGGGCTCGATCAGAAAGGATTTCGACACCGAATGAGGGAGAAGACGAGCACGAAGATGATCCCGATACAACGATAAAATTGTCCGCCTCACAAGCAAGCTCGCTGTTTGACTCGGACATCGATCCGGAGAAGTTCATGGCTGCTGCTGCGGAGATCGAAGGCAAAGCTCGAATGATGTGAGGAAGGCGAATGGGGCGAGCATGCTCTCCGTATCCTGTATCTATATTCGCGCAACACGAGATGATATGAGACGATATGACATGCAGGACTCCACGTGTTTCTTAGGTGCCCCGGCCTGCCTCCACATCGGGTTTCGGCCATACCGGTTTATGATTAATCGGGATGTGTGTGAACATTGAGGTAAAATCAGATGTCATTCTGCTTTTGGACACTTGACTCTACCTCGACCCTATCGGACCACTCAGGAAGACATCAATAGGGGTGTCACTGATCGATTCTATTGCGACGCCATGTCTGCAAACCTTCGGTATGGCAGCTTGATGGACGAGGAGAAGGGCAAACCTTCTGTTCCAGAAATAGCAACCTCCGAGATCAAGATCAATCGGAGGTGGGCAGGAGTCAGAGGAGTATGCAAAATCCTGGTGGTCGTCTTGTTCGTCGCTTTCCTTGGCCATCGTCATCGACACCACATTGTCAAGCACGAAAAGTCTGGACCTATCGATTGGAAGCCATGCTTTGATGGACCTCATGCCTTGTGCGGGACCTTTGAGTGAGTCACTCCCCCGGTCCAAGTGTCTGAATCTACAGGGTCCCAACGGATCATGATGATCCATCCTATGGCAGCACATGGCTGTCTATGGCAAAGATTCCACATGATCCCCAGAGTGGAAGTCGTCTAGGCTCAGTTTACACCAATCCCGGTGGTCCCGGAGGATCTGGCAGAGCAATGTGCCTCAGATATGGCGAAACGATACGAGACCTCGTTGGCGGACGTTTCGATATTATCTGCTTTGATCCCAGAGGAATCTCCCGGACTGTTCCACACGTCAATTGTTGGGGTCAGGCAGAGGATCAAGCCAAAGCTCTGAGGGGTACGGTCCTTGATTCAACGTTTGAGGTCCCTCTCGATCTCGGGGATCCGGCTTCTCGAGCGCTCCTCGAGTTTCAACAGAAGCAAGCTTTGGAACTCATGGAGCTTCAAGCAACGGTTTGCAATCAGACTATGGGAGCGGAGGTGCTTAAATGGATGGGTACTACAACATTGATCAAGGACATGATGTACATGAAGAATGCTATCGACGGTAAAGACGAGCCGATCAATTTCCACGGCGGAAGTTACGGCACTATTGTCGGTGCGTCTGTCTGTCTTGTCCAGATACCGGCTGACGGAGTGTCAGCGGATTACCTCGTGAACATGTACCCGAACCAAGTCGGCGCCGTCATCTCACATGGTGTCGTAGATGCATCAATGTGAGTAAAGCGACAGGGCTAGACGTTCTTCCGCTCATTGTGATCATCAGATGGTCTGGGGAGTATTACGAGACCTTCAACTTGCTGGCCGATCTTCTGGAGCATGCGGAGTGAGTCTGAGTTTTCTTTGAAGAGCTGAATCCGTCCAGTGCTGCGTTCGAGTCCTTCATCGAGCAAACCTTTTGTGCCGAACAGGACCCAAGTCTCCAGAGTTGTGTCAAGGACACTCTTGGGCGAATTGAAAAACTCTGGCAAAGTCTTTATCAAGGCAAGCAAGTCATCGTCGATGGTGATAAGCGTGGTCTGCTGCCAAGTGGCGAGGCTCGAAGTGAGCACGGCGTGTCAAGAGGGATGCCCTAAAATTGACTAGATCTTTGCAGAGGTCATTTTCAACAGTATTCAGTCCGCAGCTGCTTTGCCTGGCCTTATGGCTGCTCTTCAAGCTGCCATGGACGAAGAGCATCCAAACCTCGTACCACTGTATGAAATGGCCCAAGCTTTCCGAACGCTGGATCACGACATTGTGAACGGGGATGGTTACGTCTCAATAGGACAAGGGGATCTTGCGAGACTGGCAGTGAGCTGTGCGGATCAGCCTGCGTACCCCACCTCTGGTAGGAAGCCTACGGCGCGGGAACTGGTCAATAATCTGTACGATGGGCCAATCAAGGCGTCAAAATACTTTGGTGCAACGTGAGTGCACTGAGATGTTCGGGACCGAGCTGATGAGACATCAGTGTACATCTCATGGAGCAGCACGGAGGATGTCAATTCTGGCCGAGAAGTCCAGAACCTGTTGACAGGTTTACAGGTCCTTGGAATGTAAGTGATGGCTCCGCTGAACGATAAGAACCATTTATGACAAATGCCCTCAGGCTACTCTGAGACAGCGCATGCTACTAGTATCGAACGAAAGTAGGCTCCCTCAGAGTATCTGTGCATCAACCTGACTCGTTACTCCTCCTCAGACGATCCAATAACACCGGCCAAATCCGGCTCTCAGGTAGCCAAGCGACAAGGCGCATCGGCGCACCATCTCATTCAGCCTGGAATAGGTGAGTATCTGTTTAGACGGGATAACGATGCTGATAATCCAGGCCACTCCTACCTCGTCACGCCATCGGAATGCTATAAACAGGTCGCGAAGCGGTACTTTGAGACCGGACATTTGCCGGACGGAGATGAGACAATCTGCCATGAGTAGGGCAGTGCTCCAGAAGAAATCCCAAAGATGCATGTAGCGAAGGGAAGAAGCAGGTCAGAGAATGCAGGTCCAAGGATCACATATTGTCCGAAATAAGAAAATGGTCTGGAAGGTCCAAAAGAAACGATTCAAGAGCGAGACATGTTTGATTTCAGGGATGACAAGCCGTCGCCACACCTCCACCTTGTTGTTCAGCCCAGCGTCGCAGCGTATTGCCTGTTGGCAACGTTGTCGTACATGCTTCTGACGGTGACACTCGATTGCCAGCTGCCATCGCCAGTCCAGTCGTTCCAGACTGTGAAGCTGACAGTTTTTGACTCTCCTTTGGCGAGCCAGAAGCCATTATCGGAGAAGTACCCAGAGACCAGGTGAGAGTCGAAGTCGAGGACGACCCAGACTGCCACCGCGGAAGGCGCAGAAACTGTAAAGGTGTTGCTGTTGGATCCTTTGGCGAGTGTGAGCTGGGGATCGGCCAATGTGGCATTGTTCAAGGGAACAGGGTGATACCATGACTCGTGTGTAAAGGTCTGTCCGTTACCTGACACAGTCGTCGATAGCCTAGCGACCACAGTTGAAGGATCAACCTTGGGCTTGATGAATGTTTGCATGGCGCTTGGAAGGTCGTAGACCTTCGTCGAGTTGACCGCTCCGATGGTGACTGGGGTGTTGTCACAATTGTAAGGAACGGGCGCTGTGATGTTCTCGCCTGACCAATCCATCCATTGGAACGTGACTTGACCAGTCACGGGGAAGAATTGATCCGATGTGACCCAGACTTGAAGGTTGTCTTGAGTCTGGTCATAGTATGATCGGACGATGACGGGCGAGTAGATGTCCATGGCAGAGTAGAGCAGGGTCTTGGATTTGAGGTTGGCAGTGACCGCTGACCAAGTTGGGGCGATCCAGACATCGTTGAACATCCAGATGAGAGTACCGAGGTTCCTCTGAGGTTGAGAAGAGTCTCGTCGGTACAAGGCAATCTGGTCAGAAATGATGTCGGCTTGGAACACCTGAGAGCCATAGATCCAGGCTCTGAAGGATGGTCGTGGCGTCAGGGCTGGCCCTCTATGACAAGCAGAGTGGACTCACGTGAAGTTGGCTGCTGGGTCTTCGATCTCAGGTACCGGGTAAAACATGACTTGACCGCTCAGTTCCTGGTCGATTCCCTTGATACTGTTCTCCACGGGTGGCAAGACTTGACCGAAGAAAGCACCTTCGTGGCGGTTGTGGTAGATGATCACGGGGTCGTAGCACGAATCAATATTCTCGCCAATGTTGTCCAAAACATCAGCCGTGGGAAATGAGTTCCAGCCTTGGGAATATTAGCTAGGAATAGTCCTGTTGTACTCACCAAACTCGACCATGAATCGGGTGGAACCGTACTGATTCGGTTGGAAGGCTTGGGAGGCTGATCCGAGATAGCCTTCAGTATCGTTGTAGTAATAAGTTGGGGATGTGTAATTGTGGTATCTGGGCGTCTGAGGCGTGACAGAGTCAAAGTCCAAAGCGATGTATCCATTGTATAGCGAAGAAGGGATGTAACTGATTCCACGGGTATTGGCGTAGACGCATTTGATCAAGAGTTGCTCTTGAATGGCAATGTATTGGTCAAAGATACCAGGATTCCCGCCCCAGAACTGTAACTCATCCGCTTCGAGTTCATTACCACCGACCCAGACGGCCAAACTTGGATGATAGTTGATACGACGAATGTTGTAGTATGCTTCCGCCTCGTACATGGCCAAGGAGGCCGCATCTCCCTGATAAGCACCATCCGAGAATTGGAATTCGGACCACATGAGGAGACCCATTTGATCGGCTAGGGTGTAGATATAGTCATCGACATAGACACCAGAAGACCAGATTCGCAGCATGTTGAAATTGGCCTGTACGGCGAGCTCGAAGAGCTGCTCGGCGTACGTTTGGTTCACATTGGCCCACAGAGCATTCAGAGGGACGAGTGCGGCACCCTTGGCGTACATTGTTTCACCGTTGATTTCAAAATGCCAATTGTTACCTCCTGCGATGCCTTTTGCTTGATCCGCAGCCGATACAGTTTCTCCATTCAGGACAATGGTTCGGAATCCTACTTGACGCTCAACCACAGTGGGGTGAAAAGTTGAAACACCGCTGGGAGGAGTGACACTGATAGCCGCTTGGTATAAGGTCTGTGCGCCCATGCCGTTCGGCCACCACAATTGCACACTCGAGGCAGGTATGACTGTGGAGCCAGTGATTGTTTGTCCGTTCGTAGTGATGCCAGAAAGTGCGGTCGACGCGACGACATTGCCACTCTGATCCGTCAAATTCAGAGACAAGCCTGAACCAGTCGGGAGCGAACCAAAGTAATCGAGACTTGCGTTAAAAACCCAGTTCTGAGTCTGATCAGGAGGCAAATTGTTCATTTGACCTTGTCGGTAGATATCAATGGCGGCATTGTTGACATAGATGGATCCAGGTACAGAGGTGTCAAGTTGAACGAGTGAAATGTTACGCCAAGGACCAGCGGGTGAGATGTTGGGTGACCAATCCCAGCCTCTGGAAAGCATGTCAGCCTTGAAGCAGAAGCAACTGAAGACTGCCGCTCACTGGTCGCTCTGTTCCTTCCTGATGAACTCTCGGCACGTTGGTGGGGTTCCGCTTGCTTCACAGCCGTCTGCGAATTTGATATTGGCTATGAAAGTGTCAGATTGCCTATTGCGCGATGTTGTCGACTTACGGTCACCCTGTAGACCTTGCTCGATTGAAATGTTGTAAGCGGGACCGAAGTTGATCGAGAAAGGGACAGGACTCTGAGAACATGATTGAGAAAGCGAGGTCACGTCGACAATATATTGGAGGTATTGATTATTGGTTGTGACGACCTCTTGATCACAAAAGTAGATGGTGGTGAACGTATCGAGACCCTCAAACACCAAGTGGGTCGTGAGCTGAGATGATTTGTTCCTAATGGGAAGATTAGAACGATGCAGTGTATAGGTCGCTTACAAAGTGAGTCCATTGTGATTATAACTCCAGTTGGAATATTGGACCCAATGTTGGTCGTCCTCTTGATACCCATATAGAACGTCTTCAGTGACCCCGGCATTGTGTAGATCGATGTAATTTTGAGACGGAACATGAGCCGGGATGGATTGGAAACTGTCATTGCCGGGCGAGGTCAGAGTCCATTGGTCCCCATTGAGACTGAATACGGAGACAGAGCCTCCCATGGTGAGTCAGTAGAGAGATCGAGGACCAGGGAAGACCACTTGTATCAGAGAGTGGGTCAGGTCTCCATCTTCGAAGCACTGCATATATACATCTTCATGTTGGAATGAACCAATGTTGAGTCTCGCGCGTTTCTAGGCTGATTTCTGACTCTGAACACGACACGACCAACTCTCATAGAAATCAACACGCACATAAGCTTTCGGATCTGATGAAACGACGTGCAGCAGTGCTGAATGTTTTGGGCAGTTATAAGCTCTAAGTGAACGCCTCATGCGGGGGACCAGCAGAGATCTGATCATTTCGAGCTATTTTCTGATGAGCGTGGCGTAGCATCCAAGGCGGACCGAGGGATCGCAGGTGGAGGTCGGCCGAGAGGCGGGGCGGCGGCAAGAGTAGGAGCAGCTGCAGCTGCTGCCTGCAAACCTCTTTGACCGCTGACTTTTGCCGCAGCGTCGCTTCACAAGACGAACGATGTAAACAAAGAAGAAAATATAAATGAATCGGATGATTTGGGACATGTGCTTGGTATGTATTCAGGCGAAGTGTTTCCCAAATCCGATGGCGACGGGATCAGCTGCTTTCTAGGGCTAATTTCTTGACGAGATAATATCCTTGTATGGCACACGATGGAGACAAGGTTCCGGGCGGTGGCTTGAGTAGAGACGGATGAGATGCCGAGGAATGTTGGGGTCGCACAGCGGGCCGTGATTGGGATTAGCTGCTGACTTGTGTGTGCTACGACGCAAATGCATTGGAAATTCGGTAAAAAGCAGCCTGTCGTGGTGGCCACCAACTTTGAAGGTGACGGTCGACATTGTAGGCGGGCTCGTCACCCTCTCCTCAATTCCTTCCCCATGCCGAACAAGGGCAGCTGTCAGATACTACAGTATGTTTATCGAGCACATGACTCTCGACAGCTGGCCTTCGGGTTGATAAAAACTGAGAGCCTGAACCTCCCCCCCCTCCCCCCCCCCCAAAAAAAAAGGATAACAAGTCCATTGGGGGATCGAACCCCAGATCTTACCCTCCTTCGAAAAGATAGGAAAGGTACGCCGTACCGCTGGGCCAATGGACCTACCGAAAATTTCGTTCAAAAAACCGCCCGGCCATGGTGACATATATACCTTAAACAAAAAAGAAAAGGAATGCATCACAGAAATCGTGAGTACCATTGATGGTGCAGGTCAATTGTGAGATGCATGGCATCCACACTGTGATCTGTTGAAGGCCCTCCCTATGGATTGAGCCTTCCCGGGTTTTGCAACCCAAGAGCTACAACTTACGTAACCTTCCCCCTTGTTTCAGAAAGGCGTCGATTCCCTTTGGTGAAGGACAGTCGATTCTTCTTTCACCTTTCACACTATCTCATCATCGTTGACATCAACCATGGAGGCTATCAGGGTTCAGCCAGGAGAGACTGTCACGCAGCTGAGAAGGGAAAACCATGATGCTGAGGAAGATCCCACACTGTCCGCTCCGCCTCGGCCATTTCCTGTTGACGAATTGGCTCAGCACAGACCTCGAAGCCGAGTTCAAGACGTAAGTCCTCGAAGAGGAACTTCACTGACGGTGACAGACAGCAGCGAGCATCCAAGCAGTTCAAGCCAGTATGATTCGGTATTTGGAATCGTTCATTGCGGATGATTTTGTTGTTCGCCTTCCAGACAAGGACCTCGTTCGGGTCCTGACAGAGCTCCTTGAAGCAACTTACGAGCTCGAATCCACACAGTCTTTTGCGTCTTCATCAGCCCAGCTAGACCCATCATCCCTTCCTCCTGGTCAGGTTCTGGAACATCTCTCACACCAGCTCTCATCACTGTACATCTCCACCCTGTCCCGACCGCCGCCCACTTTCAACCAGTCAATCGAACCTCGAGATCTCCATCCTGCGATACATTTTGTGCACGAGGAGCTGGTCTGGAGCCGTGTGGAGTCGCTCACTCATGCGGCTCTAAGCATGATCAGATCCGGCTCGCAGGAGAATGACTCGCCGGAAGGGGAAGCAGAGATTGCCACGCCTGTGGAGCATGCTGTAGACCCTCCGCATTACACTTTGGATCAGCCGGAAGAGTCGTTACCGCATTACGCTCCTGACGATTACGACGAAGCGACTGATGACAAGTCCGAAAGCCCGCACTCGATGAGTGATGCCGCGGACGAAAAGATGCACCAGGATCTTATGAATGTCTACGATGCCATCGATCGATTACACACTGTAGCTCCAGGATATCACGATCAGCGCTCAGAGCTCCGACCGGGTCTGTCGCAAGCGGACAGGAGACAAGCCGAGATACGAAGGGAGCGCGAGAAGATGAGGGAGCTGGAAAAGATATGGAATCTCATCGAGCGGACACACAAAGGAAGACAGACGGACAAGCAGAGGGCGGAAATTTGGGGTGGCTTGGACGGACAAGTGGGCATTGCTGCAAGATGCCGGGCTGACAAGCTTCAGGCCTCAGCACAGGCGACTGCCTCGGGCAGATTTTCCGGAACGCGAAGCATCAACCGAGACCTAGCTCTTGCCGAGGATCTACGGAGAGTGAGTCATCGTGCAGTCTCCTCCCTAATCTCGCAGCGTGATGCCGAGGTCAAACGTTTGCTGGTCCCCGAGCTCTCAGCTCATGAAGCTGCAAAGCATGCTCAGGTGAGTCTGGCTCAAGTCCGTTGTCTGATGAGACAGCGACAGGCCTTCATAGCGGATATTCTGTCGCGCTCGAAGGCAGGCCGATTGGTCGATCAAGAGTATCCAACGAGTTTCGAGGATACGATGAAAGACAAGCGCAAACAGTTCGTCGAAACGCTTGTCGACTTCTCCTCTTCGCGCCGGTACGGTGACCAGGACTCTCTGCCGCCCACGCCAAAGACTGCCTCAGGCATTGACAACACCTCGGAAATCGTCACGGTCGGGGATTTCCTGCGCTCGAGTTCGGGTCCGAAGACGCTCGGTCGGAGCCGATCACAATCTCTCCCTATTGACGATGCTGAGACCGAAAGGCCAAAAACGACTATGAAGCAGAAGTTATCAGGGATGATCAGGCGTAGTAGTGCGGCTTTGCATCTTCAATCGAAAATTGATCAAGGTAAGTCTTGGCAGGAGGCGATCGCTGAACTTCAGGTGACGCGCTATCATACTTGGCAGAATATCAAGAGAATCTCCACACCATACAGTTGATGGTCCATGGGCCGGGCCTCTTGCTCAAAGAGCAATATGTGCTAGAAACGTCATCTTCTGGTCCCAGCCGAAGCGCGAACCTTAACTGCCAGGCCGTCCCCTTCAAGCTGCCCATCCAGATGCCTTGCCATGTGCCAGGCAGCCAGTCTGTACCCATGACACTGTCAGATCTTCACCTAGAGTCAAAGCTCAGGGCCTGTCCCTCTGTTGACGGCTCGCTCGATTCTACACTACGACACCCGTTCATGTCATCGGAGCTCCGGAGCATTTCACCTAGCGGTCTATGCTGCGCGACTTGCAGTCGTCAGCTCGCGCATCTCACCAGCGTCCTCGATGCCGAAGCGAGATCCACAGGGGCCGGCTTTAAGAATCTGCCCTCGGAGCATTGGGCTGAGATGATGGAGGTCTGGATGTGCCATCCGGATCCCGCATTTACCTCTCGCGTGGCGCAAAGGAATAGAACTGGATTTTGGCCAGCAGACGATCAGGTCCTGATCGGGAACAACTACCTGCTTATTCATCCGGATGATCTAGTCATTTACAACTGCAAGAATGGCAACCTCGATCAGGTAAGTCATGCCCTCAGCAGCGCCACCGGACTACAAGAAGGCCATCGTCATTTCCCATTGACGGTCCGTTGTCTGAGCCTCGATGGAACCCATTGACTCGGATGTAAAGCTCTTGCAAGTTTTCGTCCGATTTCATTGGCAACAATCGTGGGGAATGACACGGCATCATCGGTCGATACAAAAGTCCCATACGGAGGTACAAGGATTGGTGTTCAATCCTGCCGTGTATCAAATCTTCCCTTGCTCGAGTTTAAACGAGGGGCGACTACACTCTCGGCGACATAATTCACATGAATTCAGCGCTGATGACTTACAGACCGGACGGTGGGCCAGTCTGACTTGTATCTGCGGCCAAACGCTAGGCAAGCAATACGAAGTACCAGGAGAGATCGGTCATGGCACCGTCAAGTTTTACAAGTGGTCCGTCGGTCTCATTGCCACCGGTCTAGACACATCGTGAGTCTCCTCAGAGGGCGATATGCTGACACTCAGTCCTGAACAGCCTTGCTTCTCGACGTACGTAGTATCCGATATGCTCGAGTTGGCTCAGGCGCATGCGACCTACCGCTTCAACGTCCTTGATGAGGAGACTGGGACGCACCGACTCTGGCTTTGGCTCTTCACTCCCTCGTTGCGGGTGGCATACCGCACATGTTCATCTGCTCTGCCCACACCTAACGTCCCCACGGGGTCGACTCGAAAATCTGCCTCTACCGACAAATCGCGCGAGTCAGCTGGGATCCGTGCCTCCAAGATCATGTACCAGATCCCAGATGATGTCACGAGGTGAGCGCGACGCTCAGAGGTTCACTGACGATATACAGCGAATGTGCTATGTTCGGAGAACATTCCCAAGTCGAAGAACTGCGCTATCCGCGCGAGATCTGCGAAAGACTGGCAGAAACGCTGCTGTGCAGCACTTTGGCGTATCCTGTCGCCAAACGAAAGATGGGCAGCTTTTCCGTTGGCTTTCTCGAAAGAGTTTAGTAAAATCTTGTCAAAAAAGCCTGTACAGCTTGTATCACCCCTGTTGTAGATCATCATAATCATCATTTGCATGCTACGAACATCATGATCCAGACCACTTTCCGTCCTTAGAGTATCGTATACGTTTGATAGCCTCTGACGACTGGATTTCACCCTGAGTGAATTTGATCTCGCGAGCGCGCGCCAGTGATTTTGAGAATCTGTCCAGGGCTTTGGGAATGTCAGAGTCCAGCTGAAGGATGTTCAGCTTGATATTCGAGTGTAATAAGCTTACCTCTGCCATCATGCCGAGGTTGAAGAGTGCCACGCTTGCCGCTCTGCCACAGATCTGTTTCGCAGATTCTTCATCTAAGGCCCCCTTGGCGTCTTCCATAGCCCCATTGGTGAGCTCTATAGCTCGTACAGCCCATGATCTGGATATTTTTCGAGCATCCTTGGATGTAGACTGGTGCGAGTGTCCAGAAATACTCGTCATGAGCTGGTTCAATCGTCAATACCAAATCGTTGGAGATTCTGCGCTCACCATTGCTGCCTGACATCTATCTCTCGGAAGAGGCTTAGTCTCATTCGGCGGCAACAGCGTTGATATAGCCTGCAACAGGAGCTGCTGAGCGTACTCGAATTGACCTTTGCGGGCGTAAACTTCCGCCAGAGCCTCCATGGTGATTCCGAGACCTTGACGGTCGATGAGGCCCTCCAATTGACTAGATGAACCTGAAGGAAGTTGAAGATCTCTTCCAACAACAACTGGTTCCTCGTTCTTGCTTTTCTCCGCCGACTGAGGCGCAGTTGCCAGACCTATCCGCAGAAGAGCCGTCACTGCTGACGAGAGATGATACTCGGCAGCATCCATGAATGAGGTCGGACCGCTCTGCACAGTGGCAGATAAATCTCTTGGGTAAGGGTAAACTCGAGCAGATGTCGCCAGCTGTAAGGCGAGTTGACCAAGTTTCTGATGCAGCGCAATGACTCGCAAGTGATCCTCCTGACTTAATGGTTGACAGCCTGACCATTCTCCAGATATCCTCTCGAGCGGATTGGCAGATAATGCATGAGGTCCGAACAGGTCCAAAGCCTCAATGAGCTTTCGATACGCTCGGAAGCTTTGACCAGAGGTCTCCAATAGCTTTGCGTACTCTGCGAAGAGCCCCGACAGCTTGATCAGAGCATCTGGTCCGAAATCGGAGGCAGGGAGACCCAGAGATATTTCCAGGGCTCTAAGGGACAAGTTCAGTCGTGAAGGTTCCATCTTGGCGTCAGTGAAGTCAGGCTCACTTCTGAAAGTTCTCCTCGGCTTCCTCAATCTCTCCATAGTATCTATGCCTCACTGCCTCTCTGAGCGGTTTCCTTACGGCTGGAGGATATGTACGAGCGCTCGCGAGATAATCGACGCTATGGCAACGGACTCAGCTGTGGTCCAATGACCTTCTGGACTTTTCTCACATCATGTACGTCGGATATAGAAGGATTGTCCCAATGGCTACCCAGAAGATGGGATGGACCTTGATTCGAGATTTCCTCCCAGCGTCAGGTGGTGGACCGGACAGAGTGGAATTGAACCGAGCCATTGGTTCGATGACCGCTGTGCGCCTGGGACCGGCCGGAACTGTTCTAGCTGACAGAACCCTAGTCGTCATCCTTGAAGGACCACGACAGAAGGCTCGGAGAGCTGTTATGCTCTTGTCACCCATCATTTTCCCGTCGCAGAGGAGGAGGATACAAGGCCAAGGTTGAAATGATCCATCATCGAGAATTGAAAATTACCGACTTTTGACCTTGCATGTCGTCTCCTATCCACTCGTCAACTCTGATCGTCTAAGTAGACTCTGGCCGTCAGCGAGAAGCGCCCACCATGTCCGTTGCTACTGCTCGGCCTCCCATAGCAGGAGCTGGAAGCAGCACCTCTGTCCATCATCGAGCTGGTCCCTCACGGAAAACCGGACCACCGGCTGGGTTCGAGGTGCTCTCGGTATACCAAGCAGCCCTGGCAGCTGATGTGAGTGCAAGCGACCAGCAGACCTCGGAGAAAGACCATGACCGAATGTATCACAGCTTCCCGCGCCTATTGCTGCTATCATGACACTGGTGTCACTGATGGAAGCCTCTTCCTGTGAGTAATAACGCCTTCACCCCCTTTGACTCATCACTCTCAGCTACTACGATGACTGGTTTGGCTAGTGAGGTGAATGCCGGAACGGAGATCTTGCAAGACAACCAAGCAAATCTCGGCGTCAGAGCTGGCTGTCAATTGTGGGAAAGATTCTTTGCATCATCTGGCGGAGGTCCAGAAGTGAGTCGAAGCAGCGGTCTCCAGAAGGTCTGACAATTTCAAGGACTTTGCAACGGTCAAGAAATCGCTGATCAACCAAGGCAAGCAATTCTGTCATGTCACTGCGCCAGCGTGTAGGGAAAAGATTGCAACGCTCGCAGCAGACTTTCTGGTCGATGGATGCACTGTGAGTCCTCCCGGTGACACCTGGCCTAATCATTTATTCAGGTTCTCACACATGGCTTTTCTCGAACGGTCATTTTGACACTGCTGAAAGCTCACAAACAAAGCAAGCGATTTAACGTGTATATAACCGGTGAGTAGTAGAGCATGCTGATGGCTATGGATGTTTGCTGATACCATGCAGAGGGTCGGCCAAGTGGCATGGGGTGAGATTGCTCTTAAGGTGCTGTGTCCGAGTCCAGCTCACTTCTCCTAAGCATGCGAACACACAATGTCTTGACGAAAGCTGGCATTCCCTGTGTGGTCGTTCTAGATAGTGCTGTATCATACGTCATGGACAGGTGTAGCATGGTCTTGGTGGGAGCGGAGGCTGTCGTTGAGTCTGGTGTGAGTTTCCACCCGACCCGATGAAGGCGAGGCGAATGCCGTTGAGACAATACTACCAGGGTATCGTCTCCTACATCGGCACCTATCAGCTAGCACTGGTCGCTCGAGCGATGCAGAAACCATTCTATGCGCTTGCGGAATCCTACAAATTCCTCCGTCACTATCCACTTTCCCAGACCGATATTCCTCGACCGAAACACACCGGGATCCCACTCTTGTTCACACATGATATCCTTCGTACGCCTTCGAAGCCCGATAGCGCTATGGATGAGGCCAAGTCCCGGGTCTCAAAAGATGTTCGTGTGGAGATGACGGAAGGAATGGAGGAGCAAAACCCACTGGTCGACGTCACGGCGCCGGAACTGATCGACTTCATCTTTACCGATCTTGGGGCGCCTTTAAGTCCGACGAGCGTCAGTCAATACCTTGTTGCGCAATTCGCCTCCTGAAACGGCTCATCACTGTCATGTACCTGCATGCTCCGCCTTCCAGACTGACAAGGTCTGCAATCAGTATCATGATGATGTTCAGTTCAGCTGTACCATCCCTGCTAGTGACTGATGAGGCTTTGGCCATTTGTGATAAAGGATGCTGTTATGAATAGCTGGGACTCTCCCGCCGAATGTCACCCATAACCATCTTCATCAAGCACCATTCAGCGTCTGAGCTAGCTTCTTACTGATGAGAAAGCGGGCAAAAAGCTCAGAACCCTTCTGCTGTTCCCACCACAGTACATCTCGTACTTGATAGCGATAAGAAACTACGTCTATAGCGCCGAGAGACAGACCTCGGTTGCTCTGCGATCCAGTGGGGTCAAGTACTTTTCATGAACAAGGAGTGCTTCGGGAGTGGATTGGGGATCCGGGGGATATTGAGGAAAAGTCCATCCACATCTCGCAATTGGCGTTTCATATCCCCGTTCACGTACCAAGCGATCTCAACAGAATCAGTCAAGTGGGGTGGGTGGCTCATAGGCAATGAGGCCAATATGCATGAACAATGCATGCTGACCCAATCGACACGGCCCGAGCACCTGCGTCAGTCTGCCTTGCTCAATACCAAGGTCGGTGATGATTTATCATCTCATAGAGGTCGTAAGAGGTGACCGCGTTGCTCGTCCTCAATAAAAGCCCTGGCAAATTGTTAAATGATCCTGACCTGCCACCGATCAGACTCACCCTATAGCCTTCATTTGGTCCCCATGCCGCGATAGGTACGCCCGGAGTACATTTCTATCCGCATGAGGAAGCACTTCGCTCATCGACCTTAGGTCATCTTCTTTGACTGGCGATCCCCCCTTCCAAAGGCTAGAAGATTGGACTGTTGGATTCCGTGGTCCACCACTCTTCAGTTGACCGACATGCCCATCTAGTGAACCGCGCGATCCTCCAGCCCCACCTGGCCTAATTATCCCTGTATCGAGACTTGATCGACCGGGGACACTGTCGGGATCCTTCATTGGTGGAGGAGGGGTGAATGAGCTTCTGGGTCCTCGAGGTCCACTGATCCCCGTTACTGATCGAGAGTCGTCAGATTTCGGGGGCGTCGTCGTATGGTAGGATGAAGGCGAAGAGATAGGCAGACCTCGGACGTCCTTCTTGGACATGGACGGTGGTGGACCTAACGACACACTGTCCTTCTTGCTCGACTTTTTACCAATGTTTGAGAAGAAACCTCCCTTCTTACTTGTGGTACTGGCCATGCTCTGCATGGACTGGGAGGTCTTCATTCCGCCTCCCATGCTCAATTGCTGGAGTTGAGGGTAGGGGAGATTCGGCGGCAGAGCAGAGGGCTGATCAAGAGGATCGATGATCCGTTGATGAATCTCTCGTGCCGAGTAGGCATCGGTCCGCATGGGAAATTCGGAGCCAGTGGAGACGTTACGACCATGAGCCACAGGAACAGAGAGGGAAGACGACGAGTGGGGGAAACCTTTCATGCCGAGTGCCGTGCGTGAAGACGCGTTGGAACGCATGGGAAGTGTGCGAGATTGTGAAGCTAGAGAGTCAGTTCTGCAAGGCGGAGCACGACCTACAAATTGCCAAACACCAACCACGCAGACCCGAATCTGCTCTAGCAATCGCATTGATGCTCTTTGCGTACGCTTTCGCCCTGTCGCCCGGGTATCGAATGCTCTTGATGTTGCCAAACATCATCGCGGCGGGCCATGGTCGCGGACCAGTCATGGACGTGGGGGAGCTCAGGACCGTTTGCAGTCCGAATGAAAGTGTCGAATCATGCCTGCGGATTTGCTGTGGGCCAGGTACAGGCGGAGGAGGCATAGACTCAGATGCTGAATCGCTAAGGAGTGATCCGGCGCGAGCTGGAATGACAGACGGCGGTTGTGGCGTCGTGGAGGACGACCCTCGATGTTCGATGCGGCTAGACCGGAGTGGAGCCTCGTCATCCAGGGGAGCTGAAGGTGTGAGAACGTCTTTCTCGTAGTTCTCCGGCTCATCGTGATGCTGAGGTTGACATGACACTTCGAGCGACGTGTTCTCAAGCGAGTTGTTGCGTTGAATCTCGTTTATAGCTCCGCCAAGCATTTCAGTCAATTCGTGCAACGTGCCAGATGCGTTATCAGAAGATGCTCTAGAGGGTGATCGGGATGGTCGAGAGGGCGCTACGACCTTGTCCGGTGAGCCATCGGGCGAGTGCGAGGTGTTGATGATGGTCGGTAGGGACTGTGGACCGGCGCGAGGCGAAAAGTGTAGTGGAGACGTCATCTTGACAGGTGTAAGGACGTCTCCAGCCGGTTGACTGCTGTGACGGAAAGTCAACAGACATCATCGATGTGTAGACTCACTTGTTCCGCTTGGAGCTTCGAGGAGGTGGTTCCGGACTTCTGACTGGACTCGTATCTCGAGGAGCCGACCTATCCTTATCCGGGCTGAGATTCGCGTCCACAGCTTGCAGACTGCTAGATGCAGATATGGGTTGAGCAGGCAATGTCCTTCGGTTCCTCTCCCTTGAACCCTCTTCTTCCGTATCTAGCGGTCTTATGGGTGGTCCCACGGCAAAGGCAGTTTTGGATGGAGGGGCAGATTGTGGTGCTGCGGGCTGAGGAGACAATGCTGGTTTATGAGGTGTAGAAATGTGAGGTGATCCTGAGCCACCGGACGATGGTGAAGGGTAGAAACGCTGTCTCCCACTTCCAGGCGTGTAATTACTGGCACTTGGGCTGGCACCGGTTCGAGTCGTGGGCGTTTTAGTGATTGAGCTGGTGGATGGTGAAGGATTCCGGACGAATTGAGAGACATCGTAGGCCAATTGAGGGGTCTTTAGATCTTGACTATCGTGGTAAGGTGGTGCTGTTGGAGTATGATGCGCCGAATCGTACCCTCCTTCCGTCGTAGGTGCAGCACGTACAGTCGATACACTTTCTCTCGGTTCGGCCCGTTTCTTTGCCCATTCATTGGTGACATCTGCCGCTGGTGGTGGACTGACGACAGGAGGTGTGTTGGAAGTGTAGACGGCATAGTAGGCGTCCAACGTATCTGCTCTCATGGGCGGACCAGGTCGAGGAAGCGGTGATGGACCACTATGAGTGCTTGAGTACTCACTGTGATCTGACCATGCGCTTGGTGACTCTGTCGAAGGTGCCTGAACGTTGAGGTCTCGAGCTTGGATAGGCGGAAGAGCGTTGGATGTGAGGTATGAACCAAGTTTAGGAGCAGAGCTAGACAAGGTAGATGATGATGGATCAGGGAGGGGTGGCGGTGGCATCATCTCGTTTGCAGGATTCGATGATGAGGAGGAAGAAGGGTGAGATTCACGTAGGTTGTTCGAGGATTTGGATCTCATCTTTCCGTGTCCTCCTCTCACAGTCGTATCACGTTGATCAGATAGAAGGGCAATTCCAGAGTTGGAGGCTGAGGGCGAGATGCCAAGTGAAGAAGTGGATGATCTGGGTCCCGCTCCAGCAACCGAAGACCAATAATAATCTAGTCCTCCTGATGTATCCGTTGATCTCCGCCTCAACGAACGCGATTGTTGGCCTCCAGCAGAGGACAAGGAATTGATAGAAATAGCTATGAGTCACGTCAGACGTGGCGTGAGGGAGAGAGAGAGAGAGTCTCTAGATGGCGGACCTACCACTTCCTTGTGCGCGAGACATGGGTTCTCCCGTGGATAGAGGTGGAAGTGACGGGGCCTGAAGAATCTCGCGTGTGCCCGACATGATTCGACACGTCAGCCAGTCGGGACCTTGAAGAGCCAGAGCTGATCCTAGGAGCGAGCGAGCGGATATGGTCGTAGGAGCTCCTCCTTTACGCGCCAGACGAACCAATACAGTGCACACGAAACCTGAGACTGAATGCCGTTGGATGCGGAGCCAAGATTTCGGTTCTTTTTGTAGCGGGGTGACGGGGGAACCGGCTATGCTCTCTCTCTCTCGCCTTCTCTCTCTCTCTCTCGCCTTCTCTCTCTCTCTCTCGCCTCCTGTATGAACCCCTCTCATCCCATTCATACTGGGGTCAAGCACGACAAAGACAATGCATATGATGGTGATGGAGCGAGTGACCCTACCGAGAACCTCTAGAGACAATCTATTCTGCCTTTTCATGCACTCCATTCCCATTGACAGCATGTTCATTAACGCTCAGAGGCGCGGATGATTCGATTGACGACTGATCTAGGACACTCGTGGATATCCACTTGAGCACTTCGTCAATGATGATGACGGGGAACGATATCCACAAGACGGCTTTCCATTCTTCCCAGTTGAGAGGAGTGATTTGGAACAAGGTTCTGAAGAATGGGACATAAAGAATCATAAAGTGAAGACCCATGGATAAGGCGATGGAGGCCACAAGATAAGGGTTGGTCCAGATTGGTAGGGCGAGTAGAGATTCGTTTTCAGACAGCGAGTTGCAAGCATTGAACATTTCAATGACGACCAAGATGGATAATGATACAGTCGTAGCGCGTTGAGAAGGCGTAGAGGCGAAGATGGAACAGTCAAGGTGACTGAATGCGGAGGAGCATTGGTGGAAGTGAGTCTGGACGGAGCATCAGCATGGTGTATGAGGGAAATCACGATCCGCTCACGAGCTCATGGAAAGTGATTTGAGGGCCCTGCGAATAGAACATGAACCACCAAGCATATCCAAAGACCGTCGCCGCGCCGACATAAGTACCGATGACCATGTACCGGAAGAAAAGCCATCTGCCTACCAAAGGCTCAGAAGCAGATCTCGGCGGAGTCTTCATGATCTGATGGTCGGGCGGGTTGAAGCCGAGAGCAGTGGCCGGCAGGCCATCGGTGATTAGATTTACCCAGAGAAGCTGGACAGGAATCAAAGCTTCAGGCATACCGAGGAGGACGGTCAAAAAGATGGATACGACCTCTCCAATGTTGGAAGAGATGAGGTATCGGATGAATTGCTTCGTATTGTTGTAAATCGCTCGACCCTCTTCCACAGCCTTCTCGATGGTCGCAAAATTGTCCGTTGCAAGGACCATATCAGCAGCGAGTTTGGCGACATCTGTTCCCGACCCCATGGCGATACCAATATCCGCCTTCTTCAGCGCCGGTGCATCATTGACTCCATCTCCTGTCATGGCCACCACCAATCCCAGGCCTTGCAATAGGTCGACAAGCTGGGACTTATGATTTGGCTCTGTCCGACTGAAAAGGCTCGCCCGTTGGACCGCTTTGACTTTTTCGTCCTGTGACAATGCGTCTAATTCCTTTCCAGTGTAGCTCTTTCCAGTGAGGTCCTCGTCAGGACCGAAAACGCCAATTTCGCGACAGATGGTCTCGGCAGTGTTCTTGTTATCTCCAGTGATGACGATCGTCCGAATCCCCGCAGTCTTACACTTGGCAATAGCTTCTCGCACCTCAGGTCTCGGCGGATCCAACATGCCAACGAGCCCGACAAAGGTCATTTCCTGTTCGAATCTGACATAGTCCTCTGCTTTCTCTGTTTTATAGTGAGACACATCGCCATCGTTCTCGTCGATATATGCAAGGGCCAGTGTCCGAAGACCTCTCTTGCCGTAATCCAGCTGCGTTTCGGCAAGAGTCCGTCTGACATTGGGGGTGAGTGCTACAACACCAGAAGGTGTTATGACCTTGGTACAGCGTTCAATGACAGTCTCCGGGGCACCCTTGACCAGGAGGCTGTGAGAGTCACCGCTCCTTGTGAGAACCGACATGGACTTGCGATCTCGGGTGAACTCGAATGTCAAGAGCCTTTGGATCCTTGAGTCGTAATGATCATTGACGGCGGTGGCTCGAACAAGAGGCGCTAAGTCTGACAAGGTATCGTTGAAGGAATCCGAGTCCGATGCGAGCTTTTCGACCAAGACTTTGAGAGCAGCTTCGGTAGGTTCGCCGACGTTGGCGTAGGTATCGGTATCCTGAAGCTCAGCTCCGACTTGTCACACGCAGACTTACCTGGTTGTAGGCAATCTTGGCGTCATTGCATACCGCACAGATCTCCACCAGCTTGTTGACTGGAGCGGTACGGACTCGTGACTTCTCAGCTGTCTTACCGTCGAGCGTGGTGATGGAGCCTATCGGTGCGAACGTGGTTCCTCCAACGAGGTACTCGATGACGTTGTCTCCGTCAATAGTCGAGAAACGCGCGACGCTCATTTGATTGGTGGTCAGAGTACCTGAGCAGAGTCAGATCGGGGTCGATCAAGGTTCGACTCACCCGTCTTATCGGAACAGATGACATTGGCGCATCCTAGCGTCTCTACACTGGGTAAATTCCTGACGATGGCTCCTCGTTTCGCCATCTTCTTGGTCCCAAGAGCCAGACAAGCGGTGATGACTGCGGCCAGACCCTCCGGAATAGCAGCTACCGCGAGAGCAACGGCAATCTTGAGGTAGTACACCGCTCCTTTGAGCCAACCGTGATGAGACGGATCGGAGAAATGTCGGATGTTGACAAGCCATACGAGAATACAAATGACCGAGATGACTTTGGCGAGTTGTTCTCCGAAATCGTCAAGTTTCCTTTTCAAAGGTGTCTTTTCCTCCTCTTTGTTGTCGTCAGAGATTGACGAATGAATGGCCCCCAGTGCAGTATTCGAACCCGTCGCGACGACCAAAGCTTTCGCAGCTCCGTTGACGACCGTCGTACCTGAGAACAACATGTTGACCATGTCTTGTTTGACAGCGCTGGCATCTGATACCGTCGAATCGGTCTTGCCGACCGACATGGATTCACCAGTGAGCATAGCTTGGTCTACGCGAAAGGACGAAGAGGAGAAGGACAAGATTCGGCAGTCGGCAGGGATGCGGTCACCAACGTGGACAGAGACAATGTCACCAGGAACGAGTTGAGTCGCTGGGATTCGGCGCAGCTGACCTGACCGTAGTGCCAGAGCTTCATCGGGTGAGTATTCGCGAAGGGCCTAGGACGTTGTCAGGCGACGAAAGGTGCTGAAGGCACTTACATCGATGGCTTTCTCTGCGTTTGTCTCTTGGATAACTCCGACTGTTGCATTGGCGATAAGGATTAAGAAGATGACGAGAGGTTCCACGAACGCTGTCATCCATGAACCACCAGGTTCGGATGAATCTTCGAAAAGAGCCAAGACAAAGGAGACGATGGCTGAACCGAGGAGGATGAGGACGAGCTGGTCCTGGAATTGAGCGAGGATGAGCTGGAAGAGGGATGTGGGAGGTGCCTCGGGAAGTGCTGGTGGTATGTCAGTGCTGTTGAAGGTGTTGATGCGGGACAGCAGGTACTCACCATTCTCCCCATACACTTCTCTACTGCTCTTGACCTGCTCTTCGGTCAGACCCCTGTCCTCGGCTGTGCCAAAGTGAGCCAAAGCATCTCGTTGAGACAGAGTCCAGGCTGACTTGAGCATCTTCTGACTGACGCGATGATCTGCGTATCGTGTCCAGCGTTTGGGTGTATCAACAACACATCAGATAGATTCAGCAACAACAAAAGGAAGATGACCAACTTTTTTCCCGACTGCCACGTCGTATCGACGCGACACGTGGCTCGGTGGCAAAATCCAGGGTGAGGGCAAAGGAACTCTACCGTGGGAAAGTGCAATGTCTGGGCGCGCGTCTGACTACAATGCAAGTTTGACAGTAAGAGCCTAAGGATCGTTGGATTGGGCAACAAGGGTCATGTCCGTCTTGTATCACTGTCCTCACCTGGACGAATCACGTCGACCACCTCTTCCGTCGTCCTACCCCTCGTCCTCCACCTCGTTCACCCCACTCCATTCGCTCTACTTTTGCGAAGAATGTGATGGGGTCAGGTGCAATCAATGCGTAGCAGTAGAAGTGGCCAGCTACTACTGTCCAAACTGCCTGTTCGACGTACCTAGTGCCAACGTCAGAGGTGATAGAAACAAGTGAGAGAGCTCCAGCCGAAGGGGTGCGTGGCTCATCGAATCAGGTGTAACCGTTCGTGCTATGCTTGTCCACAGTGTGCGACAGCTCTCCAGATCCAACCTACGGAAAAGATGGAGAATGATCAAATGATCTCTGGCGCTCCGTACTCCCTCATATGTACAGGATGTAGATGGTCAAGTAAGACTATAGGCTGGGAATTTGACAAGGCGACAGGTATAGCCTGTGAGTTCCCATTGTCCCTGCACACCGAACCCCCAAACTAAATGACAGCTGAAGCCCAATTGGCCAAGCTCGATCCGGGTCAAGCTGCAAAAACAGAGTTCGAAGCTATAAAGGATCACCTGGAAACATACATGTCTTCATCGAACCCTGAACCAATACGCACATCGTCCAAGGTTCCCACTCGACACATCTCACATCTCACTCAAATGGCTGCCAAGGCTCTACATAGAGATGTTCCGGGGCTGGCAGCCGCCAAAGCAAAGGGCAAGGTCAGAGCGACTGCAGGATCTCGATCTGGTGGTCTGGAGAAGGCTCATACGAAATGGGACGAGTTGAGCGATTACGTCGCTAAAGACGCTTGGAGAGGAGGTAACGATTCGCTCGGAATCGATCAATTGAGCGAGATGGAGAGACCCGAAGTAGCGGCTCTGAGTAAGAGGTGGTGTTCCAGCTGGGGTAGATCAAGCCTTTCCTCGTGAGTGTCTCCAAACGCGCGAAACTCATATTGACTCTTCTAGCTCCGTACTGCCTGATCGCATTCTTTTACATACCAAACTCACCAAACGCTGTCCACATCCTTCTTGTCGACATCTGTTGATTCAGCCGGACGCCAAATCAGTCAGGTTCAAGATCAAAATGGTCGCTTTGAACTACTTACCAGCGGTGGAGATTGGTCGTCGGAGAAGGAGACAGGATAAAGGCCCTGGATCGACCCCAATGGCGCCGGAGGAGATTGAACAGAGACAAAGAGAGAGACGGCGGACGAAAGCGAAAGCAGGGGACGAGGAAGATGAAGAGATGGACAAAGCTCTCGAGCGAGGCGCAGTGGTGAGTGCAGTATCGCTTCTCGATTCTCAATCTGACTCACTACCCAAGTATGTGTATCAACTGGCTTTCACAAATCCCCTCTATGATCCCATTCAAATTCGATTGACTCAACCTTATCCACCAAAAGATGCCCCGCCAATCAATCACCATGTTCATATACCGACTCAGCATTTCACAGTCTCCGCACTTAAGGAAGCATGGGCCTACGACGAAGACGATGAGGATGACGACCTGCCAGGTTTGGAAGGCGCTTCGGAAGTACCAAGCGACGAAGGCGTCAGTACGGTTGGAGGTACACTTGGCAGGCGGAATCGTATCAGTACGCTGGGCACGACATCGAGCGGGTTGAGGGAAAAGCGCGCCAGAGGAGAGACGGGTGTTGAAAAGAAGGCGAACATGACCAAAGTCCTGCTCGAGGTGGAGGTGCTACCTGATGCAAAGGGTGATGTGACGGTGAGTCGGGCCTTGCAGCCCGGGTCTTTGCTTGAGACTTATATTTGGCCCATAGTTTGATCTTGAAGTTCGATACACGTACCGAGCGGATGCACCTGCTCCCAACAAAGAGGAACCGACGAGCAAATCATCGCCAAATGATGAGCTCAAGACGTTCACCTTTTGGGTAAGGTTGAACGTTGGGAAAGTAGCCTAGGCTGGGATCAATCGTAGTGCATGGTGCCATGTATCCATGCTATAATGCAAAAAGACATATGAGTGCAGTGTCTACCAGTAGGCAGGTCTAGTATGCAGAGTTATGATACGCAGGGGAGACAGATACCCCTGAAGATGCCGACCTACATGTCGATCTTCCTGCCTGGAACCGGAGTGATCTCCGCAATGACCGCAGAGAACAGCTTGAAGAAATACGGGCCGAGACCTCGATCGAGAAACGGCATGGATGGTGAAAACGTACTGCCTCCGACGCCACTATCGCACCATGCCCAACAAGCCTGTTTACCAGTGATGAAGAGAAACGTCCACATCCAGATCCGACCCCAGAATCCACGCACGCGTCTACCGGTGACGCGCCTGAAGAGGGCTTCGAAAACACCTCCCACACCTGAGAGAAGGAAGAAGTAGAACACTGGGACGGTATAGGGTGCAGGATCTGTTGACAGTTCCCCTAGAGCATGCAGCATACCGGAACAAAAGAAGCTGGTGACCAGAAGCGTGGCGGAGGTGACGGGAATGTGGAACAATCGAAGCAGGACTGTCGAAGCGAGCAGAAAGCTCCGCTGGAGAGTGTCAATCAGTCAAGAGAAATGTGTACGTGTGCTAAGCGGACTCGAACTCACCCTGAAGATCTGGTGCCACCTTCGTCCCCACATATTCAGTATGCTATCTGCTTTCCAAGGTTGGTCAAAGAGGTCCACTTCCCAAGCTTCCACTTCGTATATCCCACTAGCGATAGCTACGACAGCGACCATTCTATACCCCCATGATAGACCTTGCCACGCGATGATGGCAATGAATGCTTCTGTGACTGTCTCGGTGAGCCATACAGGCGCTAAAATGGGTTCAATGTTGAGCGACTTGAACGGCACAGCCTGGAGCCACGGGAAGACAATGAGTCGATGCGTTAGGATGAATTTTGGAACGGATCCCTTGACGCCTGATGAATTGCCGATGGTTTCTGGAGCCACGATGTGTAGGAACTCGATCAACGTGTTGACAACGAGATAATGGGTCACGGCGAGTGTGAGGTGGCGGATACTGGCTTGAAGTCGAGTACGATGCGCAAGGGTATATGGGAGCCAGCGTTCAGGATGACGAGGGAATATTTTCCCGTCCACCTTGACCGAGCCCTTTGTCCCGTGCCCGTTACTGCTGGCTTTTGGAGCCTTCTCGAATGCATAGGCGTTCAAGTCGGTGGCTTCGAGACCCACCCAACGATTGTTTATAGGTAGATCGAAAGTTGAAAGCAATCGATTCCTGCCCTTTGCACGATATGGATCGACGATCGGTCCTCGAAGTAGAGCAAAGTCGATGTACTTTCCAGAGAGGGCCACCATGGCTGTCCCGATCCCAATGTTCCAAGCTCGTTGCCAAGGTTCTGCAAAAGTCAGTGCGCGGACCTGTATCGCTCGAATGTACCTAGGAAGCGATAGCACACATGCGAATGACCCATGATAGCGAGACCCACTATACCAAGTGGGAGGCGGTATATCCTCGTGTTCTCGTACTGAAGTAAGAATGCCATGATAGCCATCGGGAACAGAGGCACGATCAGGACTGGAACCCAGTTGCTCGAAGTGATGGGTTGGGCATCCTGAATCATATGACGATGCAGGGGTTCAAGCAGGCCAAAGGGAGCCTCGGGGGAGGGAAGAATGGGCATTCTGCCAGGTCAAGAATGACGCTGAGCGAGCAGAGGGTTTGAGGTGTAACGGAATGAGCCACAGATCAACATGATTGTCGATGCGTCGATCAACGGACACCGGGCATCATGGCGTCAATTGTATGGACCACGAAGCTGATCCCAACAGTGTTATAAGCTGAATGTCCCGCGCCAAATCTTTTCTCTTAACTCGCTGGTTTCCGCACATATCTGACTTTCTCCTCGCCTTTTACTAGAAGAAACAGTGTACGGGTACCTAATGGCGAGCGTTCAATTTCTTGTCACTTCCAAATTATATTTGGTTCAAACATTTCATTCATCTTTTTGTTTTTTTTTTGTTAGGGGATACATGGGTCTCATCGTCGCTTCGCCTGGCTGAATGCCAGATACGATGATCCAGATACGATGATGATGAAGAGAGAGAGAGAGACTCTGGCTTAACTGCTGGGGGTCCAGCAGATCCGTAGCTACCGTGGAGCAAACGCTGATGTGTGATACATTGACGCGCCGCGTTGTGAGTTTTATGTGCCGCCACACTCACACTGTTTGGGATATTAGCCCCCCGTGAGCCCATTTTTCCCTGAAAAAAGAGGTGAGGGGAAGAGAGGAGAGGAGAGGTGGTCGGAGGCTGCTGCTGCTGCGTATATCCCATCCTCTTCTCGTGCTCCGACTTTCAACAGCTACTGCTACTGCTACTGCTACAGCTACTGCTACAGCTACTGCTACAGCTACTGCTACAGCTACTGCTACAGCTACTGCTACTGCTACAGCTACTGCTACAGCTACTGCTACTGCATCGACGGTCATCTCTGGAGATAACACAGCGTCGACGAGAGCAACAATATCTCCCTCCGCTCTCCTCCCTTTGAACCATCTCAAGCGTGAAGTGGTGCGATCTTTTGTGCCGCGTATTTCTCCACCAAGGAGAGCTCGGGAGACCATCATCCACTTTTCACCATCCATCTCTCCACTAATTGAGCATTTCTCGACTCGCTTGGGTACCGATAGCATTCCAACGTGAGTCATAATCCTCTCCTCTCTGTGTCGTACAACTCGGCCTCAGCGACGACCGAGCGTCGGGACCGCGCAGACCTCTCTTCCTTCCGCTGAAACTGAAACTGAACGGAGCTGACCCTGGTCTGAACACAGCATCGCCTGTTCATTCTAACATCGCAACCGTTTCTGTGAAACATCGTTCAAATCATTCATCATGGCTCGCAATCGATTGGCAGGCGTGGTGAGTGTAATTCTCGTCTCAGCCGAGCACCCCGTTGACGATTCAAATAGAACCAGCAGTATGGGTATGTGATCAGACCTCTCTCGGCGGAAATCATTATCGCCCTTTGTCTATCCCATACGATAATCAACTGCTGACTGCCCCTGTAGCGACTCGCAAGCCCCTGGCAACTCTTATCCTCCACCTTCCAACGCTGTAGTCGGTCAGTCTCGATCTGACAATCCATATGCTCAGCAAGATTATTCCGCTGCTCCTGGACCGGGCAATTATAATCAATACAACCAACAATCCTATGGTCAACAACAACAACAACCGCAATCGGGAGGATACGGTCAACAGCCAGGAGGATACGGTCGACAAGGCAGCGCCTACGGTCAACAGCCACCACATGGCAACGGGGGCACTTATGGACAGTACGGACAGCAGGAACAGTATGCAATGGGAGGGGCTGGGAATGGAGCACCTGCAGGCGGAGACTTCTGGGCAGAATTATCGTCCACCAACACCAATTTGGCACAGTTGCAAGAGGAGATTCAGGCCGTCAGGACCGCCCATCAGCAGAGTTTGGTGAGTGTATCGTGGTCTGACCGTACACGTCGATGTATTGAGACGGCGACCAGGCATCCACGGATCCTCAAGCTACAGCCTATGCCGATCAGCTCAACGATCAGGCTCGAGCCACCCGCGAGCAATGCAAGAACCAGATCAAGCGGCTATTCAAGATGACCAAGGGGGACAAGGCGATGAAAGGTCAGGCAGAGGCTGTCAAGACTCGGTTCACATCTCTCTTGAATGAGCACCAGGTGGTGGAGAAGGAATTTAGGAAAAAAGTCAAGGACAGGGTGGAGAGGCAGTACAGGATTGTCAACCCTCAGGCGACGGACGAGGAGGTCAGACAGGTCACAGAGAGCGATAACCCTCAAGTCTTTTCTCAGGCTGTAAGTGGAAGTGGAAGTCGGACGTAGTATTGAGCAGTCACTGATGAGACCTTTAGTTGCTCAGCTCCAACCGATATGGTGCTGCCCGAGGCGCATTTAGAGAAGTTCAGGAACGACATGCCGAGATCCAAAAGATCGAGAGAACACTCACTGAACTCGCGCAAATGTTCCAAGAGATGTCCATGTTGGTCGAACAACAAGATGAGACAATCGCCAATGTCGAGCAGCAGGCTATGGGTGTGGACCAGAACATTTCCGAGGGGTAAGTGAAACGGAGTCAGGCCACTGTGACTGACACGTCGTTTTCAGTCTCAATCAGACAACTCGAGCTGTTGATTCCGCTAGGAAGGCAAGGAGAAAGAAGTGGATCTGCTTCTGGATCTGCAGTGAGTCTCAAAAGCTCTGTCTCCATGCATCCGCCTCCCAACTGACGATATTCCAGTCCTCATTATTTGCGTTGCGATCGCCATCACATTTGGTGTCTTGGCGGCCGAGGGTAAATTCAACAACAACAACAATGGCAAAAAGTAGGATAGAGCGCTGCAGAGCCTAAGCTGCTCGGATGTGATGAAACTGTCGGAGATCTTGACCGGGATCGTGGCGAGAAAGGCGGGAGGGTCAGAGGACCGGTAGGTAACGAGGATCTGAAACTGGGTGGGGATTGTTTCGACTGTGGTGCGATGAGGGCTTAGCGTCGAATATGGTGTATTCCTCAAAAATTTCTTGTTAATATCCCCCGTCTCTCCCTTGCGCGCGCTTTCTCCCCGAATCTGCTCTTATGGCGATGCGACGACGAATGAATAGCTTTGCCCATTGATTTCTAATTCTCTGGAACCAACAATTGACTGGATACGGTCCGCTTGTCCGTCGTTTCGGACGTGGCCGAATTGCCGATGCTGCGGGTTTTGACGCTGCCAGATGAGATGATCAAGTGACCATTTGACACTCACGCGTCACCTTCCGAGTTGACTCTGCTCCCCAGTCTCAGCTCAGTCTCGCACAGCGACTTTTGCATCGCGTCACGAAGCTCACTCGTCCCAGAATCTGACAATCGGCCATGCCGGGTGCTTGATCTCGCTCAACCCTTCAGCTGCCCCTTTGGCCCTTTGTTAGATCCGCCTCTAACGGCGAGTACACTCCTGCCATGCTGGACACAGCTTTCGGCCTCTCCATCGTCCATCTCGTCGCTCCTCTTATCCTCCTTGTGCCCCTTCTCACGCTACTCCCACCCAATCCACCACGCTTGGACCAGCCTGAAGGAGTTCGACCCATCACTATCCAACGGGTCATTCCTCGCAGAGGATGGATCATCTCTCTCCTAGTCGCTCTCGCCGCGACGGCTGTCCTTGACGCCGCTGTCACAGTCGCCATCTTCATTCTTGCTTCGAAGTACGATCAAGAGTCCGAGACTCGAGGACTCGAGCTCGTCTCCTGGCTCATCTATCCCATTGGCGGATTGGTGGTCTGGGCTCTGGCGGCGGTCGTGTCTGAATGGCGTGGACGATGGCATGATCGAGGCGTGATAATCCTCGCGGTATCCGGTTTCATCCTGGAGATACCAAACTTTGAGCTCCTCGTCAACAGAGTTATCCATACGAGTGAGTTTGACGCATTGGCTGAGACTGACCTTCTCAGCTGGGGCGTGGAAAACTGTCACCATCCTGTCACTTCCACCTTCCGCGCTCCGACTGCTACTACTACCCGTTCTAATTGCTCTCGCTTCAAAACCTATTGTTCGCTACGAGGCTGTCGATACTGCTGATGATGTGGAAGACGAGGAGTTCAACGGCGACCTAGCGGGCAGCTCCTCAAGTACAGCTCGTCAAACCATCCGATCACAACAGGGTCAAATCAAGTTGAGTGGTGACGAAGGTACGTCGCAGACGCCCAACGGAGCTGCAACACCTGGTGGAACGTCCAAACCATCCATCATTATCCCTAAAAAGCTCGGCGAAGGCAAGCGAGATGAGCGAGTCTTGACCTGGGCCGAAGTCTGGGATAGGCTCAAGAAAATTTCACCCCATCTGTGGCCCTCAACCAGTCGAAAGCTTCAGCTTTTCGTTGTCTTGACCCTCCTCATCGTCGCGATTGGTCGAGCTCTCACGCCGCTCGGTCCTATCATCTTTGGAAAATTGATTCGAGCACTCACTATCAGTCAGAACGGGATCCCAGTACCTTCACTATGGCCACTGTTCATCGCTTTCTTCGCCATCAGGATCTTACAAAACACTGTTCTCTTCTTTGTTCGAAACATTCTTTTCCTGCCCGTCACACAATATACCGACCGAGAAATGCAATTGCTCTGCTTCAACCATTTGCTCAACCTTTCCTTGGCGTATCATACTCGCCGTAATACAGGTGAAGTACTCAAGGTCATTGACCGGGGTTCAGCCATCAATTCATTGTTCGGATCGCTCTTGTTCACCATCGCTCCCGCCATTATTGATCTCATCGTCGGTTTCTCCGTCCTCTTTGCCCTTTATGGTGGCATCTTGGTAACTCAAGCGACGGTCATCATGATTCTCTATGTGTGGGTCTCCATCATTCAAACCCAAGCTCGAGTAGCTACTCGTCGTCAACTCAGTGACAAGGATGTCAAACAGAGGGGAATCGTTTCGGATGTCTTAACCAATTGGGAATCCGTCAAATACTTTACTGCCGAATCACGAGAAGTCAACAGGTATAGAGAGGCCTTGATCGATTATCAAAAGGTCGAGTGGTCTTGGAATCTCAATTATCAGACCCTGTGGCTCTTGCAAAACACACTTTTGACCCTGGGCCTGGTCATTGGAAGCTTGATCATTGCCGTCAGGATCTCTCGCGGGGAAATGGATGCTGCGGAACTGGTCGTTTTCATCCAGTACTTTACCACACTCTCCTCACCTCTCAATACGCTCGGCACGATGTACGCTCAGCTCAATCGAAACTCGATCGACGCGGAGAAAATGCTGTCCCTTTTGGCTGAAGCTACAGAAGTCAACGATAAGCCCGGAGCGAAGGATCTCATCGTCACGGACGGAGTGGTAGAATTCGACAATGTCCATTTCTCATACGATGGCAAAGTCGATGCGCTGAAAGGCGTCTCCTTTAAGATTGAAAAGGGAACCAGTATGGCTCTGGTCGGTGAAAGTGGCAGTGGCAAATCTACTATCTTGCGATTACTCTACAGATTCTACGATATCAATTCGGGCACCATCCGCATTGACGGTCAAGACATATCTGAGGTCACTCAGCTGTCTCTTCGTCGAGCGATTGGAATCGTCCCGCAGGACAGTGTTCTATGGAACGACACCATTGGTGCCAATGTGTCTTATGGTCGGGAAGGCGCGACGGACGAAGAGATCATCAACGCCAGCAAGGCTGCTAAGCTGCATGACAAGATTATGGGCTTCAAAGATGAGTACGCCACAATTGTCGGCGAACGGGGTATTCGATTAAGTGGAGGGGAGAAGCAGCGAGTCAGTCTGGCTAGGATGTTCCTCAAATCGCCTGCTATCTTGGTGAGTTGACACTCGAAGAGAGTGAAATCCGCGCTGAGTTCATCTCAAGGTTCTTGATGAAGCCACCAGTGCTTTAGATACTGAGACTGAGAGAGAGATTCAAAGGGCACTGACGGACCTGGTGAGTTCTCCTACCGGAAATTTACGTTTGCTTATACCATTCTTAGGCTCAAGGACGCACTTCGTTGTCTATTGCTCATCGTCTGTCGACCATCATCAACTCGGACCAAATCGTCGTGATGAAGGATGGCAAGGTGATTGAGAACGGAACGTATAAGCAACTGCTAGACGCGGATGCCGCTTTCGCAACCATGTAGGTGGCTGCTCATGAGTCCTGCAAGGTCCGGCTGACGGGCCTCAGGTGGAAGAACCAAATCTTTACCGAGGCTGAGCGTCTCGCTCTCGCTCAAGGATCTGGGTCGACAAGCCGAGCCGATTCCGACTTGATCGACCTCGAGGAGAAGCCCGAGGCGGAGGCGGAGCCAGGGGTCGGAGAAGATCACATCACGGATAATGCTCAAGCGGACGTCAAGGAAGCCACCATTTCCGCTCCAACGTCTGGATCCGGCGGCACACCAAATCTGAACGAGGTGCAACCTAGTGGAAGTTTCCAGCAGGAAGGGGCAGAAGCCGAGGAAGGAGTCAATTTTGAGACATACGCGGAAGCTGTCAAGCTCGTAGAGCCTACTTCACCTCATCTCCCACCGGGCCTGAACGCGAAGGCCAGCCAGGAAGTGAATGTCGATACCCCGGCGGCCATAGACCCAAACAACGACTCTGCGCCGCAAGCCAACCTTTCAGCCTCCAATCTGGCACAACCCGCTCGTCCCGATCCATCCCGCCGCGTCTCCTTTCCCGGCACTTCCGTAGCCATGGCGAAGACGTTATCTGCTCAATCAGCTCAATCTGGTCATTCGGGATCTCCTAATTCTCGAGATTCTACTCCGACCCTTTCGAGGCAGAACACTGATCAGAAATTGAATGAATCTCGAAAAGCCAGTGATCCCGAGAGTAAGCGGAAACGTTTGAGCTCCATCAAGGGTTTTGTCAGACGGCTCAGTGATCAAGGTGTCACGCGGAGTGCCAGTGGACGCAGCGTAAAGGCGCAAGACCTGGATGGAGTAGAAGAAGGCGGAGAATCTTCGGGTCGTGGTGCCGGAGGTAAGGATGACAGCAAGGACAACAAGAAGAAAAAGCGATTGTCTCTGCGATGAAACGATCGCGATGTGCTGAATGAAGGTGGTTTGCCTTCAGTAGGCTGTATAGAAGTAAGGACACTATGCAGGATTGATCAGGTCGTCTCCAGGACTGTATTACACATGTGTTTGATATTCTCGTCCATGCATTTTTCCCCCTTACGAAGAATTGTATTTGTGTCTTCTACTCTATTGCATGTCATATTTAAGCTTACTCCTGCACCACTTCGCGGTCAAACGGCTACACATCTGAACGTCTTGGAGACCTTCCAAGAGGTCGTGCGGAATCCTATGGCCACTGCGACCAGGAGACATATGTCCACGACCAGGAGCGTTACGCCTGCCAACATGAATCTCGGTGCGAATACCTTCCACACCATCAAGTGTCGCCTTAGCCAAGCGGCGAAAAACGCAGAGGTGAAAGTGATGGATGTATGATAGATCATGAAACCAAGGACGAGTTGTAAGACATGGCCCAGAATTGGGAGTGTGGATTGAGGTCTAGGCGAAATGTTCCAGATACCAAGGAGGGGGACGGCAAGAGCCGACAAAGCCACTGGGCCCCACGTGTTGATGATGACGAAGAGGGGAGAGAATGGATAGGTCACCGATTGGAAGCCTACGAATGCGGCTTTCCACTGGATGGATGTGAGGACAGCTTGGTGGCCTGTAGAGAAGAATCCCAGTAGACCGAGCAGGGCCAACAGAGTGGATTCGGTGAACGTAGGTCGAATCAGGGTCGAGCTGGAGGAATCGGCGTTTGGATCAAATGTCGATGCAGACGATGAGGCGAAAGATAGTTTCATCAATGCTGCATCGCGTTGCGTGTCGGTGATTTCCAAATGGGCTAGGAGAATGATGAGCATTCCACCCAGGGCCAATTGACCCATAGGGTATGAAACGAGATGGACTGCCGTGAATGGGATCAAGAGGAACAAGAGGTAAGTCGATCCGTACGAATTGGCGAACCCAAAGACCGTCACTGCCTTTTCGCCAGATTGATCAGCATCCCTCTGAACCCTGATACAAAGGGGTGAGAAGGACCAGCTGTACGGCATGATACCGATGATGGAGACCCAAATGGCACGAGCTAGCCATGTGCGAACGGTTCGTACCAGGGGTATACGTTCCGAGACAAGACCCGGGTAGAATTCGAGCCATTCGAGGACCCAATATCCTGCGCTGAGGAGCAATGAGAGACGCCAAGTGAGTCCAAGGAATCGAGGTGCAGGGCCAGCGAGAGACTTGGATTGATTCAATGTGATGCCGACTGCTCGGGGGAGCTGGAAAGCGACAAAGCCGATGGCCGCCAGTGCCCACGTAGGGGCCGTTGCCGTAGAGCCACTGAAGAACGTCACTCGACAGTATGGTTGTTGCTCTTCTCGGCACACGGTAATGGATCCAATGAGCCGTGCCACGATCAGTATGACAAGGGACAGAAGAGCAGTGCGCCATCTCATAAGCGATGTGGGAGCTGTGGGGGATTTGAACATATTGACGACGGGAATAGTCGATAGCAAGAAGAGCAGGACGCGATCTTCCCACATGATGAAACTATTCGAGGCGAACGACACGGCGTGAATGACGAGTATCAGCGGACCTATGGCCGTCTGCAAGTTGACTTGGAAGTTTGGTCGTTGGAAAAGCAGTGGCACAGCGAGCACGACTTCCGATGCAAAGATCATGCTTCCAAAGAAGGTATAGATCCCATGTTGGAAATCCGCTCTGAAGGCCGTGACCGCCACAATAAAGCCGACGACCCCTGCTCCGACAGAGGGCAGGGCAGCAGTCTCCAAGGCGAGAGCAAGATAGACATCCCATTTCTGTCCGCCAGCCCTGACACCAGAGTACATGGCGTACAGGACCGGGATGCTGAATCCAAGGATGGTGGTACCGTAGACGATCAACGGGACCGAGAACTGGGCCCAGAGGGCTCGAAGCTCTTCCAGCGCTTCCGTGGCGACTTTGCGATGGGCCACGACGGAGTGATGACGGGCTTGAGCAATTTTGATATCTTTGGCTTTCATCATGCCAGTCATTGTGGGATATAAAGTGTCGTCACCTCGATGCTTTCCGCTCTCGATCAACGTGAGGAGCTTCGCGGCGGTGTCAGCTTTCTGCCGCACTTGCATCAACGCTGACAGAATCTTGTCGTCCCCGTATTCCGTAATGTAGTCGACGATCTGGAGAGCGTTGCGTCGAGTAGCCTTTTCTAAGTCTTCCATACTACCGAGAGTCTCTGGTATGACTGTGCCAAGATTGTTGAAAGGGATTGGCAGCCCGAGCAGGTATGACAAGGTTGGAAGAAGGTCAATCTGATTGACGTGTCGGAGAGATTTGGGTGATCTCGGGTATGTATAGGTCGGCAAGCTTTCGATGAATTCGTTGTCGATACTCCCGCCGAAAATTGGGGTCTTGGAGTATAGCCAGAGGGCAGCTGCCGTCTCGAGCTCCGAATCACCTCCGTGATTTCCCTTGGAGTCCATGCCGTGATCGCCCAAAAGCACCAAGAGGGTATCGTCGTCCATCATTTTGACCACTCGACGCAGTACCTCGTCCATCTGGGCCAATTTGGTCTTCATTGTGTCTCTCTCAGGACCTACGCGGTGACCTACATGGTCCACACCGAGGAAATGCCCAATCAAGACGTCCCATTGTGAACTGTTTGACGGATGAAGGTAAGGGAACAGATGCTCAATGACTCCATTATCGACAGTGTGGAGGTCTTCGACGTTGAACGAGTCGAATGGATGCGCATGGTTGAACGATTCGGGAAATAGGTGTACCCAGGTATCATCCCCCATAAATGCAATCTTCTTGTTCGCGGCGACGAGCTGAGAAATCAGAGAGTCCTCCTCGATAGCTGTGGATGCGAAATTCGCGCCAGCATCCACGAATGTCGGCAAAGAGCCTGTCATAATGCCTTTCAAGCGTTGCATGGTCGTCGTAGGAGGGTCGGAGTACGAGTTGAATATCAGCGAGTGTCGAGGGTGTGAGGCTGTCAATTCTGCCGGTAAGGTCAGGACGCCATGATGATTTGGGGATGATGGCCGGGGATGATACGGGGAGATGAAATCTGTCCTCAAAGCATCAATGATGAGTATGATCGCTTTGGAATGTCGGTGAGGTATTGGTGATGGCGACTCCGGGGTATACGGAGGAGTTACATTTGGTATAGACAGTCGAGTGAGCAGGAAGCCTCGAGTGAAGATGAGGAGACCGGTAAAGTGAACCAGAGTGATGTATAGAATAAGCAGGATCGCTAGACTCGTGCGTGAGAGCCCGCGAAGCCAGGTCGGAGAGACTGAGCTGGAACTCTTCGCCCTGGACTCTCCTGTAGCCTTGCCCCTCCCAGGCGGAGATTCGGACCGCGTCGACATATTCACTGACAGACGAGGTCGATCAGCATTTCGCGGCGTAGACAATTTGTCTTCATCGGGGAGATCAACCAGAACCGGCACTCACTTCAGTTGCTTCCCTTCAGACTTTTTGATCACATGAGAAGAGCCATAGACATCACTTGCTTGCGTCTCCTCGTGATCACTGGACGGTGTAAGAACGATCACAGAGGACCGGCCCTACGGATGAATTTCATCAACTTTTCGAACCGGACCGGGTTTGTCACTCGCTCTTGGCTTCTGTATCTCTACATATCTTGACGCTGTATCCTCATCTGTGAGAGCGACAGTGCAGTGAGTTGAGCGCGCCCGGCATGTCATCTTCGCAGTCTGGTGGAGCTCGAAGACCAGGAGGAGCAGGGGCAGGGACCAATGGCCAAGGCCAAGGCGAAGACCAAGGATGGCTCAAGGGAGTCATTCGAGCCGTCGGTCTGTTCTTGCTAATGCAATTGGGTGAGTTTGATCGTGCCTGTCGTGCTTTTCTTGAGCTGATGTGACTTTCAGCAACGAGGGTCGGTATGCAATGGGTGAGTAAAGTTGGGTCAAGCCAAGCTGATGGTGCATACAGCTTGGAGTCGGTCAATCGGCCAACCAGCCTTCTACAGATACGACCAGCGCAGGACAAGCGAGTCAGTCGGCCTCATCTGAAAAAGCGGCTCCTATCAAGGTGACACCGATATGGCCACTTGGGACACCCCTGTCCATGCTTCTCTATACATCCACGGCAGTCGACTCTTCCGATTTGGACGTCACCAAGCCGTTGCTCGTCTGGGATGGCCTGACTTTTGGGGACTACAAAGACATCCGAGAAGCTGACTTGACTCTCAACGTCCCTCAAAACGTCAGAGTGCACAACGCAAGCTGGTGGATGGATATAATTCTTGTCAAAGGAGGAGGTATCGATCTCGTTGGCAAAGGTCAAGATGAGGTCGCCCTGTACAGAAAACGTGCGTCCACAGGAGGCAACCGATTGCTTGACTGATGATCTTTGCTCAGAACTCACTCGGTTTCTCCCAAAGAAACGGGTCAGGAAGGAAAAGAAGCTCATCGGCCATGATGATGATGGTGACGAAGATGAGAATTCTCTCGAGCCAGCCGTCGAGGACATCCCACCCCAGACGATCATCGGTCACTGGTCGAACAATCTGACTTTGACGCTAGTGGCTGACGATAGTGAATGGGACCTTTCGGAGCTCGAAACTCCCGTCTCTCAGCACATCATGGCAGTCAGACCGGCTAAACCGGACGCTACGCCTAGTCAAATCTATCCGATCGTCTTTGCGAATGATTTCTGGCTTCTTAAAGAAAACATGATGCCGATCAACGATACGCTCAAGACTGTCTCTTTACACATCAACTACCATACCTTATCAAAGTGGAAGTTCCAAGTCTACAGCACCATGACTGTCAATTTCGAACAAGCGGCACAAAAACAAGGATCTGGAGTCGAATTGGACGAAGTGAAACGCATGTTGACAGAGACTTCACCCTGGCTGCTCATCACGACGGGTATCGTCACGGTCCTGCATATGCTCTTCGAATTCTTGGCTTTCTCGAGCGATATTGGACATTGGCGCAAGAAAGACAAAGACCTAGTCGGCGTCTCCCTCAATACCATTCTCACAAATTGCTTTGTCCAATTGGTCATTCTGCTTTATCTCCAGGACAGCTCGGAGGAGACGAGCTTCATGATCTTATTTACCCAGGGAATGTGAGCGGCTCGTGACACGCTCTGCCTGGACTTATGCCCTTGCTAGTGGACTCATGGTGGAGGCATGGAAGATTACCAAAGGCGAGTAGACAATCAGACGACGGTTGACGCCATCGCAGTCGTCGAAATCAAAGTCCGTCAGGATCCGAGCAAGCTCATTGGCTACACGGTCTCTTTTGAAGGCATGTGCGCGAGATTCTGTCCCAGCTGATGGTCCGAAGACAAGAAGGAGTTGTCAGAAGACGAGAAGAAGACGCAAGAATATGATCGATTAGCATTCAGGCTGGTATCATACTTCGCCATTCCAGCTTTGATAGGCTACACGATCTACTCATGTGAGCTTTCAATCAGCCAAGTCGATGAAGAGCTAATCGCCTTTTAGTACTATACGAGTAAGGATCATACCGCACCGGCACACCCTGGCTTTGTTGACGAAAGCACAGGACCCATCGTGGATGGTACTCCTTCATCGTCTCAACGCTAGCTCAAGCCATTTACATGTTTGGCTTTGTCCAGCTCGTCCCTCAGCTCATCATCAACTACAAGCTGAAGAGCGTCGCACATATTCCGTGAGTGACACACAATACCAAAAAAATTGTCACCACTCACATGTCTGCAGTATGAAGGCCATGATGTACAAGACCTGTAAGTCTGCGCTCTCGGAAGAGACCTCGGCTCATGTTTGACCTCACCAGTATCAACGGTTGTGGATGATTTCTTGTGAGTATACACACCAGACTGCAGTCTGCAGAGCACTGACGATCATCACAGCGGTTTGTTTAGCCTTCGCGTTGTCGATATACGATTCAGCGTGCTGACAGAGTTATTAGCGTTCTGTGTCAAGATGCCATGGCTGCATCGGTGAGACCCAAAGTCAGGAACCCAATCTGATGCCGTCAGACTCGCTTGCTTCCGAGACGACGTCGTTTTCCTCATCCTACTCTATCAGCGATGGATCTACCGCGTCGACTACAGTCGAGTCAATGAGTATGGTCAAGTATCCGAAGGCAAGGTAGAGCCTGTTGGTGACAAGGCAAAGGCTGTCAGCGAGAGAGAGGAGTCGAGAAAGGACAGGTAGTTCCACTCATTTTAGATTGATTTCTATGATACTCGCGATACACCACAAAGGATTACCGCATGAAGAGGACGAGGACCGACTGACCTCACGCAGCCTCTTAACCGTTGAAATGGTGATCCATTTGGGGCCTGCCTGGGATCCCCCTGCGCTCAATACATGGATAGACCTGTCTAAAACCATCGCCCCGCCTAAGCTGGTTTATCCCTGGCAGCTTTGAATTGATCTATCCACTGTTTCTCTTGATCCCCCTTGACGAGCACCACGAAGCTCAACAATCCATCTCGCATCACCATCCCGTCCGGTTTGCCAGATCCATCAGCAGATTCCTTGACTGCCTTTTTTATGACTTCCCGTAAGGTCAGATCCTTCCCAGCTTTGAGCAGACGCTTTTGAGCTGTCTCAACGTAGACGACGAGGTTTTCGGTGACATATTCTCGCTTCGTATCCCATTCCGGTGATGCTGGCGAGTTTGAGGTAGGGGAGACCGAAGGGAACATGACGTTGAGATGATCTGACAAAGAGGTTTCCTCTGAGAAATGTGTGATAAAGTCTGATTGGGAGTGAGATGGGTATAGAAGGAAAACGGGGTAAATGAGTGTCGTGTCGATCGGTGGAGGTAACCAGATCTCATGCGATCCTGAGCTTGCAGACGACCCTGACACATGAAGGGGAGGAGCGGGAGGTAAAGCCTCTGGATCGAAATGCACAGGATGTGGATTGTCTGGCGGACTAGACGTCTTGACGAGTATCAAGCCCCGGGACTGAAGCAAAGGGATTCAGCAAAAAGGAGCTTGTTCGCATCCTTCAAAAGACTCACCTTGATGGCTTGATCCAGCGCCGAACTGGACAGCTTCTCCCTTCGTATCCTCTCTCGCTTCTCAGCTTCTCGCTTCTGGCTCGACTCGATGGTCTCATCCAACTTTCTCCACTCCACTTTGTTCTCCTCCCCTGGGATCTGCTTAGCCCTCTGAACAACGTCCTTGGCCTCTCTCCATCTTTCCAAAGCTATCAAAGCCTGCGCAGCCCGGTACAAAGCTTTGATCGGGGCGGTCTCTCCCTGTTGAATGCAGAGAGCAATGATTAACCCTGTATCCTTGAGGACTGATCCGTAGTTTTTAAGAGCGAGATGAGAGGCTGCGCGATTGTTCAGGAGCGATACACGCAGTTCTGATATTGTGGGCTTAGCGTTGAGACCTGATGTGTAGGCATCCACGGCATCTCTGTACGATTTCTGAGCATATAGCTCGTTTCCGTGATTCTTGAAATTCGTCGCTACTTCTGCAGAGAGACAGAATGGCCGTCAGCGTCTTCGAGAAAGGAAATACGTATGATGCCTCACCATCGCCCTCTCCATCCAATACGAGTGACCTCAACCCTTGCAATACCGGGTTGTCATCATCGTCTGCCGGTGTCTCTTTCATGAACAGGGGCGTGCTGTCCAAAATCTTTTGGAATTCTTCAAATGTGACCTCTTTCTTGGTCTTGGAAGGACCAGCTGCCGGCATCGCATTGAGGACCTGGTCCAGAGGATCACCACTCGCCATCTTTGCAGTTCTTTTCGGACCTCGCTCTGGTTCTGTGTTCTAGATGGTCACAAGTCTGAACGTAGAATGAGAATGAATGGGCGAGCATTTCGAAACAATTTGGAAATTTGTCCAGGCAAAAAATGATGATAATGACGTCGCAGTTGATCTTCGTTCATCCTTCTCTCTCGTTGCCACTACTTATTCTTACAACGACCACGACGGTGGCAGCGACGATGAGCAGACGCTAGCTCAGGTGGACCTGCGCTTTAAAGGTCAGCTGCCTTATGTTCGCGAAAAGTCAAGTCGTGCGTGCTGTTCGCTCCCTTCATACTGTCAATATAATGTCCTCCACGTTTCGAGATCCGACCATTGCAAAGGGTAAACAAAGGGCAGAAACGATGTCACACGACGATAACGATGGACGACAGCCCAATGGAAATGGCATGGAGCTGCCTCCAGAGTCGATCTCGAACGCGATCGAAGATGCATTGGCGACGCCGTTACCAGGGCCAAAAGCCGCTGCATCCCTTGGATCTCCATTCGAACGACCATCCCCTATCGCTCTTCCTCCACGTGCTCATCATCCTTCCTTCATGCCTCGACCCCAACTCCTCTCACAGCTGACCAGATCGACGTTACCAACTGCGAGTCTATCGCACGCCTCGGCGGATCCCAACACGCGGCGAGCAGTTTCAGATCTGGTCCAACATGGTGAAAGCTCGACGGCATGGCAGAGAGCCGCGCCAATGTGGAATGACGGATCGTTTCCCGACCTCGATTCCGATGGGCTACCCCCAGATGACGAGTCAAGAGGATCTATAGACTCTCAGGCGCCTTCGCTGTATCTCCAGCGAACTATCACAGACCTCTTATCGACGCCTGACAAACCTGCAAATGATATTTCGTCCTACCTGCCTAAATTCCAGCTCCCTCAGCTTCCTCAACTTCCCAATCTGCCTTCGTTAGGTATACCAGGAATCTCTGGACGTTCAGCATATGATTCCACTGGCGCTCGGCGAAACTTCAGCACGAGTCCAGCCAGTGACGATTGGTGGCCATCAAGCTGGTGGGGGAAAAATAAAGGCAAAGTCGATAGATTGGTCACGGAGGACGATCAGGCAGCAACGGTCGAAGAGGAGAAGGAGGGGATCCAGAAAAAGTGTGAGTCGCGAGCAATTCCTTGCACTGCCTCCTCTGAATTATGTGGATGAGATCGCACGCCGAAGAATCCTATCGTATTCTGCCATGGCCTCCTCGGATTCGACTACATAGGTCCTGCATCCCTCCCGCCGTGAGTAAGATGTATGCTATGCGAGTTTCATCCTGAAGCACTTTTCAGATTCCAGGTCTCCCACTGGCGAGGCATACGCGAGGTGCTAGAAGCTAACGGGGTGGAAGTATTGATCGGACGAGTACCGGCCACTGGGTCCATTGCGGATCGAGCGGCAGCTTTGGAAGAGATGATCTCCAGTAACTTTCCTGATCGTGAAGTAAACCTCATCGGTCATAGTATGGTGGGTGAAGGTGGTAATCCTGCGTGAGCCTGATTTGTCTTCAGGGCGGTCTGGACTGTCGGTACCTCATCTCTTCATTGAAACCCAAGAACTTTGTGGTGTCCAGCCTGACAACCATCGCCACACCACATCGGGGCTCGGCTTTTGCGGATCACGTCATTGACAACCTGATAGGTCGTGAGTGTCCCTATCGTGCCTTCCAGAGAATACGCTGAGCCCCCCATCAAGGCGAGCGACTGCCCTCCTTGTTGGCAGTAGTGGAAGCTCTCAAGCTGCCAGCTGGCGGTGACGGGTCAGCATTCAATGCTCTAGGCACCAAGTCGATGGCTCAGTTCAATTCTGAAGTCTTGGACAGCCCTCAAGTCAAGTATTATTCATGGGGAGCGTCCTTTGATCCGGGTCTGCTGGACACCTTCAGATACCCCCATACTGTCATCATGGCAAAGGAGGGTCCAAACGACGGACTTGTCAGTGTGGAAAGTGCGAAATGGGGAGAATACAGAGGTACTCTGATGGGCGTGAATCACTTGGATCTGTGAGTCGTCAGAGACGAGACAAGACGAGAAGAGGACCCCAAGCTGAATGACAACACCTGGTAGAGTCGGATGGGTCAATACGATCCGATATGCCATTGCGGACTGGGCGGGAAAACCAATATCCTTCAAGCCGGCCACTTTCTACTTGGAGATCGTGAGGGTTCATGCTTGCCGAGCAATCTCCATGCTGATGAAAATGGCCCAGTCCGATTACCTTGCAGAACAGGGTTTCTGAGCATTGCATTTTCTTGGGTATAGGGGGGTTTTGCATCGGTTGTACTTTCAGAATCGGTGCACGTAGCATGTCATAGAAAGACTGGCATCGTAGACACAAGTCTTTGACACACCCAAAGAGTCAGTGTAGCATCGGGCAAGGACAGTCTGAGTCTTCCGACGGATCTCGGTGCGAGCCACTTCGGAGTTGATATTCGGAGCGGCGGGGCCATGGGCTCCCTTCCGCCTCACCACGCCCTGTACTGCTGATTTTTCAAGTCCACACTACCTGGCAGCACTCAGCATCATGACTTCCATCACTCGCGAGCGATTGCTCCTCGCTGGCTCCGCTGGACTTACGTCTTATGTTTTCTTTGGCGTACTGGCGGATCAGCAACGGGGTGTCATACCGCTCATCACGGGTAGAGTGGGAAGACCTGTCCACTGCTCTCCAGTAACTCAAGTGGGCTTTTTTGCCAACTATCTGCCCAGAGCAGGGGTGAGTAGGGGATTCAAAGGTCTTATGATTGACATAGATGGGCTGATCTTGATCCGCTGTCTCCTTCCGGACTCCAGACACCGATCATAGCATGTTCTTACCTCTCCGTCATCCTCTCGTTCACATCAGCTTATACCCATCCTAATCAACTCATCCGACGACTGAGCTTTGTCTCTGGTTTGGCTGCGTTCCTCCTCGCCCCTCTGACGTTTGGTCAAGGTATCACAAAGATCAATAGTGAATTATTCAGCATCTATCGATCATCTCAGAAGAATATCGAGGATAAACAGGATAGGATCGAGATGCTCATCAAGCTTTGGGAGAAGAAACATATCAACCGGTATCTGAGTTATGCAGGGGCTTGGATCTTTGCTTTCGCAGCGTTGGTATTGGATGGTCAGGGAGCCATTGGAGAGGTCAAGCGGGTCGTTTTGCCTTAGTCTATAAACGGTTCAAGAGGGCTTGCTTAGGCGGAACTCATGCAGGGATGTCCATGTCCTTATGGCTTCTAGTATGCCGTGTTATGCACCAGGCTCTCGTGCATCCTTTCCGCTCACCCCGATGATATTGTTACTGTCAGGTCAGTAGATCTGAGCCAAGGATCCGGGTCTGCAGCAACAAGGCGTCATGGAGACCGACCCTGCGGGGATTACACTCCTATCCCCGCCCGCCCGCCCGCCCGCCCGCTCTCTGTCATCCTATGGTGAGCACTACTTGAGGACGTTGCTCTTTCACCCATCTACATCAGAAACATACATCATGGACTGGCACAAGACAATCCTCGCGATCACGTCAGCGACTACCTCTTATATCTTCTTTGGAGCTCTCGCGGATCAGCAAAGAGGAATCGTACCACTAGCAACGGGCCGAATCAAGAACACGGCGGGTCTGACGCCTGCCAACCGAGTTGGACTTTTTGCGTCCTTCCTTCCCAGAGCAGCAGTAGATTGTGTCTGCCTCATTCCTTCACTAGTGCTGACCGCTCTCTCACCTTCTTTCTAGATTCCTATCGTCCTCATCGCGAACATCTCGATAATTATGGCTTTCACAACGTCTTATTATCACCCCGACCGGATTATCCGCCAGATAGCATTTACGAGCGCTGGATTCTTGCTCTTACTCGCTCCTCTGACCCTTGGTCAACATCTACCCGCTATCAACAGTCAGCTCTTGGCATTCTCGAGAGCTGGACCAAAGGAAATTGAAGCCAAGGGGGAATTGATAAATCAGTTGATCATAACTTGGGAGAGGAAACATCTATGGAGGTTTATAAGCTATGTTGGGGCTTGGGCCTGTTCGATCGCTGCTCTTTCTATAGACTCAGGCCGAACGAAGCTGTGAGGCGAGACACTGCAAGCCAGCTAGACAACGGGACGGGACAACCCAGTTCATCTTCTTGAGAAAGGAGCAGTGTAAAAGTAGACTGCAGCTGTGACAGAGCATCATGTGCAAGACTCCATGCATATCCTGTCACAGCGGACCACTCATGGCCTCTCCGCTTGGTCGGGTACCGCAGATAGTCTACGCTGTATCTCTCACACTATCTCTCACCGGCCATCTGGATAGAGTGCCAACTGCCACCAGTCTTTCAGCAGCGCCCTTTATAATCCGGGTGAATCTGTCAACCTCGTGGCTCTTCCTCTCTTCCTCTCTGTCTCTCAGTCTCTCCCTGTCCCATTCATCCTCAACGTCCGACTTACGGGGCTGGAAACTTTCGCTGGATATCTCATTTCGATCATCGTCAGGCAGCAACCCCTTTGCGTCGATCAGTCCTCCACTGGCCCCCTACCCTGCCTCCACACACGACGACATGTCGCACAATTCCACACGGGACTACTCGTCCTCTGAGGACGAACTGAACGTCATTGAGCGTGACCCAGGGCGCCATAACACTCGGCATGGAGGTCGAGCCAGTGCTTCTCCCATCAAGCCGCGTTCATCGTCTCATGCAGATGCACCAAGAGTCAAATTGACCGTGAGTGACACACGCACTTTCTCTCCTCTCATTTTCTTTACTTGACGAATGATGGTAGCTGCGACCGAGCATCAATCATCTCATGAACGATACCAACACTGCCAGTAGTTCCAGCTCTCGCCCTCGGCAATCTGGAGGAGGGCAGTCAAGTCGACGAGCTGGATCGCCTCGATCTTCCCTTTCACCTCCACCACCCATCACTCTCAAACTTGGATTTCATAACCGACCAAGTATGGCCGAACGTATGGCTTACTCTTCTGACGAGGAAGACGATGTGTCCGGATCTGGACCTCCCCCATCGAAGAAAGCTAGATCCTCTCGAACAAAATCTCATGCTTCTTCGCCCCGTAGTAGACGTAAAGGAAGTCACAATACCAAATCGCATCTGGAAGAACCTAGCCTCCCTGCATCTCATCGGAAATCTTACGACTGGCTCCAACCGTCCGCAGCGGGTGCATCTCATCATGGTCCCCCTGAGCGGGAAAGAGGGTACGGAGAAGACAGCTATGGAAATGGTCGGCGATCGTCGTTCGGTCAGCAGTCTGAGGGTCGAATGACGGGATGGGGAGCAGACGATGATGTGGACATGGATGATGGGAGCTCTATTGCAGATCGAGATATCAAGTCTGGTTATCCTGACGCGATGGACGAAGGCGATGAACTCCACATGGTTCAGCCTGTGAGGCCAAAGAGGAGTCACAAGAAGAAGACGACAGAAGGGCCAGGTAAAGCGTGGCGTAAGGGTCTGAAAAAGTGAGTATCACGGACGCCCTCCGTGCCGGGGCTCGGATGGATGCTTATTCTCTATTCAGAGGCATGGCAGTGCCTTGGATCGAAGGTGGAACATTCATGCCCAACGGATCCATTCAAGTACCCGCGGGTCAAGCATCTACAGGTCATCAGACTGGGGATGCGACCCCGGCCAGCATGGGATCTCCCGAGCCATTCATTGCCAATGGTGAGTCAGTATGGTCTATGTATCGTCCAATCATTCGCTGAGGATTCCTACTTAGACTCCACTCCGAGAGCGTCTCCACCTCCGTTCATACTTGCAGATCCTCAAGTCTTGGGCTTCCCAGTATTTCAGAAACCGATCGTTACGCCAAAGCTCACCCTGAGCAACTTTCCAAGAGTGAGCTATGTCCTGCTATTCCTGCATCCAAATCACGTCATCGTCTGACTGGCCTTTTCAGGTCACCACATTCTTCATGCAGAACAATGGCGGTGATGTCGGACCTTTTCCGAGGAAAGAAGCTGTCCGATCGTGGACTTTGATTGAACGCGGCTTTCAAGGCATAGGTGGGGGGATTCTCAAGTTCAAGACGTGGAATAAGGGTGAGCAGGCGACAGATTGGTATCTTCCGTTCGATGCCTGATTCTGCTCCAGGTCCTCCGAGTCAACTTGCTGCTCTTATTCAAGCAGACAAGGAGGCAGATAAAGAGGCGAAAGACAATCAACGAAAAGAAGCCAAGGCTGCTGCTGCGCTCAATTCCATCCCAGCTTCCGACTTGCCATTCGCGGTGGATCCCAAACGCCCAGCTTCGGCAGAGTCCACATCTGCACCAAGTGTAGCTGCTCTCGAATCGATCCCCGCTCCAACGGCGACGACGATCACGACCAACATTGTGACGCCAGCTGTTGAAGATGAAGGCTCAGAGGTCGGAGATGGAGAAGAGAGCGTGACGAGTATGCCGGCAGCATCGGCTGGGATCTCGGACAAACCTCCCAGTGCGACGTTATCGACAGCCCCAAAAAGAAAGGTCTCTCGATCCAAGCCATCAACATCAACAACATCATCATCACCCTCCTCCTCTTCGGCGCTTGGAGGTGGAGGCCCTCGATCCTTAGCAGGCAAAGCGAAGCTTAAGAAATCGAAACTGGGTCAGGAGATTCATCCTGCCGATGAGGCTACGAGTGCGATCGAGGAATTGATGTGAGAGTGTTTGCTTGGAGAAAACAAATATCCAAGTCCATCTTTTCTTGCTTTAACATGTCGTTTTGAACCGCGTTCCGCGGTGTACTGTACTCATTCGTACAAAGCTGCATGCTATATCAGCTTTATGTATGTTTCTATCGAGATTCTAATCAATGATCTCGAGTGGCTTCCGTTCGATCAATGAGTTGCGTCACACAGCACGACCAGCATAACCTATGGATATGTTTGTTGTTTGCCCGGTGCACTCGGTCTCCTCCTCGCTCAAACCCCCCTCACTCCCTCATTGGGCTCGTCATGCGTCCGCTGCCCATCACTCCTCCCATGGCGTCGTCTCCACCTGTCCTGACCCATTCAGGAACACCTGATGATAACCCATGAGACTCGGCCGGTGCAGTGATTGGTTGTGTGGCCGTCGTCGTGGTAGATGCACTGGGTACAGGTGCGAAATTGACCAATCTTTCTCGTTCCCTCGGACGAGAAGCTGGTGTACTTGAATCTCGAGGAGTCGAAGAGGTTGCGGAGGCTGAAGCGGTTGTCGTAGCTCCAGCTGTCGAAGCCACAGATGAGTCTGCTTGAACCGATGAAGCTCCCACTTTTGACGAGCTTTGATCGGTTGGATCTGACGACGAGGACGACGAAGCTGGGTCAATTTCCATCTTGATATCGTCCTGTGACTGTGTAGAGGAAGAAGGGGCAGCATCTTCAGTCTTGACTACTGCCTCCGCGGCAGTCGACGCTGCCGTTGAGGTAGTGCTCTCCGTGTGTGTGGTCTTGCTTTCGCTGGCTGGCGTCTTGACCTTTGTCTCCTTCGGACTGTGGTCCACACTGTCTACTCCAATTTCGGCTTCTCTCCCTTCCCAATACCCCAAGAGTCGGTCACCGTACCGTTGCATTTCTTCGATCGGTATGACGAGTCTAAAATCGTTAAGGAGGAGGAACTGAAGTTCTAATTGATTCAACTCGTGTGGTGGTAGACCTCCGACTTTAGCGTATCGCGAGTTTGTATAGAAGACATCTGGGTCGCTATAAGCTTCTGGCGTTTTCATGATCATCATCTCAGACTCACCCGAGAAGAACTTGCTGGCCACTGTGACGCCGGCAATGACCAATCGGTGAATATTGTAACTGTCAATGGCGAATCCTCTTCCTATTCCCCTTCTAGCTCCCGCGGATTCGCCCCCTACGCCTCCTGGGGTGCCTAACCTGCTCATTCGATCAAAGTAGACCAAGAGACCGAGGAAGACCTCATTAGTGGTTGGACAGTACTTGAGGATACGCAAAAGGTACGCCTCAATGGTGATGGATGGGATGTGTCGAGCGTGGAAAGACAGCAGGGACGAAGGGTAAGATAGGCTCGTTTTGGAGGCCGTAAATAAGGGTCCGTAGTGATGCGGTTCGAGGGAAGCAGGCTGATTCTCTGCGGTTGAAGTCGCATCGGAGAACAAAGCAGTAGTAGGTGACGGGTGTTGAGCTTGAGACGAAGATGTTTTAGAAGTGGATGAAGCAGCATCGTCATGAGGTCCTCCTCCTCCAGGTCCGCCGCCTCCGCCTCCTCCTCCTCCTCCGCTGCTGTTACCCCCTGGAGTGGAGGCGAGAGAAGCTAATGTATCTTCTTCCTCTATACTCTGAAGGTCCTCAAAGTCTGGTCTCAGCTGATCGTTGGCCAGAGCTATCTGTTGCAGAAGATTAGCAAGTAGACGTAGGAGTGTAGGGGTTGGAAATGTTGCCAAGTCCAAGTGAGGGGTAAGTGGTCTGGGAGGAGAAGGTTGTCGGGTCAAAGCAGTATCTGGGGAAGCGGGTCGATGATGTTGTTGATGATGATGTTGTTGTTGTTGTTGTTGTTGATGTTGATGTTGATGATGACGAGGTGATGATGGTGATGATGTTGATGATGATGCGGCAGAGGGTTCAGCAGCAGCATGATTAGAGGAAGATGATGTTCGAGAATGGATGTGTGGATGATGTGAACTGGGTCTCCGTGTGGATCTCGATGGTCCAGCTTCGGATTCAGGCTCTATTGATGATTCCGAGGCTTGAGCTTGAGCATCACCATCTACAGGTCCATGACTCGGTGTCCTACTGCCATTGCTGGAAATGAGACCAGATTTGGATACTGAAGATGATCTTGTGAGGGAGGACATGCTGCAAGTGTGTTCCTATCGAGTCAAACCCTCACGAGAGAGAGAGAGACAAGAAGGTGCGTGCGTGCCTAAAACGCGGACCTCGATTTCACCCCCGGCGCAGGAGGATGGTCCCAAGTCTCTCCAAGTGTCAAATGCAAAAGCTGGCGGTCAGAGATGGCTAGTGTCTCTGTTTCTCTAGTGAGGCGTGTCCCATGAGGGGTTTGGATCTCGAGATTTCAAACGTCGATCCGAATAGTAGTAGGATGATGATGATGATTGGAGAGATTGTTGTTATGTTGAGGATCCCATTGAATTGAAAAAAACGAAAAAGAAAAGCGGGACCGGCCTGTTTCCCCGGGAAGGGTCGATCCCCTTCGCTATCAGACAAGCGGGCGAGCTGATGATGAGCGGGCAGAGAGAGTATAGTAGCGTGTGTGTGAGAGCGATAGGATCCTGATGATATGGAACCACCTCCCCGTTGGATGATCGGCTGAAAGCTTGTCAAGTGTGAGATCATCATCCTCCTGCTGCTGCTCTTCATCGAGTTGTGGCGTGAAACGTGCGCTTTGGAAAAACCCAAGAGAGATAGATGCTTTCGGCAGTTGTGGCGAATTCCCGAGGCCGAACTAACAACAACTAGTTCCCCTGAGAGAGAATGGAAGAGAGGTGTAAGATGGTCTACTCCGAGTAGGCAGCATAGTATGGAGTATCAAGTAGAGTATATGCAGATTCTGCCAGTGCGATGGTGAGATGGGCGATACGAGAATCTTTTTTAGCTCATACCACCACTCGCCTTCGCCAGACTACAAACACGTTCCCGGCGGGCATTTTCACCCTTTTGTCCTCTATGAATCCATGCCTCTCAGCCATACTCGTGATGGATTGAATGCTCCGCAGTCCAAGTGACGGGTCAGAAGAACGTATGTGCGATTCTTCAAACTGGAGCACAGGGGCGGATTTCAGCAAGCCTGAATCTATGTTCTCTCCCCCCCGGAGGTGTAAACTATGACTCACTGCCTTGTCTGCATCTGACTTGTACGTCCCATCATCATTCTTCCACGGTCCATATGCCGCTACCCAGCTCGAGCTTGAGTGAAGCAATGACTCGTCCACGTCGCTCGAGGAGATGTCACCGGAGAGATGCTTGAAAATCTCTTCCGGGACGCCGAGAGGACAACAGTGGATCAAATTGACTGAAAACGCAATCAGGTTCAATTTACCTGATCATTTCATTCCAGCCGCAGGCGGCAGCACCCCACCCACGCATGATCACTCCACCTAGCTGTATAGACTGTCCATCCAACAGGGCTCGCAGATTCGTCCAATCGCTTTCAGATTGAATATCCAATCGGATAGGATGTCGGAGATTCGACGGAGGCCGATCATCAGTAGGTGTAGATCCGAGCACGGCTTCAATGTCCCTGAGATATATGAGCAAGGATCATCTCATACCATGACTGCCTCTCGCGCCTTCCTCACCTGATCTGCTCTGTATCCCTTGCTGAACCCCACCATTCGACTGAGGGCCATCTCTTCGCCCAGGATAGGATGTGAGTGTAAGGGTGCGATGCCAATTCCAAAACCCGCGGGGTCACCTCAGAGTCGGAGTATACAGCCAGTAGCTCCTCTACTAGCGGAAGAAGAGCTTCCGTCACTGGTCCGAGGTTTCGTTGCTGAGTACCTAGCTACGTGATCAGCTTCCTGGGTCCGCAACAGGCGACTGAGAAAACCAAAAAACAAAGAGATGGGGAAAGATATACCAGGGATAGAGTTGATATTGGGGTAAGCCATCGTCAGAGACAGTCCTCTAGCACAGTCCCCTCTTGTGTGAGAGATCCCTTACTTGACTACTGCCAATGCCATTGATCCTTGTACCATCCATCTGTCCCAAGATGTCCATCCATCCATTGGATTCATTCAGATGTGTGGGGTATCTCAACCCCGCATTTCAGGGACTGGTCGGTGGAATAACCGAAATCCCAGAACTCAGCGATCGGGCTCCAATTCCCCTCCCCCTTCTCGGTCGCATCCTTACCTCACCTCATCAGACATTCTTGCTGTACAATGGAGACCAACACTGCCAACGCATCCAGTCCAGTCCTACAGATGCCTCAGCTCCCTCGGACAGATGAAGGGAGACGCATGTGTCAAGTCATTAAAGTCAAGCCAGAGGCATTGGACGAATACAAAAGGGTATGTACGATGGAGCAGCAGCGACACTTTACCCCTTTCATTCAAAGCTGACCGGGAAAACCTCCTTTTCTCTCCTTAGGTCCATGCGGAAGTGTGGCCAGAAGTGCTAGGAGCATTGAGAAAGGCCAATGTCGTGGGTGAGTATGGGACGACGAACAGGTGGAGGCAATGTGTTATGGGACGAGCCTGACACGCTCCTTCTTCTCGTGTCCGTCGGATAGATTACTCGATCCACTACTTTGAACCGCTCAGCTTGTTGATTGCTCATATGCGATACGTCGGTCCACACGCAGAATTCAGAAAGAAGATGCAGGAAATCTCAGAGAATGAAGCAACCAGGAGGTGGTGGAAGGTGAGTGAAGGGTCACCCGAGATCATCGAACAAAATCGCGGCCTTTGGGAGAGGACTCGGGAGTCGGGGAGTGTGGATCATTTACGCGCACGCAGAATCGCTCGACTGCCGTGCGGCACCATTCTGCCTCATATGAAGTCCCTTGACGCACAGCTGACTCGGTGCTCTACAGATGACTGACGGAATGCAAGAGAGTTTCATACCGGGTGCTACTGGCTCTGAAGATCCCAAAGGCTGGTGGTCAGGAGCCGAGGAGGTCTTTAGAATGGAGGGATAAGACTAGCGAGGCGACTATTCAGAAGTGTCAAAACATCTAGCATTTGTGATATTGAATCCTGTTTTTACACACTTTGTCGCTGCGCTCGCTATCCTACTCTGTGCCGTGGACGACCCCCTCCTCGAGCGGCGGAAGCAAATTTAGCCACTATTGATTTCCGGCCGTGAGATGCCACTTCAGTATGGGACAAAAGATCATCCATCAACAATTGAGTGAATTGAACTGGAGGAGCCGTCAACTCTCTCGTCTCACTACGAACTAGGAGCAAGGAGTCGTTGACGGGGGAAGCTTTGGATCAAGCGGTGTTGAGCATATCCGTCCTTTGTTTTTGGGACCCACCTTGGGACAGCCGGTAAACCCTGCAACATAGGAGCACGCCCAACCATCCCATCTCCTGCAATATCCCTCACAAAAGAACATGATGTCAGGAGCACACCATTAGCTCAGGATTACTTCTGCGCACCGACATCCGAGGATCCTCTCCCCCACTTGTCACCATGTCCAATACAACCCCTTCTGTAAGACACCACGGTCAAGGTGAATACGAAGATGGAGAAGTCCTCGACTATCCTATGGAACCGTCCCCCTCTTCCTCCTCTTCAAGACCACAGGCGCGTCAATCCTTCCCTTCAAACCTCCCTCCGAGACCTTCGGCGTCATTAAGCTACTCGTCCGACCGTGATCGTGATCGTGATCGTGACCGCGACCGCGACCGCGCGGGGCCTTCTAAAGGTTCAGCAGCCTGGCAAAATCCATTAGATCGATCACCCCTACGCAGTGTGTCGCCTCGAAAGCCTCATTCGCAGCCCTCACGAGGTGATACGGCGCGGCATCATGTTTCTGGATTCTCTGGCAATGCACGAGACTCGAGCCCTTCGAAAGTCGATACGAGTCTTCCGCCTCGACCTCGATCTAGGGAACGTGAAAAGGAAAGGGCGAGGGACAGTGATCACCCTACGAGCTTCACAACGTCTTTCGGTGGACGGCGCTCATCGATGGATAGACCTGATCACCGGGCTAGAAGGGATGAATCGCGATACGATGACCCGCGCGACAAGAGAGGAAGTCATGGATATAGGGACGAATGGAATACATACAATCGCGAACGCTACGGTATGGATGAAAAGGATAGGGATGGAAGTCGTCGGCGAGAGGACAGAGGTGTTGGTGCTGGTGTTGGTGCTGCTGGTGCTGGTGGTGGAGGGAGAGGAAGCGATAGGGACAGGTACGACCGATACGCTCCTGATGATCGTCCGCCGAGGAAGAGGTCAAGGTCAAGAGGGTACGATGCTTTTGATGACAGCTCTAGAAGGGGGATGCCAGTGAAGTACGGGTCGGAAGAGAATGACAGGTGGGATGGGAGGAGGGGAAACTCGCATCGAGCTCATGGTGGTGATGAAGACGGCGATGGCGGATACAGACGGCAGGAGGATGCCACACGGTCCTCTGGGGTCTCTCATGAGCGAAATGGGAATGGCACACAACGTGGGATTGGAGCAGGGCGATCACCTCTGGACCGTGAAGGGAAGAGCCGGGAGAACGGTGTACCACGGAATCACCAGGACGATCAATCCAGCATCAACGGCAAGCAGACTGGCGCAGGTTTGCCTTCACGCCATCCCGCTGACGCCGAAGACGGCGAAGCGATAGACTCGCATGAAGAGGGTCAAATTGATCACGATGAATCGTCTCGACCTCGTACTCCTTCCCTCTCGCCTCCGAAATCTGTATCGAAATACGATGATTTCGGTGAGTCTTCTCAAACTCGAATCGGATTCCCCTCCGTTACCTCTAGAGAAAGAGATCCTAAAATACCTCCTTCTCCCAATGGATCGGATCCTGAATCTGGGACCAGTGGATCATTCAAACCTCGAAAGTTGAGATTGTCATATCGACCAGGTGGACCTATGCCGCCGACTGATACACCTCCGACTCCTCCTCCGCCCACCGAAACACCCCCGGCTCCTCCTGATTTCACGCCTCCACCTCGGACCAACGAGAGGGTACCAACCATCGTCAACCCTTATGCTGGGGAAACAGCCCCGGCTCAAGCTGAAGCTCAGGCATTTGAACGTGATCAGGCGCCTCCTCCACCTAACCCTGATGTTATTCTCCCCTCCACCAGACCACCTTCACCAATCAAAAACGTCGTCAAGCCTGAGCCATCCATGGGCCAAAATCGAATCTCTGCAGTCTATCAACGTCGATCGCCCGCCTCAGAGCTCAAGGCGTACCCGCCAATGTCAGGCGACATGGCTGGTCCGCGATTCGTAGGATGCACCAACCTCAAAGCCTATGACCTTGGCTTGAAGCTCGGTGAAGGGACGTTTGGGTGAGTCGGACAGCTGGTTGAACGATTCTGATCCAGATAGTGTCGTCACCAAAGGGATCCAGATCGTCACGAAGCGAGCTGTGGCTCTCAAACAACTCTTGACTCATAACCCTCGTGATGGTGTAGGTTTTCTGTCTCACAGGCTGAGCAGATCATTGGCTCACACTGCATTCCAAGGTGTCTACCACTACCATTCGGGAGATCAAGATCTTGAAGAGTCTTTCGCATCCAAATGTCGTTCCCATTCTCGACATGGTGGTCAATCCGAGTGGGTGCCGCAGACAAGCTGGAGCAATGGGCTGCGACGCTTACTTCGTCTGCAGAGAACAAGGAAAAGTCTGCACGTCAGGATATTTTCATGGTTTTCCCCTTCATGGACCATGATCTCTGTGGCCTGCTTGGCAATCAACAGTTCAAGCCTACTGTGTCGATCGTCAAGTTGATCATGAAGCAGATGCTTGAGGGGTTGGCGTACATCCACGAGGTGAGCTGGGGGAGAGAAAGTCCTCGCTGCGCGCCGTGCTCATGTTCTTGAATCAGAACAACATCATCCATCGCGATATAAAAACTGCCAATATTCTCGTGGATAAACGCGGCCAAGTGATGATTGCGGATTTCGGCCTTGCACGATCATGGACTGGATCGGGACCTGTAATGCCGGCTCCCAACGGTCTGGTTGGCGCTGGCGCTGGTGATCATCAGCATGATCAGCTGCCTCCGCACACCATGAATGAATATACCAACATGGTGGTGACGAGATGGTATCGTGCGCCGGAGCTCCTACTGGGTGATACACACTATGGTCCCGCCGTCGACATGTGGTCCATGGGGTGAGTAATGTGCCGGGGGATCCAATGTGGACATGGATTCTGATGACATGTCAACAGGTGCATTCTCGGCGAAATGTTTCACCGTGAACCGATCCTCGCGGCCAAGGGTCAAACGGATGATGGACAACTCCCATTGATTCTTGAGCATTGTGGACCCCTCAATGACGAGACGTTTCCCGGATGGCAAGATCTGCCTGGTTACCCTGAGATGCAAGGTAGACGATGGGACTTGTTACATCTTGGAGAACCAATCATGGATATGGCCAAACGTTGGGGGTGGGTTCATGCTCTGATCTCCACTACAAGGGAATTGTGCTTGCTGACGTTGTATGCGCACGTGCAGCATGGACGAGTGTTCTTCGCATTTGTTGAGACAGATGCTTTGCCTTGATCCTGTTCAGCGAATCACGGCTGATCAGGCGTTGGACCATCCGTGGTTTTGGGTGACTCCATTACCAGCGACTGTCGACAAGTGAGTCTGGTGGAACCGAGTCGCGAGCGACTGTGATCCAAAGGGGAAGCTGATAACACCGTTCAGGACCGAGCTGGGTGTTCAATCTTCCCATGAGATGACAATGCGTCACGATCATCATGGATCACCTGGTGTTCATCAACAAGCTCATCGAATGCCTGCACGTCATTTCCATCAACAGCCGCAACAGCATCAACAGGCGTTCCGACCGCCTGGGCTGCATCCGGCTTCGCAGCAGAGTCGTCAGGCAGGATACGGTGGACCGAATGGCGGAATTCCACCAAACCACGCGAATGGCTCGTTCAATGGACCTCGACCGTACGGTCGCCCGCCTCAGCAGTCTCAGCCCCATGGTGCTTCGGGTATGAATCCGTATGGAGGACGCCCGATGAACGGAATGGGTCAGCACGCTGGTCCACCTGGGCAAGGGCTTGACGGTCCTCCATCTGGTCCAAGTGGACTCCTCAATGGATCATCAACGCATGGTCCCCCGCGTCATGGTTTACCAGCCAAAGTTCCCGCTCCTCCCTTCAATCTTGCTGGATCCAAGGTTATACCCCCTGCTCCATTCAACCTGGCACCAGGTCCCCGATCAGGATATAGCGGTCACAGTGGTCAGCATCAACATCGTGGGAATCGACCGAATCATGGGAATCAAGGATACGGACAACATGGTCCACCTGGAATGCATGGGTCTCCGGGGATGCACTGGAAAGGTCCGCCACCGCCGCCACCACCACCCCCTGGACCTTTGTCCCTTCCAGGAGGGGGAGGAGGTGCAGCAGCAGGAATCAAACGCCCCGGAGATGTATCTGGAGGACATGCCCACTATCGAGATTATAAACGACCCAGAGCGGATGATTATCAGCGGGAACCTGGGGAACTGGATGATTTGCCTTATGACTAGAACAGACATGTCAAGTGTGTGTGGCTGGGGTTTGTCATAGTTTTGTGTCATCGTCACAGTGTCATCAGACATAGTAATGTCATATGGGGATCTTGCAGATCTATAACCAAATGAGTAGAACGCCATCCCGTAGCCACCCACCCACCCTATTTCGTCATTCGACGCCAAGCAGGCTACAGTCTGGTATAGTGTGTCGGCGATCTCCGCTACATTGACGCCCAGTCACCGGATGCAGTAATAGTGGCAGCCCTGATTAGGAATCTCTTGAAAATACTAATAAGGATTAGCCACACACGTTATCAACCTATTCTGGATTCAATTTCGAGGGGTGCACACTCATTTTCGCAGCTTTCCTCTCGCAGCCCCCCCCCCCGCGCCGGCCGCCGCTGCGTGCTGCTGCTTGCTGGCTTGCTGCCTGTCTGCCTCAACCTTGCTTTTGGACATTACAATCTCACATCGTCTCATCTTCATTCCACATCTCAATAACCTGTTCAGATACACTCTCTCTTGGGTGATACCGGCGTCAACTTCCCACACGTACACACACTCTCTCTCTCTGTCTCACACACAACCACACAAAAACACTCAAGACTCTCTCGTCTGAATCCTACGCTCGGCTTTCGGTTCCCCAACAAGCAAAAATTCAAGGATGAATCGTGAGTCTGAAAGATGCTACATCCCATTTTTATGCCTATGCTGGAGGACCCTGTTGAGGGATCTTATCTCCTTCTGTCTCGTCATGATACGCCCATCTACCTATACATGACGATGATGATGCTGTGAAAAACGAAGAGAGATCTACGAGATCCAGATATAGCATCAAACCTCCTCTCCCCCTCTACCTCCCTGCCTCTCGCCCCTCTCTCTTCCCTATCCCGGACCGATCTCCTCTAAAACGCACATGCTATCACCCACCCACCCCGGCAGTGCTTCTCTTGTCTCTTCCCAAGCTGTGCGGCCCCTCCGCCCCGGTACCATTAGCCATAGTCGATCATATATCGCCCCTCCGCACCTTTGCCCCCCCCTCTCAGTTGCCTGAGCGGCGAGGTCGGCGTGCGATATTAAATTTTTATTAGGAAAAAAACCGACACTGCTTCGGGCCGTTATAGGCTGAGCTGGGCTGCTTCCCCCTCCACTCGTACCACATACTCAATACCATATACCACCACAGCTACTACTCCACACCACCATCTATCAGGTAGATCTGACCGTATACCATCGTCCATTTCGTTCTCTGTAGATCATCATTTCTCCTCTTTAAACTTGCGTTCCTTGTCACCCCTCTCATCGACTGCGAGCTGACAATTTATCTACCATTCCTTCCCATCCATACTATTCGGATCAACGCCAACGACCAATACCCCGCCCACCCCCATATTCACTGTCCCCCTAAAATTTACACACAACCGAACCACTCACACTACACTACGCACTGCGGACTCGACCACTTGACATCTATCCACCATTTCGTCCTCTACATCATCTACCACTCCTTCTCTCGCCTCCTCTTCCTTGACCGCTCCCTCATCCTCCTCCTCCGACACCCCCACTTCTTCTTCCTTTTCAACTACCATGTCCACCTCATCCGCCTCTGAAATTGACGATCGGCGATCTTCAGCTCCTGCCGGACCCGGAGGACCAGCTCAACAGTCAAGCACGAGTGTGCTGTCGTCCACCTCTACGTCGACTACCTCTTCCACCTCTACCACCCTTTCCTCAACTTCTACTACGTCCACCTCCTCTTCGACTTCAACATCCACTACCTCCTCAACATCCTCCACTTCCACATCCTCGTCTTTATCCTCCTCATTCATTCCGTCCTCCTCGTCTTCGTCGTCATCCTCAACATCGAGCTCTGCCTCATCGAGCATCACAAGCTCTTCAGCAGTCTCTTCATCTTCTTCGTCCGCCTCATCCTCATCCTCTAGCTCTGCATCTTCATCTTCGACCTCCTTCATCGCATCGAGCACGTCATCATCAACCTTCTCATCAAGTGCATACTCATCTTCATCGTGAGTTCACACATGACCCAAAGCCTCCCCTGCCCTTCATGTCATGATTGCTGACAGACAACCAAAAAAATTCAGGACAATCTCGTCATCTTCTTCGGCTTCTTCCGCATCTTCTACCCGAAACGCCGATCACGGCGGAAAGGCCAGTTCACATACGGGTGGGTCTCAGCGTATCCCGTCGAGTCTGAATCGTACTGACCATAATTCTCTAGACATTGGAGCTATCGTCGGCGGAGTCGTGGGCGGTGTCGCCGCTTTGGCTCTCCTTGGGCTCCTCCTTTTTTTCCTGCTCCGTCGCAAGAGGAGAGAGGATGCATTTGACGAAAAGACGTTTGCTCCTGCCAACCGGCATTCTGTCAACGATCCCATCGATCTCATCGAACCCTCGGTTCCTAATGTCGGAAGTCCCATTGCCCCGTCTGGGCCTCGAGTAGACCCATTCCCATATGGAGCGGCCGCCGCAGGTGCCGGTGCTGCTGGTCTTGGAGCCGCTGCTGCTGCACACCATCACGGTCATGGATCGCCGGAGCAGAATTACGACCCATACTCGGCTCAGCACCCCGCTTCCATGCAATTCCCAGATGCCAGGAATTACATGACAAACCCAAACTACGGCTACGGAGGCGGAGGCGGGCAAGATGGTGGATATGGGGTGGCTGCGGGAATGGCAGGTGGCGGAGCCGCTGCGGGATACGCAGCGCATCAAGGTTACGATTCTCGTGACCCATACGCGCAGTCGAACCCTTCCAACTATTCTAGATCGACATCCGCCATGTCACCTGGAGGAGCTCAAGGCAGTGCCTCGGCTGTGCCTCCTCTGGTCGGTGCAGCGGGTATGAGCCAATCTGCTATTGCCAAGCAACGCGAGGCAGCGGCGGAACGGGCAAGAGGGAGACCTTCGAACGGATACGAGGACTCAGACGGAGCTGGTCGTGCACCCCAACGAAACAGCGCCGATGGATCACAGGATGATGGAAACGTCAGGAGATCGTCGAGCGGTGGAGTGTACCAACACACTGATTATGGAAGTGTACCAGAGGACGAAGGGGAGCAGGAGGGTGATGGACCCACCGAGATTCCACCAGGGTGAGTTTTGGCGTTTCGTCAGTGAACCACTGATCTGACAATGTGATTCAGGTATCACTCGATCAGACGATAGAACTTGATCACGCGACGGTCAATTTCGGTGGATCCGATCGTATTCAGACCCGAGCTGGTTTCTGGGATTTGGCAAACAGACTGACGGGCCTGGATGGCAAGTCTGCATGGGTTTGGGATTCGATTCATATAATTACATGCTCCTTTTCGAGCCATCAAAGGCGTCTCGCAGCTCATACACGGTCTGCGCGCTTTCAAAAGTATAGATAGCGTCGTGCATTCTACTGGCTGGCTCTTGCATGTAATGCGTGAAATTCACTCAATTTGCTTCCTCTCCCATCGGCAATGTCCACCAGGTTTCTGCCTAGCCTCCTGATCTCAGAGACAAGTCGCAGATCGTCAGATGAAAGAAGATCCCTTTGCTGGTCCTTCCACGCATCTTCCAACTCCATCTCCAGCAAGGCTTGGCCTTCTCTAGCGATTCGACCCGAGGGCGTATCGCCCAACGGACCGAGTTGATCATATCGCAAGCACATGTCAAACCTCGATGGTGTCCATACGAGATGAGCGGTATCATCAGAGGAATCGAACAGAGGTCTGACGACTCGAGAGAGGAAGTCTTCATATGTTACCCCATGATGTATCTTGAGCACGTTGGCATGTAAGAAGGCTGGTTTTGGTCGGTACGTAGTATCGTGCACCTTGGATATAGGTGTGAGCGACCAATGGAGGTCTGACAACGACGACGCGGGTCAGTGAGGCGTCGCCACATTGAATACTTTTATTATTTCCGACTCACTTGCCAGACCGCAGATTGGTTCATTTGTCTTTGTCAGTCCCTGCTCGTCTCGTGGATGTGAGCCGACAACAGAAGGAACTCTAGGGGCTCCTTGATATTCCAATCCGAGGATATAGAAAGCGTATCTCTGTAGATGATCAAGTCAAGTCAAGTCAGCGTCTTGAGAGGTCCCTGGACGAAAAGGACTACTACGTGCGCCAACTGGCGCAGAACGACTGTACTGTACACCCACAAATGTATCCTTGTCACCCCATCCCAAGTGACGCCAAAAGTCCTCCAGCTTCATCATCCCTAAAGCGAGATACAATGCAGCGAGGTTGAAACCTCCATTACCTCTCTTGTCAAAGATCACTTGACCCGTTTCAGCCGTCCAATGCTGGTCGGAGCATGGTCGATTGAGAACACGCCATACAGCGTTATCGGGGTGATCTTTCGAGATATCTGGCCAAAAGACATTGCCTGCCTTTTGGTATTCGACCGAATCGAACAGTGTCTCTGGATCCACCAGAGGTATATTATCACTGTCTAGCCACAGGAATTCGGTGAATCGAGTATGGATGAAGGCTTGATTCTTGATTACTGGACAATGATGAAGTGTCAGTTGAGGTCTGAATGACGAGGCTACATAAGGCATACCATAGCCAATGCTGGTGTCCCTGTCCAGGACTCTGAACACGATGTCTTCACCGAACATGGACCTGATCTCTTGTATGGATTCTTCATCCATCTCATCTGAATGATGAAAGATCTCGATGGGTAGTCGAGATTTCACATGATGCCTCAACATTGACAGGCTGACTTTGACTCTGTCCTTGTGTTCACCTCGAGATGCACCGTAGATGATGCCTCGTTCCATTGGTCCAGGATGAGTTTCGGGGCTCCAGACGAGGGACGTAGACGTCCTCATCATCGCCTTCATCTCAGCCACCAATCGATGTCTTTCTTGATGGATATCTTCCGGCGTGATACTCTTCCAAAAATCGATATTGTCCGTATGGAAAAAGACATCATCTCGGCCCAGTGTATATGAAGGACCTTGCGTCCCGAGGAGGGGGCAGGTCAATTGAACGATCATAGTTCCAAGTAGATTACACTCACATCCATAATGATTAACAGCGTATGCCTCCTCGTGCGTTAGGATGGGTAGATCGAGGAAAGTCTCTAGTCGCTCTTCGAGGGATGGGATTCGAGGCGGCGGCGCCGCCACATCTGGAGTAGGGAGTACCGGCAGACCGTACCCTGTTTTGCACCAAGATACGTAGATGAGACTGAGGCAGGTCGTGATAACGATAATGGTGTAGATGGCTGCTTGAGTAGCGCTTTTCTTGAGACAGTTTGCATTGTGTGATTGGCCTCCAAGGTAGGAGAGGTAATGGTGTCTTTGGGTGTTTAATAGCATGTCTGGGACCGCAGTAAGCAGGCGGTGTCCAGTAATACTACTGAACGCATGAGCTCCAGATTAGACTGCACCTCATCGCCTGCTGTTGATGTCCTCCTCACAAAGGATGGTACTTGTGCAATAACGATCCTCCGCACTCATCTCCACCGACGATCCTCTGAGTAAAACATGAAAGGGACATGATGATACAAAGTCGTCGCATCCACCACCTTCCCGGCCTTCTCGGCTTGGATCGTCTGAAGTCAGTCTCACCACAAGTGACACCCTGTGCGAATGGACTGGGTCATCAATGGAAGGGTCTCCCCCCTTTCCAGATGCTCGGCGATACGAGATACTTGCCTTTGCACATGTCCGCCATGTTCAAGGCAGGCATCCTCATCAATGCCACTATCTCGCGCCACAGTTACGCTTTGAGATCCGCCGACACGCGGATCTCGGCGGTGCAAGGCACGTCACGAAGACGGGGAAAAACATTTTGTGTACGTGAAGAAGTATATTTGGATCACACTGTGTTGTGAATCGGATCTATTCGTCGTCTCTGAGGTCACTACGAAGCTGATAGCAGCGTCAACATGGCTCAAAGCGAGCAGCACTCACGGCTGGCTGTTGTGAGTCGTGAACCCATCTCCATATCATGATGAGAACTGACCATTCTTCATTTCAGCTCGGGACGGTCGTCTTCTACATGGTCGTCGCTATCAGCATGACGCTGTTAAACAAGAGTGAGGCCATCAGGCAATGCTGAGTGTTATGTTGGAGGGTCCCAACTGAGACCGTTTGAAAAGACGTCCTTAGCTCTACACCTCTCCCTGTTTTCCTCCTCTTCTGCCAGAGCGCAATGGCCGTGTTCTTATTGGCTTTAGAGAACCGACTTGGACCAATCAAAACGCCGGCGACGTGAGTCGGTATGTGGGGCTGTAGGACTATCCACTGCGCAGGCCAGTGAAGAGAAGGCTCATTGAGAGCTGATCATATACGCCCTTTCTGTTCAGATTCGAGATGCCAATAGCCAAGGAGCTAGCCCCGCTAGTCGGTATCAACGTCCTCGGACTGATCTTCAACAACTACTGCCTGCAATATGTCGATGCGTCATTCCATCAAGTCGCAAGAGGACTCGTCCTGCCATGCACCATACTCATCACGATATTCGTGCTCAAAGTAGGTTCTCCACCTCTTCGTTCCTCCTTCCCCTCGCGGCGTGTCGTCGAGCAACTCTTCCTGACTTCACACACAACCCTCTCAGCAATACCCATCTCGTTTGAGCTTGATAGCCGCGCTCATAGTCACATCTGGCTTCTTCTCCGGCGTCCTATTCGACCCGAATCACGCTTCCTCCAAGGCTTCAGCAGCAGTCGCAAAGCCCCACTCGTCCGTGTTGGGCATACTTTTCGGTGCTTCGTCAAGTATCGCTTCGGCATGTCATGCCATCTTAATCAAGAAGAGTTTGGTAGGTCCCAACAAAGCTTCTTAGAGAACCCATTGTCCCGGGAAGGTGGACTGACCCTCTGTTGCCTTTCTGGCCCCGCCTCTAGACGGCCGTACAAGGTTCCGCCATTGCCCTGTCATACTATAATAATATCTTATCCACACTGGCATTGATCCCGCTGGTCATCATCTGTGGAGAAGGACCAGGTGCTTTGCGCCTTCTATCAGGAGAACACGACGCCAAGACGTTCTTCTGGGGAGCAGGTATCACGGCAAGTTTGACTCTTTCTCTCTGTGTCCTTTACCCTCACCGCTCGCCGATGCTGACATCGCCCCCCCCACGCAGGGCGTTTTCGGATTTCTGATCTCACTTGCATCGTTCATATCCATCAAAGTGACTTCTCCAGTAACTCACAGTGGGTTCCAAAGAAAACTATCTCCTATGAAAGAAGGTCAGGTGCTGACCTCACCCACAGTGATCTCCTCGGCCGCACGAGGTGTCCTACAAACCATGCTCGCAGTCTATTTCTTTGGAGACATCATCTCTTCGTGAGTCCCCTTTGCGATCAGATTGTCGACAACGGCTGATAGACCGCTTCACTCTCACCCTTTAGTGGTAGAATGGTTTCCATCGCACTCATCATCACCGGATCAGTCCTTTACGTCTATTCTAAATCTCTACCTGAATCCGATTCGAAAGCTCCGTATTCCCCGCTCGACTCCAAATCAGTCAATGGCACTCCGACACTCTTCGACGCTGAAGAGGGCAAGTCTACTAAAGACCACAATCACTCAAGCTGAGCGAAGTCCTCGATTCACTACGCCAAAGTCAAGCTCGTATGTGATGCAAACATATGCTATATAGTGTACCAATTGAGACCCAATACACAAATACAACGCTCAGAGTGGGATGAACAACCGAGTTTTGAAAATTATGATCACATCGTCTCCGCCTCTCCTCTCACAACCTGGCCCCTTCTCTGCTTCACTGCACTGAGAACTCCCTCCATTCCTCCACCTCCGCACACAACTGCGCCCATTCCTCGACCTTCTGGACCTCACTTCGCGTCCACCTTTTGCTTCTTACTCGTGTCCTCTGTGACATCATCTGCTTTCCGTTTGATCGCGACGCCGGCAGCCCCAGTACTTCCACCAGTCGCAGCAGAGCTAGCAGCACTTGCATTCGCTCCTGCACTGGTTGTCGTCGTCGTCGTCGTACTAGACATTCCAGGTTTACCTCCATTCCCACCTGCCCCAGGTCTCGCCGTCGTACCTGCTGCACCTGCAACACCAGGCGGTTTCTTTGGCGGAAGAGGAGGTACTTCTCCCGTCGCCCAGATTTTTTCCGCAACTTTGAGGTCAATGTCCACCCCTACCACTCGAATGTATCGCAGAAGCGCCCCGGCGTTCGGTCCGACAGTGTTGACATCTCCCTTGGCGTTGGCGACTTCGGCGATCATACTGATGACTTTGGTCAGACTCGCACCTGGAGGTGCAGGGCCAGGAAGAGGCTTGGTTGGACCAGGAATCACCTTTTTCGGGCCTTCTTTCGGCTGTAAAGGTGCCGCCGAAGATGCAGAAGAGGCAGTCGATCCGGGACGGTGACCATTGGCAGGCGTCGTTCCGGTTTTAGCAGCCGCCGTCAGAGCCCCCTTGCCAGTGGTAGCCGTGGTCGTGCTCGCATTCAAATTCGCCTTGTTAGCCTGTTGAGCTGCCGCTCGAGCAGCTTGATTCTTCTTCCTGTTCATGACCCAGGCGGACAAGACGTCCACAGCTGCAGTCGCACCCAACAATGTCAACTTGTCAATGATGTCGCTGGTAAGATGACCAAACGTCCCTGGATCCAAGACCAACGTTACGCCATCGCAGGCGAACGGCAAGAGGTTGCCAGCGGCATCAGTGGTGTCGATGACAGACTTGGCCCGGATGGCAGGTGTCAGAGCCTGGATCGAAACAGCGACTTTGGTCTTGGGTGGCAATTGACCCTTGGAAGAAGGGGCACCATTCGGCTTGGCTGCATGAGCGCGAGCTTGAACAGGTTGAGCGGGTTGAGCGGGGCGGGGAACAGGACGCTGAGCAGCGTTTGAAGTGGCGTTGCTTGTTGAAGCTGTCGGAGTGGAGGCCGCACTGCCGCCCGTGTTGCCCGAAGTGGTGGCCGCCGCGGCAGCCGTCACCGCGGACGCTGGTTTGGCAGCCTGACCTTGAGCCTGCGCCTTGGCTCGTTGAGCATTGGCGTGAGCGACAGCCGCGGCTCTAGCCTGAGCAGCTTCCACCGCTAGATCCCTCTGCTTCCTGGCGCGCTCTTCCGTCTTTATCCTATCCCTCTCACGCTTCAGATCCGGATTCTTGTCCTTGCCCACGTTCTTCATGGCGTCTCGTCGTTGTTTCTCTTCGAAAGCCGGCCCCTCGTGTGGATCAATGATCCACACTGATCCTTTGGATTCTGGATCGTCCTCAGGTATACGAGGCACTTTGAGGAAAGCCTTGTTGAGTGATAGATTGTGTCGAATCGAGTTTTGCCATCCCGCATCTACGTTGAGTCTGAACCACTCCCATTCGCCGGCTACCCAATTACATACCTCTCCCAAGGTACCTCGACCTCGAGGGAGGTAGAGAAGCGCGCGATGAATGATCGTTGCGAATGTCGCTGTAGGCTTGAGTGGCGGTGGACCAATGAATGGTTTTCCATCCAGTCCAATTAAGGGCCCGGGTGGAGGTCGAGGTCCAGCACCAGAAGGGGGGATGGGCACATTGACGATGATGTGTCCGGGTCGACCGGGTGTCTCATTCAATTCGGTACAGAAGAACGGTCTTGGTATCTCGGCAGAAGTCGCTGAGGCAGCACCAGCAGCAGCTTGAATCTTGTTTTGAGCTGCAGTGGCGGTAGATGTGGGTACGACAGCGGCCTCGGCAGCTGCCAATGTTGTCGGACCAGCAGGGACTTCAGGCTTTGTCTCGCCCTCAACGGGCGCAGGAGGCTCGGCAGGAGTCGCTGAAGCTTCAGCGATCGATGCACGTTTCTTCTTGCCCTGTTCCTTCTTCTTTGTAGGACCAGACTCATCCTCCGTTTTGGCCTTGCCGCCTTTCTTCTTCTTGCTCTTTGCGGGTGATGGGTCACCAGTCTCCGATGCCGCTTCAACGTCTTCGTCATCAGGCGCTGCTTTGGCTTTGACTGGCTTCTTGCTCGCTTTGCCCCCTTTCCCAGCCTTGCCATCCGTCTCGTCTTCCTCTGTAGCTGCAGCAGCAGCAGCGGCGCCGCCGGGGGCCTTGTCTGACTTGACCTTTTTCGGTCTTCCAACTGGCCTTTTGGCAGGCTTCGCGCTCTTCTCAATTCTGTTCTCCCCGCCGTCGTCCCCTCCCTCATCCTCGCCTTCTGCCTCCTCCTCGCCCTCATCCTCCCCATCATCATCGTCGTCTTCTTCTTCTTCTTCTTGCTCATCTTCTTCATCGTCGTCATCTTCATCGTTCTCCTCTTCATGTGCCTCTTGTTGCTTCTTCCGCCGTCTCCTCTCGCGAGACTGACGACTCTCTTCATCCCACGAATCTGCATCCTCGTCCGAATCCCAACTGTCATCCCAATCGTCGCCGTTGCTGATGCCTATACCCAGACCATAGCCGTCCGGAGCGGCAAAGGCGTTGAATGTGGGAGGTATCTGAGCCGCCATGTTCATCTGGGATGACGGCCCAGGTCCGGGTTCACCATAGAACTCTGCGTAACCGACTTGCCCAGGCGGAAGATTGTATGGGTACGGAACATCTTCCAACGCATGCTCTGTATCTCTCGGTGTGGCATCAAATCCATATGGCGAAGGGGAAGGAGAAGCGAGAGCAGATGGCGGGAGGATGAAGGAGAAGATACGAGTGGCAATCTGGATTTGAGACCTGATAGCGGAGGAGAAAGTCAGCATGGCAGAGAATTGAGTGAAGCGACATGGCTTACGCTTGTGCCAGAGGAACAGTTGATCCCTTGACATAGTATCTGTCATCGACCCAAGCGCCGTTCCGACCCAAGATCTCAAGACAGAAGCAACCCAAACCTGCCCAATACGCGATCTTGGCATGATTACGCGAGACAGACTTCAGCAATCCGAGATCTACATCCACATGAGAGAGTGATTCTTTCGACTTGGAGGGGGGCGGCGGAGGTGGTGGAGGTGGCGGTCCGAGATCTTCAAACAGGCCAGGTTCCAGCTTGACAGCCTCATCGCCAGACATCAGAGCGGCGTCGGCAGGAGCAAGGGCATCTTCAGTCCGCGGATCTGCGTCAATCGTTGAAGGTTCCGGCAAAGGCTCCAACATGGTCACGTCCGCTTCGATCTTGGCCAGCTCACTGGCAGAGCTCTCAGACCCCTCCTTGATATCGTTAGATTCAAGTGTACCAGATTCGGGGACCATGACTTCCGCGACAGGTTCCGAGACATCGATCGCTGGAATGTCGCTCGCGTCATTCGCGAGCTGAGGTTCTGGCTGCTCATCCTTTCCTTGTTCCGCCTGTCTCTCGAGCTCATGACCATCCTCTGCGACCTCCTCTTTGACCGAGTCTGCTGCCGCCTTTTCCTCCACCTGTACCACCGGGACTCCCTCTCCTGCCTCTACACATCCTTCCTCACCCTTCGCTCCATCCTTGTCCTTGTCCTGTACGAGACGCGAGAACATCAATGGCTTGGCGATTGATCGCGACACGTCTGTTTAACACTCACCCATCCTCTACCGATCATGACGGACAGCGTACGGACATAGTAGGAGAATCCAGTGACATCGTCCCCAAATTGTAACTTGTAGTAGGCGGGTTTGGGCTCCGTCTTTGTCCTATCCACTGGCAAAGCTGCGAAGGAAGGGACGGGTGGAAACGTCGGTGCAAATTGCATTCCGCTATACCTTGATGAACCTCCGAGTCCACTGTATCCATTGACGTTCTCTTTTTGAGATGATCCGTATGATGTATGATCATAATGCTGCTGTTCAGATGTTGAATATGCAGCCATAGGTCGATGCTCGAGAGCGAACGAGGAAGCGAGGCAAAACGTCCAAAGCGTCTCCAGGGGGGGGGGGGGGGCAGGGTTCTTTACCCGAGACGCGGACGAGATGACTCGTTCCAGGTGATTAGGGGAGGAGAGAGGGAAGAGTGTAGAGCGATAGGTCCCGTCGCGGACAGTTCGGGATGTAGGAGTGAATTGCCCCTTTGCGTGTTCAAGTGAGATGAGATGAGATGAACTGATTGAAGGGCGTGCTGCCATGTATTTTTGTTGAAAATTCTCCTCTCCGAATCAAGCCGGTCCGCCATCGTAAAAATTTATAAAATTACTGCATCAGGCAACAACAACAACGGCGGCAGCAGCAGCAGCAGCAACAGCGACGGACGGAGTAGCGGCGACGACGACGACGACGACGAGCAGCATGGCGATGGGCATACATAGCAGATAATAGACAATGATGTACAGTAACCCGCACTTACAACAGCTGCAACAAGCTCACACACTCAGCTCTCGCCTGTGCTTGAATCCGAAATCCTTGAGTAAAGGTTCGAGCCACTCCTCCTTGACACTGGGAAGAGGTACAAACCTCTTTTGCTTCGATGTGTATCGCTTCATACTCCTCTCGCTGGGGTAGAGAAGATGCTTGTATGGTGGTGCAGCAGTCTTTCGCGTCTCGAGGTAATCCGCGAGGTTGACATGAGCGTTGCCCTTGAGGATCGTCCTCGCTTGATTGAGACTCGACGGTAAGTCGAACGTTGGAACAATGTGCTTCGGTTCAGGGAACGTGCTCGTCTCGGACGGTGGGATTACGGGGAGATCAGGGAGATCGGTAGGTACTTCGACGAGCCCAAGCTGTTACATTTGTCAGCTTCCCCTTGAAGTGGAGACAATTCGCTTACCTCGACACACAACGCTTGCCAGAATCGCAGCTTGTTGGCCTTGTCCGCCATAAACACGGGGTCGCCAGACAGAAAACTTGAAATACAGGTCAGTCAAAGCCAAACCCTCAAAACGTGCAATTCTCACCTGTCGATCGATGATTTTGCATCATCAGTGCTCATGACACTGCTCAGGACCCGTGGGTTCCGTTTGACAGGCGTAACCGCTGGACTGTTCCCTCGTCCCATGCCTTGGAGTACCGACATGCCATCTACTTCGCTCTCACCTTCCAATTCGCCTTCATCCAAAAAACGACTCGCGCCGTCTTCAGAATCCTCCTCGTCGTCCGGTGTAGAAGTGATATCACTAGCCACATCGTGGGATGCAGAAGAGGACGACAATGCCTTTTTGAATCCGGAGATGAGAGATGGCCGGACAGGCTCGAGTTGAGGAGAAGACGTCGGTGTCGAGTCATTGTCCAGCGGTTGGAGAATGCTCCTCACTTGTGCTCGTTCGACCCTCGCTCTGTTCCGCTTGCCTCCTCGTCGAGTCTTCCTGTGTGTCTTGGTAGAGTCTGTCGACACTGGAGCAGAGACTTCGACGGGAGAAGAGTCGAAAGGATCATCTTTGACATCGGCCTTTGGCTGTTTTGATTTGGCCTCAGCCTTGAGAGAAGTAGATATTTTCGTCGCTCGTGTGCCTTTCCCTTTGCTCGTATTTGGTTTTCGAGGGGTCGCGTCGGGATCAAGCTCATTCCCAACAGCTATGATATCCTCATCTTTCTTGCCTCCGCTCTTAGCCTTGCCTTTTACCTTGCCCTCGCCCTTGGGCTTCGACTTGGTGGGTGTCTTGGCAGTAGCCTGTCGATCCGGCGCCGGCACAGTTCTCTTTCTCTGATCAGGACTGGGAAGCAGGATGATTTCATACTCTGATTCTGTTCGATTGCCAGATTGACTGGTAGAGCCAGAGGGGACTCTTGAACCGGTTGAGCCGGAGACATGGCTGAGCTCGACGGATGAGGGGTTGAAGCGGGGTCCAGCAGGGAATGGAAGGCGAAGGGTATTGGGCGGCCGCAGTGAAGATGATGAGTCGTCGGTCGATTCGGTATTGGGAGATAAGGTGAGATTGTCTAGTGAGGAGAGGAGCGAGAATTCAGATGGTGTCGAGCTCTCCCGAGTGTGCATGGTGTCGATACAGGGTTGGTGGTAGGGCGTCAACAGATGGGGCGAGGACTTTCCAATTTGAGGTGACTGCAATTTCTTCGCGTCCAGCTCAGTGAAATGATCTACGAGGATTCCTCGTGGCTCGTATCACTCCAGATGGGTCACGCGTGGATGTCGAAGAACAAAGTCCAAAGTACCAAGAAGGTAGATGAAGACGGTCGGTTGGTCGCTCACCAGCTGAAACAGCCATCCCCTCCCCCCGGGGATCTCGATCTCGTAATTTTGATTGTTTGGGTGGCAAAACATCGGTGTGGCACAAAAGCTCTCATTTGGCGTCGTACAGCAGCACATCGCCTGGGCATCGATGCAACAGGCCTGCCCTTGGGTTGCGATGTGTATACCTCCTATGGACACCTTCTGAGCTTGCTTCCATCAGGCGCCTATTTGGCAGTACAGCTCGCATGCCTTTGAGCCTTTTGACGCGCCCACCCTCCTTGTCGACGACCTGACGACTGCGAGGGTTTCGTGGCGACACGACGTAGCAACAGGACTCTCCTAGCAACAATATCCGCGTTGTCTAGCTCGATTGGTTCAGCGACGATGTTCATAAGATTGCTAAGCAATGACTGGGCATAAGGTCCCAATTCCTTCTCCTAAGTGTCTCCTTCTTTCCACATCTCAGACAGCCCGTACTTGCTCTCATCCTCCTCGCTCTGTTCAATGTTCGCTTCCAATGGATCGATCCGATTTGCCTTGCTTATCGCTCTGCTCGTAGGGTTGCAGGTCAATTCAACACCTCTGCAAAGCTCTGCAGAGTATGCCCACTCGCCGATTGAACGTCAATTTGATGCAACCGACGAAACAGATGGCGGGACGATGTGGGTGTCCAGCGCGCAGCTGAACAAGATAGCCCGAGTCGGTATGAGTTTTCACGAGCTCTCCACTGCGAGATTCTTGCGGGATCGACATAACACCAAACGAGCTATCCATGACGAAGATACCAATGTGCTACGCTTACTTCAGATCGAGCGTAAAGACGTGTCTAAAGTACACCGAATCCAAAAACACCGACCTCCACCACCGATCCAAAGGTCAGCACGAACCTTGCACCGGCTCAAAACAAGACAAGAAGAGGTACTCAGTGACTTTGCCGACCTGGATGAAGGAAACGCAGCACTGGCGGATGCCAAGGTGGTATTCGCTACCACACTCACAAGGAACGAAGCTGCCCAAGCGACGAGCATTGCGTTGGGAAACGGGGAGGAAAACACGGGAGCGATGATGGTGGAGGTCGTCCCTTCTTCATCACAGATACAAACGTGAGCGCTTCGATCCAGGACTCAAGGAGAAAAAGAGACGTTGTCTGATGAAGGGTAAAGATCCGCAGGAATGATCAATGAATCATGTTTGACAATGGTGTCTGATCCTTCGCAAAAGTTCTGCTCTACATCTCTCGATGGGACTGCGATAGGCAGTGATGCGGGATTGGTTTTGCCCCAGGGATCCGCTTCTGCCTCGGTATCGCCTTCGTCGACAGCATCAGCCTCATTGTCAAGTCCATCGGATGTAGCTTTCCAAGACTTGCAACAGCCCTCAACAGCATCGATCGGCACGTCATCCCCTTCAGCTTCAGCACCCGTCTCCGGAGAATCTGCGGACACGACCGGTATCGCCTCAGCATTCTTCTCCAGCTCGTCAGGAGGACCAAGTGTCACGGATGCGTCGCCGACGCCTATCAGTGGCAATGCTGTCGTGGTATGCCATTCAGCTGTACTAGATGAAAACGCTGACGAGATCAGAACGCCGCCGTGCCGACTGGTGAAGCCTCAACGTCTTCTACTGTATCCGCCGGTCCGATTTCCTCGGCGCCTCCTGCATCTGGTAATGTCAGCACACCATCACCAGTGATCGTCAATGCTCCATCAGTGAACACGTCGGCCAGGGGATCCTCGGAATCTGGAAACACTGTGTCCGCCAGCGTCACGGCATCTTCAGGGACAGGGACTCCATTCGTCATCGTCAACGCGTGAGTAGAAGGAACCCGGTCAGGCGCCAGGCCTCGGCTGAGTGTCGTTCTAGTCTTCCATCCGTCGTCGCCCCAGTCACCGCTGCAGCAGCCGAAGCGGACAACACAGCGACGGTAAGTTGACAGGTCTTTTGGTCTGTTCCACCAGGACTCTTTGATGACAGCTTTGAGCAGACTATCCCAGGACAAAAGATGCAAGTCCTGCCTATAGGTCTGGGGGTGTTTGGCGGTGAGTCCTCCCTCTCTTTACATCAAGTTTATTCAATCCGTCTTTTGACGCGCTTTGCTGATTCCTTCTTCCAGGTCTCGCCGGTATAACCCTCTTGGTCGTTGGGTATGTCTATTACGAGCGGAGAAAGTATCGAGGGCAATTTAGACGTCGAAAGGCTGCTGAGGAAGAGCTGATGGGTCAAGCTGCGCCGATGGGGTCGGCGGGACGATATGGGTCGACTTGAGTTGCTGTATGAATAGGTAGACTTGGCTGAGCCTTGTCATCCTATCGAGCGTATGAATGTCGCTTTCCCATCGGTTATAGCGAGCGAGGTTCAGGTCCGAAGCGGATCGTGTCACTGTGAAAGTGTCCTCATATGAGAGATTTTCCAGCTCCGACTGTCCCGATCGCTCCCAGTCATCTCGATGTAGGCGAGTGCCAATTCCTCAGTCCTCGCACATCGTCACGCCCGCATCGATCATTGCGACCCTCAACCATCTCGCTTCCTCTTGCATCTCTTCCTCGGTCCTAGCTCGACGGTCCTCATCCTTCGGAATGATATCACGTAGGTTTGTCCATCCCCCTCCTTCCGCTCCCCCTTCTTCTCGGTGCGACGCCACAGGTGAGCCTCGCTGCCAGCTCTGAACCCGTGAGACATTGGCTCCGTTCTCCAAGTCCTTCCCCAGGGTCTGCTCGGCACTTTCTAAGGCAGGATAAATCTCATCATTGTTCCCGTTAAAGTCTGTCGATTGTCGAGGGATCAGATGAACATGAATGTGAGGAACTGATTGACCAGCAACTGCGCCGTCCTAATCGTTGAATCAGCATTCCTTGCTTGGTTCCTCCCTTGGACATCGTAGGCGGTTCAGAAGAAGCCAAACTTTACCTGAATTGAGATTGTCAGAGCTTGGGCCTGGAAAGTCTTCTCTAAGATTTTGCCAATTGTTTGTACGGAGGTAAAAAGGTCGGACACCTCCTCCGAGCCCAGGTCCACTAGACGAGGGACCACTCGACGAGGTATCACTAGGACGTCTTGGGGAGCGTCAGTTGACAGCATGCTGGACTGGAGCCGGCAAGTCAACTCACGACCTGGTATCAGTGGTTTGAGATTGACGATTGCGAGCGAAAGCTTGGAGGTAAAAAACACTAATGCGGGGGACGGGGAGGAGGGTCAGTAAGACCTCAGTATTTCAAAGCGATCACGAGCAGTTTCTGACGGATCTAGCAATGAGAGACTCTAACGTACCCTGTCGAGTCACATCAAATGTCGAGAATAGGTGCTTTTTGGTAGACGTCATGACACGAGCAGGTATCGGTACTGCAGGCGAGCACAGCGTGAAAGGGGTGCGACACTGATCAGATAGCCTCAGTGGGGCTCAAAGACGTGATCGGCTATCAGAGCAGGCCTTGACTTGAGCACGAGCTCAGAATCCAAGATGCTAGTATGATGAAGCAGGGTATAGCAATAAAATCCGGGCTCGGTCTGAGTATCGGTTGCTTCGAACCTCGTGGATTGTTTGATTTTGCCTCTCTTACCTCTCGCCATCTGGCCGTCGACCTTTGATCTCCAATGATGCGTGGAAGCGTTTCATGCGCATCTCTCTTACTCTTGTGAGTCTCTGGAGATCACACATCCCCATACATGCCCTCATACTGAAGCCGTCGACCAGATCGCTCTTACCTTCCATTTCCGCATATGATATCCAAGGTCGAATAGCATTCAACAACGTCTTACCGGGTGAGGATGCCTAGCTCAGCGCTCATAGACTGCACGCTGAGGCTTTTCCTCCTCGATGTCAGAGTCTACAGGCGTACCTGTCGGTAGCAAGGTCTCGCTGGATCATGGAGCGAGATATGCCTATATCACTCCTTCCGGGAGTTTTGACCTGTACGTTGGGAGGGAGGCCTTACACGTCCCTGAGGCTCAAACGATGTCCTGCCGAGGAACTGACCATCGACTTAAGGAGCTACGTACCGGAAGGTCAACATATTTTGGAAGGTTTCGTCCCTGGATACATCATGGAATCGGTGAGTGATACGACGTTCAGGCTAAAACACCATGCAACGTCTCGTTTCCGCTATCCAGGCGTCATCGATGCCATTGCCAAGCTGACTCACGCTCAACCGTAGTTTCTGGTGACGATCAACGAGACCATCCACATTCAACCTTACCATGTCGCTCGGGCTCCACTGCCTCTATCCGTCCCTTCCTTTCCTCATCCTATTCAGATGAAGGCTTTTCACAAAGAAGATTACTTTACATCTCCACCTTCGTTCCAGCTTTTGGCGATGCTGAAGAACCCAATGGTGCTATTGATGATCTTTAGTGGAATCATGATGTTTGGATTACCAAAGCTGAATGTGAGTTCGCCGCCCTGCCCAACAGGTGGAGCATTGGACCTCCCGCTCACCTGTCTCTTCCGCAGGAGATGTTGGATGCCGACCCTCAGCTGGCTGCTGAAGTCGCCGCGGCGAGGAAGAAGATGATGGGTGGAGGAGGCGGTAGTGTAGGACTCGTGGAATCGTGAGTAGTTCTCGTCGAATCAAAGGTCCACTGCGATCGCCATCGCCCTGTACCCGGAAGAGCTACCGTCACTTGTGATGTAGATCTTTGGGCTGACGACCCAATAGCATTTCCAACTCACTGCAGGGCGATTCGGATGGCGGCGCATCCAGCGCAAGAAGCGACCGTGCGTCTACTCCGTCCCGTAACAATAATAAGGGAGCACAGAAACGTAGAGGAAAATAGGATGCTCTGCATATGCCATATCTTTTCATACAAAAATCGTGAAGATCGAGTCCTCGTGTATAATTCGTGAGATGACTGAAACCTGTCTGAATCTACCATGGCTGGATCAAACCGAATCCTCTGCTGTCCAACCATTCGATCTCCTGCGTGTCCCCTCTGGACGAATGATCCGAGGCAGAGGCTGTCTCACTGATATCCGCATTGCTCCATAGCTCATGCTCGACCTCTCCGAGATCATCCAAATCGATCAAACTTTCAATATCACTATCGGACGACGTGGGATGAACGAGCCATCGAGGCGAGGTAGCTTGTTCAAGACGAGATATAAGAGACTCGGACAGGCTATGAACCTGGGACGATTCGCTCCAGTTTGATCGTCTGGATTCAACGTCATGGCTGAGATCAGATGCCGGTGATACTGGTCGAGATGAGTGGCCTGAGGTCGAGATTGGGGTGGTGCATCCCGTCGATGGCCAGGAATATACTTCTGGAGGTGTATCCGCAATGGATGCCGGGCTCTGAACGCGATCGAAATCCAAGGTCGGGAAGACCAAGTCACAAGTTGATTCATCGCCTAAAGGATCCCGTTCGACGACATGGTGCTCCCAGATCGTACTTTCGTCCACTGGTCTGTCTTCCAAATGGACCGTCGCAGACCTTGTGTCATTCTCCCAATGTTCAGCGATCTGGGAGGTCTCAATGGGCGTCAGAGCTCGGCTCTCATATAGACCGAACCATTGACCCTCGCCCGGTCTCACGTCTAACGATTCACCAAGTAACCGTTTGACATCTTTTACGGATCGCTGTGGAAAGACGATATTGAGTATATCTGGTCGACCCTCGCTGTCAGGTACAAGCTCCAGGATTGCATTCGTAGCCCTCGGATGATCAGAGTCCAGTACACCCAACGAGTCGAGTTTCGACAAAAGCGGATAGGTTCGGGTTGATCCGTGGATACTGAATGCTTGTAACACGGCTGGAATTCCTCTGAGAAGATCGGCAAAGATCGATAGACCTAGCTCTGCTTCGCGGTAAGAGATCTGTGTGGTAGGCTCCAAGAGGTCTTGAAGGGATGGAGAGAGAGCGATGGAGAGGGTGGTGGTGGCATTGGAGGTGATCAGCGTCTCTGGTAAGATGGGAAGCTCAACCGCTTGAGGAGCTGATGAACGCAAAGGCGCAGGAAAGTATTGATCGAGGCTGTGAACTCGCTCATACCATGATGCCGATGACAAGCGTCGCGAATGAGGAGATCGGTGTCGCTGAAATTTGTTGATCCTGGTAATCCGCTTCCTCTTATAAGGTTCATATCGCGTCGATTTGGGCAGATTGTCGTCCACTGATAGAAGAGCTCGAAGGTAGACAGGAGCATTGGCTATGATCGTCGGGGCGGGCATACTTGAGAATGCTCTCGCCGGTCCTAGGCCCACTTGACCTGCTATCGCCGGGCCTCGGGCATGTAGTGAACCGAGTCTGAATCCTGGTCCACGGAAAGGATTAGAATGGCCAAGGCCAAGTGGCGAGGAAGCGCCCTTCGTCGTCGTCGTCGTTGGCCAGACGTGTCCGAATGGTCCATGGGAGGTGCTGCCCTTGGTCTGAGAGAGCGCAAGAGAGGAGTACGTCTCATTCAGTGCCCTCTTGAATGCTAGACGGGCACGCTGGACCCTTGACAACCTCGACGATGAGAGGATCCATCGGGTCGAAAGTGTCGGGTGTAGCTGCCGAGCGGAATGAACCACTTTACGGATCAACGTAAACCCGTTGGTGGCTGTGAATAAGGCTGGCATGGTGTGTCAGGATGTGAGCAACTAAGTGATAGGTGATAGCATGGTGGGTCAGTCGTTGAAGTTTGATAACGAAGACACCACAGCGCTGCTGAGCATAAATATTTGCCACATTGAACTCGGCATCATCCGACTGATCAGCGTCTCGGCAGCTACTTCGGCAAAAAAACCCGGCTACTTAATTGGCTCCGACTCTCCCACGGTCACATCATCTGATAAGAAGGCACGTGTTGTCGTTGTCGTTGCTGTTGCTGCTGCTGCTGCTGAGTCTTGGAGGAAGATTTACCCACGAGTACGCCCAAGCTTGACGATGTCCACAGCGACTAGCTCGAGACTACTATGGCAATCTCAGATACTCCTGCAGCCGAGCTGTAGAGGTGCACTCCGATCGAGAGCTCCAGTCGTGCGGTCCACACCGCGCCCCCGCGGTTATTCAACATGGCCTAACGATATTAAACCCGTTGACCTGGCTTTTGATCTTGTCGAGCCTCAGGCTGCCAGCGCATCAGATCAGACTCTGGTCATCTGTCATGGTCTATTGTGAGCCTGTCATGAAATTAACAGGTCTTATCTTCTGACACCTGGTGGATTCAGCGGGTCAAAGCAAAACTGGAGATCCCTCGCAAAGGCTTTCGCTCAGAGACTCGGGATGCGGGTCTACACCTTGGTACGTTTGTTTCTCCCCCCTCCTGCAGTGAAGCGAATCTGTCTCAGAACTGATCTGGGGATCTACAGGACCTCCGCAACCACGGTGCATCACCTCATGCTGAACCTCATACCTATGCTGCGATGGCGGAGGACATTGCCCATTTCTTCAGAACTGCCAATCTGGATAACGGGGTCAATCTCTTAGGTCACAGCATGTGGGTGCGAAATTTGGCATGAGAATCCTAGACTTGAAGCTGATATCACGGGATTTTAGGGGTGGAAAGAGCGTCATGGCTCTCGCTCTGAATGATCGACTCAACAGTCCACTTCGATCGCTTATCAGTGTCGACATGTCACCTGCGAAAGGACGTCTTTCGCCAGAGTGAGCGAGCGCAAACGCGCGGCGGGGGCGAAAATTTGAACGCTTATGAGCTTCCCGACTCAGATTCGCAGCGTATACCGAGGCGATGATGGAGATTAACGAGAAGCGCGTCAAGTCAAGAGCAGAAGCAGACGAGATACTGAGAAAGACGGAGCCGGTGGGTTTGAGATCGCTTAAAGGGGCCCCCGGAGTTTGTAGCTGATGATTACCTTCTGCACCCAGATCCTCTCAACTAGACAATTCCTCCTGACCAACACCAAAATGTCCTCTGGACCCGAACCTGTGCTTCAATTTCGTATACCCCTCCCTTTACTCTCCGCCTCCGTCGAATCACTCGGTAGCTTCCCGTATGATCCTCCTCCGCCCGTGAGCTGGGGTTCACCAGAATGGCGAGGTCCCACCTTGTTCCTAAAGGGTGAGGTCGATCTCCATCCCAGTAGAGGATTTTTGTCCTGACGCAGACTTGTGCCAGGCGAGCACTCCAAGTATCTGAATCGGCACAATATACCCACAGCTGAGGCCTTCTTCCCAAACATGAAGTTGGTCACGCTTGATGCCGGGCATTGGGTGCATGCGGAACAACCTGCTGAAACGATCAGAGTGGTCTCAGACTTCATCGAGTCGGCATAGCAGGAAGCAATGGACTGTGAGGGATCTGTACAGGCGGGGCGAAGGCCGCGGAGTTATGCTTGACGATCTTTGGCCTGTGCCTAGTAAACTTAGTCTCCTACTCGGCTGCGTCGCAATCACTGGATTCAGAGGATCCGACCGGTCCTCTGTCCGGACCGGTTGGTCATCTTGAACCCTCCTTACGTTCTTGTGCATTCAAAGCATCGTAGCCGGAGCCTCTTGCCAAAACATGCAAGGGGGCTCTCACGGAAATGCTCACGTGCCTGACACGCAATTATTCGCCGACGAACCGTCCATCGGGGATGCCCGTTGTTTCCGATGGGCGATTATCAAGACTGACGCCATTCATCGAGGCCATCCATTCCTTCATCTTTCCTGTACGAGCAGCCGCATTCGTCTACAGGCGACTCAGTCCATCATACTCTTCTTCAACACATTGCTCAGGCTTGCCCTGCCTGCCAAACTTGTACATCAATCCTCATCCGTGCCGTACAATACGAGCAGCATGTCGATCCCTAGAGTCAAGCTCAATGACGGGACCTCGATCCCAGTTGTAGGCTTCGGGACGGGTAAGCTGGGGCTATAGAATCCTCCAATATCATGCGCTGCTGATACGATACACAATCAGGCTCCGCTTTCTATCAAAAAGAATGCCGTGAGGCCGTGGCGGGGGCTCTGGAAACGGGTTTCGATTCGTTGGACCTGGCTCAGTCTTACGGTAATTCAGAGTACGTCGGACAAGCCATCAAGGAATGGGGAGGGAAACGAGAGGATCTATACATCTTGACAAAGTGTGAGTGAAGTGACTCGGCTCAGGAGCGCAAGAGGGCAAGAGGGGCAAAGATGGTAGCGAAGCGCTGATCGGATCACCTTAGTCGTTAAACGCAATGGAACTGTGGATCCTCGCGGATCTCTCCAGGACGAATTGGAAAAGGTGAGCGGCAACATCGGACCTGTTCGATCGAATGGTTCTGACGCATCATAGCTCGGAGTAGACCACGTCGACATGTGTGAGTGAAACGCGCTTGACAGAATGGGTGTATGTTGATCGACCTACATTCAGTCCTCATCCACAATCCTAATGTGGGTCGATGGCCCGGCTCCAGGAAACCCACACACTGACTCTCTGCAACTAGGCGATCGCCGACGTATCCTACGCTGATGTCTGGAAAACCATGGAAGACCTAAAGAAGGAAGGCCTGACCAAGTCTATCGGCGTTTCAAACTTTATGCAAGAGCATTTGGAGCAGCTGGAAAAGGTATGGACGGTGCCTCCGGCGGTCAACCAGGTGAGTAGTACTGTCCCAAGCACGAGCTTGAGTGGACTCATTCTTTATATCCTACTCCCAGATCCGGTATAACCCCGCTCTGGCACTTACACCTGCCGTCGCCAAAGCCAAAGAAATCAGCGATAAACATCACATCCATCTTCAGGCTTATGGCCCTCTTGGATCATTAAAAGCACCAGGCGGCAACGAAGACGCTGTCGTTGAGAGGATTGCCAAAGAAAAGGGGGCGACGCCCGCACAAGTCCTTTTGGCTTGGGCGGCACAGTATGGAGGAGGTACAGTCGTGACGTGAGTGATAGTCTGGTCGCTCTTTCTTTCGTGCCACATCAGTCGCTCATATTGCTTTTCAGCACCTCTCGAGATGCTGAGCGACGAGGGCAGATGCTAGAGGCGTTTACCAAAATGTCTCCTTTGAGTGAGAAGGAGATCCAGGAGATCGCGAAAGCTGCAAAGAAGGATTAGATAAAGTAGGGCTGGGCATCGACGAAGGGCAGGCGCATATGGGTATCATGACGCAAACACAGAATCGCGCTCTCTTGCCATTCTACATGTGTACTCAGCTTATCCAATCATGAAGGCCATTCTATTACAGCAACACGTCAGCGGAACTCTCTGGACCCGTTTAAAGCAGCTCCCTTTGTTCTCATTGAGCTCATTTAAGGAAGCTGGAAGCTCAGCGATTCACAGACCGAAAGATCGCTTCCCTGTCTGTGTGTAGCAGTAACAGGGGCGCCCCGGGTGGTGGTGGAGAGGGCGGGCGCTGTGAAACTGACAAAGAAGCGCGGAGGAACTCGAATTGCTCAAAGGGGAGGGACTGACCAGGTCCATCGGTATGGCAAATTTTAAGCTTGATCATTCGGCAGAAGCCTATCGGCGGTCAATTAGCTGGAGTGGCACATTTGTGGGAATGAATGAAGACTGGTACCCGGCCCCGAGAGGGTGTCCGCGTTCACCGACATGACACCTCTAACCTCGGATGAGGTTCGAGAGGACCACTCAAGTTGCAAAGTAGTCGTTCGGTGGCATAAGGGAAGCCGTTCACGAGTTGGAATAATTGTCCATCGTGTGCACCTGATGCATGTTTCTTCCTCCAGGCCATAATGGATGACAATTTGATGAAGCTGATCAACGGTGAGGTAAAAGTTCGAGCCAGACCCTTGTCCGCCACACACTCGGCCGGACCCGGTTCCTACGTCTAACGTCCGTAAGGGCGTATTCGCTTTTATTCATGATCGCGTGAGACGTTTTTTCTCCCACGGCAGGGCTGAGCGTCGGTTCCTTGCACTTTGAACGCTTGAATCTGTCAGTCAGGAGAGTTCCTGAAGCATGATACGGTGGTATCTCACAAGCGTGTTTGACTCCAATAACTCGTCCGTCCGTCTGTGGCGCCACGACTCAAAGGGAGGAGGAGTGTATTAGGATTTCTGATTAGTCACTAGAGTTACTAATGATGATTATACCTTAACCCCTTGTTTGCCCTGATGCGGTAATTTCCCTCTCGGCCCTATACCCGAAGGTCAGAAGAGGGAAAGGAAGAGGGGCGCAAGGGGAGAGGAGAGGGACTGGAATAACATCCCGAAACCCCTCTCTGCCCTGCTCTCTCGCTGTGAAGCCCGTCAAACCCGCGGGCGACCTCAGGTCTATGGGGGGGGGGGAAAGGGGAGCAACACCAATGAACGACGATCACCCCCACGTCACATCCATCCATCCCTTCACCCATCCATACCATCCTCACAGTCACAGTGTTCCAGCCGTGGATAGCCCATCTCTCTGTCTCATCGACATCAACACCGCTTCTTATCCCGCCGTGACACTCAACGCATAACGGGGTCTTTTGGCCACTCTTTCTCAATTTATAATAATCACCTCACACCCCATTCTTGGACCTCTGCACCTATCTATATATACACTCAAACGGGATCGGTGTCGAAACATCTCACCCGTGCTGTCTATTTCCCATCGGATCTGGTCACGGAACACTCTTCTGGCGTCCGAGTCCATTTCGCTCGTTCCTCTCGCCTCCCCTCCCTTACCCTACTACTCCATTTTTCATGGCTAAAAATACATTCACCCAGTCTCAGTCTATTCTTTGACTCTTCTCTCCTCACCTGGCACCCCCGCCCCTTCACATAGACGGACCACTCTCTCTCACTCTCTCTCTGAGTTTTTTTTTTCGCGCATTGCAGTATCTCAGAATAGGCCTGCTTCTGCCTGGTTCTTTTTCTGTAACAAAAGTTTTGTACGGGCCGAGGAGGACCTCTCTGGCAAGAGAAGCAAGGATAGGGGGAAGGGGGGCACGCTTTTTCACTCCTTCTCTCTCTTTCTCTCTCTCTCTCTCTCTCTTTCATCATCACCATTCAATCCGCCCTCGTCATCATCTGACCTCTCTTTGGACCTTGTCTCTCTCTCTTCCAACATCATGGATAGGACACTGAGGATATAGGGCAGGGAGGAAAGGAATAAAAAGAGAAAAGGATGAAGACTGAGACTATCATGGAGGAGGAGGCGTATTGTGCGGCGCCCGACCACAGCTTGATGGTGGACATTTCATCCTCCTCTGATATCGACCATGCTGGACCTTCTACGTATCTCGATCATCAACCTGTCCCTTCTCATGATGAAACAGACCTCGGTCGATGGTCTAGAAAACAATCCAGAAGACGTCGATATTATCCCTCATCTCACGCACCACCTTCCTTACTTTCACCGCCACCATCGTTGATACCCTACACGCCGCGTAAACGTAGACCACCGCGCAAACCCGGTCCACTGTTACTCGCTCTCCTACCTCTCGCCCAGGCCGCTCCACCCCCCTATCACAATTATCAACCCACATCTACACATCACGATGCTAGTCCGACCTCGGTATATGGAAATTACCATGAGGAAACCTCTACACTTTCGTACACGCCGACGGGCTTACCGACATCCGTTCAACAGGTCCAAGAAACCGCTCTACCACTCATCCTCACGCGCGATGCGTCAGGAGAATGGCACAAGAGTGATCAGGGTTGGAAATTGTACGGTCGTGCCGCGTCAGACGTGAGTGAATGGAAGCGTATCGATATCATTTTCGGATCATTAATATCGTCCTCTTTTCAGTCCGTCGGTCACAACGAAGTCGTCGCAAACGGAACTGACTTTGCAATCGAGGCAACGCTGCCGAAAGGGTGCGTTGGATGCATCGTTCAACGGGACTATGCGCTGACCATGCGATCCACAGTTGGGGCGCTCCAAACGTTCGAACAAGCTATTACCGCGTCCCGCTCATCGCAGCCGCTTCCTTGATCCTCGCTGCGTTCATCGTGGTCGCCATCATTATGTACGTCTCTTCAATCGCACGGAGCTCTGCGTCGACCTTTGCTGACTTGTATTTTCCAGGCTCGCCCTCAATCGACGCAAAGCTCAACGACGAGCCAAACGTCGCGCCGAGAGGGCACGACGCAAGGCTCTCGCGGCCGCTGGAATATCCGATGAACAATCTAGCACTGGCTTTGATTCTGTTCTCAGGACTCAATTGGAACAGATTGACAATCAGTATGGTATTCGAAAGAGGAGGAAAAAGCAATCGACATTTGTTCAGACAAAGGTCAGGAAGTGGAGAAATGGGCTCAGGAGACGCAAGTCGGGCAAAGGAGATGACGATGATGAGGATGGCGGCGACGACAATCACGCCACCCAAGAGATCATATATGAAGAGCCCAAACCGATCGAGCCGGTCGATGCTCCAACTCATCAAATACTGTCGGCCTCTGGACGTTCAGGCTCAACGACTTCAGCTTCGGATTCTGTAGCGCATAGTTCTCACACTTCACCAACCACGACTCAAAGCAGTGCAGAATCCAACCAACACACTGATCACCATGCACCTCGTCCCGCTGAACCTCAATTGGAGTACCCTAACGAACCACCACCTCAATTCTTCTTACCGGCTTATCGACCGGCCTCTGTGAGGAGCTACAACATGCACGATGCGTCGGGATCATCCGCTCCATCGAGATCACGATCACCACCTGGACTCGACGCCGATGGAGACGAGCAAGCCAGTCGCATGCCTCGAGGGACGGATAAGGTCGGTGCGCCAGGATATTACCCTGCTCCGACAACCCCTGAATCTGAGGCTGCTCTCGCTGCTGTTCAACGATCAGAGGGCAAGACAGCTCTCCCACGTCCGAGCTCCCCATTGGCGTTTGAGCGAGAACAACAGAGTAGCAGTATGGCACACGTCGCGACGGATGATAAGCGTGTGTTGGAGAGAATGAGACTCGGCGGATCTGCACCCTCTGCGCCAGCGATGGAGGGAGTCACCGAAGCTGGACCTTCAGCTCCAGTCGTCGAGGTCGACGCGGAAGGTTTCGAGGCGGTTGATCTGGCCCAAGATGTCGGATCATCTTCCGCCTCCAAACCTAGTCGTCCGGTACCGGGGCACCTGCCTGAACCTCCTCGACCTGTTCGTCATTCCCTCATTCCGGAGAACCCACTGGCCCGACATGACTCGCTTCATCTACTTCCCTCTGCCCCTCCCGCAACAGCAGGAGAGGACGATTCTATGGGACCATCAGCTCCGCCAATGGAAGAGGAAGAGTCGGTTCCACCTAGTGCACCGCCCATCAACCTGAACAATGATGATGAGGATCTATACGAGGAAGCCAGTCTTCCGCCATAGGATCCAAGCTCCGTGGAGCACTGCGCATCATGGACGGTGTAATGGAAGAATACTGGAAGGTTATAAGGGACATATTGGGTCCATGTCATACCATACAAGACGTTTTCTATCAGTTGTACAATCTAGATTACAAGGAAATTCACCATCGTTCGCAACAGAGGCGCAAGGATTAAAATGATTGTCTTGATGTATCGTGTTGGATCCAACACAAGTCATGAGCTCTGACGGCGACCAGAGTAGGGGACGTCAGAATTGGAGGTTTTGAGAATGTCATTTGAGCGAACAGACCTCCACCACCGGGGGCGAACTGAGATAACCGGTGAAATGCGATCCTTTGTCCGAAGCCGATAAGAGATGTCCTTGAATGAGCAGTATAACCTCATTTTCGACACCATTCGGTTTCTTCGACTCTGTACAGCTCACTCCGCTCACCTTATCCGACTCTGATCGACACGGAAGAGACCTCCATAGACCCCGCTGCATCTCTGCCGTGTTCTCTCAGAGCCGGTCGCGCAGAGCTGACCTTGTCCATCTCTTTCGGAGCGGTGAACGAAGATGCACCTACTCCCTCGCGAGCGAGTGAGTCAGAGTAGCTATCCGCAGGGAATCTTAGAAATGGAGAGTCTAGCTGGATTGAGCTGACTTGCACACGCCAGGACAAGCTCTTACTCTACACGCTTGGTTCCTTAGCACAACGTCGACTCGCTCGTGGACTTCAATTGAACCGATCAGAAACCATCGCTCTCATCGCATTCCAGCTACACGAGTATATCCGTGATGGAAGGCATAGCGTCGCTCAATTGATGGATTTAGGCAAACAGATGTTAGGTAGAAGACATGTGATGGGTGAGTGCTTGGTGAACTACAAGGGGGAGGGATGATGCCATGCGAGAGAGGGCTCCTGAGAGGCGAGCCCTTGAGATCCCGTCTTAGAAAAAGATGGGATGAGCGGGCGGTCGCTGGGAAGTCCGGACTTGTCTATGGAGTTACTGAGGGCACCTAGTGGGACGAAACTGATGCTCGTGGTGGGACAGAGGGTGTACCGGAGTCTATACATGATATCCAAGTAGAGGGGACTTTTCCAGTGAGTCTTGCAAGCTCATCGAGGCATAGCGGTGTGCAGAGCTGACGAGGGATCGATTGTAGGATGGGTATGTCTTTTGACATACAATGTCAAGTCTTCGCTTAACAGAGAATGACCTGTAGAACCTTCCTGGTGACTGTACACGATCCAATCTGCTCGGACTCAGGTAACCGTACGTCATCAATATTGGGTACCACTGGGCAGAACTCGGCGCTGACGCTCCTACGGTCCTGGCCTTGACACTCAAAGTGGCACATGCCCTATACGGCTCTTTCCTGCCTCTTCCCTCCGAAGACCTCTTCCCTATTCCTCTGCCTTCCCTCGCACCCCTCCCAGGTCAAGTGATTTGCGTCAAGGAGAAGATCAAACTGAATGAAGGGCGGAAGAGGTGGCTCATCCAAGTGAAAAATGAAGGTGATAGGCCGATCCAAGTGGGGTTTACGATTGGACTCGTTAGACCGTCACAAGGCACTAACGACAAAGTCACGCTCAGGTTGGGTCCCACTACCCGTTTCTCGAGACCAATCCGTCTCTGGTCTTTGACAGACTGTTATCCTATGGTCTGCATCTTGACATCGCGGCGGGCACAGCTGTACGATTCGAACCTGGGGAACGCAAGACTGTTTCGATGGTCGAGTTTGGAGGCACCAAATTCATCTCGGGAGGCAATGGCATCGGATCAGGGCGATTCGATGAAAGTAGGCGTCATACGGATATTGCTAAGTATGTCGAGCGTGGTGGCTTCGGACACCGGATGCAGGAGACAGTCGAGGAAGGAGTCGTCCCGGAGATGGATAGGGAGGTGGTAAGTTGGCCTCTCTTGGTGCTGAAGCTCGATTCCATTAACTACTGCTGCTCAGTATGCTTCCATGTTTGGACCGACTACTGGCGACAGGCTAAGACTGGCCGATACGGATCTCTGGATAGAGGTCGAGAAGGATTACACGGTCTACGGAGATGAATGCAAGTTTGGAGGCGGTGAGTGCGACGGGGATGACGAGCGATTGTCAAGCTGAACAATCCGCTACAGGCAAGGTCCTTCGTGATGGTGCTGGACAAGCTTCCAATCGATCAGATCAAGAAGTATTGGATCTTGTCATCACCAACGCGTTGATCATCGACTGGTCAGGAATTTACAAGGTGAGTGAAGGAGGACAGGAGTTTGGACGACGTCTTTGACGCCACGCTCAGGCCGACATTGGTGTCAAAAATGGTGTCATTGCTGGCATTGGCAAAGCTGGAAATCCTGATATCATGGAGGGTGTCACAGATGGTATGATCGTGGGGTCGTGCACCGAGGTAAGCAAGCACTGAACTGGCGAGAAAGAAGGTTGGTGACGCTGAAAATACCCAGGTCGTGGCGGGAGAAAAGCTCATAGTCACTGCGGGTGCCATCGACGTTCACGTCCATTTCATCACTGCTGACATGTGGCAAGAGGTAAGTAGTCGACCGTCGTCACGTGTTCTCACTCTTTAAGGCGCTGTCGACTGGCATCACCACCCTCGTTGGCGGAGGGACAGGTCCTGCTGAAGGGACGAAAGCGACAACGTGCACTTCCTCAAAGTGGTACATGCAGACCATGCTCGCTGCTACGGATGAGATACCTCTCAACTTTGGGTTCACCGGGAAAGGGAATGATTCGGGCGTCAGAGGCATGAGGGATGTCATTGAGGCTGGCGCCTGTGGTCTGAAGGTCCATGAAGATTGGGGAGCTACGCCCGAAGTCATCGATCGGTCCTTGGCCATGGGAGACGAATATGACGTTCAGGTGAGACAGACTGCGATGCGTCGGGCCCAATTGAGCCAGGAGCTTACCGTTCAGGTCAATATTCACACTGATACTCTAAACGAAAGTGGGTTCGTGGAGCAGACCGTTGCCGCATTCAAGGGTCGAACGATCCACACCTATCATACTGAAGGCGCCGGTGGTGGTCATGCGCCGGATATTATCCGAGTATGCGAGTATGAAAACGTCCTACCGAGTTCGACAAACCCAACCCGACCTTTCGCCGTCAATACACTGGATGAGCACCTCGATGTGAGTCATACGCAACGACAGCCCTCTGACACGGTTCACAGATGCTCATGGTCTGTCACCACCTGGATAAGTCTATCCCTGAAGACATTGCCTTTGCAGATTCGCGTATTCGAGCCGAGACCGTCGCAGCGGAGGATGTCCTTCAGGACACGGGAGCCATATCAATGATATCATCCGACGCCCTCGCGATGGGGAGAATCGGCGAAGTCGTCGCAAGGACATGGAGAACCGCAGCAAAGATGCGCGAAATGAGAGGACCTCTGGATGGTGATATCGATGGAAGAGATAACGAGCGGGTCAAGAGGTATATTGCCAAATACACCATCAACCCGTGAGTTTGCCCTCGTTTCATGCCACTTGCCTGACGCACAAACCCTAGAGCCATCACACATGGCATGTCTCACCTGGTCGGACACATTGCCAAAGGCTGTTTGGCAGATTTGGTTCTGTGGAAACCCGAATTCTTCGGAACTCGAGCTGAAACCGTGATAAAGGGAGGAGTGATCGCATGGGCTCAGGTCAGAAAGAGAGAGAGAGAGACTCGTAGTGTTCTTTTCTTTTCGCTGACAGTTCTCATAGGTCGGCGAGTCGAATGGATCTATACCCACTGTTCAACCTTCCTATGGCCGTCCTCAGTGGGGCGCGAACGCCGGAAGCGTAGCCATGAACTCGATCGCTTGGGTCAGTCAAGCGGCCGTCGATAAGGGTGGGTGATCTCATGTTCGGCAGAGCTGGACTCACGTTTGCCGTCACCTTTGAACTAGATATCAAGTCGCAGTACGGGCTCAAGAAACGTGTCGAAGCCGTGAAAAACTGTAGGAATATAGGGAAAAAGGATATGAAGTTGAATGATGCTACGCCTAAGATGGAAGGTCAGTGGGAAAGACGAAGCAGATGACGCGCCGCCGCCCACTGACGTGACCTGACCCGTAGTCGATCCCGAAACCTACATCGTCAAGGCGGATGGGATTTTGTGCGACGTCCCGCCCGCTACTTCCTTACCATTGACAAAGAAGCATTGGATATTCTGAACGCGATGGGAGTCCAAGGAACCTCCATCGCTCATCAGCTTGACGACGGAGACGGATCGAGGCCGCCGCTGCAAGTTCTTCTAATCGTCCCCCAATTCTCCACAGTCCAAGGTACGACACTGCATGGCTGAACGACTCTTATTCAGTTGTACGGTGACTTCATTGGTTGGCAATACTTCTCGTCAGGCTTCGCTCGCTTGACGACGAACTTTGTGACAGTTTGGCATCGGGCAGACCTCGAGGACTGTTTCAGTAATAAGCCGCTTCGGGTCCCTATGATCCCGCTTGGATTCTGCTGGCCGTCTCTGTAGTCAGGGGAAAATGTGGGAGATATAGCCCGTAGTCTCACAGAGTGATACGTATGATCGGTGCGAAAGATCATTCCGTACCATTCATGTATCTGTGCTCCATCAATCTATGCCAACAGAGTGGGAAAAGCTTCGTTGGTGCCAGTGCTTTAAGGAAGGCATTTGGTTCCCTACATTCTTCGCCTGATCAGGAGCGGTGCTGGTGAGAATATGCACTTGATAGGAAGCTTTGTGCCGATAGATGACGTGGACCGCGAGCAGACCTGCGGATTGGGTGTATAGATGCATGCGATCCTGGACATCACAGCGTTCTCGGTACTTCCACCTTGGTCACCGCCACAATCTCATCGCCCTCTTTGAGATCCTTGAAATTGGCTAGACCTACACCGCACTCTGTACCTTTTCGGATCTCGTCCACGTCTTTCTTGAGATGCTTGAGGGTCTCAATTTCACCTGCGAACCCTCTGGGTCAGCCAGCCGACACTTTGAACTGACGGAGCTCATGAAAAAGGATGACTGACCTTCAAAGACGAGTTGCCTATCTGGACCTCGGAAGACACGGGCAAGACTTCCCCGCTTGATACTTCCCTGTGATACTTTACATCCGGCAATGTATGCTTTTTGCTTCTTCTTCAGGGTGATCTCAAACACCTGTTGAACCAGAGCTTCTCCATTGGTCCTGTACTCGATGGCGGGCGGGAGGAGAGCAGCCGTCTTGGCTCGCACAGTTTCGATCAAACGGTAGATGACCGTCTCCAAGTGGATAGGGACATTTAATTGCTTAGCGAGCTGTTGCACTGGTCTCGGACAATCGACATTGAAACCAATAATCAGACCTGAAACATCCATGTTATCAGCATTGTCTCCTGTCTTTTTCGATGTGTATCCTGCCTGTGCCTGTCCCGACTTACCCTCACTGGCCTCGGCCATCGCCAGATCGGATTCTGTGACTGCTCCGACACCCGTCGAGACAATCTTGACCACGGCTTCTTTGTTTCCAATGCCCGATAAGGCACCTTCTACAGCTTCGACAGTCCCACTGACATCTCCCTTGATGATTAATCTAAGTTCCTTGATTTGATTCTCCCGAGCAAGCACAGTCGCTCGTCGAGCCTGTTCGATTCGATGAAGAACCAGATTACCGCCAGCCAGCTTGATGGCTTTCTCTTCCTCGGTCTCAAGCTCGTGTCGGAGACGATCTTCCTGTCGTTTGACATTGATCACTTCAATATCGGATAACATTTTTTGCTGTTCTTGCGCGGCGATCCGATTAGCGATCGCCCTCTTGGCCTCGTGCTCCCCATTGACAGACTCGAGAAGTTGGTCTCCAGCTTCAGGCAACTCTCTCCATCCAGTGACTTGGACGGGTGTACCTGGTCCAGCCAAATCCAAATTCTGTCCCTGATCATTGATCATAGTCCGTACTCGACAAAAAGTGGTTCCAGCGACAATGTAGGATCCAACTCGCAAGGTCCCCTTGGTCACCAGCACGGTGGCGATGTTGCTGTGTCAAAGTGAGCGATGGAAGACGAGGCCCCGTACGATCCACGTACCCTTTCCCAATGTCCTTGTTGGACTCCAGCACGTAGCCTTCCGCTTGACCATCGTTTCGAGCCCGCAACTCTCTGAGCTCAGCCAAAGTTGACAGTGTCTCCACCAGGTTGTCCAATCCAAGTCTTGTCAGACCAGACACTCTGACGCTGGGCACATCTCCGCCATCTTCTTCCAAGTGGATGCCTTCCGCTCCGAGACCGCTCTTGATCTTTTCAACGTCAACGCTCGACTTGTCCACCTTGTTGATGGCCACGACGAGTCCGACATCATCCCCAGCCTCCTTGACGAGATTCAAAACTTCTCTCGTTTGAGGCATGACACCGTCATCTGCAGCGACAACCAAGACGACAATGTCCGTCACGGTCGCTCCTCTGGCTCGCATCTCGGTGAACGCGGCGTGACCAGGCGTGTCCAAAAAGGTGATTGTGGTCTCTTGTCCTGGAGTCACTGTCCCACCTTGAAGATCAGATAAGTTCACTGAGAACGCTCCGATATGTTGAGTGATACCTCCAGCTTCGCCCGCAGCGACCGCTGTATTCCGTAGTGAGTCCAATAATGTCGTCTTGCCGTGATCGACATGACCCATGATGGTCACGATGGGTGGACGGAGAGGGTAAATGACGTCGGGAGTGTCCGGCTGAGGAATAATATCGAAGAATGCCTCGTCATCAATCTTGGGATCAAATCCAAATTCCAGAGCGACATTGACGGCCTCCTCTTCCGTGAGCACTAGTGACGGATGTCAGTCACATTCAGACAACGGCGATGACTTGGCTCACTATAGTCTGACCGTCTCTGCTCCTCTGTCATGCCCAGTTGAGCCATTCGGATCTGCAACCGAGACCATTTTAGGCCTAATATCCCAGCTAGCCTGGCAACGGTCACTGAAGAAGGGATAAAGACTTGTCGTTCAGCTTGCAATTGCTTGATACGGGCAGCTTCTTGCTTCTTTCTTCTTCTCGCTTCTTTCTCTTCGGGCGTAGGTCCTGCTTCAAATCGGTCCGTCTTCTGAACAGAGGATGCACGAGTGATGACAAACTCTTCGTCATCCTCTTCGCCTGCTTGAAATCGATCCCTGAAACTGAGGGAGACCTTCTTCTGCTTTCCGCTTCTCCGTGAGGAATCACCGCCACTATCCACGTCCAAGTCCGTATCTCCTACTTCATCCATAGCCATCTCCGGTTCCTCCGCCGAACTTTTTTCCACTGCACTTCTTGCCTTGGATGATTGTCCACGCTGATCGCGATCTACAGGAGTGGAGGGCAAAGGTGACTGACGCCGATTCTTATCCATACCTGTAAATCCTGTCGCTCGATCAGCAGCTCTGGAAGTGCCACTAGCAGGCGTCGTTCGTACTCCAAAACCGCTAGGTCGTGGTGGTGGTCCCAAGTCGTCATACCGCTTTTCCCCAAATACCGTTGGCGGTCTCGGCCGATCAAGACTCCAATCTCTAGCTGGAGGAAGGGATGGTCCGCCTTTACGCGGTCCGGTGCCCCGATGAAACCCAAAACCTCCTTGTCTTCCGGCTGGACCTTGAGAACGAGATTCAAGGGGGTTCTGAGCTCGAGGTGGAGGTGTGAAGCCATCCGTTGTTCGCGGTGAGAATTGATTACGTCCGGCTTCGCCATGCTGAGACTCGGGAGGTGCAAATTGATTCCTCGGTACCGATGGCTGGGAACGACCCAAGTTCATCCCAAATCGATTGTCTGACGGCGGATCGTCCCTTCTGAAACTCCCAGCTCCGTTATTCCAGACACGAGGTTGGAACTGGTTGACTGGCTGATCCCGAGCATGTGTGCCAGAGCCCAGCTGTCCATTCTGCTTTCCAAAGCCTCCCACTGGTCTAAAAGGAGGTGAGGCTGGGTTCGATTGAGCAGCTGGCGGCGGTGCTCGTTTCAGCTCTCCCCAATTCCTCGATGGCAACTTGACTGGCTGCTCTGCTCCATTTGCAGCTCGCAGAGAGGAAGTCGCGAATGAACGGGAGGGCAGATGAGCCAATCTAGCTCTAGAGACTCTATCCAGAGCCTGACAGCAGTGACACTGCCTGCTCAATCCTCTCATCATGGCTTGACTGTCGAGAGACAATAATGGTTTATAACCCCATCCATCATCGATGCTCTCGAACTTTTTCCAAACCGTTCCGGAGGTCATCCGCTCGCCACGTGGCTCATGGATGACGGAATCAAAATTTCAAAGGGGAACCCAAGCTATAAGCGGCGAAAAATGTTGACGATTTGGTCGCTTCAATTGGAGTCAGTCAGGTTGCTAGTGTACATCATCGAACAGCTTCAACACATTGGGACCATCGGTCACAGGTCCGTCGCGAGCTTGGAATACAGTTAATCAGATCCACTTCAGGCATATCTCCTCTCCAATCGATCACCTGTCCTCTTGATACTTAATCCGAACCGCATGTCCACCTCGATTCTTCCTCGATCCTCCTCCATACCCTCCCCTCTCGCCGCTTCCAGCTCATCATCGACAAAGCTTTTACATCCAGATTTATTCACTCGACCTCACAAGCTCTTATCCCGAACTCGATCTGCCTCCCCCTCTCCTTCCATCTGCTCAGCAGCAACTAGCGTCGATGATCTAGAAGACATGGGAAGGATATCTCAAATTCGCCCAATGTGGGACTCTCGCCCATCATTGGAGGAGAGGCTCGACAGCACGACTTTGGCGGGCAGTGACGTGAGGGGGGAGAGCTCGACCAGTCGTCAGATCAACGGTCAAACCTCACATACAGAGGAGAAGAAGGAGGGTGAGGGGGTCAGCCGGAGATTTCCGGAGGAAGAAGATGAGGACATCCTGAAGGAATCCCACCATCGCTTTGTTCTCTTCCCGATCCGGTTCAGATCTGTATGGTACTTCATCCCACATTCTGCGAACGTTAGAGCTGACCTTCTGCAGATATGGCAAGCGTACAAGGCGTGCCAGGCGTCTTTCTGGACAGCAGAAGAGCTGGACCTCGCCCTTGATGCGAGAGATTGGGAAGAGCGTTTGACAGAGAACGAGCGGTTTTTTATCCTCAGTAAGCTATCGCGTCAAGCTAGCCGACTCGGCTCATCTTGATCTATCTAGGAATATTGGCCTTCTTTGCCGCTTCTGATGGCATAGTCGGTGGTAAGTCCACCAAAAGGTTTTGTGAAACGAAGGCTGATCAGGCCGCCAGAAAACATCGTCTCGCAATTCTCTATGGACGTTCAAATCGCCGAGGCGAGAGCTTTCTATGCCTACCAGACGATGATCGAACAGGTCCATTCGGAGACCTACTCACTCTTGATCGAGACCTACGTGAAGGATTCCAAAGAGAAGGATTTTCTATTTCGAGGAATCGACAATAGTGAGTCGCACAGCAAGTCTTAACCTGAGTCTTCGCAGTCCCTTGTATTCGGAAAAAGGCAGATTGGGCTCTGAAGTACATAACGGAGGAACTGGTATGTTCACCCCGCCACCGTCTTTTGTTCACTCTGACAACTCGTGTGCAGCCCTTCCGCGTTCGACTGGTCGCTTTTGCTTGTGTGGAAGGCATATTCTTCTCTGGCAGCTTTGCGGCTATTTTCTGGCTGAAGAAGAGGGGTCTCATGCCTGGCTTGACTTTCTCCAACGAGCTCATCAGCCGGGATGAAGGGACGCATACTGTGAGCTTGATGGATCAGCTCAATATCATGGACGCTTACGTTGTGTAGGACTTTGCATGCCTCGTGAGCTGCATCTTTGGATTTTTGCTCTGGCACACACGAATTGACGTTCAATTTCCAGCTGTATGATCATTTGCGCCATCGGTGCTCGTCTGAGCAGGTCCATGACATTGTATCGGAGGCTGTCGCCATCGAGAAGGAATTCCTCACAGAAGCACTTCCAGTCGCTCTGATTGGCATCAATGCAGACGTGAGCGTTTCTCGATTCATCAAATCAGGCTCAGCTCATCTCTCTCAGTTGATGTGTCAATACATTGAATTCGTCGCCGACCGTCTCGTCGTCGCGCTGGGTAGGTTCTGGTGTCTTCCTTTCACCAGGAAGGCAAGCTGAGTCCAATCAGGCTACTCCAAGATTTATGGTGCTCTCAATCCCTTCGAATGGATGGAGTTGATATCCCTGCAAGGGAAAGCTAGTGAGTCCTCAAGACGCATGGCACAGCGTATCAAGCTCACAATATCGTAGACTTTTTTGAATCACGAGTTTCCTCCTACCAGCTGGCGAACGTATCGGGGGGCTCTGGGTACGAGAAAAGCCACGACTCTTCAGGGGAAGCAGACCATACTTCGAGAAGAGTGTTCCGCCTGGATGCGGACTTTTAGACATAATCTAGAGAGAAGCTGTTTCCAGTTGTAACATTTCACAGTTGTAGGCATTGAACATCAAGCACATCTCTTTTTCTTGAAACCACAACAACAGCGAGAAGCTCGCCGGATGGCCGGAGCACGCAGCAATTATTACTTCTACTTTCTCGTCATGACGAATGATATCATCCCTGGACATTGATACACGATGAGCGAAGACCAAGACGAGGTGAGCATTTACTGCAGCTTGGATCACAGCAGTATCAATGATGAAGGGGAGAACACCATTGTCTTCATACACGGTGCATTCGGGGACGGTAGCGGATGGAAGGACGTTGTATCCCATTTCAAGGATCAGCATTTACTCTTGCCCGACTTGCCAGCCCATGGCGTAGCACGACATCTCGATAGATTTTCTGTCCCTCGAGCATCTCGCCTTCTACGCGAGCTGATTGTGCGCAAAGCACATGGAGGCAAAGCCAAGGTGGTTGGCTTTAGTTTGGGCGCACAAGTAGCGGTGCATCTTTGCTCGACATATCCTGAAGTCATCGATGAGACTGTATTCGTCTCTGGCTACGGAGGTCCTTCATCCCCTACCGAGTCACCCAGGCGATTCCTCCCATACGCTGCGTGGATGTCACAGCGAGTGGAATACGCCTTACCCAGAGGATTGATCCGGTATATGATGGACGGAGCGGATATGCCTCGAGGAGATTTAAGTCAACACACTCTGTCCCTCTATCGAGATATCTTCACGCCTGAGATCAAGACAGATTGGCCAGAGCCTTGGCCAGCCAGGACGCTGATTGTAGTAGCTGGGAAAGGAGACTTGATCCCTTCGGCTGATAATCCCAACGTGGCCAAACGACTCGCTTCGATCGGCCAAAAGGGCAATGTATCGACTCTGGCAGTGACTCACCCACTTATGCGACATCCTTGGTTACTCCAGGACCCCGAACTATTCGCACGGGCAGTCATGGCTTGGTTTGAACGTGCCGAGATAGTGGATGGATTTATCAAGCTGTAGACGCGGCGGCGGCTGCTTAAGAGGCGCGGCAGTCTTCGTGTCACCTAGGGGCGAAGAACATGCTCGCAATGATAGCTATCTGTCTCTATCCTCATCTGACTGGAAACCGTGGTCAGCGCCAGGTCGAGACAATCCCCACATCAGCGACGAAGCATTGAGCATTCCAGGTGGAGATTTGCGTCGAGCTGGGCCTGCGGCTAGATCAAGCAACTGAGGGATCCAGGCCACGATGGGTGAGACATGATTCCTTCTTTTGTTACATGCAAAGGTCTCTCTTCTCATTATTAGATAATCCTGGTAGAAGTGTCCTGGAGCATCGATGTGATCCATATGCATGATATAAATCGTGTCAGTACGCTGTTGCTGCTGTTGCTGCTGTTGCTGCTGCTACCTCTGGCCAGCCAGCCAGCCAGCCAGCCAGCCATAGCCCCCCAGCCAGCTCTGAGTGACGTAGGGGGGAATTCTCCGCCACCCATATATTTGAATTACCCGATCCGGCAAAATTGCTTGATCCGAGACGATTTGATATCTCAACGCTTAGTCGCCCCCCTTTGCCCCGCAGCAGCAGCAGCATCTCTTCATCTCTTCATCTTTTCATCTCATTCTTCTCTCTCTCTCACACACATTCATTCCATCCATCTATAGAGAGCTCCTCATCATGAAGAACGGCGCACTCATCCTCACCGCACTGGCTGCGGCTGCAAATGTCAATGCAGGTGTGCACAAGTGAGTGAGGAGGGCAAATCGCCAATCGGATAATACGATCGGGGGGGCGGAGCAGGCTCCTCACTTGCCACTTGTATGATCAATCCGCTGACGGGTGCCTTCCTACCTTCCTCCTACTCCTCCTCTAGGATGAAGCTAGAGAAGCTCGTTTCTACCGAATCGTCCCTTATGGCTGATGGAGGTCGAATTTCCCCCGAGCTCGAAGCTGAATGGCTCCGTCACAAGCACCTCGGATTGGCCGGTGACTTTAACGGTCAAAAGGCCTTTGGAGGCATCGGACGGAAAGTCTCTCAGGCGGCTGAAAAGGTCATTGACGAGGCCGAATACTGGATCCAAATGGTCGAGAAGCGAGACAATGAAGAGCGGATGATGAAGGGTGGCCACGGAGTCCCTTTGTCCGGTGAGTTGAACCATTTGCCTTTTTGGCGAGTGGAGAAGCTGATGGAAGTTTTCCCCCGGCATCAGACTACATGAACGCTCAGTACTACGCGCCCATCACCATTGGAACCCCTCCTCAACAATTCAAGGTCGTCCTTGACACTGGCTCATCTAACCTCTGGGTCCCAGGTACCCAGTGCTCTTCCATTGCGTGCTTCGTGAGTTTTTGTTTTTTCGCCACCCGGTCTGTAAATCGAGACATCACACTCATCAATCTGTGTCCAGCTTCACAGCAAGTACGACTCTTCGGCTTCGTCTACCTACAAGGCCAACGGATCTGACTTTGCCATCCAATATGGATCTGGATCTCTTGAAGGTTTCGTCTCCCAGGATACTGTATCCATCGGTGACATCACCATCAAACACCAAGACTTTGCCGAAGCCACCAAGGAACCCGGTCTTGCTTTCGCCTTTGTCAAGTTTGATGGTATTCTCGGATTGGCCTATGACACTATCTCCGTCAACCACATTGTTCCTCCCTTCTACAACATGTTGAGCCAGGGACTCCTCGACGAGCCCGTTTTCTCCTTCCGACTCGGAGCTTCCGAATCGGATGGAGGTGAGGCCGTCTTTGGAGGTATCGACCACAACTCGTACACTGGCAAGATCAACTACATCCCTATTCGACGAAAGGGATACTGGGAGGTCGAGCTCGAGAAAATCACATTCGGAAAGGAAGACCTTGAACTGGAGAACACTGGTGCCGCTATTGACACTGGAACTTCGTTGATTGTCATGCCTACCGATGTCGCTGAGATGCTCAACAAGGAGTGAGTGCTGTAATCACCTTGGCACGTTCTTGCCCGCTGACGATGTCCTTCAGGATCGGTGCCACAAAGACTTTTAACGGAGCTTATACCGTCGACTGCAACACTGTACCCTCACTCCCTGATTTGAGTCTGACCTTTGCCGGCAAAGATTACACTCTGAAGGGAGAAGACTATGTCCTCAAAACTGGTGGATCATGTCTCTCTGCCTTCACTGGAATGGACATCCCAGCTCCCATTGGCCCGCTTTGGATCGTTGGAGATGCCTTCTTGCGCAAGTATGTCAGCGTCTACGATCTCGGCAGGAATGCTGTTGGTCTCGCTGCTGCCAAGTAGACGGCTGGCATGGGAGATGGAGGAGAAATCCAGCAACTGACTGCGATCTTTGTAAACTTCCCACCCTTACATCGCATTGTTTTCCCACTTGTCCCGTAGACTGTGGCGCGACGCGATACATACCACCTTTCACACATGCCTTCACCTCAGCATTTGAGCGTTGTTTCGTAGCAGAATGTCTGGCAATCATGTATAACTTCATTGGATACAGAGAATCGGCGGCACCGGAGCAGCGGACTGGTCGCGCCACACTCTGAAACGTCCATAATGAAAGCGCTGCCCACTGATTTCTATGGAACAAGATTAGCGACTGGATGCGATTGGAACTCATCACGGTATTCCAGGGGAGAGATAGCTGTCCGTGTTCGATGCGGGTCCCTCGACGGGCATCAGTCTGGACGAAATCTCACAATCTTTTCGTCGAGTCTCACTCTCTCTCTCTCTGGCTCCCGTGATCCACTTCTCCGAACGATATTATCTTCACGCTCGCGTCTAGATCTCAGTCTGAGACATCTCGAGTGTCCCAGAATGTCAGCTGATACCCCTATAGCTTATGGTCCGGAGGAGTGTAGCGGCCTGATGTTTCTCCCACGATGAGGAAATCTGCTGCCTGACCTCGTGATATTGCTATCCGCTTCATTCTTGCCTTCTCCGGGTCCCTGTGCTAATATCGATACACCCTCGAGGTGTGCGAAGGGAACAAAAGTCTTGTCCGCTGAATTGGCTTGTCAGACACAGTCACACGGTGACCATTGCTTTCTCTCTTTCTCTCCTCTCGCCGATGATGGGTTTTTCGCGCGTCCTGGAAGGATTCTGAAGCAAGTGCTGACGCGAAGGTGTATATGGGACTGGCAAACGAATCACCCAACCCCCCTTCTCCTTGAATCAAATCTCAACTCGTCACTCCATCCTCTGTCGACATACTCTGACCTCGTATAGCGTCAGTGTCAATCGCGTGGCCACAGACCCTCATCTCTCACAGCGAGCTCTGCCCTTACCTCGTTCTTGGGTGACCCTCGCGACACATCATGCCTTCCTCGCCGGCGAGAAAGGAAGGTGACAAACGCTCCAGAGCCTATAACGATCGACAACCTTCTCCATCAGTGACTCCTCACACGACTTCCCACTCTGTACGGCCCTCTTCCTCCGCCTTCCAACCAGACAACCTTAACACTCCATCGCAATCCGCCGCCGCAGCCCGCCGTAGATGTCGATCCTCATTCACACCTCCCTCTCCTCGGATCGTCCGGCCTAACGGATCAGCACATCAAGCTAGGATCTCGGCCGGTCCAGGTCGGATTGTCACTTCCACGCCGATCGCCCAAGTTCATCTTTCACCTCTTCGTCTACCTTCGCCCGCTCTTGGATGGTCGGCTCATACGACGCCAAGGGGTAGATCTCCAAGGGACAATCTCCGAAGCACAGGGACCATGCCGCCGTGGAGTTTCGGCTGCTGCAAGGATACCCATCATCCTCTTAAGAAGCGGGAGCACGAACAGACACTCACTCAGATGAATCACCCTTTGCAGCCATCTAGTGTTTCGTCAATCAGCCTTGATGCCCGGACACAACGCCAGGGGGAGGCTAGGACGGGAAGGAAAGACCACCCTCACACCCGCACGCCACCAGAGGCCCGAACTGAAGTCATAGGACCTCACGGCTCACAAACACGGACGCCAGAGGTCCGGGGTGATACAAGGATAGAAACGCAAGAGGTGTACAACGGAACTCCCTCTCTACCTCGCATGATCAGACCTCTTCCTTCTGTCCTTGAGCCGTACACACCTCGAGCTCCCCCTCCTACACAGCAACTCCCTTCATCCAGGCAGCATCCTTACCCTTCCGTTCGAGAATCGCCCGTGCCCGCTACTGTTGTCCGGACGCCGCAAAGGAGTTTCGTTGACTACACGCCGGGGGGGTCAGGAATCATGTTGATCCAAAGTCCGACTGCCCAAGATAGAGATGAAGAGAACACGCCATTGTTGCGTCTGGACCGTGTCAAGCTAAGTCGTCCGGAAATTCGGAGTCCCCTTGCCAGAATACCTGGTTCAAACGTTCCGGTCCACTCACCGGGAGCAGACGGTACAGCCTCTGTACAAGCTGCTAAATGCACCCGGATCTCGGTCTGTGATATCTGTTACATTCGAAAGACAAAGGTGAGTTTTTTGTTCACGGCGATTGAAAGCTGACGACCATCAGTGTGACAAGGCCAGACCATCATGTCGCCTCTGTATCGAGCGAGACTACCCTTGTCACTATTCTGATGGTGTCGAATTGCCTATCCTTCCGCCAAACCTCAATGCCTATCGATCTGGACACCGTCGAAAGCCGTCCACCGGGAACAAGGAGCCTCCAGCCCGTAAAAGCTTCGTGACAATTGTTTCGCCTACCAATCCCAAAGAAAGGATCGTCATTCCCATCCCTGATTATCAACCTGTTCCGTTCCGGCCTGGTAAAGCTTTCACAGCGTTCAAACCCAGGTCAAAGGAGCTGGCCGTAGCTAGGGACCTGGCCGATATGGCTTCGGCACCGGCCACTGGTGACATTCCCGAGGAGTCAGTGGAGTCAGTGGTAGCAGGAAATCAGCTCCCTGATACTAAGGATCAGCCGCCTGTTAGCGAAACGACGACAAGGTCTCAGCGAGAGCCTATCGACCTTGCGCAACCAAATGTTAATCGTCATGATGAAAGTCCCAGTCTCGACAGGGGCCATGTCAGTCTCCCGAACGAGTCAGTCGATTATCGGATGGACACCCTTGTCACATCGTGTAAGCGGGTCTTTAAATTCTGGAAAAGAGACAGGGTTAAAGGATCACACAAATCTATCGCATGGTATGGTGATGATGAAGCTAGTGATGGAGAAGAGGCAACGTGTGTTACTTTTGAAGGGACACCGCTCAAAAGGAAGCGAGAGGAGGCTTTCCTGAGCCCAGACACCACTAGTCTTAAAATCGATGCGGGGCGCTTTATGGCTCGCCTGAGGCGTTGAGTCAGGATGGCGGCTTCCTGCTTCCTGATCTCCTGGCCCCCCTGGTCAGTCATGTAGACGACAAGATCGTGTCATGGCTTCCGTACATGTCCGTAGATCGCATACAGACGACAGATGGTCATTTCGCATGTCACCTCGCCTGCTGCCCCGGCCGGAACTTGAATTGCCGTGAAACCGGTCTTTCGAAATGATGCGTCTATCCGAGACTCCCATACTCGCTCGCATCGTTCAAACATTTTGAAAGATCACTTTGCGGGCTCATCCAGAAGTAACAAATAGACGCAATCATGAGATCCATTCTCAGCTCGAGATTAGCTCGAGCTTCTCCGAGACCCAGCACGACTGGGTCTTCCCGCCGAACGCTCATCTCTCAGCCTGCTCCTCGGCTCGTAGCTTCCAGACCGCTCCCTACCAATATTTCGGCCAAGTCGGAGGAAGCGCAGGCCAATGAAGAGTTCATGAAGGGACTCGTAGAGGGCTTGAGGGAGATGAGATCGAAAGCTAAAGAAGGGGGCGGGAAAGCTGCTTTGGACAGGTGGAAAAGTAGAGGGAACGGAAAGTTGGGAGTGAGAGAGAGGTGAGCGAACACCGACTCGCAGAGCAGCGAGCGATATACAAGGCTCTCTCTTCTGGTGACTCGAGAGCTTTAGTGCTGATTTAGTGATCAGAATAGAGGCGCTTTTGGACCCCGCTAGCCCATTCATGGAGCTCTCCTCACTGGCTGGACACGATGTTTACCCAGATCCCTTGCCTGCTGCTGGTCTCGTTACGGGAATTGGTAAGTCACCGGAATGCGGCTCCGAGCGCGATTGAACTCATCGGTATCAAGGTCTTGTGGCTGGACGTCGATGTATGATCATTGCGAATGATCCAACCGTCAAGGGAGGAGCTTACTACCCATTGACCGTATGTCAAACATGGCATTTCTCGCTCGCGTGAACGCTCAACTCGCTCGCTGCAGGTCAAGAAGCAACTTCGAGCACAGCAAATTGCTCTCGAGAACAGATTGCCATGTGTCTATCTAGGTGAGGATGCGTGCGAGTCTGCAAGACAAGCTGAATTGTGTTTCTAGTCGAATCTGGCGGTGCTGCTTTGCCATTCCAGGCTGAAGTGTTCCCTGATCATGTGAGTGATTATACCTCGCCGACGCACGCAGCAAACGTAAGGGGACTGATGACGACCACCTCAGGACCATTTTGGACGAATCTTCTACAACATGGCCCGGATGTCTGGTATGGGTATACCGCAGATCTCGGTCGTCCATGGTATCAGTGTAGCAGGCGGAGCGTGAGTTGGCCTTCGTCTAGCCAAGATCTTGGACACGACTGAATGTCGGTCCATCAGATACATGCCGGCAATGTCTGATGTTGTTATTATTGTCAAGGTGAGCGTTCTGGAATCCGGCGAATGACTATATCTGACGACGCACCCAAAGAACCAAGGCCGTATCTTCCTTGCTGGGCCCCCGCTGGTGAAAGCAGCTACAGGAGAGGTGGTCGATGATGAAACTTTGGGTGAGTGTCACGAAACTTGATCCCACATAGCTCATAAAATCGCTGTCAGGTGGTGGAGAGATGCATACGTCCGTTTCTGGAGTCGCTGATCACCTCGCGAACTCCGATGGACACGCTATCCGTCTGGCCCGAGAGGCCATCATGGATCTAGGCAGAGCATCAAAGCCGGTCGTGCGTACTCGTAGCAGAGCGAAATATTGCGATCAGCTAATTTCCATGACAGAAAGCTCAAGAGACAGCTGTCGCCGTTCGACCACCAGTCTACCCTACGTCCGACTTGAACAGTATCATCCCGGTCGACTCTAGGCAATCCTTTGACATGCGCGAGGTCATTGCCAGAGTAACGGATGGATCCGAGTTCAGGGAGTTCAAGGCAGAGTACGGCAAGACTATCATCACCGTGGGTCATTTATTTTGCGTTGCACTCCCAGAGATGTGCTCATCGCCAAACAGGGCTTCGCCGAGATTCACGGACACACGTAAGTTGCTCCGAATCCGGCTGGAAATTCTCATACTCACTCGCCTCGAGCGTTGGAATCATCGCCAACAATGGTGTACTTCTTTCGCCCTCGGCTCTCAAAGCCACACACTTTATGGAGCTCTGTTCGCAACGCCAGATCCCGCTCGTTTTCCTGGTCAATGTCTCTGGATACATGGTCGGTGAAAAGGCAGAGAGGGGAGGTATCGCTAAAGATGGAGCGAAAATGGTTCGAGCGGTAGCTAGGGCAAAGGTGCCAAAGTTTACAGTCATCGTGGGAGGCAGCTTTGGGTGAGTCATGAGATACATGAGGGCTCAATTCGCTCGTGCTGATGACGAGTGTAGGGCTGGTAATTACGGTGAGCCGATTTGAGTCGCCAATCGCGGCACACACTGACAGACCGGTTCAGGAATGTGCGGTCGAGCAGTAAGTGTTAGAGTGGGACGGGTCAGGTAAGATCGCTGATGTGGTGGTACAGTACTCGCCTAGGTTCTTGTTCATGTGGCCCAATGCCAAGATTAGTGTCATGGGACCCGATCAACTGTCCTCCGTCATGCAGACCGTTTCAGGCAAGAAGGAACAGCCAGCTCAGGAAGGCGAAGATAGATGGAAATCATTAAGAGAAAAGATTGAAGGTCAGAGTGCGGCTATTTACTCGAGCGCAAGGATATGGGTGCGTAGTGCTTGCTACACTTTGATGTCAAACTTGAGACTGATTTCCTTGCCCTTCCAGGACGACGGAATCATCGAACCGTCTGACACTCGTGATGTCCTTGGTCTGGGACTCGATCTCGCAGCGGAAGAGCTCGCTCTGCGGAAACAAGGTGGCGGAGGACATGGTCAGCGCGGTGAGATTGGAGCGGATGGCGATGCTGGCGATTGGGGCGTTTTCAGGATGTAGATTTGTGCAGAATGTGGTGGATTATGGACAAGCAGCATCAATCAATGCATCGATGGATGGGCTTTGCGGCCTCAGGAACCCGTGTGAGATTAGCGGGCCACTTTGAGGCCTGATATTCCTTCACACTCTGATGCATTCTCCCTTTCTGATCGACAACTTTTTGCAAGATATACAACAATGCAATTAGCACCATGCAGCACATACCGTTGAGACGCCAGGCCGAGCTCAAAATGAGCTGATAACAAACTTCCAAAAATGACCCAAAGAATTCTTCTTTTTTGCTGATCCCCTGTGACGAACCCTTCTATCGTCTGTCCACGTCCACCTTTTCGATCCCCAATTCGATGCCTGCCCATTCCCTGAATACAGCTTCTGGATCATCCTCATCATCATGATGATGATGATGATGCATCATATTTCCTGCAGCCGGACGACTGCTTGGACCCGCGGCTGGAGGTCTGCCGTTTGGCCCGTCGAAAGGCATTCGTATTATCGTGACAATGTCCAAATGTGCACCTCGTAGACTGTTCAAAGTCTCAGGATTGCCCAATTGGTACTTTGATGGAGGAGGACGGTATGCTGATTCACGGTACGCCAGGTGATTAGGGAAATATGGCAGAGGGGACAATTCGATTGGTTCGATCACTCGATCTTCAGGAGGGGGGATGATAGCCAAAGGTTGCTACAGTGAATGTCAGCGTAAATCCAGTAAAACGCTGCACGACTCACAAAAGCGTGTTCTCCAGGCATGAATCGATCGTCCCTTCTTGCCTGTTGGATGCTCTCTTCTCCATGTGCTTTCTCTCCGTTTTCCACTTCCCACCAGGCTGGCGCTTCGGTCCCATCGAATCGGGTCCAGTTCATTGTCCTTCGCTCGCGAATGGGAATGTATCCCGGTACACCAGGTACCATGACGCCTAGGCGTTCAGCCTGAAATGTATCGATATCAGTCAACGTTCCACAGATCGCGTTTGCGAGGCGAATTCCCCAGAGGATGGCGGGAGCGAGCGAAACGGAACGCCGAACATCGAGGACGCCATCGACACTCACCTCTCTCAAGATCATCCGTCGTCTTCTTCGAGCACGCATCAAGCTGAGAAAAGAGACGATACCGAACGCCGCCAGGAGACCGATCAGAATATAGAATAACTGATGGCCATGATTGTCAGCACTCAGAAATGCCATCACAGGAGAAATGAAGTGCAGATAGATGAGAGAAGAACGAGGAGGGTCAGTCGATGACATGAACAATATCCCCGGTCTCTTCGGGATCTTTCCGCCAAGAGGGTGTGTGGTGTGTGCCGAGCCTTTTGCCTTTTACGCTCGCTTCGTTCGGACCGGTCAACTCTTTCACTCACATTCTTGTAGAAATTGCCTGCATTGCTTGGATCTCCAAATGACCCGCCAACATTTCCAGTGGAGGATGGTGAAGCTGCAGGTGTGGACGAGTCGAAAGCGGATGTGCTGGTAGAAGAAGAAGAAGAAGAGAATGAAGAAGAAGAAGAAGACATGGTGGAGAGTGGCGGAATGTCTAAGACGATCGCGGTAGCTTAAAGCGAGTCGTCGAGTCCGCTTGCCGAGGAGAGGAGGAGGTCCAATTGACTTGACTATCGACAGCGAAGGTGGGATGGGCCAAATGACGCGTTTCCACTCGAAAGACAAGACGAAGGATGGTGTATGTGAATCGTTTTATGATCGCGATATATAATAAAACCCCCTCCACCGCGGGATCCGATCTGAGATACCCGAGTGCGCCAGGTCTCGGGGGTGCTAGTATCCGATATCCAGCTCCAGCTTTGAGAGACCCAATAACAAAGGACGGGCCCCTCCTGAATCAGCGTCGTTCTTCCATAACCTCAATAATCCCCGGCTCGCAAAGATGGGAAGATCTGAGTTGAGAGGTGACTGAGAGAGAGAGAAGGTGGTTCGAGAGGTTGAGTGAGTCGCCAGCAGCCAGTCACCCGGCGAATGAGGAGGGGCGTCGGTTTTTTTCCTTTTGAAATTGATTATAATTAGCTTTTGATAACGTCGAATGGTAATTAATAGGGCTCACAGGGACACGCACACGGCGATCAGATTTGCCACGTCACTCTTTAGGCGGAGATCACCGCTCACTCACAGCCGCCGCCGCGATGGCACTGCGGTAACGGTTGGAATACCAGTTCGATTACATGGAAACCTCATAGAGACATGGACTCCATCCAGGTCTTGTTCTTGGGAACAGGGACATCCACTGGACTACCTCTGACACCATGTCTGACCATCTCCCAGCCTTATCCCCCTGAATTCCAGGCTCACGTCCCTCGACCCAACTCACCTGGACCTGAAACACCAGTAGATGCTCATGATGGTAGATATGATTCGAGAAAGCCCTGGCCTGGGAATGTGCCCTGTCACTGTTGTCGATCTAGTGTGGATAGGAATGTACCGGAGGGATGGAAGAATAAACGAGGCAATACGTCCATCATTGTGAGAAGGAAGGACTCGGGTGGACAGTGGAAGAATATCTTGGTAGATTGTGGAAAGAGCTTTGTGGAGAATGCCAGGAGGTTCTTCCCTCGTTGGGGAGTCCAAATGGTCGATGCTGTGCTTTTGACTCATGGTCGTGAGTGATGCTGGGTGCCAATTGGCAAGGAAATGACGATCGCTGACAAGCCTCAAGATGCCGATGCTTATTTTGGCCTGGACGATTTGAGAGAATGGTGTCTTCGAGCCAAGCGACATATTCCAATCTACCTCAACCAAGAGACATACGATAACGTTGCGGCATCATTCCCTTACCTAGTCGATGCGACCAAAGCTAGCGGAGGTGGAGATCTGTGAGCATTACCCAGCTGTGTTGAGCCTTGTCCGGGGCTGACCACATATCCCAGACCCATGCTTCAATTCAACGTGATCGACGATCATTCATCCTTCACTCTCTTCGACATACCCATCACGTCTTATCCCGTCCATCACGGTATATACTTCTCATCGGATACTGCTGGGACGTCCGTTGAGCCTCGACCGTTGATATGCCTCGCTTATAGCTTTGCCAAGAGTATACTCTACATGGCAGATGTCAGCCAAGTGCCGAACTCGACTTGGGCGCTTATGGAGGAGGACGGAGTCGTGCCGATAGTGCTAAAAAACCAGGACATGGCGAGAGTAGACTCGTCTTCTGAAAGCCCAGCGGCCGACCTCGTCGATCACCTTGACCGCTCACTCGACTTGACCGCTCCGACCCGACCCCAGCTCAAGATCCTCATTATCGATGCTCTGTGGCCGCTCAGACGCCATCTATCTCACTTCTCATTCGGTCAAGCTGCAGAGACCGCCCTCCGTATACAACCGTCCATGACGTATTTGCTAGGCTCGACGCACCCTACCACTCATTACATGTGGGAGGAGATCTGCTTGGCGGTCTCAGGGCGAGCGTCGATCCATTCTCCGAAGTCGATCAACCCTCTGCATCCTTGCTCCACTGTGAAAGAAGAGTCATGGTCTAAAACGGATCATCCTGACAACCAATTCGCCCAGGATCTCGTTCAGCGCATCAAGGAGAGCGACGAATTTGCCGATCAACCTGCAACCGATCAACGAGGCATAATATCCCAATGGAAAGAGTCTGGAGGGGCATTGGAACCTGCATGGGATGGACTAGTGTGTCAAGTAGATTTACATTCCGCCGCAGACATCTCAGCAGACGAAGGCTGGCATGTTGTCAGTGGGCCGCAAGGATCGACAGGAGGTTGGACAGCGTGAAAAAGAAAGATGGTGCGGGCATGCGTTACGGCATCCGGAAGGTTTTTATTGTCTTCCAGGCGGTTGCCTTTTTTTTCTCACAGGCTTCATCTTCTATTGTACTCTTGCGGATAAACTGGTGCATGGTCGACATCCAGGCATAAGAGGCCCAGCAGCAGCAGCAGCAGCAGCAGCAACAGTAGAGAATGGAGCGCAGACAAAAGAGAAACACAAACCCAGGGCCGTCATGACGCTGGGCCGGCTGGTTTCAGGAAGAATAAGCATGACATGACAGCGTTTCTCCACTTTTCCCAAGTTGGTTCCCGCACTTGTGGGACGTAAGCAAAGTCTTTCCATAGGGCCAAGGTAAAGTCTGAAGATGGCGAGAGAAGATGGGTGGCTAGGTGGAAGACAAGATTCTTGGGGCCGAGGTCGGTCTTGAATGGGATATGGAGGGTGTCCAATCCAATCAGGTTTGGCTGATCCACACAAACATTTTGATCGCCCTTGACATTCTCAATCTCGCCTGTTACAACTGTCATTCTTTGAACAGCCGTTGTTCTCATTTCTGACTCCCTTTACCCCTCTCAACAGCTCACCAGCGCTCACCTAATTCACCACACAATAGACTTCTTGTGGCCATCTCAACACACTCACACACGCACAGAGACCCCCGCGTCCTCCCTCTGTTGACCCGCCAGAACATCAAGCGAAGTTGGACCAAAGGACTTGGATTAGACCAAAGGATTCTCACATCAGAAGGTGCGCATAGACGACGTGTCGAGATACAGAGAGGTGAGTGGATCATTCACGCAGTGATCATCAAACGCTTTCGCATCTGCTGCTCTCATCTCAATCCTCATCTTCACCATCTACCATTGTCTATTTGCTATCTGCTGACTACTCCTCATCATGTCCAGGCTCAGTATATGGACCATGTCGTCTTCACCATCTCCACCTAGTACACCCCTTCCTCCGACTGCTTCCATTCCTGCATCGCCACCTAGTATAACGGAATCTAGCCATCTGTTTATAGGGCTTGAGACATCCTCCTCACCAGGCGACCGCACTCCCTTCGATATCGATATAGATTCTTATCCAGGACATTCACCATCCCGTGCCAAGCTACCTACTCCATCATCTTTCTCACAGAGGCTCGCTACGACGCCGACCTCGCCACGAGATGAGTCGACGAAATCGCTCGGCGGACGAAAAGACGTCGGGGCAAAGAGTTTGCCTTCTCGCCATCCATTCAATCTCTATACCATCCCACAAAAGGCGGACACGTCTACAAATAGGAACTCTGCATCGCCTATACCACCACCCTCAGCATACGTTCGTCGAGGACCACCAACGGCATTGAATTTACACCCTGTTCGCATGCCTCTGGGACCTGGATCCACCTCGTCTCCATTCAGCCGCCATATCCCAGCTTCGGCCCCTCTGTCAAAGATTGCGAGTGTAGGAGCCGCTCGCAGATTATCCGATGCACAGGAGAAACCAGGTCGATCTCCGGCTCCGCCCAATACCGCAAGTCTCGATCGGAACACTGCATCCAAACAGAAGATCAAGCCCACAACGCCAGCTTCCATCTGGACAGAAGGACTTCCAAACCCTCGCACCAGCGGTTGGATTTCTCCTGCCTTGACCACGGGACGAAGTATCACCTCGGCGACCTCGCGACCAAGAGGACTCCAAGTTGCCATCCTGAACGATAGCAAGCAAGAGTTGATCATCGGAGATCTGCCAATTCATGGGGGCAATCCGCTCAAGTCCCCCGTGTCTATCCTCAACTCGAATCCGCAAGGAGCTACTGATCAGCAAGGTTCTGGAAGCGATTCACGTCGTCGAGAGAGTGAGTGCTCTAACCAGCCTTTGATTCCATGACTTGGCTTGGCTCTTGGTTGACGACTTGCCCTCCAGTCATTCTGTGCAGATACTATCACACTCCAGGCCTGACGTGCACGTCTCGTCCTTGTCGCTTCGTTCACGCTCTCGAAACGAAGTACTTGCCCACCTCTACAGGACAAGTCCCATCCACGGCTCCAGTCGCACTTCGGCTTGTCTCGCCTAAAGTTCAAGATCCAACAGGAGGTATCTTTGCAAAAGCTCAGTCAAGCACAAAGTCACCTAGGTCCACTTGGCGCAACTCCATGCCTTCCAGTGGTATTTCAGGCATCGCAAGACCCTTACTGGCATCTCCAATCTTGTCAAGCTCCGCGCAGGTCGGTGCGTCAGATGACAGTCTATCAATCGCAGAGATCCAGGATTCGCAGAAAATATTCGCGTCTATGGAGCCCGGGCAGCGGGTCGTCTTAGCTACCGAGGATGGAGTTCAGCTGAATGGTACAGTCTTCTTGATGAGTGGAGGTGGAAAAGGGGCTGTCGGAAAGTCAAAGGCAAAGTACAAAAGTGAGTCTACATGTCTGGTACTCCAATGGCAAGGTGTTGATGTCGTTGTGGCAGCTGTCGGGTGCAAGGATTACGCCGCTGGCTATTGTCCCTATGGGGACTACTGCTCGTTCATTCAGTGGGTTCCGACTCCACACTCGCTTTGAACGTCTCGATGACAGTGTATCTCAGTCAGGTCTCAGTCGCTGTCGAATCCCCTGGAATGGTCAAATCGAGATCCGAAGATCTGCTCACGACCCTCGAAATACCGCAAGATGAATCTGAGAGCAATGTGGCGGACCCGACTCCCTTGACCGTCCAAGATTCACCTGCCCGTCGACGCCATTCTACTGGATCATACGCCCGGGCTGTAAGACCCTTGGCGATCATTCCTCCTGTTCTCGAGGCCGAGTCTAGCAATGTGATCCTGGTTCAGAATATCGATGAAGATACGGTCGGCGACAGGATGTTGGATCAGGAAGATGCGGTTGAAATGCCCAAGGAGACATCGGCGAGTCCAGCTAGATTCAGTCTGTGACGCATCGCTGACAACCACCTCCAGAATGACTGTGTAGGGATGTCTGTGCCTTCCGTTCAGGTCGACTCGACCGCCACGGAGCGAAGGCCCACTCCGCCCTCTTCTGCTCTGACGCCGGATTTTAGTGCACAGCCAGTTAAGACCGACGCAGACGTTTGTCATCAAGCAGACGTACCCGGTCCATCTCCGGTGTCTGCAAGATCTTCAGCTTGGTCTCGTGGACCACCAGCGTCTCTCAAGTCTTTGACATTGAAAAAGGTGTCTATCTCAAATCTATCGAATTCGACAGGATCCCGACTCGTGCCACCTCCTTCTGCCGTGTCGTTCTTCGGGACAGAGTCTGACCCGGCTACGCCTTGGGACCCTGCCCTGCGACAGCAGCAAACCGACGCCATACGCGATACGCCGTGGAATCATAGTGCCTATGCCTCAACGATCGACCAAACTGGAGAGGTCTGGCCAACCGTCGATCAGGCCAACAGCGGCAGTAGAAAGAGACACAACCAGGATGGCAGACCGCATGAACGGCACGGCACCGACATTGATTCGGTGGATGCTCAAAATGTCCATCCAGAATATGAAGGCCCTGTGTTGACCGAGGCCACTACTCTGCAAGGAGCCCCTCCGCAACCATCCATGGTCCACCCGCCCTACGGAGTCCAGCCGTATGTCGAGACAGCATCTCCAGATCACAGGCAAGGGTGGCCATTCTATGATCCATGGACGGGATCCTTTGATAGGCAGGCCACAGATATGCCTACCTCTCCAGGTATGTGGAGCTCGCCTCCTCCGATCATGTACCCTTGGGGCATGCCGATGAGCCCTGTGGTTTCTCAACAACCCCATCATCAGGAAAACGAAGCGCATGACAGCCCTAAGATGGAAAAAGGAAGCAAGACTGGTCCGGTCTCCCATTTGCGAGGCATGTCGTCCCCGGTTGGCTTACCTCACGTGCCCGGTGGACTCGGTGTCATGTGGACTCCTGCAGGCTGGGCTGTCCAAGATGCGGCTATGAAATTGGATCTGAGACTGGCAGAAATGAAGTTCTTGTCCGAAATCACTGGCAACTCGGTCGAAAGCGCTCAAAACAGGGACAAGAAGGTGTATTACAAGAGTGAGTGTGGCTTTGGGAGACACGCCATCGAGCTCATCTCGTCAGGTCGTCAATGTCTATTCTTTTCACATGGGAATTGTCCTCACGGCGATCAGTGTACCTAGTGAGCGCGATAACTCGGATGTGATTTTAGAGTTCTTGCTGATTCTCCTTCACGTTTTCAGCCGGTATGATCCACCTTCTCGGACGTCGTCGCCCTCGAACCCCTCGACTGACCCTATTACGCCTGCAACGCAACGGTCGCGCACGTCGACCCAGGGATCCCCCGTCAAGCGCAAACCTATGCCTGTATTACCGTGTAAATTCTTCAACTCCACTTCAGGCTGCTCTCGCGGAACAGATTGTACATTCCTGCACGCCATGGTCGTCCCCATATCCATGCCATTGGTAGATCGTCCTCGACCTTGGCGAACGAAACCATGTCGACACTGGCTCGTTGGAAGGTGCACACTCGGAGACGCGTGCCACTTTGCACACGTCGATGCGAATGGAAATGATGAGCATGTCAACCCTCCACTCCGGCTCAATACGAGCGCGTACGATATGTACTCTGCAGAGATACCTCTTAGTGAGGCAGACGTCTCGCTCGCTATGAGGGACATCAAACGCTATAGCCCGACTAGAGTGGACAGTGATGACGAGGAGGAGGATAATGTCGAGATCGTGGGTTCACTTGCAAGAATATCTGCAGAAGGGAGAATCATGCTTATAAAAGATCCCGTAGATTACGGAAGCCGTGTCCATCAGAACCTAGTAGAGAGAGAAAGAGAAAGAGAGAATGGGGTGAACCCGATTGTAGGGCATATTGATTCCAGCTTTTTACATTATAGGACTGTGTGCAGCTGCCATGAATACATAGAAGCGAGATTATACTATAAAGATAGGGACCGCACCATCTGGATCTACATGTACAAGGACCTCGGCACGACGTGCAGGCCAAGTTCATTCGTGCAGTCTGTGAAAATCAAATTCTACCCATGAGGATATTCATAGAGCCTACGACGCAATCGATGCCTCAAGAGGGGCCTGATTGTGAAGACGGGTGCCGTTTAGCTGAACTCGATATAGCTAGGCATATCGTCGTTGGGCGGGGCGACCCGGCTGTTCTGTGCTTAGATAGGAGAAAATGAATTGATCCTCATGACTATCGGAGGCTTCTATGCAAGAGGCCTAAAGTTTTCGTCCAGCTCTCGAGATGGGCTAATGTGATCGTGTCACGCCAGTCTCTCTCACCCTCCAGATCTCACTTTGAGTCTCAGGTCTCAACCGCGGACTCGACTAGATAGATAGATGCTACGACAGCTCATCACGTGATGCCGCCGTGTCCGTGATGCTGAAACGCATCGATCAGCTGAAACGACCGCGTCGAGATATTTCCACTTTGGGGGAACAAGAAGAAGAATAGAACAAACAGACAAACAAAACACCCCCTGAAGCCTCAGGGTCTCGAAGTCATTCCAATCGCCCATTTCCATTTTGACTATCCGTTCCCGATATATCCATAGCATTCTCTCGTTCATGCATGCATGCATGAACTCATAATACGATGATGGGGTCATGCATCACCTTGACTGAGGAGCTAGAAATAGGCAGGGGCGGATAAGATGGAGGAGGAAGGGAGTGGGGGGGAGATAGAGAGGGTTTTTAACCCTTCCAACTGATGTAACATGTTATACGCCGTAGTGCTTTGACCCAAAAAATGGAAAAACCAAACAATGAGGTGGGCTCAGAGAGGGCGGAGGAGCAGAGGGGAGGGGGAACGGACCCTCGTGCACGGTCCCTCGACACACACACACACACACACACACACACAGTCCCTCTCTTGCTCTTGGCTTCTGCCTCTCTCTCTCCTCTCCTCTCTTGGCCCTTTATGCCACTATGAAATTACGCTCCCGCCCCTTTGACATCGGTCAACACCACCACCACCACCACCACCACCACCATCACCGCCGCCGCCATCCATTCGACACCATCCATCCATTCAACATCTCACTCACTCACCCATAGTCTACTTCAACCACACTCGTTTCGACTCACTCGACCACGCTCATTACTCATCTTCACCTCGGACACTCGACGACCCATCTCATATCTTGGAAAGAACCACACAGCCTCACCAGAGACCTTTATAACAATGCTCGCTCGACTCGCTCTCGCCGCGCTTCCCCTCTTGTCTGGTGAGTGATGACAGGGATTGGTAGGATGGAATGAACGGGAAATGAGATGCTGGGGGATGGATGCTGACGGCTCTGCGCTCCTCTTGCATCGCCTACTCCTCTATATGACAACGTCTCGCCATATGAAAATATGACGCTTCGCTACCCTTCCTTTGCCTCTTCGACCAACCCCATCGCATCGCCTCACCTCGCGCGCGACGCCATACAGTCGCCCTCGCCGCGGACTGCACCCGAAACGCCACGGTTCAAAGTGGAGATACTTGCGATTCCATCTGTGAGTTAGATACTGGGATATCGGATGCAGTGCTCGGACGACTGGCATGGGTTGGGTCACGTCCTGGTAGAGAGGCTGGTCGGATGGAGTCTGTGATGTTGCAATGCCATCCGCCAGCCCGAGCAGTCGAACCCACTCCCGGCTCTGCGATCTCCTCACGTCCATCCGCTGACGATGACTTGTCATTCTCTCACCTCTACTGTCGCTCGCTCCTCGCTTGGACCCCTCCAAACCCCCTTTCCTCCTCTCTCCCTTTCCGTCCCCGTCTCCAACATCCTTTGCCCCTGCCCACAGCCAACAAATACGGAGCCTCAACTTTCCAGCTCGCCCTCGTCAACGAAGCTGACATTGATGAGAACTGTGAAAACTTGCAGCCCGGAGAGACCATCTGTCTCGGTGTCGCTGGACAGGACTGCACGAAAGTCTACACCGTCAAGTCAGGAGAGTGAGTGGGAATCGAAACCCCTGGAGTTGGCTCTCGCTGATTGTTGCATCTCTTCCCTTATGATTGGCTTGTCCCGTCTTGTCGTGTCCGTTATGACATGACCCTTCTGCTTTGCGCCTCTCGTCCGCCTCGTTCGCTCCTCCTTCACAGCACCTGTGAATGGCTCATGGCAACTTATGGAATGTCCAACACCACTCTGTGGTCCAACAACCCTCAGATCGACCCTGAATGCACCAACATCTACATTGGAGAGGTCTTGTGCGTCGACACCAAATCGTACAATTACCCGTCTTACAACCAATCCCTGTACGAAGTGAGTTGGACTTGAAGGCTCTCCGAGACTGCTCCTGACAATCCAATCACAGGCCATGGCATACACCTACCTCCCCTACTGTTAAAATGCTGGATCCATTGTACATTTATACATTTGATCTAGTCTGCTAGATTGTACGCTTTCCCTCGACAACTTTCGACCTCTCTTCGTTCATCTCACTCAACCCTATTCACGCCCGTTCTTTCGACGTCTGCCTTGATTAATGATCTACGAGTCAAACGAAGTTCGAGTTCTGAATATTTCGCCTCTTACACACCACCCTTTGTTGAACAAATGACTCGTCACGCTTTCTTTGATGATATGGACACTCTGCGAGTGTTGGATGTGATAGGATGCGAGATGCATCTGTGTGTTTGACATCTTGTTTTGGTCCCTGTGAACGATGGAGAGCAGCTGTAAGATGACTTTGTGCAAGTAATGAATGACTGCTGCATGTTATGCGTGCTATGTCTCTGAGATCCTACGCAGTATATACTCTATGCTCTGCGTGCTGCAAGTATCCCTTGAGATAGATTATGTCTACCCCGCGTTTCGCCTCGCCCACGGTCGGCTCGGAACTTCCAGTGATCGACGCGATAGCCGATCAGACCGGGGTACTCACCCAAATTAGCCGCAGAGAGATACCTATGCGCGACTGTTCATTGTGGACGAGTATTAGGCGTACCTCTCCTTTATCGTGGTGGTGCAGATCATTGTAGACAGAAAGTCTGTGGAGCGACCTACTGGTGAAGACTATACTGCTTGTGAAAGCAACTTCTCTTAGTAAATTTAAGGAGGCCCACCGCCCAAGGGGTCATAGCTCGCGGCTAGATCAACAGGGCGTAGCTCACCACCGACCATGCAGTACAAGCGATCTGTCGACATGTTTCGGGGGGTCAGAGCTCGAGGAACAGGATACATGAGACCAACAGGAATGGCTGGGATAGGTCGACGGAAATACCATGACGAAGCTACGTTTGGGTACCGTGTGCCTGCCAAATACACCTTGCCAGATTGTGAGTTCTGACTGGACTGATACGTGAGAGGGCTATGACGTGCTGAACAAAGGACATAGATACGCAGGAAGAGCTGGATAATAGGTAAGCTAGCTCCCCCAATTGGGCCTTGGTTCGGGAAGTTCCAGCAACGGCTGCAGAGGACGGCTTGTCCACTGACGCTGAGATAGGAACGCCAACGCACCTCTGCTGCGATACGTCGAGATGTTTCGCAAGCATGGTCATAGAGCAGCGAGGGTGGGTGGAGAATATCAAGGACAACGCATGATTCAGAGCTGATGAGATTACATGTGTCCAGGTCGATCCGCTAGATCTGATGAACAGGGAGTGAGTGCTCTGGACCCGCTGCGTGACAGTCTTCTGACCCGTCTGATCCACACAGTGAAGTGGCTGCGCTCTCCTCCTCCCGATACGGACTTGATTCCTCCACTTCGTACCCTCTCCAAGGCATCCTTCATGTTCCTTCATCTTCTTCCAAGCCTCAGTCACCTAAAGAAGCTTCGACCGCCGGACCTCCACGTACAGAATCAGGAGAAGGGACAGACGTATCTTGGAATCTAGAGAAAATCACTGAACACCTCATGCGCACTTATGTCGATCGTATAGGATACGAGTATATTCACTGTCCCGACAAGGATGAGAGGCTGTGAGTTCGTGTCCTGAGTTTAGACTACCTCGAGCCGAAAGCTGAGACCATTTTTGCAAATAGGTGGTTCTCGCATCATATAGAGACAAATTCATCCTCTTTCCCTTCACCTCTACGAGCTGAGCAGAAGAAGCGTATCTGGGAGCTTCTGTCGAGGAGTGAACAACTCGATAGGTTCTTGGGCAAAAAGTTCCCCAATCTGAAGCGATACGGTGTGTGATCCTGCCGTCTGCTCTGATCAAGACTCCAGAGCTGCTTTCGCGCTGACGCTCGGTACAGGATGCGAAGGCGCAGAAAGTATGCTTCCGGCTCTTGGCACGTTGTTCGAGCTGAGTGCGAAGTGTGAGTCCCAAGGAGACATCGTGACCTTTATCTCCCTGGAGTTGAGCTCAAGTGCATTTCCAGCCGACATATCTTCCGTCATCGTTTCCTTGCCTCATCGTGGTCGACTCTCGATGCTGTGTGACCCTGACCTTCTAAGCTACTCCCCAACTGCGTTGTTCTCCAAGATCAAGGGCAGACCCGAGTTTGACCCGTCAACAGCGCCAGGTGCCACGGGCGATGTCATCAGTCATTTGTCTGCGGTCAAAGAGCTGAAATTCGGAAACAGGAAGGTCGAGGTTGAGGTTCTGCAGAATCCAAGTCATCTTGAGGTAAGTGCGGAACCCATTCAAGCGTAGCGCTCATCCTATCGTCCAGGCGGTTAATCCTGTCGCACTCGGTGTCACTCGAGCGAAACAAATGTCCCTCATCAAGACCTCGCCGGCCGACTGTCAACTTGGCGATCGAGTCTTGTGCGTACAGCTTCATGGAGACGCCGCCTTCGCAGGTCAAGGCGTCGTTGCCGAATCCCTCGGACTTTCCGGGCTCCCTCATTTCGGCAGTGGTGGAACAGTTCACATTATCGTCAACAACAACATTGGATACACTACCCCAGCATCATTCGCTCGAAGCAGTATCTACTCCTCTGATATTGGCAAGATGATTGGATGCCCTATCCTTCACGTTAATGGCGATTACCCCGAGGCTGTCGTTCGTGCCGTCGACGTAGCCTTCCGATACCGTCAAATGTTCCGTAAGGATATCATCATCGACTTGATCTGTTATCGACGATGGGGACACAACGAACTCGATGAACCGGCTTACACTCAACCTAAAATGTACGAAAAGATTCGATCGAGATCCTCTGTTCCTGAATTATACGAGCAATCACTCATCAAGGACGGGACATTATCCGAGTCCGACGTGGCGAGCGCGAGGAAACAATATGAAAGTGTTCTAGAAGATGGATTGGCTAAAGTCGATGACTTCAAGCCGGAATCGGACATGCTCAAGGGCAAATGGAGCAAGATGGTTTGGCCGGCCAGCAAAGATGCACAGCACGAACCGGAGACAGGTGTCGAGATTAACGAGCTGAAAGCCGTGGCGGAGGCTAGTGTCAAAGTTCCTGATTCATTTGTAAGTCTCTGCACTGCCCTCAGCGAGACCAATGCGCTGAATTGCCTCTCCACTCCGCCCCCACAGACTGTCCACTCACGTCTGAAACGTCACATTTCAGCTCGTCTGAAATCCCTCGATGCCAAAGTCGACTTCGCCACTGCTGAAGCCATGGCGTTCGGCACGCTCATGCAGGCTGGATATGATATCCGGATCTGTGGACAGGACGTCGGTCGAGGCACATTCTCGCAGAGACATGCGATGCTGGTGGATCAAAACGATGAGAGCTGCATCATCCCGTTGAATGAGGCTATTGATTCGAGCAAGGGCAGGCTGGAGCTGGCTAACAGTGAGCAAAGGGCGGTACTCTTGATTGAAAAGACTGGTTCACTGATCGTGCCTTAGGTTCACTCTCGGAGATGGCTGTGCTTGGTATGTTGCAGCAGTGGAGATGATGTAAGGTGGCGCTGATAGAGCTGCAGGATTCGAGGTCGGTATGAGCTGGGCTAGACCGACGTTGTTGCCAATCTGGGAAGCTCAAGTGAGTCGACTGGGGAAGTGATATCCGCTGAGCTGTGCTAGTTTGGCGACTTTATGAACGGAGCTCAGAGCATGATTGACACTTTCGTCATTGGTGCTCAAGGTAAGTCAAAGCAGTGCCACAGTGTGAGATTTGTTTCTCGTATACTGACTACGCCTCGCAGCCAAATGGCTCAAGCAGAGCGCACTCATCATGCAATTGCCTCACGGGTTTGACGGTGCTGGACCGGAGCATTCATCCAGTAGAATCGAGCGGTTCCTACAGGTGAGCAATCATTTTCCCCTAAGCCAATGTTGTTTCTGATCGCTCGATATAGCTCTCCAACGACTCGAAAGATGTGGACACAGGTCTTGTCAACGTATCCATCGTCAACCCGTCCACACCTGCTCAGCTGTTCCACTTGTTACGCCGACAAATGTTGAGAAATTACAGGAAACCATTGATCATCGCATCGCCAAAGGGTCTATTGAGGTCCCCGGTGAGTTTTTCACAGACCTCCAAAAGACTCACCTTCCGCTGATGCTACTACTTTCGTAGGTAGCTGCATCCCCCTTGAGCGATATGGGTCCTTCGACCTCATTCCAATTTGTCCTTGACTCGTCCACGAACTCGAAGGACGCAAAGACACTCGTGTTGTGCTCTGGAAAGCACTACTACACTCTTTCCGAAGCGCTCGGAACAGGCGCTGAATCCATCGCTTTGGTCCGAGTCGAGGAGCTTTCTCCGTTCCCCCGTCAAGCCATCAAGAGCATTCTTGACAAGTACACCCAGGCCAAGAAGATTGTTTGGGCACAAGAAGAACCGGAGAACCAAGGTCCTTGGCCGTTCGTCAGATCGAGATTGGAAGATGTCCTGAGGGATTCTGGGCGGGACTCGCGAGTCGAGTACGTCGGAAGAAAGTCTTGTCCTACCGTTGCCGTAGCCGTTGGAGAATGGCACAAGCGAGAAGCGCAAGAGATTGTTCAGGGTGTTTTGGATCTTGCATAGGAGATAGGAGTATAAGAGCCCGTGGCGCATGTTTAGGTTTGTTATCATGCACGGTCGTTATCATTATGCGTGTGTGGGCCTCCTAAATGGCCTCTTGAGGATCATGACGTTTTCACCTCATTCTCCCTTGCCAGTCCTAGAATCTCTATTGCCGCGAGATCGCGACCTTCTAGTCGTCGTCCATCGTTTCCCTGTCGTCCCTTGGCCAACTTCGCCCAATGGTCATCCACCATGCGTTTACACTCCATCGCTCGAGCTTTGACTTTCAGAGCTCGGGAATCCGTCGACGAACTACCGAGGACAGATTCGAATGCCCGGATCAACTCCTGGGTCTCAAAGCTTGGTCTACAGATTTTGGCATCAAGCCATGAGCAAGATTGCCCCTAGCATACCGATGACAATCCTACTCACCCTGCATTACGATTACCCCATGCCCCAAGGCCGAGCCATTCGACAACGTGTCCGCAATCGTGGCAGTCTGCCCATGGAGATAGGATAATCTGTGGCGTGCCGGTACTGAAGACGAGTGAGAGCGAGCGAGCGAGCGAGAGTGTCAGGCTGGACCAACAAACGGTAGACCATTTGGACTCACGCCAGACCCTCATGGTACGAGTTGCTGCCTCCGTGATTGACAAAAACGGCGACGTTGCCCGACTGGAGAAGAGCAATAGGCATAGGTTTGAGCCAGCTGACAATCTTGATTCTGGTTTTATCCTCGACGACGCCATTGAGCACGCCAAGATCGACATTCCCGATGGCCTGGACTTTCCACAGCACTCTGAGATCTGGTCTCTGCCTCAAGACGACCTCGAGAGTGTCTCCAAAAACTCCAACTCCTTCCTGAGTCATACGCATATGGGAACCGAGGACAATGAGGATGATAGGGCCTTTCGATAACCATTCTGCAAGTTCCGGATCCGCTTCTTTCACCGAGAGGTTCGGCAGGATTATGGGTCCACAAGAGGACACATGATCGGGCATGATAGCTGGATATTCGAGTATTGGATCGGAAGACATGCACAGGAGTCTGCCCTTGACCGGCGCAAGAAATCCCAAAGGTCCCTTCAAGCCTACGGCTTTGCGAGCCTTGTTGATAGCTCGAAATTTCGGGTCGAGAAAGAAGAACCATACGACGCTCCACACGGTTGTAATCAAGGTTCTCAACTTGTCCAGGATGGTCATCGGATATCTGAAGCCAGATCCGACGCTGATGATGATGGTAAATGACGATGCATCAGCGGTGCGCATACGGTTCTTTTTAGCCTAGATTGCAACTCACGGAGGAAAATTCAACATACCTAGCCCCTGAGCATCCATTATAGACATTTGTGCGTTCATTGGGTGCAGTATTACGGCCTTACGATCCAAGTATTTGACTGCATCTGTACCAACATCGAAGAGAGGATCAAGGACACAGATATCCGGGTCGATCTCCCTGATCAGATCGATGATCTCGAATGTCGTTCGGATGTACTGAGAAGGGGGTTCACCATGTAGGACTTCACCGAGGTGAGTGAGGAATTTCAGGTTTTCCCAGAACGAAGGATGATGGGTATAGTATTTCAGAACTTGGCGAGCTGACATTTTGATTTCAGATTGACGTCTCCAACAACAAGGCCCAACCTAGGTCGCTCACAATCCAACGATGAATCATCAAATTTTGCAGAGGCGCGAGCTTGAATCGATTCCCCAGATACGGTATGTAACTTGACGCGCAGTGGAAGTGGAGATCGAAGATTTGACATGGAGATCAGATGTAGCTGGGTCTTTGGGTCGTCTTTCAATATCTCGTCCATCGCATGTAGCACTGCAGCTTGGCAGTTGGCTTGACCCATCTCAGGGCTATAGGAGCGCGCGCCGTCAGCAAGCAGAACAGAAGAACCGTCAAATCCCACCGACTTACCTCGTCAAGAAAAGTATCACCGGCATACTGGATCTGGACGACGAAAAGAGTCTAGAAGTACCTGCACTCTGCGCCCTGGAATGTACTACTCTGTGTCTCCATCAGTTGATAGATCTGGTCAGGTATGTGTTGTGTAATGAATTAAATTGTTCGAGCTGCAATTCTCCGGTCTTCCGGTCATTTCCTGGCAATGCCCATTTTGATGCCGAGCAGGGAGCTCAAAACAGCAAACTCAGTCACGATGAACACGCATGCCACGCATAAAGGTATATCAAGACAACTAGATCCATACATATGGCCAGATACAACTTGACATCTATCATCGCATACTCCCGCCTCACTCATGACCCACCACCATTCTCGAACCCACTCGGTCCAGGCAAGTACGAGTAATTAAACATTTGAGCCACCAAAAAGTCCAATGGCGTTGGCGCATAGTCGGATTGATCCTGTAACAGAGGCTGTAACTGTGGCTGTTGTTGATGAGGCGCACTGGGATTAAGAGCAGGATATGGGAATCCAGCGACCGTATATCGCATCGCTTGGTAGTTGTATCCTGGGATCGTACTCGACTGGGGAGGTACATTCGGATCAATGTAATCTGTTGAATGATAGTCTTCTTGACCATAACTCGCGGTCGCGGGTGGTGGAGGGATAGGCGGGAGATAAGACTCAGAACGATGAGTGCCAAGATAATTAAAGCTCATGTGTGATCCCGGATCTTCAGGCAGAGGTTGGACGCTGAAACCTGGCGTCGAATGGGGTCCTGATTGTTCGTATCCTGATCCACTTTCTGTCGTGCTCGCGGCGATCGAGTGTGCCACATCGGAGGAGGAATTGCCTTTGGCATCTTGGTTGCCCATCGGCGGTGCAACAACCTGAGCCCTCGGCGTTTCGACCGCTACAAAGGTCGTACTGGACTCGATACTGGATCGACTGGCACCGGGACCATTCGTTTGCGTCGTCTGCATCGTCTGCGTCGTTTCTGAGTTGGAGTTGACGCGGTCGAGTTCAGCACGATTCTGTCTCGTCCAATCTTCCGTCACTCGAACCATTGACGCGATAAGATTGCCACATCCCAAGACCACCATCTCTTGCCCCACGGAGCCGTCTTCGCCAGTTGCATCACTGTGGACAGACACGGCACCTCGGCTGGTGGGTACGTCGAGTTCGTCAATGCTGAATTTGTTGGCCACTCGGATCATGACTTCTGACACCTGTTTGATGAGGTAGAACCATGTCGGAAGCCTATAGATCGAGGCTGTCGGTTGTCTCGAGTATATCCGGCTGACCAAGATTTGACCTGCACGCATTTCCATCAAGATCTTGGTCCCTTCTACCGCGAGACTGCACAACTCGACAACTGGCAGAATCGGCATGGCGTGCTCGGCTTGATCCAATGAAGGACTGTCCAAAACTGACGGTCGAGTCGGCATTTTAAACAGAAGTAATCCCTCAATATCGGCGAAAGCCACCAGAAGACCCTCGCAAAACTCGCCCCGTCGCAAGTACATTTCTCGCATGTGTCGAACGCCTGGATACGTTGGGTGCATGGCAGCTTTGATCATGTTGTTGATGTTAAACATCTGCTCTTGAGCATACGCCACGCGTTCGTCACGGTTGAGATTGTCAGGCAATCCATCTGCCGATAGAGGAGTTCCAGGTAGAAAGAGTCCAGACACGAGCGATCGAGTAGCGTGCATGACGACACGCGACGATTCAAATCTCCACCCAATTTGGCGGTAAATCTGCGCCGCAGTTGTCAAGAAGGGACTGCACGTCGGTGTAGATGCTAGAAGGCCTGAAAAAGGGTAAGCGCCTCCCAACTGAGGCTGTGACGACCTCTGATACCCACGTGTGATGTGGTCATGCTCTTGCTCGATGCCCCTCAGTTGACTATTATACTCGTCCAGATCCTGCATGACATGCGCAACATGATCGTGAAATCCGTCATCCGCGAGACTCAGCAGAGACTGATGAAACTTGCAGATAGTGTCCAGAGCTGCAGCGAGCCTTACGATCCGATTGCATACCCCCAGTTTGCCTACTAGTTCCGCCGAATCGGTCTCGCTGCTTGCGTTGCCCCAAACATCGTACGTCGAGGGGACCATTATGCGATCGACCAAGACTTTGGCCTGGGAAAGCTGCGATGGGAGCCTGACCTCAGTCGTTTCATCCTCAAGAACGAGTCGGCCTTGATCCGCGACCAAACACATCCAGAGCCAGAATTGTGGGTTGTCCCAAAGCAAGATCGGGTCCATGTCGAAGTGCAAGTTGAAAGCTCTAGAGCCGAGTGCAGAGTGAATGGATAAAGCCGAACCCAATTGACCTCTTCCAACCGATAAGCTGTGGTAATTGACCTTTTCCCAAGGCAGGGTGCCGAATGGAGCGTGGAATGTCAATAGCTGAAGAGCTTGGACAGCGGCCAGACTCAAGGGCACGTGGAGCAGAACCGAGCTTCGGAGTGTGGTCACCAGCGGTATCAGAGTTGATCGAAGCTGCTGGGTCTGAGATGGTATGGATGTGGAAGCGAGATAGATGACCAGTGCAAGGAGTAGAGAAGCAGGTTCCGAACACGTCTTGGGATCGTATTCTCGCAGCAGATCGCTTAAACTGGGCAACCAAGGATGATGCGTCTTGAGAGATAGTACTCTGCAAATATCAGCAGTGATCTCGGACATTTACTACTCACCCTGGCTCTAACTTCATCCTCACATGATCGTCCACCAATCGTCCAAGATCGAGCTTCTTGACCTTGCGACCGTAGACTGAGCCCAACATGGCAGCTACAAGCTCCAAAGGTCTCCCATGGAGTTTCGTATTTCGTAACTTTTCCGCACTCATCTCCTCAGCTGCGGGCGGTGTAAAGTTGAACTCGGCCAATAAATCATACCCTGATGGCCTGTTGGGATACGGATCAATCCCATGCAAGAGGTCCACGGGCTTTTCATGTCTTGAGAGTCCCCTGGCCAAAGTATCTATACCGTGTTGATTGAGATAGCCGGGTCCATCGGGTCCCAACAACGGTGGCGGCGGCGAGCTTGGTGAATATGTATGATCCTCGTATTTTGAGTCATAATCTGTTCGTCCATTCTTGCCCAAAGATCTCTTCTTTGACGGTCCAGGTTGAGAGTAGGACAGATCCGCTTCCGATGCACCTTGATCGTCATGCCAACTATCTTTCGGAGCGATCAGATGCCCATCCGAGTCCCGGGGTAATCCTCTCCGTCTGCCCTTGTCATCGACGATGCAAACAAGAGATAGAGTCTTGCAACGATGACATGCCTTGTCACGCGGGAGAGGGGTCGTCGAACTGGGTATCATTTGGTCCGGAAGTTCGCATCGTGTTTTCCGAATTTTGCAGACGTTGCAAGATCGTCGGGCGTGAGTCCGCTTGATCTTTGCCCGACCATGGTTATCGCCATTGGAATTGTCCATGGAGAGCGAGGCTGTGGATCCGAGGTTGACCAACTCCAATTAGGGATCGCACGGATGACCCCGGCTATGACTGTCCCACCGAATGTCTCCTCGCCGGTCCGGACTATGACGTTCCAAGGCGTAATAAAGCCGGACAACTGTATTTATTATTCCTTCAGTCGAAGGGTTGGGGTAATTGAGCTTGCTTCCCGTCTCACAGATCAATCGCCGGTGACTGATACATTCCGCGTTCTCAGCAATCAGTTCCAGAGAGAATCCCTCTGTTGGGCTCGCAAAAGTTGGTCCGGATGCGATGTTCAGATGAGGGAGGACAGGGTTATTAACCCAGAGACACATGTGAGGTCTCAGAAAAACACTCAACGACCCGATTGAATAGGGCAAAACGGAACGGAATCAAATCGGGTTAAATGGCGTAAACACGCCACGTGATACTCCCCTCGGCCTCGCGGTGACGGCTATTCGGATCCGAAGTCGGCCACATCGTTGGATCTATGCTAGCTTAATCAGTAACCATTGGCCTGTTGGTGACAGCGACAGGATGGATTATCAATGTCAGTGCCATCTTGCTCTATGCAGAATGTCCAAGAAGACGCCCGGACCAGCCTCGAACTTACCGAGCAAGCATCCTTTGCTCCAAGGAAGGGGGTCGGCTACGTCTCCGTCTACGAGTCTCTGACCCCTCCTTCTGACCGATGTTGCTCTCTTGACGGGTTCACACTCTCTACTGACGTGCCCCACTATTTGTTCACCCTATTTATACCATAGTCATCGTGTACTGTGGCAAAGGTTGACGCCAACCTTGACGCTTGTCCGCCTAAACTGGATCTCATGTGGGTATTGCCAAGGCACGGAGCAGTCGGAGTATGACCGCGTCTCGGGCGATTACCAATAAGGAGCAGAAGCTTGCGGTGGTGGGCTCCGGAGGTGAGAGCTATGTCCATTGTCCCATCACTCTAAGGAGCAGCCTCATCTCTGGGGACGGAGGCTGACATTTGCCCATCAGGGGTGGGAAAGAGTGCTATGACTATACGATTCGTAACCTCCCAATTCTATGATCAGTGAGAGAATGCGTCTCGAATTACAGCAGACTCCGCTGAACCCATTGCTCCATTCTTAGAGGGTATAACCCGACCATTGAGGACTCGTAAGTATGGAGCCGGAGGATCAGATGCCTGTCACCCACGCTCACTGGTCCACTCATCAGATATCGGAAGCAAGTCGTCGTGGATGACGAAGCGGTCACTTTGGAGATATTGGACACCGCTGGACAGGGTGGGTATGCCTGACAGATTGTCTCATGGAGACTCGATACTATGTCGACTCGCTCGTTTCTGAGGCTGGAGATGTAGCTGACGTATCCCAGAGGAATACGCAGCGATGGCAGACCAATGGTATTCCTTTGGAGGTGGATTTCTCCTCGTCTACTCCATAACGGATCGTTCGACGTTTGAAGCGATACCAGGGCTACATCAGGATATACTGAGAGTCAAGGATCAGAGTTATGTTCCATGTGTAGTGGCCTCCAATAAGGTGAGCGCTTTACGCCACGCCCGTCGATGTACCATCCGATCTGTATTAAAGTCCAATAGTGCGATCTCGGACGATTACGCGCCGTTGGACAACTGGAGGGACGAGATATGGCCAGGAGATTGTCAGCACCATTCATCGAATGCTCAGCTGCGGATGGTGTCAATGTCGACGTTGCATTTCGAGAGCTCATCAAGCTAGTGAGGCGGAACGAAAAGGTAAAATGTGCATTGCTCGACTCGCTCGCTGACCCTCCATTCAGCGCATGGCTTTAGCTGCTCAACGTCTGATGGGTGGTCCATTGGCTGCAGATCCATTGTCGTCCATTGCTGGCTCAGAATCCGGCGTAGACAAGTGTTGTAAATGCGTCATGATGTGATGATAATCCACCTCTACCTGTTGATCTAATCTCCTCCGTTTTCGGGGGCAAATCAAATGTTTCAACCCTTGACACTTCTACACATCTCCCTCCACCAAATGTCGGTCTGAGCTTCACGTCTCACCATATTCAGCTCTCTCTACATGGACGTCTTGTCTCTTATACTTCTATCCAACGTTATGCGTCATGTCTCTCTACGGACGTACGCTGCTACAGAGGCTCCCACGCTCAACATTATTCACCTTGAGCCGATATAGTCATTCTCAATGTCCGCCAAGGATCTTCCACAATGGTCCTGTACGGTCGTCAGCGTCCTCTCTACGCAGGAAGTTCAGTGTATCCTTCGCGTCTCAGGCAAAGGTGGAAGCCGCAGAGGAGATTCCCAAGGACGACGAGGATGCGACCCAGCCCGTCGAAGGTGCTCCGGCGTCATTCTCACTTCGACCATATCAGCGAGAAGCCATCACAGCCTGTATCGAAGCTTTATCAGCTGGAGTCAAACGGATGGGAGTTTCGTCCCCGACAGGAAGTGGAAAGACGACCATGTTCATGCACCTCATACCCCAAGTCATTGAGCCGGACTCGGAAGATACTTCAAGTGGAACATATCTTTCTCGTTGGAAGCGAAAGCAGACACTCGTACTGGTGAATGGTATCGAGCTGGCTCAACAGGCATACAATGCTGCTAAAAGGCTTTTACCGGAGGACTGGACGGTAGAGATAGAGCAGGGAAAGAAACATGCGAGCGGAACTGCAGATGTGTGAGTGCGACCCGAAATCCAGGACTGGCTAATGACTCTTTCGTCTAGCACCATCGCGACGTACCAAACTTTAATGAGAGAGGGCCGCTTGACCAAGTTTGATGCGGATCGCTGCGGGTTGATCATTGTGGATGAAGCTCATCATTCAGCGTCTCACTCGTGAGCTCAAAAAACTAGTCAAGGCAAGAGCTGATAGCCCTCCCTAGCTATTTGCGACTGCTACACCACTTCAATCGCGATGTCAAGCTTCCGGATGCTGTCGATCCTATCGAGAGGTCAGTAGACCCACTGGACTCTGGAGCTGACTGACTCCAGTCGAGATCATGAGCGTACTGTTCCTATCGTGGGATTCACCGCGACCTTCTCACGGAATGATCATATGGCCCTTAGCGATGTGTATCAACAGATTGTCTATCACCGTGAAGTTCAACTGATGCTGGAGGAAGGATGGTGAGCGCTATCCGGTCCTTCCGTCAAGCGCTGACATGATTCAGGCTGTGTCCTGCCAAATTGACCACTATTGAAGCAGATCTGAGTCTCGGCGACGTCGAGGTCAACCCCAAATCCGGCGACTTCTCAACGACCGCACTGGCCAGACACCTTGACACACCTGAAGTCCGCGATCTGGTCCTTCGGACATACTTGCACAAGGCGGAGTCACGAAGATCGACTTTGATCTTTTGTACCAACCTGGCTCACGTTGATCATCTCAAACAGACATTCCGCAACGCCGGCGTGGATGCTCGATCCGTCTCTTCACTCTTAGCTACGGGTCAACGAGCTGAACTCATCAGGGGATTCTCAGATGGCGAGTTTCCTGTGTTGATCAACTGCGAGGTATTGACGGAAGGGACGGACATTCCGCAGGTCGGTGCATACGTTGATGGATTTGGTGTAGTCTAGCTGATTGCGATAATTGCGACAGATCGATTGCGTGATACTGGCTCGTCCGACGAAGAGTCGAAATCTCCTCATCCAAATGGCGAGTTGTTCCCCGCTCAATGTGCATGAGCTTATGTTTCACAGATTGGACGAGGACTCAGACAAAGTCCTGCTTCTGGCAAATCCGACTGTCATATCATCGACCTAGTGGACAATGTCTCTCAGGGAATCACAGCCTCTCCGACCCTTTTGGGTCTGTCTCAAGAGGACGTGGCCGGGAAGCCGAGGATTCAGAAAGAAGATGGGGAAGAAAAGGCAGAAGATTCCGAGGAAGATGGCCGTACGTCCACATTCACCCAACTGTGTGGTCTAATCACCACTATCCAGCGCAACTGCCAGCGCCTGAAGTCATTCCCTCTGGACGCAAAATCAACAAAGTCACCATGGTAGATCTGGACGACCCCTTCGGCATTAAGGAGCCAGGATTTAGACCTCTAGCACAGCTCAGCGAAAATGCTTGGGTGCGTGATGCGACAGGTGGTCCGTCCAGGCTTGTGTTGACATACAAGCAGGTCACCTGTCGATATGGCGTCTTCGTCTTGGACCTCTTCAATGCGGAATACCTCAAGATTGAACAAGTCAATCCACCTTTGTATGAAATTCGTCTCACCCAACCCATGATCCCCAATTGGGTGCCAAACTCGATACCATATCAGCAGTCCAAGGTTCTGGGTGAAGATATGACTCTGTCAGATGCGTTGGCACGAGGTGATGCCTACGTTGTGAAGAAGTATGGGCTTATGGGCGGCAGACGGTGAGTCGCTTTTGATACAGCTATGTTCAGAGACCTTCTCTGATTAGTTACCCCTCAGTTACCAACGAGTTGCGAAATGGAGATTCATGCCAGCCCATGAAAAAGCCTTGGAGAGGGTTTGGAAGATAAAGGGACTCGACAAAAACGACTCCATACATCCATCAGAACGCAAAGTTAAGATTGGCTTTAAAGAGATCCCCCTGGGACAATTGACAGCGGGGCAGGCAAGCGCAGTCGTGTATGTTCGTTCAGCCAGAAAGACGGACTCAATTGCTGACAATCCGACTGTAGAACCGCCGCAAAACATGGCGCATCTGTGAGTTCACGCTTGGGACAAGGGTGCGAAGAAGAGCTTATCATCGTCCCAGACTCGCTTCAAACAACAGCAAAACAAGGCCAACTCGGCTGTTAAGAGAGCACGGGCCATTGCTGACAAGGATGCGGCACTGGCTGCTAGAAATTTACCACTACCACCATCAACAAAATCTGATCCACCGCGAGATTGATCGAACTCGGATTGTTGTCACCATTATAGAGTACTTGTAGCATCATAGGCATACTTGTACACAAAGGATCTCCTCGGAATACCTGGACCAACTGCCGCGGCCCAACTTCACTGCCTGAAGAACCTTGTCCTCCTGGCTATATGTAGTCTCAGATCCATTTTCAAACTCGCCCATAACTCTCTCCACCAGACCTTTACCCACTCGACTTGCTTGTATTTATTCGCCGCTAGCCAATCGGCATAGAACTGAGACATGACCTCTTCGCGTAAAGCCGTTTGTTCGTCTGTTGGTGGATCTGAAGCGGAAGGGAGCGCAGCGAGGCGGTTAGCTAGTCGAGCTTGAAAGTCGAGATTTGTGGCGGCCTTGAGATACGGATCAATCAGGCGCAAAAGAGTCAGATCCTCGACCTACCCAGAACTTGTGATTCATCACATCTAGCCTTTCCTTCCTTAATCTCCATTCGAGCTCTAAATCTTGCATCTTTGCGTCTTTCTCAGCGTAGGGGAATTCAGCCGAAGAGTAAGGTGAAGACAGTGTAGGAAGGCGGGAAGCATGAGCATAGATCATTGGGCGGATATTGGATACTGGGTCGGGTCTGATGATATGAGAACGCATCAGACCGCAGCGTCAGCAAGAATGTGTAGTCGCAAGCAGGCGACGAGTACTCACGGTGCGACAAGATCGACATCATCAGATTGTTCGACTGGAGTGCGACGAGGTCGGGAAGGGCCGGCCGCGTTCGAGCTGGTGTGGATGGCTGCTCGGTAGGCTAAGCCTGAACGAATTGGCGTGAGCGTAAGTCGTAGCATTGTGTCGAGTAGATTGTCTTGAGAACCCAAAGTTGAAAACCCCAGCAAGGGATGATCATCGAGTATCTCAACGAACCGATCCCGAAACGCCAGAATCGACCGTGGGAAAGTTTGTGCTAAAAAGTTGAAAGAAACAGCATCCATCCGTCGTTTTCTCTGCGTCCCTAGGAGATATTGAGCTCAGATTGGAGCAGGGTAGTCGCTATGGAAGCTGCAGCCGTTCAAATAGCCGTCAGTAAGAAGCGTAAACGCACGGGTAAAGCGAGAGAGGAAGCCAAGAAGGCAGCATTAGCTGTAAGTGGACCCCCGACGCATCTGACGCCAGATTGTTGATCTTTGCTCAGGCTTTAGCTGAGAAAGAAGTTGAGAATCCGACAGAAAGAGCAGCGAAGGATGAGCAAGATGCGGAGGTGGAAGGGGACATTGCTACTCAAAGGAGAGAGGTCGACCCCGAGGACGTCGCAAAGCGCATCGTGCGTATCATTTCAGCTCTACCCAGAGAGACCATATTGATCATGGTAGCCTCGGGCCATCAAAGCGGTCCACCCTTTGTTCAAGCAAGGCAGGACTTTCGAAGTGAGACGGATTGTAAAGAAAGTCAAGTTTTTAAGGTGTGTCTAACCCACTCTCGGGATGACCAAGAGGGTGGGCATGCATTGACGACGCTGCAGAAGCAAGGGAGGAAACCAAGATGAGGTCAAGTCTCTGGAGGATCAATTAGCTGTCCTTTCAGTGAGTCTGAATCGACCCTTCGAAAGCTCAGCGGGGGACTTTCACTGATGCCTGAGCTATAGCATCTGTCTCTCAACGATACCATCGCCTCCCATCTCCTGACTAAACTCCAAAAACACCATCAGTTCAAGCATACCGCATTACCTTCTTCGATCACCTCTCAGCTCAAAACTTCAGCACAAGCCTCGACCTCGGCCCAATCAGAGCTTTTGGGCAAGGTAGAAAATAGGCTGTGCAGTAACAAGAGCGTTTCAGAGGGCGTCAAAAATGCTTTGGGATGGATGATGATGGAAAAGGGAGCAAAGCTGCCTTCGAGCTCGGCATCGGTCAAGCAGAGGGCATCGAACATGGAGAATGCGAGGGAGACAAAGCAGCTCAATGAATTACCTCCTGCGGATCACGCCGCTAGACCGTCGAGGACGAACATTGCCTCTCTGGACGATGCGGACGAGGGAGATATGGAGAGCCTCGACGAGGAGGCCATTGCTGCTGACGAAGCTGGATGGGAGTCTGGCTCCGTTTCAGATGTTCCACCGATATCCCGACCTAGAATCGCAAATTCGGACTCGGACTCGGACGTTGGCGAGGAAGATGGTGAGGAAGAGGAAGAGGACGAGGACGAGCACACAACAGTGCTCATCGCGCGGCCCAACAAGACATCCGCATCCACACCCGCCAAAAAGACCAAACCCAACAAGGCACCCGTCACCTCGTCAACTTTCCTCCCCTCGCTTTCTACTGGATTTATCATGGGCGATTCTGATTCTGATCCCGACTTGGATCCCGATGTCGATGGTGCTGGTGTGGTAGGGAACAAGGCTGTCAGGAAGAATAGGCGAGGACAGCGAGCGAGGCAAGCGTGAGTTGGAAATTTGAATTGATGCTAGGTGTAGGGACTGACCTTGGCGGTAGGATTTGGGAGAAAAAGTTTGGAAAGCATGCCAAACATGTCGTTGCGCGCGAGAGAGCTGAAGAGGATGCTCAGAGAGCTGTACAAGCCCGCGCGATGCGTGGAAGAGGACGAGGCAGAGGTGCACCTTTCGGTTCCGGCATGAGAGATGAGGGCAGAGGCTTAGGCCATCACACTGAACAGGATCAGCCCGATAGAGGCGCCGCGTCCCTCAGTCGGGCAAGTCGCGGTGTCCGAGGATCTCGAGGCATGGGACGAGGAGGTCCCTTCGGTGGTCATGATGCCTATAGTCACGGCCAGGCTCCAGCTCAGCAAACCAAATCGACGGGCGTACACCCTTCTTGGGAAGCTGCGCGGATGAAGAAGCGGGAGATGGGAGCTGTCAAGCCTCAGGGAACAAAGATCGTCTTTGATTGAGCTAAGCAAATGCCCATATAGATGTTTCCGACCTGAAATGCATGCACGACATGACACGAATGCAGGTTATTTTGGGCGGTATTACAGGATTTCTCTGCGTCTAGACGAGGTTGGAAGGGTATTCGTGGTCCTTGATGTCGACAAAGTTCTCCTTAATCGATCGGGCAGACTATGGAAAACGGGAGTGAGCGAAAATGGACGTCATGATCAGGTGTGAGTTGACTCACGACGAATCGCCAGAAGATACCAATGGATCCACTCTTGTCATTTGTTCCACTGGCTCTGGCACCTCCAAAGGCCTGTTGTCCAACGACAGCACCGGTACACTTGTCATTGATGTAGAAGTTTCCAGCAGCGTTTCTCAGTTTGTGAGCGGCAAGAACCAATGCGGATCTGTCATTGGCGAAGATGGCACCGGTCAAACCGTATTGAGTGGTCGTGTCGATCAAATCACAGGTCTCTTCGTATTTGTTGTCCGGGTACACGTAGACGGTCATGACGGGTCCAAAGATTTCTTCTGTCATCGAGATGGATTTAGGATCCTTGGTGACGATGACGGTAGGTTGAACAAAGTATCCCTTAGAGCTGTCCCCTGCAGTGCTAGAGTTAGCTGCGAATTCGTGAGAACGTAAGATTGACTTGCATTTGCCTCCGGCAATGACCTCTCCTCCGGCCTCCTTGGCCTTGGTGATAATTCCGGTGATCTTGTCGAAGGAGTGTTGAGCAATGACGGGTCCAGTGAAATGGTTGAATTCGAAGCATGGGCCGATGGAGATCTTGTTAGTCTCGGCAATCAAAGTCTCCTTGAATCCATTGTTCCACAGAGATTCAGGGACATAGCAACGAGACAGAGCAGAGCATTTTTGACCTGATTGGGTAAGATATCATCAGCGAGATCTCCGAGCAGAGATGTCGATGTCTTCTCACCAGAGTATTCAAAGGCGGCTCGAATAGATTGAGCGACACCAGTCTTCACATCGGCAGTGGGGTGGAACAGGTGGAAGTTCTTTCCGCCTGACAGGAGAGGAGGTATGAGCGATCTTCTCGACGATCTGGAAACTCAGACTCAGACTCACCAGTCTCTCCGACAATCCTAGGGTATCCTTTGTAGTTTTCCAAGTTGTCTCCAATTTTTCGCCACAAGTTTCTGAACACCTGAGTACTTCCAGTGTAATGCAGACCGGCAAAGTCCTTGTTCTCGATACATTGACCGACGACTTCAGCAGCGGGACCAGGGATAAATTGAACGACAGATGGGGGCAGACCGGCTTCCAGGAGAATCTTGTGAGTCAAGTAGTTTGCATAAGTGGCCATGGGCGAGGGTTTCCAGACACAGACGTTTCCGACGATAGCAGGAGCTCCAACCAAATTTCCACCGATAGCAGTCTGGAGAAAAGCGCGGGCGGAGTCAGCTTGCAATTGATGCGCAACTAGACTGGATGAGGAACTCACAAAGTTGAAAGGAGTGACAGCGAGAACGAAACCTTCAAGAGGCCTGTATTCCGTTCGGCTAGCGTCACAGTCAGCTTCAAGAATATTTACACTGTATCGCTCTCTTTTACTCACTTCCAGATCATTAAAGAGTTTTCAGTCGGTTGGTTGGCGTACAGTTGTTCGACGTATTTCACGCTGAACCTCCAGAAGTCACACATTTCCGCGGCCGCATCAATTTCCGCTTGCCAAGCGTTCTTTCCTTGTCCAAGCATGGTCGCAGCCATGATATCGTATCGGTACTTTCCAGCCACGAGATCAGCAGCCTTCAAGAAGATGGCAGCCCGATCCGCCCATGGCATCTCTTCCCATTCCTGTTTTCCAGCAAGAGCGCCCTTGATCGCAGAGTCGACAATCTCAGGAGTAGCAGTGTGGTAGGTACAGAGGTGTTTGGCGTGATCGTGAGGCATCAATTGCTTTTCGATCTTGCCTGAGCGAACCTGGGAACCGAGTCAGATCCTTGATTACCCCGCTTCAACGCAAAGCTGTAACTCGCCTCCTTTCCGTTCACCACGCATGGGATCTCGAATGGCAGTTCCTTTTGCATTTTGGCAAGAGCTGCCTCAAGCCCCTTCCTCTCCGCTGAGCCAGGAGCATAGTTGCGCTGCAACGACAAGCGCGATCAGCTGAGGTGTTCTGTCCCAACGTCTGCAGCCATGACCAGTCACAAGCGCTCCTCTCTCACCATTGGCTCATTTTCAATCTTTGGCACTTTGAATGACGCTAATTGTGACATGGCTCTGACTCCCTTGAATGCCGTGCTCGCCAATACAGGTCTCAACGCTGTCTGTACAAACGACATGACAGGAGAAATAACCACGGCCCTGCTGGTGGACCAAAAAAGTTGAGCGCGCGCTTACGCCAGGAGAGTTCGTTCTCCCTATAATAGTTTTCTCTTTTCATCGGATCTTCCCTTCAACAGCCGCGGCGCCCCGAAACCGGACATCTCCGCCGAGAAACTACCGACTCGATTACGGTCAACTATCCGGGTGTGGCTTCTATCCAACTGCTCGTCTACTCTTCATGGTCAATCCAGCAGCTTGAATGGCTCTGGCCACCCATAAGGACTCGGGACTGGTCTCATCATCTCCGATAAGGCCAGCGATGATGCCGCCAGCCAGAGTGTCTCCAGCTCCTGTGGTGCTGACAATCTCAGATTCTGCCACAGCCGGGGGTCCGTAGTGCCAGTAACCGATACGTTTATCCGGGAGCCAGGGATGGCGCAGGAGGTGTGGGACAGGATTGAGGTGGCCTCCTTCGATCTCAGTCATCAATCGGGCATGAATCAGGCCTTTTGGGCCGGACTTGATCCACACATTTTCGGATAGACTCAGACATTCTGCCAGCGGCATGACGAGGCTGTCAAGGCTGTCCTCGTCGGGCGAAGACGACACAGATCCAGACCAATCAACAAGGCGGATCCTACGAAGTCCACGGGCAATGATCGGGGCCTCTACGACGTTCGGGGCAATGTGCGTGATCAGGGACCGCGAGAGACGATCTCCAGATGGGACCAAGGCTGCGGCTTGTACGAGGCGTGATGCTTTGGCAATGGATGTGGGGTCGCAGAAGGCTGAGACTTGTGTCGGATCGGGCGGAGAACGTCTGACTCACTCTTGATGGACAGTGACAGACAAAGCTCCAAGATCTGGGCCAGCACTTCAGACGCGGTATTACAGTCGAAGGCAACCAATTTTGGACGGTGCTCAGTGATATTCTCGTGGATCTGCAGCGAGCAGCTTTCAGTGGGGCTAGATCTGAGTATATAGCTCACCCAACCTATGTCGATCTTTTCCACAATGCCCATATCTGCGACTCCAGCCACGAGATCTCTCCGTTCATTCAGTACCAAACTGCAAGAGGCCGTCTGTACACCTTCTACCGATTGGATACCGTCGGTTCGAAGTCCCGCCTTTCTCATCTCGTGAAGTAGCATGACTCCGGCCGCATCAACTTCCCCACCTTCCGTGCCGATGGCCGAGATGAGTTGAACAGCGTGTCGTGATAGAAAACGCTGTGCAGACTCTGCAATGTTTCGTGCCACGCCACCCGGTGTCAAGTTGATCTCTCCAGGTGTCGTCGATTTGGGCGCAATAGGTACAGAGGCTGAAGAAGTGATGTCGAGAGCAGCAGAGCCAATGACAATGACAGTCGGGGGAGAAAGCTCCGCGGCCTGTGACGTCGAAGAGCTGTATTGACGACGCTGGCCCCATGATGGTTTCGAACTCCGATTTGGAGCAGCGAAACCTCTGCCCACAAGCTTCGCAGCTTCAGGACTGCTCGCATCGTGTTGTCGGCTCATCTTGGAAAGCTCAATGGCCACCTCCGCACCAACTCTGACATTGTTCTCGATCAAAGCGATATCTATAAATACCGTGTTAGCTCGATAGATGATCAATTCTGGTCCCCGCTCACTGAGTCGCAGGGTTTCACCTCCGCTCAACTCGCCGACCCGTTTGAGAAGCCAAGGTGTGACTTCATTTCCCTTTATACCGAGATCCGCACTTTCCGTTATGGCCTGCTCGACAAGTTTCTGCACTCGATCGCCTGCCACTTTGTGCTCAGAGGGGATAGGTACAGCGAGCAAGGTGCTCAGCGGCTGAGGCAAGGTGAGACCACAGTCTATCGAGAACATTAGTAGAAGGTTGTGCCACAATACGGAAACACTTCCGAATCAGTTTGGCAGCCGCATTTGAATCAGGCGCGTTCCACGGGCTCTACAAGTGAAGCAATCTCGTTAGTTGGGTGATGAGAGCCAAATACTCTGCTGCATGAAGAAAGCCACGTATCATGACTCACCGAAACACCGGAGACGGGAGAGTAGAATGCGGGGAAGTCTTTCGTGCGTCCGAACGTGGAAACGCAGACACCGTTGGTCTCCTACGCCAGACATCAGTCCGGAAGCCGCCCATGTGCAGACAGCACCTACCAGGACTTCGAGTGTTCGCGGAATATCCAAGATACTCTTTGCACCAGCACAAATGACTCCGACGGGCTAAGGCGTTTTCAGTCCACTTCTTCAGTCAATAGATGGTGTAAGTCACCGTTCTGCCTAGCTCCAGCAGATCCGCGGAGATGTCGAACGCTGCGAAAGTCAGCTCGTCTCACTTTCTCTGCACTGACTCTTCTCGGCCCCTCGATGGACGCCCCCTATACCACCAGTGACGAACAGCTGGACACCCACAGAGTGCGCAATGTACATAGTCCCCGAGACAGTGGTTCCTCCGGAAAGGCCCAATGATAGAGCTGGAGCCAAGTCTCTCCGAGACACCTTAACTTTACGTCCAGTGTCCAATGTTGAATCCGCCAATCTTGCCATTTGGCTGTTGGATAGTCCGACGTGGACACTTCCATCTATGAGAGCGATTGTCGCTGGTATCACACCTTTCGAGCGTAGGATGGCCTCCAACGAAGAGGCCGTTTCGAGGTTTGTCGAATGAGGCATACCTTGTATCATCAATTCAGTAGCGGTGGAATGACATACCATGGGTGACAATGGCACTTTCGAGGGCGACTATAGATCTTTGAGAGCACAAGGCCTCTTCAACCTCTTCTGAGATGCAAAGGCGCCCATTCTGTGATATCAGCATTGGTTACAGATTGCGTGACATCATGCGCACCCATGCAGCTCTGCTGGCTGCCAAATCAACTTGTTTTCGCCGAGGCCATTGCGAAATGACCGACGGCAGGCGAGACAGCCTCTTCAACGGGACCCGTAGCATTGCTATGAGGTGATCATCTGCTCTCAGGACGGTGACTCGTCCTTTCAGATCAATTGAGAGCTGCAAACCCTTCGTGCAGGTGGTGATACAAAATGAGACGTGAACTCTCGCGACTTTGGGATGATCGATGCCGTCATTTTACAAAATTGGGCTGAAACATCACCGAGCCGCATGATTGAATGACATGACATTGTTCATCCTTCACTGTCTTCAGGCGTAGAGTGCCTCAGCCTCACACCCCTCCAGGCTCTCTCTCCAGCGATTGGACTCCTCGAGGCGGACTGAACTCGATAAACAGGCCCAAAATGCCTTCATGTCGCATAACTAATCACACTGCGCAACCGCTGAACATCTGCCTAAAGCAAGTAACAGCCCTGCACTTTGAGAACACTGTGAGTCCAAAACTTGAGAGTCATGAGAGCTGAAGAACCTTCTCTACAGGTTCAGCCAGGTCAGACGATCAAATTCAGAGCAAGTACACAGCTATCTTTGACCTCGAGCACATCGCTTATATCCAATACCAGCCCGGCAAAGTATGGTTCACATTAGAGGTATGCGGATCTTCCCAAGTAGTCATGGATGAACACGCTCATGTTCTATCTAAGGCACTAGTCGATGATGGGACGAAGAAGAGCCGGTACTCCGTCTTGAAATCCGCAGCGACCATTGCGATTCTGTCAGTCGCGGTCGGTGCAGTCGCCGCTACGGCTGGGGCTGCTCTTCTGCCAGAAGCAGCGGCTCTCGAAGCGGTGAGCTGGTTCAGATTACTCAGAGGACGCATGCTTACGACCATATAAGATCGCAGCGGCGTCTGTAGCTGGCTCGTACCTAGCAAAGGGCATGACAGTGACGAAAGCTGCATTGGTCAGTAACTCTGGAACAATTGCAAAGATCTGTACGTGGCGATTGTCTGTCTGTGCCGTCCGTCTGACTCATATGCGTTCCATCAAGCTTCTACGATGCTACCGAAGGCTATCGATAAGTTGACTGCAGAGATAGGGGGTCTGTCTGCGCTACAGCGAGAAGGTAAACTGGGATGTTGGAGACAGACGGTTCTGACATAACTCAGTTCTAACAATCATCTCTTCGCCGTCGATTAGTTCAGATGTACGACACAGAGCCACGTCATTACTTAAGCAGCTACATGGAGCATACGCAAAGGACAAGGCGGAGAAAAGACCTGGCGGGGCATCAAATAACCCCAACCCAATCATGGATCCTACCTCCAAACAGATGCCAGCCGAAGCGGCACCTCAAAGCGTGACAGAAGGCACAGGGTCAGGGATCTCCAGCGCGGATCCGGCGACAGATCTTGGACCATTGGACGAAAAGGAAGGCGCTGCGCTCGAAGCCGAGCTTGATGCCGGGAAACTTGATGATCGCGTAGAGCATACACCGATCCGGACGGGTGAAGTCCTGAGAGTTCATGGGGTTTACATGAATGTGAAGCGAGAGTTCGATATCCGAGTGGGAGCCGAGGGGAAGCTGGAACTCTGGGATGCGAAGGCCAATAAGCGGTGGGGCGAGAAGTAAAGTATGCAATCGCAGAGCTTTGCACCGTATAAGTGGCTAGGAAACAGACTTCTGAGGCCTTGTCCTTGCAGAAAGTTCCGCCAAAGCGTTGTATGACATACATGAATGGTCGATCTCACATTCTACGACAGCTGCATCACATACAGACATTTGATCATGTCATTGTGCTTGCCGATTGCATAGCCCTCAGTCGCGCCGGGGCAATCGGCTCTTTTTGTGTGCTGCGTAAGCCTCCATGGTCCGAGGGTGCATGGCGATAGAAAACTCGCTCGGTACATTTGATGGATTTGCCTGGATGGCGAGCGGGTTATCCTGTGGGGCAGGCGAAGGGACTGGACAAGTCCAGATCAGCGTATGCCTATATCCGACTCTTCTCTTGAGACGATCTCACCTTGAATGGCAATCTGAGGGATCTCAATATCATATTTTCTGGCGTCAATGGATGACCGGGACTGGTGTCGATGGCGATGATGGACAAAGTGCCCACTGCGTTCGAACAGCTTATGTACAGACTCAACGCCTTGGCGATTCGTCTCAGGTACTATACGAGACAAGATGTTAGAGCGATACATGCGCCAAGAAGCAAGAGAAGGAGACTCACGAAAGAAGAACGTAAAGGGTATGGCGAGCAGATTAGTACCTGCAAAGAGGACAAACGTCCATGACCCGCTGATGGCCAGTCAGCCTAATACTGAAGTGAGGCTTAGCTCAAACGTACATCTTTTGGAACAGGAACGGTGAGGCCAGACTGATGCCCCCTTTTGCTTTTTCGCTGGGTCAGCTCCTGAGATTGGTGAACCAGATTTGAACCTACACAATGACCAAACAGCTACTGCCACACTGCCACCCCGAGCTCGAGAGACCAAGGGGAAAGCCTCTGTTCCGTGTCAGATTTGTGCTTCATGCCCTCGCTGAGAGGCTTGGTGCCTACCAGCTGTGTATATCCAAGGTATGTTGCTCTGCAAGATAGTGAGCAACAGCGCAAACACCTCTGACCTCTCTGCTCACCCAAGAAACGGCATGAGCGAGGGAAAACAGTATCGAGCCGGTACAGAAACCTGCAGCCCATCCTCCGGCATTCATCATGTCCTTGACGTTGATAAGGTAGTGGGAGGATGTAGCACAGATACCAAGCGCGAGAGCCATGACGAGAGATCCCACTGACAAACCGTGCGTTTCAGCGTTACGATCCATTGTAAGGTTGCACAACACCACCCACTCATCAGTGAAGGCCTGCGCCCTATCATGTCTAACGTCCAGATGGGTATGAGCCCTGCCAAAGCTGAAACAGCCATGGTGAGCTATGCTTCTCTCTCTCACTCGGGAAAATGAATCTACCGTAAAATGATAGGTTGGCTCCTTGCAAGATGGCAGCCGTGTTATCTTTGTACCCTGCAGTCCTGTACATTTGCGCAGCGACTGCAGTGCAATCGTTAGCGTTCTTATGGTCTGACTCATCAGCAATCTAAGCCTACTCACGATATGTCACGATGGTGAAACCGGTCAATCTCTGCCAGATCTGCAACATGGCCACCAGGAAGATTCTTCGCTTGATTCCGGGTCTATTAGCAGCTGAACGCCTGCGCATGGCGCTGACGAGCGTTTCGTCCTGGATCTGTGGGCCATCAAGGGACTGGAAAGACAAAGAGTACGAAACTCACTTGTCGAATAAGCATTTCCACAGAGTCTTCGTCATATTGCCCTAAGGCTGCGAAGATCCTTCGTGCTGCGTTTGTCTCGCCCGTTCGAGTGAGCCATCTTGGAGATTCTGGCATCAATGGCAGAAGCGCGAACAAGAGTAGAAGAAAAGGAAGCTGGAACGCGATGGCTAAATTCCGAACAGGGGATAAGCGGTACAACTTCTGGTCTGAACGACTCACCAAAGCGCCATTGGAACTGATCCGATGCGGTCGTTTTGAAAGCCAAGACAAAGTACGTCCAAAAGCCTACCGCTACACCGAGAATATTGAAGAAGAACTGATCAGACCGGTCAACTGATTCCATCCTCGACTGTGGTTTTGGACTCACGGCTGAAGCTATCACTCTCCCTCGATGATGCTCTCTAGATACTTCTACACACCAAGCTGGGATAACGGCGATTATTCCACCCGTCCCAAAACCGGAAACGACTCGTGCGAGGCAGAGCCACAAATAGCTATTTGCACAAGTCTGCAGTGCTCCCCCTGCTAATCCAAGAATACATCCAGCCCAAATGACTTTCGTCCTTCCAAGCTTGTCTCCTGTCCATCCACCGAGAAATCCGCCAAAGAGGGATCCAATGAAATAGACTGCGAGGATGCCGGCGATAGCCAAAATGTCTCGTTGAGACGGGGAAACCGTGACTAATCGCATTGTCTTTCTGAAATCTGAATTCCTACTCAGCGACGACATGGCACCTTGATCATAGCCTTGAGTGAAAAGTGACAACCCGGCAATGACGTAGAGGAGGACGACAAAGGTATGGCGTCTCGCATGTCGAAGACGTGTCCGGCTTCGGTGGCCGTCCTCGGGGAAGGTGTCGACCTCATTTTTGTCTTTGTCGATGGCGTGGCCTCGAACCCCAAACTCGTCCACGGCCCTGGAAACAGCGTTCTCTTCCCCAATAGGAGCTTCGACACTTTGCGTTCCTATCTTTAGTCCCATTCGTGGCGAGCCTAGGTCGCCCAGTCCATCATCATCGTCAATTTGTTCAGGGATACACAGCGTTGAGCGTGAATCGGAAGTGGCGATCATAGACACAGCATTTGTTGCGCTCGAAATCTCCTTATCCTCGCTTGACTGACCCTCAGCTTGAGCAATCTGGATCTTCAGGCCACTTTGCCCGTTGTCCAAGATCGATCCAGGTCCAGAAGCATCGTGGTGTCGAATGATGATCACCGGCGCTACGTCCTGGTGTTGCATCGTGGGTCCCAGGTCAATAGACGAGGTGGATCCAACGACCGGTGTACTTGATATCACTGGGCTGGGTGTAGGAGGTCGAAATCTTCCTGATTCTTTTCGCGAAGACGTAGATAGTTTGCGGGAGACATGTGGCTCGTTGAATGTCACGGAGCTTTCGGAAAACCCAATGGACCCCTTGTGGATCTGGAGAGAGAGTTGTTGAGGCAACGCTGACCCGTCAAGATCGATCGATGAGGTGAATCGGCAGTCGGAAACAGAAGGTAAAGTGGGATGAGAGATCGTCTTGGCGACTGTGCCTTTGTCCCCCACGGGGCTGGGCAGGGGAGTTGGAGATTTCAAGATGGATGGTGATCTCGGCGTCGAGGGAACGGGTACAGAAGCATCAGAAGTGATGCTGTAGTCTTCGAGGATCTGAACGATCGACATTGGCTTGTTCCAACGAAGCTCAGGGTACTTGATATGCTGCGAGCGCGATTGACGGTGAAGTCAGGACACAGATGAATCTTCCATGCGATCCAAGAGGACCGACAAGTGGAGAGGGAACGTCCCATGTTTTGGCAAACGTGAGCGACGAATATAGACTGACGTGTGTCTCGCAACCTGAGATCAGCGTCTCACACCGTCAGTCAGACATGAGATGTCAGTGTGTGCGGACCTGTTCTCTCAACAGAGCGTGAGTGGAGAAACTCTTAATCAATCGGGACGGGTCCTGTAACCTGAGCTAAGTATAAGCTATGATGTTCATGGAAGGACTCACACAGCAGAATGTCCTGTCCACCTTCTCCCATGACATGAGCCTTGCCCCTAACTAACAACAACGTGGGTGCATGGCAATTTCCAAGAAGATTACAACAAATTGCAGATGTCTCACACATGGGCATGTGCCAGGCAGAATGCTCAGCCACTCCTATTCTCCTCTAGCAACTTGTACAGATCAGAAACCAGGTACAGACTCCCGCCCAAGACCGTCAAGCCACGTCGCTCAACGCCATCCTTCTCAAGCAACTTAGAAAGCGCTTCCTTAACATCAGCGGAGACCAAGATTTGGCCTTCGGATCCGACAAGATCTTGCGCGATGCTCATCATACTGTCAGGCAAGACCGGCTTGATCCATGGCATTCCGTCCACCGGAGTTGCGAACGTAGTCAAGATGACACGATCGCCCCTGCGAAGAAGAGGTTCCAAGACACTCCGGGGAGATTTGCCTTTCGAATCAGAAACTGAAATGATCCACGTGGTACGCCATGCTTCCGATCCAAGGTCGAGGCTGTCAACATAGGCTCGGAGCGTCTTGGCTGAATCTGCATTGTGAGCCCCATCGACTAGTAGAGGTAGTCCTGCAGCATTGGGATATCGGACCCAAGAGCATCGACCTGCCCATTGAGCATTTGCCAAGCCTTGGCGTAGGGCCTCTTCGGTCAATTGATTAAGCTTAGGCTGGATACCCATCGCTCTGGAATCCGAGCGAATAGCCTGTAAAATGTTGAGTGCCAACGAAGCATTGTCCATTTGATGTGCACCAGCAAGGGATAAATGCGATTCGAATACGCTGCCATTTATAGGGGTCCGAATAGGCATGCGTGGAGGAGCGGTGAACGCTTCTAGTGAGACCTTTGGCCTCGCAAGAGGATTCACCAGTTCAGACTTGAGAGCCCGCACAAGCCTCGCACCTTTGATCTCAGCGACGCGTTGAGCTACAGGCATAACTCCCTGAAATCTCTGGGGTGCCACCACAAGCAGACCACCAGACACTGCGATGCCGGCTTTGACGGCTGTGATTTTCTCCACCGTATCGCCGAGGAACTCGGTATGATCCAAACCGACAGCTGTCAAACCAGAAGCGAGAATCATCTCGGGAGGTATGACATTGGTCGCGTCTGTTTCCCCGCCCATTCCACATTCAATGATCATGATGTCGGGCTTGTACTCGTCAATGATTGCGTAGGCGGCGGCAGTGGCAAGTTCGAACAACGTGGCGTGAATCCCGGCCTGCAGATTGATAGACTCCACTCGCTTGACTGCGGCATCGTACACATCGCGAGAAGGCGGTAGACCATTGATGGCGATCGCACGACGGGCTTCAATCAAGTGTGGCGAATTGTATCTCGCGACGGAGAGTCCTGCCGCGCGCAAGCATGATTCTAACATGGCTGAAACACTGCCTTTGCCGTTCGTACCGGCAAGATGGATTGCAGGTGTCTTGATCGGGGACAAATTTGACATCAATCCCCGGATGCGCTCGAGACCTAAATCGATCTTGGATGATTTGCCCTGAATTTCAGCTGGCCGAGGGGCAGCGGCGGGGGTCAATCTCGGTGCCGTGTTCAAGGACGATCCGCTAGCAAGTGAATTATTGTTTGGTTGCGATCGACCTGTTGAGTAGTGCCGGAAGGCGGGCGGTTGTCCGACGGGAGCCGTGGGTATAGTTGGACGCTGACTATACCCGTGGACCGGTGGCGAAATCCGTGGAGCAGAAGCGTAATCTACAGCTTGAGCCATGTATCCAGGGGGATATCGAGGAGCAGAGGGCATGGTGATGCCCATATACGCTGCAGTGTAGCCATAAGCAGTCTGTGGGGCCGAAATGGCTCCATATGGATGAGTCGTCATGGACTGGCTCATGCCGTTATGATATGGTAGAGGAGCCGGTGGACTCATGTAATCTGAATCGCAGATCACAACGCGGGATGGGATCTGACGAGGGTCGTGATAATTGATAGGCTCATTGAGCATCTGCTGCACGGATAGCGGACTGGGTCGTTCTGGGACAACAGGAGTCGGACCCAACGATCTCCGTGATTTCGGATCAACGAGCATCCCACAGCCAGGACGCTGGACACTTGACGGTCCGGCGAGAGGCCTATAATCCAGGGGCATGTTAGTCGTTGGAATGGCTATTTGAGCCTGATGTTCGTTGTTGGGAGCGACTGATGTTGTGATAGGCGGGCGAGGTCCTTGTGTGGGTGTCGCGCCGTTCTGACTGGCGGCTGGAGCCGCGCTGCGGATCGTCGGTGGACGCTGCGGCACGACCCCACCATCATGAGATCGGCGAGTATGCGTATGGTGGCGCGCTGGCATGCAGTGAACACCTCGACCTCTTACAAAGTTGTTGCACTCACCATACTCATTCTCCGCAAGTGGCACAGGACCCGGACGGAAATCAAAGTCAAGCCACTTGACTCGGTGAACTTGGCTGTGCAAACTGTCAGTATCTCCTTCAGACTTCTTGCGAATATCGACTCACCCGGTCTCGTGCTGAACATCGGCGGTCCGATCGTGCTCGTGAGCATGCAGAAATTTCACTTCAAACAGGCCGGCCGGTGTCTTGACCTTGATTGCTTGACCAGGTATCAGCTTGAGTATCTTTTGCTTGAGCTGCTCGGCCTGCGCGCGCTTCTTGGCTTCTTTGACGTCCTGCGCGCCGGTCAGCATAGGGTGTCATGGTTCCAGATCAGAGACCCACTGGGTTGTGACTCGGGCATAAAACCTCAGTTCTCAGGCTTTTGCGTTTAAAGAACTCGTGTTGCGTTCCTGGGGGCGCATTCTCCGGGATCGGGATCGGTACTGACTCTTCGACTTCCCATACCCTGTAAACAACTTGCTCATCATCCCTGGCACAGGTGACATGGAACGCCTTGGGACATTTGCCCTTCAAATCCGAGTTAGCTGAGCTCGCATCGGCAAGACGACTTAGCTCACGTTGACACATTGAATCTTGGCTCCTGTCTGCGCCAGTTTCTTGTCTTTGCAGCTCTGACATTTCTACAGCGAGTCAGTGTCCGCCTAGATTCGGCAGATCGCCACACTCACTAGATTCCACCTATCCTTCAGAATCCCATCGACACCCATAACGACAGCTTGCGCGTGACCGTCAAGCTCGTGATCCTCGATCCAAACCTCCGGAGTGGAATTGACACATGCTCCATGCGCTTTGACACTGCCGTCCTCGGATTTGCACATATTCTTGACATGCTCCGAGGGCTCAAACACAGGTATCAGATCCACTTTGTCGGTCCCAGGACAGAGGATACAGGGATAGTACGTTGGTGAGGAGACGACTGATGCCCGAGGTTTTTTCTGCAAAGGAATTACCGGCTTCTTCTCTGCCATGCCGTTCACCGGGAAATCTGGCGCTGCAGGTGTTCCATCCTCCTCTTCAGCAATGGAGGGCCGCGAGCGTTTCTTATAGCTTCGCTTCGTGCCCTGCTCTGTCTTTTCTTCCTCGAATGCCCGGATGAGCTCTTGCTCCGTCTGCATTCGACTCTTCTGCTGTCCCAGCAGCTCGTCCATATCGATCCGGACACTGCACAACCTTTCAGCAACCGGTGTCTTGACAATACTCGCGCTTACCTGTGGCTGACACATTGGCACACTTTCGCCCTTCGTCCGAGATCCACCCAGCTCTCCAAGGCAAAGTTGACGCTCTCAGCGCAGTTGAAACCCAGATTAAATCCAGCATGATAACCGCGGGGAAACGTAATGACGAATTCGCCCTGATTATGGACCATCATGTTGACTCGGATACCGTCCTGGGCGAGACGAGTAGGTGACATGATATAGGATTTGTGGCGAAGAAATTGATCGCATTCAGCGGCTTCTTGAGGGAAGTATCCTGCAACCGGAGTCAGCCAGATCCAATGTGAACGCTCCAGCATGACTGACCCCCAATAGTTCGCTCAAAGTGCTCTGCGTGACCCTGAGGGATAGCGTACCAAAACTTGGGTGCGCCGAAATGGATGTAATTTATGGAGAACAGGTCCATCTGCATGTTTTCAGCATTGAGGGATTCGAACATTTGGCTCACATCTTCCACATGCCAAGCGAATGCCGCTCGCCACATGCCAAAGTAAAGATATGGTCGGTTGACTCCTGGTAGCTCCCGACCTAAACGGTTGAGGAGATTGGGCAGATGAGCTACGTTCCAAGGGGTCTTGGGGTCCGGGAAAAGAGTGCCTGACCCATATCAGCCAAGACTCAAGTTGAAGTCAGATACACTCACCTTGGAGATCTGCTCCATACCAGCTCGGCTCTCCAAGTCCCATGTTCTTCCAGAACCGCCTCTCAAGAGATGCGCAAGCCTCAGGTGTGTAATCTTCCGATCGGGTCTCTTTCGGTAGCCAGTCGGAATCAGGATGAAAGTTCTCGTACCACGGAGGTACGCCCTCAGACTGAGACTCGGATATGGTCTCTGGCGTCTTGGCGATGGGATCAGGGGAAGAGTGTGAAGAATGTCGAGAATGTTCAAGTGGAGGGACAGAATCTTGTCGACGCTGAGGAGTCAAGCGGTTCATCTCGAAATCTCCATTGAAAGCGCTTTCTTCCCTCTCGTCGTCCGTCATTTCCCTCTGCTCCAGCTTCTCCGCCTTTCGCTTCGCAGCGGCTGTTCTCTTCTCTTTTGCCAGTTCCCTCTTTCTTCTGATCTCCGCTGCTGCTTCTTCTCTAGCCTTCTTTGCTGCTGCTGAATCTCTATCCAAGGTCCTATCGAAATCTTTTGGTCCAGGTCCAGCAAATTTCCCTTGGTTACATTTCTCAAACCATTCTTGGATCGTCAGTGGTCGATTCTTATTCTTCTCCACGTTCGTCTGCCTGAATAAACCCGACCGCCCGAGCATATTTTGCTGGATTGGATTCTTGATCCGAACATCGGCAAGGGCTCTGGAGGGAATGGGAGGAAGGGAATCTTTCCATTCGGCAGGCGGCACAATCTTGACGATGCCGGAGTACTGACCCCATGGTACTGTCTTGGTAACATAGGCCTCAAAGTCCTGCAAGTCAAGGTCAGAAATGATACTAGAATGAAAGGAGATACGCACCTTGAATTCCTCAAGGGTCGGTCTGAATATGGGTATGCCTCTCGTTGCAAGCTTGTCGTCTTCCGGAGAGAGATCCGCTGAGCGGTTGAGGGCTGTCGCACTTTCAGCTGTCCGTGACGCCGAAGTATTCGAATTGTTATTGAGTGGATAGCTTCGACCGATGTCAATATTGATCTCGGAAAACCATTCGACTCACAACTCTGAAGGCTGGATATACTTCTCCTTCTCTGGTGATGGAATCGCTGGTGAGGCTGGCGCCTTGGATTTAGATGATCCTGCAACTGGTTCCTGTTGCTCAGTTGCAACAGCAGTAGCACTGGCCGCTCTAGCAGCTTGCTTCTCTCTCAATCTCGCCGACGTCTTTGGTGAGTACGCCGGGCTGCCATCAGCAGCGATGGCATTCGCAGGAGCAGTGGGAGTCTTTGGCGTCCTAGGAGTCTGAGGCGTGCTGGGTGAACCTGGGAGTCCAGAGGATCTGGTTGTGCGCAAAGGTGAACGTGATGGACTGGGATCTACTACATTGGTGGAGGTGACCGCGGCGGCGGCGATCCCACTACCATCATGATGAGTCGGGTGGAGCACAAGAGGAGGAGGTGGTGCTGCCCTCATGGTCGTAGCTGACATGACGAAAGTCGATCTCGGTAGTCGGCAGCTAAGCCAGCCGAGGGATGACACTGTTGAGATGTGTCGAGTGAGGATGTATGGTCAATGTAAGATGGTCATGATAGAATATGGGATGGAATGAGGGAGATATTGCGATGAGCAGACGCCGTTGTGTGGGGTCGTGAATTAGATCGATTAGGAATCCGATGGGTAATCGAGACCCGGGAATTTCTAATCATCGCCCCTTTCCATTAGAAAATCAGAGTCTAATCCTCGGATCCGGTTCAGAAAAAAGTTGAGCACATCTCTTGTCCAAAGGTGTTGCAATAATATCCATCCATCACTTGACACTTGAATACCATGTCGACTCATCATCAACGTCAACACCCCATCATCCTCATCACTGGTAAGATCTTGCGACCACACTTCAGTTAGCGATGTGGCTCACGACTGCCAGGAACTCCGGGCACAGGCAAGACACTCCACTCCCATCTGTTGGAAGCGGAGACTGCTTCGTCTTCGTCTCCACTGAAACATCTCAACATCGGAGACATTGTCAAACAGCATGGGTTACATGAAGGTTGGGATGACGAATGGCAGAGCTACACGGTCGATGAGGACAGATTACTAGACTACTTGGAAGAAGTGGTAAATCCAGAAGCTGGTCCGTCGACAACAGGCGAGTGTGCAATGGGATATTGGATTTCGAGTGGCCATTCTGACTCTTTGACAGGATTCATTCTTGATCATCATGATCCCTCCTTATTTCCCGAACGTTGGGTAGATCTCGCTGTCGTCTTGACGTGCGATAACAGCATATTGCACGAACGCCTGACGGCTAGGTGGGCGGCGCCTGTTCATTCGAAAAGAGATGGTCTCTGAATTCTTGCTTCTTCTACAGGAAATATCCAGAGGCCAAGGTGACAGAGAACATCACTGCGGAGATCATGATGACCTGTTTGACCGAGACCAAGGAATCATACGCGGAGGAGATTGTCGTCGAGCTGAAGTCAGACGGGAGTGGAGGCGACAAGGAAGTCCAGGAGAACGTCAGTAGGATAGAAGCATGGGCAGAACAGTGGAGGGAAGATAGATTGAGCGGAAAGCATGATGAGTAGATGGCGTTCAGCTGAAGTCATCTTGTCAACCCCTGGGCAGCAGGTAAACCTCGACGACTCGAAGCAAACGATATAATGCATATCACGACGTACGACCTGTAGATGGGTGTGATCGAGAGGCGATGCCTTGCTCGTCTCTGCCTGGTGGACGTAAATGAGGAGCCTAACCGTACACCCTGAGTTGAGATTAGCTTGAGCTGATTCCGGGGACCACTTACAATCTAAAAATGTCATTCTGGACATAATAGCTCGAGCCCTCGGGTCTCAACTAAGAGGTCTCAGCGGGCTCATCCTTCATTTGCCAGAGATGTGGATCCGGCTCACGTGGAAGGTTTGAGAGTACTGCAAGACGTTTTGTCCGTCGTCAACCATCAGTTGACCGGTCACCATGCACATGATGGATGCTTCGTTTTGAGATGCGGGTTGAGCATCCAGCGTAGTGATGGCATGTCGAACGGATTGGAACGGGAGAGACTGTTCACATGGATCAGTTTACCAATATATATAGACCCAGCCAGGTCGTGCTTGCGCAAGCCATGGGCGCCCTCATTCACCTTGAGCTTTTCAATGATAGCGGCTGATCCTTGATGAGGTGTCGCCTCCCAGGTCATCATGGATCCGTCCCGCTACGAGGTACGGCACTGATCAGCAAAGTGCCCAAGACCGACTTGTCCGAACACTCGGCAGCGCCAGCCGTGATGCTAGACTCATGTCCCATGCAATCGACTCACATACAACGCGGCGAGCTGACTCCTGTCATTGTCAAATGTGCTGTAGTAGTAGTCTGCAGGATATGAGCCCTCCAGTGCGTATCGGCGGTTTGCTCTACAACACACCTGTGAACTGCTTTGCGATGGTCTGGAAGTCTGCCATGGTTGCTCAGTGATGAGTCGAATGATCCTCAAGCTGTACAAGTGTAGTCTGCAAAGGAGAGGAACTCTTAGACGAACAAGCATATCGTCGCGACTGGGGGGAAGTAAGTGCCACATATTCGGGCATGAGACGGGGAAAATACAAATACAATTGACATTAGGAAAATGAATGCTAATCTCTCCCCCCAAGCTAATGGGAAAGGTCGGGGACAACACGTGGGTGCCACATGCTTTTCACGTGGACCTCGTCGCAGCCGCTGTTTTGTTTGTTGCTTTTGACGTCGCGCGCGCATCGCCCATCGCAGTTCGAGTGTGAAAGAAGAAAAATCTATTCCTGTCAGTGTTGCTCATTGGGAACACATCCTCAACTCTTTGTCATTCATCCATCTCTACTCGTGGTATCTCTCTGGCAGGATCAGTCATCACTCCAAGGAAAAAGCGATTGCAAACGACACTTTCATTGCTCTTCTATCCATTTTAGACGCGGTCTCGATACGAAAGCTGTTCACCATGCTACCCATCCTCACGCTCCTGTCGCTCATCCCATCCCTCGTCTTTGCTGTTCCATGCGTCCAATTCGACACCAACTGGGATTTGTACGCTTTCGGAGGTAACGAAGATGTCAAGCTGGGCAACTCCTCGTCCTGGTCCCGTAAGTCTGACCCCCCCCCCCCCCCCTCAATTTTCGGCCACGGTCCATGCGCTGATGCACTCAATCTCCTCAGAACCGTCCGTGACGCCTTTGAGCACCAGCGGCCGACCACCTTGGACGGGTCAATACACTCAATGCCTCCAATCGCAATACAATAATGCGATGTACGTGCTTGGGGCAGATGACAGTGATCTCTCTGTGAGTGGATGACCAGTCCTCCTCCGCATCAATCACCTTGCAAAAATAGAATCAGCCCATTCTTCGTGCCGAGTTTAAGCTCGAGAGATTCCACTTTGTTGACATTCACCACTCAGAAAATCTACATTTACAACTTTGCCGAAGACTCATGGTCCCTTCAAGACACCTCTGCCGAGCCTTCAAACCTTGGCATGTCGCGATCAGCCAGTGTCCTTGATCACGATACCAATGTCATCTTCACCCTTACATCTGGCTCCGGCGCGTCCTTGTACCAGCTCGATCTGTCCACTATTCAAGCTACAGCCGGCAGCTCTCAAGCTTGGTCAGCCGTCGAGAACCCCAGCTTCTCCACAAGTGGATACACACCCGTCGCTGCAGAAGCTTCAAACCACATTCACTACTTTGGTGTTCCTGATACCGCTGCCGGCTCTGCCGACCTCTTTGTCGTTCACTGTGAGTCGTCGTCGGCTTGGGTTCCGGTAGTCAAATTTTGCTGACTCGATGTTCAGATGCCTACTTCCAGCCAACTCCTCAATCTTACCCTACCTTGAACGGAGGTGAAGCGTTCCCGGACTCCGGCGGCCAAGCTATCAATGTACCCAACGAGGCCAACAACGTGAGCTTCCACACGCACCGCTTGATGTCATCTGCAGGCATGCTGACCGACTCTCAGGCCCCAGACCAAATGGTCTTCTTCCCTAACGACTTCTCCAATTCGTACGTTGTCACTCACTGGACCAACCCTGGAAGCTACAACTCTACCTCTGGAGTACCTTTCGCCACGGACCTCATCAACACCACGCAAATTCTGCCAGCTCCTTCCTCACAGGACCAGCAGGCCTCTTACGCCGCGTCTCCCACTGATCTGGTCCAGATTGACACTGCCGGGAACATTTACTACATGACCAACGCCATCTCATCATCTTACACTGTACAAAGCGGTGCGTCATGGACCAAAATGTCTTACCAGCTCGTCGGAAGCGGTGGATCGGGTGGAAACACTACTTCATCATCCTCGTCAACATCCATGACTGGCGGATCAAGCTCCACAACGGGAACTTCCGGATCCAGTGAGACGAGCGCCGGTGCCTCAGGTAGCAAGACAAGCGGAGCAGCCTCCAGTGGAACTTCCAAATCCAGCTCTTCGACTTCTGGAGCTGCTGGAGTCTCTGCCTCGTTAGGCAGGTGGGACTTGGCTGGTGTCGTCATGACCTTTGCCGCTGTCGGCGGTGTCATCTTGCTCTAAGCTCTAAGAGAGGTTGTGCAATGTGTGATGACTCTCTGATCAGAACGGACATTTTTACGAGCTCTGTAGTGCCTAGTCTCACATCTATGACGTTCATGATCATTACACAATAGTGTTTGCATGACTCCATCGCTGCACTCCTCCGCACCATCCTTGAAAACATAGAGATTCCCGAACGCCGCTCATCGGCTTTGAAGGGATCAAAATTTCGAAATGCGGGGATTGCAGCGTTTAATAACACTCTGTCCCTTCGATATCCCCAGACACCATGGCATCACTCAGATCCTCGGCATTCCTCACAAGATGCATAGCATCGTCTTCTCGTTCGACCGTTCTACGAGTTTCCGCTCGATCATTGACGGCTACCCGATCCACCTTTGCTGAATCTGGTCCATCTGGGATCGAAACGGCACTACGAAATGGTTTGAAACAGGCTATGAAATCGAAAGACAGGCCGGCCATCGTCGTCCACAAGGTGAGCAGTAGCTCTTATAATCCTTTTATCTCCAAATACGGAAGCCTAATGCTGATTGTCTCGGTATTCAGGCGATTCTCGCTGATATCACAAACGCTGCTAAATCCACACCGAACCCTAACGACCCACTGGACGAGGTACAGGTCGTCCAGACTGTTCGAAAGAGCATAGCGGCGAGGGTGAGTGACATGTGTCCCCGTCGTACTATTCACCTGGGCATTGATTGACCCTCTCAGGCCGTTGCGGCGGAACAATACGCTCCTTCTGCACCTGGAGCTCACGAAGAGAATCATGCCAACCTCTTAGCCGAGATCGACGTCTTGCAATCGTATTTGCCTCAAGGACCTTCTGACGAACAGTTGAAGCTGGAAGTCGAGACGATCATCAAAGGACTCCCTGAAGATGTCAGAAGCAGCAAAAGTGTCCAAGGGGCTGTTATGAAATCACTGTGGGAGAACTTGGGCGAAAGCTCAAAATATGCGGATAAGAAACAGGTCGGAAAGATGGTCAGTGATATGCTCAAAACGCTGTGACCGGCGTGTAGCATTCAGCATTCCGTATCATCCATTCAACGTTATACATGGCATATCCGTCATGTTATGGCTGTCGAGGCGCATTGGCCCTCTCCCTCTCTCCTGACTAAATGCTCGTCGAGCGACACTTTGACCGCTCTGAGCAACTTCCAGCTCGGCGCCGGAATTCGCGTTATAATACTCCCATCAGAACCTGCTTCGACTCCTCGAAGATTTTCGGCCATACAACTCGGCATCGAGCCTCGCTTCCGCTCGAATGGCCTCGACATTTGTAGCTGATCGACGGGGGTTCGAGCGAGTCACTGGCGGACTTTCGGCAGATGAGTCCAATCGATCGACAGCCTTCGCAATTCGTTCTGGGGTTGATGGATCAGACTCGTGTTTCGTGGCTGTGTTCTTTGCCAGTGCTGTTAACCGGTCTTCTCTAATCTTCTTCTTCTTCTTCCAAGCGGGATCTCTGATCCCAGACGATCCAGCTTCGCCTCCTCCAGTCTGCCCATTGTTGCCAAAGGACAGAGTTACCTGTGAGTCGGCATTTGGCACCTCTGAGGAAATGGCGTTCTCTCCGTTATTGCTCAGATTCTTCTTTCCTTTGCCCTTGACCTGATCCGTTTTGGCCTTCTTTCTGCTCGCCTCCGTCACCGCCGTGACCTTTTTCGTTGCCGCTGCGCCTGCGGCCGCTGTCTTCTTCTTCTTACTGGATGTGGAGCTCGCCAAAGCAGCTACGGCGGCAGCTTGCTTCGCCCTCTTTCGCTGCTTCTTTGTCAATGGCTTTGTAGCCATCTCAGAGCCAGATGCAGTTGCGAGTTCGTGTTGCTGAGCCATGAATAACGCATTGTTGAACCCAGCTGCCATCGCCCTCTGATGCGCCTCTTGCCCCCGGACCCCTATTTGAAGACCACCGACCCACTTCAAACACTTGACGCACAACTCTCCCTCCCAATGTCCGCTCGGTGCCGGTCTTCGGATCTCCACATCCTCATGATACCTCGCCAGTGTCTGCGCCGCTGTTCTCAGGATTTGCGACTGGTTTGTTGCCTGTTGAAGGGAATAAGAGGCACCAAAGGAACGATCAGCAATGTCTGAAAGATATCGAGACACTTCAAGAGCTGAAAACGTACGCCATCGTTCCGTCCTGGGGACTGGAGCTTTAGAAGCTCTACTTTGGGGTCCACGTGAGGCGGCTGCATTCGGGATACCCGCCACACTTGGCCCGGGAGCTGCATTCCAGGAATTAGAGGCCGCCGGTACCAGCTGATGAGTTGTGGTATCGGGCAGTGCTTGCGCCATCGTCGCGAAACTCCTCCTACTAAATGAGCTAGTGGGTGAAGGGGATCTAGCTGACGGAGCAAGACGTGAGCGACCAGCTGAGCCCTCCACCTCGTCCGGCTGGTCGAAAGAAGGTGAAACTGGTCTGGAGGGAGACCAACGGCGTTGTCGCAAATCCGCGGCAGATTGGAAATGAGCAGCAGGGGGTGTTCGCGACATCGGACTAGCGGATCTGCCTTCCAGGTCAATGCCGTGTTCGACTGCAATGCCTTTTCTCTCCAGTGCCTCCCTTCCCCTTTGAGTCCAGTAGGAAACAACTTTCTGTTCCTTGAACCAGTGGTTAAAGGTGTCATGCGACGGTAGGTCTTTGATGGTAGGGGCCCTGTCTTCCGTCAACAGGCTGTCCACGTATTCCTCATCATTGTCACTCTCAGTGGATGTCGTCTTGATCAGCCCTCCAGAACGAATCCATGCGGGGATATTCGGGATGTTCCGCATTTCCTCAAGCATGCCGATTACGGCAAGTAGTGTCGAGTCCATCCCAGCCTCCTCAGCATTCTTGCCGTATTGCATTCGAGTGGCTGCACTTCGCGCCGCCGTGAACTCTGGTTTATCGTACTCCGGAATCACGATTTGATTCCACGGCTGGTGAATTGCTTTCAGGGGAGAGTCATCCAGTAAGACTACATTCTCAAGGTCGAACTTATAATCCGAGGGTCGACTCTGCTTCACATGCTGAATCACTTGGCGCAAATCCTTGAAAGTCTGAACTTTGTTGCCTGGATGACAAGATGAGATGAGCCTCGTTGCTGCCGGCTGTACTCACGATAATCTGACTCATCCAGACCCATCTTGTCTCTGGCCCAGACGCCCAGTAGCCTGCCTTCACCTCGCTTCTGTCGATCCTGTCTACTTTGTCGACTCTCAGTATTCCAGACAGTCTCACTGTATTTTCCGAAAGCAGTCTCAACCATCGAGCGGACGTTGTGTGGCTGTGCTGAGCTCCAAACGAAAGCTGACCAAGGTCGGATGGGAATGCTCGAATCGCTAGGAGCGTCCGGCTCGGGAAGGAATAGGTAATCCAGGAGGCAAGACAAATAAGGACGAGGATAACTGGTGCGGGACGATGCGTTACTCTTCGAGCGATAGATGAGAGCACCGTTTAGATCCATAATGAGCAGTTTTGGAGTCAGCTCAGAGTCTTGTGGCTGCTTGCTTGGCTTTGAAAGCGCGAGATACTCTGGCGAAGGCAGAGTCACCTGGGGGGACGCAATTTGCAGCTCGCGCGATTGACTGCTAGGAGCAATCCATTTGCTGGACGGCAGAGAAGCCTCATATGCGCTTTGTCGTATCCGAGCTTGAGGTGCTTTGTTGGAGCCGGAGGCCTCTCCAGTCTCGACCGTGGCCTCGGACTGATCCAAGAGCTTTTGCGGAATCTCGGGGCCTCTGGTGAATGGAGGGTACCGACGACTTTTTACCTCTTGCGGTTGACTGGTGTGCAGTGCTCGAATCTGCTGAGAAGGCCCTCCTGCTCCAGGAAGCGCATGGGAAGCGGCGTGATTGGAACCTGAACTCGGAACCGACGGGCCAGATGAGGTACTAGTCCCATGAAGGTTTCGAGAGGGAAGATCCGGTGGACCTTCACGCCAATTATGGTAAGCGTCAGGATTAGCGAACGCTATATCGTCCCCGGGTTGAGATGCGAGCAAAGCTGATGATGTGATATATGGGATACTCTCGGAAGGAGGGACTTCTGGAGTCTCGGTAAGAATTCGCCGACTATTTGCTGGAGCAGAAGCCCCAGCGCTAGGGGAAGATCGGCCTTTGGATGGTGAGTGCCCGCCCATGGCTCTATTTGAGCTCGTCAGCTCGGCTCGGTTGTCTAGGTAAAATTGATCACACTTACGCTGTCGATGCTCGCCTCGAGAAACCTCCCGGGGCCAGGCCCGCGCTTGATCCTCTATCGAGCCCGACTTTGATCGGTCTCTCCAAGATTCGCCATGAAGCGGCGCAGATGCTCCTCATATGTCGCCCAGGATGGGATCAATAGCCAAGATTACTGCTGTTTCAAAAGCCAGGTCCCACATCCGAGCCGAAAGCGGACATTGGTGTAGTCTCCGTGGTTGGCAAAGGGTCGAAAGTGGCAGTGCCAATCCCAGGCGAGATCGTCTGTCTCTCTCTCCTTTTGAAGTAGGATCCTTTCAGCATCTCAGCTCGACCCCATTTGCACTGACGTTGATATTGACATTTGATCGGCGGTGTCAGTCTTCTGCCAGCCCAGTGCGCCTGATGGTATGACCTCTTTCTTGCCATCGTTCTTGCAACCCTTACGGCTCATACCTCATTATCGAAATCGACTCTTGGAGTTCTCTAAGAGATGTATAGCGGAAACGAATGAGCAGTGAGTGTGTCATTCAGGCTCAGACCTTTGTGGTGCTTCCAGGGTAGACCATAGAGGTGCAACCAGTGTCGCGCTTGCGCTGACGCAGAACAAGACTATTCGGACCGTTGGAGCAAGCTGTGACGGCAGTAGTCATCATCGCACTGGGCGAGTTTAAAATCCCGTAATCCTCCTCATTTTGACGTCGTTTCTTCAGCTCTACAAGCGCCACCTGATTTCTGGTCGAGCGTACAGACGCCCTCAATACGGAATAGTTCGGTAGCAGAGACGGGGAGCTTGAATACTCCGAACTCAACTTTGCTTGCGAGGCCGCCTCTGTCATCGTCCCGCATATCCAGAGGCTTGCGCTACTGCCTGCAATCCCTCACTCCAGATCCTACTTTCTTATTTGTTGTTCTGCTACTTCTCAATGTGACCCTCTTACTTCTGCCTTCCGGTTTCAAGAGACGGCTTAATGCGTCCTGGAAGCTCTTTTGGCCTCCCTGGAAGGATCGTACTTCCCAAACCCCAGCTACGAGTGCGAGAGCTAGGCCAATGGATAGACAACCTTCAGCATTTTCAGCTAGGCAACAAACAGCAGACCCTAATCGCGTGCCGCAAATGAGAAGGGACTCGCCAAAGAGTGGTACAGATGGCGTGATGGACGCGGCCACGCCCACCAAAGAGTCCAAGAGAGATCGAAGCCTGACGGATGCGCAGAAGGTGCAACTGAAGGCACTTCAAGCTGCAGGAAGAGTCGAGTCTGGAAAAACAGCCGACCCGCCTAAGGTGGCATCTCCCTCGGCGGATCGGGTCGTGAAAGCTGAAGAGAAAAGTCTGTCCCAATCTGAGAGAGCGAGAAAGGTGAAGGAGCAGCGGCTTTCTAGCACTTCGTAGGTCGCAGACCCGCAGCCTCTGCCGCCCCGCTGACCATGGAACAGGAGCAGTACGGATAAAGGCAAAGCTCGAATGACAGAACAGGAGGCGGACGACGGACTGTCCACTGATGATACAGGGGCTGAGTCTACCTCAACAGCTGCATCAGATGACAAGATGGAAGATCCCCTCATGGCCGGCGATTATCGACCACTCAAGTCTGTCCTGAAGAAGTCAAAGAAGAAACCTCGTCAAAAGAAGAACATCCACCATAACTATTACATGACCATGAGGGGTCACAAACCGTCATTGATTCCGTTCCCACACGGGTTCCATCCCAAGCCCCATCACCCGAGAAATACACTGTGGTTCGACAACGTGCCAGACAACGCGGATCATATCATGGCGCCTCCTCCTGTTCCGAAACTCCCTGAGGAAGGCAAGGAGGAGGAGCAGGAGGATGAGGGCGAAAAGAAGGCACGAAGTGGGACTGGAGACGAGAAAGACGGGAAGACAAGCGGCAGCGAAGACAAAGAGGGAGGGGCGAAGACTGAGACTTCCACCGAGATCAAAGCCTCCCAGTCACGCTCGACGTCCGGCTCTAGGAGTACATCTGGACCGGAGAAGGTCAGAAAATTTGCCAAGCTTCTCCATAGAGATAGTGCTCATCTTTCAGCAGCCCGCAGCTGCCACGAAGGATTCTGGTTCCGATGACAAGACCTCAGAGGAGAGAGCCAATGCACGGGCGACAGCCGACCGAGAGGCAAAAGCGAGAGCGAGAGCAAACGCAGAGAGTGACAGGAACCAGGGCTCGACCGTCAATCCAGACAAGACGCCTATCAACACACAACTGTGAGGTCCATATTCGTGGGAGCATGCACTGAAGCGAAATCCAGTCAAAAGGCAACCTATGTAGCTCAATGTCTGCTCTGCGTGCTTGTGTATCTCGGTGAATAAACTATTGCTTCGCCTCAGTCTGACGGGACGTAGTGAACGACGTGCTTGGTTTCCTGCTCCTTGCCTCATTCCTCTATACTCACATCACCAAGCAGCAAGATATGGGTGACGTGGCAGCCGCCACATCTACCCTTCCCACCCATTCGTCACCAAGGCAGAGTACGCGACAAGATGATTCAAGTATCGGAACCTTCAAGCGTTCAAAGGAGAGTGGAAGCGATGGTCCAGACGCCGATACCCCATCTAAGCACAGGAAGATCACACGTCCGGCAGGAATGGTTGACTTGCCCACCTCTATATTCCAGTCCGAGACTGAGCCGTCAAAACGGCCGCTCCGACCTTCGACCTTCGCTGATCTGACTCTACAACAACAAGAAAGGTACAAGACGCTCTTGAGAAAGAAACAGAGCCGGGAGGCATCTGTCAAGGACCAAGAGTGGAAGGCGGCGAGGCCGTCATCACTACCAGGATCCCGTGAGGGAAGGTTGACAGCAGAGGATGAGAATGAGGGCAAAGCTAAGGCATCTTCCAACATCGACCGAAGCGATAGCACCAAGAGACAGCTTCGATATGAAGACCTAACTGACGAGCAGAAGCAAGCATATCTGCAAGCCAGAGCAAAGCGAAAAGCACAGGCAGGTCTCAAGAGCAAAGTCGGTCAAGGCAGTGGATTGAGCGCGGACGATAAGGCGAACCTATACAGTCCAGGAGGAGATACTGATTCGAAACTTGCATAAATGCATACAGATACGATGTGCAGGGTCTGTGCTCGGGTGGATGTTTTGACTGAAGCGTGTGATCATGCGATGGAGTGGCATGAGCCGAATAGCAATGCTCATGCGTCGTGCGAGAGATTAGGATGGTCTGGGCTTCTAACGAGACATCAGCGTGGTAGAAATGACGGCACTGGCAGCGCACCTTCTTCTTCTTGATGAACATGGTCTCTTCCGGTGGTCTCGGCTTGGCCATGGTAGGTGCCTGAGGAAACGGCCTCGGTGGAGGAGGTCGAGGAATGGGCACAGCTTTTGGGGTTGCATTGATGAGCGGAGCCGACTTGACAGGCTGAGCGACGTCGCTAGCCTTGTCCCGGCCTTCGAAGTCCGAACTATGCGACTTGGCGGGTTTTGGGTCACGATTCTTCTTATTCGAGATGCTCTCCGACGAAGATTTTCTCTTGGCTGGAGATAATCCCGCTGGTGGTCGCATGGAAGAGGACTCGGATTTGACCGGCGAAGGGGCAGGAGATTTTCTTTTGCTGACCTTTCGATATACGTTGGACATGCTTGAGACTTCCTTATCGGGTGAGTCGTCCAGAGACATGTCGCTGGCGGTGCGCTTGAGCTTCGTCTTCTCTTTGCGTGTGCCAGAAACGTTTGTATGTAACGCAGGGGCAGGAGCAGGCGCGAAAGTGGCGGAGGTGTACTGCAACAAGCGTCAGGATAGCCAAACCCAACCACCAACATTGACGAAGAATCCCCGATCTCGCGCGTCAGAAATGATTGTGTTCCATCGCTGATCGCTCCGTTCCAACGTGGCGCCATTCCCTAGAATGAAGAGAGAGCTCTTTGCACGGGTCAAAGCAACGTTCATTCGTCTAGGATCTTTCAAGAACCCGATGCTCGGGAGTGATGCTCCAGATCGCACACAAGATAGGATGATGATGTCCTTTTCTTGTCCTTGAAATCCATCAACAGTGTTGAACCTCGACATGTCAGCCATATCGAAATGAGGTACTCACTCGATCTTCTGCTCTATATCCCCGCCATAGGCTATCCTGAATTTGCTCTTCATCTCGTTCAGTTGCTCCCTATACATCGTGATCACTCCAATGCGCAGAGCGAGGTTGATCTTGCTTCCGAAGGATTCCTCAAGACCTCGGTATAGATCGACAGCGGCAAGGGCCTCGGCAGTATTCTTCGTCGATGTGCCAACACGTATTTCGTCACCCTCGACGTTGAAGAAACGGTAAGGACCGTACACGTTCCTTTCGTGCCAGACGGCTGCAGTCTTCTTTGCCATATTCGGACCATCCTGCAGTTTGCCATCGTAGAAAACTCTTGATGGGAGTTCTGATATGAACGGATGCATTCGATATTGAATGCTAAAAGGGCTTTAGGGTTACTTGTGACATTGGACTTACCTGAGCAATTGCACGTTCTTCGACGATTGCTTGACCATCCGGACGAAAAGACTCTCGTTGTAGTGGAACTTTTCTACGTCTTGAGAGATTGTTGTCGGAGGCAATTGATTGGGATCTAGACAAGTCATCTTAGAATGTATTCTGGGAAACAAAACGGGGAAACTCACCTCCTACCATGATACACCGCTTACAACCGTAGCGCAACGGGATCAAGCAGCTCAGTTCGATAGCCTGGGCAGCCTCATCAATGATGACGGTCTCAAAGGCGTAAGGAGCGAGACTGTCATGACCTGCTCCCGACAAAGTAGAGCAAATGATGTCGGCTTTGCTCAAAATATCATCCCGAGCAGCACGCCTTGCACCCTCAAGATGTCTGGTGGCGTCTCTGGCTGCATCCTTCGCTCTCGAGAGCTGGTGACCCAATGTCGTCCGCTGGTGCATGAGAGCGTGCTTCTCATTCTCGAGAGCTTTTTTCTCGTTCTCAGGGGCAATATCGACCTTTTTCTGGATCTGCTGCAAAAAAACCTTGACAGCCTCCAGTTCAGCTTGTAATCGACCATACTCCGTACCGCCACCCCCATTGGCCGCTGTCGAAGCCGTGACCTGCTTCTCGACGAGACTATCCAAGGAGACGTCCTTGATCGCCATGTTGACGGAAGTGTCAATACCTATTCGTACTACATTTGGCTGATGTCGCCTTCCATTCGGTCCAGGCACTCCATCGATGAGACGCTTGCACACTTCATCAATGGCTGCGTTGGACGGTGCACAGATCAAAAGCTTAGATTTTGGTGGTTTCCTCTCTCCAGGATCCGTTGATATCAGCGCGGGTCGTTCAGACATCCATTTGCCGACGAGACCACTGATCGTCTTCGTTTTCCCGGTTCCAGGGGGACTTAGCTTTCAGCAAATGATGCACCTTTTGCGACTTACCCTTGAATGAGAGCGAGGCCATTGACGTCCAGCGCTCCAAGAACCGCCCGAGCCTGGGGTTCGTTCAAGTTGTAAGTTTTTTGAGCATCTGCAATATCCCTTTCAGAGAGATAGGGCATGGTCGCACTTCTGGCCTGAAGGATGTCTAAAAGTAAGGGATCTCCATAATATGGCAGACCTTGCAAAGCCCCGAACTCGCGGAGAGCCGTACTGAGACTACAGGGCAGGTGAGTGCCAAGCTTTTCCAGCATTTGACTCACGACATGTGTTTTTGGACAAACCACTTGCTCTTGATATGCAGTTCTTTTTGATCCATGGATCCCAAAATCCTGACTTTGAACATGGTGTCTTTGGATCGGCGTTTGAAATCCTGAACCTTGGCGATGATCGACTTGCACTGTGGTCGCTGCAGTATTACCAGATTCAATTCACTGATAAAGAACCCTTCCGGTACTCGACCCTGAACAGAGAGCTCTATATCGATGAATTCATCTTCGTACGATCTCATGCTGATTTCCGTTGGGATGGGAGGCGCCGACGGCTTCTCCTGCTTGAACTGAGCCCACAGCTCTTGAAGGAACAGCGATCGCATAATGGCTTGATATGAATTGACTCCCGCCGGGAATGTCGTGGGGACTGCTGTTAATTTGGCCAGGTCTTTCATGGAGGCAGGAGGATGCGGGGCGTCCTCTCCGGTATATTCAGGATTCCAAGCAAGAATATACCGGTCAAGTCGTGTGAGATCAGGCTTCAGACGCTGACGCATCGCGTGTTGCTCAGCACGCTGTCGTTCCCTTGCATCTTGGTAGCTCGGAATCTGAATGGTCTGGATAGTCTTCAAAGGCCGCCTCTCGACCAGGACGCGGCCCGGCTTCTTAGGTGTATCCCTCTGCTTGTTCAACAGAGCGCCGAGTCCCGCTTCGTCGTCCGATTGCGATGAATCAGAGGACGTGTCGTCGTCGACAGTTGGCTTTGAGACCGGTTTTCGAGCTCCAGTGTACGCTCCGAGCCCAGAGCCAAGTTTGGACGCAGCCGGGACTTTCTTCACGATCCCACCGATCTGGCGCTTACGTTCCGCGGACGCCAACTTGTGCTCTGCCTGCATATCCCGCATGAATTGCGATTTGAAGCTCGACTTTTTCGGTGGACCGGCGAGCGAGGAACCAACGTGCATATTGAGCTTCTGGGCCGGCGGCCTTGATCCGGTCATGTTAGGTCCGCTGATCTGATTTCCAAGTGGCCGCGGGGTCTGGCCCAAAGTCGTAGGAAAGCGCAAAACTGACTGATTGGAGGAGGTCTTTGTGACCGCAGCGGAAGATGAAGAGGCGACAGAGCCTGTCCGACTGCCAGTCGATGCGGCAGCCTTACGCTCCATGGCCTGCAGAGCCTCCTCAGGTAGCTCTTCCAAGAAATCATCGTCACCGAATTCGTCAGAGTCATCTTGAATTTCCACCACCTCGGGTCTCTTGGCCGGCGCCATTTCACTCGTTTTCGCAGGCTTGCCCTGAGACGACTGTTTCATCATGATAGCGAATGCATCTTTGCTGGGTGGCTTCAGCGGCGGCTCCACGACGACCACTGGGGAACTGCTACCGGGCTGCGGTGTAATTCCCGTATCCCCAGTATCGTCGTCGTCCACGTCAAAGACCAGATGGAAGGGCTGGATCATCGCGGCAAGCTCTGAAAGCTGACTCTCATCCAATGCCTTGTTGTCGTATGATTTGCCGTCCCGGCGACTGAATCGGTCCAATTCTTTCAAGGCATTCTCAAGGATCGGAGCCTTGCCTAAATCAGGATTAGTCTGTTCGATCCTGCCCAATATGGTTCTGATGAGCTCGAATGCCTGATAGAGGGTTTCCTTGCTGTGGGTATAAGCGACAATCTGCATGCTATTCTTACTCATTTAAGCGAAGCCAAGTTGTCAAGTCTCTCAAGACTGGTTGAAGCATCTGGATGAGCTCGGTGCCGCTTCGTGTGGCTTTCGCCGGCGATGGACCTCGTGAGGCATGTTCCGTGTTGTCAGAGGCAGCCGCTTCAAAGGACCGGAAATAGTCCGCGATTTGACGCCCGAAGATCAAGGCATCTCGCATCCAGTCCACCATAAATTCCCTATCATAAAAGTCGGCCCATGAAGGCGTACGCTTGAAGATGACACAAAGAGCATTACACATTCGATCCCAAAGCTCGTGCACTTTGCGTCGTGCTGATTGCCCTAACGATTGCGTATTGATGAAATCGCTCGATTGGAGAAGGGGACCATCATCGCCAGCGTGACCACAGAGAACTTCGAGAATGTCCGTGAAACAGCGCACAAGCCATTTGGAGAGGGAGCAGGATTCTTGAGTCAAAGAACCGGTCTGTACAAAGGTGTCCAAGAACTGTATCAAACCATCGATGGATGCTATCGGATTATGGCGCAGAAGAGCACGAAAGTAATCGCTTCGGACGTCGGATTCCGGGAAGAATTGTTGGAGGAGATTGCTTGTGGCGTTATGAATGTCTTCAACTGGTGACAAAAGCAGTATGATTCCGGCCCGACAAACTTCATCCGATTTCCAGAAAGACGCCTGCCGACTATCGCTCCACGACACCGCTACAGACTCCAACAGTCTTGGGAACTCGTCTCGAGAGATTTTGATCGCCGTATTGATTGAATGCTTGGCGTCGCGATAATCGTCCCTACCCACCGCTGCTCCCAGTCGCAGCGCGTCGTAGCCCCATGATCCTGAGCGATCGAGCTTATCTATGTGAGCGCACTGGGCGACACTGGCGAATAGTAGTGCCAAGTTGTCCGGGCTCGATATGTTGACCTGCTGGTAGGTTTCTGACCATAATCGATCGCTGATCTTGACTCTGTGCAGATGAGAAGCGACAACTGGAGCCGGGATCGCGTTTCCATTCTCTGCTGCCCTCCTTGCTTGCTTCTGCCGCCTCATTTCTTTGGTCACAATGATAGCCAGACCCAAAGTGGTCTCAATGATGTCTTTGCAGTCGTAGCGGAAACAGATCTGGATCAATTGTCTAGCCACAACTTGCGTCTCCGATGATTGATCAGTGCCGTCGAATGCACTGGCAGTGATGAACTTGGCTTGTTCATCAAGAACCCGACGCAAGCTCTTCCGCGCTGGGCTCTCGTCATCTCGGTCCAAGCTCCGCTCCGAGTTCTCGTCGTCTCGACCTAGCCGTCGCTCCAAATCGATGAGCATCTAAGCCAGGTTAGTACGAGTGCAGTGCAAAAGCTAGTGTCAACTTGCCTTGATGCCGGTCCGAGCTGCGAGCGATCTCACATTGATCTCGTATTTGGCAGCTTGAAGATCCTGAAAGCAGAATGCTGCAACCTTGGGCAGGAGCTCAGAGAAAGCAGCACTGTGATCTTTGTCGTTGACGTTCCGCTGGAGTGCCAGTAACGAGAGGACGAAGTCTGGTATCCAAGCAAGAGGTCCCACGGTGGTCTCCTCCACCTCGCGGGCCTTGCCTTTACCGTTGGCCGCACTATTGGCATCCACGTCTCCTGCCGCACGAAATGTCGTAAGCAACTGGCGAAAGGCATTATTTGGGGTAATGTCCGAAAAAAGGATACTCGGCAGAGACAAGTCGTTGGACCATAAATCTTTGGCTGGACACAGTTGCAACAACATCTTGAGAACGTCCAGCTTGGGCAGCAGAGCTGACATCAGCTCAGCCGAGCTCGCGAGGTGCCTCACCTGATGCCTGAGCCAGCCGCTTTGACAATGTACGCAGAAATGAATCGCCTGATGACAGACTCGAAGGTGACGACAGCAAGCCTTCTCTAAGAGCATTACGGCTGAGGGAGCCAGACCTGAGGATATCCAGCAATGCAGTCCAACCCATATCCGTACTCGCATCTGGCTTGTCGTCGATTAGCTTCTGGATTTCCTCCGCGATGGCTGTCCCCTTCCAATCATCCAACGACAGCGGATGTTGGCTTGTGAGGGCTAGGCAAGTCCCAGCCCATGACCTCGTTTCGGGCGACGAAGAGCATAGCAAATGGACAAGCACAGGCGTTATACCCAGGGAAGCCAGTCCCGACAACTTATCTTTGGGTAGTCTCTCCGAAGCAACGAGTGCTCCAACAGCTTCGACCTTGAGCAAGGATGGCTGACCAAACAAGAGCTGCAGCATGGGTTGGCTGAGCAGAGAGATAGACTTTGAAGTGCCTTGTATCTGAGACGATTGAGGCATTTCGTTGAGTATAAACTCCGCCTCCCATCTATCGACGACGGTGAAGAATCTAGATTGGGCTTCAGAGGTGCGCTGGGATAGATATCTTGCCAATGTCAGCTCTCGTTCGTTGGCATCACGAACCTTTGCTGAAATCTTCGTCTGACCCCACTGAACCGCCTGGAGCAAGCTTCGCATGATCTGAGAATCTCCTCCAAGGCATCCATAAATACCGCCGCTTCATCCTTGCGTTTATTCGCGATGATGTAGAGTAGGAAGGTAGCTGCCTCACGATGCAGTTCGGTTTTGACCCGATCGCAGTACCAGTGTCGGCCAGAAGCGGAGCCTCCAGAGGATGACATGAGAAACTTGTATACGGACGAGATTTCATCGGTAGGGAATCCGCTGGACACAGAGATCACTTCGTCAAGGATGGCCTGTATGCGATGTGACGTATGCTCGTCCCCTTGAGCTCCCGAGCTCGACATTTTGTACCGAGGGAGGCTTTGAGTGCTCAAGTCACCATTTGAAGACCCCAGAGAGGCTTAGAGAATGCGAAGGGAGGAGTTGTCGTGAAGTCTATCTGTTCATGAAGAGGGTCTTGGTGGATTTGAATGATAGAGTCATTTCAGCTTCAATCGATCGCGCGCGACAAAGTCACGTGGCATCACCGAGCGCGGCCCTCCAGCTAGCAGCCCGGCTAGAGTTATGGCTGACATTTGGTGGGCACTGCAATGTAGGCTTTGTTCACCGATTTCGAGAGCTCCATGAACGACCGACATGGCCTCAGTCTGATGCTTCCATTCCAAAATTGAACCCAGAAGCATGGATAGGACATCTTCATGAGATATGCACAGTCACCGAGGAGCAGATCCTTACGTCAGCTGTCGCATGTTGCTGGGTGTTGTTTCGTGTCTGGTGTAAGTCAGATTGGCAGACCGCCAGGACTCCGGCGATTGCTCGCAGGGTCCACGACCTGTGACCATGGGGCTTGATAGCCATGTGAGAGATGAGTGATACGATCTGATGCATACGGTATCGTTTTCGATCTCTGCTCCTATCCTCTGACCCTTGGGATCCGCTTTCGATTTCTGAAACCCGCCTCGTTTCCAAACATGCGTGATCATGGCTAGCGGCGAGATATTGGTAAACAATATCGGGCACAATGAGGCTGGGCGAATGACAAGTTCTCCATTCGCCCACACCTAATCTTATAAAGGTCGGGTCAGAGTCAAGGTCTTGCATTCCCCATTCACTTCAGCAACTTCCTCTTGTCTTTGTCATCTTTCTCATAGCTACTTTTCTTCGGGCCAGGTGCTCTTTCATCCTTCTTTGATTTCGCTGTCGCTTTTCTTCATCCGAACGAATTTGTTCTCTGCTTGAAATGTTCTTCGTAACCGCTCTTCTCTTCTTCAGTGCTGCATCAGCAGCACCTGTGCCCGAGCCGACCGTCGAGGTGAGAATAAGCTGTTGAAGGGTCTAACAGATGCCTCAGGGCCGCGGTCTTCTAGGCAACGGCTTGCTCGGCACTGGTCTGCTCAACGGTGGTCATGCACTCATAGGCAACGGTTATGGAGCTCCTCATGGACCGACATACGGAAATGGAGACGGGTGCATCCTCAACGGAGGACAGCCTGGTGTCATGAACAATGGGCTTTGCGTCCTGGTGAGCCGGACGTGGAAAACGAGCTGAGTCTCTCAGTCTCCCCTTGGAGTCGCTGCTCGGTCTGAGTCGCAGCAAGATGGGGTCCCTTGCCAACTTGTGAATGGAGCTCCGGGAGTCATGCAATTCGGAAATTGCGTTAGGATTCCCCATTCGATGAACACCAGAGGTGGACTTTTATCCATCAACCAAGGGGAGCCCTGCGCTGGCCAGAACGGCCAAGGATACTGGCACGACGGGATCTGCATTCCAGTCTTGGATGGCGCGATTCAGATCGACCAGAACAATATGAACGGTCACTTGTTAGATGGATCTGACTGTATCACCAACGGTAGATATGGATATATCAGGAACAAGAAATGCGTCGTGAGTTGTCTTTACATGAACCATTGCTGAAGGCGATAGTCTGGCGGATTGCTTGGCCTAGGATTGAAAAAACGATCTCATCCGCTCATCAAGGGTGACGGAAACCTCCTTCATGCTGGTCTCGACATTACCAGCCACGGCCAGCATGGGAAGCACGGCTCTCTGCTTCACTTGAGGGACATGCCCAACGGCTATTATGACGATGATGATCTCATGGCTCAGCTTGAGGTGAGCCAAACATGTGACAGTGGCTGACCTTCAGTCCGCTGCCGTGTCTGAGCGAAGTTCTGATGAAATTTCCGAGCCTCGTGGACTTCTGGGACTCGGCAACGGAGCTGGAGCATCAGGCGGAGGTCCCTTGGGCTTGGGATTGCCCGGCAATCTCGTGAGCATCCGGAATTGGATAGACAGATTCATGACCTTCATTTAGGTCTCTGCCTGACGAGAGGCTACTGAGGGCGGTAGCATTCTACCGGTCTCCTGAGGATCATTCATGGTGCTTTTAATGATCTCCTAATCTTATGCATGCCCTAGACCCCTATCACCAACCTTTCAAAGCGTTAAGTGTCCGCAACTCCGCCACGTGCGACATAGAAATGCATCATGTTCGCGACGCGACTAATAAACATTTTCTGAAGGACATTCAGTCGACCAGTGCCGCAGAGCAATGAACATGGAGTGACATGGTTCATCCAGATCTGCTTCAGCAAGCTTCGCTGCTTGTTCAGCAAATCGGCCCCGACCTTGACGTGGAATCATTTTCTCAGCATGTCGTACGCGAGATCGCAGACCCATCTCGGGGTGCATCACGCAAGGAGTGGAGTGATATCGAGGGTCCATTGAGAGGGTACGTCGGCGAGGGAGGGAGGGCAAGAGCTCGACTGACTGTGAATATCCGAGCAGGATCATCAACACGCTGCGAATCAAGGTCCAGGACGATGTCGCCGATGCGCTAGAGAAGGCATTAAGTACGCTACAGAGCCGGAGATTGACAGATTCTTCGGCATGGGAGGGAGAAATGGCGATCAAGGTGAGCTCGAATCCCCCGAAGCTTGGGTCGGCGCGTTGAAGTCGTCTAGATGGGCAACTTACCGGATCATATACACTTCCTGGTGAGATGACAGCCATTCTCTATTCGCTTACTCGGCCAGCTGAGCCTCGCTCAACCCCCGACGTCCAAAACCACTAGGATAGCTCGGTCATATCTGGACAAAGCGTCGCCGTCAGGCCCGACAGCGGATGAAGTCCTTTACCAAGTGATCATGTCGGGTCCTTTTACCGGTGCCCATTGGGGCCGAGGTTATGAACAAGAAGCCACGCATGGTTGGACAGACAGCGAATCCTCCTCCTCAGAATCTGATGCAGATCTCGTGACGCCATCCACCGATCGCATAAGTCGGACGGCGGACCTAGAGACCTTGCTGAGGGGTCGCCTAATCCAGGATCAAGAGGATCGCCTGCGAGAAGCCCAGCGGAGTCTAGCCAGTTTCAAGGAGAAATACTACTGGATCAACATGGGCCAGTCGTTTGAACCCTTATCTGCTCATACCCACGGCTGGAGGTCATTGGCCACGCGTGAGCAAGGATAGAGGTGTCCAAAGGCCCTCATTGACGCTCTCTAGGCTCGACGACTGCTCAGCTTGAAGCAGCGATTTCCAAATCCAGCAGGATCCCCAGGAAGGTGAGGGTGATCCAGCCAAAGAGTTCTTCCGTTAAAATGTATCAGGTTATCTCCAGTCTGGCTCTACAACGAGAGCTCCTCTTCGCCCTCGACGGACGACCCGGCATACTGTTCTTCTTTGACGAGGACGGCGCCTGTCAGATTCTTTCTGGTCATCCATTGGTGGCGCACATGTCAAGCGCAGCGCTGTCAAGCATTGTGGATCACTTCGCGAACCAAGCAACCATTGGATCGAGGATACGACGTTTCGTAGCTGGTACTGCTAGCTCTTCAGCCTTTTCATCGCGGAAAGCTTCGCAGACGTCGAAGACGCACCAAGCATTCGCAGATGCGCTTCAGGAGATCCTGACTTCGTACGCTGAATGGATAGGCGGAAACGAGATCGGGCTACTACGAGGCGTCAAAGTGGATGAGGATAGGTCAACTCCCGCAGCATCACCCATGTCGCTCAAATTAGATCTCGATCGACACTTCGGAACCCTTCTCTCCCGACTCGACTCTCTGTTGCCGAAACCTGGAGACCCACCTACTGATCTTCTGAATGACATCTATACTACCATCCTATCGCTGCCTGCCAGTGCTGCGGAGCTATCAGAGGCGCTCACGAGAGTCTTCATCATGTCCGCTGAGCCTATGTGGAGCATGCTGTGCAGTTGGCTAAGCGAAGGCATGCCGATACCATCGGGTCTCCGTTACCATGACGACACCCGAGTCTCTTTGACCGACGAGAAGCCCTTGGACAAAGAATTCTGTATCGAGAGAGATCGCGACATCTCATGGACCGACGAGGACTTTTGGGCGAATGGATATGTCACTGGCAGTGGCGGCTGGCCCTTGTTTCTCGGTGAAAGGACAGAGGAGATGATACTCGAGGCTGGCAAAGCGAGAGGCCTGCTGCAATCTTTCGATAATGCCCCGCTAAAGGAGGACTGGCAAACATTGTTCCAAGTCTTGAACACCTCAGGAGATCGACTTTTGGCTTCGACAGTTCCCGATCTCATCTTTGATCATTTGTCGCCAACTTGCCGTCTCACAATGTTTCAACTCCGCCGAGCCTTGGAGGAGGATTGCGGGCTGGACGCACATCTGGATGCAATCGAGTCACTGTGCTTCATGCAGAATCACCAAGTCATGAGCGAGTGGATGTCGGAACTTTTCCAAAGGGTATTCTTAAGGATACATGGCGAATGCTGATTGATCACAGATTGGGTCCAAAAGACAGTGGACAGACTTTCAGACTCTTTCAAGCTCCATAAGGGAGATCATCGATCAGCATGGAGGCACATTGATGAATCCCTCGGCTCTTCGCATCCAGGCTAAGAAGGCCCGGAACACAACGGAGAAAGTGTTTGATACCATGCGCCATGTCCGGGCCATTTACGACGTGAGTGGCAACCTAAGTAAAGGAGCAAACTGATCCGCATTGCAGGTGCCATTCCCCCTGTCACAAGTGTTAACGCCAACGTCCATGGAGCTGAGATCCGAAACATTTTCCGTGCTCCTTCAACTACATTATGCATCACATGTTCTGGCCGAATCGCGAAAACAGGACGCCGTCTTTATCTCCCACGCTCGTACCACAATTGACATCAGGTCTATCTGGCAACTTCGCCAACAACTAAATTGGGTGATCGGGTGCGTGCTCAAAGACCATTGATACATCGTGAAGCTGACCGGAGGTTGTCAGGATCTTCTTGTCATGGTTATCTCGAGATGTCATTGAGTCTCGGACTGAGCAGTATCGGCGAGAAATAACGGCGATCACATCAATCAAAGGAATGATCGATCTGGAACTCAGATTGTGAGTGGTCTCAGCAGGTGGCGCTTCAAACCCAATCACTGATTTGATTCAAAGTGCGAGACTCGTACATCGTTTGAGCCTCTTGCACCCTGATGTGAGTCAAGACTCAGTGGACGAACTCGTAGCTTTCGCTGATTCTGACAGGTGGAGGCTCTCCGCGCTCAGCTTTCGTCCATCTTAGAGCTCACAACGACATTGGGCAAGGTCTACTCCCAGTACATGAACGACACCTCAGTCGCCTCTACATTCCAGCCTGAGCGGCAGCCATTCGCACCTTCCAAGAAAGCCTCGAACACGAGACGGGAACGACACTTTGAAGGAGATCCGTTGAGCGATGACGAAGAAAGTGATCAAGAGGCGGAGCTCATCGAAGGCGATTCGTCCTTTCTGCTAGCTGAAGATTTTGGGGCGAGATTGAAATTCATGAAAAACCAACTGGGCACGACCATTGCCGGCATGATTGACACCGTGAGATCTCTCGCAGAGGGCCCAGACAGGGCGCCGCAGTCCGCCGAGGACGATGCGAGGGAGCAGTGGGCCATGTTATCGATGTATTTAGACGAATGGCACAGGTTCCAGTCAGAGCCCACACCACGGGTACAGGCATTGTAATAGCAATTTAGGTAGTATCGCACCATGTTGTATCCCTGGCATCATAGCATCTTGTGTACAGTATATGCATTTGCTCTAGACATGTCAAGTGGGGTAGATATGGATACAGAATGATTTCCAGGCTCTAGACGCTCCTCGTTCCCTCCCCAGCAGATTCATTGGGTCGATAACGGCGATGACGTCGGATCCTGTCGAGTAAGAAGGAGATGTGGTGTGGGGATAAAAAGGGGAGGTGGGGGGAAGGGAGAGAAAGAGCGAGAAACAAAACAGCAATCGATCAACGAGCCATTCATTTTGGGTTCAATCAAGAAATCACGCAAGATGGGCATAGACCTCTCGATCTTGAAGGAACGTACCCCGAGTCCCGTGGCAGTCTTCCCCCTTTCCTAGTCACCTCTATACTGTACGTCTCCTCGCCATAGGTGGGAACGGGGTATCGCCATTTCAAAGTCTGGCCTTCGATAGAGTATGTGCCCTTTGTCACTTTGATGGAGATATTCAGTTGAAGCGGTAGGATGGACTCAGAGGCGCTCGTCGAAGATGTAGTTGATTTTTTGGATCTGGCCGAGGATCCATTCATCAAGCTGACGCGGGATGAGTTGACGGAGGAGGAAGGTGACGCGGTGAAACCAGCGAGAGATGCCGCATAGTGGACATAAGGCAAGTAGAGCTCTGTGCAGATCTCGTTGGTCGATTCGTCCTCTGATCCCACGCGGACCGAAAAGCGGAACCTAGTCGTGGCAATGTCAAAATCGATCCGATCAGGTGTTCCAACAGTCTTAACAGGATAAGGTCGGCATGTTGCCGCGGGTACCCTAGCGCCATCAAGGATGAGCGCAGGAGTAATGCCTTGACCATCAGTGATAGATTTTGGAGAATATGTCCTCCTGGAACCCGGCGCCAAGGTGCTACCAGTGGAAGAACGAGAACTGTCGGAGGACGTCGAAGAACGGTGCGACGATCCGGTTACAGATTCGACCCTTGTGGTCGCGCCTGAGGAAACCTTCGACGACGAGTCTCCCTCGGTCGTGACCGTTTGACCACCGCGGAGATCATCACGACTCCAGATAGATAAATCCTCTCCGTTCCTGTGAATCAGGTCAGATATTGACATGGCCAAGGCACCCACCAGTTGTCTCCCCACTCATGAGAATTGTCAGGGCAATAAGTCCAGAGCGTCCAATTGAGGCAATTGGGTCCATCTGCAGCGTTTAGCGAGCAATCCCAAGCTTTCTGCTGGGACGAGTAGTCTCCTTCTCCTTGGCCTCCGTCGACGTATCCATATGCTCTTCTGTCATCCTACAGGCGCCGGTCAGTGAAAGCTGCAACCTTGAGTCTGCCACTTACGAGATCGAATGGACATCCAATCTCACCCATCAGAGTGGGATACGATCCATACACATCCCTCGTGTCGTCTTTGAGAATTCCCAATTGACTCTGAATGGAGTTGCGGATCGCCGTCTCTCCGACCTTGAGAGACTGATAGACTGACCAATATTTGTGTCTGATGACACCGAGGGCGTCGGCATTGAACCAGTTCCAATGACGGGTAAGCAGTGTCAAGCCGTCATAGTAATGCGGTGCAACACATGCTCTTCCCAAGAGAAGCGATTCAGGGATGTGAGGTGGAACTGCAAAGACGGGCGGCTGAATGAATTGAATGGCTTCTGGATGATACTGCCTGATGCGAGTTGCATAGGCGACCCAATGCGTCCGCCAAAAGTCGGGCACAAACTCGACAGGCCGAGAAGGATCCGTAGGATGTGTTCGGAAGTAGTCACGCTTGAGCAGAGCAGAGGTTGACGTATCCCATACCCCGTGCTGAGCCCAGACTGAAGAGGGTCAGCTATGTCGCAAAGTGGCGGGAGTCACTCACCACATGTGCCCAGCTGCCACCCAGGGTCCCGCTTCCAACCCCATTTTCCTCCTCCACGGGTCTCCTCGTCCTCTGGTTTGAGCCACAGCTTGGTTCCCTTGGGATCCAGCACCGTCTTTCCGGACAACTTTGGGCCCAGCTGCGAGAAATCCCAAACATCAACTTCGACAGGCTGACCCATAGCCAATCGCATGCCTTGGAACGGGCTTGGCATGGGTCCCTTCTTGAGTCGTTCCTCTTTTGGTACGACAGACAAGTCGCTCCTGCCTACTAAGCCATCTCCGGGCTCGTTCATGCTGTCCCATCCGATGACCACATCGTCCAGAAGATCAGGTTCATCCGCGATCCTCTTGGCAAGTTGAGCTACCGCGTCCAAATAGTGATTTTGAAGCCAGTCTTGGATATTGACACCGTCGATGATGCATTTGGGAGCGTATGCTTTCCCAGCAAAGAACATCGTGAAGACCGTCAAGGACACCATTCGTGGATAGTTCGTCGCCCAAATCATGCTAGGGAAGGAGGCGGGATCGGGTTTTTCACGGGAAGGGTACTCGTGATGGAGAAAGGCTGAGAAGGTGGCAGAAATCCCCCGAGGATCTATTCCACACGCATAAAGTGTCCACAAGGGTGCGCCGGATCCGCCTGAGAATCGAGACCACTTGATGCGATGGATAGGTCAATAAATGAACTCGAGCTGACATCATCGACTCACAACATCTTGGTGAGGATCCATAAACACCTTGAAGCCCCATTCTTTGCACTTCTTGAGGACCTTGATGGTGTACTCGATGTACTCGTGGTCATACTTTCCCGGACCCTCATGCTCCAACGCCTCCCAGGTGAACACGTATCTCAAGAAGTTGTAACCCCAGGCTTTTAACCGAGCAAAGTGCTCGTCTGCACTGCCATCGTCAAGATTCACCGGTCGGTTTGAGAAGTCTGCCTTTCCAGCCTCCGCATCGTCCCAGAATCCTTCAGTCCGCCAACTAGGCTGACCTTTGCCGCTGCTACAGAAGTTTACACCCCGCAGCAGGAGTGCACGGCCGTGATTGTCGCGGAAGTGGAAGCCAGTCGTGTGGATGTAGGAAGGCGGGACCTGCTTCCCAGTAGCCGGGGAGAGCTGTGGGACGGGAGCCATCACTTTGACTCGATGCTTCTTGACCCAGAAGTTCAACTTGAATGTGAAAGAAAAGAGGAAAAGAATCAACAGACGTGGGTCGAGATATTATCTGACGTCGGTCGATGGAGCCAGCAGTCACGGGAAAAAGGTATATTCAGCCGAGATTTATCCGAAGCCGCTCGTACCGTCTGAGCTTGCTTGGCGAAGTGATCACTTGACACTTTGTCCATTCCCATTCATCTGCGTATCGTAGATGACACAACAGTCATACGAGGATGGCCTGAAGAAAGCTCAGGTGTGTTTGTTGTTCAACAGTGATCCACTCCTTGTGTTGCGCACATCTGAAACTGATCTCATGACTTTTAGGATCTGGCCAGCCGGGCCGTAGCAGCCGAAGCATCCCTCTCAAACCTGTCGCCTTCGGTCTCCCCTCTGCCCACTTTGCACAAGGCATTCCCACTGTACATCTCCGCGGCTGAGGTCTATTCGTCCTTGTTGTCTTCACACACAGCTTCCGAGCAAGACAAGGCACAAATCCGAAAAAAATGGCGATTGGTCCTGGAGAGAGCCGAAAAGGTCAAGAAGAAGATTGAGAGTCTCGGTGGAAGTGTCGGAAAGGCTTTGATGACGGATGAAGGGGAAGAAGAAAAGATCAAAGCCAGAAGCTCAACGCTGAATGGGATCAAGGCTGAAATCTGGGAGGGACACGGGATACAGGCTGAGCTTCGAGACACAAAACCATACATCGACGGACTCCAGCCTGAATTGACTGATGAAGCGGCCAAGCTCGATCATTCGTGGCATGCACAGCCCGATTCCCATTGGGGGAGAGACATCAACAAAACGGATAGATGGGTGGCGCGACAGGGTCTCGGTGCAGACTGTTCAGTCGTTGCTGCTCTTTCGGGCTGCATGGAGCACAACCGTAAATGGGGAACGAACGTGAGCGGTGGGCTCAGCATTGATGCAGAGAACACTAAATCTCCAAATAGCTAGCGGAGAGTGCTTTATATCCCCGTGCGACGACAGGTGGCAGTAGACGATCAGAAACTCGCAAGCATGTTGTGAAACTCTTACTCAATGGGATTTGGCGAGGCGTGAGTCTATCCCCGCCACGATTACAGAACGAAGCTAACTCTCAATCCCCAGGTGATCATCGACGCGCTGCTTCCCAACGCCAAGCCGAGTGATGCCGCTCTCTACCCAGTTCCATGTGCTCTGTCCACTTCGAAGTCTAACTCATCAACGGATAATCCCCACCCATGGATGCCGCTCGTCAGTAAAGCCTACTTCAAGGTTCATGGGGGGTACTCCATGCGGGGCTCGAATCCTTCGACAGATGTTTATGAGCTCACTGGTTGGATACCGGAGCGTGTAAATCTGTCCGAGGGATTCAGACGAGAAAAGGAATGGAAAAGATTATACGAAGCATGGCAGAAAGGTCATATCTTGGTGAACATTGGGACCGGCAAGACGGTTAAGTATGGACTAGTTCCCTTACATGCGTACGCTATCCTAGGTGCGTCTCCTCGTTCCGGACTCATTCCACGCGCTAAAAAGCATGCCTAGATGTGATCGAACAAGGTAGCGAACGGTTGGTTGAGGTTTACGATCCAGGACACGGACAAGAGATTGATTGGCGCTCTGACGACGTGGTGAACGATCTGAACCGCTTGTCCATGGGTCCCAAGCCCCAAACTCGCGGCGTTTTCAAGAAGACTTGGGATCAGCTGTGCTCTGACTTCGAGTCATTGAACCTGAACTGGAATCCACAATTGATGCCTGTCACTGCCTCTAAGTTCTGGTATGTGATTTCTGAGCCGAGCCCGTGTGACTTCGCTGATTATTCTCAGGTCATGGCAGAAGCCGCTGTCGCTGGATGATGCGTCTCAGCCAAGTGGTGATTACTAAGATGGGTCATGTCGAGGCTGATGATCCTTAGAATCTGCTCCGCGCTACCGATTGTCCATTTCCGGTACACCTGATGGATCGTCAGAGGTTTGGATCTTACTCTCACAGCATGTGACGAGCAACGACAGACCTTTGGACGATATCGCATTGCGTGTCTTTGAAGAACATTTCGGAGGCACGACGTCTGACAAGGGAGTCTTGCATCCTTCCAAAGCGTCCGACTCGGTGAGCCGGGAGTTGCAACCTTGTCGGATAAGCTAATTCGTCCGCCTGTCCCAGATTCCTTTCTCAAACTCTTGTCACTTACTGGTACGTCTCATTTTCCAACATACGTCTTCCCGCCTCACAATGTTCCCTAGTATCGCTATACTATTCGTCGATCCAACACTTCGCTTCTCGTCATCCCTACACGAGATCGAGGTATCTTCCGTACAGACTTTACACTTCGAAGCTTTGCGCCATCTCAATACTCCATGAATCTGGAACGCATCTCACGAATACTGGCGTTCTCCACTTCGATCCAGGGTGATCTGACTAAGCGCAATAGCGGTGGACATCCAGGCTGGCCAAGCTGGGTAGATAATCCACAGTATGCGCTCAGAATCTCACCTGGTGACCGTGGCGGAGCGAAATCGCTTATCAGGATCACGTTGTCCGGGATCAGCGAGCTAGCCTGGAACGTCAAGTTGCTTTGGGGTAAAACTGGTCTGGTTACAGAGTGAGTCAGGGTCTGGAACAAGCCTGGTAATGATCAACTCGAGCTTCCCTGAACGTCTACAAGGCCTGTCCAAGAGTCGCTCATCGCAGACTCGGGCTCATACACTCATGGTGCTGCATTCCTCGACTATGCAAACTTGTCGGGTGAGGTTTGCGCAGAATTCCAATTCACTCTCTGATGACGACTCAGCTGGGATGTACACCATTTCAATCTCAGCCTTTGAGCCAGGTCAACTTGGCAAATTCAACATGATGGTGGAGACGGATCTGCCTGCGACTCTGCAACCTATCCCTCAGGAAGGTGCAGGCATGTACTCCAGAACTCTCACTCGAAAATGGTAGGTGCGCCGCGGTGTGGATTTTTATTTGGGTCCTGACATCCTCCATCCCCTACTTAGGACTGAGCAGATCGCCGGCGGCCGACCCAGCGGAGGATCTTATGGTCGCAATCCTCACATCGAGTTGGTCTTGCCGAAAGCTTGCACGGTGATGTGGGTTAGTCCAATCTGCTAGAGGTCTGACCCCATGCACAGGGCAAGACTATTCCATGTGGTTCCCACTTCCAGCCCGATACCTCTCAACCTGACACTATTTCAAAGGTCAGATGGTGGACAAATAGGGGACCAAGTAGCTACTTCTGGTCCATACTCCGACAGTCTATCGGGCGTCCGACTGTCCAGGACAAAGCTCGATGCGGGTGTCTACTTGCTCGTTCCTAGTGCCTGGGATCCCGGGATGGGCATAGGGAGTGAATGGGAATTACGCGTATGGGCCGATGGACCTTTGGAGCTTGACGCTCCGTGATGGATATCGCATACGGTCTCATGCATGTCATACCCAGGCCCGCGTCTTCAAAAGCCCCATGATCGTAATCATTCTTCGACATCACTCTCCTCGATCTGCACCAGGGTCAGTCAGGATACTCAGCTGGACACGATGTACCCACATCACTCTCATTGGCTCTCTTGACTCTGGTCCCGGAGGCGTCCTTGCCCTTGACGGACGACCTGCGTCCGAGATTGACAGGGAAGAGCTTTTCAGAGCCGGAAACATCTTTCAATTCCTCCTTATAGCCATTCGTATCACCAATCGCGGATCTCGCGTCGATATCAGCGATGAGGCGGTGACGCTGCAGCAACGCCAGCTTACCTGCACCAGTAGAAAAGAGCTTGCAGGATGGAAGGGTTCTCGCTATCAAAGTTGAGGATTGGCGATACCCATCCGTGTTCTTTTGGAGTATCAAACTTCCCAAAGACCCATCGTTGCCAGTCCGTCAAGACCCAATAATCACATCCGAGGCGCTTGGTAGCACCCCACGAACGTGACCAATACCACGAGGCACGGGATCGCGTGTCGTAGTGATAAGATCCCTAGGGTCTCGTTAGTGTCGCGGGAAAAAGAAAAGAAAAGAGGGAAGCAGCGTGTCACAATGACTCACGGAGACGACATATTCCTTCCAATCCTCAGCGGAAAATGCGCTGGAGTTGATGGTCCTAACTACCAGTTTGACATCCTCAGAGTCCCGCTTGATCAAGTGGAACTCGCCGGAGCCTACAATGGATCCGGGCTGAGCTAGGCTAGAAGCCTCCAACTTTGGTTCCTCTCACCCATTGGGGACTTGTTGAACCGCCATTGCCACGGCTTTGTCTTTTGGTCCCGGAGAGGTTGGGCAGTCGCATGTGCGTGTTCGCCGCCGTCCTGACCATGAAGGTCAGATGACTCGCCGTAGTTGATTTCTGGAAAGCGGCCACTTACGCTCTCATAGCCTGCACCATCGATGGCTTTACCCGTCTGTTGGTCATGCTCAAAGTCTGCCGGATCCGAATCGAGCGCAGTGAGAACAGACCCTACAGCTGCCAGGGGGAGGGTGGAAAGACCTTGACGGGGGCATCCATAAGCTTGACACGGATCCTCGGCCGGGTTCCGCTTTACACTCACATTTCTGGAGATCTGCCGGTGCTTTTAACACATTTGGGACGCTCGAGATTTCCTGTAAGAACTTGGGGAACTTGTGATTCGGGTGTGGGCTGATAGGCTCCTTTGTCTGTTTGGAGAGGTCTGCGTTGCATTCCGTCAGGACAACTACTGTACACTCGACCAGACGTACAGTCTTTGACTTGCTGTTCGAAATCATCAATGACCTGAACGGTCTTCAATGTGCCCTCGGACCAATCGCTTCGTGGACCAGTTCCACCTGTTCCAGGAGGATACTGTTCGCGAAGTTGAGGGAGAGGAGTGGATAGGTACTTGACCAGCTCCTGAGGTCGTTGAGGCATGGTAAATGAGGACTGTCAAGTCAAAGTTGGAGCGACTCGAAGCTCCCTGGCGTGATCTCAGCCTGTGATTTGCACGTTGACAGGCAGACACGTTGATAATGTTGAGAGACCTGCTTCTTGTCTAATTTATGTGATGGGATCTGCGGGTGTGTGGGGTAACCGGGTCATCCCCGATATTTACCGAGTAGCAACGTGGCAGAAGAGTCCGATTAATCCCGATGAGTAGCCAGGGCTTGAAGGGACTGAGAACAGCTTGCAGTGTACATTTCCCCCTCAGCCGCATACTCACGGGACAGCGGCGGGAATGCAGGAAGAAGAAGGAAGAGGAGGGGCGGAGGTTCAGTGATCAGCAATGTAAGTATCCTCGGCAAGAATCGGTGTCTAGCGGTTCGAGCACCTGGAACGCGGACGCAAAGAGACATTCCTTGATGTAACGGGGAATGCATTCCTGGAGTAGTGTGGAGCGGCGCTACCGTGCCAGCCGCACATCATGCCGCGTCATATATTGCAGGATAAAGTCAAGGCCGATGAGCATCAGAGAAGAGCCCAGTATGCTCTCCCTCGGTCCGCTAGAACGGACCATCAGGATCGAGACTGCCACGATGTCTGATGGTGTAGTCCATCGAATTCCCCAGGCGCTCGCCCGCTGCAGCGATCATGCCAGTCATATGAGACCATACTGAGGATTCTGTCGTCTCCTGAGAATCTGCGACCTGGGTACTCTGGTTATCTGCCGTACTAAGGCTCGTCGTGGTATCAGCCTGTTTGGTCTGGTCGACTCCGTCACCTGACTTGGACGACATGTCTGGGTACAAGTTGTTATGTTTGTTGTGTTTGAATGATCGTCGTGGATTTTTGCCACGTCCTCTATGAACCTCTCTTCTGGAGGAGGAAGAAATACGTCTCGGATGGATTTCTGCTCGTCGAGAATTCCAGGAGAGCAAAAACCATAACCGGCTGAATTCGCTCTCCGACAGAAGGACTCAAGATGAAAGGACGGCCCAGGAGTCGTTCGAAGCGAGGGAGGAGCAGAGAAAACAAGGAAAGAGCTGGAGGAGCCAAAGAGCTTGGCTGGAGGAGAAGGCCATCAGCTCAAATGGATTGCAGCGTCTCGACTGTTCCGAGAAGGTCCTGATCCCCGCTTTCCTTCTGCTGTGTCAACTTGCCAATGACTGTCATTCTAGTCAAAAGGGTGAGTGTGGAGGAAGGGTCTGAGTGTGGCGTGGCAACCAGTCGGACCAGAGGAATCATGACAATCCGGATCTGATGTGTAGAGTCACCGCCGTGCCCAATCAGCTCCATATGACATCTTCTCAGACTGCTACGAAAGATCGCGGATGTGGGGTCTCTACCCTCTACCACGGAAGAGAATGGTTCTGGAGCGGCCTGTACATTTCGAACATGGGACACGAAGAACCCCTAATGCATTTTTACATTTAAGAGAAACCAACCGGCTGCCACACCGCCGAAATCATATGACACAGGACAGATCGTCCTACCATATCTACTCGTTCCTTCCAGACGGATGAACAGACCTGGGAACATCAGACGTTCGACCTAACGTATCTGCCAACTCGCGCAGGGCTGAAGTGCAGCTTCCCGGTCTAAGGGTAGGTGGGCCAGATGCTGATGCAGGGACGGACCTCGGTAGGGTGTTGAGCGTGTGTGACAGGCTATCGAGGCAAGACATGAGGGTCGATCCGTCACTCTTAGTAGCCGTACTAAGGCGCGTGCTCTGTGATTCAGGCATCTTTGTTCGAGAAGGGTCAAAGATCTGAAAGATGATGGTTGTAGTCGTGACTTCCAACTGTACGAGGGTTGATGGTGCGTCGAAAACGAGGTACGACGTGAGTACATTCGCCCCCTCTTTATGACCTTTTTGATGGGAGTCAGAGTAGACGAACCTCACATTTCTTATCTGCCCAGATAGGCTGAGTGTCAATCTGAAACAATGCGCATGAGACTGTATCACCTCAGTCTGTCTTGCGTTTACCACTTATACCCTTAGCTTCCTCCTTTGACACTCGCTTGTCAGGGGGTCGAGAGTTCACTCTCCGCCGTTCTTCGTCACGGTGCGATATGCATTTGCTTAACAGGCATGATAAGAGATTGTGGATCGTATCGCTCAAAATGGCAGAGGTGGCAAGAACGTGCATGTGACACAAGCACCGTCCTGAGATCAAAGAACCTCACTACTCCGCTCCAAGAGGCAAAAAATAATTGCTGCTCTTAGAGCTTGGCCCTGCTCTTGCCCGCTAACAGTGTGCCTCCATTCTCGATACACGTTTTGGCATCCTTGACCATTTCGTCGATGATCTCCTTGGCGGGTTTGATGTCCTGAAAGGCAGACGAGAAGACTCAGCACGAATTCACAGATGATTTGCCGTCTTCATCACTCACATTGATCAACGCACTGACCTCTCCCATGAGCCACATTCGGCCTTCCATGGACTTTTCAGGGTGTTTCTCAAGTTCCACTTCGTGTGGAATCTTGCCTTGACTCGTAAGGTTCTTACTGGGTAGGGTCAGGTCGTGGATGCTTGATGCAACATTGCGGTACGTTCTCCACTCACATCTCCTCTTCTCTGCCTCTCCAGCTCTTGACGTAATCTGTCTGTCGGACTCGTAAAGGACGACCAGTATAGATCAAAGTCGTATCGGTGTCTCCATGGTCGGCGGAGACGAGTCTGCCGAGCGACATAAGCCAAGAACCAACTTGCACTTCATTCAAATCAGAGCCACTACTCACAGATCCTTGTGCTTCTTGGGCGCTCCAGCCTCAGTACTAGCAACAAATCGAGTTCCGACCCAGACACCTTGAGCACCATACATGAGAGCCGAGGCCAATCCTCGACCATCATAGATACCTCCAGCGGCGATGACATGGACCTGGCGGAGAGACATCAGCGGGGGATTCGACTCTGTTGCTTCCTGACCGACTTACTGGACCTCCTGTCAAAGGGGACTTTTTACCCTTGCAGATATCTACACAGGCTGGAATGAGAACAGAATAAGGTGTTCGTCCAGTGTGACCTCCTCCCTCGGCGCCCTGGGTACAGAGTCAGCATGGCACTGTTGCGATCGAGCAGCTGGATGATGACCCACCTGAGCGCAAATCAAATCCATACCTACGTCCAAAGCCTTCTGGACGTGCTTGGGGTGACCGACCATCTGTTAGACGTTTATCAGCGAAGCGAACGATGTTGGACTGATTTGGAAACCCTCACGTTCATGCAGATGATTCCGTGGTCGTGCAACCGTTTGACGGCCTCTTTTGGGGGTACACCAACGGCACAAACGAACAGTTTCGCCTTTTCCTCAATGATGACGGTCAACAGTTCATCCAAATGTCCTTTGGTATAGTCGTAGTTTGTCTTTCTGGCATTTGGACCAAGAGACGGGATGAGTAGGTCGACTCCAAATGCTGCGAGCAGGGACAGCGTCAATACTTGGGATAGCTAAATAGTTCGCTGAGGGAGCGAAGAGATACTTACGCAGATCTGGTGATTTGAGGGACGACTTGATCTCTTTGATGATATTTCGGAGTTGTTTGGGACTGCAGGGAGCAGAGAGACAACCATGTCAGCAGAAATTCCGTCTCTTTGGTTCGCCAGGTAGATCCGACTCACGTATATCCCAAACCTCCGATCACTCCTAGACCTCCAGCGTTAGATACAGCAGCAGCTAGCTCAGGTCCAGCGGCGACGTTCATTCCGCTGCAAAGCAGAAAGCAGGTTCAGCGACTGACTCAGGTCGAGGATCAAGGACACAAGACCCGCAGCTCAGACTCACGCCAGCATGATCGGATGCTGTATACCGACTGTGAATACCTTCGAGATCAGCTCTGTCTCGAATTCAAAGGGTCCCCAGGGTGAGACTCACACATATCGGTGATAGGTGTCTTGATGACGGACATGATGATGTTGTTACTTGTATTGATATCGAGGACAGATGTTCAAAGTGGGACGCCAACCAGTGTTGAACTTGATGGATGCAATCCGATGAATGAGGTGGTCCAGAAGGTCACTTGCACGCCTCATCGGCTCAAACCGACAAGGCTCATAACCGGGTATATTTCTGATAAACTGCTGAATATGCCACGTCATAGCACGCACCTCCACCTTGAACGGTTCGCTTCTCGACGTCTAGTCTTTGAGTCTCTCACTCTGACGCAAGGACATCATGGCTGCTCCAGCACATCCAGACCTCTCAAAGATATTCAATAATCCTCTCGGAGCGTCCTCCTCGTCTTCTTCTTCAACCAATCGAGCACAAGCCCAAAATGCCTCCGCTATCTCTCTCCCCAAGACATCCACCGATCTCTTGAGGTTGATGAAATCCACAACGACCAATCAAGCTGTTCGCGATACATTGATTCCTGTCCTCAATCGGATCGCGGACGGAGAAGGACAGACAGGATCTACAAAAAGTCAGAAGATGAAAAAGGGGGAGATGTTGTTGCAGTTGCCGAATATACAGAAGGATTTCGATGTGTCCAAGTTGACAGATGCAGAGATCAAGGCGATGACAGCAGCGTTGGTATATGTCCTGTGAGTCAAGAGTGAAAGAGCTATGTAGGATCCAAGAGGACTGATACGCTTCGTGTAGATCCGCTCGATTCGACAATTCTTCTGCACCGGAATCAGATCAATTGATGATGGTGTGGATGATGAAGTTTGTGAAGCAACTTGACCCGGAGCAAATTCGAATGACAAAATCACGACGTGAGCTAGCTTCTACCATTGAACCGGATGGTCGTCCAAGCTCACTCACGCTCGTATACAGTCGGTGTTCTAGCTTGGTCGTTCCAAAGGCTGTGTAAACGATCCGGCAAGGTGGGTCGCTTATCTTGCTCTCCTCCTCTTCTCTTGCACAATTGACGACTTCGCGCAGCCCGAACTCTGCACTCCCATCATACTTGGTATACAATCCTTCTCTTACCCCCCTACGGTGTTCACCGGCGTCCTCCCTGCGATCCTCGAAGTCAGTCCGACCCTGCTTGCTGTCCATCGATTGATCATCTGACTTTCTCCTCCTGCAGAGCTGTATCCTCGTCCGGGAATTTGACTTTGCACTACCTCTCATCAACGAGGTAGTGAGAGACTTCGTCACGGCAAGTTGTGTTCTGGCCAACCACGGCATCTTCTGATATCATCCTTCAGGGCGCCCCAACATATCTTGACGTCTTGACGTACTTTCATCATGCAGGATTGGTCTTTGCAGCTTTAGGAGACTACGCAAGGGCCACGGAGAGATTCGTGATGGTGAACGAAAGCTTGAGCAGGCAGTCACCAAGTCGCTGACTTGATTCAGGCACTCTGTATACCTACCTCTGCCGCTTCCGCGATTCAGCTGGCGTGTGCGAAGCGAGCGATGCTGTGTGAACTGATAGTCACGGGCAAGGCGAGTTCTTTGCCAAAGATCGGTCAGAAAACGGCTCACGCTCAATTTCAGACTTTACGGTATCCAAAATATATCTCCAGTGCCGTTACACGAATCATCGACCGGAATGCTGAGACTTACACCCAACTCGCCAAGGCGTTTGAGAATCATGAATGGGCAGCGGTACAAGCTGCAGGGAAAAGCCCAGACTTCAAGCAGGTCAGTCAGCCTCCTTCGTCGTCCATGACAGCTGACGTGCATGCAATACAGGATGCTAATGAGGGTCTGTTGCAAGCTGTCCTTGCATCTGCTCCAAAACGCAAGATCCTCAAAGTCCGAGAGACGTTTTCTCGACTTCGCCTGGATCAGCTCGCAATCAAGGTTGAGGATGACAGTCCGAATGGACAATTGACTCGTGATACCCTTCAAGCAATGGTATGTTACCTTCAGCTCTCTTGGCTGACTGATTCCCCGCGCAGATTCAGACGGGCGAAGTTGCCGCTTCCATCACACCTTCCGAACCTTCGCCCATCATTACATTCCACGAACACACCATCGCTGGTCCTGAGGTGACCGCTCGTCAGCTTGCAGAAGCTCAAGCTGCTGATGCATGGTTGGAGCTGGATCTGTCAGCGGGCAACAAGTCATTGGGATTGTCAGATACGTATCTAGGCAAGGTGAGTTGCAGTCATACAATCTTGAGCTCGTGCTGATAGGTTACTACAGCAACTTGACATGCACGATATGAGTGGAGGTGGCAAGAAGTCTCGTGGGGCGGGTATAGAGGACCGTGAAGCGGGACTACGGAAGTCCGGTCGTGTGAGAGGAGTAGGGAGCAACATGGCCGATACCGGGTTCTAGTGTGGGGTTTGGCCACAAAAGATCGTTCAGAACGATTGCGGGAGGTTGGTCAAGGCGACCCCTTGTCTGTAGCATATTTACACAGCGGATGACGTGACATGGCATGATACGACAACGAGGACATGTAGAAGATTGGAAAAACTGCAACTCAGCTTCGCACGTCTATGGTCATGACGATGCATCAAACTAAGGCTACAGGGCGTTGGGTCGAATCATGCTAAAGGCGATACGCTACAAAAATTCTCGGGCTTCCTGGAAAGCAAACAGCTGAGAAGAGAGACACGCGGCGAGGCGGAGAGGCGCAACGATGTGTTACAAGTTTGTTTGCGGGTTGTCACAGGGTGTGGTGTGTGAGCGAAGATTCCAAAACGACATCTACAGAATATAATTGGATGTGTGCTTTCGTACGAGAGAGTAGAGAGTTGGATGGGATACTAGTGAATGGCAGGGACCGCAGCCATCTCTTCAGAAGCCTGGGCAGGCGCAGCATCGTCTTGATCTTTCATTGATAAAGTGGAGAGTGACAATGAATGAGCGTCATCGTTGGATTCAGAGGGTGTTGAGGATGTTCCATTACTATACGTCCGGATCAGTCAGCGCCAACCTTTCGATCTATATGGGGTGGGTGACCCAAAAGACTCACCTGTGCCCGGTCTTCGTAACTCCATCCACGAGTGATTTGGTATATTCGTATAGGTCTTGAGAGTATGTTCTCTTTTTCTGTTCGATAGATGGCATAGCGTTCGTCTCCCGATCGACTTCAGCGTTGGCATCTGGAAGGATGAGAGAAAAGAGAGATAGAGCGAGAGAGAGAGCAAAAAGACGTCAGTGAGATGAAAGGAAAAGATCAAAAGAATGGACAGAGCTCACCGCTGATCTGCTTGTTCTGCCTCTGCAAATTCTCATCTGTCAACCTATCGCCGTCACTCTGAGAAGACATGGTCCTCTTCACAGTCGTATTGGCTTTGCTGGCGTTGGATGCAGCAGCAGCGGCGGCGGGCGGAGTGACGAGGGGGGGAGGTGTCTCGTCCATATGTCTCGATGCCATATCTGGAGGAGACGAAGGTGTGAATGTTGTAGGTGCGGTGACTGTCATGATGTGTGTTGTCTGTCGTGTGAGTGAGTGGGTGAGTGTGTGAGGTGCAAGAGAGTAAGAGCAGTGAGGTGGTGTGACTACTCTATATTCCAGTGAATCTCTCTGTGTGGATGGGCTGTTGGACCCACATACAAAGATGCTTCGGTGGAGTGAGTGCCCGTGCGAGCCAAGAGAGAAGAGAGAGAGAGAGAGAGAGAGCGAGGCGTTGACAGATACCAAACCAGCCAGCAGACCCGAACAAGTTTCATCTAGTGTCATCCCTCAACATAAGCATCTCACAATGACGACTATTTTTTTAGAAAGACACGTAAACTGGGGGTAACTGGAATCTCTCTCTCTACATCCCCCTCTCTCTACACCAGAGTCTCGATCAAATTCCATTCCATTCCATCATGTCATGAGAAAAAGACACCAAAGAATCCACCACCCCATCATGGCTTACCTCCTGCCTCCTGCCTCCTCCCGCCTCCCCTTCCCCTCTCTCTCTCTGTGTGTGTGGATGATCCCGCCAACTTTGATGACTTCTCTGCTTTTGCTCGTCACTCTGCTGTCACTCGACTCGCTCCACCTTATTTTCATGACATGACGATCATCTTCAAATGACGCCACTTCAAACGGGAAATGCCGTAATAACATCCTCATAATTGAACATATATTCAATTATGCAATGACGCACATCTCGGAATCAAAATGGTGTGGCGTACAGCCAGCTACCTTCTACTCCTCCTCTGGATGATCCACCAACATGGGCAACGGAGCTTGATCCGTAAACACAGATCCATAGTCAAAAGTACCTTCTTCCAAGAGACTCAAAATAGCAGCAGCGGATCTGGGAAAGTAATTAAGCAAAAAACCCATTTGACCCCCCTCGGTTTTGTCACTCACAATCCCTGATCACCTCCACGTTGGAGCCCATCCGATACACTGTCCATCCCTTCACCCGCGAGTAATTCACCTCCAAAGCCACCTTGATTAGGATGACCGGGCATGGTGGTGTACTCTAGACCAACGCCACTGGTGGCGCTGTGGGGAGGCAAAGAGGCCAAACTAGCCCAGGGCGATTGGAAATCAGTCGTTGTGGTGGTGGTGGTGGTTGTTGTCGTTGTAGGCGACATGGTCCACTGGCCTTGAAGCGTGTCATTGAGATTCCCATTTTCCGCCATGGCCGTCTCGTAGCTTGATCCAAAAGAAGTAGACGCGAATGCATCGAATTCGTCACTGGGTTGATCACCCTGTCTCACAGTGATATTCCGGGGTGAAGCCAGTGTCGATAAATCCACAAAATCATTCGTGTTGGCACTGAATAATGCTTCCAGATCAGCGACTCGAGAATCTAGGCTGAGTCCATGGTTGCTCATAATTGCGGACGGATTGGACATGATATCCGGAGTAGTGGCGCGATCAAATGGGTTCGATACCGGTACAGCAACCTTGTCAGAACCACCAGAAGGAGGGGGCGAAGTACGTTTGAGAACCGGTCGAAGCCACGCTGGAGGTGGTCGACCCGTTCCATCAGGCACACGAGGCGAATCGACGGGAATGTTGCAGACTTTTGAGAAGCAGGGGGGGTTCAGCATAATGTGCAGCGCGAACAAAAGCTGCGGCTTACTTCTGCAAAATTCATCAATAATATCCGCAGATCGCAATCCGCAGAGATACCGTCCAGAAAATCGTCTGAGCAATCCAACGCAGGATTTAAGGCCCTCGATGGAAGGAGCGATCAGAGGCCTGAAATCCGCGTTACGGCAATTCAGCACCACAGCGACCAGAGTCCGACCAGCTTGAGCAAGTTGATGGATGACATGGACACCGTCTGTAAGGAGAAGCAATCAGTGTCCGAACACCTCCTCAGTCCCTCTCACAATATGTCATCATGCCACGTTGACTCTGTAGGCCCCCGATGGGTCAGATCACTCCGATCCTGCGTCACGCCACTCACAATATGTACATGATCCGCAATAATGGTCAAAGCACACTGCATAGCTTTTCGACACAGGTCCAAAAGTCTCGTCCGCTCTTCCGTATTTGGTGCAGGCGTATTAACAAAGCCAGAGAACTGATGTCGGTAAATGAGCATCTTCACGAGGTGTTCGAGCTGGGATAGAAACGTCTAGCATCAGCCAAGTTTCCGCGAGATTTTCACATCCTGATACTCACACAGTGAAGCCTTTCAGCCTGAGTGATCCTTATCGGGTCTCTTGAATTCGTCGTATCCGCGTCGTATTGCCAGTACTTTGGCAGCATACGTCTCCATTCCTCTACGAGCTTTTCCTCTTCTTCCAGAGAATCAATCTGAGGATGTCGTTTGGAGAGGTGAGCGGCAGCTTTGGACAAGAATGGAGAGTCTGGGAAAGACGATGCAACAGAGCCAATATCGAGAATTCCCTGTGATTGCCATGTCAGGATCCAGCACAGCCTGCCGCCGCTTGCCCGCTCACCTCCAGCACCACGTGTAGGCGTATAGTCGCTACAAACGCCTCCATCCTTGAATTTTGGGTCGGACTCGGGTTCTCTTTGATCCCTTCAGCCGTGAGATTCTCGTCGTCCACGACGAGTGGCTCAGGCGTGTCAGTCACACGGAGATTGATAATGGTCGGCCGGCCAAAGAGCGCTGAGCAACTCAGCGCGGCCAATAATATTTGATTCGTCTTTGCTACTCACCTGCCGACTGCTTGTCCCAAGAGTAGATTGACCAGAAGGTTCGCTGGAGCAATCGTCAGCAAGACACTTGGTCCTCTCCCTGGTGGGCTTAGACTCACCTTCCTCGTCTCCTTCTCGATCGCATCGAAATGGTCATACCCATCGACGCTCCTGTGTAGTCCGCCGTCCAAACACAGTGTGATACTTTCCGCCTGGAGTGCAAATGCCTTGCTGAGGTTGCCCAGCCCAAAAGCATAAATAGCAGCGAGGAAAGCAGCTTGAATGGAGTACAATGTGGGTCTGTCTGCCGAAGGAAGATCTCGAAGTCGTTTGAATAATTCAAAGTATGATTTTCCCGCCGTCGATGGATCCAACGGGTTGGCCCTCACACGGGGATCATCGACGTGTCTCGATGATAGGGTACAAACGGCCACGATGAAGCATGTGAATCCGGGTTCTCCCCATTGTTGAGGATTGGCATAATCTTCAAGAAAGGACGGAACGTGTAGGAATGGCCAGAGTAGATGGGATGTCGAGAGATAACATCTGACTAGCGTATCCATAAGATCAGGTGGGATAACGCCAGTTATAACTTTCCAAGAGGCTTCAGGGTTGAGCGTCTGATGGGGCCTAGGTGTTCGATCGGGAAAGAAACGAGATTTCATGGTGGATGGAGAAGTTGATCGACGTTGACCGCCACCACCACCACCGCCGCCGCCGCCTCCTCCTCCACCTCCTCCGGAAGAGCTCGTGCCTGCACCAGGTGAAGGGCCACGTCCCGCAGTTGTATGACTGGTGGAGATGGACATTCGATGGATGTCGGAAGCTCCGTCTGAAGGTGTATCTTGACTTGGGGAAAGATCGTTATTCAAGAATGGGAACTCTTCCTCGAGAGTGACACCAGCTTGCGACGATCCCAGGTCAGAATCAGCAGCTTCGTTGGCGGTCAATCGATACAGTAGTGGAAAACCAGAGGTCGATCCTGAAGCGATAGGTCAGCTCGCTCCTCACTTTTGGACTATATTGCCGACTTGCCCTGCCACTTTGCTTGCCCAATTTCATCCTCGTAGAAGAAACTGAGACTCATCCCTTCCATTCTCTTGGTCACGTCATTCAAGTCCCCTTCGTTCCGCTTCATTCCTCTGAAATCATGTCTCAATTCGAGGTGATTCCCAGATCCAGCATGTGGCCTAGATCTAGAATTGGCGAATGCAGCCAATGTGGTCGGAGCGAGAGATCCGCCAGGCCAAGCAGAGGAGGACGGATCAGATGTGGCTGAGACCCCGTGGAGAGTATTCTGGAGCTGGCGAGCCTGGTCAAGGGCCGATAGCCCAGATATGGATGATCCCGCTCCATCAGCTCCGCTGAGCTTTGCATCCAATGTCGAAAGGTACATGTTGTGGACTTTTGGCGGGACATCGCCCAGCATCGCTTCCAAAGCGGCAAGTCTAGCTTCGAGGTTGGCCTGACTCGTTGCTGACTTTGTACCCAGCTTGTGAGATTCGTCACCTGCCCCTCCATGGGGCCTCTTGAACCCAGACGAAGAGGATGATTTAGGTCCTGATCCACCAGACCCGGACCCAGACCCAGCCGCTGCACTGGATCCAAGTCCTGACCCCGTCGCAAAAGACGGTTTGGGCTTGGTCATACGTCGTGGTGGGGCGTTGAAAGTACACTCGTTCTGGGTTGCTTTGCATGGTCCACAAGGTTGCTAAAGGACAAAGTCAGCTTTTCGAACAAAACCCACTTGAAAGGGGGTCGCTGACCTCTGTATCACAACGTATCTTCCGCCGTCTACATCTATCACAAGCGTGAGCCAGTCGAAGTCGAGGACGTTTGTCCATAGATAGTCTGTCCATCGAGTCGAGACCGTCATCCATTATGTCAAGATTGCTGTTACTCGCAGCGTTCCCATTTCCCATGTTGATCTCGTGACTGCCCGAATAGGAGCCTGCTTGGGATCCTAGGTCGGCTGCTCCTCCACCTAGCCCCTTGTCGTGCTCTTGACCCCTTGAGTACGATCCTACTGGTGTCCGTGTCCCATCTCCTTCATCACCACCATCAATTTGATCATCGTGTGATTCCTCGGACTTCGGGATTATCCCCGATCCATCCACTCCTATATCCATTGCCTGCGTCGAGCTCGATGCTTGCTCGGTTCCCCCCGTCATGATGCTTCGTGGTCGCCTAAGCCCTTCCTTTACTTGGAGTATGTTGTCAACAAGACGTCGTGCGCAATCCCCGTATGGCTGTTCAAAGGTCGACCGACCGTCAAAGTCTCGCCGACTAGACCGAGACTCGTAATTTTGAGCATGTAGATAGGCGCACCCGCACGCTCTGGGTGGCGCCTATCTCATTTAGCCTAAGCGAGCTCGACTTGGGAATGGGCAGCATGCATGGGTCTCTACATTCCCAAGAGATCGATGGTCTTGCACAGTCAGAGACGAGACTCATGACCTGACCATGATCAGAGCTGCAACGTCGGACAGACAAGGTTCCAGCACGATCGACCTGTGAAGGGGTAACCGCGACTTGCTTGCTCGTTCGGCCTTACCGGAGGCCGAAATACCGAGCGATTGGGACAACCAGATCTATGTATACATCTTCGGCGAATTCACAGCAGCAGGCTCTGAAAGACTCCATTGCACAGCCTGCCTGACTGATCTGACTTGATACGGCAGTTTGACGTCTACCATGTCCATAGCTCTTTGTCCACGACTTGGTCACCGAACCTTGCTATCATCATCTTTGATGAGATCTGATTTAATCAAACGGTCATGTCCGAAAGGAAGTCTGTATTCCAGGCCGGCCCACTTTTGCAGTCTGTGATTCTTCGAGTACCATAGCGGTGGACAGAGGAATTACATGGGACCGGAACCGGCGGGTACTTAGAAAGCGGATCGAGACAGAGATGACCAGAACCGGACAGGGTTTAGAGAGCCGAGAGGAAATAAGAGCTGGTACAGCTGAGTGGGGGCGCACGGCGGTTTCGGGAAACCGCTTCAGACGCGAGAGGCGGCCCACTCTTTTTTTGGGAGATCCAAAATCAGCCAGATTAATTAGCCGGGAGGAGGACCATACTATTATTGATCTTGAGCATCGCTGGAAGATATGAACTGGACATCCGATCTGGGATTGTTTGTTGGCTTGTGATCTAGATTCATCTTACATCTTTGAAAATCCTAGCTCACTTTCACCATGGCGTACTCTAGAAAGACTTATGAGAGTCAAGTCTGGGGCAATGGTGAGTTCGTATGCGGACCCCCGCCCGCGCGAGGATGTCCGCCCGCCCCGCCCCCACTCAACTTACGCCCCCTCCCGCTCAACAGGTGTCAAGCACCTCAAAGATGTTCATGGACGAATGGCTCATTTCATCGTGAGTAGAGCTCGGACCGACCGGAGGGTAGAATCTCCTACTGACTTCTTCACTTTCAGGGAGGTAATTTTGCAGACTACAACCTCTCCTCTGTGTTGTGGACACACCGGATAGATGATCGAAAGCATGTCAACGTCTCTGTCTGGTCTGCTCCTGGACATTCCAAACCTCCATTCTCTGAAGCCATCAATCAAAAGTACAAGCCCACGCAAAAGGGCGATGATTTCGGGCCTGCATGGACAAACCACTGGTTCAAGATCTCGTTGAACATTCCTAAAGAATGGGATCACTATGAGCGAATCTCTTTCGAATTCGATTGCTCTGGTGAAGGATTGATCTATACACCCGATGGGCTCGTCTTGCACGGTTTGACAGGCGGTGCAGACCCCGGTATGCGCCGTGCAGAATACATCATCCCCCCTGAGGCGAGAAAGAGAGGCACTCTCGACTTGGTCATCGAATCATCATGTAATGAAATGTTTGGGCAAAGCAGAGACGAATTGGGGAAATCCGATCCGAATAGACGGTATAAACTCGTCACGGCAGATCTCGTCGTCCCCAATATGGAAGCTCACAAGTTGATGTACGATTTCAAAGCCCTTTGGGAATTGACTCAGATCATCCCTTCCGACTCTCCCCTGAGCCGGAAAGCCGAATGGACCGCCAATGAGATTATGAATGTGTTTGATGCGAACGATTTATCGACGTTGGCAAAGGGTAGAAGGATTGCTCAACAGGTTCTGGGAGAAGGTTGGGAGAAACAAATTGCAAAGGAGAGTGAGAATGCGAAAGAGCAGAATGGAACGGTATGGGCTCTAGGTCATTGGTAGGTCGAGTCTAGTCTCCCATCCCCACTCAAGTCGGCACCCCTTCTTAACACCCTTGATTCTCAGTCACATTGATACCGCTTGGTTGTGGCCATTCTCTGTAACTCAGCAAAAGTCTGCCCGATCATGGTCAGCTCAACTTGACATTATGGATCGATACCCCGAGCTCCATTTCTCAGTCACCCAGGCTCAACAGTACGAATGGCTCGAAGAGCTCTACCCGGACTTGTTTGAACGGATCAAGGAAAAAGTCAAGACTGGTCAATTCCAACCTGTAGGATGTACTTGGGTCGAAATGGACACCAACATGGCCTCGGGTGAAGCTTTGTGTAGGCAATTCTTGTACGGTCAGAGATACTTTGAGAGTCGATTTGGGTTCCGTTCGGGAACTTGCGTGTTACCTGATACTTGTGAGTCTGAGCGTCCGAACGGAGAGGTACCTGTCCTCATACCTGGCACCAGTCGGCTTCAACGCACAGATGCCTCAAATCATCCGATTGGCTGGAGCTCAAGACTTCTTCACGATCAAACTTGCCTGGAATGCCATGTGAGTGCTGTGGGGCACACACATGCAGAGAGGGACGAGCATTGACCAAGTCGATAAAGCAACCCATATGTCAACTCAACGTACAACTGGGTCGGTCTGGACGGAAGTCAGGTCCTCAGTCACATTGCACCCGATAACAACTATGGAGCGAGGTGAGCGAGTGGGCGGACCTTTGCCTGACACTTGTGCTGATGTGCGTGCCTAAAGAGCCGATTTCACCTCGATCAAAGCGTCCATGACTGGACACAAGAATCTCGATGTCACGGGTGCGTCAATCTGTCTGAAAAGCAGAACAAAGCCTGTATGCTTACGCCAACTCCGCCTTCAGACCAAGCCATCTACCTCTATGGTAACGGGGACGGTGGTGGCGGTCCCCAAGACCTCATGATGGAATCGCTTCGACGAGCCCGAGCTGTTGGCAAGTCCAGTGATGCAGGAGGTCAATTCCCACTCGTCAAGATGGGAGGAAGTTTCGGTGAATTCTTCGACGCCGTTCGAGCTCAAACTCAAAATGGCGCGACACTGCCAAATTGGAAAGGTGAACAGTACCTTGAGCTTCACCGTGGATGCTACACCTCCCATGGAATCATCAAGAAGGGTAACCGAAAGAGCGAGCTTCACCTTCAACAGGCTGAATATGCCGCTACTATGGCCAGCTTTGCGGACAAAAGCTATAAATATCCTTTCGAAGTTATTGACAGAGCATGGAAAGATACGCTTCTGTGTCAATTCCATGATGTCCTTCCCGGAAGTGGTATCGCCATGGTGAGTGGAGGCCTACAGGCAATATGGGACTTCCGAATTGACGCTCCGGATTAGATCTATGACGACGCTCAGGCAAAGTACGAGCGGATCGCCAAAGACCTGAACGAAGTCATCGCCAAGGCCTACAAGGTCCTTTATGCCGCTTCGACCTCTGACCTCGCCAGTGTCAAGCGAATCTCCGAGGACTCTCTCTTTGCCGTCAACACTCTTCCTGGTCAAGCTAGACAAGAAGTCATTGCTGTGCCTTGTGGACCTAATTCGGCACTTGCATCGGTCGTATCCCAGTATAACCGAGCCACCGAGACTGGATATGTTGTCGTCAAGAGTGATGAGCAGAACATTGCGGATATTCGAGCCGTCACGCTCGATAAGAAAGTTCGATCTTCTGTTTTCGCTACTCAGACCGGGGTAGACGTTTTCGAGCTCAACAATGAGACCCTCAAAGTCACCATCAAAGATGGACGACTTACCAGCCTCTACGATACCGTTTCGGAACGAGAACTTATCCCTCACGGACAGACTGGAGGTTTCGTCATTATGGAGGATTTGCCCAACGACTACGATGCTTGGGAGGTTGAATCTTTCCATCTGCAAAAGCAGCGTCATCTCAAGTTCGAAGATGTTCGTATCCTCGAGAACGGACCAGTTCGAACCACCCTAGGAGGAAGCATCTATCTCGACAAGACGCAGATTGAAGTTGAAATCTCTCTCGACGGAGTCAATGCTACTTCAAGCTCGGACTCTCGAGGCATGGTCAGGTTCAAGGCATTCATCGACTGGAAACAAGCACACCAATTCCTCAAATTTGAACTCCCTGTCGATATTCGATCTGACAATGCCACTTATGACATTCAATTCGGTACGATCCAACGTGCGACACACCGAAACACTGGTTGGGAACAGGCTCGATTCGAGGTTTGTGCGCATAAATTCGGAGATCTCTCTGAATACGGGTACGGGGTGGCCATCATCAATGATTCCAAGTATGGATATGCCGTCGATGGCAACGTCATGCGACTTTCTCTCCTTCGATCACCAAAGAACCCTGATCCAGCGTGTGACATGCACAAGCATGAAATCAACTGGGCAATTTACCCTCACGTCGGGACGTTTGCAGAGAGTGATGTGACTCAAGCTGCCAACGCCTTCAATGCGCCTCTGAGTCGTGAGTCTCGTGTCCCGAGTCTCCCGATGTGATGTCAGCTGCTGATATCCCTTTCTTTTCCTTCGCCTTCAGTCCGAAGCATGACTTCCGATTCTGCCTCTATTCATACCCTTGTGTCTGGCACGCCTATCACCATCCAAGGTGCTAGGAATGTCTTCTTAGAGACCATCAAGCGAGGTGAACAAGATCGCGATGGCAAGTCCGACTCGATCATCGTGAGATTGTACGAAAAGCTCGGTGGTCAAGGTAGATCCACACTGGTCGTGGACCCAAGCCTCAATGTCGAAAAGGCCGAACTGGTCAATATCCTTGAAGATAATCTCGAGAATCTAGAACATGTTCAGAGCTCCAAAAACGGAGGAGCTACGGAGATACCTCTTCAATTCAGACCTTACGAGATCAAGACTGTCAGGTTGACTCTTGGTCCTTCCTCGAATGTCCGGGGAGGAGCCCGAAAGGACACTTCTATCCAGGCGGACGGATGGATCGAGCTGTAAAAAGAAACGGGAACAGAAAAGGAGTCACTGAAGACGACTCGGGGATATATAAGCTATACCATGAATGTGTGTCTACCTTAATGCGTCGATGCAACTCTCGTCTCTGAGCCGCGTATCTAGCTGTATACATGCCACGGCGCCACGTGTCACGTCCAAAGGCTCCATGCTCCGTCAGCCTGGGACGGAATAACGTAATTCTCCCCATCCTGCTCTAGCTCCGGCCTTTCGGAGATGTCCCCCCTGCCTCATGTCATCAGGATTTCTTCGGACATCGGAATCTGGTGCAAAGTGCCCCGATCACAAAGCTTCTAGATATCGGGAGCAGTGGGAGTAGATCTCAACCTCGCTTCGTCTGTGGAGGTTCAAGAGGGGACGACGAGCTGTACCCTGACAATCTACTCTTAGACATCTGAGCCCCCATCGACATCCCTCGCTTGAGGAACAAATTTCTGGTGATCGAAGACCATCATGGAGGTGTCAGAGGTATCAAGGACCAAGCGTCTAGCTCAAGCGGGATCAAGTGTCATTTTCTGGTTTGTCGAATCATCTACGCCAACTTTTCTGTATTGACGCAGTACCCCCTCAGCTTCTTTCTCGTTGGCATCGTTTTCGGTTCGTTATCCATGCTTTACGATGAAGCCGCCCCCCTGATTGGCTGAAATGTATTCTGGTAGGCTTCGCAGCTCTCAAACCTATCTTGGTCGATTCAGGAGTCTACTCCGAATATTGCAATGGTCAAGAGAGGTGCAAGAAACAGGATACAAAGCTCAATCAGCTATTCATCATCGCTAGCAGCGTGAACAATGTAAGTCTTGTACCATTGGTCAAAGTCATATTCCCCAATCAGGGGGTTTCACTCGGCAGGGTGTATATGATTGCTAAAGGCCCCTCTACCCTAGATCGGCGCTCTACCTATGGGCACGTACCTTGATCGAGTGGGACCTCGCGCAGCTACATTGACGGGTGCTGTACTGTGTATGACAGGATCCATTCTCTTCTCACTGGGTATCGTGAAGCCATGTGAGTAGGGGTCCTCGCTTGAATTCAGCACACCTCAATAACTTTGCTCTTCGATTCGAAGCTGACTTCTTCGCAGACTTTGACTCATATATTGCGTACGTTGCTTCTCATCGTGCTGTCGATCCCACTCGCCCTTGCTCATCTTTCTCTGTATCTCTCTTTCAGTGGATTCGCCCTCCTTGGTCTCTGCTCCCCAGCCATCTTTCTCGCTCAATTTCACCGTGAGTAGATGCTGTTGCGGCTCTCGGGTCGCTCACTCCTGCTCAATCTCAGTGAGTAATACATTTCCCAGCCGATCAGGCCTCATCCTTGGGTCCATAACTGGCGCCTTCGATGCCAGTTCTTTGTCAATCTGCCTGTACAAAGTGGCCTACTTCCGATTCGGCGGTAAGACGAGCCTGTGAGAATGCTTCTGCTCAGCAATAAGATGGTTCTAATGGATCTCTCAGACGCGTCTTCTTCCTCTGCTATGCCGTTATTCCAGGCTTGTGAGCTGCCATCATCCGTCTGTCACCTTGTCTGCCGACCAACTAATCATCGGCCAAAGGCTCATCATCCAGCAACTCACATTCGGCCCAGCAGTCGCGTACGAGCGCCCTAACAGCAAAGTTGGAGACGATTCACTCCCCGATCAGCCCGTCCGACCGACTCTGCCCCCACCATCGGGCTCAGCAAGGGATCGCAAATTTCCAGCGAGACCTCCTCGCCGTCGAGCTTCCTCCTCCTTCTCTCGTATCTCGTACGACGTGCATGATGCTGCGAATGACGAAGACGTCAAGAACATCTTGGGCAAGGATGGGGAAGCTGACCCCATTGTAGGGGCTCTGTTCGGTCTCGGAGCGGGGAAGCAGGTATTAAGCAAGTGGTGGCTGTAAGTGTTAGCGGGGCAGGGTGGCGTGTCCATGGTCATCCACACAGAGCTGAAACTGGCGTGACTTACAGTGCGATGGAGTTCATGGTGATCGTTCATATGTGAGAATGAGAGATTCCGCGCTCAGAGCTCTTCTGATCGTCCCTCATAGGACCCGGATCAATTGGTACTTGACGACTGTCGGCTCACAATTGGTCTATTACACCGGGGACGAGGGTTTGGCGGACAAGCTTAACGACGGTGAGTATTGGGTCCTGTATTGTAGGATCGTCAGTGTCTGACCCTAATCACTCTTGTTCAGCTTTCATCTTCTTGCTCCCTCTTGCAGGCCTCGTCTGTGAGTTGTCGCTTGCCTGCAGATCCTTCTCTCACACAATCTTCCCTTAGCCATCCCGGCAATCGGCTACTTGCTCGACACACGTCCTTTAATCGTCACGGTCCTGGTCATGACGGTCATGGGAGTCTTGTTCGGAGGGCTCACACTTCTGCATGGCCCTGTGCCTCAACTCATTGGGCTTGGGATCTTGGTCGTCTTTAGACCCTTGTTCTACACTGCCATGTCGTGAGTAAGTGCATAGCAACATCGGATTAACATCAAAGGGATTATGGCGCCAAGGTCTTTGGATTTCAGACGTTTGGTACCGTGTATGGTGAGCATTGTCTGCCAAGGGTTGCTTGAACTAGTCTCATCTTCTCCGCAGGCCTCGGCATGACTCTATCTGGGGTTTTTGGTTTCGTTCTCACTCCGTTGGGTGAGTCTGCAAGTCTACGAATGAACCGTCTGACACCATATCAGACCTGCTCACGAAGGGCCCTCTTAACGGGTCGTACACTCCCGTCAATCTCACGTTGTTGATCCTAGGTCTGATATCTGGCCTCACCATGGCTTATGTCATCTGGTCTCATAGTCGTCAAGGTAGAATCATCTTGTCCGACAGCAGCGTCGTCAATAGACATACTGCAATCCAGGAAGAGGACGAGGACGGCAGTTGACGTTCGGGCAGGACACGATAGACTGTGAATGCATATAATGGGTGCCCTTTGCGATTAGTATACTACAACCTTGCTTCTTCTCATACATGATTCCTATCAGACGATGTCTACCTATCCGAGCCACGAATGAAGCACATTTTCACGATACGTGACGTCTTCTTCGCCTTGCTGAGTGGTCAGGATACGTTTGATCTTTAAGATTATTAGTATATTGGCACGACTGCCCTGCAAGGAGGGCACATGCTTGCTCACTTCTTCTGGTGGATTCAGCCCCAGCTTCTTTGCCCTCTCCCATCTCTGTAGCCTCGTCACGCCGATGAAAGGTCCGTAAGCTGATGTCATGTCGAAAATGCGGAGGACATCTGGGCAGGTTTGAAGCTCAATGCCAGACGAACGAGAAAGATAGCTCACGGTGTATCTCGTTATGCGTATCAGGGCCAGCATGGACTACACCATCATGTCAGCTATGAGCAAGTTTCGAATACCGCGAGTAAAGCTCACTCGGCTGCATCCCCCCCATTTCTCTGTGAGCATTTTTGATGACTCCAGCCCATTCCTTTGACTTTACGTCCAACTGTCTCTTTGATCCTGGTCTATCTTGAACGGTCGGCTGAGAATCGACAGCTTGAAGCGGGATAGCCATTTCACTGTCATCTCGATCGTCATCATCGCGGATAATGGACGATTCAGAGGCAGACGCCTTGAGAGAAGGGGATCGGGAAGTGGAAGGACCAGCAGTGGCTTTCGGTTTGGATTTGGTTCCACCTGGTTTACGCGTTTGGAATGCAAGCGGGGCCTGTATCTCATGAGTCTCGGCCGATCTCGATTAAATGCTAGCTCACCTGGGACATGCCTGCTTTAGCTTTGGTCGATCGCTTAGGAGGCATGGTGCACGATATAATTGGGAAGTGGTAGGACAGGGGAGAACTTGAAGCTGAATGGGACGATGGAATGTTGGAGAGCTTGATCCTGAGCCAGTCGGGATTCAGATTGAAGGATGATATCTCGATCTCTCGTCTAGAGATATACGAGGTGCACTGGGCACTGCAGAGGATGATTGGGGAAATGGAATGAGGATGGAGGATGAGTTGCTTAGGTCCAACTGAACCCGGAATCGTCATGTTCGGGGTGGCTCAACAGATGTCACGTGGCAAGATTACCCGATCAAGGAATATATAAGCTGGGGCGTGGCTACCTAATCAACCGGGGATTCAATGGTCAGCTCATCCCCTTACACAAAGCATGGTCGCGAGAGGAGATGGGTCAAGTCCAAGAGGTATAGATGGTATACCCAGCACTACTGTGAGTAAATGAGATCGACAATGGCAGCCATTCAACGAGAGATAAAACGCAGGTTCATAAGTCTGTAAATCACCTTGCAGGAGTCAGCGTTGAACCTGAATGCCCCCGTGCTGGACCCTAGAAGCGATCTAGGTGCTATTGAACGTCAGTAGAAATCCCTACGGTCAGGTTCACGTGCATGCACGTATAGCCCATCGATGTGAGAAGGGCAGCTTGACCCTTCTTGGCAGACCTTTTGACTCAACCCAACCTATCACCCGAGGTTATGTCTGACCATCCTGTGCCTAGGCCAATAAGGTCCCAGACCACTTGACACCAAGCATGAGTTTGTACTTCAACAATCCCGCTCCCGTGTAAGCTTTCTTTCCGCCAGGTCAACTACACTACTACAGAGGTCCAGGTAAGATTGTAGTACTAGCCTTGGGACTGAGTCCGCCCGCCACTTTCAATCCTTTTCTAGCTTAAATAATCGTGTAAAAATCAGTCGCGCTTAACAGGATCAACCAACCCATGAGCCATGTTCATTTCAACGCTGTACATCGTCGGTCTTCCGTCATCAACTGTTGCTGGCTGACCACCACCTCCTCGACGATTGAATAGAACTCTCCAGACCGCTCAGTCCGCCCTCGCTACAGCTGTCCTAGATCCAGGTCCTTACCGAACCTTTTTGTTCCCCCCCCCCGCCCCCCGGTACATCATCCAATCCAAGCTTGCTTCCTCCTCGGAAACACCCCTTAACGAATCAACATCCATCATGGTCTCCACTCCACAGGCTAGCCCCGGACATGGACACACACCAGATACGCCTTCTCCAAACATCTCACCTCTTCATCATCCAGCTCAACAAGCCAAGGTCCTTCCACAGCAGAAGCCTCTAGGAAATGCTCAGAGTGAGTTGAAGCACTGTTTGGATGAGCGGCAGGGTGGCAAAAATCTCACTGGGTGGGCGCTGCATGACTTTGCACTCTTCACTGAGGACACCTTGACGCTGCCTCTAATCTATCACGATGTCCTGAATAAAGCCAAAGGAAGTGACGCTGATGCTGCCCAGCCAATCACTTCCCAATGGGACAAGATCCCGCTCCAGGACTCGGTCAAAAGGCTCTCCTAGCGAAGAAGTTTGCTCGTGCAAAGTGAGTTCCGGGAGTCTGTCTCAGGCCTGATATTATACTCTGCTTTGTGCTGACTCCTTCCCGCAGCAGTAAACCAACCATTTCCCCTACCGACCAGATGCAGTCTCCCTGTACACAAAAGCTCTCGGAAGCCAAGCAGAGGCACTATGGAAAGTGAGTGGATGTCGAGCTCGAGACTGCGCGGACCAAGTGTTGATCATACCCCAAGGGGCAAACCCGCGTCGCTCGCTCAGTCCTTTGTGGCCATCCGTGAAAGCTCTGGAGCATCTTCAAATCCAGGAAGCAAAGCAGACTTTTGATTCAAACTCGCCCAGGAAAATGATACCCTGAAGGTGTAATAGTGGGTTCGCCCGCGTCAGCATGAGACTGAGGTTCCAGAACGTCAGTTCTAGTATACCCACCTTCACCTTTTGGGGCAAAAGACATTTGGCTATGGACTGATCCAGTACATTGTACATGTTTACCGATAGACACGACGTTTCAATTCCGAATCTTTTGGTTTCTTTGGAGTACTTTGGCTTCCTCCGACTCGCCTCAGCACCACCGACCGATAGCCAAGTCAGATCAATCTGGCAAAGGGGCCATCGTGACCTCTCATGTGGTCTGATAGGAAATTCCCTGTCCCTCATACCAGCACGAAGATGCATGTCTACGTTCAAGCTTGGCATGCCACCTCATACTTGCGCGATGACCTATTAGCGGGAAGCCTCAGATACCTGACCCATTGGCGGCTATTTACAGTCCAGTCACTAAAATTGAGGTCTGGAGCTGACATGCTGCGCGACCATCGAATATGACCCCCCTTTCTCATCTGGGAGGTCCCTTTTCCCACACCTAGCGAATCGTCATGGCTCATTGGCGACAACTGTGAATCCCTTGTAAGGTCGCTCATGTCTTCTTCAGGGAGCCATAGCGTGGGAATGCTCAACAAGAGTCCGAGAGCGGATTACCAGAGCAGAGGAATAGCCTGGCACTATGCTGCAGAAAGTCTTCTCCGCACAACTAACGCGGCCACACATACACGCCGCTAGATACCGCACTCAGCCTAGCCGTCATGGGAATCAGTAGCTTAACCTCCTTTTGACTCAAGTGAGCCATTCCCACGCAGCGTGACCTTGTTGTTGAGATCAAAAGAGGACTGGTATCGACAGGCCTTGATCACAAGTATAAGAAGTTGGTGTTGACCGGGTTCTGGAGGACATCATCCCATTCTTATCATCGTCTAGCACCCACAAAGTACAGAGAATAGACCAAGCCTGGCGCCAATATTCTACATCGACAAAACAAACAAAGAATGACAGTTTGGGGACGACGACGATGGCCAGGGCGTTGGAGCTCATGACCGAATGTGAGAGCTCGGCAAAGACGTTGAAAGATTCGACTGTGCGTAGCCGCGTGTTCGATATTGTTTCACAGGAATTAGGCAAGTCGAAGGTGTCCGTCCAGGCCTATCTGGATAGGATCCAAGACGAGAGCGATGTCAAGAATACTGTCTCAAGAGCTGCGCAAAGCATTGACTCGATTGTCACGGATCAATCTGGAACGGTCAGCGGCAATGACTCGGAAGTCCTGAAAGAGATCTATGGCAAGAACTACGAGGTCCTGACGGCCAGTAAATGAGAGACCGGAGCTTCTGGCGCTGTCAAGCGAGGTAGCAGAGGCCGAGACCAAGGCGGAGCATTCAGAGAAGTAAGAGTTGGCAGAGGAGACTTTCTTACCAGAGACAACAGTATGCATCTGATCACAGACAGCAAGTGGGCCCCTGATCCGTCTGTGTCATCTAGGTATGGTCGATGTTATGTACTCTGCCCCAACGAGCTTGATCACCCCGCAGCGACCGTTCGGTCTTCACACGAGGGCTCCAACATTCCCCTATCTCTCTCTGTGTCTCTCCCTTTCTATCTGTGTGTCAGCGTTGAAAAATGCTCATGGCTGCTGGCACCCTTTCCCTTTCACGGAAGAAGGCAAGTGTCCCACATAGAGGTACTGGGGTGACGCCCACCGGAAGTAGAGGCGTGGCAGGCAGACTCCGAGACAGGGGTGGGAGTATCTTCGATGTTGCAACAGCCGATCCTTTGTCGCGAGAACGATACGCCTACTCTCCCCTACCTATCCTCTCCTCCTGCCGCGGTTCTCATCCCTCCCCTCGCCTCCATCCTGTCCTTTCTCCGAAGTCCCACATGATCAGTGGAGGTTATGAGGGAAGAAATATATAAATTCGCGACATCCAAAGACACATACCAGTCATCAACAAGTACCTGATACTCAGCTGACCAGTTGACGCCAAGATACACAAGCATGTCGTCAAAACGAGCCGAAACTGACACATTTGACGCCTCGACAAGCATGACGTTCAACGCAGCCGTGAAGAGCTTCGAGTCGTGCCTCAGGATCGCTGGTACCATCCATGATGACGCCACCAAGCGCACTATTACTGACGATAGTGAACTCGGCCGTGGGTCTGCGGAGAGAAATCTTGACATGTATATTCACGGACAACACACCCGGCAGGAGTTGGTCAAGATCATCGGGAGGAGTTCCAAGACTCTCAAAACCCATGCTGAATCTCGAAGGGCCAAGCTGACCGAAGGGGACGGTGATCGAGACAAGCTGGATGAGATTATAGGAGAGATCAATCCCGTGGTCGTGGCTGCGTCTGAATCTGTGAGTCCTGAGAGGAACAAAAGGAAGCCTGGCATCGGTCCTGTCACTGACCAGGACAACATCAGGCCACCACATCGTGATTGTGAGAGGCGCCTGGGGAAGAGGAGGGCCAAACACACGAGGAGCTGGCGGCGTGAGGTCCGTCAGACCCACCGGGCGACGTTTAGGCGGACTAGATTTAGCGATGTAGAATGCTGGCAAATGCATCGGATCGCGTGAGATAACTCGCTTCCGTTAGAGAGAGATTCAAGATTCCTTTTGAAAGACAAGTCGCCTGTGACAGATGATTTTCGAAGATTTCATCCGCTTGCGAGAGAAGCGTGACCAGGTAAGAGCGTTAGGAAAACATTTGCCTCGGAATGGCACTCCACCGATGGGCGTGTCGTGTCAGTTCAGTCGACATGCATTGCCGACAGATAATTCAACTGTTTCACCAAAGAATTTTCTAGCTGCTGAGATGGGTCTTGAAGAAGCTCGCGACTCCCGACCAGGCATCACTGTAGGTCTTTCGTCCTTCCTCGCTTTCGAGCTATGATTCAAGTCAGTAAGCTAAATTGTGAAGCGATACGAAGAGTTTAGCAACCCACGTCAGCCCTGGCAGCTGTCCACCCATGAGCACTGTTGGGGAACTCGGTCAACTTGTTCTTTCCAGGCAATTTCTTCTCCATTCCTTCGTAAATGGCTTTCATCTAGATGGCTCAGTCAATGCTTGTTGGATCGCGACCAGAGCTCAGCGACTCACGATTTCGGCATCTTCATTCTTCGAAGGCTGGAGAAGGACAGGGATGTCGATCTTTTCCACATCGTCCTTGGCTGTCATACTAGAACACGATGCTCAGTAAGAATTGGCCGCAAGATTTGAGATGATAACTCACGATGGGTGGTTGCCGGCAAGTGCAGAGGCCTGATTGAGCTCCTTGGCCAACACAGCGGCCTTCCATCCCCAGCACAGACCGACGAGACCAATCTTGTCTTGTCCGGCAGCCTTGATGGCCGTGATGACTTTTGATACCTGCTCAGACTGAGATGATGTAGATCCTGGGAATCTTGAAAAGTATTCTTGTCGCTTCTGATTGCCCCTACATGAAATTGTGAGCTGTGAACAAGAATTTCACTTGAGACTCACTCTTCTGAGCCGCTATACCATTCCGGCTTCACATACTCTCCCATCAAGAGATCAGGTACATAGACTCTGAACCCCTGAGATGCGAGGAGATCTGCAGCTGATGAAGAGTTTAAGCCAGATCGGAAACTCTATCATCACCCACCTTGGAGAGTCTGTGGGGCCATTCCGAAGACATCGTAGAGAATAAAAATGGCCTCTTTGGCGTCTTTAGGACCCGTGATGTAAGTCTTGATGTCACAGAACTGAGTCTCTTCTCCTTTGTTGGTGTACTTTGCCTCGACGGGAGGAAGGTTACAGCAGGCAGATGTAGATGCTGCAAAGATTGTTAGCCTTCGATCAGATGGAGGCGGTTGTTCGATTTATGTCAGGTGCGAGGGTGTAGCAGGGCACGAGCGGTCTCGGTACTCACAGTCAGTCATTGTATCCACGAGAGTGTGATTGGGCTGTTTTGAGAGCGTTCTATGAATCGAATTCTTCTGATGTGGAGCGAAACGTAGTGCCATATATATCTGTTGAGACCCCGGTTAACTCTTGACGTAAGGACAGAACATCGGAGGTGACCGATACCGAGCTCCTTCATGGGGCATTGTGGCACATCGGCCGAGGATGGACACACCGTTGTCTATGCATGGCATCGAACCCGAAGATGATCACGCTCAGGATAGGGTAAGAGATCATGGACGATCGCCCTACGGTCATGTGACATGGAAGACTGGACTTCGTCACCATGTGTCCGGAGCGGTTTCAGGAAGGGACGAAGGCTTACCTGTCGTCGACTGCTGAGGTCCAACGGCGCCAGGGAGTCAGTCACATTTACGTCTTTTCTAGCTGGGTACCGCAAACCGAAGCAATCAAGTGGGGCGTTCTGGAGTGAAGGTTAGGATGGCCGATACAAGCCGTGACTCCGCCTACACAATAAGATGTCTCTCTATCTAGGAATGAGATTCAGCCTCAATCTGATGCCCTCGGTGAACCAACTTCATTTGATCCTGGGACAGTAATTTATACGGCGCTGGACTGGCGAAGAATGTTCCTATGAGATGAGAAGCTCTGCTCGAAATCAAAGAGCTCGATGCGTGCTCTGTGCCGAGACTCAGCACTCAGCACCCCAGCCCTTGTGCAAAAGTGCCACAGACTACATACAAGGCAGAATTCCAGGCGGGCCTCGCGCCAATGCAGCCATCCTATGTTTCTGTGGAGAGAGAGGGAGTGTATGGTTCACTCAAGCAGCACTTGCAGGTGCTCTAGCCATGTTACCGGATTGGTCTATGGTTTCTAGGTCTTCAACAGGAGGAAGGGTGGAGGTCAGTTTCGAAAATCATTCGCGGTTTCTACAGTCGATCATTCTGACATATACTCATCCCAGGCTCTGTACATCTTAGATCGCGGTCGCATCTGCTACGAAAGGAACCGAGCCGACGGGACGCTCTATCCGAGAGAAGAGGACCATTGACGAGCGCTGGCATTCAGGACACCCTACAGGTCAATATTCCTTTCTATCGTTCGAGTTCATCATGTCATCCGCTCTGCGTTTTGGAATCGCACCAGCCGTGACAGCTACAACAGCGCCGCCGTGAGTCGCATGAGCAGGCTCGAGGAACGCCAGACATGATCTCCATCACCTATTCAGTCCATACTGATGGCTTGTGATCAGAATACCCAAAGCTCGAGAATGGGCGACGTCATATCTCGCCTCGAATCCCGAGTTGCCCCTCCTCGACCTGTCTCAAGGTGTACCAGGTGACCCACCGGACGAGACCGTCCTGGCAGCATTAGCCAAAGCATCGTCAGATCCTCGGTCTGCAAAGTATGGCTCTATTCTCGGAGAAATCGAGCTGAGAGAGGCTCTAGCAGAGGAATTCAATGTCCAGTACGGAGTGGGATCAAGCAGTAGCTCGTCAGGCCGCAAGAGCTCGAAATTGTCAGCACAAGACATTGGCATCACTACAGGCTGTAACATGGCCTTCCTCGTTCTCGTTATGGCTTTGTGTCCTCCTTCAACATCCTCTGTCTTGCTTCCTCTGCCAGCGTACTTTAATCACTCGATGGTGATGACCATGCAATCTGTCAAACCGCTCTATATCCCTTGCGAACCAGAGAGCGGGTTCAGACCATCGATTTCGGCAGCTCGTGACCATCTGGAGACGGCAAAGGGGCAATCTGAGGGGAGCACCAGGCCCCGTATGATCTGCCTAGTCACGCCGAACAACCCGACCGGAGCAGTGTATTCCCCTCGAGAGTTGGAAGATTGGTATGACCTGGCCAAAGAATTCGAAGTAGCTCTTGTGCTGGACGAGACATATCGAGATTTTGTGGATGGCCCTCCTCACCATCTATTCGATCGAGAGGACTGGCGAGAGACATTGGTGTCGTTGGGCAGCTTCAGCAGTAGGTTCGGCTCCTTGTATCAGCCGGGCCCGCTGAACACCCAACCCTCAGAGGGTTACAGGATACCCGGACATCGTCTAGGAAGTATCGTAGCTTCTCCCGATCTTCTCCGCCATCTCGCTACTGTCTGTGATTGTATGCAGGTGAGTAACAAGAGGCGCACTGTGACCCCATCCTAAATCCTTAATATGCAGATATGTGCACCCCGTCCGCCGCAGATCGCATTGGCCTCCCTCCTGCCATCTCTCCGTGTCTCTCTCACAGCTTCCAGCGTAGCGCTACAATCTCGTCACAGACTTTTCACAGAGATCATCACCTCAATCCCGGGATGGCAAGTCGTTTCGCAGGGTGGATTCTATGCCTACGTCGCCTTTCCAGAGGACTACAAAACTGCTTCCTCTGCTCTTGGTAGGAAGCGGAAGAGCTTGGGCAGTGAAGACGTTGCAAAGGTGCTTTCGCTACAGTGTGGAGTTTTGACGCTACCTGGGTCCTTCTTTTGCCCGAGTGGAGAAGAGCTGGAGGCGCTGGAAGGAGCTGGTACAGAACAATTGAGAGAGGACAAGTGGTTGAGGTGAGCGAATACGCAGTGTCCGAAGCGATCATCCCTCACGCCCTGGTCTTCTCAGATTCGCAATCGCTAATGTGGATGATGAGGCAGTGAGACAGCTTGGGCCGAGATTGCATAAGATGAACGGTATCATGGGTTTCGGGGAGGAGGTGGTGGTGGTGGACGATTGACTGTCGACACGGTCAGGGGAGACATGGACAAGCGAACAGTAGAAGTACATCCAGGATCGACAGAAGACGTGAGGCGACAGTGTCATCATGACTCTGTGGGCTGCTCTGTATTACCAGCTGTTGCTTCAGCTTGAGCCTGCTTCTCTAGCATGCGCCTGCGTTAAAATATGGTCAACATTGCCTTACACATAGACACGACGTCTTGCAACTCACCTTCTGGCCTCCAGGATCATCTTCTCTTTCCGTTGCCTTAGATCCATCTCCCTCTTCTCCTTGGTATCTTCCCATTTCCCCCCTGTGCTCGATTGCCTCTGCGAAGCCTCCTGCACAGGGCCCGCTTGACCACTAGCATCTTCATCTCCCACATGCTCCCTCTCTTTACCCTTCCGAGTCGGGAGTTGAGAAGAGAGTCCGTACCGTTCTATGAGGGATTGTTGAGGCTTTGAGCTAGCGTCGGATTTGCTCTGGGCAGACGATGGAACCGGTTGGGTAGAGGAGGGAGGCAGTAGTGAAGACGGGACCTCGAAGCTGGCTGGAGGCTGAAAGAAGCCGAGTAGAGTGAGCAGTCTGAGCAGAGGCAAACAGACAAAGGTGCAAAAATCCAAGGCGACTCACGTTCGGTAAGAATCCTCGTTCAAGTATCTCTTCAGAAGTCGCTTGGGCCGACCTGGTCTTTGATAGACTGTAGATGATATTAGGCGCTGGGATGTCTGGAAAGGCCGACTTGACCGTCTCAACCTGGGGTTTCATGTAAGCTCACGCATCCTATCAAAACTCGAGCTCACCATGGACAAGTTGACACCTCGGATACCAGTATTCGGAGTGCTCGATGCTGCACCCTCGCACGATCAGTGAGAGCTCGCAAGAAACGAATCATGAAGTAGTCGCAATGGGGACGATCCGCTCATACGAATGACTGACGATGTGCCAAGACACTCACCTCGCTTCGAGAACCACCTTACTAGAAGGTACAGCGTTCCAATGACCAACACAGACGTAATGATATCACTCCAAGGGAGGGCCATGATGCAATGTGATGAACGTCCGTGAACGAGTAGAGTGTCAAAGAGTCGATCGAGCCTTAAGGAAGCCTGGTGTCACCGGACAAGGTCCCTCCTTGAGCAGCTACAGGACGGTTCTCGCAAGTTCGAATAGCTTCTGTCTTGAACTCGTGTCTATGTCGATGCTGAATAGGAGGAATCAAATGGTTAAATCAGGATTCGGGGAATGAGCTCGACCTTTCTCCGAGGTTGTATTTTGACTTCATCTGATCCTCCTGATCGCAGCGAGATATATTCTAGGTTTGCACACGCGCAGTGACTGAGAAGCTACTGACAGATTCATGAGTGAGAGGAGTAACGTCAGGACCCTCTGATGACTTCTGTACCGAGTGCTGGTCATGCAGGCTCCTCACAGCGCTGTATCATTCGCGTGTCTCGGTGATACGCTGGCTCTCCCTGTCAGGTCTACTTCTCTCGTTTAGTCTCGAGATGGGATCTGATACGTAGCATGCATTGCGGTATGAGTATGCCATGAATACAAGTGGTTGGAGGGGATGCTCTGTTGAGACCCATCAACATAATGGACCACTGCAATGTCCACACAATCTCGGCGCTCTCCCTATCCGTTTCCCAAGATCAACTCTACAATGACGTACATGTTTGCAAGCACGATAATGGCAAACATGACGTACCCCAATACAGTGACCCACATTGGACTGGCATATGACTTTGTCCTTCGTACAGAGTCTAATCGAGGGACAGTAGCGGTGCCGTCAGATACGGCACGTTCCAGCGATTCACTGCCTTCAACTTCGCTCCCAATGATGCAATCGCTATCCTGTCGCGCACCTGCTGCGGGTCTTCGTATGGTAGAAGATGAATGAATGGAGCTCGCTGATCCGCTTGGTGAAAGTGTTTGTCTGAGAGCTGTGTTACGCGAAGGTCCAGCAGAGCTACTGGGTTCGACAGGAAGATCAAAGTTGGAATCCGAGCATGAAGGCGTCTCGACCGCTGTAGGTGAGATGTTCTCCTCGAATTCTGGGCCTTCAACCGTCATAAGGTCCTTGCGGGAGCAGAGATAGACCAATGGTAAGATGGCCGTCGGAAGAATGATCGAGAGGATGACTTGAGATGCGACGAGCATCGCATTGATGCCGTTGTTACCGATCGCAGCAGCGACAATGACCGACGGGATGACACCGATGAGTCGAGTGACTGCACGTCGCACCACGGGCTGCGGGATAGGTCAGTTTCCATCTGGTTCAATCAATTATCATGACTCACAGATGTCTTCCATTCTAAGAACCCCTCTGATACGACCTGGCCAGCGAGCGTAGCCGTGATGGATGCGCTTTGACCAGCCTGTCGCAGAGAATCAATCTTCCGGCCTGAAAACAGTTGCCGAACCACTCACGCAAAGCAAAGCGAGCGCAAAAATGATTCCAGACGCCGAGCCAAGATAGTTCACAAGCAGCGTGTGAGCACCTTGAAGACTAGAGTCCCCGCCCCGGTCGTTTCCGTAATAGAAGGCAGCCCCAGCCACGATGAGAATGGCAGAATTGATGATCATGGCGAAACCCATGAGACTTGCAGCAGTATCAATCTGAGTAGCGGGTAAGCTTGCTTTCAAAGGCCAGCGAGACCTTGTGACCTCACCTGGAAATGACAGAGATGAAGATCGACCCAGTTGATCCGATCAAAAGCTTTCAATTCCCGCTCGTATTCCTTCATCCGCATGTCAAAATCCGCATCTTTGGCTTCTTCCGTGTCTCGCGCCGAACGACCAACTTGGGTAGCGTCAGGTCGAGGCGATGAAGATGGACGACTTGGTCCAGCAAGCCCATCTAGGCCATCAGACAACTCAATCTCAGTCCTCTCGTTAGTCGACGTCTGAGTGTTTGCTCGCTTGAAGAGGGACGGTAGCTTGTACGTCCATCGAGTTTGTCGAGTCGGGGCGATGGGTAGCAGTCCAAGACGATCGACAGTGGCAAGCGATGTGCCGAGATAGAGTGCGTGGGGCATGACAGTGGCTACATTTAGTTATCAGTCCCACGTCAAGACGGCATGTCAAATAGACGACTGACCTCCGATGATACCAACACCGGTGTAGAGCGCTCCTGGCTGGAACAAAGTCTGAAAGACAGTGTAAGTGATGAGACCAGGGCATGCACATGCACTAGTGCTCACCTTTGACGGGACATATCCGAGAAAGACTTGTCCCCAGTCTGGCTTGACGAGGTGAAGTAGGACAAGATAGCTTGCAAAGACGCATAGGACCTGTGACGGGTCAGCCTGAAAAAGGTCGCCAGACTTCTCTCGTTTATAGCTCACCAAGGAGACAATGACGATTTCGAAAAAGACCATGCCTTGGCGCCCAGAATCAGACTTGAAGAATAGCAGTACGAGCAGAGTGTCCGAGGCTGTGATGAGGACACCGGCGTACAGAGGGAGCTTGGGGAATAATCTGAGGCGAGTCAGACGTGAGCAGAAATTCAGAAAGCCGCGAATGGACAGACGATTCCATGCTCAGGAGGTGATGTCTCGCTCCGCTCCCACTCACAAATTCAAAGCGATGGCGGTTCCCAAAAGCTCCGCTAAGTCCGTAGCGATGATAGCCAGCTCTGCACATCCATAGAGGAAATAAAGACATGCTCTAAGCCATCGTTTCCACCTGGGCCACTTTGCTTCCCATCGTAGGAATAATTGACGGGTTTGAGCAGGAAGAGAAGAGGATGTGACGGCACCTAGTCGAACGCAAAGAAGTTGAAGAACTGAAGCGCAAGGTATCAGCAAGACTCCAAGTGGGAATTGAGAATGGGAGGGCTGGGAAGCGTGTCACTCACCCACGGCTATGAGCCCTGCGAGTAGGACAATGAAGAGAAGCTTGTAGCCATAGTCTGCACCTGCTTGAAGATCGGTAGCCCAGTTACCGGGGTCGATAAAGCCGCATGCGATCTGTATGGACCAACAGCGGGGTAGTAGAGGAACAGTTGATAGGAGAATGAGATGATGGAAAGGGAGTGCGATCCGGACCGGAGCACCAGCAATGACAAGTAGGTGGAGTTCAGCAGCGAAAGAATGAATAAATGTCAGTTGAGGGGTCACAGCTGTTATTCCCTCGAGAGATGCTGCAGATAACTCACAACCAGGCCAGGACCGAGAAAGTGAGCATGACTGAATGTGCACAGGTCAGCTCGAAGGTCGCGTCAAACGCCCCGCTCAAGTTGGGGCCGACAGCTTTACGTACCGTTTGAAAAACGTCCAGACGTCTTGACTCTTGACTGTGGAAGGCATGACGCTGCTTATCCTCTTAATCTCAGCGAACCAGCGGTATAAGATCAATTGCAGCTGTTGAGGACAAAAGCTAAAACACTGTCCAGAGCGCCTCGGATAGTCCGTCGCCTGTCGTCGTCGTCGTTGATCTCTCGTTTGGGATGAATGGTACGATCGAACAAGTGTTTACCGTAATGGATTAGATCCGGCGGCCATTTAGAGTAAAAAACCCATTAGGGGAAAAAAACGTGCTCATCGTCGCCAATCTATTGCTGGACTGGGGTAATGTATTCTTGGACATCTCAGCCAGGCTCAGCGTAGGCGCCTGGATCAGAGAGCCTGAGCCCGTCGAGGCTGCAGGAGCATTTCAGTAGCTGAACCGGTCCATCAAAAGCACGCATGGCATGCGCATTCTAACGTCATCTATAATAATTGCAAGATTACCCCATAGCACATACGACTACTCCTGGACAACCTTGTCCTCGACCAACTGAGTCTCCACGACCTTGTTTTTCCCAGGAAGGATCATGGACGGAGGAAGGTGATCTACAGGTTCAAGCAAGGAAGCAGCGGATGATCGAGCATTTTGTTTGAGGAACATGCTGGTAGGTAGGTAGGTAGGTAGGTAGGTAGGTAGGTAGGTAGGTAGGAACGTCAGATTCCCATTGAGCTATGCTGGACCGCCTCGACTCACTCCATGATGACCAAAGCAGCCATCGTCTCAACGATGGGGATGGCTCTCGGTAAGACACATGGATCATGTCGGCCTTTGGTCTCGAGAACACCGGTGGATCCATCGTATTTGGCAGTGTTCTGTTGTTGAGAAATGGTAGCTGGGGGTTTGAATCCGACCCTATTCGCCACGAGCCGTCAGCAAGTTGTTGGTCTTGGCAAGTGGGGCAGCGGATCGAGTTTCGATTCCTCTTCACTGAAAGGCCCCACGCTTGGGACCCACCTGAAGTATACATCCTCTCCATTCGAGATGCCCCCTTGTGAGCCTCCGCTCCAGTTCGTTGACGTCCTCAATCTCTTTTGACCCGTCCGTGCATCTACACCATCCACAAACGGGTCATTATGTTGACTTCCGAGGAATTGTGTACCTCTGAACCCTGAACCGATCTCAAAGGCTTTGGTGGAAGGGATACTCAACATGGCATGAGCCAGGACAGCTTCGAGTTTGTCAAAGGCAGGTTCACCGAGACCCAAAGGGCAGTTTCGAATCACACAGATGATCGTCCCTCCCAAAGAGTCTTCTCGTGATTTGGCTGATCGGATGGCCTATAGGGGAAAGGTCAACGTTCTTCTAGGCCTTGCTTGCTTTGCAAACCAATTCGTCTGTGACTCCTAGGCACCGACCCACTCACATCGGCAATTTTGTCACTTGTCTCGCGATGAGGACATCTCGTCAACTCCTTATCCACCTGTTCTCTCGTTGTGGTTCTCAACAATTCTACGAATTCCTTTCCCAAAACTTCATCCTCTCCCTGGGCAAATGGAAGTTCCACTTTGCCCACGCTAGCGACAAAAGCGACAATTTCCACTCCGGCAGCTTCCTTGAGATATTTTTCAGCAATGGCTCCAGCGGCCACTCGTCCAATCGTCTCTCTTGCAGATGCTCTTCCTCCACCTGAAGACGCTTTGATACCGTACTTCGCAAGGTAGGTGTAATCAGCGTGCGACGGTCGAGGATACAGATCAGTCTCGGCGTAATCGTGTGGTCTTTGATCTTTGTTATGCACCAAAAGACCGATGGGTGTACCGAGCGTGACGTTGTGTTCTGTACCGCTTTGCAAATGAACAGTGTCGAATTCGGATCGCTGGAAAAACCGTCGACACAGTCAGTCTCAAGTAATTGGGCACTTTTCGTCGGCCACCAGAGGGAAAAAGGGGTAGCGAGGCTCACCGCGGTAGTCAGATCACTCTGACCTGGTCTTCTCCTGGACAATTGTACTTGAATATCCTCCTCGGTCAACTTGAGTCCCTTCGTAGTAGAACGTCAGTCCTGCTTCCACTCCAACTCGTGACATCACACTCACAGGTGGACATCCGTCAATGATACATCCGACCGATTTGCAATGACTTTCACCATAAGTATGGACGCGGAAAAGGTCTCCAAAAGTCGACATGATGTGTAGATGATTGCTCTATCAGTCCCCTGGGAGCAATACGATGTAGATGGTATGGGTGAGCTGCCTGGACCATTCGAAATGTCGAAATAATCGGACTCGATCCGACCCGCGGAAGCAAAAAAGTCGGGGCGAGATCCTTACAATGCACTTACTGCATCCTACCCTTGCATCCTACCATCGACACACAGGAAGGAAGAAGAGAGACTGCAATACAAGTCTCTCAGCTTACCTGGACTCTCCTACTAGTGCTCTTGTATCATGGCCAGACCCGGCCAAAATGCGGCTCGTAAACGACGAGCAGCCCAAGCTGTCGATTCATCCTTCGAATCGGATGCTGCAGGTTCTGGGTCGGAGGATGAGGACGGTGGAGGAGGGCATGGCATAGAGCCGTACAAGGGCAGCCAAGTGCTACCAGTAGCGATGATCGATGAGGATTGGGATGGGGAAATCTTGGATGGAGCGACGTATCTGGGAGTAGCGAGGTGAGTCCTGTGCGTGATCAGGGATTCGGTATTGCTTTCGAGAAATACGAGGGTCGCTGGACTCAATGAGTCGCGATGCCATCAGCTACTCTTGAGACTCCATGATACTTGAACGCTGCCGTTTGAACCCCCTGTACGGACTCATGCTGACGTTCTGCTTTCAGTCGAGACAATGCCAAGCTGCCGAATTTTACTCGAGCGGCCTACGTATCAGCTCCCGTCGCTGCTGTCGTTGACCATCCGGAGCGCACGGAAGCGGGTCCATCGATACAACGTCATCCGGCTCTACCAAGAGAATCTTGGGAAGTCCTCTTTCCCATCCATTTTGTGAACTACAAGAAAGTGAGGTCGTCTCGTTTGCGCTATCTGTAAGCCGGTTTTCCGTTGGCTAACCCGTTCACTCTCTCTCAGCATATTCTCTCATCCTGGCCTCCGTCTCCTCTGCCTCCTTATGCATCCGACTACCCACCGATACCAAATACCATGGATAGGGCGGATCTCATGGGATTCATCAATGGGTATCCTCGAGCTCGAAAGAAAAGAGAACAACCGCCAGACGAAGAGGAGATGTTCAACCTTCCAGTGAGGTCTAACTCGGCGGGACTGAGTGCAACGTCCGAGCTGGAACCTGAGACCTCTAGACATAGAAAGAGAGATCCGACAGTGTCCATCTTGAGCCGTTTCAGTAATGTGAGTTGGACTTGTCTACTTTCCGAAAAAAAGAAGTACATCGTTTGCTGACTGTTTGTGCCAGAGTCAGATGATCGCCGCTTTACGTCGGATAGCGGCGGTCATTCAGTTCAAGCTCGACAATGTGACGCCGACTCTCCAGCTGCCAGTCATTCCAGAACAATACACCACCTTGCTTCCGACGCAACCCGCTTCATCGGATTCGGATTCGGATTCAGATACAGACTCTGATTCGTCCTCCGATTTGGATACCTCGCCCTCAACGTCACCTCCGGCCGTAAAGCAGGCTGCCGTGAGCAATGGTCACTATCCGACCACAACGCCTAGGCCCAGTGCGGTTGCCAATCCACTCCCATCCCATCTTTCAAAATGGATCTTTGCTCTCCTTCTTGTGATCGATAATCAAATATCAGGCGAAGAGACATATCAACTCCGAGAACTAGCACGCATATTGATCAAAGTCGCAGCTTGGCGATGGATAGAAGGCGTAACAACCGGCGAAGTAAAGGATGGTCATGTGTTTGGTCAAGGCAGGAAAGATAGACTCCAGGCCATGCCGTTGCACGGAGTATCATCGTCTTCGAAACAGCGGTTGTTCGATACTCTTGCCAATGACGATCCGTCAGCTGATGAGTCAGATGGGAGCGATGAGACCTCTGTAGATGGCGTTTTGACTCGTTGTTGGATCCTTGTATATGCCATTGCGGCTGGATGGAGTCAACGGGATCTGTTGGATGATCTCAGAGGGACATTTACGTAGGTGTCCAAGGCGACAGGCAGAACAGTATCTGTAGTCAGCTGGATGGCTTGGTTCTGTGTTTCAGGAACTCTTCAATGCTTATTCAACATGTAACAACGGTGTATGTAACCTTACAGCTGATCCATGTCATCGATCGACCACAATGTGAACTTCGCCACGCCGGATTCTCCGCGTACGCGGACCACTTCTCCCCACTCCGGCCCGGTCGATGCACCCCATACTGTTATTGCCTCCTACGTGCACTTTGTCGAGTCATTGCTCGCAAGGGTCCTTATGGATCAATCCTCTCCAGTCTCCTGAACACGCAGCTTACGGCCTAACGCTCTCATGGTGCATCTCGCACAATCAGTCATGGCGGCCACGATAGCCGGGACCTTGTCTCAGCAGAGCACGACATCTATGCCTCAAGCTAATATCCCAGATGACACAGGTCTATCTGGGTGGCTCCGATACGCTCAAGTCTCACCATCATCAAGCATGGTATCGTGTAATGTGCCACGATCTCTGTACATGATTGGCGATTCTGATACATCGTCTCCGCTCTTCACTGCAGGCATTGAGCTTCAAACGGCATTTCGATCCCTGTTCAGTGTGGAGCTCACGGTGGTAAATACCGATCCACCACCCATTGAGAATGCGTCTCGAGTGATCGTTGGGACGATTGACGCCTACACCTCTCGATTTGGTCCTCTGGGCAACTCGACGCCATTGCTTGACGATGGCTTCTTTCTCTCCCTCAGTGATTCGCTGAACCTCATCATCGGGTTCAACGAGCGAGCAGCGCTATACGGAACCTACGAGTACCTCTCTCGCCTGTCCATGGGGAATCTTTCCGGTGTGGAGATAGTTCAGAATCCCACTCAACCCATTCGATATGTCAACCAATGGGACAATCTAGATGGAAGTATAGAAAGAGGATACGGTGGATCTTCCATCTTCTTTTCGAACGGCACGGTGGTCGAGGATCTGTCCCGAGTGAAAGCTTACGGTCGACTCCTCTCGAGCGTCCGATTCAACGGTCTCATCGTGAACAACGTCAATGCTCAGCCGGGTATCCTGAGCTCTGCGAATATACAAGGTCTCACGCGGATAGCCGATACCCTCAGACCATACGGTATACAGATAGGTATCTCGGTCAACTTTGCGAGTCCTCGATCTCTCGGAGGCCTCTCTACCTTCGATCCCCTCGATCATGGCGTCATCTCATGGTGGAACGACAAAATGGATGCAATATATAGGTCCATACCTGATTTCATCGGACTCGTCGTCAAAGCCAACAGCGAAGGGCAACCTGGTCCATTGACTTACAATCGAACCTTTGCAGACGGTGCCAACATGTTCGCTCGAGCTCTGAAGCCCCATGGTGGTATTTGCATGTTTAGAGCTTTCGTGTATACTTCTGTGCCCTGGTCAAACATCCGAGCAGACCGAGCGAAACAGGCGGTAGAATTCTTCGCGGGTCTCGATGGACAGTTTGACGACAATGTGGTCGTTCAGATCAAGCATGGTCCGATCGATTTTCAAGTCGATGAACCTCCGAGCCCGCTATTCTCACAGTTGACAAAGACGAATATGGCGTTTGAGATTCAAGTCAGTCAAGAGTACACAGGTCAACAGAGTCATTTCGTTTACCTCGCTCCGCTGTGGAAGAAAGTGTTGGAATTTGATATGCAAGTCGACGACATGCCTTCATCCTTGGTCAGGGATCTCGTCAGTGGAAGCATCACCCGAAGACCGCTTGGAGGTTTCGCAGTGGTGGTGAATGTCGGATCGAATGATACGTGGTTAGGGTCTCATTTGGCCATGATCAACCTTTATGCCAGTGGGAGACTCGCTTGGGACGCGTCACAATCGGCCGAGACGATCGCCGAAGATTGGATACGCCTCACATGGGGTTCCGGGTCGAGATGGGTGCAGACTCTTCGTGACATGGCAATGGACTCTTGGGAGGCGTATCGGAATTATACGGGTGTGCTTGGAACACTATCGCCAAACGACGCATATACTCACTACGGACCCAATCCTGATACTGTGGATGGTCCCGCCGGGTCGAGATGGTTCAGAGCGACTGCCACTGGCGTAGGGATGGATCGAACCGTCCGTACTGGAACCGGCTTTTCAGGTCAATATCCGCCTCGCTTGGCAAACATGCTCGAATCTATCGATACGACCCCAGAAGATTTAATCCTTTTCTTCCATCATCTACCATACACACATCGATTGACATCGTCCGCAGGTGGTCAGACAGTCATTCAGACCATATACGATGCCCATTATGCCGGTGCAGATCGAATACACCAATTTGTGAATCAGTGGCGTTTACTCGGAAGGGCAACAAACGGAACGCAAGGTGGTGGTGGCACTTCAGGTGGCACAGCTGCTGGTGGTGGTGGTGGCGTCGTTCGATCCAGTCAGATGGTCGACGAAAACAGGTACACATCTGTGCTGAGTCAGTTGGAATACCAAGCGGGTCATGCGATCGTCTGGCGAGATGCCATGGTCAAGTGGTATTTGAACAAGTCAGGTATTGCAGATGAGGTGGATCGATCGGATGGATCGTACAAGATCGAAGCGACCAGTATGGCGTCTATTCCAAGCGGGTCCTATATTCCTTATACTGTCAAACCATGGTTCACCTCGAGTTCCGGGAAAGCCATGGTACTCGGTTCCAACGGGACAGGGTCACTCTACACATTACTGGATTCCATACCTGATGGGATCTATGATGTCAGTGTCAACTACTTTGATCTGTCTACCGGTATTTCGAATTGGCAGCTCTATCTCGGTCCGATGGGAACGGAAATGGCTGGACAATGGATGGGCAATACCGAATTTACACACAGTCACGTCTCTTCGCCATACTTGGATGGTCATTCCGCCACTCGAAAGACGTTCAGAGGGATAAGGATCAAGCGAGGGGACACGTTGAAGATCAGTGGCCAGTCGGGAGCCAGTGGAGCTAAGGGAGACCCTGCACCGATAGATTATGTCTTGTTAAGTCCCGTCGAAGCTAATAATGCAGTGACTGACTGATTGCCTGATTGCCTGACGGACTGACTGACTGACTGAATGATTCCCGTAATTGACATAAAATGCTTCAGGCACGCGTGCGCGCGAAGAAGGGAATAAAAATGATAATCAAAAAAAAAATGTCGACAATTTTTAGCAAACACCGCGAGTCTGTGGGCTTCAAAGCTGAGGGGGGTGGGGAGGGCTATCATATAGAGTTGTAGCCCTTTTTGTCACTCCCGCAGATGTTCTGGACGTGTATGTCGGGGCTGGGTGGGTGGACATGGGTTATGAGCCATCCAAACGCGTGCAGTGCATCACAGAGAATCGTCCAAACCCCCTTACCACAGGAACCCGTCGATCGATCACCGGTCCAAAGAGCCTTCTGGGGTGTCTGGGGGGGAGGGGAACGCCATTTCTGAGAGACGCTTCCATTTCTCGGCGTTTGACGATATGGCGTGTCAGATGGGCTGAGATGGGATGGAATGGGGGGATGGGGGATGGAGGGGGATGCGAGCAGCAATTGTAGCCGTCGTGCCTTGATAAAGTGGTTTCTGTGGCAGATGAAACCCCAAGTGTCCAGTCAGGCTAGGCTGGGCTGAGAGCTGAGCTGGGGAGCTTGTGACGCGTAAGTACGGAAGCATGAGACGATGAGCTAAGCTCAGGATCTGAGATTGATCGACGGCGTCCAGGCGAGAGAGAGAGAGAGAGAGAGAGAGAGAGAGAGACGGAGTGCGGGAAGGAGAAGGAGTGTAATGCCTCTTTTCCCTGTCATTTTTTCTGTCCAGCTGACAGCCCCCCTTCCCTGGAAAAGAGGCGGCTTCCAATCGAGAAGGGCTGAACTTCAGCTGCTGTATGTACTGTATGGCTGCTGCTGCTGCTGCAGCTGCTGCTTCTGCTGCTGCTGCTGCTGCTCCTGCCGGTGCTCCTGCCGGTGCTCTTGCCCTTTCCTCTCTTCCCTAATGGAAGTGATTCCAACCCTCAGCACTCACTCGTTCACTGCTTCATTCAGCTCTCCCCAATCTCTGCTCTCTCACACACTTTAATAATAATAATTTCATTAAAAACTCAAAAAAAAAGAGAAGAAAGAGGTGAAAATCCCCTCCCCCCGTCATAAATCGGCTGAGAAGCAATAGCAGCGACAGGGCTCGGGGGACAGCAGCGAGCGAGCGAGCGAGAGAGTAGCACCTAGTCATTCCTCACTGGGAGGGTTTCCATCCAAGTCAGTCTCACCACGACAAACCTCCTTTCTGTCCATTTGATCATCCTATCCTTTCCTCAAAAGTCCTCCGACAGTTGGACCTGACATCATAGTCAAGTCTCGACCTCTTTTCCAAACAGCAGCTGGTGGTGTCCCGTCGGAAAAACTTGGGGCGAGAAGAGACGAACCGTGCAGTCTTTAATTGCATTTGCGCGTGTGACAGAGAGCTGCTGCTGCTGCTGCTGCTTGGCTGCTTGCTTGCCTGAGGAGAAGCGTGGTGGGATCAATCCATCGCACAGACTCATCGAGGGGGGAAGCAAAGCCTGGTTTGTGGGTGGATGGTATAGAGAGACAGAAGGTCGACATCATGGTGTATTGAGGCGGCGACATTTTGTCTTCCAAGGTGATCAATCGAAAGGGAGGGAAGGGGCTCGACAGCAGAAGCGAAGTGAAAGGGAGGGTCAAGGCAATTTAGGAAAGAGAGTGAGCATGAGACCATCTTATATCCCATCCAACCTCTCTCATCGTGATGGATCATGACGGTAATGGTGGGGAGCGTAGTTGATCCTCCGCCTATGGGTCCATCACCCATCCACCATCCATTATCCATAGTCCATCTCCTCCTCCTCCTCCTCCTCCTCCTCCTCCTCCTCCTCCTCCTCCTCCTCCTCCTCCTCCTCTTCCTCCTCATCTCCCACAAATCCACCCTTCACCAGTATCTCTTCTGACCTGTATCCATCAGCTACGCCCGTCCAACTCCATGGTAAAAGTCTAGGTTCAACACGAATCGCTTTCCATCCCCTCTCATCGTTCGACGCGACCAGGTCTTTGACCCGCTCAACGCTTCACCTTCTCAATCATGCGCAACTCTCAGCGCACTGAAGAGGAAGAATCCTCGTCATCATCATCATCTTCGTCGTCATCTTCCTCCACCCCCATCACGCGCACGAGTCACCGCGTGGGCACATTCACTCTCGCATTCGTCTTTACCCTCTGTCTCCCCTACGTCTCTTCCTCTCCTCTTCCCGAACCTTTACCTTCCCCGACTGCCTCGTCTAGATCTTCTGACTTGCTCTCAAACGCCCTGTCTTCCGCGGCCAGTCTCACCCGGTCCCTCCTCGCGAGATCTCCGGACCCAGGCGGAAGCGATCCAAGCATCGTTGGAGACCTGTTCGAATCGCTTTACGATGGTCCCACTTCCGACGATATCCTTGGACCCATCATAGCCGTCGCAAAGATCGATTCTCAAGGTCTCTATCACGTCCCTCCCAATTTCATCATCCTCCATCAACGCTTCAACGCCGGATTCATCGTCCTCTCTTACGCTATCGCTTGTGTAGGATCATTGTGCACGTTAGAGCTACTCATCCGACGAACGACCAATATAGGATGGCGAAATCGAGTCTTGTTGACCGCCGCTGGATTCACCTTTGGCGCCGTCTCAACCTTTGCGATGCACTTCATCTTCAACAACTCGCTATCCCTCCATCACCCATTAAAACCTCTCCAGTATCCTTCTCTTCATCTCGCCTACTCGCCAGGCTATACCATCTTATCACTGTGCGCGAGCTGTTCCGCCATGACTATGGCCTTCTTCGTCATGGGTACAAGTCTACAAGATTGGTGGTTCCTCCCTTGTGTTGGAAAACGAAGACGACGACCGGATGGATCCAGCTACAAGTCGCCGTCCAAGACGTCCATCTCATCCGGCAAGTTCTCAGACAGATCAAGCAAGCGACACGGTTCCAGTGTTGAAAAGTTTTTCCGTCAAGCCGGCAGCGTCGCCAAATGGTCTCTCGTTCAACCGATGACTGACGATGTGGACGGGATGGACCAATCCAAATGGCAGAAATGGCGAAGAGGGTCCAAGGAGAAAAAGATGCAGGAGAAACGTAGGTCTTGGGCCGGTTATACAAATGGAGAAAGCACAGAAGAATTCGTAAAGATCAATGGGGAAGCTACACCTTTGGGCGACGTACCGGCTCTCGCTCGGTCACCACCCTTGGAATTGGTAGACTCTCGACACAGTGATCAAGAAGTCGTCACGTCTCAAAGACCACCGGACATGTCTTTGTTCACTCCAGGGTACGATTTCGGCGGTTCTCCCGAGGCTCAACGAATGGATCCAGATAGCAGTCTGCAGGAAACAATGGGTCCAGTCAGTCCGACATCTCCAGACGTCTTACTTCCAGCGTCTCCCCGAAAATACCCGCCCTTCTTCGTTCCCGATCAACCAGTCAAGAAAAAGCCTGTCCCGCCAGTCTTGCCTAGACGAGGCTCTCTACCTGTCTCTCCCACACTTGCCCGGACTAATTATCGTCAACAATTGGCGCTCACCAGAATCTCTTCTCTCCCGGAAGTCGATATGGAAGTCACGTCCGCCTCGTCAAATCGATCATCTCGTCAGACTTCAGCTCCAGCTGTGCCTCCCCGAGGATCCTCGACCATCATCTCCCCACGGCAATCATCATTGCAAGAATCATCAGCTCAGCCCGTAGACGTCAGGGATCGTGTGGTACAACGCAGGACATACTCGAAGATTGAGCAATTCTTCGGATTGGACGTCATCAATCGAGTGGAAATGGTCAAACTATGCATCACAGGCTGTATCGCAGGTTTTGGTGTGGCTGGCATGCGTGAGTGAACAGAAGACAGTGTATTGTGGTGACGTACAGTTGACTCTCGGACGCAGACTACATTGGTCAACTCTCCATCGTTGGCATTCCTTACATCGCCTACAGAGTGCCCTACGTCATTGGCTCTGTCATTATCGCATGTGGAGCGGTCACCATCGCCTTGTACATCCTCTTCATCATGCTTAGGCCAAAGTTGAAGCACACTTGGGCGGCAAAGATCGTAGTCGCTGCCATCTTGGCCACTGCCGTCTGCGGTATGCACTTCACGGGTGAGCCTTCCATTTTCTGAATATTCCTCTGCTGACAGTCAATCAGGCATGATGGGGACGATCTACGGTTGGCGTATCCACGACAAAATTTCCACCGTGGCTCTTCTTGAAGGCACTAACCGCGCCATTACTGCCATCGTCGCGTGTCTCGCTTTCGCAGCTTGTATCGCTTCGGCCGTCTTCTTCCTGCTCCACTCCCTCAAGCTCAGACGCGAACGCGCTCGTCGCCGTAGAGTTGTTGTCGCTGCCGTCATGATGGATCAAGAGGATCGAGTGCTGGTCAATTCGACGGATGGCATGTTGCCAATGTGTGATATTGCGAACCTATCCGGAGGCGTAGCGAGAGAAGTCCCCAGCTCGAAACGGAGTCATTCTGGACTTTCCGGAGGAGACAAGTCGACGAGCTCGGGAGGATCAGTTCTTGGAATGGATTTGTCCCCAGGACACGAGGCGTTTGTCAGTGCTCTCAAGCTCACGTGGTCTTGGCGACATTCGCTCGGCCTCAGTCCGGATAGAGAAAAGGAAGCTATCAAGGGTCATGCCCACTCGGTATCCGTGACAAGCGCGTCCGCTGTACCGGCACCGACGCCCAACGGAGCTGAGGAAAGACGACCGTCCACCGTGACTGAGACTAGCTCAGCTCTGACGGGTTCACCCAAACCGACGTCTTTGTCCGCATCAAAGTTCCTGGACAAATTCGCGTCGTCGACTCGGGAGCTAGCCACTGCGCTCAACGGTCAATCGACGCCCCTGTCACACCTTGGAGTATTGTATGATCAGATTCTGACGACTGGATGGGTCAAGTTGAACAACTCGAATGATACCGTATCGAAAGGACAATTGATCTTCGTCGTTCGTCGAGTGCAATCTGATATCGAGCAGAATGCCTTGCTCACACGTCAATTCATCTTTGCCGATCCTCAAGCCGTCGCTGCGACATTGGTCAAAACACTCAGTGTGCCTTTGGATCACGCCACGCCCCTCTTGGCTGACATTCGACGATTCTGCGATTCGACGATCCGAACGGTGCCTACACCAGGTAAAGTCTATGCTGGTGTGGCGATCGTTCAAGCGACACCATTTGATGGCCTTCGAGTCTTGTTGGAACAGGGCCACAGGGCCCAGCTTCCCATGCGGGAGATCTGCTCCATTGACCCCATTCAATCACCACCTGCGCTCGCCGCTTCTTCTTCAATCCCGACATCGCCCATGGATCCTGAGAAACGGTTCTATCTCGACGATGAATTGACTGGAACGGTGGACCAATTGGGCGAAGCCATTACTTGGTTGGACGGCATGTCCCTCATGGCCATCATGACGCGCAATATGAACATGTCGAACAAGCGAGCATCGTCCTCGTCCTCTATCGACGATCATCTCGGTGGACCACGCGTGACCAAACTCCTTCAAGCTCTCGAACGAGCCATCGTCCCAATGTTAGATGACATGCTCTCGCCGGAAGATATGGCTCATATCTTGCCGAGATTGTACCTTCACCCTGTGCTCGTTCCTCTCACTCCGGGTCCCACATCACCTACCTCGACGTCAGGCTATGTCCCACCTTACATCGTGGTCTTTTACGCCAACTATGACGCAGCAGTCAACACATTTACAGACAAGTGGCTCCCTTTCACATTATTCAGAGCCCAAAACGCTTGCGTCATGGCTCAGAGTATAGCAGTGGCTCAGGAGAGAATCGACCCGCCTGCAGCGGCTCCTACCCCTTCCTTTGGTCCCGGTTCGACGAAATTTGACTCGCCACAACCGTTGTCTACTCCATGGTCACCTGAAGCTCCTCCCGCTTTGAACCAAGACATCTTTGCGAGACGACCCAGCAGAGTTCAATTCGATATGAGTCCTCCTACTATCAGTCCTCACTCGGCTCATGTGGCTCTACCCAATGGGAACGCCACCGCCGCCCTGGTGAACGATGATACTGCCTCGACGACCTTCCAAGGCTTTTCGTTCCCTCCCAAGGAGGCTATTCCGAAACGGAGACAGAGTCTTCCAGGTCCCATGGCAACGCCTCCAAAAGGAAGGAAATCCTCCTTCACATCGACGTCGCCACACGGTTCAGCTGGTTCAGCTGGTGGTTCTGCCTCTGGTGGTTCATCAGGTTCAGGCTCCAAATCGAGCTTTGAAGAACGATTACCTACGTCGCCCATCTCACCTATGTCGGGCCACCATACCAACGGTACCGTCACTTTACCTCGCAAAAGCAGTCTCGCTGCGAAATCCCGATTCGACGATAAAGATCTCGTGGAGACGCTTGGCGTAGGGTACTGGGACCCAGATTGGTTGTTGCTCTTGTTAAGAACGAAATTGAGAGCAGAGGCGTAAGAGGGGAGAGAGGGAGGGCCAGCTGTGGGCGGCGGATCCGCCGGGCGCCGGAGATTTGAGGGGTATGAGCGACCGACTTGAGACCACCTTGTGGCAACACTCGCAGCTTCGTCAACGCATTGGTTGATCATCCCGCACGCACAACTGTATCATCTCGACCCATTCTCTATGACTTTTCTTTTGGCCTTTCCCAGTACTCTTTTTGGACGACTACTGGACTATCTCCTGCATCACCTGCCACCATGTTGTATCTCTACTTTATGGCGCTTTCAACATTGAAGGATCCCTCTTCAATTGACAACACTCTAATTTCTTCCTTAGAACAAACATCTATTCGCCTTCTTTTACCTCGTTCATCCTATTACTCCTCTCTCTCCCTCCCTGCTCTACACTCTCACCCATATCTTGATATCTTTTCAGTCTACATGATTCCAGTCTTGAAGTACTTTAGTCAGAAGCATTAGGGAAAAATGCTCTCTCTCTCTCTCTCTCTCTCTCTCTCTTTCTCTCGCTCTCCTCTAGTGTGGACAGTAATCCTCTCAGACAAAGAATGTGCAATGCATACATAGCTGTGACAAATCGATCAATCAATCGTGCGAGTTGTTCACCTAAAGGGCCGGCCGGGCCATGATACGGGTCGCCTCGCCTCGCCTCGCCCTTCACTACCTTGTCATCCGAGTGTACGCAGTCCTCCTCGAATCGTAGTGGATAAACTTGTAGGCTTTAGCCCCGTTTTCTTCGCCCAGGATCTCGATCAATCGATCACGACTCGACTGGATAAACTCGCTTATACTCTCCACATGCTTCATGACGTGTCTGCGAATACAGGAGGTTTCAGCAAAAAATACACGTTTCAAAAGGGGTCTCCAAAGTGTCCCCAAACGACGATGCACGCACCTCAGATTATGTCCCGAGACACCGGGTATAGACCTCAACATTTCTACACTCGTCGCGTTCTCCACGCTCTCTTTCAATGAGCGATCATCTTCTAGCCCTGAATGCCCTTTTGACATCGCTGCCATTTCATCCGGTTCACCATGATTCAACTTTAGGTCCGAGAGGATCTTGACGCTCTCGTGAGGTGAGGAGGACCAGATGATCCGAAGCGTCGGGAATGAGAGAACGAGTAGGGCAAGCTTTGATTGAAGATAATTTTGGTCCCATGTCTCTTCTTGAGGTTGATTCCGGGATGAAACTTCCCTCCGGCTGTCCTCGCGGGTCTATAGGAAGAATAAGAAGGAATGACGCGGGAAGAGAGAGAGAGAGAGCGGTAGAGATATCGCCACGACGACTCACTCTTAAGCCATATTTGTCCTCTTCAAATTCGATTAGAAGAATGCAAATAGCATAATGAGCCGTCATGGATTCGCACTGAGAATGCCTAGAGGAGAAGAGCCAAGCCCCAGAGTTTCAGTGACGAGGTTCACGGATGAGCTCTCTACACCACGTACAGTCGTCCATTGTTGATACTCGCTTCGAGATCCGGTAGCGCCTTCCGTTCAACGCACATGTCAGGAGACAAGATATAATCACCGACTGTCAAGGTCAGAGGTACCACTTTGATCCCCGCAGAATCGATCAACGAGGGAAGTAAAGCGCCCATCTCTCGAATGTCCACGATGATCTGATTACCACGTTCAGAATACTTTGAAAACCGGCAACTCACCCTAGCGTCCTGAGCAGCTTCACCGCCCCCTGCGTTCCTCGAGGAATAAGTCGTCTTGGTTCGAGAGACGCTATCCCGCATAGGAGCACGCGGATCATTGTTATATATAGGTATGACCAAGCTCTATGTGATCGGCATGAGGCGACATTGACAGGCCTGACTCACCTGACGGTCCTCGATAAGCTTTTTAAACGCCTCTGCTTCCCGTTGCATAGTGGACAGAAATCTGTCTTCTTCAAAAGAGTTGGTATATGTCATCTGATAGACACGTAGCGCGAGTCCGGGATTACAATTCTTGTACACCTACGTTGAGGGTTCAGCACACGGTCGACATGTATAATCTGCCACTTTGCAGCGGCCTCACTTCGAGACGACGTATAAACGCCAGGTTTGGCTCGTACATGATCACAAAACGCGGCCGAAGTTCTTGCAATAAGATATCATCATCTTCACCTCCATATGGTCGAATGATGACGGCGTCCTCGGGAGGTAATAATCCATATTCTGTATCAAAGTCTTCCGGCATCAAGCCACGCTCAGATAGCCATCGGAGGGTGCTGGGGTCCAAGTCTTCCTCTTCTATGATTCCGGCTCGAGCCATGAGTGAGCTACTTGGGTCGATCACGATGGAGGAGGGTGTCGTCGGGAGTTCAGAACTTGCGGCTGAATGAGAATGACCATTCGTTGCTTTCGACCTGATGACCATTGAGTCATTTCTAAACAGCGCGAGGGTCTACGCGACTCACGACTCGCCGAGAGCCCATTGCATCTGCGCATCCTCGGTACCGCCTGCAAAAGCCGAAGAGTTCCTCATGATGGCCTCTTTGTGCGACCTGAGCATCGGCCGGTCAATTGCATATCTTGACCCTTTGCAAAACCCACATTTCCTGTTCTTGAGCCGCTCGCCTCCCAACAGCTTCAGCACCGCCTCGTAATCTCCTTCTCTTGTAACTCGGTACACCGCGTCCTCTCCCACGAGATTTATAATCTCTCAGACCGGCATCCTTCAATCGCTTTTCCTCCATTTCACCAGCTTTAACCCTGACTTCATCCCCTCCCGCTCCATGATGCATCTTGGAAGGGTTTGACAATTTCTCGCCATTCTTCTCATGTTGCCAGTTGCTCAAGAAAAGAGTCTCCATCATTTTTCGGCCGGCTTGGGGTCCAAATGGAGGATCGTTCTTCATCATGGTCGTAAGGTACTGTCTCAGCTGTAAACACGTCCGGTCGGAAGAAGTCATGATGAGGACGATGTTTGTCCCAGGTGCATCTGCACGGGTCAGCGGACAATGTCCATGGGTTGAGCGACCTCACCCGCATGACTTTCGGACACCCTCGCAATGGTATCTTCAATTTCCTTGAGGACTCTCGCGAGGAGGCTCCACTTTGGCTGTTCCTCCAAGATTGGTTCGTGGCCTCTCCGCAATCTCTTCCTGACGCTGTGTGCGAGGTTCTCCTCGAGACCGAAAGCAAGCGGGCGGAAGACCGGTGGTGCTTCACTAGGCACAACTTGAAGTGGCTCCACATCGTCTCCAACTGGCATCAAAGCATCATCATCGTCTTCGTCTTCGTCGCCATTCATGTTCTCCACCCCATTTCGAGGCCCAGATGGTCGAATCGTTTGCGTCTGAGTCGCAAATGTCTCCATGACATTCACATCGTCGAGATCTGATTGATCCTCTTGGTATCGAGCCGGATCAGGACCTGCTTCGACAGCTTGTAAAGCCGCTTCGTCATCGGCAAATTCGTCAGGAAGGTCGACTCCACCGGCCGCTGCGTCAACTCCAATAGCTCCTTCTGAATCTTTCTCTGGCTCGGGCGTATTGTCCATCGTCAATGACTTTCTCGACACCCGAAGTTGAGATGACTCCACGAGCAGAGCCGCAGCTTTGGCATTGAACCAATCGTGAACGTGTCTCGCGGCTCCGGTCGACAGCTTTTGAGCGTTGAAATGTTGGCGTTGGAGGGTATTGATGTAGGAAGCAAACGTCGCCGAGTCATACTCAAGCAGCCACCTGATAATTTAAGCAAACTTACACTATGGGACGGCGCAAGCGCTGCTCACGTATGCAGATTTCTCAATTCTGTCAAAGAGCCTACATGAATCTTTGTTTTTGCTCCGACCTTGTGCCATACCGGTTTGAGTCGCTGTCGAACGAGCGTGTCGAAGTTTTTAAACTGGGCGTTCCGCACGTTGAGGTCCTCCAAGTCGAGATTCTAAGCGACGATCAGCGAAATTTTATCCGGTCCACGGAGACGAATGGTGTAGCCCACCAACGAATGATCTCTCTTGATCTCCACCAACATGGCCTCCATACATTCCGTGATGGAGTCCTGACATTGCCTCATGAGCTCCGTCATGGGCTGGTACATCTCAACGACCTCTGCTGTGCGCGTCGCCAGAGCCGTCTTGACTGCTTCGTTGTACCTGAGGGGGACAAGGGTTTACAACTTTGAAACCGATTGTTGACTTGACTGCCACACTCACCTCGGCCAGATCATCACGCTCCTCATGTTGAGGTTGACGAGCATGTCTCTTAGCGGGGAAATCCCATGAGCGAATTGTACCGGCTCATCGGAGAAGGCTTTACAGAATCCGCTCTAAAAAGATGTTAGGATGAGTGGACTGTAAGACTGGCTGTCGATTGACTCGCCTGATTTTCTCTCCTGTAAAGACGGACAGCGAATTCTTCCTGACTCCCGTGGGATACTCTGACGTCAAAGAGCACATTAGCATCTGTGCGCTGTGAGGTGGAATGCCTGCCTACCGCTCCGCATGCAGGATGACCAGGCCAGTGATGAGTTTCGCTGGGACAGTCCCACGTAAGAAGTCGTGCACCAGAATCTTGCTCGTCACGGAGAATAAGCCGCCATGGCGGTAAAGTTCTTCTCTGTGAGTTTGCGTCAGGCACTCTGGCTATGGGCCGCTTTCAGCTCTGAATCCCAATTTACCGCTTATCGACCGACATTTCATACGTCAGGATCCGGAACCCAGGATCTCTGACGCCCATGATCCCGAGCTCATCCCCTATACCAGCTTCGTCCGAGGGTGTTGCATTGACCTGAATGCACATCAGCTCCATGCTTTGCTGAGATCGAGAAGCTCACGACAAGGACCAGATCTTCTTTCCTATCATATGTCTTGAGAAGGGCACAAACGATCTATTTGAAAGCAATTAGCTCGGGCACACAGACCGCAAACAGTTGACTGACACGCCTCAGACCTAGTCCTTTGGCGAGAATCAAGAGATCGTCTTTTTGGGGCCTGCATATTTCTCGGATGATCGCTTTGTGGTATGACAAGTAGGGAATGTGTCGTCTGGACGAAGACATGACGTTGAGGTTGGGTAGGGACCGAGTTGAGGAGTTTCCGAGTCGTTATGCGAGTCGCATGACCTCCCGCATCATTTCAGTGACTGGCAAGGTTGCCAGATAGATCCTGCTTTGATTCCTCTGGGACAGTGAGCAGTAGCTGAGATGGACCGATGTTGCTTGTCCTTTACGGTGATGAAATGAATATATCAAGGTGTCCCAAAAACATGATCATTTCCGAAAGTCATTATTTTACGGCATCGGAATTGGCGCTGGCGCCGCTGCTGCAAGCAGCAACCATTTATGAGCGAGAATTATTGACTGTAAAGATTGAGTAAAGATGATAGAGCCGCCTTCACCAGCGGTAGAGAGGTTGTGGCGACGTCCAGACGGACGATCGTTTCAGATAGGGATGCACTGTACGATTTCCCTTAAATGCTATAATGATAGAAGCTGCCACTGGTTCCCCGCTCGTCTTAAAGACTTCCCAGGAAGCACGCCGGAAAGGCTGACATAGTGAATCCGTGAGAAGACCGCCCCTCCTTTCTTTCTTTCTTTTCTCCTGATTCTGACGAGTATGTCATCGAGAGAGCCCCGTCCGGCACTGAGGAGCCAGACTGATAATGCATTGGATTGAGATGAACAGTGGCGCCACAAAGTCTGCATCGCCTAAATGGCCTCTGTCTGGTATCCTCATGGCAAATATGGTACGAAGTCTCTCCCGTCTGCTCTTCTCAAGCTGATTGACGTCAATGTTATTATTACACGGGAACGAGTGATCATGAGACTCAACGGAAACCTTGCTTCAACTCGGCCGGGTGAACGGTGACAACAATAGATCTGCCAACTGCGTCCAGTGATCCTTCTTACTCTCTACCTTTCCTATTTCTTCAACTGTCCGTTTGATGGGGGCCAGTAGTCCCCGTCGTACCTGTCCTGACCTGTCTTAACACTGTCGCCAACTGACCATCATGAGACCTCCCCTCTTGAGATCTTTTCGCCACATTCCCGAGATATTGTTGGTGATCCCAAAGTGGCATCTCCCTGAACCTTGTTCCTAGCTAGCCTTTGAATCCCATGGAATATTACCAGATACAGTAATGCCACATGGGGGGAGGGTGGGTGTCACGGTCTTTGGGGGCCCACCTTCAGGGTCCAAGTTCTCTCTCATCCCATCATCAATCACACGCTCTGAGAATAGCCTTTCCACCAACGACGACGACGGGCTCAATACTCGCCAGACGATCATCCATTTGACTCGATCCGAGTAGTGGTCACAGCACAAAGGATCGACACAAGCGCATCATCAACGGGGAGAGCGGTAGACGTCTTCTTCCTCAGGGGGTTTGGTGGAGGCGAGCAAACCGTGTCACCATTACGAGAAAGAGAAAGGGCGGCTGCTACTTTCATTGCTCTCTCCATCGTCGTAATAATAGGCTTTATTGGAAATCTCCTTACCTTCTCCTCCGCTTCTCACTACTACTGGTCACTCGCACTCCCAACAAATCCCACCCCTATCATATAGCATTGTGAGGTGTTCGCTCGCCCACGGAGATCATCTTCCTGATTCAAGTCTGCCTACAGGAGGTGGTCAATCACCCTTATCATCACGGCGCATCACCTCGTGACTACTCTCCCCTCCCTCTCCCCTCCGGTAATTATCGAAAAACGACGCTAGTGTCAGTCTCGTGTGAGAGATTCCATCTTCTCTCTGCGTCGCGAGCACGCTCGACGGTAGCGCAGACGAACTCATCCCACATTGTCCGACCTATCGCTGGTTGTCAATAATCATCATGACGGCTCAAGTCGCCCATTGAGCAATCACACCTCGCTGAGCCATAAACACATCCCCCCATCTCGCAGCCATCAAATCCCGGCTTCGGCCTCCACCACCACTACCACCTTCTTCTCACCTCTCGGTACATTCTCCTTCTCATCTTGGAAGGCTTCCGCCTCGATTGAGGATCTCGTCATCACCTCTCAGTTTGACCTTTAGATTCGGGTCTGGACTCCCGCGGGCAGTCATCATTCACATCCTTCTCGTGGGCAAAAACGTCAGCACCTGTCCTTCCATCATCTCCGAAGGCCCTCAAATCACATCGTCCGAACCTCACACGACCTCGTTATTATCCTCCCAATTGACCTGCATAGCCTTATCTTCATCATGTCTCTCGTCCTCTCTCCACCTCCCCCACCACGGTCTCCACACCACGTCTCCCTCTCACGATCCTCGTCCCCTTGCACTTCCGCCCCTGGATCTCGGCCATGTACACCACCACCTCTTTCTCCGGCCGGTCACACCAACCTGCCCATGACTTTTGGCGCCCATACAACTTCCCATGGTCTCGTATCCTCTTCTCCTGGCTTGACCTCCAACAATCCGACTGAACCACTTTCTGCTCCGTCTACGCCAGTCACGACAAAGCACACGGCCCAACATATTGAGCATGCTGTGGGCATGGAGCGATGTCGAAGCTCTGAACCTACTTACCATCATCCTATCTTCTCCCTGGCCCGTCAAGGAACAGATGACCGGAGTCGAGGGAGAGAACCGAAAGCGACGGCGTTGAGATCAGGTAGAGTCATAAGTCACGGGAGTTCAGGGATAAAGAAGAGGGATGTCGAGACCAACTCATTGCCAACCTCCCCGTCTGCTCTGAGGGATTCGTATATCCCGCTCCCAGGTGAAGCACCATCTGGGCAGGCAAAAGATCTACAACATCTCAAGGATCAAGATGTGCCTGATATAGGACCCATCCTCGGTCCCTCATCTATGGACGAAAGCATGGATATTGATGAACCTCCGCTTCAAAATGGTCAGGGAGATGACGTCTCCGTCGTGGACAGGTCTCTCGATGATATAGCGTCTGCAGAGGGTACTGCGCCTGTAGACGCGGAGGAAGACTCGTCCCGAGTCTGGGGAATGCCAAAATGGGGTGTCGAGGACAGGGAGCAGGTTCGACCAGGAGTCAGAATCCTACATGTTGACGAGCTTCCACCGCTCATGGATCAGCATGCAATGGTGGACACTCCGAGTCACGTTCTATTCCCTTGGCTACACGGTATCAGCGACGACGGCAAGCGCGGACAGAGTATGGCCGCATTCTTCGGGTGGGTCGGCTCATTTTCTGATAAAAGCTGATATCTGGACCAGTCTATATCCTCCTTTCGAGCCTCCGCGTTATCGTGGCCTCTCGGTACTCTTTGCCAGTGGACGAGTATTACAAAAGTGTACACCTGAAAAATCACCTAGTCCACCTCGGAAGAGCGATGTGTCGCTTCCCAGTGGATCACGCCCTTCCGCCCTATCATCTTCTGTCCCGACAACAGCATCCGAGATCAGCTCGCAGTCTGCGCATTCGCGAGGCCGTTCAGAGACCACCTCCACGTCTACGGAATCGTATGCCTCTTCAAGTGGGACAACGGAGGCTACTTCCCCTTCCATTGGCGATATCAAAGAGCTCGCCAGCTCCGCTCCGAATGGCTCGTCGTCGAATTGGATGCCAATCACCGAAGAACCAACTCATGATGTCGAAATGCACCCTTGCGAACCGAAACGATCCTTGTCCGTCGCGGCGGAGAAGGACAAGGAACAGAGTTCGTCTCTGCCTCGAGACGACATCACGCCGGCCGTCATTGTTGAATCAGGATCCGAAGCTGACGGTGCATCGTTCGAGGAAGTGGATAGCTGGGGTCAGGATGTTCCTAATTCTCTCCTGCTCAATTCACTGTTTGTCGATGAGATCTTTGAAGGGATTGGCGAAACAAGCAATGGCGAATTGCTCCCTCCGAGGTTCTGCAGCCCCAATTTACCGCGGAATATCAATCTTCGAAATCTCAACATACAGCCTATCAAGTACGCCACGATTAGTGATCTCGTTCTGTACGCCCGAAATGGATGCAGTGAGGCTCTCCTGAATTTGGCGGAACGGTGAGTCGTGCCTGACGGTCCTCGGATTGACGGAGCATTGCAGAGTCGCCGCTGCTCAAGATAATCTGTATCATGAGCGGATGGAAGAGTACTATCAGCATGTCGACAAAGGTCAGGGCGAAGGCATCAACCGCCCGGTTAAGTATGGCGTCTGGATCGTCAACGGTACGTACTCGACGTTACCATGGGAACGAGCTAATCTATGTAGAGCCATTCCACGTCCTGGAGAAAATCGCACCCCAGCTAGTGAATGTCACTTCGCAAGGCGAAAGTGCGCCCCACCCGTTTTTCATGGACGTTTTCGACCGCGAAAATTGTGAATCACGCATCATGACTCGCGCCACCGAGGTCGTTGAGGGTCTTTGGGTCGGTAACGAGGCAGACGTGCCCGGTAACCAATTGCCCGGTGATGTGGGACCTCAAGTCCGATACAACTTGTGCATCCGCGCATGGGAGTTGGGCAACATTCCAAGTGCAAATGACTTGAAAAAGGCACATGAGAAGATTCTGGAAATGGATCAAGATTTCGTGGAAGAAACCTCGCCCAGACGAAGCGAGTTCAACCCCACACCTGCCACTGTTGCTCTTCGCAATCTGCTATCGCCCAATAGCAGTCAATCGACTCTGCCCGAGCAAGGCGGCTCAGCCAGCCTAAAGCGCGCGGCAGCGACAGACATGCGTGAGGGGGAGAGGAATGGTCGGAATGGAGCCAAACAGGCACGTTACGTGTCCATGACTGTTGCTGGCTGCAGTCGATCGACTTCAGTCCATGGCGCGCGACCCAGAGAGATGGTCGATCGATTAGTTGCCATGGTCTACTGGCTTCGTAAGTTGATCGAGCGTCGAGACGGTACGAATCCGAGACGCGCACGAAACGTTCTGGTCTATTGTCAGGATGGATATACGGAGAATTCTATGCTGGTCCTCGCGTATATCATGTCGAGCCTCAGTATCTCATTACCAGAAGCCTATCTCCACCTTCAAAACACAGCCCAACGATCCTTCTTCCTATTTGGTGGTGACAAACCACTGCTGCGCAAAGTGGACGAGAGGCTGACCGCCGATCGTAAGGCGAAAGCTTTGAAGATCTTGCAAACAAGCACGGAGAAGCATCATTCGTCCTCGAGCAGTCCCTTGGACAATCTACCGTCTCCTACGAGCGGTGGAAGGTGGAAGAATTGGGGTTTGACTTTTGGTAAATCGGAAGCCACCACTGCGTCTTCCTCGCCCGATGGATCGCGAGCGACGCGATCGAAAGATCCCAAACGAAGAGAGGATGAAGAGTCGAAGCACTTGGTGGAGATGGCCAAGAAAATGTTGGAGGAGGAAGAACAAGGCGGACGACAGAGTGCCAAAGATGCTCGGGTCTGGTTTGACGATCGGCGATTTGACGGATTCCCATCGAGGATTTTGCCGTTCCTTTACCTGGGTAATCTGTGAGTGCTTCCGTTGCATCATCATCCTGTCCAGGTTTGACAAAACGTAGGGAACATGCTGGCAACGCTGCCATGTTGAGCGCACTGTCTATCACTCATGTCGTATCCGTCGGAGAAAGTCTCATCAATTGTGCGGCGGACACGGATCCAATGTACGGTCAGATTGGCGAGAATACCTTGTCTGCAGCCTACAGGGATGGAAAGATTCAAGTGTGAGTGGAAATTCTCGCGGATGCCATCAAACTGCTAATCTGCGTGGCAGTCTCGATCTCAACGATGTACGGGATGATGGAAATGACCCTTTGCGACCGATCATTGCCAGAGCTTGCGAATGGATCGAAGCTGCTCGACTGACGGGTGGCAAGATTCTCGTCCATTGCCGTGTCGGTGTCAGCCGCAGTGCGAGTATCGTCATGGCGTATATGATGCAGTATCATCGGTTGGGTCTGATGGATGCGTACCTGGTCACACGGGCAAGGCGATTGAATGGTGAGCGCGGGGTCATATTAGGACCGGATATACACCATGCTCACCCTAAATAATCTCAGTCTTGATCCAGCCCAATCTTCGATTCTACCATGAATTGTTTGGATGGGAGATCGAATTGGCCAAAAGAGAGCTAGACGACCCCTCATGTGCCTTTACCTCCATCCCCTCGTCGTACGGGGAACGCAGCAACGCACCCATGTCCTTGCCAGTCATAGTGGGCAGACGAAATATCCTGTACTGTTGGCCTTCATTCTGTCGCGAGTTGGTGAGTGTCTGTTGGGCCTTCGATCGCTCTGTGGCTCGAGCTCATATATCTCTCCAGTATTATCTCAATCGACGATTCTTGTGCAATTAGTTTGTCAGACGCTCATATATCCTCTCATGTTTGGAGATCTCGCCATGGTTCTTCTTAGTGGCAATCTTCATTATACCCAGCATTTTCCTTTCTCTTGGGAAGCCTGACATGGATCAGAACATTCTAATCTATGGTGATCAAATATCGTTGTACGGTGGAGGCTGGGCAACCTTTCTGTTGTTTGGCGGAAGGAAGCATGGAACGAGTTGCGCTGAAAAGGCATCAAATGGTGGTCACACACAAGAAGACTTGGATGAACGTGTTCTCTTATTTGGATGGTAGAACGGAAAAACAGTGTAATTTTAATGAACGAAGAAGATACGAGTGGCATGCATACGGGTTCATGAGAGATAATAGCGCGGCCATGCATCATTGTCACTGTCGCTCGCATTTTGCCTAGTCTCCCGGCCTGGCGTTCAATGGTCCACTTCGTTGTGAGCCCATTGCCGACTCTCGAGCGGATTGCACCGATTCTGGACGACTTGCAAATTGTCCGCGAAACCTGAAACCAGCCTGTGATCCCGAAACACTCTGACTCGAGACATAACGTCTCGGTTGATCGTCCGTGAACCGGTTAGAAGACGAGGAGGATGTGGCGTGAGAGCCTGCACCAAATCCAACTCCGACTCCATCATATTCTGACGGACTCTCTCGAACACCTCTCAGGGACGTGACGTGGGCTATCCCAGGTCTCGAAGGTCCTCCATGAACCGAAATTCCATTCGTCATGGAATCGGGACCTCGAGCGGATTGCGAGGAGGAAGGATGTGGTGGTCGATGTGACAGTCCATTACCGCTCGTGGAACCTGCCGCCGAGAAAGATCCTGTGAACCCTCCTGAAGTCGTACTTCCTTGACCTCTGTACGAGTTGGAGATAGACGGTGCGGCCGAGTGATACCTCGATGCCATGGTTCCTGATGGAGAGAGCTGTTTGGGTACAGCAGCATTCGATCTCGACGCGACTCGCGAGTGAGATGGAGTGATTGGCGCCACGGCACCTCGAGACGTCGAAGCGATGGATTCTGGACGTCCCTGGAAGCTGTCAGAGACCAGGGATGGGCCCGAAGCGCTAGCGGATCGTGGAAAGGGAAAATCAGATGGCATTGTGATTTTTCGCTGAGTGATCCGTGGACTCGAGTCCATCATACTCGATTGACTCGTCAAGACTTTGGACGGAGTCTCATCTTCAACATGTTCAGTGACGATCCTCGGTGGTGGGACTGGAGACGTGTCCAACGTTCCAGGCACTGGTGCATCGGGATTCGGCGCTGGCGTATCAAACACTGCCGTGACGGAATCCATCGAAGTGGAGGGTACCAAGAGGCTATTGAGGCCTTTCTCTATGGCCCCTTGGACGGCATCGGCGACATCCTGCATGGAATGTTCACCTAGGTCTTCAAGGATGGGTGTAGGTGACACCGAGGGAGAAAGGATACGAGGGAGAGCGAGAGTGAGATGATGAGGGTGCACGAGACGATCCTGGATCACGCCGCGGATTCGAGAGACGATGAGCTGCTCGAGCTTGGGCACGTCTTTTATAGAAGCAGCAAGCGTCAGTCAAGCTTTCGGAATACGATGCTCCCGGCAGAGCCTTACCCTGTAGTTTGGCCCTACTTCCCAGTAAGGTGGTCGTCTTGAGATTGAGATGGAAGTCCGGTAATAAAGACAGATGTATATGTTGTCTTTCGCCTTCTGGTTCATGAATCTGGACGCTGAGGGTCCCGCCGATGCCCACGAGCTCGACACCAAGTGAAACAGGAAGGACAGCAAAACGAGGAGCGGGGAAATTGATGAGCACAGACGTGGACAATGACAGTGATAATGAGTCCAGGTAGTCCAAATCTATCTCTGCGCGCTGGAAGGGTGTCGACATTCAGCGTGAACATTTCAGGGATCAATATCTCTTGATCGCTCACGACTCTGCCTTGTCCATCCGCTGGTCTTATTCTTGCATTGGATAATAACGGATAAGACTCTCCAAGAGATAAGCTAGTCACTTGAATCGGGTCCTGGATTTGAAGGTGAGCTAATGGTTGACAGCAGCAAACAAGGTCATCGAGTTACACTCACCAGCCATAACATTTTACCGTTATCAGGATTCAACCATTTTTCGATCCTGAATCTCGCACCCTCTTCACCGCTCTCGGCAAGTAGATCATTGCGATAGCCTTGTAGAATCTATCTAGGTCTTCAGCAAGATGTCCGTTCCCTCCTTTTCGTTACACACAGAAGCGGACCCACCTGTGATAGCAGAACGTTCATCCATCCTGCTGATTCGGCAGGATGAGTAGCCATATCATAATTCGTTTTCGACAAGATCTGTCTCGTTGGCGGAGGCGGAACACCAGTCGTCGAAAGCTTGCTCCGCTGAATCAACAAGTGGGATCAGTCATATCCTGATCGTCTCCCGCCAAGATCTCGCTCCACGCCATCATGCATCGTAATCCCTCCCAATCATCACTGTGACTCACCTTCAATCTCTCCGCCGCGAGTCTCTTTTTCCACGATTCATTGTCACCAGCTTCAGCCGGTGAGAACACGACATACCGGATGAACAGGAGGATAATGAGTAAAAAGGAGGCTTGACCAAGGATGAAGCCCTGAGTGAACGTCCATGTGGATTGAAGAAGGGCAGGTGAAGAGTTCATCGCGCAGCAACGAGTTCTAGGCTACTAAATGCGGATAGTATATTGCAGACGTCGATGACCGGAGAGCATGAAGCGTATATTCGTGTATATGTCGATACTACTGTATCATGGTTCAGACCTCCACAGCATTTAGCCGGATCGACAGGACCATGAATGTGACCGAGTTGGAGGACGATCGAAAGATGATGATGATGGAGACGATGGTCAAACTGTGCGCATTTCAAGCTTTTCTTGAAACTCGTTTTGAAAATACCGCAGGTCGACGGCGGCGGCGGCGGCGGAAAGGATGGCGGCTAACGCGTCATGCTGCTATGCTACATCTCATGATTGACTAATGAAGACAACGAATTCTACGACGCTACAGATCAATGATGTGCGCTCTATACTACGAGCTACGATGTCTCACATCAAGGAGACGCTGGCGGTGGTTGTAGTGGATTTCTGACCCAGATCAAGATCCACACTCTCAATGGTAGGCTCTGTGGGTTCAACATGAGCGCAGTCCATATTCGGTCTAGACATCAAGCCATACTCACCCACGTAGATTCCTCGGATCTTGAGGATCTCAAGCCATCGTTCGGCGCCAAAACCTCCTCCAAATCCAGATACCTGTACTCCGTCCGTGAGCCTGAGAGAGAGTCAGTATGGCCCAGAGGTAGCGTTAGAGACAGCTTACAGTTGGTATTCTCGCTCGGTGAAAATCGGCGGCCCTGATTCCGGTGGAACCAATAGCTTTGTCCAGGATTGCTCCAGTGTGCTGAAGCTGAAGAAAGGGGCAAAACTTTCAACCTACAGTCTCAGTGACAGTGGAGTCCACTCACTATCGAACGCAATGTATCCATGTTGCCGGACCGTCTCCGAGAGTCTGAATCAGCTACAGTCGAACTTCAGCGCTGCATACATCAAGTCTGTCAACGTCACTCACCTCTACCAGCCTCGCCACTCCTTTTAATTCCGATTGAGCCTTTGACATGGCTTCAAATGTCGGCAAGAACCAATCCACATTTCCAGTCTTGTCTAATGCTTCTTCAAGCACGCCGTAAATGTCGACCGCAACCCAGAAGATATTGTTGTGAATCATCATCAAACCGCTGATCAGTTGAACAGTCTCTTCTGCGAGTGTCTGATTTCGTTCGTGCGATTTGAGTGCGTCCGATGCGAAGATCTTCTCGATAGCCGCTTTCGTATAGCTCGAGAGGAAGGTCAAGCGGCTCCAGATATCCGGTAAGGCAGATGTGGCACTCAACAAGCGTCTTCGCATGGCTAAAGCACGAGACGAGGTGAGATCGGCAAAATAAAAAATTCACAGAACAGGACTCACGCCGGCGGAAATCTGAAGCGTACGTTCTTAAAAGCTTGACCAGGTGGGCGTGAATGGAATAGCGAAGCTCTTGGTTGAGCTGGATCTCATCTGGCAATGGACGATCAAGATATTCCTGGAAATTTGGGATGTCTCCCAGATCATCATCGTTCAACAGGGGTCGATTGCCCGTTTCTGCAGCTGATTTTGCGTCGACCCAGAAGGCCATCAGGCAGGTATTGAGAAGAAAATGAGAAGATGCAGTCTGTTCGAATGTATCGCTCGCGATGAATTGGCGGAGCAGATCGACAACAATGTGGGCAGTAGGTCGAAGCTCCTCAGGAGTCGTTATCGCTATTAAAAAAGTGAGTCAGGGGTGTAGAGAGCAGGTGATGCGGCCGGTCTCAGGCTCACTTCTGGTAATGAGGTAGACCGATGCAGCGATTTGGATTGATTCGATTGTAGGTTGTTTCCTGATATTTAACTCGTAAAACCTTTCCAGGACGGTCCTCGCTAGCGCACGACAAGGGGCCTCTCGACTGAGACCTAGTGTGAAGGGAAAGGCAACGTCCCCGCCCGGTATGATGGCGGGATGATAAGACGATCTTGCACCCAGAGCGATCATGATCCGCATCAGAATCTGACTCTGGGTCAGCTTGACTTGTGATGCGGATGTGCAAGACATGGACTGACTTCTTTCTGAGGTTCTACTGAATCGAATCTCCGACAAGCCGTTGCAAACGTGTCTGCGTAGAAGTTTTGGTGGATCTGACGGAAGATTGGTCTGGAAGTAGATTATGAGGTGAGTGAGTGTGGACATTCCCGATGTCGGCCTCTCCTGTCACTCTCACCCATGTGAAATATTGAAATTCAGAATCATGGACATGGCCAATTCTCCGGACAACTCTATTGTCGCGAGACTATTCTCCGTCGAAGTAGGTGTCGGAGGGCTAGCCATGGCCCACTGAGCACCGGATGTCAGCGCCCAGGGCGCTGGCGAAGAGCTGTGAGATGCGTAATTTGACGGCCCGGCTTCTGGCGAGGTGGAATCACCGTTCAGAACTTCGATCGATCCAAAGTCTCGTCTGGTAAAAGTGTGAGCTTTCTTCTGAGATTCTTTCTCGAGCCTCACTGTATTTGATCGACGACAGTCCCCTTTCTAGGTTTGCGAGGTCCAGCTACTCGTAAACCAGGACACCTAGGAGGGCTCGAGTTAGTGGTCCATCAGCCACATCCTCAAACCCACTTGATGCCTCGCTTGACGCAATTTGAACACTCTCCAGAGATCTGATCTGGTAGATCACACTTGACCCGACGTCGATGACTAGACGTCATCCTTTTGAGCTCTAATCGCGAAGTCTTCACAGAGCTGATGAGAACTCACCATGGCTCGCAAGTAGACCTCGGAGCGGGCATCTTCACAAAGAAGGAACTGCGGCCGCCGGATAATCTTCAAGCCTATAGACCCCGCAACGTGCGCCCCCGGCCGTTGTTTCGCTGAATACCAAAGGTTTATAATTGGTTGTCAATGAAAAGTAGCGAGATCATGTCCGAATAGCGATCAATAGTGCATTTTTGATTCCGTCAGCCCAAAAATAGCCAGGCCGGGTGACCACAGGCAGCGATTACGTACAAACCGAGGCGCTGACGAGGGGGTTTCGGCAAGGCGAGGGGGAGGGTGGGGGGGGCAGGATCGAGTTCAACAGCGAGATACATTTCACGTTTGGATCATGGTCAACGGCGTCCCGCAGGGGAATCAAATGTATATATACTGGGCTCATATTAGAGAATGCATTGTCACCAGCCTCGCCTATAGATACCTTGAGCACAGATCTGGCCTCGCATTCCACGTCCACCTACAATGTCCGCCCAAACCCTAGCCACAACTCTGGAGGGTCATGAAACCCCCGTCGAGAAGGCCTTGACCCCCTCGAATGCTTCGCATTGCACGTCGTCAGAGTCTCGTGGCGATGCAGATGCTGAGGCCCAAAAGACGGTCGGTGATGAACCCGAGGACAAATACCTTCATGGCCTAAAGCTTGTCCTGGTATTCATCGGTTTATCCTTGGCAGTTTTCATCATCATCCTGGATCAGACTGTGGGTGATACTCAGGGAACCGATATGAAGCATCGACTTACCATCTCGCTTTAGATCCTCGTCCCCGCCTTACCCATCATCGCTTCCTCATTCCATGACGTCAATCAGATTGGTTGGATCAGCTCGTGAGTCCACTTCAGATGTGGCAGATACCAAGTCTGAGACTCTGTCAGGTCCTACTTTGTCACTCAATGCTCTTCCATTCTCCTCTGGGGACAAGCCTTGGCTCATTTTGACCAAAAAGTGCCACTCCTCATCGCGATTGCGATCTTTGAGGTCGGCTCGTTGATCGCTGCCGTGTCTCACAATTTCGTCACTCTCATCGTCGGAAGATCCATCGCCGGTCTAGGTGGAGCGGCCATCATGGTCGCGACCATGAGTATCTCTTCAGCCGTCATTGAGCTCAAGAGACGACCAATCTTTTTCGGGTTATTCGGAATCATCTTTGTCATTGGTTCAAGTCTAGGTCCATTGATAGGAGGATCATTGACGACCCATGCCTCATGGCGATGGTGTTTCTGGATCAATCTTCCCGTCGGTGGGATCTCTATGGGCGTGATTGCACTCGTTATTCCCAAGCTCGAACGACCCGCTCTGGCCGAGAAACAGCCTTCATTCGCCACTCGAGCGCTCCAACGAGCTTTCGGTGATTCCAACCTCCTTCGAACGGATGGATTGATCTCCAGGATTGTATCACTCGACTGGATTGCGACTGCAATTGTACTTGGTGGTGAGTACAGGAGCTCTCCATTCCCATGATTCAGGTCTGATCAGACTCTTGTAGGTATTGTCAGTCTCACTTTGGCGTTGATCGAAGGCGGAGCTCACGGTTGGTCCACTCATACCGTCATCATTGGTTTCACCATGTTTGGAGTCTGCCTCATCCTTGTGATCCTGTGGGAAGTTCTCGTCATGAAAGAAGATGGCATGGTTCCGCTCCGAGTGACGAGATTCAGATCAGTCTGGGGATCATCAGGTGTTGCATGTGCCCGGATGATGAGCGCGTGAGTGATATGTGGTGGTGCATTCTGTACATACATAGCATCATCATCTGACGATCGTCCTAGTCTTTCCATCTTCACGTACTTGCCAACTTTCCTCCAAGCGACACGACACGAAAGCGTGAGTGGCCCATAACTGAATGTGAAAGCTTGCTGACAAGATCACAGTCATTGAGATCAGCCATTCAAACGTGAGATAGCCCCGGCCTCCTTCGTCTCTAGGGAAGCAACCTTTGCTGATGCTTCCTTTCTCAGTCTCCCATACGCCATCGGAATGGCCATGTTTGCCCTTATTGGCGCTGTCATCGTTCAAAAGTCAGGTCGTTTCAAGTGGGCTCTCCTCCTCGGAACAGCTGTCTGCTCTATCGGAGGTGGTCTCTTGTACACTCTGGACGTGCACTCTTCCTACGCCAAGATTGCCGGATTCCAAATCGTCGCGTGTCTCGGCGCAGGCCTTGTCATGATGAACGCCGTTCTGGCAGCTCAAGCTGAAATGGATGCCAATGGGTTGATCAAGGACATTCCCCAAGCTACTGCCCTCGTGACCCTCTTTCAACTACTCGGTGGAAGTTTTGGTGGATCCATTGGCGGGGCCTTACTTTCTGGAGGTGTCAGACGATACGCTTCGAGTCTGCCTCATGACACTGTCGTTGCGCTGGCACAGTCTGTCGACAGTATTTGGATGCTATCCGGTGAAGCTAGGACCATCGCTGTTCAGGCTTATGCCCGTGCTTCCAACGATGTGTTCCTTGCGGGTGCCGCGGCCGGTGTCGTCGGGTTTCTGTTTGCTTTGATCTGTAGGGATAGAAAGTGAGTCCTGAACTCGTGTGGTCCGGCCCCCGAATCTCGCTGATTATCCATCACAGTATCAAGGGAAAGGAGTATAAACACTAGACATTGTTCCATATAGACACAAGGGGATTTCGATAATCCAATGCCCAAAAGCTAGAGCAGCAGTAAGACCATGCATACAAGAATGATATCGAACAGCATGTATGGGGTACAAATGCCACTCTGCCACCCCTCCATTGATCGTTCACTAGAAATTGCTGATCGGCTCCGGGTGTCCACGCGGCTGATTTTCCAAAGCTCCGTCACTTTTTTTTATTCGAGAAAACCCTGAAAGGGCGTTCAATTGACCAGCCACCCCTCCCTCCTTCACTTCTGATATAATGTTCAACCTATCTTGTTCTATTCAACGTTGTGCATTCTACATCACACATCCAGCACTATCACCTGTTCCCGAAGCTCATCAACAGCCAAGACAACCATCATGGCCCCTGCTGCGCCTTCCTCCACAGATGCCTCAGGTCAGTTGCTTCTTCATGAGGATTGAACGATCTCCAGCTGACGAGTTGAGTCCTCCAGGCTACCCAGCTGAAAAGTACTTGCAGAAGAAGGGTCTGCTGGGATTCGGAAAACCAGGCAAGGGGTGAGCTCAAAGAGGTCAAGCCGGCAAAGGCAGTGAGGCTGAAACTCGTCTGTGCAGACTCACCGTCTCACCGACCGACAATGCCCTATCACCCTGTAGTGCAAAGTTGAACGGGGCCAAGCAACGACATTTTTCAAAGTGAGCGAAAGGATTTTGCAACTTCCTCCCCGTCCAGATCCATACGATGAATGAAACCAATGGTCGTCGCTGACCATCTTTCTCTCCTTTGTAGGGGCAAGCCCACCAATATCTCCTCATCCCTCTGCAATGTCGCCGCTATTCGATCCGTCTCTTCAGCATCTTACATGTCCACATCCTCTACCGCTTCGGAGAAACCCAGAGCCGACTTTTGAGACCTGGACATCGATCAGAGGGTGAGACAACAGAATAGATGAGACGTCATCTGGTCCACGGTCCTCTCCACCTCGATATACCTCCCTCAAAAAGCCGCCACCTGAGCGACAGATCGAACCCAAAGCCAGAAAACAAAACCAACATCTGTACACGACCTCATTTGTATCCTCTTGTAAAAGCTCTACCATTCACTTCTTATCATAGGTATCATGCATGCGTTACCTAGCTACTCTTACGAGATGACTGAGGAAGCCTGCATGTCAGAGCCTGATTCCTGTCTAGATGAAGGCTCGCGCGATGGGACCACTCGACGATGAGAAGGCCGGTTGCGCACCTGTAGCACATATTCGTCGTGGGGAATCGAGCAGAGCCGGTAATCTGACAGTACGGCACCCTAAGGGCGATGAGACCGAGGCTCAATCCATCTTCAGACCAGATTACGACGCTCACTTGCTTCCCTGCCGTCCCACTCAGCTCAAAAACCTTTGATCTTAGCCCGCTTCGTTTGTTTTCATGGTGCTTTGTGTGGAGACAACGCCCTTAGCCCGAGAGGCAAGAGAACAGAGGGTAGGTCCTTCAGCGATCGGTTCCAGGAGGCAGCTCACAGAGATCTCACGGCGAGTATCGGGACTTGAAGCGGTACACTTCTTACGTTGGCATGTCCAACAGATCAGATGAACCGGCTCGTAGGGTCGCGTTACCGTCAAGGGAAGGCTTCATCATGGTCAAGGCTCCTCAGAGACGTACTCCTTAAGATACGTCTGTACCCGCACGGGATAATCTCGTCGCTGATGTCCATCACTGCTGCTGTTCGCTTCGGAGAGGCATGGACGTATGATACGTGTTACAGGTCATGCATGCGCGACGACCATCCTGATATAGAGAGTGTCGTATCCTCTCTCTGTCCGCTTCCGGATCCCACTGCCCGTCCAATCAAGAGTAGATTAATTTACTTCTTCTTTGGGGCTTTGGTGGAGATCTCCTCAACTTTGAGACCTGAACATGGATTATCAGCCAAGTCACGATATGAGGAATGACTGAAAATGAGGCGGGACATGGAGCAGATCTTTCTGATTCTCCAGGATGTGGAGAGCTAGGAGGACGAGCCCCAGGGATTGGCTTCGGACTAGTCCTTGCCAACCCGAAGGAAGCCGCCCACAGCCATTGGCAGGGCAGAAAGCCTGCCAAACAGCATGCGGTCAAGCGTTCCCGTGCACGCCTCCTTCTCGATCCCTCTTTGCTGCCGCTGCTCCGCTCTCTTAGCCTAGAAAGACCACTCACCAGGGGGTAAACTCTGCTTCAGTTTCTCGGCCTTTTCAGCATCGTGCAAGACCAAAGTGTAGAGATATCTCGAGCATCGGATCTTGAATTTGGTAACGGTAGGAGCGGATCGAGCGTTCTTGACCTTTTGGCTGGCCGAGGTCTGTTTGGAAGGTTGGAGAGTGGTCTTCTTGATCCGTGCGGCTAGGAAAAGACAGGGAGTCAGCCGGACGGTTTGTCGAATAGAGGCTTTCTAAGATGCGGTCCGGAATGCTGCAGCTGCAATCCGCACATTGTCCAGGATACGAGGTTGACGACGAATGGAGATGCTTGTACTCACAAGTAGCGTCCTTTCGACGAGCAATCTCGAGGAATCGCTTAATGTCCTGAACTTGTTGAGGCTGCGATGAAGGAAGAATATCAGCGACCTGTTGAAAAGACACCAGGGGAGGGGCCAAGCAGCTGGTGCAGCTGGTGGATGATCGTAGCGAATACCTCGCAGTACATCTGGACAGAGCTGCACCTGCTTTCCCTCCTATCCATCCACCACTCACCATGATGAGATCTGCTTTGTCAATGAACAGAACTGCAACCTATAGCTCGAAGCTGCCCTCCTGAGTATAGACTTTTGGGCGAAAAGACGGTCGAAAGCAGGTCAAAAAATCGGCGTTATACGAAACGCCGCAGGGTGGGAAACTAGTGATTCCAACGAATGTGGCACCCCTTCAGTGGAGCTGTGATGCGTCGCAGACATCGGCGATAAGCCCATTTTGGAAAATTGCCGAGGTGATTAAATCCGATCGAGTCAAGATGCCGCCCATGACCTCGACAGACTTTCAGTTGGATTGCCTGGAGCGCTCATCTCAATTCCTTCCTTCAATTCGACAACCTTCGACAAATAGATCAAAATGGTGCGCTAGGTTCCTTTCTTCATCTCCTCGCTCACAGGGGCATCACGTCCGTCGTTTGGACTCGACATTGTACCGTCGCCGGAGACCAAGACGAGAACCAATTTTTTTGAACGAGATGATCGGTGCATAGGAATTCTTGCAGCCCGCGAGGGGACAGAAGAGATATATGTCCCTTCGCACGGCCTCTGGAAACCTGAAACCGCCTCGGTGCAAAATGTGTACGAATCGCAAGATTCTTACGTCTGGTTGTCTTTCGCTCTTGAGCAGGAAACGCACGGCATTTGGACATGCTTGGGTTTCTCTGCAATGATGGACGATAAGGACAGGATCTCAGGAGGGTGAGAGGGAATGACGGTTGCTCGAGTCTTTCGGCTCGAGTCAGCATAATTCTCACTTGCCCTTCTTATGATTCCTACGACGGACTTGAAACCAGTCCTTGCTGCCGGCCAGGACAACGGTCTTTGGATCCTCTTTGGTCCCTTCTCGGGTCCGGGCAACGAAGAACGGGGTGATTGCCCAATTGCCCTGGACCTGATGAATGGATCTCTGAGCGGACAGAGCATCGAACATCCTAGGCTTAGAGCTCCGACGTGATGCCCCTCTGTGCTTTATATCCAAGTCAGAGTAGTAGTTGACGTCGTCTCAATGACCATTTGCAGCCCAAAGCCGCCAAGGGAAAGTCCAAGCCCGCCGCCGCCCCATGTGAGTGTGAACGCTTCTCTGTCGATGTAGTATTTTACTGACTCGATGTTTAGACGGCACCAAGAAGTCCACCAAGACTGCCACTAACCCTCTCTTCGAGAAGAGGTCAAAGTCTTTCGGTATCGGTGAGCTCTCAATGGTGTCTGGCGCGAGTACACTCAGCTCATCCTCCTCAGGTGGTGATGTTCCTCCCAAGACGGACTTGACCCGATTCGTCAAGTGGCCCGGTTACGTTCGTCTCCAGAGACAAAAGGTCATCCTCAACAAGCGACTCAAGGTGGGTACAAGCGTCTGAGGGTCCCATCACGCCTCTGAACTCGTCGCAGGTTCCTCCCGCTATTGCCCAATTCTCGCACACTTTGGACAAGAACACCGCCACTCAGCTCTTCCAGCTCTTGAACAAGTACAAGCCCGAATCCAAGCAGGAGAAGAAGGCTCGTCTCTTGTCTGAGGCCGAGTCCCGAGAGAAATCCGGTGACAAGGCTACGACCCACCAGACCAAAAAGCCCAACTACGCCAAATACGGATTGAACCACGTCGTTGCTCTCGTTGAGGCTCAAAAGGCCAAGCTCGTCGTCATCGCCGACGATGTCGACCCTATCGAGCTTGTCGTCTTCCTCCCCGCTCTCTGCCGAAAGATGGGTGTCCCGTAAGTCTCGCAACGACATGCGCCTCGTCAGCCCTGACCCTCTTCATCAGCTACTGCATCGTTAAGGGCAAGGCCCGTCTCGGTCTGATCACTGGCAAGAAGACCTCCGCCGTCGTTGCCATTGACGAAGTCCGATCCGAGGACAGTCAAGCTCTCGCCAACCTCGTTTCCGCCTGCAAGGCCAACTACCTTGACAAGGCCGATGAGATCCGACGAACTTGGGGAGGTGGTATCCGTGGCAACAAATCGTAAGTGGTGTCGACGGCCATGTATCTTTGGCACTCGAGCTTATCGTCGTTTGCAGCATTGCCATGCTCCGAAAGCGTGCCAAGGGTCTCGGACAGGACGCCAAAAAGATCGACATCAGCTTGTAAGGCATGGTTGGACTACCTCGTTCAATGGGATGCTGTGCTTTACGGATCGGATAGGTCGTCTTTCCGTAGTGCGCAGATGTATGATATGAGCATACTATGGGGCCCAATCGCTTTTCAGTGCTCGGCAGTCGCTGCAGGCGCAAAGTTTGATCGTTCAAAAGTTAGGCCTATTGACGCATCCCCGCGGCGATCGCCGTCTTTGAAGCTGCATGCATGACTTTGGGGCGGGCGAATTTTATCATACGCTCAAACCTCAACGTGTTGGACTATAACGTCGCTGAGATATCATAACCAGTATTGAAGACCCAGCAAGCAATCCAGAGTGAAGTTGGCGCATTTGACCTCGCGGATCTCGCTCGAATCTCCGATTGCTCTTCGCTTTGACCGATTCACAACCAATTAGGACTCGCAGTACTACAGCCTTTCTGGATACTCCCTTGATTCGCATCTGCCTCCGACCAGCTTGTCAGACATCCCAACTTTTACCGCACCATGGCATCCACATTAAACGTCGAGTCGCCTATTGGCGCTTCAAGCTCAGGTGATGACAAGCGGATCACGTTGGACCAGCTGAAAGAGCACACTACGAGAGATAGTCTGTGGTTGTTGATTCATGGAAAAGTGTACGACGTGACAAAATTCCGAGATGAGGTGGGTGGACATCGCAATGAGACGTCTCACAGAAGTGGAGCTGATAAGTTACTACGTAGCACCCCGGTGGAGATGAAGTCCTAGTCGAGGAAGCTGGTGAGTCCTGGATTTTGCATCATCAAAGGATCGAGGTGTATTTTACCTCCTGTCACCGAGGATGAGCCTACCTTCAAGGTTGCGATGCTCATGCATTTCGACTCCCTGCGATCGACATAACCGCTGAAAGCGCTTTTTACTGATGTCCACTCTAGGCCACGATGCGACCGAGGCCTTTGACGATATTGGACACTCACCAGAAGCCGACAGCATCATGGAGAAAATCCTGATTGGAGAGTTCAAAGGCGTAAGTTCTACACTGTGACCCTCGTCGACTGTTCTGTTCTCGCGCTGACGCTGCTCGTGCTTCTAGGAGAGCAAGAAGAAGGCTGCGCCAGCAGCACGGGCGACTGCAGGTCAGACGGCGAGCACAGGAGGGTGAGTAGTACTACTATATCGGTACATGACCTAGTACCGCACGCATCGGGCACTCACACGTCGCCGCAGATTCCCTATCTGGGTTATTCCTGCGGGTTTCGCGGTCGTGTATCTTGCATGGAGAGTCTTCGTGGCTTGAGAATCACAGTCGTAAGACTGGCAAGACGAGTGCAGTCGTGGGAGTTGTGTGTCAAAGGTCGATTCCACGCAATGGTCCTCTCCAGTCATTCCGTTCTCCGTCTTTTGATGATCATATCGTATACAAAGACACTATTTCGGAGTTTCTGCATTACTATGCACGGCGAGACATTCACGCATAATACGACCATTGAAGGTCGTCCACCCCAATACCCCGCGCCGCATCACGCTCATCGACGGGAACCTTCTCTCGATCTGACATCGCCCAGCGCTCTAACACGTGTGACAATCTCGTCCGTTGAGCCCATACCTCTGCCCACTCCCTCCCTCTCCAGTGCAAAGATGAGATCGTCCATGGTTAACACCTTGTCATCCGTGACTTTCCGTTCTTCCCCACCTGCGTCTCGTGCCACGACGATTTCTCTCCGGGTCGGAACTGAAAGCCGAGGTCGCCGTCTCGCCATCATTGAGAGATCACCGTCTGCCCCTGCTCCATCATCAACTTGTCCACCTTTGCCGCCGCCCTTGTCCCTCTTTTTCTTCTTTTTCGGTAACGGTGTCCCTGCGTTCCCCTCCTGTTTACTCGATTCTCCTGTTCCCGCGCCACCCTCCTCACCTTCTCCTTCTCCATCTTTCCTCTTTCGCCCAGCGAGAGGACTACTGACAGGAGGTACAGAAGTCAGCCAAGAGTACTGCTTCTTGCTAAACATTCCGGCGCTCCTCATAGCGGTCGCATTGGATAATTTATGAGCCACCTCGGCGGAGACGTCTCTTGCTGCCTTTTTTCCAGATTTCCGACCACTTGAGGGCGTTTTCCGCTCGCTCACAGCTCCAAAGACTGGCGGAGAATTTCCTGTCGATGTGCTGGCCTTGATCGGCGTTGCTGTTCCACTTCCCCCAGCGACTCCATTGATCTCGGCATCTTCACCATTCTCACCATTGGCCTCTTCTCCTTCTCCGCCTCCTTCTCCTACATTACTAGGCCCACCGCCACCTGCTTTGGCTGCGATCTCAGACGCGACGATCCTCTCTGCCCTCTCTTTAGCCCTTTGGAATTCTGCTTCCCTCGCTATCCTGTCCATTCGGTTGGCCCTGAAGCTCTGTTCCGCTTCTTTATTCTCTTTACTCAGAGCTTCCAATACGGCATTCGGATCAGAAACAGCAACATGAGACCACATAGGCTGACCAGTGGATTTGGATGGAGGTGGAGCACGGACATGAGATGAAGTCGTACGGTGCAGTTGGGCAGCCATGGCGGAGGATATAAGGGAACGGAGACGAGCTTCGGCGGCGAGTGCAAGGTATGTCAAGACATCCTCGTCGATCATCATAGAATGTTCGCGGGCTAGTGATTCGAGGCCATCGGTCAATGCATGAGCCTATCGTGTTGAGCGAACCCAGACTCACCCATTGACTCTAGCCTCGCTCGCAACACACCTCGACCAAATAGATCGGTTGATTTACCTCCATTTGAGCCGAGAGGAGACGCGTGAGGGACGCTGTATGGTGTGGAATGTGCTCCTTGCTGAAGATAATCAGCTCTTAGCACTCTTCGGAAGCCTCAAGTCCCACCTTCGGGGCCGCTGGCTTCGACGCCAGGCTCAGAGTCGAGGTCGAGGTCGAGGCCACAGGATTACCTGTCCCAACACTAGGTGCCGATTTTCCAACTGGCGCATTGTCCAGTACTGGAATTGGAGCCTGAATGGATCCAGGAACAGGTCCGTTAGACGATCCTGCTGCGGCCATCCTGCCCAAATACCTCGTCGCTCGCCAAAAGGTGAGATATGGGTGATGATTACAACCATGTCCAAAGGTCGCCGCCCAAGCCAGGCCGTGAGGAATAGGCGCAGCATTTTCAGGGCCGCATTGACGTGCGCCTATCTCGTCGCTTTTTTGTTTTTCAGCGCGTCCAACGGTCGAAGAGAACATCAGATTCTTGCTTTCTCTCACTTCATCTCTTCTGTCTGCTTCATCTCCGGTCATATAGGGGCGACTGTCCCCTTATTGGTGTTGGAAGAGCATGGTAAGTGGGCTTGGACCAGCTTGAGGCGTCGAAGACCGGTCTATGCCTTGCATGATCAGTCGTAAATCCATTCAGTGCTGACTTTCATTAAAGAATCCCCTATTGGCGGCGAGCAATGCGAATCCCGCGAATCACAGCAACAATAACGGTCAGGACGATGACCAGTTCTCAGACATCGTACCTGGTAGCAGGGATCTTTCCGTATCTCGAGCTGTAAGTGTGCACCCTGCTTCACCTCTACAACCAGGTGACCGTTCGTGGCGGGAGACCCCGACTTGAATGAACACACTCTTTCACCTATACATCTCGATAAAGCTTCTACTCGAGATCAGCCCTCGCCTAGATGCAAAGCTGACTCGTGATCTCTCCGCAGCCCTCAGCATCCGCTTCTGAAGAAGCTCCCGCTCATCACATCAACACTGCTTCTCAATCTCCAGATGATGAATCGGATGACGACCTAAATGACGATGATATGCTCGATGAGGATGACTTGGTGTCCGGAACGGTGAGAGGCGAGAATACAATTGCAGTAGGAATCTGCTGACTTTCGCGTCATAGCCAAAAATGACGCCGTCAGCTAAACGGAGAGCAGATGAGGCATCGGCGAAAAAGGCTGCTAAGCAGCAGAGGCGAGACCAGATCACAGAGATTGGACGAAAGCGGACGGCAATCGAGGATGCCAGGGTCAGCTTTGGTCACCGCGGAGGCGAAAACACAAGCTGATCACGCCTCTAGCTGGCCGACTCGATGAAGCGATTCAATTATCTATTGGGACAAACTGAGCTGTTCCAACATTTCATCGATCTCAAGGTGGGTTGCAGCTGCTACTATACATATGGATGCCTCATCTGACCCCTAATACAGCGTCAACGTGAACCAGCTTTCGCCCAAATGCTCGATGAACAGCTTGCGAAGGCTCAAAAGGCGAAAAAGGGTACCGCTGCTGATAATCGACATCGGAAGTCTGAAAAGGAAGAGGATGAGGAATTGCTGAAAGAGGGCGACGAGGAGGATGAAGCGTTTGTATTCGAGGAGAGCCCACCGTGTGAGTCAAGCTATCATACTTGAGACATTTTGATTGATTCCACTTAATCAGACGTCAAGGGTGGCAAGATGAGGGATTACCAGGTTCAAGGTCTGAATTGGCTGGCATCATTGCATCACAATGGTATTAACGGAATTCTTGCCGACGAAATGGTATGTCTCTTTGTTCTCAAAACATTGAATCAATGCTGACATCTTCACTTCAGGGTCTCGGGAAAACACTGCAGGTCATTTCTTTCCTCGGTTATCTTCGCTTTCACCAAGGCATCAATGGGCCTCACTTGGTCGTTGTGCCCAAATCCACATTGAATAACTGGAATCGAGAGTTCGGTAAATGGGTCCCGGCTTTCAAAACTGTCGTCTTACAAGGAGCCAAGGATGAACGAGTGTGTATAAGATCTCTTCCTCGAGCGACACTGACGTTCATCGCTTTTCAGAACGACTTGATTCACAAACGCATTCTCACGCAAGACTTTGATATTCTCATCACCTCATACGAAATGTGCATGAGGGAGAAGTCGACTTTGAGGAAATTCAGTTGGGAGTACACCGTCATCGACGAAGCCCATCGAATCAAAAATGTCGACTCGCTCCTGAGTCAAATCATCAGGACTTTTGTCTCTCGTGGACGGCTGCTTATTACTGGTACTCCGCTGCAGAATAACCTCCAAGAATTATGGTCTCTGCTCAACTTTATCTTACCGGACGTCTTCTCCTCAAGGTGAGCATCTGCTTTCAGTCCGGAACGGATTCTAACCTATGCGCTTCAGCGAGGACTTCGACGCATGGTTCAAGACTAAAGACAGTTCGGATCCTGATGCTGTTGTCAAACAACTTCACAAGGTGTTGCGACCCTTCTTACTCCGTCGTGTCAAGGCGGATGTCGAGCACTCGCTTTTGCCGAAGAAGGAGATCAATCTGTACGTTGGGATGACGGATATGCAGCGCAAATGGTATAGGATGTTATTAGAAAAGGACATTGACGCCGTCAATGGTGAGACTGCCTCTCTACATGAATACGCGTTCTGATCAAGATTGCAGGTGCTACGGGCAAGAAGGAAGGCAAGACGCGTCTTTTGAATATCGTCATGCAACTGCGAAAATGTTGCAATCACCCGTATCGTGAGCTTGTAACCATTCGGGCCGACCGCAAGCTGACTCTCGCTAGTGTTCGATGGAGCTGTGAGACTGGGCGATCGAGTGCGGAGCCCAAAGCTGACCCTGTGCGCTAGGAACCGGGACCGCCATATACGACTGATCAACATCTCATCGACAATGCCGGAAAGATGATGATTCTCGACAAACTTCTCAAATCAATGAAGGAGAAGGGATCTCGAGTCCTGATCTTTTCGCAAATGAGTCGTGTGCTGGATATCCTGGAGGACTACTGTCAATTCAGAGATTTCAGTGAGTTCAAAAAGCCATCACAACGACGAAGGCTTACGGTGCGGTTTCAGAATACTGCAGGATCGACGGTAACACTGCTCACGAAGACCGAATCACTGCCATCGATCAGTACAACGAGCCAGGGAGCGAGAAGTTCGTCTTCTTGCTCACCACTCGAGCTGGAGGGCTGGGTATCAACCTCGTCACAGCGGATATTGTCGTGCTCTTTGACAGTGATTGGTGAGCGGGGCTCCTTGATATTTTAGGCGAGACAGCTGACATGAGGTGCAGGAACCCGCAAGCTGATCTCCAAGCTATGGACAGGGCTCATCGGATTGGTCAGACCAAGCAAGTCTTCGTGTTCCGTTTCATCACCCAAGATGCTGTCGAGGAGCGCATTTTGGATAGAGCGACACAGAAGCTCAAGTTGGATCAATTAGTCATCCAAGAGGGGAGAGCCCAATCTTCAGCTAAGGGTGAGTTGTGTCCTTTCGCGCCCGGAGTCGTGGCTGACATATCCCTAGTTGGCAACAATCGCGATGAACTTCTAGACATGATTCAGCACGGGGCGGACAAGATCATCAATACCTCTGAAAAGTTCGTCCGACGGTCTTTGTCTAGAGCTGACGACCCTTAGTATGACTATCGACGAAGACATTGACGAGATCATCAAGCGTGGAGAGGAAAAGACAGCAGAGCTTAACAGCAAATACGCAGATCTGGACCTGGACGCGTTGAACAATTTCAAGTCAGAGAGTCTGGTCAACCAGTGGGAAGGCGAGGATTTCGGCAACAAGGTCAGTAGCGTGCCTCGCACAGTTCTATGTACGATGATTCTGACCGGATGACTGTAGCGCAAAAACATGATTTGGATCGAGCCAGCCAAGCGAGAACGAAAGGGCAACTACTCGATCGACCAGTACTATCGAGACAACATGAAATTGACCGCTCCGAAGACGGATAAGCCCAAGGTGCTTCGACCACCAAAGCAAGTCCAGGTCCACGACTTTCAATTCTTCCCGCCCAGGTTGGTTGAGCTACAGACTAAGGAGTATGATGCGCATCTCGTGAGTGTCAACTCCCCGGTCCAATTTCATTATTCATGCTATCACAGAAAGCTCAGAACTGGGTTGTGCCAGCACGTGAACCTGAGGAGAATGAAACTGCAGAGGATGTAGAGAAGGAGCGCCAAGAAGAGCAAGAGCGAATTAACAACGGTAAGTTGAGCATGATAGACTTGCCGAGATCTGACATTGGCTTCAGCCGAAGAGCTCACGGAAGAAGAGGTCGCCGAGAAGGAGGCCTTGGCGAGTGAAGGTTTCGCAGATTGGCGTCGTGCGCACTTTCAAAGCTTTGTCAAAGCGGTCGAGAAGCATGGTCGGGAAGCTCTGGAGCTGGTCGCAGCGGAGATTGCGGACAAGACTGTAGACGATGTCAGAGAGTACTCAAAAGTCTTTTTCGAGCGATACAAAGAGCTCGAAAGTGAGTCCGCCGTTATGGAGTTATTCTGCTGACGCACGCGCAGACGCCGATCGATTGATGGAACGAATCGATATCGGCGAAGCCAAACTAAGAGAACAACAGGAGCGAATTGATGCTTTGCACCGAAAGGTCAAGGCTTACAATTATCCGATGCAGGAGCTCAAGATTCAGTATGGTCAAAACAAGGGCAAATCGTACTCTGAGGAAGAGGACAGGTTCCTTTTGGTCAGGATGCACCATCATGGAATAGATCGTGATGACTGCTACGAATTGATCAAGAGGGATATCGGCGAGTGGCCACTCTTTAGGTGAGCGAAATTGCTGTGTCATCAAGCGATCTCTCGCTGAACGTGTTGTGCGCGCTCAGGTTCGATTGGTTCTTCAAGTCTCGTACGCCCGAAGAGCTCCGACGTCGAGGAGCGACCCTCATACTGTGTATCATGAAGGATAAGGAGAATGCCGATGACAAAGAGTTTAAACCGAAAGGCGGCGGCGGGGGCGGAGGCGGTGGTGGTGCTGCTAAAAAGAGGACGATTGAAGATCTCAAATCAGGTGCAGGTTCACGAGATACGACACCGAGTGTACAGGGAGGTGGAGCCAAGAAGAGTGAGTCGCACACGTCATTGGTGGCAGCAGAAGTTACACCACTGATTCTCTTGCTCAATTCACAGGTAGAAAGAGTAAAGGATGAATGAATGGCCTCCGAGCGTCAGGACGCGCCCAGAAGCGTCAGCCCGCCCGCATTTGTACCAGATTTCCCGTGTGATTCATTCTGCATGTATACATTTTCCCACGCCGCCCTGTCGTGACCGTGTCAAGGAAGAGCAGATACATGCGGGCAGATGATAGACAGGAACGATGACTGAAAAACAAGGAGACCGAACGCCATGGTAGTGATGGATGATAGACTATGGAATAGACATTTAAAGATGAAATACAGCGTATATCGTGTAACATCAAGATTCTAATGGACTGAGCCACTGAGACAGGGTCATCATCCAGAGGTAGACACTGCGGGTCGCGTTGGACAAGTAGATGGAAAGCGTCAAAGACAAAGCATATCATGACCTGACCTGACTCCAACCCAACGGACCTCGTGTCTCGACAATTACGTGTTTCGAGTAAAGGATTAGATAGACGAGAGAAAGTCCTCTCTTCCTAGACCGTCCGGGCCTTCTGGCGAGAAAGAGAGGATAAACCTGCGAAACGCGTGTGGTGCACAAGTATATTCTGTTCCTATCGTGCGGTGTTCAGGATCCGGGGAAAACAATGTACATCATGGAGAATGTGGAGGCGGAAAGTGTGACTGTAGAGCTGGACGTGGACAATTAGACGTCGCAGTCCGTGAAAGGTGAATGAACGAAGGATGAATTGGTGATATGATGGGTGTAGAGAAGGGCCCGGGCCAGTCGCAAAAACAGCCTAGTGAGTTAGAGTCTCACACCGTCTGTGACAGACTAGTCAGCTCTGCGCTCTTACGACTAATTCCTGGGCGCGTGCGCAAACTCACTCGATGACAGTCTGATAGATGAATTTAAAGCTCCATACTGAACCCCTCAATCGCTTGATTGTCAACAGGTATAAACCAGGTAAATTCTTGATCCTGCACAACTCGACGATGAATTTGACCTCATCACCACTGTCGACCCTGAGGAAGTAGTCAGCTCTGAAATGGAATATTAGGAGGCGTCAGCTCACGAGTGCTCTCCGTAGAGGGGTTCTGCCAAAGCAGGACTTCCGGGCGTACCAGGTATCGGCGAGCCAAAGCCAATGGTAGATGCGGACGGAGAGCCTAGTATGTCGCTGGACTCTACCCGTGAGAGAGGGTTGGTCGCGGAGTACGACGAACCACGACGTAAGAGCATGCCTTTGAGCCCTCCGCTGGCCGATGAGAGTATTCCGCCCGTTGATGGAGAGTTGGGAATAGGCAAGCCCCGATTGTCGATCTAAGAAGGATTGCATCAGCTCACTGATGTTGAGCTTCGAAATCCTCTCACTCACCTTGCTCGTGGATGCAGAGCTCACTAATGTGAAAGGGTTGATGCCGCTGCCCACACTCATGACGCTACCAAGACCCAAACCCGTAGTTGGCCCCGCTTTTCGTCGTCGGACACGCGTGCACCGCAGCTTGAAGTCATTCTCCTTTTTGATCTCCATACCCATGCCTTGCAGGACACGGAGGACTTCGACCATGACCTCTTTCGGGGGCTTGGAAGAAAGAGCAGATTGATCAACCAGGCCAGTGTGGACGCGCATCTTGAGCTCGTCGTTACGTGTCGGCGATGGAGCATCGCGCAGAGCGACAATCTTGGTCGGAGCTGTGTTCGTCGCCGTCGAGAGACTTTCAGACCCTGGCATGTGGGATTTGGATCTGGCTGGCAATGGCATGGAGTTTCGTGTCGGCGGCACGAGGGAGGTGGTGGAATTGAGCATGACCGAATCGATGTTCGTCTTATTGGCAGCAGAGCCAAGAGGGACACGTGCGGGACTGGTTGTTCCACTGGACACTTCAGAATTCGCCTGCAACGGTACCATCAAGGGCGGTGGCAGGTCCGACGGCTTCTTGATGGCATCGAGTCCGGCAGCATCTGGTACAATGTCCGCCGCAAAAATGCTTGGACCCTCGGCGGTGGCAGCGACGCTGCTTGTACTGCTCATTGCGGCCAGATTGGCCGTCGAGCCAATCTGTGCTCGACTCTCCCTGGCAGCATGTCGTAACGGGGAGTCGGAGACTTGTACGAATGAGGACTGGGAATCAGTCTTGACCCCAGATTGTTTCAAAGACACCAAAGTGTCTCGAGCGATCGACTTTTTCCGGAACCAATCCATGACCTTCTTCGCGGCGCTCGAGCTCGCCGTCTTGTGTCCCACGGGCGACGTAGGTCGAGCTGCGAAAGCATCAACGGTGACAATGGATGCCGAAGACTGAGCGCCGCGATCTCCGACAGCAGATGTCGGGCGGATGCCCTCAGACCCGATCGCAATAGGCGCACTCGACTCGAGCTTGCCAGAGGCGGTGGCGGCTGATTTCGAGATAGGAACGGGATTCATATCGCGGGGAACCAGAGGGGTCACAGCGGCAGGAGATGGAGCTGCTCGAGAATCGCGAGGGTTGCCACTGCGCGACAGTCAGCAGCGGAAACCTCAAAACGCCGACACGTTTGTACACACCGATTGACCATAAGCTGCAACGTTCTACGCCTCGTCTTCTTCTCCTTGGAATCGGTTTCCACAAGGTCCGATCCTAGCACGCTCTGTCGTTTGGCCTTTTGACTCTTGGTTCGGAAAAGACCAGTCTCCTGCTGTTCGGCCTGGACTTGCCTGGATTGAATCTTGGCAGCTGCGGTCGCGCTTGAACTGACAGGCGGTCGGGATACGTCAACGCTAGAGGAAGCAGAAGCTTGACCGAGCAATTTGGCCAGTCCGAACTTGTCCAAAGACATGCCTTTGCGGTATCGCTCGCGCTTTGGCGAAGGTGGACGAGGTAGACCGGTGGGCTTGAGAGACGGGTTGACTTTAGCAATGGGTGTCGTTTGGTTGGAAACGGAGGGTAGAAGGGTTGTGGACGGCATGGAATCTGCGCGTTTCCCGCCGGTACGAGGCGTTGACAGGGGCTGCTTTGATGGTGCCCGTGGAGTGACGACCTCCTCCAAAGTGTCTTGCCCCTTGCTCGCGCGAGGTGTGGACGGCGAAGCAACATCCCGCGAGGACTCTTTGCCCTTCTTCGATGGCGTCCTTGGGGTAGCCTCAACAATCTCGCCGGGGACGATTTCGACAATATTGCTTATAGGAGGAGTGGTGAGAGGAGTCAGGACTTGCGATGCCGCCGGAGTAACTTCTGAGCCAATGACCGCCGATTCCACTGTACCTTCGGGCGCATGACCGATCTCTGACTCTGAATCCATGTCAATGTCGCTCGTGACTGATTTTTCAGGCGATGACCTGTCGACAATAGGAACCGACAGCGGCACAGGCAAAACAGGGATCGAAGCTCCGCCAGCCGCAGCGGCTCGTTTGGCACGGAGTATTTCTTTCATCTTCTCATATGAAGCATCACCGTCATATTCCACCTGAATCGTGTGTCGATTCTTGTTTGAGGACATTGGCGGTCTGGCGGCATATTGGGACTCGTCGCTCGTATCCACATCCATCCGCTCGTTCTCGACGGCCTCATTGGAGTTGTCTGCAGTACCCACGCGAGAGATCTTGGGAGGCGAAGGATTGGATCTAGGCGAGTCACGAGGACGATCTGAAGGCACAGATCCACTCGCTGCTGTCGCGGGAGGAGTGGGTAGTGTGCTGGCTGCAGCAGTGACGGGTGAAGTGCGAGGAACGGCAGGTACAGGCGCAGCGATCGGGAGAGACTGCCGGGCGGGAGGGGGCACGGTAGCCGGCAGCGATGCGCCAGCCTTATTGAGAAATGCTGGCATGGTAGTCGTTCCTGGCAAAGCACTGTGATGACGGTTCTCTCTCTGTCGACGATGCTGATCAGCCACGCCAGCAGAGACGGTGGCACCAGGAGCGCTGGATTGACTTCTTGCCATTGCCATTCTCGCTTGCTTGCCTTCGATTTGAACTTTGCGTCGGTCGGCAAGCTCCCGCTTGGCCGTCTGAGATTTGCGGTACATGCTGTCTTGAAAGATGTACTCGTGATCGTCAACGGACCGCTCGAAAATGTCGCGGTAAGCTGCCAGCCAGGGATGGTTCATGATGTCCTCGATGCTACATCGCTGCTCGGGATTCGGAACCAACATGATCTGAAGCAAATGCTTGGCAGCTGCAGACATGTGATCGGGGAAGTTGAGTTTGGTCGACATGATGTATTTGTACAGAAGGTTGATGTTGTCTCCATCTGGATTCTCAGGATCGTCGTCGTATGGCAAGTATCCAGACAACATGGCGTACAGAATGACACCGCAGGACCAGATATCCACCGCCGAGCCGACGTACAGACCTTCAGACACGACGAGCTCCGGAGCTGCGTAACATGGCGACCCGCACGATGTGGCCATGAGATCGTCCGTCGCGTGATCGAAACGGTTGGCGAAACCAAAGTCTGTGATGATGATATTGCGGTGCTTGTCGAGTAGCAAGTTCTCGAGCTTGAGATCTCGATGAACGATGTGCTTCTTGTGGAGATAGTCGACTCCGGATATGAGCTGTGCAAAGAGCTTTTGCGCGTCCTTGTCTTTGAGGTATCGACTGGCGAGAATGTGATCGAAGAGTTCACCACCTGTTACGAAGTCAATTGGTGACAAGACAACGGTAGTGATTCAAGACTTGCCTCCTGCAAACTCGAGGACGATGCCAATGTACTTTTCGGTGTCGATGACATCGAACATGCGCACAATGTTTGGGTGTTTTAAGGTCTGCCCAGTGTGAGCGGACTGGAGCAGCCTTTGACTCACCTTCAGAACGTCAATCTCCCTTTCAACCTTGCTTGCCCTCGTTTCGTCACTCAGACTGCCGCGACGCATCAATTTGATGGCTACCTCGACTCCGAATTCGGTGTGCACACCGAGCTTGACTTTGCCGAACTCGCCCTCGCCAAGGGTTTGTAGCAAGACGTATGGCCCGAAACCGACCATGGGTCTGCGTGGATGAGCTTGTTTGTAGGACCATACAGAAGGATGTAAGACATATTCATCCGTCAGGTACTCTGGTTTCGGTGGCGACGCGTTGATCAGTGCTGTGGATGGGTTGTGTGATTGACGATTCCGCTGTCGATCGGCGTGATCAGTCGCGCCAGAGGGATGATCAGAGGAAGAGGCGATTGGGACAGGAGTTGCAGGGGTCGTCTGTTTTATTCTCGCCGAGGTGGAGGCCGAAGAGGGACCACTGGTCGCGGGGCCGTAAGAGCCAAATTCGTCCAGGACCCCAGCAGGCATCGAGCCTCTGGACCCTCTGGGTGGAGGCATTCCACCCGCTGTGGACGGTCTACCAGACGGTGCCATGACCGGAGTTGTTCGATTGGAAGGTCGATTGGATTTGGGAGAGGGTGTTTGAAGTTTGGACGGAAAATGCGTGGATGGGGGAGGTGAAAAGGGAGGTGACGGATACGCTTTGGTCGGATCAGAAGCGAAGTCAACGACGGGTCTACAAGGGAGCACGGAAGTCATGAATGCGTGTGTTGGAAGTGTCGTGTTAGATTTGGGGTGGTATGATTGGCGGAGGGTCGAAGTGAATATGAAGCGCTATCGAGTGGAAGGTATGCTAATAAGCCAAAAGTGTCAATGCTGAGACGCGATACAGAGCGAGCGAGATCAAGATGGACAGTGAGGCAAGCGAGAGGACAAGGATGGGTGATTGGAGCGTTTGTTTTTATTGGTTATAACATGCAGTCAGAGTCCAGACGGGAGAATCATAGGTTGTTGAGTCTGAACGCTGTGATACAACACAAGGAGGGATTGGGTGTTTGTGAGAATGCTGCTGGCTCGCGTCCGAGATGCGACCGTCAAGGAAGGTGTTGACGGGGATAAGCGCGTGGAGATGCGACTGGAGGATGGGGTGGATGGAGATGTGTATGTGTGTGTGTGATGCCTCTTTGCCAAACAGATGGACACACCAAAAAACTCACCTAGCGTGCTTTGAGCAGTAGTATTGCCGCGACTCGCCTTTCTGCCCCTCGAACTGTGAGACTAAGGTTCCTGTTCACACGTCGTCCAATCTACCCAAGATCCATCCTCTTGTGTCCTCGTGTCCTGACGCGTCCACCTTGTCTCCCGTGGCCCACAGATGAGGTCGGAGCGAAGTGAGAGAGACAGATGTATGAAAGGAATGAGATGGACAAAGTCGGTTGGTCTGAGATCCGTGTGTTGAGGAATTTTTATTACCGATGAAAGGGATTCCCTTGGAGTTTCTCGGCGAGAGATTCTGGGAGGGTGTCGATGAGATGAGCTTAATGCTGGTCTGGAAGGTAGATTGTATGCTAGACGATGTTGGAGATTGGGAGACGAATGATACTGTACATGTAAGAACGATCGAATCTACATCGCACATCCCACATCCCACACATTGTCCGCCTCCGCCAATCTCCTCCTCCTCTCCTCTTTTTGGTGGGCGGTTCAAACAACACTTTTGAACTGGCCGGCCGCCTCAAAATTGCCCATTCGGGTAAATTTAGACTGCACAAAAAGCTTGTTTCATCCCCGGGGGGTATTATTCTTTTCAATAACGCGTAAACAAAGCGTGCGCCTGCCAGGCTAAGAGAGAGGCTCAAGTGGCAGCAGCAAAGGCGTTGTACCACGACGGATAGCCACACATGGACAAGCAGAATGGAAACAGATGATACTGTTGAGCTGATCATGCATAGCTCGGGTACTACGTGGTGCTGGAATCCCAGTGGTCTCATCAGGTACCATACGCTCACAAATTGGCTCACAGCAGCTGGAATGCCACAAACGTGGCACATTGGCAGAGGCGAGAGGTTGCCAACAATGCTTGCCGTCGAGGAGTAATACGCGGACAGGCAGTCAAACTCGAAGCTTTCAGCCATAGCCTCGTCATATTTCCGAACGGTCATCGCTGCAGGTCCACCATGCCTCGATTAGACTGTCCGGACGCACTCTGCAAATCGTCGCGCACACATTGTGGCGGCCTAGACGTGAGAGATCCGCCCAAAGATCGGCCGCCTCTGCATTTCTATTGTAATCAAGGGCCATGTTCTCGTCTAGAAGCACCCGTATAGCCCTGCCTGTTGCTCGAAGCGGGCCCTTGATCTCGTCCTCATTCAAGGTCTCCCCAGAGTGCCAGTCTCGTGCCTGATCGTCATCGTCTTCTATATGCATCCCCTACTTGACTTCGATCGATGCTCCCCGTCTCGTTGGCATCTAGAATCATTGACATTGCACCAGCCCGCATCAAATGGACGAGATACAACTGAGTCCATATCGTAACCTACTTCTCCACTGGGCATAACAAGGCCGGACGCGACTCGCGAGGCTCTAGAACTGAAACAGAAGATGAAACAAGATGAAACGGCGATCGATCCTCATTGTCTACAAAGGTGGGACCAAATAAGTTCTGTCCCAAATGGAGATCTTCTCAATGTCCGAAGATGAATCGTGCATCATTCACTTGAGCCCATGCTTGGGTATGGATACACTCTGGTGCTAGATACACAGACCCATGGCTGACCAAGCTGAACCGCTGATAAGCTCTTCTGGAGCTACTACAGGTGGCTTGGTAGACCCAGAAACACTCCTCCAATCTGATACAACGCTCACTGCCGAGCTGGTTCACCAATGCCTTTTACCACTATCCGACTCTGCCGCTCTGGAGCTATGTCACAATCTCCTAATTTCCGGTAGAGTGGACCATCCAGTACTAGCGCAACAGATCATCGAGCTTGGTCAGGCTCGTGGAGAGTCAAGTGTGAGGAAGGTGAACGAGAGAGTCCGTCAAGACTTGAACCTCATACAGGATGAAAGTCTCGATTGGAGTTCCGAATTGGCCAGGACTACCCTGACGCGGGTACTGGAGAATGAAACGTCGGAGAACACGTCGGCAATAGGGTATGGACATCTTGTGGACATGAGACAGAGACTGGCAACATTCGAGATACTCGCTCCGCCGAGATCGAAATCTTATGCTCAAGCGAAACCAAAGAATCAAGGTGGAGATGTCGGCGCACTTACCGACGTAATGGATCTAGACGATCCATGGGCTGAGGCAGACACAGATCAATCAGAAGGTGAAGTCACCAAATCAGCAGATGGTGCGGCAGAGCGCATTGCAGAGCAGAGCTTGGAAGTCGACGATCCTTGGGAATCGGGTTCGACTCATTCCGCGCATTCGACTGTATCACGGGCGAGCGACCGGGAGACAACGGCCCCCACGGCGATCGACGAGGATCTTCCATTTACTCTCGGAAACTTTCTCTCGATGAGCCTCGTTGAATCGGCTCAGAGTCTAGCATCTTCTTGCGATTTATCCCACCTGAGTACCTTGTGGAAAAGGCACGGTTTTGCCCTTTGGCCATGGCGTTACGCCATCCTCGATGCTCTCCCACCCTGGTTCAATCCTCTGGATATGGACGATTCTTCACTGCTTCCGCGAGTGGGGCGTGATGGCGCTGAAGACGGGCGTCCAGACAGCAAAGCTGTGTCCCTGGATGAAGCTTTAGCGTACCAAGCGGCCAGCAAAAAAGCAATGGCAGACCAGACGCAACCTCGCTATGACCCGCTTTTGAACGAAGAACTCACGTCATGGTACGTCGAAAAGGTCGAGAGCCTGGACACGTACGGCTTGATCGATCTCCAGCTCGCTTGGGTACAGCAAGGAGCGTCCATGGGATTATCAGATCTCGACGCGTTGGGTGAGGACCTGTCACTGCTATCGAAGCTAGTCTACGACGCGGACCTGAGCCCCGACGCCGAGAGCAATTGGACCCTTTCTTCGTGGCGAGAGACGAGCGAGAGGGATGTCATTCGGGCCTACCTATCTAACTCGACCTCGGACAATATCGTCTCACATATTCGACGTCTCGTTCTCCCTTATCTCTACGTGTTGGAGTCTAGAGCGGAACGGAGTGGGCAACCGGATCCGCACTTGGTCGAACGATCATTTCATGACGCTCTGTTGGACCTTCCGCTGAAACTCGCTCTACCTATCTTTGAGGCGTCCAAAGCGACTGTTCCGTCTTCTGAGCGATTGATCAAGAACGACCTGACTGTCGCTCGATTGGCTTTGGCATGCTTGTATGGTTCCGACCAAAAGGACGCATGGTCAATCATGTCTTCGATATTTGAATGTCTGCCTGTCTGGGACATCTCAAGCTCGGAACGTGATACTGAATCAGATCAAGAATTGACCTCGACAACTCTCGACTCCATCGCCTCGTTTGTGCGGCCCAAGAAGGCCGGCGATCCTTCGCCAAAAGCCAAAGACCTGTTCATCTTCTTCTCTCCGCTACCTTTCGCGGCATTATCTCGAGCTCTCGATATTCTGGACGTACACCTGGAAAGCGGAGAGATTTTGGCGCGGTGGGATACCCCGGTTCAGCTGAGATATCTGCTTCAATCAGCTGGACACCATCAAGACCAAATCGATCTCGCCGAACGAATGATCAGGAGGCAATCTGATAGAGGTGCACAAACGGACAGTAAATGGACTTCACTCTGGACTGATATGCTAAAACTCAATGGAGGGGAAGATTCGTCGCTCAGGGGTGCATTCGGGCGATTGAACACACAAGAAATGATGAAGATTTATCTCGGAGGGGTGCTGTCTTCTGGAAGTGAGTCAAACCACTTTTCTAGATTGGGGTTGCGGCTCATCTTCTCATCAGAGTTCGACACAGCAAGGCGGATGATCAAGCAGCTTCAGAACGAACACAAACTCAGTGATGACACAGTCGAACAAGTCGTCCTCGCGACTTCAAGAGACTTCTATGACAATGCAGAGAACGGCAATATCCATACCGGCGCGATGAAGCTAGCCTACGACTGGTGAGTCTACATCACGACTCTACAGCTGATACCGCCCAGTCTGTCGGTTCCCGCGTCGAGTCCCGCGATTGCCGCTCAACGTGATTTTATTGAAGCAACGTCCCGATTATCAACTTTTGGGATCCCTTCAACGTCTGGATCCGGTGTCATCACTCCTATCGAGATACGTCACGCCAAATCCAAGTTGGATCTTGTCCGTCGTGTTCTGCAGACTTCGCCTGATGCATTCCAGCATCCTGATCTGATTCTTGACCTCTCCGACAAGCTGGGGTACAGGAACGATAATCAAGCGAGAATTCAGGTCCTCGGCATGCTCGTGGAATCTGCCGTCAAAGCTGGAGACTTTGATGCTGCCTTCAAGCAATGCCAAGACATGGTGACTTTGTCAAAGAAAAGACCTCGGGCTGCGAAGCCGACTGGGGATGGAGAGGTCTCAAACTCCGAAACCATCACAGATCACCTATGGAAATCGTGTCTGCTCGTCGGATCACAAACGGATTTCGCAGAGATCGACAAACGAATGATTCTTCTCGGACAAGCTATCGATTCTTGTCCCGCAGAAGAGATTCCCGGTATTTTGCAGATTTGGCGTAAAGTCGAATCGGGACAAATCAAGCTAGACGAAGCTGCTAAGCGACGTCGTATAGCTGGTATCCGATCAGCCACTGTTTTTGACTCTAAAACAAGCCAGAATGGCAGTCTGGCCACCAGTCCCGTCGTTGGCGAGGCGAGAGTTTTGGGTAGTCGAACGGCAGCACGAGCAGCGAAATTAGCAATGAATTTTGGGGAACGTCTCCGGCATGCGGGAGTTAGCGGAGTCAGTCCGACGATGACTCATGGACTTGGAATCGGAAGAACAGCATCCCCTACCGTCAGCTCATCAGGAGAAGGAAGGCGATCGAACGACAGTGATAGGCCGAGTATCGGATCGATGTTAGACGGCTCGGGACTGGCTGTAGCGCAGGGGGCCGCGGAGGCAGAAAGAGTACGACAGCAAGCTAGGAGAGCCCTGGTCCGAGGTGTTGGCTGGCTGCTCGGCGCCGATGAGAAGGAGCTTGGCGCCGGGGAGTGATGCGGAAGCAGATATAACGCGTGGCTGCGTATCATATATTGCCTTCTTGGTCATCATCATGAATCATGAATCATTCAGCTATGCTCTATGCTTTAGTCTATTTTTTGATCTGTTACCCGCCTCTCGACCAGCAATCGCTCGCCTGCATCAGGCTTTGGGCCGTATTCGCTCATGGCTTGGTCCGCCCCGGCTATCCACTGCAGAAGATCTGCGAGCCATTTCGGCACGATGCCTACCCCTGGACCCATGATGCGAGCGAGATTAGTATACCAGGGGAGTCGGATGACTCGGCTCTCATGACAGTCCAGGGCGTCAATGATCTCCTTGACAACGACGTGAGGTTCGAGATGAGGAGCTAGGAAATTGAATAGTCGGGAAGTGGGCAATTTGACGCAGGCGAAGAGATTGGTATGCACGAATGCCGGGATGACGAGAGTGGTTCGGACATTGGGAGCCAGGTATCTGGTGGACGGAATGAACAATAAGTCGTCGTGATCTGCCTCACCTGGCATCAAGCTCCGCACGGAGAGTTTGATGTAAACTAACCAAGGCAGCTTTACTCGCACAATAATCGGCTGGGAAGTTATGAGTATGTTGAGAGCTTCAGTAGGATGCTCAGACTCACTCATCTGAGCAGCCCCTACCAGTCCGAGCACGCTGGTTAATGATACGACGTGTCCATGTCCGGCACGAATCATGGCTGGTAGAAATGTCTTGAGCGTCCAAAATTGCGCGAGCGTGTTGGAGCCAAATGAGCTGGCAAAGCATGAGCTCGTCCGAGATGACAGAAGCGGGATCTGACGCACTCTTTTATATCCTCTTCGTTCAAGTCCAATAGCAGTTTCCCCTTCACTACACCGGCATTGTTAACGAGGATAGTAGGATCGCCGACCTGAGAGTTGATCAGCTGTCAGTTTCTTGAGATGTTCAGAAGAATGTCGTTTACTTCTTCCCTGACCTGAACGGCCACCTTTTCCACTGCGTCGAGATCGGACACGTCACACACGTAGGTGTGCACATTATCTGAAGCGAAGATTGAGCTGCTGTGAGAACTGAGTCATGATGGCTAACCGTTTTGGACCTCGAGTTTGGCCGGTGTCTTTGTCAACACAACGACTGTGACATTTCTCATAGCAAGCGTCTCAGCCAAAAGCGCTCCGATGCCTGATCCACCTTGAACGGAGTCAGCTCGAGGTCATCATACGACGCCCTCACCACCTGTTATCAACACCACTTGGTCCCCCCAATTCAGCTTTGATGGAGAGAATAGCCATGACCATTGATTGGAGTAGAGCCTGTCGATGTGTAGAAGCGTGTCTTGTCATCGACTCATAAGCTCACAATCTCAGAGCCTGCGAACGAGGTGTCAGACTCACGGGTCAAACATACAAGGGCCGTCCATACACAGCTCCAAATGAAGACTGGGTGTGATGTACTCCTCAGTTGGGATAGAAAGGTCAATGGTATGAAGATACAGAAGGAAGGAGCGAAAATAGTCTTGGATAGTACTCGAATTACTACGGAGTCTGTGAGCTTCTATCAGCCATGGCAGCTCACTGATGTCAAGGTTGAGCATCTGAGCCTGTGCTGTAGAGCCCTGTCCTGTGACCGGAGCAGAAGTCTCAGGTTGGACATTTGACATGATGGGTATGTCAAGACTCAAAGAGAAGGAGAGAGAGAGAGACCACAGAAGAGCTCATCTTATATAGTGTGCATCTTGCTCACTGACTTGCACGTTGTCATCGTCGACCGTCTCCTCAGCGACGACCTCGCTATCTGTCACCAAGAGACTTAGCTGTCCACTTCAGGGGCAAATTATGTAACAGAATCTTACGTAACGTGTAATGTTTTCAACGATCGACGCGAGGTGAGAAGCTGACCGGATCATCTGGACCTTTGGCTTTCCAACTTCATGCCTTGAGACCAGTGACTGACTGACTCCTCCACACAAGAATAGAGCGGCAGGATGAACACCAATCATCCGCTTCTGGCCTCTCTCGCAGATGAACCACCTCCATTCCCAGATTCGCACCCTCAGCTTCAGCGATTGGACCGTTCTGTCCTGTGCACGATATGTAAAGAAATATTTCGAGCGCCTGTCACGGTGACTTGTGGTCACACATTCTGCTCAGAGGTGGGTATGAAGCCAACATGAGACCTTGACATCCGAACTTAACCTATCCTCCAGTGTATCCGATCTTCGCTCTCTGTGATGACGGATAAAAAATGCCCACTGTGTCATGCGACTATCACCGAAGGGTCAATACGGCGGAATCGCGCCATGGAAGAAGTGACAGAAGCATGGGAAACGGCGAGGTGAGTAATTGTATCTCTCTTAATATCTTATGCACTGCCAGGGATTCTCTCATTACTCTATCGCAACCTGTCGCTGGACCGTCTCGTCGCCGTCCACCACCTGAACCTAATTCCAAGTCATCTTCTTCAACTTCCGCCAACCTAAAGCGACCGAGAAGAAGTGACGAGAGCAGGAGTCAGAGTCCAAACAAGATATCCAAGAAATCAACAGATCACGTTGACCATGTTGTTTCTTCTGATTCAGAAGAGGAAGAACAAGTTCAGGAAATTTCGGAAAACGGTCGGTCCTGTTGAAAGTGTCCCTTTTTACCTCGCTGAGCCCGTACAGACGAAGGTGAATGCCCGCTATGCTCAGCCAGGATGGCGATCGCATCTATACCCATGCATATCGAGAGAGGGTGCCCACCGGTATCAAAGAAGAAGTCGGCACCGGGAAACCAAAAGGCAGACTGGCGAAAAGTCTTTTCCATGGCCGGATCCACCAAAGAGAAAAAGTGCGTTGAAAAGAAGGACTCTCTGACGGTCCCAGCGTTTCCATGAAGCGCATCACCAGTCCCAATTATCATCTGGCGACTCCGACTGATCTCAGAAACATTCTGAATGTGAGTCGCTGAGAACTCTCTGTAGCTGATTCGGCCAGGAATATAGTCTCCCAACTGTAGGCGACAAGCCCGCACTCGAGGCCCGAGTCCGTCAGTGGATCATCCTTTTCAACTCCAACCTCGACACTGAGCATCCCAAATCCCTCTCTGCTCTGCGTGCCAAGCTGAACGCCGAAGAAATATCCAAGAAACGAGATAAAGAGCGAGGCCGTGACGAAGCGGTCGAGAATCTAAAGACCACTGAAGGCTTCGCAGAACACGTCCGCAATTCGGGCGCAGAGTTTGAGAGACTGCGTAAAGAAATAATGGAGAGAGATGCCAAAAGAGCAAAGGCCGCTAAGGGTCTCGAGGCGAGCAGCGCTATCGAAGTAGATTAAAGATATCCGGAGTCATTCACGTTCATTGTTCATTAGTTCATCTGTACAAATTCACGGTCACGACCCCCGACGCATTATCCGCATACTTTCACGACATGATGCATTCACCTCATAAGCTCAGTCCTGCGAAAGTCTATGATCCACAGCTGACCGTGAGGCTCTTACAGCCACGAACTTCCATCCCCCACGCTCTGCCCATTCTATGCCCTTAGCAACTAACGTCCAGAGCCTTCCGCGTGAACGTAGATGATTTGCCAATCCGGGGAAGACATGATCACTCCAATCTTCTATTTTGACGTTCTTGTAGCCTATCTTTTGCATGAGCTCGTGATATCCTTCCACTGTCCTGGTCTTTGACACCAGATTTCGAGCGGGAACGGATAGAAGAGGTGGGAGGATCAAATGGCCGAGGAACGGACTCAGATTGGAAGGGGGAAGGATGTCGGTGAAGGCGATGACTCCGGATGGTTTAAGGACATGTATGACATGAGACAAAAAGTGAGCTGTGGAGGGTCGGAAGTGGTAGATGGCATCTAGGATGTAGACCAGATGATATGGCGGGGCCAAGGGTTCTAGGCCTTCATCTGATGGTCGACGATCTCCCATGAAACCTCTCATGGGGTTCAATGGATGTTGAAGATCTTTGCCCGGGCGATATGACGCCGAAGAAGTGAAAAAGTTCGTCACTGTCTCCATATTCGGATGCCTGTGGGCGATCAGGTCTTTGGCGAAGCGTGATTCAGATGGCAGAGAAGTCAATGCGTCGAGATGCGAAGGGGGGCGGGACGAATTGAGGTGCATCGAAAGGGATTCCCCGGCTCCATGCGCAATGTCTGGGGGTCGAATATCAGCACTGACTTCAGAACGACATGATGACTTTCACCTAGAATAGCACCGCCGGGCTCAGCATCTGCGAATTCCAACAGCTTTCGTGCCAACGTCCCGGCAGCTTCTGAATATGAGTCGATGCCCTGCAGCCATGCGTCAGCAGAGCCTGCAGAGACATGACTTGTCACCTAACATCCCAGTATCCCATGTTCCTCCAGTACGTCTCTATCTTCCCGTCTTGTTCATTCAGTGTTCCGGCATTCCAGTACGCGTACGGCTCGAGATAGTGTTCGGGTACAATCATGGGCACAAGACGGAACAACAGTGGCAGGCATGCCACACCAATCAATAGCGGGTGCATCATCGCTGGGCTTCACGTCGTGCCCCTGAGGCCCCACTTGACAGTCGAAATGGGGATGTAAGAGGTCTAAGTGAGTTTATTATCTGGTGAGAATAGTGCTGGATCGATCAGTTGAAGATCCGCGAGTTCTTCGGACAACGCGACTTCGAATCCCGACGAGGTTCTGGGTAGAGCTGTTCTCTCTTTCACGCGGCCCTGAGTCTTGGTCTTTCATTGCAAACATGATACCCCGGTCTCATCTGGCCATCATCCTAGCCACCTTGATCGCGATATTCTGGCTCGTTGGTACATCCTTCTGGCCGAAGAAGAGCGCATTAGAAACACCGGCCCGGAAGACAGCTTTTCGTCAAAGACTAGTCGCTGTTGGGGATCTTCATGGAGGTGTGTACATCTGTACATTGCGTGCTGATGGTGAATCAGACCTTGAGAATGCTCAAAAGGTTCTCAGAATGGCCAAGATCATTGACCAGAATGCCAACTGGATAGGCGGAACAGATATCCTCGTTCAGACTGGTGATGTTGTAGATCGAGGAACCTTTGCCTTTGATATCTATCGAATGATGCAGAGACTTCGAGGACAAGCAGCCGATGCTGGTGGACAGCTCGTATCGATCCTGGGGAATCACGAGATCATGAATGCCATCGGGGACTGGCGGTGAGCAATCAGCGTGGCTTGGACTAATGCGAGGATAGCTATGTCACCGACGAGGATATCAAGCACTGTGGCTCGACCGCGCAGCGTCAGAAGGACATGTCGATAGACGGCTGGCTAGGCCAGGAATGGCTCGCCAAGTGGGTCCCAAACATGGTCAAAGTCCGGTTCTGATGTTCTACTCCAGCTACTCTTCCACAGCTTTGGTGGCCTTGGCCGATCATCCCCAAGCTCCCAGACTATCGTTTACACACGGCTCACTCCGGCCATCTTATCCCAATCTCACCCCATATCCAGGCAACATCAATAGACTCGGGCATTCGCTCTTGACCAAAGCTCTGACGCCACCAATGGCCATGCCATATCCGCCGAATCCATATCCTGGTCTGCCTAGAGCATTGACAGACGCCGAAGCGGAATTATATGCTGAGGGAGGTCCTTTTTGGTGGCGAGGTCTCGCGCAGAGCCCCGATGAGAAGCTAGTATGTGGTTGGGCAGAGCAACTGAAAGCGAAGCTAGGCGTGAGACGGATCATAGGGGTGAGACTGGTCGAAATTCGGTTCCTCATTGTATTGACCGGGATCAGGGCCATACTCCCAACTTTGAGCGCATTGTGGACCGATGCGAGGCTTCGATCATCATCATAGATACTGGCATATCAAGCGCCTATGGAGGAGTGTTATCAGCGTTGGAAATCATTTACACCCTTTCACCAACAGCGCCGAATCGTATTCACCATCAAGATCCTCTTTTGCTGACGCAGGGGACCGAGTATGTTGAGCGCGAAGAGGTTCACGCGATTTATGAGAACCGTCGACGTCAGCTAGCCGTAGAAGAACGTACCATAAGGTTGTAACACCTAGCATATGCATACATCCATCATTGGCGCACAAATCCTTTATTCATCCCGTGCTTCATCAAATACACCTCCCGAGTCTAAGTCGACCATCCAACGCCAGAACGGAGCTGTGGGGAAGCTTCGCGTACGTCAGAATCCAATGGGCGCATACTGGGGGCCTACAGACTCACCCTTTTACATTGTCGTAGTCACCCTCTATACGCTCAATCAAGAGGCCGCCCGTACTCTGCGACGCTTTCAGCCCAGGTCCAATTGATAATTCACCTGTATTCCGAAACCTCCAGCTTTCTCAAGCCCATCTCCTGACTCTACGTACGCCTCGATCAGATCTTTCTGAGAGGACATTAGCTCAGGCCAGCCTGCTGTTAAAGACAGCTCGCGTTGTTGTCCGCAAAGTTTGCTATTGTCGAGCAGGAAATTGATCTATAACTTTAGCTCTAGGAGGCAAAGCCAAGACCATACTCACTCAAGCTTGTAGCCAGGTGCAACTACACTAGGGTATGCTGAAGGTGATTGTCAGTAGGATTTACAACATGTCACAGAGACCCACCGAGCGTGACAGCTGTGACGATCTGAACTCTCCGACCATTCATCATGTTCAACCAGCGCCTCTAATTGAATCAGTAATGCAGCGAAACTCTGACCTTACCTGTTCATCCTTGCTCATCGGTTTCTCTAGTATCTCTGACTCCTCTCCGTGAGCCTCACCACCCTCCGCAGTATCCTCCTCTGGTGGAAATATGACGACGGTGTCAGCTGAGGGAAGTCAGTGAATAGCTCTATGTCTGGAGCTCAAGCCTCTCGCCTGAAATGACCAAATCTGGCGCATCGTCCGGGTCTTCCCTGACCATTCTCTCGTATACCTCCATCGCCTGATTTCCAGTCAGGCTGTTCCCTTATGGACACCCATGGCGGAACCCACCTTCTCACCAGCAGTAGAGATGGGATATTCAGATAATCGGCCTTGGAACTCGTGCTTTGGTAGGTTCTCATCAAACCGGGAAACCACTATCTCCGGAGCTAAACCCTTTCAAGATCAGAGTCAGCACATATACTCCAGTGGCCGGTCGACAAACACATACGGCTCTGGCCAATTCCTCCTTTCTCCTGGGGCTCGCAGAAGCAAGCACGACCCGACGGTGCTGCAGCTTCTGCATTATGGGTATCTTTAACGCATCCGGTAGCACTACCGAGGGACGTGAAGACGGCGACATGACTCGCGATCAAGCCTGGATTGGTGTCGTTCAGCTGCCAATGACCGTTGAGTGTAGATCGCAGAGTGATTCTCAAGCCAATTGCGATTTTCAATGATCCCCGGTAGTTCGGGCGTGTGGCGTGGCGGAAGAGGCAAATCGCGTTTCATCCTCAGTTTCAGTTCATCGACGATCGCAGGAAGGCATTGTCGAGCTTGGAGCCGACCTAGGCTTGCCTTACCATGTGAATCCATGTTCTCGTTTCTTCACGAGCTTATGCGTCCAGTCTTCAAGCCCTGAATCAGGGGATGGATTGCGTTGCGAAGAGTTCACTTTGCCTCTCATAAGCAAATTCAGCAAGGCATCAAACCTTTGTCACATCAATGTCTAGCCGTATGGCAATGACAGTCCAATTAGACAGAGTCTTGTCTGATCGCGTGACATCACAGGTCCTAGGTGTACCTGCAACCTCGGGAGCCCAGCGCTTTTGTTGATTTCTACAGTTTTCCTCTGAATACCTTTTAGAGCAGACAGCAACAATGCACAGTGTCCCAAGACAAGCTCAGAATTCCGGAGCTCCTGAGGGAGATTTCTACCTTGAAGCAGGTTCCTCATCCGCTTAAGGGGAATACCAGCATCAGCGGCGATCTTTGAGGTCCCTTTCAGCTTCTCGCTCTAATGGGACGATGCAAAGTCGACTCGATGGGACCCAGCCCGACTGCCGATGGCGGTCGGCGAAGGGCCTCAGATCTCGCACAGCACGTTCGGAGTAGCTCCTCCCGGCGTGTATCCCTCTTACTTTCGTTCACACCGCATGCTTTCATCCCCATTCTGTGTCACCCACCACACTCGCCCATTCTTCATCTTTTTTTTGCCACTCAGTGACAGTCGACGACAGCTACCGTGGGAAAGCCGTTTGGATATTTTCTGAAGTTTGCCGACCGTCGGTTTTTGTTATTTTGCGAGCTTGATCATATCATAACTACACGTAGAGCCAGCTCAGCCGTAGATCTGCCAGCTGACAGCGTTCAGATATGGAGGATCGGCCGCAGAAGCGATTCAGAGTGGGTCCTCACTCGTATTTGACACCTCGTACCCAGCTGATGTCCGCGTCAGTATGCCACCTACACTCAGCAGCTGAAAGAAATCCAAATCGACAAGGGCAAGGGCAAAGGTGTCAATTGGGATGACAGAGCTGTAGATGAGGAGGTTGGGGTGAGTGTACAAGCCATGCTTCGCTGTTTCGACGGCTTTGCTCACACTACCCCACAGGAGACACCTCTCAGCGTCGAATTAGAGCGTCTCTGCATTCTCGACCTTACTGTCCCCTTTCAAGCATTCGCCAAGGAAATTCGACCGCTGTCCACCAGCTTGCCAGTCATTCTACATAATCTGCAAGAGCTCAAAGACACTTTCAAAGCGTTCTATTCATCAATAAGTGGGAACAGCGACCATACACACTCCGGTCTGGACTCAGTACTCCAACTTCATCGAACGCTTTTCGAGACCTCTGGAAATGAAGCGACATGGATTCTGCCAGATGCAACAGAGGACTTGCTACGTCTAGGCGCATTGCCCGCTCTAGCTCCTCATCTCGTCGAGAGATCGTACTCTGTACTCTCCCTCATCCTCCGAGATCAGGCATCATCTCTCATCGCTGCAGATGACGTCCTTCGTCGCACTTGGAGTCTGGTTTCTGAATACCTCTCATTCCAGGGCAACAAGCCTTACGTGCGGCGATGCGTGACGAGTGCTTGGGTCGGAGTCATCAGAAAGGCAAGGGGTGATGGACTGGATCGTCTTCTTAACCTGCTTCTGGTCAGTAATCCGCAAGACGGCACAGAAGCCATGTGGGCAGAGAGCTTGCAGGGAACCGCTGGTGGTCTGCATTCAAGAGCGCTCCCGATTCTCGAGTATTTACTGGACAGAGCATACCAGCAGTCAGTCGAGGAACACCCTACTAGCCTACACAAGATCCTCACTGCAACTGTCCATCACTGCTCCTCAAAATCGCTCGCCCCGGTGATCGATGCTATCTTGTCTAGGATCGTGACGACACCGTCTACTTCAGGGAAAGACTCAAGTCCTGGTCTTGCACTGATGATCGACCTTCTCGGCACCATGCTTTTGGTTCGCAAAGGGAAACGCTTCCCAGAAGATCGGCTGAGACCGTCGATGCTCAAATTGGTTGAAATTTGTCAGCTTGTCCAGTCTGCGCAGACTTCACCCAGCCCCTCACATTGGACCCCAGAGGACTTGGCATCGATCAGAAGGTCATTGGGACGCGCCACCGCTGCATGCCTATCAGTGAGCAATCTCGCGCATTGGCTGAGTCCGGGTGTGAGGCTACTGGATCTGGTCTGGACCATCTTTGTGAGCGCATTCGATCGCGCTGTTCTATTCCTGACGTCAATTTAGACAATCGATGAAAAGATTGCATTCACTAGCGTACTGTTGGAGACACAGTGGTCTGGCTTTCCTCAGTTCATGCTCTCTCGAGTGCTTCAGTGAGTCTTCCTTCCAATCGACCTGGATTTTGCGCTCACCTAGTGAAGAATGATCTCGTCAAACATCGACAGCAACACTCGGTCAGTTTTGAATCTGCTGAGAGCGGTGTCAAGCATCGACATGCCTGAAACAGCCTCTGCTTCTGCCCAGAATCAAGCGTTGCGACGATCGATCACAAGCAAAATGATTTCCAAGCTCCAAGCAACCCCTCCAAGCTTGTCGCTTCAATCAGAACACGCCGAGACTTTGGTTCACATATACGACTTGCTCCCCCTTTCTGAATCCTCAGAGGTAGACATCTTGCCAATTCTGGATATCCATCTCCAGGCACTACTCCGGGATCTTCGCTCTCACGAAGACGTCAAAAGTTATTGGCTCGAAATCGGGCCCGTCAACAGCTTGCACGTCCTCGCTGCCTTGCTCGGTAGCTTTCACAGGTTATGTGATATACCAGGACAGGAGATCAGAGTGAAAAGTCTGCTTACGGCTACCGGCAGCCTCTTATCAATTATCGAGATCTGCTCTTGGAATGCAGACATCATGGAAGTTGCAACAGCCCTCGCTGAGAAATGGCAGGAACACTTGAGGTGAAGTGTCTCCAATTTGAGATTTCAGCTGACTTTTAGTTCGAGTATGAAGATCGACGAAGAAGTCCAGGTCAATCTACTCTCTGCGGACCCAAAATTGCGGAAGGCAACCTTGACACTCAACTCTCTTGCAAATCAAGATCCCTATGCTAAAGAGATGTGGAACCTATGTCTTGCGGTTGAGCAGGCAGAAATATCACTCAAGAATGTCAGAGAGCGGTCTACCAATATCAAACGAGTCGCTCGATATCTCCAAAATGGTGTGGACTCGGACAAGGAAGTGTCTACCACTCTCGTCACAAATATCATCCGATACCTGATGTCACAACTGAAAGTGAACTTTCGGCCGATCTATGCGGAAACCATCGCCGCTTTGGGGCAATTGGCTACTAGATACGCAGACACCATGTGGTCATTAATTTGGACAGACATCGTCGAGATTGACCTGAGTCACCCATCAGTACCCGATCTGGGTCAGTCGTCGCCGTCCTGGAGTCGGCCTTCGGAGCGAGACCAAAGTAGTGCGCCCCGCGAAGAGGAAGACCCAGCCTTGCTCTGCCACAACCTTGTCCACTTTCAGGGCAAGTTCAACGAGGCATGGACTGCAGAATACAGACGCACAACGGAGGTGAGTATGTCCGCTCACTTTATGGCTAAGAAGTGAAAGGCTAGAACTGTCAGATCAGCACTGGACGTTCTGAATTACGAGGCTCAACTCCTGGAGGTCTTGGGGACCCATCCGCAGATAGCTGAAAAACACTCGAAACTCCTAGTCCCGCATATGCTTCACGTCCTTGAACGGGATTACAGCAGTGAAACACTTGATGCTCACATATCCAGCCGGAAACGACAAGACCGGGCTGTTGCGTACCTCGGCTTGGCGAGCAAGTTCACCAACCCCAAAGCTGCTTTTCGCTCAAGCGAGCTGCATAGTGCCTACTTGCGAGTGCTACAAACGGGAGAGGCAAGACTGCAGAAGCTCGCCATTGACTGTATCCTAACGTACAAGTCGCCGAGTCTAGTACCTTACGGCGACAAGTTGCGAGCACTCCTGGACGATCACAAATTCCGCGACGCTCTGATTCACCTCCCTTTGGGCCTGGAAAGCGAGGTTGTCGACCCCCAACATCGACAGGAGCTCTTGCCGGTGGCCATTCGTCTTCTTTATGGTATCATCACCAGTCGACGGGGACGAAGCAGCACAGTAAGGAACCTCAAAGCTCGAAAGCAAGCGATTCTTGGTGCTCTAAGCGGTTGCGCACCTTCCGAACTAGGCACTCTGATCAACCTCATGCTTGGATCAATAGTCGAGGATACAAAACCAAGCACTCCTCGTCAACAGATCGGATTCCTGACACTCTTGTCGGATGTTTTGCGTCTCTTGGGAGCCCAGACGATCAGCTTCTGGCCGAGGCTAGTGGATTCGGTTTTGGCACTCATTGAGCATGCACAGGAGCAGCTTGATCTAGCGGACGACATTGTCATGGATCATCACGAGGATCCGGACGCGGATGAAGAGATAGACGAAGGCGCTTCTGGAACGAATGGATGGAGGAATGTTCGCACAGCGGGCATCAAGCGGTTGGTCCAATGGCTTAGAAGCCCCGTGATCTTTGAATGGACCGACTATCTCAAGCGGATCTTTGCGTCTGTTATCTCACCTCGACTCGATCGATTAGAGGTAGAAAATTCTCAAGCACCTTCGGCCATTCTCGACCTCATCGCTGCGATCGCTTCCTCTCCAGGCTTTGCTCATTCCCTTAACGTCTTCGACGAGCGCACCCTACCCAAGACATTTGCTTGCCTCAATTCTGTCAAGGTGAAACCTGCAGTCGTGCTGCACGTGTTCAGTATCATTGACTCGCTTCTGGAATGGGACTCGCCTCAAGTAGGTGGCTCTCGGGGCTACCTCCTGCTGCCTCATTCGGACACCTTGATTGCCTGTCTCATCCAGCTAGTCGAGTCATCGGGCCTGGAGAAGAATGGACAATTGATGCCCAGATTATTGACGATCATTTCCAAACTCTGCAACATAGTCTCGGACGGTGTTCAGGCTCAGCACTTGGCAAGTTTGCTTGGACCGATGCTCAGGCAGAAGTCCCGCATCATTTCAGAGCGATCGAAACAAGACATCCTCCAGACTCTGGGAACAATTTATACTCTTTGTCCCGACTTTGCACAGCCCGATTCGGACTTCTTCAACCAGCAGTACACCATTCTCGCCAATCTGTTTCAGACTCTGTCGTCGCCGTCGTCCAGGCAGGCGTTGGTTGCTGCATTCTCGATCTTCAGCTCTGTCGACGATCGGTTATCGAGCGTCACAAAATGGACTTCCGACGTGAATGCATTCTCCGCCAAACGTCCGGAGGAGCCCGATTTTGATCGACGTCTTGCCGCGTACGGTGAGATCAACGATGCCGAGTTAGACGATCTGCCTACGGCGTTGCAACAATGGCTTCCTTTAATCCGCACAGCTGCTTTTTTCATCCGAGAGGTGGAGGAACTTTCCATCCGAACAAGCGCATCCAAAGTCTTACAGCGCTTTCTCGACGTTGCCGGCAAAGTGGGCGGTAACGAACTTGCCGCAGGCGTCACGAATGTCACACTGCCAGGTTTACGGGAGTCGCTTCGAATGAAGCATGAAGCTGTAAGGAACGAGGCGCTGCTTGTCATCTCGCACGCCGTCAGCGTGTGCCCAGCCATACCGATTCTGCACGAGATGCAGCCCCTCTTGTCGGATGACGATCAGACCAATTTCTTCGTCAACGTCGCTCACATTCAGGTTCATCGGAGAGCCCGCGCCCTGCGACGGCTCAGAGACGTCTTGCACGCCCACGAGATCTCGGAGCAGACGGTCTTTAATCTGTTGCTGCCCATTCTGGAACACATTATCGCCGGATCCACTGACGTTACGGATCATCATTTGGTAAACGAGGCCATCTCCTCGATTGGACTCCTGGGAAGTAAACTCAGGTGGGCGCGTTACAACGCCTTACTCACTCGCTATCTCCGTCATGGAAGCTCTCCGAGTCCACAGCAGAAGTTATACATCCGTACCGTTGTCTCCATCATCGAAAACTTTGCGTTCGATGTCAAAGCGAACTCTGGCGCAGACGACATTGGAAGCGACGATGAGCAACTGGTCGAAGAGGAGGCAGAAGTTGGAAAGCCCATCGATACCCTCATTCAGGACGCCATAACCTCCCGATTGCTGCCGGCGCTCGCCCGCTTCCTTGACGCTCGCAAAGAGGCCACAGAGACAATCCGCATTCCAACCGCTCTGGCAGCTGTCAAACTCGCCTATCATCTACCAGAACGGGTCGGAGATAGGGAAATTGAGAAGATTGTCACGACAGTTTCTCAAGCTCTCAGAAGTCGAGATCAGGACATACGCGATGTCGCTCGAGATACTATGTGTCGCATTGCCGTTTTCCTGGGGCCAGAATGGCTAGCTCGCATTCTCAAGGAGCTTCAAACTACTCTACAGCGAGGGCCGCAGAAACACGTTGCGGCCGTGACGACACATGCTATTCTTGCTCGAGCCACAACTGATGCAGCGGAGAGTTTTGGCGATTTGGATGACTCTGTCGAGGATGCGGTCAGGATCAGCGCCGAAGTTATTTGGGGAGAGTCTGGGAAGGATTCGCAAAACGATGACTTCAAAACTAAAATGAGAGAGGTCAAGAGCGCGCCTTCACGTGCCTTTGACACCTTTCAACTCTTGGCCAAGCTTGTACAGCCAACCAAAATCGCCACCATCCTCGCGCCTATCCGTGAGATTCTTCACGTCTCGCAAGCTGCACAGAGTCTGCAGCAAGTCGACGAGGCCCTTCGCCGCGTTTCCTCGGGACTCAACGCCAACCAGCGGTTTGGAACCCGAGACATTCTTCACTTGTGTCATTCTCTTGCCAGTGGCACTTCAGCTTTCACGCAACAGAAGCGGAAGGTCGGACCAAGCTCCCAGGCCAAGGATGATTACCGCGTGCAAATGAAGCGTGACGAGAAAATATCCGAAGACTATTTCGCGGCGAACGGACACAAGTTGACGACGTTTGGGCTGGACCTATTCGTGACGGCGTATCGACGAGGAAGGCTTGATTTCAGCGACGAGGAGATCCTTGCCAGACTTGGACCTTTAATCAGTGTAATCGGCGATTCGCTGTATTCAAAATCATCCGATGTTCTCTCAGTCGCTCTCAAAGCTACTGCAGCTATTTCGAGATGTCCGCTCCCGCGAGTCCAAGAAGCGCTTCCCGTGTATATTAAGAACATCTTCTCGGTCATCAAACATGCCGGAGGCAGTGCTGAGAGCGAGCTGGTGCAGACCGCCCTGAAAACTCTCGCAGTCATTCTGCGAGATTGCAAGGCATCCAAGATATCAGACGCTCAAATTCGTCATCTACTGGACATGGTTGGACCAGATCTGGAGGAACATGACAGACAAAGTGCGGTCTTTGCCATCCTTCGAGCCATCGTTTCTCGTGGATTCGTTGTCCCTGAGATCTACGACCTGATGGATCGAGTTTCCTCAATCATGGTCACCAGTCAATCACCCAATGTGCAAGAGCTGTCGCGGCTGACGCTCATGCAATTCTTGCTCGACTATCCGCAAGGAAAAGGCAGACTCAAGAGTCAGATGACTTTCCTGGCGCAGAATATGGAGTACGAATTCGAGAGCGGCCGATTATCAGTAATGGAGGTCCTCGCAGCTGTCTTTCGAAAGTTCTCCGACGATGTCTTGGAAGACTATGCAGACTTGTTTTTCGTGGCACTCATAGCTGTCCTCGCCAACGACGAGTCAGAAAAGTGCCGAACGGCGGCTGGCGCGCTCGTTCAGCAATTGTGGAGCCGAGTCAACCTTTCGCACCAGTCGAAATGGATGCAGATCATGCAAAATTGGATTTCAGAAGATCAATCGGAAAGCTTGATCCAGGGGTCAATCACAGTTTTTGGCCTGATCTGCGATGTCGATGATCTCGCTGAAAATCTCCTTGCCAGTATCATAGGGACTACCGTGCCTCTTGTCAAGGAGAGTCAGAGGAGACTCGAGGCTGCCGAAGTCGATCAATTGCCAGCGGACCAACTGTTTAGCCATGAGACTGCGCATTACCTCCTCAACACTCTCTTCAAGGCAACTCGCCGGAGCACCGCTCAACTCGCTTCGCTGCCGATTGTCGCCATTGCTGCTCATCTTCTGTACCCGCATGATTGGGTACGGTACGATGCCGCTAAGCTGTTGACTACATATGTGACCAATGGGGATTCGTTGAAGAGTCCATCGCTGGAGACCGAGAATTCGCTTTTTGATATGGCTAGGAAGAGCTGTATAATTTTGGGAGCCAGTTGGAGCTCGACTCATCGTCTTCTTGATCAAAAGCTGGCGGATCAGCTCGTCAAGCTGCTCTACAACCTGGCCAAGCTCTGGAAGGTGGTGAGTGCATGCCATCTTCCACGCATCCAAAGCTGACTGTAGGTAGGCTGATCGTAAACATCCACATCCGGCCCCAGGACCTGAGGTAGACGCCGAGGACGTGCAAGAGGATAGCCCTACCGACCGAGACCCCCTGGCATGGCTCATGTCAAGGATGTCGTTCACCGCAAGGCAAATGATCGTTGACAGACCTCCTGTTCATCATCCAGTAGGTTTAGTCCCATGTCACGATACTCAGCTGATGTCCAGCAGGACCAATGGACGAAGCCTCTCATGTCTGTTCTGAGGTTTTTTGCAGGTACTTTTGAAGAATTGGACAGCAGTCTTGCCAAGCGCTTTGCGGTACATGCACTAGCGCCCTTGTACCGGATCCTGGATGACACAGGAGAGATCGGCTCGCTCGAAGCTACGCCAGATATAGGTGAGCGACCATCATCTTGGGCACCCCTGACAACTGCAGTCGAGCTCCGTCAATTTGCCACAGAGGTCAGAGACTCTATACAGGGCAAGATTGGCACCACTCAGTTCTCGACAACCTGGGACAGCGTTCGTCGCCGAGTCGCAGGCAAGAGAGAGGAGCGTAGAGACGCTCGAAATGTCATGGTGAGCGACTGTCTGTCGCCCGCTCGTTGTCGTAGTCTGACCGGTTTGCAGGCCATTTCAGACCCTAAGGCATGGGCCGAGAGACGGGGCAAGCGTGTGATGCTCAAGAAGGAATCCAAGAAGAGGAGGAACAAGGCATTCGCGTTAGTCAATGACTGAAGATGCTGGAGCATCGGACTGACAATTTATCCCTCTTCAGGGAAGGCAAAATTTCCAAGGGCAATCGGAGATCAAATCACTGAGTATGACCAGCAAGCTGCTCATACATTTGCATTTGTATATTCAAACATCGTCGCTGTATTCATTACACGGTTCCGTAGATCAGGGGATCGATATTAGGGATCTGATAGATGGGTACTCTGCAAGAGAGCTGAGTTCGTGTCGTCGTCGCATACAAAATCGGTCGGGCTGAACCAGGACTGGGGGAAACAGGCATATCAAGAATCCGGATAAGGGGAGTAGGGGAACGATTCACATCAGAGCTATCTTGGCCCTTCATGCGAGTAATAAGCCCGCCTGAGATGTCGAAACTTCTTGAGTGAGATCATGGCGAGCATTTCTAGCCCGTATCAGTCGCTGACCAATCGGCCGAGAGAGAATGCCTCCCTCACCTTTCTTTATATGCTCAGCATGATCCAACTTCTCCTTGAGTATCTTTGGGTCTGTCTCCTTGGCGTTCTCTGTCACCAATGTCAGCTATTGTATGATGCCCCAAGGGTAGACTTGCTCTCAAAAGCTCGACGAAGACGCCGGTTGAAGTGATACTCTGGATCAGGACTGCAGATAGGTGTCAGGTCTTGCCGAATTTCACGCGAATCGACATACTAGTCTCTGCCTAGACGATGAAGCTGGCAAGGCCGTCAGCTTATCAGTGGGAGTCGATCCACAATAGTATGTCCGCAAGCCCCTCACCTCTTTGTACAGCTTGATGGCCCTCAGTCTGAGCATGCCCGTGTCTAGGTCACTTCCTGCATCTTGCTTGCTAGCCTGATTCTGGGCAGCTGACGCTGAGGCCGCTAGTGGGCCGGGTATCGTTGATGCGAGCCGCATGGAGGAAGTCCTGGAAGATAACGTCATCGGAGATGTTGTCCGGGCATTTGAACGGATGAGTGAAGGAAGGCGGATCATCTTGCAACGTCCAGCAAGGGTTATAGGGTATGTAGCTCTGCTGCTGCTGCGCGCCCTAAGTATTGTCGACCTGGGTATCGCGGATTACAGGGGGGCAGGATAAGATGACGCTTGTGGAGGAATTCAATAATCGCACCGGGGCTTTGTGCCACCGGGCCGGTCAATGAAATTTCAGGAATTTCTGGGTCGATCAGCACATCCCTCACTGCATCCGTACCTTGACTTCCAATAAGCAGACAAGCATTGGCAGCAGTGACGCCTGAATCAGAGTCCCATTTGTACATCATACTTTGGGAAGAGAGACCGAGACTGGCCTAAATGGGCTTCCTGGGCTTTGGGTCATCATCGTGAGGATCATTCAATCTTGGCTCTATCTTCATGGGCTGACAAATACGTCCCAGGTCCACCTCATCGGACTTAGCATCCCGATCGGCTAGTCCAGAGGGAGCAGTAACGACCTCGGAACCCAGAAGCAATCCTCTGAATCCTAATAATGTCAAACCGTGAGCGTCATGGAGATCGATCGCCCTTCTCTAACAAATCTCAGTTGCTGTGCTTGCCCCGAGACCAAGGAGCAGAGGGATAAATGCTTCTTCAACAACTCTCCTGAAGAGGCTGGAGACAAGTGCAGAGCTTTAGTGGAAGCTCACAGAGCCTGCATGGCTAGCTATGGATTCAAGGTCTAGTAATCTATGACATGTAGCATATTCCAATCCCCCTTTGACAATCGAGAGACACTATCCGTGACCTGACGTCGCTTGGCGGATCCTCACCACAGCGACGTCCCATCCTCCGCCTCGTATTGTCTTCCATCTCCAACCCCACCAGAACACGAGCGGTCCGATGATGTTTACCACTAACAAGGTGCAGAGGAAGATGAGACTTGGCGCTGTAAAGAGCAGACTTTCACTAGGATCGTGAGGCAGAATGGAGAAAGCGAGCAACACCGTAGATGCTGTCAGGAGAATTGAGAATCCTTGACCTGCCTCGCGGACCCCTTTCGCCACTACAGGCCAGCCTGCAAAGAGACTGACGGCGAGAAGAATCAGGGAGAACACGTGCGCCGTTGATGGCAAACGAGATGCCAGAACGATCGAGGCGGATAGTGCCGAGGTGAAGGACAGCGACGATGAGAGGCTGCGAGAGACTGTTAGCTGAGGTGCACTGGAGAGATACCGACAAACCTCTTCTCTTCGATAGCCTCCAGATCTCCGTGAAAGCTGCTCCTCCTCTGCCTCTGCTGGAATCTCCGCCTCTCCCTGTATTTCTGTCTGGCATCCGGGCCAGTTTTGAAGTCCGCCAGCAATACATGAATGAAGAGCAAGCAGCCGGCCAAGGGCCAAATAGAGTCTGAGGTAGTCGCCGATGTCAAGGTCCCCAACACTGGGGACAATAGTGACAATAGCAGGGGCGGTAAGATTAGAGGTCTTAGTGATGTTGTAGGGGGCAGCAGGCCATGAGCTGCAACACGAAGTCAATATCTTCAATGTGTACTGTATGTACGTACACGTCAGATCTCTTTCGAGTCCTTGTTCTCGCCATCCAAGCCTCCGCACGAAATGTCCAACGACACTTGAAAGCACTACCGCCCATCCTACGGAGCTCGCGCTGAATCGGCCTATGAGAAGAGCGTGAAAGATCGAAAGAAAGAGAGCGATGACGGCCATATGCTGCGTTATGGGGAGAGCGTGGATGACCAGAGCAAAAAGTCTGGGACGAGGACGTGGAGCTGTTAAGGGCGCAGTCAGGCTTGCGCTTGAAAGCCCCTGCTCAGTTGCGCATAACTCACGTAGATCCCTCAATTCCGCTAGAAAGGATTCGGGGACATGGTTATCTGGATAAGGTTGTCTGCGCCAGAGCACCTTTTCCCATGGCTCAGCTGTATCAATGCAATCAGCTGAGCCTCTGGCCGGGGTCATGAAGCGGACTCGAGGTCTCCCTCGTAGCTTGTCATGGGTTAGTAGCAATATGTAGAAGAAGGTTACTGGAACATCTTATTAACGCTGCACCGCTCATTCTAAATACCCGAGATCCTCCTGGACATTATGCTGATCCTTCATAGCCACAGCAGGTTTACATGCCATCCGTACTGAGCTTGATACATAGTACCTCTATGAGCTGAGAGCATCCGATGACTGTCAACAATGAGCGCGAGCCGGATAAGCGCCGCATTCTGTCTACCTCGATGACCGATCTCAGCAGTCCGTTAGATATCAAGGCGGACCGACAAGCGACAAATGAGGTCAGTATGACCGGAGCAACCACATGACGAGCCAGTGCTTACCCTTTCGCAGGTAGATAGCATTGAGGAGAGCTTGCTGGGCTACTCTGATCCTCATGGAATCCCGCATGGCCTGTCGCGATCATCGTCCTCTTCTTCCGAAAGCCCAACAGACGACTATGCGCAATCCCATCGCGACCCATGGCGGTCGCAAAGTACCCATCAATCTCTGCTCAGCGCTTCCGACTCAGGACCGTCTCATACAGCCTATTTGACCTCTGTATCACATCAGACTCCCGCATTCGAAGACTTCAAAGGGGATCGCACTCCACCCAAACAAAGCGCGTATTCTTCGCTGCCCTCCTCGCCTAAGCACGAAAGAGATTTTGACTTTGGTCGTACGGCAGTCGGCCTTGGGCTTCCTCCATTCGGTGACAAGCTTGGACGTCTGGAGCCGCGTGCAGAGTCTACATCGGATTCAGAAGACCTGGAGCAATACTGGGAGGCCGCAAATGTCAGATCAGGCAATGAAACCCCTGCATCATTGTCGAACATTCGACAAAGAGTGCCCCCTCAATCCAGTTTGGACACGACCACAGCAAATGACGCACACATACACGAGCCGCTATCGTCACCGACTCAACCGCGCGAGATCCCCTCACTATTCGAGCTCATCTACGATGAGGCTGGAGCTGAAGAATGGGATGGTTGGATCGTTGACGGCAGATGGGAACGTATAGGAAACTTTCTAGCGGTCCCCTTTGCCGTTGAGCAACTCACGCTCTTCGGGGCATTACTATGCTTGGACGGGTTCCTCTACAATTTCACGGTCCTGCCAATCCGCGCAGTCGTAGCAACTTCGCAGATCATTCGCCGGCGTATACGCCTGGAGCCTTGGTGGCCGGTTCCAGCTAGTCATCTGCATTCTATGATCCGAGCATTATTGCTGTTCATTCCGGCTCTGGTACTTTCACTGGCTAGTGACACGAGTAAAATGTATCACTCAGTCCGAGGCCAAGATACTATAAAGCTCTACGTCATCTTCAACGCGCTTGAGGTCAGTCTACTTCTGCCTGGCAGATGCTCATCAGGATATAGATAGCCGACAAGCTATGCGGAGCCTTCGGTCAAGACGTCTTAGATACCTTGTTTGCGAGAGATACACTTGCACCCGTCTCGAGGAAGGTCGGCGTAGGGCGCAAACGCCAGCAAGCCAGACCTTTCTTCTTCTTCATGCTCTCGCTCGGCTACGTCTGTAAGCACACACATCCGTTTCTTCATTGTGGAACTGACAAACCGTAGTCCTTCACACCCTGGTCTTCTTCTACATGCTCATTTCTCTCAACGTGGCGATCAACTCTTACGACTACACGCTACTCTCACTACTCATAAGCAACCAGTTCGTCGAGATCAAGGGCTGTGAGTTATTCAAGCCAGGACGGAAAGTCCAACCCTGACTCGGACAGCTGTCTTTAAAAAGTTTGACAAGGAAAACCTACTTCAAATTATGTGTGCTGGTGAGCGTCTTTGACTGGTAGATGATACCTGAGTCATCTCACAAGTCCATCGCAGACATCGTGGAGCGTTTCCAACTGAGTTTGATGCTTTCCGTCATCGCCATTCGCAACATGATCGAGATGGCGGGCTCAGACTTGGCCTATCTGCCGAAATCTTTCAGCGCTGGCAAATCATTGCTAGACGCCATCATGTCTGTGAGTAGCCTCTGCTTGAAGAAACTCAGCACGGCGCTCACCTTCTGTTCAAGCCCGTTGTGTTTGTCATAGTGTCAGAAATGCTCGTCGACTGGCTGAAACACGCATTTATCACAAAATTCAACCACGTCCGTGCAAGCGTTTACGGACGCTTCACAGACGTTCTTGCGAAAGATGTGCTCGCAGTTAATACCATGATCGTCAACCGATCTCAAACGACAAGGCGAAGCGTGAGCTTCAAAACAAGACTGCGCTGACTTTAGCGACCGCTATTAATGGATCAATCGCCTCTCGTAGCTCGACGGTTAGGCTTTGCGTCTATTCCATTGAGCTGCCTTGTGCTCAGGGTCGGCGCTCAAGCCATCAAGATGCTGGTCAACCCGACACACAATGTTGAAGACGTCTCTCAGTCGCTCTTGGCATCTTGGACATGGTGGATGGTCAAGTGGTCGGCGGGCTCCGTTGTCATAGTTGGAGCCTGGGTTTGCTTGGTCGTCTTCAAAGTACTCTTGGGTCTATCTCTGCTCAAATATTCCTTGAGACGACAGGATGGCATGGACACGAGGGAAGCTGAGGACGTTGTCAATGATGCTGGCAGGTCACAGGTTGGAGTTGGCCGAGAAGAAACGGTGAGTGGGCAGAGACATGTCATATCTAACGATCGTGTTAGGCATACCTTCGCCAGGTATCACAACACCTCTCAAAGTCTGAAGACGACCTTCCTGAGTATCCAATGCCATCGTCAAACGTGCAGTTCCCGATAGACAGTCGGGATCACCCAACATTGAATCTAGAAGGGACGCGCGGACCTGTAGCGGACAAGGCAAAACGGAAGCAATGGAAGCTTGAGGAAGTTGAGAGATGGACAATGGTAAAGAGGATCTGGTGATCTGTCATATGTATCCATGCCAGGGAATCAATCAATCAATACTTATACAATTTCCTTCTGCCCCTGTTCAGGCAGGCCCTATTCCTTGTCTGATGTCGATTTCTGTTGTGTTGATGGCGGATGCTTCAAGGGGTTGTCTCCTGCTGTGAGGCCTCTGATATCGTAGCGGTCCTACAGGTTGGGAGTGAGCCTTATCGCGCAATAGGACGACTGCTTCCGGCGCTCACGTAGAAAGATAGACTGCCCCAGATGAGCAATCCAGGGATGACCAGACCCCAGACTGTCAGGAATCGAGTGTTGCGACGAGTGAATTTAAAGTTTTCGTACACATGTTCTCTCTGGGGAAGAGCTATCAGACCGATGCGCTCATGAATCTAGACTTGGGACTCACCATATGTGCCCATCGCTCGATAGCGGGATCCACCTGAGTTCAAGGTCAGTACTGTGCACAGTGTGGCATGCGTGGATGGGACGAACTCTAAGAGGATCTTTGAGGCGTCGAGTGTCAGCTTATGGTGACCGCAGGTCTGATGATATGAACCCACTATGATCACCGTGCCCGCCAGCCATGTTGTGCCGATTCTCGATGCACAGAGTTGTTAGGCTGAGCTCAACGTTCAAATGCATGCATGGCCTTGGACGCCGGCAGCCTGATGAGAGCTCCACGTGGTCACGGTGTTATACGGGGATTATCTTCAGTGTGGCGGGCTTATGTGACCTTTGATCTCCCTATCCGATCCATTGTGCATTATCTGTGATTTTGCAGCTCATTTACTATGTATAGACCCCGCTCAAGGTCACCTCCGCCCGACAGGGGTAGAGCATACTCTCCATCAAGGCCACTGCCACCGATGCGATCACCTTCACCCTCAGCTTCTGGAGGTCGCCGACGATACAGTCCTGGCCCACCTCCCCCGAGACGAGGTCGAGAGTATGATGATGATTATGATTATCGACGCTCAACCCATCCGCTACCTTCCAGAGTTTACAACGACGGATACGGATCGACTCCTGATCGTATGTACGGTGGAGCTGGAGGCTATCAGCGATATGACCGGAGAGAAGACCCGTATCGACGGTCGCCATCACCGCCTCGCAGGTCGTACACTCGAGAGCCGCCCCCCGCTCGTCATTATCGGCTGGAGGAGGCTCCAAATCGGTCTGGAATCATGGCAGGCAACTATGACTACGATGATAGATATAGGGATCCCTCTCGGGCTCAAGACAATCAGGGCAAGTGGGAGCGCGGATTCGAAGTTCCAGAGGCAGGAGTGAGTTCACAGAGGATCTTCATCCCAGTGTGGGATGGCTCACTCACTGGCCCAGCAAATCGACGAAGCCGAACCAAGCGCAAATGGTCCAGTTCGGACACGTGGTGCAAAGCAACCATCTGCCCCATCAAGAGATGTTATCTTTCTTGGCCTGGACCCAGAGCTTTCAGAGACAGATGTGAGGGGATCATCCCGGCGATTGCTCACCGCTGTAGTTCGCTGGATATCTAAAGACCGAGCATCGTGCTCAACTTGAATCCGTAAAGATTGTCTTTGACAAGATCACAGGTCACTCCAAGTGTTTCGGATTCGCCGCTTTCAGTTCGATTGCAGATGCCCAGGACTTCGTCGGCATCAAGTGAGCCCCTAACTGAATTTACGAACTCTCCAGACGCTCACGCTAGCGAAGCTTTCCTGCTGTGCTTATGCCAGCATTGTATGCACATTCTGATCCTCGCAAAGTCAAGATCGATTTCTCCGCCACTCTCACCGGATCCAATGCTGCTGACAGTGGCTCCTCTGCGAACGCGACGGCACGCTTCCCGCAGCCCGGAGATGACGGCATGCGTGACATTGGACCTCCAGGTGGCGGGAACCGTGTGCTCTTACTCCGAGGACTCAGTCACCATTCGACACCGGGGGAGATCAGCTTCCGCGTAGGAGAGGAGATAGCCAGACTCGTCGGTCGACCTGGTCAGGGCGACGAAGCCCAACGAGCCGTCGTACGATTGGTCTCTATTGTCGATCGGGCCGCTCGGAATAGTTGGGGCTATTGCTTTGTCGAGTTTGCCACTGTCGAGGTGAGATTTTGGCGGGGATTCGCTGGTCATACTGAACATGCGACCCAGCTCGCTACAGCCATGCTTGCCTTCCTCATCGCTCCTGAGAGTCAGCCGCAAGGGTTCCAAATATCTGAACATGCTATTGCAGCGTCATTCGCCAACCCTGCAGCCTTCATTCCTACCCCAGCAGGACCGTTAGGCAGCGAGCTGGTGGTCCGGGCGGCACGCAAGGGCGGAATCGGCTTCACAACGATCGATCAACCAGATGGGACATGGGTTGGATACTGGCATCCGGATGCCATACCTTCGCCGTTTGTGCCGGCAGGAGCGCCAGCCATCAGCGACACTGGCCACACTGAGAGCTTGGCTCCTGAAATCAGGTCCCTCCTGGGGAGCCTCTCTGGCGAAGTCTCAGGGGGACTCTCGACAGACGCAGCTCAGCAACATCGAGTTACCATGCCGACCGGTCCCATCAGCATCACCATGACCGGGCTCCAGCCCATAAAATCCAGCAAGACGAACAAAGTGCCTGACGAGGGATTTGTTGGCGGCTTATCCAAAAATCTCTTAGGAGATGACGAGGAATCAGATCTCGTTGGCAAGGATTCAGTACTACTCTCAAGAAGTGAGTGATCCTCCGCGGTGTGGGTACGAGACTTACTGATTAATTCGCGTAGCCAAAGGCGTGTCCAATATCATCGGGCCCAGCACCCGGAAGGTGAAGACGAGATCAGTCCGGCTCACGGTCAGATGCAAGTACTCACTAAGTGTCTCGCTGTGCAGGTGGCGAAAGACATCTCCAAATGGAATACCAAGAAGACTGAATTATCGACTCCGATTGATGAGGGTACCTCAGCGATACCTCGTGGACTGTCCGAGGCAAATGCTGCCCTTGGCGTTCCCCGTGCTGGGCCTTCAACTGTAACTGCCCGGCTCTCCTATTTGGACCTCATATTGACCTTCTGAATTCTCGATCACTTCATTTAGGCGGCGGCGACAGTTAGCAAAGCAGCGCAAGTATTTGACTATTCCGACATGACGACCGGCGGAAAGATGGCTTGCCTGCTCTGTCAAAGACTATTCAAGAGTGAAGAAGAGCTTGGCAAGCACACGACTCGATCAGAACTCCACAAGGCTCGCTTATTTTTCACTTGTCCTTGGACTCGCGAGGTTGTCGTGGGTCCAGGGCTTCGCAGAGATGTTACTGACATTATTATCTTCTACTTGCTATCACCTTATCTCGACATGCATCCCTCGTTGCTGCAATCTCACTCGCGTTCGTGCTTGGGGAATCACTGGGGGAACTTTTGATTCGTTATGATATCTTTCTTCCTTCCGTTGACGAACACAGACTAATCTCCTTGACTCCAGTGTCTGTGAAGCAGGTCAGCAACGAAAGCTGGCGGCACAGGCTGCCCGAACATCTGATGGCAAATATCGAGATCGAGCGGCGGAGAGACGAGAGGTACATCATCAGCCTGACAAACCCGTCTATGAAGAGGGCACAAGCCAGCCGAAGCGAAAGTTCGCCGAGGGACCGAAACCACCGCCACCACCACCGGTAGCTGCGATCGAGCCTGGCAAGGATGAGTCGAACCGGGGCAATCAGCTTCTCGCAAAAATGGGGTGGAAGAGTGGAGTGGGATTGGGCACTAGCGGAGAGGGGCGAGTAGATCCGATCCTGGTCCAGCAATTCGAGAGTCGGGCGGGACTAGGAGCAAGCAAGGGACATGACGCTAGCAAGTGGCAAGGACCTGGAGGATTCCAAGCTCGCGCGAAGGATATGGTGAGTGTCCCTACCCGGGGTCAAGCAGTTTCTGACAAGGGTCGTCATCTCAGACGAAAGAGCGATTCGACCAGATGTCTCAGCAACGGGGTGCGGCGCCCAAGTAGATATTCTTGCATCTCATGCATTATATTGTGAACTTCTGAGCGCTCGCTCCCTGCCCACTAGCTGGATCTCTGCGCAAGTCAGCTCCTGCGCAAGATCTGGACGTACTCTGATTGAACTCTGAGAGGAACACTTGTCCACCTTGACAGGCGGTCCAATGCTGCCTGATCGATGCCATAGTGTTTACATAAATCAGATTTATCGTGTCCCGCTTGCAGAGCTCCGAGGAGATCGGAGAGCTGGGAAGCATGCAATGTCGCGGGACCTGGCGATCCCTCGAGATGATGGAACTGAGATCGTCTAGCGGCAAGAGTTCGCTGCGCGAGGGCGGGACTATGCACGGCTTCAGAGGAGTTCTTGATGTAGACTGGTCCGAGGAGGGATAGGTTGGAGGCGAAATGAGGATCGAGTGCATCTCGACGGATGGCTTTCGAGTCAGCTCCCGTGCACCAGGAATCAGGACCCACCGTCATCCTTTTCACCTGTGAAAGGCTCGTTGGAATGGACTTGAGGCCCTAAGCGCGATGGACCTGCCATGTCCACATTGTCATCTCGTGTACGAGCCGTCGTTTCCGATGGTTGACTAGGCGATGGTAAAGGCTCTGCGGCAGGTGAAGGCAGGTCGGGCATGACGCTTCTGATAGCGGTAGGCGTGGTCGTGGGCAGCCTCCTAGCAGCCTTGGAGCTGGCAGATCCCATCTTGAGGTACTGAGCTTCTAATGAAGGAGGGGATGAGGTAAGAAAGGGGTAAGGGATGTGATAGGTAGGACGAAATACAAGCAATTCGTGACCTCATTTCCGTAAAATCTCAGCTGTTCGTTCCATTTACTCTTACGCACTCTGGATCAACTTTGAGTGTCTGACGCCTAAATCATCATCATGGACACTCCACTGACGAACGACCGACTGGTCGAGGAGCGAGCTTTCATGAAGCGATACTCTGAAGGTCTCTCTTCCTACAAGGTCGAATATCCCGGAGACTTCAGCGCACCGCTCGAGGAACGACCCCGTAAAGTCAATGTTATTGGAGTGAGTCGGGACACGATGTGACGGGCAACGACTGACAGCTCTGCTTAGGTCCCTGTCGCAGATCCGCCCGATGTCATGGATGTGGATACATCTCCCTCTCAAGGCAGGTCACCGATTCACTGTTGACAGCTGATTGAATACTAGATTCGTCTATGAATCTCACCATCAAGTCGCTGAAGCCGGCTCTCACTGTTTCCGTCACGGCACAATCGACAGACACTGTTGCGGACCTCAAGAAGAACATTTCGAAATCATCGTCCGCCGCCCCGCCGCCCGAGGGCCAACGCCTACTCCTGAAAGGCAAAGCTTTGACCGATTCAAAGCTGTTGAAGGAATATGATATCGAGGACGGCGCGGTCGTGCACCTGATGATGAAACCAACGGCTGTGACGGTGGAGAAGACAGAAGCTATCCCGGCTCCCTCATCATCTCATGCTCGAACGCCATCCCTTACTATCACCACGGCTGTGGATGATGACTCAAAGCCTGGGCAGGCTGTCCCCATCACCGACAATGATATCGATGTTCCCCCTTTGGGTCCCCAACCTCAAGTCTCTTCCGCCCTTTTCCACAAGACACTATCTGATCCACACTTCTGGCAGAAACTACACGCTCTCTGTGTCACAGAGTTCACCATGGAGGATGATGCGGATGCGGCTTGGGAAGTCTTCCTGTTGTCTATGAAAAGCCGGCTCAGTGCTGGCGAAGCGGCCAAGATCAGAGATATCGTCGGTATCCGCGGTGAGTTATCTCGCTACAAACATGTCGAGTCGGCAAATGACACGCCTCATAAGGTATGGGAGGTGGAGCTTTGTGAGATCTCATCCTTGAACAGGCGGGCAAAGACGCCCCCTCAAGTACATGTAACGATATGATCACACGCTGTCCACCACCAGTCTGTGCTTTGCCACATAAAAAGTGGAGAGAGAATTTGCTTCCGCTGCCTCGCGAGTTATTTCTTTTGTTTAGTGAATTTACCCCTCAACTCTCCCCCTCCCTGTATTCATGTTCTACTTTACCATCCATCACCGGTATTAAAATCAATCTACCCTCATTCAAGCCAGTACACATGGCAACGCGACGAAGAGCTTCATTGGAAGCGAGAGAAGGCATTCCATTGCCATCGAAAGGAGCGAAAATGCCATTCACTCAGGAGGCGTATGATGATTGTAGGTCGTCAGCCTTGTTGTATGAGAGGATGCGTCTGAACATCTTCTCAGTCCGACGGCGTCACAGCAAGCAGAACAAGGAAATCATCACGTAGGAAATGACTTTATATACCACTTCTGACACATCATACAGCGAAAATGCGCTCAGAAAGACCACAATCAATGCACTTCACCTGGAGATAACAGCTCTGCGTAATGAACTGTTTGCTGTCAAAAGGGCAAATGTTTGCCTGCTCTCTCAAGTCAAGAAGGCTCAGAACAGACATGAAATCTTTGGAAAGGCGAGCTCCTGCATATGATGGATACTGACAAGATCAGGAGACGATGGATGCCTTGGAGCAACTCTTCGCCGCCTTACCGATACTTCAAAGACTGCGAGATGATCTGGCAGAAACCGGCTTCGAGGCCGATGAAACGCCTCTCATTGCACCGATCCCAGCTATGAGATCTACCGATAATCCAGTGGCTACTCGCCCAGCTGCGACTGGTGGCCAGATCCTGGGAGCCGGTTTCCTAGGTGTGCTGCCAGAAATCAACGAAGACGGACAAGAAATCTCTCCGGTGGAGCTGCCAGTACCACGGAAAGGTCAAGAGCCTAAACAGTGAGTCATCAAGCTACACTACGCCATGTTTATATCCCTCTCAGGCCTCGAGCATCCCTGTCGTCTTTGTCCCATCCAACTGTGGCCGTTTGCGAGGATTCCAAACACTTGTCTGCATTTCCAAATTCCCCCAGCGTGACATCATTTCCCCGTTCACCTTCTCTTGTCAAGATACAAGGACGACGACGAGACAGCGGCGCCTTCAAGCCCGACCAAACCGAGGCTGGAGAACCCATAGCGGAATCAAGGTCAGACCCGCGCCTCAGTGGAGTAACTGCAAGGCGCAAAGGACGAACGTCGTCCGCGTTGACTTCATCCCGGATCAGAGAGGCGATCGCGATGATCGACTCAGACACCGAGGCACCATCGCCCATATCGTCGGGCTCAGCCAACAACCGGTCCATTCCAGTCGATAGTCAAACCACGCCTCACGACAATGCTTCCCCCCATCCATCATCGGCAACTCACAATGAAGCTGGACCGTCCACCGGAGCTGACACGGAGACAGCAGATATGATCGAGAACGGCCTCAGGGGACGGCGCATCCGCCAGAGTGTCAATTACAAAGAGCCCAGCTTGACCAAGTGAGTCGAAAATGACCAGATTCCTATGGCTAACATGTAGAAAAATGCGGAAACCTGATGGCCTGTCACTTGAGGAGACCCTCAAAAAGTCGTACAGCCGGCCATCGATGGACATGCTATCCGAAACGGCCCCGGGATTCATTGGCAGACCGACTATGGATTCGACTCGGGGAGGAGGATTGCGGCGCAAAAGCGCATTACCGAAGTCGGGCAACTACATCACCTTCAACAAGGACGAGGAAACAACCGATGACGAGGAGGAGGTAGACAGCTTCTTGGACCTCGCTTTGGGAGGCTTAGCTTTGGACGAGAAGTCTTTTGCTAACTCGAAATCAAGCTCTGGAGCGACATCACCCCAGGCTGAGCATGTTCCCCCTCGCACTTCGCCTAAGAAAACCCCGCCTCGAAGCTTTGGGAATTTCAAGGCGTCGTCAAGCCGGACAGTCACCAGGGTGTCTCCACGGAAAAGACAGGGAGTCTCGCCTTCAAAGCATCAGGGTTCATCTTCCCCGCCCGCAAAGCCGCGCTCCTTGCCAGCACCAAAGAGCGCCCAGGGAAGAAATGCCCTAGGTGATCTGAACTACAACCCGAAGATCAAATCGAACTCTGCTCGGAAGAGCGCCCTGGGTGCGAAGGATACGACTAGGATAACGGCACGGAGACGTTTAACGTCAGTGTCAGAATCAGCGTAAGGATTGCAAGGTGAAGGCATCATATCTACATTACTTGTACAAGGGATGAATTGATACTCGAGATACAGTGAAGGGTCTATTTGCTGGATGTCTCCTCCAAGATTGTCTTGTTGAAGTCTTCCAGTGGTACGAGATCCTTCTCAGACAGCAGGGAGAACTGCCAGCGTCAGTGTCTCTCGATTGCCTTCTTACTCACCTCATCGACAAAGAGCAGAAAGTGACGGTAGTTCGTGTTCAGGTGGGCTAGGCGTCAGTCCGAGTACACACTGTTCCCAACTCACCCTCAATGCCAAGCGCGCAGATCTGGTCGAAGTGGGAGTGATATATGTGTGCATACACTCGGAAGAGACGTCTGAGAATCGTCTTGGCTGTTGTCATAAAAGTGGAAGGGAATTTGACGCCTGCTTATGAGTTTCAAGCTCGACAACCAGGCACTTGCCAATCTTCTGAGGGAAATGCTTCTCGTCATCCAGGATGGATTGAGTCCAAGACATGAGCGCCTCAACATAAGCTGGAGCGGAGAGGTGTGTCGGCTTCTTGCTGGAACGTTCAGCATTGGCGCTCCTACGCTTCAAACTCACTAAGTCTCGCCGTCTTCCCAAAAGTATTCGTATCTTGATACTTCAGTATCTCGTCTGTTGCATGGCTCACTTGGGTCCAGCGTTCATGATCGGGCACTGGAATGTGAGCCTGGCTCATTCAGTTGTACTCACCTCTGAAGGGGTACAGAACTCTGAGATAGTTCCATAGAGCATGTTAACATGGTTGAAAAAGTCGACCACTGCCATAGCCCGTTAGACTATCGATAATTTCCCAAAAGCTCACCGTGAACTGCAATCCACTCCTGCGAGTCCTCTCCTTCCGGTAACTGAACAGCCTTCCGAAGATTGCCTGAGCCCTAAGACAACGTCAGTTTCGATGTAATGAGCCGCTCACCAGTGTTTGCTGAGCATACTGTTTGAGTTGCCACTGCTTGGACCCCTCGGGGACCTTTTTAGGCTTGAACGCTGGAGCATAGCGTTAAGAGGTCCAGATAAACACTACTCACTCCGAGACTGATTGTTCTTTCTGATGACGGGCTCAGCTTGACGTCTCGTCCACGATAACTCACAGGCTAAAGAGGGTGGACATGCTGACTTGGCTAGCGAAACCAATGAATGATAGTGTAGTGTTTGATGATTCAAACTTGAAACGATGCAATTGCAAGTCCAAGGCTACGTCGCGTAGCGCGTCCGCGGCAGCCCAAATGGGTATCACGTGATCGGAGAAACGGGCGGCGGATTGATCAAGAAGCCGATATATATATATACATGTAACATGATTGATCAACTTCTTCATTCAAGTGCACCAAAGTGATCACAATGCCTTCTTTCGCGAACGCCGACTTGGGTTCATCCTCCGACGAAGAGGACCATGATTTTGTGCCTGACGCTCCAAAGTCTAGGGCGAAGAATGGCAAGAGAGCACCGTCGACCGACGGTGATGATCTGGAGGTGAAGAGACTGAAACAGGAACAGGAGGAGAACGAGACTGCAGAGAGGAAGAAGCAGGCAGCTGAGGCATTCGAGGCCCTGAAGAGGACCGCAGGGAATGAGTCAGAGCCCAAATCTACTGTTGAGATGGTAGAAGTGAAGCGAAGCAGACGCTTTGCCGGCGAGAATTTAGAGTAAGCTTTGACGAGACTAAAGACTGAGGCTCATTTTCTGAGGGAGACGGTCAATCTTCCTGCGGACCATCCAGAAGCAATCGCCTATCTGAACAAGGGACGTATCGAGCCAACCAAATCTGCACAGCCGGGACCTAGAAAGGGCCCCCTCAAGCGGAAACCTCGTCAATCCCTTGAACAGATGTCGGCAGCCCTTGATAAGGGCAAAAAAATGACCACCTTGGAAAAGGTATGCCAGAGATCTTGCATAAGTACTGACTGCCGCACAGTCCCAGCATGACTGGAAGAATCACACTGCTGCGAACAGCTCGGTCCAGGCGGAGCTTGAAGCACATCGCCGGACGGGAGGCTATCTCGATAAGCAAGACTTCTTGGATCGTGTCGGCGATCGAAAAGAAGCCATGAATGCGAAACGTTAACATATCATAACCTACAAAAGCGATAAAATACATCATAGCGAGACTCCCATCGTGGCGACATTATCAGCTGCCCTCAAACTTGTCTTCTTCTTCAGCGTTTTTCTCTTGGGTCTCCGTTTACGCCCCCAATCGCCCGGTCTGCCGCCCTCATCTTTACCATCCCACTCTTCCCCCTCGAGGATGAGTTGCCTCGGGGGCAAGCCAGCATCGCAAGTCCCAGGACTGGATATCGCTAGTATTGGAGTCTTCCTCGGCGGTGTAGTGGATCCGGTGATGACTATAGCTGGAGGTTGTGAGCTGTCCGTCTGGAACTCTGCCGGGATGACGGGTACCGGAGGAGCCGTGGGCAACAAAAGATTCTGCCTGAGGGACTTGATCGATCGCTGGCGACGTGCGACAGGATTGGGAGCTTTCGAAGGGGTGGTTTGTGTATTAGGAGTCGGGGCACCTGGATGCGGCGGGGTAGGAGGTTTGTAGAAGAAGGATTTCGTGTAATCGATGGATCCAGCCTTGCCTGATTGGCTCTGAGTCAATTTCATCGATGGTGGTGTCGCAGTCTTGTCTTCCCCGTCCATATGAGTCCATCGAGCGAATCGCTCGCCCTGCTCGGACCAATCGAGCCGAGGGCTGAGGACAGGCGCTATCCCTACTCTTTCAGGCTCCACCACACCAATCACCGACTTGAGCGTCGCTAGTGAAGATTTAAGGCGAACGGTCATTGGCTTCTCCTCCCATGGGAATCCGCCTATGGCTGGGGGTACAGCTGGGAGATCGTGGGCGTCTGCAGACGCAGAGTCACAGATGGGAGAAATGGGAGAGACGGTAGGCGCAACAATCTTTGATGCAGAAATTTTGAGAGGGCCGAGCTGAGGCTTGGCTTGAGGTATACTGTCGATCGGAGCTGTACGGAGAATGTTTGGGAGATAATCTAACCAGGTCGATTTGACGGGACGCAACGCCGGGGTCGATTGAGCCAGTCGGAGCTTGCTTGCGCGATCCCCGTACTTCAGCTGAGCCCGAGCAATAGGTGCTGTGGGCTCGTCGTTCGTAACTGCCGGCAGAATGACATTGGAACGAGTTGGCGAGTCGAGATCCTCGTCATATTCTACCGTTTCCCTCAAGATCTTCTGACCGATCCCGCCCAAGCTCAGTGAACTTGATGCGCTCTCTCCAACGGCCAATACTAATTCATCGATGCCGCGCTCGCTTGAGGTCCTGCTGCTGGATGAGCCGAGTGATCCACCAGTGTAGAGATCCAATTCGGAGAATAAGACATCATCATCCTCACATTGGGTCTCGTAATCGTTTGGCAAAGGAGAATATCCAAACGCTTCTTCGTCCAGAGCTGGTGGAGCAGGCTGGAAAAATGTATGCCCAAAGCTCTCGTTTACAAAGTGTTTGGCCGGTCTTTCGCTGATGAACCGTGGCATTGGAGGTCGCTGCTCTTGAGGCGGACAGTCCGAGTCCGCCCTGCGAGCACGATCAAGTTCCCAATTACTCTTGACTTTGCGAACCCCCTCGCCTCCTTTGGCGAGACCCAGCCCCACGCCGGTAAACTGCCTAGCCACCTCTTCAAAGGTCGAGGCACCCTTGGAGGGCGGGCTGATGTCCATGACGGCTCGAGCAGCTCGACTGAAGGATGAGGTCATGCTGCCTACCCACCAAGTCGAGGACGAGGCCGAGTGATCACTGCCGTGATGCATGGTATGGTCGCGATTATCAGCCCGATCTTGCAGAGCCAAGGAGCGGAGCAGATCGGAGGAAGATTTCAATGGCTGAGTAGGCTCTGTTATCGTCTGGCGTTGGTGCTGATTTTTCAGATGATTTCCGCCAGCCCCAGCCAGTCCCAGAGAACCATAAAGATCTCGTATCTCTTCGTTCTCGTCATCCAAGGTGTGCTTGATTCGCCGTATCTTTTCCCCTTCCGGCGTCATCACTCGTACATCTTTGTAGCCTGCTTGCTGTAGGAGCTCGGCCAGGGAAGAGTAGTGAGTGGATGCAGGAGCATTCTCTTGATTCTTTCGAGGTTTTTGACGTGGAGGTCGGGATGGACCAGGTTTTTGAGAGAGTGAGGAGGGATATCGTTGCGCTGTGGGTGTGGAGGGGGATGTGGTTGGCTTGATAGGATCGGGCAGGATCAGCATACTAGTCATCATCATATCGAGGTGAGAATCAGAAGCTTACCATCCTAGCCGTTCAAAGGTCCACTGTTAATTTTCAACCCAAGACCTCGTCCAGCCTAGTATTTTGTCTGTTGGAATGGGGTTGAACAGTCTGTATCCATCCATCTATGATGATCTGACGGCCACGCTCATGATCGAGGGAATAGGGGATTTAGATGCCTTACACTCGCCGCTGGGTTGTTGTTGTTGTTCTTGCCGCTGCTGCTGCTGTCGCTGTTGCTGGCTGTTGGCTGTTGCACCAATCTGATAGAGTATGTGAAGCGAGATTCGCAGCGATTGTTTGGTGTTTTTCTTTTTTTCACCCAAAAAAAAACAGCCGGAAAAGCATACACGCTGGTTGGAGATCTTTGTTATTTTTCCCAAGTGGCTCTTTTCTTCTTGCGCATCCCATGAGACATGTTCACTCGAGGCAAAAGACGACGTCGACGGCGTATATGGCATGTACTACCGCATCGCAGATCCTATAGATTATATGCTGCGATCAATCTCTCCATGCGTAGATCCTGCCGACACAGTGGACATTCAGACTGAGAGTGGGAAGAGATCAGTGATCTATGCCATGAATTGTCCGAGCCTGACACCCACCTTTTCGAGACCTCCAAGGCACTCCCAGCAGAACACATGACCGCATTCTGTGACTGCCACGGTACCGCCAGTGGTCCCGCGAGGCTCAAAGCACAGTGAACACTGTCGATCAGGAATTCCACGAGCTCTGGCGGTAAGATAGGTGTTGTCGCCAATCTCCGTGACTGGATCACTCTCCTTGGGCGGGTCTGCAAGCGGGTGAATCGAATCTTCGCTGATCGTCAATGGCTCAAGAGGTAGATTGCGACGCCTCCTGAGACGACGCAGAAACATGTTGACCAACAAAACGATTCCCAAGGGCTCATACGATGGAAACCGAGTATCGGGTGCCGTCGTGACCTCCGACAGGTCAGTTTGGCTGGGGAGGGACTTTTGGCTCACATAGTGAATCCCGGTAAACCGTTTCCCCAGCTCCAGAAACGAGCCACTAAACATAAACGCTATTATGTTCAGCTCCGGTATGATCTGGCACAAAGGCGATTCCAGCACACTAGCCAGGGATCTGCGCAGGTCGTGCCAGCCGTTCTGGGGGACACTATTCCGAAGCCATGAGATGGTTGAGGGCTCCAGAACCAGATTTGGAATGATTAGCATCAGCACAGCCGATATGCGTCGCTTCGTTTCAGCTGTTTGATCATAGATGGCTCCTCACCAAGCGGGAGAGCCCTCTGGCTCGCCGAGCTATCGGCATGATATCGGTGTACTCTTCACCGAGAGATGGGCTACCACACCCAAGGGTCAAGAACAAATATACAGCCTTGACCAAAGCATCAATGATGAGCTCTTTGTGGATGATCCATGTCGAGCCTGGATCGATTAGTTGACCATGACCTGTGTGTCAACCCACCATTCAGCGAGCGAAGCAGGTCCTTGGTAAGCTGGACCAATCTCGCTATCTGTGACGCATCTCGCTGCTGCGCTCGTACTGGAAGATCAGAATTTGTGTCATTATACACTCACATATCTGCGATCCTGAAGCCTGTGGTGTCTCGTGCTCCGACCTCATCGCGGAGGGCAGGACAGCAACTCAGAGAGACCGCTTACGATCTTCATGCATATCCGGATGATGCAACACGTGGCAGGGAAAAATGCCATTCAATATCTCGCAGGGAACGCGTCTCAGTCTTTCTATTTGACAACGAACATGGCCTTGATATCAGGATGAGGATACGCACCTTGGTATGGGCATTGGCGCTTGTCCTACCGACTGCTGTAGTGGCAGATTGTCTACGATTCGCCGACGCAAACACCATCAATCAAGCCTTTATTGACGGCGGTGCGGGCAAGCAAGTGTTCCTATGTCCATCAAGAATATATCGACTACGAGAACCGATTATTTTCACAGCGGCTGATCAAGAACTAGCGACCCAAGGATACCCCACAGGCTCAGAACGAGCCATTCTAGAGGTCGCTGATGACTTCGCAACCGCCATTCAGGGGGATTGTCGCCGGTGTGCTAGAACGAAAATCAAGAGCGTGATCGTGGACGGGGGTCGGAAAGCTTTGGGCAGGATTCCCCCTCATCGCGAGTCGACAGGCCTGGTCGTGATCGGTGGGAATGAAGGCCAGGCGATCCAGCACTGCTCCCTCAGGGACCCAAGAGGTTATACGGCCATTCATGTCAGGGAAGGTGACAACGTGGATTGCAAGAATGCCTTGATCGAGAACAATGAAATAGGTCCTGTGGGCGAGGAGTATCGACCCGACATTGACGGACCAGACCCCGAAATAGCTCCTCTGGGCAGACCCCTCGCTGATGGCTTGTGTATCGCTTGCAAGAATAGCATTGTTCGTGATAATACCTTTATCGACAACACAGACGCTGCCATCGTGGTTTATTGCTCTCCTGGTTCCCTCATTCACGCCAATATGATCATCGCCCGCAGCATGTCAGCCATGGCCGGTATCCTCATGGTCGACGCCACTCCATTTGATGGCAATTACAAACTCACGACGGTCAAGGGGAATATCATTGATGCCCAAGGCAAAATCATCCGTGTCGGTATCGGCGCTGGGCCCCCAGTGCTGTCAGATGATACTGAGACCTATCTTACTGGCGGACGAGTGTTAGCGAATGGGTTTCGAGGCCCATATATGGGTTTTGGAATAGCTGCGGCAGGCTTGGACGACTGGATGATAAAGGACAACTGGGACGAGGCGACACATATCGGAAACCGGTCCGCACGTTGTTTCGATGACCCAGTGAATCCAGATCCCATTGCATTCGTCCGACATCCCAACGTGAAGAATAGCGAGCTTCAAAGAGAATTCGTCGAGGAGGCATTTGAGTATGGTGAGGACAAACCGAGGACAGCATGCTGACCAGGTCAGTGGTCTGCATCGAGGCTGAGCATGAGGCCTCAAGTTCTCCTATCCCTGTCTTCGAGGAGAATCCTGTTGAAGAGACACCGACCACATATTCAACAGGGTCCGAACCGATGGACGAGATTCTCGAGCACTCTCAGCAGCGCATGTTAGACGCCATTGATGCCCTCGGGCGGAGAGTGGATATATTGGCCGAGGCACACCATCCGATCGAGGATGACTCACCAGTGGTTGTCGCCCCTCTTGTGACAGAAACATTGGGCGATTTCCAGAATCGAATCGACCAACTAGAGAATAGACAACACGCCATGCTGGACTCGGCGACTGAGATGCGCAAGGCAATCAGAGCTTGGAATCAACAGCTGAGCAATATGAATGTGAGCCGTTGAAGGAATTCGAACTGATGATTAGGAATGGGAGTACGAGGTTCTCCTCGACGTCTCCCATAAGCTAGGTATCTTCTTGCGCGAAAGCGAAAAGACAGAAACGGACGCGCAGGTCAATCACGCCATTCTATCACGAGCGACGCCAGGCGCGTTGAGTGCGCATTGGAACTGGAGTTGGACGTTGGTCCTGACCGCGGCCGCGGTCACGACTCTCTTGGGTTATTGGCGTCTTTCAAGAAGACGGCATCGTACTAAAATGCAATAGACTAGTCTCTTATCTCCAGGCCCTGAGCACCCATTTCCTCTTTCGTCTCCTCTGTAGATCTATCCTCGGACTGCAGGAAGCCGTACAGATCTGGCGGAATTTCCTGCATCTGCACAGAAGGTGCCCCGTTTAGATATCTCAGCTTCTCGCGTATGACCACTCGGATGTTCTCCAACGACTGTTTTGAATTGAGATTTTGTATTTGTCCAGTGAGTGGCGGATGGAGTTTGTAGTCAGGTCCATAGAATTCGTAATATTGGTTGTCAGGCACATCGTCGGGCAAAGTTACACCGGCGAGCACCCCAGTCTCGTATGCCCAACATCTGGCGACGGAGGATTGGCGATAGCCTCCTCCTCCCAAGACCAAAAGGGGCAAATTGAATGACTTGATGAATCGAACACATTCGCCATGAGCCGCAATGGAGAGGTTGAAGGATCCTATCCTATCGCATCCAAGGGAATCAGCGCCGCACTGAAGAACTATCGAAGACGGTCGAAAGGTGTTGATTGTTGGCTCCATCACAGCTTTGAAGAGCGATATGTAGGACTCATCGTCGATGCCGTCCTGTAAAGGCACGTTGAGCGAAAAGTACTTGCCAAGGTCAGAACCGATCTCTGATAAATTGCCTGTCCCGGGGAAGAAGTCGGCAGAGTATTTGTGGAACGAGACTGTGAGAACACGATTTGAGGAGTAAAATGCCTCCTGAACCCCATCTCCGTGATGTATATCAATGTCGATGTATAGGATGCGTGCGTGGTATCTGAACGTCAGTTTTGAGGCTCGTCATGTCTTCGCACCTCAGTAGCTCCAAGATCGCAAGGACGATATCGTTCACATAGCAAAATCCACTTGCCTCGCCCTTCTTGGCGTGATGGAGACCTCCACTCCAATTGATGGCAATGTCGGCAGATCCACTCGTAAGCTTACGAGCGGCCGCTAGAGACGCTCCAGTGTATTGTTGGCAAAATGCAAAGACGTCGAAAAAGACGGGACAGTCATCCCCAACGTTATATTTCTGCTCTTCCTCTGTCAATGATTGAGCTGATTTTGGCGTGACCCTATGAGGATAAGCACCGCCGACGCAAGATAAAATTCACCTCTTCAAGAATGCAATGTAATCAGAGTCGTGAAAGTTGGCGAGCTCCTCATCCGTCGCTCGCCTCGGGTTGTGCATTGTCATTGCCTTGTCGAGGCCATAACCCAGGACTAGCTGGTTCGTGAGTTCTAGCCGTTGGGGCCGCATTGGATGCCGTTCCTATAAGGTCAGCTTCAGTCTAAATCAAAGGGACTCACTCCATAGTGATAGTTTCCCACACCTTTCGGGTGGTAATATGCTACTACAGGATTCGAGTGAGGCTCCAGGTCAGCAAAGAGTGATGAACAACCTTCTCACCTGAACATGGTGTACTTCTCTCTGGGGCTGTGCCAGCTGCCTCCGGTCGAAGAAGAACGGACTATCAGAGAAGGTGGGAGGATCCAGGATCCGTGTCATGAGGTCGAAAGAGTGACCATGGGCGAGTATAGATTAAAGATAAAAGACGATGGCAAACGAGGAACCGGTTGGTTTGAGCGGCGAAAAACAACAGAAAATTTGATCCCGCATTTTCAGAACTGACTGGCGTTGGCCAGCGAGCGAAAGATCAAGAATTATTAGCAGATACCCTCTACATGGCTGGATCATGCCTCGAGCAGCTGTGCTGACAGCAGCTATCTACTTGGTCCTATATGGTGCTGTTTGGGCCCTTTGTCTTCTGGGATGGCGTGCTGCGTAAGTCAATTGAACGGCAGTGGAACTCATCTCCAGTCAGCGATACAAAAAGCCGCCCAGGTTGATCATGCCTGAAGGAGTACTCGGGGTGACAATTATCAGACCTCTGTGCGGTCTCGATACGAATCTTTATAATGCGCTTGAGAGTACCATGAAACTCGACTATCCGAAATTTGAGATCTTATTCACGGTGCAAGATGAGGAAGACGAATCCGTTCCGGTGGTCAAAATGCTCATGCAAAAGTATCCCGATGTGAAGACAAGACTCATTATCGATCCTCGGAATGTTGGTGTCAACCCCAAGATCAATAACCTCCTGGGTGCTTTCGAGCAGGCTCAGTACGACTTGCTCTGGGTCGTAGATGCCACAATATCATTTGTGCCCGGGATATTGCGACAGAGTGTCGAGGCGTTCATCGGGCAGAGAGATGTTGAGGCTGCACATATCGCACCTCAGAGAGGAGACGTTGGACTAGTTCACCATGTGCCATTTGCCGTTGCACATCAAAGAACATGGGGTAGTCTTGTCGAACAAGCCTTCCTCAACACGACCCACGCGAAGATGTACCTGGCCATCAACACGTTGGCAATTGACTCCTGCGTCATGGGCAAATCGAACTTGTATTCCAGGACAAACATCGCCGCTCTCTCTACCCCTTCCCAGACCTTGCGGAATCTTTCCGAGCCTCCTTCTGGCCTGGCTGCATTCGCACCGTTCCTCGCCGAAGACAACATGATCGCATTGGCGCTCTGGCACCAGCTCGGTCTGCGTCATGCCATGACCTCAGACGTGGCTCTTGACTTTCTGGGATCTCTTTCCATCTGGGATTATGTTCAGAGGCGCGCCCGATGGATCCGTGTCAGGAAGAGGATGACTCCATTCCTCGTTGTCGCCCTCGAGCCGTTCACAGAATCGATCTTGTCGGGACTATGTGCAGCCTGGGCGATGAACAACCTGTTCCACTGGTCTGCCAGCCTTGTATTCGTCTGTCACATGTCGGCGTGGATCATTGTGGACGTTGCTGTCTGTCGTGCACTCGAGCGCAATGTGACGTCTACTGGAGTGTCTCTTGCCGCTTGGGTCTTACGAGAAGCTTTGGCGTTGCCGATTTGGATATATGGGATATGTGGCAACACCATTGTTTGGCGAGGAAGGCGATATAGAGTTCTCAGTTCGGGTGAGCGTAATGTCAAGAATCGGGCTGACTGGATCTTCAGGTGAAGCCAAGATAGCATAGACCTAATTATAGACAGGGTGTATCTTACGTACTGTATGTGTAGAGTCTTGTACTGGGAATGCGATGCTTAGAGTGAGGCCAGGTTCGCCACCAACTGCAAGATTGATAGCGGGCGGCCAACGCCGATTTTGATGATGCACATCATGGTTCCCCACCTTGCAGATCCCCTTTGTATGCATACATTCCCTGTGGTATTGCAGCACGCAGCGCGGCGAACGAGAGCTCGCCACAGGCTGATCTTCTAGCATTCAGTATGACGGCAAGTAAACAGGGTGACAAGCCCACCTACACCTCGTTCTCAACTCTTCTGCGGTCGCCTTCCAATGGCGGGTCGTCATCGACACATCCCGACCGAACACTTGCACCCAGCCGTACACCTGGTTCCCGAACAGTCTCACCTACTCCCCCGAGTAGGACCAAAGCTAGTCCAAGGAGTCGTCTGAGTATCTGGAGTATGTTAGCCTTGACAGTCTCCATGGGCGGGAGTCAGGTGAGATTGGTAAGAAGGTCAGAGGTTGATGACAGATTGCCTGGACTGTCGAGCTTGGCTATGGAACGCCATACTTGCTATCCCTAGGTCTCTCAGAGCAGCTGACATCCCTGGTATGGCTTGCCGGTCCAATATCCGGGCTGGTCGCTCAACCCCTCATTGGTGCCATCTCTGATTCCTCCAATTCGAGATACCGACGTCGGTACTGGATAGTGATGGCAACGATTCTTCTTGTACTGAGCGGTCTGGGCTTGGCTTTCACTCAGCCCATAGCGGCAACTCTGGTAGCTATCTTCGGTGGAGGTCAGGGATCATGGGATCCAAAGACAGCCAACTTGGTGCGATCGACCTCCATTGCTATTGCCGTGACAAGCTTTTACTGCCTCGACTTTGCCCTCAACGGTCTACAAGCATCTTTGCGGAATTTGGTCCTAGATATTGTGCCTGGAGATCAGCTGGCCTCAGCTAATGCCTGGCATGGACGCTTCAACCATTTTGGCAACATTGTTGGGTTCACCATGGGCTTCCTCAATCTCAACCATGTCCCCATCATTCGCCTTGTGGGTGGAGGTCAATTCCGCAAAGGTGAGCCCTGTGACGGATCATTGCTAATCGCAGTCTGTATTGTGGCACTAGCAATCCTTGTTCTCACCGTCTGGATCACTTGCTGGACCCAGGAAGAGGTCGAACGGAATTCCCCCTTCGGACGCCGGTCCAAAGTCAGCGATGTAATCTCCACGATATACGAAGCGGTGCTTCATTTGCCCAAACCTGTTCGTCGCGTCTGCATCGTTCAGATTGCCGCGTTCATGGGATGGTTTCCTTATCTGTTCTACTCCACAACGTATGTGGCCCATGTAATGGCTGATGAGCTGGGACACGAACCAGATCTCGACAAGGCGACGCGGGCGGGAAGCCTGGCTCTGCTCATTTACTCGTTCGTCGCCATCGTCGCGGGGACTCTGTTGCCATATCTCGCTTCGCGGGACAGGAGATTGCTAGGTGCGATTGATGCAGGAGGAGAAACAGACGATGAGGAAGCAGACTTGGAGCAGATCCGCGAGCAGGTCCGCCAGTGGAAGGCGGAATCCGCACGACACGGGAAGCCGCTCAAGCTACCAACTATGCCGTTCATGTTGCGTAACATATGGACGGCTGGTCTTCTGCTCTTCGCCGCAATCATGGCGTCTACGTTCTTCATTCGGACTGTCTGGCAGGCAACCGTGGCTATCGCACTCGTCGGCATCTGCTGGGCAATCGCCTGCTGGGTGCCATTCGCCATTATTATGGAGTTTTTGAAGGAAGCCGAGGATTCCTCTAGCACCGAGATACGCCCACGCCCGCCCCGCCTCCAATCTCAGCCTGCCGTCTCTCGTTCTCAGCCTACGAGTCCTGTTCGACCTAATGAGCGCACGGCTTTGACGCGAAGCTGGTCCACGGCCGACATTGAGGGACAAGACAACGAATACACAGGCAGTGGGCCAGTAGCAGGAGGGACCATAATGGGGATCCACAATCTCGCTATTGTTTTTCCACAATTCATAATTGCCATTGTGGCTTCTCTGATCTTCAAGTGGACGGATGGCACCGATACCAACGCCGAATACTCCTCGAAGCCAGGCGTCGCATGGGTGTTGCGATTCGGTGGTCTCATGGCTTTAATAGGTGCTGTGATTAGTCGCAAGGTTCCGCCAACCAAAACGGAGAAGGCAATGAGGCGGCGGTTGGCCGAGATGCGAGAGGAGAGCGAAGATTAAAGGGAGGCATATTTCAACGGTTGAAAGACTCAGTCTACGACTTTGATGAGCATTTGGTGTAAACATGATGGAAAGCTACCACGTTGAACCTCTACCATGTCAAGCTTGAGACACTTTTCCACGATCCGAATGAATGGGGCTGCGGACGCCTGGGTGAGATCCGATGAGAGATTTCCTGTTTAACGGTTAGGAGGCTCACCTCCAGGACGAAAACGATCGACTCCGATCGGAGTGGGAGACTTGTGAAGCGCTTCTCGCTGGATCTCAAAAGTGAGTGGATGTGTGTCTACAGCTATCTGATGCATAGGGACAACGCGCAGAAGCATTTTATGATAGAATCAATGAGACAGTACACCAAGGTGAGAGTTGCGCAAGATTTAGGCTGACAGCAGGCTCTGGAAAAACTTTTGGACATGACTATCGGTCCGGACTGGAGAGTGAGTCGGATGCAAAGTCACGCTCAAGCGACAGGCCGACTACGACATTCAGCCTCCACTGACTCGGTCCATTATCTGCACACCCGCCAGTCCTCGGCCGCAGCTCAGGCTCCCGGCGGACATGCCCTCCATGTCGCAGGGAATGGATAGGAAGAAGAAAGCTGATTGCCCAGCAGGGAGAGAGAAAGGTGCTATAGAGATTCATGAGCTGCTGCAGAGCTTTGAATCGAGAGCTGTGGCACGACAGAATGTCATTCGGAACATGTTGCAAGAAGCGAGATCGACTTTCAAGGACAGATGATGAATAGCATTGTGTGGTCTCGCATTCTTTCGGTGGCGACTACAGCCACGTGCTAGCTATAGAAATGCAGCAACATGTCTGTGGTTCTGAAATGATTCATCTACACCTGGCTGTCGCCAGCGAGCGTCCGCCCATATGAGGTCCACTTCTGGGAGGTTCTTTCTGATACAGAAGTGGACCTCCGCCATAATTGGACACAGGTGGTTCTCATGGATACCGAGCAGATTGACGTTGGCACATTTCAAGCCAGTAGCAAGATGCGCAATAGCCGTAAGTTAGGTCTTTGAACTCCCCAGGTTGACGTTCAAGGCCTGGATAGGCCTTCTCCTTCAGCTGATCCGACCAACAGAGGCGGCTCTAGGCTACGCAGCGTGTAAGGGGTGGTATGTCACCGATTCGGCTGACTGGCAGTTTTTGTCCTGGTCATTGCATTCATGATCCCTCCCGCCCTCCCCTTCATTCAAAGTCTTGAAATCTACATCAATCTCTATTCCTTCGCTGCGATTGGCTGGGCTTGGACAGCTCTAGGTGTTTTCATCGCAGGCCAGATCCGTGTACCGTTGAGCGACGATCGCATAGCAGAGGCACGCGCAAAATGGGCACCATTCGAGTCTTCGGCAGCTTCGCTGGATCGAAGGCTGATCTTCGAGGGGACTTACATAGAAGCACGCAGCGCTAGCGTGCTTGCCGTATTTCTCGGCGTCGGGACTGGCACCTTCCTATGGTACAAGATGCGCACGCAACCGTCTCCCGCGACATTTCCCTTGGTCTTGTCCTGCATCCTCATGGACATTGGTCTGACAACGGCGGCGCTATACCCTACGCCGTATTACACAAGCGGTTTGCTTTTCTTCTTGCCCATGGCGGTCCAAGGTGGCATTGCGATCCTTTGCTCCCTCGTCGTCTTCCCAGAATCAGTGAGCCATTCATTCTTATCTAAAATCCGCGGGGTGCTCGCACCGATGTCGCAAGCGCTCGACGAAACGGTCAAATTGTTCGAACGTTCTAATCTCGAAATTCACGATTGGGCAGAGCACAGCCGTGCAATCCGGCAAAAGCTGCTGATATCGCTTGATGGTATTCCTCCTCTTCGAACGCAGAAAAGGTATCTGAGAGTTGACATCAGCTACGGGCTGTTGTCCCCGAGGGATGCTCACGAAATTTTTGACCGGGTCGCCGCACTCCAAGCCCGGTCTGGCGGTCTGGCATTCTTTTTCGACGTCTTGGTGACGAATACTCTCCACGCACACCTCGACTCATCCGCATGGTCTGCCCACAACATCTCTATTCCCCATTCCCAAACCGCTTCAGGCCTCGTTACACCTGATGAACATCCGAGGCCGCCCTCAAGAGCAATCTCTGCCGAGCATCTGGCACACACCCTGCTCCGTCTGAGCCACCGGACGCAGAGACCTGTGGGCCTGTGGGAATCTCAGCGCTATATGGACGTGGAGAGACCTTTTGCAGATGACACCGCAGACGCTTTGGAACAGCTCGACATCCTGTCGAATACCGCTCATGAACTGGTATCAGCCTGTCACTCGAGTCTCAATGCCACCATGACACTCGCCGCGTCTTTCAGCGCCTCTCGACCGCCAGCTGGGGCTGCAAGTGTGCTCAAGTCCCATAGAGATGCCCTGGCCCGCTTTCACAAGCTTAGACTCAAGGCATTAGCCTCATATCGTCGGGCATTTGAAACGGGCTCGAGCGAAGTCTATCGCAAGGTTCATTTCCGCAATCTATTCCAATCCTTCGTGGCTCAATACCACCTGATCGAATTTTCGGAGGCGCTCATCGATACCCTAGAGCTCATGGAATCCCTTCGCCTTTCGCGTACCAGGCGACGATTCTGGACGCCAAAATTGTCTGACCTCATCGCGCATAGTCGTGGATCAGAAGATGGACGAGGCAATGATGTGCCGATGTACGAAGACGACGTTCTTGGCCTCGTAAAACGCAGAGATCCAGAGAGTACACCTTTCGACAGCAGCACACTCGATCTTTTGTCTCGCTTGACTCGCCTGCCAGACCTTCTGGGTACCCGGAGTTTTGCATTTCTCTTGAAAGCTGGGGTACTGACGGTCCTAACAGCGCTGCCTCAATTCCTAAAACAGTCTGCGGCTTTCTACTACTACAATCGGGGCATTTGGTGCACCATCATGGCCCAGATGACCCTCGCTGTATTCGCTGGCGACACTGCCGGAGCCTGGATCGCTCGAGTGGTGGCTTCTTTCTGGGGAGCTCTCCTTGGAACAGTGGTGTGGTACATAGGATGCGGGGCCTCCTCCGGCAACGCATTTGGACTCGGAGCGATCTGCGCAGCAACCTTTCCCCTCGCAATGTTCTTCCGCCTTCACTTCCCAGGCCAGGTATTGACATCAGTCATGACAACAGTAACATTCGCTCTAGTCATTGGCTATTCCTACCTCAACGGCACCGTCGGAGCCCTCACTGACGCCAAGTGGGGGTTTGACGTTGCCTGGAGACGCCTCGTATGCGTTCTGATCGGAATCACGTCAGCTTACATCTTCTCCTACCTACCGCCGGCGTATTCAAGCAAACGGGCGATTCGTCAGTCGTACGCCGGGGTTATCGTAGATACTGGCAGTATCCTCTGCGGCGTATTGTCTCAAGCGAATCTGAGGAGTCCCCGCATGGCGAACGATCCTTCCACACGGAATGAAGTTCTCACCCTTCGCGCAAAGCTGGCAAAGCTAGGAGCCCGTCACGCCAACGCGAAACTCGAATACTCGCTGCGCGGAAGATGGCCAGAGGAGCGTTACAGAGCATTGTTGGAAGCCCTTCGCGACAGTCTGCTTCTCTTGCACCAATTCCACCATGTCCTGACTCAAATGGACATGCCATGGCGTCAACTACTGCTCAACCGCACTCGCTTTGACGACCCATTGTTCCTTGGAGACGTTCTTGCAGTTTTCTCCATGACGTCCACTGCACTTGCCGCTGGAACAGCTCTGCCTCAGATCACCCCCAGCCCCTTGGTAGCCCGCTTCAGGATGGGGAAGACCAAGGGATTAGAACTTCCGGCCCATCTGACGCACACGGCTGAGCTGGTCACGATAGATGTCATGGAATCTGTAGAGTACATGAGATACGCTCTTGGTATCACTACGAGCTTCTCGCTCCTCGCTCGACTGGACCGAATTGTAGTGATCTGCAAGACCTTGCTCGGGGAGCATTATCATGTTTCCGGTATCCACCTGTAGCTCCATGCAAATCTACACATCTACGTACAGCAAGATGGGATCACCGATCTGATCGATTTCTGGAATGACACACTGATTCTGTCAGCAGGTGTCAACGGGAACCCGGCCTACCTTCAGGTCGAAAGCCTTGGCCAGGACAATCTTGAAGATTTTCTGCACATTTATCGCCTGCGCCGTCGAGCAAAAGATCTGCTGATCAGATGCTGCGAACATAGACCGGCTCACCAAAGGCGCGTGCATAGCTTTTGAGAACCTCTTGGACTGTTTTGTGATCTCCTCCTGTTCCTCGTGCGGGAAGGACACAAACATGTCATATTTCGTGCCCACCAAGACTGGTATAGCCGTCTGAAAGGTGTCATCTCGATGTGTGGTGTCAAGCCACGAACCTTGTTGAAACCCCTGGCTTGTCGATACCACTCCTTGACACTATTGAGAGTAGCCTTCCGTGTCAAGTCGAACATGAACAGAATCGCCACTGCGTCATTTGACACCAAGGGTAGCATCGATACGAACTCTCGTTGGCCGCCTAAATCCCAGATCTCGACATGAGTCGCATGAACGTCATTGCCCTTACCGAAAAGGTGATTTCCGTGTTCCGTATGCTGATAGTCTTCTCCATGAAGTTGACTCCCAAAGTCTGGATGTAATCCTCACTGGATATCAGGGCAGGCAACGACCACATCAACCTACTCAAAGCTCCCCTCCACATATTTCACCATCAGAGATGTCTTTCCAATCTGAGAGTCTCCGACCATGCCTACTTTGAGAACGATGCTGTCACGATCAGCAGCCGGGGTAGCTTGATGATTCACCTTGACCTGTCACTTCCCTCACCACCAGACATCTTGCCGCTCCCAGACCCTGAGGAAAGGTATCCTTGTTCCGTCATGATGCGTGGTGTCCGTGTCGTTCCAATCGTCAAGAAAGCAGATCGTCAAAATGTCGTATAGTCGTTCGTGAGCATTGCCTTGGTTCCGATTTGAGTAGGATTCGGTACGCGGTCGTCATGCAGTCAGGACAGTCCAATGAACATACATCAGAGCGGTTGAGGGCCAATTCAAGCGCGCGATGGCCGGCGCGGACCGCGTACTAAAGTCACGTGACAAATGATCTGGCGGTCGACATGAACTTGCCAGCTCAAGTCCTTGCTTCGTTTGGCTGCCCATCAACATGAAGTGGCTCACCTCGGCGAGAAGGGGAGCGTTGCGCCATGTCATGCGCTCTCGGCGGATGAGGCGACCCGTGTCGTCCGTTCATCTTCATAGCGTGACACCTCTCTTGGAGCTGCGTGACCTGCTGCTTTCTGACTTCGCTGGACTGGAGGTGTGGACCGAAAGATTAGAGAAGGGAATCCAGCATCTGAAACAGCCAGGTCGACGGCGTCTAGGAAGTGAGCTGGACACTTGAACCATGGCTGATCCGGAGTTTGGGGCACTCAGTACTCGGGACGCTCAGAGGTCGTCTCTGCTCTCACCCAAGATGTTCTAGAAGACAATGACAAAACCATTGGCTCACTTCTGAATCGCGCAGATCATACCAAGCCCAGCATTTTACTCGGATGCGATAGCAATGATGACGTCGTATTGCCCTCCTCCTGGCTCCGAAGACTGAACCTTTGCGTCGTCGAAGTTACCAGTGAGAGTTCACCTCCGCTTCTTGTACTGAAGATTCAGGTGAAAACGAGTCGACCGTTCTCTCCGAGCTATTGCAGTGTGACGTTGTGCTCATCGTCTTGGATCCATACACTACTTTGGACGGCATTCCCGCTGCACTGAGACCGCTTCTCCACTCTCCCTCCGCCTTGGTAGTGATAAATGGCAAACTGCCCCCGTCCTATACACAGACTCAGCTCGCAAATCAGATGCGCCAAAGAGGCCTCATTGGGACAAGCTTGTCGTTCATTCACGCAGCAGATGCCCTGGCCGCTATGCGGACTTTCAACGGACCCAATCCTTCGACTTATTCGTTGGATCGGTTTCAAGGCCAATATCTTGCATCGGGCGTTGGGAATTTACAGCGGGTGATCGAAGAGGTACCAAGTGGTGGAGCATTGGCGGCGCGGCTAATGAACATGACCCTTCACGCCGCTGGGTCCACGTTGGAGTCGGATACAGAACGCAATCAGCACACGCAAAACTTGGCAATGACCCTCGCCTCAGAAGTCCAACGCGCTGCGAAAGGCTCAGATGAGGGAGTGTTTAGAAATGTCGCTCAAGATGGCTTCACACACATCCGCAAGAGACTGGAGAGAAATTTTCAAACCCAATGGAGCTGGTTCAATCTCTTGTCGACTGTTCGGATTGACGACTGCGGCAAGGAGATTGAGGGGACAATTCGCTCGGGCATGCACGACACACTTCAGGCTCAGGTGTGTTCGGCTGATGACGTCTCGCTCATGATTACAGCTTGCTTTTGCTCTTGGCAAATTGGAGGAGCGCCAGGCTCTGTTGATGTCAGAGGCTGATAGAGCTTTGACAATGAGCTCCAGAGTCGATTGTGGCCCATCTGCTCTTGTGCAAAATGAGCTCGCAATCTTAGCTCGAGGCCCGAAAAACTCGAACAATCTGCGTGCCTTGATATCTTGCCCAGATCAGGAGGTCTTAGACAGACTCGTGCCGCGTCTACAGCGAAGTGCAGACAAGGCCTCGATCGCCATGCTTGCCATGGGCTCAATGGGAATCAGTGTCTCCTGGGCTGCGACACAACTAGATATCCTCACCGGTACTACGGGTGCAGCATGCTCTCTCTTAGGCATTCTTTGCGGGGTTCGACTCGGTCAACATTTGTGGCATCGGGCTCAGCGCCTCTTCTGGAAAGACTGGGATCGGATCACAGTTCTTCTCTCGGAGGAATGTGAGGTGAGTTATCGCTCTGTCCCCGAGCTGACCCGAAAGTCTCAAGTCTCCACCCTCGGGAAGCCACTTGTGACTGGGCGTGCGCTCGCCATTTCTCAAGCCCTGAGCAGAGTCGCACAGGGTAGGTTACAGCGACTTGACGTAATAAAAGCTCGTATACGAGCGTTGCAACAACAAGTTTCGCAACAATGATGCATATCATACCTGCGTGATCCGACCGTATCCCGTATCTCTGCGAGATTTTGATGCTGGGTCGCTAAACCCAAATCCGTTACCGAATCCCGTCTTGCGGCCTCGCCCACTGCCGCCGTCTCCAAATCGCTCTGCCCACTTCCGCAGCGCGGTGAAAGTACCTTCCTCAGATGCAGACGGCCGGATCTGCTTGAGTGCAGAGTCGAAGTGACGACGGCAAAGGACTCTCTTCAGGTGGGTATCTGAATCTTGCTGGACTGTGCCATCCGAGATAGCTACGACGTCTTTGGTCTTCCAAGGAACCTTGACGGTCTCTTTCACAGCAGCCATCGCGGCGGACACGCAGAGATCTTGGAGTTAGTTCTGTGAACGAACAACGTGGCTCACGCTTCAAATCTGAACCAGAAAATCCCTCAGTGTCCTGGGCAATAGCGTCGAGTTGAACATCGTCTGCCACAGCTTCATCTTGCAGCATGATGTCCAGGATCGCTATAGGGTTCTTAGCTCTTTTCTCGACCATCTCCTCACCTCGACGACTTTTCACATCCGGGAGATCAATCAATAGTCTTCGAGGTAAACGTCTTAAGACAGCTTCATCTAAATCAAAAGGTCGATTTGTTGCCCCTATGACCATCACTCCCTTCTTCTTGTTAACTTCTGCTGTTCCCAGACCATCCATCTCCTGCATGAATTCTGTCAGTACTTGATGGTGATGTCGACCTGAAGAGTCTCCAGATCGAGCGCCGAAGAGAGAATCTACTTCGTCGAAGAAAATAATACATGGCGCCAGGCGTCGAGCGAGAGAGAAGATGCCCCTTATCAGTTTCTCGCTCTCTCCCACGTATTTGTCGTTGACATCTCCCGCCTGAATTGCGATCATTCTTGCCCCGCTTTCGTTTGCCACGGCACGCGCCATCAGGGTTTTGCCGGTGCCGGGGGGCCCGAAGAGCAATGCGCCATTGGAGGCATGATGTTTGAGAACTCCGCGCGCAAATGCGTCGGGATAAAGTAAGGGCAGCGTTATCATGGTGCGGATAGTGTCAATTGTTTCGACTGGGAGATGGACTTTGTCAAAAGTACCGCTGGAGATCTTGCTCGGGTCCACTATACAACGAAGCAGGCGTTTTTCGTAGGTATCGAGATCTTTAGAGATCTTTACCGAAGCGATGAGGGAGGCCGAAGAGTCAACTGACCTGGCCGGTGGCGGTTGCGGTTGAGCCCGAGACTGCGGTTTAATCTTCTTGGTAAGGCCGGCCACATGTCGCCTGAGCGTTTGCGACATTGTCGAAACCTCATTCGAGGCAACGATGATATCAGACCAAGGCACGACTAAGCTGCGACTGGCGCGTATTCGATTGCTTAAGGCCACGCTTGCTATAATTCTTGCTTTTTGAGAGGTTATGACAGCATTCTGCCAATGCAGATGACTGTCCTCGATCAAATCGAAAGCTTTAGAGGCTCTCCGCTCCTGGCCGAGCGTATAAAGAGGCTTGCCACGATCTCCAGCGTCACGGTACATTGTGTGGCTTCCTACCTCGCGGAGGCAGGACTCGATATCCCCCAAACTACCATCAAAAGGCGCCAAAGCATTTTGGACCAATGCAGCCGATATAGCGAGTCGAGATGTAAGCCTTTCCACTTGCTCGTGTTGCCGCTGCCTTTTCGCTGGGACAATGGGAATCGATCTCCAAATGATCCTGTCGAACAGGTTCTCTGCCTGACTTTGGGGAGACAACATCTCCATGAACGGCAGAGGGAGGTTCAAGCCACCTTGCTCCCCGGTAGAGATCGATAAGAATGGGATTACACATTGGTCATTGCCTTTGACGAAGCTGGATAAACGCTCCCGTATGCGTTGCTCGCGACCGTTCGTATCATTTTCTATTCCTCCCCACCACAACGGCACAGCATCATCCGGGTCTCTCTCTCCAGAAAGGTGTAAGGCGAGACTTTGCAGCGGTTCCGGAATATGTTTGGGCGGCATGGAAGCCTGAGACACCGGCTGCGACCTTGATGTAGCTGAGTGGTGCGGCAGGAGGGAAGGACTAAAGGAGAGGACAATGACAAGTTTCCTTTTGGCCTCGCAATTTCCCAAGGCCTCCTTTTCGCCCTTATCAGCACGATACAGGCGGACAGCCTTGATGAAAGAGGTCCACCAGACTGGGAAAGAGGGACCCATACTTGTGGATCCCTCGAGATACACGATCCGCGGCCGACGAGATCGTTGCGCTCTCAGAATCTCGAGGAAGAATCGCACCCATTCCACTTTCTCACTGTCCAGCGGTCGAGTTGTCCTAGGATAGGGGTCTCTTCCTCCGAATTGCTGCGGAACCAACGAGGTGACGAGAATTGTCCGGCCGGACGCCTGAAAGTCTCCAGACTCGTCCATCGAGTCCTCGGCGTCTTGGGTTTCTTCAGTCTCTTCGTTCTCTGCAGCTCTTGCAGGCGCCGGTGCCTCGTGCTTTGTGACTCTTGCATCCAAGCCAGCTACATCCTGCATCGGAGGGTTCAGGCGTCTCGGCAGCTTTGGAGCTAGGGGCACTACTTGGTCAGCAGAACGCTTCAGCGAGTTCTTACCGTCATTGTACGCTGTCTCAGTCCCGTTGAGACCCACGCCCAGCACGAGGTCAAACTTCAACAGATCGGCATCCAATGTAGCCGCGGTCAATTTGACCGACTCGAAGTTGTAGTAGCTGCCACCTTCAAAGGGTGATGTCACGGCAATGACAGATTCTTGTAGGAGCTCCGTGTCCCTGCTTGCGGAAGGGGGTACCAGAGCACCGCCTGTGATCTGATGGAACGGCAGACCGACCTGCATCAAGCCACTGTCACTAGATCGATCGGTCGAGCATGATGCTACGGGATGAACGTGTTGGTTCGCTGGGAGGAATGCAGACAAAAGAGCATCCTGCAGAGGCTTTAAGTATTGAGCTCCTTGTACTGGCGATTGAGGTGGGGTCACGGAAAGAATCCGCTCTGCGAAAGCGGTGGGCGAAGGAGGAGGTCCAAGGGCGCCAACGATCTCCTCTTCAGAGCTATCCTCATCCAATCTCTCATCCTCAACTTTTTCCTCAACACGTTCTAATCTGTCAGTAGCATTTTCGGCATTGCGAGGCACGGGTCGAGCGGATCTGGCTTGATAGGATGTCGATCCGTGCCAAAATCTGGGAGACGGGCCTTGTAGGGATAGTCTAGTCTGTCGGTGTGACAGCGCCAGCCTTGTGACCAACCGAGATGGCCAAAGGCGGCGCATAGTGTGACATGCACGATTCCAGCAAGTACCGGAAGAGAATACTTTCATCATTTTACTTATATGGGTGAAAAGGGCTTATAAATACATGCGTGCGACAGAACGCATCTGCATCTCTAATATTTTACCATTCGTGTACCTCCATAGAAAGCGCGTGCAAGTCTATCAAATACGAATTGAGTGCTGCAGAAGGTGCTTCTTCAAGCTCGGTTCTGCATTGCAGTTCAAGCATATTCTTGTAGTCCTCAAATGTGTACAGGGGCTTGCTTTTTCGGAGCTCGTTCATCATGGCCTTGGAACGTCAGGGGAGGCTTTCGCTAAAGCTCACCTTCGGTCCCCGCTCGTACAATGTCCAGTACTCCCACGATCTGGTCAGAAGACAGGCATCGCCCGTCTCCACCGAGCTCCTGAGGGTCTGTTGCAGCGCCTTGATGTTCCTTTGTATCTTCGATACACCAGCGGGATTGACCACGCCTATCGAGCCTGCGGACGCAATGAAGAGATGATTGGCCAGTTGACCAAGTCCTCGCACAGCAAATCTGGGAAGTGTCAGACAGGCTTTCGATCACTGACTCACTCGGCATCCGATGGTTCTAGAGTCTTACCAGTAATCTCTACGCATCGAACCAGGCACTTGCACAGATCAGTCACGTCCGGATCGGGCTCAAGCGCTTCGCTTTCCAGCCAGAATTCGCCCTATTTGATGAGCAGAATATGATACAGGTGACCCACCTTTCGAAGGAAAGCGCCTAAGTTACATCTTACTCTGCCCCGAAGCTCGATTCTGCATGCGTTCATCACCATCTCGGTCAACTGCTCGTACGTCAGGATGATCGCATCGAAACGCCTGTTGTCAGCAATTGTTTTGACATCAGAACGTACTGCGACATCGCTTGGGTCAAAGGAAGTCGGGCACTGCCTCTTGGGGTTGATTCCTGGAGATCCAGTAGGGCCTCCATAAACCAGCGCTTGGATAGAGGATCAGCCTCCCTCGACAAGTGAGAAACTCACCAAGCTCTGGGCTAGAGAGCACAGATCCTCAAATTTGCGAGTGGACCCGATCAGTCGGTTTTCCGTGATGACATCGTTTCCCAAAAGTTCGTTTTCGATCTTGAGTTCTCGCTGCAGCGGCCCTTCCAGTGCGAATGACTAGAAGTCAAAGCGCTGCAGAGGGATAATTGCTCACTTTAGCTGCGCGGATCTCTGTCAAGCACGTTGTGACTTCTTCACGTTGCGCCCACAGCGCGGGCAGTGCCATTTGCTCCAGTCCCCTTCCCACCAGTTGGACGATGTCTGCTTGATGAGCACTCAAGCATTGCAGAAAAATGTGATAGATACCTTTGAATTGTGTGCTGCACTCTTGATAGAATTGCACAATAACACCAACAATTAAGCGACTGTAATTCTCCCGATGAAATGGCGTGCTATCCAACAAATCGCAGAGATTGTGGATCAAGGCCAGAACTCGAACACTGGACTGAAAACTCAGCTAGATCAGTAATTAGTCTTACTCTCTGCGGCGGTCTCTCGACAGATGTGTCATCCACCTCTAGACTGTCGGTACCTACGGTGAGCTGCCGATGCTCTGGAAGACTCACCTGATATCGCATTTTGAAAAGCCATGGACACTTGTTCGTCTAACCGAGGCAGGAAGACTTTAATGACGAATTCCTCCAGTATGCCACCAATACTCCGAGGCTCTTCGTCGAATTCAGGAGGAACCGCAGCGCACGCGCGCTCGATAAAGGAAAGTGTCGGTTGGAATAAGGTGGAGACATTGAAGGGATTTGCAGGGACAAGTCTCCGGTGAGTCACCCGTGTGGCGAAGCCGTCCTCCAATTCAGCGTTCAGATCTCCAGACACCTGAATATTGATGAGACCAGGCGCAAAGCTTTTAAGCGCTTCTTGGAGGTTGTTGTCGATGACTCGAGCATCTTTCGACACCATGCGGGAATCGGTATCTGTGAACTTGAAGAGAGACTTCACATAAGCACAGCCAAAGTCACAGCGTGCAAACCTTTTGCCGGTCACGATTAAGCCCGACCCTAAGCACATCGTTTACTGCTGTAGACGGCTGCGTAGAGTCTGAGCCCGTCACCGCATCAGAGAGGTAGCTCTCGAGCAATTTTTGAACCTATATTTACTCAGTAAGGTACATCGAGGGACTGACTTCTTGGTGGAGAGGTCTCCAAAGGTCTCGAACTGGCACATCGGAAGTACTCGTCCTCGTCTCGGATTGCACCTCTCGCCTCTACCTTTCAGCACAACTCATCTCGGCATGCTCACCGCTGCAATCCAACGACAAACTTCGTATGCGACTCTGTATCCCTCAAGCACAGCATTCATTTTAGAATAAAGAGTCCAGAACAGGTCTCGCAACGTTACGATGTCTTGTTGTCTTGCCAGTCCATCCAACGAGGAGCGGAAGTCGGAATTCCGTGGACGAGAAGTAATGTGAGAGGCGCTCCTTACAGCGGATTGCTCATGCCTGTGCTGAGCTCTTCGCGCTGTGAGCGAAGAGCACTCAAGGCACTCACCTTTCCTCGACCTCTTCTAAAGTAGTGTCCACCAAGTTGTGCAGCTCTCCTGGTGCTCGCTGTACGATTGTCTCGATTGAGCTCTCCAGTTTTCCGAGAACACTGAGAGTTTCCAAGAGACTTCCCATGGCGTCAAAGGACTCGAGATCAGCCTCGAATGCGCTGTCCCCAGCCAATGACTTGAGACTGTGTGATTCTACTTCCATCTGCGTTTTCATCGCAATTGAGCGAACATATGCCGCAAAGAAGTCCCTGTCATTGTGGCCATCGACTGACGCGAGAGCCCCTCAGCAAGCAAAATGGATCTTGCAACCCACCAGATAGGCCGTCCCCATAGGCGTGCCACCTTGATTCGCTAGTGAAACCTTTAAGGTACAGATGATTTTGAAGTTCCTCGACAGCTATCTCCGCGAGGGTCTTCTGATCAGTGTGTGTTCCCAAGCGCCCGGACGTACCGTCTCCTGCGACGCAAAGTACACCCTCAGGTCCGACAAAGCCCCGATATCTAACAGATCTTTGCGTCGGCTTGTTTTGACATTTTTCATGAGTAATCTCGCTGCTTCAAGGTATCGCTTTTCTCCGACTAGAGATTCGAGCTGATCTGGAATCAGGCGGAGCGCGTCTCTTGCCGGTCAGTATGACACCGCTCGCTTGGGAACATACACGACGTCTAGAAGGGATAACATGTCCCTGACAGTCTTCTCTCTAGACTTAATGCTGGCCAGTTCGCTTTTGCCTCGACCGGCAAACCCCTCCCTAGCTTCCCTCAAGGCAATCTTCGAATTCTTGGCCTGTTCTTGCGCTCTGATCAGGGTTGACAGGAACGCGGAATGTGAAGGAAGCGAAGCCGCAAATGTTTGAAAATGAGACTGCACAGCGCTTTGAAGCGCCATGGATAATTCATCGTGAACCTTGAGGAAGGCTCTGAGAGGAGATCGGGCTGTACCATCCGTCTCGGCGAGGAGCGATAGAGCTAACGTTGAGGGTGAAAAGTCACTCTCCAGGACGAATGGCCATGTCTGCTGGATTTTGCGGAGAACGCCATCGATCTCGCCGTACTTGCTGTCCTCGTCTGCAAATTCCCAAGGCTCTCTCTTAGCCTGTCGTGCCCTGTTCTTGGTGGGCCGTTGTGGTTCTGCTGTCCGAGCTGCGGTCATGAACGCACCGACAGCATTCCGCAACTTGTCTGAAGGCGCGATGGTCGACTTTTGCACTGTGTCCGATACTGATGCCTGAGACCTCATCTGGGATCTCTGTGTGCGATCAAATGCAAAAGGGTCTGCAAATGATTGGACCTCGGACGAGGCTCCTGCGCGTCGACGCTGAGAGGGTTCTGTGTCCTCGCTGTAACCGGGGTCGCGCATGCGAGAACGAGCGGGACGAGCAGGACTTGAGCTCGAAGCTGGCAGCGGCTGCTTCCACCGCTCATCAGGAGGTGGAGCAGCCATACCGACAGGGTGAGTGGTGAGATGGCAAGTTGTAGGTCGTATACAGAGCAAGGGCATTGCACAATGAATTGCATATGCATACAGAGCGGTGATCGCCGCCGAGCCCGCGTCACAATACAAATGGCCCTGAGTACCCAACTCAAGCTGCAACCGCCCACTAAGCCGTGCTTTGAGAATATGTACTATGCCTGAAGTCAGCCATGGGGAATGATCAATCCCGTCAAAGTGCCGGTGACGGCGCTGAGCCCTCGCCTGTGGACTACTATGAACTGCTCCAGGTCAGCGAGGATGCCACTCCAGAGGACATCAAAGTGAGGCTCATCCCATCCGCTACCCCATACTGACTGTCACCAGCGATCATATCGAAAGCTGGCAGTAAGCACGATCTACGGGATCGGTCTGGTTGTTGAATCTGCTTCGTAGCTGCTCACGCATCCGGATAAATGCCCACCGGAAAAAGCGATCGAAGCTACCAAGATGTTCGCAGACTTGCAGCAGGCTTACGAGGTAAGCCATCATGGCCAGCATCAAAACTCACAAACAGATTCTTATGGACCCAAATGTACGTTCGAGAAGTGAGCCAGCGAGGAAAAGATTGATGTGTTCGTAGGAGCGAGCATTCTACGATTCTCACCGGAATCTTCCCAGTGGGGCTGTGGACAACGACTTGTATGAGCATGTTCGGTCCTCAGACGTCCAGAGGACCAGCAAATTCGCGGGTCCAGGGAAGCCAGGTGTCCGCATGGAGCAGCTCCTCCGGTTCTTCGACCCCAAGCTGGCGCGAAAAATGGATGATTCTCCTGAGGTGAAAAGCTGCATTTTGTTATCGTTGACAATCCAGGGCTTCTACTCCGTTTACCGCTCTCTCTTCGAACTGATTGCTACAGATGAGAGAGAGAATGCTACTGCGGCTGGTCATGGACAGTGGGAGTATCCATCCTTCGGCGATTCCAGTACCGTGTACGCGCCCCTTCCCGGGATCACACGGGCCGAGAGAACCACACAATTGTGGGTACGGGACTTTTACTCAGTCTGGGCCGAGTTTGTGACAGTGAAGAGCTTTGAATGGGTCAAGAAATGGGATTTAGATAAAGGTACCGACAGGAGCATGCGTAGATTAATGGAAAAGGAGAATAGAAAGCTTCGTGAGGAGTACAAGCGAGACTACAATCATACTATTAAGGTGAGACTGCCAGCGCAGTTAGGACGAATTTACGCTTGCTGACGTGATCAGCAACTGGTCTCGTTTCTTCAAGCGCGAGATCCGCGATATAAGGAATATCGCAGCTCATCTGCAAGGCGAAAGGAGGCGAGAGATGCTCCCGATCGACCTAGACGGACTGAGGACGGGCCCAGTCGAGAGGATATCCGACAGCAAGCTGCCGCGGAATTTGAAGAGCAGGATTGGCAAAAGATCAACGACATTCCGCTGTCGTCGGAAGAGGATGAGGACCAAGTGGATGCGCAACAATTGCTCGAATGTGTCGCTTGCGGGAAGACATTCGCCAGCGATGCAACATGGATGAACCATGAAAGAAGCAAGCGTCACAAGCAGGCAGTCTTGAAGTGAGTAAACTGGTGGAGATGAAGGCTGATAAATGAGACTGAGAAGGCAAATGGAGGACGAGGCTCATGAACTCGGTTTGCTTGACCAGTCGGGAGAGCACGATGCTGCAGAACTAAACTCTTCGACCCACTTGTCTGGTGTCTCTAGTGGGGACTCTGGACTCAATATGTAAGGTCGTCTGTCTATGCAAGCTGACGATCCAGTTCTCATAAGGAAAATTATGACGGTCATATGACTGCAGAGACGGAATTTCTAGCCGCGCCTCCTGGAAGAAGTGACTCGACCTGGAACTTTGATGCCAGTTCCTCTGCGACAACCATGAAGCCGAAAGATCAAGTCGATCAATCGCAGAAGGAGGTGGACTTTGATGGTAGTTCCTCTGCGACAACCATGCAGCCGAAAGACCAAGTCGATCAATCGCAGGAGAAGGTGGAGAAAGGCTCGGAAGGAAAGCGTGGCCGGAAGGGCGGCTCAGTGCGGTCTTCAGACAAGACTGACACGCACTCTGGCAGCAAATCTCGTCAGCAGCATTCGGCCGCAAGCCAGCCTGGTAAACAGTCTATCAAACCGTCTAATCCAAAACAGAGGAGCAAGGTTCTGCCTTTATCGTCCGAGGCTACCGAACAGAAGTTTCAGATCATCATAAACGAGATTGAGACAAAGCGTGTAAAACTCACGGAGAAATGGGGTGATTCCTGGGCGAGTAAGTCTTACGTCATGTGATCGTTGCTGATATCAGCCGCTTTGCCTAGGCTTAAAGCTGCTGTCGGATCATCCCCTCAAATTCTGTGTTTGGGTCTCGGCAAGCCGGCCAGCGATCGTACGGCTCAGATCCAATTGGCTTTGCTGCTGGTTTTGGTGGCGGATTTTCAAGTTTGTGCCTTCTACGACTTCTCATGCTCTGAACTTATCGAGACACTCAGGCATCTCGAATCGCTGCATTTGATCCGGTTTGGGATGATCTCGACAAGAGGGTATTGACCTATTTTCAAGTGCCACAAATAGAGGAGAATCTTGTAAGTATCCGTTGGAAGCATTTCTTGATCTTTAGGATGGCAAACATGTGCTAGACGATGATCAATCGTATCTTCTGTACATGCCTCATTGTCCCAAATCACTTTACCAGAACATACTGGCAACAAACTTTGGACCTCGGTTGACGCAGGTTGGGCGCGTCCTACTTGGAAACAGTCTTACAGAATACGTGGAGGAAATTGGGCCCAAGAACGCAGCCACCCAGGAAGATGCCTTCCAGAAACCAAAAAAGAAGCGACCAAGCCGTCCAAATCCTGTGCCTAAGACTCGCAAAGACGGAGTCCTGGAGAGGATTGGTAAGTTCAATTCCTGGCATGAAATCATGGTGACCGACGGCGTAGTTCCTCATCTTGAGACGCTCAGTCTCTCAGAGATGCCAGACACTCATTTGACTGGATTTGCCCGCGCTTTCCTGAGTCTCAGCTTCCAATGGCTCGACAAAGACAAGCATGATTCCTTGGACTGGAGCTCTCTGCCCTCTCCAAAGGGGGAGAGCGAGACTTGATGGCATTGTTGTATTTTTATAATAGCCTATGATCTAGATCCTAGATGATTCTAAAGCCTAGACCGTGACAGAACGATCTCTTCGCGATCTATAGCTGATTGCTCGCACATTGCACGGAAGAGACCTCCTCGATCGAAAAGTGCAAGTGGTGTATCATACTCCTAACCCTGTGGTTAGCCTTTTTCACTAACATGATTTGAGAGGCGCCAAAACCTGCCTTCACGCTGCCAGAATCTAACACCAGAATACGGTCCCATGCCAGAATGGTGCGCAAGCGGTGGGCGATGCAGAGCAACGTTTTTCCTCGAAATTCTCTATGGATTGTGGCTTGTACCTTTGCATCGGTCTCCAGATCTACCTCAAGTCAGCGTACGCTCTTTCGCAAATGCTCACCTACGGCAGCTGTAGCTTCATCTGTTCGTCAGCTTCCGACACGTCCAGGGGCTCTCACCCATGACAACAATCTGTGCCTACGCCAAGAATTAAGTCTGCCCGACTGCGGTGAGAGCAACGTACCCTCTTCACAAGCGCCCTTGCCAGACTGATCAACGACCTTTCGCCAACGCCTTCGATCAATTGTCAGAGATTGACGCTTCATGTGTCTGTCCTCACTGAGATTTGAACCCTCTTCGTCAATGACTGTATCTAACGAGAATCTAGTTTTCTCCTTCCCTTGACCGGGTAAATCTTCAATGACACAAGCACGTCGCAGAGAGTCGTACAGATCGGAATCCTCGTAAATATCGAACGGATCCAGATTGCTTCTCAACGTGCCCGCGAATAGTAGCGGTTCTTGAGGGATGATGGTCATCTTGGATCTCAACGCGTTTAGGCCAAGGCTCGATATATCGATGCCGTCAATTTTAATCGATCCAGATGCAAGCCTGTGCCCACGGTCAGATTTGACAACGATTCTACGCACTCTACCAGTCGGAACAGTGATACTGTGATAGACGTCTTGCCGGCGCCGGTCCTCCCCACGATACCGACCTTTTCGCCTCCCTGGACGGAGAAAGATCTAAGTATGTTCCCGTCAGCTGCGGTGATCAGCCAAGACTCACACATCGTGGAGAACGGGATTTAATCCCGGACGATAGGACATGCAGACATTCTCGAATTGCACAGCGCCGTGCTCCGGCCATTCGACGGACGGTGTAATGGAACCACTGCCATGTGACGGCTCTTGAGGAATGTTTGCGGTGTCTGCGTACCACAAAACTCGCTCTACTGCATTCACTGAATCACCGATGAGCCTTCGACAGCACTGTTGCGACAGGACACACTATTATTCTCGAGTTCCGCACTTTGTCTGGTGACCTGCAGCCTACTTAGTGCAATTCCTGACTCAGAGATACTACTCACCATGCTGAGGATCTGTACAAGTGTAGTCATGTATGTAAGACACAGCGCAATTTGAGCGGCTGTAAGTCCACCTCCGCCCTTGGCTGCCATCACCGCTACTGCAAACACGAGACATCCACCTAAAAAGTCCAGTCGCACCGCTAGCCAACGCTGATTTGTCGTTGTTAAGAGATACGCTCTGTTCTCGAGATCCATGTAGTAGGAGTTCTCTTTGATGAATCTGCTCGTCTCTTTGTACGCCCTAATGGTTGGTAAACCTGACAAACTTAATTGTCCTAAGCGAGAGCCGCGGCGGATTCTCTTACGATTCCGAAAAGTGAGAATACAGCAGGCCTCGAAGGATGGAGTCGAGCCGTTTAACTTCGCGTGCTGACGTGCGATAATACAACGAGCTAGCACGTCAGATGTCGATGCGCATAGTACACTCACAAGTACCTGCGGAGGAAAATCGTCATGACTCGCCTTCCTCATCAGAACTCACCAGTAACCAATGCCAACGACGGCGATCCTGCATGAGATATATAGAGACGTCTTCTTAGTTGAATGGTCACTCACACAATGATGAAATAGTGAAAGAAGACTGCGATGATGATGACGGAACCCAGGAACTAGATGAAGGACGCGTCAGTCGCTAGTGCGACATGGGCCCGGTCCTCACACTAGCAACAGTCATCGCCATCATACGGAAAGAATCGGCCAGCTGATTGTCGACAGTGTCGATATCTTTACCGAAGACGCCGAGTATGCGGCCCAGCGGCTGCGTATCAAAGACAGCCATAGGACTGAAGAAAATGTTTCGCAGGGCCATTCGGTGAAGAGATTTTGAGGCATAGAAGGACATGATGCCCATACTTGCTCCCATGCCAAAGGTAAACAGAGCCTGCAGCAACCCGAGTCCAGCATAAACGCCTTGGTACAGCGATTCACCGGGACCGAATTTGAAAGCTTCCCAATAAGTTAACCAAACCCTTCAATCCATGTCAGGCAGATCAACTCATGAGGCGAGACCGGAAACGAACGCACGTTGACATGACTTGAGAAGTCTGCCTGACAGGGGCATTGATTAGCGTGAGGTTGGATCTGGCAGGCATAACTCTCACATGACCAGGGCGAAAAGGATAGTCAGAGGTGCTGTAACTCGAGCGTTGCCTGCTTTTAAGTAGCTCTTGTAGACTAGAAGGAGTATCGGGTGAATATCAATGGACTATGGTTCGACGACATACCCTTACGACCAACAGAACCTGTTTTTCGCTTTTCCGATGTCATTAATCTCCCCTTCTTCAGTCAGCAAGAGTTACTACGGTAAGACTTGCCTCCAATCGACCGGTCCCGGCAGCTTTAGAATATTCTTGAGGTGCTTGCTTCCGTGAAGGCTTGTTCGTCTTATTAACTGAGGTGATACCCTCCTCATCCACCTCCTTTCCGGCTCCAAAGGTTTTCACAAGATTACAGAAGTCCTCCCCTCGGGCGATGAGCTCCTGGTACGTGCCTTCTTCCACTATTGTCCCTTGTGTCAATGTACTGCATTTGTAAGCGCCGGAATCTGGTGAGACTGACTAGATGTAATCTGTCTGCGGTAGAAGATGGAGGGCATGGGTCACTAGTATGACGGTTTTGCCTCTGTCTCGAACTCTGATGATAGCACTTTCAAAGAGCGCTCGTCCAACATGGGCATCAACAGCACTCAGTGGATCGTCGTACAGCTATTGAAGAATTAGCTGTAGACTCTAGGTAAGTCTTACTATGATGTCGGGATCGGCATATAATGCTCGAGCGATGTTCACTCGCTGTTTCTGTCCTAATAGGCTTCAGGTCGATGCTCGGATGAGAGATAGGCGGTCGACAGCTCACCTCCAGAAAGGTTCACCCCTGTATTGTCCGGCGTGAGCGTGATTACCGTGTCCTGATGTTCAATAACATACCTTTCTCGCCTATCTGTCTCGACGTCAGCGCGTCGCCGGCCACGTAAATGGCAGACTTACCTCGGTCAAGTCACCATCAGGCAAGATTTCCAAGTCTCGCATCAAGCTGGCGTCCTCCACTGCTGACCAGTACCGCGTTTCATCCCATGGCCGTCCGAACAATATATTATCTCGCAATGTCGCGTTTTGAATCCATGCTAACATGACATGGGCATCAGCCGTAACCTCTCGGTGTCCCGCACCATTTTGTTGGCAATACGCAATCCTGCCTCCGAACAGGACCTCACCCGACAACAATCGCATCTCGCCAATGAGCTATTGGAAAACATCAGCTCCACATAGGCCAAGATCCTCACGGCCTGTAGGAGACTTGATTTGCCGGCTCCAACTCCCCCAACAACAGCCACTAGTTTCCCACGAGATACCTCCAAGTTGAGATTCCTGATGCAGAACGGTTCGATGGGAGTAGTCTGGAAGTCAGAAACCCCTTCCGCACCAGTGACAGAGACAGGTGGATCCCTATTGGTCACCCATTGGAAGGATGCATCTTTCACGGAAAGAGCGAAAGCGCATGAGAGGTCCACATTCTCAGCTTGCACCATAGTCTCCGCTTCAAAGACCTTGATGGTGTGAGCCAGGTAATGTCACCATGTACGAAAATCACTCACTTCTGTCAGTCTTTGGGCCGCATTTTTGGCATCAGTTAGGGACGATAACGCCCGAGGCAGGAACATGAGCGGCTGCCGAAGAAGGTTGAAAAGGGACAGGGCTGTGAATATGACAGCCTGTGGACTTCAGTGTACAGCCATCTTTGTATACCCACGGGATCGAATCTGGGATGGCTGGAGGCGTACGTCACGAAAGCAAGTACAGAAGCCAGTGTCTGTGATAGGGTTGAGATGTCGTCGCGGTCAATTATCACAATGACTGACGGGTATAGAATATGCCATGGCTTGATTGGCGGCACGAATCATATTGATCAGTCGCACACCAACCATTTCATGATGACGAATCGAGTTAATACCTACAATGAAGGCGTCAGCAATCACAGCGGGACTGAAATCCTGATCCGGGAGGTACACGACAGCTCACGGTCCTGAAATGGCTGTTCGTATGTGAAGTATTTGATGATTTGCATCGACGACAAAAGTTCGCGCAGGACTTTCGAGCGACGATCTGTCCAGATCTATGGTGGCTGTCAGTCTAATCGCAAAGGTTCAACTGCCTACCATAGCCTTCTTTCTGGTTAAGAAAGACAGCTTCATGAACCACGTCTGCAGCGGTCCTAGCAGCACAAATAAGGCAAAACCGACAAGTGCGGAAGGGCCCAACTTGCACAAAGTCAGCAGATTGCTACTGCGTGTCCTACCTGAACAATCAATAGAGCTGCGATCGTCAGCACAGATAAGACCGGTGCGACCAACCGAGTGTGATGGACAACTGTATTGGAGCTGTCCAGATCTGGAGAAGTCAATCACTTGCGAGGCGGTCAGACTTGAGCCTGACATACAGCGTGAAACCCTGAGACAATCTGGTCACTGGTCTTTCGATGCGCATTCATTCAATATCACTCACATTGCGCGCAGTAGTCTATGCGGGATATCTACCAACTTTAGCCACAGAATACATTGTGGGAAACTCACATCGCTGGAGACGTGGGCCATGAGCTTTCCGTTGGGATGCTCTGCTCTTGCCTCGGAAGAAAGCTTCAAAGCCCGTTTATAGGTAGCTGTGATCAGAGTCCCTCTGACGAGGACACCGGTTGCCATTGATCTGAAGAAGAACTACAAGCAGGCGTCAGTCTTCAATCGGTGAGGTGAGCGGCACCTGGTGCTGGCAAAGAGATTGCGTTATGGTAAGACCCCATAATCCAAGAGCCATCCCTACACCTCGACCTATGCTCGGGCGCTGTCCGCCGTGGTGATCTGCATTATACACTGCCTTGTCAGCGAGAAGCAGTGGACTGACCCACCTTCCTTGCTAAAATTGATCAAAGCCCGGACGACGAGTGGGGTCATCAACTGCGCAGTATCGCCAAAAACCTTGAAGGCACCTCCCGACCAAAAGCCAGAAACCGAGTCGTTGAGAGCCCTCACCAGGCTGGCCTGTTGCCGGCCAGTCTCACACCGCCAGCGGGTCTCAGACGCTTCGTATTCGTGCTTCAAAGACGATCTTGCACTTGGCTGGGATAGCAAATGCCATAGGCTGGTAAATATCCACCAAAGTCGCAGCCGAAATGGTGCTCGTCTCGTTGGCAAGCTTTCGTTCCACTCCTGAGCTTTGGTCTGACGTCGTTGCCAGTTCTCCAAGAAACGATCAGACATGCCGTCGGCTGGGGAGCGTAAGTACACCCAAAAATCATTGTAATTGTGCCACGACGTACCTTCCCTGCTTGCATCCATCTTGGTTACGGGACGGGTCAGAACCAATGTCCACGCCCAGGGTACTCACCTTCCAAAGATCTGTAGCTTGCAAGGGTCGCTGGTAGCCTAGTACCATCAGGGGGGTAACCCACTGGAATAGGCGTCAGACACATAACCTCTTGGACAGACTTGCATGAAAAGTGAGAATGCTGAATATCGAGACGTAGGCCAGCGGTATGATAGGTGCAGATTCTAATGATAGGGGGGCTTCCGGCGGCTCATCGTTTCGCCAGAATTGCCTGCAGATGAGCTCATGGACCTTGATAGAGTTTGATCTCACCACCAGCTCTTCCGCCATTGCGACACTGAATCGTCAGACGCTGTCCTCAGATTCTGCAGCGCTATTCCATCCTTCGTTTCGCCCAGTTCATCGGTTACTTTGGACGTTCCGGTTTCGTCCGCGTCATCAGGTTTGCTATCATAGTCTCCCGCCTGCACGACGGACACAGACTTCTTGAGAGTCATGCTCCCAGCTCTGACCCACTCTGGCCTTCCATGCACGTTCCTCGTGGGCGACTGAAGCAATGGACTGAATCTCATGTCTGTCTCCGGCGTTCTGGTTTCGGGCAAATCCGACGTCAGGTGAAGATCATCATTACGTCAGCACCTGTGCGCATGATCTCTTGAGATGAGTCCTTTGCGAGCCGGTCTTGTCGGGTGCAAGTCACAGTCATGAAGTTAAGAACGCTCTTCACGCAACGTGCACGCTCCGCGGGGGTATGTAATTCTGAGGACTCTTACTGGCAGCGATCCCCAGATGAACGATGCGCCCGCTGAATCGGCTAAGACCCCCTTCATGTCGCAGCGATACTCGTCGCCAATGAGCGAAACGGATACTGCAATCCACTAATGAATGCTACGCACATACTGGGCGCCTTGCAGGGATTATCCTCGATGGGATGACCAGCTGAAAACAAGAAAGCCTGATCGCTGCACGCTCTCAATGGCCAATATAGCCGCTTTCTTCCATAGAGCATGCTCTTTGTCGAAGAAGGCGGAGTTCATCCTTGGCCATGCAGCATTGATTATAACCTCGATTTCATAGGTCCCGCAGGGTGTGGATGTGAAGTTCTGCCCTGATCCATAATGCAATATGGAAATCATCGTCACAATTGGCATATCGGGTTACGAATGGACCTTGGGCGATTCGCCGTTGACGTTTTCACCTCCTCCTGCCCATCATTCACGGGACGTAGAGTCAGAAGGGGAAAACGGGGAGAGGAGGTGAGGAGAGAACAGGTGTGGCTATTGTCATGCTTATGCGTTCCCCCAGGACTATGGGAGTGAGGAGCGGGGTCTTTGTTGGAAGTTGATGTGCCACCACCATACTCTTCTGTTGGTTCATTTTGTCTCGCAAGTATGCAAAGTCTGCTGTTGGGATACCCAGCCAGTGATTGATGCCATGCCCGTCGGCCGTTATCGGAGAATGCGTCGTTGCGAGATGCTGCTGGAGATTCGCGTAATCCTCCATGTACTAGACAAACTTGTTTCTTCAGCGGCTAAGCATAGTATCGTCCTTAGCTCCTGGACAATGAAACGAACGAAGATGTGATCTTCATCCATAAACTCCCTTGCCGTGGGGCAGACGCGGCATGTATCCCTAGCCACAGAGTCATCCATGGCACCCTTTGCGTTTTTCGCGAGGTCCGGCGAGTGGTGTTATCGGACCTGGAGCTGTAGTTACAGGTTGTGTCAATAGCAAGACGGTGGTGTCATTTCAGAAGGCTCGCAATGGAGGTCAGGCTGGGGACAGTAACGTTGGCAGTCCTCTTAGATGTTTGGTTCGTCTGAAAACATTATCTCTTTTGGACTCAGCCGCCCAGAGCATCTCAACGACGCGATTTGTGACACAAACCTTCGCTCGTCCCGCACAATATTCTACGTTTTGATGATTGGTAGACCTTGTAATGATCATCGCTGGTGGATGTCGGCGAATCTAAACTACTGCTCCTGCTACCACTGAGCGTTGTGTGCCATTGCACCCCCAAATGTCAAATCCTCTGTTCACAGTCCCGCCGCGTGCGCCTCCCATCCAAACCTTCTCCTTTTTTGAGGTCTGGAGCATTGCAGGAGTAGTGAAACAGGACGGAATGGGCTCGACGTCCCAGAAGCCGGGGCCCAGACAACATCGCGTGGCAGAGCTATCCCATGGTACTCTGGGAAGCGAGAGAGGGACTGTCAACAGGGTGCTCCCACTAGGAAGATGATAAAGGCGAGGAAGGTCTTTAGTGTCAAAGGCCATGAGAACTTAGGCAAATCAGCCAAACTGAAGACACCTGGAGCTGGGCAATTGGAAGTGACTTGAGACGTTAATTGGAGGATTAGGATCTATTAGCTTTGGACTTCGAACTTGAGCTACTGATCTGGCTGAGGCTAGCCACGTTTGTTATGTATACACCTCGCCAACTCTTCGCTCGTTTGGTACTGCTCTTTTAGCCGTTCCTTGCCAAGTCTGGTTCAGACAGTAAAGTGTGGCCAAATGCGGCAACCGAACAAGCTTGAAGTCAGAACACCACAAGGGTATAACTCCGAAATACCCATATCTCGCCTTAACTTCACCGGCTCGTCAAGATTCTCGCCGGAATTTGCCTTCACTTCACTTCTAATCAAAAGCTTGGCAAGAAAAGCAGAGTGGATTGGTGGAAGACAGGCTCTTGACATGGAGTGTCGATTGACAGGTGAAGGTTTGGCAAGGGGTGTATATAGCAGCCGCAGATAGCCTTAGACAGATCAGCAATCCAAGATTGAAAATGTATGCTACTAGATCTTGCATCCCATTTACAAATTTGCCTTCAGTCGCCTTAGCCTGCCTACTGTTGCCTATCGATAGCCTTGAGTTTGCCAAACTATGCCTCGGCTAAGATTTGTGGCCAACCTCTCTCTGGTCCTTTGACACTAGGTTCCGTCACACCACTGTCCGTGTGTGCAGCCGAGCCTCTTCCTGGAAATCCTTGCTATAAATTTATTTGATTATCCAAGCGGGACCCTAGATCCATAAGACTGTTTTGACAAGTCAACGCCGACCGCGACTTCTGTTGGTATTCTCAGAGCTAGACAATTTTGATTGGGTCAGAAACGAACTGTCGGAGATGCCATGCTAAGCGTAGATTGAACCTTTCATAATGCAGTAGAGATCATCTCTCCTTTGAATCTCCGATACTATTTGTCTGATCTCCAACTGGTCCAAATGTTTGCGACGCGCGATGCTGTCCTGCGCCAAAGCCATCCCTTTCTATTGAAGATTTGCTGATTACAAGCGGTATTTATTGTTTTCCCGCAACGACGAGATGTAAGCTGTCCTTCCGCTTACTCCCTGGAATTTCGAAAAGTTCGTCGAAAACGCCCTCACGATATACGCAGACTTCGAACGGGCATTGCCGTAATCTGTGAGATGAAAAGCGCTCTCTGACACCATAATCACTTTCAGGAGAAGGTTGCACTACCCTCAATACCATAGTGTGCAGCGTTACTAGGAGTTTCCCTCCGGGACCCAAGGCTATATGACCAGTCGACAATGAAGAAGAAGCATATGTGGCGATTGTGAGTGTTTGTTTGCCTTCGCTTTTTATCTCGCCATCGATTTCACATCTCCACTACTTTATTATCACTCTTCTATCCTTCCATATGCAACTCGATCAACATTGAGCATCCAACGCTCAAATTCGACAGTATGTACCTATCATTAGCGTCGTTGACTGTAGGCTGCGCAGGTAGCGCAGGAACAGGTCAAATGTTGTGAAAGTGCACAAGCTGCATGCTGGGAATATTTGTGTGCGGATAAAGCGGGATATGATTAACATAAGATCTTTTTGGTCTACGCGTATCTTCCAGACTCGCGTCAATCATCGTAGTTTCTAATATCTAAACACAACAAGGACAAGTATCATCTGTGAAAAGCGCATTTTTTGTCATCGAGGGATACATTTGGTGTACGGACGGATGCGTCTTGCAGCAGGGCGCAAGGTATGGCTGCAAGATCAGTGATTAACATGCAACGAAGTGAAGGATCGTACTCTGATGAGGAGAGGAAGAGTACAGATTACGTGCTTGTTTACACTTTGCAATGTTACTCACTACGCACTACGTAAACACTACAGCAAATCAAGATTCTTGATTTGAGTCGAGTCGTACGCTGGGAAGGAACATGAAAGAAACAGAAGTCTGCGTGTGGGTATTCGTGCGAGTCACATGTAAGCTCTGGCCTGGTGTTAGTAAAAATGAAACAAAAGCTGTGTATTTGTTACGATACGCTCACACGTATCCTGCCTAAGACCAACTCATGCTTGACATGTGATTTACACGAAGATCCACGTACAGAGCCTTTTCTATCTTTGCTTTACTTATCCAGCGTGCGGCTAGCACGCAGATCCAGATGCCCCTCAATATTCCTAAAGTAGAAAAAGAAGTTCTTCGTGCAATTCAGAGGCAGATCCCAGATAGATCTTTTGCCCGCGTGCAATTCACACGCAGATCTCAGATAGATTCTTCCCAGTGTGCAACATACCTGCAGATCATGTTGTCTACAGAGCGCGGGTCCATAGGACCTTTCCAGAACTATATCAGGAGGTGGTTTGTAGTCTTTCTTTTCTCCTCAGCGACCAATTCTTGAAGTCAACTTGTTACAACCCCTTCCAATCTCCTTCACCACTTCACCCATCAACCACATTGCATCTCAATCAATCGCAAGATTACTCTTGCAACTGTAATCTGCACCCAGCTGCCAGACACAGGCGCCCGTACACCAAAGTTATCCCTTTCTTATAGAAGGTGCGCTTATTACAAACGGTGCATGCCCCTCTTCTTAAAAATATGGTAATCCCCGCCCGTAACAGTATGGGTCTATGTATAAGTCGCATATACAGGGTGTTAGAATACTTTTGAGCGTAACGCAATTGAAATGACGTTTCATCATCCTCATGTGCATGAGGAAACGCAGTACAGACGAAAGATACTGTCTTGACATGCCCAGATTTTGTGATCAACTCTGGCAGCTTTATCTGTCCCTCATCCCCTCGTCCTTTATCCTAGAATCAAAATGCGTGCCGCAAACCCTTGGGTAATGTTCTGACAAAAGACCCTTTAAATCGAGATCTTGTCAAGAAGAAATGTAGCGAGTTTTGCAAAAACTTGCAAAGTTTGCAAATATAAAGTTGCAAAAACAGATGTTGCAAGGTTTTGCGACAAAAGATGTTTTTGGTCGTAGGTAGTAATTAGTCTACGAGCGGAGCTTATGAAATAGCAGAAGGTAAGTACCGTCTGTAATAAGCGCACGCTCTGATAGCGTTGATGTGCAGACGGCTGGGTCTTGTGGCTGGTTGTAAATTACGGCTGGAGAGGTAGTTGGGACCGGTAGTGCACCAACGCAACGAGATTGTGAAAAAGGTGTAAGAAACATGAGACCTATTCTTTGGGAAGAAAACAACTACCTCCATATATGGTGATTGAACGATCCTTTGGACTCACCATGTAGACACTACAGGATCCGTGTTACGATACGCTCATACGTATCCTAACACCAACTCATCCTTATTGTGCGATACGCAGCCTCTTCTATATTTGCCACACTTTCCCAGCGTGCAACTTGCACGCAGATCTTGTGGTGTCTACATAGTGGGTCCATAGGGCCTTCCAAAAACTATATAAGGAGGTGGTTTGTAGTCTTCTTTTCCCTCAGAGAACAATTCTCAGTATACTCAACTTTGTTACAATCCCTTTCAACTTCTTCACCACTTCACCTCAACCTCATTGCTCTCAATCACTATCACTCTCAACCACTCTTGCAACTGTACTTTGCACCCAGCTGCAAAACCCAGCCGTTTGTACACCAAAGCTATCCCTCTCTAATAGAAGGTGCGCTCATTACAAACGGTACTTGCCCCTCTTCTATTTGATAAGCCCCGCCCGTAACAATCCGCTTGGATGGTACACAGTGGGAATGATCTACTGGGATCTCCGTGCAAGTCGGACGCACGCTGGGAAAGCAGGTGAGAGATAAAAAAATGCTCTGTGTGTGTGTGTGGATCTTTGCGTAGGACACACGTGACGATTGGGCTGGTGTCAGGATACCTCTGAGCGTATCTTAACAAGAAGCCTGTTGATATAGCTCATTGCAATAGCGATAATTCCCGAAGTGACCATCTCATTCTGACTTCCAACGAACAAAGCTGTCAGAAGTATGAGTGCCTGCGTCCGCTTTCTGTCTTTACATCCATTCAACTTTCCACTTATTATTCTTTCTTTTTCGACGTGACTCCAATCAGTGTATGCATCTCTATCATATTTGGCATTTATGACTGAGCCTCGACACGTCACTTGCCGCTCGGCCTTAAGCTGCATGTCTGCATGAGAAATCAGTAGTATTCAGCAGAGCTCAGGACTGCTCAGTAGACTTCCAAAGTCTCAGCAGGAGTTGAGGAAACGTGCACTGTATGGATCAGCAGGACCGGACGCCCGAGCTCTGGTCAGAGCACCTGCAGCAGTTTATGATTTTGTGGGCCTGAGACTCGACCGTAATGTTTTTGTCACTCACTTCATCGCAATAGACTCTTTTGCTCTACTTCGGAACGATGCCGACTTTGCAATTGGCTGAGAGTTGCCCGAAAAGTCCCAAAGGAGCGTGCGGAATTATGAGTATTCGCTTCCGCTTTTCAATCTCGCATCAATTTTTCTTTCCCTCTTATACTTCATACTTACCTTTGTATGCAACTCTGCCCATATTGAGCGTCCAATATTCAATCAGTGCAATTCATCTACCAGACTACCCAGCAACCATGCTTGCTCGTGTGTAGCTTTTGTCTTATATCTCAGGACTGACCCATGGGAACAATTCATGATACCTTCCTGGTCTGATCTGGCTTAGATTGTGAGATTCAGACCTGGACTGCGCAGAGGCAGACGAGTTCTTGACGGTGAAGATGTTGTTCAGCTCTAAAAATTCTCGATCAAGGCGGTATGGGCTTCACCTAAGACTCTCTCTAGGAGCTAGCCAATCCAGGATAAAGCTTTAGTATCGCCCCACGGACCAGACGAGAGGACGAGGCAGTAATTCAAATGATTGAAGGTACCTCGAAACCGAACCCAGTCCTCGACTTCACAAGATGGGCCGCTGTCATTGTCTCCCCTCTCCAAAGTGTGTGTTTATCATCTACGACCCAGTTAACTTGACATCCCATCACACTGTATGAGATTTATTTTCGCCGAATACCTGATCTTGTGAGAATATGCGCCTCTAAGAATTGAATTTCTTGTATATGGGCTGATCACCTCAAGACTCTTATTCTTCCACCCTTAGACCCTTCACCCCTCGAGTTTCGCAATGAGAATGTGATGCTCGAGTTGGACTTGTCTTTGAGCCTCACAGGGTCCCTTATAGGCATCGTTTTCAACTCGGTCTTACGCAGACAAAGCTGTACATGCGAACACATTTGCCGCGCCTGCCAAGAGCGACTATCCCCGCTCTCGTGTTGAGCTTTCTGCTCGAATTTATGCTCTCTGATCTATTTTTCTCTCACTCAAAACGTGTCAGGTGAGAAGCTGACCGCCTAGGGATCACAGCCACCGATGATTCTCCATGGCAAAGCTTCCTGGCCCAATCTGAGATGGCCACGGAGCGATTTGAACCTGAAGAGACTATTGAGGGGATTAGCAATAACCTGTGATTGGGAAACCCTGCACATTCTCCAGATGTACTGCACGATGAAGGCGCCATGATTGCGCCATGATTGTTCATCTCATCGCCGACACACACCGCTTATCTCTCTGTTCTTGAACAAAGCTTAGTGTGCCACAGTCTGGAGATCGACGAGGTTTGCCCCATGTGAAGCAACCACGAGTAACTCTAGCCAGCGATCTCTAGACACACGCTGAGAAAGAGCAGGATGCCCTCGAGTCCTCGATGCTGGTCCAAGAGACTGGTTAGAGGACCTCCAACACAACATAGCATGGAAATCGAAATTTATTAGATCAAATACAGGTTGTCAGGCAATGCATCATTTTCGCGAGTTCTGCCACTTCGCTTCCGCCGCCACGGACAGAGCGTGATGTACAACACCCTCGTATGTCCTTTGCATATCTGAGCAGTGATGTTTTCTTTGAGCAGCAATGTCTTTCACTGTATGTAGACCTGATCAGCACATCCTCTGCGCTTGAGGGAAGTTGATTCGTACGTTTACAGCTCCCTTATCGAACAATTCGCGAGAGTTTTTCTATCACGACCTAGAATAAACCCTGTGTAACGGGTGAGCGAGCATCGCTTGTCGCCTGGCCTCCCAAATCTGAGCGCAGACCCGGCCTCAGCCAATATGGCTGCTATCACTGCCACAGTGCAGACTATTTGCATACTGCTTTCGAGCAGACTTCCCCAGCGCCGCAAGGGCTCGTACGGGGTGTTAAGATTGTTGTGACCCCAAATTGGGTCATCACCAGGAATACCCGGGCTGGACATTCACAAAGCCTAGATGTCATGTTCTGGCTAAAAAGGCGCAGTCGTGATGGCCAGCCTCAGACTCTCTCCAGGACATCTGCGTACAGGAGGGAAGGTGGATGATAAGTGATACATGTTCGCACGCTGGCTCAATATGCCAGATGCTCTCAACCAAAAGTCTGTGAAGTGCGGGTAGCTCGTTTTTGCTTACTCAAGCGCTGTGAAGAGTATCAGGTATTGTTCTCGATGTCAAACTTACCCAGTCGTCTTTGTTGGCAGCAAATCTGTCGAACAGAGGTTCGATCTTCTCCGATGCCTTTCGCTTGCTGATCTTGTTTAAATCCGCCACACGGAAAAACGTTGGTGCAACCTCTGATAGCCATTTCGGCTCAATGGCTGTGATCTGGTGCATGTACTCCTCTGAATCATTAGTGAACAGTACCATGCTGTCGAGCTTACTGGCTGTTAGAACAAGCTCGTAGTACAGACACCATTCTGGCGGTCGCTGGAATAAAGCACTCGAAGGGTGAATGCTGACTGGCGTGCCCTCAACCAACGTCTTGTACCCCTCAGTTGGATCTGCAGAGCCATAAGCAATCGAGAGACAAGTACCGGTGCTCAAGCTGTAACTGACCCTTCTTGGCAGCGTTTCGGAAAAATCCCGAACAAATCGCCATTCTCACGCGATTGTAATTTGTTCCACAGGATACTGCTAAGTTGAGCGACCTCCTCTTAGAAGGAATGAACTCTCGACTCACCTAGCTCATGCTTGTAGCGTTCCATGATACCGATCAGTTCTGAAGATCAGCCGCGCTGAACAAGACGACTCACGTTTCCTGACGTCTTGCGCGGTTTTCATTGCACGTGTATGAATGAAATTCTCGAAACACCAAGGATTGCTGAATTTGGAGGCTTTCCAACCATTATACACCGCCTAGGAGATTAGACAGCACTGTCGTACGATACTCACAAGAAGAGTGAGTAGATCCCCCTCCGGCTGGTGGAACTTGGCCTTCTTGGCATCGGCCTGTGCCTGTTTATCCTTTGGACGGTAATAAATCTGACCTCCGGCTTGTAACATCGCCACGATTGTCAGTGCCTCTTCCGAACAGCCATAATCGACCGATTTGATCAACATCTTTGACAAGGGCGGATCCAGGGGGAAATCGGCCATCTTCCTGCCGATACGCGTGAGAAGCCCTTCATCGTCCAGAGCGCCTAAAGCATATAGCTGTTCCAGAGCAGTTATCATAGTTGCCGCAGGTGGTGGATCCATGAAATCGAAATTGATCAAGTCGTTGATACCCATTGCCTTGAGCGTCAAGATGGTCATTGCAAGATTGGTCCTCTGAATCTCGGGAATGGGATTGGGTAACATTTCGTTCCGATAAGCGATCTCCGTGTACAGTCTGTAACACTTGCCCGGGCCTGTGCGTCCAGCACGGCCAGCGCGTTGGCGAGCTTGTGCCTGAGAGATGGGCTGCAAAATGTGAGCTTTCGCCAACTTGAAACTCACAGTCACAACCAGAGAATCCATTCCGAGTTTGGGGTCATACGCATTCTGTTTCGCAAAGCCTGGGTCAATCACGTAGTAGATTCCATCAATCGTAATACTGGTCTCCGCGATATTGGTAGCGATGACCACCTTTCGTGCTCCAGGGGGTGCTGGGTCGAAGATGCGGGACTGCATTTCGGAGGGCAGAGCAGCGTAGATGGGCAGGATGAGAAGCTCAGGCACTTGCGGCCCGAGAGCTTTGACGCGTTCGAATAGGATCTCGCACGCAGTATCGATCTCCTCTTGCCCAGTGAGGAAGAGGAGAATATCTCCGGCCGGCTCCATCAAATGAATTTGCAGGATCGTAATGAGGGATGCTTCTAAGTAGTCCGGCTCTGGTTCCTTGGTGTACAGCGTCTCAACAGGGAACGTCCGGCCAGGAATCGTGAAGATGGGACATCCCCAGAAATACGTAGCAAATTTGGCTGCGTCAAGGGTGGCTGATGTGCAGATGAGTTTCAGATCCGGCCGGCGGCGACATGCTTCTGTAAAGGAGTCAGATTGAGAAGCAGAGACGGATAGACGGATAGACGAACTTTTCAAGAGGCCAAACAAAACGTCTGTGGCGACGGTACGTTCGTGCGCCTCGTCGAGCATCATAATGGAGTATTTCGAACAGTCGGGATCCACGAGCAATTCTCGTAGCAGCATACCATCGGTCTATGAAGATCAGCTCGGCACGCACCCAAAGCCAACACATACCATGTATTTGATTTTCGTCTCGGGACTGGTGATATCCTCAAATCGGACGGTATAACCAACTTCAGCGCCAAGACGACAGCCGACTTCTTCTGCGACTCGTTTGGCTACCGATACTGCGGCAACTTTCCTAGGCTGAGTGCATCCTAGCTTTCCGCACTCGAGCATCCCCTCCTCAGCAAGGTACTGAGCCATTTGAGTTGTTTTACCAGACCCAGTGTCTCCAACGACGACAAGAATTTGATTCTGACGTCAGCTAACGTCTGGAAGGCCAACGCACGTTTTTGATGGCCTCTACCAACTGACTCCTGAGTTTGTAGATGGGCAGACTTCGACGTTGTTCTTGGATACTCATGGACGTGATTTTTCCATACGTGACGACCTTGTTTGCCGCTTTCCAAGCTGGGGTTTGCGCAGCTCTTTGACTCATAAGATTTCCCTTCACATCCGACGCGAATTGTCTCTCTTGTTGATTCGCCATAGGATCCAGCCAAGGTTGAGATAGATCCCTAGATTCAGAGTCGGCCTGCTCATTCTCTTCCAACCGCTTGAGATCTCTGCGCTCCTTGGCCAGAGACGCTCCCGCTAGTGCGGCTCTATTGAGAGAGCTTTCGATCAGCACAAAGAGTCATGTGCAGGACCTACCCATCCGGAGCTTTGATGATCTTCACTGGAGAGAGCTCGAGTGTGATCTTGGTCTGTCCAGAAAGGAAGGACGGCTCAAGCTCGTTGACTTCTATATCGATATCCTCTTCAACTTCGGGATGGCCAATGGTTGCCGTAAAGTCATCGTCTATGTCGGGGTACTGATAATTAGCGCGTGCCATAAGACAAGGCTCACGTCGGCAGCGCTGACCGCACCACTGGCTATCAGCTGCTTGATCTCGAATCTCTCGGGACTCGATAATCGTTTGGCATTGCCACGTCGCCGCTCCTCAACGTGAATGATTGGAGTTGAGTTGCTGCCAGTCGCCGCCCTGGAGGCAGCTCGTCTTTCCTCGGCTAATATTTCTTCTTCTGTCTGGACCCGAAGATGAGGCCTATAAATCAGCAGGATGCGCGGCAGCAGGACTCACGACAGGTCAGCCCCAGTCTGTTGATCGACGTCTTTCATACTAAGACCAACTCGGCCGCCAGCAACGGAGATGACCTTTACTTTCACTCGGTCATTGCGTTTGACTACCTCGGAAGGAGATTGAATCCGAGTGCCGGTGATATTGGAGACATGGACCAGTCCTGAATTTTCAGTCCAGACTTTTCCTGCACGCTTACCCTCAACACGTCCACTGACTCCATCCATCGAGACGAATGCTCCAAAGTCTCTGATACCCTGGATCGTTCCATCGTAGATTTTGTACAGTATCGGTCTCGGGTCTGGGCTATCGCGATGGCCATCGCGGCTGACTGGGGGAACTCTACCGGTTATTGAGCGGTTCGCGTATCCATTGTCACGGCCGTGCATAGAAGATCCAGAGTCTGACGGTCTGTGACGCTTCGTCGAGGACTCTCCATCGATGAAATCGTCTGCTGATGGACGGGTCCGCCTGGCCGCAACCGTAGCTAGCTCCGCCATAGTGTCGTCCACATTGACCAATGGCAGGGTTTTGGCAATATCCTCCTCAAGCTGGATCGCTTTGTCAGGCATTGATAGCCCAGGGAATTTCCGTGACTGGATATCCTTCTCCCCAGAGCCATGAACAGCAGCTGTCTGTCCGTGGAGGGCCGCCTTGGCTTTGGCTGCCTTTTTCTTATATTTGGGATGCATTGTCACGATCAGACGGTCCAAATTCTGGACGAACCATGGGGGAAAATCTGCGCCGACCTCTCCCAGTCGAGACTGAAAGATCTCGAAGGATTTACTCTGCTCATGTAGCTGCAAGACAAAGATCAGGGGATGATACACCGCATACACCAGCAAGGGTGAGCTCACAGCAATGACGAACTCGGCCAGGTTCTTGTCCTGCAACTTCGTATGATTGAACAGCTCTTGAGAGACTCTGTTGACGAGGGACAGCAACTCCAGCTTGTAGAGCTCTTTGCTCGTTGACATTGTTGCGTCCTGTCAGTAACAAGCAGACCGTCAGGTTAAATCAAAGCATGTATGGTACTGAAATCTTGGGATCCGCCACCCAAATGATTATCATCAACCTTCGAGATGCATTAACACGTCACGTCATGGCTACCATCTCTATTCACGTTACCGTGTCCCATCGGTGACTGGAACGGGCATCAGCATGGAGTTCTAAACCAGCGATGATGATGGAAATTAGGGATGGGACAAGCGACTCACCGCATCCATGACTGGCATCAGAGACCAGGCGAGCGTACTTGAGAAGAGTACCTTGCTTCACTTTGAGCGGTGGTGCTACCCATCTTTTTCTTCGCTCCGCCATCTCTTCGTCCGACACGTCGACGCTCAAAGTATTCTTGACAGCGTCGATATGGATCATATCTCCATCTTGTACCAAGGCGATCGGCCCACCGACTTGTGCCTCAGGCACAACATGGCCCACAACGAATCCATGAGATCTGGAGTCAAAAGCCTGTCGACGAGGCACACTTACCCTCCACTGAAGCGGCCATCTGTCAGACAAGCTACATCGTAACCCAGACCTGCGCCCATCACAAGACTTGTTGGCTTCAACATCTCTGGCATGCCGGGTCCACCTTGCGGACCAAGATACCGAAGCACCGCGACAGTCTTTTCGCCCTGCTTGATGGAGCCACTTTCTATCGCATGCACAAAGTCTGCTTCGACGTCAAACGCTCGACATCTCCCGCTGAATTGGAGACCTTCCTTGCCAGTTATTTTCGATACTGCTCCGCCAGGCGCCAAGTTTCCTCGTAGGATTCTATACATCAGATGTCGATTGTACCGCGCGACTCACCGGATATGTCCCGTCGACTTGATGGGGTCAGAAAGTGGGCGAATGACCTTTTGATCCTTCCACTTGTGTCCATGCTTTTCAAACCATCTCTCGCAGTTCTCGCCTAAGGTCTTCCCGGTGACTGTCATCTGGTCTCCCGTCATGATTCCCTCCTTGATCAGATAGTGCATGACGTTCGGTATACCGCCAATGGTGTTGACATCCTCCATGACATATTTACCGCTGGGCTTCAAATCTGCCAAGAATGGCACGCGGTCTGAAACTTTCTGGAAATCGTCGATGGTGAGACTGATGCCGACGGAGTGAGCGATGGCAATCAGGTGAAGGACCGCATTTGTCGAGCCACCGAGGGCCATTGTGAGTGCCTTGTCTGGTGAGCGACAGGAGCCGCGGAACACTCACCATGGCATTTTCGAAAGCTTCACGAGTCATGATGTCTCTCGGTAGGATATTCTTCTCTAACAGTTCCCGCATTACAGGTCCCACCGAGTCGCATTCTGAAAGTTTCTCCGGGTATTCTGCGGGGAATGATGACGATCCTGGAAGAGCCATTCCTAAAGCCTCGGTGGCAGACGCCATCGTATTAGCCGTATACATCTGTTTGGTCAGAACATCGCCCGATTGACAAAACGTACTCCACCGCATGCTCCAGCTCCAGGACACGCATTTCGCACCGTCTCGTACCGAATCTTCTCGGCCTCATCTGTCTGACCCATAGATAGATATTTGCCGTAGCTTTGAAAGGCAGAAACGATGTCCAAGACCTCTGGTGGCCTTCCGTCCGACCCACCACCACAAGTTCCCGGCCTGATAGTTCCACCGTAAACCATGAAACCGGGTCGGTTCAATCTCCCTAATGCCATCAAGGTCCCAGGCATGTTCTTGTCACAGCCAGGAATAACGATCATGCCGTCCAACCAATGTCCACCAGCTACGGATTCGACAGAATCGGCTATCAAGTCTCGAGACTGCAAAGAATATGACACTGGAACATCAGCCGCCTTTCTCTTGATCTGACATACTGCCACGAGTGCCCATACTGATTCCATCTGAGACTGCTACGGTTCCGAATTGGTATGCAGTCACACCAGCATCGCTCAGAGATTTCTTGACCCGCTTTCCGAGCTCCAGGATATGCTTGTTGCAAGGATTTCCTTCGTACCTGATCGCAGGCTGTCAACCGCATACTTCGGGGCCCGCAAGGGGATTTCTTATACGGCAGACTCACCACACGCTAGCTACTCCCACCATGGGTTTCTGAAGATCTTCATCGTTTTCAATACCGTCTGTCGCATACAACATAGCCTATGCAAGAGATACGTTATCCCTCTGTCACCGATAGCGACGGTTAAGCCGCGCCGCCGCCGCGCCCTCACCTGCGAAGCTCCTTGATCCTTGGGTTGGGTGATTGTACGAGAGTAACGGTTGGGAATGGCAGAGGCAGACTGAGCTGAGCTCGTGTGAGCTGCTCGCCGGGCAAAGTGTATAGCCACGTCGTTCATGATAGGATTCCTCAACGGAAGCATCTTCGTGGCCGAATGATGCTCGCAGTGGGTTGAAGATGAGAGATGCAGCAAGCATGCACTTCTTTGTGACTCGAAATCCAACATGGTGGAGGGCGGAGGTGACTGAAATTTAACACGTCACGTTTACAATCCTCCATGGCGCGGTCAAGCTATCACATCCCATCTCTGGATTCTAACGACTACCAGAGCATGTAGCTCTGAAGCAGAGCAATCGAAGATGATGACAGAGGAGGAAGGTGCGTAGAACAGACCTTGTATTGAGTAGCATGCCTGATACTCATTCACAACAGAATCGAAGCAGTTGCTCGACCTCTTGGAGTCCTCGAGTGGATCCAAACGCCTGTTACCACATTCGACCGCCTCATCTTATCTTGACCAGCTCCAGAGCTCATACCTAGACCAGGTCATTCAAGAGCCCTCGATAGTGACTGCTGAAGCTGCTAGGCTGGAAACGGACATTACCAATCTCTGTTATCGGGAATACCCATTGTTCATATCCGTTCATCAGTGCTCTACCGCCGTACGGAATGCTTTCAACGACTTCGATCAGAGCCTCTCGAGGCTCCTGTCGTCCGTGCCGGAGTTGGAGTCAGAGTGTAAATCTTTTGCGGACAACACATTACGTCTGCAAGTTACTCGACGCAAAGCCGGTTTATTGCTAGAGTACCAGGATAAGATTGGCGAGTTGATCAACATGCCCCGCTTGATGGAGACCTGTGTACGAAATGGCTTTTATCAAGACGCAATAGACATCGCCGATCACGCCCATCACCTGTTTCAGGACTATGGCTCATTTCCGCTCGTTGAAGACCTCATGTCAGAGATTACGGCCGTTTCTCAATTGATGACCGTCCAGCTCGTCAATCTCCTACGCGAAACCATAAAGTTGCCCAATTTAATGAAGACGGTCGGATTCATTCGAAGGCTCAACATCATGCCCGACGCGGATCTCTCAGTCGTTTATCTCTCTAGCCGACTGTACAATTTTGAAAGGCACATTGGAGAACTCACACCCAGCCAACTAGATCCTATTCGTTTCATCCGCAGATATATCGACCTCTTTCGAGAGCATGTCTACGACATAATCACTCAGTTCACGGCAGTCTTCGGGAGCGATGCCGTGCTCGAGTCCTTCGCCACTACTTGCGTCTCAAAATTGGTCCAGGTCGTGCTCGACCAGATGCCTTCAATTGCCAGCGATCCGACAGCTCTCTCCTCCCTTCTAGTTCAGCTCGGGTACTGCGCTATGTCCTTCTCGCGTCTGGGCCTCGATTTCTCACCTTATTTCTCTCTCCCCTTCTCAGATCAGGTTCTCCACTCTTTTAAGCACTTATTGGCGGAAGCGAATGCAGACCTGGCGGCTGGTTTCGAGCGATCCATGCAAAGTCACACATCGCTATCCCACCACATCCTCATGGCTGACGGTCCGCCCGCTGAGCATTACGACTCCCATCACACCGAAATACCACCTCACACTTCCCACATCCCTCCCCTAGCTATGTTTGTCAACGCTCATCTCTCAGCGTTGAATCAATTACGACTTCTCGCACCTCAACATCTAAGTGGTAAATTGATAGCGATTCAAACCGACCATTTGGCATCTGCAACAGCAAACACCTTTGAGTTCTTGGAGCAGGCAATGTCGCCTACGGAGCCATCGCGAAGCGATACCAATCACCGGCGATCGATATCCTCACCCAGGTCGCGCCTGGTTCGCCAGAATACAGAGACCCTGCTGGCTCCAGAGCAGCGCGCACTACGGCAAAAGCAGTCTTGGCAATCCGTGATGACATTTGGGCGGACTTGGCTGAGCAGTATGCAATATTTGCGCCACGCCATGTGTCACGACATCTTCCAGATGGATGATTTCCCGGCTTTCTCGGAGCTCGACATCTTCCAACAGCGTCTGTCGGAATGGACCCTCGAGCGGTCCGGTTCTGAAACCACAGCCGAAGCGGAAACAGGTCTCTTGTCTGGCTCTGGAAGCTCGCTGTCGGCACCAGCTCCAGTTGGTCAAGCTGTCAGCAACTCGACTCCTGACGAGTCCTATGAGGATCATGTTGCGTCGACACCCGAGTTGACGGGGCGTAACGGGGAGCAAAGTATCGGTGACCGACAATCCCTTGATATGCCTGACAATTTGACGGCGGTGGGACGAGTGCCGACACCCGAGTTGACGGGGCGCAACGGGGAGCAAAGTAGCGGTGACCGACAATCCCTTGATATGCCCGACAATTTAACGGCGGCGGGACGAGCGCCGACACCCGAGTTGACGGGGCGCAACGGGGAGCAAAGTATCGGTGACCGACAATCCCTTGATATGCCCGACAATTTGACGGCGGTGGGACGACCATCAAGCATGCTAGCCGACAGCTCATCCCATCTGGAAACTCTTGATCATAACGATGACAATGAGCTGGGCGATGCCGGGCTGACGGAGCCGTCTTTTGAGCCACTGCCTACGCATGAACCGGACGGATTGGAGTCACCAACACCAGATTTCTCTGCGACAGACGTCACAGCTATCGAGGATGCAGAGTCCGTTGTACCAGCTGACGGCACGGGGACGGCCGCATCTGAGCCTGCAAGTCAGGCAGATGAAGAGCCAATTACTGGCCCGGCCACGAAAAAGAAGAAGAAGAAGAAGGGCAAACGACCTGCATAAGAAAGTCTGGAATGCATACGGACGTGTACAATCATAGCATCGTGAGATAGTTGGACGGGGCGATCTAGATATGGTCAGCACTGGTAATCAAGGGCCAGCTCACTCCAGTCTGTCCACTCGGTGTGCGGACTTGGAACCACTTGCCGGTGTTGTCAATGACTTCGAGAAGATCGCCTTTGGCAAATGAGACTTCGTTTGGATCATCCGGATTAGCGTTGTATGCATACATCGCTCTATTGCAATGTTAGCGTCCCTTCGTTTAGTACAGTATGAGACCCACTTTGCTCGCTGGACCGTCGGATGCTGCACGGTGTCTGTAGGTTGACCGCTAAGATCGCCGACTTGTCCGAATTGGGGCGCTCCATGTTCAGGTCCAGCAGAACCATATGGAATGGCAGTGTTGGCCGCAGGCACCGAAGCATACGCGCCACCGTTCTGTCCAGTGATGTTTCCGTTGCCACTACTGGCCACACCGGCGCCCAGACCGCTATCTGCCTCGTAATTCGCTACACCTTTGGGTGTTCGAACGCTGTGTCGCGGCCCGACGGATGCTCCGCCCCTGCCCCCAAAACTGAGAAGATTGTGGAAAAGTGTCCCTTCCTCTGAGGTGAGGTAAAGTATCCAGATTAGCTATTACAGTCAGTAAATGGGCAAGAAGTATTGACACTTACATCAACGATGGCGATGAGGAGCCAGCCGACGCCGACTGAGATCAGAGAGCCCGCCGAGTCGAAGAGGAAATTAGCACCGTATATGGAGAAAACTTCAGCAATCGCTGCGAAGACTGCGATCTGAAAGCGATGGATGGCAAGCTGATCGGTACAGATAGCGAGGCTGATAAATGAGTCACGGTTGAGGCTATCGCAGACTCACAAAAGATGAATCGTGACAGCTCTGAACACCGTTAAAAATGTTCGTCGTGTGATCCTTCGACTCACAGTTGAATCCAAATGCTGTACCAAAGGTATTTACAGACGGGCTCGCTATTGCCCCTTATTGAAGAGTCAAACTGAGCCTCGGCTGCGATTTGACCGGCAAAGGCGATGATCCATGCTGGGAAAGCTAGAGCGAAGGTGACCAAGAACAGAGGATGAGATAGGACGTGACCAGTCGAAAAGTCGTTGAGCATGTTGGTCGATACACTGGGAAGAGGTTTGGAGGGTGAGCCAATGCCATGCAGGATGGAAACAAGATGACCAACCCAGGGATGAGCGCCGTCTATGATTGTCTTCTGAGGCTGCGCTATTGTGACAGGGCTTGCAGAGCGGACGTGGAATGGCCGCGGCTGTCTGTCTCGAAGGGCAAGTAACAAAGAAAGAATGAAAGCACGAAACGCCAAATAATGTTGTTGATGTTGAAGGGGGGGCAGCCAAAACTTTATATTAATTGATTGTGGTTTGAGCATTTATCCCCATTAGCCTGGCAATATTATGTATTATTAGACTGTACAGCTTCCATAACATACTAATTCGCCACCCGCCTACCATCCCATCCATCTGTCCGTAAACGGCGCGGACGAGGTGCTACTACTACACACCGAACTGGGTCATGTCCATATGCCCATGCTGTGAAATCCAACAACCAGCTCAGTACTGCTCACAATGTCTACGAGAAGGGTGAGACCCACGAATCTGTCTAACGCGACACTCACTTACCCCTCACATATTATACAGGGTGGCAACCCATCATCGTCTCAGTCACTCCTTACGTGCACAATGCGCCTCGTCAATTGTCACCTCGAGCCAGATATTGACTGAAGGGTCGAGAAGTTTGGACGTGTGGCGCCGTATCCGTGCCGAGGTGGCTCTGGCAGAAAGGAGAGTCCGAAGACTCGTTCAGAAAATTCAGAGTATTGAGTCTGAGCTCGCAGGTCAGCCCTAATTGAGTGATGATTTACTGATCCACTCGCAGGCGATGTTCCCGATCCATTTCGAGTTCAGAGACGACACCAGAAGCCGACGATGACAGACAGAGACGTCGAAGCTCGTCATCAGGAGATCATCCAAAGGCAAAGTGACGTGGATCATCGACTTGTTCACGCAAGAAGAGTACTGGTCAAGGAAGCTGTCACAGTCTTCGGTCTGCAAGATGGGGACATCCCGTCCATTGCTGGTCTACCGGTACCACTTCATTATGACCTCAGGAGTGAGTTCTCGCGAGGCCAAATCGCAATCTTACATCTAGAACAACCCTCATTTATGATGAATGCTGCGATCTCTCATGTAATTCATCTCCTCCGCATGCTCTCGATATACCTCTCCATCGCGTTGCCGTTCCAGCCCGACTATCCGAAGCATTTCCACGTCGGCCGTCCGATAATCAGGGCCAATCTACCGTTCCTACAAACGTCTAAATATCGAGAAGCTTATCCCCTGTGGATATCGTCGACAGCCTGGAAGACTGACCTCAAGTCACGGGCGAAGCATCGCAATTTTCTGCAGACATTTGGGCTCCTGGCGCACTCAGTCTCGTATCTCGCTTGGAGCCAGGGCGTTCAGGGTATTGGCATCCCAGACGATTCGATCGACTCCGTCCAGATCCCTGTCACATCGCTCGTGAGACTTCTCAGAACGACAGCAGATTCTCCCTCGCTGGGTCACAGGGCCCATGAGCCTGGTACTGCGTTCCTACCGCATCTTGGATTCGGTCTCGACGTCTCTCGAGTCGTGGCATGGACCTCAGTGACAGAATCTGCGGATGATGGCGAGCAAACCGACGAATGGGACGTGGTGGAAGCTTGACATATGCATGGTATTCACGGTACGGGGAATTAAGTTTAAGGCTTGGTGAAGAAGTACATTGAAGCATACTGAACACTGATCAAGGAGCCCTCCACCGTGCACTGCTATCAGCATCTTGTCTATGTTTGCCGACTCACCTTGGAAGGAGGCTGTCCACCGCTCGTGTATAGTCGATACACGTAAGAGGCCAGGCCGTTTTGACCCGGCAGAGCTTCGAGCTGCAGCCACGCAACGTCGGTGGCCTTGTTCGGCGCGTCGACGCTATCAAGCTTTTTCAAGATCACGCTCGAGGTCGCGCTCTCGAACTTTGGAGACGCAGCCGTCGTATTAGGCATGTTGCTGCATGTTTTGTTGGCCTTCTTAGAAGGGAATCTTACTCACACAAAGTAATGGTGGATGTCCACTCGGGGTCCGACCCTAGTGGGAAAGGGCAGCAATTTGAGAGCCATCTTTGGGAGCATGCTGGAGATTGTCTGGATGGGGAGATGGGTGAAGTCGACGACTGGCGCGATATCATAGAGACTCCTCTGATCAGTGTTCGAGATTAGGTGAGACTTACCTGGCCACAGCGCCGATGGAAACCCATGATCCCCCGGAGCAAGTGTAATTCTGCACTCCCCTACCAACCGTTGCAATGACCTGATTCTGATCACTGGGAGACGTAAATTTCGCGGGTGCAGGCACGACTATGTCGGAGGTAGCGAGGTCTCCTGAATTGGTACTCAAGAGTCGGGTGAAGTCGGCCGGTATAGCTGTCCCAAAGACTACAAGGGGTGCAAGAAGGAGACAAAGAGCGACCGACATGACGAAGTGGTGATTCCAGCCGAGTTATGTGATGAAGAAAACGAAACTTATCGGGATGGAAGCTGGAGGGATGAAGAGCAACCTCGAGCAGTAAGAAAGACTCTTATACATGTTGAGTATGGTTTCCAAAGGCACTTCGGATGATATGGGAGGTGTACCTGTATTAAAGCCCTTGGAGACGCCCGGTGTCCAAGACGACATAATCACGGTCTCTTGGTACCCATCCATCCGTCTCTGCCGCGACGTGTTGCCGCTAGTTTCCAGGCACAGGGCCACTTTCTTCACTCCTGCACTTGCTGAATCACCAGTGCCTCGTAACAAGAGGTACATAAAGCTTGGCCGTCCTTTGGGAAGAACAGATTGTTGGCAAAGGCTGAGCTGCAATGCTGAGAACACGTCAGCGCCAAGCGGTAGAGGGTAGAGCACCGGCCATGTGTCCATGCTCAGCGACTTACGGAGCATACAAAGCATTCCTTGTGCCATTTCGCACCCATGGCACTGACGGCGACATCCGGTATCGGTTGCTGACATGCCTTGCACTTTGGCTTGTGAAGTCGAATGTGACAATTTTCGCAGTATGGGTGACCCTTGTGAATGACGAAGGGATTGGTTTCGCCTTCCTCTTCCTGCTCTGCGCCTGTAGCCCCGGGTGCAGACGACTTTGAAGGATCCAAAAAGGGATCACCGCACTCCGAGCAGAAGAAGTGCAACTCGTGATAGAACCGCTCGCCCAGACCAGGATCATTCAATGTCACAAATCGAGAGTCCACAATCGGAGTCTTGCAATGATAGCATCGATGGGCGAATCTCTGTTATGTGGTCAGCCAGACAGGCGTACGCTCTTATATGCAGACTTGCGTCATGGTAATCCAAGTGGCAATATGCTTTGCCTTCCCACTCGAAGCTACTGACGTGCTCCAACAGACCGCCGCACTCGTCACACTTGAAGCACCCAGGATGCCATCTTTGTTTCATCGCGTTGACGATTCTGCCGATGATGGGCTGCCGACAGCCCGCACAGAGTATGGCCTGCGTCGGATGCACTCTGGTAGGCATGTCGAGAGCGATGCTTTGAGACAGCGGAGATTTCTCTTCGTCGGAGTGCTCTGTGGAAACGGATATAACTGGAAGGCCCGAGAGGATCACACCAGTCCGCCCAGGTGATGGCGGATCATCGTCTGGTAGAGTGATGATTGGTATTTGGATGGATATAGCCGGCACGGTGGGCGATTGCGAGGATGCAATAGGATTTGCAGTAGGAGATACAGGCACAGGCGATTCTCCACGCTCTTCCTCGACGATTGAAGGCTGCTTTCTGTCCATCCTCCATCGAGAGGTTTGACCCTTTTCGCCGAGGTTTCCCCGGTCCAAGCTCCTCGAACCATTGACTGTGACTGGCGGCTGTGGAAGAGGGCGTTTTGTAGGCGAGGAGAATCCCATACGGTCCAAGGATCTGATTGACGAGATGGTATCGGAACGTTCCACGGTCGCGATGATGCCCGGCGTTGAGGGTGACCAGTTTCTTTCATCCGTAGCATTAGAAGCCTGAAAGGCTGATGGTTTCACAACTGGAGAAGGTAGTGGCCGTGAAGGCGCAATCGGGGCTGGAGTAGTCTCCTGTACGACCACTCTTGCCGAGTCCTGGCCTGTGGTTGCAAACGCAGACTCTCCGCCGCCATTGAAACGAGCTCTATCTCTCTCCTTCTTCCTCTCCAAAAAGGTACGAAATACTGGCGGCTCGTAAGGAGCTCTGGGTTGCGCAGCGGGTATGGGAATGATACCATCTGGTGTGTGACTGACTCCGGAAGAGTACGAGGCGTTGTTGGTGTCAGGAATGATATTGCTGTGTTGCTGACTGATGGCTCGCTCCAGGTGAGAAAGTGAGTAGCCATTTCGGGTGTTGCTAGGTCCGGCCATCGACTCCGAGGATGGGATCTGGGACTGATCCCCATAAAACAAGGGTCCACCACCGGTAAGTTGACTAGTATCCATGACTTTACGACAATGCTGAGCAGCTCATCGATCAAAGGTGTGTCGATGGTCGAGGTATCGGATGGTGAAAAGGTCTCAACATTTTTGTTCAATGATTATTATTACAAAAAGCATGAGATGAGACAAGCTTGCACGCACGGCGCGAACCGCGTCGACGAATTAGCCACGTGGCTCTCTTTCATTCTGCATGAGATCTCGCAACGTCGGACCAGCTGAGGTAGACTATGAGCAGCTGCGCCTTGTCGGACAGCACACAGGATAGGCTGTGAGACTCACTCGGGTACGGCAAGGGGTATCTCAACACCTTTCAGATCTGGGTGTTGCTGCTCAATGACAGACATTATGCGGTCAAAGAGCACTTGATAGCCTTCGGAAGTCAAATGCAGTCCATCACTGAAAGATCATATCAGCAGGCATTACAATCACGAGACTCACTAGAAATATGGCGAGAGTTGGTCGTCTGTGTCCCCACCTGCCGCCTGGAGGATAGCAGTGTACATGTCGACCGCGGGCAACGACAATTCCTCTGCCACCGCCAGGCATGCTTGCGCATAAAGTTGGGTATTGCTCGTATCCCTGTCCGGGCGAAATTTCCCGATGACTGGCGGAGGCGTTATCAGGATGACTCTGACATCCTTCAGGTAATTGTCCGACTTTGGATCTGTGACCAGTTGGATAAACTGCCGCAAATTGGCCTTGTATTCTTCCAGAGGAACGTGCTGGGACTCTCCTTGATTCACGGAATCGTTCGCTCCTGTCCTTCAGCACCTGTCGCTACATCGTTCTCACCTAGCCAGAGGGTCAGGAGGCGAATAGACTGATTCTGATGTGATCGAATCACTCTCTTGAACACCGGCAGAGCCCTGCACTGTCAATCGGGGCTGATTGCTGCAACGGCTCACCATCTAGTATTGTAGCCTGGCAGGAAATGAGCTCATACTGTCCGTGAAAAGGGTCTCACCGCTGAAGCCCCGATTCACGACGTCCAATCTCCGCTCGTAATGTTGTGCCATCCGCTGGTACAAGGAACCACTTGCACATGTTTGGGTGAGCGAGTCCCCCTGAGGGCGTCAAATAAGCCTTTGACAAGATAGACACCTACGAACAACACAATGGCATCCACGTAGGATGTCGAGGACATTCTGGTCCTGAGCGATGAGTCAGATTACAGACAGAGTAGAACTCTGGACTTGGTTATTGATGCCTATAGCCTAACTTTGAGATATTTGATTATGTAATGAATGTCATGTTCTGTCGCCACCTCGGTAGCACCCAGTCATGTCACCTTTCGCCTCATAACCACGATGGCCGACATGGACGATCCAGTAGCAAGTGGTAGCAGGCTTTTCACTGCTCCTGTCAAGCGAATCGTATCTTCTGCCCATCTACAGGTTTTCAAGAGCTCTTCGACTCATGACGAGCTGTTCGACTTTATACTCCGGCTTAACAACAGTGTGATTGACAAAACGCTGACAAGCGTTGGGGAACCGTCATCAGCTGTGAGACTTCCCCGCAAAGCGCGCACTGATGTAGAGGTAACTAGATCTCTGCTGGATATACTGAATGCGGTGCATGAACTCGCGTGTGCGACCCCAGCGGTCGATAACACCCTCTCAAGATTTGGCAATCCTGCTTTCCGAACCTTCTATGACAAAGTTGCTGAGGTATGGACTCTTACGTCGTCAGGAGGCTGAAAGCCGCAGGCTTCAGGACGATTGCATGCTATGATACCTGGTCTCTCGGCAGAAGCTGTTCCTGAACTCGAAGTATATTTCAAACAATCCTGGGGAAGCCGGGAACGTATCGACTACGGTAGTGGAATGGAGCTGAACTTTGTCTGTTGGTTGTGAGTGAAAATGGTGATTGCCGCTCACACCTAGACTATGCTTGCACAAAATGGGACTCGTTAGAGATGACGATAGCACGTTCCTCGTTCTCGGCATCTTCTGGCGGTAGGCTCATTGAAAACCCCGGAGGTCGCTGACTGCCCAGTTACATCAAGGTCATGCGGTATCTACAATCGACGTATTGGCTAGAGCCTGCCGGATCCCATGGGGTCTGGGGACTTGATGACTACCAGTTCCTTCCCTTTTTATGGGGCAGTGCCCAACTGCGAGGTGAGTCAGCTGCAATGGAGCTGATCTGACTTGCCGAGACCATAAACATCTGCGTCCGAAAGCCATACATGACGAAGAAATCCTTGAGGCCTTTGCCCCAGCTTACATGTACTTGTCCTGCATCAAATTCATCAACAGCATAAAGACGGCCTCTCTGCGATGGCACTCACCTATGTTAGACGATATTTCCGCCGTCAAGACCTGGTCCAAGGTGAATTCTGGCATGATGAAGATGTATGACGCCGAGGTTCTGGGCAAGCTGCCGGTCATGCAACACATGTTTTTCGGCAGCCTATTACCGTTTCCTGAGGACCCTCAGTTGCCCAATATGCCAGGTGACTTGGAGCATGGCCACGTTCACGAGAAGGGCTGGCAAATGGATTGTTGTGGGATACCAGGTGAGTGCAACTCTGCGAGGGCCGTTCCTGATGTAGCAGTACCCTCGGCGTTTGGTCAGGCCCACCAAGCAGGATTAAAACCAATACCCTTTGATTAATGCATTACAACTCTGAAGAAGCCGAGATCCTCTGTCTGATAACCTCCCACACGTTATCAACGTCAATTTTCTGGTGTATCCCAACCAGCTCGTAGTGATGACCCATCTCGTACGCCATATGTTGGAAATGATGGTTTCCCGCGACTCCTCCGACTTGCAGCTCGACGAGAGTTGCCTTGCCGGGTGGCAGGAAGAGAGACAAACCCAGAGCCCCTCCATGCGATGACACAAGGATATTAGTGTGACCGACAAATTGAATCTGAGTCTCGAGTGCGTGCACCATAGGATCGATGGTGGCGAAACGAAGCGGCACAATATCTTTTGCTGGTTGTGTCCAGGTTTCGGGCATCTCTTCTGCGTCTTCGAAGACGCACTTCCCATCGGTGCAGAGCTCCCGCATCCCTAGACGAATCCTCTGCAGCAATTCGTCCTCATTTTCGATGTGCCGAATGCCTCTCCACGATGACCATTGACCGTGTTCCTTCGCAAAAGTGTCGAGTTTCTCGCGACTCAGCCAAAGAACATTGATAGGCTGAACTCGATTGCTTTCGGTCGGTAAGAGACCAAAAAGGTGACGATAATAATGTGATGCCGCCCATGTTATGGTCGAGGCGCAGGTGTAGCTTTTGTAAGCGGAAGTCTATCGAATATGGTCCCACCTGCTTCCCACTCCCATGGCGGATAGCAAAGAGGCACCCGCGCCAACACTATGTATTGCATTGGTCACTGCTATCAGTAATGGCTACAAGGGGTGGCACTCACGGCAGACTCCCTCCTCCCAAGGATCAAGAGCCAGTCTCCGGGGCGCCCAAGCGCCCACTCTATCCCAAAGCGGGGTATAGCGGTTAGAATCCATGTTGTAACCCTCGACGAAGACTAGCTGAGCGCGTGTACCGATCAGTTCTGGAGCTGCACGGGCAGCAATGAGAACTGTCACAAGGGTCGTAATGAGATCCTCTGCGACGTGGAACCTGAAGGTCAGCACAATCGAGGCGCAAAGACTCACGGATTCCACTGGTCCTGACGACCGATCACTATCGCGGTGTGATTCAGTGCAGTACGACACGGCGAGTCATCACCGGGTCTGAGGTTGCTTCCCAGAAACATTTCTCTCCCCATCTCGTTATCGAGAGCAGCCCCGTCCGCCGTGATTTCACAACCATGAGCGTGAAATTCGCGTTGCTTGTCTGCGATCGGGCGAATATGGGTCGACAAGCACGGAGCAGCGGGGTAAGGCCACCAATTTGAAAATGGATGTCGGTGAACAGGGGCGCACCATATCCTAGTGTTCGCATCTGTTTGATTGGCAAGCGTGATATGATGCTGAGCATCTCGTGGAAGACAGTAGCCTAGGATCGACTGGTGATAGGCATCGATGAGACCTTCCCCAAGCTGGTCTCCGCAAGTGTCCAAATTGCGAGCTGCGACTTCTTGCTTAGCCAACTCCCAAAAAGCTAGCATGGACCGTATCGGATACGAGTCCCGAAAGAATGCGCCTGGGACTCCGGCCGCGGGGTCGATGCCAGGAACCATGACATGGGCGTGATGAAGCACTGCATCGTAGGTATCTTGATCCCTGTCAGTTGTCCAGCTTCCAGCATAGATGGGTGGAAATGCGCCGAGAATAGCAAAATGCAGGAGGACAAGCACTATCGCTCCTATTGCAGTGAACTTCAGCAGAGAGCGAACATTGAGCGAGGAGATAGAGTCTCTCATGCGTCGCAACCACCGAGAATCCACCGCAGGCATGGCAGTGACATGTGTAGGCAGGTCTTGAGTGTATAATACTTTCAAGTTGAATGTGGAAACAAAGAGCACATGAATTTGGTAGATCCCTTGCTCCTCCCTTTTTCCCACTTTTTCGCTGCATCTCCAACTGCAGTCATATTCTGCATGTATGCATGGCTATTCATTCTGACTTTGGAGCCGGGGAAGAAGCTCGTCGTCTGACGTCGTCTCGTCTAGCTTTACGTTTCGAGGTCTGGTGGGCTCGCGATTGCAAACGTCTTGCCACTTGCACCTCCTGGGGGATGCCCACCTTGGACATGTCGATGAATCGGATCGCACTCTTGCTGCCTTGAGCAGGTAGCAATTGAGCTGGTGCCACTACTGATGTGTCCCTCCTCTCCCTCTGGGCGCGCTTTGGAAGGGTGAAGCGATCAGGCTGGATTTCGCCCATAGTCTCCTCATCACGCCATTCCCAAGCCAGACCTTCGACTCGGCGATTATCCAATCCTTGTATAGGCTCTCCGAATGATCCCTCAGCTCCTTGACCATTCTCCCAGCGAGTCTCTTCCACAATCTCAGTCTGATGACTGACATCTGACGCGCGAGCTCTAGCCTCCTCCCGGGCTGACCGTTCACTGTACTGCCGCGTAGACGGGTCGATCGGGGATTTCATATCCAAAAGTGGCTCCATTCCGTATTGGAAAGCTTCCTGCAGAGGTAGCGACTAATAATCGTCAGCGTCAGAACACTGATGATGGAAGACATAGGAGCCCAGGAAAGCGCTTGAATCAGTAAGCCATGCATGATTTGGAACCATGTAGAAGTCTTAAAGACTAATCGTTGCTCATCATGAAAAGGAAGGTAGATTGTGGGAGGTTTGAAAGAAGAACAAACTCACTTGACGTCGAAACTCTGCCTCGACTTGCTTGAGCTTGTGTATAGCATGTATCCTAGCCTTGCTAATGCAATACTCAGATGCCAAGGTCGCAACGTCCTTGTCACCTTGCTGTAGTTGCGTGTAAATGCGATCTTGAACGGCGTTGGAGAGGGGAGGGGGAGGTCGAAAGCTGGGATTTAAAGGGAAAGGCTGGTACGGTAAGCTGTCTGAGGGATTGAACTGGCGGGTCGACTTACAACGCGTCCTCCCAGCCACTTGGCCCGGCCACCAGGAATGGGATACGCGTAGTCTTTGCCATCACCATTCGCCCAGGCCTGAAAACCTCCTATGCTGGAACGGAAATCCTTGTCTCTAAACTTCCGATTTTCTCGAACAGGGCGAGTAGCATACTGACGCGCCGAGCCAAGAGTGTTGGCCGCCTGCTTTGAGGGACCAGCGGCACACCTAGCGAAGCCACACCAGGACATGTCGATTGAAGGAGAAAGAGGTCTCAAGAACGAGATGGATGGCACACCAACTTTTTTCTCCTTGAAAACCTCCATGACGTGGCATTCTTTTGCTATTGGGTTTCTTTCTTTTTTTGCGGCAGGTCTGTTTGTCTTTAGGACATATCTCCAGTTCTCATCCTGATCATCCTGCTTTCACGGGGGCGACCACCTTTTCGGCGAAAGACCGCCCCATAGCCCTGACTCTGACCATCGTTCAGCAGCTCCTCACGTCGACTGGGAAACAGTGACCATTTGTACACGTGCCGCACTTGTTCACCTGGACCAAGCAGCCCTCCGCCAATTAATCTTCTACACCCCGCTTCACATCCCTCGTCAAGCCAGACTCGCTCGACCGGTCTTGTACCGTATTTCACATCATGTCAACGGCTCTCCGTGCATTCGATTTCCTCAAACTCCGAACAGTCGCATTCTCCCTTCCCCAGAACCTCTGCACCCATCTCCAAAATGTTTCACGATCAACCCTCGCCCGCACGTCTGTCCCTTACACCCAAAGTTCCCTCACAATCTGCGCCATCCTGCTTCGACACGGTCTCATTAGCAATATGACGCTAGGAGACCCAACTGCAGCTGATCCCACAAATTTCCGACGGTTATCTCCCCCTCAGAAACGAATATGGCTTGGACTGAAATACCGAAATGGAATCCCAGTCTTGCGTAATATGAGTCTCATCAGCAAGCCGAGCAAACGTATCTATGCTACAAAGGATGAATTAGGCCGTATATTAACAGGGAGGCGAGCCGTGAACGTGGCCGGAGTAGGAATCGGAGAGATCCTGGTGGTCAAGACACCGGACACCCTGATGGAGGGCTGGGAGGCATGGAGAGCGGGATTGGGGGGCGAGTTGATATTACGATGCTCATGATGCAAGACGGAGATGTCGAAGCGTTTCCTGATGGCGTTCCTGATCGGCCTTGGCTGCCGCATGTGCCTCCATATTGCCTTCCCGACGATGATGCACTGGTTCATTAGTTCAGAGTGCGCTCCGGACCACGTACCCTTCAGTTTTTGCGCAAACCATAGACCTAGTGCCAACTGACCCACTCCGTCAGGGCGGTCTCTCCCTCCCATCAGACGAGCCAGCTCGCGTCCAGTCTCCAGTTGCCGGATCGTCCTATCGGCCGTTCCATAAAGGTGCACACTAGTCGTGAAAGCAAAAATCAGGCATCGGAGGACATTGTTGTTTGCCCTCTGAGACACCTCATACGCATTGGACAGTTTTTTCCTCGGCATCAGGACCGGTTCGTGACTCGGATCACTCACTTAGAACCGACCCTGTTCCTGTCGATCAAGCTGCCCAGGAAATGTCCGTACGCCTCGAGGCTCGCGTTGGAGCTATTTCGACATCGATCAGCTAATGTGGTGATTTCGGCGACGAGGGTGGCGTCGAGCCGAAGGAGTCGCCGACTGGCGCCAAGAGCCCCAATGTCGACGATGAGGCCCAGCTCAGATTGAGTGCGCAGCAAGGTTTTGGCTGCTCGGTAGCTGTCTTGCGCTAGCTGGTCCTTGCCAAATAGATGGCAGTATTGACCTCTAGTGAGACAGAAATGCGGCGCCAGTTCAGCGAAGATGCCATTGGTTCTGGCCATATCCGTAGCGAGGCCAAGAGACTGTAGTGAGCTCAATCATTAATCCACGCTCACCTGATGCGCTTGAGCAATCTCGCTGCGGTACATGAGCGCTGAGACCTGTTCGAGCAGAGTCTCGACGCGGATTTTCAACACCCTCGAGTATAACTGCGCCGCATCGGCCAATGAATGGTAGGAGGAGACTATCTTCAGTCGAATCGGCTAAAGTCGCTCACAATCTGTATCCCACATATCGCCTGATCTAGCATGGTATCTGAAAGCTTCCATTTGCGCCGGCAGAACCAGACTTTTACAAGACGACGAGGTCCCCAAGAAATCTCTGCGAGTGACAACAGATGCCAAGTAAGTCAGAAGATAGAGCTCGTTGAGGGGTGTGCTCTGTATGATGATGCCACCGCCTTCGTGCGATAACTTTTCTGTCAGCTACGCATCGCGATTCGACTTACTTTGAAGACGGCACCTTGCCGTCGAATGTCGGTAGACAAGGCGGGATCGGAAAACCTGTCTATTGCTAGATACATCTCCTTATGAGTTTTTTTGACAGATGCGTCATCTCCAAGGCGTCCATACCACAGTGTCTGGTAAAGGAGCAGGTGTAGACGATAGTAAGAATTCCAAAGACCCGACTCCTTCTCTTTCATTGCGATGTATTTCGGCACGAGGTCCCATCGACGATGAGCGAAAAGCAGATGTAAGCGAACCAGGTGCAGCCATTGACTGAAGACATCTTGACCCTCCATGGCATCGAGTAAAGCTAACTTGTCGACGACCTGCATTTCGGCATCCAATTCAAGCAGCAACATGCTCAGTGCCAGTTTGTGGGACTGATCGCTGGAACGGGACATGGCATCTCTAGCCTGACGTCGGGCCGAGGCAGTTCGACCCTTTCCTTCAGCCAGGCATTGAGTCATTTCGCTCACCTGAAGAAATGCTATCCGGATACTGAGAAGCTCTAATTGTAGAAGACGAGGTAGCAAATGCCTTTGTCGCCTTGCCATTCCGATCTGATAACCGTCATTGGTGCACCTATCAAGGCACTCACCGTCAGGTCAATGAATTGACTGGCATCGTTTATGATTCGGTCGATGTTCAGCATACGAAATGTAGCGGATAGACCGGCTAACTTGCGCCATGCAGTAGCGACTTTGATGGCTACGGTCGCAAACTCTTGGGCGAAGGCGACTCTCTCGGCATCTGAAGCCGTTGTCGAACGCAACCCGATATGTAGGAGATCGAGGGCAAAGAGCAACAGAGCAAAGGATTTTGCAGCAGCCTCGGGGTCAGATCGATAACGGACACCAGTGTTGCCTGTAAGGCTATCGTAGTCCCCGACGGTCTGAATGTCCTTCGGGATGAACACTTGTTGCAGATGGGAGCTCGAAGACGCGTGTGCAGACAAGGCCATGTGGAGGAGTGCAGGAAGCGACAACTCGGCTGGAAGAGCTGACCCATGCCGATCGGCAAGAGGCTCTATCCTTCTCCGTTTCCCGTCATGTCCGTGATCGTCTCGAGACATGACGAGGCTTTGGTGATATACCAAGCTGTCCTCGAGTAAGCAGCTTCTCGTAGATGAGGGTTCGGGTTCGCATGACATGAAACACACCACGTGACTTGTTGACTCGGCGACGTTTTATCGGTTAATTGCTAGCTAGAAAGTGCAAGAGTATTTGATGTCTTTGTCAACTGGAATATAGACCATGGACAGGTCAGCGTCGGTCTCTCGCGAGACGAGCGAGACTCAGATCACATGCTCGGTGAATTTGGACGTTGAGCCTGGCGTCAAGGAACAGGTGATCGAGGTATCGACTGGAATTGGCTTCCTCGACCATGTGAGTTCAGCGAGCATTTGGTTCGCTATCATGTCGGGCAAGCCTGCATCATCGAGTGGACACAAGCTTCACTTCCTGGATCATATCCTACTATCTTCTTCTATGCTTCTTCTGAACTCGTCATGCTGACCTCCGCAGATGTTTACAGCCTTGGCGAAGCACGGGAAAATGTCCGTCAAATTATCCTGTCAAGGCGACCTACATATCGACGACCATCATACCGCTGAAGACTGCGCCTTGGCTTTGGGCGAAGCTTTCAAAAAGGCTTTGGGCGAGAGACGAGGGATCGCTCGATACGGCTACGCCTATGCTCCGCTGGATGAATCCCTTTCCCGAGCCGTGGTGGACATTTCCTCTCGACCATTCTTTGAATGTCATCTACCTTTTACTCGAGAAAAGGTCGGAGATCGTGAGTCATAAATACCTGGTTCTGGCCTGACCGACAGTCTCTACCGAAATGATCCCCCATCTGCTACAATCCTTCGCCTTCGCTGCCGGCATCACTCTCCATGTGGACTATATTCGAGGCACCAACAATCATCACATGTGAGCAACGAATAAAATGCGGACGCTGACATCCCTAGCGCCGAGTCAGCTTTCAAAGCTCTGGCCCTTGCCCTCAGGATGGCGATCACTCGAACGGGAGGAAACGACGTTCCCAGCACCAAAGGTGTGCTGGCATTGTAATATGCATGACATCACCTAGAACCCGAATCATCGTCACTTGTGTCCGCGCGCAGCTCAAAAGCTTCCTGCTCTGTCAACTCTCTGTACGGCGTCGACTTCCTGTCTAATAATGGGCTGCCGGTACGGGAAACTGCTGGACTCTGGGATGAAGTGGGGGTGGAGGGAATGGGGGATTTCTTTTTGGCATGATATCGACCCGCCTGAGATCAGCTCTGTACCCTGTACAATTGACCCACTTGCAACAGCATAACACCGGTCAGCATGACCGCAGTGATAACATTGTCGTTCGCTAGGTCTCGTACGGCAGTGACCAGTACTGGCCAAAGGGAATGTTTTGGAAGGTCGGTAGGGACAGACAAGGGAAACAGAGCGAGGGCTGGCGTTAGCACGGATCACAGGGAATGTCCATACTGGGAGCAAGCTCGGTCAATTGGTTATACGCAATAGCTCCAAGGAGGACTGCGGTCAGCTCATGTCGATATGAGCAGTCCTCACCTAGACTGCCCCCATCGAATAAAACTTCGCCATGTCTGCCTCGCCAATCTTTCACCATCCTACCGCCGGCGCAGATTAAAGCAATCGCTCCAGCAGCGAAATAAACCCATTCAAGTCCTTTGGGAGCATTTGCTAGAAGAGCGTAATAGGATATGGATTGCGACAGAGCCTCAGAAGTCAGAGGAGAACGCCATAACACGTTGTGATCAGCAATCCAGTGAGTGAAGGTGGTCCCTGGGTGGAAGGTCAGCAACCGAACCAGAATAGTCAAGAACTTGGTCATGACTCACCGAGCAGGAAGCATGTGCTCAAGGTGATGGCCGTTGTCCTCCATACCATGATGGCAACAGCATAGACCGAACACCAGGACAATGAAAGATTTCGGAAGAGGGGACCGGGGGATTTTGACACCCAAAATGACGAACGAGGGAAAAGCCAAGGCGGCCATGATTATCTGCCACGTGGGGTAAACTTACGTAAAAGATCGGGATGACGGCGAAAGTCCGAGTCGCATCAAGCGAGATTTCCTGCTGTGACGGAGTAACTGACTCTGTATACATTCTTTGTCACCATGCCTATGCTGTGAGTAGCTCCTTGGTGTCCTATGACCGTCCGTTGCTGAACATCACCTACATAGAACTAATCCAATCGAGCGATACAGTCCGTTCCAGCCTGTGCCGTTTCCCCAACGAACGTGGCCAGACAAGCAGAATAAAAAAGCCCCAATATGGCTCAGTACAGATCTCCGAGATGGCAATCAGAGTCTGGCAAACCGTGAGCTATCCTCAGCTCGAAAGGAAGGCATCTGACAGTCTCAGCCATGACAAATGGGCAAAAGCTACGCTTCTTCCGACATCTTGTTCAGATTGGATTCAAGGAAATCGAAATATCATATCCTGCCGCGTCCGACTCGGACTTTGGATTCTGCCGAGAACTACTGGAAGGGAATGAGGTGCCAGACGACGTCTGGGTTCAGGTGGGTTTGTTAGAACCTGTTACACAGCTCACAAAGCTAGGTCCTCACACCGGCTAGGGCGGATCTGATCAAGACGACATTCGAGGCGGTGGCCGGTCTGAAGCACGTCATCATTCACATGTACAATGCTACATCCTGCCTGTTCCGCGAAGTTGTCTTCAACAACAATCGTCAGGAGACGATAGCGTGAGTCAAATCTTTCCGCCTTTGCTCATGGTAGTCTTGCGGTCGAACATACTAAGCTTGTGCGAGAACTGGCTGAGAAGTACTCAAAATCAGTGAGCTGCGTAGTCTGTATCCGCATCTGATCCAATAGCACGGGACCAGCTTTCGTTATCAATATTCTCCCGAGACATTCTCCCAGACCGAGACTGAGTATGCGGTAGAGGTCTGCGAGGCGGTGAAGAAGACATGGTTCGCAGGGCAGCAGAGCACATGGGCGGATGGTCGCGATGAACAGAGAATCATCTTCGTGAGCATTCCTCTCCTATTCCAGCGCTGATGTCATAGAATCTGCCGGCGACTGTGGAGGTTTCCACGCCAAACTGTTTCGCTGATCAAGTCGAGCTATTCTGCACTTCGATCACGCAGAGGGAGAAGTGTATCATCAGTCTGCACACGCACAATGACCGTGGTTGCGCGGTCGCTGCCGCCGAGCTTGGTGTCCTCGCCGGAGCCGACCGAATAGAGGGCACGGTACTCGGAAACGGAGAGCGGACTGGAAACGTTGATCTGGTGACTCTGGCTTTGAATTGCTATTCTCAAGGTTTCACACCGAATCTCGACTTCTCCGACATGTTCTCCGTCATCGATACGGTCGTTGAATGCACGGGCCTGCCTGTACATCCTCGTCATCCTTATGCTGGGGAGCTCGTCTTCACGGCCTTCTCGGGCAGCCATCAAGATGCCATCAAGAAAGGTCTTGAAGCCCAAACGGCCCGCGAGCGCAAGGGTGAAAAGCTCTGGAGCGTGCCGTATATTCCGATCGACCCTGCAGATGTTGGCTGCACTTACGAGGCCGTGATTCGAGTCAACTCTCAATCAGGCAAGGGAGGGTGAGTTCAGCTCGGTACAACGACACTGACTCTGTCAGTATTGCATACATTGTCAAGCAGGCCCTCGCTCTCGACTTGCCTCGTCGGATGCAAATCTCGTTTTACCGAGTCATTCAGGAGCGCTCTGAATCTACTGGCAAGGAGATCACTTCCAAGGACATCACGACAGCTTTCCGCCAGACCTATTTCCTCGGAGGATCCATCTATGAAGGCCGTCTAGTCCTCAAGTCCTTCTCTAATCTCGACCTCTCCGCCTCGTCCTCCAGGCTGGCAACCCCAGAGATGAGCCCATCCTCTGGTCGTGGTCTTCAACGCATACAACAGCTCAGTCTGACAAATGCCGAGTCTAGTCCGGATCGCGCAACCAACGAAAACCTTCAAAAAGCTCCTCGTCGACTGCGCGCCAAGATCAATGTGGATGGAAAACTCCGAGACGTCACTGGAGAAGGAAACGGTCCTCTGTCCTCATTTCTCGACGCCCTTCAGGGAGACCTCGGCATCTCGCTCTCCATTCGCGAATACAGTGAACACTCTGTCGGTGTCGGTTCAGACGTCAAGGCCGCTACCTATGTAGAACTCTTACCGCCAAATGCGGATCCCAAAGACAAGGCCAGAGGTGGATTTTGGGGTGTCGGTGTGGACGCCGATATCACCGCTAGTGGTCTCAAAGCTGTTGTCAGTGCTACGAACGGTTATCTTGTCGCACACAATGTGGAAATTGCCGAAGTGTAGCATCGTGATTGCATGAAAATAGCTATCGACTACTTAGAGACGTGAAAGAATGTCCTCGTGAGAAGTATACACATGATTAATATTGCGGGGGAGCCTGAGGCGTCAGCATAGAGTCGGCATGGACCCACTCACAGCTCCAGGAGGCAGGCTGCTATTATCTTGAACGCCGCCTGAGGCAGACTTGGCCATTTGATTTCGTGATGATTGACGCCTGACGTGACGGGAAACTCGACGAACAGGATCATGCGGTGCAACGGGGACCGGCCCTGAATCAACCAATGATACACCTCTACCGTGTGAGTGTTGACGAGGGCGGCTGTAATTGTTGTGTTGGCTCATGGAATCGGGCTCTGCAAAGACAGGAGCTGCGTAGCTACCAGGAGAGATCAAAGCGGCTTCCGATGTCGTGGTGCTAAGGTGAGGGGACAACTGCGACAATTGCTCGCTCTCATCTCCTGGGTAATGAGGGTCACCGCCTGACTCTGTCGATGAGGGAGATGGATCGCGGCCGATCGGAAGGCGACCCGAAGGTAGAGCCAATTGCGAGATGTTCGGTTCCTGCATGGGCATCGAAGAGAAACTGGTGCTTTGACGGAAATATCCGTCGGGCCCGCTGTTGAATGTCTCGCTAGTAGAAGCCATCGAGTATCGGTGGGAAGGCACACCGGTACTAGCAAGTCAGTAGGATTAAGAGCAGACACTCACCTTCTCGGCGAAGTTGATCGATAAACGGCGTCATACTGCGAGTCTCTGGACTGGGTCCCGCTCTGCCACCGTCTTTCTCGTTCAAAGTCCACCCATCTCTTCATGACAATGTGACTGGAATCGAACGTTCCTTCTTTGACTCCGTGAGCAAGTTCCTTCTGCTCTCCGACAATCTTTCGGGTCTCCCCCCAAGTGAAGTCATCCATGTGCCAGTATGCGTAGGCAGGCAGGATCAAGTTCCAGATGGGTAAAGAGAGGAGGTACATCAACATCCATCCGACGTAGGCGACCTTTCGGGAGGTGATGACGATGAGCACACCGGGCAAACCAAGAATGAAGGCCAGCAAGATCAGCGACACGATAGGCCGTTCGAGATGAGTGATCGACTTGGGGATGATCGAGATGGTAATGATATAGAGCGTGAAGGAGATGGCTGCGGGCAGAACAAGAGTTCCGACGAGATCCATGAAAACGACAAACTGCATCGAGAAGCAGAAGGTTCCGCAAAGATCCCGCACCAGCATTAACTCGAACAAATTGTGGACAGTCGAGTTGATCCATCGACGACGTTGGGATAGCAGAATTCGGAAGGTGTCTGGGACGATGGTCTTGCAGACAGCCTGAGGGCAGAATACCATCTTTCGCTTTGGGAAGGTCTTAAGCATCAAAGTCGATAAATATCGATCTTCTCCAAGCAAGAGCAGGTTTTTCTTGTGCAGTGTGTCGACGACGTTCTCCGAGTAATGCTCGCAAATGTCGGGATTTGCAAGGATAGGAACCCAGTAGCCTCGGTCGCCTTTGGGCGCCTTGATCCTGTACATGCTGAAACATCCCGGTAGACAGGTGACACCACCAAAGAATGACTCAAAGGCTTTGGTCAAGTGATGTGAGATATAGTACTCGAAGACTGTCACGTCAGCGAAAGTTGTAGCGGCTTTTGGCTCACCTTGAATCATTGTGACCCAGGTCTCAGACTTGTTCGCAATCTTCGTTTCACCACACAAACCCATGATCTCAGTATCGTTGACCATACAAGCGTTCATTCGTGTGAGCGAATCCGGGAAGACTTTGGTGTCCGCATCTACACACAAGACCGTCTCGTATTTGTCAGGAGTGATGCCTGTACAACGCCAGATGCTGTTGAAGTATTCGTACTCGAAGGTCGTCATCCGCTCATCAAACATGACCTTTTGCAAGAAAGACATGAGCACAATTTGCGAATCCCGCTTTCCTCGGTTTCCTGGCTTGGGATCAGTTCGTTCCAGCGGGTTACCGGTCTTGGCTACAAGGACCATGGGTACTCGTTGCTGCTTGGAGGGCTCTACGGTCTCGGGATCGTATTGATAGAAGCCAGCGTAGACTTTCGCCATGTTGTGACGCTTGTGACCGTCTGCGATAGCGACATACGAGTGAGCCTGAACCTCGTCAGGTGGCTCGACAAGCTCTCGCATCATGCCCAGTACGATGTCGGGGGTGTATTGCTTGGATCCAGAACCTCGAACCATTCCGTCACAGATGACCATGATCAACTTGTGACTATTCGGATAATCCGTCGTGGCAAGGGAATCAAGAGTCGTTCGGAGACCCTCGACTGATTCGGTGTAGGCAGTGACTAAACAGATCGAATGTACCAAAGGGAATTGGAAGGGCTCAAAGTCAGGGGCAGGTTGCGGGACAATGTTGCCAAGCGGGAAAGGACAATTGGTCTGTGCCGAATAGGAGCCGTGGTCGGAGAGAGACGCGTGCGAGTCTTCTCGGAATGGCAAAGACGTTGAACTACGAGATTGTCGAAGCATGGGCGATCCGGGCGGGGTGGTATGCAGAGGATTGGGAGTGAGTCGGTTACCATACATGCTGGGCGCTTGGCGCGATTTCTGCGCATCTCCATACATCGTCGTGGGTCGCGACGATGTGACCAGCATGGGCTCAGCGCGACTGAATCTCGACGTAGTGGGGAAGAACATGGTCTTTCGGGCATTTGCAGATCGATCTTTAGCCGCGTTGGGTCGCATGTATCCGGGCGCAGCCTTGTAGATATCCGAAGTCCAGTTCTCAATCTCGTTTGCTCGCTTCATTCGTTGCTGGTAGCTTTCTCCTTCAAAATTGCCTAGACGCCAACTGAGGAACCAACCGAACAACACAGCCATTCCGAATTTGATCATGACGGCGCCGAGGATGAAAGACAGTGAGACGTAGAGGACGATGTCGGACGCGACACACCCAATGGAGACCGAATCAACGAAGCCGACTTGGATGACATCTGTGAGGCACATGGCGTACTTGGTGAGATCTGCCCGCTCCACGAAGGCAGTAATGTCATTGCCGGCAAAAGTAGCATTTCTCGTCTTGATGGTGTTAAAAAAGGCGGGATAGCTGACCTGCGAGCTGTCCAACCAATTCAGGAGGCTCATATCGAGGACCGAACTAGAAGTCAGCAGGATCGCATAATGAGACCACTCACGATCTGTAGACTGCCAGATTTCGCTGTTCATCCTTGATCATATCCCAGGTGTAGTAAATCTCCGCGGTCGGAGCAATTTTTTCCAATGCGTCACGGCCTTTCTGAGTTGTATGACAGTTGGTCCCGGAAGAATATCCAGTCAGATTGGTAGGGGATGTCCCGTTCTGATCGTGCAGATTGCAGGGGAAATACCAGGCCATATCGTCGCCCTGGTGATTAATCCCGCTTCCGCTGGCAGCGGTAATGATGCCATAGCAGTGCTTATTGACATTTTGGAAGAGGAAACTGGCGTCTTTGCCACCGGCCATCCAATCTGTCATGTACAGAGGTGAGGTCGTGCCGTTAAACGCCGGTTCGGCCACGGGATGCCTCCAAGTGGAAAGGTCATAATCGTAGCCGTTGATGATAATCGATCCATTGTTAGCTTGACCACCTTTGATGCGCAACTTCTGCTTTCCACAGACAGTCTGGGTGAAGCCAAAAGTGAGGAAACCGACGGCTGCCATAAGACTGAGGACAATGCTGACGATACCCATCTTTTCTCGCCAAGCTCGCTGGGCTTCTGGCGTCTTTCGTCCGAAGCATGACCTCAAGACAAAGCCAGGGATCCAGCATGTCAAGAGGAAGCAGTAGACCATCCAGGCATCTTTGGGTCCCGGGGCAAAGTTGCCCAAACATCCTACTCTCTCATCAGATTGAGGCGCAGCGCCGGCCCGATTTGGCTGTCCAGAATTGTTGGGTCTTGGGTTCGCCTGTGACGCTTTACGTCGAATGGTCGCCCCTCGCTTGAAGATGTTGAGACCAGACTGTTGATCCGCATCGTCCGTGTCCCTCGCTAGCAGGGACCGTCCACGACGCAGATTCGCGCCTCCAGAACGGCGATCGTATGGTTGGTTACCCGTCGCTAGGTATCAGCACATATCGTTGGATGAGAGCTCACATGACGGCATGACATTCATTTGATCTTCTGCTGCCCTTTCTCGATAATGCCAGAGACGATGACCGGGGTCAATCCGTTCACGCTCGGGCTTGACCATGCTCTTTTTGCGCCTGACATCGGCACCGTTGCCAGATGAGAACCCTTGAGGATTGGATCGACCGGCATCCACATAGTCATCATCGTAGCCGAGAGCTGGTGGAGATGAGAGGGAACCAGTGTTGGACGTTACGGGTTTGAGAGAGGTCTTTGACCATGTTTTGCTGACAGGGGGAGGTGCATCATCACGAGCACGCCGTGAAGGAGGCGTGTTATCCTGAAAGGAGACGTTCTGTGTGGGGTGAGGTCGAGCCATGATCGGTCTCTTAGTTCATGACAACTGGGTCCAATTCTGCTGACAACCGGGGCGAGACGTGCCCAAGGATCAAAGCCTCCCCTGTGAACAGTGGCTGTTTTAAACCGAAGAGTAGAGCAAAGACTAGTGATACAGTCAGGGAGGTACGTCCACTCTTCTATCCAGTCAATGGTACACGCAAAGGTCGGCGGCAGGTGTATACAGACCCCGTAGATCGACGGAGTCCAGCGAAGATACGAAGCAGTAGAACAACGAGTGAAAGAAGGATATGACTGTCGTGGAAAAAAAAGGGGTAGGGGTTGGTTTTCGATTGAAGGGCCGAGGGGTAAAGCTGCGGAGGATGGATTTTTGGGCTCTCTGGTGACACGGGTTGTCTGTGTGATAAGCCGGTCCACCCTTTTACAGAAGCTATCTGAGAGAAGAGAGTTGACAGAACGAGTGAGGACTTGTATCGAGATGTGTATAGCTGGCTGTCCCGACTGAATGAGTGAACTGGGTTTGCCCTCCTCCAAGAGGCGATGAAAAAATGATGTATGAGAATCGAGGGGAGGGTATGTGTGTTTGGGCTGCCCAGTGTTTTTCTCCTCGTTTGTGGCAGATTTATTACTACTTTGGGACACGCGTCAATACAAAAAATATCATCGCGTGGCGGTCATGGCAGCAGCAAGCAAGCAGCATCATGTCTCTCCAGTCAACGCTTGCAAGTCATCCTCCGTCATGGTACCCATCACCTCGTCAAACCCATCACTCCCATATTCTGTGGCTTCTGCTTCGTCTTCTACTCCTGCTCCTGCTACTGCTGCTGCGGCTGCTGCTGGTCCACTGCCAGTTTCTTGAGCATCGTCACCTCGACCCACAGCATCCCCCGCTACACCCTCCCGCGCTCGGCGGATAACCGCAGGATGAAACGATGCAAAGGTGAGATAAGACGTATGTCCGCGCATCTCGTGATATGGTTTCGAAAGGAGTGCGTCGGAGGCGAAGTCAGGTTCTGACCAAGTCTTGGTATGAAAATGTCCTTTTGTGTCGTCTGCTGTCGTGGGCCCTTCCTCCATTCGAGCTCGCTTGTTCTCAGGTTCATGTTCTTCTTCTCCATCTTCTCCCGTGGGAGGTCTTTTCAAAGCATTCGTGTGGCCCAAAGCCTCTGCAGAAGACTCGTGCGGAGCAGGGGGCGAGCTCGATTGAGACCAATTGGCGGCACTCATCTGCTGCCTAGCTTTCTCTCGGGCATTTTTCATCTGAAGGCGTCGTCGCTCGGCTTTACGTTTTTCATGTTGCCGGAGTCTCTCAATAGACGCTGAGACTGATGAACTGGAAGCCGTGGATGAAGGGTGACCATTCGGCAGTTCGTGATGGCGGGACAATACTTCCTGGGTGTAAATGTCTTCTTGGTCAGCCAAGTCCAACAGTGGAGTCATACCCTCAAAGCCTTCTGAACGTAGGGTGAAGACAGTCTTCAAGACCTGTTCCAAACATGGGCTGAAACAGCATATCTTGGCAAGTGTATTGGGCTGATCGTCAGCTTCATGCAGCCGATGCAACTCACATTGAGCACTTTTCTCGCGTGAGGTATGGCGTCCCATGGTGCCGGCAGGTCCAAAAAGACTGCAGATCAGACATTGCACTCGTGGTGACATGACTAACCAGCATCAACATCCTCAACATCACCGAATCCATCCTTGCACACATTTCGATGACTCAGATGTACATTGTCCAAATGATGACTGATGAACTCCTCCCTGCAAGCGTCAGGTACTCTGCAAGGAGACTTAGAACTCACTTTGCTTTCTCATAACGTTGTAAATGATATTCGTAGCTGTAGCAAGAGCCGCTGGATCCCACAGATCGAGAAAGTGCATGTGTCATACTTCCACTGCCTGTCCCGGCCTCGATGACTCGGGCACCTGGCCTGACCCCGAGCTTCATGGTGATGTACGAGATGTCCGGAGCATAGAGAATCTGTGTTCGGTGCGGAAGCGAGAGAGTCCACAATTCTGCCGTTGGTCGAAGTAAATGAATGTAGCCAGAATGCGGAGGTGGAGAGGTCATCTGAGCATCAAACGTCAGCACTTTCGTATCTGTCCTAGACTCTTACCCTTGTCCCAAACTTCTGCCCTATCATGTCATCGTGCAGGTACCTTCCATACTTGTTATGCAAAACTTGACCAGGAGTGACCACAACTGAGATGAGGTTGTCCCGAGACTGGGCTTATGAGCTTGACTTCCAAGTTGACACAGGATCAACACGTACCAGATAGACGATGACTAGGTCTCCTGACTCAATGTGAACTCGAGAATGAATCATCTCGAGCTGGTTGGGCGGTAGTATATCTTGTACTACGTAGAGATCTGATCGACGAATGGGACATTCTGAAACAAGGTCGATTGAAATTTTGGGTTGATATATTTTTTCATTTCGGGTCAAGCATCATCATCATCATCATCATTATCGTTAACATAATACCACCACCACCGCGACCCTCGTGTAGCAGCAGCGATGAACGGCGGCAGTGATCAGATCAGATCTTTCCTGCACTCACTCGTCCAACCTGCTTCACACGAGCAATATGTGCGCGATCAAAAGGCACTCACGGACCTGTTCAAAGAGCCAGGTGAGCCAAAACGTCACAACGTCTGGAAATTAACGATCCATCTCCAGGTTTTTTCTTAACGCTTCAGCTCCTGGCAGCCGACAAGTCGCTTCCCCAGCCTGAGAGGCATATGGCATCTGTCATATCTGGTCGTGAACTCGAGACGAAATGGAGGAGCAAAATGTAGAGTGGAATGTATGTAGACAACTGACGGTCTCTCAGGCTGGTTCCCGAGGCTCGAAAGCCAGAAGTCCGGCAGACCTTGTTCAGTTTCTTAGAAGAGGAGGATTTTGGGGCGGGTGCTTTTCTACATAATGCTCGCTGACTATCCAGATTGCTCGACCTCAGCTCGGCTTGCTGGTCAGCGTGGCTCGCATAGAGCTGCCGCGGCACTTTCCCAATCTCCCCCAACTCCTCCTCAACCCATTGCTCACCTGTCTATCTCAGATGTCCGTCGGTCCAAACGCCAATCTCAGTCCTGCCGGATCGACGCTTCTGATCAACTCTCTCTGGACTATCAGTGCTCTCGTCAAAGAGTGGCGCACGGTGAAACTCACGGCGGGCGCGGAAGTCATGAAGATGCTTGAAAGTGTATTGGTCGAGCCAGTTGGGCGAGTGCTGCAAATCTGGGCCGAGAGTCAGGCCAGTGGCTTGGATGACTGGGTCACTGAAGAAAGCGGCCGACTAGCTTTCAAGTGAGGCTTCGATGGACGGGTAACCGCTAATGCTGCAGAATCCTCGCTCGGTTCGCTCTGTGGCATTGGGGAAAGGCCAAGGGCCATCAGACGGAGGAAGCCATACATAGGGTGAGAATCTGGCAGGGATGCTATTGCTGATCCATCAGATACATGCTCTAGTTCATCACACTGCTCACTATACCCCTGTCATTCACGAGCATCGACTTCGTCTGATTTCGACGACTTCCGCCACGAGGTTCAAGGTTCTGCAAACTCTGTATAAGCTTATTCGCGCCATTGGCAAATGGTGGCGGTCAATGATTGGAATAGATCCAAAAGGTTTCTGCAAAATCAATGGCACTATCACAGGTGTCGGATGGTGGTGGGGTCAGGTCGGCACTGTCGTATCACATGCGGAAGGTGACATCAATGACAATGGTGAGGCCTTGCTCCAGGGGTTTGTAGCTGATACGCCAGACGCTGCGGAGGAGTCATACCCGAAGCGCTTCCTTCTCCTCGGACTGCTGCTCTTCAAAGATGTATTGCCCATCCTTTCCGTCGATCATGCCAATGGTAAGCTCCATATGATACCCTTTCGGCTAATGCTGCTCAGTCTTCACCCCGGACTTTGTTCTATCCGCCCTGCGTCTTCTCATTGATAAGATGTTACCGCTCACGACTACCGATCTGGATGCTTTAGAGGAAGAACCCGAGGAATGGTCCATCAGAGAGGTGTCAGACGAGGAGGCTTGGGCGTTCGAATTCAGGGTACGTCTCTGCGTCTGCTCTTGGGCTCATTCCTTCGTAGCCTTGCGCTGAACGTGTGCTCATTGCCCTGAATAATGCCTGTCGTCACCTGCCCGCCACGTCCAAGGTCATCGAGCCTGAAGTGCTCCGGATGCTTCAAGAAGCTGAATGTAAGTGACGTTCGCCATATGACGCTAATGTCAGCCGTCCCTCCTGCTGAGCTGCCCGTCATCTTGCGAAGAGAAGCTTTGTATTGCGCTATTGGACGCCTCAGTCGCTCGATGTCTTCGCATGGGGGACTGGACTTTCGTGCTTTTCTGACCGGAACCGGATCATGGTTGGGTCAAGATATACCTGGGTGGGTAATATTACTCTCGGCATAGCTAATTTCTTAGTCTGCGCATACTTAAACGTCGTTTGGCTTGGCTAATAGGTCAATGGGTTCAGTCGGAGGAGGAATGTGCTCAGCTGGATATCCTATGGCAGATCCTCGTCCATTTGCTCAGCGAGAGAGGCGAAAGTTCTGATCGAGCTGTAAACCTGGCTGCAGTCACCTCGATCAAAGAGAGCGTAGATGTGAGTGGCTGACAGGCAAGCGCAGCTGACGATCGCCAGTTGTGGGATGTGGATATCGCTTACTTTATTCCGCATCTGCAAACTACCACCAGCGAATTGTGAGTGCCCCATGTGCGTCCCTCTTGCTGACTTGCAGGATCAAAGTACTTGGAGAGTGCATTACGCTCGATGGCAAGCGACAAGTGAACGACGCGATCGGTGTCGTGATCGAACGGACTGGCGAAAAGGTGAGCAGGTCAAGGAAAGGGACCTTCTAATGTGAAGATTTTACCATTCTTGCCTGATCTGGCTCGTTCCATCCCAACGCTTTGTGAGTGTTCTATGTCGATGGTTGAGTTGACGCCTCAAGGGCACGGGGCGGCATCACTGGAAGGCGAATGGCTATTCAAAGCCTCATTGGTGGTGTTGACACAGAAGCTTGTGGGAGTAAGTGCCTCTAGTGTGACCATCTTTGTCTTGTCTCACACTCCTCAGGCTGCCAAAGCATCCTCGGGTCAACTCATGGAGCTGGTCATCCCATTGATAGAAGAGAGTCTGATACCACCTGCGAAGGACTTTTTCGAAGAGGACGGACTGATACTGTGAGTGCGCGCATCGCGACAATTCTGACTGTTCCAAGGTGGCAAGCAAGTCTATACAATGCTGCATCTCCATACGAGCCAACACCAGCAACCGGACTCATTCGGCTCGTGCCTGGTCTGTTGAACATGTTGAGCCATAACATGGACCTGCTCGACAAAGCATTGGGTCTCCTAGAATCGTACCTCTTACTGGATGCTCCGGGAATGATACAGGTATGTCGTCGAACTTGACCTAGTCTAATCGTCAGCAATACGGTCCTGCCATCGCCTCAGCCCTTGCCAAAGCTCTGGCGCTAAGTAAGCCCAACTCCACAGCGCTTCGCCGTCTGCTCGCTACGCTCTCACTCAGTGTTCGAGTCGCGCCGTTGTCTCAATGGGCTCCGCTACTGCTGGACTCGGACATCTTCGCCAACGTCATTGCTGCTCTGGAAGACGACAAAGCGTCAGGTCTAATTCTGGCTGCTTATCTCGAGATTCTTGCTCGTCTGGCACTTGTGGATCCCGCCGGGTATCTCGGAATGATCAAAGAGTCGGCAATGAGACAAGGTCGCGATTTCGAGAAGCTATTGGATGAGTGCTTGGATGCTATCTGGCGAAACTTTGACTATGTCGGAGATACACGCATGAGAAAAGCAGTAGGCATGGCCGCTGCTCGACTTTTGACTACTGTATGTCGATCATCTGAGCATTCGCTGATTCTTCAGGGCCATCATCTCGTCTTGGAACGCATAGATGGCGAGTTCAGTGAGTCTGAGCTTTCTCGAGCCCGGCTAACTCGCCAGTGAACATTTTCCTCGATGTCCTTGGTGAACTTTCGGAATCGCAGGACGAGATCACTGGGGCAGAGTAGGTCCTTGCATCACTTCACGGGCTCATCGGATAACAGGACCAATCTGAAGCCATGGAAAGACGAGCATCCGACTCTATGGAGTGAGGTGGAAAGTGAGTCAAAACTCCGAGTGCGTTGCTGAAATCATAGACACACCCGAGGGAGATCGTCGAAATGCGCTCGAGAACGAGGATCCTGCTTTCAAAGTCCCATTCAAAGCGTTCCTTATTGAAGCGCTACACCGCGCCAATGAAGTTGGTATGGGGCCTTATTGGGACAAGGCGGATGCAGGCACGAAACATAGCTTGGAGAAATTCCTTTCATGACCAAACACGACACATTTCTCACCGTAGAAGACTGTCTAATGTGTATATACATTATACCCTGCACTTGTATACGACTAGATCTGCCCATGCATGGACGGTTGCGACGACATTGCATAGTGCACACGTCTCACACGACGTCGCCATGCAACCAGCCTGCACGCGCACACACGTACACACATACGTACACACACATACAAAACCACCTTTCGTGCTGCGATGATCTCCTGGCGACCGAGTCATGGCCATTCATAACGCATCAGGACTCAGATTTGTTCCCTCGTGAATTGTGCTACCAACCTCCTCAGGAATGGCAATGGCAACGACACCGCCGTCTACCCCCAAGCAGGCTGTCACTGCCTCTCTCCGTGATCTGTTCACGCCCCCACCTACGGTCCATCGAGACGAGTGTGGCAAGCGCAAGTTTTGGAAGCAAAGGTTTCCACCTCTAGTCGTTCCAGCGGACGAACCAGATGCTCCTCTTTTCTCGCCATACGAGACTTCGATTCGGTTGCCTGATTCACCCTCACCTATGAGCAATTCTTTGGGAACGGAGCTCGACCGACACAATGGCAAGAGGTCACGCTCTGTCACCGCGGTGGACGACGAAAGTGATGACGAGATTCAGTATCTGCACACAGTGACTGCTGCGGTGAGCTCTGAGTCTGTCTGTGGCTGCTAGCTGATGAGATTACAGCCCAATCGACGTCGAAAACTTGTCAAGGATGAACCTGGATCATCATGCACCAAGGGACCTCTTTTCATGCCACAGGATGAGGACGATCACCATGGACCAAATTCCATGCCCCAAGCTCACGCCACAAAGAAGCTCGCTTCGCCGGTCAGGAGCCACACGGAGCCTGATGACGACTATTTCGAGATTCTCGGTACTCCAAGCACACCGTTGCGACAAGTGGACGATGGTGAAGCTCGACGAGACCCAGACCAGTCCTGCCGAGCCTGCGGCTGTACTTGTCGAGCCAGGTCTCCCGTTGAGGAGGAAGAGAGGGCGAGACCAGTCCCAAGGGGATCTGGTCGCCGGAGACTCTCCCGTCGAGTGATGGGCAATCTCCTAGGCGAGTGGGAAGAACATATTTGATCCTGACTGACTGACATTGATCAGGTTTGCTGCTGGGGAACCGACCAGCGCTTGCGAGATTATCCGCTGAACATCGTCAAATCGAAATGTGGGAGGACGTGTCGGCACATGTAGGAGCTAGGCGAGCAGATTTCGATCGAGTGAGACACGCTGCGAGGTGGATGCAGCAGCATCTGCCGGAAATGATGCGTCGGGGTCAGCTGTGAGACAAATACCCCTTACGGCGGCATCTTGGTCGCTGGCCGGCAACATCAGTAGCAAATGTCAATATCGTGTATGAAATTTCGATGGAGTAGCCAGCTCACGGGATTCCATACTGGATACAACGAAGCCACGCAAGCGAATCTACCTTAATCTCGACGAAGCGCATCCAACCTTCTTTGTAAATCTGCCTCTTCTGATGACATGGGACCTCCACCGCCGTTGCTGGCTCCTGATTGCGAAGCGACTGGTGAAGATGTAAGCCCTTCTGCGACTGCTATCCTGGTATTGGCGACGGGCTCGTTGCTCAAAGGATTCGCGGTCGGCGCTGATGTGAGCTGCGTAGTCAAGTCTCATCAGCGTGATAACCACATTGTCATCGAGCTCTATACTCACCGCATCATTCATGTTCATTCCAATCTCATCAAACACCTCTTTCAAGATCTTGTCACTTTCTACATCTTCACCTTCACCTTCCTCTTCACCCTCCATTGCGTCGTCCACAGCTTCCGACATGATTTCCTCCTTCATATCCATAGTCGATGACTCCTTTTCGAATTCATTCATGATCCTTTGAATCTGGCGAGCCCCATCAGCACAACTCCATGATCTCATCGCTCACCTGAGGAAGATTTAAGCCCCGGTTCATCTGAGCCATGGCCTACGTACGGCGGTTAGTCTTGACCATTTGATACGATAACATACCCTTGTAGCACCCTTCATAGCCGTTGCCATTTGCTCATTACTCCTCAACGTCTGCATTCTCAAGGACACAGCTTGGAGCTGGACTCTCATCTGTGTGAACTTTTGAATGTAGTGCCGTGTCCTGACGAGATCTTTGGCTAAAATCTTGCAAGCGTTCTGAGCGATAGACGATGAGCGAGCGTTCATGTTTGATGATCAGTAGACTCACCATATTGCCATTCTTCGCATTCTTCTTGATATCCATCATTGTCTTCTTCTCTTGTCCTTCGAGCTTGGCCCGTTCCCTCTCGAGCTCTCTTACGGCTTTCTGTATAGAGCTTTGGTGTTTACGCAGACGCTCGGCTGGCGTCATTGATCGACCGAATAGAGTGTCCTAACGAAGGCTTTTGAGCAATACGTATTGTGGCGATGCTCGATACCCATCTGCAAACAGCCAATCACTCACAAGGACATTCATCTTGATTCGATGGGTCGGCAGCAAGATATGAGTCGACGCGCAGAGACTCGTCGCAAGACGAATGGACGGATGCAAGGACTAAACGATGATGATATTCCGGAATTGGGTCAATCCTCAAATTCCCGCATTTCCGGTCGTATATCATTCTCATTGTTACTTACTGCTTTTGCCTTATAAACCTCACCCTGGACCGTCTAAGCCTACGATCAAGCTAGGAAGACGCTTGCGAAAGCGCTGCAGAGACTTCAGCAGCTCGGCATGGTCTCACTACGAGGATTGACGCTTTCGCTCCTTCTCGCAGTCAACGTATGGGCGGCGCCTGCGGTTGATGTGGATCTCGAGCTCCGACAGCTGACGGAAGACAATTTTCGTGCCAGTACCGCGAGAGGTTTATGGTAGGTCGTTCGGACCCAGTTCATGGTTCTCGCTGATCGATATTCCCAGGCTGGTGGAGCACTATTCACCGAAATGCAAGTGATATGCACTCATTAAGTCGTTCACTCTAACCATTGCGCTAGGTGGGCACTGTCGTGCCTTTGCGCCGACCTGGCAGAGGCTTGCAAAACGGTTTCAACATCTCGAGAGGTTGTCAGGAACATACATGGCTCAGGTCAACTGTCTAGCTCAAGGAGGTGAGCTCCATCTCGCCTCTGCCGTGTGTGTCTCGCCTTGCTGATCGACACACCAGACCTGTGTAACAGAAATGAAATTAAATATTGTGGGTCGCAGGACTTTGAGGGTATTCTGACCATATTTCAGACCCTCAACTCGTTCTGTAAGCAGCTCTCATCTCCTCTCCCTGATGTTTTAGATACTCTGATGGGACGGCTTTATCCTCATATACTGGAGATCGAAGTTTTGAGGATCTATCCCGATTCATCGAACAACATTCTGCGACCTACGTCCAGGATCATCTAAAGGCGACTGAGACCGGCTCTGAACAAAATTCTTCAGCAAGTTCTCATAATCAAGACGGCAAAGTCGTTGAAACGGATGGCGATGGCTTGGTCGCTTTAAAGAGTGCAGGGCCTGTCCTCGTAGACTTTTACGCTCCGTGGTGTCCACAGTGAGACGACAGCCGGGGCGATCGCTGACGTCACAAGCTGCAAGCAACTTAGACCAAGTGAGCCATGAAATCAGCCTATGAGAATATGTCTCTGATGTCTCCCAGTCTATGAAGAGCTGGCAACGGAGCTCAGGGGCAAGATGAACATTGCCGCCATTAATTGTGACGCACATCCTGCGTTGTGCAAAGAATACGGAATCAAGGGATTCCCAACCATACGACTGTGTGTTTTGATACGCGTTATCGGCTGATGACTCGCAGCTTCGATGGCGCGACTTCAAAGGACATGACGGGAGCAAGGACACTTGCAAAGATGAAGGAATTTGCGCTCAAATCTGTCAAAACGTATATGACAGACGACCTGCCCCTCCACATACTGACCATTTGCTAGGAACGCGGTCACTCCGATTATGGCTCAAGACTTTGATGAGATTCTCAAATCTCAAGATGTCTTCTTCCTCTATCTTCAAAACTTCGACAGCGCTCTGTCAGATACCGTGAGCGACTTGACTGCTCACTGCTGAATGCCCAAAGGCGAATGTCAAGAGCGCCCTGGCGCCGATCGCCAGTACTCATCCTTTATACACCTCTTCTGATCCCGAATTGTACAAGCAATTACACATCGCCAATCCTCCTCCCACCTCAAGCCTTCTGGCTTTCTCAGCACAGGATCCTTATCCAGTCGGCAGTCTTGCATTCCCCGCTGACAGGGATGCGATAGATCGTTTCATCGCTGGGCACAAACTTCCGACCCTGGTGCAATTGACGACCTCCAATTTTAACGATCTGCTCAAGTCCCAGTCACACTCCGTGGTGGTTCTTGGTGCACTGCATGGAGGCTCGGACGGAGAGGCGGAAAAGAAGAAGCTGTACGAGATTGCTCGAGCTTGGAGACGGGGAGGACGTCGATTCTCCTCCCCTGTACAATTCGTTTGGGCTGAATCCGGCAAATGGGCAGGATGGTTGAGGTCATCATTCAAAGTCAAACGACAGGATCTACCTGCTATCGTGATCATCGACCCGAGTGTAAGCTTTGTTTAGACATGCTCACGCTGACGTGGCAAGACCTACGAGTATTACGACACCACGATCGAAGGCAACAGGGTACTGTTTGAGGGTGCCTCTGTCTTCTCCGTCCTTGAAGGCTTCTATCAGCACTTCTTGAGGCCTCGTCCGATCGAGACTACCTTTGAGTGGGGATCCAGAAGCGCGACAATGACTTTGATCAGCCTGGGCGTAAGTCAGGTCTGCCACAACATGGTTGCTGACCATGTCTCAAGCACCTGGGCGCAGACAACAAGTTTTTGGCGTTCTTATTTGTGGTTGGGGGGGTGGGGCTGTTCATCTTTCTGCTTCAAAAGTGTATTCCTAGGGATGCTCGAGAAGGGCACAAGGATCATCACAATAGACCACGTCTAGATTGATGCATTCCTCCAAGTCATGTCAGTCCCCAATCACGAATTCGACCGGACAATAAGCGACGTAAGCGAACGGTATATGTAGTCTCCGGCTACTTGCTGATCCATCCCGGAGAATGCATATATCCATGCTATTGGCTCCATCGCTCCTTTGTCCTTCCTGGAGACGTCGATCGACAATCGCAACGTCTCAGAGTGAGTCGCGCGGACGATCCGAATCCGAGAATATGATGATAAGAGGAAAAGAAAAGGGCGTGGTGACCGTCTTGACAACAAAGACGAGTGTCATATCGCACCGGGGATCTATGACAATATACATTCATCTGGTGGCCTCTCATGATCTCGAGCTGATCGATACATAGAACAACGCTACCACACAACTCTCTTTGCTTGTTGGCCCCTGCTTTCGAGCAACAACGCCGCTTTGCCACCCGCTCTCCCCATCACCTCAACGCTACTCTGGCACCCCGCTCAAGGGAGGGCACTTCGACGGCACCTTGATTCACGACTGTAGCGCATGTACGGTTCCTATTGGAGTCCTTACTCGATGTACGGCTATGGTGGCTACGGGGTGAGTCGAATACCACCTCGAGTGCCACACAATCTTGACTCGCTTCGGACAGATGATGAGCCCATACTACGCAGGAGGGTTGGGTATACCTTACAATATGGGAATGGGAATGGGCGGGTTCATCATCTGCAGAGAGAAAGCGCAGGCTGACTCTTTCTTTTGCAGGCTATGGAATGGGTATGATGAACCCCTACATGATGGGTATGGGTATGGGATATCCATACGGCATGATGGGAGGAAACCCGTACATGTACTCTGGAATGGTACGTCTTCTCGAGATCGTCGCAAGAGCTGGAGCTGAACAATACAATATATAGTATGGCATGCCGTTCTGAGCGGGAAAGAGATTCTCTTCGAAAAGGCGCTTGGATGTGTATCGATACATGACCATGATTCTCCTCTTTGTACAACCAGGTTACTTCACTACTTGTCTATCATCTACAATCAGATATCTTGATGCGAATATTACACGGACGTTCCTCTTTTCAGTACCCTCTTCCGATGCTATATCTGGAAGTTCATGGTGCTCATCGTATAACACTAGATCCCGCTCGGTCCACGGCGGCCAGACACCGATTACACCGCTCCATCCTCCTTGCTCCTGCAATTTGCCCGCCATCACCCGCTGATCAAGACCCAAGCGAGGACAGCCAGCAGGCAGAGCTTGGAATACCACATACAGAAGCTGATTCGACCCATTGATCTCCTCGTTGGATTGCATGGACGATTCGACGGCCGGAGGGTGTGTGTCGGCGTTGTCCCTGCCCTTGAGCTGACACTTGACGATAATTGCCTGGTGTGTGGGACCCCCAACTGCGGACAGTGGAAGCAGGATAAGAGCAGCAGATCGCACCAGTGTCTCTAGCTCCAACCCCAACTTTGACCTTGCACTGGACATCATGTCTTTGCGGGAAGTAGCTGGCGATCTCGGCATAGCCATTCTTCTTTCCAGCGATGAGTAGAACAGGATAAGGGATGACTCGCTTGAACGCAAAAGTGAGCTCAATTGCGCGCTGATGGACTTGGGCCTTCATCGGGTTGATGAGCATATCTTCGTCACTTTAACCAGCTTTCTCTCACCCCTTGTTGGCCCATCGTACGTCCTTACTCTTGCGAGGTGATACTCCAATGCCTTCTTCCTCTATTTCCATGATCTCATCCTCTCGTTTCCGCTTCGCCACTTGAATAGTCATGCTCTCTGCTCCAGGCAGCTGTCCCAGCGATACATCTCCATCCTTCGATCTCATCGGAGTCTTGGATCTGAAGGGCGATACCTCGTCCAGGACACTACCAAGTCTATGAGTTCCCGTCGCTCCGGGCTTGGGTGTCGCATCCCGGCGGAACTGAAGAGGCGAAGGCAGTGAATCGAGCGCGTGGAGTATCGACCGTTGAGGAGTCTGTGTAGTCTTGTGCGACGTGAATGAAGGAGCCATGGAAGTCTTCCTGCTACTCGTCGCGCCTTGTTGAGCTTTCTTTGCAGCAGCAGGTGTCGCTGCTAAATTGAAGCTGAAGGCTCCGGCAGTGATGGGTATTGGAGCAGCCCTCCTGACCGCCATAGCTGACGATTCCGCCTCCTCTGATCCTCTTCCAGGACCGCTGCCCCCATGATCTCCCCTTGACGACGGCATCACATATCAACTCATAGTTTAGGACGATCGAGGTTGAACAAAGACGACAAACGGATGGTTCGCATAGAACCGAGATTTCGCAAACCATATTTCGTGTCGAGCGATTTCTTGATCCTCCGTCTTTGCGTTGTGATATAATCACCACATTTGAGCAATCATGGCCGATGCTCAAGTAGGAGCTCTGCAAGCCAAGCTTCAGACTTCTACCATCGCCTTTCAGAAGATAGAACAGGGTAAATTGGCGCTGCAGCGGATAGTCGGTCACTGATTGGCTCTCGACAGAATTATCAACAGTCATTGAAGCTCGACAACGCCTGGATTCCCAACTGTCCGAAAATGAACAGGTCCTCAAGGTACAAACACCTCGAGAAGGGCTGCCTAGCATCGAGATGACGCTCTGACGTTATCCTTTCAGGAGTTCGCCTCCTTGAAATCTCATAACACAGTCTACAAGCTGGTAGGACCTTCTCTGATGCCGCAAGACTCTGCCGAAGCAAAGCAGAACGTTGAGAAGCGTTTGGATTACATTCGCAATGAGATGTGAGTTTAGCGTCTGCCACATGAAGACTTGATACTGACGTAGATCGAAGCTCTAGGGTCGAGGCGCAGCTGAAGGAAGTGCAGGATCGAGCGACGAAAAAGAAGGAGGAGGTGAGTGCCGGTCATTAGGGATTTTGATGAGAATGCTGAGCGTTTGCAGATCATCGCGTTGCAGCAGCAGTTCCAGAGTCTCCAGGGGCCGTCAGCGGCTGCGGGGCGGCCCGTCTCAGCATAGAATCACCAGACGATGCATGTGTACAATATGACCGAATCTAGCGAACGACATGGGCCACTTCACCCGTCATACAACATAAATATGGGTCCATGGAGATGCCAACCAGGAGCCTTTCATTCCGAAGTCGGCGAGTCGCACAGGAGAACGTTATCAGGCTCTTCTGTTGGCGCCTCATTCGCCTTTTCCACATCGATAGCTTCAACTCTGCGAGAAGGCGTCGAATCTGCTCGTTCTGTTTCTGTATCGATACTTCCCATCTTGCTCAGCGGACTGGGGCTGGAAGGACGGTAATGATCTTCAAAGTCTGTCGGTGCTGTCACATCGCTTTCTGTCGAAGGATGAGAAGCGTACGAGTCCATGGATCCGGAATACAGGGACGGATTCGTGGTATGCGGCGAAAATGTCTGATCGGTACGAGGTGAGAGGGTAGAAGAGCGGTGAGGCTGAGATCCGGAGGAAGGGAGACGATGCAAACCCAAACGCTTGAATCTGTTGACAGATGTCAGCAAGCAACGATTTGCCTGTGACTCACTTTTGGATGGCCCTGACCACGGTGCTTTTTGCGCATCAGTGTAAGACGTCCGTGCTTAAAAGCTCATGTCACGACTTACAAAACACTGCGCAACGAGGCGATGGCCATTGTGATTTCGTGCAATGTGGGTTCTTCGACATGAGAACCGAGATAAAACAAGTTGTTCTCCGACGAGATCATTGGCTCCTGGCCGTTGGCTGTGACCCATGCTTGATCGCGAAGTGTTTCAATTGATGCTCGAGTCTCCGGATTCTTATCTAGCATGCAATGGACCAGGTCTCGCAGATTTTGGTCCCATTCTGGATGTTCCGGCGGCCTAAATTCGCAATCAGCCAAAGCGAGCATGCGCGACTAGGTAACCTCACTGCTCGTTCTGCACGACGTGCATAAGGTCCAATGGATTTTCAACAGTAAATGGCAGTCCACCTGTGAGCATGCAGTAGAGCGTGACACCTGATGGTGTAAGTCATGTTTTACTCAGGCCTCGCTCACCCAAGGCCCAGATGTCTACTGCCTTGCCATGAACCTCATGTATCTGGCCTGCGGGTGTTGGCGTCAATTGCTATCTCCTCTCCAAGACGATGACATACTGGTGAAACTTTCCGGACTCAAGAAAGCTGGACTACCGCCCTCTTTCTTCACTCTATCATCGCCCTGATTCACAAACATCTCCGAAACGCCAAAATCACACAGTTTGACCACCTCGCGATCGGCAGACAACAGGATGTTGTCCGGTTTGACCTGTTTGTGAGCTCAAATCGCCTGAATGGTACGTACATCTCGATGAATGACCTCGTTCGCGTGGAGGTATTCGAGGCCCAAAACGAGCTGGCGAAAGTACTCTCTTGTCTGCTCGACAGGAAATGGAGGCTCAGTGTCTTTCACCTGAGGACCGATCTTTACTTCCATTAACACTCCCCCTGGCATATACTCCAGCACTAGGAACAGGGCATCGGCATTTGGTACCGAGATCGCTTCAAAAAGGCTGACGAGCTAGAAATATGAATCAGAATGAGACGAGCCACCTGACACCTGAGACCTACATGTGGGTGACTGGGCGATGGATGTCAGCTCCGCAACTGGTACCGCAAGGTTCCACCCACTCTAGCTTTTTCATAATCGCGATCTCACGCCGAATCAGCGCGAGCGGATCCTCCTCCGAATTTGCCGAGTCTATGGGAGCCCAGGGTCCATTCGGATTGTCATCCGCCAACGGAGACTCTATCGGATCACCAGCGTCTTCTCCAGCTTTGCGCTTCCCGTCATCGGCAGGGGGTTTTGGGGATCCTCGAACGCGGGTCAAGCGACCTCTTGAGGCTCGTTTGTGCTTGTCCTGCAGAGCCTGGAGATGAAGTCGTGATTTAGAGAACTCCTTTATAGCCTGGAAAGGTCAGCTAAAGAAAGCTGTTCAACATGACAGTCTCACATATTGTTCTCCAGTGCCGACATCGATTGCCAACTCGACCTTGGCATATCCACCCTTGCCAAGACTCCGACCGATCTTGTACTGGTTTACCATCCTTTGACCGTCTGGCGTGTCAATTTGCTGAGCCGCTATCGTCTCTCTGACACGATGTGTTGAGCTCGTCCGACGATGATGCAGGCCTCTCATCCGAAATTGAGGGGAGGATGGGGAAGCTGAACGTGACGAGGGACCGCTGGCGATCCCACTATTAAATGGCGTCCAATTGGGATTGAAGCGGACCGCATCTGGAGCCAGGAGTGTAGGTTCAGTCTGTGGAGAGGCCGAAAGTTGTTGGGAAGCTATGGGCGTTACATCTCCCTCCTTCCTCTTCATGACGCTTTTTGCGGAGGACTCGGTGTGACGCTTCGGATGAGAGCGATCTGTGATTTTGGCTTCACCTGCCCGCTGACCATTCGATACGTCGTCCTCTTCCTCCTCCTCCTCAGGCGAGTCGTATGTCACTGCTTCACCAGCCTCGCTATCGTTGCCGCCATCTCCACGCGAAGCTTCGGCGTCTCTAGCAAAGAGCTGCGAGTGGTTGACAGTTGCGTCTACAGGGGAGGGAGGGGAAACGACCGTCGATGGAGGCCGCAGAAGGAGAGATTTGAGCGGAGCAGCTGAGTCTTGATGACTCGACATGACTGTCTGGTGATCGTCAGTCCAGCAGGCCGCTCGACGGGCTTCAAGGTTTGATTTTATGAGGATATCAAAGAGCTCTATCGCCCTTCTCACAACAAAATGTAGGGGGTGTCTAACTCCACCGATTACAGCAGCCCACGTTGTTGCCACGTGAGCGCGGTTAATTATATATATATATGTCCAGCGGAGGCGCAGCGGATCAGAACAAGTACTGGGCAGCTACTGTCCGGTATGCGCAATGTGTCCATCTCCTGACGTTGTACTGATGGTCGCATCCAGCATGGATCACCAAGTGCATGACGAGACCGAGATTACGTGAGACCCTCACTGCTAGCCCTGTCAATCCGGAAAAATCTTCGCAAAGTCGAAGGTGCGGGGGCGCGCTACACCAACACAGACCAGAGCCTGTCATTTCAAGCTGCAGGTTACGCAGGTGAAGATATGCTCTGCCGCTCAAAGCGCAGATCAGTGTACAAACATCACGGTGAGACTGATTTGTCCACTGCGATGAGCAACGGAGTCCGATCTCGGAGCCAGCCTCCATCGTAGCTATATGCATTCCGTGGCCTTGTGGGATGCCACTCTCTTCTTTCACACCTTTGCTGCCTCGCCGAATGTTTCGATGCCCACGCTGTGTACAAAGCCCACAAGGCCGATCTGTTCAACCTTACTGTTCCCACGCTTGTCCCACGGGATCTGAGGCGAACCGTTGTCGCATTGGACGGGATTCGAGTGCATGATCCGAGTCATGGGTGTTCAAAGTGTTGCGTAATCAGCCTTTGTCGCCGTTTCTGGCGCTCTGCTCGAGTGGATGAAAGGGGACTCTGCTGCTGTATGGGGCGTGGATTCTTTATCAGATAAAAAAAGAAAAAAGAAAATGTGCAAAAAAAGTAGACCCCGAGTGACGCCGTGTGACTCGACGCCGTGTGGGATGGATGATATTCCCATTCTAGCCATCCATCTATCCACTCAAGTCTGGCCTCACTCGGCTCTTCTCCCAACTCTCGCCTGGTCTGCTAGGCATACCATATCATATACAGAGCTCTGTTCGAGCTGGTGACCCAAGACGGTCCCGCACCTCGCTGTGGATTCTCAACCTCGAATTCAGATCCAATCGGGCCAGCCCGAAGGGCCAAACTCCGCTTCCAACCGAACAGACCAGAGCATGACAGTACCGGACAAACAGCCCTCACATTCGATACAACTTCCTACGAAACGACGTCAGACTCCAGACGATCATCCGGATATGACGAAACGAGTCGATCAAGGCAGTTTCGATACGCAAAGTCTGACCGGAGAGTCCAGCTCCAAGAAGAAGAGAATAAGTCTCAGCTGTGCACAATGCGAGTCCAAAGCTCTTCACCCTTTGTGTACAGACTATGCTGACGTTCTCTTTCCAGGCGCCAAGCGGAAGCAAAAGGTAGACAGTGTCCAACTCGTTCATAACACTGACGTGACTCAGTGCAATCGGGAATTCCCCTGCCAGCATTGTTTGTCATTCTTGGGGTTTCAGGTCCAGAATACTGATGCGATCTACATTCAGGTATCGCTCGCAAGGTTCCGGAACTCTGCGTAAATCTTGAATGATGCTTTGCTTTCGACAGCCAATCATACTGACTCATGGGTCTATCCTAGGTTCCTTACAATCCTCAATCACGACGTGATTCGTCGGTCGATGGACCCGACGCAAATACCGCTGCTCGACTCGATAGGATAGAGGATATCCTCTCCGTTGTGCTGCGACACCATGGAGGCTTGTGGACATATAAAGATGTCAAACAGTACATGAGTGGTATGCCAAGCTCTGCAAATTTTCCCCTCATTCACTGATGAACCCAGGTGGTCCGTACACGAGGATCTTTCCATCAGCACCATCGTCACCTTCTTCACCCCGCCGTAGAAGCTTAGCGATCGCCGCGGAGAATAGCGCAAGCCCAATACGTCACTCCGCCCTCGCGTCAACTCCCATCAATTACGATGATCATACACATGAGAACGAAGATGGTGGGAGTGCTGACGAGGAGGATCTGGGAAAGGGTGTCAGTAAGGGCTGGCTGGGAGACCTGGAAGGGTGAGCGGATTCTCGACCCGTGCCTCTAGTACCTTTGCTAATGATCTTTCTACAGTGGAGTGCCAGAATCAGTCAGTCAACCTCGAACCTCTTGCCCAAACAGTTGCTCATCTTTGCATACAGCTTGACGCGAAGAACAGGGTCAAGATCAAGCGGGATGTCCATGGCACACCGGCCGAGAATCTGCAGCGACTGATCACCGATTGTGGAGTCTCGCCCCACAAGGTAGGCCAGCCCAGACCATCACCGGGCAAGGAACTGACCGCTCATCTCAGATCGCTGAACTTGTGCAAGAGCTGCCGCCGAAGCATTTTGCAGATCGTATCGTCGATTCATTCTTTTCAGGGTTCAACAATGTGCGATACCCTATAGATGAGCATCTTTTCCGCACCTGTGGGTCCCTTTATTCGAACTTTGGCAATCGCTCACTGTCCTTGCAGCTTACGAGGATCTTTACAACACCAGCAAGGCAGTCGACCCGTCGAATGTCCGTGCTCTGCCACTCATCTTCATCGTCTTGGCTTTGGGTGTGAGACTGGCGACTGGCGACTGGGCTGGTCCCGAGGAAACTCGCAAGCTGTCCAGTCTCAGAATGTACTGGTCATGTGCGTCGAAGCATCCATCTACTCACCCCACTGACCCCGTTCAGCTCGACGCAGCATCTTGATCGCAACAGCAGTACAATCCGAGTCGATCGAGCTAGTCGTATCTCGCCTCTTAGTAAGTGCCACGAGTCCCGCACAGTACCGTAAATTTACTCCTTGCAGTCCGCGATGTACCTTGTGCTCGTGCATGATCGTCGATTGACAGAATGCTGGTCGCAGTTGGGAGCATCCTTGCGCACAGCCCAAGCGATAGGGCTGCATCGTGATGGCACGAAAATGGGTCTGGAGTTAGTGCATTCTCTCCAGCCGACCGTCATTCTCTGACAGGTCACTTTAGTCCATTTGAAACTGAGTATCGACGTCGTCTCTGGAGTTACTTGTACCATGCGGACAAATTGTGAGTGAGATCTTATTGTCTCTGAGCCGTTCTGAGTATCCTTCAGATACAGCCTGGTCCTTGGCAGACCACCCAGTATCTCAGATAGCTACACGGATACATTGTAAGTCGACAACAGAAGAGCATATGCTCGAGTCTCTGACGTGGATCGATTAGGGACCCAACGAACGTCGATCTGTCCGAGTTTCACAAGCTTTCAGCCAAAAATGGTTAGTGTGCAGTCTCCCCATCCAAACGTATACTCATATTCTTTCAGAAGTTCCTATAGCGAAGCCCCTAGAGCAACCGACATCAGCCACCTTCATCATCCTCCGGAAATCTCTCTCTAAGATCATCGGTCATGTGGTACATCACTTTCAGAAGCTGGACGAACCAGCAAGATACTCTGACGTTCAAATGTTGAACCAGGAATTGAATGATTATGTGGAAAGTCTACCTCCATGCTTTCAAATGTACCAACCCGACAAGAGTTATGACAAGGGTGAACTCTACCCGTGACGGCTCAGACACTGACCCCCTTTCAGAACACCCTTGGCTGCCTGTTCATCGTATGCTCCTCCTTGCGGAGATCCTTGTCACCATTATAATTTTACACGTGAGGAATCGGATCATCTACTTGAAATTCGTGCTTACACGGCACAGCGTCCTTGGCTATTGAGGCGACTGTCTACCAGTCATTATGCAGCATCTCGAACGGCTTGCTTCGAAGCTGCCAAGCTCGACTTCCAGCTGCGACAAGAATTTCAAAAGGAGTATGCCGGGGACAAGGCTCAGTTCTTGACTGGGCAATTCAAGACTTTCAACACGGCAATGATAGCTGGGATCTCCGCCATCATTGACCCAAGGGGGCCTGACGGAGACCAGATGAGGACTATCCTGACCACCTTTCTGGAGCAGAATCCATGGCACGAAGCGGTCCACAAGGATGCGACTACCAGGAAGGAAGTTCAGATTGTTAGTGCTGCATACGCCTTGTCGTGGCTGAACAAAAGCAGATTTTGACCCTGTCCCGTCGCGCTGCTCAGATCTACGAAAAGTCATTCGGTCCAGATGAAGGGAGGAATCCGGAGGATGATTCTGCAGCGATGCTACTTGCCTTGAGCCAGCCCAGTGATATGCCCGATGAGCTGCAAAGCAAGGGAACGTCTGCAACCACGAATCAGGAGAAGACTTCATTAGGGGCACTACCGCCCCAAAGGGTTTCATCGGTTCCAACAGCAATCACAGCTCTTCCTATCAATCCGAGCCCCATACAGATTAGTCCTACTACCCATTCCATGGGAGAAGACGACCACTCTCAGAGATTGTGAGTGGCCTTAGGTGATTGACCTGGGCTAATCTTTTTATTTTAGGTTTGATCATTGGTTGAACGCCAACTCAACGCTTGCGTTTGGTTCCCTAAATGAGTCTGTTCCTATCTTCGACGACTCTGCGATGGGAGCTGCGTTAGATGGCAATACCATTCCTACCTCGATCATGACTACTCCGTATACCCAAGCGGTCGACTCGATTTCGAGCATGTTCGCCGCAACCCCGGTCATGACTGGCCCGACCGGCCCCGCCTCACAACAGGCATTCTGGACCGACAGCTACTCCAGCTTTCCTGGCAGCAGGCAGGTCCCGATACAGTCTTCCACCCCCCTTATGGAGACGGCCACCGGATTCGACCCATCAGCCTCAAGTGCATCGTTCGGCGTGCCACAAACAGGAGAGAACAGTGATGAATACTGGAACGCTCTGATTGATGGTGAGATACAGGATTGTGAGAGGGCAAGAACCTGACATTGCTGTACCACGCAGGGATTCTCAGTACCACTGGGGGCGGTATAACAGGCGCTGGTCCGCAGTGAAGAAAGAAAGAGTGTTCGAGTGTCTGCATGAATAATAATGTAAAGGGGTCCTGTCCGGTCCACGTGGTACTGCCCGTGACGTCGGAGCTGGGGCAAGAAAAGAAGCTGCACCACAAGGGGGTCTCTCTCACACGCACCGCGTTAAATTGATAACAATCTTCTCACAACAGACGTCTATCGCCCATTGTCAGAAGGTCTGAAGAGTTTTCACTGGACTCATCTTGACAAAGGAACATTTGTCAGCCCCTGAAGATGTAAGCTACAGCTCCGGGCTCTACATCACCCTCTGATGACGGTCAACCCATTTTATTTCTGCTTATCGTAAACGACCAGTCGCTGACCTATCGTTTGCTCCCTTAAATCCTCCTTCTGTTCCTCGTGCCATTAATCTACGTCCCTCTTTCGGTTCTCTCACAGGTCTGTCATGACCCCGGACCCAAATGCTCCACCTTCGGACCAGCCGAACCCCGGTTCCTTGGCGGAACGGATTGCTCAATTGGACACGGCATCACCACCGAGCATGTCGAGGAACAGTTCTGGTACTGGAACTCCTTCAGGAGCGGGTGGAGGAGCAGTCATGGATAATGGGACCAACCTCGGTTCTGCACTAGGTCGTAAAGCCAGCTTGGGACCGTCCCAAAAGCAAACTTTCAACATGGAAAGGAGGACAAGCGCTTCGGCCGCTGGTAGTGGACGAGTCAGCAGACGAGGCAGTGGAGTCGTGGTGACTCCCAGTGGAACTCAGGCTGTCTATCATACCCGAACCCATGTGAGTAGAGAGTCCATGTCAAAGGCGGTGAGATACTGACTCTGGCAGGGTGAAGCAGAGTTCCCACACGCTGAGAAGAGTGAGGCCGCGGATCACTCTACGTGCTAACTGGCAATAGAAACCATGGCCGACCAGCTCAGAAAGTATGAGAGTCTCCTGACTCGTGAGTCTGACTATGCTCAACCTCCGCTGAGACTCCCACAGTGACCCCGCAAAGAATGCGTATGATCGTCCACGCTATCGAGGAAACCCTTGATGCAGGATTGCAGAAGGACGGAATGGTTGTCGTGAGTCGAAAAGGACGTCAGGAACTGCTTGATCCTTCTACTGACTTTTCATTGGTAGCCAATGAGTGAGTTGTCATAGGCCCGCAATCATTGTGCTGAACGAATCAGTTCCAACCTTTGTCTTTGGCGTGAGTTGGCATATACCCTGCTGTACATAAACTAAATATCATCTTAGTGGCCGACCGGCGAGGAAAAAGGCGAGTACCTTGCTCTTGACTTGGGTGGAACCAACCTGCGAGTCTGTCTTGTCACCTTGATGGGACACGGCAAATTCGAAGTAACTCAAACCAAATACCGACTTACCGAGGACCAAAAGCAAGAGGATGGTCAAAAGCTGTGAGTGCTCTCCGTCGTAGTCAGATGCTGATCTCGTGTAGTCTCGACTTTTGCGCCGAATGTCTGGACAGTTTCATCCGAGACAGCTTGGGTCGAACAGAGGAGGATGGGATCTTGTCATTGGGCTTCACAGTGAGTCCAGCAGAAATCTCAAGCTCGAGAGGACAGCTGCTGACAGACTTGAAGTTCTCCTATCCTTGCTCGTGAGAGAATTTTCAAATTTGTCGGGACCTTGCTGACGATGCCAAGTCAACTGAGAATCGATCACGGAGGCACGTTGCATTGGATCTCGATCCCCGTGCTGACGTTCCTCAGAGCTCATTCGCTGGACCAAGGGCTTTGGTGCTCCCAATATCGAGGGGCATGATGTCGCAGCCATGTTCGCTGCATCGCTGAAGCGACTCGTGTGTATTCACCCTCTTCAACGTGAACACAGGACTGACAGCGTTCACAGAATGTGCCCGCCGAATTGACAGCGTTGATCAACGACACGACCGGAACGCTCATTGCCTCCAACTACGTCGATCCCCACACAAAGATCGCTGTCATCTTTGGTACTGGATGTAATGCTGCTTATATGGAAAACGCTGGAAGCATTCCAAAGATGGCCAGTGTGGGCTTGCCTGAAGATCAGGGAATGGCTATCAACGTGAGTGCGAGGGCTGGACCTTTGTGCTGACGGTTGCAGTGCGAGTGGGGTGCCTTCGACTCGTTTGACCACCAGCACCTCCGTGAGATGTTCCAGTCTTCCATTGTCTGTCCTGCTGACATCGTGCAGCTCGTACAAAGTACGACATCCAGATCGATGAAGCGTCAAACAAGCCTGGCGAGCAAGTGAGCCTCAAGCTATTTACATCGGTCTGACTTGGTCCCAGTCTTTCGAAAAGATGATTGCCGGTCTGTATCTCGGTGAAATCTTCCGACTCATCATGACGGATATGATCGATTCTGGTGACCTCTTTTTGGGACAGAACACGTACAAACTTGAAAAAGCTTATGCTTTTGACACGGCTTTCTTGTCATTGATGGAGAGGTAAGCACCTTCCCCCAAACCCTTGTATGGCCTCGCTCACATTCTGTAGTGACCCCACCGACGAGCTCTTAACGATTGTCGGAGTCTTCACTCACTTCTTCGGTATCGAGACGACCTTGGAAGAGCGTCAATTCTTCAAGAAGCTCGCTGTGCTCATCGGAACTCGTGCCGCTCGCCTCTCAGCATGTGGTATCGCTGCAATCGTTAGCAAGAAGGGATATCTGGAGAAAGGATGCGCAGTCGGAGCCGATGGATCGCTTTACAACGTAAGAGCATTTAGATTGGCGTGAGGCTGTATCGATGCTGACTGGTGTCAGAAATACCCTCATTTTGCGGACCGAGTCCACACTGCGCTCGTGGATATCTTTGGGGAGAAGGGCAGAAATATTGTTACTCACCATGCTGAAGATGGATCTGGAGTGGGATCTGCTATCATTGCGGGTAAGTGGCTGTCTGTACTGACTGTCGTGGTTCACGCTCACGGTTCCATGCTATAGCTATGACCAAGGCCAGGAAGGAGAAAGGATATTACGTCGATTACTAGGACTGTAGCGATCAAAGATGAGGGTCACTCTATGCAAAAGCCAAAAATGTTCAGCGCCCTCATGCACATTTTCCAAAAATCAGTCTCGTCTCATTGACTTTGTTTCCACCAGCTCTCTGTTGTCCACAGCATAGCGGGACCTTACGTTGCATCACTATCTTCCCGAGGTGACCTATCAGTACGGTACGAGATCATGGGCATCGACGCTGCTGCGGTCGGTCCATTCTTGGGCAAGCCCTCCCGCGATGACCTGGTCGTTGCTCTCGGCGGGCAATCATCGTCGTCCTCTTCAGCCGATATCAAGTCTTATCCTGACGCCGTCTATCATAATCATTACTCCCACGGCTTCTCGTGCTGTTTTAATCCCACCTCCACGAACTCTCCAGATGCCGTCTTATCTCAAGTGGACATATTCAATCCACCTTCCGGATCAGTCAGTCGCAAGAAGGCGTCATGGACAGGATACACAACTCCAAGCTTGCCGATCGTGCTGCGCTTCCCTACCACCTCACTTTCGGTACCAACTCCGGATGGCAAGCCTTCTACGATAACTCGACCAGACATTCTGGAAGTTGAAAAGCAGACAACTGGCAAAGACTTTGTTGCGTGTCTGGGAGAACCGAGTCGTAAAGGTGGTGGCCAGGGATTCGTATCTCCATGGTTGGAATGGGGTGACGTGGAGCTCAAATCTGGAGAAAGTAGCATTGCAAAGGTTGGCATCATGGTCGAACTCAGAGATCCAGGAGCGCACGAAGTTTTGTCGGACGAGCAGAAAACGAAAGGAGCTGGAGGTGTGTGGGATAGAGCGAGCGGATGGACGTGGGGTAGTCTCAAGCTCTTTGACCCGAACGACAAACGGTGAAGCGAAGCTTGAAAGGATCCAAGAAGTGCGTACATATGAAAGCCTTATGCATGATCATGAGGTGAATCGCAGAATGCTCATGGCGTTATCAATCTAGGCTGCCAAACCCTCAATAACTCGTTTTAGCTCGTCTTCACCGAGGATCGTGAAGCCTTTCTCAGGAGTCACCTGGATGAAACGTCAGCTAGCAGTCGGCATGATCTCCTAATGCTACTGACTTGAGCCAGTTGCACATTGTTCTCATCGACCTTCTCCTCCATGACCTGTTTGAGTACCTTCAATGCCAGGGTGTGAGCCTCTATCAGTGACATTTGCTATGAAGGCGTGAGCGACGATACTGAGCCTTGAATCGCAAAATTCGACACACCTTGTGGAAAGAGTCCTGAAGTGACTGCTGTGCTGCATCTGATCCAGAGCCAATAGCCTTGGCGTCGTATCGGGTGAAAGTGCCGGACGGATCAGCGTGATATCTGTGGGAGAGGCTCTGTCAGCCATCAAGTCACCGTAACAATAGATGCTCCTACAGCTGCGGTCCCTTTTCATCAATACCAGCAATCAACAATGCGACTCCAAACGGTCTTGACTGAGACGTTTCATCAGCTCGGCTCGGATCAGAGGACAAGCGGTCCATCTCACCATCAACGCATCGTCATCTTCCACACTCTCTCCAAATCTCAACGCCAGATCACAGACAGCCTGCGTACAGCTCTCCACACCTATCTTCTCATCGTACGTAAAGTTGTGCATTTGACTTGTCACACGAGCATGCTCGACCATCGTCCTTGCATCCGCCGTCAGACCAGACATGGCGCACCCTATGTGCGCGTCGATCTCCATGATCTTCTCGATAGAAGAGGACTCGATCAACGGGGAAGGGACTCGTTTCTCAACAGCTAGAACAGTCCCATACGGGGTAGTGATACCAACTGTTGTTGAACCGAGCTGGGCGGGGTCTCAATACACCAACGTGTGACATGTGTCAGGACTAACCTTGATGGCCTCCATTGCGTACTCGACTTTGGCTCAAATCAGTCACCGATATCAGGGGCATGTCGCTGGTTGACTGACCTTGGAATAGACGCCCCTACACATTGAATCAGTTCCGTGCCGTCATTTGGTGCGTCGCTCACCTCCGGAGAGAATGTGTTGACCCCACGGTCATACTCCGACCTAAAAACGAGTGTCAATGTTGAAAGACTCAACCATCGCGACGCAGATCAGAGCTCAGACCTTGACTTACCTCGTCAAGAACATGATGTGAATGTCTTATATTCCAGCTCTATATCTGTATAGCTGTCCTCAGCGTTTCCTTACAAGCAATCAACCAATCGGTCAAAAGGGTATGCAAGGTCTAAATCATGAAGGTCGAGCGTGAGCTCAGCAAGCGTGTTCAATGGTCGAATTGATTACGTTATCAATCCCCGGTTGACCGTGTTTCAGGTTGAGTCCACCGTTCACTTCAACTTCTACACTGCACATCTCACAGTCGAATCCCGCACTCAAGAGGCCAGAGCTCCTACAGAGCTTCCAGACTCCATATCATGATCTTCTATCCAGGCTGTAGGCCTTCTTATGTAGTCGACTGCGTCTAGTTGACAAAGGCTGTGACAATCTCTGGTCTGGCTTTGAAGGTTCGCCACAACCCCGGTCTGGACATGCTGGCCAAAACTCTTGTGAGCAGTGACTTGAGCTCTGAGTCTTTCAGGCTGAATATTCCCTTTCAGTCTGCTCCAGGCCTTCCTGCTGCATCTTCCTCCCGTGGTCCGGTCAAATTACCCTCATGGCGAACCAGTGCCCTCGATGGACCAAGCTCACCGAAACCCTCGTTGTCAAGACCTGGATCCTGGATTGGGGAGGCCTTTGAACTTTCAAGTCAGCCCTCTGGCTCATACCACTCTCGCACCAATGAACATGAGCAAGACGCTGATGATGACGACGAGATCCAATTTCTCGAGGAAGCTCCCGCACACTTGAAAAGGACTACCAATAAGGACAATCCGATTCCTATCGATGATTCGGACGATGAAGGGGATAAGAAGAATTCAAAGACTCGAGCTGTAGAAACATTATCGCAGAGTAAACGAAAAAGACAGCCAGTTTCGGCTGCGCCAATGCTAGATGAGGATGGATGGGAGATACCCAATTTTCCGGAAGATTCGCCAATCCCATCGGACGAGGCTGGGCCTTCAACCAAACGGCCCCGATTCGAGCCTCTCGACCCACAGGAAGCCCTTCTTCAGCTTCTCAAAGTCATACCCGACGTCGACGAGGCAGCGGCTCTCTTCCATTTGACTGATCTGATCAATACTGGAAGAACCCATGACTGTGTTCAGCGAACTGCCGCCATTCTGCTTGAGCTCGAAGGTGGTTATCCTAAGGCAAAGAAGGAGAAAGGCAAGGGTAAAGCTGTAGAGGAATCTCCCGAGCTCTATCGTGATCAAGATTACAGGAGGGCGGAACGGCTTGGCTGTGGTTACTTCCAGCTGAGTGAGAGGGAACTGGTTGGGAGTTTTGCCCAAATCCCTGTCAACCAGTGTGTATGCTATGATCCCTCTGAGCCCTCGCTAACTTTATCACCAGCATCCGATCTACGTTCAAGACCCAGGGACAACTGTTGGTCCCAACTTATACGGCTCTCCAGGGACAAATGAAGCTCAAGGAACCACCGTTCGTCCCACTGAAGCGACCGAGAGCTTCCTATTCAAACGACTTGGACCTCGCGCCTGATCATTGTATGGATAACAGCAATCAGACTTATGCCGGAGCTGCAGAGTTTTACAAGGAGAGGACCTGTTTGTTTGAAATTATTGGTGAGAGGACATGCCCTGCTCGAATGAACAAACTGAATCATGATGAACAGCACGAGATAAGGCTCAGGATCTAGCGGCCGAGATGGCGAAGACTGCCCACGATACCGCACTTGCCAACGGTGAAGGTATCGAGTGTGGATGTTGTTTTGGAGAGGAAGTTTGGGTGAGAAAAGGCCGGTCAACAGAAATTTCTCTGCGACCTGACGACTTTACAGGATAACATGTTTCAGTGCGACGAGGGGCATCTGTTCTGCCGCGACTGCGCCAAGATGCATGCCGAGACGAAGTTGGGGGAGCAGAAGACTGTGAGTCATTGTGCACCTGTCAATTCCTCATTTCTGAACAGGTCATTGATTGCATGGATGGATCCGGCTGCAAAGCTCTCTTTCCAGATTCTGAACTGAAGCGTCTGCTCCCTGTCAAATTACTCGAACTATACCATCGCCTGAAACAAGCTGCCGAGCTAGCGCAGGCAAGCATTGACGGTCTGGAGAGCTGCCCGGGGTGTGACTATGCAGCAATCATCGAGAATCCTCAAGAGAAACTCTTCAAGTGTGAAAATGAAGCGTGCATGCAGATCTCGTGCCGCCAGTGCAAGAGACCCGTGAGTCGTTTGGCTCCGACATTTGGAGAGACATGAATTTGACCTGATCTATAGGATCATATCCCCAGAACTTGTGAAGGTGAGAACTTTCCGTAATGCTTATCCCATCATTGAACATCCACTGCAGAGCTGGACAACGACCAAAAGCTCGACAAGAGGCATAGCGTCGAGGAGGCAATGTCAGAAGCGCTCATTCGCAAGTGTCCACGCTGCTCCAAACCGTTCCTTAAGGAATACGGGTGGGCATTCAGCCTTTGCTATCATCACTGACACGTCACCAGGTGTAACAAAATTCATGTGAGTCATCTCCTGGCGCGGACAAGGGATCTTATCTTGCCAAGTGTACTGGCTGCAACACTTTGTCCTGCTATGTGTGCCGACAGGTCATCAAAGGGTGAGTTCAGCTTTCAGGTCCCAGGCGGGCAGTGAGATTGAGCTTACAAGTCATATCGAAGATACGATCATTTTGACCAAAGTCGGCGTCTTTACTGTAAAATCTCTTCCCAATCGCTGATTGCTCTCACTACAGATCCAGACGTTCCAGGACAGGCTAGAAATGGCACCAAGTGCCTTCTGCACGATCCTGAAGAGCATCAAAAGGACGCACAGACTGTGAGGTCGTCCCTGTCAAAAGCGTCAGCCGGTTCTGACTCATCTCATAGGTCTTGGCGGCACGAGATTTGGCTCAAAAGAACGTCAAGGAAGCGGCCAAGGCCCAGGGCTTGGATCTCGATGATGCCGATCTGCATGTGGACGCCCCTGGCCATCCTTACCTTCTTTACGGAGTGGCTCAGTACAATCCTCCAGCTCATCACTACGGTATCCAACCTCGGCATCAACCTGGTGCCATCGGTGTGGTTGGAGCTGCGGGCCGTCCCGAAGCAGACCTCGCAGCTCGCTTCGCGGACAATGACCAATTGCTTGCAGGACCCGCACGACAATTAGTGGACGGCCGACAGCATGAAGCGCTCGGGGCACAACCAGGCCTGATCCCTGCTGTAAGGGCCGGTCTTGCGCATTATCCAGCACCTGTGGGTCCTCGGCCGGCTCCTAATGCTCTAGGCGGGGCTCTCGGCCCTTATTGGTAACAGAATTCGGCGGGTCGCTGAAATTGCTCCTTGGTAAGGCACAGTCTCAAACCTGCCCCAGCTTACATCACCTCAATTTAGTCCGCCAATGACTTGTTCGAGCCAAAAGATACAGGATTCGTCAGCAGTGCTCCGGCCTCCATGTCCAATCGGCGCTAGAAAGCTCAACAAACCTCAACAAACCGGCCACAATCTCCAGTTGCCCTAACGTCCTGACCGCACTCGACCCTTCCATAATCATCATGTTCGGGAAATGGTCATTTGAACCTCACGGAGATTCGTCTTTCCCCTTTAGACTCTCGTCTCAATACTTTCTCCTCCTTATCAACCCTGTATCATACTTTTCACATCCATGACCCGCATGGCTTCATTTATATAATCCGATCCTTTTGGCTCGCCCAGTTCAGACATCCTCTCACCGCGTCTCTCTGTGGCCACATGACTTCATGACCTCTTCTGTGTGTATATAGATATAACATTGCATGTCGATAGGATGAAAACTTCCTCTGACTGAAAGCTTTAGCTTGGCTACATACCTCAGTTGAAAGAGAGCGAGGAAGAAGAGGGGCAACCAGGAGTTCGAGATGTAGTCCGTGAATGCCCGTATCCAGGCGCGTTTGTTAACAAGTACCAATACAATGACAGGAAGCAGGAAATAGGAGCTTCAATGATGACGCCTTATTGCTGAAGTCTAGGCTCTGGATCGCTGACGTCTACGACAGACTACTTGGTGGCGAGTCCCTTTCCTTTCATGATCGGAGTCTTCTTAATCCGCAGTCTCCGCTGGCCTCCGTCGAAGTACGTCTCAGTCCCGTACGAAGACGGAGACATCAGACAGTGAACAACCTACCTAGTTTGCCACTTGACTCCTCACCTTGCTCAAGCTTATATCACTCATCCCAACTGCAGAGGAAAGACAATAGTCGTAACCCAACCAATCTGCGATATAACCAGTAACAAGGAAGTCGAAAGATCAAGGCAGAAAGCATGTCAGAGTCTAGCGAGACAGTGCATACTTGCGATTCCGTAACAAATGTTGGATCCAACACTGGAACAAACCCTAGCTCCTCAAAACGGACAAGGGGTGTGTCTGCAAACCAAAATAGGTTCTATGTGGTGCACGAAGGAACTCTCTCATCGCCCACTGAGAGTAATCCGACGAAAGCTTCTGTGCCACACGGAGGTTGGCTCTCATCATGGAATGAGCTGGAAGTGGATACCGCTTATCAGAGCGAGGACGATGGAAATAGCTTCGACGACGATCATACAAATGAACAGGGCGGTGGCCTCTCATCCTCTGAGTCTAATTACAGGGAGCTATCCTCGCCCATGTCTTCCCCCGCGAGTGAACGCAAGCATCCGTTTCACGCAAAGTCGAGTGTATCGCCGGTTTCCACCAAGTCCGGAATAGCAACGCTGCAAACGCAGATGCGGAGAGGAACATCCGGTGGACCTCTCACGATTGGCATTCCAGGGGATCCTGATCCATTCAGCGAGCCACTTCCTGGATCGAACAATCCGGGCGACCCTTCCGTGTCAGGAACCCCGTTTACTCCACGCCATAGACGGACTGCCGCCAGAGCAGAAAACATATATAGTTCACCGATTGATGCTCAGACCTCTGTATCAGAAGAGGCGGAAGTGGAACCGACGGCGGTCGCAGGAATCTCGGCCTTCGATACTGATAGCGAAAGCGAGGAGGAGCCTCCTCGGCAGCGCTCAAGTCCCACAAAAGTTTTTCGTACTATTCGAAGGAGAGCATCGGGTTTCCTTGGCAGACAAAATAAGTCCTGAGAGTGACCCTATCCTCAGTACATGCCAACCTCTGTTGCACACTCAGCGCACAGGTCGGCGTGCTGTTCAAATGCATAGTATTCAGCTCTCCCTGTGAATATTTCCTTGCTCACGTCTGCGCCCCGTACACATAACGAGACGGCGAGCATTGCTAAGTACAGTGACTGACTCGATCAATCAGGTCAGATCCAGGATGCGATATGCAGGGGATCTCATCTCTGAGCTACGACAAATGTGATGAGGACTTCTGACTGGGCTTGCGATCAAGTTGGACTTGCTCTTCAGCAACAGCAGCACAGCCCCAGCTCTCATCGCCAGGACAGAGAACTCCCGCACGATTTTCAGCCCAGGATCCCATGTTGTGGCGCCACATCCACCTGCCACGCTCCTGCTTGCTACATACGTAGGAGATGACCTGAACACGGATGAGCGACAGCGATGTTGTCAATAGCCCACTCTCGTATTGTCAATGTCTCAATTCCGGCTTCACAGCGAAGCCTCATCGAATGGCATTCAAAGGTAGATAGAGTACATCCAGCTATGCCTAGGCAAATCGATCGTCGATTTTATGACATTCGAGACCGTGTCGGAGACCTAATTCGTGTCCGACACAAGTCTGGAGCGTAATTTCTCTGGAAAATCGATCGGTGCTGGCCCAAGTTAAAAGACAGCCAGAGCAAGTCTGGACTCTAATTCTACATACATACATAATAACCCCTTGACTGTCCTCCCTTGTATTTTCCGTTTGAAACCTTGTATTATCTGTTTGGAATGATTCGTCTGAGATTTGGGCCGAGACGTAGGAAGATTTAGCTTCACATACATCCTTTCAGCTGACATAATACATTGTATGCGACGATCTATCTGTTTCAAAGTCCGGAAATCCCATATCTTATATAAACAAAGTCTTTCTGCAAGCACGCATCCTCGATTCCATCCGATTCCTCTTGAAGCTATTTCAATCCGGACTAACGTCACCAGAACCTACACCAGTGGCAACGTTGGAAGAATAATCACTGCGATACAGGCTTATTGACACTTGACCAAAGCTCTAACAATGATTCGATATGGCATCGAACGGTGGCGGGAGTGTCTGTGGGCAGATCGACCCGAATACATCCACTGAACAGGCTCCATATGAACACGGCCGAGCCGTGAGCGGGATCTGGAGTGAACTCTTTCCGGCACCCGAGATCGCTACTGAGAAGACAGCCACTAGCAAACAGCTCTGGCAAGATCCTCCCGACAACGCTGAATCTCGTGCATCTGAACAGCCGGCAAAGCCAGGCTTTTTTCAGAGAGGTGCAAAGAAGCCCCGACCCAAATTGTCCTATTCACAACTGACTGGCTACGATGGACAACGATTCGACCCCCTTCAGGGGACAAACTTTAATACGGCCTCCGCCCTCAGCGAATCAGCTGGCCCCACCGGTACTGAGCTGGAAGATCCCCAAGGGAACACTGATACTGAGAGGCAAACCGCCACAGAGTCAAGGAACAAACTGTCTTCTCGCTGCTCAATACTCTGAGCTCGGCTTTTTGAACCGAGTTCATCAATGTTTGTTCTCATCCTGTCCAGCAAAGCCTCGCTATCATCTTCCTAGTAGACTTTGCACTTTGCGTTTCATGCTGTGATGCATCATCCGCGTGCTCCAATGGGGGCGGCAGTACCTCATGAGAAGCTATAGTCTCGTCCACCTCTGACAAGACATCGAGACAACACCGCAGATCACAGGCGGATCTGTAAACGACGGAGCACAGCGCCAGACAGGACAGCTGCGCATACAGCACGATTTCAAGCGTCCAGCGACAGCAGGGCTTGCCACATTCCAGAGTGCCACCCCTGACACAGGCTGACGCTGATCGGCGTTTACGGGATTGTGCTCATTGTGGCGAATTTCGAATATCATCCCCAGGTCGCCCCCGCAACTGAGAAACTCACAACTTTATAGACAACCTCTTTCAATCCACCTTCATAGACCCTATAGTTCATCGCACACCATGTCTGAGCCTCTTGTCTTCAAGGGTACCCTCGCCGGACACTCCGGCTGGGTCACCGCCATTGCTACCAGCCCCGAAAACCCAGACATGATCTTGACCGCTTCTCGAGGTGAGCTAGATCGGCAGCTCTGCATTGTACATGACTGATCCGTGTGCAGACAAGACTATCATCGTCTGGCAGCTGTCCCGAGACGACACTTCTTTCGGATTCCCGAAGAAGATCCTCCACGGACACAACCACTTTGTCTCTGACGTTGTCATTTCCTCAGACGGCCAATTCGCCCTATCCTCATCTTGGGACAAGACTTTGAGACTGTGGGATTTGAACACTGGTTTGACCACCCGAAAGTTCGTTGGCCACACTGGAGATGTTCTTTCGTGAGTTCCGGCATGATCGTGTCTCTCTTCTTGTGCTCATCATCTTCCTTTAGCGTTTCCTTCTCCGCCGACAACCGACAGATCGTCTCCGCTTCCCGAGACCGAAGCATCAAGCTCTGGAACACTCTCGGTGAATGCAAGTTCAACATTATTGATGACGGCCACACCGAGTGGTAAGTGTATTCAGGTCTGTGTGGAATCTCGCTGAGGCCTCTACAGGGTTTCCTGCGTTCGATTCTCCCCCAACCCCGTTATCCCTGTCATCGTTTCCGCCGGTTGGGACAAAGTCGTCAAGGTGAGTTTTCCATGTCCTATCTATTCTTCTCCCAACATGATGTGATCTATATATTTGCTACTTCAGAGGGCTTGCCCAATGAGACAACATTTTCCACCGAGATCTCTGATTCCATCCCTTTGCATTGCCTTGTGGTGAATCGAGACGCTGACGGTCCGTTAGGTGTGGGAGCTCTCCAAATGCAAGCTCAAGACAAACCACTACGGACACACTGGATACATCAACACTCTTGCTGTCTCTCCTGACGGTTCCCTCGCTGCCTCTGGTGGAAAGGATGGAATCACCATGCTTTGGGACCTCAACGACGGCAAGCACTTGTACAGTCTCGAGGCCGGTGACATTGTCAACGCCTTGGTTTTCAGCCCTAACAGATACTGGCTGTGTGCTGCTACCTCCACTTCCATCAAGATCTTCGACCTCGAGTCCAAGTGAGTCCAGCGGGCTGACTTGCAGCAAGACAAGCTGACTTTCATCAGGTCCATTGTCGACGACCTCCGAGCCGACTCTGTCGAGCCTGGTGCCGAGAACTCCGACTCCAAGCGCCCTCAATGTCTCTCTCTCGCCTGGTCCGCCGACGGCCAAACCCTCTTCGGTGGATTCAGCGACAACCTCGTCCGAGTCTGGACCGTCGTCGCTGCTTAAATTGCTCTTAGAGGATCATGTGCATGCATTATCGTTGGGCATAGAGTCGACAGTGACCCTGCATTATAAGTCGTATTCGTCAGAGTCCGAGTCGTCACGCTTCCGCTGTATCTGCAAGATCGGTGTGTCAGTCATTGTTGCATATCTGTGTTGACGACGCACTGTGATACCGGCACCAAGTGACTTTGTGCGAGCTCCAGTTGTGGATACAGTGGGAGCAGCGCCAGTTTTGGCTTGTGGCGGATTGGAGACCTGATTCTTTGTCAGTTCACTGGCCATTGACAAAAGCGCTAAGAGCTTCACCTGCTCTAACAAGTTCTTCAGCGCATCATCCGAGACCTGCCCTCTGATTTGTCCAGACGTCCCCATGCGTACTAATAATTCTTCAACCTGAGCAGCGAGTTGAGGTCGTGTGAGTGATATTCGAGAGACTGTATGGATGGAGGGAGTCAGTACATAAGGAGATTCCTCTAAACGTCCTGCCTCACGTCTCTCTCGTGCTGCTGAATCCAGCATTGCCTGTATCATTGTCCTTTTCATCTCTTCCTGCGCTTGTGCTCGTTCCCTAGCAGCTGCCTGCTCCTGTTCTGAGGACCCCTGCCCACCAGCCGTACCTGCCCCTGAGGCTCCACCACTAAGACCAGAAGGTCCAGCACCGGAAGGCGGAGCAGCCGGTCGCAATCCTTGTGGCAGCTGGAAGTTGGACATGCTATTTTGTGATATGACTTCAGAAGCGTAGTAGTGTATCCTTCGGGAGATGAACAGCTGGTAGGTGTTTGTAATAGGCGTGACACACCACGCGGGTCGGAAGCCCGCATGCCTAATTGGGTGTTCCGGTAACTTCCACCCGGCGAGTCGGAGATCGAAGCCCAAAGTTGCTACATTCACCATCATATCGTGTGCATAGCTCGAAAGGCAAAGTAAGTGGGATCAAGCTGGTAGTTTCTACGGGGAGGAGCATGACGCTTACCAGTTCCCAGAGCTCTTTTCTCAGAACAACGCTCTGAACACTTGATCTGGATAACACCACGATTCACCATGTCCGGAGTAACCAGAACGCTGGGTCCAGAGTCTGGAGGAGCTAGTTCAGAGAAGCCCGGCAGGCAACGAGGCCCGGTCGAGGAGGTCATTGCAAAACGAATGAGACAGGTCGGCAAGAAATTGGTAAATCTAATGCAGTCACAGCCGTGAGGTCCGCCCGCCTGACGCATGAATTGCAGCAACGAATCAAGGCGTATTCGTCCATTGAAGGTGCAAAGCTCAACGCGGACCAGAAGGCCGCTTTGACCACTTTACCTGCTCTTGAAGCCGTCTATAAGGAGCTCGAGGACCTTATCAAAGAGAAGGGCCCGGTTGATGTGGGTTGGATGCAGGTCTGAAGACTTCGCTAAACATCATTCAGGAACAAGAGCTCATCCAGGCTGCGAAGCTTAGAGAAGCCCAGGAAGCTGCGAACGCCAGCGCATCTTCTGGAGCCTCGGCAATATTTGAGTCCTACAAGGTAAGTCGCCTCCAGAATGCAAGAGACAGGGCTCACGTTTATCAGGCATCTCTCGCCAAGAATCTCCCTCCATTCATCCGCCTGCATTCTCTCCTTCATCCCGCCAGACCCTCGGATCATGAACACTTGACCTTTGGTCATCTCACGCTACCTCACAATCTTCAAGATGAAGTTCAGGCCACCGATATTCTACGAGTTGGCCGTATGTGGGCAGATTTGCAGAGAGACGAAGATTCTGCTCGGAGAGTGCTCGATCTGCTCGCTGGTGGACCGGATGGAGAGGACAGCGAGAGTGAGTCGTCCAAGCTGAAAAGCGTCTTCAGTGTCTGATGAGCATGAGCAGATGACCATGTGCACCACCTGCTCGGGCTCTTGTCCGAATCACAGACTGGTCAGGACCAATTGGACTCCTCTCAGCATTCGGCTCAAATTGAAACAGGAAACCCCGCCGCAGAAGCATACGAATCGGAAACGAGAACAGCACCACCGTCCATTACTGCGAATTCTGCTTATCCGCCTAACGGGTATGGCGAAATGCCAGAAGAGACGGCCGAGGCTGAACCTGTGAAAGACAACGGAGGAGCGATCAACTTCTTGCAAGCGGACGAGTTGGGAGCTGGAGAAGATGGAGGCGGTGACGCGGTCGACGCGGGCACCGAGCATAGCTTCGAGGTCGTCCCCATGCTCGAGCCTCACCAGGTAAGCTATGACCTTTCGCGGCGTACTACGTTCTTGAAAGGCTCACTGTCTCATGCCAGACCTCCGGAATGCAACCTCCCGTCGATTATCTGCAGCATGACGCTCTACCTGCTTCAAGGACAGTAACCCCCTCTCGTTTCGATCTCACGTCTCAGGTGGACTCACAGCCTGCCAACTGGGCAGACCTAGATCAGGAAGACAATGAAAACCAGCAGGATGGGACAGTAGCTGCTGATGAAGAAGCTACCGCAAGCAACGTTCACGTTGGTGCTCAGACCAACCACGCCGAGACACCATCGGAGGAGCCTTCCAAGGTCGATTCGTCCGAGCATGCTGCATCCTCTTCACGCCGAACACCCGACTCAAAGCAGACGCCTCGTCGACCAAATGATCCCAAGCGAACCAAATCTGGAGGAGGTGCTCAGCAAGAACGTCAACGACAGGCGAAGGAACCAGCGAGAAAGACAGTAGTTGACGAAGATGGATTCGAGATGAAAGTAAGACGGGCACCTGCCCCGGTCAGTCGAGGACGTGGGCGCGGAGGATCCAGAGGAGGAGCGAGACCCGAAGGCCGTGGTGCTTCGCAGGGCGGAAGGTCAGGTTCCGGCCCACGGCCCAATGGGTCTGCGGAAGGGCAGGGCAATGGAGCCGGACAGGGTATGTCGAAGAACAATGGTCAGAACCAGAGACGTCGAGAGCAGGGCGGAGGTCAGACCGGGACCACTGGACAAGCTCAGACGCCAAAAGAGAGCATCTTCAAGCCTGCCCAAACAGCCTCAGGCACCGCATGATATAGGTGCAATTGAGAAGGGTACGGACATGAAAAGGAGAGACTTAGCGGCGGGAGGAGAAGTGTACGATGATTGGCGTGGTCCAACGCATTGAGCATTCCTACATCCTATCCTCAGTAGCATGCAAAACTCGGCGCAATAGCTGCAACGAAGTCTGACCAATTGCAAACACACGACGGTCAATGCTTCCACGATATTGGCGCAGAACCATACTAACCATACTGGTTGCAAAATGACGAAACATTTTTGATTTTTGAACAACGGTTACTCTTGTCTCTTGTCTCTTTCGCTCTTAGCATCCTCATGAGGCCCCGTCCAAGCGCGCCAGGTCCCCAATTCAATCACAGGGAGGTTTTCGAGCGGGATGTTTGCTGGGTTGGCTCTCTGAAAACAGCCGCATCGGCATGGGCCATGCTGGACACTCGGTAATATTCTCAAATGCCCTCAATGGACATGATTCCCAGGGCCAAGGAAAATGTCGAGTCTAGTTCAGGGGAGAGTGCATAATGACAGAGGAGGGTCACAGCGACTATTGCTGCAGCATCGAAGCTCGCGATACTTTCGCTGGCTTCTTTCTACAATGGATGCCCGACAAGTGTTTCCAAAGATCGACGCTAGCCATCGCGCCTGATTTCTCAATTTCTCAGCTCGAATCTCTAGGCTGGAAATGGACCATCTCTTCTCTTTTTCATGACGGTGTATTGCGGGCACTGGCTGCGGGACAGAAGGCTCATGCATGGAGCTAATGAGTCAAGGTTGTGATCACTGGTTTGCATAACATTCAGCTTGCCAGCCTCTCTGATGTTCTTGGCCTTCTGAGGGAGGACAGGAGCAACTGGAGACGGACTGAGATTGGGAACTCTCGTGTCTGTCAATCTTTGTGTCGCTCTGAATAGAGACGCGCACCTGACTGGAAAAGCTGATAAAGCTGGTCGCTTCATTCGAGATACATGACCGTAACACATCAAGATCACAAGCATCGAATCTGCAAGAAGGCCCGTCGAAGTCCGCCGCGCGCCTGTCTAGGTTGAGAAACGGTCTTCAGGTCGTCTTGGAGATTACTGGAATGTCGAGCGCCAGATATTGGAGATGTCGTATGCGAACATTGGTTCATCCCGATGCGTCATGCGAGGATATTCATGGAGTACCGGAGAAGGTGTTGAAAGAGGTGGATGATAACGACTTGCTGGATGTCGAAGAAGAGCCTGATGGTAAACGGGATGTGGGTGCAGGAAGCCAACCGCTACCCGATTACCTTTCCTACTCCGAGGTGAGGGCCACTGTATGAACCAGATATGAAGACGCTGACTGACCCAACAGTACGGAACCATGGTAAACGGTCAATGGGTGCAGACTGGAACGATAGTCGAAGTCGCTCAAACGTGTAAGCAAAACCTTGGCATCGCCGAGGGAAGGGACAACCGCTGATGGCTTTCTAGACTATGGACAATGGATTCCTCTCGGACCAGGTTGGACGTACGGCGGGATGTATTCACCTACTGGAAACGCAGGCGCGTCCCCTGGACCATCTCCGACCGTCAACTACGCGCCGCAATACGCCGCTCAACCACAGTCTGAAGATCCCTCAGAGGCTGATGCCAGCGATGCAAGTCCTTCTGCGGCGGATGATGGATCTCCAGAATCATGGCAGCAGTCTACTCCTCCCAGCGCAGTTCCTGAGCTCGATGACTCTTCGCCGTCGGCAGCTGCCTCGCCGATGCCCGCTGCCAGTCCAAACCCTGCGACCTTGGCGCATGCCCTAGTCAACCCATCGCCCTCGCCCCTCACTGCCCCGCTCCCGACCCTCATCGTTTCGCCTCAAATGACTGTGACGGTGACAGATACGGAGATCACTGAGCTATTGGCATCCACAGGCATGTCGACGACTTTGACTGGATCATCCTCCTCTTCTTCGTCGAAGCATACCACTAGCCGATTGGACACGATCACGTACAGCCCTCTACCAGCCAAATACTTGACTTCTCTTCCTAACTCCGCTTACATTTCCAGCATGCCGACGTTCGCTTCCAACTCTTCTTCGACTTCAGCTTGCGCTTCCTGTAGTCCGGCGAAGCTCGCCGCCAACAGTGATTTTGCACCATTGGTACCGGCCATTGTCGTGCCTCTTTTGGCCATTATTGCCATTATCGCTGGAGTCCTGTATTACCTCTGGCGGAAGTCGAGAAGAAATCAGCTGATAACTCGCACCCGACCCGTCGGCTTTGGTTCGTGGCTGATTGGACTCGTCAATCCAAAAGCCAAGAAAAGACAGCGGGATCGATACACCAGAATAGCTCCCTCTACTCCGCTGAGCAGCAGACGGTCCATTCTCAAGACTAGCGAATACGATGCCTCCTCACCAGGAGCTAAGACGCCGGACGAGAAGTCTGATCTACTGTCGAATCATCATCGCAGCTTATCTGTGCATTCCAATTATACCACACCTCAAGGTCAAGTTGATCAAGGTCTGATAGGTCGAATATCCGGAGGTATCGCTGCCATCACGCCATCTAGATGGGCAGGTGGTAAGGACTCGCCCAGTCCAAGGAGAACAAGTGGTCACAGTGTCGAGCGGGGCTATTCTGAGGATGGTCATGGACCTTATGGCCATCTTTCACCGGATAACCCGTACCGAAGTGCTGTATCTGCGAATGGATTCGGTGGAGCATCGACCTCACCCCACGGATTGCAATACGTCTCTCTGGATTCGCAAGATCGTGATGGACCTCTGATACTATACAATCCAAGCCCGGCCAGCACTCTTCCTCCTCCAGAGGGAAGTCTGCAACGCTCGAAATCCGAGTATACGCCGTCACGACCGAGCGGTCTGCGACACGTCCAGACTGCCATGTACGGGAGCCCTCCGCCGTTTCATCTATCTCGTTCGTCCGGCTACATGAACTCGGGCGATCGAAAGACTCTCGCTCAGACGATTTATGGCGACGGGCAAGATATGGGGGAGATGAATATGGCCATCTACGCTGAAAGAGCTCACGACATCAGACGGGGTCTCATGTCCCCTGACAGTGTCTTTGAGTAAGTTTCCGATCCTTCGAAGAATGTCAGCATGAAACTGATGTGCTGGGGTTTCAGCACTGGTTCGCCCGTCCTGCGCAACGCCATTTCACCTGTCAACTTCCCCATCGCTCAGCCCATCAGCGATTCTGGGCACATATTGCCACCGCTTCCACGAAAGCAGATCAAATATGGTCCAGATGGACGCATCATTTTACCACCAGAGTATTCGGCTTATGCGGAGTATCCTGATCTGCTGTCCCAGTATGCTCGTTCAACGCCTGGAGTCGGTAGGAACGAGTCAGGTGTCATTTCACCGGGAGTCAATGACCTGTCACCAGAAAGTGCATACCCATCCACCGTGGATAACCACCACAACGTACCTAATATCATGGATATTCTAGCCAATTACGGATACGATCCTAAAGCTGTGAATCCCATCGCATACACCGTTACAGGTCCGTCGAAATCTCCACCAGCCCTTATGGAACCGATGCCGATGCATCACGAGAGGCAACGTCGTGGCAGCCATTTGGAAGGAGGTTTGATGCCGTCTGGTCAGAAATCCCCACACGGGGCTAGAGGTCCCTCGCGGACCCCAGGGTCACCCCGTTCACCTCGACGAAAAGGATACGCGGTATTTGATGAACCCGGGAGCCCATCGCCAAAACCTCGAGGCAAATCTAGGACGGGCATGTCAGAAGTCAGTCATTATTCTGACGAGCGAGAGACGGTGATCTCGGGCAATGGGCGATTAGCAGACTTGATCCGGAAACGATCCGCCGAGGTGAGCTGAACGATTATACTCGGCCGAGGAGCAGATGTGCTGATCTGATTTCAGCCAGTTGCTTCACCAGCGCCTGGAAGACCGGTCTCTACCGCCGCCGCGACTGTTTACACGGCGCCGTCAGAAAGTCGATCTAAGAGCAGTGGCCCATCTGCGCATGGTCATGCAGGTCAAGAGCGGTGAGTGTCTGCCCTGTTTGTGTACGATCTGGCACCTTGGATGACACTGAATGCCAATGCCAGACAATCACCTGGTCCGGCGATCCGACATCAAACTCCACTCAAAGTACCGGGTGGTTGGTCCGACATGCCGCCCCCACCTCGTCTTCAGGGTTTTGATACTCTGTCACAAGCTCATGAGGCTGATTTCGGAACGAGACCGGAAGGTGGAGTTGAGGAACATGCGGGGTCTCAGGCGGGTCCAGGCGGTTCGGGATGGTTCAAATGGATTACCGATGCTGGCGGTAATACGATGAGTAGGGGGGCTTGAGGGTGTGCCCACGGGTATCAGACTCGAGGGGTCAGTTGGTATTACAGGCGATCCCGCTTTCGATAGAGAGAACGATTCACAGGCCTCGTTAGAGTAATTGTCACGATTTGATGATCTTACGATGCACGACGATACGTTTGAGTTGGAAAAAGCGTAATCACAAAAGACGGCCGTGATCCTGTATGACGTGCACACGGTGCGACGTTCAGCTCCCTCTCTATCTTCTGGTCCGTCTCATCTTTAATCTACGCCGCCTTGCCTTTGCCTAGACCACCTGGCCAAGGGAACATGACGGACGTATCCTCGACATACTTTCTATAAGCAGGGTCCTTACCCCACTTCTTCTCTCCACTCTTCTCCAAGGGCGGTACACCAGATCCATACCTCAACAAGAGATAAGTGAAGATGGGTGATACCCAGACAAGGTATCGACCCGGCGTAGGTGGCAAGACCGTCAAGGCCATGAGGGGAGGTCCAGCTTGCAGGAAAGCTTCGCCGACGTAATTTGGATGTCTGGAAAGTGACCACAAACCGGAACTGATGAATTGCTCATCGTGTTTCTTGTCGTTCTTGTCTTGTCTCCAAGCTGATTTCTCTATTGGGGAGGATATGGTCACTCAAAAACTCATGCGATGCTTTTTGATTCCAACTCACGTCGATCCGCAATGATCTCGAACCCAATGCCGCTCATCCAAATACCGGCACCGATCAAGTCTCGGATTCCCAAAGCGGGTTGTGCGGCAGGAAGCAAGTTGACGAGGATAGCTGGTAAAGTCACTGCGGAGACCCATGCGGCTTGACCGAGCCTACGATCATGACCAAGTCAGCAAGCAGGCTTTGATGACTTGTCATTCGATCGACTTGCCATGCGCCAGAAAAGGCAGCGGGACTCTGCTTGATCTCGTCAAACCGACTATCCTTACCACTCTTTTTGATCCTCTACGAGAAACGAGACAGAGGGTAGGACGTATCAGCGTATGCTCGTTCTGGAGTCTGCGAGAATGGCACTCACTTGGAAGAGGAACGAACCGAGTCTTCCGGCCCAAAGCAGATACAAAGCAGTGATCAGAATCTGTCGAGGGTGATGAGATCTAGGGTGGAAAGTCGCCAATGAGAGTCTTCCGGCAGAATAGGCAGTCCGAACCGTGGGGTAATACTGTCAGGCACCAACGTCATCAGTAGAGCGTTCGACCTTGTAAGATGATGGGTGTTTTTTTCTTCTTATTTCAACTCACAAATGAGAACAGGGCCGTGGTGATGAAACCGAGTGACCCAGCAAGGTCAAAATACTTCTCGGTCTTGTTCGGAATGGCATGAGCGGCGAACAGTGCTTGAAAGCCGAATCTGTGTGCGACGGCCAAGTATGAGTTCTCTTCTCTAAGGCTCCTCACAAATGAAGCAACTCACGCAAATCCCACAACTCCGCCAAGACGGGATACTGTTCCCGGATGTAAGCCGAGGAATGTCATAGTGATCAAGAAAACAGCAGCTGCGACTGAATTCAGCAGAAGAAGAACAGCGAGCGTTGACTGCTCTAGTGGTCTGTCGCTGCAAGGAGACACGAAGACGGGCGGGCCCCAAAGGGATGAAAGGACCGACACTTCTATATACGCGACTGATTATTTCGTTGAACCCGAGCTGATCACCGAGGTCCCGTTCCCCAAAAAAAAGACGTCATCGATCAGGAAGATCTTGCGATCAGACACCGGGTCACACAAGCAAGGATACACAACATGCATTGAATATGATCACAAGCTACAAATGACAGGGGATGTTCAAATCGTTTTACACTATACTGAAGACTACAGGACAGATCACCCAGCTCATACTTGAGCCCTTGCTCACAGAGACTCAGGGCCAAGGTCGAACGCAAAATCTTCTTGCAACCAAAGATCCTCTGTCAGGAGCGGCATTTCCAAATCATTGAACGCAGGACCTTCCGGTACCGTGACGTTTCTCTCCTTGATCGTCGCCGGACGTGCCAAATTCGTCTGACTGGACATGCGAGAGACAGCTTTTGGACCCGATGCGGCGAGCGGTCGAGCTATGGGTCGCTGGAAAGGGGTTTGTCTGGGGAACGTGGTGGATGATTGGGCTCCAGGAAGCTTCCGTGCGAGTGCTGTCTGCGCAAGAGGCCCTCTGCCGACAGGCAGACGAGCTCGACTGGACTTCGCACCGGGCGGCGCGATAGGACGAGGCACGGGCATGACGCTGGGTTTCGCCGCCAATCGTCTGAATTCGGGCTCTTCCAGCATTTCCTCATCTTGCCAAGCGTGATCAGTTTGATGTCATGATTGCGAGGTGTTCACTCACCACAAAGACGGACGGCTGTAGTCTCTTCACATGACGGCTCGAGATCTGGGTCTTGGACCGATTCCGAAGGCCCGCCTGGCTGCCAGAGTGGAGGTACACTTGCAAGTTTCGCCAAGCTCGCCTGATCTGGCATTTCAAATGGCGGTTCCCAGGGCAACTCTGAGTGGATGTCAGCGTCAACACGGTCAAGTCGTGTCGTTTGCCGCACCTTGAACAGACGGAGGCATGTATTCAGGCTCATCATCCATCTCCTCATCTAGCTCCTCTACCTCATTGATACCTCCGAGATCAACGGCCTCCGGTCCCTCAGTGATGCTGCCCAGACTGTGCTCTTCTTCCCATCTAGGATTTGGTGTTTGGAACTCGGGTTGCGACGGGGTCAGAGACTGACGAGATCTTCGTCGAGTACGCGCCGCTGAAGGCAGGGGCGTAGGTCCAGGGGATGGCTGTCCGGGTTTGATGCTCTGTCGTGACTTGCTAGAGGGCAAAGGCGTTGGACCAGGAGACTGTTTGGAAGAATGGGATTTTGGTGCGTTGAGTTTCGTACGAGTTGTCGACAGTTGCAAGTTTGACAGATGGTGCGTGGGTGAGACAAAGTTTGGGATCTGAGCAGCAGATGGAGCAGGCGTACGGAGCGACGCAAATGTCTGAACCTGTCGACGTGGTCCTGGCGTTTTGTGCGATTTGGATTGAGTCGGGGCAGCGTTGGTTAACGCTTGCTTGGTGGTGGAGGCGAACAATCTTTTTGGTTCTGATCAGACGTCAATGAATGACAATAAATACTCCTTTTGAGACTGACCTATATCATGCGCATCCCCTTTACCCTTTTCACCCTTCTCAGCCTGTTGACCACCGCCTGCGCCGCCCCCGCCGAGAGCATTGCCGTCTTTGGCTCCTCCAGCCGTTCCAATTTTTGGACCGAGACCGACGCGAATACTCGTGCCGGGTGCCTTGCCTAATAGTCCGGCCCTGCTTGGAGTCTTGGATGGTAGACCAGAAGCTGCATTTTCCTTGTCCAGATTTTTACGAGAGGTCGTATGGATTGGGTTGGGTATATGATGATAGGTACGTGAAAAGTGGGAGGTCGAAGGATGCACAAACATGGTGATTTCGTCGTTCAGAGAAACGCACGGATCACCTCGCTGCAGCTTCACCGGCTAAGATCATCCAACGAACAGGGGAGGCCAAACCCAATCGCCTGATCCCTCGTTGTCGGTGATTTCAGAAGACGGGATTGATCCAATGTTGAAAGAAGGAAGCAAGCACTAAATAATTGTGAGCCACCCGCTGGTGAAAAGTCACTCGCGTCTCGGAGTGCCACATTGGATATAATCCCGATCATAAGCCATTTATATCGCCGAAAAGCCCACCCCCGACACGAGGCATTAGCGAAGACCCGACCTCCACAGCCAAGGAAGGAGAGGGATACAGCTTCAACAACTTTTGGATCACTCTCTCATCTAACCAGGAACTGTCAACTGGATCCCACATAGCAGGAGCTAAACAGCACATAGGTGAGTGACTTCCTCTCACTGGGGCCGTTTTCGAGCTGACCATGATGTTCCCCCCTCCTTTTGTCATATCAATTTCGACCCGTACTCTGGAATTTCGTGTAACTGGTTGTTCGACACGTACAGCTGAGCTCTTCTGACAACTCTCCCCTCTACTCCTTTCACACCTTCCTCGCATCGCTCATTTCAGACTCTCAAGATGGACAAGGAAAAGCTCGCCAAGCTCCAAGCTCAAGTCCGAATTGGTGAGTCGCAGGGTATAGAAATGCGGCATTCCGTGTGGTCGTCTACGCTGTTCCGTATACATTTTAACTGATGCTGCCCTCTATCAGGTGGAAAGGGAACGCCTCGACGAAAGCAGGTCAAGAAGTCTGTTACTTCTACCCAAGGAGATGACCGTAAACTTCAAGCTGCTTTGAAGAAGCTCGGTGTGCAACCTATCACTGGAGTCGAGGAAGTCAACATGTTCAAGGAGGATGGAAACGTGTTGCACTTCAACGCTCCAAGGGGTGAGCCACTTTGTGTTAGAGTCTCTTCGCACCCAGCTGACACTTTTTCCTTTCTCTTTAACTTCTTTTTAGTCCAAGCCGCCTTGCCTGCCAACACACTCGCCATAACAGGATCCGGTCAGACAAAAGAATTGACGGAACTTGTTCCTGGCATTTTGAACCAGCTTGGACCCGACTCGCTTGCCAGTCTCAGACGTCTGGCTGAGTCTTACCAGTCCATGACTGCGAGACAAGCTGCTGCCGCTGCTGCTGCTGGAGGTGCAGGTGCCGGGGCCGGAGAGAAGAAGGAAGGCGAAGTTGGAGATGACGACGAGATCCCAGACTTGGTGGAGAACTTTGAAGAGGAGGGAGAGAAAAAGGCAGCTGCCGATCTTGAAGACTTGGAGTAGGCAAGAAAAAAACACTGCCTACTCTCTCTCTCTCTCGATCTTTTTTTGAGGAATGCCATTCTGGACGGGACACGGGCTCTACAAAGTCGGGTCTTGAGACAAGAGATCACCATGTATACTGCATCTCTATGGTCAATCTGACAGCCTGTCTGTTGCACCTGCTTTGTACGAGCGCACCTCGCCTGCGGAATCTTTCGCTGCCTCTCTTTGTGCCTTCATCTCCCTATAACGCTTCACCACCCGTTCCCTCTCCTCTGCCAAGATCCTCTCCTGCCCAGCGCTCAAGCCACTTTTCCCTAATCCTTTCGCGCCCCAAACGGATGATGGTCTATCAGGACCCTTCTTCAGATGCAAAAGCGTGGGAGGAGCTTGGGCAATGTCATTGACTCGTTTGCGAACAGGTGCAACGTCGAATTCCTGCTTTCTCTTGCGTTGTTTCTGCCCCGGCCCCGCCGCGTTGTCCTTTTCCTCCACTTCACCGCCTCGGGCCTGCATAGTGGGATGGTCTCCCTCCTTCTCCTTGCCTTTGGATCCCTTCGCTGCTTTTCCTTGCCGTTGCTGGGCAGCCTTGATGGCTTTACTGACTCCAGGTCTGAGCAGAGACTCCACCCGTCGATTATAATCTCCAAGCGTTTCATGAGGCATAATTCTCGGGACAGACGGACCAGCCATGTTGACCTTGTTGGAGTCGTCTCCAGGATTTTGGTTCGACTTTGAGGCTTTGATAGGTTTCTGCGATTTCGTTGTCCTCGCCTCGTCCGTCTTGCCATCGGTCACCTTTCGTTTCTTGCCCTTTCTCTCGCCCGTATCTTCAGACGTCTTCCGCCCCGAAGCGCGGAAGGAGCTCTGTACAGCCCACGAATTGAGTATTCTGCTGGCCGACTTTGGTGCATCATCCACGGCCGAAGATGACTTTGGCGCAAGATTGAAACCTCTAGATTGGAAGGGATCAGCGGGGGGACGGATGACATGGATTGAACCTTACTTCTTGGCGACTTCGGCTTCCCTGACGGACCTCTTGGCTCCTTTTCCCTCTAAATCAGTATCCATCCTCCTGGAAACTCATTGCAGTCCGTACTCACGCTTATGCGGCATGTTGCACTGTATTGTGCTGTCTTCAACTCAAGTGTTCTAGCGGTCGTCAAAAATTAGAGCAGAGAGACCACACATATTACGTAACGCAATGACCTGGTGCCGTGATCCCGGACTTTGGTGTCTACAGTTGCATAAGCCCAGTCTGTGTGGGGAAACAATCAGTGGGGAATAGCATGCAAAGATCAATGACCACTCAGGCGACAGAGGTAGCTGGCATGATCATCATCCTCCCAATCGATTTAGGTGTTCTGTTAAGCTGTCATTTCCGTCCGTTGTGCCACTGTTTTTATCTTCATTCAACATTTTTGGAAAAGAAAAAGTCCAAAACTCGGGTACAGGATGCGTTGTACAGAACACTTGACGAGTTCTGCGGAAAAGCCTGGACGTACGGCAGCATGTTCAAGTTCAACTTCGAGCTAGTGAGTGTGAACTACGTCCTCGAGCGAGAGTCGCGGCTGATACCCACTCGCTCGAAGGATGAAGCAGAAGTCGATAACGAATTCGGCGGTACTGCCTCCTCCTTCTTAGATGGCTGTCCGATCAATGTAGAGGCAGGACCTAGCAGACCTCGGGCTGTGATGCCATGCCATACGGTCTCGTTAGATCAGCTTGTGAGTGATTTTTTTGCTGTAGCTTGCAGCTCACTCGCTGTGCTCGGCTATCATAGCTGGACCGTCTACCGGATAAGATTTCGTATTCGCCCATTGCGATACCTGGTAGTCGATCCCTGCTTCGGAGAGATCTTTTCGACGCTAGGTTTCAGCTTGCCAGCGAACATAATACTGCACCCCATTCTGACCCCGTGAATGGAGCATCAACGGAATCTGACCTGCCGCCCGAGGCTGGAGGTGAGAACCAAGGCGAAGGAGTCATCGATGTTCACTCGGATCTCATCCCTGGCTTTTACGAGGGTGGCCTAAAGACTTGGGAAGGAGGTGTTGACTTGGTAGAGGTGTTGAGCGAGGTGAAGGACATAGCGGACTGGATCAGAGGAAGTTCAATCCTAGAGGTAAGTCTGGGCATGAAGCACGTTTTATGGTATTTGGCTGAGCGGAAACTCCTTCAAGGTCGGCTGTGGGACATCACTCCCGACATCGTTTCTTTTGGGAAGGATCTTGTCGACGCCTGGCAGCTCGAGCTCTCGAACAACTTTCAGACTACAAGACTACAATCTGTCCGTCTTATCCCTCGTAACGCTGCCCAATCTGTTGCTCGCGGCATTACCCCATATCCCTCCAGACTCGCTCTTGCCAGCGGAACAAGTCGAGGACGTGGAGCAAGTCTTACCTGATCTCGATGCCTCTGGCGAGTTGGTCATCTCGCCAGAGCTTAAGCAAGGCTTCAAGATGCTGCTTCAGAAGTGTCATGTGGATCTCTTATTTGATTACGGAGCATGGTCAGGGCTCGTCGAGAATCTCAAGAGTGCCCCTCAACAGCGGTTTGATCTCATTTTGACTTCCGAGACCATCTATTCGGAAGATTCAGTCGATGATCTGATGGACGTCTTGAGAATCGGGTCGACCGGCACTGCATCACGAGAAGAACATGGTGATAAGCAACACACCGCTGTCGAGTTGGCGGACAGCATAGCTGACTTGAGCGTACGCGACAGGTGGGATTTATTACCACTACGCGAACAATCAAGCGCGGTCATCCTCGTTGGAGCCAAGGCAAGTGATTTCCATCCTCCTACATGTCGAGTATATCTCTCTTATGCTCCTCGTGCAGGTGCTCTACTTTGGCGTAGGCGGAGGTCTACAGGCATTCTTGGATGCCGTCAAAGCCAATGGCGGATGGTATGAAACAATCAAGGGTTGGACAGCCGGTGTAGGTCGAAAGGTGGTCAGGGTAGGATGGTGAGGTGGGCGAGACACCTCCCTCGCATTTGCTGTGGTGCGGTACACACAGCACAATCGACGATGCGGAAGCTGAGGAAATCCAGGGGAGGGAGAGAGAGAGGAGTCTGGCCAAGATGCAATGCGGGCGGATAAGGGGTGTATTGCAATATGTGTTCCGGACCTCATGAGATGCGTGTGTGTCTCGCTCTCATATTATCCGCACTCTTCCCACCACATCAATTTTTTTTGGATCCTCAATTTCAGAAAATTACAGGTCCCGGGATTTTGTCTCTCTCTCTAGTGCCTATCACCTCACTCTCAGAGGATGTGCAGGTGTCTCTCTGCGGCCAATAATGTCCAGTTGGAGCGGAAGTGGACGTGGCTTGCGTCGTTCAATTCAAAGTTCATTACAAGAGAGAGCCGCGGCACTGAGTGAGGGGGGGACCTTTTCACACGAGACTAGGGCGTGCCTCTGTCCGCACAGACAGTGTGTAATGTGTGTGTCGGGTAGAAAAGAAGAAGGAAGCGGATGGTCATGGCCCCCCTAATGAAGATGTATCACAAGGAACAAGTTGGGGGGGGGGGGGGGGGGTTAGGGGGGAGGAGGACACATACAACCGAGAAGGGGGGATGATTCTGACTCGGAAGAGAAAAGAAAGGCCAAGGGGCTCGGAAGGAGGGGGGGGAACATGATGACATTTCCTTGATTTCAGGGCGAGGGGGCCATCATGGCGGAGAGCGGATACGAACAGACTGGATAGATACCGGATCTCTCACGAGGTAAAAGGGGGGGATATTTGAGAAAACGTGAGAGTGGGACTGAGGTGGTAGAGGACCTTGTGATCATCGTTGCAATTGAACAACAACAAATAACAATATCACTGACCCAATCACACATCCCACCTCCCACCTCCTCCTCCTCCTCTGCGATAACTGTCAGCCTGTGCGGCGCTGTCTCGTTACGCGGCATCGACAGGCGGGGCCAAGGAAATAAAAAATAAAAAATCATAAACTCTCTCTGACTAGTCAGTTGACCTTGACCGGCGACGGCGACGGCGGCGGCGGTGGTCTTCGTGGTGGTGTCAGTGTCAGTGTCTTCGGTTCCTGATACGACATCGAGGCTTCAAGGTTGGACAGGGGAAGACACTTGGAGAGTCGTGAGAAAACACGGAATTTGGCTGGCCAGGGACGAAAGAGGAGGACGAGACAGCGAAGGACTCTCAACATTCCGACAAACCTGCTGACCTTTGGACGACGAGCGAAAACTCCCAATCGCTTTTAGAGACAGACAGACTCAGTGGGAGATCTCTGCAGATCAACGTCAACGTCAACACGTCCAATTCGTCATTAGGACGGGTCAACAGACGAGTACACGTAACGCTGTCTTTCCAATTGATCGAGAAGCCAACGATTTGAGGCGCTCACTGGTGGTCGCTTCCTCTACTTCTCGCCCCTCTGAATCGAATCAAATCAAATCTATACATATCACTCGGAAATCTCATCGCAGCCCGCCTCGTTCACACTCATCAACACGAGCTTGCGAATCTCATTCCACCCACTCGTCTCATCTCCACCCGTCTCGATATGTCCATCTCGGTTAACTCTCCCCACCTTGCCGCAGCCGAAGGATCCTCTATCGCCTCTCAGGAGACCTCTTCGACCTCTGCACCCGCCCTCACGTTCACTTCATCTTCATCCATCACCGACGGTGGACCGTCTCATCGTCGAACACCTTCGTCGAGCGTCATGTCTTCTTCTCGTGGACGATTCTCTGCTCGAGCAGCCACCATGACTTCTGGTCCCGCCCTCGGTCTAGAGGAAGAGGTCCAATTCGGGTCCAATGAAGACTTGTTGGAAAACATTGGTGAGATCGACATTCCAGACAGTGGTTGGTACACCACTGCTGGCGGAGAGATGCGCGCCGTCGAGAACGTCAAGGGGAAATCTCGTTCTGGGACTCAATCGAAATCTGGCTCCGACGATCGAGAAACTAGTGGTCGTCGCAAGGGCACGTTTCTCAGTGCCGCGAGAGCCAAAGCCGCCAACGAAGGATATAATAAAGGTATCGGAGATGCCAAGATCCTGTCCATGGACGAACTCGAGGCGCCTCTCAACCAATTGAATCGCGTTGACACGGCAAGTTCGAGAGCCCATGCAATGCCATTCGATGATGGAGCTAGCATGATGAGTTCTATGACTGGTGGTACGGGTTCAGATAAAAAGGACAAGACGAAGAAGAAAATGTTTGCAAAGCTCTTTGGAGGAGGTGGCAGTGGCAATAGCAACAGCAGTATGAGCAGTAGGAAGGAATCGCACAGAGCGAGCATCGTATCCGTTCCCTCTAGGTTGCCTCCTGGTGTATCTGCGCCGAGCAAATTCACGGAACAGAATACAATGTGTGAGTGTAGGTTGTGTTGACGCTTGAGCGAGGAGGAGCTGACTCGCTGTTCCAAGCGTCTCGACAAGAATCGGTCCCAGGCGTCACTCCTCCCCAGAGCTCATTGGGTAACAAGTCCCGAAGCTCTGTCCAGCCTGGACTATCGCCACTCGCAACAAGCGGATCTATCACTCACCCATCTGCACTGGTCTCGAACATGCCGCGTCCGTCAAGTGGCGAATCTACCACTGCAGTAAAATCTCTCATACAGACAGGATCAAAGGCGATCGAATCCTCCTCTGATTCTTTCCTGGCCGAGGAACGAGAGGGCTCAGTCGCTGCTCAGGGCTCTTCATCTGAAGAGGAGATGCCAAAACCGGTTCCGACTCTTCAGCTCGTCCATTTCCTCTTGCCATCTTTCCCTACCTCTCCATCATCAGTGGAGAGTACGACAATCCTATCCTCCATGGTCATGCGACGTCTTGGTGGTCTGGCGAGCTCGAGATCCCGAACGAGTCTGAGACCTGGCACGGGCTCAAGCTCTGGATCTCAAGGGAAGAAAGCAATCTGGCAGAGTCACCAGCTTGTTTTGAGGTCTTTCCGGTTAGAAGACCCCGCGCAAGGTTCAAGCTCAAGCTCCAGAGCAGGCTCTGGCGCTCGCACCATCGCCCATTTACATCTCTTCTCCACAATTACACGTGCAAAGTCGGGTCAATTGGTCAAGGTTCAATCCTGGGCTCAATCCACAGACCCCTCTGAAGTCGAACGTAGAAGCATCAGCCAACAGACGATGGCAGGTGTTTGGGATGTCACGAGCGACGGGGAGAACAAGAAGGACTCGTCGGATAAGGTCAGGAAATGGGTCATGAGAGTAACATGGGAGGATGAAGAGTGGTTGTGCGACATGCCCAACAGGTGCGTGCAGACAGCTGATGGCGAGCTCCGCGAGCAAAGGGTGCTGATCGTGCTTCTTAGAGACGCCCTGTTGGAATGGATCAAACAGATCAAGAAATATGCAACGATCATCCGGTGAATTGCATTTGACAATAATTTTGGCGGTACGCTGACTTCCTTCTCAAGTGCCGAGTCTCTAGGCTTTGGACCCCAAATTCAGCATGCTCTCTCTCAGGGATCCCGTGTGGATTTGGCATTAGAACTCGACATGCTTCGCAAAGGTCTCCGTGGCTCATCCAACAATGGACAATCGCCCATGATGAAGAATCGCCACCTACTGGCTGGAAACGAAAAGGAGGAAATCATGGACGAACGAGATCCCGATTCGTCAGGGACCGAGGGTATCGACCCTTCAGCCTATAGACAAGCTCAACGCGTGCGACAACTCGCCAATCGATCTACTAGTTTGGCATCTATGACTTCACGTCGATCGAGTCTCCATCTTGAGAATATGCCTGCTCCCGCGCCTGCTCCAACTATGCCTCTTCCTCTGCTTCCTCCCTCGTCCTTGGCTGTAGAGCAGTTGGCGGATCACCAGAATCCGATGATTACCCCGGGTTCCGCTCAGCCGTCCCTCGACGGAAGGTCAGAGTCCATCCACTCCGACTTGCCAGAGACACCTGTCAAACACGAATTCAGCACGTCACCAACGACCGACTCTCTATCTTCTCGACCCTCCGTGAGCCTTCTCACGCCCTCGGATGGAGGAGAGAAAGATCAGCGAGAATCTTCTATGATGATCACAGAAGCTCCGACTCCAGGTTTTTACACACCGTCCATCGCCTCGGAAAGCGGAGCCACTCAGAGCACGTTTCTCTTCCCCACACCGCCTCAATCTATGCCTGTTCAATTGCCCCATCTTGATCATCATCAGCAGCACCAACACCAGCTTCTCGAGTTGAAAAAGGCTAGATTCGTAGATTACGACGAGTTCCGCTTGAAAGGTGCGATGGATCGCGCCGAGACGGCAAGCATCACCAGCACTGCGACTGGATCGACTAGTAACAGGAGAAGGCTACGAGCAAAGACACCTGCTGTGGATCTGAGTGAGTGGTGATCCCTTTGATCGACAGATGACTCTGTGACTGATTGTCGTGTCTATAGTGGCCGAATTCGCCAACCGACCTGAGGCAAACTTTGAGGAATCCACCGACGATCTACCAATGCCGGACAGTTCGCGATCACGAAGGATCCGCTTTGCCGGCTGAACATATGACGGATAAGATATATCGAGGTGCGGAAATACATGGGACAGCGGATGAGTCCCGTCTGAGCACTGAAGGACGAATTGTAAATGCCTTTTTTTTTTACCTCACGCCTCGGGGACAATGACCTTTTAATGGATGAGCGACTTGCTTGGAAAATTACTCAACGACAAAGTCTTGAAATACGACACATGCTTATAGCTTATGGCCTATAGCCTTTACGATACATGCATTCACGATGCCCATGGTCTTGGTATGGTCTAAAAGTGCAAAGTAGGGTTGAGTCATCAATGCGAATCTCCTTCCCCATTCATTTCGCTCCGCTGCTGCCGTGAAGAACATCAAGTACCGCCTTTCCAGCATGCTTGATGGCTTCTTTACGACTGAATTCTAAGGCTGCCCTGGCTTCTGCCCATTCTGTCAATTGAGCCAGAGTAGGATCAAGCTTTCTCTTAGGCGCCGCTGTGGAAGAATCTAACATATTCTGGTCTTGGGCGTTGCCGTTACTGCTGCTGATGCCGGCCGTTTCGGTGGTCTGAGGTGGATCGGGAGTCGCAGCGGATAGTGGAACAGGGAGACCTCCGATCAGTGTCGAGTTGGATAGGGTCAAGAGGGCGGTCAAGAGTTGAGTATCTGCTCGAGGTCAGTCCTGGTCGCATGAAAGGCTGGAGTATGCGCAAAATTCACATTCAAAGACGAGCTCTGTTTGGGTAAGTATCGATTCCTATACCGGAGAATCACCTTCTAGCTTTGGCAGACCACTTGGACCCAATTCCATTCCTTCACTTTTTTCCTTTCCTTGATTATCCTCAAAGGTCGAACCTTCTAGACGTTGTATTTCCGTAGCGACGACGATGGCCCTTTCCATCATTTTCTCCGCTTCTCCCAATCCTCGCATCATATCTTCTACACCTGCTCGCGTCGACCCTGCACCGGTGGAGCTAGCAGGAGGTGCCATCCTCCTAGACGCTGCATTGTTCCAAGCCAGACTAGGGAGTCTGGAGCCACTAGCGACATTTAAGCCTCCACCAGGTCCAGTTCCAGGTGTACCAGTCGCCAATATGCCACCAGATGGTGTTCCAGCCCCGGCCGCGTTGGCCATAAAGGTGAATGGAGAAGTGCTTTCCGCGGCAGGCTGAATATTGAATACTGGAAAGGGCGATTGACCGTTGGTCTGAACAGCATTAGGCGTCGACCCCAAAAACGGAGTCTGACCGAGACCAAGTCCCGCATTGGTACTTGGTCCAGCTCCAGCTGCGGTCCCAGCTCCTAGTCCTCCACTTTGAGCCAGAGGTGATTGACCAAGTGGTTGAGATCCAAAGACGGGGAAGGGGGATGGAAAGCTGGGAAGGGGGAACGGAGAGGAACCAGCAGGAACAGGTGTCAGACCCGTCGATGGGTTGATGAATGGGTTGAAAGGAGACGTCATGTTGTTCAATCTGGACTAGGATGCCCAAGGCGCAATTTGGGACAGCAACGCTACGAGGGCAATCGGTTGGGTTGTCGAGTATCTCGGCTGCCGTAAAGAAAATCGCTGACCGATTCGCGTGGCGTGGCGGCCGGCAGCCCCGGTCCACCTTGGCCACACGATGCGATCTGTTCCCGGGACCTAGCAAGCGGGTTGCTCTATCCTCAAATGGCCAAACGTATATGGACCTGCTGACATTACTCGCCTCTATCCTCTTTTGTGGTAAGAGCCCCCAGAATCCAGCAGTACAAGCAAGATATTCATGTGCAATCAGGCCGTTACCCGCTCTTTGTTTTGCAAGACTGGAGGCGGGTTCACAGAGGGGGACAGAATCAGCTCGGTCTTGAACCGACCAATGAACATGAATGCAGCTCAGAGAGCAAGATCCCTGAGATCGATCATTGAGAAGAAACGGAAAGTGATACAAGCTCTAGGGATTTGCCCCAGAAGTTCAGGCGGAACGAGTCAGAGAATCGGCTTTGCTGAAGCCAGCGAGGCCAACAAAAGAACAGCAGTCTCGGCTTAAGACTCCGAGACCATTGCCAAGGCAAATGGTGTCCGGGAACGAAGCAGTCTGACAGAGAGCAAGTCAAATAATCTTGCTCTGATCTCGGAATCCATCGCCTCTCGCCTCGGAAGCTTTTCCAAGAGAAAGAAAGAAGCCAAGGCGTGTACTGGTCCAACGGATAGTGTATCTGATTCTGGCCATCTTTGATACGGCCATCTGTCGATCGGAGCTCTGGATATACATGTCATGCCCTTCAATTGATTGACCATAGTCTGCCGCACCCTCTGTCTCTCGGCCGGCACCGTCAACTGACCCCACATGCTCCTCGTCGGATGTTACCGATCTCATTACGTGAAAAGCGGAGACGGCCGGGGAGGTTGGGCCCACGGCGTGACTACCCTCTTCATATACTTTGATACTGGCTGCGATCGGCTCAACGGATCTATGCTATTTGAGTTGTGAACCGGGTCGCCTGCCATCGAGGACGATGTGCATAGGAGTCCACTGCACGGGGTATTTGTGGACCGCAGAGGGCGAATTGACGTTCTTCTACCTACCATCATAATGGCAGAGTCGCTGGCAGATGGAGCCGGGTTGGAATTGGAGGCGCACGACAGACGGACGGGTCTTCAAAAAGTCAGTCGAGCTGAGATCAGCGAAGAACATTTGGACTTTGACGAGGAGGAGACTCTCAAAGGCGATACGTTTGAGCCTCTAGCTCAGCTTGACGATCGTCCTGCCGCCAAGACTCAGCTGTCACCTCTGAACACAAGTATCACCCGCCCGACCCAGAGTGGATCTCCGTACTCCATCTTCTCCACGAGAGAGAAATGGGTCATTGTAGGTCTCAGTTCTCTCGCAGGCATCTTCTCGTAAGTCTAGCGCGGTCCTTCATCAACACCATCAGCATCATATAGGCACGAGCTGAATGACCATCGACAGTCCGATCGGATCCAACATTTACGTGCCTGCTATTCCGTCCCTAGCAGACGCATTCCACGTCTCGAACGAAAAGATCAACTTGACCGTCACGTTGTACCTGGTCTTTCAAGCTGTCACACCTGCCATCTGGGGTGCCGCATCTGATAGCTATGGTCGACGTCCTGTATATCTCATCATCTTGCTCATTTTTATCGGAGGGTGTATGGGTACCGCCCTCTGTCCCACCGATTCGTATTGGCTGCTCATGCTCATGCGAGCTGTTCAGGTGAGCACACAAGCCAGACCTCGACTGTCGACGACTGACGCGTTCACGTCCCATTTAGTCGACTGGCGGATCTGCAGTCATTGCCATAGGCACTGGAGTCATTGCGGACGTGGCTGTCCCTCAGGAGCGAGGCAAATTTCTCGGGGTCTTCAGTCTGGGGACGAACTTTGGTCCATCGAGTGAGTAGGCCCGCAACTGAATTGGCATCATCGAAAAGTGACACCGCATACAGTTGGTCCTTTCCTTGGAGGCATGCTGGCATATACTCTGGGATGGAGATCCATTTTTTGGTTCCTGCTTATCACTTCAGCCGTCACCTATGTCCTCGTGGCATTGTAAGTCGTGATACCCAGATGACGGACAACGCGTCGTTCTGACAGCCCTGCTTCCAGATTCCTCAGAGAGACACTGCGATCTTTGGTTGGCAATGGCTCCATCGCACCACCGCCGTGGAATCGTACATTGCTTGACATTTACAACACTCCGAAGGTGAAAACAGATACGGAAGAAGTGGAAGTGACCCTCCCAGAGAAACCTAAAAGAGCTCCCGTGAGTCGCGGAACGACTATGTCCAACATTGGACAATGCTGATGAACGCTCAGTTCAAACCATGGGCATCCTTCATGCTGGCATTTGAGCCAGATTTATTCATGATGTTTTTCTACGCATCGATTTTCTATTCTTTGTGGTATGCTGTCCTGTGAGTTGTCGCAGTGTGTCTCGATGACTTGTCAACTGACATTCTGTGTGTCAGAACGATATTCTCTACTCTGCTGCGTGACAACTACCACGTTAGTGAGATAGTGATCGGTCTATGCTACTTGTGAGTGTCTGGCAGTCTTGGCGAGATGCTCACCTTGGTTCTTTTTAGTCCACATGGACTCTGCGCTGGTCTCGTCTCCTTCGGCACGGGTAGAATCATGGATGTCGTCTATCGACGAGAGAAGCGTAGGGTCGGGGGAGATCATCGTGAAAAGCCAGAAGAATTCCGATTAGAGAGAGTTCGATTCGTCTTCTTCCCGCCTTCTATCTGGTGGGTTATGAGCCGTGCTGTCAGTGCTCGCATGCTGACTCATGTCACAGTCTTCTGGTCATTTCCACAATCTGCCTGGGATGGAGCTTTGAAGCCAAGGCTCCGATCGCGGTACCCATCATTCTGAATACGCTGGTCGGTATCAGCTTGGGGTTCTTGACAACCGGTTAGTCTTCAACCAGTCTCTTCAGTCAGATTAATCACTCATCATGTTGTCAGTCACTGTTTACGGTCTTGATCTGTTCCCGGGCCAAGGAGGTGCTGCGACCGCAACCGTGAGATGGACGAGAAAGGCTTGAACTAGCCACGCTGACAATCCGGCCACACAGTTCAACCTACTCCGCTGCATCCTCGGCGCTGTAACCGTATCAGTTGTGCAAATCATCAACACGAGGTTCGGCGCAGGTTGGACATTCGTCATTTTATCCGGTGTATCGCTGAGTGGTACCCCCTTACCACTTGTCGTCCTCAAGTACGGTCCCGGATGGCGAATAAAGAGGTGGAAGAACGCCAAGGTGAAATCGGAGGCGGACAGAATCTCGGAGATGAGAAGATTAGAGGGCGTGAGAGCTGGTCAAGGGGATGAAGAAGAGAGGGCAAAGTAGGTTGAACATGGAGGCTTATAGTAGTTGTACATCTTGCATTAGCATCTATCAGAGACTTGATACATCGAGGCGGTCGCGAGAACCAGCGGGAGTTGATTGAAGCGGTCCCGATCGAGCATTGTGTCAGTCACCTCTGTTGTATGTCAATGGGAATTGGTCTCTGACATGGCCAGTGACAGCTCACAGTGGTCTCGCATTCTGTACACGGATGTATAGCCAATTGACAGCCTCTCTGACGCCGTCACTGATGATTCTAGTAAGTATGTGACGCGAGCGATTGGGTTTGATACCGACTTACCCTTCGAGCGCAGATACCCCCATGACGTCCAGGCTTGCCATTCGCTCTGCTGCTCTCCTCTTCTTGTCCTGTGATTCGGGATCTGCTGTTCCAGACATTTCATCCCTCGATGGGGATCCCTCCTCGGTAGCGTCGAGATCGTCATCAGTCCTGGCACGATGCCAGGCGTCAAAGGATTCTCTGATTTCCTGGACTGACAAACAGGTCGGAGCGTCTTGTTTGTTTGCGAGCAGAAGGAGGGGGAGATTAAGTAGTCGAGGCGAGTTGAGCACCTCATCTGAGAGGAAAATCGAGTGTTAGCACCGCAACCGCAAACCTCTTTGACAAGGAGAATCTTTACAGAGTCCCCAAACTTGACTCACCAAATACCTCCCACGTTTCGTTGAGCCTTGCTTGATCACAGGCGTCCAACACGAAAGCAACGGCATGACACTCGTCATAGTATCTGGGCCAAATGGATCGGATATCCCTCTGCCCACCAAGATCAAAGAAGGATAGAGTAGTGGATGGAAGGGAGATCTTGCCAACTGAAGAGCGTCACAGCGGGTCAGCGATGGACGCAACGACATATCGTGTGGTCCAAAGTAGATGGCTCACTGTTCTGTCCTACGGTTGGACCTATCTTGTCTGGAGGCATACCGGGTGTCGCGTTGTACATGGTCTTGATCCGCTCGAGCATGGTCTTAAGAGAGCAAAGTTCAGCTGCAACTGTGGTAATGGGTCCATTCTTGAGCTCACCGTCTTCCCCGCCTGAAGCGCAAGGTTCGTCAGCAGAAGTACCTTGAAAGAATGAGTTCAGGATCAGCACACTTACATTGTCCAAGCCGATGATGACGACCGAGTACTCATCTTTTCTTGTCAGATGGGCATGTAGACCCTTGAGGAGATGGTACATGATCTCAGGGGCGAGTTTGACGTGTGCTATCTCATGACTGAGGTGGCTGGAGAATCAAAAGTACAAAGTCATCATGCAATTCGGTGAATCTCATCTCATCTTTGAGTTTCCGGTGGTCGGATGCAGAGCATCCTCACGCATGATTATCATCATCATTCATTCATGCTTTGCTGAAACAGTCTCAGAAGCACCAATCTCGAACGTTCAAAGCTCGACTGAGACATCTACCTAGCAGCTGTGTATCCGTACATTTCTCCCACAGACCTAGCCATAATGTCCTTGACGGGTCCTAGTAGTCGAGTAAATGCTTGTTCACCCAAAGCAGCGACGCGGAGTTTGCCTTGAGCACGGACAGTCGCCGCACGCGCCTGTCGGTTGAGCAGGGCAAGTTCTGAGTGAAGAGAGGGACAAGATCAGCCAGACTTGAGGAAAACAAGTACAGACAAACACTCACCTCCAAAGTAGTCCCCCTTGCCGTACTGCTTGACCACCTGAGGTTGTCCGCTTTCATCGCTCTTTAACGCAACAGCTTCACCCGATTCCACGAGGAAGAATTCTTCGCCCGCTTCGCCGGCGACAATGACGTCCTCTCCATCGGCATATGTCCTGGACTCGAGTACATCCGCGATTTTGGCACGCTCTTGAGGCTGGAGCGTGGCTAAGATGGGGACTTCTGATAGGAAGATTTCATATAATCTCCTCTTGCGTGATGTGTGCTATAGAGAGAGAGAGAGAGATCGTGTGAGCTTCGAAGCCCTAAACGGCGACTGCAGCTCACATCAAGTAGAATGGTCCTGAATGAGACACGATCCAGTGCCCAGAGCGTGCAAGGCGTGAGGGATAGGATGGAGGCGGCACGAGGAGCACTGGGATCGGATCAGCGAATATGCACCGCTGGGGACTTCACTCACTTGTGCATCAATGCCAATTCGCCAAACGAGCTGCCCTCCTTGCACTCTGCGACCTTTTTGCCCAGCTTCTGATGATCTCCCTTGTCCTGATCCAAGACTTGTCCGTCCCTCTTGACGTATACGTCCAAAACTCCACGTTCGACGACGTAGAAAAAGTCTCCAGCAGCACCTTGTTCAATCACCAAATCGCCCGCAGGCACTTGGACCTCTTTCATTGCTCCTAGCACATCTGCCTCTTGCTCTTCATCCAGGTTTCTGAACAAAAAGTTGGGTTTGATGGCGTTTCTGATCCTGGCAAGCTGCTCTTCGGATTTAGGATAATGAGGCATGCTTGTAGCTCCCGGTCCTTCGTCCTCTGCCAAAACCTCGAGACCTCCAGCAGATACGGAGAATGCCCGTCGATTGGTGGGGACCAAGGATTCAGCAGATACTGAAGTTCTCCTACCAAGCGCATAGGCTGGGATGGGCGGTTCATCTGGCGCTGAGATGGAAGATCGAGGACCAAGATTTGCTCCTACAGGCATTTCACCCGCAGGAGGAATGGCAGCACCTCCTCCGAATGGAGAGGCGAACATGGGAGCACCATTCCTAGAACTGATCGGTGTTGGTTCGGTTGCTCGACGAGGTGCGAAAGGAGAATCTTGAGGGAAATGCTCAGAGAATGGAGAAGGAGCTCCGTGAGGGTAGAGGTGATGTTGCATGTTGGGTGGAATGGCAGAGAGTCCGCCCAAGCCTGTAGGTGGGAATCGTTGATTTCCAGTCATGGGGCTATCCGAGTTTGCTGACATACGCTGAGAACAGGATCGCTCCTGGTCAGTTCCTTGGTGATACCTACGTTCTGCCAGTACTCACATCACGCTTGAGCTGAGCTTGGAACCAATCAGCTCCCCATTGAAGCACGTCAGAAGGAGAATCCCGAGCCAGGTCGCGATTGAGATCACTGAGAATCTCTTGCCAGGACTGTCGCGGCATGATGAGAAGGGGGACGCGAGGGTGATGGCCAGAATAAAGGAGTAGGTCGGTATGGGATATGGTATGAAAGGGGAGGAGAGGGAAGGAGGAACGGGCAACGCGAGCAAGTCACGCGGTGATCCCGATTTTCCGCTTGAAAACGTGGACTGACAGCTATAGAGCGAGCCTCAAGCTGTTATGGAGTTCACAGACAGACAGGCTCTGTTCCGATCCTTGAGTGACCGGGATGTATGCGCAGGTCGAGTACCTGTGAAATGAAAGCAATGGAGAATGTGCGAGAACTGCAGCTGCTCCTGCTGGATGATGATCTTCCCTTTAACCAACCCCAAGTGCGCCTCTTCAGGAACACTTTGCATGAATAATGATGATGATGTGGCAATTGGCGGCCAGATGATGAGGGTCTCACCTTTTCCATCCTTCGACGTCTCTTCACCACACTGGGTAGCCATTTTGAGACCATGAGTGGAGATGGCGGGTATATCCCACCCTCGCCACCGCATAGTAATGGATCGTCAAGAGCGAACTCTTCTACGGCGCTCACGGACGCAAGGCCGTTATTGAGCTTGACGAATTTGCAAGAAAGACGATTATGGACGCATATTGACGATCGACTGCTCTCGCTCGAAAGGGATGAACGGAAACATGCTTTCACGACTTTGCTGCGACTTGTATCTGAACGGCTGCTTCCCCTTTTGACTCTCATCCTCCAGATCCCACCTGTGGAACCATGGGGCGGTGTACGAGTCTCTTACCTCCTCACCCTGACGGGATCGATGATAGATTTTATCACCTCTTTGCCGTTAGTCAAGCTCTCATCTATGGCGCATGCGCCAACACCGGAGACTAGTGCTTCCGACATTGACGAAGTCGACGATGCTGCTCCTGCCGAAGATGAGGTTGACGCCATCGCTCAGGCAGAAGCCGCAAGAACGATGAGACGGCTGTTGGATCTTTTGAGCGAGGTGGATCGAGGTTGGCTAGCTGTGCTCAGAGGGGATGCTTGGATACCGCCAGCTAAAGCGGGCGGCAGAGGTCATCCAATTCCTGTTCAATTTGGATGCCAGGTTGGAGCGACCGAGAGGATCCGATTAAGAAGTATCATCATGGCTTCTCGATCGAAATTCGTAGCTTGGGCCAGGACCTATGGCGACTTTTCAGGCGTGTCGTATCCACCAGGTTCCGACGACGCTGGACTCACACCAACTGCATTGTCCGCAGAATCGAGTCTGGACCCAGACATGGAGTGGGAGCAAGAGGTCATTGGGCTTTGGAATGGAACTCTGCAAAAGCTTTCTGATATGGACTTTTGCGTCGCGGCTGGAGATCATGCTGGCTGATCGTAAGAGATTGGCATCAAAGGCATAAAAAATACGCGATACAAGATCTACAATAAGAGAATACATCAAGGAGATAGATAGATGAGGATGTCTCGTCGTCAGATGGATCAGGGCGAGTCAAAACCTTGAGGCGCATTCTCGAGGCGTTCCTTCAATAAAGTCGACAGCTCCTGCCATGCTCCGGCAACTTTGACCAAGCATTTCATTCTCGGTTGGCCTTGACCGAAGCCAAACCTGCCAGGTCGACCGGCAATCTTGAGCAACTTGACCGGACTGACCTTTTGCCCAGCACCAAATACGAAACCGCCTTTCCATTCTTCGTTTTCCGCTCGCCTCTGCCCACGTTTCATGGATGGATCGACTCGAGCTACAAAGAGCTTGAATTTGGTTTCGTCGATCACTGATTGGACAGTCTGGTCGAGGAGATCGTATTTGCTAGGTTGGAAGGGTTGAAGGGAGGGCGGGGCATACATGGACGGCGCTTGTGATCCCATACTCATCCGTGAAACGGATCGACCCGCAGGTGTAGGCGTAGTGGACCTGAAAGAAGACGGTGGTGGACCCCGCGCAATTGAGCCGGACACAGATCGACCGCCGACAGATGGTGGACCAGGTCGGCGACTCGAATACTGCCCATACACTGGTTTCGGCCAGTTGGACGGATCTGGGAGGATTCGCGATTCACGAGACGCTGATCCGGGAACCTCGAGATGTCTCGGTGAAGGTCCACCGGGACTCGACATGGGAATGCGACTGGTCGACGAGGCGGTCGGAGAGGGAGAAAATGCGCCACTTCGGCGTCCAGCACCAGCAAAGCGTTGATTGGTTGGCGTTTTGAGCATAGTCTCTACAGGCTGCTGCCTTGTAGGCACCGGCGGAGTAGTCCCAGTAGACATCCTTGCCGTAGTCGACGACATGCCAGACATCATGCTTGCCCGACTGCGTAGAGGTGGTGCAGTCCTTTTGACCTCCGGCGATTCCGTTGCAGCTCGAATTCCGTTCGCACCGAGGGCTCGCCTTTGCATGGACGCGGCAGAAGTGCCCGAGACGCCAGAGACAACAGAAGAGACAGACGTACGGTGTTGTATGGATTTGCGTATATCGGACACGGACAGTTTCTGAGCATGGCCGCGCGCGAAATAGTCCATCGAAGAAGAACCAGATGGTGAGGTCGCTTCTGCCAAGACTTCAAAGTCACCGCTGGATGACCTGGAAAGATGTTGAGTCATGAGTATCCTAACTCGAGCATCGAGTTGTTGCAATTGTCGCTGCAGCTCGTTCCACCGCTGTGTCATTTCACTGTATCTGAGCATAGCCTCAGCCATGCGTCAAGCTTCTGGATGTCAAGGTCTTGAGGCTCACCTCCTGAGTGCCTCTCCGTTCTTGCTTGTCCTACCGAAGATACTACGCTCCATCATTTTCAAGATTTTGGCGACGCTGGGGATGTAAGTCCTGAGATATAAGTCAGCGGTGTCAGTCAGAGGATACACAAGACGACCCACGCCTTCATCGCCTCATGGGACTTGACCAAATCCTGCAGTTTGCGAAGGCTGGGCAACTCTTCCAGCTCAGATTCGAAAGGGACCGGGACAGGGGACGAAGTGATGCTCTCCACGTAGTGCTAGAATGACTCGTCAGCGCAAAATTCAGGGTCGGCGTAGTTTCCATTTACCAAGCAGTCCTTCAAGCTGGTCTGCAAAGGAGTCATCATCGACTCGGCCTGATCTGCGGTTCTGGAAAAATCCGAAGTCTCTCAGCTTCATTGGAAAGCTTTGAGTAAAGTCGTTCTCACATCCTGAATCGTGATAGCCATCCATCCTCTCTCATCTCTTGTTGAAGGATCACGTATTCGCGCTCCAAATCCGACCAGTCACTGTGAATCTCTTCGACCTCAGGATCATCAGTTCGTTTCGAGCCTTCTGTCGCGGTGATACGGCTTTGGAGGGACCTGAAAGAGCGGTCGAATTCAGCCACTCGAGCGACAAGCTGACTGTGCGGAGATCCATCAGATGACAACTTTGAGGCCGCATGTCTCAGCTCTTGTATCTCTGTATTCTTGTCAGCGGAACGGCTGTTTCGTATAATTCTGATCTCACCGTAGATACCGTCAAGCAGAAGATTGATGCTATCCCTCAGATCTTCGATCGAGGTCGAGTTCTCTCCATTCTGCTGGCGAGGTCCCACATCATCTGCCAGACTGAGTTCCGATAGTCTCGCGTCAAGGTCCGTCATCGTATCATCCCTCGCAACGGGCTCTCCTGAAGTCTGTTAGACGAATACAGGAGCGTTCCAAGACGGGTGGGTTTTGGAGATAACGTAACTCTCGCGTCAGTCGGCGGCGATCACCGCTTTGCCCGAAGTTCAAGATCGGATTGCAGCTCAGCGTCTCATTCTATGAGGCATATATCCCACATACTCATCGCTGTGTTGTAAGACAGGGGCATCAGCAGGCAAGATGAAGTTCATGATAGGAGACCTCCCTGTCTTATTTCCGTATGATCGGTGAGCGAGGCGTCATCCGCGGTACTCCGCACGAGCTCAAGGAGCGACGGCGTTCTTTAGGATCTATCCAGAGCAATTCTCATACATGTCCGATCTCAAAGCGACACTGGACGCAGGAGTGAGAAGCCTGATACGTGTATCATCCACATTTCCGCTGATGAGAGACACTAGGGCCACTGTGTACTGGAAATGCCATCTGGTACGGGCAAGACAGTATCTCTGCTATCCCTCATCGTCTCTTACATGCAGGTGGGTGAACCGTGGCAAATCTGTCGCAGACAACCCGAATCGCAACAGGTACTGACCTGATCTATCAGTTTTATCCGACTAAACGAAAGCTGATCTATTGCTCGCGAACGGTGCCGGAGATTGAAAAAGCTTTGGCCGAGCTCAAGCGATTGATGGAATATAGGGAAGAAATGGGAGCCAAGGATGAGGAGTTTCGTGGACTAGGATTGACCTCGAGGAAAAACCTGTGTCTACATCCAGAAGTCAGCCTGCTTTTCAACCCTGTGAGGCCGAAGCTTACGAATCGAACAGGTGAGCAAGGAGAAAAAGGGCAAGGTCGTCGATTCGAGATGTCGGGATCTCACGTCCGCCTTTGCTTGTGAGAAGGGTCGAGCGAACCCGGGTAGTGTACCTCTATGCGATTACCACGAGGTCCGTGAATAGGTTGAAGAGCGACCTCCCCGGCTGAATTTTGACCAGAACCTGAACAATTACGAACCAGGAAACCTCATACCGCCGGGAGTCTACACCCTCGATGATGTCAAGAAGTACGGGCAAGAAAAGGGAGTCTGCCCATATTTCACTATTCGGAGAATGGTGAGCCTGTTCTGTACTGTACCGCGGTCTTCAAAAACTCACGTACATGTACTAGATGCCTTATCTTGACATCGTCATCTTTTCTTTTCATTACCTGCTCGATCCAAAAGTAGCGGAAAACGTATCCGCGGAGATGAGCAAGGAGAGCATCATTGTGTTTGACGAAGCGCACAACATTGGTTGGTGATAGGCGCAAAAAGGTGCTTGAGGCGCTGATTCACCTTTCAGACAACGTCTGCATCGAATCATTATCGGTCGACCTCACACGTCCTATGCTGGACTCTGCAGCCCGAAGTGTCAATAAGATCGGTGACAAGATTGAAGAGTGAGGTCGTTGAAATCCCAGTCAATCTCACTGAATCTTTCGCCTTAGGCTCAAACGTACAGATGCAGAGAAGCTGCAAAACGAATACGAAAAGCTTGTCGCTGGGTTACAGGAGGCGAATGAGCACCGAGAAGACGAAGATATGTTGACAGCCCCTGGTCAGTATCCTGGCACCGTCTCGGAATCAATGCTGAAATGGTCCAGTCCCATCTGCCAAATTGTCTGAAGATATGGTGGATGAAGCCGTACCGGGCAATATCAGGAAAGCGGAGCACTTCGTGGCCTTCCTCAAGCGGTTCATTGAGTACCTCAAGGTGAGTCAGAGCTGGACGTCTGCCCTGTGGTAGCAGCTGAATGGATTGCTCTAGACACGCATGAGAGTATTGCACGTCGTAGCGGAGACACCCCAGTCCTTCCTGGCTCATTTGAAGGAGATCACTTACATTGAACGGCGGCCGCTGAAGTGAGGAGGCATTCAACGCTTGCAAGCTCACCTCGAATCAGGTTCTCTGCCGAGCGACTCACATCCCTTGTTCGGACACTGGAGCTTACGAACATTGACGAGCATTATGCTCTGCAGCAAGTGGTCGGTTTCGGCACACTTGTTGCATCGTATGAGAAGGGTTTCATGCTCATATTGGAGCCGTACGAGACCGAACATGCTACAGTCCCCAACCCAATCTTTCACATGGTGTACGTCATGTTTCCCCTTTCAGACCCATCACTGACCTGCTATCAGCTGCCTTGATCCGTCTCTCGCTATCAGTCCGGTGTTTGAACGCTTCTCGTCCGTTATCATCACCTCTGGTACCATCTCACCCCTCGATATGTATCCCAAGATGCTTCAATTCCAACCCGTCATGGAGGTCTCTTACCCAATGACACTGCAACGCAACGCCTTCTTCCCTATGGTCATCACTAGAGGATCGGATCAAGTACCGATATCGTCGCGGTTCGAAGTTAGAAACGATCCCGCCGTTGTGCGAAACTTTGGAAGCATTCTCATTGAAATGAGCCGTGTTGTTCCGGATGGGATCGTGGCCTTCTTTCCCAGTTATCTGTACATGGAGTCAATTGTCTCTGCTTGGTACGACATGGTGCGTGAAAGTTGTGTATCTGGCAGCTCACCCCATGTAGGGCATTCTGAGCGAAGTGTGGAAGCACAAACTATTGTTCGTCGAGACGCCCGATGCGATGGAGACAAGTATAGCCTTAAAGAACTATCGGGAGGTGAGTACATCGCTTACGAGGTGATGAGGCGCTGAAACAATCAAGGCTTGTAACAATGGTCGTGGCGCCGTCATGCTCTCTGTCGCACGAGGAAAAGTCTCCGAAGGTATCGATTTTGATCATAATTACGGTCGCGCAGTGATCATGTTTGGGTCAGTTGAGCTACGCCAAAGCGACACTACGAAGTGCTGACGGCCGGCGAAGTATCCCCTATCAGTACACAGAGTCTCGTATATTAAAGGCCCGACTGGAATTCCTGCGGGACAATTACCGCGTGAGAGAGAATGATTATCTCACATTCGACGCCATGCGACACGCAGCCCAGTGTGTGGGGCGAGTCTTGCGTGGAAAGACCGACTGGGGACTCATGGTGTTCGCAGACAAGGTCCGCTTGCAAAGATTTGAACTGGATGACAAAGCTGACCAGACCTCTTCCAGCGGTTCGCTCGTCAAGACAAACGAAGCAAGTTGCCGAAATGGATCAATCAGTACATTATCGAAGCTCATTCCAACATGTCAACTGATATGGCCGTCTCGCTCGCCAAAAAATTTATCCGTCAGATTTCTCAGCCATTTGATCACACTCAGACTGGAATCAGTCTATGGACATTGGAAGACATTGAGGATCGGCAGCGCAAGGATCGAGAAGAGGCAGACAGGGCACTCAGAGCGCTTGGTCCAGGAGCAATCCAAGCCCAAGCAGCCGAAGGCATGCAGTTAGACAGGGAGATTGATGGAGATGCTTTCGCGCCGGTGGAGGATGACATGGATTACGGGGACGACATTGATGATGAAGCTCTTGTACGGGCTGCCGAGTTGCACGGTATGGAAGTAGAATCAGGTTGAGCAAATCGTCAGCAAGGGCTTAGGGAATCCGTTGTATCGCTAGATATCGCATCGGTTGTATTTGTGCTTATCGCTTCTGGATCCTCTTACACTGTATTGGCAGGATACGAGTGCTTCCTACTGCCTCAACTTCTCCTGCTTGACCTGCTCCATCCCCCATCATGCGGTCGTACGCTGAGAAGCCTCGATCAAAGAAGGGTCATCTCTGCCAGCGTAGAACTTGTCCAGGAATGCGACTGGTTGAGGCGGGTCTTCATAGTGTTTGAACCAGTGTTCAACATGGGGCTAGAAAGAGGGCGTGGGTCAGCTATAGTCGATTCACGGAGCTGTCAAGTAGGGCAGTGTGCAGGGTCAAGTTGGCAATGTGAGACGTAACGATGACTGGAAAGCCGAGATTTTCCTCTGGTCTGAATCTATCCTCAAGCCCGATCCTCATTGACCCGACTCAACTCCAGTCGATTCCTCTGTCACACTCTACACTTACCTCCTGCTTCCACTGGTTCATCGTCTCCTGATACTCTTGCTGATTCTTGTGCAACAGCATGTTGATGACTCCGAGGTTCTCGACATGTCTATTCCGTTCGAAATCCTGTCTGATCTTCAGACGAACCATGGAAGGAGGAACGTTGAGAGAGTAGATTTGGCATATCTCTGGGGCCTAAGATGGAGGCAGCATACGGTCAGCGCCCTGATTCCGTGTGTCCACTTCGCTGCAGAGGCGAGCTTTTATCATGTCCCACTATCACTCACTGATCTCAACCATGTCCTGTAAGCTGAGATCGTCCTCGCTCTCGCATGCTCCAGAGTGTGCGACTGAATAGCCACCTTGGCGAAACGTGGAGGGACTGTAGTCATCGCTGTAACTACCGTGAGCAAGCGAGCTATCAAGTAGCAGCTCAGATGAGCAGCGAGCAGCGACATGGAACCATTTGGGGACGAGGCACAAACGGAATCAAATTTACCACTGGCGAGTTTGCATTACCGCCACCATCTCTGCGTTTTGGTGGGTTCAAGCGGCTGGCGAGGTAATTCATTCGTTGTGTCTACCTCTCATTCGACTGACTATTATACATCATCTCCGCCTGTGCAAATCTTGTATCTCAGAGTCAAGCGCCAGGTAGTCTCATTGGCGTACTTTGAGGACAAGAAAAGGCTGATCTCAACATAAAGGTGCGCAGCTCCGTCATACCGTATCCCATCTCTTTACTCGCGTGCGTCATAACCCTTCCAGCAAGGCAGCGTGGTCTGTTGGGTCCAGGAGCCCTCAGCTTACCTTGCACCTTCTTGCAGAGAGCATACCTTCAAGAGACGCATTAAACCTTTATCGTCCACTTCAAGCACTCCATCATCATGGATCAGCAGCTCATTTCCCTAGTCAACAAGGTGAGGATTCCCCAGAACCCGATGCTTCTGATGCTGATTCTGCTCTATAGCTGCAAGATGTCTTTGCGTCTATAGGTGTATCCAATAACATCGTTCGTACTCATCAATCGCCATCGGTCTTCCGGCTAAGTTTGAATCTAGGATCTGCCTCAAATCACAGTCATCGGTGCTCAGAGTTCTGGAAAATCCTCAGTCTTAGAGGTATGACCTGGCAATTCCGACTCCTCTACTTGGCCTGCTGACTGCTGTCAGAACATTGTCGGTCGAGACTTCTTACCCCGAGGAACCGGCATCGTTACTAGACGACCTTTGGTAAGTTAACATCCGTAAGGATTGCTTCGCGAGGCTCACCTGGTCCCAGGTCCTTCAATTGATCAACCGCCCTGCAACATCGAAAGCCAATGGAGAAGTCAAGAAAGAAGGTGAGTGTGGCTCTCCTTTGATCTCTCTGATCTGCCTCCAGGGGAGCCCAACACCCCCCAGTTGAATGAAAACAACCAGGACGAATGGGGAGAGTTTTTGCATTTGCCTGGACAAAAGTTTCACGACTTTGCCAAGATACGAGATGAAATTGTTAGAGATACTGAGAAGATGACTGGAAAGAATGCCGGTGAGCTGACAGTCAGGATCGTCAAGTCACCGAACTATTCTTGACGACCGCGTCTTTCAGGTATCTCGCCGAATCCCATCAACCTGCGAATCTTCTCTCCGAATGTCCTCACCTTGACCCTGGTCGATTTGCCTGGTTTGACCAAAGTTCCTGTCGGAGACCAGCCTCGAGACATTGAAAAGCAGATCAGGGACATGCTGATGCGATACATCTCCAAACCCAACGCTATCGTTCTCGCTGTCACTGCCGCCAATACTGATTTGGCCAACTCGGACGGATTGAAGATGGCTCGTGAAGTGGACCCGGAAGGAACGAGGACCATCGGTGTCTTGACAAAGGTTGATCTCATGGACCAAGGCACAGACGTTGTGGACATCTTGGCAGGACGGATTATCCCGTTGAGATTGGGTTACGTTCCCGTCGTCAATCGAGGTCAGAGGGATATTGACCAGTCCAAATCCATCGCATCGGCCTTGGAGAACGAGAAGAAGTTCTTCGAGAACCATGCTAGCTACGCGAGCAAGGCTCAGTACTGCGGTACTCCGTGGTTAGCCAGAAAGCTTAACATTGTGAGGGGCTCCAATGTGAAAGTGAACGATGTTGACACATGCCTTAGATCCTGATGCACCATATCCGAAACACACTCCCCGATATCAAGGCGCGAATAGGCCAACAGTTGGCCAAATACAATGCCGAACTTGCATCTTTAGGAGGTCCGATGGGAGAGACTAACCCTGGCTCCGTGGTCTTGTCCACGATCACTGAATTCTGTGCCGAATTCCGATCTGCCATTGATGGAAACACCAACGATCTGTCTCTCAACGAACTGTCCGGGGGTGCTCGAATCTCCTTCGTCTTCCACGAGTTGTACAACAGTGGGGTCAAAAGCATCGATCCCTTCGACCAGGTCCGAGATGGCGACATCCGAACTATCCTTTACAACTCCTCTGGATCTACTCCTTCCCTATTCGTTGGCACTACCGCGTTTGAAGTCATCGTCAAGCAGCAGATCCGCCGGCTGGAAGATCCTTCGTTGAGATGCTGCAGCTTGGTATACGACGAACTCATCAGAATCCTGGGTCAATTGTTGACGAAGACAGTACGTCAGGTCCCCAACCTCTTGAAACTCAGCTGATCCCCGCCAAGTCGTCCTTTAAGCGATACCCTGAGCTCAAAGAACGATTCAACCTAGTCGTCATCAATTTCTTCAAGAATTGCATGGGACCTACAAATAAGCTCGTGACCGACATGGTCGCCGCTCAAGCCTGTTATGTCAACACAACTCATCCCGACTTTTTGAACGGGCACAAGGCCATGGCGATCGTCACGGAACGCATGAACGCCAACAAGCCACCTGAGAAGCCAATCGACCCCAAGAGCGGGAAATTAGCACCTGGCCAGTTGAATAATGGTCGAGATCTCGATGCCGATTTCAAGAAGGACGAGCCGAGCTTCTTTGGAAGCTTCTTCGCCAAAGACAAGCCAAAGAAGAAAGGTGGTCAAATGGAGGCCCCTCCTCCCGTCATCAAGCCTGTGGCGTCGTTGAATGAGAGAGAAATCATGGAGACGGAAGTCATCAGTGAGCTGTTCAAGGCTGAACTGAGGAACATCAGATGTTGACTTGATTCAGAACTGCTCATCCAATCCTACTTCTCTCTCGTCAAACGAGAGATGATCGACATGGTACCTAAAGCCATCACATTGACCTTGGTCAATTTCGCCAAGGAGAACTTGCAGAAGGAGCTCTTGGAACATCTGTACAAGCCTGACGTGCTAGAGGAACTGCTCAAGGAGTCGCCTGATGTCGTTGCGAGGAGACGCGAATGTGTTAAGATGGTTGGTGCACTGAACGCCGCGGAGGCCATTGTCGCTACGGTTTAAATCTATCTCTCTGAGAAAGGGCTAGGGATAGAGTGTGGTAATCACTTGTACATGCATGATGATTCACGACGAAGGGCCACGAGTGACGGCGTCATTGGGACAAACTTGACACCGGACTCGGCAAGAGCCGGTTGACCCGAGATTGAAAGGCAGTAAAGGCAGTAAAGGCAGTCACGGAGAGGCAATCATGCTTTGGAACTGTTGCTATACGCAATGCCATACATATCGACAGAAGCTCTAGTCGGCGCGGCTCTCTTAGTCGTGTTGGCTCTGGGATATCAATATGCTCCCAAGAACCAAGGCTCGGGAAGCTCGAAGAAAAAGGCGAAGAGGAAGAACAAGAAGAACGGCGCTCCTGTAGATGATGATGTAGCGTCTGAGAAGGTCGAATCTTCCTCGACAAATGCGAAGAAGGGCAATAAGGGTCCGAAGAAGCAGCAGAATGGAGTCGGCCCACATGGAGCGAAGGACGTGACCAAGGTAATGCAAGAGCAAAGAACTGTTGAGCCTGAACCGAAGGAGGAAGGAGATGAAGCGGTTGGGAATGGTCCGAGCTTCGCTGCTGTTGCTAGCTCTTCCACTTCTATGACCCAAGGCACAGCAAAGCCAAAGACTCTGGCAGAGAGACTTGCTCCCAAAGCGAGGAAGACAAAGGTCGACGAGTGAGTTGCAGGCTCCGTTTGAAACCCAGGACTGACATGTCAATCACGAAAGCATGCTCGATCCTGAGGATTTACCTCCGACTCATGCTCGCGTGATGAAGATTGTGAATCCTAGAGCCTCGAGTACTCCGTCCACCAGTCATGATCCAGCGCCATCAGTCACTTCATCTAGTGCGGCTTCTGCTCCTGTAGACGAAAAGGTCTCAAAGTTCTCGGAAGACTATACGTCTGAATCGGAGGGCAGTACAGTCGAAGACGACGGATGGAATGTGGTCCAAAGCAAACCGAAAAGTGAGGACATACCCTATGACAGGAGCTACATCTTAGTGCTATGCTACGTGTGCTGCGAAGTAGCGTATTCCTCTGACTGACCTCACCTTTAGAAGCCATCTCTTTGTCCCTCTCTGGACCTTCTTCATCGTCACATGCGTCTTCCATACCTGGCGGAGCTGCCCCTTTGCCCGTCTCGACAAAGACGCAGCGGAAGAATGCTAAAAAGTCAGAAGCGAAAAAGGCAGCAAGAGCAGCGGAAGAAGAGGACAGACAGCGCAGATTGGCGATGCACAAGCGGGATCTGCAGCGAGAAAGGATCAACGAGATCTACACGGCTGGTAAGAAGAAGCCGGGCAATGGCGGAGGGGGCAAGTCGACCGCTTCGGCAACTGTCGATCAGAGCGGCAAGCTCGTCTGGGACTGAGGAGTCAACCCTACGCCGTCTAGCCATGACCGTAGATCGACGTCAAATGTCGCTTTGGGCAGCAGATATCTGGCTCATCTGGGGGAATCGCACGACGAGACAGTCGAATTCTGTTCAGAATGAAAAGCGGCATTGGCTATACCCAGCACATGTCATGTCATACCAATCGATGCATTCTATACATGACAGGACTCTGATGATGCAGAGCGGCTCACCCAGGCGACGTAGCCTGACGATTACTGTGCAAGAAAGGATCAGCTTCTCCGGCAACCCCTCCAAGCATTCAGCTCACGTTGTAAAACTTTCTGTTCTCGTTCTTGCCGAACAAGTCTTCGCGCAGCTCGGGAAGCATCTGATCAAGCATTAGCGAAGAGTGCGACAGGGAGCTCCCGGACGATCGAAGAGTATCCTCACCTTCTCTTGGAGGATCTTCAATCTCTCTTCAAGAGTGTCATCGACCTTGATCCTCCCTCCCATAGTTGACCCAGTGATCCCACCAGCACTCTCATCTGACAATGATCCATCGTATGACACTTTTGATTCCCGTCCAGACATTTCCTTGTATCGCTTCAAAGCCGCGTTGGTGGCCTTCTTGACGACATCGGCATCTTTTGGACGGTGAGAAAGGGTGACCTCGGTGGAGAGCAGCAGAAGGAGGATCTGGAGCGCATCGCATATGTCAACAGGAGTTCGGAACAGAAGAATGACAGATCCAACTCACCTCGAGTATCAGATTCTCGAGTGCTTTGGCGTACTCGCTTCCTGATGAAAGAGAGTTGACCTGCTTGGCTGCTTCTTCGAAGAGGTTGTTGAGGTGATCATTTCGAGCTTTGAGGATCTGAATCCGAGAGTTGTTCAAAGCGGTAGATTGAGAGCTGAGGGGATCATAACATGAGTATAAGTCCAATCGATATAGGTCAGATAGCGGGAGAACGTTGATGTTATGGAAGAGCCTCAGGCGCACCACTCACATCTTCCAACCTGTTTCAGCCTGTTTCCGCTTTTTCTCGTATTGCGCATCTATCGCCAGAGACTCCTGTCGGACAATTTTCGCCTGTATTGAGAACATCGTAAGCATTCAGTCTGTCCTCCACCGCCGAGCAGTTGCGCCTGATGAATCCTTTGCTCACCTTTTCAATCGCGAACTCCTCATCAGCTTTAACCTGGATCTCTCTAGCTTTTTCTCGCGCTTCTTGGGAGATGAACGCAACCTAGGGAGGATGTATCAGCGACAACAAGTCTCCCACATCACTACCAGGATGGTTCGATATTCAGGTTTACAAAATGATGACCTGACGATCGAGTGACGCTCAGAGCGCCCGCCGTCCGGAATGGAGGGAGTGGAGATGGCAGCGAGGAGAAAGGCGTGTCTCACCATTTTATTCATCTCCGTTTGGATCTCATTGTCGGAGAGGGCCCCTCGAGACATCTTGGTATGCTTTGTTGGGATGTATCAATCTTGTGGTATGAGTCGCACAGCAGATCAAGTGATCTATAGGATAAAGGGTCATGAACGCAGAATAAGTGAAGGGCGAGGGGAGACGGAAGCAAAGTGTGGCACTCGGCTCGCTCTTGGCTGATGAATTACTATGCAGTCCAATATATCATCGGCATACTACATGACAAGGGTTCTAAGCAAAGATTGTATGCATCCAGGCACATCAAGCCGGCCTCTCTTCCATCTCCACTACCCTCAGTTCCAGCTCCATCTCCTCCATGGTCTCTGTCAAGAGACCCAGCTCCCATTTTCCCCAGACGAAGCCAGTATAGAGGAATGTCGCTCCTGCTGCACCGCACGCTCCTCCAAGCAGTGTAAAGATGGGCTGTATCCAAGATTTAGGCTGCCATGCTGAGCCGATGGTTAGACCGATGAGTGCCAGGACAATGACAACAAATATGCGCAGATGATTCTTAGCCCCTTTCTGAGAGATTCGGGTGTAATCTCTGAGCGTAGCTAGGGCTTTTCGGATGATCTGGGACTTGTCCGTCTGAGCCGCTGTCCGGGACGTTGAAGTTCGCGGAGAAGAAGGCGAGGATGAGGTTGCAGGCATAACTGGAGCGTAGGTGTTGGATTCCTCGGTCAATGGTTCAGCGTGGGTGGACATTAAAGGGACGAGGGGGGTGAATGATGACGTCGATTTTGAGGCCGATTCGTGGCTGTTGGCTGAAGCTGTGGGTCCAGGACCGTTGATACCGGATCCATTCTGTTGCGTGTGCTCAAATGTGAACGTTGATGTCAAACCAAAATGATCCGAGTAGGAAAAGTCGTGTCCAGGAACGAGTTCTGTGAATACTAGTCGACTATCTGTGCACCGCAACATTGGAGCTCGTTGCACACTGTGAGGGATCGACTTGCCCTGTTCCAGCTTGGCATCACCGGTCGGCCACCCATCAGCATCGTAAGAAGTCTGACCTCCGGATCCCTCAGCTTCTGAATCTGGGTCATCTCTGTATCCCCAGATTAAAGGTCTCCGACGAGCCACGGCGGGTCCACAATGGAATATGTAGTCTAGCCTTTTGCCTCCTTGATCGGTGATATTCTGAGGTATGGGCTTTGAAGCGGACCATGTGTTCAGTCTCGAGTCGCAAGACATCCCATACTCTTCGACGCCGACCCTGGCATCTACGACGGACGGCCCAGCATTGGCGGATGGATGTGCATCCAGATACGAGTCTGACATGTTTGCGTGGTGTCTCATGATATTGATAGGGATGGACCAAGGTTGAGAATTGAAGTCTCCCATACAGAGTACGTAACGACCTTTCGCGGCGCTTGATCTAATAGCGTTGGCGAGTTGCCAGCTCTCAGCGATACGGTGAGCTTGTCTGGTATCCGGTGGATTTTCTCCTGCCGCGTGCATCTGTTGACAGAGGTCAGAGCTACACGAAAGTAATTCCATTTGGTCGCTCACATGGGTATTCCAGATCTCCACCTCTCCCAGGACAGGATGTAGGATGACTACGCTTCCCGCCGCTTTCTTGACAAAGAAATCGCCATCTATGGCGTGGGCAGGTGACCCAGATAGGGAATACGGGAATGCCTGAGCAGCGATCAAGGGAAACCTAGTAAAGATGGCAAGACCAGACCCAAGAGCTCCGCTATTCTGGACTTCAGTCTCATCCAAGCCCACCAGATTGAGCTGTTGGCGAACGATAGCACAAACTCACGTGTGGAAGAATCTAGAGAATGGCAAATTGTCCGAGACAGAGTTCCGAATGATCTCGTAGTCTTTGTAGACCCAAACCTCTTGCAGGCATACAATGTCATATTCGGAGCCTCTCAGAGCCTCTGCTATGGCACGTATTCTAGGTGTTTTCTCTTTTGATACGACTGCAAGGCCCCTGCATATTTTGCGATTAGCAGGTACCACCATTCTTAGCTGTCTCGCGACCTACCAAACATTGAATGACAATACTTTGAGCTCGCGCTCCTTACTCGACGAGCTCATATCGCTTCTAGCTGCAGATTTTCGATATCTATCGCCCTAACGATCGCATACAGGACCCCAAAAAGCTTCTTAATCGATATCTACACCACTTTGACCTGGACAGATCCAGACACAAAACACACAAGAATGACGGGGCGGATCGACGTCAACGTACGATCCCACGTGGACGAGCTTGACACGTGATATTCCGCTAAAGCCGAAGAAATGCAGATGGACCCTGACCAGAGCCACCTCTGAATCCAGGGAGGGACCTCGACGAAATGGCGGGGGCAGGATATGCGATCTTACAGTCAGACAGCCTTCGAGATCGTCATGTACTTGTTTTTAGTCCGTATACGCGAAAGGGGTACATTGACTGGCCGTGTGAGGAGGCATACATCCGTCACGGCCCCTCTGCCTCTAAACCTCGCACGGGAATTGCTTCTCCCCCAACCCTGTGGGACACAGGCGAACCTCTACGACACGATCGAAAGAGATTTTTGCACGATTTCCCAGCATCTTGAAGCAATCGACGTCCGACATGCCGCTCTATAAACAGGTGTCTCGCACTTAGACAGTGGCAAAGAACAGAAAACGGTCACGTCCAGTGCAAATCGCTCTGGAGAATGATGCGTGATAGGTTTCTGTCCAATTATAGGTCGCCTGCTGCTGCGCCTTGAAGGGGAATGGGCAGGAAAGCTACACATGTAAGAGACATCGCCATCCAGGTAAATGTGAGTGGGCCTGCTGTAAAGAATCACCTCAGGCGCAGATGCAGCTGATGAATATCAGGTGCTGAGCTCTAATGGGCAGCATCCTTCCTGGCTGCTCGTGATATGCGACTCCATCTTGGTGGTCTTGGCTGTTCTCTCCACCGCAGTTCCCCTCACAGCCGCTTAATGCAATTCAGGTTGGCTTCATCTGAATTGGCTATGTCACTCGAGTCCAGTGAAGCGTCCCTTTTCGCGCAAAGCGCGCTTTCAGGATCAAGGCTCCCTGTACTCTTCTGGGAATCCTCGAGAGCAAGATTGTGATAGCTTGGCTTTTCCCGTCCGAAGCCGCGCACTATTGGCCCTATGGCGAGACTACGCTGTGCTTACGACTGTCGCCGTTGCATGTTCTCCCCACTACGACACTTCTTCGCCACACTGGAATTCCGAGAGGCTCGCAGGGACATCCATATGGGAGCTGGGAGGGATGAGTGGCCATGAGCTTCGGCGCTACTTTTGCGAGAAGCTTCCTGCTCATGTCCAACATGTGTTGGCCTGGCTGTCGGCGGCAAGGGCCCGCATGTGAAAGCTTCCCTCTCAGTCAGGCTGTTTTCCTGCCTCTTCTCAGAGTGTCTCGGTGACTCTGCATCCGTACGGCACAATTGAGGATCGTTCCATAGTGTGCATCTCACTACAAGGTACGGTCCAAAGGGTTGTACATTGCTATCTCCTGTCGTGATCTCCACCAGCGTGGGGCTTGACAAACATTGCACTTCAGCACACACATGTTAGAAAGCGGAGTTGTCCACTCTTCACATTACGCTCGTCATGGCTCAGACCCTTCTTTACTCAATGGTGTCGCGGCAGTGGCATGCTCAACTGTTCCCCGTGTCGTCGTTGGAACGTCGTACCTGTGTCTGGTCCTCTTCCATTCTCGTAATCGCTGGCACGGGAAGGCACGAGGATGTCAGGTGTTTGCTTAACGTTTCTCTCCAGGCCAAATATTCCCCGAACGCCACTTTCAGACTCAGCTGGAGCCGTGAGTGGGCTCTCCGCAGTTCAGGCTCACGCCGCTGCCCTTCGGTGTTGGCAAAGTGGGACAAATATGCGAGGCGACATCTCGTGCTCAGTAAAAGGGGCGACTACGCCGACTTTTGCTCGCCCAAGCATCTCTTCTGACATTGAGTCAATGGACACCGCTGGCATCTTGTAACGATCCCAGACAAGGGCCTAGGCGTGAAGGATACGAAGTACATGTGCCCTGTCATGAAGATGGCACCCCCGCAGCTATGACGTGCCACACACGGTTTCGAGAGACACGGACGATGCCTTGGATTTAGGCTATTGCCGATATCGATCGCACTGGAGCGTCTTTTCCCTGGATCCCGAAAAGGCACATTCTTTCAGGTCATGAAGCGCTGCTCACATAGAAATACGAGGTCAGAGTCTCTTGAGCAGAGTGAGAAGCAACACAGGGTATTAATAAAAACCTACACTAAACTCAAAAAGTAATGTGGGCGGTCTCTTTTTTTTCAGCATCGATTTCTTCGTCCTGCTGGCTCTCGCCTTTTACTCGCTAATCTGATTCTCCCGAACTTCGCCTTGGAGTTGCGGGATCCCGCCTCTGTGGATATGCACAGGGAGAGCTTGATTCTGATTGTGGCTTGACGAAGTGACGCCGACCAGGCGAGAAGTGGAGCGCGAGCAGAGCAGAGAACAAGGCGCAGAAAGAGGCATTCTCAGCTGCAAATGAATGGTGGCGTGGGTGCATTCACTCAGAGTTCCGCTGCTCTCTCGTCGCAGAGGGGAAAAAAGGCATTATGGAAATGATCCTGTTCGGACCTGGTCAAATCATGCGGGTGGTTAACCATTCTCCTTCCCATTGCAAGGTATTTTCCAGGGACAACGGCTCCTCGGAGTCGGTTGTCTCACCACTGACTAGCACAGAGGTGGATCTTCCGACTCCATCACGAGGAGCCAGACACACTGTTCTATACCGGACAAATCCATTCGCGTCATGCATAGAGCCTAGAATAGTCCGACGCAAAATGAGTTCTTGACCAAGAGGCAAAGCAAGAGGTTGGGGAGGGCGTCGTTTTGCGCCCCTCACACCACAATTTATTACAAGGTGCGATCGAACGATCATGGTCAGATTGGGCCGATCGAAAGTCCGGGTTTTTGCAATACGCCATGCGTGCCTCACTTTTGAACTTGGATAGAAGGACGAGGAACGAGTAATAACAACATCGGGGAATCTACATTCTTTTGTGATCTCATTGCATCATCATCATCCTCTCCTCAATCCCGACTGAGCGAGTCATACGTCTACTGTTGCCGTCTGTTGACATAAGACTAAAAGGTGAGCCACGAGGACCACCCAGGGTAGCAGGCTCGTCGTCCCTTTTTCACTCCCTTTTGCCCTTTCATCTCTCTCACTCTCTCCCTCTCTCCCACGGCATCCCCGCGGGGAGTGAATAAAGAGTAATCACAACAACAGACGGAGGATCTGGATGTTTTCTTTGTTGGAGTCGTTTCCAATTGAGTCGGAGCCTTTTCGATCTTACAGTGACAGACAGGCGATCCTCCGTGCTGGTGTGGATCACAGCCACGACCTATCGACCTACTGCTTCAGAGGAATAGGAGGACGGTAGAGGGATCCTGCCTGCGATTGTGAAAATTAAACGACGGGGAAGCTGATCGGCAAAGTTGGTGTGGTTTTTTTACACATATCAGGCACTAGTCGAGCGGTAAAGGCATAACATAACATTTGTTGGACACCTTGTTCGAGCGTGCAGCTATACATCGACCGACGCTGAGCAGGTGGTGGTGGTATTGTTGTTGTTGTCGAACCTGGATTGTGTGCGGCATTCTTATCAGGGTCGTCCATTGACATTCGGTGAGTTTATTTTCTCTTGTTTTGGGTCGACAGGCACACCGGGAGACACTAGTCAATCGCCTAGCTTGCTCGGTCAATGTCGTCCTCGCGACGCACATGGAACGACGCGCGACGTGGGCATGTCGCCCGTCGTTGTGTTTATTGTCACTCTCTCGTCCAGTAGCGAAGAGCTCAGGAGAAGCGAGATAAGATATCAGGATCAAATTTCAGACCCCGCTCTGTCACAGTCGTCTCCGTCGAAAGGCAGCAAACACAGGAAACCTTGGTTCATCATTCGCTGACGTTCTTCTTCCTGGGCCGTCTTCACATCAGTCAGTCGCCGGATTCTCCGCTTGGATACGCTCCACACCTCCGTCTATCTGGCCCAGCCTCTACTTGGACTGGCCAAACGCCTGCAACTTTCGACCTAGGCTTAGAATTCATCACAGCACGACGGAGAGAAATCTGGCCGGCCCGAATCTTGATCAATGCAGAGGATGAATACAGCGCTCTGTAGACCTTTCCATGTCACGTCGATCCCCATCAGAATCGAGCCGCAAGCGACATAAACCTTTGGCGTCGAGCGTGGCATCAAGCAGTAGTCACCCAGTGATCACAGAGGATCTGGATTACTCAGAAACGTCTCTTTCAGGAACCGGAAGACATCCGGATCAATCAGAACATTACCAAAGGCAGCAGCGCATTTCGAGAAAACATTCTATAGCACACTTGTTGAGGAGTCCTTCACCTTCCGGATCTGTCGGCTCACAGCGTCCGCTATCGCGGGGCGAGATGGCACAACATCCACTCGACAGACATCAGAAAGAGGAGAGAGAAGGGTCGGCATTAAGCGATGAAGGTTCCACAGGATCCGTCGCATCAGTCGTCCTTTCGGCCGGCTCAAACAGCGATTCGCAAGGAGATTGGTCAGTGCGAAGGTCCCATGATCCGCGCGTAAGTTGACAATTGTTCTGTAGGGTATACACCCTCGAGATCATCCAGCAGCCTCAGCGTGCCCGAGCATGTGGTTTTGGCGACAAGGTGAGGGCATCGATCTCTCAGGATGCAAGAAAAAGCTGAGACGCTTCAGGATCGTCGACCATTGTCACCTCCACCTATCATTCGTCTTCGAGTGTACACCTCCAAAGGCGAACTCGTCAATCCTTCGTGAGTCGCCGTTCCGGCCATGCAAGCTGACCCTCCAAGACACGTCAATATCCAATTCCTCATTCTCATGGCTGACCTGTGGTCCGCCGATGGTACTCACCAACGGAATGTAGTTATGCACCCCGGCTCTCAACTGGTTCGAGCACCCGCGTTCGAAGGACCTCCAGGGACAGCAGGCTCATCTTCCTCCGAGTCCAGGTCGGAGCATGGAGGACAGTACGGTTATCCAGGACATTTCCGCTACAACAGTGAGTTACGATCCCTGCAGATTGAGTAAGTTCTCGCTCATCCATCGCACCCGACAGTGCCTGGACTTGTTGGCTCTACTTCCGCAGCTACCACCTCTTCACCAGTCACCGAGTCCTCACTTGAAAAGTTACAATCTCAATCTCCCTCCGCGTCATACTGGGATTCTCAGCGGAATGAAGGCTTACAGACAAGAGGCGAAACCATGCGGCTTGCTAAGCCCGCCGCCGACTACCCTCACCAATCTGCTTCTCAGATCGCTTCCTCCTCTCGTCCTACCACCGCTTCTGGACCACTTACAAGATTAGACGCCCTCAAAGGGTCCCCCAGCACCCCTTCAGGATCAAGACCTGCCACTTCCGGACTATCCGGATCCCTCCGCCCGTCATATCAGCATCCAGATCAATCCACCACGTCCCGCCCATCCAGTTCTTATAATAGACCTCAATCCTCTCATCTGACTCTTGCCCCAATTTCCAGACCCTCCACATCTGGATCTCGCACACAATTCTCACATCGGGAACCATTATTATCACCGATGTTAGCTGCCGGTGAAGGCCACGCAGACCAATCGTTCCGTCCTGACTCCAGCTCATCACACCTCGATAGGCCGTTTACTGGCGTGTCAGCCGTTTCTGGATTCTCTGGGCGCCCTTCCACCAGTGGCGCGCGGCCCTCAACAGCGTCGACATATCCTCTCCCTACCACTCCGACTTATCCTCGACCGCTTCACTCTCCTATCATCGCCTCATATGCTCAATTCGATGACCCTTCCCGGCTGCAAATGGCTACTGGCGCAACCGCCAACTACTCCAGAGTACTTGTAGGAACGCTTTGCTGCGTCTGTCAAAGATTGTCCGACGAACATGGAGAGCCTGGGCTGTTCTTCTTCGCCCATGATCTCGGTATCAGGACTGAAGGCAGCTTTAGGCTGAGATTCACATTGACCAGTCTGGCGAGGTGCGTCCATGTTCTGGTCGAGGAGCGGTTTGTAGCTGACGCGCATTCTTTCTGCGATTCCAGTATGATGCAAAATCATCGTCCGGACAACACAGCGCCTGTCTTAGCAGAAGTTCAGTCAGAGGCATTTACAGTCTAGTGAGTAACGAGGTGATATCCTTCATCTGCCACGAATCACTAAAGCTTGTCTGCAGTTCTGCCAAGAAGTTTCCAGGTGTCATTCCCACAACTGAGCTTACACGAGTATTCGCCAGGCAGAACGTGCGATTGCCCACTAGACAACGAAGACAGGGTAGAGCGAGATCCGAAGGTGATTCAGAGGATGAGGACGATTAGGTAGCTAGTACTATAATCGATTGCGCTCGTCTACCGGCCATACGATCCGTCAGCCTACGGTCGTCATGGGACGGAAGCAGTATCGCAACGTTTCGGAATGAATAACTGTACAGCGGAATCAAATTTCGCCACACTCACATCTCCATGTAAACAAGGCCGCGACTGTCTTTTGAGAAGGATGATTTTCAACTCAACCCGTTCATTCATATCTATTCCAGTTCATATCCTCGTGAGACCTCGCAACCAGCCATTTCCACTTCAGCGTTCCTCAGAGAATCATGACTCGTGGACCAGCTCCAATTGAGAAGGACTCGCCACCTTTGTCTCCCCACTTGGCACATTATACACTCACCCATTCGATGCCTGAAATGCCGTCGACTCCTGCGCCTACAAAGGCCAGGATCAGCCATCTGGAGAGCCAGATTTCAGAGCTGGTGAGGAGGTCTCATGCTATCGAGAGAAAACACAAGATGGAGGTCGGCGAATACGTCGAGGAAGTGGACCGATTGAAACGAGAGTTAAAAGCTAGCGAAGAGTTCAAGACCAAAGCCGGTGATATGGACAGGATGAAAGCAGAGGCGGAGCAGCTAAAGGAGGAGGTGGGGAAACAGGCTGGACATGGGCGACTATAGAACTGACTCAACAACTCGTAGCTCAACCTACACTCGCTGGTCCAACAGCAGAAAGCTCTTTTGGCAGTAGTCAGCGAACAGATGGATCTGATCGACATGGAATACCAGAACTTGCAACTGCAGTCGGAGCGAGGTGAGCAGACAGCATGTCAGAGATAGTACAGTATCGGCTTATACATCCTATCAGTGATGCGAGACTACAAGATGACGCTCTTCGAAGCCAGGGAAGATGATCTCAACGCCGAGCTGGCGGAGAAGGACGCCCAAATGGCTGATCTCGAGGTCCGTCATTGGACTGCCGAGGCATGCGACATTATGGCTGATCTCGAGGTCTATATCAGATCGCTCTGGCGGAGGCTAATACCTCGATAGCGCATCAACAAGCTGCAGAAAGTAAAGCGGCTCGCGAGGAGACAAAGGCCCTTGCAGCGAGAATTGTGATATTAGAGAAGGAGCTGAAGGTGTCGAAGGAAAAGGAAAGGACTTTGAGGACAGAGCTTGACTCGGCTCTCACGTCAGAACAGAGTCGCGATGGTTCAGTGAGTCGAGTGTTTGAGAAAGGAAGATTGGCCTGACTCCCGCCCTAAGACTGAAAAGGAGAAAAGCGAGCTCAAAAAGTCTCTGCGAGAGACCAAGGCCATGCTGGCGAAGAAGACGGAAGAATTCTCTGATCTACAGGAGGAATTGTCCAGTCTTCAGGAGGCTAGCAAAGAGCGAGAGAAAACCTTGAAGGCCAAGATCAAGGACGCAGTCGCAGAGAGGGATCGTTTGGTAGGCGTAGAGGTGAGCTTGAATTGTCTAATGAGTAAACATGGCTTGAAGCTGAAATCTCGGCTGCAGGTCGAGCTGGAGAGCCTCAAGAGTGCGAATGCGAAGCTTCGAGCCACAACGTCGGATGCCGCTAAAAAAGCACCGAAAGCACCGAAATCCAAGAAGGTGAGCCGGGTCGGTCAGCTTGTAAGGCTTGGAAGTTACTGATACCGTTTCTTCGAAGCCTGCATCTGACTCTGAAGATGAGATAGTCCCTGCCAAAAAGGCTCGCAAAGCTGCTCAGGTGAGATCGTTTCCTTGTGCCCGGTCGCCGGTCAATTGACCTCTCCTGCGACAACCAGGCCGACACCTCCCACCTCCCTGCTCTGAAGGAGATGACCTCCAATGACACTTCTAAATTGCAGCCTTCTATCCCGTCGGTCAAAGTAACTGGTACAGACAACGGGGATGTCTCACTCGCGAGTACCGCTGAACCGGAGAAGAAGAAGAAGCGCAAGCTTTTTGGGGCAGCTCCGGCTTTCACTTGGGATCCCATTATGAGTGTGAGTGAATGAGACCCCGTGATAATCGGTGCTCATCGATTGTCACAGTCAGGGGACGGGGTTATTCCTGCCTGCTTGTCGCCCGTGAAGCCAAATGAAAAGGCTGCGGTTGGTACGATCCCTCGAAAAGGGTTCGGAAGTATGGCCAGTGCTCGCAACCTTTCGCGTCTGGTTTGAGTTACTGCATAATTAGCTTTCGGAGTCTGGCTTGCTTGCGGTTATGCATTTGTCTGTGATCGTCGTACTATGATGTGCTACGTTATACAAGTTTACAAGAGACTACGGCTACCTCATCCATCGAATCTGTACTTTTCTCTCAATTTCTGTCCCCACTTGAACATCTGTCTCGAAGAATCAACTGAAAGTTCAAATTGAACGTAAGACTTACGATCAACGGGGCTGGTATACCGGCCGCTGCTACCAATGCCAATAATGTCCCTCCCCATCCCCACCCTAACTTTTTGAACATCTCTCCGGTGAACTCGGGGAGAACACAAGCGGTGATGGATCGGCACTGATTCACTGTGAGCGAAACTCGAGGGTGCAAAGTCAAGGGTGACATACGGCGGTCGCTGCTGCGATTGCTGCTGCAGAGTATGGGAAGAATGCATCGACGATGCTGACAGGCCAGATCAGCAAGTCTCTGGCGTGATGTGCCCGACGGAGAAGATGGGCCACGAAAGCCTCACAAATTTTGTATACTGTTGAAAGCCAATGTGAGACCCAAGAGGGTGATGACTTGACCGATCTGAGGTGCTATCCAGTGAAGACGAGCTTCGGCTGTCCAAGCCTGGCACCGGACATTTAACCAGACGATCGAGATCAGAGCAAAGCAGGGCGACTCACAAAGATCAAGAGTCCTATGGGAAGAAGACACATTCCAGTCTGCGTCAGAACGAGCTGAAGAATTGTCAAACATGGATAGCAATAACCGTCGGTTTTACTCACTCTGTACTCTGGTTGTCCCACTTTGGCATCTCCAGCTCGTTTCGACAGCCGCTTATAGATCTTGTCTTGGGCCGTCGCGGCGATGGCAGCGGCGAGGAGAAAACCGACCACTAAGATGAGTGTAAGCAACTTGCTCGATGGCGAATGGATGGTCTATCGCTCACTGAGACCAAGGTATGCAAGTGATAAAGTAGCATCCGGGAATTGATAGGAGAATAGAATGTTGGGTTGACCAAATGGCTCTCGGCCGTACAAAAGGGGAACGCTGACGAGGAAAACGTAGATGATGGCTGGGGACATGAGCAAGGTTTTGCTTGACGGAACGCGCTCACCATAGATGTACGCGTAGTACAATGAGAACATGATACAGACTGGGTTGGTGAATAGCAACCTTGGAGGTCGAGAAAAGGCCTTTTTGAAAACGTCTTTTGCATCTTCTGCAGAAACCATGACTCTCATCCAAGCCAGACGATGATTAATGGTCCTTGGAGATATTTGATCACACCATGATGCAGGAATATCAAAAGGATGAGAGACCTGATACTTCAGCTTCTTCTCGAGGACCCTGGATCAGTAGTCATCAGCTTTGCGTGCTGACTTGCAAAGGACATTGTCTCACGGAGCATAGGTCTCCTCGGTCAACCATAGGAAGAGGATGAAATTAATCAGGGCCATGATGGTAATGGCATAGAATAGCCATCTCCAGCCCCCGTACAGAATCCAGTAGCCCAACATACTGCCAAGCACGGGGCCTGCCTAAGTACAGATTCAGGATGCGAGCCCAGTGTGAGTACGTGGATACCCACCATTGGTCCCATTGCATAGATGGACACCGGTCGGCCTCTCTCAGCTGGGGAGAATATCTGAGGGGCTGTGAGAATGCGTAGACGAAGGTGTCGGGACCGCACTTACATCTGCACAGGTCGCCACACCAAGAGCAGGGCCACAAGATCCGAACACACCACAGAAGCTTGAGTACGGGTGAGCTGAAAGTCTACCACCTGAGGGAAGGAGAAGACTCACAACCGAAGAATGACGACCGCCCAGAAGCTAGGTATGAGTCAGTCACCACTGAACCGATCGCAGTTTACCTTTGTGCCACTGCACATCCTAGACTGAACAGAATGTAGGGAAAAAGACTCAATAGATACCCCACTTGGCGACCGTACAGCTCTGATATCGGAGCGTATAGGAAAGGACCGCATCTGAATAGGGGTGGTCAACGGCCACAAACCGGACAAGTGCGTCGTGCGATCGGTGACTCACCCAAGCCCAAGAACATAGAACGTCGTAATGAATATGCCAACCTTCTCATTCGTCTGACCATATTCAGCCATGATGGCATGTATACCCGGTACCCCAATCGAACTGCCACACGTCGAGATGAATCCCGTCAAAGCCACTGTCAGTGTGATTCGCCATTTCTTTCGGTTCGTCCAGTTCCTCGGATTCTTGGAGGACGTCTCGAAGTTTTCCAGATCTCGTGCCGCACTCTGAGCCGTGGTTGATTTGACAAGGGGCTTGAAGCCAATCAGACTCTCTGAAGGTAGTGGCGTCACCTCAGGCCTTTCTTGATCTCGCTGCAGTGTATCTCCTGCTCCTCTGGACTCGACAGCGGTCCCTCGGGATGAGCATGACATGCTTCAAGTTAGTGTTTGTAAGGCGGGGAAAGGGGAGGGTGGGGGAAACGCGCCTCCTCGTTACATGTACAGATGCAGTTCCAACGTTGGAGTAACCATCCTGAATCCTCTTCCGACTCGATTAACCTGCTGGTCGGGTGGAATAGGACCTCAAATAGACCGATAGATGAGTTTCAAAAAATCTCAGGCGTGATTCCCGGCCCTATGACACACACACTCTTTCGGCCCCGGACGGAATCGGATTTGGCCGACGAGGATGAATATTGTATGCCTATTAACATGCCATCACGTGTCCCTAACGCCTATTAGAGATATCAGTGCTGTCCGTCGTCACTGTCATTGTATGAAGCAGTCGCAAGTAACGAGTCGAGAGTATGAACCGCGGATAGACATGTCGACACTGGATGATTGTGGGCTAAGGCAGGCAGGGATAGTTGCTGATGCACTTAACAGTCGTGGAACGAGCTGCCGGGCCGTCTACTGGCGCTAGGCATACCGTCAATGGCATCTCCAGTCGGACAACAACAACGGCGCCATTGGGCATATCAGATGTCGAGTATGAAGGCTTTGAAAAGGACGAGGGCCATTTAGCTACGCAGGATGACAGTGTGGTGCAGACTGTGAGCAGATCACTCATGACCTATTTGAGTGATTCTCAATGACACCTACACTGTACCAGATGGAAACCGGCTTCATTCCTTCCGCTCGGTTGACCAACTCTGCCCTCCCACCCCTCTTCTCTCTGTCACTAGTCCAATATACGCCCCCATCCTCGCTCATTTGCTTGACAGCCGCCAACAATGTCCTCTTTCTGGCTGCTGCTCCATTGACCATCATCATTATCGATCTCGACAAACCAGATGAGCTAGTCACGGTCGACCTTCCTCGGCCAGCTCAGGAGAAAGGGCAAACCACTCCCTCGCCCAGTCCAGTAATCAAGAGTCTTTTCGTCGATCCGCGAGCACGTCATCTGCTCATCACAACCACTACTGGCGATACCTTCTACCTCCCCATCAGCCCTGGCAATCCTGCTGTTCAATCACGACGAGCGAGACCATTACGTTTGCGTCAAACCATCACTTCGGTAGCTTGGTCGCCCTATGCTGGATCCACAGACCCTTCTGGAGGGGATCACACACCTTCAAAGAACGATCAAGTCACTCCGCCTAGTACCGACATTCTCCTAGGAACACTCAGCGGTCAAATATTGTCTATGCCACTACCGCCGCAGGACGACATCTTCAAATCCGTCTCGATATCCATGACGAAGCCGCTGGAGAGAGATCTACAATCTGTGTATTCGGTTCCAGATGGCCGACCAGTCACTGGACTCGCCTTTGGCTTTTGGCCAAGTACAGAAACGTCTAGAGGCACAAAAGCCCGGAGAGCTTGGACCGTCATCACGACACAAGAGAGGATATACGAGCTTCAAGGGGAGGTCGGCACGGCGCATGTTGGTGGAAAAACCGGCGGCTGGGCGGAAGAGCTCTTCAAACCGTTCAGGGAAGGAACTCCAAGTAAGCAGATTGATTGCTTGCACGTAAATTGCTCTAACACCACGTCAGGCTTCCAAGAGCTGCCGGGTCAGGTCCCAAACTCTCAGCTTTGCCTGTACAGCGATTCAACGGAGCACACTGCTCGATCATCTCTTCCGTCTCCATCTGCCATGGCTTGGTTGACAGGTGAGCAGTGGCGGCGTCTCAGCTATCTGACTGGACAGCTCCTGGCCTCTATGCATCTGTTCTCACACCCTTACCAACGGCAAAGATCCTCGTTCGGCCTTCTCTCTTGCGGTACCCGTCCGTGGATGATGGACCTAAACAAGGTTCTTCAATCTTTCAGCGCGGCTCAGCCAACTCCCCCGGTCAGCAACCGATACCTTTGGCAGTGACCATCACAAAGTGGCACTGGTTGCTGTTATATTCAGATCGGATTGTTGGAGTATCTCGCGAGACTGAGAAAGTAGTCTACAATGAAGCTATCCCAGTGGTGAGTTCATAAAGTCAGAAATAGGGTCATGTCGCTCATCATCCCCAGGCCTCGGGGGAGAATGTGATCGGATTGTCGTCGGATCCTGCGCATGGCACATATTGGGTGTCGACCGATCGCTCAATATTCGAGGTCCTGATCCAGGACGAAGACCGAGATGTATGGCGCGCAAAATTGGAGAAGGGCGAATTTCAGGATGCGCATCATTATGCGAAGGTACGTACCAGCGGGAGTGGATGCCTTCCCTAACTTCACTTGCTACCCCAGACCCCCGCACAGAAAGACATTGTCTTATCCAGAGAAGCCGATAGCCTCTTCGAGCAAGGGAAGTACATCCTGGCCGCCCAGACGTACGCGAAAAGCACCAGAAGCTTTGAATTTGTGGCTCTACGTTTCGTTGATTCGGATGAACGGGACCCTTTGCGGATATATCTATCCGAAAAGCTCAATCGTCTAGATAAGAAGGTGAGTTGAGGCTGCTGGCATCAACTAACGGGAAAGCTTCGTACACAGCGGATGATGCTGGCGACTTGGCTGGTGGAAATATACCTAAGCAAATGCAATACGCTTGAGGATATTGTCGCGGCAGAGTCGGCCACGTCGGATGTCGAGAGCTTGACCATCGAGCGGCAAATGATGGAGGAGGACATGCGGAATTTCATTACAACCTACCAGGTCAGTGTTTGGATGCCACGTTGGCAAGATGGACATTGACAACTGGCAGAATGACTTGGAACCAAAGGTCGTGTACGAACTGATCATGGGTCACGGGCGTACAGATCTATACTTGTTCTACTGTAACCTAATGAAAGACTACGAAAAGGTAATCGAGCATTGGATAGAAGAGCAGGAATGGGCAAAAGCCATCGATGTCCTTAATCGCCAGGTGGGCCGAAAGTTGGCGGATCTCATCGGTGTTGACTTCTCACCGCAGGACTCGCTCGAACCATATTATCGCTTCGCCTCCGTTCTGATACGTCACGCTCCGAGACCCACAGTCGATTCATGGTGCCGCCGGTCCAAGCTCGTCCCTAGGAAGCTCATCCCCGCTATACTGCAATACAAGCGGTCTCCCAACCAGGATTTGTCATCAGATCAAGCGATCAGATATCTTACTTACCTGGTCAATGATCTCGGCTCGACAGAGACTATCGTGTACAACCTCTTGATTACGCTGTACGCGACCGACTCGGACCCAGATGACGCTCATCTTCTACGATTCCTGACAACATGTCCTGATAATCCCCTCACGGAAGCTCCTTATTACGATCTCGACTATGCTTTGCGGCTTTGTCGACAGCGTAACAGAATCCAGCCGTGCATCCACATTTACTCTAAGATGGGAATGTACGAGAACAGCGTGGACTTGGCATTGCAGCGCGGAGACTTGGAGCTGGCCAAGGCAAATGCGGATCGTCCGGAAGGCGATGACGTGTTGAGAAAGAAGCTTTGGCTCAAGGTAGCTAAATACGTTGTCCAGGAGCGGAAGGATATCAAGAGGTGAGTCATGCTCGATCCATTCAAAGGCTAATGGACACAGCGCGATGAAATTTCTCGAGTCAACTGATCTGGTGAAAATCGAGGACATCCTACCTTTCTTCCCGGATTTCGTGGTGATAGACGACTTCAAAGCCGAAATCTGCACTGCTCTTGAGGAATACTCTGCCAAAATTGAAGAGCTCAAGGCAGAAATGGAGGACGCCACTGCCTCTGCAGATTCCATCAAGCGAGATATCGAAGGTCTACGGAATAGATTTGTCACCGTCGAACAGGGAGACAAATGCTGGAAATGCGGATTGCCCCTGCTCACAAGGCAATTCTACGTTTTTCCCTGTCAGCACTCTTTCCATGCTGATTGTCTGATATCAATGGTGAGTTAAATGTTACGTGAAGATTGTGCGATGTTGATGGATCCTTGAGGCTATGGAAACTCTCCCCTCTGCTACATTGCGCCGCATATTGCAGCTGCAAAATGAGCTGGTCGTTCCGCCGGGAGAAGCAGGCGCGAGACCCCTACTCTCCGCATCGCATGCTGCTGTGGGATCTGGCTCCGGGACGCCACGGAAATCAGGGACACAAATAACGTCTGGCTCAGCAGCCACAGATCTCTTGTTAGGCGTGACAGGTCGCAACAAATTGATGGCCGCGGGCGATCGACTGAGAGAGCTCATCGTACCCGACGCTCTTGCGCAAGCTGTGTCTGTGAGCGTGGGAGTGGGTAAGAAAACGAAGAAGAAGACGAGGGTCGAGGACAACACTAGGACAGAAGAAGCGAGGAAAGAGCTGGACGAGCTGGTGGCGGCGGTCTGCCCACTATGCGAAGGCGCAGTCGTGGGTCTAGATAAGCCTTTCATCAAGCCGGAAGAAGCAGTGGGGGACTGGGATATCTAGCATGGGGAGTCGAAATCTGCATTGTCTCGATCATCATGCAATTGGCTTCCGCTTCTCTGGAAGCCCCGAAGAAACAACAGCCGGTCGCTGTTGTGCTACGCTACCTCGGCTGACTCACTCGCGGTGGTACTCGATCCAGTCACTTCGCACGAGCAACACTTCGTATACGAGAAGCCCGCGAGTCTTTTCACATCCACCTTTGTCTGTCCTGCAGTCATCGTCCTTCGAGCTCAATAGAGCGAGTTCAGGTCCCAGTCATTTGGACGCGGGAACGGAGACGCAGTCTTCGCTGTTGTCAGAGCTCCATGTGATATCGGCTCTCAGGGTAAGGATCACAAGGGATACCTTCCTTTCACCGTGTTGACTTCCCTTGACTGTATTCGAGCCCTGGTCTCGACCTGGACGATATAAGAAGGAGGATGCTGAGTGATCGCTTGCCATGCCCCACCTTCAATCCGCTGCAGCACTCTTACTGTCGAGAAGAGTCATCGACATCCTTGCGCTTTTCCCCAACCTTTGCAATCTCAAGCGCATAGCATGTCTTCCAGCAACACAGGTCGAGACGGCCGGACCAGGTCTTCACGCGTCTTCGATGCCATGGACCGTGTCGGCCTCAGTGAACTTAGCGACTCCCTTGAAGATATACATCGCAGATCGAGAACGATCCTTCCAGAGGGAATCATGGGCGAATTCTCATCTTCAAGCGACAATAACCCCCAGCGACCTCCCCGAGAGGACCGGAGGAGACAGCCTCGCCGGATTTCAAGCGGATCGACATCTCAACCTGCATCGCATCGGGATGATAGAGAAAATGCGCTTAGTTCGACAACGGTGAGATTGACCATGCGCGCAGAGCCCTGAAGCTGATATTAGCGTGTGGACAGGCCAATGAGATGACCTCTGAAATATGCTCTTTATGTTCTGACAAGGCGGTGGTAATCGGCAGTGTGACTTCACCAGCTGAGTATTATCCCGACGATTACGAAGATCCAAGCTTGGCAAGCACCCTGAGAAGGCCCAGCTCCACTCGGCAAGTGTATTATTGCAGAAAGGTGAGCGGGCACAGTCCTAGTGCGCGACTCCGAATAGAACGTGATTGGTTGCTTATAGCGTGTCTCCGGCTTCAGCACTCGCTTGGACAACAGGTCCCAGCTCCGTCCGATACCAGTCGCAGATCCTCAACGAGGGGTAGCCGGACCTCACATCAGAGCCATACCAGCCACCGTTCCGCAGGAGGCCATCGCGCTGCAAGGCGAAATCCCCTCCAAGCATATTACGAAGAGGCTCCATACTATGATAGTCGCTACGATGATCCTCAATGATATCAATCTTAGTTTCAGATTTCACCTCCCCTGTTACGTGACATTCAGAGCTTGATCTAGATGCAGAAGCGATACATTTTTGTTCTTATCCAGAGAGCATCCAGAGCGTGAGAAGGCTTATCTTGCCATTTGTGAACCACGAAATGGCCTGGGATCTTAATGATAAGCTTGGACTTGCCAGATTCATCGGTAAGGCTGCAGCGTGTCGACCGTGAGCTGCATGCATGTCAAGAAGATGGCTCATCCTCGTGTACAAGAGGTATCTTGGCCTGTAACATCTTGACAGCGATCTCGAACAGGTAGTCCAGACATTCGCACTGCGTCTTGGCCTGCTCCCACGTATTACCTGGAAGAAGAAGCCGAGGGATGAGCGATGGGTCGATCCCGTTCCGTGCGACTGCTCACCCCAGACATAGACGCCATGCCTCCTGACGAGGATAGCAGGTGCATCAGGGTAATTCTCCATCGCCTGAGGTATCAGCTTAGACTTATATGACTCGTGCCCACCTGAGCCATTCCAGAAGTCAGATCCTCTTCGTCCGCGGTATTTTCAATGATCGGGACTTCTAGCGTATCGAAGAATCGCAGTGTTGAGTTGACTCCTCCTTTCCTGACGCCCTTGATCATCTCCTGGTGGGAGATCTTAAAAGATTGTGCATCCTTCGGTAGCAAAAGCGTAAGCATGACTGCAGGACATACATCAGTTGATTGAACCTTGGTCATGCCAACTCGCCTGCATGTTGAGAATGCGTATGGATACACGCCCCGGCATTCCGCATGGTGAATGCGTTCCAGAATAGAGGGGTACAAGCGGATTCCTTCAGACCCTATGGGACAATCTCGATTCAGCTGCGGTCGAGAGGAGAAGAACGATATACACTGACCTTCTTTTGAGGTACTCGGATGAAATCTCGCTTACTACCTGGCTTAGGGACTGACGATTGTGCGAAGGGCAGAACAAAGATGTGTTCGGGCTGAATTCGCTCTTTCTGTACGCCTTGGGATTGTCAGCGAAGCTGTGCAGCGGATTTGAGAACCCTCTCACCTGAAGGAGCCAGGTAAACGTGTTCACTAAGATGGTCTCAGTCCTTGGACGGATCTCCCACACGCTCGACTGACCCATGTCTTATGCTGATACCTGTCGCATATGAGCTACAGTCAAAGAAGGATACGAGGACCGGCTCACCTCCACCAGTTCCAGTGACCCATCCAAGATCTACGGCGAAGTCAGTCTTGACATTCCTCATATGGCCTGGCAGATGGTCTGCTCACTGTAGAAACCTCTACATAGATCGCAGATCAAATTTGCAGGCTATTCCAATCAGCAAAGATTTCAAAGAATGACCTGTCTATCCCACATGTTCAGGATCATCACTTCTGATGAGGGCGTCGGGATCATTTGAGCTGTGACTCTGCTCGCCATTGAGTTGATGAACGTGCGATGAGGGCTGAGGGACTGCGGATGAGCTGGACATGACTTCTGGAAGCTGAGATGAGTGTTAGAGGCTCTATAGTCTCCAGGAATACGACCGTGAACTGTGTGATGGCTTGAGACGCCTCGACTTCACTGGGTTGGGAAACTAGACGAACGAGAAAGCAAATGAATAATTTCAGAAGCATTTGGCGTGATCATGTTTCGAAATGCCGAAGGACCGGGGTTGGTAAATGGATGTACCTCTAGAGATCTGCATGTTGACCTTTGTCAGGCCAAAAGACGTACGCGCTGGTACTAGGTCGACGTATCAGCCATGACGATCTTCTCATTATACATCTTCGATCGGTAAGTCCATAATGCTCCACCAAAACCCCTTATACGCTGTCTGTGTCGAAAACGCGAAGTCCCCTTCTGTCATCGGACATTGACGGAATTCACCCTTCTAGGCACTGCGATTGTATCTACTACCAGGATTGGAACAGAACACGACCGCTCAGAGCCCCTTCCACGACAAACTTCAAACCTGGAGTCCATCGATTGGCCCCTGCTCAGCCTAGTCAGACTGCAGGAACGAGAGAGAGCATCTTTTCCAGTGGTTTTTCATCGGGAGGGATAGGCACAGGGATTACTAAGGCTGGGAATGCAATGGGATCAGGAGCTGGAGCGTCACAAAGGGGACTACCGTTTGATGAAGAGGCCAAGTTGGTATATGGGGTCGTGCTGTCATTGAGAAACATGGTCAAAAAGCTGTCAGGGAGGTGGGTCCCAGCCCAGATTTGCAGGAAAACACCGCCCCGCCGCTTGAAAACGTGTCGCTGATCACACTCCTGTGCCACGCAGGGACGAGCCGCTCACTTCCTACTCTACTCCGCATTACAAACTTCACCTCTACGAGACGTTGACAGGATACCGCTTCGTCCTTCTTTCCGACCCATCCTCTGATTCTTTACGTTTCGTTCTGAGGCAACTGTATACCGGAGCGTTCCTGGAATACGTCGTACGGAATCCACTTATAGATATGGATTCGAGGACAGAAGGTATAGACAACGATCAGGTGAGCGCGAATCCAGGCTATATGGTCTATGGTTGACATTGACTCTCAGTTTCGGAGCGCCGTAGATAGACATATGAAGAGTCTGTCGGTCTTCTCATAAATCGACAGGGAGACCATGCATATGCAGATGATAATGTTGTATACAATGCAGATGAATAGCAGGCACGAATTAGTGCGACATCGCGCATCGACACGATATGATAAGACTGTGATCGACAATGAGTTTCCAGATATAGGACCGTCCTACGACACCTGTGTCGCTGGACCTCCACGAGCCTTCCGCCTGCGAGGCGTCTCCGCCTCTTCCATCTCGACATCGTTTTGCTCTCCCAGCGACGCTTCGTCCCCATTCGCAGGCGCAAGCTCCTCATTGCCCTTGTCGTCTGTCTCGGTTTTTGCCTCAAATTTGTTTCGCAAGGTCGTCAACAGACTCTTCTTGACTTCTTTGGCCGTCTTGTCGTCCTTCTGACCTGGACCCGCGGCCTCGGAATCAAGAGTGACCTCTTCACCTCCAACAGCATCGTCAAGTTTGAGTTTTGTAGCGCCAATAGCCAGCATGTCTTCCTGCAGGGCAAATCAGTGTCTTGTCCAGCGTCAGGGCGAGGTTACCCACATCAATCGAATCTTTCGACACCAATTTGATGACTTCGACGTCCTTGTCTTGACCCTGGATACAGTCAGAATCGAATATGAGAGGAGAGGGATCACCTCACGATACGATAGGCCCGATCCGCAGCTTGACGGTCATTATGAGGGTTGAAATCCTGGTCATATATGATGACAACAGACGCGGCTGTCAGATTGATTCCGACTCCACCAGCTTTGGTCGAGAGGAGGAACACCGTGATATCGGGATCCTCTGTGAACTCGTCGACAATGAGTTGACGCTCGTCTGTCCGAGTAGATCCATCGAGCCGAGTATATTTGATGTCCATATGCTGTAAAGCTACCTGAAGTATATCGAGAATCATAACGAACTGGTACATGTCAGATTCGAATCTCCTCTTGATGGTGTCTAGATTTACCTGAGAGAACAGGAGCATTCGCTTGCCCTCTGCCTTGCAGCGATCAATATGCTTTTTCAGAGCGATGACTTTGCCGCCTTCCAGGAAAACATCACGGGACAAAGCGAATTTCTTGATCGACTGCAAACGCGTCAGGACAACCCATCATTTGAGGTCCAGTGACTCACGTCATATTCCGATTCCTCGCAAAAATGGTGGATCTCCGCATCGCTCATAATCTGCAATCACGTCCCTCAGCTGAGGGTACTACAGTTCGGTACTTGCAGCTCACCTCTAGATCCTCGACAACATAGTCGAAATTTGAATCGCACCATTTTGGAGTTCCCAAACACGCTTTCGCAATGGATCTGACCTTGGCATCGGAATAGAGCCGTCTGAATAACAAGGGGTGTGAAGCAGCTTTTCGAAGATCCATAAGAATATGACTCGACGAGCTCGCTGCGGAACCCGACTTCTTTTCCGCCGCTTTAGATCTTGACTTGGCTTTGGGAGCTTCCGTATCATCCGCAGCGTTGGCTTCTGCCTCGAGGGTTGTTTCGTCCATTTCCTGGAGGACTTTCTTGGACCTTTGTAAGGTTTGTCGGTATAATTTGGCTTGCACAGGGGTCATTTGGCAGTGTTCCACCGTCTCAATTTTGGGTGGCAAGTCCAGTACATGGGCTTTCCGACGACGGAGGACAAATGGCGTGAGCATTTTTCTGGCTCGAGAGACTCGTTGTGAGGAAAGCAAGTTGGCATGACCTTGAGATTTGAAGATGGCTCGGAGGTATGGCTCCGCGTCGGTGAAGACATCTTTGTGGATGAACATGAGGAGAGACTGGGCGAAAGGTCAGCATGAATTGCCCTGAAACTTGCAGCCTACTCACGACTAGCTCTTGTAGATTGTTTTGCAATGGCGTTCCGGTCAACAGACACCTCCATCTCGGCTTGATGGACATGAGATCCGAGTAGGCCTTGGTAGTACAACTCTTGAGTCGATGACCCTCATCGTAGATACAAGTCTGGTCGCTGTCAAAAACTCCGCGAGTACGGACGCGGATCACTCACTTCGAATTGAATCTTTTTCCTGAAAAAGCTGAGATCGTCCGCCGCTGCAACTTGGGTATACGAAGCCAGGACGACCTGCAGCTTGCCTTTACGGAATTGCCTCTTGATAGTATCTCGAAGATCCGCCCTCTCCGCCTGAGTTCCATAGTACGATTGGACATCGATATCGGGGCAGAATTTTTCGAATTCTCGGACCCAATTCTCGAGCGTTGAAGCACTGTATATGTCAAATCAGCAGGAGGTTCAGAAATTTCAGTTTAGAAGCCTCACGGTACAAAAATCATGTGTGGACCTTTGATTTTACGTTCCTTGAGATGCGCCAAGAAAGCAATGACCTGGATGGTCTTGCCGAGACCTGGACCCGTCAGCCGAATACCATGAAGGTTTGTGGGACCTCGACCTACCCATTTCGTCGGCGAGGATGCAACCAATCTTTTTAGAATACAACAGGTTCAGCCAATTGACGCCAAGCAACTGATAGTCCTTCAAAATCGTGCCTTCGCTCAAAGCTGGCGGTTGTGTCTGGATGTATTGACTGAGAATCTTCCGTCTCTTCATGTCCGTCTCCATCTTCAGCAATTCGTCGACTTTTGCAACGTCCACTTTGACATCGTTCATCCCGTCTGATCTTGGGGTGCCAACGACACTGTCGTTGATCATGGATGCCCCGCGCCACACTGATAAGGTGTTGGCGACATCCGCAGCGATGCTCTCGCATCGATTCAGACAAGAATCGATTTGAACATAACCCTCCATGATCTCTGTATATTGTTCAAAGAGCTTGAAGGACACACCACGCGCCTTGTTGAGCTTTGTGTAGACAGCATCGACGTTTTCATAAGGTCTCAGCGAGATAATTTTGGCTGCTTGTTCAGCACTGCAGGCTGTGGAGTGGAGTCAGCAATTCATGCTCCACGAAGCAGCAGTACTTGAACTGACCAATCGTTCCCGTCAACATGGCTTCGTCCACCTCGTTGAAGGCTTTGAGCGCTTCTCCTTCTGCATCCAGCTCGTCTTCCGCTCCCTTGAATCGCTTTCTCTGTCTACCCTCATCACCTGACCAGCTCCCTTCATCACTCTCTTCTTCGCTTTGAGCCTCTCCTTCCACGGCCTCTGCCTCACTCTCACTCTCGTCTGGATCTTTCCGTTTTCCTTTCCCAGCTCGATTGGCGTAAATTCGCGATTTCTCTCCCTTCCTCGGTTTTGGAGCTGGCTTGGGCGTGGCGGCTAGAGGCGACGAGGTAGCGATCTTGGACGATGGGATACTATTGGGGGTATGTAAGTAGGTTGGAGGTCTGAAATTGGTCGTTTTGGAAGATGAAGCGAAGGAGACGGGTGAAGAAGATAATGGTGTAGGACGAGACATGACATGTGTCGTTGGTGTAGACGTAGCATGTCTCTGCGCGATGGTGTGAATCTCATTCAGCGCGGCGTCCAGATCTCTTGGATGCCGAAGAACAGCACTTCGGATCAAGTCTCTCCTCAGGATTGGGAATTGACCTCCAAATTTCGTGACAATTCTGTCCACCTCCTTCTCTTCCTCTGGGGTTATTCTGGCCATGGTCATCTGTTGGACTGCTTTCGCAGCATTGACGAGTGAAGGAGCCTTGGAGATGCTGGGACGGCTAATGCTTGTAGAGGCTTGAGTTGGAGATTCATCGTATTTGGGTTTGAGTCTCGATAAAGGTTGAGGGGATGATGGGGATGAATCGGCAGTCAAAGATTGTCCGTTCGACGTGCCTTCGTACGATAAGGATTGTTGATTCGCTTCCCGAGGCTGATTCTCCGACGTTTTACGATTCAGCATGGAAGCCATGACGGCTTGGGGTGTCCCGGCTGTTGGTCGAGGCTGGGCATTCCCATTGACGTTCGAAGAGAGCTTCGATGACGGGATGACCGATCCATTCGACTGTGCGCCCGAGCTCGAGAACCCATTGGTCCCATTTGCAGCAAAGAATTTGGACACAGAGTGTTTCGGTGTGATGGCTGGGACAGGTGAAGATGATGGTGGGACAAGGACGTCAGGGGATTGAGGTACTGCATTATACGGTTTCGTCGAAGCAGAAATACTTCCATTGGTAGGTGAAATTGAAGGCTTCGATCCGCCTCGAGCCTTGGCTCTCATAGCCTCCAGACTTTCCTGTAGGACAAGTAGGATCAGCCGATGTCACAAAAGGCGCGAGCCAAGGACTACTCACGCGGCGCCGCCGCTCAGCATCTGCTGATGACATGAGCAAGCTTCGGAAATGACAACAAGTGACACAGTCTAGCAAGACACGAAAACCGGATCAACAAATGCTTCGTAGATGACAGGTATGATAAGACGGTGCAGACAAGAGGATGGTATAGACCAAGATGAGCAGATGGACGCGTTCAAAATTGGGAAAATTATTTTTGATCGACTCTGGGCTGGCCACATGAACATGGAGTGGCGACACAGGAGTTGGAGGACTAGAATTAAGGGTGGGATGCATGCGTGAAAGAATACGCAACAAGATGGTATGACAGTATGACTACTACATGTGTATGCTGTATCAATTCATGAGTCGCCGGGCGGTATATCAATCACTGAAAATAGTATGTTCGTCAGCACTCATCCGGTGCTGCGAGCAATCATCTCAACTCACTATGGCCCATTCTCTCTACCTTTGTTCTGAGATACTTCTCCAATTCTGGACCATACGTTCTGCCTGCACCGATCATGCCTACACCAGCGCGTCTTGCTCTCCAATCTTCGTATTCCTTTTCTTGATCATCCTGTTCAGATTCCAAAGGCAATTGGCGATAACGTCGGACTGGGGAATTGGAAGGACACCTCCAGTCTCTAGGGACCATGCCAACTCTCTCGGCTATCCTCACGCCTTCCTTTGCGAGTCCTTCGACTTTCTCAGGATTGTTCGTGAGTAGTCTGATACCCTGAGATGAGGACTGTCCACCAAGTCCCAGATCCCTCAGGATCTCCGCGGCAACCGTGTAACTCCTCTCGTCTGCTCCGTGTCCAAGCATGAGATTCGCAGTGACTGTATCATGACCTAGATCTTGGAGATTGTACGCCCGAATCTTTTCAAGTAATCCGATACCTCGTCCTTCTTGACGTAGATAAATGACGACACCGCGGCCAGGTACACGAATACCAGGTGTCGAAGCGGCAGTGGAGGAAGGGGATGGGAGTCGAGTGGAGGGAATAGAGTCGGCAAGATCCAAAGGATGATGATGATGATGACGATGTGTTGTGTGAGGAGGATGTGTGGATGGAAGAGGGTTTGACAGCGAGATCAATCGTAATGCCTCATCCAGCTGTTCACCACAATCGCACCTCATCGATCCGATAGTCTCACCAGTAAAGCACTCCGAATGGATCCTGACCAAGGGAAGAATGTCGTGAATGTCTCCAGTAGAATCCTCATCGTCTTCCTCTCCGACTACTCCCAAGCCGTCCAACACATCTCCTCCGTCCACCTTTGCTGCAGACTTTGCAGCGACCGGCGTACTCGCTTGATCCTCTCCACCTGGAACCAGCCGGCCAACGTATGCTCCTCTGACCACTCGCTCCATGTCTGTCTCGCCTTCTCGCCAACTCTGGTCCAAAGAGGTACTTCGGATCTCCCTTCTTCTCCTCGGCGCCATCGCTCTGGCATCAGGATCCAGCTGAATGGGGTCGAAGACGATAGCCAGGTGTTCTTTGGTATCTACAGAGTTGTGGTAGAGGTGTAAGAAGACCTCTCCGTGTGGTGTGGGGACTCGGGTCCGTGCCATACATCGGACCTGAACGGATGTAGGCTGACGTGAAGGTCCGGCAGTTACTCCAGGTTGCGCATAGGCTAGATTTCCAGGAGAACCTAGTAAGGCAGATCCGCTTGATCCCATGGCATTAGTCGTTGCTGGGAGAGTCTGGAAAGTATGTTTCCCGACCGATGAAGCATTCTGCAAAATTTGAGCGACAGGGGACGGATCAATAGACATTTTCCGCTTTGGTTTCCTAGTACCTCCTCCCCCGCTATCCATGGACATCCCACCTAGAGAGCTCGACAATGACGCCTCGACCGATTGTGACGATACCGTCGTAGTAGTAGAAGCAGGCTTTGGAATTTGCTTGGCTTGTGTCTCTGCTTCGACTGCTTTGCGTTTCGCCTCTGCCTCTCGTTCCAGCTTCAATCGGACAGATCGAGGAGCCTGCATGGATCGCATGACGGGTGGAGAGGTACTTGACTGGGTGGTGGGTATCGGTCTAGGAAGCGTATCGCAGTTCTGATACGCATTACCAGCTACGAAAAAGGTCAATGCCTGTTCGTAGATCAAGCTTGACTCACCATGACTGAAATGATGCCTCGACATGGATCCGCTGCCGGCGATCACAGCACTGATCAATAAGGCATCGATTGGATTATCATCTCTCTGCTTCTGCTTGGGCTTTGATCTTTCCGATGAAGGGACGTGAGCATGCAAAGGTGGACTCGATTCGCCAGACCGTCTTGGCGGAGACGATGAGGAGGGAAGACGATGATGATACGGGACATCCGAGGTGAGGAGGGAGAGGACGTCAAAGTCGCCTTGGGATGGCATGCTGATAGCCGACATGATACCACTGATCTCTGTCTCCCCGAAAAAGAGATCTCCTCGGAAATGGTTTCCCGCGTTCTCTCGAACCGATCGCTATTCACAAGGACGTCCGAGGTTTTGTAGAGGTTGAGCTCGACGAATTCTCAAAAGTCGGCCGACCTGCTGAGGTAAGGCTAGTCCCCCGGTGGTACCCGAAAATACCACGTGGCATGTGGTGTGCAGTCCCCTTCTGACACGATCTGACTGTTCTTAGCGGCGAATATCTTCGCCATCACAAGGGCTATGCATGCAAAGAAAGCAGCAATCCCATCAACGTCCCTACCCCACCCTCATGCCCTGACCGTTTGAGGCCCCTTGCCTGTTGATGACTGAAGAATTGGCCTCAGGCGATTGGTGCCACCCTCAGACATAATTACGTAAGTTTGGATCTTCCTGCGGAAACAATTTTTGCTTCCGAACGCAACCTCTTGCCCGAAAATCCCACGTGACATTTGGTGTCCTAATCCGACGGAAAACTCAATAGCTCCGAGGGGATTCGTCAAGCTCAACAATTGTAGATGGCAGAGAGCCCTGGTGATGTCCGGCGCTTGGAGCACAGAAGACAGCATTCTCGTGTCACGCCGGCCATGGCTTCTTTGTGTCACGATTGCATTCCAGACATCGAGCAGATTCTCAAATAAGTCGACACTGAAGTCACTCACTTCAACATCGTCTGATGAACTTTATGTAATCTCATCGCTTCTTCCGCTTCCTTTCAAGTCCGCCAAAAGTTGCCGGAGCAACCATCAACTTCCATTCAAGTGATTCATTCTGTGACTGACTGACTGCCAAACGGACTCATATCGCTGCCACTCGGGCTATAGATCTCTCGGTATCAATCTCGCTCCCGAAAATTGCTCAAAGGGGTAAAAAATCTTACCGCCATCAAATTCCAACGGGTGCCTTGCTTTCTTATTTCCATCCTCCCAGACCATTTATCATTACAACCCTCCCGCCCACCCTGAGACGGCCTGCATTTGGAGTGGTTGGAGCACTGCACAGCTAGCATAGCTCGCGCTCTGAGAGGAGAGGAGGAGGATTAGACCGATGCGGCCATGCAGATGCGGTAATTAAGAGGGGTTATCAAATTCGCTCAATGGTATCTTTCGGCTCTGTTGTCGTATCGCTACCGATGTCCTACAAATTGGTAGCTATCTCTTTGAGACTCTGATATGCTCTGCTGTGGGGCAATTAGGAACGCGGGATTTTGAAAGATATATAAGAGATGGTCTCTGTCAACTAATCGTCTCACACTCAAATCACATCTCATCAAACCATCACCTGAACTTCACATCTTAACTGATAGACTCGTTTACGCACTCGACCTAATCATGTCATCCGTTTCAGACCAGGATCTCAGCAAATTCAACTTCCCCGGTGGTTTCCCAAGTGAGTACTTTAGGGTACGCTTTGACCGAGTCTCACCTGTGGTGCTCCTTAGGCTCGAGAGATCTTGCGCCATCCATCGTCTTCCTCCTTGCCGTGAGTGGACCTCGGATCCTGATCCGAAACACTAGGTCTGATGCAGTCTCTCAGTACATCGCCACGACACCAATACTGGTTTGGCGATTGTGGAAGAAGGAGTATCGAACGCTCTGCCTCATCCGACCAACACTGTTCCTCCTTGCCCGTTATGTTATGTTGGTCCTAAGGGCATACATGTCCAAGCATAGTTATGGAGAGAACGAGCTGAGTGAGTGAAACCTTTTGCTTTCTGTTGGATTCGTGCTTTCTTGGTGCCTTCAGTCCATCTCGATCGCTGACACTTGTGCTTGACTTTTGCTCAGTTGCCGAGCTCGTTGTCGTCTCCACCGGTACTCTGTTCCTTGTGGATCCCCTCACGGAGCTGTGGAAACGTAATGTCACCACGGCCGTCGCGAAGGATGTAGCGCCAAAATGGGTCAGACGAGTATCCATCATTCTCTCGCTCGGAGTTCTCGCGGCCATCGGAACTTCCGTTGCGGCTGCATCACAGATTTCCGGAGCCATGGATGGTTCGAGTTCATTGAGTACAGTGTTGACCTTGCGCAAGGCCTCAGCCATCGTCACTGTAGGTGAGTGTATCTAACTCAGAACCACTCAGAGAAATGTGTTGATTTGCCGGCATCTTTCAGCTGTCATCGTCTGCATTCTGATCGCTGCTATCCTGACTCACATGTCATTCGGCTTGGCGATCCGAAACACGCTGTTCGTCGTTGGATGCTCGCTTTGTCTCCTCGTCATCAGTACCTATCGAGTGGTCCAGACATACAGCACCAACCCGGATTCAGCAGTCCACAAGCCAGTGGTTTTCTGGATCTGTCAAATGGTCTTTGAACTGTGAGTCGAGTTTCCGCGCGTTTCCCCTTATAGAGACCGTTCTCACACCTCCCTTCAGCATCGTCTTCGTCTCCCTGATCAGCATCCCCATTCCTGCCTGGTTCCCGTCCACGAGAACTCCGGCCGAGGCTGAGCAGATCAGCCAAGCGGAGTACGGCAAATCCGAGGCCTCGAACGGAATGACGATGTACCCCGTTCAGTACCATTCTGCTGGTCAATCTCGTGGGCCGGCACAATCCCAGCAGCAGTCATATCCTCAATATCAGCCCAACAACAACCAGACCTACCCTTCTCGTTGATAAACTCAAAACAATGGAATTTAAAGATTCCATTTAAGCATAGATCCAATTTCTGTAGTTAAGTATGCATCATTGCGCGTTGTCGTTCAAGCATCGTATCATCGCGACGTGTCTTTGACGGCACCACGCCATCGTGTCCTCTACCTTGAGCGGAGCAGTGAGTCTTGGCACCACCGACCACTGAATTTTTGGCGGTATAAGGCCCGTCATATGGGACCAGAGCGCTCTCCGGTCTATCGGGTTTCAAATTTTTTCTTCGCCGCGTGATTCACCAATACATCCGTAGAACATAGTAACCCATGCCCAGCACTGTGTCATCGCAAGAGGACGGCTTGGATACGGTAGTCCAAGGTCAGTGGGATTGTGACTGACCCTGCTTCCTCATGCTGATGTCACTACAGCCAGGTCTCTGGTCCGTATCGATACCGAATTCTCGGCAGATTGTATCGAATGGTGTACTTCTGCAGGCTACGAAGATATCTTCATTTGCGGCACGTATCAAGTACTGGAGCAGGGAGATGATCGACAGACCAGAGCATCCCAACCTGATGCTGATCTAGATCGAGGCGAGGATAGTGATGTCACCTTGCAATCTGTGGAGCACGATGAAGACGAATCCGACCTCGATCCAAGTATCAAACCGTCGACTCACCGTACCGGCCGGTTACTGTTATTTCAGGTGACGGACCCATCTACAGGCAGCATCACTGAGGTTCAGAGACTCGAAACGAATGCCATTCTGGATGCCAAGTGGTTTGCTGAAGCCCGTGGGCCGGAGCTTTTGGTGGCCGATGCGAAAGGTCAAATCAACATCTACACCTTGACCAGGGACAAGCAGCTACGCTTAGAGCAGACGGTTCAAGTTGGAGATCCATCCGTTCTAGTATTATCCCTGGACATCAACACTGCCTCTTCTGCACGGGCAGAGGTCGCCTTCTCGCTTTCTGACGGCGCGTTGGGCATTCTCAGCCGTACGTCGGCCAATGGATGGGCAGTCGAAAATACATGGAAAGGACATGACTTTGAACCTTGGTGTATAGCCTGGGACAAGTGGTCAGCTCATACCGTATGGTCTGGTGAGACGATCATCTCGAGGTCTTATCTATCTTTTCTTTTTTTCCTTCCAACTGACAATCATTCCACTGTCCACGTAGGAGGCGACGATCTCAAGCTCAAACGATGGGATACAAGATCGACCTCTTTCCCAACGTATACCGATAAATCCTTCTCGGCAGGTATAACGACATTGACTAGTTCTCCTCATACGCCGTATCTACTGGCCGTGGGCTCTTACGACGAGTATCTCCGTTTGTACGACACACGGCAACCTCGGAATCCCCTGAGTGAAGTCCATGTTGGAGGAGGCGTATGGCGAGCAAGGTTCCATCCGGATGTCATGAGGAGAAGAGATGAAATGTTACTCGCTACGATGCACGATGGGTTCAAGGTGATCAAGCTACACGCCGCGAGACACGACGCTGCCGAACCACTTTTCGTCCCACTGGAGGATCCTAGCTGGACTCAAGTGCCGACTATCGTCAAGCGGTTCGACGGGCATGAAAGCTTAGCCTACGGTGCCGATTGGTCTCGATTGCCAAGTGCAGCCGGAGAAACACTCATTGCGACATGCTCTTTCTACGATCACACCATGCACCTCTGGCGAGGATGACCGTATCTACATATCAGTCGAGGCACTCGCACGAGATAATCCCCTACATATACGGCAAACAAGGTGGGCCCTCCATGGCACCAAGATACATCGATAACATAGAGTCAAGGCACAAAAGGTTCGCAAGATCTGACCAGCATCACAAATTGTCCTCTTGCAGGTCCTCGTCCTCGATGGCATCATCCTCATCCTCCCCTTGCTCATCATCCTCATCGACATCATCACTCCTCGCATGACCTTCGTCGGACCCCTCGCGGACTCTAACCACTCCAATCTCACTCGAGCCTCCCTCGCCTCCTCCGGCCTCATCAGGAGCCTTTCTAGCCGGAGCTTCCCGTATCTGCCTTCTGTACATATCCGCAAATTGCTCGCTCGACGTCGCCTGTTCCCACGATTTGTCCTCACGCAACTTCATAAACCGCGGGAACCGGATCGACAATCCACGTTCCGAGCCCAATAATGACGCTGCGGCGGGATAGACTGGCGAAAGGGTGATACTGAGCCGCTGTGTCAGATCGACATACGAGCAAAGCCAACTCACTCGGCACCTCTGATCTCCCACACTTCGTCTGGGGAGAACCAAACATCGGGTCTTAGGCCGCCTGTATCGCAATAACTCAATTGCGAGTCTGTATTGCATTTCTCAGGCACAGCGTTATGAGGCGGATACCGGGCAATCAGGTCTTTATAGAACTGATCGGTGAAGCCTGGAGCAATAATCGAATCAGTCATTTTTATCCAATAGCACGCAACGGCGTACCCGAAATACCTGCGAGGTGTCAGCTTGTTCGTTCTGGCTATCTGTGCTCGCTCACATTTGCACACCGCTTCTAGAGCTCCAGATTCGGCATTGTGACAAGCAAGCAGGATTGGACTCCACCAACCAGCTTTCCTGCCCTGTCCCCACCATGCGCCAATGGGAACCAGGTCGAGTGAGTCGCCAAGGCCCTCGAGGTAGTCTGCATCGAACATCAGCTTTGAAAACATGGACGAGGAAGCGGACAGCACCCTTCTTGACCTTGAGCCACCCCTGACTCCTCTGATCAGGCTCATACGTCGCTGGAAGAGGTTTCTTCTTTCCACCAGTGGGCCCTTGTCCACCTTTGGCCTTTTTCCCTCTGGCTCCACCGTCGTCTCCGTCCTCAGGCTCTTCATCGTCCCCCGTTATACCTTCTCCCGATTCTAACAGCTTGACCATGAGACCTTCACATTTCTGCTCTACGACAGTTTCGAAGAATGCTTGCATTTCCGCCGTGATGTCTGTACAAGCCAGCGAGTCGAGACATTCGACGTGTTTGAATCGTGCGATAAGGGGATCAGATGTGACGGAAAAGGGTGGGAAGAGGGTTCGAAGGATATGGCGACGGTGAGAAAATGGCGAGTTGAGCAGAGGCTGGAGGAGGAAGAGGGAGTATCAGCGGAGAAAATGTCCGTCTCGAGACTCACCTGGTCATTCAAAAGCATGAGATCGAATGCGTACACTCCAACGACAACTTTGATATCTTCCACCCTGACATCCTTCTTAGCCCGATTTGTTAGTTCTTGGAATGTCCTGTAAGCACCCGTCGTCTTGTCAATCGCGACGACTTCGGCGTCCATGATGAAGCTGTCAATAGTGGGATTGGAAAGCAAAGCAATGACATCTGGCAGAGGTTCAGATGAGGTCGAAGGGAACGGTGTCCGGCTCGCCGGTAATGGTCGAAGAAGGAGGGCCAAGACCATTTGGCATATATCAGGGTACTTTTCAGTCATATCTTCGAGGTGTCTGCGCTCGTCAGGATCGAGAAATTGCCTCGTTGCAAACCTAGCTTACCGACTGAAGAGCCTGACCCAGACTTTGTCCCCCTGGTCATTCTGAACCCATCTTCCACCGCCATCTTCTTGGCCTTGTGGGCCATTCCGCCTGGCGTGAATCTGTACGCGTTGACCGTCCAACTTGGCTTCGGCAGTGAACGGCAGAGTGCCCAGCCGAGTAAACACGTCGCCCAAGGATCGGGTGATAGAGCCCAGCATTGGAGAAAGGGGTACGCCTGACAGGTGTTTCAGCGCGACTCCTGGTCAGCGATGGAATGATCGGCTCACCAACACTGACAGGGACTCTGTCCTCCAATCCAATCAGACCTCCCTTGATGATAGCCTCACCCAGATCACTGTAATTTGGATGTCTTACGTAGACTTTTCGGACGAGTTTGACGGCTTCGATGCAAAGCTCTTCCATCTTGTCCCGAGCAGGGTCAGGCTGAGGTTTGGGTCGAGGAACACGTTTTTGACCCGGCGCAGCTTTTGGTGGATCTGCCGGGAGCGGTCGAATTGACGCGAGTAGATCCTGTGGAGCGAGATAGATAGCTGTGGCGCGAGCGAGGGAGGTGAGAAGAGTCTAGCGGAGGTCAGTATGAGGACATGATAGTCCGTCATGACTCGATATGCTTACAAGGCGCACGGCTCCGATCTGGTGATGATTCAGCTGCCACTCATTCTGCCTTCCGTCCGACTCACCCTCAAGTTGCCCACCAGACTCCTGACCAGGAACCGGACTTCTTCCCCTCTGGCAGCCACCATCAATCTCCTCACTACATCTCCTTTTACCTTGCCACTCTGGGCGCCCTTGATGCCACTGAGCGAGACCATGCGCCTGTAGACATCGGTCGATCCCAGAGGATTAGGTTTGATCAGCGTCCGGAGATTATTTTTGGCTTCGAACGCTACGTCCCCTGGGTCACCCCATTTCTCCCAGAGCTTTTTCAAATCTCTAGGTTGAAGGCCTGAGACCTCTTGAATGGCTCTTGACAGGATTTGAGACCCTATGCCTAATTCGCAAGGCACATAGGAGGGCTTGAGGTGGTTCGACAAGAGGTATAGAGATGGAATCAGGTCATTCTGGAAATGCTGGAGGAGGAAGTGGATGAAGCTGGACAATTGGATCAGCCTGAGTTGAGGATCAGACTCACTTGGTGAGGACTCGAACAATTTTGAGTCGACTTCGTGTACTTGAGACTTGAACGTATACTCCAACCAGGACGCTATACGGTAGTCGCCTTGCCCCCGGTCGTCCAGGCCACCCAGAAAGATCCACCTCCAAAGGTTTAAAGGTGAATGGATCGAGGTCAAAGTCCAGCGGTTCAGTAGACTCGGCAGTCCCTGTGTTGATCTTGAACTTCTGTTTCCATCCGTGAGGGTTCAGACCAAGCTGCTCCATCATTTTAAAGTCGAGAGAGTCCATATCTACTAGCTTTTCTTCAGGCTCGAGTTTCGGTTCGAGTTTCACCCGCTCCGCTTCATGTTCGGCCTTGACGGCTTTTTCCGGCTTCTTAGCGGCGAACAGTGGTGCAAGAGCCGTGTCACCTCCGGTGGCAGCGATGGCGCGAGGTCGTACCGTAGATTCTGAATCTTTAGGGACTGGAGACCGCGGTGGGAAGCGATGAGAGGAGGAACTTGAACCGTTGGGACCCGGTGCGTCGGAATAAGGGGCCGGCACCAATTGTACATCCTCATCCTCGTTGTTCTCCACAGCTTGAGTCGTCTGTGTTGCTGCTCTGCCTTTGCCCTTATCTACACGCTCCGACTCAACTTCTTTCGACCAAGTTCTTGAAATTTCTCTCGCTAGCGCTTCATCTTTGTCCATCTGGGCACTGGAGCCGGCCTTGATCCCATTGTGGAAGGCGGGAGGAGCTGCTTGGGCTGCCCTAGTCCCGGCTTTTGCCTTTTCTACCAATAAGGGCTTATGCTCCTCCTCATAGTGATCATCATCGTCGTCATCCGAGATGCTAATCACACTGCCCATCTTCGGCTTCTTACTTGGTGAAGTGAAGAACGTTTCGATCGAAGGCTGACCATGAGTTGATTTGGACTTTTTCTTAGACGACGAAGACGGAGGCGTGGACGGCCTTTTGCTCCGCTTGGGAGGCATTCTGGCTGATAGGTTTGCTAGCGAGGTGTTCCTAGACCCCTCGATGCTGTCCAGATATGCTCAATCGCTTCACCGCGTTGCATCAGAACAACGACATCTGGCCGATCGCACCTTGACGTCAGGTAGACTTCGGATCCGAGTGATGCCCTACAGTCACGTGATCTGCAGGCGGACGGATGCACTTGCAGCGAGCACCCGTGTCACTCCGCTGCATGGCAAATTAAAGGGGAAACGGGTAGCCAAGCACTGGCAGGCTGCTCTTCTCGTCAAGACGACATGATAAGCGGATTATCCATCAAAGTCCCGATTCGACATACAGCCTCCGAGCGATTAATGTGCTAAAAAAGCTCAATACGCGACAGACCTCAAGGTGTGTGCACGCGGCAGTGGTCGGTCGCCGACAAGCTCTCGGACCCAAATCTATGGGACCTGTTCGGCTTCATCATCTCTGACTCAAGACTACCCACTCCACTTTGGGGGACGTATGCTATGATTGTGGAGTGTGCCCGAACAGTAACAAAGAAAGTCGATCCAAGCCGAGGCGCCGGCGCCTGCGGAAGATGCCATACGACATAACTTCGTTCCTCATATATCCGTGACCATTCCGTCGCGGCACAGGCAACTGATCAACGCCAGAATATCTCGGCGGTTCATTCGGCATAACATTTCCCACCGATGAATTTACTTCCGAGCCCATCCTTTTGGCTCTTTTATCCGTATTCCGACGGAATGTGAATGAGATGGGTCTGCCCTTTGTGCTGTGGATGTAGAATGTGAACGGTGTCCCCTATCCGACATCTTCAAGCTCGTCTTGACTCAAATCATTCTCGGTTCGGTCATCAGGTAGGGGCCATTTTCCCATATCATCATCTGCACAGCACGACCTGCTACAAATTTAGCCTAACCCTGCCTGACCCTGTCTTCACGCGCGAGAGAGAGATATACATATACAGCCGGTGATGCGGCGATGGCCGATTGGTAGTGGGAATTAAAAAACGCCAGATTCTCCCGGCAGTGTCATCCCACACTCTATTACCATTATTCATTACGGATTTTTGGCCGAAAAGAGCCGGGCAAACGTCACATTCATTCGGTACGAATCCTCGAGACTCGGCTGCATTCCTACTCATCCACGTTGTGAAGATATCTCATCCTCATCATCACATAGGTCATCTATACTGGAGAAGTGTGACCCCACGAGGGAGCCAGGTCATTGTGGAGAATTTCAGATGATCAATGGTGGATCTTGACACCGGCACCACTCCTCACTCGCGCATGCCACAGACTTCAGCAAGGAACGAGACTATCAGAGCTTCCCTTGAGTCTTGTCATCGTGAGCCTCCCCAGATGGCAACTCATCGGAAGACGTCCCTCCATTTTATCCTTTCCACCTCCCCTACCGCCACCACCACCTCCACCATCAGTGCACCTCCAGACAAGGTCGTTCGCCAAAATGATAGAGTCGGGGACCTGCCGAGACTACATACCATGGGCATTAACGATTCCTCCTCGCAGGCAGGTCCCTCTCGTTGCCCTGGAGCCACAGCTGGAGGTAAAAGTCGACTGGACGGCCTTCCCGATAACGTGTTATCAATCATCGCCTATCACATTGTGGTGAACGATCATGGTGTCGGATCGAGCCCCTCTCACTTGCTCCCCTTCCTATACACTAGTCGCTCCATCTATAGCAAGCTATCGTTCAGAGCCAACCCACAACTCTATAACAACCTCTTCCGAGCAACTTTCGATCATGCAGCTCTGATGAGGCGATATAAATGGATGGTCAAGCATCTGGCGTCTATGGCGGGGAGAGGGAGGAACACGTATGATCTGTTCAGTGATTCTGAATCTTGGGCAGAGGATTACAAGGCGAGATGGATAACAGCGAGGCGAATGCGTGCCATTGCTAGGGCAAAGGCGACGATGATACCTGGCGTCAGCTCCGAGGAGACTTTTCTGGAAGATGCCTGGGTCGTCTGGTTCCTGGTCACCGAGAATGGTGAGTTTTGATAAGCGCTTCAGTCACAGTCGAGATGACTGATTCCTATTGTCAGACGGCAAAAATGCCAGATTTCTACACAAATTCTGCAACTTTAGTCAATGGGCAAGGGTGTTCCACCGCGAAGATGCCATCAAGGCATCCATGGTGCCTGGCTTGCCCGTCGCCTCTGTGGAAAAGTCGCTCGTGTCGTGGTCAAGTCTGCTAGCAGGCATAGGTGAGCATATACCCTCGGCGGCGTGGTGTCGGAGCTGAAGCCCTGGCAGACCCCTGCGAAGATGGAACAGAGGCAGAGATCGACGAGAAGATGTTTGCATTGCGCCCGTATGTCTTTGCCTGCGCAGAGGTGAGTCTGAGAATGTCTGCGTAGAGGAACTCACCCTTCCGCAGTATGACATTTTCATCGCTCCGTGGGTCGAACCTCGTTTACCTCTAATCACTGGCGACAAGACAGACCGAACCATAGATATGCGTCTGCGCCCCCAAGCAGTATCCTATCGCCGCTTTGGGCAGACCTGGCGCCGTACTCCTCCTCCATATGCCCTGTATTGTCTTCTCGAGTTCTTCCGACTGGTAGATCGCCATTTCACCCAGCAAGGTCGGCATTCTCATGCACTCAAGTACTCTACCTCGTTTAGATCCGATCAATCCACCTCTGGTCTATTCAGCATGACCCAGATCATGCCATCCATCTATCACGACAGGGAATGGCAACGGAGTACGGTCTGTCAAGATCCCAATACTTCACCCGGCTTACCCCCAATGACCTTTTACGGCGAACTGCAAGGGTTCTGGCGGTGTCAGTTCCTAACACTCGATTTCGACATTTACCGCCAGATTCTGGCTCAGGATATGCGAGTCCTATATACTGGAGAATACTCTGAACAGGTCGCGGAGACTGAGCTCAGGGAAACGGTGATCGTGGTCCGAGAGGAGGACGTCGGGGGTAGTGGCTCAGTGCTCCACGCTGGATTCAGACAGCTAAGGCCAGAGGACGATATCGAGGATGAGCTTAGGGCTATTGAGGCGGGCTACGGACACCGAGTGTGTGTGGACGTCAATGCCCCAGATCAACCTGGATGGACCAAGGAGATCTTGGTGACTGGAAGGGTAAGTCGTCAATTCATGAGATATAGTGCTTAGGGTGGTGCAGGTCAACACGGGATGGGGAAGAGGTATAGTAAGAGGTAGAGTCAGGGCTTGGGATGGACTTGTCAGCCTCAGTGTCAAAATCTCGGTGGGTCGTGACACTGCAACATCCGTTCCGATCGCTGATTACGGCTTCAGGACCACGGTCTCGGAACATGGCTGTGGCGAGGCTACCTCGAGACTGGGGGTTACTTCATCGGCCGATGGAGAGATGTTGTTAATCCACTGAGTCTGCAAGGCCACGAAGGAGGTTTCGGCATGATACGTGCGGGTGATATCTTTTATCCACCCCATTACCCTCAACGCATGGAAGAATCTAGTACCTCCCGATACGGCGCATCTGCTTCGCAATCTTCCTCGTCCCCTCCTCAGCAATCTTCCATCCGTCTTAATCAGCCGGGCGCTTGGTTGGAACTTGGGATGGGATCGAATTTCGGAGCGCGATTCTCTCGAGAGGAAATGATGTCGCCTGCTTGGCCTGCAGTGGGGCACACAGCTCCCTTTGATCGTGATCGTGAGTGCAGGAGGCCAGTGGCAACTTGTTGTATTCCCTGACTCGCCACATCATCAGGACAACCGGCGTCACGTTCGAAACGGATGAAAATTGGAGATCTCGAACGTTCTACCGCTACGGGGGCATCCCATGGTATAGAGAACCATCGAACAAATAATGGTCAAGGCAGTTCACCACCGTCGTTGACTCAATCTCGATCCGCCGCGATGGCTTTCGAGCGGAGCAGAGAGAGCAACCTCCGAGGTGGCGAGGGAGAGGATGAGGAGACCCGAGGCGAAAGATAAATAAAAGCTGAGCGACCGTTCACAAGAGCATATGGCAAATCAACAGGTCATGACCTTTTTGGCAAGCTCAATGATACTGCCCAGGAGATGGATCCTCAACGGTCCGCTCAATTAGGATTATCGACTCCAGTCTCGAGTAGAAGCTGGGGTGTATGAAGCTGAAGGCTCTGATTGCGGATAGCGCAAAGTCAAGATCCAATGGCTATCAAGTGGCGGCGTGCGCCCCAGACGGCATGCATGCATGTCCATGCACGACAGCGTAATCTCATTTGGGGGAACGGTCATCCCGCAGGTTGTGAAAGAAGATTCACAATGAGTGCAGCCCCATGGATGTATATTGCTGAACGCAGTGGATTTATTGATGGTCCATTCTCTCCTCTACATCCTTTGATGATCGACCCCACACATTTTCTCCTGTACGCATCGAATCCTGTCTCACCAATATCTCCTTTTTGCTATTGAGTCGGGGATTTTCCGGACGCAGGTCCAGCCAAATAGCCCGTCACACTGCTAGCTGGAACATTTCCCTGCGCTCGACACTGACTACTCTCTTTATACACCCATCATCATGTCGCAGGAAGATACAAGCAACACAGACACTGACGCTCAGTCAGTCACCAATATCAAGTATGGCAAGCGATGCAAGCGGCACTGCGGTGTCTGTGTCTGCCACCCAGCAAGTTGGATCGGCCTCGGTTGGGTCCCTTCTCAAGAGCTGGGAGCTGGCTTACAAGACTTTCCATGAGCTCCAAGAGCTGGCAGGCATTTTGAAGAAAGAAGAAGACGACATCGAGAACACCTGGGGGCAAGCAGAGCGAGAAGCCAGGACGAGTTATGAGTCGTTACAAGAACTGACTGAACGGTCAAAAACTACTGCTGTTGAATATGAAGAGGTGGCAAGCACGGTTCTCGACGTTTTGGGAAAGATGACAGATTGGGCTGAGGCTATATCGAGCGGCGCAGGGATCGAGAAGGCGGTCCATGGTAGTAGCTACTCCTCAACGGCAGGGAAGACAAGTCTCGCACCCGCTACCATCTAAGAACCTCCTCCTCTTGTCTTCCCAGGCTTGCGGACCGGTGCTGTCGGCAGTAATACGTTGCAAAGATACTACAAAGAGAACGAAGAAGCGATCGACTCGGACTCGGAATCGGAATCGGACTCGGCGGATGAAGATGAGGCGGTCGGCGATCACTTGCGAGCTTCAAGTGCAGGCCTGCCACCTACCATTCACCTACGCAAGGCGTCCACGGCGAGCAGTACCAGTGCGGTTTCCGATACTAATGTAGATGGCGAGACAGCGCGAGTCGATGGGGATGCTGTCCAAACGCTCAAGGGATCGATGCACAAGGTCCACCGCCGCACGTCCTTTACGAGCGTCATAAAGTTGTTGAGGAAATTTGGTGACCGAGTTTGAAAGGAAAAAAGGGCCTCCTGGGGGCCTTGGTGCACCTCCAAACTTGTGTGTGTCAAAACCTGGCTCGGACCAGATTCAGGCTTACAACATGACATGCAACCTATTCATTACAACGATCTACCCAAACACTTCGATCATAAAGTGATACTCTATCCCTGTTCCCTCATGTCGACCCCTGGCAGTCAGCTGTTCGCACCGATCGGCCAAGATCTCCCCAATGATCGGTGCGCCACAGAAGAAGACGCCGACTTTGAGTCTCTCCAATCGCTGATCAGCTGCGAATTTCGCCATGTCTTCGTAATGCGCATCGAGAATGTTGACGAAATCCGGTCGACCGAAGTGAGTCGAGTTGAGCAGGCCTGTCAACGGACTCTCGGGGTGTGATTCCGTCCGATGGGACTCGAGCAGCCAACGGTAGACGTGCGTTGAAATGTTCTTCCGCTTCTGTGTGACGTGAGTGAAGAGTCTGATGTCGAGGTGTGGGTGCGGAGCAGCGGGTGTCACTTGTTGGCGATGATATTGTTGAGATGTTGATACTCGATTCAAGAGGTCAGAGAACCAAGATAAGTGATTCCTATCACGGACCATCCAGTGGAAATCGACTCGACGGTAATTCGGAGCGTATTCGCGTTGAGTCAATGAACGAACTCGAGAGAGAGATCGAGAAGCCACGCGGGAAATCCGAGACGATCTGCGACTCAGTCGAAGATCTTGCTCATCTTCGTCTATACCCTCTGATCGTCCTTCGGGTCCGCCATGTTCTGCATCATCACGAGCTTGTAGATCCGCGAGGATCCCAGAGAATGGAGTGACGCCGATTCCAGCTCCTACAAGAACAGTATGGGTAAAGTCATAGAAGCGCTGTGCGGGAGCTCCAAACGGTCCATGGATTCCAATCTTGATATCTGTCGACTTTTCGCCTGTAGCCAAATCTCTCAGTTGCCCAGTCCAATTTCCGTCCGTCTTGATATGCAAGCGCATGTGTCTACCGGTGCACACTGAGACGGTGAAAGGATGCCATTGCCAGCGACTGATTCTGGGAACTTGGAGGAAGACATATTGACCAGGTCGATAGGACCAAATGTAGATTTTTGGGATTGTCGCTCGTATTTCGACAGTCTGTGAGTCCAGGACTCGGATAGTTGCAGGAATACCTCGAAAGCCAACAAAGATACGAGTGATCCGCTCGATGAGGATGAGCAGGGTTGGGAAGGCCAGAAAGTACCCCAGCATTGGCCATTGAAGCAGTGCCGCGGAACCATGAGCCATGAGTAGACCGATGATAGGGAACATGAGCAAGTGACCTAATTGGAATAGCTCGTAATTCCATCGTCTGACTTTTGGTATGCTGAGTATGGCGAGAAGGTAGAACAGGCCCAGAGCGGTGAGACCTGTGAAGCCAGGAACAGACCTGACGTAGACAATGTATGGTCTAGGTGTCGGTATACCCAGAGCTTCGACCGCGGGCGCTCGACTGGGCATGGATCCAAAGACGAATGAGCCGGACAAATGGCCGATGGCATGAAGTGTGGCGAGACATAGAGCCAGGATAGACATGTAGATGTGGAATTTTTGCGATAGATACCAATTGATGAATCTAGACATGTAGTAAGATCGTCGTAGAAACGTCGATAGATAACGACACATGCTGAGAAGCAGGAAGAAGAAGGTTGAATAGAGGAATCCAGCACAAGTCTTTGCCATGACCACTCCCCATCCGAAAGCTGCCCTATATCCCGGGATGGTGATATACTTGATCATTTGCCATAGTCCGAAAGCGAGGTGCATAGCGACAACGAGAAGGATAAACATGGCTTCGGGTCCGTGAACACTCCACCAACTCCTGATTCTCCTCCATCGACTGAGATGTCGGATATAATCTCGTTCATGTTCTTCCTCGTCATCGTCCTGCTTCATTGATGGAATATTCCATTCTTTGACTCGAGCTGCAAACTCGTCTCTTGGAATCCGGTCCGCAGACGTCCCGAGGATGGATCTGAGAAAAGCATGTCGGGCGTTCTTTTCGCTATTGGATTTATGATGCAGCATATGAGGTGCTGGATCAGGTGCAATCTCTTCATGGACTAGATCCAAACGATGCTCCAGCTCATCGTAAGAGATCGACCCGTCATGGTTCGTGTCCAATTCATCGACAAAAGCTCTGATCTCATCGTCAGATAGAGGTTGGATCTCTGGATCTGGGTGTGGGAAGAGGGATGGTGAAGATGGTCCAGGTGCCAGCGTGTTCGATGCCGAGCTTGCATCCGTTGACATGCTGTCCGCTAGAGTCTGACGTGTGAGATGTAGACATGCACAAGGGAACTTGCACCAGAGAGCTTGCTCTGCGTCCCATTATTATTATTCTCTCCACCACCCACTCACATGTTCTATGACGTTGCAGGCTTATTAGCCTTTTTCAGGGGGAATTTTCAATTTATGGGCTTGGCTGATCTTGGCACTTGTGCGTGGCGTGGCCCCCCCTTCTGGATCACATACCGTATGCATAGCGTTCCTTCCATGCTGGAATCTATGGTGGCAATGGGGGATCTCACAGGCTTGGTGATTCAGTGATTGGTGGTGGTGGTGGTGGTGGTGGTGCAGTAACTGTGCAACACTGAACGCTCATCGGATCGTGGACTACAGCTGTCGGAACCTCATTATTAGAAGTCGCTCCAATCTCCTTTTCATCTTGGCAAGTTCTTGGTGGTGCTGTGCAAGGAGGCGATTCGATCTTGGATGATTGCCAAGTAAAGAAGCGACTGACGAGACTGGATACAATACATGCCCTCTTCTAAGAGCTACTGACCTCCTCCTCCTTATGAGGCTTGGGATTCGGAATCATTCCCAGAATACTCAGAGGACTATTGATCCTGATCAACATTTGATTGTACATAGTCATCGCGACCACCATGATCTCCTCTCGAAGCGATTGATTCTCATCGCAAGGCTCGTAAAAGTCCAAGAGTCCAATTTTCTTGATATACCAGACATTGGAATGGAATTTGGCGACTGGGACCTCGTCCTTGTCAAAGCAGGTGAAATCCCAATTCTTGATGCCCATATTGGCACTCCAGTGCAAGATTTCCGGCTTCACCTTGTAGTGCTGGGATTCAAACGTGTATCGGGTGAGGAACCGACTGGAGGCTCGAAGCTCTCCATTGTAATCGCCAAAGGTATACGAAGGATTGATAGAGATCGCTTGACTGTTTCCAGTCCCAATGGTCAGGTCGTCGCTGCATCGCTTGATGACGAGAGTGGGGTTGGTCATCCAGTGGTAGTCGGCGATGTAGACAGGTTTGTCTGTCGTGTCACTCGCCATGCTGATTTTGACTTCCTTCTTTCGCCATTGATAGTCGACTTTGAGGGAGTGAGACGAGTAAGGGACGGACGGCGTTGTATCCAGGTTTTCCTCGGCAACGGAGTCGGTTTTGGCTTTGTCGACTTCAGAGTAGTCTGGCAGGCCTGAGGATGGGGGCGGTTGGTCGCTCATGTTTGCGTGGATGAAGGCGAGTGATATGAGGTGAGAAGAGTACGCTTTGAAGAAAGGAAAGCTGAGCGTCGCCTACAGTTCCTTCTGATTCAACGTTTAGTGAATTGATTGACCCATGAGTTTCAGCCTATTATGTGACGTCAGATCCGTCGCTTGGCTTTCGGGTTGAATGACCGAGATATCGCTCGGGGGCAAATTCCCATACATGAGTCTATCGGGATCTGACATGACAACCGAGCCGACGTTTACGATAGTCATGAGAGCACGTTTGAAGCTTTAGAGGCGGGCGGCAGATGATGAGTCTTTAGAGCACGCTTGACGCCATAGGCCTTGAAAACTTTTGACGTCGGGGTGTGCGCCGCCCGGGCCGACTGAGCCGAGCGGCATTTCCACAGACCCCGACCACCTTGCGATCCTCCACTCTACTTCTTTTAGATCCGATCACTGCCTGCCACCGAATCGAGAGAGCGACGCTCGAGGTGTCAAAATGGTATGGCAGATCGATTTGTCCGGCAAATGCATAGTTGTAACTGGAGGCAACAGGGTGAGGGCCCCTGAGATCTGAATTAACCGGTCATTTCACGATGGCGATATGTCTGACGATTCTGTAGGGGATCGGACTGGGCATAAGTCGAGATTGCGCTAAAGGTTAGCGTTCGTGTTCTGCTGTTCTCGCTATGAGCTGAGATCTCCCTCTTAGCCGGTGCCAACGTGGCTGTGATCTATCGTCAATCTCCGTCTGCGCCGCAGGTTGCAGAGGACATCAGCAAGGAATTTGGCATACAATGTAAAGTCAGTCTGGGGGTGTTCAAGTGCGATACTTATGCTCTCGTCAGGCATATCAATGCGATGTGACGGATGCAAAGGCTGTTCAGACGACCATAGATGCAGCCATCAAGGATCTTGGACCCCTAGGCGGTGTGGTCTGCAATGCTGGTGCGTTCCTCGCGGCAAATGGAGAGTGTCATACATCGACTGACTCTTGTCTAGGAATGCAAGTGTCTAGGCCAGCCCTGGAGATGACCAAAGACGACTATGAGCGGCAGATGAATGGCAACACCTGGGGCGTATTCACCGTCGCTCAAGCCGCTGCTAAGATCTGGGTGGAGCAAAAGTATAAGCAGGGCAGGATAGTTTTCATTAATTGTGAGATGACCCCCCTTACCTCTCGAAGGTTTGAGCCAATAAAATCACTATAGCCATGTCGGCTACCATTGCAAACGATGGAACCACGCAATGCTTCTACAACGCCTCAAAGGTGAGCACCATGTTTGCTTTGAGAGGTGGTCTGGTCTGATCTTGTCTGACCAACCCAGGGCGCATTGACGAGTCTAGCCAGATGCCTAGCAATGGAATGGGCAGAACATGGAATTTTAGTCAACTCGCTATCTCCAGGATTCGTCGAGTGAGTCAACACGCTCGACGTCGTTCGTCGCTAGAGGTCGTGTGAGCCATCGCTCATGGTTTACTCAGCACCGATATGAATCAGGGCCTGAGGGATGATCCTGAGCGCAAGAAATACTACGAGAAAAAGGTCATGTTGGGTCGCATCAGTGATGTCGAAGAACAAGCTGGATTGGCCATTTTCCTCTTATCGCCATATGCCTCTTGTGAGTCGCATCGCGGAGACGATGAACTGGTCAGACGCTCATTCATCCTAGATATCACTGGAGCGGATTATATTGTCGACGGAGGAGTGACTGCTTGGTGATACTCGGATCGCGGTCAATGTATTCCGTATCTGCTCCTCTGCATGACTTCGCTGCCGTGGACAGCTGTACTCCTTGATCTTCGGAACGCTAAACGAGTCAACTGTGAATGCCGCATTTTCCGGTGTGTTTCAAAATCTCGGAGCAGGTTATTTTTTGATCATATCCTGATCCGCTCGTGCCTTTGCTTCGGGGTTCAGTGAGACGCAGGCAGCTGGCTATCTCTAGCTCGAAGATGATGAGCGGTCTTGCGCGCGGGTTCTCGCGAGGCTCTTTGCCCTCACCATCGCGATTGCGATGTGAGCTTCTTCTCCATAATCAACCCGGCAGGCGCTCCATGTTCCACAGCACCTCTGTCTCTCTAGACTCTGTCTCAACCTTCCGTGAACGATGTATTGCGAGTTTGCGACTGAACCCAGAGCTCAGTGACGCATCAGATGCTAAGCTGGAGTACGGCTGGATTCTCGCGCACGTGAAAGATAGTCATGTCCAAGATCAGTCCGACCGTATTGCAGAATTATGTCGCCGAAGGGGATCAGGCCAACCTCTTCAGTATGTCTTGGGTACGTTGTCTTTTCCCATCACACCTGCTTAAAGTCCTCAGGTACCGTCGACTTTGGTGAACTCACGATGCTTACACGACCGCCGATTTTCATTCCTCGTGCCGAGACGGCGTACATCATGGATCATCTCGCAGACATTCTGCTCGAGCACCCTGTCATGTCAACGCTTGAGAGACCGCTCCGAATCTTGGACTTATGTACTGGATCAGGAAGCCTTGCTCTCATGTTGGCCCATCGTCTTCGGTCCAAAGCGCATCTCACAGCGGTAGACATCAATCCAGAAGCTGTCACCTTGGCAAGAGAGAATGCAGCTTTGAACGGTCTCACATCACATGTTGATTTTGTGGTCCAGGACTTTACGACCTCGGATCTCGGGGAGGCGTCGTTCGATCTCGTGGTCTCAAATCCACCGTACATCCCTCATGGCGAATGGGAGACATTATCGCCGAGTGTAAAGGACCACGAAGATCCGCGTGCACTCATCGGTGATCCTCAGGATTTCCCCGCCCAGTCTAGGGAGCATCCAATCTCAGAATCAAGCGATGGGCAAGGTCTCTACTTCTATCGAAAGATTGCGCAGAAGCTTCCCCTGTTCTGCAAATCTTCCATCCTGCGCCAATCCCGAGGCTTGCCGCTCCTCGCGGTGGAATGCGGGGCTACTCAGGCGGATGATGTCCAACACATTTTCAAGACGCAAACCAGCGGCCTCATCTCCTCAACCACAGTAGTCAAGGATCAATTCGGTCAGGATCGCATGGTTATTGGCCTGACGTGAGCCCTCAGTACATATCATCTCGACTTGATCCTATGTCTTCGCTCCTTCTCCTGCTTTGCAAGGTAGACCATGAGCGACGAGAGCTGCGCCATGAATACGGCTAGGACGGCATAGCAGATCGTCGGACCCTGCAGCCAGTAGATAGACGAAGCAAGTATGGGTCCAATCGCTCGACCCAATTGGCCCTGCGATCATCGTATGAGTCATGAACCTCGACCGCTTTGGACTCACTTTTGAACGGACGACACCTAATGCTCTGCCGCGCTGCAATTCCGCTCTCCCGCCTTGGGCATCGCAACAACTCGCAGCGGCCGCTGTCAGGGACGTCACCACCGTTGCGCTCGTATACGCCAAGCCTGTTGCTGCGGCATACAACAAGGCGGTGGATAGTGCGTACGAATCTCGACAAGCAGGCAGAAGGGTCAAACAGATGAAGGCGAAAACGGCGGTGAAGCAGCCGTAGCAGGCCATACGAATCTCGCCTAGACGAGCAAGCGATGGCCTAACGTGTCGTGCTTGGAGCATGGCGGCCAGAACCCCGATGACTGCGATGCATCAGTATCATATCGTGAATGTCCTTTCTCACATGACAGCAGCCGGCCATTCTGAGCATTAGTCGCAGTGAATAGGTCGTATGTCAGGAACGTGAGGGTGAATTCGGCCTGGCGAACGCGTCAGCGTGTAAAGACCTCATCGCCGGGCGACTTACGCCGGAGAAGAAGAGCAAGAAGATGCCATGGAGCCAGCCAATGGTATTCAGACGTTTCAGTCGTTGGTCTGCCGCTTCTACCGGGATCGGCGCGCTTTCACTGGCAGCGTTGGCCGATGTCTCCTTCTTCCAAGACTTGGTCTCTGGCAGACGTGCAGCGAGGAACAACGTCTCGACAATGAGAAAGACGAGCGAGATAGCAGCGGGGAGAGCGAACACGTTCCAAGATGTCGGGCTGGATGAGGCGATGGGTAAGGGTCGAGATGCAAAATAAGCGCCTAGAGAGGGGCTGTACAGATATCAGCAATTGTATGGCTTGCTTGATCTCACCCCAAGGTGAAGCAAATGGAGAACGCGATGCCGATGAGGGCGAGAGATCTCGATCGATTCGAGCTGTCCGTTACGTCTGAGATAATCGCGCTGGGTTTCAGCTCAGACGGCCTTCCCGACTCACGTGCTGAGTTGTACGTTGCCTTCGCTGAGACCTCCAACGAGGCGGGAGAGGAGAAAGGTAGACTGGGAGTGCGGGTCAGTCAGACCGCGTGACGAGATCATATCATTCCCTCACGAAGGATGTCGATCTGGCCCAAATCATGGCAGACGCAATGTTCCCGAGCATGGTGCACAGCAGTACTCGCCTGCGACCATACTTGTCAGAGACTGGAAGAAAGTGTGAGATTATTTCACCTTAGGAGATACCACTCACGCGAACCGAGCCACGGGCTGATCACACATTGACAGAGGCTGAACAAGCTGCCCATGGCGCCTCCGAGCAAAACCACATCCCAATTCTTGCTCGTATCGCCTACTCGTCCGCCTGTCCACATCCATCTCGTCTCGGATCCCGTTTGAGTGGTATCCAAGGCTGGGGTCGAGAATGACAATAGCTTGGATCGCCAGGAATGGGATAGACCCAGAAGACGAGATAGCAAGGTAGATGGTGAGTGGGCTTCAGAATGAAGGTACCAAGCGATCAATCGAGGGAAAAGAGGTAGAGGAATAGTAAACGCTGATCAAAGAGGTAAATGAGCATGCTGGAGATGGTCTATAGCTTACCGAGGAGATCGAGGACGAGAGCGACGAAGACAGTCGTCACGATGGACTTTGGGGAATGTGCCATGGTAGCCATTCACCTCGTTGAGCTCGCTAGTCACCGTTGCAGATGGCCTCACGGACCCGATCAACCCAACGGTGACGAAGGAGCAAAAAGTCAAAATACGAATGCATTCACGTCTCGGCCGATTGAGAGGTGGTGAGATCGACCACGAGGAATACAGGCACGGAATATGTTGAGCCAGGGATACCATTGGTTCAAAGCTCTGGTAGATTCTGGGCAGATGGACGAGAAGACTGCCCACAGGACAGAGTATCCGTAGATCACCCATACATACCTCATGCATTACCGCCGCAGCCACCAGACGACCACGAAAATCCAAAGTACAAATAGTAGGAACAGCATAAAGTAGCACCAGCCTATGCCCTGCTTCTTTGCCATCTTGTTCATTCTTCTGAACGTGCCGTTGAGAAAGTTGGAAGTGGATCCAAAGGCGTCATTCTGAGCGTATTGTGTCAGCATAAAACAGAGAAGACAAGGTGGGGTGAGCCCTATGTTCCCTCGAAGACGTAGATCTGAGAACCCGTTAACTCACCATGCCTGTCAGCTCCAGGTTTCCATCTCTAACCTCGTTACCGATCCCCACAGTGATCTGTCGCTCTGCTCAGCAAGCCCCCCTCAACCTTATTGCAGCGTCCACTTACATCCTTCAGCACCTTGACTTTGCCTAATAGCCCTTCCAATCGCTCGTCATTCTGGCCCTCGACATCATGTGTGGCCCGTGTATAGCCTCCATTACTGCTCATTCCGCCTCCAAAGGGACTTTCAGAATACTGCGAAGCGGAAGATCCGGATCGTTGGTAAAGGCCATTGGAGGTCCCAGGAGCATGGTTGAACCCTGAGCCAGGACCTCCTGCACTCAGTGGAGCCGGATACGGGGAAGCTCGACCGGAAGAAGGTCCAGACGGAGGATAGAGAATAGGAGCGGGTGTCGAGGTCTGTGGTGGGACACGCTGGCTTACTGTCCGACTGCACGAGTCGGGATCAGCGAAGCGGAGACGTACAGTGCGGCAGACTCACCGATTCATGGCTGACAGTGTAAGTCAGAGTACGGCCCAGTCATCCACATCAATCGACTGAAGCGTCTGAGCCTCTTCTTAGGTCTGTTGTGAGCGAGCACAGGATTCACTACTGCACGACCAGTAAGTTTAGAATCCCGACTACATCAGCCTGCAGCTTGAACGAGCGATGCGCGAGGCGAATTACGTAGCGCTTGGCCCGAAAAAACGTGGCAGTCATGAGTCTTGTTGCCTTTCAAGTGCACGGCTTTGAGATGTTGCTCTATGAACCGTGTGTCAATTTGCGGAGGGTTACAGAGAGCGCGATGCCAGATGAGCTGAAGACAGAACACAGGTCTGAAGGCCATTCATCTCAGTTCAGCGATCATTTATTTACCTTCTAAACTTTTGTTACATACATTCGCGACTGCGAGGGACCGAAGACAGGCCTGATTTGGCTGATAAGGTCGTCACGCGGACGACCGTGCGAAGCCACCTCGCAGACTTAGGGAACGCTTCCCATTGATGTCTGAGTTGCTGCACGAGATTCCGCCAACGCCGCAATGCCACCGGAGAAAATATGAGCGTCGGGCTTGAAACGTGCATTCCAGTTCTATTTTTCGAATCAATCTGCTCTCGACCGCATCTTCAAGGAATCACAGACATGTGAAGTCTGTCTGAATCAACATGAACGTGCCTTCCGTCCATGCTGACCTGACATACAGTGGTACGCAGAATTTGACTGATGGAGCTAGTATATGTACATATGACTAGAGAAATTTTGTTTTTGCTGACTCTGCACTCAGCTTGGCGGTCGCACGTCGTTTGCTAAACTACCTGTGTCAAGACTGGCAATAGTCGGACCCAGCTGTATCAACATGCCCTTCAGACGTGACGAACCCGAGATTGACGATGTCAAGGACTCTCAACCGCCCAGTCCAGAGCTGCTTCCTACTCAGCGAACTAAGGAAGTAATCAGCCTGAGGACTAAGATGTGAGTCGAAGCGTGGACAGTGCTCAATGTTTAGCTCGGCTGTGTTTACGGTAGTCTTCTCTGGCATCGTGAGTCGTTCTCCTGCCTCCAAAAGCAAGTTGTTGACCTGTCTATCCAGGCGCTTCTGTCAGATGGTGTAAGTCCTTCCAAGTTGCGGCACCACGTTGCCGTCTGCCCAAAGCCAGCGCTGAAATGCAATAGTACAATGCCTCGATCGTCGGGTACCTCAACCTTCTATTCAAGCCGCGTGAGCCCACTCGAATGGCAAGCTTCCGCGTTCGCTCACCTTTGCGCAGTGTACCCCGACGCCTTCACTCACGAGATGAAGACCAGGATCTCGAATTCCTTCTTCATTGGAGAAATCGTCGGTCAGTTGGGCTTCGGAATGGCGATAGATAGAGTCGGGCGGAAGGCTGGAATACTACTCACGACCTCGTGCTTGATCATGGGGATCATTCTCTCGGCAGCTGCCCACGGCAAGACGAACGAAGGGTTGCTCTGGATGATGCGTGAGCTCTCCCTTTCCTTAAGAGCCGCAGTTGACCGCTCAGTTATCGGCCGAGGCCTAGCTGGTGTTGGTGCAGGCGGAGAATACCCCGTGGCAGGAACTGCATCCATCGAGGCTGCAGACGAGACATCCCATGTGAGGACGAGGAGGGGCTTCTTGATCGCCTCGGTTGGATGTGGCGGTGAGCTAAAAATATCTTTTACTTTATTCTTGGCTGATTCTTCTTAGCTATCGATCTTGGCTTCGTCATTGGAGGCATTGGTCAGTCCCTCACGAGCCGCTTGTCCGCCTCTGACTGACTCGCATTCAGTCCCGATCATCATTCTGCTCGCTTATGGCTACACGACTCACTCTACCGGTGTTCACGGTTTTGTTGGCACCTGGCGAATCACCATGGCTTTGGGACTTGTCCCTGTCCTCGTAAGTGGAAAGACCGTGGTGGTTCGAGAAAGGTTATGACACCAAACAGTCGGTGTTTTACTTTCGTATCAAGATGCTTAATTCGACCGCCTACAGGTGAGTTGAGGACCTGGTCGTCTTCGCTGAGCCATTTGACAGGAAGAACGCCATGAAGGGCAAACGAATCTCACTCAAGATCCTCATGCTCGCGTTCCGACGATACTGGAGGCGAATCATCGGGACATGCGCTTGCTGGTTCTGTACGTACTCGCAGGAGGTCATGGGCTGATTTTGAAAGTGTACGATTTTTGCAGTTATCCGTTCGGAATTTTCAGCTCGACAATCGTTGGACAACTCAACCCTGGTGAGACGCTGTTGAACAACCTTCCAACTCTCAGGGTTGCTGATAGACTCTCAGACAACACCATCTTACAGAACATTGGTTGGGGAACCCTGATGTGAGCCGACATTGCCTTCGATTGTGGCAGTGCCTCATATCACACAGCAACGCCTTTCTCCCGTTCGGTTGCCTTGTAGGCGGGGTCCTGCTGGACAAGATTGGTCGGAGAAATACTCAGTGGGTCTCGGCATAGCTTCCTCATACTTTGTCTGACGTGACAAAGGGCACTGGGCTTTGCCGCCCAAGGCGTCATCGGGATGATTCTTGGAGGCGTATTGTCAAAGATTCAGAACAACACCGCCGCGTTTGTCATTGTATATGGTGAGAGCTCTCTCAACTTTCAGCCGAACAACATTCTCATCATCTATGAAGGTATCTTCCTGGCAGTCGCCGAGGCAGGTCCTGGCGTCGCCACGATTCTCATTGGCGGGGAAGTCTACCCGGTGAGTCAGCCGTATCCTTGTCTCGTCACGCCGCTGAGACTGGTCAGACCGCCCTCCGAGGCCACTTCTTAGGCTTCTCTGCTGCATGGGGCAAAGCAGGGGCAGCTATCGGGTCAGTGGAAAGCCAATCTTTGCCAGATCGTTACTGACCCACTCTGCAGCACGCAGGTGTTCACACCTATCCAGAATGCTTTTTCCGATGATTTCAGAGGACAGCAAGCGGTGTTCCTGAGTGAGTCAGGTGCAGTAAGCTGCGATAGAGTACTCATGGCGATCGTAGTCGGCAGTGCCGTCTCGATCGTCGGTGCTATCATCACTTATATCTGTATTCCCGAGATGGGAGTGAGTGGCGATGTCACCTTCTTGAGTCCGGCTGACAATCCTGTCCAGACTGGTCAGTATCTGGAGGACGAGGACGCAGCTTGGCGCGCGTACCTCGAGTCACATGGTGTATCTACGAACGAGTTTGGAGAGGCCGTGGAGGCTTCCGCCAGCGGACAGATGATCAGAGAGATCGAGGACAAGCAATAGCTCACAAGATCAGCTTAGACGAGGCCAGGATAGCGAGGTGCTCTTGGCATGAAGGCGTGGCATGAACCAGGGAAAGAATGAGAGACGGCATAGCATGAAAGTTATAGTTCACTATGGTAATGCCGGCGTGAAAATGCCGACAAAGAGACATCTCTCGACCGCCCGGCCGCCTGGACCCGAAGACCCATAACGGCATTACCATAGTGCGACGCTACTTTGCTGTATGTAGTTTACTCCTTAGAATCTAAGAGGATCTTTGAGTGAATGGCAGCGTTGTGTGCTCTCATTTTCGTGATCATCTGAATCACGAAATCAATAGTGCCCTAGTCGAGCTGAGATCTGGCTCACCGACGGTCGACCTTTCGTCACTCGCTCCGTCCTTCACAGCGAGGCATATGTCGCTCGTGACGCCTTTTTCCAACTCGATCAATGCTTGAGAGGACTGCAGGGTTTGCAAGTAGTGACGGGCTTTCAGTTCGAGCAAGTCGTGCAATTGCTTCTGTCGCGCATCCGACACGCCGTGGTCAGCTCGGAAGCTGAGGTACCGCCAAAGGGCGGTCAATACGGCCCCTAACGCCGCAAACGATGCAGCGCAGATCATGTCGAAGGGGAATACGACCGAAAGAGGCGGAATGTGCCTTGCTGCGCAATATTCCATCTCCCTTGCGCATCGTAAGATGAAGAATAGTCAACATCTTCAGACTAACCTCACCTCAAACTTGAACGTCAAGGTCTTTATAGACATCTGAACTTGTCGCTTCGGAAGCACCGCTGGTCATTTGACTACGGACAGGTTCGATCGTACAGGGGTTAGTACGTCAGGTTTTGATCCTGAAAACCTGGGGTGAGTTGCCCTACACACGTATTTCGCGTTTAGATATCTAACGCCCCATGAAGTTCGATTCCCAGTCAAACCTTCTTTTTGTCTCTTTTTGCTTGGACAACACTTCTACAAACTTTTGGAGTTATGCAGCAGCTTCCAAACAGCGTCTGGAAACGCTCAAACGTCGATATCAGTGAATGCAGAGGTCAGAATGCGAAGTGCCACATTGGAAACGTCGAATTTGTTTTGCAGGGGGGAAATTATTCGAGCCTCCCCGAATGGTCGAGCCGGTTCCGACATTTCCTCCCAGTCCAAAAGCATTGAACTATTGAACTATCTCTTCAACACTCATTCACCATGGACTCGATCATAGAGACCCAACGCCAAGCTCATGAAGAAATAGAGAGCTATGAGCAGGCTCTCGCAGAAGTTTTGATGCAGAATCCGACCACTGTGAGTCATTTCAGCTGATGCGATGGCTTACAGTATCAGCGGCGTAACATTACCCGTCGTGATCGCAAAGCTGCAGAGATATTAGACAGGATCGTTCAGCTTAGGCAAGATCTGGTGAATGAATACGAGGACCTACCGGGGTAAGCCGATGGTTGAGACATGTGGCTAATTGCAGCCTTCGACCTACCGAGCTGGCTCTTCTTTCTGCTCCTCCTGCTGGCGAGGATGATTTAGCGGAATTCTACGTCAGATTCGAAAAGATCAAAGAGTTTCATCACAAGAACAGGAATATCAATGCCAGGCAGTTCATCAATGAACTGGACGAGTTGGTCAAAGGAGATGGAATGACGGCGATTCCTACCGAGGATGGAGAGCCAATCATAGTCGATTGTGAGTTGAGAAGTAATTGGTTGCTGATCTACAGCGCTCGATTCTGTCTTTTCTGGAGAAGAGGCGTACGGAAAACATCTTGACCTGTACTACTCTCATACTCAGTATCTGAACCTCAAAGGCGCTGTCCGGTTGTCCTACATCGCATACATTGATATGCTGCGGCAGGGTAAAGTCGAGAGGACATTAGATGTCAGGGAGAAGTCGAACGCGCAGTATCTGGAATACGTGGCAACGCTGTACAACTACTTGGTATCTTTCTTTGAGCGTGCACTGCCTCTGGAAAACGTTCACGGAGATTTAGAAGCGTGGGAGACATCGTTCTCGTCGGCGTGGACAGCTGGACAGGTCGAGGGATGGAGTGAGGGGTCTTCTTCATCAGCGGGGAGCGAAGGAATATGGTGTCCCTATTGTGAGTAGCAGTTGTGATCCGTGACTGACCTTCAGGCGCGAAGTCTTACTCCAAGCAGACCGTCTACGACGCCCATCTCTCCTCGGCCAAGCACAAAAAGAAAGAGAAGGAGGGCAAGAAAGAGTCCAACCCTCAACAGAGCAGCAATGGCTCTTCAACCTCTGACAAACATCGCCCACCTGCTCGCTTCACGTATATGATATCGAAACTGTTGACTCATCCTCCCATTCCACAACTGCTAGTTGATTCTCGGTCTGAAGTTGAGCGTCGAATGGCTCTGACCGCTAAGGAGCGAGAAGCGGAACTGGAGGAAGCAGACGAGGCGCCACCACCACCTGCCGAGATCGAAGATGTAGAGGAAGAGGAAGACGATGACGGAAGGATATACAACCCAAAAGGTTACCCTCTTGGCTGGGATGGGAAGCCTATTCCGACCTGGCTGTGGAAACTGCATGGCTTGGGCATGACGTTCGACTGTGAAATCTGCAGTGAGGCGACCTATCAAGGTGAGTTGAGCCATGCTTTCACGTCTGACGAGTGCAGGTCGAAAAGCCTTTGATCGCCATTTCCAAGAAGCTAAGCATGCTTTTGGTATGCGAGCTCTGGGACTGCCAAATACAAAGCACTTCCATGGTATAACCAAGATTGCGGAGGCTTTAGCAGGTGAGCAGTCTGTGGGTTACGTCAGCTAATCACCGCAGTTGCCGAAAAGCTTAAACGAGAAGGAAGGGCAGAGCTTGCAGCCTTAGAGAAAGCAGAGGAAGTGGAAGATGCAGATGGCAATGTGTACTCCAAGTCTACGTATGAGCAGTTGAAGAAGCAAGGCGTGTTGTAGAGTACCATGCACAGAGTCAGAGGAATATTTCAAGTATCTATTTTTTGACAATTTATCCCGCCGCCATCAGATGGCATCCAGCAGGTCGCCCAATTTTCAACGTTCTGCATTACATTCATTACACACGAATCACCATGGCGGGAATCAATGCGTAGGTCAAACGTCCGGCTGGACACACTAACGATATCAGTGGTGACGACAAGCTCGTTTTTGAGTCTTCCGAGGCTATCAAAGTGGTATGTCCAGGCGGATCATCTCCGCATTTCATCGAGAGGAGTAGAGGTGCTCATCAAGACACTTTTGCTCCTCTCGAATACAGGCCCCAACGTGTGAGTGTCACGCCAGCGACTCAAGGACAAAGCTGACAAGATCCAGTCGAGGCGCTCAACTTGAAGGAAGATCTTCTGAGGGGTATCTATGCCTATAGTTAGTCTAGCATTTGGGTTCGTGGCTTACATTGTAGACTTTGAGAAGCCATCTGCTATCCAGCAGCGAGCCATCATTCCAATCATGAGAGGTCGGGATGTCATCGCTCAAGCTCAAAGCGGTACTGGTAAAACTGCGACTTTCTCCATCTCGGCATTGCAGTCCATCGATTCCAACATTCGAGAAACTCAAGCGCTCATTTTGTCTCCTACCAGAGAACTTGCTGTTCAGATCCAGACGGTTGTTCTGGCCCTGGGAGATTACATGAACGTCTCGTGTCACGCATGTATTGGAGGAACCAGTGTCGGCGAGGATATCAGAAAACTTGAGGCTGGTCAGCAGGTTGTTACGGGAACCCCTGGTCGAGTATTCGATATGATTAGGCGAAGGAATCTGCGGACAAAGGACATCAAGGTGAGGCCGCATTGATGGAATTTTTGCTTACACATAGATGCTTATTCTGGATGAATCCGACGAATTGCTCAACAAGGGATTCAAGGACCAAATCTACGATATTTATCGGTATCTTCCTCCTGCCACTCAGGTGGTTGTGGTCTCTGCGACACTGCCTCATGACGTGCTGGAAATGACGACCAAATTCATGACCGATCCCATTCGAATCCTCGTAAAGCGTGATGAATTGACTCTCGAAGGAATCAAGCAGTTCTTTGTCGCTGTCGAGAAGGAGGACTGGAAATTTGACACTCTGTGCGACCTGTACGACACGTGAGTAATCAAAGCTTGACGCAGCGCTCACCGCCAGCCTCACAATCACCCAAGCCGTCATCTTCTGCAATACCCGCCGCAAGGTCGACTGGCTCACGGAAAAGATGAGAGAAGCCAATTTTACCGTCAGCAGTATGCACGGAGAGATGGTTCAAAAGGAACGAGATGCCATCATGACAGAGTTCCGAGGCGGACAGAGGTGCGTCATCTACTGGTAGCTCTTTGCTTATCACTCAGCCGAGTACTCATCACGACGGATGTCTGGGCCAGAGGTATCGATGTTCAGCAAGTGTCCCTTGTAATCAACTATGATCTTCCGTAAGCAGGCGATTCGCACGCAGCTAGCTGACGGCAGATCATCTCGTGAAAACTACCTGCACCGTATTGGACGGAGTGGTCGATTCGGCCGAAAGGGTGTTGCGATCTCCTTCGCCACCTTGGAGGACATCAGAATTCTACGTGATATCGAGCAGTTCTACTCCACCCGTGAGTACAATTTTAACCGCTGAGAAGCGACCCTGACAATTTTCGTCTCAGAAATCGATGAAATGCCCATGAACGTGAGAAAGTGCACGCGAAGTCGCTTGCTGACCCTGCTCAGATCACAGACTTGGCATAGGTACAGAAACGTCGACTATAAAAGTATCAGTGTATACAGTATGTATGAGGGTGCCTCTCTGATTTGCCCATGTTGCTCATTACCTTCATCAATGACTGGTCACCCTGATATGAGGCAGAGTTGGGCTCGACAAAACATCCTCGTCCTCAAGATACCCGAACTCAAAGTTGCCATCGTCCCCGACATAGTAGGCTTCCGTGTCATTCTCACACCAACCAGTGATAGGCGAATTTGTCTCGTCCACCGTGGGAATTCCAAGATCCATCCTGTATTCGGTTTCTTCTGATTCGATCGGCGAGATCGGGAAAGTCTGATCGAATCGTGGGATGTCATCTAAGCTGTGTATCCGAAGTCCTTGGCCGAAACGAGCCCCTTGCAAAACTTCGGATGGTCTAACAGGTCTACATTCTTCGGCCAGAATGCGCGAGAAGATCTTGGCGGGCACGGTGTTAGCGCGACCTAGCGATGATCCAGCGTTGGCTGACATCTCTGCCAGCGCAGACTTGAGAGGCTCCTCGACATGCTCAACCACCACTGGATCCCGGGGCTTGCTAGAACCTTCCATCTCGTCCAGATCTTCCAAGGCTTTCAAGGCCCTCAAAGCCTCCAAGACTTCCCGATTATCATCCATCTGAATCTTCTCTAATGCTTCCAGCTCCTGCCTTGTGGGTTGCAATGACATGGTTTTGCCGACTGCAGTGCGGAGACCGACGTGCTTAACGCTTGCCAAGATCTGACTCCTACTTCGACCGCGGCGTTCGGGCCTGCACTCCTCTTTACTTGGGCTACTTTGGTCCATCTGGATATCGGTAGACGTTCTAGGCGTTTCTGGGAAGGATGACAGGCAGGAGATGGTCGAAAGCGTCGCGAGATCGGATACAGATGATCGGGCTGAAGCTGTTGTGTACGCTGATGATCGCGTAACGCTGCTCATGATGGTATCCGAGGAGAATGGTCGAGTCCTCTGCCGTGAAGCTTCAACAATGGTGGACGACGACTCAGCAGAGGAAGGATTAGAATCCTCCTCCTCCTCTATCATTTCCAAAATGGCCACAGACTGCAAGGACGCAACTGGCGAACGTGGGCTGAAGTGGACTCTTCGGCCAGGTGTATCAGGTTCTATGCTCGCTTGCCAAGTAATTGATCGAGCTGGTGAGACCGTCTGATCCGGAGACGAATATTCAAACATGGCAACAGGAGAAGAGTATGGACTCAAAACAGCTTGATCCGGACTGGCTAGGTGGACGAATCCGGACCGACGCTGAGGCAACAGCTCTTGTTTGGGAGTCTGAAGGTTACTGGAGTGATGCCCCCAATTTGGCTTGAACATTGAAATGGTGACCAAGTGGGAGAATGCCGACATGCGAGGTGTCCCCCGAGGGATACTGGCCGTTCGCCCGGGGGCAGTAGGTGTTTCTGGATCGAATTCAGAGTATTGTCCTCGTTCGACGTCGTGCTCCTTCTGAATCGGCCCGGGAGAGGCTGGGACGGCTGTGGTAGGGCTCGTCTGACGTCTGTAGATGGCCCAGATAGACAGGATGATGATAACAGAGCCCACGAAGATACACGCCACGGAAATACCGACTACACTCGTCGTAGGATCACTGGGAGGCAGGGTGGGGCCAAATCCCAACGTGGAAGCGGGCGACGAAGGAGAGGCTGATGTCATTGAGATGGTCGTTCCAGGGTCATCAAGGTGTTGGATGGGGATCAACGGCCTTCCGGCGCCATTTCGTAATGGCTCAAGCGCTCCATCTTGCGGATTACGGATATCAAGCTCACGGTGTTTCGGCTTGTTGGTTCGACGCTTCAACTGATGTTTGTTAAATCCACGTAACAGGCTTTGTTCTTCCTCAAATACATCATGCTGAAACGCGACGTCGGAAGGGATGAGGATGTTGGTACGGGGATCTTTGGTGTATAACGTCTTTGGGAGATTATTACCAGGCCATCGGCGGAAGGATTTGGCGACGCCAATATATCGATCAATCTTGGGTTGCACGTTATCCTGACCGTCCATCCTGTCCAATGGGTCAGTGTAGGAACTGCAGCACGACGACATCGATGTGGTACAACACCAATCATTTCAATGCATGCACTTCATCTATCTCAAGGTATGCACTCGACAGGCTGAAGGTCCTTTTGACATGCTCATCTCCGGGCTGACCGACCAGCCGCCACAGTGCCACTTGTGAGACAGTCAGTAGCGCGCTACATGAGGACCAGCCACGATGCGGGGTAATGCCGGCTCAACGGTCCACCGACTTGCAGCAGCTACCGAAGTGAAAGGCGAAACCACTTCTAGACCAATTCAGCATGCCAGTGTACATGATTCGTCCGTCTTATTGATTTGGCAACCACACGGATCCGCTCCCTAAATACGAGCGGAGCGACGTCGGAGCCGAGGCTCGCGTGACCCCTTATCTCGGTATATCCGGGATCCATGTGTGTTTTTGCGATTTCTTGATGGAGGTCCTCGAAGTGCCAGTCCGAATGCATGTGTCTGTCAGCTCTTATCTTTTGCTCGCCGTCAGACCCACCTCCAGAGCTTGACTCTCTTGTAGCTGTCTCCTCGCTCCAACCTATCTCGGGCATATAATTTGGCAAGTTCCGTGTATGTCAAGATCATCCTGAACCCCGGAGCCGACGGGAGTCTAAATTTGGGTATCAATTTTGATTCACATAGGACGCCCCCGGATTCCCCTCGTTTTCTCGACTCGTCGTATTGGCTACTTCCTACATTCGAGCGTACCCTGCCGACCACCAGGGGAGATCTGACTAACAGCGTCCACCTCGGTGTCTTGTTTATTGCCGTTTCACGGCTCCCACTGGGCTGGCGTGCGCCATCATGAGCTATCAGGCGCAGTCGGTCTTCGACGCCTCCAATATCGCGGCTCTGGCAAATCACAGACTCAAGTCAAAGTGAGTCCTCACGCGTGTGACCCATGTCAGATGTCTGACAAGTTGCCTGCAGACCCGGACCATTCCTGCTCAAGCATTCACTGTTCCTCCTTCCCATCTTGGTTATCGCGTCTCTCGCTCTCCTCCTGCTCACCCTTATCTTGCCATCAATCTATCGCTTTTTCAAACGCCATGTCTTTCGGAAATCCTATCAGCCTATACGACTAGAGGACGACGATGAGGATGGAGACGCGGAAGCTCCTGCTCCAGAGCAGCCCATGTACATGCCATCTCGAGGGTTCATGTCGGATTTCAAGGCACACGTCAGATCTTTGCAAGAGTACGGATCAATTCTGTTCGTCATGGAGGTCATCCGAGTCCTGGCACTCGGTGCCTTGTTGGGCTTGAGCATTGTCGTGGCTATCAGAGCAGAGTCGCCTTCCGAGGCTCATGCTCAATCTGCGGGTGATGTCGAGGACTGGTCCAAATGGGGCAAAAAGAAACACAAGAACAAGCACAAGCATCATCACAAAACCCAACCCAACTGGGACGACTACACTCATACCGAATGGGAGGAATTTGGAATCTGCGGTTTCTACGTGAGTACCAAACGCAGAAACTCTACCTGACGCCGTAGGCTTACTGCCTGATCTTTGCATTCCTCCTTCTCACACTTCGACCAGCGACTTCTTTCCGGAGGCATATCATTGCACACCTGGACATGCTATTACTCCTCGCGTTCTCCCTGTACGCGTACAGAGACCTTTATCCCCTCGCCACGTACAACTTGATGCCTCGCGATGTTAGCGACGTCTTTACCTGGACGCGTGTCGGCTTGCTAGGTCTCGTCTCTGTAGTTATCCCAATCATCAGGCCAAGGACGTACGTCCCCGCGGATCCCGCTTTCCCCACGCCAAAGGGACAGATTGCCCCAGAGCAGACTGCACCTTGGCTATTCCTCGTCTTCTACGAGTTCATGACTGGTTTAGTGCTCAGAGCCTGGCGAGTTCCTTCGCTGCCTTATGAGGGTATGGTGAGTAAAGCCATGCTGGACTGATACTGAGAACAATACCAGCATCCCCTCGCCGACTATGACAAAGCCAGCTTCTTGTACAAGGTCGGTATATATGCGCTCTCTTGCATGGTTGGGTACTGACATCGCTCAGCTACACATGCCCAATCTGGACCCCATCAGGCGACGAGTCGCCGGTCTCAAGTCAAAGCACTTAGTCTTCACTCTAGTCTGGAATCTCCGTTGGGATGCGTTTGTGACTTGTGAGTCTTGTCATCTCGTCAGATGCTGAAGCATTACAGGCTTGATGTGCGCCATTACCGCTGCGACGGAATTGTCTGGTTCTGTAGGCACCAACATGCTCTTGAAGTACCTCGAGACGGATGGGAAAGGAGCTACTGTGAGACCTTGGGTTTGGGCCGCATTGCTCTTCATCGGTGAGGCTATACCACTTATCGCTCTGCTCACATCCTCTCTAGGACCCGTCATTTCCTCTCTCACCATTCAATGGTACATTTTCGTCATGACTAGGGCGTTGATTCGATGCGAGTCGATCATATCCATGTTGATCTTCGAACACGCGCTTCGTCTAAGGATGCGAGAATCGACTGAAAAGGAGGAAAAGGAGGAGCCTAAACCGATCAACCCTGCACTCATCGACATCACCGTTGAGGACATCGAGAATGCTCCGGGAAAGCCTCTTCTGCCCTCCGCGCCGGAGCCCACGGTTGTCGAAAGCGAGAATGGAACTGACGATACCGAAGTCGGAAGCTCGTCTCAGGCGTCTAACAAGGGCAAGATAGCTGACAAAAAGGCTGAAAGCCAGGACGGATCTGAAGAGGGCACCGGTCAGGGCATTGCAGGAAAAATCAACGTCTTGATCGCTGCGGACGTGTCCGCTGTTGTTGAGGGTGAGAGAGCACCCAAAGGTGTCAGCTGATGGTGACAGGTCGTGACTTCCCCTTGATCTTTGTCCTGCTGCCTGTTCAACTCGTTCTGTGTGTTGTCTTCTTGTACAACATCCTCAGCTGGAGTGAGAATGGCGCCTGACCTTCGGAGCCATGTTGACGTGTCTCAGGTTCCGTGATTGGAATGCTGTTCATGGCCGTCACCCTCCCCGTACCTGGTCTCATCACGAAATGGACTGCCGATATTCAGAACAAGCGTATGGCCGCCGTGAGTGCACAGTATGAAGATATTTTCTGACCGGTCAGACCGACGTGCGTGTTGACACCATCACCGAGGTCGTGGGGGCGGTGAGTCTGTGGGCGTGAGTATCGGCTGATCGTTTCAGCTCCGCATGGTCAAAATGTTCGGCTGGGAAGACAGGATCAAAGAGCGTGTCGCCTCCAAGCGAGAACATGAGCTCGATTGGATCTACAAGCGTCGTCTTGCTTCTCTGTGAGATTCATCGGAGCGAATTTTGAAGCCATGCTAAATTTTCATGTCAGTGCCAACATGATCATCTACCAGGTTCTGCCGGTTCTCACCATGGCCATAACTTTCGCTTGCTACACCATCGTGCAGAAAAGGGAACTGACTGCCGCCACGGGTGCGTTTACGTGGATGGTCAGCGCTAAATCCTAGTCTTCACCAGTATGACTGTCTTTGATCTCATCAAGAACCTGTTGGGAATGGTGCGTATCCTATGCTTGAAAAGCGCTGACTTGTGTACAGACCATGTATATGGTATGCAGATTCGTCGCGCTCACAGTCTCGAATCTGACCTTTTTCACAGGTCAGCCAATTCATCACCTCTGGAGTATCTCTCAACCGAATTGACAAGTTTTTGCGAACCGTGAGCCGGGACGCGCTGCCTTTCTGACATTACAGAGCGATCTTACAGACGAATTCACTGAAGGCTACACGAACACTTGCAACTCTCCAGAATACCTCGAAGCGAAGCAAAAGGGCCTTATTCGAATCAAAGACGCCATATTCTCGTGGGGTGTCGAGAAGACCACGACAAATGCCAACTTCTCCATCCGCATTCCAGACATCACGTTTGCCAAGGGTAAAATCAATTTGATCACTGGTCCCACGGGCAGTGGAAAGAGTTCGCTTTTGAAAGTGAGCGACGGTGATTGATGCGTGACTGATGTCCTCAGGCATTGATCGGCGAACTCCATTTCATTGGGGGAAAGGACTCGTTTTACCATCTGCCGCGAGAAGGAGGGGTTAGTTATGCCGCCCAGGAAAGCTGGCTCTTGTCAGAAACGCTCAAGGAGAACATCCTCTTTGGAGAGGAGTTCAACGCTGAGCGATACAACAAAGTCATTAAGGCTTGTGCTTTGGAAACAGATCTCAAGCTTTTGGACGACGGCGAAGACACCGAGATCGGAGAGAAGGGGGTGACCCTCAGTGGTGGTCAAAAGGCTCGTGTGACGCTTGCGAGGGCAGTGTACAGTCCTTCGGCGGTTGTTCTTCTCGATGGTGAGGCAAATGAAAGGTGATCATTATTGACTTCCAGACATCTTTTCCGCTCTGGACACTTTGACTTCGAGATTCATCCTTGAACATCTGTTCAAGGGAGACTTGATGAAAGATCGAACGGTCCTGCTCATTGTGAGTCAGATGCGCAAATCTCCCGCTGACCAATGTAGACTCACCACGTCCATTTTGCCGCCCCTATCGCCGACTATATGGTCTCTCTCGATGAGTCTGGCCGGGTCAAGAAGGCCGGGCCCATTGATCAGACTCCGGATATCACCCCGCCGGATTCTCCTGAGCTCATGGCTCAACAAAACACCCTCCAGGTGAAGGAGATCGATACAGAGGGCGATTCCAAGGCTAAGGCGGAGGACAAGACCAAGCATAAGCTGATTCAAGACGAGGAGAAGAGTGAGGGGAGAATATCTAAAAAGGCTATGTTCTCCTTCTTTTCGTGAGTTTCTCTTTGTCACGCAGGTTACTGAATCCGCAGCAATTTTGGCGGTCCTGTTTTCTGGCTTACTTTCTGGTTCCTTTTGATTGGTGGTCAAGCCGTCGTGGCCTACCAGTCTTACTGGCTTGGTCGATGGGCACGCGCTTATCAACAAGCTGCAGACTGGCACGATGTTTCCATCAAGTACTACCTTGGGTTCTACATGATCTGGGTTGCAGTTGCCATTTTTATGACGACGTTTTCAACCGCTCTCTACTACCTCGGCGCCATCAAGGCTTCCCGTGTTCTTCACCGTCGACTGGTGGACTCGATTTTCGCAGCCTACGTCCGATTCCTTGACACTACCCCCGTTGGTCGAATTATCAGTCGATTCACCAAAGACATGCGATCCATCGATGGTAGTTTTCCTGAGACTGCTGAGGGCGTCTTTGAGATCAGTGTCTCCCTCATTATCAAATTTGTCATTGTGGTCTCTTTGGTCCCTCTCTTCTCTATCCCGGCCATCGTTATTGGAGCGATTGGAGGATTCATGGGGGAGATGTACATTCACAGTCAATTGAGTATCAAGCGTGAAATGTCCAACGCCAAGTCGCCCCTTTTCTCTCACTTCTCTGCTGCCGTCAACGGTATCGTGTCTATCCGAGCGTACGGAGCTCAAGACAAGCTTCGCCGAGAAGCGCAGAGACGTGCTGATAAGTACACGCGCGCTGGACGAAACTTTTACAACCTCAATCGATGGATCACTATCCGTGTAGACATGCTTGGAGCCCTCTTTGGAGCCCTTCTTGGTGCTTTCCTCGTATACGGTCCACGAATGGACGCCTCGACATCTGGATTCGCCCTGTCCCAGGCCATATCATTTTCATCCATGATTCTCTGGTGGATTCGAATGGTGAATGAAATGGAGGTTGAAGGCAACTCGGTCGAGCGAATTGAAGACTATCTCAAGATCGAACAAGAGCCAGCTTCAGAAACCAAGAAACAGCCTCCCGCTTCTTGGCCTACATCTGGAGAGATCGTTCTTGAAAACCTCTCCGCCTCATACTCGAAGGGTGGTCCCATCGTCCTTGACAATCTCAATATCAGGATCGCCAGTGGAGAAAAGGTCGGAATCGTCGGCAGGACGGGTAGTGGGAAGTCTACGCTATCCTTGGCAATGCTGCGACTCATCCCGACAACTGGCAGTGTCATCATTGATGGGCGAAAGACGGAAAACGTCAATTTGAACGCTCTTAGATCCAACGTGACCATCATTCCTCAAGACCCTATCCTGCTTTCTGGAACTTTGCGATTCAACCTTGATCCGTTTGACGAGCATGAAGATGCGGTCTTGAACGATGCGCTGCAGGCGTCCGGACTAGGTAGCGTCTCCAGATCAAGCTCTGGGTCAGCGACTCCGCAACGATTGACTCTCGATTTCCAAGTCGCCGCGGCGGGTGGAAATCTGAGTCAGGGACAACGACAATTGGTAGCTCTTGCTCGTGCCTTGGTTCGATCGAGCAAAGTATTGATCTTGGACGAAGCTACGGCTTCAGTCGATTTCGAAACCGATGCTCTGATCCAAAAGTCGATTCGAAACTTGCCTAGCTCGACGACTGTCCTGACCGTTGCTCACCGACTCAGTACTGTCATGGACTATGACAAGATTCTGGTTTTAGGCGCGGGTAAAGTTTTGGAGTTTGACTCGCCTGGGAATTTGAAACAGAAGAAGGGCAGCTACTTTGCCAAGTTGGTCAAGGCTATGGATGGATAAGCTGAAGAACGGTATCTTGAAGGAACATTGTCGCATGCATTATATCCATTTGTCATCGGAGGGGCTGGCTTGATGCGACCCTTATTCCCATTCAATCTTTATCAATGGCTGTGTGTAGAGGTTCTTGTTCTGTACGATATCGTTCTTGGTGTACGACACATAGATCTCGTTTGTCCATGGGCTCGATACCAAAGCAGGGTGTGCCTGCATCGAGTATGCACCGAGAGAATAGTTACCAGCTTGAACCGATAGGATATGAGTGGGAGTGGTCCAAGGTCCATAAGGTTCAGGAGCAGTCGTGATCCAAAAGTCTGGATCTACCGTATGTCCTTGTTGTCCGATCCAGACGTAGGATTGCCAGGGATAGCTATAGTAGAATGTCCCCTGACCACCGTACGTTGCGTTGACTTGTATTCCCGAGGTATTGAGGGCCGGGACGGTTGATGTCCACGAGTTGTTTACCCAATATTGATACTTGGATCGATCTTCCACATCGTTGACTCCAACTTTGGCGAGTGAGATGGTTCCATTCGAAGATTGAGCGTAGAGGTAAGCTGTCCCGTTCCTGACGATATTCCCATAGTCTCCATAGGCAAACGAGTTTTGGGGCCAGAATTGTTCTTGGACGACTTCGACTTCTGGCAATGTCGGTCCGGATGTACCCTCTACTTCTGGTTGATACCATACTCTATACAGTGTAGCAGCGGGATCAGCGACGAGGGAAGATAGATCCGGCGTGATGTGACTCTTTTTGATCCATGTGTAAGCTAGGATGGATCCGTCGGCGTTTATGACGCTGACCATAGGTGGATAATCTGGCCAGAGGGCATATCTGGACATATCGCCGCATTGTCCAGCTTGATTAGAGTTACATTCATCGTACTGAATAGGGTAAAATGATCGATTCTGATTGTTCCCGTACATGATCCACTCGGACATGTAGTTGAAAGGGTTCGTAGGGACAGATTGCCACGGTATCGAGCCGTCACTATTGAAATCGGTATAACTTGCCGAGCTGGTGTATACTGGGAATGTCGGCAACCCATCTGTACCGAGATTCTGAGTGTCTCGACAGACCCACAAGACTCGACCGGCGTTCCACCCCACGGATCCACATGAATCTCGAACCAGTGACGGATCCGTCACTGGACCGTACAGAGTCGTGTTCTTGACTTTGGGTATGACGGCATCGCCATTCTCACGCAATGTCAGTGCAGGGACAGTTGCAGGCGCAGGTGCAGAGAAAGATGAAGGCAGGGCAGTGCTCAGTGCAAAGAGCCATTGAAGCATGCTGAGATAGAACAGGTGATCAGTCACAGTGAACGGATGACGGTCTTGAGGAGGACGATCTTCAAATATCTTGCATTCACTTGGACCCCCCAAACTCCTCGGTGAGGGAACACACATTCTCCCCCCTCCTCCTCAAGGTTCACTCCCTTCTCCAATGCAGCTAGAGGATCCCCGAATTCGCCTAATATTCACTCAAACTCACGCTCTCCCCCGTGGAGCGGACTTGCTCTCTGTCGGACGGACCCTCGTGACGAGAAGCCACGTGCTAATCACGTGCTATCCTCCATCGTCATATGACGTGTTCCTGCGCAGTTGTCAAGCTAATTCGGCTGCGAGACGATAGGGTGCCAGAAACTCCACTCAAGCATGGAATTACATCCTTCTCTACAGGGTCAAATGAATTGCCGCCGGGAGCTCTGCATAACGAGCCAGTCTTGACCCAACAGTGTCCTAATAATAACGATCCACTCCATATCAACGACAACCTACGGTGAGAGCCGATGGGATGATCAGACGCTAGAGACCCCCCCTCCCCGTTGCCAGTTGTACGTAATTGTATAACGGCATGTTGACCGAAAGTAGCAATTTCTTTCACTCGGGAGTATGTATGACGCTAAATAGCTTGGATGGTTTTGCAGTTTTGCTTCCGTTTAGCGCACACACTCTCTCTCTTTCCCCCCTTTCCCTCCTCCCTTTGGCCCAGTGTGTGACCTTTCTCCTCTCGTCGTCGGTGCAGCACAAGTAATTTAAAAAAGCAAAGGCTGCTGCTGGATACTATAAGCCCCTCGTCGCCGCCGTCGCTACCAGGTCATACGCTATAGAGCTCATCTTGCGGACGCTCTTCGAACAATTCTCCAGCTCTCACAATCACAAGACGCTCCCCTGCAGTACCATTTCCTGCGGATCTCGCTTTAGATTCCCTCCCATCGAGAGAATCCCTGAGCCAACCCCGCTCTCGACTTTTTTTCCATACCCACAGCTACCAGCGTCGGTCATTTGCTGTTTGCAAAGCTCAGTCTGTCCCATTGCTATAGCGGTGTCCCCTGTGCTCGACATTGAGCCGCCTTGGTCTTGAGCTTTTCCCAAAAGTTGGATCCCGGCCGATCCAAAAATGAACCCTCACAAAATGGTGAGTCTACAAGCAAGCACCCTTGTTTGCATATATCTCGTACGAAAACAAGCTATGGGAATACACTGCCTCCTAGTCTTCCCTCGATGCGTCAGGTCTATTCCTGATCCCTCATCATCAATGGGATTAGGTGTCAGTTATTTTCACACCTTGGGGTATTTGGATGTTGAGGGATCCTTTGTCGGTTTCTAATCCTGGAAATGGATGATCCTACCTATCATATAATCCCCTCGCTGTGACTTGCTTCACAGCGACTCTTCATCACTCTCATCTCTTTGTTAGACCTACTCGCCTTCTACCCTGCTTGCCGAATATCTTGTTGATCATGGCGCTGACGCTACCACCTCGATTCTCTCAGAACAAGGTCGACGTATCGGTGAGCCGGATGATACCACCCATACACTGTCTCGAGCTCACATCCTCTTCAGAGTATGAGTCCCCAAGAACAGAAAGCCTTCCAAATGTACGGTAAAGCACCGGCCAAAAACCTCTTGACAAAGATGCAAAAGGTATGAGCGCTCATGCCCGCGTGCTCGGTGCCTAAAAGGCCTGGATTCTTGCTGACATGTACCCATCTAGGACCGAAAGTACTTTGACTCTGGGGACTACATGATGAACAAGGCCGGAGTCAACACTAATGGACCCTTGGGCACTGCCATTCCGACTCCAGAAGGGTGAGTGGCGCCGACATACTCGGTCTGCTCCTTCGCTCATGCTCTCCCGCTTTAGCGTCCCCCACGCATCTCCACCCGGACCCACTTCGCCGCCACCTAACCTATCCTCATCACCCACTGGCAGTGGTCCCACTCCTCAGACCAACCTTATGTCCCAGAACGATCGAGCCTCGAGCCCGACAGACAGATTGAGCCCTCAAGGTTCGAACAGTCAATACGGGAACGGAGTGGGGGTGGGCATCAGCCCAGCAGCTACTAGTGAGGCTATGGAAGTGCCAGTCGCACAACATCATAGGCGAACAAGTGACAGGTGGGCCAACTTTCCCTCCGGGAAACGATCCCCATCGTCACTGGTATAGAGCTGACTGGTAATCTGTAGCAATCACGGGACACGCATCTCGCCTCCAAGCACATTGAGAGATCACCACAGCCATTCTTCCAGTTTCCCTATTCAACACCCTGGAGGTTTCGGATCGTCACCTGTCAAAGCGAGTAGTCTGGCAAAGCGATTGGATGAGCACTTGGAGGCGTGAGGGGGCTCGCGTCATCGGGACTTCGGCATATTGTACCATCAGGAGGAGCTTTTCTTCACTTCACAGCCCGTTCTCATATTTTCCCTCGGTTGGCCTTTCATATCGATACCACTCGCCTCGTCGGGTGGCCTGTCAAAGGAGTCTGTTTGGGTCATTCTCAGCTTTCTGTTGCAAAGCTCAAGCTTCATTTGTAACATTACGCCCCATCATGTATTGGAGTGGAAATTGCGGGTTGCATCGCGCCGCCTCGACCGGATTTGCCCATGCGCGCCTCGTTGAGGTGGTGTCCGTTTTCACTCGCAAACCCCCTTTTCAGATCTCATCTACAGTCCAAGTCCTGACGCAGCCATCTGCCCCAGTACTTATCAAGCCTGTATTACCGTCTTTCCAAGCGACGCTGGATACTCCTCCAGGATGTGAGTTCTGGGCGGCGTCAACAGGGCCTTCGGAAAACGATGTCATGATTCACCTTGATGGCGGTGTTTTTCAATGGTCTCCCGACTTCCCAGATGTATATGCTCTCGTCCATACCTCCCGAAGCCAATCTCTTTCCATTCGGCGAAAAGTTGAGCGACGTGACTCGACCACTGTGAAACGTCCAGCGAGACGTCACAATCGCCTTCTTGTCATTCGTATCAATTAATACGATTCGGCCCGAAGACTGCTGTGATCAGCTTGTGGATCCATTTGTCCGCAGCTCGAGCTCACATCTGCAGCCGCGAGGAGAGACCCATCGGGGCTGAAAGCCAAAGCTTGAACTTCTCCTCGATTATCATCGAATTCAGCATCGACCTGAATATCTGTACCGTTCCTCCGTCCAAGAGACACCTTTTTCTGAGCATTTCCAAATGCGACCAAGTCTTCATTCGGTCCAGGGTGAGCGGCAACTGATGTGACTGCGCCTGATCGGACAGAAGAACTACCATCAGGCCTTGGATGGATCTCAAGCCCAGCAGCAGACGCCACGTAGACGGCTCCGGGGGTCGATGCGATATCTGCCGGTTGAGCCTTGACAGCGATCGAAGAGCCTCTGATTGTGCGAAGAGTTAAAGTCGACGTCGCGACGTACGGGTTTCATCTCACACTCACCCGAAATTATCACCCTCGATCGACGCGACCTTGTCGTCCCAACCGGCACTCCAAGTCTTTGTCCCATCGTGACTCATAGCTGCGACACGACCGTTGTGTCCGTTGCCCTTCACACTGTCGCATTCTCCGGCTGAGGAGAACGACTTGATGGATCCATCGAAAGATCCAGTGTAGAACGTCTTATCGCTCATCACTGCAGAAGTGATGGCCTTGGGAGGGCCATGCAGTGTTCGCCATTTTGAACCTTCTCGGGTGTCGAATACGTTCAGAACACCGGACAAAGAGACTGATACGAGGGTGTTGGGGCCAGCGTAAACGACTCCATTCTGTTGGGAGGGAATGTCGGTTCCGATAGTGTAAGTCTGAGTGGACTTGAGCGTTGACGCATCCCCTTGTAGATGGCTCAGTACGAGAGACCTCTCAGAATGGAAAACTCACAAATGGTGACGATACCGTCCGCTCCAGCGGAAGCAACGGATTTGGAGTCCTTACTCCATGAGCATGCCATCTGCCACGCCATGTCAGCAGCAAGTCCCGTCGCGATGCCATCAAGTTGACGAGTTCTCACCAGACTGCTCGTGGAGTCTCTCTTGATTTCTCCTTTGACATCCCCTTCTTTCCCTCCGTAGATGAAAATTTTCCCATCGCTGCCGACACTGGCAAACGCTTCGCCGTCCGGGCTATACCTGACATCCTGGACGAAGCGAGCATGCTGGGAGATCATTTTCTCATACTTGAATGGAACACCCGTATGGAGAATGACAGTATTGTCGTCTGATCCAGAAATGGCTCTGAAGGGTCGCTGATGTCGGATATCAAGTGAGGTGATGGCTTTGGCGTGACCTGTGATTTCTCCACACGTCGATCCAGAGTCCATAAAGAAGGCTGCACCGAATCTGAGACCCCGAAAGGGGAGAAGGGGGATGTAGTGATTAGCTTCCGGGCCACTGTGGCAAGATCAAGTCGACTTACCTGTCCTTGCCATCTCCACCCACGATGATCCGCTTACTCTCCCCATCCCAAGCTAGATCATTGATCCTTCCCCCAAGAGGTCGTATGGCCAATTTTAGAATGTTTTCAGGTTGAGTCACGTCCCAGATCCTGACGTTTCCAGCTACATCACCGGATGCACAGTAAAATCCAGACGGCGAGATCCGAGCTACGGTAGCAGATTGAGTGTGTTGGGTGTATGCGTGGCTCAGATCGGTGTGCTGTGCCAGCGCGGATCAGCTGGCACCGTCTTGAAACACGGTAGGTGGTTCTGCGTAGCAGAACTGAAGACTCACATTCAGATCTCGGATCTGGTCGGGCAGGTCAGCAACGGGCCCCTTTTCCTGATCCCCATTTTCTTCAGCTAGACACTCACAATGACCGCCCTGCCATTCGTGTAGACTACCTTTTCGCCCTTTGGATCTACCGACAACTTTGTAGATACCGCTCGCTCCGTAGCCGGGTTGCAAGGATATAGGGGGCCTTGTGAGAGGGTCAGGCGGCAGACGCAGACGCAGACGGACTTCTCACCTGTTTTGAATGGCATCGTGCTGTTTGTATGCGTGCCCCAAGAAGCACCTCCCAGTGTTAGTGTGTGCTCTAGAGAATCGAACGCAATCACTTCAAGACGCCCCCTTTGCTTTTATAGACAGACGTCATTCCGTCATTCCCGCTGCGGGGTTGGGACTTTGTAATAAAAATACCGAAGACTCACGCGCGGAAAGTCTGGCTGAAATTTCTGGAAGCCTTTGTTGGACGATTAGAATTCTCTTTGTCTTTGTGACGAGCAGATATCGAACGAGATTGAGGTTGCTTTGAAAACCTCCGTTCTGCCGGCTTGAAGAATGCCCAGGTGTACCAGGAAGGGATGCCAGAAGGAGTTCGACGAGAGCTCCAACGAAGATGGGAGCTGCAAATATCATCCAGGTGGACCGGTAAGATGAATTCAAGAGCGTGATCTACGCACGAGCTGACGGCTGTACCAAGGTCTTTCACGAAGGTCTCAAGTCGTGGTGTGAGTACATAATGAGGATGAATAAACCTGTAGCTGACTTACATATAGCATGCTGTAATGAGGTGAACAAGGTGAGCTGCTCAAATGGAGACCGACGGAGCGAAATCTGACGGGCGTCGTTCCAGCCTGTGCTCGAGTTTGACGCTTTCATGGAGATCCCGGTAGGTGAACTATCCCTTGTGTGGACCTTCATGGTCTGATATCGTCCTATTAGCCTTGCACGACTGGTAAACACTCTACCGAGGCTCCACCTAAGCCGGTAGCAACAACAGCACCGGCAGAACCGGCGCAGGGACCGACGAAGACGGTGAATGGAGTAGAGACTTATGGACAAGCAGCGCCTCCTAGCTCTTCAAACGGTGCGGGATCCAGCTCAAAGTCTGCACCTGTAGCTGCTCTGCCACCGGCACCGACTCCAGTTCCAGCTCCTGCTCAGCCCAAAGAAACGGAGGAAGATGATCTAAGCGTACCTGTACCTTCCGGAGCGACTTGCAAGAGATTAGGTTGCGGAGCGACATGGCAGGGTGAAGACATATCTCGAGGTTCAGGAGAGCAGTCGACATGCCGATATCATCCGCAGTCGGTGAGCTCGTCATCACCAATTCAGCCCAAGGGATTCTGCTCATTTGATACGTAGGCAATATTCCACGAGGGATCAAAAGGGTACTTGTGTTGCAAACGTCGGGTGTTGGAATTTAGCGAGTTCCTCAAGATTGAAGGTTGTACAGAAGGAAATCATCTCTTCGTCGGTGCGAAGCGCGACGAGGTGAGCAATACTCGTGCAGGGCGAAAAGGGCGTGACGAAGTGTTTAACGATGCGCCTTACCCAGTCGGTCGAAGAAATGGTTGACTGCCGTGTCGATTTTTACCAGACCCCGACTCAGGTGCACGTCTCAGCTTTTGCTAAAGGGTGAGTGAATGACCATGGGATAGTCTAGCATCGTTACTTCGTCTATTGAGCGCTGACTTCTCTTCTCAGAGCCGACAAGAGCAAGTCCACCGTCCGGTTTGATTCCCAACAGGTAGATCGCACGAGTCTAGATTTTTCTCTTGTAACCGGCATGCTGACTTGTCCCTCCAGCTCCATTTCGATTTTCATCTACCCTCCAATAAGAGAATCGCAAAGTCTCTCACTTTATACGGCCCTATAGATCCTGCATCAAGTACATTCCGCATAGTATCTACAAAAGTGAGTCTAACCTCCTGCATTCCATGTTGACACCGATTCGTCCAGGTCGACATCACTCTGATCAAGTCGACACCAGCTTCGTGGCCTCTCTTGGAACTGCCTGCAGAAGGCACTGAGTTGCCACCGGGATACGCCTTGACATTCGGAGTCAGCGGTCGTACTGGCACAGTGGGAGGAAAAGAGATTGTACTGGCACCCGAGGAAGCCGCCAGGCGATTGCAGCAGTCTTGAGCGTCAAGAGTAACCAAGTCATCAGAGCGCATAGTCTTACTCTCCCATCAGCGGTTACTTGTGCACACCAGTTGATCATCACCAGTCATGTGTGTGCATTATTGTGCATTTCTGACTTTGAGAGGGCCTATGGTTGAGCCGCCGCAGCTGTGCAGCCATGTTCTCCCGTTACGATGCGAGATCCTCCTCAAATTGTGCCATCTCCTCCTCCGTCATCAACATGTTCTCATCGATCTAGCAAGGTATTGTAAGCACTGATCCAGTATGATCATCCTAGTCTCACCTCAATCTCCACATCACTGTCCCTTGTCCTCCGCTCGTGACTTTCAGCGGTATCCTCTCGATCAGGATCCAGCCAGTCGGATCTATCTGGCAACGCAGGCATTTCTGCGCCTCTCCGAGCCAGTTTCTAGTAACCGATAGACAGATGGTCAAGATTCAAGGCCGATGCGATACACACACATACTCTCTCTCGAAAATGAGAGAGATACTCACATCAGCCTCTTCGTTCCCTTTGATACCTGCGTGACCTCGGACGTGCTTGAACCGTACACTGCCTCGATGATCACGCGTTTGAAGGAGAACCAACAGATGTTTGATGAGATCTAGGTTTTTAACTTTCTTGGGTGTGGCCGATCGAGTCGAGTCTGCGCTGGATGATGAAGAAGACGTCAAGAATCCTCGTTTGAGCCATTGGGGGAGGTAACTTGTCATGCCTGCCGTTTTCGGGTCAGTGATTTGATTTCGGGGCGCCTGGTGAACGAGGAGACACCACTTACACATGATGGTATATTGGGAGTCTGTCCTGATCTCGATGGGAATGTCTGGGAATGGACATGTTTCAAGGACGCGGATAACGGCCTGGAAAGATACATAGATACCGGTCAACCAGTAGTACTTCTTCACCCGTGGGAGGAGGTCTTCCAAAAAGCTCACCAACAACTCTCCACGGTTGTTAGTTTGCAGTGACCCAGGGACACGTTCGCTGAGGTTTCTGATAGTTATCCCCTTGGAGTTAGCCCTCAAGTCGCTCCGGGGACGATTCCCTAGTATCTCGTCTTGGACAGACTTACGACTTTGCAGCTCTTCCAGTCGATCCCCACCAGACTCCTAGTCCAGCTCTAGCTCCAACTTTGCCATTACTCAAACCACTCCCATCGCAATACACGACGAGTCTACCTTGCGGTGTGAATGTCCATCCGTCCGAGACGAGCTCCACCAGTTGAGGAGGAAGTCGGGAAACGTCCGCATCGATAGGCGGAGAGGATGCTTGAGTCGTACGAGACGACGAGGATGAGGATGCAGGGGAGGCATATGCCTCTGCTTTGGAATTCTTGGAGCCTGCTGCAGGTGGAGTATTCTTGGTCGAATGACTAGGGCGCTCCCTTTGAGCTGGCGGATAGGGTTTGGTGTATGATCCATCAGACGTTAGAAAGTCCCTTGCCTGGCTCTCTTGAGCGAAGCGCTTGAATTTTGCCCTAGAACAACAGAAGGGATTATCAGCATCCGGTCAATCCATTTGGGATCTTGGGCAGAATGCCTTGAGCTGCATTTTGCAACGAGCTGCCCCCCCCCCTACCCCCCCGCCGCCCGCTTGCTCACCCGTTAAATCCCTTCACTTGGGCTTCAGCTTCTGACCACGAGGAATAGACACCGGGTCTTCGACCGGTATGGACGGCATACCAAGCTGCTTTAGGCCTTCAGGGAGCCGATCAGTTTGAGCGATTGTCACTTCTTGCGATCAACACGTACATGTTGCTCCTCCCGCTCTCTGTTTTGGCTGGATCGCCAATAGACTCAGTCACCTCAGGTTTCCCAATACCATCGTTATCCTCTGACCGAGTTGTCCGGTGGACGACGGTAAGCTTGATATGGAGTTGAGGGAGTACAGTAGACGTGGACAGGCGTCGGTCGGTCCGGCGAACGAATGGAACAGCTCTCGTAGGACGAATATGCCTTGCGCTAGGTCTTGTACACTGTGCTAGACACAGGGAGCTCAATAGAGCTGAGTGACAGTATCTCTCCTGGAGCCTTCTCAGGCTTGCTCTCATCCATGGACGGAAACAAACAAAGACTTTTAGGAACTTCTTCCCAAAAACTTTATGCACTTGAGCGGAGGTTGGAACAGTTGTCAGTCAGGGATGGCAGACTGCTCATGCACTCCTCCATGGGGTCCGCTATCAGCAATATCATGCGATACTCGAATGACCTCTGAGAACGTTGATACCCCACTACGCTTTGGTCGTAGCCTGCAGTAAGGTCACCTGCAACTCGACTCTATACATTCGAAGACTCGATGAGAAAACGGTTGTCCGTGCATGAGACGGTGTCGGTGGTCTCCCCAGATGCTCAGATGAAGTCCCAACCAAGCTGCGACCCATCAGGACGCTGCGACGTCTCTGACAGGGCACCTTACTATTAAGAGAAAAAAATGCGCTAGGCTTGTACGTAGATCAGGAAAAGCATCGTCCACGCTCAATGCTGTGCACCCGCTTTCATGTTCTCGATACAGTCCAGTGCAGTACAGCTCGTGCCAGCCATCAATTGCAATGCTGCTGCTATTCTGCTGCTCGCCGCTGATGCTGCGACTCAGAAAGTTTTTGTCATATCTACATGGAGACTGGCTCCGATTCATGATTGTATTGTAATTTTTATGTAAACACAAGTAAACCAGTACCTATGCTATCATGAGGCAACGTCCCGAAAAGGGTTTCTCTCAATCCGCGGTGATCGTCGTCCTCCAATGGCCCAAGCTCTATGAATCATGCGAATCCAGTTCGCAAGAGAGACAATAGAGATGTCTTATTGCCAGGAGATTCCAAAGACACACCGAGAATCTCGATGGCACTCCCGAGTGATCGTCGATTTGATTTCGGCACCGTCCAGCGATGGGGATTGCGTCTATATTGTTACAGACCGTGAAAAGCCCAAAGAGATAGTGTGAGAGAGAGAGGATAGAGGTCGGACGTTGGAGAGAATATACAGGAGAATGTGGCGGACTGAAAAGAGTTTTACAAGGTCGAGTGTGGCGGATTGAGAAATGATCCAAGAAACGGTCGATTTCGTCCTTTTAGATCGTCGTCGAGATCACCTGGATACTTGACGAAGGACGGAGAGACGCGTAGCTTATACGAATTCCCACTTGATGGGGAGAACACTGAAGCACAAAAGTCAGCAAAACATGTCGACGATTTGAAAAGCCTATGATGACTCACCCCTGAGACTCGGAACCGATGGCGGTGAAGGCACCGACGGAGAGATCCAAAGAGTTTCCGTTGGCGCAAGTGGGGCAGACATCCTGGACCTGGGCAGTGACGGAAGCACCAGTGTCAGTGTTGACAATGTTGACCCATTGTCCACAGTAAGGAGAGGAGTTTCCGGATTGCCAGCCGGGCCACCAAGCCTGGTCAATGGCGACGAGGGGGTAAGAGTCGTCGTGGTAGTTTCCACAGGCTCCTGGGTTTCCGTTCTGGTAGAAGAAGGTAGCCTGTCCACCAGTGTTCCAGTTTCCGCCACCTCCGTTGTTGTTGGAAGCGGGAGAAGGAGAAGGCGAAGAGGCAGCGGCCTGTTGCTCGGTGGTAGAGGGCTGAGCAGCGGGGGAGGGGCTGGGGTTGGCAGCGGCCTCCTGGGTCATGCTAGCGAGAGCAGCAGAGACGGTGCTGGTGGCGGCCGAGAAGTCAGAGGCGGCGGCAGCGTTGGCAGAGGCACCAGCGGTGGAGTTCTCCTCAGCGGTGGCAGAGGCGAGCTCGGCGTTGGTGGGCCAGCATTGAGAGGGTCGGTCAGCCTTCAAGGTCTGGGTAGCGAGCAAGGGGTGGCAGCATTGCTCGAAGAATTCAGTGTTGTGCTTGTCCTGGCAGTCGAGGGCGAGGTATCGAGTGTGGTAAGTGGTGTAGTTCTCGAGGTAACCGTAAGCCCAGCCGGGGGGAGGAGCCTTGTCGTCTCGGACGGCCATGTCGACGGGGGCGGCAATTGCCATCGAGGCAAGAGCGGCAAAGAGGACTGATGAGGCGAACATTGTGTCTTAGTTTTGTTGGTAGTGAACTGTTGAGAGCGGAATGAGCTCTTTTTTGGTCTTTGTCTATGTGGAGAGAGGAGAGGAGAAGTCTTGTTGTGAGTGAAGAACTTTTGACTCACCGTTGGGGTTGTCAGCTTTATATATTCTGAAGAGGCTTTGATTGACCTTTGCTTTGGCTTTGTATAGAATGAGGGTGGTACCTCTTTTTTGGGTGGTTTAAAAAAGGTCTGGAAGTCGTCTGACGGTAGGAAGGAAGGGATGATTTCGGTGATCTAATAATTGTCCAGAACCTTTTCGCTGACGAAAGTCTGGGGGTGGCTTTGGGGTGGGTGAGGTGTCGTAGATTAGCGGTGGTGGTGGTGGTGGTCGGTCTTTGGTGGTGGTGGTGGTAAAAGTCTCAAAAGAGGGTGCTTGGGTAAGAGAGAGCGAGTGTGAGAGAGAGTGTGTAGTATGTGTGAGATGGGCCAGACCGTCCTAAAAATATTTTACCGCGTCAAGCGAGTAAAAGATCGGGACGGGGAAGGCGGCGGTAGATGGCAGCAAGAAGAGCGAAGCTGCGAGCTGTGTGTGGTGGTGGTGGTGAGCTGGGTCTGAGTCCGGGTTGGATCGTAGTGAGGCGAAGATGGAAAGAAGTAGAGAGTGAGAGAGGTGTGTTGTTGTTTTTGGGGGAGTTGAAGTATTCCCCTAAAAACCAAAGGAAGCAATTTTGAAGCGGGAGAAGAACGAGGGGTCAATGCGTTTCAGGTGACACCGCGTCGAAGGGGTGTGCCGCAACACGACTGTGCCTTGAAAAGGTCTGGAATCCAAACAAAGCGGTCCTCTTGGCTTCCCCCCCCTCCTTTTGTCTTTCAGGGACCATATTCCCTTTCCCCCCTTTCCTCCCCTTCCTTCCCTCCCCTCCCCCGCCCTGCAATTAAACTGTGGCGCAGGTCCTAACCGTTTCAGCTTTCGTGAACATGGTCTCTCCTCTGATTCTGAGCCTGATCGACCGGAGTAAATCCGCAGAGAGACGGGGGGGGCCAGCACCCGCAGCTTTTGACTCTTGAAATCCCCGAAGATCCCGGTTAGCACCCTAAAAAAAAGACAAAGAAAGGGAGGAATGACAGAGCCCATTCCTTAAAAAAGTCTGGCCCCCCCGATTACAAAAATATAATGTAATAGGAACGCCAGGTGTCTCCTCCTCATTTTATTTTAATTTTTTTCGAGGGTCACGGGTAATGATTAGCTAGTAGCCCCTCGTTTCCGAATTAGCTGCAGATGCGTCATGGGGACCTGGATAGTATCGTAACTATTAGGCTAGATCATGTATCTCGTACGGTACAGTATCATCATTTAGGCTGCAGGTCTGTGATCGACAGAGCCCAATCAGGTCAGGTCGGGAGACCCCGCAGACTATTGTATCGCCTGATTTTTGGCAAGAGCTTCTCCACAGATCTATCTGGACGGGGTTTGCTTTCTTGGTCTATGACTGGGCTCGGCTGGCGGGGGTCATGTCTGTGTGTGTGTATGTGACCATGAGACCTATTCTCGGAAACCGAGCAGCTTTTTTGCTCGCATCGCTGTGATTTGCAGCAAATGGGGTTGACTGCGATCCCCGCTCGTTTTCTTTGGGAAACCAACCCCCCGATCCGCCCGCCCAATCCGCCACGAATTGAAAGTCACTCCCTTTCTACTCTGATTCCGTTGTCGCCGGCTGGCTGAGAATACACCCTTTTCCGGGTCAGACAGCGAGTTCACATACCCACGCCAAATAGGACACGTCATGAGAGCGCTTTCTAGGGGGTGTCCGTCCGGTCTTCCCTTCATGACGTACCACTGGGCCAGACCTTGATCATTCATCCACACACACAATATGCATTGGGGGATCCCTTAGCCGCGTTCCTAATCTTCATCGGTAGACAGAAGCGGATATAGGAGGGCGCCGAAGTCTACTTGTCTAACCCAAAGATATTCCGATCGAGCAGCTCGGCTCTTATCCCGTTGCGCCGCCCTTTTCAATGTCCGGACATAGACGGCGCGTCCAGACGCGTCCATGGAAGTGCACCCCATCTCCCGCCGGAAAGGAATCAAATCATATCGGAACAGACGTTTGACCCTCGACATTTCCATTCGGCACGTGAGTTGATTCCGCAGTATTACCGGCCGCGGCAACGGGTGCGCGATTAGGTTGTGTCGCTGCGGCGGCGGCGTTGGCGGCAGCATCGCCATCCCCATCGACTGTAGCAGCCGCTGCAGTAGGCGCATCGATCCCCACGGCAGGTGCTGGGGCCGTCGTTTCTGAGGCTGCTTTCGTATCGAGCTTGGTCGAAACGAAGTCTTTGATACGGGGTAGCACGTCCAACAAGACGTCGACCACTTTGGCTCGTTCTGCTCACGTGAGGAGATCAGATCAGTCAAAGCGTGCTTGCCGCGGACAAGTTTCAAGTCAAACTCACCCGATGTGAAGATTTGACCTCCCAATCGGCGCTTGGCCCTATCGTCTGCCAAAATGGGATGAGCGGATGGGACGTAGATCTGGTTCGACTGCAGGCAGCGCAGAGTTTTTCAGCTACCGACACAACTGTGACAAAACCCCTATACGTACCTGCTTGAACCACGCTCGTCTCGTCTCGTTCTCCGGATCTATCCTCACTAGCGAATGCATGCCAGCGACTTGTATCACCGCTTTGACCTTGCGAGCGACGTCTGATGGGTATGATGAGCACGAGACCGATTGTCCGGCCGTTCAACGCACCTCGGTGATTGATCAACTCCATGATCGAATTACAGCCCGTGCCGTGACCGATGAGGATGACGTTGCTCGCTTCAGAGAGTCTGCGCGAGACAGACGGGTCAGTGGAGCTCTCAAAAACCCTGTATAGCGCACAACCCACTCGACGTAGTTGTCCCAGATGTATCGAATCAACTTGCCCGCAGCGGCAGGTCCGCTAATACGAACCATCTGCTTCTGGGGCTGTATCCGAGCGTCAGCTTGGAGCAGGCTGGAGTGTAAAAACTACCGATTCACCTGTTCGAGTCTCGTCGGCAGCTGAGCCAACACGTTCACATCGATGATTCCATATCCCTCCCCTCGAACCCAATCGACGATCTTATCGCTGCTATCGAGCTGCGTGGAGTCACGTCAGTCTCGCCTATTTGCGTGAAAATAAACACCGCACGAGATAGCTGTTCGTCATGTGCACGTTTGTTGTCGAGACACCGTCCGTCTCCACGCGCAGATTGCCGCTGAGTCGTATTAGTCACACACACATACACAAAGAGCTTAGCTCACAAATCATGTACAAAGACCACTAGGGTGTCTTTGGGTCCAGCCTCATACACTGCCTCACTGCGATGGTCTTAACGTGGGACCCGACTTTACGACCAACGCCAGACTCACTTGCAAATGACTTGCCCTGCGAATGCTTCCTCAAGCTCTGGAGAGGCGAGAGGAATCTGGAACAATTGATGCTTGTCAAACATGTGATACGCTCGATGAATCTTGAGCAGGTCTGGGTAAAGGGTCAATCAACTCCTGCATATAAATTCAGAGGCAAGGGGAATAGCTCACCAGGTATTGACACAGGTGCGAGTTGATCCTCTGCTCCACCTGAGTTCCCCGCGTCAAATCAGACTCTGTCCTGCTTTGACCGCTCAACTCACTCTCCAATGGCTCACAAGCCTTCACATCTATGCTCTTCCAGTACTTGCTTTGGATCTTGGCGACTTGATGAATGACCTCGGTCGCGACTTCTGAAGCCTCTAAGAATGGCAACTCTGCGGGCGTTTCACCAAGTAACACCTGAGCTACAGCGAGTGATGATCGGGAGATGGCTTCGAGATTGTAACCGCCCTACGTAAGTGAGTCTTTGCTTTGCTCTCAATGGTGATTTGGTACCAACTTCCAGTGCCACGACGACTTTGCCTCCTGCTAGAGCACAGAGCATATGCGTCATGTGCCCGTATGCCGCTGGCGAGACTGTGCATCCCCCAATGGTGTCGCCATCCGCTGCGTCGAAACCCGCCGAGACTATTTCGTGTCAGCAAAGGTGGGAGCGAGACGTGCGGGGTCCGTTCGAAACGCACTGATGACTAGATCGGGGGCGAACTCATACGCTATCGGCATGACAATCTTTTGGAAAGCGTAGATGTAATCACCATCTCCGAAACCCGCGCTCGGCCAAGGGATGTTGACGCTTCTGGTGGACGGTGGTGTGTCAACTAAATAGAGGTTGGGAACAGGCTCTCCTCTACTTACTTTCCCTCGCCTGGGCCTTCACCAACCATATCCATAGCTCCGAAATCGCTCGTCGGGTAGAACCTCCCACCGTCATGTCGATGCACAGAGATGTACAAGACATTTGGGTCGTCCCAGAATGCTCGCTGAGTTCCATTCCCGTGATGCACGTCCCTATACCACCCTGAGTCAGTAACATCCGCGAAAGAGAGAAAATGAGCGGTATGCGCACCAATCGAGGATTAGGACCTTTTTCGCCAACCCCTTCTGCATGACTTCTTTCGCGGCTACCGCCACATTGTTGTAGAAACAAAATCCCATATGTTCATCTGGTTCTGCGTGATGTCCTGGCGGTCTGACGATGGCGAAAGCGTTCCTCACTTCGCCTTTGCATACCGAGAGGCAAGCCTGGATGACACCTCCACAAGATAATCGAGCACAATGGGCGGATTCTCGACAGACGTAGAGTGAGACTTGGTCATAGTATTTCTTTGACTGTTTGATATATTGGTCCGTCAGGGCTAGAAAAGCATGTGAAATCAGCAAGTTTGGGAGAGTTTGTATAAGAAAATGCTTTTGGACCCACTCTCTGTCCCTTGGACCCTATTCCAATGTTCTTCCGTATGGACCAGACGGATTTGATCGAATGTGACTTGGGAGAATTCCAATTTTTTCATCCGTTTGATGATTCCCTGTTCGGCCAACCTGGTGAAGATCCGATGGATTCGCATAGGTTCTTCGGGATGAGAGTCCCCCGAGACGAGGACATGATCCTGAGTGGGGACGTATCCATCCGGACAATGCAACATCATCAAAGGGTCGTAAATGAATCCTGAGCGGACCATTCGAGCGGGAGAAGAAGAGGACGAGGAAGATGATACTTCGAGATGCCCGTTGGCGTGACTATTGGAGCTGGAGCCAGGATTGGAAAGTTGCACCGAGGCAGTCGCTAGAGCAACGTGTTCGAGCATTGGGTTCGGGTTCGAAGGAGGTTGACTCCGAGTCGGAGTGTCCATGGTGTTGTCGTCGTCAGATACTGGAGGAAGGACCGAAGACGGGCGGGATGTGGGAGACGGGGCCCCAAGGACTGGGGGTTGCGGGACAGCATCGGCGGTAGGTACAGCTGGGCCAGATTGAGGATTGGAGGATGACCCGGAGACTTCAGGAATACTCGTCATGGTCGTAGCCTCCACGGTGATTGTCTGATCCGCTGTTGTGATGATCTCGCTCGAGGCCTCAACTTGAGTCGTTGGGGCAGCGGGAGGCGCATCCACCTCCATTGAGTTTTCCACTACAGCAGCGATAGCCACTGTGGAACCTGCTGCCTCTTCGCTCGAGTTTGGAGCTTGTTGAGGCTCATTCGATCCCGATGCTTCGGCAGCTCCTGCCGCTTCAGCATTGGCAGTCGCCGGAACATCTACGTCCATTCCGTCTGGGGTAGGGTCAGACATCATGTAGAGTACACGGCGTGTCCGCTGTTGAGCTTGTTCAAGAAAGAGAGATCCGGTGTTTTAGCTTCGTTACAGCTCACTTGACTGGACAAAGAGCCCGTCTACCAGAATCCTTGGGTCGCCCAAAAGAATGGAGGGAGAGCGTTTTCTTTGACCCTAAGATCAGAGACAAAGGAGGGCCGACACACGAAGAGGTGGAATCGACCGACAGCGCGCGGGAGAGAAACCGTCCAGTCAAGTCGGTGTTTAAGGGTGGGTGTAGATCACCAGGAGAGATGCTGACACTGGAAACCTAGTCCCTCGCTTGTTCTCTTATAAGGCTCTACTTCGTTGTCGGGGCTTGACGTACTGTATTGAAAGAATTGGATACACTCCGAACACTATGTCAATATATTCCATAACATTGATTTCTGGCATCCCGATTACCGCATGTCCGAGAGAGATTATCCGATCCTCCCGTTTAGATCCAGTGCGCAGGGCTGAGCTAGCTACCTTGTGTCCGACAATTAGCAAGCAAATAAGCCTCCAATGCATAGAGGTATGCATGAACACATCTATCTCTGTTGTCACAAGGACAACGGGCTCTGACTTATGTCGAGTGTTCAGTCGGTCGGTCAGTCGCCAGCAGCCGCCACTCAATTCTCGACCCAGTTTGGTATGACGTGGCATTGATGTTCCTTGCTATCCCATTTTTCACGCGACGCGTTTTTTGATTTCCCGAAGATGAGACCTCTGACACCAAGGTACTTTGGGTGAAAGGGGGGCTCGATCAGCATCATTATCATTCATTCATTCACTCATCAACCTTTTTGGTAATCTGATCTCGCGTCACGGAGATCATGAAGCACAGCTAGACAGTCTATTCGCTCCGTTCTTAAACGTCCCCTTGATCCGCCTCCCTCCTGCATCGTACACCAGTTCAAACGTCGCCCGACCCGACGGACCCATGTCTGACGCTCACGTCGTCAGACCTCACGAACCCATGGCTCCGAATGAGACGATTGGGAATACGAGTCCGAAGAAGAGGAAAGGAGAGGATGACGGTGGTGAGTGGAGCATTTTGGAGCAACACGAGAGAGGGAGACAGAGAGAGAGCTAATGCTCATTCATGATAGGTGAAGAGAAACTCGTCAAGTTGCCAACGCCAAGCGGGAAGAAACCCCGTCAGGATGATGTAGGTGAGTTGAGGTCATCGGATAAAAAGCACGAACCTGCGTCGTTGACGCGGAGCTTAGCTGCACCAGCTCCAGCTGCGTCTCCGTCCTCCTTGATAGCTTCATCCTCCCTTCCATCTTCCAGTACCTCTCACAATCCTCTGATTCAGATAAAAGGACGCAAATTGGTCCTGACACAAGAACCATACAAGATCATCCCTCCACCAAGACGTGAGCTTTTTAATGTTCCCGATAACACGGGTCTTCCGAAAACGAGCTCACCGGCACTACACAGGCTCGCTCGAATTCGCTAGCTTTCTGCTTGAAGCACAGGAACAAGGTCACAAGGTGACGGAAATTCCTGAACAGCATTGGGGCCTGATCGCGATGCTGGGACATGAATCGTGCGTCTTGACCTATCTCTCAATTCCGAACCCTCCAGCTCATGAGTCTGCAGCACCGCTCGCACCGAAAATCTGCTCGTGAAGCAAATCAGAACAGCTCTGATGGTTCCCGTTGGCGGAGACAGCGGTAGGTCACGGGCTTTCCCTTCGTCCTACTTCCTCGACTGATTGATCATCGCTTCAGAGACCCTCTCTTCAGACGCCCTCTCATCACTCATCTCCAAGCTCTTCCATCAGAACGATTACGGTCTCATCGCTTCTGACTTCTCTCCCTCTTCATCCACGACGAAAGTGCCGGTATCCCTCCAACTGAAGTACTGGGAGGTCATCGACCTCGACAAGTACTTCTCTGGGGCCCAGCTCTCAGCTTTGAAGAGTCGGCTGGACCAACGCAAGTCTGCGAGAGTGGAATGTGTAAAATCACTCGAGAGCATGGATGACGTCGAAAGGCTCGAACTGCTCAAAGGCAGCACAGAGAAGAGCGAGAAAGGTCCCAAGCTCGGCAGGGTGGAGAAGGGGAAACAGGGCAGGACAAGCAATCACGAGCTAGAGGCTGGCGAGGGCAGCAAAGTGGATGAGACTGCCTCGTGCCCTGAGGTGGGCTAACGTTTGCTGATTCACGAGAATAAGCTCATTCCTCAGCAGTCATCCCCCGCCACCTTACCCCGTGGAATGCGCGAAGGCACTGCGGGTACCATCGGCTCTGCGAGATCCGCTCGATCAGTCTCACCGACGAAGAAGCCAAAGCCAACGCCGGAGGAGGTGAGTTCTCGCCGCCTTGTCCCAAGCTCATCGTTTCAGGCGGAAGCTGTGCGGGCTCTTAAAGCTGAAAGACAGGCTGAAAAGGAGGCAAAGCTACAGGCCAAAGCGGAGAAGAAGGCGTGAGTGGCTCTGGGCACTTCTCGGAGTGGGTCTGATCCGTCCTGCAGCGAGGATGAGAGGGTCCAGCAGAAGAAGGAAATATCGTTGGCGAGACAGGCTCAAACGATGGCTAGCTTTTTCAGCAAAAAGCCCGTCGTTCAGCCCAAAGCTGTGGCCTCTCCGTCCAAGCCAGCCGAGGCCACCGCCTCGTCGTCCGAATCCAACCCATCTCCATCACGACCCGTCGTGAGCGACTTTGAACGGACTTTCAAGCCAGTTCAGAAGCGTCCCAACGTGTACTGGGCACCGATAAATGCCTGGCACGAAGCGAGGGAGTCAAGCAGTAAGCAGGACGCTGCGGAGACGTCCTCAGTCCAAGGGTGGAGCGCGAAAGGTGGGTCGCATGTGCAAGAATCGGCTGCTGACTTGTACTGTAGACTTTCTGAAGGACCATCTCGGTCGACACGGCCACTCACTCGCACCTCCTCCTCGAGCATCACTTCCTCCTGGTCTTAAAACCGCACCGCGGTTCGGATCTGTCGGCGACGTATGGCGGGAACATGAAGAAGCAGAAGATCCGAGAAAGGTGCTGGAGTTGCTCAAAGACCGCACACGATTCCCGTGGAAGGTCTTGGCGTTTGATGATCAGGTCAGACCGCCCTATTGTGGTGAGCATGCGGATAAGCCAATCGATGGTGTCTGAACGAGTCATAGGAACATTCTCAAAGAAATCTGTGGCTGTTGGGGCACGGACGCCATTCGCTCAGGACCCAGCGTTGGACTATTCTTACGATTCGGGGGATGAGTGGCAGGATGATGACGGAGGAGAGGACGTTGACGATTTCGGTGAAGGGCGTGCTGGATCAGGTGATGATGAGGATGACGAAGGCGGAGAAGAGGAGGACGAATTTGACGATTGGCTGGACGACTCGGAGGAAGTTGGATTTGCTCGACCTGGGGACAGGTCGATTTCAGGCTCGCCTGAGCCTTTGGAGATTGGTCCGAGTGGCGCTGAGCAGACGAAACTTCCTCGTCAGGTTGTCAAGTCGCGTCAGGTTCCTAAGAAAGTGGTCAAGCTTACGCCGTCCTGGCGTGGACCGATGTGGGAGTCGGAGATTGGTTCAGGATTTAGCGGGATGACTGAGTATCGTCTTCAATTGTTGAATGGTGAGCTAGACTGATCTATCTCTCGTTGGTAGGTGGGCGATGATCTGACACTGCCGCTCAGACACACCCGAGTCTATCGACCCATTCACATATACTTCTTCGGATCCCGCTCAAGCATTCAAAACCAACTTTTCATCCACCGTCATTGGCACCCATCTTTCAGTCCGATGCCTTCTTTCCGCTGACCCAATCACACCCCGACCTCCCGTGCCACCGTTCGACGCCAACATGTCGACTTTGCAAGCTGACGGTCAGTCTGGTCCTTCAGGCTCAGGCTCAGGCCCGCGCGGCGCCAACGGACCGAAGATTGCGTTCCCGGATCATCTTCTAGGTGATTTACTGCGCTTGGTTGAAGGAAGTAGGAAGATTCGGACAGATCTCATCTCTCAACTTCGAGAAAGATTTGAAGGATTCGCGACGAAAGCGGCTATAGAAGCGAAGTTGAAGGTCGTGGCGGTTAGAGAGGGAAAGTCAAAAGATTCGCCGTGGAAAGTCTTGCCAGAAGCCTGGGTGAGTGCCACGCAAGAAGAAGCTGCAGCGAAGGATCTTGCATCGAGGTGCTTTGAACCAAAGCTGATCCGCTTGATTTCAGACCTCTGCAGGACTCGACGTTCCAGCCACATCGAGCGTAGACGTCAAGATTGTCTCGACGAAACCTACCAATCACCTGATACAATTACCATTGCCTCCCTCCGACCCTTTTTTGACGGATGGGTTCGCTGCTGTAGTCCATGAGCCTCCTCAGAGGATGGCGGTGGATTCTTCGTCTTTCTGAGGCGGAAAGAAGAAGGAACGGTCATGGAGTGCATGCAACACGACCGAACGATGCCGACCCACCAAGAGTCCAAAGGAGAAGAAACACGAGCGAGAAGAGGTCCACATACCGACATTCTGTCCATATACTTTTGGATTTGACTCGGAGTCGGCGGATGAAGGCGAGGTGGCGGCGAGGAGGAAGTGAATGGAGCCTTGAGCCCACGCTTGTACACAATACTACACACTACGTTTCATAACCATTTTTCGCCCCTTTACTTAACCATGACCTGGACCACAAGTTCTACCCCTTGTATACAATGGCATACGATGCATTTCATCCGTAATGACGCTCCGGAGGCCGAAGCAAGAAACGAGGGGCGATGTCGGCAATACACCGCAGCTGACGATTCAGGTGGTTCCGTTCCAAAAAACGAAGGGAACAATAAGACACTGAAAAGCTTAAGATGGGTAAGTGACCTGGATGACCTGGATGTGTCAAAGTCGGAGTCTAGCCATGCCAAGCAACCGTCATCGTGGCTGTCAAATTAGAACGCTCGCAGGATCTTTTAAACCTCTCAAATACGCTTATAATGACGCTGTACATATGCCATAACAAGGCCTAGAAAAGTCTTCTTTTTTGCGCCCTTTCCCCCAATGTCGTTCGCGACAGATAGTCGGTCGGTCAGCGGCGTCAAAGCGCTTTGGGAGGCGGACGCAGCGCAGCGTAAGGCTTGCCCAAAAATTGCTGTGATAGACAGCCAGCTCTGTTCAGGTGAGGCGCATAGCGTCCTACCAGTGTCCCGGTTCCATATGCTGTGTCAATTGTTTATTGTTTACTACCCGTTGGACTGCCCATGATCCCGTTGAGACTGCGGGCAGTGCAGCCCACACACAAAAAGAAAAACCGAAATCAGGCGAGAGGGAATGCAATAAAATCCTTTTGTAAAGGGGTCAGAAGTGGACTGGACTGGACTGGCCTAAGGCTGGACAGACTTTTTACCGGCAGGATTGCTTTCACACCGGGACCTGCCAAATCACATGAGATGCCTGGATGGGAGGGGGCACTGCCATAAATTGACATGGATGCACTTTACATACACGGGGACCGAATAAAAGGCATTCATCCTCCTAAATCCCTATCTCATATTGAATCAAGTCAGAGGCGAAGATTCCTTTTCATGGAACACATAGGCCAGCTTTAGCAAAGCTGCGCTCCACAAAAATGAGAATAGCAGGTATCCCAGAAAGAAATCAATAAAATAAAGCCAGCGGGAATCCCTTAGCTTTGCTTCACCCAAAAGAAAACTCATCTCAGCTGATCAAAGTGAGACATGGTGATGTGCAGGCAGTAGCAGCAGCTCCATCAGATGCGCTGCGCTCATGGATCCCCGATCGTTGCCGATGTCTTCCCTCCACTGGAATCCCCACTTGAAAGGCAGTGAGTGTGTGTGGCGTCTGGGGCACACACACAAGGAAGGGCAGGCACAGCAAGGGAGAAGAGTAATGGGAGATGGGCCCAGACACAGAAAATGAAAATGTTTTTACGGCACTAGATGAGAGGGAGAGGATTCCTCCCAATAAAAAATCCAGACCTTTTCTCTCTCTGGCCTCTCTCTCTCTCTCTCCCGCTTCTCCCCTGCCGCCCGATCTGGCCCTTCTGCCTTGTTGTTTCCCCCTTTCAAGAGTCTGGACTCTCGTTCCGTTTTGGCGTTGAAAGAGAAGAGAAAAAATAGTCATGGAGTCGGTGTATCGGTCGGGCATAAGCAAACCACGGGCCCATCCCATCCATACTGATATGTTTCTTCCCCTCTCTCTCGAGTCATCCAACATTCCGCCAGTCATCGACCCGCTCGCTCGCCCCTGCTGCTGCTGCCGCCGCCGACTGTAACAAACTGATCATTCCTCCAACGCCATCGCAGCGTGCTTCCTCTCCGTCATTTGCATACCACCGAAAACCTTCAAACGCCACGCAATTGTGACACACCCGCGCCCATCCGCTGCGATCCCGCATCATACATCGTCGTCACTTTATTCCGTGGTCAGTCAGTCAGTCAGTCAGTCTCAGCTCGACACCGCTCTGAGTGGACCTCCGACATAGCCATTACAGGATCGACGCGTAATACCGCAGTCGTATTGCTCGACATTGGCGTATTCGAATTTCCAACATTACAGAGGACCTCGCATTGGTTGGTCTATCTGCTTGCTTGCAAGTCTCCTCTCGTCACTGGTCCGTCATGTCTTCTCCGATCGCCTCGAGCAGTACAGCAACTCACGCTCAACCCATTCACGGGTTCGTCGGTCCATTATCGACGTTCCCAACTCGACCTCGTCGCGCTTCGTCCCCTTTCAGCGATGCATCTCCTGCCACCCCGATATCGGCATGTGCCTTCATTTTCGGATCACACGAGCCGGCAAGAGCAGACGAATTTGAAAGCTCGTTGACCAGTCCATTGACTCCTCGGACGAGCTTCACTTCCGCTGGTAGTCTCACTAGGCACAAGTCAGGTTCAGATAAGGGTTCAAGAAGGGCCTTGTTCTATATCGCGGATGCGGAAGACAGAGATGACGATCAGGAGGAACACGAAGAGGATGACGACGAAGAAGAGGAGGAGATCAGTCACCGATGGGGGGGAACCCAACAACCAAGTTCCAGAGCTGTGGCTGTGGCTGCAAGCTATGGTCAGAGGCAGATGTTCAAGGCGTGAGTTGGTGGTTTAGATGGCCCTCCGATTCGTTCGTTGACCTCGTGCCCCCCTCAGAGTCACTCAATCCGGTGACAGGACACACTCCCTCAAGGCTCTGCAAAGAAGACGCACACCTTTGTATCCCCAAGATGGACTCCGTCGACGTTTGAACGAGTGAGTCTACACGCTTATATACACATCTGCCCACGGCTCACTCTTTGCCACCAGATCCGACGAGTCATCCGCATCCACCCACTCTCCTCTCCTTCTCCCCTTCTTTGGCCCAACAGAGACAGACTCAACCTCATGCGGTCTCAAGCGACGACCTGCTATTCGACGAAAACGATCTCAATCTTCAATCTACGACTCCATGTCTTTGTCTACCGATTCTCCACTATGGCCTCCATCCGAGACTAGTCATCTCGAAGGCCGGTGTACACCTGACGGAATTCCATTCTACTCTCTCCAGGCGCATCCCCTCAGACCGAGAAAAGCAGCGACGATCGACATTCATACCATCTCCACTCGATTAGGCAGTCCGGTCCTCGATAGAGACTCTGAATTCGCTCGTCATCTGATCGACGAACGACGCATCACGACCAGTCCCTCGGAGGACGACTTGACGAGTGCTCAACGTCGATCTAGACCAGCTAGCCTCACGATCATTTCGGAAGAATCCGCCTCATCCCCCATCGGCTGGGTCAGGCGACTGAGCAAGAGGGGTCGTAAAGCCAAGAAGATTGGGCTGGATGGAGACGAAAAGCTCGGCGGGTGTGCCAACTCGACGCAGGCAGTCACAGGACACAAGAGACGGTTCTCTCTTCCTTCGTTGAGATTTCACAGGTGAAGCGACGACTTCTAACGCATACAATCAAATTGTCCGCCCGATTTCACACGTCTAGTTGTTGTACATAATCATTGGTCTTGCATGCTACATTTTTGGGTCTCTGGCATTCATCCTGTGCACAATATCATGTCTCAGCTTGGCTTGACTTGGCGGCCCTTCGCTTGTTTCCGCCGGTGCGTCTTCGACTGCGTCCAGCATGAGGTGAGCTGCGCCGTCTCAGAGATCCGGGCAGTGCAAGGACAACTACCGGGTCTAGGGTCTCCATCGTGCCTGTGGGTTCCGAGGATCCCTTGTCGATGGGGACCGCGGTACTACTTTCGGTGAGGGACGGGTAGCTAGACCCTTGAGTGTCATTCACCGTCGGGCCAGTTTCTGAGTCCGAACTTGGGCTGTCATCTGTCTCCTCGACGTCCATGGGTCGCTCCGTCATCCATGGCGAATCGTTGGTCGGAAGGTCCAATTCTAGCCATCGGTGTTCTAGACCCTGAGCTTTTGGGGCATCTGCGTCTTCCAACTCAGCGGGGCCACCGTTCATGGTGTCGGGCTCGAACACCGCCGATCCATCGGTTGGTTCCGAGGGCATGAGGATCATGCCGAATGGAAGAGGTTGAAATTCCGGCCCGTTACCTATCGTGATTTTACGTTTGTCCTGCGCTTCATTCGAGGTGTAGTTCAGGGCATCCCCCTCGAGCGGAAGGAATCCATCGCTCTTGTCTTTCTCGAGCGTGGCGATCATCGCATGGTGACCATCGTAACCGTCATCAGGATTCAATAACTCATCCAAGAGCCTCCTGGGCCCGGATATCACACCGTTCCGCTCCGACTCGTGTGCCTCCAAGGACCTCTCGAATCCTTCTCCATTGGGTAGACTGACCAGCCACACTACGACCAGCGTACAGATCAACGCTAGACCGACCATCCAACCTTTCGACTCTGGCGCACAGGGATGAGATAGGATCAAGGGTGAAGAGGGTGCAACACGTCTCCGTTTCCCGGCTGGAGCAGGTACAGTTTGCCCAAAGATATGGGCGAAGGGGCGGCTAGGTGGCTCAAAGGACTGATTCGGACGCGATACATGGGAAGGATAACACGGTGGGAGGGGAGAGAATGGAGCCATGGTGCGGCGTCTGCCTGAGTCCTGAGTGGGGATGTTTCGCAACCCCTTGGAGCGCGGCTCGGTTGGAAGAAGTCAGAAACGCCCAGCGTGTTGGTGGAATGTACAGATAGGACGATGGCGATCTTATACATGATCATTACACTTATAGAGTCTTGACCCTGTAAAGCAGGTATAGTATCACGCAAGGCAATATCCTCCCCCATCGTGGCTGGTCCGGGGCAGCCACCTGCACACGAGGGTCAATCAACACGAGGCTTGCCATGGAAGCTCGGGCCGTCTACTACGGTGCAGGCTGGCTACCTTGACAGAGAACCGTAGAACAGCTGTAGAGCACCATTCTCGTGCACTGCCCTGCCCTTGAGTCTGTCGGTACAAATCGGCAGACCAAGTTGTACTGGTTCTCGACCAGAAATCAGATGCCGAGAAAGGCTCTTCCCCGCCACAATCCATCTGTTCATCTGATCCTGCCGGTGGTATCTAGACCCCCTGTGCTTTTCTCTACGGGTATCTCGTAGGACAGAGGTATTCTGGCTATCATAAAGATCTCCCTTGTACACCCTGTAGACAGTACGCCCGCTCACGCTGGCATCGATGCATTCCAAGCCGAAACTGCCACAATTGGCTCTACAGTCGCGTTTCAGCTGTTCTCTCTCACGCGGCACACCCTCACGCCAAAAACACACTCGGAGACAAACAAAAGAGAATTTGAGACGCCTCCCCCCTGCCATATCGCAATGTTCATCACATCTTGATCCACCCTATAGCCGCATCCGCCATCGTGACCCTCTGCTCTCAGCGATCAGCACGAGGAACGATAGCGAAGCAGCTGTTCAGAGGGGCTACATGCCCGTCGCAGTGAATATGAACGGTGGAATGGGAGGAGGAGGAGGAGGCGGCCACGGTGGACTGGGAGGTGGCTCGAGCGGTATCGCGTCTTCGATGCAGCCTGGTCGTTTGACACCTACTTCACCACGGATGACCAAAGCTGCCTTTTTGAGAGCAAGGTCACCTCCTATCTCTCTGATGGAAGGTCAACGAAAACCTGACGATCTGTCGAATGGATTCGATACCCTTCAAGCGAGAATAGATCCTTTCAGTGGGAATGGACGATATACACCTGATTCGAGCTCTGAGGGAGGAGGAGGAGGAGGTGGTGGTGGTGGTGGTGGTGGTGGTGGTGGTGGTGGTGGTGGTGGTGGTGGTGGTGGTGGTGGGGGGGGAAGGGGCCGGGGTGGACCTCAACCGGGTCGTGGATCATCTTTCTCTCGACCTATCGACGGATCTCAACAAAGTCACCATGATCCACATTCGACACCAGCGAAATCATGGGCCAGTCATCAGTATGATCATGGCGATGGGAGGTTATCACCGACATCCCCAGCTTCACTCAGCGGTGTCATGGCCACAATGAGCATGGAAGGCTCATCGACAGGATATAATGGGCAGAGCTCGAGCTCTGGTGGACATGGCGTCGTGAATGGGATCAATGGCGGCAGCAGCCTAGGACACGGCATGACCGATCGGAATGGTCAAGGCGTAGGCGCAGGCCACCTCGGACAAGATGATCGATCCATGGGAATAGCCATGGGTATGCGAAGAGATCAGATGGGAAGCGTCGCTAGTGATGAAATGGACGACTATGGAGATGGCGTCGAGAGATCAGGTTCAACTTCAGGATCTACAGATATCGCTGGAGGTTCAGACGAGATGCTCATGACTCTATTGGCTGGGCAAGCGGCAGTGGACTGCGAGAATTTGCCTGTGGGACAGTGGGAAGAGGTAGATGCGTGGAAAAAGGTTGGGCACAAAGGTCCTCTGTCCGATGTGCCGGAGGCTCATACCTCATCCTCCGTAGGAACTCACGATCCTCTCCAATCGACTCGACTCGCTCGTCGCTAGACATCAGCGCGAGGTAAAGATTCTGACTGCTGCTCGGACGCTGCAAAAGCTGAACAACGCGAACAAGCGGTCAGTAATCTGGCAAAAGGGGATCTAAAAACAGTCACTGACCGAGATCTCGCTCTTCAGGATGTCGCGACAAACGATGGAGAGTCTGGAGCAGGCGGAGAAGCGAGCGGAGGCAGCAGAAAAGGTGAGCTGGGCGAGCAAACAGCTCTTGAATCCCGCTGACCCGTGTGCAGGAAGTTCTTTTGCTTCGCGACCGGGAAGCCAGCTTACGCCGAAGACTGACTGAGCATTGGGCCGGAGCCATGGCTTGGGAAGTGCGTCGACTGGCTCACATCTCTGCTCAAGCAGAAGACAAATACCGCCGGCAAACCATGGTTCTAAACGCCAACAAGGCTCGTGAGGATGAGTTGACGCGTCAAATGGCCAAGATGGAGCAGGATCTACGCCGCCGTACAGACCGAGCTGAGGAATTGGAGATGAGGGTCGAAGAAATGACCAGACGAGAGAGGGCGATTGCGGAAGAAGTCAAAGGGATGGATCAACTGAGGCTTGACATGGAACGCGAAAGGGAAGAATGGGCACGAGAACGAGCGGAATGGGATCAGTCCAGAGCGATGCTGGAACGAGATCGTCAAGGATGGGAGGAGGAACGGCGAGGGTTCGATGATGAACGTCAGGGATGGTCAATGGAGAAGCGAATCCTGCAATCTGAAATGGAGACCCATAAGAAGGATCATCAAGCTGCTCTGGAGAGCGGTAAAATGTCGGAACGTGATAGGATCACGATGGACAGAGTTCGGACGACTCTAGCTGGAATGCTAGGACGCAAGGGCGGAGTTGGCGAAGCGGAAATTGTGGATGCGGCGGAGGACGTCAGAAGGCTATTAACGCAGCGGGAGAAGGAGGTGTTGAGCCTCAAGGAAGAGATGCGTGAGGTCAATATGGGTTTGGAAGAGGAAGTCAGGCGGGTTTCGGCGGATCGAGATTTGTGGAAGAACAGGTCTGAAAAGGGAGAGCAAGGTCGTCGCGATGAGATGGCAGCATTGGAAAAGACCGTCAGAGTGAGTGCGAAAAAGGCTGCTCTCAGCCTGAATCGTGCTGATATTCGCAAAATTAGACACAGGCAGACCAGATCTCCGACATGTCACTCCGAAACGAATCCCTCTCGACGTCTCTCGCCGCCGCTCAATCTAACATTTCATCTTTAGCCTCCTCTTCCGCATCCACCAAGACTCTCCAGAACCGTATCAACTCGCTCGAAGCTGAACTCGAGTCCATCGCAGGCCAGTTCAACGAAGTCTGGTCTATCTTGCCTTCTCGATCCAAGCGGGCGGAAGCTGAGCTCGTAGACCCACGAACGGGACTCTCCAACGCTTCGTTGGCTTCTCCCTCTCGAGCCGTCAACTTTGCAGCGCTTCAAGCTGTCTACACGCCTAACAATGAAGGGTTCGCGGGTATCGACGAGATGCTCAAGCGCGTCAGGGGAATGGTTGACGATGGAAAATTGCTGGTCGAACGAGTCTGTAGATTGGGTCAGGAGAGAGAATTGCTCAAAGCCAACGCGGCGAGGGCAAAGAAATTGGCAGAGGATAGCCAGGCGGCTCTGCAAACGTATCAACAGTGAGTCGAAATGGTCGACGTAAGATATGATGTGTTGCTGATGCTTGGTCCATCAGGCAAGTTGCCGAGCTGGAACACAAGTTGGCCAGTAGTGGTACTGCTGAATCCAAATTCCTGTGAGTGGTTTTTATGAACTCGACTCCACATGTCGCTGACGCGGTCGCTCAAAGGAATGAGCTCAATTCGTTGCGCTCAGCTCTAGACTCTGCATCGACCTCGAAACGTCAACTCGAGACTCAACTATCGACCCATACCGAGTCCATCAACCGATTGGAAACGGCCAATCGGTCCCTTTCTTCCAAGACGTTGTCGCTTGCCGAAGACGCCGAAAAGGAGAAGAAAATTCTGCAGAAAAAGATGCAAGATGAGATCGACAGATTGAAGAGAGAAGTCGAAGAAGCTCAGGAAGAGGTCGATGAAGCTCGGACGAGAGGTAGCGCTCAGAGGATACAGCTACTCGACGAGGTGAGTCAAAGTGATTCAAAGGGGCGAATTGAATCGAGTTCCGCGGCTGACACAAATTGACTTTCAGCTCAACTCGCTGCAAGCTGAGAATGCAGACCTCAGGAAGCAGATTCGGATGCGCAAGTGAGAACGCAGTGAATCAGAGTAGGGGATGCCAGCTTCCGTGTCATCTGTCGCAATGGGGGGGCGCCAATCTATAGTGGTCATTTATCAGGTCAAATGTTGTCAACTTTCCGGATCTCATGCACATTTTTCTGCGCGGAGTGTATAGGTGGTCGAGCCGTCCTGGGGCTGAGCCGTTCTCGACTTGCCAGCCGCCAATGCATACACGCAACAAATTCTAAGTCCTCGCGCCCTTCATCTTGTTCAACGCGTGCTCACTCCTCACTCTGCCTTTCTTGGCCTTCCCTCCATGACCTTTGGGCCTATTGTCCTTTCCGCCAAGTTTCACGGCTCCCGTACTCCTCTCGCTTTCGGATCGATGCTTCAATTTCTTCTTTGCCATTCGTCTAGCTTGACGGTGGGCATCGCTGGCTTTGGCGGCTTTACGCTCATCTTTCGATAAGCCTTTTAGCCTCTCTCCAAGTTTCGGATCGCCCTTTGGTATAACGCGGGGAGCGTCACTGGAGGAATTGCGGGCCTTTGGAGAGCGAGCAGTCACAGACGTTATTGATCCAGTCGGTCTGGCTTTACTGGAAGTAGGCTTGGAGTCCTGTTTTGTGTTCACTGGTTGACGCGCGATCTTGTGCGATTGCGATGCTTTACACCTTTGAACTCGGATTGGCCGTTTGGCGAATTTAAGGCGTTGGTCGATGGCCAGGACCTCATCAACGCTTTCAGACTCCTAAGGCGGGAGAATGGGCTTCTGTCAACTCAACAATTCCGGGGTGTGGGGACCACCGCCCAGCTAGCGACTCACAGCGAAATGCACGTAACCGAACCCCTTGCCCATTTGCGTGTCCCTGTCCCTTATCAATCGCACTCCAGTCACGTATTTCTTCTCTCGCTCGCCTCTTTCCTTGACCATGAGACTTTCAAAATATGACCGTAGATCATCCTCTTTTGTCTCGTAATCTAGTCCTCCGACAAAAATGGACAGCCTTGGATCCGCACCGCCCAGCCAATCATTCTGCTTCGCGGTCTTGCCAGGCGCGGCACTGTGCTTCTTGCCATTGACACGATCAACGCGAATGAGATGATCCATGAAGTTTGATCCGTCCGCATTCAGCGCGCGCTCTGCAGCTTCATACGGGTCTAATATCGGGGCGACATTGGTTGATCGATCGGGAGATGGGTGAGCAAATACCACATAGGCATTACATGTCTTTGCCGATGCATGAAACTGCAGCACAAAGGTCAATCCAGTCATCCGCGATAGCAATGCTGTCCTCAGACGCTCACCTCTTTTTTGATGAATGCGACTTTGCGCTTGCCCTTGGAGTCTAAGAAGACCTTCTCAGCTCCTGGTCCAGTTTCTGCTCCTGCTTCTCCACGCCATGCGGCCGCTCTCTGCTTTTCCCTCTCTTGTCGAGAGTTTGACGGATTGCTCGAAGCCTGATCCTTGCCAGCCTTATCCTTCTCAGCAAGAGGTCTCGCAGTGGTCGGAGTTGCAAATGGAACAGAACGGAATCGCACAGACTCAATCTTAGCGCCCGAGCAGAAAGTCAAGAGATGTTGACGGAGATGGGACAGTGATGACTGCACAGGCCAAGTCAGCTCTGCTCTTTCCAAGTATGGACGAGGGGAGACTTACTTTTGAAGTCGCACATTCGATAGGCAGATTACCTAAGAAGACTGTCCGTCTATCTCTGTCTTCTGGAGTCTCTCCTGGAGGTACGTAGCGCTTAGCAAGTTGGTCCCGTCCCTTTCCAGCCTTGACGGATTCGTGGACCAACTCTTGTGAGCCGGATGAGCTCGAGCTAGCAACGCTGGCGGCGTCCTCGTCGTCACTGTCCGCTCTGCTCTCCTCAGCCTCTAGCTTGTTGTCCTCGCCATTGTCTCCCGTAAAGTCCGCCTCTTCTGCGTCCCCATCCTCGTCGCTGGTCTCTGCCATGGAACCCTCAGCTTCATCCTCAGAGCCGTCTTCCGCCTCCTCATCCTCTTCTTCCGCGATCTCGTCTGCGCGGGCTGGCTGCAGCAGAGAGCCTCCTGCAGCCGCCTTGCCTACCCCAGGTACTACAGCAAATGTGGCCTGCTCGACATTAGATCAGCTCTCCCGGAAAGCAACTCTGTGCCGCACTCACACCTTTACTAAACACATCATCCAGATCTGCATCACCTCTTCCACTGAATAGCGAGAACCCTTCTTCCTCCTTCTCAACCGCTTGACCAGTCTTGACTTTCTTTCCAGACTTCTGACTGTCCTCTCCAGATCGCTTGCCCATCTCGTGAGTCGTGACCAGCTCTTCGTCCACTGGCTGGAATGAAGACTTTTTGCGCGCGAGTCCAAATTTCCATGTCTCCGTCAATCGATATGCCGTAATTGATAACGGCAACCTCACCTCCACTGCCACATGTGATATCGCCGCAAAACTTCCACATCACCATATTTTGCCACTCAGTGGCGAATGATTGCCAATGATTTGTTTACATGGCCACGTGTGAGGCTCGAAGGATCTCGGATGTCATGTTCTCGATTTTCAGAGGTCCATGATAGGGTCTGCTGTGGTATGAGGTGATATTGCGAGGTCACCAGGTTGATTAGAGATACGAAATCGGGCTGAGACGTGTAGATGGGGCCCTTGAATGTGTACGAGGAGTTTGAGATGCATAGCATGGAAATTGATGCAAAGACGTGGATCTCATGAACTGGCGACATCCACCCTTTCGAGTCGCACTACGATCACAGGTGGACTTGCCAAAACTCGGTCCTGGTATGATACGCTTCTACAATCAATGGCTCTAGAAGGTACGAGGATAGCCTAGGATGAGATTTCGCGCAGTCCCGAGGGTGTCTAGCTCCATATGTAGGATTGAGACCCCCTGCATACTTCACGAGCCCAGATCTCGCGCCACGAACCCTCACAGGAGTATCACGCGGCTATGACTGATCTATCGTATCCCAGACAGGGGTCGAGTAACGCTCACTATGGTACTGAGAAGGGTGGAGATACACTCAGAGTGGAGCGCCAAACCGCTAACGCCCCGCAGTTCGATATATGATGGAGGTAGATGAACAAGATGACGCCGTGAGTGAAAGATCAGAACGTGGCACAACGCAGCACCCGTTCATTCTCTCTCCCTTGATTGTGCTGAGACCATGCAGGCGTGGCATGAGCTTTGATCAGACGGTTCGGTCTATCTAGGTGACCTGTATGATCTCCACTACTTGCATGACAATGCATGTAAGGATGCAAAGTCGTCTGTCCCGAAGAATGGACAGACCCCGACTTCGAGGCGTCGGCGTTTTGTGATTCTCCAATTCGAGGTTTGGAAATCTTCGAAATGTAAACACGATCCCCTTTTTGTCCATCTTGCTCGATGCTTCCAGTCACTCAATGCATTCTGAATGGTACCAATGCATAGAGCTACGTCTTGCGCACCCGTACATACCAAGAACACCTGTCCATGCATAGGCATACCTTGAGCAGTCGTCGCAAAACCAAGGAGGACATCACGTGATCACTTAATTGAGCTTCCCAGAATCCGCGAGAGTTGATTCTGTCGAATAAAGAACGACTCTTCCTTGCCATCACCGTCTTCTTCCCCACCATCTGCTTCATTTTCAACCTCATCCTCGAATCAACCTTTGATCGTGAGTTCGTCCTCCACTCGTCTCTCAACAATATTCCCATACATCTTGAGCCTTCAAATCACCTGCATGAACGAGAAACAACCTTGCTAATGTCTGCTGCCTCTCTCCTCCTTGCCTCGCTTTTCCCTTTTGCCGCCATCCATATCTCTCGGTTCAATCTGGCCCTTTCAACACTGCAGACTCGATCCAAACCTCCCAATACCAATCAGTATGGCTCCCACTACCGCTACCAAGAAGGCTGCTGCCCCCAAGAAGGCTTCTGCCCACCCCACCTTCCTCTCCATGATCCAGGTGAGTGATCGCATTGTTTGGTCCGGGTCAAAACACGTCAACCGACTGCACGTCTGTGTGTGGACTTTTCTCTCCGTCGGGAGTCGAGCTTGACTGCTTGATCGGGTCACAGCATACAATGCTCTGTCTCCAGTTGGGCATGGTATGGTGTGACTGCTGCCAATCCCTGAGCTTCATGCTCGCCATGGGTAAACCCGGTTGGAGGGAAAACAAACATCACGTCTTTTCCCCCATGTCCCATTTTTTTTCGAATCGTTTGCTTCCTCGTCCTTTCTTTCAACATGCTTGCAATCATCATTGCATGCTCTACATCTCATGCTACTTCGTCCTCACTTCCTGGCCGCTGCTGGCGTCCCGTCGATGCTCACGAAGAGCGAGGAGTGTGGGTCCATTACCCGCGCCGCCAAATCACCCTGTTTCCTCTTCGTCCCCGTTTAATGCTTGCGTCCTTCGTCGTCTGCCCTCCAATCATCTCCATGCCATTTTGGCACACCTGCTTCCCTCCTCATTAACACCTCACCGCATGCACTGAGCTGTTGACCATCCGTTGCTCGCCCACCGGTCCCCCTCACAATTGCCCCTTCGGGCAACTTGGTCCTCTCTTTCTCCTTCATGTCTCTACAATGTGACAAAGTCGCTGACCCTGCTCCCTCCCTCATAGGAAGCCGTCAAGGCCAACCCTGACCGTCTTGGAGTCTCCAGGCCTACCATCAAGAAGTGAGTGCACCAGCGTCAGTGAGGATGGCCTCTATATTTATCATCCTTCAGGTACTTGGCCGACAAGTACAAGATCGACATGTCTTCTGCCACCAACACCAACAACCTCTCCAACGCCATCAAGCGCGGAGCTGAGAAGGGTGACTTGACCCTCCCTAAGGGTATCGGTGGACGAGTCAAGCTGCCTGCCAAGGCAAGTTGATGCAATCCGGGAACTAATCAAGTGGCTTGCTGACGATTTTTCTTACAGAAGAGCGCCGCTGGCAAGGAGAACGTTGCTCCTAAGAAGGCTGCCGCTCCCAAGAAGGCCGCTGCTCCTAAGAAGGCTGCTGCGCCAAAGAAAGCCCCCGCCGCTGCCGGTGCTGCACCTGCCGCCAAGAAGGCTGCTGCCCCGAAGAAGGCCGCTGCTCCCAAGAAGGCCGCCCCGGCAAAGGTCAAGAAGCCCGCTGCTGCGAAGAAGACTGCTTGTAAGTGGATCTGTCAGCTTGTTGAAGAGCTTGTTCTGATCCTCCATAGCCAAACCCGCCGCCGCTGCTAAGAAGGCTGCCCCCAAGAAGAAGGTCGCTGCCAA